CCCTAAACCCTAAACCCTAAACCCTAAACCCTAAACCCTAAACCCTAAACCCTAAACCCTAAACCCTAAACCCTAAACCCTAAACCCTAAACCCTAAACCCTAAACCCTAAACCCTAAACCCTAAACCCTAAACCCTAAACCCTAAACCCTAAACCCTAAACCCTAAACCCTAAACCCTAAACCCTAAACCCTAAACCCTAAACCCTAAACCCTAAACCCTAAACCCTAAACCCTAAACCCTAACCCCTAAACCCTAAACCCTAAACCCTAAACCCTAAACCCTAAACCTAAACCTAAACCTAAACCTAAACCCTAAACCCTAAACCCTAAACCCTAAACCCTAAACCCCTGAACCCCTGAACCCCTAAACCCTAAACCCTAAACCCTAAACCCTAAACCCGGACCTGACCTGACCCTAAACCCTAAACCCTGAACCCTAACCCCTGAACCTAAGCCCTAAGCCCTAAACCCTAACCCCTAACCCCTAAAAATAAACCCTAAACCCTAGAACCCCAGACTCCCTAAAAAAATAAAAAAAAAATAACAAAATTCCTAAACCCTAAAACAAGGTGTGATAGCTCCAAAACGGCATTGTAACTTTTGGTGAGTCATGCATCAAATGAAAGCCCTATATGTATATGTCCCATTGCAAGTCTTTCCACTATGCCATAGGCCCCCCTTTTGAGAAGCTAGAGCCAACTCTATGCAAACCCTAGCCTGAAACCATGTTTGAGGCCTTATAGAGAGCCAAGGAGGTCGAATTTTCAAGTAAGGACTTCATAGGCGTGACCAGCACATCGAAATTGCCCAAGATCACCCCTAAAACCGGGGTCCATTTTTGGACACCCCAACCCCAAAACACAAGGTGTAAACACTAAGGCTCATAATGAGCCCTAAACACTTGGCATGTTGGCATAACTTGGCATCTGGCTTGGTTTGGGGTGAGCAAAACTTGGCCATGCATGTTTGGACTTAGCCAAAGTTCATAAAAGATGTCCCTGGACACTTTGAGCAGGGGGCAGACCCTGGAAAGGCATGCCAGCATAACCATGTGGCTGCATGCACTAGTATGTGTGCATGGAGTGGTCATGTGGGGTGTGGCATGTGTGTTTAAGTGTTAATTTGCACTGGAGTAAGTTCAAAACACACTTCCCATCATCCTTGCTGCAAGTCATGACATGATCTTGAGAGCGACACCCTGAAACTTGCCCAAGGCAGGTGAACATGTCAGGACTTCAACAGTCTGCTGCACAAGGTAAAGATTTTTGTTTTGAGCCCAACTTGGGTTGGCTTGTAGATCTAACCTTTCTTAGTCCATCTGGGACTTTTGGCTACTTGGATCAAGTTTCCATTCAAGGGGTCAAGCTTAAACTAGCTCTAGGAACCCCATTTCTGACTTAGCCAAATTCTGCCAAAGTCTAGCATTTGCTATCAGAACTTCAACTTGGTGTTGCACAATGTAAAAGTGGTTGTTTTGGGCCCAAGTTGGGTTGATGGAAAGCCCTAGGTAAGGGGGTCATGTGGATGCCACGTGGACCCCCAGGGCGAAGTTTGGCACCCACTGGAAGGCTGCCAAAGTAGGCCAGAATCTGGCTTGTGCATGGCATGCACCTTGCAGTGTGTTGTTGCAATTCCAGGCACAAATTCGTGTATACCATATTTCAAAGGAGTTCCTCATGAGGTGTTTAGGCCCCCCCTAGGTCCTTGGGATTTCTGGTGATGGTCACCCATAGACACTTTTTGATTCCAGTGAAATGCATACTTGCAAGCCAATTGGCTAGTGCTTGGGCATGGTTGCCTTGGAGGTGTGCAGGGGATCCAAGGCCCTTGGCATGGCTGGGAGGACTCATATGGGGCCCATACATGATCCTGCATGGGTGCCAAGTGAAGCGACACCCTGTGCAAGTGTGCAGCATGGTGTACCTGCATGCCAGGTGCCATGGGTGCATCCTGTGCCCACTTGGAGCATGTGCTGTGCTTTTGCTGTGGGTCCAAGGGTCCCCAAACCCCACAAAGGGGCCTCATACATCCCAAACAACAAGTTTGGGCCATGGGAGCAGTCATCTGCAGCTCAAGGCCAAGTCATGCATGCCAAGTGATGCCAAGTTATGCCAAGTTTCATGCCAACATGGGAAACTGGATCTTAGGCATAAGTGCTGCTGGATGAAATCCCCCTGAAGCCATGCATTCACCCCTTCAAAAGGGGTGTATATGAAACTTGGCTAGGGGGGTGTGCCTCTGTAGAACATGCATGGCTTGGCTTGGCATGCAATTCCAAGAATGCAAACCCAGGATTCCTAAATATAAGCCATGACTTTGAAAGTCACGGTGCACACAAAAGTCATAGCATGACTATCGAAAGTCACGCCATGAATATCGAAAGTCATGGTGCCCACAAAAATCATAGCATGACTATCGAAAGTCACGCCATGACTTTGAAAGTCACGGAGCCCACAAAAATCATAGCATGACTTTCAAAAGTCACATTGCCCGCTCCATGATTTTTGAAAGTCACGGAGCCCGCAAAAGTCTAGCATGACTATCGAAAGTCATGGTGCCCACAAAAGTCATAGCATGACTTTTAAAAGTCACGTTGCCCGCTCCATGATTTTTGAAAGTCACGGAGCCCGCAAAAGTCTAGCATGACTATCGAAAGTCACGGTGCCCGCAAAAGTCATAGCATGACTTTTAAAAGTCACGTTGCCCGCTCCATGATTTTTGAAAGTCACGGTGCCCGCAAAAGTCATAGCATGACTATCGAAAGTCACGCCATGACTATCGAAAGTCATGGTGCCCACAAAAGTCATAGCATGACTATCGAAAGTCACGCCATGACTTTGAAAGTCACGGAGCCCACAAAAATCATAGCATGACTTTCGAAAGTCACGGCATGACTGTTGAAAGTCACGCAGGCAACGCAACACGGCCCATCTCTTGCACTGAGACTCCTCGACAGTACATAGCTTCCTGAATAGCCGCAGCAGCCGGTCCGCTCCGTAACGTCCTTTGCAGCCTGCAGCTGCACATGAAATGTTAAAGACCAGGTCACAATTGAAGGTGCTGTGAATCATGTACATGTTGCTCACCATGTGATAAGATATCTTGATGGCTTGAGCAGCCCAACTTCTTCGATCACACGATCCATTCAAACTGGGACTTTGACTAAGCCAGTGCAACACTGCCAACAAACGCAAAGACCTAATGCACACAGGCACTCTTAGTGTCACTGTCACTTAGTGGGACATCCTATAGTCTTTGAGGGGTGACAGGAGTTTTGTCACCTTCCGCATGCTCCTCCGACGCGCCGCCATGCGCTTTAAAAATGGGTGAGAAATAAGCTAGGCTGCAGTTGCGCGCTCAGACTGAGGCACAAGCTGACGCAACAAAAAATCCTGGAAGTCGGCCGGCAGGCGGAAATTACTGAGAAATTTAAAGGCCAACGGCGACCACTTTTCGTACCGGTATTGCAGCGCCGCCGATATCCGCCTGCAAAAAGGTATATTCTATCAGGCCTCATCTGTTTTCAGGTCCCACAAGTTGTGCCACTAGCAGTAGTGCTTGGGATTCACGCCTCTGGTTTCTACATTACAAGAATTAGTGTTGTAATTACAACGATTACAACCCTACACCTTACATTACAATGTTGCCGCAGCCGTATCAATCTTCCTTTGCCGCTTTTAGCGCTCATGCATGCTATTGATATGCACTCAGCCTGACAACGGTTCTGGCGGGAGATAACAAGACATGCCCTGTGAAGAAGCAAATATGTTGCATTGTTCTGTGCATGCGCCTGTGGGCACGGGGCGTGGCAAGCGCGCCGCCGAGGCAAAGGAAGCCGCTAGGCCAGCTGCCACCAAGCACAAAAGGCTGGTAAGCATATCTTCTCAAAATCGCAGGTCTCATTTCTGGCTTGTCCACGGCGGCTTTTCATTGCCATTGAGTGACTATGACAACAGCAGCCTGGCCGCGCGCTTAAGCGTTGCAACAGGTCCCAACTGCAGCCTCTTCCGCCTCTTCCTTTCATTTATGCACGCGCGCGCAGGGGCCGGCCCGGCCGCGTGCTGCATGCGCTGCAGCCGGTTCCAGCGGTGGCTGCCTCTTTCTTTTTTTCTTTCTTGCGCGTGCGCGCCGGGGCCGGCCCGGCCGTGCGCTGCAGCACTGCTGCCGATTCTGGCAGCCTCCGAGGGGAGGATAACCATTATCAATAAGTGCAGATGGCCAGTGTGCAAGTCTTGCAGCCGTAGTTGATGCGAATTGAAGGACCATGAGGCTGTCTGCAAAACATGCACAATGTCACTTGCATTAGATTACTGGGCTGGCAGTGTCCTACTGTAGACACTGGCAAGCTCCTGGTACTCTGCGCAAAAAAAGAGTGGACACAAAAAAGTTTGCGCACACGCAAATGACCGTGGATTAAGTTGAAGCCAAGCTACATCTGGTTGCCAATTCCTAATTCATATGCAACAACAGCAATATTCATTTGCAAGTAATGCAGAACGTGAACATCGCCCAAATCATGAAGAGCCATAGGTACAATAAGTTGAATTGGCTTTTCTGCATAGAGCAATGGCTGAGGCAGCAAAAGCTTCCTTTTCGCAAACACCACCACTTATGTTTTTGCTGTGTTCACTGTGAGCGCTCTGTCATGACAAAACATCTGTGCAGCTTTTCGAGCAGCCTTTGGAGACCTCTAGTGCAGGAAAGCATTGCTATCTCATCAGCATATGACCGCACAGGAATTGCTATGCCCTGCAGTTGCTGTGCTTCATTCCGGTCGGTGTCTTCCTGGCCAGGTATTTCTGCATGCCGTCCAGGTAGAGGCCAAACAACAGCGGGCTGAGGGGACACCCTTGCTCACTCCCATGGTGCACGGTGTCATTGAGGTCAACATCTCTATAGACTCGCGCGCTGTCACCGGCGTACATGGTCTGGAGGCAGTGTAGAAATTTTGGGGGAACTCAACATCTTGATAAAAGTAGATGCGTGCGTGCATGTATGTGCGTGCATGTGCTGCGCCCAATCGAGCTTCAAGGGCATTGCCGATCCAGACCGATCCTTACAATGCAATCAACCGCTATTCACGTGTCGAGCTGCAGAATTGTGCCACTTGGCTTGCAAGACACTGCAAAGTTAGAGACCAGCATGACACTTCACGGATGGTCAACATTGTCAAGAAGTGACTCAGACATGCGAAAATATTCTTCTCATTGATAGCACTACAAGTAGCTACACGACAACCTGCCTAGACCTTTGACTGATTGTACACAGCAAACACAGATTACACATTGCAGAGACAATTCACAGACCACAACTACAGTGGTGTCGCCAACAAATCACAGCAGATACCGTACATCATTGGATTGCACCACAGCCAGGCCTGGACGACCCTAGAGCAACAGGATATTCTCCCTGATCGCTTCAGCTTTCAGAGGTCCTAATTTATTTGCAAGCCTCAATATGGGCAAGACCAAAATTCCTCCACCAGTAAACATCAGTGCAACCGCGCCAACCTGGCCAAGAGCCTGCCCAGCAGCACTGAGCAGCTCGAAGGGCCACGAATACTTTTTTACTGCTGCTGCTGCCACACCGTCCTTGCAATCAGAGGAACTGATCATCATCACTCAAGTCACCATTAAACTTTGAATTTGCCAAGAACGATAAAGCAGACAACTTGCTCATCCAGACATGTATTGAAAGTCATACAGGGCTTCTCCTATCTAGCAGCCACTAAATCAGGTCAGGGCAACCACAAGTGTACAGTACGAAATTATCTAACATACAAGCAGCAGCAGGTACATCGAGTGAGTGCGCGGTATAAGATATACATGATGCTACAGCGCCACTTGGCTGCTCAATAGGATACAGGCTGCCGGTGGAAGGTGCAGGTGCTGTGCACCACCTACTAATATGCTATGATACAATCTTGTGGCTCACAATCTGGGGACTGCCACATACAACAAATTTTTCAACTAACACAGCTGGCCGTCCAGCACTGGGGCCCTCAACCCCAAAAGCTGCCGGCAAAATGATCAGTGCTGGCCTCGCGGCAAGGGTGCTCAGTTCGCAATGGGCTGCCCGGCCTGGTAGCCCAGCGCGGCGATGTCGGCAGGCAGAGAGCCTGATCGCGAGAACATGCGCTGCAGCAGCTGGCGGCTGTGGTTGAGGTCGTGGTCTGACGCCAGGCCGAGGCCCAGCGGGTCAGCTTCGCTCCAGGCGCTCTCAAACACCTCCACGCGGTCGCACTGCTCCAGCACCTGGTGCCACCCTGCCACCTCCTTGTTGTTCACCTGCTCATGCACACGGACCCAGTCAGTACAAAAGGACAACTGTTGACGTGCGCATCAACCCTTGCAAACTAATGCTGGGAGGCAGAATGAGATCTCAAGACATGCTGATGACACATCTACAATCAAGAGGCAGTGCTTGACAGTTGCAAGATCAGGCAGACGCACCAGCATGCGCAAGTGTGAGCCCTCTGATGAGTGGCCGTCGGTGAGGCGCTTGGCCAGGTCACCCGTGGTGCAGCCGCTGGGCAGCTGCTCAATGCGCACTGCTGCCGCGCTCGCCGCACGCTGTGATCGACCGTCGGCCACGACAACATACAGCGGGGTTGCTGATGCGAGTGCGGTGGACGGATGCTGGGGCGCCAGGTGCTGCCTGCAAGCCACAATGAGAGCACGTCAGTGCTAGCAATGACACAGGTGTCAGTATGATTGTGCCCAAGGTTTGGTATGCCTTCAAACCCACTTGCTGGTCTCACATTTCATTTGCTGCCACTCACATCAGAACTCTTCTGAAACACGATCTGTTCGAGTGATGCTGGTACACAGCACAGCTCCTTTAAGCTTCAGACTCTAAATGCTACAGGTGTGGCACCAAGCAACAAGAAGCTGCACTATGCTGAAAAGCCAGAACAAAATTTTCTTGCGGCAGATGTGACGAGGCAAACAAGTACAGCAGCATGAGCCAGATGAAGTAGCACCTGCGGAAGTACTGTGCAAACTTGCAGTCAGCTTCGTGGTTGGGGAAGGCGCAGATGCGCGACTGCAGGGCGGCAAAGCCTGAGTCGCGCGGAGGACTGCCGCTTGGCCGGCACTTCTTGTCCGCCAGCTCCATCTGGAAGCTGATGAGGTAGCGGAACCATGCCACCTGCACCGCACAAACCACCATCAGCAGCTGCCACCAGCCAAACTCTACTGTGCAAAATGCCCCCTCTTGGACCAGAAAGGATGAGATTCACACAGTAGATACGATGTACCACTATTGTGTATGCAAGGCCACAGCAATAGTATTAGCGATGAGGGGGCAGCACTCACATGGCGTTCCTGCGCAGCGTCATCGCGCGCAGCAGACTCCTTGTAGCGCCAGTGGGCAGCAACGCCGTACTCTGCAATCCAGTGCATCTTCTGGGTGCGGATCTGGACTTCCATAGGCACGCCGTCGGAGCCCAGCACTACAGTGTGCAGCGACTGGTACCCATTATCCTTCTTGTGGCGAATGTAATCTTTGAAGCGCCCCTCAACCGGCGTCCACAGCCGGTGCACCTGAGCATCACGGATCACATTGTTGAAACAAGCTACAGCTCACATTAAATTTTTGGAAAGGAGCAAATCCATGGAAGATGTGCATCAGGGGGTGAGGGAAAGCCTCGCACCTCACGCAAGACCTCGTAGCAGTCTGACTTGGTGTCCACGACGACGCGCAGTGCGCGGACATCATAGACTTGGTCCAGCCCATAGCCCTTCGCGCACATCTTACGGTACACGCCCCACAGGTTCTTGGGCCGCCCGCTCAGATCACCCCGGATGCCAGTCTGCAGGCACAACCCAAATCAGTCACAGTGAACCCATTCCTACCAATAAGCAACTGAGCAACAGCAGGATTCTGGATGGGGAGCTTGTATGACCAGCACAAGGCAAGCACTACCCCTTGCTTTCCCCACAAAAAGCACGCAGATTGTGCAAAATTAGGTGCTACCACAGCAATTGACCTCATGCATACGCACTTCAGCTGCGGGAGCATAGCGAGGATATGGGTCACACCTGGGCAAGACGTCCCTTCAGCTGGTCAAGGTTAGCCTCAATACTCCCACGCTGCAGGCTCTCCTCGCACTTCGCCTGCAGCTCTGCATGCTCCAGTGGGTGCAGAACCTGAGCCAAACAGCATGCTGAGATTACCAACTGCAAAAGCAAGTCATCTCCAAGGATTCTCCACAACAAGCAAAAGCCAGTGCTTTGTGACACCAGCATCAAAGTACAACGAGCATGCACAACTTGCAGGCCCATTGAATACGCCGGATACAAAGCAAAGAGGTGCCCTCCCAATCAGTAGGACAACGACAGGCGAGCACTCACCATGAAAGCAAGATCCTCCAGATCTGCCTTGATGGACCAGACTCCCAGGCGGTTGGCCAGTGGCGCAAACACGCCCATAGCCTCCGCCGCCGCTGCAGCAGTCGGCTTTGCGCGCATTGCCTGTTCCACAACAACAGCCATTGGTGAATCTGTCAACTTGTCAACTTGCCAGCTCCCCTCACAAGGTAGGCTTTGCATCTCTAGCATCTAGTGCAATGAGTCAACATGCGGGATGTTGTGCCATCCAAGAATTGCCAAAGAAGCCATGCAAAGCTGCCAACCTGCAAGCTGTCGGCTAGCACAATGAGGACCGCTGGCACGTCCTGCATGGCGAGCAGCATGCCCTGGAAGGACGCATGCAGCTCGCCGCTGATGCCACCCTGTGCCTCCACCAGCGCCTTGTGCATCTGCAGGCAGCAGGAGCTTGTCAGATTGAGCAAGTACTCACAGACAACAGCGCAAGTGAGCATATCACAATGGCTGCAGACATTTGCATGGACACAAACCATATATGCAGCTGATCACTCGGTTGGTGATACACTTGCACGGAGTAAAAACTCCTTCAAACAGTTCTGTTATACAAAGAGATGCCGCTCAATTCACCTGGCAGATGCCACTCAGTTTTTGGACGTTGCAAACCGTGTCTGCCACCTCTGCGCACATTGACATCCGCAACTTCTCCTCTGTCAGCATGCTGCTGTCGAGCACGCTGTGCAGCAGCGCAGCAGCTATGCACTCCTCACTGGCCTCCAGGTCAGCCAGAGTGCGAGCCACTTCGGCGCAGCGCACCTGCATACCCATAATCGTATTCAAGACATGTTGTCTTAAAATCAGTCCAATGGGGCAGTTTGTAAACGCCTTGTTGACTTGGCTACTAGAACACACTGCACAGGAGGGAAGGACGCACGGCAACACATCAGCTGCAGAATCAGCTACAAACATCGCAACCAAGACACCTTGAGGAGTGCCAAAGAGAAAGGTTTGGCTGTGCTAGGGCGTACCAGAGGTGCACTGGATCCCACATGAGCCGCTTTGGCGATGTTGAAAGCACGAGTGACGAGTGTAGTCTGAAATATTGGAAACGATTGCTGCACGCACACAGAGACCTGTAAATCAAGATTCTCGAGCAGAGCAATACACACAGGCAGGCGAAATCCCCCCAGGTCAGCACGTGTGCAAAAGAAATCTTATGTGAAGCTAAGGTCCAACTTGTCAAAAGAAGGTTTATTACTGTCAGATTTCGGAGGAATATGCAAACTCACCTGCAAAGTTCGCAACAAAAGCCCCGGGTCTCCTTCCAGCGAATCCCCCAAAGCCGGTGGTGATTTCTCGTAGCACTTCTGTAGACGCTCCTGGCCATAGGAAGCACATGGGTGTCAGAGGTTGAAAATCGAACACATTACAAGCACAGCTGCAAGAACAACCAGCCACCCAGAGCAGAGAATCTCAGCGCCTATAATCTCACCTTTAAAGCCTCTGATGAAGGTTTCTGCTGCTCAACAGCGGGCTGCAAGCTGTCCGAGCTAAACTGCCTGCTCAAGAGACCATGTGGGGACACCGGAGGTCGCGGTGAGACCCGCTGCCCCTCCACCTCCTTCCCCACCAACTGCTCTGTCTGGAATCCCTCTTTTCGCACAAAACCACTCCCCCGGGCGAATTGGCCGCTCTTCCGGGGTTCCGGGCGCCTGAGGCCCGTCAACGATGTGCTGTAGTCGCCAAGCGATGTGCTTTCGAGGCCCTGAGACGCCGATGAGCTCGTCCTCCTCTGCTGCAGGCTGTGGCTTATGCGCTGGAGGGCATCCTCGCTAGACTTATAACTGCCCGCATTACCATCATCCGATGCTCCGCTGGGGGTCGGGCGAGTAAAGGGGACTATACTGCTGCGCCTCGGGCCTGCAGCAGCGTTTGAGCTGTTCCTGGCAAGGGGTGGGGTGGGCGTTGCGCTCCGCGACGCGGGAGATGTTCCTGCCAAGTGCGGGGCCATGCTGGCCAGACCAGTCCCGTCTACACTTCTTCTTCCTCCTTTCTGCTCTTTCGACGCTGGTTTCTACAGGCAAGTGTGACTTTGCCAGCTTTAGCGATGCCTGAAGCTGGACACTTTGACCTCGCCTTTCGTGCCGGGATGGGCGTCTGCGGCGTTCCTGAGACAAGGAGTCAGCACCAGCGGCTGTCTAGCTTCCTTGCTGGATCTCGAGCCAGATCACGCAGCGGCGTCAGCAGTACCTCACTCTTTGCCACTGAACTGCAACCTTCCTTGAATGCGTGCACCCTTCTTAGCGCAGTCCCATGATGTCACTGCTTGGTGATGACGCGAGACTTCCCCCCCGCCTTGGCGCAGGGAGGCATGCATGAGCCCAGCAGAAATGGCCCATGGCCATGGGCTACATGTACTACAATACACCATCATTGTAGCCTTGCAATCAGCCTGGCCCTTGGGTCCTGAAGGTCTGCACTGGCCCAGTGGCTGGAAGAGGTGGGCCACATGTGCAGCTTGCAAAACACTACTAATATGGCATATATGACCATGGTCGGCAGCTGCAGCTGATGACTGCTAGCACGCTGCAGCACTGCAGCGCTGGCACGAGTTCTCCAGTTGCATGCACACTATTGAGATGACCGGCACGAAAAAATGATGCGATAACATACAGCCCACAGTCCCAAGATATTTGAAGAGTTGCAAGAAGTTCTGCAATTGCCTTCTGCTATTCCCTCAGACAATTAGGGAAAAAGGTATGCAGACATTAAGGCAGAGCGAGCCGCGGCGCCAGGAGATATGAGAAAGGGCTGCCTCGCAAGTGCACAACATGTAACAACGATACAATGATCCCCCGGCCCAGGAGCACTAAATAACCACAGTGCATACATGCATACAATTAGCTAGAAGAGGGTTAGGGCACACCTACAGACAATCAGGAGCGAGGTCAGCCCCAGGCGGAAAGAACCGTGGCTGTGAATTCACAGATGCAGTCCTTATTCCTGGGCCGGAGCACCTGTGCACAAGTGATGTGCAGGGCCAATGTCAGTGGAAAGGCAGCAGAGAAGAGATGAAAGTGCAGGATATGAAGAGCAGGCAGGGGAGGATAGCAGGTGGAGCGGCAAATATAATCGCTGGGAGGCAGCCTGAAATACACCATGTGCAGCAGTACAAGAGCATGAGAGTAGACGAAATACATGCAATGCCTAGCATCCTGACCAATTACACAGCACGGGCAGTCAGCAGTATGTCCTAGAAGATTGTCAAGCAGACTCAAGCTAACGCGGGCTCCAGCAGGGTGGGCTCCCTCGCGCACAACTATATCTCCATCAGCCACGCAGCAATCTACCTACTTAGGCTAACTATAATGGCAAGTACATCAAGGCCTGCAGGGCCTTCATAACAGAATCTGTTAAACAGATAACTTCCGCAGAACAACAGCTTGCGAAGGTGTGCAGGGTTGTAACAATATAGCCCAGAAACAGTCACTGTGGTCTGCAGCTAATGAGCCTTTGCCCAGCCCATTGGGTGTAGATTATCGCTGTTCATCATAATTTAGATAAATATTAGAAAGCATGGCTTTCATTGGAGTGCTCAACAGTGTTGTCAAATGTGGCTTCTCCTCACATGTCTGTGCAAAGGATCTTTGCTGAAACAATCTTCCACCAAAACCAACAGTCATGGAAGACATATGTGATGACCACTCGTCATTGCAGCACTGAAGCACGATAGCTTTGATAAAATGCTGGTCTCAGAGATGCTCCCACCGGCTAATGACGAGTGACTGCAAGCTGCTACAATTCTCACTCTTGCAGTAAATTTCCACTGCAGGATCATCTCGTTCTGACTGCTTGGCATGGACCAGCTGCTATCTGCACGAGCTGCTCAAAAGCTGGCAGCTGCCAGCAGATAGGTGCTGCTTGAAGCGCGACTGACGGCTGGAGAGTGCCTGGGTGTACCCATGGGCGCCTCAAAATCAAGGGGTGATACATAACTTGTGGCAGACGCCTGGCCTGGGCTGCCTGAATTGACGCGCGCCTTCAGCTGCGGCAAAGGGTTGATATCCAAGTACAGATGGCGTGTGTCCTGCAAGGGCAACATACGCCGCAGCAGTAAGTTTCAGGGGAAAACGAGGTTGCCCATCGCACATTTGGCACTCCATTTGTTCACAAGCTTTCGCAAAGAACAGCGAGCAGTTGATCCAGAGATTTGTTCACCAAATTACCTGCAGCCGGCGACCATGCATGACTACATGCTTGATCAGCTGGTTCACTTCTGGTCCCCGCTCCCGTGTCAAAAAGTGAGCGCCCTCCAGCATGATACAGGGAGCTTGCAACCTGGACGGGTGCGCAATATTGTGTCAGTGGGGTAGGCTGTAGCAAAATTCAATCTCCTCAACAAGTGAACGAGAGCTCAGGAGATCATGGGTTTCCTGTGGACTAAATTCAGTTGAATGCGCTCTCAATCAGTCATGATACTTCTCAAATTCTGAGGAAAAGTACCGTCCATTATTTATAACAATTTTCCGCTAAATGCAATCATCAAGATGAGGAGGAGCGTACTTGCGAGCCAGCTGCTCTCCAAATTGTGGCATGGCTAGGATGTCATGGCGTCCGTGAAGCACCAGCACCGGGAGTTGTGCACTCACAATTGTAGCCGCTTCCCTGCTCGACACTGTGTGCTGCCAGATAGCACGCAGCTGACCCTGCAGCCCGGCACATCCTCCTCAAACACCCTCCAACTGTGCAAAGGCTCCAGCAAGGCAAACAGAGAATATCTTGGCATTGCTTGCTTGCTTGGAGTTAATCACTTCTGAACAGTCAATACCACGTTTGCCTGGTCCCTGACAGGCCTCCATCAGACCCTGGGAGGGGCTAGCGCGGCCTGGCAGCAAACAATACAATCAAAATGCCTGGTAGCAAATAATTGTGAGCTACACATAAAGGACACCGAGACACACCTCGAAGCCGTCCTTGGGTTGTCCAATGCCACCTCGTTTAGAGCCCTCCACGTACTCCTCATAGAGCAGCTCACGCCGTGTTCGCCCATACTTCCTGTCCTGCAATGAAAGGCGCAACTTCCGCTCAACCAAAAAATCTTCTTTTGCTGCAGCTTTTCATCTCTGGCATTGCGGATTTTGAGGAAAAATATGTGCAGATGAACGCTAAACAGATCCCAGACACATTGGGGATGCTCTTACCGGCTCGTCAAGTGTTGCCTTCATGAAGTGCAGCTTCAGGTCAACCTTTGCACGATCCTCAGCACTCTTCGCATTGGCAAGCTGCGCGGGCACACCACATTGTCATTGGTGTCTATTCAGAGTCTCACTCGCAGAGAAATTCAGTGCCCTCAAAGGCATCTGATAACAGATGGGGCACTTGCAGTTACACTGCCACCTCAGTGCCTGCCCATCTGGTTTGGTGAGGCGAGGCTGCGCGTCTCACCTGCAGAGCGTACTTCACAGCACGCCAGCTGCGGGGGACGGCTTGGCTGCCGCCAGCAGTGGTGGAGATGAGCGTCAGTGATGCCAGCCGCTCTGGCGCCAGTGCAGCCAGCCGCGTGGCCACCATGCCGCCCATGCTGTGTCCCACCACATGCACCTTTGTCCACTTCAAGTGTTCCTGAAGTATAGCAGCAATCCTCTTCAGGGTTGGAAGAATTAACTCGGAGGCATGCTGGATAAAGCATTTCTGCTCCTTATTAGCATGCACCAACGATGTGCTACACGAAGTGCAGGCATGCCCACCAGGATGCATAGGACGTCCATGGCCATGATGGTGGTAGAGTATGCTGAGCGACGTGCAGGGATGCTGGAGCGGCCGACGCCCCGGTTGTCAAGGAGAAGCGTCTGTGTTGCCGGCCGCCCAAAGTCATCCTCTGCCAGTAGCTCATCCAATTGTGGGTTCCAGCCGCCCATTGTGCACGCAAACCCTGAACAAATATCTGGCATCGTTAAGCCAGACTGCGCTGCAGGCTTAGCAAAGACTCCAGAAGGGCAACACACTGCTCAGATGAAGACAGTAACCTTGACACTGTTCAAGACTGACAGAAACTTTCCCTGAGTGACTCACCCATAATGAGAACAACCTTGGGCCTGTTGTCCTCATCTTCCGCGCAACCTTGATCCCCACTGTGGTCAGCACTTGTCAAAGTTGGCATCTGGTTGCTCGCTGCTTTTCAAACATCATGGTTACGGCATTAAAATGGCAGGCACGTTTATGTAATTGGAGCAATCCTTGTGCTGTGGACCAGCTCACCTGGTCTGCCCCCGCACTTCATAGTACAGGTTCACTGCTTCTGCGCCCTCCCCAACTCTGAGGTACGGCATGGTCGCAGCTTTGTGTTGATGTATCTATTGTATGGCCTGGATGGCCATGGCGCACTAAATCACCATAGCTAGCAGACTGCTAAGGTCAGCATCAGCCTGAGGAAGGGGGTGAATCACAGCCTCTCTTTGAAGTATTGGCTTTGTGACAAGCCTGCCCTTATACTTTGAGGAACCAGAAATTCTCAGCGGATGCACGACTCTGCAACGATCGTGTGCAACCACTCCTGAGCAAACGCACTCTCTGTGGTAGTAGTGCGCTTGACCATTTCGGGGCTGTCACAGACTCGAGCACCCCACTTCTGACGATACCACTCGCAGGTATAATCAAGACGCACACGCGATATCGAAGTCTGTACTGATCGGGCCTAGTCGCTAGCAAGTACAAAGGTATTGAGGGCAACCCTCAGAGTCAAATTTGATGACCTTACAATGGCAGGACCCAGCCGATCTCAAACTTACTATCCTACAACTCGAATCATAACGCCGGAGACTGTTCGATGGTGTCGATCGATGAAGGAGCGCTGTGTGTTGGGGTCTACGACGTCTTGGACGTCTCAGGGACACGTTCTGCGACGGAGTTCCTGCTCATTTGCTTCTTCACCAAGTTCTCAAATTCCCTTCCTTGCTGGCGAAAGAATTGTACTTTTTGTTCCACAGCACGTACACAGCTCTGAGAAGGAAAGTGCAGAGGCCGAGGACATAAATGCAATCTGAATGTAAGAAAGGGTTGTGGAAGGTGAAGTCTGCTGGATGTTTTAGTAACGGGTGTAGGCGCCTCTGCTGAGCAGGAGGACGCAGACGAAGTCTCAGAAGAATGTTCACACCGCAGCTGCTACTGGCCGAGAGGCGCTGCAGCAACTCTTTGGCTGGATCCAGGGCTGCACCAGGTATGTCTGCCAGCCTAATTGCTGTATCTATTGCCTGGATTTCTTGTTTTGTCCTGCCAAATGTAATTCTTCATCTCAAGCTCTCCTTATTCTCCTCGCAGAACCTTTCTCCGATGAGGAGAAGCCGCGATGGAGGAATTTTGGCAGGAGAGGGGTTTCGCTGCTGAGACTGCGAGCACAACTCTGCTTCAATCCCACAGATCTCACAAACTTTGTGGGCCAGTGTACGTCCAATATCAAGGTATGCAGGATCAAAGGACTTCCCCGGGCCTCCCCCGGGGATAAATTGTCAAAGGACTGTTCAGGTCTTGTAGGGTTGATGGTCTGAGGTGTCTGCCCTTCCCCAGCCTGTGCCTGTGACTCTATTGGCTTGCAGTATTGGAGCTGCACAGCTGATTTTTACATGCATCATGTCCAGGCTCGAAGTTGTTCCAGACAGGCTGGTGGCCAAGCAATCTGCACTTTGCAGCCAACAGATTACTCGGTGAGAACACATACTTATTTGGATGGTGTAATTGACATGCGCGAGCTCTTGGCATATTGGGATTTACATTATAAATGTTGACGTGCTGTGCACTCCTGCAGTTCTACCAGACACTTCCTGCAGAGAAGGTCACAGACAAGTTTCTCTGGGGCCGTTTGGAGCCTTTGCTTTCATATCTTGGCGACGAGGAGAAAAAGAAAGTGCTTGAGGCTTTACACCTGGCGTACGACTCACACAATGGACAGGTGTCCCCCTGCACCTGCCTTGCGGATGGCGTTGTATATTATATTTGGCAATATTGTCAGCGCTGACTGTCTTTCGGTGAATGCAGCTGCGGAAGAGTGGCGAAGCCTTTATAACGCATCCTGTTGAGGTGACGCGCATCCTGGCAGAGCTGAAGATGGACCATGAAAGCCTGATTGCGGGCCTGCTTCACGACACTGTCGAGGACACAGAGAATGTGAAGTTTGAGGAAATTGAGGTGGGTCTTCTTGTAGGGACTGGATATGTGCTTCATCTGACTGACTAACTGATGCACATGTCAAGAGTTGTTCTCAAGCATTAAATTTTGCTCGTGGCTCTATAGCAATTGTCTCTGAAAGGGTAGACGGTCTTTTTCAGACCCTTGTTCAATCCCAGCAAGTGATCTAGCATGTCGCTGTGATGAGTCCAGAGCATGTCACTGTGATGAGTCCAGAACAATTTTGGAACACATGTTTCCATGTGTACCACAGTTCTACTTCGGCAAGGCGGTGCGGCAGATTGTGGAGGGTGAGACGCGCTTCAGCAAGATCGGATCGTTTGGTGAGAATGCGTCTCGTGCTGAGCTGGCAGCACTTGACCTGAAGCAGCTGTTTCTGGCCATGACGGAGGAGGTTCGCATCATCATTGTGAAGCTTGCAGACCGGCTGCACAACATGCGCACCCTGGACAGCATGCCGCCCCACAAGCAGAAGAAGATCGCTGACGAGACCCTGCTGGTAAGAAACACAGGGCACTCTGGCTTGCCACGGATTCCTGTAGAGACAGGAGGACCCAGTAGCTTTTTGAAACGTGTTGCATGCATTGTTAACAGCCCAGCCCGGCATGTGGTGATCCAGGAGTCGTCATGGTTTGCTTATGGCTGGGGGGTACTGGGACTTGCTGCTGTAATTCGAAGAGGAGTAAAGCGTCACAGAGAACTCACAGGAGAAGTGGCTGCGTTCAGGTGTTTGCTCCGCTGGCTCGGCTGCTGGGGCTTTACAGCATCAAGGAGGAGCTGGAGGCGCTGTCTTTCAGTTACAGCAACCCAGAGGAGCATGCTCTGGTGCAGCGGCGGCTGGACTGCCTGGCCAAGGAGCAGGAGGATGTGGTGCTCAAGGTGCGCTCAGAAGGGAGCCATGAAGCCTCGAATGATGCCAGGACTGTGCACAAAGAAGGCTCAAATGCACATCCTTAGACAAGATGTTCTCTGGCACATCATAGAAAGAATGGACACAGACAAATATCTTAGCACCTACTGAGAGTTTTTGTGAGTTGCAGGCTCAGAGCGCTCTACAAGAAAAGTTGGAGACAGACACGTTTCTCCAGGAGCGAGTGGAGAGCTTTTCTGTTGGGACGCATCAGAAGAACGTGTACTCTGTGTACAGGTGCTATTTTGCTCAAATTGAAGCGCTCTAGATGCATGCTTGCCCGGGTTAGAAATCTTGTTCAGAGGTGAAGGCCTGGAATACTTCCATGAGGTGGTTATTGATTATTTCAGACCAGGCAGTATTACACATGATGAAACTTGGTTTTCGTGGTCGGTATCCTCTATCTTGTCAGCCTGAAATGTATGTTGTGATTTGTGTGGCAGGAAGCTGAAGGAGAGGGGGATGGACCTTGAGGACTTGCAGGACGTGGCACAGCTTCGGGTGATTGTGAAATTGAAGGATGCCCATGACAGCAGCTTGTATGGCACGGGCTCACAGCTGTGCTACCACATCATGGGCCTGGTGCACACCATGTGGGCTCCCATCCCTGGAGCTGTCAAGGACTACATCGCTACACCCAAAACTAATGGCTACCAGGTGGGGCATGGAGAGAAAGCACCTGACCTCGGCAACAATAATTCCTTTACTGGACACAGCTTTATGTCCCAGTATTTTGCTTTGTCTAAGCTGCTGGTGAATTCTTGGAAGACGTGTGCAACGTGATGGGCTTTCTATTCAGCTGCCCTCAATAATCAGGGCTCCTCAGCTGCTGAGCCCTACACTGTGTGTCTGCAGTCCCTTCACACCACAGTGCTGCCTCTTGGGGCCGAGAAGCTTTTTCCCTTGGAGGTTCAGATCCGGACAGCAGAGATGCACCGTCTTGCAGAGTACGGGATTGCTGGTGAGCGATCTCCTCCATGCAAGCCTTCTGCTTTCATGCATGGTAATATTTTCAGAAGGTTCCTTGTACTGGCCTGGAAATGTTTCTCTGGCAGTTACAGCAATGCACCACATCGTAGGTGAAAACTGGACGGCTGCCAAGAAGGCTTCAGATTTTAAATCCTCCCGGCTGCCATCCCTCTCAGACTTGAACAATTCGGTCAACCCTGCCAGCGCCGTCAATGCGCTGAACGGCGTGTTCAAGCGCCTCATGACACTGGGGGACCTAAATCTGTACAACTACGCGGGTGGGATGCCCGCGCTGTATGGGACAGCCAACAATCTTGCGAATGGCAACGGGAACGGGAAGGTGAATGGCACCAGGCTACCCAGCCTGGACAGGGCAGAGGGGCTGCAGCGCCAGGTCAACGGCGTTAGCAAGGAGTCAGTGCAGGTGGGGATTCTGGTGCTGCTGCAGTGCACTTTTTCATGGTCAAAGGTCGACAGGCAAAAAATTGAGGAGTAAAGGAATACTTTTGATGGCTGCTGTTTTCTGCACCACATGCTGTCATCAGAGAGCTGTGTTTTGGCACAGGTGGGGCGGTATGGGGGGTTGAAGCTGGACCAGCAGGTGATGGCGCGGCGGATCAACTGGCTCAACTCCATCCGCGAGTGGCAGAGCGAATTTGTCAACAGTCTGTCCGCCCGTGAGTTTGTGGACTGCATCACTGACGACCTGCTGGGACGTGGCGTGTTTGTCTTCACTCCCTCCGGCGAGGTCATGCGCCTGCCCAAGGTGCGCCGCTTCACTAGCCCATCGAACACAGCTTCCTTACTGTTCACCTTATGCCTTGACACTGCACACTTTATGTTGCCACGTGTGTGGTTGAGTGATCATGTTGGCTTTTGGTATGCCTGCAGGGCGCTACGGTCGTGGACTTTGCATACCACGTGCACACGGATGTGGGCAATCAGATGTTTGGGGCCAAGGTGAATGGCAAGGTGGTGCACGCCGGCCACGCGCTGGCAAACGCTGAGGTGGTGGAAGTGCTCACCTACGATGGCAGACCCTCCAGGGGCAGCATCGAGCGCCACCAGGTCCGCTGGCTATCACATGCCTGCTTGACATATCTATCTTCTGGACAGTTGGCCTGCGTTCGTGGCTGAATTTTAGCGGGGGCCAGGCCCAATATTGCTCTATGTGGGCGGTGCAGGAGTGGATTGCGTACGCACAGACCAGGACTGCCAGGCACAAGCTGGCCAAATTTCTGAAGGACCACGCGGATCTGGTGGACTCAAGCCCACCCCCTGACGTGGCGTTCAGGGAAGCTTCAGGGACGATGCAGCAGGAAGCCACTTCTTCCAGCAGGCAAGCTGCCACCGGGAGGGAGGGCGGAGCCCAGGTGCGCACTGCAGGCCATTTTCACCCATAACTTGCGCTTTGTCATGAATTGATGGGATTGCACGCTTAAAACATTGAGTGCTGACCCAAAATTGATTGCATGCAGGTGTTGAACCTCACCATTGAGTGCTCTGACCGCCCGGGGCTACTGGCCGAGATTGCGCAGATCATTGCAGACTACGGCCACAACATCAAGGTCTGCCCCTCTTGCTGCTCCCTGTGCCGCTGCCTGCTCCTCGCCTTCCATGCCTGTTGTACATCATCACATGGAAACACAGGCAACAAGTCTGTTTGATGTTTAGATCTGCATGTTTAGATTTGCATGTTCCTGTGACTGAGCAACTTGGGATTGTGTGCAGACCTACAGCGGCAAGGGGACTTATGCGGGGCACTTTGTCATGAAGTATCAGCTGGAGGGCGACCCTGACCGGGCTGCAGAGCTCTGCAACGCCGTTGGCTGCGTGCCTTCTGTGCTGTCCTGGTCACTGGGATGCGCTCTGCATGAGTCTGACAACACTGCTGAGGGTTGAATGTGTCCCAATTCAATTACATTGAGCATGGGCATGGAGTTTGTTGGATGTGATGCCTAGTCTTTTGGCCATTCTCTTGTGTGAGGAGGAGAAGCATCGCGAGCGATTCATGAGCAGTAAAGTACGGTCAGTTCCTTCATTTTTGCAGCTGTCCTGAGATTTGAGGTGTGCAAGGCAGTTTGTGCCATATGTGCTCATCTCTATGATCCTGCACACGACGCATTGGTCTTATTTCTGCTGGTTGTGGCACAAGCGCTGTGGGCAGTCTTAGTTTTCCATTATTTTTGTCTGTGAGGGGTTCTGTGCTCTACTGGGGACGTGTTTGCGAGATGCTGTGTCACCATTGGCTTCCTGTACCTCTGTGCTGCTCTTTGCTGTAGGTCACTTACGACACCAGCACACAGAATGTCATCAATTGCAAGAGCAGCGCTGCAGTTGAAGGGTGCCGCCGTCTAGTACTGCCAACAGAGATGATCATTGTTGCCATGCTTGAAATCAGCTGAGCAGGGTTGAGGAATGACATGCACATGCAAGAAGGATTGGGCGTGATGCTGAAAGATCTGAATGGCCGATGTACGGAGACCCTGTGAGTGACTTGTTGACTTGCTCCCAGGAGCCCTGATCAGAGCACAGATGATGATATATGATCGTATATATGAGCTTAATGTGTAAGTTTATCTGAATATGACATATGGTTTCTCGGCCAGACATGCATGCAACACTTTTACCACAGGAGCAGCTAGTATGCCGGCAGGATATAAAGGTTTGAAGAGGATCTGAAAAGAATTCGACTGCGCAGCTCAAGGCAATTCACAAACGGAGGCCACCCCATGCATAATACTAGATTTGGGAAGGTTGCCAGCATGTTGTGACTCAATCGGAGGTCTGTCCTCACAATGTTGGTGGAGTCTTACGTCCCCAATTTTGTCCACTATACAGACCTCACTCAGACCTACCTGCATGATGTGGGAGCACATGCAGGTCCTGCGCAGGACAGCTGGACCCACACGTGGCCCACATGGGGACCCAAGCTGCAACCTGCAGACTGGAAACATTTTCGTGTGTCCAATTATCCCGATCTTAAAAGCCAGGCTGGTTTGTGCTTCTCGATTTCTTGGAGCAGCACCTCCCCAAGGATCCGTTCAGATCAACCTGATCAGGATCAATCTCACCGAATTGAGATGAAGCGGATTCCTGGAATGACATTAAGCATATGATATGACTATGTATATCACCATCTTTGAATGATTGCGACGTCGAAGAATGTAAGGGACACGAATTGTACAACGGGAGGCAAGTCTTGCCCATTTCTTTACTATGTAACCGTGACTTCCTTCTCTATACCGCTTTTCATTGGGCTAAACTGAATGGCTGAATGGTAAAGCACTGCCTCGATGGCAAGTGTGTAATGGGCAGAGCCTCCCACGCACTGCCCAATTTTGTAAGACATAACGAATGTGGTCTGTTTGCAGATTTTGCAGAGATCTGAGGACATGGTCTCCACCTATATCCCAAAGGCAAATGGAATGAAAGTTTCTGCGCATTCTCTGGGGGGCACAGGCCCACTTCTTATTTTTGCGCCTGCCAATGGCTTCCACGGTCGCTGCTATGAGCCCCTGGTGTGGCTTCTGACCTGCAAACCTCTTGATTGGCAAAACCTTCAATGGCACTGGTGACACGCCAGTTGATGTGAGTGCTTTCACCAGATAAATAAAGAAGAGAGATGCAAAACATGCAAGGCAGTGCGAGCGCCAAGGAGGGAAAAAGGGCTGCCTCGCGGTGTATATGCAGTGCTAGTGTCATAAAAGACACCTCCGGATATGTGCCTCCTCCTCGCAGGCGTCCTGCCTGGCGGACCACTACCAGTGTGTGGGTGTGGACCTCGCTGGCCAAGGAGACACGCCAGCAGGCAGCACACAGAACATGCTTGAGCAGATGGCAGACGATCTACTTGCTGTGGTAGACCACTTTGGCAGAGACGGTGTGATCTGCCTTTTGTAACGCGGTAATTGTTCTGGAAGAGCAACCAGGCTTCATGGAGATACAAAACCAGACCTATGTGCAGCAATGCAGTGGGTGTTTCTTTGAATGGCGATCGAATACTTCTGCGCAGAGTGCTATGTCTTTGGGCATTCTGGGGGCGGTCTGGCCGCTGTCATTGCTGAGCAGCAGCGGCCAGGCACTTTCAAAGCCATGTACCTGTACGAGCCAGTCGTGTTTGGCCCGGATGAAGTCGCAGCGGATGAGTAGGTTACACGCTTCTTGATCTGGGGTGGCTTGAATGAAGAGAAGATAAAGCATTTCCCACTAAATTTGGAGTACCCAGTACCCTGATCCTGATGCAACGTATTTGGCATTGTGCAGCGCTGCACTTGAAGGCTGACTATGGTCTGGTGCTTGGCAGGCAGACAAACTCATTCATCGACCATGCCAGGATCCGCACTGCCCACGCTGCTTTCACGCCTGAGATCCTGTCTGCGCGCGCCCTCAAGCGTCGGCCGAGGTTTGCCTCCAAGCAGGCAGCCCTGCAGTCCTTCGCTTCCAAGGTCCCCTTCAAGGCGTTCCAATCCTGCGCCCTTGCCGCCTACATCGAGCATGGACTTAGGGAATTACCAGGTCGGTCCAGAAATTAAAGCATAATTGGGCACAGCAGCCATGATCTTGTAAAACACCCTCGAAACAGCTGCCACAGTCACGTCTGTGGCATGACCGATGCAGGAAGTACACCTGGCTGAACTGTGGTTTCATCTGCCTGCTGCATGGCTGATGGGATGAACTGGCGCAGACGGCAGCGCGGAGCTGAAGTGCACGCCAGAGGTGGAGGCGAGGGTGTTCAGGGACACTTGGGGCGTGGCACAGCGCACGTTTGGGCGGCTGGGGCGGCTGACATGCCCGGTGGCGGTTGCGGCTGGCACAGAGACCATGCCCGGCGTCATCATGGCTCCCGAGCTCGAGGCGCCACGCATCGCCGCGCAGATCCCCAACGGCCGCTTTGAGCAGTGCGCCCTGGTTGTCTGCTCATGATCGCACCCGAACACAGCGCAGGCCTCCTTGCCAAGTGTGCACATATTTGCGCGGACGATGCACTTCTTGCACGGTGCAAATTTCTACTGCATTACCGCAGAACAGCTGCAGGCATGCGTGGCGGTTGCTGTGCCTGTCAGCAGCTTTAGCCATGACGAAAGATGAGACAACGTCAGGACTGTTCACTCCTAAAGGGTTACCTGTGCCCTTGCAGGTATAAGTGGATGGGCCACTTTGGGCCCTTTGACAGCCCCGCATACGTGGCGGACCGCGTCATTTTCAATCTTTACTTCAGTAAGAGCTCTGTTCTGTGGAATACACTGCCCAAGGCGCAATCAGAGCGGGTGCCCCGTGCGCGCATGTAGGCTCTTGCAGGGCCAAGTCAATTCCAGGGTTCCAGTTTTAGGGTGACCTTTACCTAGCCATTTTTATGTTGCCTCGGAATGTAATTATTACACGTGTACAAGATCAGGATGCAAACGGATGTATGCTTGAAGCGGGTCGAGCATGTGTTACTCTTGTAGATGTACTATGTCAGGTCCCCAACATCATATCCTATTACACTTGTATATGGAGGCTGTCCCTTAAGCTCTTGTAAATTTATCACATCATATCATATCATTCCATATGTGGACATGCTGCTGTAAGTTCATCATGGGTCTGCATACAGGGCTTACCATTGAAGTCTTGGGTGACTGTTACTGTGTGAATGGGCACCTACATTGAGGCAAGCAATGAATAAAATGTGCAAACACTGCCAAAAAGTGCAACAGCAATGTGGTCAGATCCGCGCAATAGGCATACACGAAGGACTCAGCCAGCACTAAACCAGCAAGCCTACATCAATCTACCTACTGCAAACACAGGACACGGAAGAAGCAAAGCATTACACCAGAAATGGTTCAAAGATCATCATCGTCTGTTATCCCTTTAGTCAGCATGAACATGTGTCTTGGTAAGGTCCTACAACTTGAGACAGGAATCCTTTGACCCTGGACGCCAACACCACCTCCTGAAACAGTCTACTGCTGAGGAGCGCCCAACTCAGTGGGATCCTGTGTGGCAATCGGGGCCACCACATCCGCTGGTGGGGTGACTGCAGCAGGCTCCGGGTTGACGGGAGCGGTTGTGTCGACCGGGGCCGCCTCCGGCGCGGGGACATTGGCAGGAGCCACAACAGGCGCTGAGGCCTCAGGGGCTGTGGTCGGTGCGAGCGCTTCTCCGGTGAACTGGGTGAAGAATGCGTTGAAGGAGGCCGGGGTTGGGATGGGCCCCAGCGCTGCAGCTTCAGCTGAGGTGGGGGCCACCGCAGGCGCCTCCTGCGCAGTGGCACAGTGCACAGTCAAGCATACACAGCACACAGCAAAGCATAGCTGTCGATCCGGCAGTGCATGACATTGTGCAGGTGATTCTTGGTCCTGTGTCCTGTATTCACTGCTTACGACCGGCGGGAGTGGCATCAAAGGTGGGCACCGCTGAACGGCAGGAGAGCGCTCTGGACATCAAGGGAGTGAGGGTGCACCTGTCCAGAAATAGGGCCGGGGGCTGGGGCAGGGATGGAGATGTCCAGGGCCTGCAGGATGGTCTGGCGGTGCTTCAGGGCCTGCAGGTGCTTGCGCGCAGCCGCCCTCTTGCGTGCGATCAGCGACTTGGTGCCGCTCGCGTCCAGGCCCGGTGCCTCCTCAGCACTCAGCGCCGGAGCCTCAGCCGCCTCAGACGGGCCTGCACCAGAGCAAAATCCTCTCAAAACCATTATTACACCCTTGTTCCAGCCCTCAGGGCTACATGCATTGCAGCAACCTCTCAATAATTCCTCTTCAACCTCAGAATCATAGGAGCAACAAAGGCAGACAATCACCAACTGCAGATTCTCCTGGTGCTCAACACTACAAATAATTCTAAGGATTGTTAGGTCTCAAGGTACATGCAGTCCTGACCAGTATGCGAACATTGGAGGGCTGATTGACAGGAGGGAATGCAAAGGGGTGCTCACCTGGTGCAGGGGCGCCGGCATCGGCAGAGAAGGGGAAGATGTCCCGCAGGTAGGTGTCGAGGCCAAACCCGGCTGGGTGCAGGAAGGGCAGCGAGCCCAGGAGCCCGGGCAGCACAGTGGGCAGAATGGTCTTGCCTGCGTGGCTTGGGATGGAGGGGAACAGCAGCTGCTCCTTGGGGATCAGGGGCACAGACGGGTGCCGGAAGATTGGGATGGACCCAATCGGGTATGGGATGACCACCGGGATCGACTGTTGGACAAACAAGATCATTTTTATCAGCTTTCTTGTTGCACACAAAAGTCTGCACGTTTGAGGCTGTCTGTTTGAAAAGGATTTTTCTGGCAATCTGCCATGGCAACGTCACAGAAGGAAGGGACCCTGCCAGATGACTTGGTTCCTACAAGAGAAATAGTTGCTTCAAAGCAGAGCAGCGCACCCCATGTGCTGCGGCTGAGCTGACTAGAACAGCAGCAGCCAGAAGCAGGGAGGCAGCTCGAACGGGCATGGTGTATCTTATGTGCACAGCTTGGGTGCTCCTGTCTCGACGCTGCGCTTCAACAGCGGGATTCTTCGGAGACCTGCGCATCGCGGACAACACCCGTGCTCAAGGCCCTCCTCTCGTGTCACTGCACTCCAGGAATCTCAATATCAAGCAGTCTTCACTGTTACTCTGAGATTCAATGTCGATCAGTACCCGTATCCTCTTAAACAGGAACTTGACAATGCGGCCAAATGAATGCCAGTGGCACGTCACACGACTTTCACACCTCTGCAGGAGAATCCCGTGCGATTTGCTGGTTATTGAATCTCAAAGATGTTATCTACACATCTTGTACTACTCTGCAAAAGAGATGTTGACAACACGCCCGAAAAGCTGGGGTCTTACAAACGGTGAAAAGCGCGCGCACGACATAAGTGTGCTGTCATGGGCTTCCCCAGTGCTGAAACTCTGCAGTACACCTTCACGTATAAGATACAAGCTATGAGATGTCCAGGCGTTCACAGTGCAAGACACACTTGACTACGACGATCAAACTCGGTCGTCTGGTGACAACAACCTGCAACCACTGCCTGAATGAAGGAGTGCTTCGCAACGCACCTATTCTGATGATCTTCAGGTGTCTCGGCTGGAGGCGTCGATGTGGAAAGCTCCTGATTCCACGAGATGCTTTTACTTGTGGTGGCTGCGCTTCCTGGTTTTAAATATCAACACTGTGGGATACGCTCAACAGCCACGCCCATTGTCCAGTATTGGCACTCTCGAAACCCTCGTATTCATCAGTGAAACTTAGTGCTCGGAAAATGCTGATTCTGCAAGTGCGGCCGCGTGGCCCAATGGATAAGGCGCCTGCCTACGAAGCAGGAGATTCCAGGTTCGAGCCCTGGCGTGGTCACTGACCAAACTGGCCAACTTTTTTGGCTGTGTACTTTTTCTTTTTCACGCTGCCTTCTCATTTTCAGGTGTTGAAATTCACCTTTAGAACTCCCAGTGGCGGAAGCGTTCATTTTAGTACTTAAGGACATGCTCTACATGCAACTTGCATGATGCAAGTGCTTTAAATTTAATTTTCATCTCTGGTGCTTGCCGCCGCCGTCGCCGCCGGCGCGCCGCCGCCATCACGATCGAATGATCAGCATCACCGTGATCACGGCACCGTCATGGCACCGCGCGCAACGGCTGCAACGGGTTGCAGCGGGCGCTCTGCCGGCCGCTCTGCCTTCAACTTGAAGTTGATGATTGAATTCCGTTTTCTCTAAATGTAAGTTTCACACCTGAAGCTTCCAAGGAAGCTATTGTAGCTCATTCTGGGTTGAAGCCCCCACGCTGGAAGGTGTTCTACACATTGGCACTATCGTAGTGTGACAGCATCGAAATCAGGATGGTTTCATCAATTTGAGAACAGCCATCATTTGTTGTCACGATTGCACTACCGCAGCGGGTAGCATGCATGCATGAGCTGCTGCAGTATCGCTGCTCGCAGAGCTATGCCTGGCATGCAAGCGCCAAGCAGGGTCGGGGTGCTTCCAAGCATTCTCTCTTTCAGCTGAATTAGAAGGACGAAATAACAGCCATTTCAAAGATGCCAATATCTACCATTGGTGATTTTAGGGTACACTGGTGTCCACTGCCTACGATAATGCGCCCCGGATGTAATATCCTAATCATTGTCATTAATCATTGTTTGCACTGCACCCTGCACGATGGGAGCCCACCTATATAAGCAGTATAGCATGGCTAGCGCTTTTCAGGTGCTCTTCAGCAAGGGGCCTGCAACAGGACTTCCAAGGTGCAGTGCACAAGTGTCGCTATGCCCTCGGCAATTCAATTCGCAAAACCTCATCTGCCAGCTCACACGCTGCACGTGCTGCTCACCGCTGCCAGTCCCTTTTGTGCAAAATCAACAACCAGCTGATTGAACTTTTCGGGTTCCTCTATGTACAGAAAATGGTTGCCCTGCTCAAAGAACACCTGCAACAAGCGCACACACCTGTGAGCTTGCAGGGATTTGCTGGAGTCTTGGTAATGGGAATGGAGAAGGTGCTTTCTCACTTCCCTTGCGTGCAACAGCAATCCTGCAAACCAGTGGGATATGTGATCTGCTGGCAGAGAGCAGAGTTGGGAAGAGGCGCACAGTATGGCAGCTTGGGATGAGCTGTCCCACCACTGCTGACCCTTGCCAGGGAAACACCGCACTCAGCCTGCCCACCATGTTGAGGCAGGGGATTGTGATTCTGAACAGCAGCGGCCGCCAGTCCAGCTGCGCCAACAAATGAACAACCCGTCGGTCTCACAGAAGCTTCAGTGAGACAACGCACGGAAGCTCACAGATGATTGACGATGCTGCATCTATCAGAAGAAGGTGCACGAAGCAACTGTGCGTCAATGATGCACCAACATCCAGGGACGCATCCTGCTTATCAGTCTTAACTTCTTTAAAGTTGCGGCTGGTCTCATATGCCTCCGCAGAGCTCCGGCGGTTGACGACTTGAAGCCAACATGCACAATCACAATGCAGCCACAAGGGAGTACTGGAGACTGAGTTGTGATTGCTGATAAGAGCACCCTGCCACCTGCGTGTGGTCTGCCATGAGGCGGCCGAGCGCGTCGGGGTCGGCGCGCAGCGTCTCGGCCTTGAGAGCCTCCTCCATGCCGTGCCCCAGCGCGCGCGACAGGCACTCCTCCTGCACGCCCGCCGCCACGCCCTCAAAGTCCAGCGCCAGCCGCGTCCGCAGCGCCGCCAGCGTCGCCGCGTCGTAGCAGCCCGTGCTGTGCGTCTTCCAATCCGGCGCGATGTTCTGCAGCGGCGCCTGCGCAGCCGCAGCGGCAACCGTCATCCCTTCCTGGCTTGCTAGGTCATTTGGTCATGTGCTGATGTCATCTGCCTGCCTTGGCAAAGGTGGTCATGGGCACAGTTCTTCGCATACCAGGTGCCATCAATGGCCAGAACGCCAAGACAAAGCGGCACAGCCAGCACAGTGGTTGAGGACTTCCAACAATTTCAGAGGATAAGAGGATAAGAGGAGCACGAGAAATGTGCAGCAAGTTCTGCTGTGTGCATGCATCTTCGGGTCAGAAGTAAATGAGCACCTGGTCGACGAAGACCGCTTTGGAGAGATGCTGCGGCCCATAGAGCTCAATGTAGGACCAGATGACCGCAGCACCCATCGAGCTACCCACAACAGTGACGTCCTGCCGGCCATGCGCAGGTCAAGTGAGTGACCCTGATTGAATTCCGGCCAGGCCATGGCTGAAGCACTTCACAGATCTGGACATGCACTTCTTACAAGAAGCACCAGCAAAACAGCGTATTTTGTAGGCAGGGATATTTCCGCACCCTCAGGTTAAGGGCTTCAAGGAAGTCATGCAAGTCGGCGGCGAGGCGTGCAACATGATACCCCTGCAAAGCGCATGACTTTGACTTTGATTTTGCAGCCTGGGATTGTTAGCATTTGTGTAGTGCAGAGTGTAGCCACATAATGTACAGCACACCCATATCATGTTCCTATTCAGTGCAAAGTCATAGGCTGGCCTACCCACGTTGGCCGACCGCTGTCGCCGTGAAACCTGTAATCCAGGGCGTAAACTTGGCAGTATTTAGCGATGGCCTGTGAGTTCCTGTCATAATAGTGCCTGCTGCCGCTCCACCCTGCAAGACAAAAGAAAGCATCGCTATCTATACCCCACCCGTGCCAGTGCTTGGTGGCAGTGAAAGAGAAGACGAGCTGCTTCGTGTCATCGGAGAACTCTCATAATACTCCCAAGCTTTCAGATTACACCCACCATGCATCAGAACAACAACGGGCCCAGTTCTACCCAAGCGTTCGAAGGCAATCTTTATGCCATCGTTCGCGATAACGAATTGCGTCCCCGTGTTGCGCTCTATATTCATAGTGAGTATTTGTGTGTATCACATTGATAAATGTTTCTCCCTATCTGTGCAAGAGAGATGCTCGAAACTTCACAAGCAGTCACAGTAGAGTACGCGAGTTGCTGCGAATGGGCACCGCCCAACACCCAGTCTCCGGCAGAAGAGGTCTCCCACCAATCGACCTGATATGAGCAGCAGTGAGAAAGGTTTCCTTGCGTCCAGATGATTACTACTACAAGCCATGTGCAAGCAGACCGCTGGCACGTAGCGACGAGCTGCTGCTGTGCCAAAGTTGGCACGTGTTATCGCTCTAGCTTGTAGCTTGGCGCTAGCAAAGATTCCATCCATAGAAAAAGGATAGGAAAAGTGTAGAAACAGGCAATTCACAGAATGGTTGCAATGGCAGCAATCTCAAGAGCAACAGGTGAGACATCCATCGTGATTTCGTAGCCCTGATCCCCCAAAAAGTATCTTGATCGCTGAAATCTCTTGGTAAATCCAGGTCAAATGAACATCTCTTCCAGCCAGCACAACTCTATCAGAAATGGGCCCCGCATGACGCAATCAGCAGGTGGGAGAAAGTGCTGATGTGGAATTGCGCTACTTTTCTACTTGTGATCATTGTATTCTAATTCTGTTTGTCAATGTCATGCAGGCTTGACGAAATTTGCAGACTCAAACCAATTGAGGGTGCGGCTGCTCTGTGCTTCCCCACATTTCGCTGTCCTGTCCATGTGAACACAGTTCTACCAAGGGGGGAGGGAAGTTGATTTTGAGGATGGCCATTTCCATGATTTCTCAACAAGAATTGTCCGTCGAAGTTGGAAAGGGACGTCGCAATTGGTGGATAGGGTTAAGTTCGACTGTTGTGTGCGGTGGATCAGATACCCAGCAAGTGCCTGCGCCCGAGGCGTGCGCGACTTATCAGAGGGCCATCGGGGCCGACCAATGCAGTCCTTGCAACCGACAAGCCCGCACCAGCTCCCCCTTTCTTGGAGACCAATGGATCTGGCCGCAGGGTCATGATCATTGGTGAGCCTGCACAAACCTTGTCGCCTCACCAGAATTCTTGCTTTCTATAAGTGGATCCCGGATGAAAGAACAGCGCTGATGTACTGCAATGTTGGCATTCTGGACTTCTCAGGGACCTTATGATAGAGCGTACTGCATGTGCCATGCATGAACAGAAATGTGCCCCCCAAATATTGACCGCCCTAATACGCGGTTGCAGGCGGGGACGGCTACTGCGGCTGGGCGACGGCGCTGCACCTGTCAGCGCGCGGGTACGCGGTGAGCATTGTGGACAACCTGTGCCGCCGCACCTTTGACCTGCAGCTGGGCCTGGACACCCTCACCCCCATCGCGTCCGCCCACGCGCGCGTCAAGAGGTGCTCCGCCACACCCACACTGTTAATTACTGACTTCATTGCGCTTTGACTTGCGCAAACCAACGTACAAATAGGTTGTCTCCTGGTATCTTGCCTCACCCCACTATTTCCGGAAATGCTGCACATGCTGGTGGGATATGGTGAAATGCATCAGCCGCGGCAGTGTGAAATGCCCTTGCATTGCCCTTGCATTGCATGCAACAAGTGACTTGTACTGCAACGGCAGCTTCATGTGGGTTGTGCTGGGGCCAGGTGGGGCGAGATCTCGGGGAAGCACATCGATCTGCAGGTGGGCGACATCTGCGACTTTGAGTTCTTCTCGGAGGCCTTCAATGCGTTCCAGCCGGACGCGGTGGTGCACTTTGGCGAGCAGCGGTCGGCGCCCTACTCTATGATCGACCGCAACCGCGCCGTCTTCACGCAGCACAACAACGTCATCGGCACCATCAACGTTCTCTTCGCCATCAAGGTGACTGCGCATTCCTGCCGCTACATCGAATCACTGCCAAGCATTGCTCTGCTTCATCGGCAAAGAGTGTCACGATAGTATTTGTGGGGTTCCACCGGAAAGACAGAGACCCCTGTCATTACCACTGTCAAGAGTAGCCCATGTTCTCCAGGCACCAGTCAGGCAGCTTGTGGCCAGGAAGCGATATCTGAGTGACTCCATTCCTGCTTCAAGATTGAAGCCATGCTGGGCCCTGATAATCCCAATGGGACAATCGGCCTGCGCACTCCAGGAAGCAAGCATACTGCTGCTCTTGCTGAGATATTCATCTACCTTGGTGCTGGGATGACAGCGACAGGCTGAGCTGTGCTGACTGGCAGTGTGTAAACTTTGATTGCGCAGGAATTCAAGCCGGACTGCCACCTGGTGAAGTTGGGGACGATGGGCGAGTATGGCACGCCCAACATTGACATTGAGGAGGGCTACATCACCATCACCCACAACGGCCGCACCGACACCCTCCCCTACCCCAAGCAGGCGCGCAAAATCCCTACCCCGCCTGCATCCTTGCACAAGTACCGTTATGCATGTATTCTCCAGAATCTCCCCTGAACGGTGAGATGCTAGACCGCATTTTAATGTAAGCCACGGGGTCTTGCGGGCGGCTCATGGCATTCTGCCTGGGCAAAGAATAGCTTTCATCAACTTGCTGGCGGGTGCAGGGCGGCAGCTTCTACCACCTGAGCAAGGTGCATGACTCGCACAACATCCACTTTGCCTGCCGCGCCTGGAAAATCGCCGCCACCGACCTCAACCAGGTGAGCCTGCAGCTGGTGCTCCTTGCGCATGGTAACATGCATCAAGAGCCCGGAGGGGTCATTTGCAGCAGGCATGTTCCCAGAAGAAAACTGTGAAAGTACACCGTGCTCTTTGGATTGCATGTAGCCCTAAAGATCCCATGAATTTCACCATGGCTTTGTGTAAAAGGTGCTCTTTGGTGACCGTTCTCAACATGCGGTCATGCGGTGGACAATTTCAGCGTCCACAGGGTGTCCTCACTGATGATGTAAATGGGGAAATGTCCAAGATTGCTGGTGGTGGGTGTAAAATTAGGCACTTTTGACTGCAGCGATGTCAGTTCTGAGTGAGGTATGGTGTTGGCAGGGCGTGGTGTACGGCGTGGCGACTGAGGAGACGACCGCGGATCCGCTGCTGATAAACCGCTACGACTACGACGGCATCTTTGGCACCGCGCTCAACCGCTTTGTGGTGCAGGCCGCCGTGGGCCACCCGCTCACCGTGTATGGCAAGGGCGGCCAGACGCGCGGCTACCTCGACATCCGCGACACCGTGCGGCCCCTGTTTTGTTCCCTTAATTCCCATGATTTCCTCTGTCACAGAGGCAAGTGCTCATCCTGATTTTGGAAGGAGGCTTGTGGACTCGCCCCCAGAAGCAAGGACATAGCAAACGTGGCCAGGCATGTAGTATTGTAACTTGAAGATGAGCAGTTTCAACATCTGCAGCAAGGAGTACTGCAGGCGCCCAGCGTTTATCATCTGCTTGACAGCCTGGGCTGCTGCTGTGAACATCACCTCAATCCAGGCAGCGCTCAACACAATGTCGCAATTTCTTGTGACAATGTGCTCCAATTCGCTCGCCGAGATCAGGAGGTCTGCTCTTGATATTATGGTGGCGGCTATGGTGCAGGTGCAATGCATCCAGCTGGCGATTGACAATCCTGCCCCCAACGGGGAGATGCGCGTGTACAACCAGTTCACGGAGCAGTTCTCGGTCAACGAACTGGCCGCCATCATCCAGCGCGAGGGCGCCAAGCTCGGCCTCGACGTCACGGTGCGTCAACCCTTCTAAACTTCGGCACCAGGGGGCTTTAAATTACCTGATCCTTGGACTGTCTGTTCTCCCTATTAGTAGCCTTGTAGAGGAGGGACACCCTGACAAGGAGGCCCTGTCACCACACTTCAGCTGTGGATCAACTCAATTACTATGAGTTGCATGCACTGCAAACACACCGGTGGCTCTTCCTTCTCAAAAGGGTGTCAGTGTTTTGTATGGATGACTGAAGAGCTATGACAAACTAGCACGCCAGGAAGGACAAGAAAAGAGGATTTAGTCTAGACAATGGTGGTATTGAAAAAGGTGTTTGTGTGGGCGGCAGGTGAAGAACGTGCCCAACCCGCGCGTGGAGGCAGAGGAGCACTACTACAACGCCAAGCGCACCAAGCTGGTCGACCTGGGCCTGCAACCCCACTTCCTCTCCGACAACCTCGTCGACTCCCTCCTCAACTTCGCCATCCAGGTCGGCAGCCCCCCCTGTTGTTGTTTTTCGCCTATTTTTTGGCTCGCATGTGACTTGCAGTATCCTGCTTTTACTACTATCTGCAACAAGTCAGGCACTTGTTTACCATGCCAATCTTCGAGACAAGTATGGCAGGAGTTGCGCACCAATGCTTCCCTTGCGACATGCGGCTGCTGCCTGCCCGGTGCAGATTCTCTGTTTTTATACAGCAGGCCCCTTTTTGCTGAGAGTAACTGCACCAGGGGTCTGAGTCATTCGTTGCTTGGCCTGCGCAGTACAAGGACCGCATCGACCTGGACCTAATCAAGCCGGCGGTGGACTGGCGCAAGACGCCAGTCACGTCCGGAACCATGAAAGCGGCCGTTGCGGAGAAGTGATGATCCTTCCGAAGTCATGCATGGACAATGATGCAATTTTCTGACGATCTTGAGGCGAGGCAATGCACATTGACTGGCGGTACTGATCCGCCTGTAACTTTTTCCCATCAAGGATTTTTTTTGTGTCTGCAAGTGTGCGGGCAGCTGTTCAGTGAAGGGGCGAAGGCTCACCCCATGCACATCATGGTGCGCTGCAGTTTGCTGTGTGGTTCAGTGTTTTATGACTGTGCAGGAGCGATTGCTAAGCCTTTTGAACATTGTTTTGCGGGAGCATGATTGGTTGTATACCTCCAGTTGCAATTGCGTAGGTGGTCTGCATCTCATCATGTGGAATTTGTCAGGGTTTTCTCGGTTTTCAGCCATTCTGTGAAGCGATAGAGCAATGAAATGTGTGCATAAGGAAGTTGGACAAAAATCGTTGGCATTTCTTAACTTTCTTCATTAACAGAAGTGAGAATATCAAGTACCAGGTAGTATCACAGAACTCGCCTGGACTTGATTGCACACAGGACCATAGGGTGTGCCAGTCTAATCTACTTGGGAAAACCTGGTATTATAAGCACTTGAGGCACATCACTGCAAATGAGGCACAACAGTCAATCAACGCTCAAACAGTCTCTCAATTGAAGCCCCAGTCCCCATCTGCCTCGGCTCCCCAGCCGTCAAAGTCAATTTCCTGCCCTACATTGTCCCCTGACGGCAGCGTGCCGCCGAAATTGATCCCGGCCGTGATCTCGCTCTTCACTTCCTCCTTCAGCCTCGGCATCGCTTTGTCTGGCGACAGCAGTTCCCCCTCAGGCAGCCCCTCCATGTTGCTCTGCTGTGCATGCCGTGCTGTGCTGGGCATCTGTTTCTCCTGGGGCATCCCCTCTACAGCGGCATCAGCTGAGAACCCTGGCCACTCCTGGTCTGCTGGGGCGTCCTCTGCAGCGCTCGGCCCCGCCTCTGTCAGTGTGTCCTTGTGCTCTGGGCCAGCCTCTCCAGACTCCGGCATCTGCTCTGCTGCCAGCTGCTGCTCCTCCTCTTCATCCTCGTCGTTCATCTCATCACTAAAACCGTAGTCAGCCTCCACCTGCCAACAAATCTTCTGGTCAGCACATACATCAGGGAGCCATTCTGTGGGACCTTCTTGAAACGATAATTTCTTGTGTTGTGGCCTTCTCAATTTGTGACCTGTACTCACTGGCATCCAAGGGCCTTATTGAAACCCAGCAAGCCAGTGAGGGGCAGCCCACTAGTGGGTTAGTGGGTTTCAACAGTCCCGATGGAGCCCAATGAAACACAATCATTTTTCCTGAAAGCAGGGGCGCCAGGACCTGCTCAAAGCGGATTCCCTACAAGTCAACGCAGGGTTGCATGCAGCACGCTACATAAGGGTCAACCTATTGCCTTGGGGTCCATTTTGGTAGAATTGAGCACCTGCGCTAGGGCGCCGGAGGGGTCGATGCCGCGCTGGGCAAGCAGCTCTTGCAGGGCTGCCACCTTGGCGCTCTCCTGGCCCAGGCACGCCAGCAGGTCACCAAACTCGCGCTCCTGCTCGGCAGCTGCCGCCTGCGCCTGCACTAACTCCTCCTCTACCTCGGCCGCGCCGCCCTCTCCAGGCTGCTCCGCCGCCTGCAGCAGGTTCTTTATATACTCAAAACTACATACTATACATACATACATACATACTATATACTCTTTATATATTCATTTGCATCAAAACACCATTAACATGCGCAGATGCCCCATGAGCCTCTTGGGTGGAGACCTGCTTCAGTTGATTATGGCAATAACATGGCATGAGACCTGCGACAGCTACATGACCTGCCATGGCCTCTTTGCTGCCTGCTGAGGTCAGACACAAAGCCATCACCCACATGGTTGGCGGCTGCAAATTCCCTCCTGCTAGATTTCTCTCTGCCTCCTCAAGACAGAATCATGCCAGTGGACTGCACAACCTGCCATTGATACTCAGTTCCCAGTTTCACATGAAGCTTTCTTTGTGCTGGAAAGAAGCCACACCTGCAGAGCGGCCTGTGCAGCATTGAGCTGGTCTGCGAGGGAGTGTGCGCGCGCCTCTGCCACTCCAGCCTCCTCCTCAGCCGCTGACACCTTGTCAAAGAGCGCCGACGCCTCCTCCTCCAGCTCAGCCACCTACACATACCACGATCAAACAACCGAATTTGCTGAGCGTGTTGTCAGTTTGCAGGCAGACAAGAGACATTCAGCCAGAGATGAGCCCCCGGGACAACAGTACATGCAGAATATATTGTAAAAATGACGGCACCTTGATCTTTTCGGCTGCAAGCTCTTTGAACAGGTTTTGCTTGGCAGCCGCCGCCTCGGCAGCTTCCTGCGCGGCGCGCGCCAGCTGCTCCTCGGCCTCCTGGCGCCGCTGCGCTTCGGCACCCACCGCCGCCTGCAACTCGGCAATCTGCAGCGCACAATGCATTCATCCCTTGCGTGCCTAACAAAACTTTACCTTCTTGGATATGTCGCAGAGCTTCTGTCCCGGCAGGGACTGCAGAAAATACTCGTGGCCAAAAACACACACGATTCCTGTTGTACAGAAAGCCAACCCAATGAACACACGCAAAATGTGCCAAGGAGATATCGGAATATGCTGGAAAGTAACAGGGGGATTTAATGTCCCACCTGTGTGACAAGAGCAGATGCCTCTGCCTTGAGGCCCTGCTCCCCTTCAGTGGCCCGAGCCTTCTCCTGTTGCAGTGCATCTGCCACGGCAGTCCGGGCAGCCTCGGCATCTGCCGCCTGCTTCTCAGCGGCGGCCAAAGCTGCTCTTGCCTCCTCCAGGTCCTTGGTCACCTGCGCCTGCTTCTCCTGGAACTCTGTCTGCAGCCGGTTGAGCTGCTTCTGCAGCTTCTGGCCCCTGTCATGGTCAAGATATTCCGGTCAGACATATAGCAAGGACTCTCTGCAGTGTTTCATATAGACAGCGGCATGCTATCTTCATCCGTTCCCAGACACCAACGAGTTCACGGGGTGAACTGCCGTAAAGCATATGTCAACTTGCACAAATATATTGTAGGAAAAAATGTCAGCTTACGAATGCTGACACGGCGTGCAGCTTCAGACAACGCAGGAAGCTTTTCCGCTCAGTGTCCCATCTATACAAGGATGAGGTGAAGCAAACATGCTCAAGAAGGTATGTATCTTTTTTCATCATGTACAGTAAAGGCAAACCTTTTGCCGAAGGACTCCTTCTCCTGGGCGAGCGTCTTGGCGCGAGCCTCGGCTTCGTCAGCGCGCGCCGTGGCCGCCGCCAGCTCATCCTTTAGTCGCGCCACCTCAGCCGCAGCCTCCTCCGACGCCCCGGAACTGCCCGCTGCTGCCTCCAGCTCCTCTATCGTCTCCTGTAGGATTGCAGGCTGATACTCGTTAACAAGAACGTTTGCATTACGAACTTGTAGCATCAGAGTCTGCTTCCCCTTTACAGCTCGTCCCGTCTGCTTCCAGGACTACATGAACTTACACATGCTAAAGCACCCTTGCAAAAGCATCAAAGAGTTGACACACTTCCCGCAAGAAAAGCCTCAACTTATGATTGCACAAGCGCCTCTTTGACCGGGAAGGCCGTCAGCATTTGAGTCAGTTTTGGATATCCTTGTAAAGATGTTGCACACGCCCGTATTGGGTTACTGCAGTATGGATGCAATTCTCACTGAATGCCGCAACAAATACAACAGCCGATTGGAATATTAGGTGATTGCGCACCTGTAAAGCTGCGTTCTCGCCTGAGAGGACCCCAATGCGCTCAAAGTCCAGCGCCTGGTTCTCCTTCAGTGTCTTCACCTCCGCCTCAGCCTGCCGGCACAGCTGCTCAGCAGCAGCCTTGCCATCCTGCAAACAGTCGCCTATCAGTCTTCGCCAAATCTTTACTGATAGCCTTTCGACCCTTCATTGACCCTGAACCTAGGTCCACCAGTGCATCTCCCACATTAGCACAACGATGCCTTCCACAAACCCCTATATCCTCAGCTAGAATGGGTGAATATTAACGACAAGGCTGCAAATTCAGCCATCCGCCGTTCACATTACGCCTTGCGAGAGTTTCCCACACCGCCAGAGGACAGCCCTGAACCATTCAGATCCGTCTGCACACTTGTGGCTAATGACATGCGCATTATTGATGCCCTCTAGCTAGCCTATCCAGCCCAAGGTGTGATGCAATGGGGTGGCCATCTGTGTCATGGTATCGAACACCCGTCAAGGCCAAGTTGTAAAGACCCCCAATCCATTGGCGTACCTGCAGCTGGGACAGCTGCTCTGCCAGACTCCTTGCCTCCGTTTGGGCATCAGTAGCCGTCTGCTGCGCTGCCTGCAGCTGCGGTATCAGCTCCGTGCGCTCCTTTGCAGCAGCTTCCTTGGCGTGCTTCAGGGCTGAGCGCAGCTTCTTCTCGGCTATTCCCTTTTCAGCAACCTCCTTGCTGATGCGCGCCAGCTCGTCACCCTGTTGCACACAGACCCATTCACAAGCTCAGAGCCACCATACCTCTTCTCCTGATGCTGCAGTGCAGACCAAGCACACTGCCAATCCTCTTACTGGGATGCTAAACCCATCTGTGAAAAATCTATGCATGTCCATCCGACAAACAATCTCACTAGCTCTTTGGAGAGCGCTCTCGCTGGAAAATGGAGTTCTTTGAGAAGGAGGGAATCACAAACCTGTCCATAGCATTTGGAATGGGCAAACTACTAACAAGCCACCAAAAAAAGACAGGAGCAGACCTTTGAGGACAGGTCTCCCTGCAGGCGAGCAATCTCTGTTTCACGCGCAGCCACCTGCGACTGCAGGTCCTCCAGCAGCTGTGAGTCATTGCCCTTGGCTGCCAGCTCAGCGCGCAGCCTCTCCAGCTCAGCATCCCTGCATGCCAGGCACACACCATGCTGACGCCAGCCCCGCATACTTTCCTTATTTAGCCGAAAAGTTTATAGAATTAAGACCCGACTATGGATCATCTCATCTTCGGAAAAAGCATAGCAAGTCATGCTTGGCAGCGCATGACAATCTTGTTGCTCAGAGTGCTGAGCACAATTTTCTGATAAATCGACCTTTAAATTGAAGCAAAAAACCTCAAACTTTAAATTACTCAAGAGTGCGCATCCACACACCCGGCAGCGATTGCCTCGTTGAGGAGCGCGGTGTCCTGGCTCATGGCGTCCAGCGCATCGCCCAGATTCACCACCTCGGAGTTGGCGGCTGCCGCCTCCCGCCGCAGATTGGCCAGCTCCTCCGAGCCTCCCTGCGCTAGCCATGCCCATCAGCACGCAGGACAGCATGCCAGGTGTGCTGCAAGGGCAGCCAGAGGACCAAAGATGGCGCGAAATCAGGAGTGAGCACTGCGCAGGGGTGCGTAAGATACTCGCTGCCACAGCAAAAACACCTTGCCAATCTCGCCACTCACAGCCGTGGGTATAATGACCCCTGCAAGACACTTTGTTTGCTTGTTTGAGGCTCCTAGTGCTGGTCAGCCATGTCTGGGACGGGCAAATTCCATACGTTTGCACAGGAAAGAAGGGGTGCCTCGCCTGCTGCGCGGCGGTAAGTGCGGCGATGGCGGCAGCGAGGCGGCCCTCGAGCGCCTCGATCTCTTCGTCCTTGGCCAGGGCCTCCTCCGCCAGCGCCTCGCTCTCCGCCATCAGCTCCGTCACCTGCGCCTCCAGCTCAGCCACCTCTGCGGCACCGCCCGTCTGCTCCAACTGCGCCTGCACAGCCGCACTCATCCAGTCAAGAACTGATTACTCCTTTGGGGTGCCTTGTATTAGCATTCCCTTGGAGTTTGCACAAAACCTGCAGTATGGAACTTCACGGAAGTGCAAGCGCGCTTTCTGTATGCTGAGTGCAGGGACAATCAACCATACACTTATCCTCCCCGGGCCAAAGATATATTGATTTGCAGAAACTACAATGCCGGCTACCATGGATAGCGTTTAGACATGGCCAGCCAATGCAAGCATCGGGCATGTGCCAAAGAGAGCATGAAATTGAAATTGCTTGAAAATAAAAGCAAGCCTGTGCAGACAGTTAACACTGCCGATGCAAAGGTTGTGTGGATGCAAAATGTCTATAGCAACGATGCCCCAAAAGAGCAGGGCTGAGCAACAACAGCGTTGCAAGGTGTTCCACCCGCACCTCCAGCTCAGCGATGCGCTGGCGCGCGGCTTCCAGCTCCGCGGCAGCTGCCGCGGCAGGTGCATCCGCGCCATCTTGGGCCGCCCTCGGCTTCAGGTCTCCGTTGCTGTGTGCGGCCGCGGCGCCGTCAGCCGCCCGCTCGGCCAGCAGAGTGGCATTGTCGGCCTTGAGGGCGTCGTTCTTGACGCGCAGCTGCTCCGCCTCTTGCCACAGCTCCTCGAGCTGCTCCTGCACAAACAACGAATCATGGCAAAGATTAGTAGGGAGCCAGTCAACAGCACACAATGCCTAGTTTGCGACATACACAAACGCCTGGCATGCTGCTCTCAAGTGTTGCGCAGCGTACAAAGTATAATCAATGATTATCTAAGTCTGGCAGGAGAGTGCATCCTCAAAAGCCACAGGAGCACCCAAAATGCACCGTACACAACACGCAGAAGTTGAAGCAAAGAAGAGGACACTCTAACAGCGCTCGTGGTTCACGAGGCACTGCTCCGTTTTTCATTTAATTTAACACTGGGAAATGTGGTTTTGATGCGCAAGGAGCTCTTTTGAGCCCATGGATTCTTATGTACTAAGAAATATTAGCATCAGTGCGCACCTCCAGGCGCGCCTTGGCGGCCAGCACGTCCTGTGCCTGGCGAGCCTCCGCCACATCAGCGTCCAGCTGGGTTTTCAGATCGGCCAGCTCCAGCTCCAGCGCTCCGTTCTGGTCCTGTGTGAATTTTGCATCCACCAAAAGAATCAGCTATGCCCTCAGCATTGCCCCTTTCACTGCACAATATTGAATGCCTGCGTGATTGTAAGCACGCATGTGCACAGACCCTGCCCAGCCATGGCATTGTCTGGTCAGGCTTGCACATGCAAATCATATTGGCCATTGAAACTATGTGGATATGCTTGTTTCATTTGCGCCCAAATGTAAGTGGCGCTTTTGTTCAGTCTGAAGAATGGTCAGCAGCGTTTTTATTCAGTTTGTGACCGAACATGAATTGGTATCAGGGTGCCGTAATAGAAGCAGAAGAGGGAAGGACCCACCCGCAGCGTTTCGGCCTCGTCGCTGGCGTGCTGGTGCAGCGCAACGACTTCCTCCAGCCGCTCCTGCAGCGCCGCCAGCTGAGCCGCCTGCGGGCACACACAGCCACCTCATGCCGGGGACAATTTTCTGGCAAATGCATCTTCGTCCCATGAATCCTGATTTCAAACAACGACATGCTGCCCAGCATCATTTGAGCCACCAAGAATGCCTGTTGCTTGCTTGTGCAGCATGACTGCTGGAGATGGCATCAGCCGAATGTTGAGCACGGCGAGAGGTTAGCGAAGACAACCAAGCAAGTGACTTGCTTGCGTGATTTGAGTGATGGGCGTGGTTGGTTACAAATAATCACCTCATCGCCATGCGCGAAGGCTTCTCTCACTGCCGCAGCCGCCGCGGAGGTGGGCCGGGCGGAGGCAGCGCCTCCGGTGACGGTGCGCAGCGGCGACAGAGGCGGCACCCTCAGCGGCGTGAGGGCGGCAGCTTCTGGCAGATCCAGCGCAGTTCCTGTGCAACATAGCAAAGATCCTGTTCTATAAGTCAAGTTCTCTTATGAGTACCGCACTCATTTCATAGCCATCCAGCACTCGTTCCCATCTTCCTTGCTCTCTGAATTAGTGCAAAGCCTTTCCTTGTCACCACGAGCTTGGCTTTGTGCCACGCATGCACACTGCTGTGTAAGGGTGTTTGGTTACGAAGAGCACCTTGGTCAGAGGGCTCAGGGACGTCCTTAGGCACATCGTCGAGGGGAAAACCCAGCTCGGATTCGCCCTCCCACCCGGCCTGAGGTGATTCACCCATCAAGCTGCCGCCGCCATTCGTCCCCACTCCTGATGCTGCGTCTACACCAGCCCCTGCAAACGCAATCAATCAGTCAAAGGACCCCGAACATTACTGAAGGCTACACACACGAGAGTTCAATTGAGCCTATTGCGAAATTCCGCACCCAGGCCCATGCAATTGAGCACAATGTTTCCAAAGCAGACATTTACAGGTAACTCAGCAGCCGCAAATACAGCCACACAACAGGCAGCTTGGGCACAAAGCAATCGCAGAAACACAAGTCCTGCTATGCACCTGCGGTGGGTATGGGCACGGATCTGTCAAAGGCAAAGTCGCCCTGGGTAGAGGCTGGCTGCTGGAGATCGCCGGCCCAGGTGTGCGGCAGGCGGCCCAAGCTATCCTGACCCTGCTTGTTCTCCACAGCACCCTCTTCCAGATTTGCCTCCACCGCAGCAGAGCGCAGCTGCTGCTCTTCTGGAGCCGAGTCCCCAGGCGCCTGGCCTGCAGGCGGCAACTCATCCAGCGCAGACGCGTCAAAGTCCCAGCCGTCCTGCTCGGCTGCGTGATTGTCGAGATCCCCGCCTGCCCAGGCGGCCACGGAAGCTTCCTGCGCCTGCGAATCTGCCGTGCCCTTTTGCGGCGGTGCGGCTTCTGGAGGATTGTCAAACATTGGTGGCTCTATGCGGCTGTGGTGGCCATGGGAGTCATGATCAGCGTCCTCTTCGATGATCGTCTCAGACAGCACGGACTCATTGTCGAATGCGCCGCGCCCGTAACGGGCTGCCTTAGCTGACGGTGGCAGGCTGCTGTCGCCCTGCTGCTGCTCCACCGACTTGATCGATGTGGGAGTACCTACAAGAGGCGCAGAGAGCAGTTCGCATGCAGAGTGCAGAAGATGATACGCGCAATTGGATACCGGATTACTTCAGCACATATCTGACGTGACAGAGAATTCACAGAGGATTCAAGCATCACAGGGGGTCTTTTTGCGCTGCGCATGAAAGAGTGCATCCTTGATGCTTTCGCAGAACATGTAATGGCCCACTGTATCCCGCACTTTCTCAGTAAACTATCCAGGGATTCTGCAGCGAATATCTCACCCTGCTGGGCACGGATGGACGTGGTGCCGGAGCGAATTGAGGCGGAGGGCGAGGGGGGCGCATTGCGTGTGTCCAGGGGTGCACGGGGAAATCTAGCGTTCGCCGCCATGTGGGACTGCACGCCTGCACATCACGAGCAAATGCATCTCCACCCATGCATTACTCCAGGGCACTCATTTATGCACAGGTTCAGCCTCACAAGAAGGAATTGCCAGGAGCATTTGGAGAATTTTGCGATTTCGATGCCTGAACAGTTGTGACTGGTTGGGGAAGATGCACAGCTCACTGCTGCTACCTACTCCCCTGACGCCTATGAGGTAGTTTTGATGTGCTTTGTGGCGGTTCATGTGCCCTGCAGCATTGCTACATGAGCATGAGGCATCCCAAAGTGGGTCAGGAGTGCGCACCTGAGCGGACGAGACCGGTGACCCAGCCGGTGAGCTTGCTGCCCGCCTGCTCGGCGGCTTCCGCAAAGGCCGCGCCAGCGAGCGCAGGTCGCGCGGCGTTGCCTACCTCTCCATTCGAGAAAGCCAGCTCAAAGCGCGGTGTGCCTGCACACAGAAATCATCATTACTCCTGGCCCTGCCAAGGAGAATGTCACTTGCAAAGGGGAGCAGGGTGACTGACGAATGTTGCTTGTGACCTCTTCATCAAAGTCTGTGCATCGCGCAAGGCGCTGAATCTCTGCAGACTCTACAACTACCCCATGGATGAAAGCAGATTACCACAGAGGCTGTGCACAATTGCAGTTACAGGAAATCACCAAATCCCTAAGCACAGCTGATGTGTTTGATGCATACCGGCGGTGGAGTTGTTTTCCTCGTCAGAGTGGTCATCCAGCACGTCCCACGGCAGAGGGCCGCTCAGCTTGCCAGATACAGAAGATTCAGACGCCAACCGGCCACCATGCGCCTGTGATTGAGCCTGGAACGTTTCCCTGCCTCCGCCCTGCAACGCATAGCAATGCGTCATACATACACCGAGCGACTGACTGACATTATAGTACCAATACATATTCTGCATAAAAACCCTTAGCTCGTGTTGTCTGATCACATGGCCTGGACAACATGCAATGCAAGTCCGATGCCAGCAGCTTCAGGTCCATGTATACATATGTAGAGCTGGCCGCTCGTTTACATGCGCTCACCGTGCCGACACTGGTGAGATCATCCAGATGGCCGCGGCTGGACCCGCACTCAGCCATGTCGCTGTAGGCCTCGCTCTGCAGCCTGCTCCTGTCCTGGTACCCCGTTTCCTGCTGCGCGCCCTCCACCTCTGCCGGCGCCCCCTGGAAGCTCCCGTGCGGCTGCCCGCTGGCTTCCACCGCGCGGCTGTCAAACGGCGTTGCCTGCACATCCGCCGCATTCGGCTCTCCCGCTGTTGCCTCGGTGCCTGGCTGCTCTGCTTGAACAGCCGCCATGCCTGCTGCCTCATAGGCCGCACATGGCTGCTGGGAGGGGTCTTCAGAGGCCGGCTGCTGCGCAAATTGTGGGTAGTTTGAGGCAATCCAGCTCTGCACATCCTCCTCGCTGTAGCCCTGCTGCCGGTAGTAGTCAGCCCACTGCTGCACCTCTTCCCAAGACGTATGCGCAGCGTCGCCCGCGCCATTCCCTGCGGCTGTGTAGGCGGCCTCTGGGGCGCTGCTGCTGTCCGCTGCTGTGGGGTCTGCGCCCAAATAATCCTGAGCCTGATCTGGCGGCGCCGTGTAGCTCTCCTCGCCTTGGCCCAAGCCAAAGTCGCCGCCACGCTGAATATTCTGCCCAAACGTAAAATCTGAAATTCAACTTCCGCCGTCTCAGTGAATGCACGGACTGAATCTATCATTCTCTGCTTGCACATGCATTATACAGGGATGCCATCAGGTGAGATGAGATCCGCACCTGGTTGTAATCGCCGCCTGCACCTCCCTCAGGATCAATCTCAGCTCCCACTGTTTCGGGGTCTGCAGCAGTGCCCGCGCCCATCCCATAGCTTCCATTGCCAGGTTCTTTTGGCCCTGAAGACAGTCATGTAAACCTTACAGCCGCACTAATATAAGCCCATTAAGTTTTCCCCGCATACTGCCAGCAGAAGAACATAGATCCAAGAGGATGAGGTTCAATGCAGGATGACATTGCGTTATGCACCTGGAGAGGTGATGCCGTTGTCCAACACGACAAGATCATTGGCAAAGGAGTTTTCCCCAACAGACTCCTCTGCTGCCAAAAGCGCTGGTGCAGTCTGCCGGGTGTTGCCTTCTGAAAGAGGCGCCTGCAATGCATTCAATCAGCAGCTAAAAAAATAATATTGTAGCTACGCATAGGAAGGAGTCGACCACAGCAATGCAAATGACTCCTGGTCAGTTGCAGGGACTTAATCAGATTACCTAGTAACCGCAGGCGGTCAATACCACATTTGGAGACTTGACCATTGCTGAATGTGATCGAAGGAGCTTGACCAGAATTACAAAGAAAATCAGCCATGAGAATATTCGAACCTGGCTGTACATTGGAGCCTCTGCACCCACTCCCTTTGCCAGGGTCACCTCGCTATCCATGGATTCTGCGGCGCCCTGCAGGCGACGAATGTCGGGGTTGTGGAAATCACCTCAAGAATGGTGTGGGCATTCATTCATGCTTCACTTCCTCGGTCGATGCAGCACAATGAAGAGTAAATTGCGCCTGGAATCAAGCAGAGGAGCAAGACTTTGAGGCCCAAATGGAGGCACTAACAAAATGAAGTGCACCTGCTGGTCAAAGCCGCCAAGTTTGGCGCGTTTGCTGGGGCTCAGCAGGGCTTCCTCAGGCGCTGGCTGCTCAGCAGTTGCCTCCTCCGCCGGCGCCTGCCGCGCCTTTGAGCTGAAGCCAGCAAAGCGAGACAACGCCCCCTGCAGTCAAAAGGCGCTTGTGATAGATATTTGTATGCCAACCCCACCACGCTCTCTGCTGCTTATCCACCCCAGTCCATCGCCACAGAATGACAGCACCTTATGTGCACACGGCAATTCCATACACTGCCAGGGCTGATGCTCCCTCGAGTCGGTGAGAGATCATCAGAAGGAGCACCTGGGTTGTGGATGTGCCCCCGGGAACAAAGAAGCGCGGTCCTGAGCTCGCTGTTGTGCCCTCAGCCTTCCCAGGCAGGAAGACTGACGCCTGCACTCAAGCACATATTTTCTATCTTGCTCACAACCTCACTATGCATAGCTTTTGTGAAATGGTACCTGATTGTAGTACGCGCCTGCAGCTGCTGGGTTCTCCGTAATCTATCAAGGACGGCAATGCGGTGATGCTTTGGTGCAAGGCAACAGCAAGCTGCTCAAGTCTCTCTAAGATTCCTTTGGAATGATACGAACCAATCTCAGATGACAATGTGGCACCTTGGTGGATGGGACCAGCGGGGGCTTGGCCGGCGAGGGGACAATTGAGGCTGCAGACATCGACTGCTCGCTGGCCGCGCGGCTGGTTGCCATCAGCCCCGGGTTGGCGTAGCGCGCGGCCGCACCAGCGCGCTTTGAGCTGTCAGTGGATCCGGTGCGCCTGCGCATGTGACGCATGCAACAAATTTGGTTTTGGCGGTCTGCGTGGGGCTTGCAGCAGTGAAATATCCACTCCCCAAGGTCCTCATGTAAGATGCCAGCACAGTCAAGACTTGCTCCAAGCCTCGGAAGAGTGGTGATCAACATGTAGGCCGTTCAGGATAATGGTGCATTCTGCAGCAGATAGCGAACCCAGCAAATAGTGGGCTCGATTTGCTCGAGGTTGTATGTACGTTGAAAAGCGATGGTAGTCACCTGTGGCCGTCGGGGCCTTCAGACTCTGACATTGAGGTGGCAGAGGCTGCCCTGGACATGGGAGGCGGCGCAGAGGGGAAGGCACTCTCCTCAATCTTCTCTCCAGGGATGACCCACCTCTTTAACTGGAGGCAACAAAGCAACATCAGTGGAGCCGCTGTCCATGAGGTTGACAAGCTTCAGCTCTACCATTGCCCGCCTTTGCACAATACTGCACGTCTTGCTTTTGGGACAAGGCGGCACAGGCAGTCAGGGCTCCCCAATCCTGGGATGCTGAACGCAGAATTGCACAAAGTGTCTGGGAGCAGTTGCATCTGCAGTAGGGACCCACCTTCTCATCGTACACGAATGCATTCTGCTCTCCCATTTTCGCTTTTATGGGGCTCTTGCCCTGCGCACATGCAATGAGGTGGTTCATTCTGACGTCACACTGTTTGTGCTCCACATTTGGGCGCCTGGATAGTTTTATGAAGTTCCTCGGTCATAAGCAGCCAATCAGATTGCTGTGGTTTAATTCAGGAAAAATTATGCTGCAAAACATTTGAAAACTCACTCTCTCTCCCAATAACAAGGGCAAGTTACAGCTGCCAAAACAGTTCTGGGGCGTCATCACTGATAGAATAGACATCGTCGAAGATACACAATCAATGACGCAATGCGCATTTTCCAAGGGCCAAATATGTTCAAATACCTTATTGCCAAAAATTCTGCCGAAGAACCCGCCCTGCTGGGCCTCGCCCTCGTTATTCTTGGCCATCGTTGGGCTCCCAAACTCACGACAAGCTTTTGTACCCTGAAATTCTGTATGCGTGCCTCAAATTTGCGTCACCAGAATCAGCAATGCCATTAATGGTGAATGTCAAACCAGCTTGACATCTTCCAGGCTTGCAACTCAGTCATTTCAATCACAGCTGAGGCCCCTCAAATTTGCTGCTGAAGCTCCATAAAATTCGAGGAACGACCTCAACATGAGCCCAAAGGACATCAATCGGCGCATTACAGGCCATTGCGGCACAAGGAATGTCTCTCTGGAGCAATTGGAACACGGAGACTGTAGTGTCCCTCCCTTTCAAGGGTTCTGTCTTAAAGGGTATGGCACAGGGAGTCTAGCTGCACTGCAGCATCACAGCTTTCTTTTTCCTGTGCAGCATTCGTATGAAAGCTTGCAAAGACACTGATTGATTTATTGATTGTTTTTGAAAAGCGCTGGAACTCTCGCCCATTACACAACGGCATGTACATGACATGAAGGTGATCTGATCTGATCACCGACTCGGAGTCAATGATCATATACCGGTATGAGCCGCTCCGAGCGGAAACATGAGGCAACCTATACATGTTTGGTACAGCTTCCTTGGTTTGCTAGAGTACCCAATAGCACTTATGAGGTGGCTGCCTCACTGAGATGGAGAGTTGTAATTCCAGTCTTCTGAATTTCGCAGAGGAAATCATGGTATCTTGCCTGTAGCTACAGATTATCGCATTCGTGACAGCTACAGCACCTCGAACTTCCAGGCGCACAAAGAGGATCAATGCACTACACATGACCCAAGTGCACAGCAGGACACAAGTGAATCTGTCACCAGCGCAGCCTGATGACTGGACCAAAGCAGCAGCGCCACAAGAAGCTATCCATTGCAGCGTGGCCGTCAGCCTGTGGGCGTATCTGCGCTGGCAGCCACTGCCAGGCCAGCCCCAGATTTCTGCTTCTCCAACTCGGCGCGCAGCTCAGGCCGGACATACTTGTGGTTAGTCAGCGGCTGCGGCGCGCGGCCGCGGCCCCGGAAGGTCCCCCCTCCCCGGGGGCTGAAGGGGACCCCCCGCCCGGCGCCAGGGAACGCCGCCGGACCAAAGCCGCCGCGGCCACGTCCGTAATGGGGCGTGAGCGACGGCGGCGGCCGGTTCATTTTTGGCGTCACTGTGATCGGCTGCTGCAGCAGGATTGAGCCTGCGCAAGACCACCGCCAGATATCAATGGAGTTGTCTTTGGATGACTTCTTTGTAAGAAAGGATAGGGATTGCAACTGCATAGCTTCTGACACCTCCCAAGAGACAACAGGCATGAACCTGAACGGATGACGGCTGCTGGTTGAGTAGCCTTGGACTGTATTTTGGAGCTCTTCTAGCTTGTGTTCAACAACGGCATTGGTGCAGGGACGATCACGAGGATGAGCTTGCAGATGGGAGACCACCCACCTGAAAGCAGCAGTGCGTTGTGTGCCTCCAGCTCATTGGAGAACTCCACATGCGCAAAGCCGCGCGACATGCCCTGCATGTCCCTGCCAATGGTGACATTGATCACCCTACCGCACCTGCCATACAGCATGACACCATGTTTCAGAACATCAACTCGGCCGCCATTAATCATCAAGCAGAGTGTATTGTTTCTAGGGGCATTTTCCAGTGTATCCTTGCGCTTTTCTATCATCTATATTTCCAAGCTCGTATCATGCCTTCTCACTACACACAAGCTTTGCAGGGCATGGGAAATAGAGAACAGATGTTGTCATGGTGGGAAGAGAAACTCTACCCGCTGAAGTGCGCGGCTATGACCTCAGGCACAGCCAGCGGCGAGACGCCCTGCACATGCACCGAGCGCGGATCCACAGGCGGCAGCGAGAGCGGCGCGGCGGCCGGGCCAACCGCGCCGATGGCGCCCGGGGCCGCCATTGTGCCGGCCAGAGCCCCGGTGCGCTGTTGGGCCTCCAGCAGCCGCACCTGCTCCTGCAGCTCCAGCATCTTGCGCTTCATCTGCGCCAGGTCGTCCGCCTTGCCCTGTGGGCAGACGTGAGTGTTAAGCACTTTCACAGGGATGCTGATGCGTTCAATGTTGAACAGATGGTGCAGCAAGTTGAATACAGGCCTGCATTACATCTGCCGAAGGTTGGAGTTCACTTGATTTCCATCTGTGGTCAGCCTGGACACGTCCCAAAAGTGCTACTGCCTTTCCCGGCCTGGCCTCGATTGTATTCGGCAGGCCAACAAAAGACCACGACACTTCTGCAATGTAGAGCAATAGGCCAAATGCCAGGGGCAAAGACCAGAATGGACTTTTGCCCACCATGCCGACACAATCACATGCGGAGATGTGCTTCAAGATGCACCTGTGACGGTGCAGGCTTCTTGATGCCGTTGAGAGCCTTTGCCGCAATTGTGGCGGCCGGATGCGGAGCTGTCCTTGCCCTGCCCTGAGTCACAGGGCCACTGGGCGCTCCTTCCTCCAACTCATCATCAGTCACTGCCTCTGGATCCACCTCCTGTTTTGGCGCCAGCATCCTGTTCCCTGCCAGCACCACAAGAGGCCTCAGCACCGCACCTTTCACACAGCAGAAGTACAGTAATTGTTCCAGAAGGCATTTTGCGTCGCCAAACGCCCCCTACACATTGCTGCACACACCCTGACGTATCGCATGCGCTGCACCACTGCAAGCGAGGGAGGTGTAAAGGTGAAACTTTGCCGTCGAAGCAGCAAAGCAACAGCAGGGCGCGCAGTTTGCGTACCTCTGAGCCGGTCAAAGACAGACTTCCGCGCTGCTGCAGGCGACAGAGCCGCCCTCCTCCTTCCCAGTCTGTCAAAGACGTTCCCCCTGGAAGGCACGGAAAGCCCCACAAGAGATTCAGAATCCGACTTGAAACACCACAATTGTCCTTTTGTGACATACCTTTCAGGCTAGTCTCCGTCTACAAGTCATAATCCATCCTCGCGCAGGCATTTATAGAAAGGCGATGTACCTTGCTGCCTCGGCCTCATCATCAGCTTCTGGCTCCCTCCTCGCAGGCTCCACTTGTGACTTGACTGTTGGAGGAGCCTCCCTGCAGACCCCAGGCACATTGTTTCAAGACAGTCCTCCATTACCTATCACCTTTGGTCCCTTCTTGAGGGACTTCAAAGTACGGCAGAGGCATGCGCATCAAGAAGTCACCAAGTCGTCAGCAGCACATGGACAGCTGGCACCAACCTGGCATGAGCATCGTGCCCGTTCTGGCGGCGCCCATTCTCATCGTCGTGGTAGTCAGCACGCTCATCGTTTTCTCTCCTTCTTTAAGACAACCCCAAACATGCACTCAGCCCAGGCTCAAGGCTGCTATGTACCCCTCACAGCCACACTCACACGCAGACCCCATGCAGCCCTGCCAGTCAATTATGCTTCCTGATCTCCTATGCAATTGCAGTCATATCAACAACCATGACATCCTTCAGAACTTCAGCTGCATGTCGCGACATCACAGCACCCCATACCTCAGAGACCCAGCTGGTGCAACAGGCTCATGCTCATAGGAGTCCATGTAGGCGCGCTGCCTGGGCCTCCTGTCAGGCTCCCTATCCCTGTCGCGCGGCCTGTCCCGTCCGCGGTCTCTGTCCCTGTCCCTCTCCTCTCTGTGGTCGCGGTACTCTCGCTCTCTGTCCACCTGCGCCATCTGCGCCTCCCTCCTCTGCTGCCTCTCCCTGCAGCAGAAACAAAACCTATGAGCCACAATCCAGAAGCCATCGATGACACAAGCTCCAGACGCAATCCGAGTCCTGAGGTCTGCAGAGATTGAGTCTCTGTACGCATACAAAGCATAGCAGCCCACTGTTTACAGCTTCATTCCCAGCAGACATGGTTAGGTTGAAACAGATTGGCAGAAGATCTTCTGGGTCATGTGCTTCAAGAAGGAGCAGGGCAATTTCCTGAGGCTTCTTGATTGAGCGTTTTTCTTAGAGCTACAGGGGATGCCAAAGGATCACCACTCGTGGCGTTCCCGGTCTCGCTCCTCGCGGCTGGGGCGCTCGTCGTTGCGCGGCCGGTCGCGGTCGCGGTCGCGCACGCGATCCTCGCGCCCGGCATCCAGCGGCCGCAGCTCGCGCATGTCACGCCGCCTCCGCTTCGCATCCCTGCCTTCCTCCACAGCCTCCTGTGCAACAACAGCCAGAATGGGTTGGAAGCAGAAGCTGCAAAGTTGAAGGCAGTCCATTAGGACAGTAAGCTGCAAGATGCAGCCCAAGCCAGCTGGAACGTTTGGCTGCCACATCGCTCCAGTACAGCTGCAAGATGCAAAAATGCATGCGGTGGCAGTCCTCACCAGAGCGCACTGACAGCCGTCCAAGAAGCTTGCAAGCAGGGCGCGACACGACTACTTTTTTTTCTCAAAAGGAACCAAGCAGCGCACCCTGTCGCGGTGGTGCGAGGAGCGGCGCTCAAGGCGGGACGGCTCGTCACGGCCGCGTTTGTCTTCGCGCGGCCGCTCGGAGCGATGGTGCCGGGATGATTCGCCACGCCACTCAATGGCGCCGTGCCGCCCTTCTCTGCCATGCTCCTGTTTCTCGTCTGCGGGAGATGCCGCACCTGCTGCCGGCTCATTTCCCTCGCCAGCCTCCTCCCTTTCCCCATCTCCAGCGCTGCATCCACGAAAGCGATGTATTAGCGATGCATGCAGACTCTGCGGCAGTGCTGGCCAGGTGGGAAACTAGAGAGGAAGGAAAATAACAAAAGTAAGGACTCACGCTTCATCATCTGCTGCTGGATCATCTTCGAGCGCCGCCTCAGGCTCTGGCACGGCGTACTTGTCGCCATGCTCCTCGATGTGAGCGAATAGCCTGCAAGTATGCACCAGTGATCGTCATGGCTCCAGATGGGCTCCTGGAGATCGCGCAGTGTTTATAGGGCGACCATGCCACTACAATGAAGAGCAGATGTTCGTAAATCACAGAGGATCTTACCATTTTGCAAATTCCGCAGCGTCATTAGCCCCGAGAAAGGCTTCCAGGTTTTCTGTTACAAGGGCCTGGTTGTTCCCATGGGCCAGCATGACCACAATGTACAGTGGCAGCACATCATCAGCGTATTCTGCTCCCAAGAAATCTTTCAATTTAGTCTGCACAACCTTTTGCAGTTCCAGTCCCTGCTCACTATTCTGGTCGATGCGAGGTAACGGCATTTCTGCGATCTGCAACTATTTGACAAGAGTCTCACTTAAAGACACGATTGAGAAGAATGCAATGATCAATGTTGCGTTTCCATTTCTTTCTCCCTTCTTTCATCACTGAGATTTGGGCAAGGTGTGAGGGAACGCCACGCGCCAAGGAGGTCCCTGGGCCCCCCCCCTCACAAGCAACTGACGTCCCGTTCGTTCCTTGGCCTTTGCACAGTCCTCGCCCATGCTTCTACTGCCCTCTTACTGCTTCTAGAAAGATTCATTGTTATCACCCATAGCTTTGCGTGCATGAACATTTCATTTACGAGAGAAATCCGTGATCACTTTCCTCACGATGTCCTGGAGCAAGTGGACGCCGAGGCTGTCGATGCGCTGAAATCGACGCTGCAGCAGAGTCCTGAAGATTGCACAGTTGTTGTGATAATATCTTGGTTTGCACTCCATGCCCTATTATTGTCCGTGCGTGCATTTCGACTGTTATAACGTTTCTCCTTCGAAATCCTTGAGGTGAATGGGTTTCTGGGGACAGGAATGAATGCCGGCTACTGGAGATTGCCCCGCAGATACATGTGACTACAATTGAAGAAGCCAAAGAATTTGTCAGGGACGCCATTATAATGAAAGGGGGTCAAGAAATGGAGCACCCTGCAATTTGCAATTTTCCGCTTTTCCTTGGAGGACTATTGATATCATTCGAGGCGGTAAGGTGTCCCTTCTCTGCAACAAAGACGAGTGATCTAATGTTTTGAGGTTGGTAGCACTCGCAAATAGGTGTCCCTTTTGGTACTTGTTCAATCAGTTGTAATGAATGCTTTGACACTGTCAGTCCTCAGTCCCTGAGAAGGATTGTTGTATGAAAGCTACAAGTACGATGACCTCAATTTGATGCTGGTCAGTAGTGCAATGTCCAACGAGTCCCACGTCCCAAACGTTCGCGCCTTGCTGCACATCAGTGCTGACGTGGTCAGTAATTTTGAAAGACAGTTCTCTGGTACGGGGTCAAAAGCGCAGCCAGCCAGTTGCACAACAGCCACCTTTTTCCCAAACCTTGAAGAGCTCAGGATAGGTGTAAGCAGAGTGTCTCTTTTTTTATTTCATTATGGCAGGGGGACTTTGAGTACAATCCTAATCGCAAGGTGCTACATGGGAAGTTGCAATTGCATGCTGGCGCAAATTCTCACTTATGCAGCGCATGTCTTTGCAAGTCAGAATGCGCAAACAAGCCAAAAACCCTGATAACTTACTGCTGGGCGTGGTACCGCGGGATGCGGCTAATGCGAGTGGTGCGGATGCCAGGCGGAATTTTGGCAAAAGTGTCACACGGTTAACCGGTAAAGTTGAGCCTTACTGCTTCGGCAGGAGTATGAAATAAACTGAGAACTGATCATGATGAACATTTTAAGGTTTCGATTAGCACATCATCCATGACACCTTGATGAGCTTGTGCAAGCAAATACATCATTATAGGACATATAGTAACCACCGATTCCCCATCACATATTAGGGGCTGGGCCCTTAAGCTTGATGTGCCATCTTTCACCGAACCATCCTGCAAGACTGTGTCAGACAAAGGTGGTGTACAAGCCAACTGGGGTGACCATCCGAGACTCAGAGTGCAAGCCTTCTGAGAGAAAGAGGAATGCCGACATCAAGCTTGTTTCTTGATCGCGAGAGTGCAAGCAGCTGACTTGAGCAGCCAACAGGCACACAAAAATGACAGTCTGAAGCGCTGGCAGGGCTTGCTGCCTAGAACAGGCTGGTCTTCTTCATGATCCGGAAGAACTCCTCCTCGTTGACCTCACCATCGCCATCGCGGTCTGCCTCGTCGATCATTTCCTGCTCGCAGACCAAAAGCATCAACTACTGCTGCTGATCTGTATACGTACAAATCAGGAAAAGGGTTCCTCACAAGATTTGAACCGGCAACCAAGACTCTGATCACTTTTGCAAAATTCACACGTGAAGGTCACTTGTTCAAGAGAGTTCCAGACATGCATGCACTGCTGCGCAGCTACCTCACAGGTGCTTCACATGCACAAGCCTGCAGAGCATGTTTGCAGGCATGCTTCCTGTGGCCTGGATCCAAACAGCAATGCGACAGGCATAGGGCTCTGCTACATACAGATTTATTCATTGTGGAGACACAGAGAAGGGATGCTGCGCACCTGGAGCTCCTCGTCGGTCATGTTCTCGCCCAGCTCCTTGGCCACGCGCTTGAGGTTCTTGAAGGAGATCTTGCCAGTCTCGTCGTCATCAAACAGCCGGAACGCCTGCGCAGTCACATGCACACCGCTCAGTGAAACTTATCCTTCAAAACTTCCGGTGCTGCAGCTGCAGCTTGTTTGCAGACGCACCTTGCCTTATTCAGCAGGAACAGCTTTTATTCAAGGGATTAACAATAATCATATCAGGTGCAGCCAGCCCTTTACTTAAGACCAGCAAGGATCTGCAGATGACGGCCGCTTAAGAGTATTGCATGATGTGCTGGGACAGCAGCAATTGGGTGCACATCTGCTGCACATCTGGCACTGTCTGCAGAAATGTGAATGAAAGGATGATCTGAAGATGAGCCATAAAATGGGCTCGTAGAAAGCATATTATTATTAGATGCCAACAGCATGCATGTTGTGTTGGGAGAACAGGGTTTGGATGCATCTGCTGCACACAGACATGACGAGATGAAATCTGCCACAATGCTTGCCATTGTCTAAGCCTCTACAAAGCATGTCTGAAAGCAAGCATGCAAGGAGGGCTAGGGGAAGCCTGCAGGCACCTTCATGATCTCCTCCTTGGGGTCGCGCTCGTCCATCTTGGCGGTCATCATGGTCAGGAACTCATCAAAGTCAATAGTGCCAGAGCCGTCCTTGTCGATGTCTGCAATCATCTTTTTCACCTCCTCCTTCTTTGGCTCAAAGCCCAGAGCCCTGTGCACACACATACTACGTTTGTGAGCTGTCGCATGCAGAAATATTCTGGGTGCTTGCATGAGTAGCGGTGCATACAACATTATCAAGTGAGCAACCCTTCTTGCCACAGGCTGCTCCCTAGCAGCTAGCCGCAAAGCAGCTGATGCCCATGCATGGGTTTTGCAAACACAGTGAAAAATAGAAGATTCAACTCGCTAGGTGAAGCTCCTTGTTTGCAGAGAAGTGTGGCATAGGCGCTCACCTCATGGCCACCTTCAGCTCCTTGGCATCAATGGTTCCAGAGCCATCAGTGTCGAACAGGTCAAAGGCCTCCCTGTGAGCATCATGCCGTCAGTAATGAAACATGCCAGATTCTAAAGAAGTATTTGGCGCTTGACAGGGGCTTTGACCACAAGGTCTTTAAAGCACTGTGAATATGGGCTTTGTCGATTTGACAACAGCAACATGCAGCAGGCGCCTCTCAAAATGGACTTCTAATAAGTGCTATGGGTGTATGATGGAGGCGATCGAAGCATTCACGTGATAAAAGTATGGTCAGCTCGAACTACTCAGCAAGATGAGCTCTGGAACGGTTTTCCCACCTTATCTCCTGCTTCTGCTCTTCGGTGAGACCTTGATGCTTCCCGTTTTTCTTGTCTCGCCGTGCTGCAGTCACTGCCTTCCGATACGAGGACTGCACAAAATAGTTTGACACGCTTAGATGCATTCAAGTTTTCCCATTATGTTGTTGCCTGCTGTACAGAGCCTCAGTGGCAACAAAGTCCCAATGCAACCATGCATGTTTGAGAAACATGTTATTTCATTTTGTTGCGGACGACGATCTACACGATGTGGCCATCGGAAAAAAAGTCAAAAGTGAAGAGGAACCGTTTTGGCAACAACAAGGCACTTGGGCAGCACACCATGTTGGCGCTCCCTGTCACGATGCCTAGGATCACTTGTGTATGCGTTTGAAGGCCGATGTGATGCTCTGATCTTCCAGTGCTGGCCGCAATGTTTGTGAGACAGCTGGCCCACGGTTTGAAGAAGGGCGCCCAGAAGGGTTTTCAGGGGAAATGGTCTTTCAATGATTCAATTCCCTGGAGGGTATTTTGTTTCTCGCGTTCAAGGCGAGGAAGAACAGCAGGACATATGGGTTGTCAGATTTCAGCATTTCAGGAAGTACTTAAGGTTGAGAAAGGAGCGCTAGACTTGTGATGACGCTTCCCGCATCTGATCACTCCCCGCATGCGGGTCCGATGTGGTGAACCGAATAGCAGCTCTGATCGTTGGCAACCCTAGGTGTATCAAGCAAGGTAAGAAATAACTACATACTAATAGGATGGCGACAAGAGCTGGGGTTCCACGGCGCGTACCTTCGGGCACTCTCCTTGTGAAGGTACCGGATGCCCTAGTACTTCTGACTAGACGTCCTGCAGATTTACAAGATCAACGGAAGCAAACGCAAGAAACCCCGTGTCTTTCGCATACACATGCTGACTTATGTTGAAGATAGGCAACAACATGATCATGCAGAGAGGGTTCTTCGAAACCCATTTGGCAACAGCTTCTGGACTGGGTCACCTTGCAGGACATTGGGGTTCTGGCCACGTTCAGTGAAGAACACGGAGAAATTGACAATGGAGCCATCTACGTCAAGGGCAACGTCATACAGTGGGCTGGTCCAACAGACTCCATTCCTGCAGAGTACTCCACTGCTGATGAAGTCATCAGCTTGCCAGACCGTGTGGTCATCCCAGGGCTTGTCAACTCACATCACCACATGTTCCAGTGCCTCACGCGCTGCATCGCGCAGGTATGAAGCATTGTGCCTTTAAGATTTCTGCCTGCATATGTCATCTTGACTGTTCCCGCTGATGACAGCATTGTGCGGTGCAGGACTCCAAGCTCTTTGGCTGGCTGACCACCCTCTACTATGCCTGGGTGCACATGACGGTGAGTCATGCCTCCCGTGCTATACATGCATGGCACCGTAAGAGCAGCACCGTACCAATGGATCAAGGGTGCAACATTTTTACTAATGATCACAAGCATCGCTAGTGCCAAGGGTGATTTCCATCCTGAGGAGCAAGATATGACTGCCATATCTGACTGACAGAGACGTGGGTGCGGATACAGGGACAGGACATATACGTGGCATGCAAGTTGGCAATGGCAGAGCTCATTCTGTCGGGGTGCACCACAACCTCAGACCACCTGTACATCTACCCCAATGATGTCAAACTGGAGGACTCCATCCGCGCTGCCAGGTAGGCTGCTCTGCCATGACATGGATACTTGGGCCCCACAACATTCACTCTTATATTCAAAGCGCAGATTGTTGAGGCAATGAGACTTATACGGGAGGCATTGGGCAGTCCTGCACCAGACGCTGTCACTTGTACAGAAGCCTTGGGATTTTTCCCTGCTTATGTAGAGGTGAGGCTCTGGTGGGTGACTGCTTGCTTCTCCGTGCCGCTTTGTAGCAGGCATCCAGGGCTAGGAAGGATAACTCTTGCCAGCACGAAATGGGTGTTTCAGAGTGGAACATGTGATTCTCTGGACCCTGAGTAATTACATGACTTGTAAATGGGGCAATATATTACAAGAAATGCACAGCAGGGATGCTCGAAGGCAGTCCTGGCTCGGTCTCAATGGCCACTCAGTCACTTTCACTTCTGCAAGACAAGAGATGCTGGATATGCTGCATGCAGGGAGATCGGCATCCGTTTCCATCCGACCAGGGGGGCAATGAGCCTGGGGGAGAGCAAGGGGGGCCTGCCACCAGACTCCTGCACAGAGGAGGAGAGCGTCTGCCTGGCAGACATGCAGCGCCTGGTCGAGGAGTTTCATGACAACAGCAGGTGCTGCAGCCCACAGCACCTTGTGCTTGCCAAATTGTCTTAGTGCAGCCTCCAAGACTTGGGTCCAAATGCACCGATGCCACCACCGCTTTGCAATGTGTCCAACACTCCTAGGGTGCCCGACTTGGGTACCACAGCTCAATTATTCTTGCCAGGGTAGGAATTGTCCAGATAGGGCTGGTAAGGATGCGCACTTTTTGGATGTGCCGATTGGTATCTTGTGGTATTCTCGGCACTGCTTTGAGAATGCGAGCAGCTTTGATTATGCGAGTGTTTGTGGGTGCAGGTACAGCATGTTGCGCATGGGACTGGCCCCCTGCGCGCCCTTCAATGTCACAAATGACCTGATGATCTCCGCTGCCCGGCTGGCGCGCAAGTAAGCTGTCAACTTCCTGAAGTTTTTTCCTCATTCAGCCACCAGACAATTATTTGTGTCAGTACAGAGACGACCAGATTTGCTGAGAAGGCTTGCCTAGCAGCAGGCTTTTGCAGTGCATCATATCATATCCTGCACCAGAGGGCCGATTAGACGTGGATGCGCAGATATCCGGGAGTGCGCCTGCACACACACCTGGCAGAGAACCAGGAGGACGTGGACTTCAGCCTCAAGGTCTATGGCTGCCGCCCCGGCCAGTACATCAAGTACGGGACCCTCTGAATGCATGCAATTTCGGATGTGGGTCCTTTAGATATGTCTCGCTGCAATGCTGTGTGATAAGCTCGTTGTAGGAGTTGCCAGGGAGTTGCATTGCCAATCCGCAGCCTAGAACGTGCTTTTGAGTGGCGGACTGACCATACAGAGGGCCACGACTTGATGCTCAACAGTTCTTAGCATGATATCAACGAATCGGTCTGCAAGCTTCGTGCACACACGCAAACAGAAGGTCCTGCCCTGCAGGAATGTTGAATGGGAGGGAGAAGATGTCTGGTTTGCTCACTGCTGCATGCTGGATGATAACGAGGCAAAGCAGTTTGCCGAACAGAAGATCGGCATCGCTCACTGCCCCTCCTCCAACATGCGCCTGGCCTCTGGTGACTAATCCACACATGCTGTATGCTTAATCAAATGCTTGTGATGGGAGTCCACCTAGAGAGCAACTCTCAATCTTTGTAAACCTGCACTTACTTCTTTCTGCAAAGCTGTAGCAGCAAATGAGTCCCTGCCTCTGTGCATGCTTACAGAAACTTGATTTTTTTTTATTTCAAGAACTCATGGTCAAGGTGCTGTGCTGACAGATGACATTTATTCAAATCACATGCAATTGACAAGCAATGTTCCTTGCGCTGCTAATTGACATGACCTCACCCTCAGGGAAGTGTCAGCGTACCATCTAAGTCCCTATTTGCTTTTTCACAAATCTGTCCTCTGACATCTTCATGCGACGCAGGCATCGCCCCTGTACGGAGGCTGCTGGACGCCGGGGTGAATGTGGGCATGGGGGTGGATGGCACAGCCTCGAACGACAGCAGCAACATGATCGCCGAAGTGCGCCTTGCCCTCTTCGCGCAACGGGCTGGCGGCTCTGTGGAAGGTACTGATTGTCCTTTTCTTTGCTCATGGCAGGGAGTCATTGCTCATTGCTGCTTTTTTTATGTTGTGGAAGGAGATGCAATCACACCAGTATGCACGAGATATAAGTAGGGACGAGGGTAGCCTTGCAGTGTGGCACGCAATGCGAGCAACAGAAAGGACACCTCCCTGTCGTCATGGGATCTTCCTCCATTCATGATTTTGTCTTGCTGCGTGCATTGCATGTTTTCTTTGCCTGCTGTTACACCCACCCATGCACAACACCACATAACAGTCTCACACAGCGCTGAAGGTCTAATAAATCCAATCCCTTCTGTGAGATTCTCAACTGCTCACACTGCCTCGACTGCTTCACCTCTGCTTCACAGGGATGATTAATGGATAGTGTGACTCTTCTGCAGCACTGATGGCTTCTGTGGGGTGCAGCGATGGATGCAAGGGAGGCGCTGCGGCTGGCAATCACCGGCGGGGCGCGCAACTTGGGCCGGGACGACATCGGTAAGATTGCCCCGGGCTTCGCCGCGGATTTTGTCGGCTGGCGCACCGACACCATCGGCTTTTCTGGCGCCGGGAAGGACCCCGTGGCCGGGCTGCTCTACTGCACGCCCTCCATTGGCTTTGTGGACCTGTCAGTCATCAATGGGGAGGTCATCGTGCGGGACGGCGAGCTGCAGACTCTTGATCTGAAGGTGCGAGTCAGGGTCTCATCGGGCTTTGCCAGGAACATGCCTGCTGACCTGACATTATTTCTGTGATCCTGCTGCTGTCACCTGAAGAGTGGCTTCAAGGCATATGGACCCTTGCCATGCAAATCTCAAATTGAGCTGAATTGCAACTTGCAACAGCAAGTTGACATATGGTGGCACAACCGGCAGTGAGATGGCAGCAGGCGCTTTTGTGCAAAGTTGACATGCTGGGTGATATGCAGGCGCTCGTCAAGGAGCACATGGAGCACTCAGCGAAGCTGTGCGCTCACCTGCCTCCCTGGTGGAAAACTGGCAAGAAGCCTTGACCACTTCATTGTCTCGATGCAGAAGTGAGAAGTTGCTAAAGTTCACTGCAACCTGACCCAACATGAGCCACTGCAAGTTGACTTTTGTTTTCTATTTTTTTTGGGGTAGAACCCCTTTTTGGGACACCCGGGGGATTTGGCACAAAGTCTGAAAGCTCGCGTCTGTCCCATTCAGACAACAATGTTTCCGTTTTTTCTTCTTGTCTCCAGCAGAGGGCAAGTCTGCATGCTTGAGCCTGATGTCTGAGCTTCAAGACTGATGTCTGAGCTTCAAGCCTTGCAGGCGCCCTGGGAGGGGCTTTAAATACTGTGTGTGTCCTTTTTTTATCTGTTTGCCACAGGACAAGTGTGAAAGCACTGCGAACCTGAGAGGACTGTTCAGCAGCTTTGTTGTCAGGATTAATATCAGAATCAGGATGTGGCTGTTTCAGCGATCGCAAAGCTTGGCGCCCAATTGTACGCCTGATTTGAAATATGCATGTGCTAGGATAACGAAAGTCCTATTGCAGACGAATGCCACGGCTTACATGTCACCAGGTGCCTTGTATGACAGTGCGGATATTTTTCAGATCATGTGATACTCTCTAACCAAGAAATGCCAATGCAAATCTGTGTTACAGCTTGAAGACGCTTCTGCTGAATGCGGCATTCAAGGCTCCTGCTGACATGCAATATCTCAACCACCTATTTCAACCGGTTGTTACTGCACAGCAGGAATGAGAGCAATTGCGCTCTTCACAGCTCATATCCTCTTTGAATCTGCCAGCACCCACATGTTCTCTAGTGGCCCCAGCATGCTTTTGCAAAAGCCTCAGGTCATCAAGACCCTCTCCCAAACCATAATTCGCAACTTGAGAAGATCCACTGCAACATCAGCAAGCCCTCCGGCGGAAGGACACTGTCTGTGACTTTGTGGAGGCCAGCCAGCGCTCATCTGTGCAGCACAGCTGCAGCCGGCTCAGTTCCGGCAGATCCACCCGCACAAAGCTGGCAGCTTCCGGCCCTGCTGTCCTCCTCTGCCGCTTTCTAAGTTGTCCTTGCTCTGGCAGGTCCTCCCTACCATCAACAACTTCTCTGGCACTGCTGCAGCAAGCATCGCACAGCTGCCCTCTCCCCTCCCTGCGAAGCGAAGCAACACGTGCCATTGAATGTGGAAGCGGGAAACTTTCCCGGGGGAAAACCAAGAACCGGCCTAGACAAAAACAGCGGTTGCAACACAAGACATGCACCCGCTGATGTCTCAAGGGATATTGCCAAGCTAATCTGCAGAGCGCACCAGTGCTGCTCCTTCACAGTGCAGCCGCCCGCACAAGGTGACTCAGCACCACCCGATGTCCTCTCTGACTGCTCGGTCCCATCAGGCACGCAAGGTTTCTCGGAGGGGATTATTTTGAATTCAGATTCCCATGCCTCATCAGGCTCGCTCGACCTATCTCTATCTGCTCCTGCTCCCCAGGTGAGGACTGCGTGGCCGCAGATGCCGCCGTCCGCCTCCCCTATCAAAACATACTCCTTCACCTGGCCACATAATTTCAACAGAATCAACGTCGCTCCACAGAAACTGAAATGCATATGTCCTCATTGAGGTCTGTGTGAAAGATCACCTGCCAACAGCTTAGGCGTTTCCATCTCAGCTTTGAGCACAAGAGCAGGTGTGGCGCAATTTCTGAAAAGTGTGGAAGAGCCCGGGTGCACCTCGGGGCAGGCGCGCACGCTGGACGTCCAGTCAACTCCCAGCGGCATCCAGGAGCACAGCACAACGTCTGGCCGGTGCTTTCTCAGCGCTTCTTCACACGACAGCAGCTCCACAAACTGCCTGACATAGACAGAACACCACTTTGAACCTCAGAAACAGCCGCTGGCACTCCTAATTCTCGGCCTGACACCCAAAGTCAACAGCAACACCATAAACCCAGAAGAATGGTCCCCGCTCTGCCATATATCCAACACTGCCAAAAGGGCCACATCACTGCAGCATATCTGCATGTCAGCGATTGTGGTGACTGGACTGTTATTGATTCATACCTGAACGGCGAGCACTCGTGCAGCCCGCACAGACCGCTGTCCGAGCACCGCAGATCCACGCTGCAGCAACTAGTGGCAGGTCGCAGCTGCGCGAGAGCTGCCTGCAGGTGCGCACTCAGCCGGCCATCGCCAGCGCCAACCTCCAGAATGGCTAAGTGCTCCAGGCCCAGCTCCTCCCCCCTCCTCCTGTGTAAAGCAATGCACACCGAGAATTCATCAACACTTGGAAATGGAGACATACTGTACATGAGGTCCAGACTCTTGCGCTTCAAGGCAAGCACTCACTGAACACGATGCAGGGGATTTTGTTCGCAAGGCGTTGTCTGCATCGTCGGGCAGGTTATTGTTTCAGGCAGACTTGCAAACGAGGCTGGCTTGTGCGCCAGCTGTGCAAGGTGAAGCGAACCACTACTGCATTTAGGGAAATAAGGAGCGCAAGCAAACTGCCATACCCAGTGCGTGCAAGAGGACCCGTGTCTCACCACAGGTATGCTGCTAGGGAGTTGATGTAGTCGCGGGTCCAGACTTCATACTGGCGCCAGGTGGGGCCTCCATCCAGGCGGCCCTGCAGGAACGCCCTGCACCGGCCGCACTGCTCGCACGCGCAGCTCACCTCCCCGCTGGCTGCCACCTGCATGCATGCGCGCAAGTCTCCACAGTCAACGGCAATGCCGGTGGGGGGCCGCCTGTATATAGGTGGCCATCACTGCTCAGCATCTCATCCTTCGCAGCCAAGAACCAGCAATCTGTAGTGTTGGATGTCCAACACTGGCTTATCATCAGTCTTTGCAACATCAACAAGCAAAAGCACACAGGTGAACATTCTCTGCAAGGAAATTTGCTGAGTGATGCAGGTGAAGCACCTCCGGTGTGCATTGGCTCTTGAATAAGCCAAATCGCGTCACAAGCTGCTGTCTGCTGGGAAGCTGATGCCAGCCATCAGCTATTGCAGTTCTGGGACACCGGACTTGGCTCCCAGCCGCATTCCCACACTTCAACCCATCATTCCCGGCAATCATGCCGGGACCCCTTCAGCATGAGGGCCCCTCAACTTGTGTCTTGTGGGCTGCTCCTGTGCGTGCGCTGTCCTTAGGAGCACTTGGCGCGGAGTCAGGCTAGATCGGTCCAGTGCGGAGCACACTGTCCTGGAAAAACTCTGGCCACGCTTCTGTGAGGCGCCTGCAGACATACAAAAAGCATTCAGGGAAGCATTTACAAGAACAGCGGTTGCTATCATGATCAAGCGAGAATCGAACCTCTTGAGAGGGGGGGGAAGCGCTTGATCGACTGAGCTGGACACTCATTTCTGTAGTACATCAGTACAGAAGGTGATCTCCAGAATCCCACCTGCGCTGCCGAGCAGACAGCGGAGCAGGTTTCTTGCTTTCCGCAATCCCCGATTTGACGAGACAGTAGATGAGCAGGTGCGCAAAGATGAGACAGGCGATGAGAGCGATATACACAATCACCATGCACGACTAGGTGCTCAATGCTTTCGTTGTGTAGAGCTCATCGGGTGCACAACTCGCCAGTTGGTATGAAGACACTTTAAGAAATCTGCTTCCCTGCTCACAATGCTGCATCTCTTGTCTGCGAACACAAAGAGAGTGACGCAAGGTTGAGGCAAACATCAACAGCAGATCAGAGGCCTTGATGGTAGCGAGCGATCACTCATGAACTGTGTTTCTCAATGTCTTGATATGAATTCCGTCTAGGTAGTGGATAATTTGGACATCTGGCACCCAAAAAGAAACCGAAAAAGACACTTTGGAGAATGGGGGCATCGATCCCCCTACCTCTCGCATGCTAAGCGAGCGCTCTACCATCTGAGCTAATTCCCCTTGCGATCTCAGGACCAGCGATGATAAAACCCTCATTTCTGGTATTCTTGAATGCCTTGCTGAGGAGAAGCATCCTCGACTTCCGACATGAAACAGAATTTCACGAAACGAACAAATTTGATGGCTCAAAGAAGTTGGGGACCACGATCTGCTGGTTGAAGTGCGGTGCTGCTTGGCACTGCTGGAACATGTCGAGCACTCTTGTGCTACCGCCTTCCACCCTCGAGGCTCAGCTGCTCGAGAGGCACCTGTTGAGGATGGGCTCTGGCCAGGCGTTGGGGCCTCCTCCAATCACCGGAGATGAGATTGCTCGCATCCTTCGATGCAATCTAGTGCAGGAATTCGAGCGCCTGCGCGGAGTGCCGGGGTTTCAGCTGGACCCCGTGCCTTGGGAAACAACCAGGAAGCTAGTAGAGGAGAACACCGCAGAGTCTCTCGGCAAACTAGGACGCTCGCCTGCCGGTTCTGTTATTTACTGGAAGTTCAAAGGAACGGTGAATCCCTTGCTTCCAAAATATGATTGACGCCTTCCCTGCAGCCCGCCATGTTCTGACCCATGAGGCATACTAAGTGTATGTGGTTTAAGACATGCATTCTTTGAGCAGTATCGGAAGTAAGAAAGGAGTAGAGAATCATTTTTGCATGACATCGAGAGTTATAGGATCTACAATGGGATCCTGCTGGCCTGCACACATTGTGCTGATCACTGACAGAGCTCATGGTGGTTGTTGGGCCAGATCGACAAGGAGTGGGTAGGCGTCGCGGAGTACGTGCAATGGAATATCTTCAAATTTCAGACAGAACTCACAGAAGGTACAGGCTAGCCACGTATTATATACATCCAAACCAGCAATACTGGGGCCTGTCGATTGGAATTTGTAATTCTTGTATCTCGAAAGGGGAGTCCTGTGTTCAAAATCATAAAGTGTTCCTTGTGTTTCGCAGATGGAAGGAAGAAGGTCATCGTGCCGGAGCCGGACAGAGAAAACCCCACCATAGTCTGGCGCCCAAACGTGAGCTGCTTTTCAAGAACTGCCTAATAGCTCTCTCCTGCATTGGCAAACAAAGCCCAGCAGGACTCACCAGGCTTTGCCCCCCAGTAGGCAACAATGTTCTGTGCACTGAACTAGAGATCATGGTAGCTCAGAATCGATAGGCATGAGCTCAGGTGAGCTCATCAGAATGAACTGTGGGCTCAGGAGTGAGTGTGAGCACGGGCATTCTGATTGTTGAGCACATGCGCAGGATTTCCCATACAACTTTGAGGAGGGCATGGAGCACCACAATATATGGAGCACCGTTCCTCTGTCCGAAGAGGAGGTCCTTAAGGTGTGCCAGCAGCTCTTCTGAATGCCCTCACATCAAACAGGGCATCGCATGTCCAACAAATCTGTCCCAGCAGTGCGCACCTACAGTGGTTGGGGCCTTGAAACTTTATGAGGGCACAAATTCTGAGCCATATACATTGTGACCAAAAACTCGATTGGCTTTCCGTCGCCTGTGTGGGATGTGAGGCCTGCCCTGGCTGCAGATCGTGGACCAGCACAGGAGAGGCTACGAGTTTGTCTGGTTCACCAACCCTCTGCCGCTCGCATCAATCCCTTCGGTATGTCATGCAATTCTACAGCTGTCGCCTCAGTAATCTCACTGCTGTACGTGGGCTTGCTCACTGCTAAAAGACCGGTGTTTCAAGGTGAATGGTCAATCACTGTAGCATTAACACTGCTATTGCTGCTGTGACAGGTGTGGCACGCGCATGTGATCTCGCGGCCTGGCACCGACAAGGATCGGGCGGTGTGCGTGCTCATTAGATAGTTGATCCGCTGGGATCCAGTCAGAGTCTGGGATGCTTGTCATCCCTACTGAACACTTGGATCAAACTTTGTGCGCGTGTGTTGCCTGAAACCAAGGGCACCATCAATGTGCAGAAACAATATAGGCGTTTCGTTCCAATGCATGTCTTGTCAGGTTGAAACTTTTGAATGTACATACTGAACACTTTGAACCGCAATTGATGAGCCCTTCAACTTTAGATTGATTCTCAGGTGGTGATGAGGTCCAAATGTCTGTTCTGCACAGCAGTTCTGATTGCTGAAAGGGCACAAGACTGTTGGATATGTCTACAGTGTTGTGCTCGGCATTGCTGTAGCTATGGAATCTCCTTAAGGGAGTCTCCTTCAGACCTTGCAAGGCCCCATTGTTGTGTTGGAGACTGCAAGCACTTTATAACAAGGCTGGATTAACAAGGCTGGAGATGTAAATGGCCAGCGTTACATGGTATATTTTGCTGGTGTTGCACAGTGCCAGACTTCCTTCCAACCTAAATCACCGACACGTCTGAGCAGCTATTCATGTGATTGTGATGTGAACAGCAACTTCCAAGTGTTTCTTTTTCAAAATCCTAGACAAGTCATTTAGCAGTCCATTGGGATCTGCTACTCCTGTGAATATTCAATGGTAGGTCATATTCAAGGATTGAATTCAGGCGAGAGTTTTACGGGCAAGGCCAACCCCATTGTATCCAAAGCATGTGACTGGGCATTGCAAACTACTGCTCTGGACCCTTCCTTTCACCCCTTTCTACAGAAGAAAGCAGGCCGTGCAGACAGAACTCATGACGCTGTTGACAGTTGCATCTGGGACATGTATCGAGCAACCACATTCTCCACAGTGTCCACAATTGCCTGCATGGCACCCAAAGCATCTATCGTGCAAGACAGCTGTGTCATTGTCTGTGAACTGTCATGCCTAAAATTGCACATGCAAGGGGGAATTATTAGTGGGCCAACCTCGGGGTGAGAAGGCAATGGGGCCCTGGCATGGAAAAGTCCCATATCTTAACACAGAAAATACCGTGATGCATGCAATTTAGCATCGGCTTGGAAAGAAGGGAGGTAGGCACCTGTGTCTGCGCCTCAACCTCCAGATTTACCGCATCCCCCACAACACGCGCTCCCAGGGTTGTTATCCTGAGGGTCTCTGGTATGAGGTAGACTGTGAACCAGTCTTTGCCCACCTCCCCTACTGTCAAGCTGATGCCATCCACTGCAATGAAACCCTTTGGAAGTACGTACTTCATGAACTGCTGAGGCACCTGCCCCAGCACATCTTGTCAACTATTAGACTGCTGCAGGATTGAAAATAAAAAGCAGGGCAAATGTGCTCAGCACCCAAGCAATACTACAGCTTTCTTGTGTCTGTTCAGCCTCGCATGCAATTCTCTTGCCGTGATCACACAGCAGCTGGCCGGCTGACTCTTGCCAAATCAGCATGCCCTGCGCATCTTAAAGTTAATCACAATGGCGCACTTCATAGCAGCCAGGGGGCAGAACACCCACAACATCTTGGCACCTTCCTTTCTTCCAGCACCCCAGACTTTCCTCTCACCTTGAAGGTGATGCGCCGGTTGTTCTCCGAGTCCTCTATGGCGGCAACCTCCGCCGTCGCGCACACGTGCCCCGACACATTGTGGCCGCCGATCTCGTCGCCGACGCGCGCCGATCGCTCAAAGTTGACGCGGCTGCCCAGATCCAGCGCGCCCAGATTGGTCGCCCTCAACGTCTCCACTATGATGTCGAACTTGAGCCTGTCCCCATCGATCTCTGTCACCTGCAGGGAGGGAATGAGGCAATGCTTCATGTCCTAAAGAGTATCTGCAGCAGCACCAGTTGCTCGGTCATGACACATAAAAGTACTTCCCCATAGCAATAGCAGCACTAGGCAGTTTCACAGGGACAGCTCTGGGTCTGTGGGGCCAGAGTGCCTGGATCCATAGAATTGCAAAATGCTGCCCAAGTAACAGAGCGGCCATGTAAATGTGATTGGCCTTCAGGAGGCCTGTAGGGGCTGGTGCACACTGTGAGGCAGGTGCCGTTTATGGCAACACTGGCGCCAATCTGGATGCCGCCCATGCTGCCGCTGGGGAACTGGATGCTGATGCTCCTGAAGTCCTCCAGCTGGTGCACCTTCACCACATTCCCCTGCCCCTGCACAATCCCTGGACAAGAGGCAATACGGCATCAGATGCAGCAGTAGCATTCAGCATGTTCTGCTGCCAAATTGCAATGAGCATGCGGTCCTCATGGCAGCAGTAAAACATATGGTCTCGGAGCCAGTGCTTTGGCATATGGGTAAGTGCGGCGTCACCTGTGAAGAGAGCCATTGTGCGCTGCTTATGGCGCTGTCTGCATCTGCTGACGGCAGCATAGCGCTTGACGTTGACATTTCTGTCCAGAATGCGGCTGGGGAGCACTGGCGCATGAGCATGCCTGTGTACAAAGAAGGCATCCTCCTGTCAGTTTCAATCTTGGCCCACATCAAGTTTGGTCCTGCCACATCCTTGAAGATTTGCACACGCAAGAAGGACCATGTGATGCAAAGACAGAACAGATATGGGGAGCAGAGAACTGCCATGTACCTCAGCTGCAGAGGTTGGCAAGGAAGGCGGTTGCAGGGCGTGAGGCAGAGGAATTGACCTCTCACAAGATTCATCTCCTCCTATTCTGTGACTCCAAAAGCAGATCGGCTTTATTAAAACACCAAGATGTGCATGCCGAATGGACCGAGATTCCTGCAACATGATATTAAGTAAGCGACCCGGAGAAGAAGCTAGCAGCTGCAGATGCGGTGATGATAATTAGACAATGTCCTCTGGTCACAGGATCAGGAGCTGTTCGCAGCAGATCACACCAGGTGGTGACAACCTCACAAGTCGTGTTGCTGAGCTTCTGTGATGCCGATCCTCACCGATGCTATCGCTCCATGCTGGATAAAGGATCCAATGATGTTCAACAAATAGTATGCTGAAGTGAACATGACAGCAACGATGTGAGCTAGCCTATACTGAGTATGCAATATAGACATTTGGAAATGCGCTTTTGGCAGCTGTGGCCGCGTGGCCCAATGGATAAGGCGCCTGCCTACGAAGCAGGAGATTCCAGGTTCGAGCCCTGGCGTGGTCATTGACCAATTATGCCACAATTTTTTGCTTTTGTTTGCTTGTCGGGTTCCACTTGTAGTTCCAGTTGTTTGGCTTTCCATGATAGAGTTGATAGTGCCCGTCACCTAGATGCACATCACCCACATGCATGGCCGAAGTGGCCAGCCGCGGCCGGCCACTGGCAGTGATCATCATATGATATACCCGCCAGGGCCGGCTGAAAATGCGACCCATTGAAATGCGTGATCTCAGCAGCGCTGGTAAGTCGGTGCCGGTAGTATGCTCAGAGGCATTTCAGGAGTGCCAAAGAACACCGCAATGAGATCTCACATGTGATATATCCTCCAGAAGGGCATGAAAGAGGCTCGTGGTGCAATCAATTAACTGAACTCTCAAGTGTATTAATGTTCAACATTCAACAAGTTGTACCTTCTTACTCGGTCTTAGATACAGAGAATAGTCATTGCATGATGCGAGATAAGTAAGGAGCGTTGTTGTTGTATCTAGGTGTGGCAGCTGGTCACCACACGGTGTGGAGGCAACTGAACCGCGAACCGAGATTGCATGCCCATCCTTGCAACTGCCCCCTAGTGGGAGTCCAGTGCGTTGAAGTGTATGGCAGGGTGCTCCCTCCTGGCACCCGCATTGAGCTCATCAACTTGGAAGTTGCCGAGATTAACAAACTCCAAAAGATCCGCATGAAGTACAGCTATAGTGGATTAAACTGGACTACACGAGGGTCACGGGCGAGGACGGCCCGTCCCATTGAGCTCATGAGCACCATTGATCAATTCCCCATCTGTCTGCTGTCTTCACCGTCCTGTATTCGATGTTGTGTGATTTGGGAGTACCATAATACATTGAGCCGGGTTCATCAAACAACCCATTGCCAATCTGTGTCATTTGAGGACTCCTCCCTGAGACGGCATCGCAAACCAGATCTAGGTTACAAATATCTATCTACTAGATATAGTATTTATATATGAATATGAAGTATGAATAGTATTGAGGGGTACTCCCCAGTGCATGCACAGTCGGATCAGTCAGCATGCATGCATGCAAAGTCCAGTCAGTTACACAGTCGAGACTGATCAGCCCTAAATCCATAGGACTCTTGGAGATTCCTTGGACAAGGGATTATAGTATCCAGAGCATATAGTCCAGTGTGGTCCATTCAGAAGGCCACAGCCTCCCAGCCCGACTGATTGAAAAAGAAATTGTTGTAATAGAGGGTATCTCACCGTCTCGTATTGCATGTTGGGAATGCGAGATCTTTGATTTTGTTAGGGGGCGACCCTCTGCTTCCACGGAGCGCTGGGCGCGCCGTGCTGCGCCCTAAAGCCATCCAGCCGGCGGCGGCCGTCTTTGAACTCCCCCGGGCGCATCAAGCGCAATCAAGCTGCTATCCAACAGCGGGAGTGAAGGAGGCACCGTGCTGTGACAGCGGAGAACGGCAGCACACGAGTGCTCGACATGTTTCAGCAGTGCCAAGCAGCACCGCAGTTCAATCACCAACTCCTTTAGGCCACCAAATTTGTTCGTTTCTTGAAATTCTGTTTCATGTCGGAAGTCGAGGATGCTTCTCCTCAGCAAGGCATTCAAGAATACCAGAAATGAGGGTTTTATCATCGCTGGTCCTGAGATCGCAAGGGGAATTAGCTCAGATGGTAGAGCGCTCGCTTAGCATGCGAGAGGTAGGGGGATCGATGCCCCCATTCTCCAAAGTGTCTTTTTCGGTTTCTTTTTGGGTGCCAGATGTCCAAATTATCCACTACCTAGACGGATTTCATATCAAGACATTGAGAAACACAGTTCATGAGTGATCGCTCGCTACCATCAAGGCCTCTGATCTGCTGTTGATGTTTGCCTCAACCTTGCGTCACTCTCTTTGTGTTCGCAGACAAGAGATGCAGCAATTGTGAGCAGGGAAGCAGATTTCTTAAAGTGTCTTCATACCAACTGGCGAGTTGTGCACCCGATGAGCTCTACACAACGAAAGCATTGAGCACCTAGTCGTGCATGGTGATTGTGTATATCGCTTTCATCGCCTGTCTCATCTTTGCGCACCTGCTCATCTACTGTCTCGTCAAATCGGGGATTGCCGAAAGCAAGAAGCCTGCTCCGCTGTCTGCTCGGCAGCGCAGGTGGGATTCTGGAGATCACCTTCTGTACTGATGTACTACAGAAATGAGTGTCCAGCTCAGTCGATCAAGCGCTTCCCCCCCCTCTCAAGAGGTTCGATTCTCGCTTGATCATGATAGCAACCGCTGTTCTTGTAAATGCTTCCCTGAATGCTTTTTGTATGTCTGCAGGCGCCTCACAGAAGCGTGGCCAGAGTTTTTCCAGGACAGTGTGCTCCGCACTGGACCGATCTAGCCTGACTCCGCGCCAAGTGCTCCTAAGGACAGCGCACGCACAGGAGCAGCCCACAAGACACAAGTTGAGGGGCCCTCATGCTGAAGGGGTCCCGGCATGATTGCCGGGAATGATGGGTTGAAGTGTGGGAATGCGGCTGGGAGCCAAGTCCGGTGTCCCAGAACTGCAATAGCTGATGGCTGGCATCAGCTTCCCAGCAGACAGCAGCTTGTGACGCGATTTGGCTTATTCAAGAGCCAATGCACACCCGAGGTGCTTCTCCTGCATCACTCAGCAAATATCCTTGCAGAGAATGTTCACCTGTGTGCTTTTGCTTGTTGATGTTGCAAAGACTGATGATAAGCCAGTGTTGGACATCCAACACTACAGATTGCTGGTTCTTGGCTGCGAAGGATGAGATGCTGAGCAGTGATGGCCACCTATATACAGGCGGCCCCCCACCGGCATTGCCGTTGACTGTGGAGACTTGCGCGCATGCATGCAGGTGGCAGCCAGCGGGGAGGTGAGCTGCGCGTGCGAGCAGTGCGGCCGGTGCAGGGCGTTCCTGCAGGGCCGCCTGGATGGAGGCCCCACCTGGCGCCAGTATGAAGTCTGGACCCGCGACTACATCAACTCCCTGGCAGCATACCTGTGGTGAGACACGGGTCCTCTTGCACGCACTGGATATGGCAGTTTGCTTGCGCTCCTTATTTCCCTAAATGCAGTAGCGGTTCGCTTCACCTTGCACAGCTGGCGCACAAGCCAGCCTCGTTTGCAAGTCTGCCTGAAACAATAACCTGCCCATGCAGGCAACGATGATGCAGACAATGCCCCGCGAACAAAATCCCCTGCATTGTGTTTAGTGAGTGCTTGCCTTGAAGGCGCAAGAGTCTGGACCTCATGTACAGCATGTACCCATTTCAAAATGTTGATGAATTCTCGGTGTGCATTGCTTTACACAGGAGGAGGGGGGAGGAGCTGGGCCTGGAGCACTTAGCAGTTCTGGAGGTTGGCGCTGGCGATGGCCGGCTGACCGCGCAGCTGCAGGCAGCTCTCGCGCAGCTGCGACCTGCCACTAATTGCTGCAGCGTGGATCTGCGGTGCTCGGACAGCGGTCTCTCGGGCTGCACGAGTGCTCGCCGTTCAGGTATAAATCAATAACAGTCCAGTCACCCACAATCGCTGACATGCAGATATGCTGCAGTGATGTGGGCCTTTTGGCAGTGTTAACTATATGGCAGAGCGGGGACCATTCTTTTGGTTTTATGGTGTTGCTGTTGACTTTGGGTATCAGGCCAAGAATTAGGAGTGCCAGCGGCTGTTGCTGTGGAGGTGGATTCGGCTGAAAGCCTTCATCTGCCACTGGCACGCGCAACGAGCCTAGCAAATGAGGTTCAAAGTGGTGGTCTGTCTATGTTAGGCAGTTTGTGGAGCTGCTGTCGTGTGAAGAAGCGCTGGGAAAGCACCGGCCAGACATTGTGCTGTGCTCCTGGATGCCGCTGGGAGTTGACTGGACGTCCAGCCTGCGCGCCTGCCCCCAGGTGCACCTTTCAGACTAGGTGCCACTCCTTGCTTTTGTGCTCAAAGCTGAGATGGAAACGCCTCTCCTGTTGGCAGGTGATCTTCCACACAGACCTCAATGAGGACACATGCATTTCAATTTCTGTGGGGCGGCACTGAATATGCGCTGACGCTGCAACCAGAGAGGAGATCGGGTGGTGCTTAGTCACCTTGTGCGGGCGGCTGCACTGTGAAGGAGCAGCACTGATGCGCTCTGCAGATTAGCTTGGCAATATCCCTTGAGACATCAGCGGGTGCATGTCTTGTGTTGCAACCGCTGTTCTTCTCTAGGCCGGTCCTTGTTTTTCCCCCGGGAAAGTTTCCCGCCTCCACATCCAATGGCATGTGTTGCTTCGCTTCGCTTCGCAGGGAGTGGAGAGGGCAGCTGTGCGATGCTTGCTGCAGCAGTGCCAGAGAAGTTGTTGATGGTAGGGAGGACCTGCCAGAGCAGGGGCAACTTAGAAGACGGCAGAGGAGGACAGCAGGGCCGGAAGCTGCCAGCTTTGTGCGGGTGGATGTGCCAGAAATGAGTCGGCTGCAGCTGTGCTGTACAGACAAACGCTGGCTGGCCTTCACAAAGTCACAGACAGTGTCCTTGCGCCGTTTGGATGGCTGATGTTGCTCTGAAAGTGTGAAATCTGTCCTGCTTGGGAATTAAAATTATCTGTGGCTCTGTCAGCGCACCAGAAATCATCGGAGATTATCTGCGCTTCAAAGAAACATTGATTGCTCCAATGTCAATTGCTGGTATGAATCTACTGTAAACTTTGCTACTGTAAAGCTGCTGTAGTTCTACTCAGAATAGTATTTCTTGTGACACCACATAATGCATCAGGGGGCATTTGTCCCATAGTGATCGAAAATGGTGCTGCTCCTCAAATTGGAGTAGACACTTACAACATCCAATTCATCACATCGATGCTCCTTTTGAGAGGCCCATTGACAAGATTGGTGCACCGCATTCTTCAAGAATAATTGGTATGCAGACATGCAGTCCTTTAGCATAGGTCCCATAATCACGTCTGAGAGGCATGGTCTGGCTGACGAACACACTCGACCTCGATCGCTCGTTCATGCATACCTTTCTCGGCCTTTTGGCTAAGATCAAGTGTAGTATCTGTTCTTATCAGTTTAATATCTGATACGAGGGACATTGTCCCTCATGATATTAATCTAATCTTTTGCCCGGGGGCAGAGTGTTGTGCTTGCACGACCTCTGCCCGCCCATGGCCTTGGCATTGCACTGCCGCCTAGGCTGTGGACCGGTTCACACAAAATTTATCATTCAAATATACAAAATATATAATGCCATAACACACAAATTCAAACACCCACGAAGAGAAATATACACAACTGCGCCATGGATCCCTCCGTGATCTGCCGATCAGCGACGGTGCCAGCGACATAAACAGCTGTCGCAACGTTATCCTGAAAGAACCATGCATATATTATCGACTTCTTCGATCAGAATCCTGCCCAGTTGATGCTCTATGAATTCTCGCTCATCCTACAGTGCAACTTCCTTCGGGAGATGGCGGCCAGCGAACAGTAGTGTTTTCGATACCTTCTGCCATCTTCCTATCGCTCTGATAAGCTCAGTCATGAGCAGCAGTGCGTATAGTGGCTTTCTTCAAGAGCAACAGAGAGGCGAAGTCTGCTCGAGCAAAAGGCCCATCGGCAGATCTCGAGAACCCAAATACGTGCAATTACAGATGGGCGTAAGTCCATAGATTGCTGTTGTTGTTCTTGCATTTTGATTGATTGACACAGTAAAATTCAGAAAGTTTTCGTGCGAAGTTTGTGGATGGAGGTGTGGCTGTGTGACTATATTTTGGTGGTAATGGTGAGGCCCTAGAGCCAGAAAAAATTGGTGTATGCGATTTAGTAAGGACACCGCTCGGTATTCTTTAGTAAAAGGCGAAAGAATAGCCCGCCAGAAGAGGTGACCTTATCGCGGATGCCAATTTGGTGTGAAGGGGCTGGGGAGGTGCTGTCGCTGTGCTCGACCATCTCGCTCCGATTATGGGACCTGCCGTTCAGGGAAGTCACACTCCAGGGCGTGTCTATTTTGAAGCTTGTACTCAACACAATGGTATATCTCTCTGAGCCAGTTCGTCAGTTATTTCTGCTCGAGTCCCAATCATTCAGAAGTCAACTTCTCGTGCCACAGTGACCACCGTCAGTGACTGATCACCACAATCCGTGACTCGAGATAAAACCCCAGCAACTTCAACCTATTAATAAGCCTGCTGTGTCAGCCTCCATGGCACACTGTCGACTTCAATACAGCGGCACTGAGCTGTCCACTTCCCGAGAATAGGCATCAATGCCGCCTGTTATATTCCTCACGTCCTCAAACCCCTGCATGGCAGCAACGCGACAACATGATGTTCACAATCTTGCAGGGTACCCAGACAGTGCACTTCAACAATTTACCGTCCTTGCGCGGGCACACAGGCCGCGTCTGTTGACAGCTGTGACCACTGCTACTGTGGTGAGCAGTGTTACAACGGTCTCGTTTCCACCAGGCTGAGTGACTGACGGGTGCCTATTGATTCGGAGTCCCAGATTTCCTTTTCCCAGATTATATGAAGCAACAGGAGGGGGAATATGAGGCAAAATAAGGTTGTGCCCACCTGGGACGCCAGGAAGGTGGCTGCTCTGTAGGAGCGCACGCCATGATGGCACAGCACATAGGTGGGCTTGGACGGGTCCAGCATCTCAGTTACAATAGGTCCCCACTCCTGAAATCTGCATACCGGAAGAGCTATTCATACAGTCCATGGGGCTGTCAGCTCTGCAGCATCATGCATTTGAGGAGAGCGCCCACCAGGTCAGTGATGAGGCTCTCTCAAGCCAATACTTGTTGGGGCGCCAGATGTCAGACAGAGTCTCCTCCAGAGGTGAAAAGAATCTCACAGTACAAAATCAGGGAAAGCAAGGACCTCGAGTGCCTCTATTTGCTCCACTGCTAGGCTACCTGACTTGAACCGATTGAGCATTTGGACATCTACAGGCAAACGGACAGCAACAGCCGCGTCACAGTATATCTCAAACAATCCAGGGGACATGTGGATCTCTGCAGGCAAATAAGCTCTCAGAAGTGCAGAGATGAAGTAAGAGGCAAAATAAAAAGCACCTGCTGAGAGGCATGAGCTGGAAGCCTGGCAGCGCAGCAATGCGCTCCTCCACCTCCTCGCGCACGTCCACCAGCTGCACCTCGTCCGCGGCGTTCCCTGCACCGCTCAGCAGCGCATGCAGCGCCCTTACATCAATGTCCCCAACCCTTGGCGCCTCATCTGCTTCCGTCCCCATTGCCCTGCGCCACCAGGTGTGGTTCCTTACAGCGTAGGTCTCAAATGTGAGTGTCTCCAAAGCGATGTACTCCTTGGGAGGCATAGAGTTCAAGGGAAAATTGGCACAAGGAGTGTTTGTGCCCAGGCTTATCTTGAATGCCGCTGTCAAATGTGCATTGCAATGCCCAGGGTATCGGTTCCCTAGCCCATAGTTCAGAGGTGCAGGCACATTGACATGCTGATTCTTACCTGATCCCATGCGCATACCGCGCATTGCCAGCTGTCCTGAAGCCTCTGCCACACCAAGTTGGTTCCATGCGCTGTGAAGGGCAGGTGTGCAGGCACTTGGGACCTGCTCGTCGTCTAACAGCTGAGCAGCTGTGGGTTGCCCGGCCTTCCCTCGTCTGCAGAAAGCTTGATCTGATGGCGGTGAAGACCCAGTGTCGTTCTAAGACAAGCACCACAATACATTGGCTTCCAGATGTGTGTGAAAGTTGTGAAAGAAGACTGCACCACGTTGTCCCTTATCACTGATTATCACTGATCCCAGTGTCAGATAGCCTGTTAGGGTACAGAGACAACCATATCTTGTTTATAACTTCCACAGCAATGCCTTATGTACCTGTATACGTGCGTCCAATGCTCGTCAGGAGGGGCATCCTTGCGCAGGCAGTCCCCATCTGTGGTGGATCTACGCACAGATCTGCGCTTTCGATGACACCCTTGCGCAGCAGTGCTTTTCACAGTATGGTGCCACGATGATTGCCCTGCGATGTGTACTTGTCCTCGACATGCGCGAGCGAAGACAGAACTGAGCGTTTCGGAAGCTATGTCGGAAGTATCAGTCACAGATCAGTAATACCCACCTTCCTCTCAGCCTTGGAGGTGCCAAAAGATGCCAATCTCGGAATTGAGCGCATTTTGAATAAAGTTGTTAGATAATTTCACCGTACTGCATATCTGAGCTTCATCTAATTGCGACAACGGAACAGATCCATGTTGAGCTTTTGCTTGAAATCCACTTTCTAATCGAACTATCTGCTGTGATTGCCAATAAAAGGAGCGACAAATGTTTTCTTTCATCATATATTTCTCCAACAAAATCGAAATGGAATTGATCTCGATCGCTGCAACAAGACATTGCAGCTGACAAAGCAAGCCATGCCTGCTAAGAGAGTCACTGGGCCTCATCAGCGCGGTCCCTATGCCGCGCGAGGGGTCCAGGGAAATCCAGTGGGATTCCTGCTTCTTTTGGCACAGCAGGTTGTGCAAATGGAACATCGGCCTCCTGTCACTCTGGGCCTTGTTGCAGGTTGAGCCCCACGTGCCGTGCACTTCCTTTGAACATTTACTATGATGCAACTGTTTGCTTGTCAATATCACATTGCAAATATCTGATGCTAGTCCGACAGGGGATCACAGAGCCAACCGTACTGGTCATGCATGTTCAGGAATGGTGCTCCTGTTCTTTCAGCCGGAAGGGCTCATGCAATATGTGCCGTCCATCAGCAATGCCTGCTTGCAGCCATTCCAAATATTGGAGGTGGGACCTGGCTCAGTCTAGCACCTTGGACATGTATGCATCCAATAATTAATGGCGCACCCTTGGCAACCCGTTTTTGGACACAACAGAGGGGTGCTGCTTTAACATGCTCATCACTGATCGCCCCGGTGTGCCTCAGGGTTGGCAATGGACTCGCCTCATCTGGTCAGCGTTCCTGCATGCTGACGAGGTCCACCTCTTCTACAACATGAGCTCGCTCCTCTGGAAGGTGGGCCACTCCTGTCCTCACTTGTGAGATAAAAGCTCCATCCTCGCCTACATTTGATGCAGGTCGATTGGCGGCACTTCATCGTCTTGCTCCTGCCGCTTACAACGAGTTCTCGCATGCTTGCATGGCTGCAGGGAGCTCAGCTGGAGCCGGACTTGGGGTCAGTGAGGTTTCTAGGCCTGGTGGGAGAGCTGCTGCTGCTGAGCCATGTGGCCACAGTGGGGCTGGCAGCCGCAGCGGCCAAAGCATTGCCTGATCTGGCGGGGGCCCAGTACTACAGCAGCTGCGCAGTCGGTTTCAGCGCGGTGCTGTTTGCGCTCAAGGTGGTGCTGTCGCACCGGACGCCCGGCTGGAGCTATGTTGGCGGCATCGCGCTGCCAACAAAGGTGAAGATCCAGGCGTTCTTTTGGTGACGGGAGCAAGTCACCAGTGCAGGTTCACTACGGACCGCCCTGGTCAGTCACGTGCATGTCATGAGGAAGACAATTTTGGATAGCTATATGGAGACTAGCAGATGTAGCAGGTGTTATGCCGCATGCACTATAGACGAAGTCTGGTTCCTGTAGAGGCAGATGGAAATGTCAAAATCAGCAGGGCGCACCACTCAATCATGCCTCTTTTCATTTCTGCAGCTGACAAGCTATCTTGTCTGCTTGCAGTATGTCTGTTGGGCGGAGCTGGCGTACATCCAGCTGCTGACACCCCGGGCGTCCTTCTTGGGTCATCTTGGGGGTATTCTGGCGGGGCTGTTGCATGTGCATGTGATAAGGGGCGCGGGGACCGCGCTGCCACAGCTGTGGGAGTCGCGGCGTTATACGGGGCGCCCGTTTACGGGGGAGCCCCGATTCGCGACCGTAAACGGGGGACCACAGTCACCGCGGTCCGCTTCGGAGGCCCGCGCGACAGGCCAGGGGGTTGCGGCCGGCAGGCCATCACAGGTGTGCCTGATGGGGCTCCAGAGCCCCTTGATCTATGTGCAGCCCTTCGTAGTTCCTAGATCACTCAACTCATGGGCAGATCATACATGTGTGGATCCTTCATGGTTAATAGCCCTTTATCTTTGCCTGCTTCAAACAAGTTGTCATGAAATGTTTTCTCTTTGGAAGTAAGGTGTTGCATGCTGGTGATGGTGTCATGGTTACAAGGCTCACTGTGCATAGATCAGTGCCCGGGGCCAATATCTGATACTTCATATGAGACATTTGAGCGCTCTGCTGTGCTGAACAGGGCAGGGCGACAGGGTCACGGCAGAGGGAGGTGGGGGATGAGCAGTCGTCGGCGGACAGCCGGCAGAGCTTCTATGGGAGCGGCCGCATCACTGAGCCGCACACGGGTGGGAGGCCGGCAGTCCTCAGGTGAGCTATTTCCAAAAGACAATTGTCAGGTGATGCATGCTTGTTTCAGGCATCAAGAAAGGAGCGGGTGCTCATGCCATACTGCGGCTTCAGAGGCTTTCGCAACATAGCAAAGTGTCTAGGCGGGAGAGCGCAGCTGCAACCCCAGTACCTTATCCATATGGACCCCAGAGGAGACAATAGTACAGTCCAAGCACTGTGATCGGATGTGGCACATCCCCATGAGATCGTGGTCTTTGAGCTGTACTGTGGTGTCCCATGGGCCTTTGCATGCACCTGGCAGGGTCCTTGTCTCTGTAATGGCATAAACCTATGCATGTGTACCAAAAGCACATTTTTTGCTGCTTACAGGCGGCCTAGGTGGCGGCGGGTGCTGAGGTGGGACAAGGCGGTGCTGACAGTGGCGCTGGTGGCCATTGCGCTGGCGACAACGCCCGACGAGCGCCACTTTGTGAACTTCGTGCGCGAGTACACGCAGCGCGGCCTGGGCTTCCTGCCAGGTAGGTTGTATTATTAGATGTCGTGATTCTCTTGGCCAGCAGGGCCTTGAATGTACTGACAAGGAGGGCGGTACCAGAAATGCAGGCCAAACTTGCAGAGAGAGGGACGTGCAGGATCTGGAAGGCCTCTCAAGGGCTCCCTGGCATTGCCAGATGAAATGAAATTTTCCTTTCACTATTTCTTGTGTGGTGGGACCTTGCCTTTCTGAGCGCACAGCAGTCCTGTGTCTTGGTCTATACTCTGTTGACGGGCACGCACTTGTTGAAAGCAGGGCCGGTATGTCTGACTGAGTGAGCCTGACTGAGTGAGTAAGGAGCTGAGGATGTCCCAGAAGTTGTACTTCTCACGGGTTCCCTGCGCGGCGCAGGCTTTGCCGCGTCGTCGGTGGTGTGGCTGCAGATGCGATCGGGGCTGGGCTTCCGCTGCTGGAACCTGTGGTTGTGCAGCCTGGCGCGCTACCAGAGCTTCTGGTTCCTGGGCATCTTCAACACCTGGATCCCGCTGCCCGTCTCCTGGGCCTACGCCCTGCTACTGCGCTGGCACGGCTCCGCCAACAACATGCTCAAGGTGTGGTGCCCTCAACTATCATGCATGCAACGCTGCAGTGCCCTGCATGGATGACATCTTTTGTTTCCAAGATTGAATTGCCACTTTTGCGGTCCAGAGCGCCTCCACAAAGATAAAATTGCCAGCTGTGAAGCTAGACTGTCTGCTTGCCAAAGAGCGCATCTTCACATGGCCGTGGTGACCCACAGAGATTTGTGTGCAATGCTGTGGAGACCTTTTATTACTCAGCGCAGCGAGCGCACACTTAATACGATGTAGACATTTGGCGCTTCATTGACAACTTCCTTTCGCTGTCAAACGTGCAAACTTTGTGAAAGCGCAACTCAACGGGTCCTCAATTCTTTCATCCCGATCTTTCTCCCTGACAGAGTGGCCAGGTGCTACAAGAGTCTCTTCAAAATAAAAAAACCTGAGCATCATCAGTGTGACATAAATTTTAATATATTATTGTCCCCTGTAATCCCCTTCCCATTAAGTTCTTCCTCTTCTATTTCAATCCGTTCTTTCTCCCCTCCAGGATGGGGAGGTGCGGTGGCCGGCGCCGCTTGAGGTGCTACTGGCATTCAATGTGGGCGTGTTTCTGCTCTGGGCATTCGGCAGCGCGCGGCGCATGACGCGGCACTTTGAGGTGTCGCCCGGCAGCCTGCCGCGGCGCCCCTGGACGCTGCTGACCGCCACCGTGTCGCACTCCGACCTGTACAGCCTCGTTGGCAACCTGCAGGCAGGCTCCCTCTGCTATGTTCCTTTTTGCTCGAGCGCTCTCTTCAACTTCACCTCCTGTAGAGCGTTGCTGGGTACTCACCAAATTGGATCAACACTTCATACAGGGCAACCGACAGGGTCTGGCATATGTTGCTGTGATGCTGCAAGACATACCCATGGGCTTGAGAGCCTGCAAAAGTACCTTGATGAGCTGTGGTTGCTTCTTCTGGCCTAGCCAGCATGCCAGGAATTTACATGGAGCCACTAAACTTGACCAAGCTGCTTGCTATCCTACTGGACCCAGCTGTCATGGAAACATAATGGCAACAGGTGCATGTTTCCTGCTGCGCAGATGCTGTTTATGGTGGGCCCGGGGCTGCAGGCGGAGCTGGGCTGGACGCGCTTTGCAGTCCTCTACGTGGCGGCGGGGGCGCTGGCAAACCTCAGCGCCTATGTGGGCAATGTGGTGGTCAGGCGGCGGCGGCTGTGGGAGACCAAGGGCGCGTCTGCGCCGGTGTATGCCCTTCTGGCGTGCACCGCGCTGGTGCAGCCATACCGCAAATTTGTGTGGCTGTTCGGCCTGCAGCTCAACTCGCTTGGGTGCGGCCCAGAATGGCACCTGCTGACTTCTAAGCATCTCGGTTGTTGGCTGTGTTGCCACCACTGTTGGCCCAGTCAGTCACGCAGGTCCCTGGCGGCGGCTTTTCTGAGAGCCACTGGCACAGCGTCCTCTTTAGTCCAAGCGGATCTTGGCAAGACTTTGAAGAACACATCAAGGGTCCTGGAGAAGAGCAGCAGCATGAGCTGACTTCAAATACTTTTGAAAGCAGCAGCACAATCATGTAGAGGTGCATTGACTTCCAGACTGAGAAGCACAGGGACGTCACGGCTGTCACCTCTGGAGCTAATCAGGGAACAGGCCATTTGCAGTGGGAGTCAAGAACACCCCTGGAGCGGCAAGACCAGATAAGTTGGGATTTGCCAGTATACATCTGGGAAGTCGTCAGGAAAAAGTCTGGCACGTGCGGCACCCAGAATCTGAAGTGAAATTGTGAAACTCTGAAAGAGTGGAGTGTGCGAGCGCAGGCTGCTGGGCGCGAAGCTGCTGTACGAGTACGTGGCGCGGCGGCTCGGCGGCGGAGCGGTGCCGGACTTTTGGTCGCGCGTCGTCGGCGCGGCCACCGGCCTGGCCTTTGCGAGCGTGCTGCTGGATTGCAAGTTCCTGGACTGCCTGCCTAAGACTGTTGTCCCCTGGGACGGCCGCGTCATTGCTTCTTCCGCTTTGCAGCGCTAACTTGTGACCTCTGCGCTCTGGTGGCCGCCACAGCTGCTGCGTGCTGATTTGAAGGCGCAAAGGGTCATAAAGTGCCTCAGACGGGCACCCACAAACCATGGTGCCTGTCTGACACGATTTTTCCCTGTATACCATGCATTTTTAAGTGTGCCAATGGAGCGGTTTTGCTATGGCTGGCGCGTGTAAGGCACAGGGGATTTGTGTGCCAGCCGTGGCATGCAGGACTGATATTCAGACTCTGTGCAGTGTTTGATGTGCAATACTTGAATAGGAGGACCGTTTGCTTACAGCATGAAAGCGAGATGCTTGATCACGAGAAAGTAGTGCACCGCATCAAAAGAAGCCTCTAACTGGCTCGACGAAATGCATCAGGTTGCTTGCTCTGAAGTCCAACCATAGGTCCCAAGCACAGGGGATGTCATTCATTGCAAACAATAAAAGCACCGTCTAGACAGCATGCCTCTGAAATTTGTCATTGGTCAAGGCATTCAACAAATGCCAAAACTGGAGAGATGATGATGAAAAGGTGCCGTCCCATACTCGGCCAAAATATCTTGATCTGCTGAGACGAACTACACCGCTCTGCCAACAGCATGACGACATTCTTGCGCTTGGGGTAGCGTCTCCGGAAATGAGGGTTAACCGATCCGAGACTATTGCTATTTGAAAACTATATCCAATCCCCCTTCGTGTGGCGAAAGCCTTCGAAGAATTTCTGGAGCCTTCGGGCCATCACAACATTACAATCTCAACAAAGTAATAGATCACATTCTCCCGAAATCCAGGAAGTGATATATTTCATCAACAGACCATTTATGTACCGCGCCAGGCCCTCAAACTTCTTAATGCACACAAAATTTAGTTTCGATCAGCCCATGTACTGTGCCGATCGGGGACATCAAGGCTGCGACGTTGCTTCACAGGGTTATCTAACACAAAGTGAAGGTAGAAAAAGGTGATTTTTGAGTGTGTGCGGTTTATCGTGAGTGGGCGAGGTCTCGAATGAGAAATGATGGAGTGAGGAGAGAGTAGCCTACCCGAGAACCTCGCCTGCTTGCCGCTTGCGTGCCCAAACGTTCTGTATGGGACGATCTGGCCGCTGAGCTCTCAGACGATAGATCGGCCCGTGATTATTGCTGGTCCTCTTTCATGACGATTTTTAGTTTATCCATTCCCAATAGACACCACATTTCTTGCTACCAGACAATACTCTCGGTCCCATAACCACATGATCAAGAACGAAAGACGCCCCTGGTCCAGGCTTCATTGACTCAACCGAATTAGGCATACTTACCTGTCCGGCTCGGTACCGTGATCACGAAGACGGTCCGGGTATCCCCGCTGCTTGCCTTGCACTCAGCTTGCGGCGGCGTGGTAGGAGTGCTCCAAGAGGGTATCTCCACGGAATAATCTTTGGTAGGCCTGGGATTAGCGTCAGCTGCCCGGGCACAACACACAAAAATACGCAATAATAACATATCCATTCACCAACACAATCTAATTGACTCAAATTGTTCCAAACACACCGCAAGATGCAAATACAACGTGACAGTCATCAGCTGAGACATAGCGCACTAATCTGAACCCCGTACCAAGACCGACCGCTCATGCTCTCAGAGGAAGGCTTCCTGTCAATTTGAACAGGAAGGGACGTGAGGCTTCCAATGCAAACTTTGAGCTCGAAGCTAGCGCATGTCTGGGAAAGGGGCATGCCCATATTGGGTGACCCATGGATTGCAGTAGACAAGGCCGCCTAGCGGCTGCAATAGTGAATGAAATGTCATGTGAGCATGTCAACATGATCTGTTTAGGGACACATCTTGGGCTCGCGCTGATTACAGAGCGCTCTTCATTTGACATCCATTGCCAGATCAGAAATGTGGTCTCAACCTTGGGAATCAATAAAGTTCTCCTTTCACAGTGATGCAGTTATCAAGTACAGAAAGTTATCCTCTATTGCACAAAGACACCTCGTGACCAAGCTTGGTTTCCTAGGCGTCCAAGCACGGCATGCAATGAATACAATGACCACACGTCGCAGCTGCGAATTGACCAGACCCATGATTCGGGCAGGTCCGCCGCATGCAGGCCAATCTTCCCAATGCTATTCCCTACCTTGAGATCATTCTGCACCGTCTCAAGCATGCCCTTAAAAAATCCCTGATCTGCAGCACTGCCCATCGCATCAGCTCGGACATTCTTCTTGTGCAGCAGATTACCTGGCCTACCAAGATGTTCTTTGACTTTGGTTGCAGACAGCTGGTAGCCACAAAAATCAGTCTCTCCCCAGCTGCACAGTGCCAGGCTCTAAGTCTGATCAATGACACCAGTGTTTTTCGATCTGAACTCAGCTAGCCTTTGACTGTGCAAGCATGAGCTCAGCCGCTCTGCTTCACATCAGGCCAAATACAGTGCACACCTAGCGAAGACCCTGTTCCTTGCTAGCTAATTGCTTCGGAAAAGGACACTGGCTGGCCACCCCTAATGCTATTCGGCCAGAAAATATCATCTTGCATGTGAAATGTCGTCTCTCAGAGATACCTAGGTTCCATCCCTGAAGGGGTCATCCGAGTTGAGCCGTGCATGTGTCTCTTATTAATCTCTATCCTCTCGCCGTCTGAAGCTAATCTTTTGTACAAAGAAACATTTATTCCACTCCCATCCACTCCACTCCAGAATCAAGCCCTTTTCATAGAACGGATCTCCTACTGAGGCACCTAGGTCCTATCCCAGAAGGCCGCATCCCACGAGGGGTCCTCCCCCAATGGCAACTAGCCCCCTCCCACAGGGGACTGCCTCACTGCGGTATTGAGGTCTCATTTCAGGAAAGGCTGTCCTTCAGTGGCGACAGGCCTCATCCGATAAGGAGTTCTGCTACTCAGGCGCCGTCCCAGAAGGGGTCATCTGACAGCGGCACCTTCTCCTGCCGCAGGCCGGCCACCGACTCGCGCTCCAGCTGCACAAGCGGCGCCGTGCCGTTGGCTCTCTTGGCGCCGCCGGCCGCCTCGACATCCGCGCCGTGGCCGCCGCCGGCCGCCCCTGTTCTCGCACTGGCGCCGGGGCTGAGGCGGTCGAGGTGCGCGACGTCGTTGACCGACAACAGCTGCACGTCCTTGGCGCGGTCCGGGCGCCGCGTGAAGCGCCTCCAAAACCTGCCACACGATGTCATGTAATTGATCAAATGGAGACGTGAAGTGTTCTCATTATGAGCAGCTGGTGAGCTGCTTTACTTATTTTAAGAGAGCTATGTCTCCAAACAACGGTCTGCAGCTGCCTGCCTACAGTTCTTTGGCCTACCAAAGGGGAGCTCTTGAACTAGCTTGCAAATTGTGCATGGGAAGGGAGGTTCTGCAAGGAGTCCTTCGGAAAGGCCTCTTAGCGCTCCTCCTGCCCTCGTCAGCCGGTCAGGAGCAGCAGGAGAGACTTTGCAACTGAAAAAGTCATGCAACCCAAGTTTCCTGCACAATATTTAGGGGGCCGCTTGCATGTAGAGATCGGCCGTTCAAGAACAAACGCAGGCTGGTCCCGCAGAGCAGCGCACCAGTGTTTCTGGAAGACTCGTGGCGTCTCTTCAATGCCCAGCCCCTTGGTCTCCGGGTAGAAGCCGTAGACAGTGATGGTCATCAGCACGCACATGCCCGCGAAGAAGAAGAACAGGCCCCACCGCATCGAGCACAGCATTGACAGGTACGTCTGCGCGCCAAAACACAATTTTGGAGGCCTGAAGTGTTGCCAAAGACAGAAGGCCACATTCACTTTGACAGCATGGTGTACACCTGGGGCTTGGCAGCACTGTCATAGTGCAGTCGCAACCACTGTTGAAACTCAGGGCACTGTGGGCATGGCAAGTTGCAGGGGAGCACAGCACAGCTCATCTTGGTCTCACGGAGCACTTGAATTTGTATGCCGCAGCGAACAGATGGACTGCTGAGCCACAATTTGAGCGGGGGATTCAAAGCGTGACTTGCCTGGCCAATGACAAAGGAGAACATGAGGTTGACGAGAGTGGTGATAGACTGCCCGGCAGACCGCGTCTCCAGCGGTTGCACCTCACTGCGCAGCCACACAAGGCTGGAAGACACTGCTTTACTCATCGTCAACCGCCCTTTACTACAAGTACTGAAGTGCAGGCAATTTACAAAGGTGCACACCCGATCGTAAGGGCCCCATGAGACAATCATGACAGTGTCCTTACAGCCTCATTGTTCTGGGAGAGGCAAAATTATTTGGGCCAGATGGCACCTCAGAGACTCTTACCTGGAGTAGAGCCAGCCGAGGGGCCCCCAAGACCAGGCGTACGCGCTGATGTAGACACACATGAGCGCCAGCACAAACCAGGCCGCCCATATCTCACCCCCCGTCGCCGCCAGTGTTATCCCGATCACCACCTGCGCGCAGGCACCAGCGTCTTTGGAACTGCGCCCATCATTGGCCACAGCCATTGCCATTGAAGCTTGCAAAAGTCACAATCACCCGGGCAAAGGTCACCAGGGAGCCTTTATTAATGTGCTTCCAGGCCCACCAATACTTGCCACCAGAGCCTGCGGGCTGAAACAGAGGGCAACTTGAGCAGTGCTCCAGACCGTGTAATGATGTGCCTGCTTGCCTGGGGCTTGGAATGATGGTGCTGGGGGCATGCCTGCCCAGAAAGCACTTCATCTCCTACTTGGGTGCTTGTATTGCCCAGCAGCATCAACCAAGACCCAACTCGAACAGGCATCACAGAACAGACACAGACTAACCTGTGGAATTGAAAAGAGGTAGAGGCCGTGCACGCTATAGCACTAGCAAGAGGGCCACCTCATTAGCATTCTCAGCACAGCTTGCACAGGCGCCTCGCTTACAGGTACTTGGCAGAGCACAGAGATCCTTGGCAGCCCAACTGGAAAGTCACCCCGATACATCAGCTGCGTCAGGTAATGGTAATTGCCTTTTGTTAATGGGATCATGGCCCTGGCTGGCGGGGGCCGGTGTGAGTACCGAGCATCATGCCCACTAAGTCTTGCCTGGATCTGGCAGACTCCAATAAGAGGTAAAGTTTTGGCTGCCTTTACATGTAGCTCGTCTACAGATGCACCTTGCCTTTTGGCAGGAAAGCTTGTAACATTAATAACAATGATAATGGGGAGAACGACGCACCAGCGCGATGGACATTTGTATGCCGCCCTCAATGAACAGCACGCGGCGGCCAAACTCGTCGGCGGCCCACAGAGAGACGTAGGTTGCCAGGTGGTTGACTACACCGGTGACTATGGTGGCCGCCAACGCAGCGTTCTGGCTGGCGCCCAGCGTGATGAACAGCTGCGGCGCGTAGAAGATTATCGTGTTTATGCCCGTCCACTGCGCAGCGCACAGGCACACCACTCCTGTCAGGCCTTGAGCACCATTGCTGCAAAACATAGTATGCCGGTGTGCAGAAGCACTGGGATGATTCAGCAACTTGGGGCCTGTCATAGTGCGGTGCAGGCCCCTTCTAAACCGGTGCCTTTCAGGAAAAACTGGTTTAGTATTGACCTGGTACAACCCATTAAGAAGGCAACATCAGGTACACACACGTTGCAATAGATACAGCTGAGAGTAGATCTTTTTGGACAATTTCGCATGGATGGCATGTGTGGTGATGAGCTCATGTGGCAACACCTTCCATGAAGTACAGCACCTTGGATCAATGTAAAGAAGGCTGACTACTGACCTGCTGGAAGAGGGTGGAGGTGATGGCCACGAAGAGCTGCGCCGCGTAGGAGGGCTTGAAGATGGTGCGCCACGGGTTGGTCACAAGAGCGGCGCGCTCGCAGGCCGCCTTGATGTCCTGGAACTCCTCCTCCACGTTGTCAACCCCCCTTATGTCCCTCAGCACCTGAGCATTCCAGTCAGTGCACACTTGTCATTATCAGGCCGCGAAATTGCGGCTGCAGGCACTTTGTGAAGATGAGGGTTGTTCTTCTTGAGTTGAGCAACACCGGCAGCAGGAGAAAAAGCGCCGTTGCTGTTCATCTAGACTGAAGTGAGTAGAATACGCTTCGGAAACTTTGCAAATTGTAAATAATGACTTGCTGCTTGCGACACTGCATCACCAAGCTGTACGGCGGCCATAATACCCTGTGCATGCCTCATAGACGTGTCTGCTCTCAGCTGGCCATCCTCCTTGTCTCCAGTCCTAATGGAAGAGCTGGGGTACTCTGCAGGGTCCACTTCTTTTCTATCTGCCATCAAGCTGTTTAAGCGCAAATGACGATCACATAAGAGCGAGCACCTGCTTCCCTTGTATTTTGTATCCTCATTGCACAAGAGCCCAAAATCAAGAAATAAAGCACCTGCTTGCCCTGCTCCTGGTGCCCTCGTTCTATGAGGGAGTTGGGGGTGTCGGGCAGTAGCAGGCCCCCCAGGGTGAGCACGAGGGCGGGAACGCCGGCGAACATGAGGGAGATGCGCCAGCCGTAGCCGGGGATGTGCTGCGTGCCGATGTTGATGGCTTGCGCCAGCACGATGCCCAGCGTCAGCACCACCTGCGCGCAGGTGCCGCCACGTTATGCATGCATGCTTGGTGCCTGGTGCCAATCCAAAACAGCATGAGCGCATGTGTGCACTGGTGCTGACAGGCATCCACGCATGCTAATATCTGTAAAGGAGCTTGCTTGCTGCATGCGAGAACCCATGCACATGTGCCCGCATGTGCTCACAGGCTGCTCATCTCTCGAGCGATGTCAGCCAGAACACGAGATGCAGCCGCTAACAAGGACTTGTGTGCTAGCCGCCCAACATATGGCAGCTGCTTTTGTATTGTTGAGGCGCGAAGTCTGGAACAACCTAGCCACCACAAATAATTGCCAGACACGCAGACTCAGCTCCACTCCGCCCCAGCTCAGCCCACACGCGGGCCATGACGATAGCACACGCAGGAAAAATTCCAAGGAACAGCACTTCCTGCCACACACCTGGAAGATCTGGTTGAGACGGCCGCGGATGTGCGCAGGGGCCATCTCACTGTTGTACAGTGTGACCGCCACAGAGGCAAACGCGACTGCTATGCCCAGCAGAATTCGACCGACAATGAGCATCGCCAGGTTGAACGCTGTGCAGGTGATCACCACCCCAACATCGAAGAGCAGGCCCGCTATGAGCATCGTCTTCTTGCGCCCGTACTTCCTGATGCACCAAAAAACAAGGCTGATGTCTTGCAGGGGTCGTGTATGCATGTTGCCGAGGGCCTCAACTTGAGGGCGTTTATCTCAGAGTCGCCCACTTTGAGCCGAGGAGAGTCGCTCTGACCACACACGGCTCAAGCAACGTGGACATCGCTGGTAAGGAATAGAGGAAAATTGCCAAAGTCTGGCAGTGGCATGAAGCAGAGTGGTGTGCAATGGTCACCTGGTGGTGTAGCCTGCAGGTAGCGCGGCAAAGACCCCGGCGATGAATAGGGATGAGGTGAACCACTGCAGCGGCTGGCTGTTGTACTTGCAGTAGGGGTTGCCGTCTGCACAGTCATGCCTTGTTTTCAGTTCTATTTTCCTTCAAACAAAATTGAAAGATGATCTCTTATAAAGAGGTTGGCACATGCTAAGAGGGGTCCATGCGCTGCATAATATTTGATGCAAGTGCAATGCTGGGCCTTCACACATCAAATGGCTCTTGCTCAAGTTGGCAGTGTGATGTTGAGAGGGACGCACTCTGCCCATCTGCCTCGACGTCCGCCAGAACGCTGGGAAAGAACTTCTCCAGGAAGTCAGGCTGCACCACACAACAATACAGTAAACGGAACTGCCTCCCACCATGAGAAGGAAAAATGAGCATGTACACATTCTAGTGGGTGCCATTCAAGGAAGATGCTCTGGTGACTCACCATGGCCACCACGCCTCCTGTGACGCCATTGTCATACCTGCACACACCACATCAATCCAGTCAAGTCAATACATGGTGATCCCTGCTGCTCAAAAGTGAGACACTGTGCTGGGATTTTCCAGATTCAACGGGCACACAAAGCTCATAGACAGAGCTAGCACGACTGCTGCGCAACAATTATCGCCCTGATGTCTGCTAGCTGAAGTGATGTCCACTTACCCGAAGAGGGCTCCGCCGCTGGCTGCTACGATGCAGGTCAGCACCACATAAGGCGTGATCCGTCCAGCGTACCGCTTCGCTGGCCCGGTCGCCACAATACCCCCTGGCAGCATGCAACAATTATTCATTGCTTCTTGCAGCTTGGAGCTCTTTTTTGGAAGTAATAGACAGGGGAGAAGACCAGCATGCAGTGATCAAGGAGATAGTCAGTAGTGAAAGTGTGTGCCCACAAGATCTTCACCTGCCATGTAGAGGTCTCCAGCGGAACGAAGGTGGCTGCAGCCTCAATAAATGTGAGCAACAGCCCCGCGGTTTTACACCCCGAAGAATGGAGGAGACGCCTCTAGTCGACTGTTCTGAGCTCCGTTGCAACACCCCTCGAGATCAGCCTGGCGAAATCAAGCGCGATCAGGAAATGGTTGATGAGTAAGCCAATGCATGCAGAAAATAAACTCAATTTCTGAGCAGGACATCAAGAAATGGAACAAGGCAGAGATGTGGGGGCTTGCCTCAGGCGCAGCAGTACACTGGATATCGAGCTGTTTAAAACTCTTGTATAGGCACCAGTCAGACTATCCCCTTTTTCAATCCTTTCCGCCTTCCATGCTTCTGGAAGGTCTCCTTCCCTCTGTCACGGCTAGGTGGTTGCACCAAACTTCCAATGCACCTTCTTGTAACTGTGGGAATCGCCTCCTGAGCAAGAAGAATGTGCAGATTGTTCTCTTGTTAGTAAGCAAACCACTCAGTCTATTTATCAATGGAAGGATCAACCCATGCAGGCACCATGCAACAAATGGATGCGATGCTGGTGCCGCTAGCTGCGCTGCAGGTGCCGCATGATCATGAGGTGATGGGGTTCAGCACAGTACCACCTTTGGCGCCAGACAGAATTGATCTGAATTATGCTCATGTGACAATCGTGCGAGGTCTGTGTTCCGTTCTTCTGCATGATTGCATCCGACCAATGCCACTCCTTGGGCGAGAAAGAGAATATCGTCAGCTAGAGGGCGAAAACTGTTGCGATTACGCTCTATGAAGTGCAGAGTGATTCTTCCGGTCGAGCCCCTCACAATCCCGACATAGTGTAATAAAGATTGAATCCATGTGAGCAGATTAATTTCACGCTCAATTCTGGTGAATAAAAAAACAAAGACAGATCAGCATCCCTCCTGAGCAATCGGTGAACTATACTCTGGTAAGCCTGAGTATGTTGCATCTGTCCTATTTGAAAACTCTCCCTCCTTTGCGTTGTATAATGTGCAAATTGCAGCTTATGCTGTAAGGAAAATCGATGCTAGAGTGTCAGGCGGGCCTGGGGCGTGTTTCAAGATGCTGTGGAGCATCGTGGAAGCCTATAAACCTTCCCTGTGTCTATGTAGAATGCCTCCCAGACGCCAGAGAGCATCCACCGGCAAGCAGTCTGCCCGCTCAGCGGAGCTGCCAGAGGCTGTCTGGACGCAGATTGCCAGCAAAATGTCTCTCAATGCCTGGGCCAAGGCATCTGGAACCTGCCGCACGACATTTAGGCTGCAGCTGCGCACTGTGGCTGTCCCATCAGAGCTTCCACAAGCAGGTGGGTCCATCTGCATGACAGTGTGCAGCGACTGACAGCAACTACTACAAAATTTCAACCTTTACTGTGACTGGCGATCAAATTGGCAGCAGTTTGGCAATGACATGGTAAGCTCTGTTGAATGGCAAATGTTCAGGTGTGGCGTGGGTCAGCAAGAGGCTCAGCTGTGCACGCGCCTTGGAAGTTGATGCAAAGGACTGGCAAGGGCTCGCGTTGGCAATGAAGCATGGCTTGAATGACGTACCTACCCTTGAGCAACTGGAGATCACAGGCAGCTCCCCGGAGGCAGGAAATGCGGCCGTTGCTCACCACATGTCGATGTTCTGGCTCCTGGCAAGCGCCCCAAAGTTGACATTGCTCTCAGCCAGCCTTGGGAAAGTTCCGTGGTTCCCGCCACTGTCGCGCATCAAGCATCTTGTGTTCACACTCGAGAAGGACGCTGACACAGCTACCATCTTTGCGGCTCTATCAAATGCTATCACCTTGGAAACGCTCTCCATGGATGCTGCAAAGCATGAGAATGTTTTGAAAGCCTCTGTGCTGCAGCTTGAAGCCCTGCCTTGCCTGCATTCAGTTAGGCTGGATGCCATCCGTCCAGCTGGCACCCACCTGCCTGAGGATTGCACTTTGCATCTTGTTGGCCTTGTGCAAGCAGATTTTGCAAGCCCAAAGTGGAACAGTGCACTGAATAAAGTGAGCACCTTTGAGTTTTTTGATACCAAACTAAAAATAATTGATCCGCTCCCTCCCTTCTTTGGGAAATTGCGGTTTGTCACATCTGTAGAAATTCGGGTTGAGGAGCTTGGACACCCAGAAACGTTTCTTTCCCTTGAGGGTCTTGCGCATGTGCAAAAGCTTTACCTTAGCGGTGATTACCTGTACCTGGATGTGCCTGACAAGGTGTCCTGGCAGGAAGTTTATATTGATGGCTCAAATGAGTTGGTGCTTTCCTTTGTTGATCCTGCATGCTTTGCAGAGACAGTACCAGCAGTGACCCTCAGATTTTGCTTTTTCAGGGGGGAGTCTCTCTTTGAGTTAATCCAGGCCTGGGGTGCATTTGATCGCTCCTGGGGGAGCAAATCGTACGAAACAAAAACAGTGATTTCTTGTCCATCGGACTCTGAAGTCGATTTCTTTGAAATTTGCTGCTGTGGGGCATGCATGGTTTGTCTGCGGGACTGAGGCAGAGCAGTTACGATGGTGGAGGCTGACTCAAAGTCTGACTCTGAATAGTATTGGTGGCTGCAGTGCAAACATTGATTTCAGGGATGACAAATCTCAGCCGGGGGGCCCTGCAGGTGCTTGAAAAACGGTAACTAAAACTTCATGTTTATTACTGCACGCCTGTGGCCATCAAGGAGGACCATTGGGTTGCCAACCAGTGGTCAAGTCATAACCCTGCGCAGACATCTGTGGCCACCATGGATGGCAAATTATATTCGCATGATCTGCAACGAACATTTGCATAGGCTGTGAATCCCAGCCTGGGGCCTTTGTCTCTGACCAGACTGATGAATACACTTCACACATGCGCGCCCAACCGTCGCAAGTACTCGGAAGCTTCCTTGGGGGAGCCGGTGAATTGGATGCGGCCTTGGTCCATGTAGCTGACGCTGTCTGCCCACTCCAGCTCTTCCAGCCGATGAGTCACCCACAGCGCCGTCACCTGCATAATCACATAAAGGATGTCAGCAATATGAAAAAGAACAAAAGAAATATAGAGGGTGTTGTGGCAATAATGCCCTGATTTCACAGGCAGACATCTGCAGACCTCCTGTCGGTCAGGTGGCATGTAAATGTGATGCACTGTCTCCGCGATGAGGGGCATGCAGCAGATACGGCGAGAGACAGGGAGAATCCTGTAAAAGATTTCACCTGATCGGGGCCCCCCACGCAGCTGCGCACAGCTTCCAGGACCCCTCGCTGGTCCTCCCCATCCAGGAATGTCGTCAGCTCATCCAGCAACAACACCTAAATAAGAAATTCCAAACTCGTCTCTTAACCCAGGGGCTCACATCCGCCAGATCCCATCTCGCAGAGCGATTTCTCACCCGTACCTGTATTGTGTGTGAAGCCATGCATGCGGGCACTGTAAGAACAAACACCAGAGCACAATGACATGGTGAAAGAGGGCACAAAGGTGAAGCAGGTGCCACCTTTGGGCACTGCGCCAGCGCGCCAGCTATGGCCACCCTCTGCTTCTGCCCGCCGGACAGCATGTGCGTCTGCCTGTCTATGAACCCCTCCAGGTTGACTGCGCGCAGCATGCGCTGCACATGCTCTCTCACCATGCGGTCTTGCAGATCAAACCTGGGCCACACAGGGATGCTGTTAGGAGTAGGTCTAACCGTTCACGCGCTGCTTTGCAGTAAAAGGTGCAACGCATGACACACAACAAATCAGAAGCAAGTGTCTGCCCTTGCAGCCTCAGTATTGCAGCACATTAGGGGAATCTCTTTTAATCCGTACACACAGAAGAAAAGAAAAGAACTGTGAGGCAGGGAGCTTCTGCCAGCTTTTGGGGGGCCTGATTTGTTGTGTGGGCACAGTGCTCTCACCTGCCCAGCCCAAACGCCACATCGGCCCCAACAGTTGGCATTACCACCTGATGGTCTGGGTTCTGAAACACAAACCTGCAATTATACAGAGTACAAGTCAGCTACAGGCTACATCCCTGACACATCGCACTGTTGAAGGCATTTCTGCAGGGGACTCTTCAGTTCTGCATGAGGGTAATAAAAAGCCAACCCCGCAGGCCGTTGAAGGCTGCAGCTGCCACTGTCAGGCGGCATGAGGCCCCCCAGGATGCGCAGCAGAGTGGATTTGCCGCAGCCATTGGGGCCTAGCAGCATGTGGAACGTGCCAGGAGGAACTGTCAGGCTGGCGTGTGAGAGCACCTAAGAAATTCCAGTCACAAAGCTGCTAGTGAGGCACATCGCGTAAAGAGGACTGTGACCACAGGCAGACCTGGGATGCAACATCTAATTGCCAGTGTGGGGATTTTATGGGGAGGTGCTGAACTCTGCTACTGAGCCCACTTATGATGGGGACCCGTTCACAAGCTCCTTGCGATGGCAACGAGTTGGATGTGTTGAAAAACTCTGGAAAGGCTCAGACAGATAAGCTGGACGTACAGAGACCTTATGGTGCCTACCTGCTTGTCCCGAAAGCTTTTGCTGACGTCCAGCACTTCAATGGCAAGCGTTCTGGGTGATTCTGTTGCCACTGCCAATGCTTTATTCCGGCATTTGATATGGTATCTGTTGAGAGCATAAAGCCCACGGTACTCAATCAATCCCTTGTCCCTCGTGTGTGTCTGATGTGATCTGGCATTGGATCTGAGGATCGACAGGTAATGCCAGTCCCTTAACGAGGGCAAGAGCCCGGCATGTAAGCTGTTTGCAAACTCCCGCATTATTCTTCTTTCTATTGAATGTCTGTACACAACGAAATCTGCGAACCAATGAAGCTGTTTATTGTGTGGTGGATCTTCGACTGATGTCAGTCCTGCATGTTATTTGTGTCACAAAATCGCAGTCATGCTCTTACGTGTTCGATAAACGTGCGAACGAATCCTGAAGTATTCTTCCTGAGACTTGCCCAGCTGCAAGCCAGGGCATCCTCCATGCATTGTCCTAAATAAGCCAAAGCACAGCACAGCAGGCCTTTCCCTCTATTGCTCCGAACGATCACAGATTTAGAACGATCCAGCAGCTCTTGTATCGAAATCGTCAGCTGCGACAGCAAATGCTGCAACTTTGAAGCGCTGCATGTTTTGCCCGCCAAGTCTGGTGTAATTTCACTCAGCAGACATGGAAGAAGACAATGCCACTCAAGCTCAGGATCAGCCACCTGCAGAGGTCAAACCAGAGGTCAAACCAGATGTGCAGCACTTGACCATAACAGTCGCTAATCAAGTGAGCACTTCCCATCAATTCACGAGGAACACGTCTGGAAGATGGCGAAGTTTACAGAGCCTCACGATGTCTCAGTGGCGTTACATGAGAGTGTCATGCAGAGGGATTGATGAGCCATTTCATAGATGTATGTAATCAGCTTTGATACTCTTTTTTCCGTGCAGTGTCTCCTGATGACGAGGGTTGCATTGTTGGGAATTCTTGCAATGATCCACCTGTCCGCCAATTGTCCAAGTTTTGTTCGTTCTTCGGTGACCAGACGTCTTAAGTTACCTATGATTTGCAGGATGGTTCCAGGGTACCTTTCAAGGTGAAAATGACCACGGCCTTTGAGAAGTTGTTCAAGGCTTACTGCTCCAAGAAGGCACTGGATGCCACCACCTTGGTATTCATAACATCGGAGGGACAAAGAATCCTTGGCCATCAGACGCCTGCAGATGTGAGTGATTTGATCATCCCCTCTGTTTTGAAGATAGTAGCTTGCCTGATACACTTGCTCGGCATTTTCCCTAGTTTGTCCATGTGAAGGGGATCCTTTTCGATGCGGCCCTGTCTCATTATAGAAGTATACCAGGCTGTGTTTCTGAAACCATTCAGTTGTCCCCTATGTTTAGAATTGAACGTCCAACAAGACTATGGTTTGATGCAGTTTGGCATGGAGGATGGCGATACCATTGAGGTGCAGCAGCATCAGATTGGGGGCTGCGGAAGTGCCTCACTGCAAATCACCGTGCGGGCCTGAGCAGTCCAACATGCACGCTGCAATTTGCAGCCTGGGCGCGTTCTGCTGTTGGCACGAGTTTCTCAGTCTCAGGGTCCTTGGCATGATAAATTGTTGATATTTTGGCATGGTGAAGAAATTGTTGGCAGCTTCAGAGGGTGTCAGATCTGTGCAGTTCATTATGCAGACACCTCCTGTATGTGAGGGAAACCGGACGTGTGTCACACTTACCTTGGACAGCGAGACTGCAATGGGATGCGGAATACATTACAATTTGGAGTTAATTAGGAGTCCCCTTGCACTTCACTGCTGCATTGAGCAACCTCAATAAGCAATCATCAAGTGCCAGCGAGTTCATCTGAGAAGACGTATTTATCATGAGCAATCATTGAATTTCGTGCCACAAAGAATGTGGCATCCTGTAAATTAGGAAACTTGCGATCCAGATTTCTTGCAATATCTGCACGTGAAGCACCTGTGCACCCTGCAGGTCACTTCGTGATGCAGTTGAATGCATGTGCACATGCATGCTTGCATGCAAGCGCGTTCGTGAGCTTCAAATTGAAGTCCACAGCGGGCTGGGGCGCCCCAGCATCATGTTTCATAACTTACAACACCTGCTATATACAACTCGAAGCTCAACATGGACAATTGTCCAAGTTAATCCAGCCTTGCAAGTCGGAGTAACCTTCAGCGCTAGAACTATGTTGCGTCAATTTCAGTGACATTGTCAGGGAAGTTGTCTATCTGTTATCACGCCTTTAAGTCCTTTCAATTGAAGCAAGCTTTCCAATGGAAGTAAAACAGGAGCACTTGGAAACAGACGCTCTCACCAAGAGCATGAAGGTCAAGCAAGTGCAGAAGGGAAACCAAACACAACCAAGCAAACAATATTGGTGTGTTGCTGCATCTGCATACGCATGCACACTCCTAGTCCAGCTGTAACTGAGGATGTATTGCAAAACGTTTGCAGCTCTCACTCCAACCAGCACCGTCTTGCATGCCCCTCGCCGCAAGCCTCCAGTGATCACTGATGAGCTATGCAGCCGCTGCAGTTCTGTGTCAGAACAGGACACCGCAGCCTTTCATGACTACTCATGGAATAAGCCCCCGCACTGCGCCGAAGATGACACCAACGGCTGGGGCAAATATGTGCAGCGGCGCATTTCCCACCGGCCCAAGCAAACCCCCGCAGTACTGCGCACACATGAAAGGAACTGATAAGCTGCAGTGTATGTTTGTGCCACTGCAGTGATGCCTGTATGCACAACCCACAGAAGCCCCACCATCTCTTTGGGATATTTGAAAGAACCAAGTAACTTTGGATTGCTTTCTGGCACTCAGCCGCCTGACCTTTGGTTAAGCTCTTTTGGATATCCACTGCGAGCATTTTCGCAAGCTGATTCACATGTTCAGAGAACACCTTTTGCCCTCTGCACATACAGTGGCAATGGCACCCTTATTGACCACTTTGAAATTAACTTCAGAGCTGTAAGCATGTTGGCACACCCTTTGGATGAGGTGTGCTGCGCCGGGTACTATGGTAGTCCGAATCATGGCCTCCTTGCCGACGCGCGCAAAGAATGTGTCCGGCCCGGAGTGCACCAGATCTGACGCAAATGCCACAAACTCCTGCGCGCACATGCAACGGCAGCCATATGACATCTGGGTGTGGAATTACACGAACCAAGATGTAACCATGCAAGCAATGCAAAAGGTGCGGAGCTTGCATAGGTTGCGAACCCTGGTCAGCGAGCGGAAGCAGCCACCCATAGATTCAAACTTTCTTTATACTCTGCGTCTGAAATGTGCTATCCAGATGGACAGAAGGTGCAGTTGACTAGGATCCTGAGCATGTCAGCCAAGGCTGGAGGCACAAAGGGTGGGCACTTCCATCAGGCAACACTCAGAAAGTCTCGAGTGCGCACAGGTGCACATGTTGCGGCAGAGGTGGCATGCACAGATACAGACATTGGCATGGGGGACAGGACAGCATTTTGCAGTGGCGCAAAAAAAATTGTGACATGTGCACGCACTGTCTTGTCCAGGTACCCATTGCCGTCGATATCAAACACTTTGAGAGCGGCTCTGATCTGCGCGCGCGTGGGCGGGTTCTGCCAACCGGGCAGCCGCTTGTTGATGATGTTGTAGAGCTTCAGAATGGCCACCTCTATCTCCAGCGCCTCCAGCTTGCCGTCATTGCTGTAGTCCACCTATTTGCCACAAGCCTCATCAAAGCTGGCACAATCAACTGTCTATCTTAGGGAACTGCTGTGAGAGTAGTAATTGGATAGAAGAGTCACGTGCAACATCTCAAGGATGAAGTAGGGGGATGCATGCTTGGGCAAAACTTGGCTTCATTGCTCTCCCAAGAACCATGCTGGTCTTGTGAAATGCGACGCCGATATGACACAGGTGTATATGACACACCAAGATGATTTGTAACAGAGAGTCAAGCAATGTCTACCTGATTGAACACTTGTTCGCATAGCTTGCGGAACAGGAATCTGAACAGCCTGCAGCAAAGCACAGCAGTGTTCTGTTGGAGGGCCCCTATGATCTGACACAGACAGTCATGTGTGACTCGCTACAAGCAGGATGGTGTGGCACGAGCAGATGTTGTGTTAATGCAGCCAAGCCCTAAACAGATCGTCCCTCAAGCATCCTGGATCAAGCGTCCTTCATGAGTCCAGGCCATTGTTGTACCAAGAAGCACATCAGCTGCTCAATTTCATCAAAAATTTTCTCAGATTCTGTTCGATTGAATAGTATATGACTTTCGCCCTCCGAGGGAGAGGGTTGCCTACCCCATCAAGGATCGGTGCCTGATGTCTTGCTGATAGAAGAAAGCCCAATAACAATTTCGCTCCTATAGCAGATGTCTGGTTGTACGCAGATTTACGGATGCCTGAGTGCTGCTGTTCTGCAATCGTCCTGAAAGCTTCGATCCCGGTGCCTAAAGGTACAGTGACTAAGCATGGGCATAGCATGTTGCTGGACACTCTTCTGCAGATTGGATTGTGGGAGACGAAATCTGAAAATCAGTGTCGAGATAAAGTGCTGCGATACTAGGGAATTCCCTTTGATGCCATGGACTTTAGTGGCCAGATGCGCATCATGCCGCTGCTCTGTGCGAGAGTTGCTTTCCAGACCTCGGGCCTTTAGCTTGTACACCTCGTTTGGAAGTGATCTGAGGAGGCCTATAGTAAACAGCAGACTTATCAGAACACACTGCAGCCCCACCTCCAACGAAGTCGCTCAAGTGAACATGGATGTGCGCACTCTAGTAATCCCCAGATCACAATACGCAAAAGTACCTACCACATTGCTATGTTTTCTTAGATTTGTACTGCAGGGATGGTTTCAGGAAGCAATCCGGTCACCATATCCTGACAGTGGCACTTGATGAACTGCACATGATGTTGCTGCAGGTGACACGGAATACCTTCGCGAAGGCTCTGCCCCTAGTTGAAAAGGCTCTAGAGAGATGTCATTTTTACGCGTTCGACCTGGAAATGACTGGTCTCCATGTCGTGGACAAGAGGGAGGACTACCTAGACGACATCCAGGAGAGATATGAAGTGGTGCGTGACGGCCGCATGCATGTGCACCAATGAACGATGCTGTATTGATCTGACTGTTGCTGCCCATGGCGATTTGCCTTGCCATCTTACTCCAGGACCCAACTGACCCTAAGTAGATCCTTGGGCAGCTCAGTGCATCCCAAACTTGCTGCATGGGGGTCATCCAAGCCGTTTAGTTGTCTATTTCTATTTCTGCAAGGAAATATCGGGCAACTTCGATGCATGCTCGTGCAGTTAGCAGAGGGCGCACAGAACTTCCTGGTGAGCCAGTTCGGGGTGTCGTTCTTCTGCTGGGAGGGCGGCAAGTATGAGGCGCAGACCTTCAACTTCTACCTCTTCCCCCTGCCCATGCTGCCAGGCCAGGACAAGCGCTTCCTCTGCCAGGTGCCTACCTCTCCCTAAAAGTGGTCCAGTGTGCTCAGAAGGAGTCACATGCAAGGCACTGGGGACAGAACAGAGTCCTCATTGGAAACCGAGAAGGTGGAACCCCTGGTCTTAGATTGTGCTCTTGATCCTTAATAGGTTGTTGCCTTCGTGAAGAATTCTGGATGCAGCTCTCATCAGGAATGCCAGACAATAGCAGGCCGTTGGCACATGCAGGCAATCTATAGGCTGCACCAATTTGCAGTGCGATCAGAATGTGCGCTTTTGGCAGCAGAATGCAATGGAGCCCTCTTCTGGTGCAGGCTGGCTCGCTGGAGTTTCTGGCGGGACAGGGATTCGACTTCAATAAGTTTGTCTACGAGGGCATTCCCTTCATGCGCGTGGCCGACCGCGACCGCCGCCTGGCCGGCCTGAGCAGGGAGCCCTGCCGCTCAGAGATCAGCATCCACAAGACTGAGGACGTGGAGTTTGTCAGCTCGCTGGTGCAGCAAGTGTCCTCCTGGCTCAAGGTGGGTACACCTCTGTGGATCTCCATGGACGACTTGATCTTGGCAATATAGCAGAGACTTAGCAGCCCACAACAGCAGTGATGTAGTGTTTAAGTTCAGACGAAGGGACTCACTCTTCATGCAGGTGTAGGGGATTATTCTTGGCTTGGATTGATTGCAAGGGCACGTGTGTCCCAGCACTCCTGTGCACGTTGACTGTTTGGAGTAGCAACATCTCGATAATAAGAGTTGATCTCACCTATGCATTGTGAGTCTAGTTCATGGTCGAGTTTGTTGCTTTTGCAGGGCAGGGAGAAGGAGCTGATGCTGGAGGAGGTGAATGGCTACCAGAGAGCCATCCAGTACCAGCAGCTGGAGAAGCCCCAGTTCGGAGCTGCACAGCCGCCAGGCTTCTACTTTGAGGTGTGGCTGCACACTGCTCATAGTTTCCTTCCAATGCTCAGTCATCGACTGTACGGGACCACGAACAGCTCTCAGGATGTAGTTATGATTCAAGAGACCACTATGCACGATAAACATCCTGCATGACTGGAGGCTGCAAGGGCAATTGGGATGCACAAATTGTGTTGTGCTATCAAGGTGCAACCACATGGGCAGGCTTGCAATGGCTTCATGGGCACAGGAATGGGCTTGCAGAATTGCATAAATCTATGTCTTGGTCCATGAGTGGCTTAAATGACGGAACGGGGTGTTTCCCTGCAGTCTGCGGCGGGCCCCCAGGGCAGAAGGGCCATCAGGCTGACGAGGACAACTGCTGCTGAGGTGGAGGCATTCAATCTGCGCAAGAAGGAGGTGCGCAGCAGCAGTTTTGTTTCAGATCCGTACCTTTGTCCATGGCACTTCCTGGGCACTCAAATGTATTTCTGGACGCAAAAAAGCCTTTCGTCGCATTGCAAGTTGCGTCAGGACTTCACGATGCGAGACATTGCAGCAAAGACAGATCCAGCACCCTGATAGATGACAGTAATGCATGGCAAACCATCACCAAACTTCAATTACTGTACAAACACTACAGAACGCTGACTGTGCTCTACAGTGGTTTTTTACTGTATTGTGCGCAGGCGGAGTTTGAGAAGGTGCGAGCAGCTGCTGGCTTCTGCGCTGTGTTGGAGCGTCTGCGCGACAGCGGCAAGCCGGCGGTGGGGCACAACTGCGCGTTCGACCTCACCTTCACCCTGGAACACCTGGCGCAGCCCCTGCCGCCCGACTGGACAGCCTTCAAGCGCCTCGTGCAGTCCTGGTTCCCCGGTGAGGGACCCTTCTCTTCTAGAAGGAAACCCTAAACCTGAATGTGAAGTGTGAAATCCTGAGATAATCGGTGATGTGCTACCGCTGAAAGCCGAATGGACCGCCTTCAAGCCCTCCGTGCAGCCTGCTTCCCAGAGAAAATCTCTACTGGTGGATTCCATCAGATAACTCTTTAAGTTCTTTTAACAAGTGGCATCAGCTGCCTCATGAGTAGACCTCTTCAAGCGCCTCTCATGCGTGCGTGCATGATCAGATTTCATGTTAACTTTTGACGATAGCCCACATTCTGCGGAAGATAGCAAATAAAGACCATGGGTACGGTCTGTAATGCTGAAAGTGTAAAGTGGTGCAGGCGGCCTTTGGGACACAAAGTACCTGGTGAAGCAGCTGCCTGGGCTGTTCCAGGCGCTGCCCTCCACCTCGCTGCAGCCCCTCTACCAGGCCCTTAACCCTGGCGGCACCCCACAGCCAGAGGTCCGCATTCTTACCTCAAACTAACCCTCTTACTATTTTTGAGTTTGAACTCTGCCAGCGTTAAACGCAAATGTCTCTATTGTCCTGCTGGTAAATCTTCCAGTAATATTGAAGTTATTCGTTAACCTGCCTGTCATAGCGCGTGGCATCTGTTGCGTCAAAGAGTTGGTGCAAGAGTGGGGCAGGCTCTGTCAGGCACGATCAGGTAATGCCAATGATGCTGATGTGCGCCGTGTTGCAGGTGTTGGAGTATCTGAACAGCACAGGGGACCGGCTGCCGTCTGTGGAGCATGCCGCCGCATTTGCGCGCTACACCGGCCCTGACGCAGACTCACACGCCCACGAGGCCGGGTGCGCTGCTGGCAAAAGCCCAGTGAAAGGCATCTTTTCTGGCCTGCGCTCAAGGATGGCGGTAGAAATGGAAGAGCCTCTGCATGCTTTGCCATCCACTCTCTTGACAGATGCAACACTGTTCTCAAGATCACATGCGCTCTCGATGTGTGTTCCAGCAAGCTCATAAGACAGGGATGAGAGTGGTTTCTTGCGGCTGATAGAAAACTTCCCAGTCGCATACTAACTGCAGAGTGCACGGCAGGACACGCCCGTGAAATTGCATAGCTGGTGCAGGTACGACGCGTTCATGACAGGCGCTGTCTTTGCATGCCTGCTCCAGCTGCATTCAACTCGCTCATCTGGCGCACCCAGCTTGCAAGGTGAGCTGCCAATACCTGCATTCTGTCCCTCACGGCAGAGCACTTACTTCCCACACTCTGGAAAGTGCACATCCGCGTGATCTTTTGCCATTTATCAATATTTTAACCTGTGCAGGTCTGTCTGCCGGCCTGATATCACGTCTCGATTGAGAGTGAGCGGTATAATTTGATCAGAACACAGACATGGTGAGACAGCCATGCTTCTTTCAGTTGACATTTGTGCTCAGTCGATCTTGAGATTTATTGTTGCCTGACGCCTCTGACAGGAGGCACAAGCGCAGCGGCAGAGGCCGGATTGGGCGCAGCTGAGGCCGGTGCCCTCTCAGTGCGCGGACTGGTTTCTGACATAGAGCATGCCTCTTTCTCTGGCCACCAACCGCAGTTCTCAGGCATACAGGTGACTTCTTTAGACCCATTCTCGCTCATACCCAGCATTTTTCCTTCACAGCCCAAGGACCGCCCTGCGAGCTGCCTATGTGTCATTTCAAGAGCTCTGCGCTGAGCTTTCAGGTGCCAACCCTGGGTTATGCCACCTGCGCTTCTAGGTGGCAGTTCTGGGGAAGACCCGAGACAGGATCACCCTGTGATTTCTTGTGACTGCTCTGCAATGCATGCAACAAAGCAAATGAATCTTGATGAGCGGCGGAGCGGTGAATTTTTCACATTACTTGCAGGAGTTCATGGGCCGGGTGAACATCATGATCTCGCCAATCCCATACGCGGCTATCAATGGGGAGGACCCGCTGCCAGACCTTGACCACATCTTCTACCTCAGCGGATTGGCGCACGGAACAAAGCAGAGCGATCTCAACAGGCTCCTGGACAGCGCCCGCCTCGGCCGCATCCGCATCAACCAGAAATCCCGCGGCACGCAGGTCTGCAGCTCTGCACTGCTTGGTTGATGTTTTGCATGCAGCCCAGATGTTTGCTGTGGATGTCTTATCCCGTATGGCAAAGACGTTTCCATTGAAGTGTCCTGAATGATGTGACTGTTGGACATTTGCCTTGCTCAGTCACCGGCGTGATTTCCCCGCTTGCTTTGTGCGGTGCATGCAGCCAAGAGCTTTTGATTTGTTGTGGCCGAGATTGCTCCCTTGAAAGTATCCTGCATGACGTGGCTGTCACAGTGTTGCCCTTGCTGCAACCAGCTTGGTGAAAAGGTGCTTTATTTGATCACGTGGGGAGGTCCGCAAGCGATGTGGTCAAACGGTGTGGTCAAGAAATGCTCCCTTGAAGGTTCCTGGATAGCCTGGTTGTGGGGTTGTGCCCTTGCTGCAACAAGCTCAGTGGATGATCGCGGTACAGCTGTGTGCTTTTGTGTGCAGCATTGGCGTGACAGGGGTGCTGTGTTTGTGCAGGCCATTGCAGAGGTGCTGGAGAGGGGCGCCAGCCCACAGGCAGTCAAGCAGGCGCTGTGCAGCGTGCTCAGCCTCTCACCAGACCAGGTGAATCATGTGATTTATTGAAAGCTTGTCAGAATCCCGATGCTCACATTTTCAAAGGAACATCCTTTCACAGCGTGGCTTGCTTGTCAGAACACTTTGTCTGTGTGTGTCAGAAGTAAATTGTATGGCATGCGCAGGTGTTGACCAGCGCCGAGTTTGCATCTCAGAAGGCGAGTGGGAAGCTCAGCAAGCTACCGCATGGCGGCTGGGAGGCAGCTGCCGGGAAGTTTCCAGGGGATGTTGCTCCTGGGAATAACGGGGCGGACGGGCACGGAGCGACCCGGCCGGCAAAGAGACCGCGGGCCGATGAGGATGTTGTGATGGCACCGGTTGACGAGAGTGAGCAGGCTGCAGCGCGCTCAAAGCGCTGCATACTTATGTGACATCACGTACTGTGAGTAGTTGTGCATCATCTGGCATGCACTGGACCGAGGGAGAGATGAATTTATTCCTAGGGCCTTACGGATTGTATTCACATCACAGTTGCTTTGTTCAGGTGTTGATATGTTGGTTTACATATTCTCATGGACGTGTCAAACATGTCAATTATGGGACATTTTCTAACTTTAACCCATACTTTAGCAAAAAGCATTTAGATTTGCAAACGATACACTTTTCAAGCTTCAAGCTTCAAACTTAAGTTCCGATCAGCAGCGTTCCACTGACCAATGCTGCTTCAGGTCATTCGCCAGATGTCACCCGTTGGTGGCAAATAGAAGTTGGCAGTCAAAGACTTGCTCAACCAGAATATCAGTACCTCCTATTTTTCTCAGACACTGCGCCTTAACTTCACACAAAAGGGACAACCATGGCGAGCTGAGCCCACACTGAGTTTCTAAAGGCCTTTGTCCTCTCCCACAGCCATCACGCATCTCTCCCCTCTCAAAGCCCCAAGCGATTGTCAGATCCCATGTGCCAGCCTGAGAGGAATGAGAGTCCATCGCCGTCTGCGGCCGCGCGCGTCGGCAGAAACCAGGCCGGCAAGCTGTCGCCGCAGATGGCAAGCAGGTTGCCGCACAGGCCCAAGTCATACGGGTGCTTGTAGGAAGTCCCTGCCTTGTCCGCCTGCGCGCATGGAACCCTATCTCAATGCAGGAATGAGCCGCAGCATGCCTGGGCCCCACTTGTTAGCTGGGCTTCGATCACAGCAGATGTCACAACCAGCTTTCCTCTGTCTTTGTCCACAGAAAGATCAGGTGCACAACAGGTGGCAGGATACCAGCGCATTCCAGGAAATCAAGCTGATCTGCCCACAAGCAACCTTTTCCAAAACACAATGCAAGGCAGTGCAGCGCCAATTAGCGAGATGGGGCTGCCTTGAAACGTGTAAAGCAACAGGTCCCCTTGTTTTGCATGACTATGAGTCAGCAGAGGCTTGCGTCAGTGGAGAGCAGACCTGGATTTTGGCGGTGACGCCTTCGTGGTATTCGATGGTGGTCTTGTTGTGCAGAGCCAGGTGCAGGTTCCACACCAGCAGCATCACCAGCCCTATCGTCAGCGGCAGAGATATCCCCGTGCACACCGTCTGCCATGCACAGACACAAAAATTCTTGTCAGGTGCTTTGCAGCACTACCTATCACACAAGGTGGCATACAAGTTTATATCCTGTGAGAAGACTGAGAGAGCTTTGAAAAAACGTGACTCGGTCAGTGATGAATTGATCAATCTGGCAGACTCGGCAGCTCTTGCAAAACATTTGCAGTTGCAGGACAACACCGGGGGCGTTTCCAGAAATTTGGCTTCAAGTACTTCAGATTTGATACAGTGATACACAATTGTCAAGGCATTGAGAAGCTTGAAAAAGTAGTTATCGTGAGGCACCTGCATGATGGCCCAGACGAGGTTGCCGCGAGGGGACGCCTCTGCAGATGTGCCCACGGCTGTGCCACCTGGCCCCGTGCGGATGCTGTGCTGGCGGTGCTCCGCATGCATGCGCACCCAGTAGAGGGCGTGCCCGCACAGCAGGCCCAGCGCATGCACCGCCGCAGCAGTCACATCTGCGAAATCGGGGACAATCAGCTGCTTTACATGGTCAATACACAAGTATTTCAGAGCCATGTCGCCCACACGGGAAGTTGCTGCTTGCAAGCTACAGTCGCAGAGCCATAATCCGCTGATCATGACAGGATTAGTCACGCACAAGCGGTGTCAAGGGCAAGGGCTGAAGCCTTGCAAGACAAGATTGTACATGCCTCTGCCGTCATGGCCAGATTGTCACAGCCTTGCTGCTGAATATTGAAAGCAGTGGACACAAACATTCCACCTTGGGAGGTACGTTAATATACTTCAGAATTGCAGGTTACATCCCCTTCATCCTAGAAGGGCATGAGAATGCCGGCACAGCGATTGAGTGCGCTGGTTTTGATCCTACATATATCCAACAAGCAGGCAACACCAGGCAGTTTGCTTGCTGTAACATGTCACCGAGGCCCGGATGCAGAAGACGTGCCTGGCTCAACCTGAGGAATAGCCGCAACATGTGAAGGAATGCAACAAGGCATGGGAGATAAGAGAAGGGACAGCGCACAGATAAGGAAGAGCATGAAGGCCTTGTAGTTGGCGTGGCCGACGCAGTTGTTGATCCAGGGGCAGTGATGGTCCTGTGGTCAACACGAGACGGTCGCGATGGGGTGGTGAGCATCAAAATGTTCACAAGAATAGAAATTCTCAAGGAAGTCACCACCCAGGTGGCATGTGACAGTCCACTACTGTCAAAGTTTAAGCAGGTAATGCATCTTTCACAAATCCTTCTTTACTAACATTCATCGTGAGAAATTCGATACAGTGATGCTACCATGCGCAGGACGCAGCGGCGGCACACGCGGCAGTGGTGCGCGCGCGGCGGTTTGTGGCGGCCGCACTTCTGGCAGAACCGCGCCTCGCCGCTCTGCGCGCACCCATGACTTTAAAGTCATCTCAAGCACTTACTCATCACTGAAGTCAAATTTTCTCATAAAACGTCCTTTGAGCGAGCTGTTCATCACCACCCAGGTGGCATGTGACAGTCCACATCAATGTTTATGCGGGCAGTGCATCTTTCACAAATCCTTCTTTACTAACACTCATCATGTTGACTTTGCACAGGAATGCGGCCTTTCTGTGGCAACTTGAATGCCCTGACAAACAGAGCAAAGCCCGTGTTCCAAAGGGGCTACGCCTGCTACAAGTTCGGCAATGCAGGTGCTCTGCTTCCTCACAGTGTAGATAGGATTCGGCCCAGGACTGCTCATAGTTCCTGGTCTCAGCCTACTCTATACACTGGGAAAAAGGCTACTTGCGATACCGAAGTTGCAGTGGGCGGCAGGCAGGGACACACTTGTAGTACGCGAATCTCAGCTTTATATGTGCCAGCCGAGAGAAGGACGCACCTTCCGCTTGACCTGCAGTACCACATTTGCCTCCGGGTCCGGCGCATAGTCCGGTGGCACCCTGCGCCATGCACGTCATCAAAGCTGCACCATAAAAGTCCATCGCTTTCTTCAGGGCAAGAGACTTGACTATGCTCAAAGGATGCTTATTCAATCAGAGCCCCTTTGAAGAACACTCGTTGGATATTTGATGCAATGCATGCAGCAGGGTGCCCACTTAGAGGCCATCAAAGGCTTCAGGTCAGAAGAATACATTATAAGGATTTGATGCTTACAAGCAGTATGAGGATCCACAAGGGGCAATGCATGCTAGGGGTCAGGGAGTCAATGCATGCAGAGCACACCTGCCGGGGTCGACCACAACGCAGAGCAGGAAGCAGTAGAGCGCAATGCCAGTGTCTACGGAGAGGAAGCCCAAGTTGAGCACGCCGGGCACTGAATAGCTCAGCCAGGGCAGGATCTGCACTCACAAGGCACAGCAAAAGTCATGAGTTCTGAGAGCATCAGGTGGCTGACTGAGATGTGAGGCAGACCTTTCTCCTCACTCCTGGCGTTCGTTCTGCCTTGATGTCTGCACTCCTCTTTGTCTAGATTGTCAGGAACAGGGGGCCGCCATAATGGGCCTGATCAAGCATTGCTTTCAGGATGCGGGGCATGCAACATTCTACTAGCTCTATTGGCACAGGTATATAGAAGCCTGGCGCCTGCTGTATGAGTCATCATCTGCAAATAGCAGGGCACAGATGCATGCAGGTGATGGCATCCGTACCACGCAGAGGACAACTGTAAAGTAGATGAAGAAGATGATGCCCAGCACTCCAAACACCGTGCAGTTGAAGCGCCTGAACGACACTGTGGGTGTGCCATCCACCAGCCGAGCAGCAAGCGGCACAGCTGCTGAGACTGCTTTGTTGGGTGAATGCCTGGCCAGCTGCACTCCCTCGGGAGATGGCCTGGGCACTGGGGACTTCTGGCGAATGTTTGGCGAGCTCATGTCACCGCTCACAAGCTCTCCAGCCCATCCTTGAGTCGATGCTTCTGCTTTGATATGTGCCTCAGGGTGCTAGAGGTGAGGCACCAGAACAAACTCTACATAGGCACGCCACCCTGACTCTTCTGAGCGGGTCTTTTCACCAGTAATATCTTCTACGCTTCCGAAGTTGCGTTGAAGGGATGCTTGAGAATTGGGACGATCTGTTATCAACAATCAAGCACCGATGATGCTGTTCCAGCTGGAGTTCCTTTGCGGCCTTCTCAGTGCGACGATCCAGCGGCCATAGATTAAAGTGTTTCCAGAGTCACGAAAGCTAAGGCAATGCAGGCAGCTATCAGACCTCGTGGACAACAGATGATGTTAACATCAACAGATTTTGGGTATAGGCAGCTGACTTTCGATGCGTTGCAAAATCAGTCCAGACCCTCCTACGATAATGCCATTTTTCACTGTTTCTGATTCAATTCGGTGGAGGGATCTTGACCATTGGGTGTTTGAAGCCACGCTTTGCCAGGTAGGCATGCTATGACTCATCACCAAGCTTGCAACCTGGATGCAGCACCCACTTGGTAAGAGGGACAATGGTCTGATCTTTTCTTGTGTCAGAGCGGAAATGGTGAGTCCATGTTGGCAGCCATCATAATCTTGCCAGGTCGCTGCCAATCACGATAAAGTCACCTGCACTCAACAGCTTGCACGTGGATGAGCGTGTCGACACTGAGTCAGTGAAGCATCTATACAGTCAGAATTGCTGGAGCTTCTAGAAAGCTTCAGGAGACAAGCCTCGTGGGCAAAACACACCAGTCACCAAGACGCTTTGGTGAGCTGTGCAATATCAACAGGCTAGCCTCGAGCACGTACAAGTCTTAGCTCATCGCAACACATCTTGGGCCAATGTTAGAGTCACATGCAGGGTCTTGATCCGATCTGATTGCATCCAAGAATACTCCCAAGCGACACATCTGCTTCAGGAGACCGTAATCCCTCTATAGAGGCGGCCCCTGTGCCTCTTTCCTGGCCGACGCCTGATTCAATTCCACTGTTGCTCTGGGCGGCTTCCCCAGCAGCGCACCCTCCTGCAGAGGCGCCTCATACCGCCCTCCCGCCAGCTGCCACGCCTGCAGACACCAGACGCACACTCTCACTATTTTGTCTCCACAAGGAAGCATTGCTAAATTTGGGCACAGGCTGGCTCTCGCCATGCAATGAGGCCAGCTGGTTTAGTTGAGTTACAGGGATCCGTGCTCTGATACAGCTCTTGCGCACTGCACCATGACTCTGAAATGCATCCACGGGTGTCAATAACATGTGGCTATGTGTGATAGACATTGCGTCTTTTAGGAAGGCCTTCTGCTTGCATGCGCGACTTTGACTGAAAGTTGTCCCTGAGAGGACTCCGGGACCCCCACAGCCTGTGGGCCACAGAGGACTCTAGAATTGACTGAATTAAACTGACTTAGGTTCGCCTGTACAACCGCGTGTCTACAGCAGCACACATCGCCTGGTGCGCCTCCACGCTCTATAACATGCTGACTAATATACAGTGTGATTGTTTCAGCACTGTCGATCTTGATTTTTGCGAGGGCCTGAGAAGGGTCAGGGTGCGCACCCGTCCTGCAGACATTGTGTCCCAGATGGGCAGCAGCGCCAGGGGCAGGCAGGTGGCGGCCACCAGCACGGGCAGCGCCAGGAAGGAGGCCAGCCACAAGACCTCAAACCCCCAGGAGAAGGGTGATGTCGCCGTTGTCACCGCCTGCGTCGCCTCGTGAATTACCAACGCTGCGCACAGTACAGCACAGCATAGCAGTCAGGGGTGGTTTGAAATAAAATCGCTTGCAGCGACAGCAGGCATTCAGACTCCAGGAACACCATTCAGCACTTTCCTTGGTAAGATTGCTGCTGAGCTGGCAGCTGCAGAAATCCCCGTTGAGGGCCTTGCAATGCTCGGTGAGTGCATCTCGCAAGCAGGAATTTGTGTGGATCAGCGCATGTGCTAGCCCAGACAGAGAGAAGATAGTTCTAGCAGGCAACTGCAAATGCCGCTGGCAAGATGATTGCTTGTGGTGGGGAAGACTGTCGCACCCACTGCAAATGTGCGATGGAAGATGCGTATCCGGCGCTGCAGAGGACGGTTGATCACTCCGCGCATCATCCGCGCCGTCGCCCGCAGCAGCAGCAGCAGAACGCATGCGCCCAGCGTGACCGAGGCGATGCAGGACGCGGCAGGGAACGCGCATCGCGTGCAGCTGCAGCATGGGAACAGTCATGATGGACGACCGATTGACTACATGACTAAAGCATGACTGGACTGCTGACTGGAGCATGGCTGCGGATTGCCCTCAGATGTAGCCAACCCTGGCCATGGTGTTGGCAGTGCTGCATGCAGAAGATTTTTACAGAATGTCCAGGATTGGGGACAGCGAGCCTTCATTCCCTCCAGGCCTCCCGCCATTCTGAGGGAAAAATAGGGCTCCTGTCCCTCAGTAAGCAAGATGACAACAGGAGCATAATTGAACGACTTGCTCTGACGACTTTCAAGGCTGTTTTGACTGTTAGATGGATGTGGTAAATTGGCAGGGGAAGAGGTCACCTGACCCCAGACGCCGGCTCCTCAGCAGCGCCGCACTCCTGAGGCATCCCCACGGCGTATGGAGCAAAGAAATGGTGCAGCACCGACTTTCTGTGCCCCAAGCCCACCTGCACAGCAAGCTATGCATCTAACCAAAGTCCTTCCCGGCTTTTCAGGGTAAAGACGACCAAGAACTGGACTTTCTTAGCAGCATTCATGTGTTGTGAGTAGGCACGTCACAAAACCTGGCAAGAAGCAAATGTCTAAGGGACAATGGGTAAGCCGTGACGGACCTGCTGCTTGAAGGCGAGGCTGATGAACGCGATGACTAACTGGCTGACAAACACCGGCGCCGTCCAGATCGCCGCTGTGCAGAGGATCCTCCCATTCGGCCACTCCCCTTTCGTCGCCCCTGATTGGCTGCACAAACCCCACATGCCTTTAGCAGTGTCCGTCATAACGCCCCTCAAATTCTCTGTCACCTCCGCAGTTCTTGATGCCAGGTAAGTGCACAGCATATCCTGAAGGAAAGCACCATGACAGCCCAGAAACATGAGGGAATGGTAATTCTCGAAATGACGCTAGGCAGAGCAGCAGCAGCAGCGGCCATCCGAGAGTACAGAAGTGCTGCCTGCCAGCACCACTGTGCAGATCAGATGGCCCCCAATGCAGCTCTGTCTGTTGCTATCGCAGGGCCCTCAAGGTGAAGGGTATGCATATTGATGAGCATGATGAGTATGCATATGGTATTGATCAAACTCGACCAGACATCCAGAAGCAACTGCTACTCTTGTGGAATCGATGCATGTCCGTCGGCTAGAGTGGATATATCTCAGCTGCACCTGGTGCTCTGCCGGCACAGCAGCAGAGCGGTGAGCAGGAAGAGCGGCTGCAGCAGGCCCACAGAGATAACCAGGTAGATTCGGCACATCCACCCCTCCTTGGCCCAATCAGTCACCCGCGGTGACATAATCTGCGAGCCCGGCTCCCAGATAGCATCCAGCCGCAGCCATTGCGCCAGCTGCACAGTAGAAAGAGTTTCACTTGTTAGTCCAGAACTATGTGATGCCGATGATGTACGTCCAGGTGACATGGCCTGCCCCAATCAAAAGCGTGAGCAGAGCCGAGGTGCTAGGGAGCTCAAGACAGTAGCAATCTTCACTTCGAGATGAATACGACAGACTCGAATATTATCTTCAGATGCGATTAACTGTCCATGTGCAGACCACCTTCAGTTGCATGCTCATCGTAAATATGCACTACAGAGTAGCTGTAGCATGATGGATCAGTCCGGATAGATGTGCCATGCATGGTCAAAGGGTGCACACCAGCCAAAAGCCGCCACTGAGGAGCAAGAAGGTTCTGATCTTCCAGAAGATGTTAAACTGGACAAGGATGTGCACTTGACGTAGCGTCCTGGACCAGGGGAGCACGGAGATGGTGGTTCCCAGGCACAGAAGGAAGCACAAGCCTGGAAACAGTCAAACCTTGGTCAACTCTGCTGATGAAGACTCTGCAGCATTAGGGAGTCACTCACTGCAATTCATGCAAGCAATGCACTAAGAACGTAAAAAATGGGACATGGCATGGAATGAGGGACCCCAGAGAGGCATCAAGGATCGATGGGCATGTATGAGTATCAGGTTGTGGTGTTTCCAGTGATGCACCTGATACTGCCATGACTGCATAGTCGAAATCTCTGACAGCTGTGTATGATATCATTGCAGCAAATACATTTTGCCCCGACTGTGTGATGAGTCAAGGTGCACTGTTCACGCAGGCAATGCAAAGCAGTATATATGGGCTCATTTGTAATTCATGATGTAATCCTGCTATAAGAGCAACATCTAAAAGGTTTCGCGATCTCTCAAAAGGATAAAACATGCACGCCACGCATAGAAAATAACGCAACGAAGCTTCACGACATCACAAGCTGCTTTATCTTATGTCGATATAAGGACTTCTGGAAGACTGTTATGTGTAGAATAAGAAGCAAGTTTTAAGTCTTCGAGCTGTTCACAACGTTTGTGCCTGCATTTGCTTTGTGTTCCAAGGTGGGCACAGTGCCCACACAGGCGCCCACTAAGCGCTCACATGGAGGTGTGTCATCGATCATATCTCTACACGTGATGGCAGATTCTGCTTGCACGGCACTTCGAAGAGCCTGAAATCCCTTAGGACCGCTCCTGAAGGGCATGGATGGTTACAGGGGCCAGGGCTTCCCTTTCCCGGACCCGACACCAGCAGATGTCTCGGGAACACAGCCAATGCCCAACACGGGATCTGCCCATCCCTCGTTTGTGTGCACTCCTCTCGACCTCCCGCCACAACAGCATGGCTTCGATGGCCGTGCAGCGACATTTCCTTATGGGATTAATGCTTCCCTGAACTCGCGAGGTTTCGAACACCCTGAACGATCCAGCAGCAGCGGTGACGCTGCTCAAAGAGCCTCCTCTATCAACGATGCAGCTCTATTCAGCGATCTTTTCGCTCAGGGTCACGAAGCAGTTTCAACGGTGGGGGGATCATCCTGATGTATGCCCTGCGCTGATGAAAACAAAGGATCTGCAGCGTGCAAACCACTTCACCAAAGACACCTCGAGTTGGCAAAATGTGCTCTTTTCCTGCAGCGACCACCTGAGGATGAAGCGGCACTGCTGAAGGCACGCCAACTTCAGGACAAAAACAAACGGGCGCAGCAGAGGTGAGACTTCCTTCCCGAAGTGACCTCGAGGTTGCTCAGTCACTGGTTGCTATTTTGCCGAAGCAGAAAGCGCAATGTCTGTTGAGACATGCTGAGACCGCTTCTTTTCGGTGCTCCGCAGGTATAGGGTGCGTCAGAAGGTACGTGCAGCACAAACTTTGTTTGCAATTGTTGCAATACAAGGCCGCATGCAAGTGCATTTGTCTATTTTTCCACCACCTCCTTGCCAGCAGAGAAAATCCAGCAAACAACAGACGGAGGGTAATGCAGCAGCAAAACGATGCGGGAAAAAATGCAGGAGAAGATGGAGGACTACAAGAAGCAGCTGGATGGTCTGAGCCGCAAAGTGGATCAGCTCATGGCGGAGAAGGCCTCACTGGAGACCAGGAGTGAGTGCCAATTATTTCCTGTTCTCTCTGTCATGGGGCTCATTGTCATGCAGCCCCAGAGGGTCTCATCAGAGAGGGTTCGGGGTGAATTATACAGGAATGATTTTAACCCGACTACCCTCTTTGCTTGGAAGAGCCAGATACTTGGGGTAAATGAAATACGCATGCTAAGGGGGCTCCTTTAGCCTGTATTCAAATGGGTGTCAATCAAAGGCGCTGCATGCACTGGCAATCTTTCTACCAGAGAAATGATATTGTGCCTACGCACTGGCCAGACTTTTCTTTTATTGTCGCAATCTCATTCTTGGAAGAAATTTGGTGTTCGCAGCTCAATTGCTGGAGAAAGTGGTGCGCATGAAGGATGAGAAGCTGGATGTGCAGGCAACCAATCCTGAAGAGGTGTTTGCCCTGCTTCTTTGCTATTTCTGACTTACTGAGACAGAAAGTGCCATTGACTTGCCGAGAGTCTGCACTCCAGTAGCCATGTCACTTCACCGCAGCGCTAGTGGGGTGATCCAGCTGTGTAGAGTGACTCCATCTCACCTTGCAGTGTGTCCCACAGCTCGCTCATGTGGCAGGTGTCAGACATGAAGTTCCGCATGCTTGTTGCAGTCGCTGCACTGTGGAACGGAAAGCTCATAGTTTTGCATGCATGCATGCATGCATTGACAGCGTCACTCTTTGTCCTGCAGTATGTCAATGAGAACGAGTGGCCGATGCACAATCTGGCAATGAGGCGATCCGTGCACGATGTTCTGTCGCTTGCAAAGGGCGGCAATCCAGGCATAAGCTTGGATGACATGCGCAACACCAGCCCGCAGCAGGTGCGTTCCCTTTTTCCCTACATCACCATTACTTATGATTAGTAAAGCTGATGCCCCTGCTAGCGCTGTTGGCATTTTTGCATTACATGCCCTTCTGTGGTGGAAACGAGCTCACAGGTTTTGTATTGTTTGTTTTGGCATGCACATCCTGGAACATGTTCTGCAGCTGTTCACGTTGCAACTGTGCATGAAGCTCGCCTTTCTGGCATGTCCTGAGTAAGGCAAGCTCAAAGCATATTGAGACCATTGCATTCTTTGGGTTTCTTTTGTGCAAGGGCATGGCGCTGCAGACCCAGTGCACATGTGCCACGTCAGCAAAACCTGAAAAAATCTAAAAGAATCTAAAAGAATCTAGAAAATATCAGATGTGGGTGTTGGTGCAGATGGAGCAGTATCATGTGGAGGTTGTGGAGTTCCTGTCTCAGCAGTTGATCCACCCGGATGTGGACATTCCGGGCTCGGCTACCAGCGAGCTGGTCAACAAAATCGTCCTGGGAATGGTACGCTCTACTCTCCCAGGATACCAGCCTGCTTTTGTTGTACAGCTGATGTGTGCAAGCTGTGCTTTGCTGTGCTGTACTTAGTGCCTCTTGAGAGAAGCACTGATATTTTAGATTGTTTTAGATTGTTTTAGATTCTTTCAGGTTTTGCTGACGTGGCACATGTGCACTGGGGCACCACCAAGGATATGTAAACGATCTATTGGCTTCTTGGAGACGACAAGGAATGCGCTCCAAAGATGTAATATCCTTGCTCAGCTGAAGAGATACTGTGCCCACTGGGAAATCTACGCTGTGCAAGAAAATGTATATATTGAGACATGGAAGGGCGCGTTTTTCTGACCCCTGAGTAAAACTTTGCAGAGGGTGACGAAAATGATAGGGGCGAGGATGCATTATGCCACCATCCGCAAGAGCGAGCTGAAGTGGAAGAGTGCCAGTGTTCCCACTTCCAGCCACCCGTCCTGGATCAAAGCAATTGTGCGCGCCCCTCTCATCACCTGCTTATGTGCTGTTGACTCTCTGGCCAACAAACTCAGAGATTGATATTTTCTGATTTGCTTCCTGTGCCTCAGGATTGGGGTGTTCTGGTTTAACAGAGGAAACCAAAACCTCCGGTTTCAGGCCAGAGCAGACATTCAAACAAGCAACTTCTTTGAGACTCTGTTGCCCTGCTTATACATGAGCAGTTGCCACAGAACATAGGGTTCTATAGAATATGCATTGATCACCTTGTGAGATGGCAACACGAGCAAGTCATGAGCTGCTTTGCTGCCTCGCAGTCACACGTGGGCTTGAACTCGGAGCAGAAGCGGCAGCTGCTGGCGAGTCACCGGCGGCTGCTTGCCAAAATGGACACCATCATGCGCGAGCGGACTGGGGTGAGCCTCACTCTCAACTGTGAATTCACACATAAGATCTTAGCAACATGCATGACCCTCTGATCAAGACATTTACACTCATTCAAGGCAGCATCTGCTTTATATTGCTGCCTAAGTGAAACCATTGCTTGGGGTATTCGACAATGGTGCGGGGGGCTGCTGAAATTGTGCAGCCATGCACGAGCCTTCTGCATGCTTTTTACCCGGGTTCATATTTGCTTTTGGAGTTGTATTTGATTTTGATTTTGATTTTGATTTTGTATTCGTGTGTGGTGCAGATAGTGGTGGCTGTGGGGCTGGCGCTGCCGTCTGCTGACAGGCCCAGCATCAGCATCGACGACTGCGAGCGCTCTAGCGACAACTACCTCCAGCTGTGCCAGGTCAGCATGAGTCATCCTTCCTGTGACTACAATGTGTTGCCTTGCTTGATTTTGTGGATACTTCTGTCATAGGGGCATGTTGGGATGTATCACGCTTCTTGTACTGTTCATCATGCGTCTTGGTGAGTCATGCAATTCTGAAAGGGAAGAGGGTTTCAAACATAACCGTGAAATTCTGACAGAACACTGGAGATTGGTAAGAAGCAATTTCATGGAGCACAAGGGCTGCCATATGACAGTGCATGCCTCAAACAGGTGTCGGATGCTCTGAAGACCAGCCTGGCAAAGGAGCACCAGGCAGTCGTGCAGTTCTATGAAGAGACGCAGACAGAGCATGTGAGCTCCACATGCACCAGCCCTTGTGTAGTTTAAAATCTCTTACCCATCTGACCAAAGATCGATGAAATGCAACTGACGCACACTTGCCCAGGGGCGCACACAGCCGATCTCTTTGCTTAATTCATTGTGTCATCAATTCCCCGGGACCCCTGATCTATCCCCAAATACATGCAAGGGACACACCTGTGCTAGGCTGCAATTCGGTCCTTTTGCTCCCGGAATGCTGACGAATGTTTCTTGCTGTCCGAGCTAGCATCATGCCGCCGTTCATGTCGGGTCATGTATTTGGGTTTGAAGTTGGCTCCTGACCTGAAATTGATATTGTTATTGGACTTGAATGTGTGTTTGGCTGTGCGCAGTCGCCGCTGACACCGCTGCAGGAGGCGCGAATCCTGGTGGAGATCTTCCCGCACCGCTTTGAGACCCTGGACTTCTGCAGCATCCTGGCAACTCTGAAAAATGAGGTGGGTGACACGCAGAAGAGATTGACAGGCGTTTGCTTTCTCCCCATGCTCCTTGGTGCTGCTGTGCTGAGCAGATGTTCAAAGATACAATGCCCTGACGGACATTCAAGTGACATTCACTTTGCTACTGTGAATGTGCTCAATGCCGCTGTTGCCTATCATTCTCATCGTCTCCTCATGAGCACCTGCAGAGCAATTACGTGGGTACCAAGGGTATCAATTTGGATCACCAGAGCTCATGGTTTGACAGTGCACATGCACTTTGGTGATCCGCATTGATCACCAATCGCACGCTGGTTATCACCCAGCCCTGCAATTTTGGGAGGATGCCTCCTAATCTTAGTAATACGATTGTTCAAGTGTACTAACACAGTCAGAGCAGCTTGCTCAAGGCACTATAATTTAATTTTATAATGCAGGGTGCGGCGGCGCAGGGTCAGGGAGGGAGCGCCCCAGGAGCACCTTGCATAACCACCCGTACCGACCTGCCGCCAGCTGGCGCCACATCACCTTCTGCCGCCAAGGAAGCGGATTAGTCAACCGTGCAGCGCCTTCTAGAGGTCTCTAGCTCTGTTTGTGCTTTACTAATTTACGATATGTGTAGATTTTACACTCAGCTGATCGATAGCCGTGCCCCAGAAAGCGCCGCGACAAATGCAAGCACTGCATCTGTCACATTTGCAGTCGATTCTTGATGGTAGCCACATCTATGTCTGCATGTAGGTGTGGCTACCGCTGAAATTGGCTGACAGCTGCAGCTGTGCAGAAGATATTTTTTTGCAGTCTTTACAATGAGCGCTTTAGACACACTGCTTTGACGAGCTTGCGGTCTGCAAGCTCGAGACACGCTCACAAATTCATGTCCTAGTTCCCTGTTGCATTGTCATAGGTCCCCATCTGGGGATGCAAATTTAGTTGCACAGCCTGTAGCTGGGGTTTGCAGGCTTATACCACCTGCTTTATTGGATTGTTTGCGTAATGCTGCCCAAAGCGTGGTGCAGGTTCAGCCTTTTGTAGCATAGGGCATGTGGCTGTAGTGCCCATCCCTTGCTTGGGAGATGCGCTATGCAGCAGCCTCTCATGAACAATTATTGCTGTAGCACAAGTTGCTGCTTTGCGTGCGTTTGCTGTGCCTGGTTTCTTTGTGTGAGCGGGCATCTCTCTTTTTCGTCAAGAAAAATGCATTTGTCTGGGTTGATGCCATATTATATTGCCCTAAACAGGCCACCTTTTGGTGACTATGACAAGTTGAGTTAACATTTTTCAAGAGGGATGAGCTGTTGACATCAGTATGGCAAGAAAAAATGAGATTGGTTCATGGTCTGGGGGTTTTGAGTCAGCCTTTATCATCCACACAAATGGGTGGGTGAATGAGGTTTGCTGTGGGTCAAAGGTCTTTGCTGACTCATCTAATGGCTCTGTGGCAAAATGGTTTTGTGGAGATAATCAGAGCATGCAGAGCATTCGATGTTGTACCGTTATACCATAAGGCTCTGAGATTCAATTGTCTCAAATCCACAAGACCACCAGATTGCGGACCACATTTACTGACGATAGACTCAGAGTTCTTTTGACCTGGGGGTTTGTTGGGGGACTTTTAACTTTGTAGAAAAGACATCAAGCTGCTGGTGTCATTGTCGAGGTCACTGTATGACATGATGATCAGCAGTACATCGCCAGATGTCATCTCTACCTGGTTCTTACTCTGTAGCTTATTGCTGCCTCAGCCGCCGTGTGAAGTGTCGGCTTTTGGGCTCTGTGGTTACAAATTGTAACTTACAAGACGTGCTTCACCGCTGCATCAGAAGCAGAGTCTTATATATGATTATCAAGGAATGCAGAGCCTTTCTCCTACGGCCAGAAACGTTTCTGTGCAGTCTGTACAGTTAATTGCACAGACTGCACACAAATAATCTGCTGGCCAAAGCATGCAGCCATACAAAAACACATTGGTGTCTCCAGAACGGACTTTGCCGCTTAAAATGCGCAATTTAAAATAATGTTGCATTGGTGTACCACAAGGCATTTGCTGCTTTTTGGATGCTTGGGCACTGAGCGCAACTAGTCTCCAGCCGTCTCAAAGATTCGATATTCAGCACCTGATCAGACACTGCCACCCATGCCAATTTTGGGACAGTGCAATATTAAGGGCTTTGTTCACGACTTGCCCAAACTCTTCTACAAAATTAAAAAAGTCATAATGTTGTTTTTGTTTCATAATTTGTTTCTGACAAGCAGTGCAAGCACCATGCCTCATCCGTTCATACTTCAATCTGTAGACTCCTACTGCACCCTCTCTGGTGGGACAGGCGAAGCATTCGGTAGAGCTCATGTGGCATCAAGAAATTCCTGCCAGGCGTGTCTTGATTTCCAGCACCCCATCACTGGCGTGCGCCCACCACCGGTACCGCTGGCAGATCACAAATTTGGCTCACTCATCGGCTCATTGGCGGGAACGTTCGGGCAGCCCTTGCAAAACTTGTCATCTTCTTGGTGATATTTCCACACCCACGCTGAACATGCAGGTCGCCCTCTCCCGCGTGTGTTGCGACCGTTCAGGGAGACATTTGCTAAAGGCCCAAGGGTGAAGCCTTATGGAAACCGGAACAGCTTTAACAAGTTTAGCTGAATCACAGGAGCACCACGGTGACAAAGCCATTGCCGGCGGCTGCGGCCAGCTGCGCCTGCACGAATCGTGCCCCCTGGGAGTCTGCGAATGAGCTACCGCCAAAACCATTCTCCCCTGCCGAGATGTGAAGCGATTGACATTGCCTCCCCTGCCGCCCTGAAAGAGACAGGGGAATAATTTTATTCCAGCAGACTTAGGACTGTTTGGACATCCCAAAGCTCGTCAACCAGTACTAGCACGCAATCTGCAACTGCTCACAGAATGCTCCATGCGAGCACAATCAATTGCATGCCCGCACCGAACATGCAGTGGCTGCCAGTTGATATGGCAGAGCTGTCTGATGCAGGCCGCATCCAACTTGCCGGTCCAAATGGTGATTCAAATACAATCTCAAAATCAAAAATTTAAAAGACGGACGCGTACCAGATAGCCGGCGCCGCCGCCCCCGCCGCAAGGGGCGCCGTCTCCCGCGCTGCCGCCCGCTCCAAAGCCGCCGAAAGAGGAGGTGAGTCCGGTTGTAATGCCACCCAGGTACGTTTCCGAGCCGGTGACGCCTGCGGGCACATGCACTCTTATTTCATACGGATCTAACGCATCTTTTGACCGAAGGAAAACCCATCCGGCCACATTGCTGACCAGCACTGTCCACGCAGGCATTCCTGGACAGGGTTGTCTCAATTGCTAGACACAGTGACAGGCCCCAAGAGATGGAGTTTAGATATGCGCATGCATCCCTGCCGGCCTTGTCAGGTGCCTTCTTTGACAGCACTCTGCTTGGCCTTGGATGCAGAAATTGTGACCGCCATGCGTGAAGGCAGTGATTCCAGTTCGGTGCCACCCATGTCCAGTCAATCTGCTCCTTAGCATTCCCTTCACATCTCCTCAAGGTCCCAAGGCATACAACTGCAACACTCTCGGGGGGTACAACGCCATCACAGGGGGTCGTTACTATCTATATATGGGTCTATGTGAATCTATGCATTCCCCTTACACTGATGAGGATCTTTGTCTCTTACGTCAATCCACTGGTCTGGTCTCTGGTGAATATTTGTTCTTTTCACAGGCAACGATACGTACCAACGGTGCCGCCGCCGCCGCCGGCGCCTGTTCCTCCGCCGCCGCCGTTCCCTCCCAGACCGGGCTGCCCGGCCTGCCCGGGCTGGCCGCCTGCCGTCAGCGAGGCGCCGCCTGCGCCCAGTGATCCTTGTGAGCATCTGAAGTGAAATCCTGAGTGGAGTTTCAGCTGGAAGCCAACGTGGCTGGAAATTTTCCACTGAAGAAAAAGAGAGCACAAAGAAAATTGCGCCTTGAAGCATCTAGGCGTGAGTGAAGCCAACTGGTGGCAATCAAGTGTTCACCACAGCATGCCGACAACGCTTGGGCAGAACACACAGGCGAGATGCCGAGAGTTTCTTGCAACGTGGAATATGTGAAGATGGACAAAGAAACCCTGCCTGCGCCGCCGGCCGGGCCGCCGGCCACCAGCCCGGTGGCGTTCCCTCCGGCCAGCGGGGGAAAATTCCCGCTGGGGCCGCCGCCACCGCCGGCGATGACCAACGGCGTGGTGGAGTTTGGGTAGAGGAAGAATGTTGCGCCACCGCCACCGCCGCATGCGCCGGTGCCCGGGCCTACGGGCAGGCCGGTCTGGCCAACGATGATGGCGACCTTGGAGCCGCATGCAAGGCGCACCTGCACCATGCCATTGAGCGTTAGATGCTTCACTACAACCCCTCACTGCTATGATGCCACACCCTAATAAAATAGAAGGGAGCAGAAGCAGACTGTACGGCTGTGTCCAGATCGTGAGATGGCCATAAGCTCTAGGTGGAGATGCAGCAGGGGCCTTCTCTAGAGGCACCAGCACAGCACCATTGCAGCAGCAGTAACGAGACAAACACCCCGCGACAGCACATATGACTTTGATTTTTGAGGCGGCACGGCACGCAGATGCCCCAAAGGGGCGCACCTGGGCGCTCACGACGGCGCCTAGGCCGGCCGGCAATCGGAGGTTTCCGCCGCCGGCCGCGCCGCCGACGCTGATGTTGTAGCGGCCGCTCTGGGGCACCGTCCAGATCTGAACCCCATTGATGACGTCCAGGTACTCCTGGTTTTGCGTCCAGGGGTCTGCGCCAGAGGCTGCGAAGGTGGTTTGGACCTGCTGCAGCGTGGGCCCGGAGCGGCCGCCCGCCCCGGCGTTTGTGAATGTCACGTCGCCAAAGTCGTACAGGAACGCTGCGTGAGACAGGTGCAGTCAGCATTGCAGGAAGAAGACTGCTGCATGGCACACGTGCCGTCAGCATAAAGATAAGAAGTACACTGAGCGAGGAAGGTGCTATATGATGGAGGTACGTTGTATGAGGCTGGCATCAGCAACAAGGCGTGAGATAGTGGTCATCGGCATGAAGGAAGGAGGTACAGTGCGTGAGACAGACTTTGCCAGCACGAGGATATAATTACGCTGCTGGGACAGGCATCATCAGCAAATGTGCATTAAAATACCGGAGTCAGGTCTCTCTCTGCTTGCATTAAACAGAATACCCAGCAGCAGTAAAAGGGCATGCTGCATGTGAGCTTCTTCAGGGGATGTAGGGACCGCCTTTGTCTGGAGTGTTCAGGAAAACCTGGGCAATGCCTTTGTTGTGAGTATTCACAGAAAGGGGCTCACCGCATTGGCCGGTGGCGCCTGTGGGACCGGTATCTCCTGCGAGGCCAGTTCCACCTGTGTCCCCCTTTGCTCCAGTCGCCCCAGCGCCGCCACTTGCGCCTGTGACATCAATAACAAATGCATAAGTGGCAAGCAAGCACCATGTGAGGCTTATCTACAGGCTGCCAACGCAATACTTTGTTGCTGTGTCAGATCAGCCCATGAACAGCACGAGATTCTCCGTTTGCAGGACCCAACGATAATGGCAGGCAAAGCAGTTGCAGTGTGTCCTGCTTGAATTGGGCTTTTTCATCACATAAGCACCGACCTGTCTCTCCAGTAAAGCCAGTTGCGCCGGTATCACCGCGCAGCCCTGTGTCTCCAGTGAAGCCTGTAATGCAGAAGCAATAATGTCACAGGAATGCAAGGGTCAAGAGGAAGCACATCTTTCACCATTCATCAACTCAGAGCATCAGCCCGCATGCATGATAGGCAGTGCTCACAACTATAATTACCCCGAGAGGAATTATCAGGGGATGCTAATCTGACTATAAGTTAAATTGGAGTCCCCTGAATTTACATCTGTGGCGCCAAGCCTATCAAATTGCATGCTCTTTGTTACTGCCAGCTGGCAGGGCAGTCTAACGTCTTCCAGCAAGCCAGAACTGCAAAAAGCAAGCAGCTCTGCCACACTGGATCTTAATCTTATCAAGGTGCAAAGGCTGAGCTTCTCACCCTGGGCACCAGTCCCGCCAGTTGCTCCAGTGAAGCCCGTAGCGCCGGTCACAGCGGTCCCATCCGCGCCTGTGAAGTGAAGCCCGCAAAACGTGACACAACTCTGAGTGGCCGTTTACACACATGCAGGGCTCCCTCCCACTTTTGCTCAATCCCTGATAGTTCCCCAGAAGAGAGCACCCTATTCTGCTTTGCTGAGGGAGGCTGTAATGGACACTGCTGGGGCAGAGCTGGGCATCCAACAGCTGCATTCTGTGCACAGAATGCAGCAGGGTTGCGGGTGTACGTAGGTGCCGGCACATGCCACAACACTGCCAAACCTTTGCAAGGACAAGGGGATAAACAGCTGGTGTGAGACATGTGATGCTTGTGAAGTGTTCCGGTGGGTGCTGGGGAGATCACAAGCAGAGGACAAGCGGATTGGAGTACAGCACCTGTTGCTCCATTTTGCCCTGTGGTCCCATCTTGTCCGGGAGTGCCTGGTGTACCCTTCAACAAAGCAAGCAAACCATCATCTCAGCTACATCCGCTGTAAACCCAACAAATTTTGCAAGACTCCTTGGCAGCCAGCCAGGCTTGCACTGGCCGATGCTACCACGCGCCAGTCTGCAGCCGACAGATTTGACTCTGCATGCCACAAAGGTATGTACTGCTATCTTGACTTCTCTAGTAGAGCTGCAGCACAGTTGTATTTGCCAGGGATTGATCATGATTGGTGCTGACTCTAATTGTCAGTCAGGTCTGCACCGTAATCAGCCTGGATTGTCGCATTAGGCAGCTCTACGACAATTGCAATATGGTTAGTCCGCTCACCATAGAGGAGCACCTAGAAAGGTGGGACAGTCGTGTTATGGCCTGCCCAAAAACTAATCGAGCTGCAAACACAGGGGCTGGGGAGCTCAAGACAACGGCAAACTTACAGACAGATGGCGATTATTGCTCAAGCAAGGGCCTACGTGCGGACCACTCTAGTTCATGGCCAGGAAAAGAGGGCTTTCATCTGATGCAGATGTGCTGAGGTTTGTGAAGTGGGACTCACCGAGCTCCCATTGTTGACCTGGCGCTTTAGGAGGTCAATTTCAGCCTGGAAGGCCTGAAGCTGGGCCTCCACTGCTGCAAGCCTGGCAGCTTTAGCAGCGTCATCGGCATCTTCTGCAGCTTTGTAGGTGTGAAATGCCTCTTTGGTTAGGGGCAACGCGTTTAGGAGCGCTGAACCGCCATCGGTGAAAAAGTCCGTTATGTTCGCCCCATCTGCATGGACACATATGCGTGTGATGTCCGCAAGGTCGTGGTCGTGCAAGCCACAAGCTGGGAAAGCGTAGGCCAAAAGGAGTCGTCTGGGACACAATCAGCAGATAATCAGCAAGACTTGGGCTTTAAATATCGTAAGGGATGCTACTGATGCTACCGAATCAAGCAGAATAGGCAATAGAGCACAAAGAGAAACCGTGAGTATACCGGCAGCATCGAAGTTGAGACTGAGCACTGCCCCTGCTATGACGGCGTTGAATGCAAACTTCAGGATCCCAGCTGCAAGCGTACATGTGCGACTTTTCATCCTTCTTCGTTGCCCTGTGTCAAGAAAGGTAACCCTATCCTGCACTTTGCCTTAGAAAAGAAGGAAGGTGCAGCACGTTCTCCGAGGTCTCATCGCCGCGCAACTCTGTCAGTTTCTGCAGAAAAACTATCATGATATTATTCTATGCGTCAGGCAGCAGTTGAGACGTTTGTGAAGAGTCCATTCTGTGTTCCGGGAGATGTGTCATCCTTTGACTGGTCAAATTGAATCCCCGCCACGTTAAATTACGTAAGTAAAAGGAGAGATTGCTTTTATACTTGGTAAGCTTAAGCAAAAATAATGAGCTTTTATTGCTTCACTCTCGGGCGGTGGATATAATTCCAAAGAGTTCTCCTGGCTTTTTCCTGTATCATTGTTACACGATGGTCTATATGGACCAGAGGCATTGCGTTGAAGATATGACAAGCTGCATCATACCTAATGCACTCAGTGCTCAAATTATACCTCCCCCAACCAGCTTGGGCCAGGCCACTGTGACGGCAAGGCAAACTATGAGAGTGATTATAGATTCTGTGTGAGAACAGCAATGATGTCCGACAATAATGAACAGTCATGACCAACAATAGTATCAATAGTATTTGCGCTTTTAGTTCTTTTACCTTTTGCTAGCCACTGGGGGCCCTTCCTACCACTGGTAGCGGCTGTGCTGGAGGTCCTCCCTCTTATTAGCTTATTTGTGATTATGCATGCATATGTCGACATCAGCTGCATCATCGTTCCAGAAGATTGACAGGATCCTCTCATGTTTAAGCCTGATGCTGAATCAGTAAAGTGACGTGCACTGCAGCTGCTATGCATACACTGCAAACAGCTGTCTACTTTCCACAGCATCTTTAAGCCAGACAGATCCGGGCCGGCCTGTCAACTGTTCAATGCTGCTTTACGATCAAGAATAACCCAATAGGACCCATGCCACTGCTCCAGACACTACGCAACCGATATTTCCAAGAATTTGTTACGATTTCCGACAAAGTACAGTCAGAGCAAAACATGTTTTTTTTTCAATGCAGCCCTCAACATAGCATCATAGCAATAGGAGTCACTGCTCCACCATTCTAAAGTTTCTCAGCACTGGCAGTGTGACAGTGACACCCTAGGGAGTTCACAGTGACACAGTGTTCCTCAACAAGCAGCCCTCATGCTGCGCTGCACAAATGAAACAGCGCTGTCAACCTGGTAGAGCTTCACTGGAGCTTGCTGCCAGCATGTGCTGTTGAGCAGAACAATACAGGGGCCCTCGCCCCGCCTGTCCATCAATTCTGGCTGGCTGGGACTATTTTGTCAGCCAAATTCTCATAAGTTATCAATGTGCAAAACAAGAGATTCTACCAAACTCTGCTACAGGTTCTTCAACAAACGGGAGCGCAATACTCCGCTCATGCGCAGTTCCCAAGTTCAGTTCAGCAACCGGTGTTTTCTTTCATGCGGGCAACAGGTAGAGATCCAGGCATGCCCGGGCAGCGCCTCTGAATGTTTAGGTAATCCCAAGGATTTAATATCTGCCCAGCAGATTTGGCAGTGAAAATTGGCGAAAATTCTGGGCAAAGTAGCACCCCCGCTCCAGAACCCAGGAGCTAAGCTCAAATTCCAGGGATGATCCCTCTTCTGGGTTATGAAACCCTGACAATCGCTAGAATTTCCCTGGGCCCCCCCCCCAGAACAGTTGGGGGATCCATTAGTCATCTCCCGCTGAGAGACCGCACACTGACATCTGGGGCCGGCGGATTGGCCGATCCGCCAGACCCCACAGTCCCCCCGCTGCCGCCACCGCCGCCACCGCTGCACTCTGGAAAGATTGGGGGCGGCCTGCGCACATTAGGTCTGAGGATCAAAGCTTCCACAATCTTCTGCAGAGTGGAATAGGACGGCACAAATCCTTGCAGTGAGGCAAATTCCCAGGTCAAGCACGTGAGCGATCCTCCCAAGCACAGGTGCAATATCACCACTGTACAGGACAGTGCTAGCCCCGAGAAGTCACTCCAGAAACAAGGCTGCCAACACTACCCCGAATGACCGCATGAGGCTACCAAGAAATGGGAACTGCGAGCCAGGTTGAGAGATCCGAGAAAGCAGAGAGACTCCGCAATATAATAATTAATACAAGCACTGACATTGGCACTGATGATGTCCAGTGTGCATGTAAGAAACACCAGGCAGTGCAAGCGCCAATGTAAAGAGAATGAGCTGCCTCGTGATTTGAATGCAACAATGTAAGCGCATACGTGGGCGCTGAGGTGGCAGGTGACTAACCGGCGGTGCAGCGTGGCCTGCTCGTACGCGAATGCGACTCGCAGCAGCCGCCCCTCGTCCCACGGCCGCGCCAGCATCTGGAGCCCGGCCGGCAGAGCCGAGCGCCCCGAGCGGTGCACAAAGCCCATCGGCACCGTTATCGCCGGTGCGCCAGTCGGCGGCGCGACCTGGGGTGAATCGTTGCCTGGGCAGTCACAAGCAGGGGTAATCAACGCGTACCAAGGTGTGATTTCGCAAATCTACCACAGATACATATGTCGACCTCTGACATCCGCCAGGGCATGTCCTGATCTCGGCATCACCGCCGCCCATGCTCGGGGCACTCTTCTTATGTTCTTATTCACCCATTGGTGGGTGCTCAACCCACAGCTTCATCGACATTATACTAAGAATCAATAGAAGACAACACAGAAGAAGCCGCCTTGTTAAGACATGCGCAGCATCTGGTGCAAATATTGTTGGTCCACTTAGACCCCGCTGTGCTTCAAGGCCTCACAACAGCGCACTGTGCAGTAGCTGCTGTTGGGTTAAAAGATGGCACAAGTGGGCTGCCCTGCTCACCGTCGGGGCTGAAGAAGTCTCCTATGAGGCGCGGCGGGTTAGTCCACGTGGGGTACACTATCACGTCCAGGTTGGCATTGTTCATCGACTCCACCAGCCTCTGCAGGCACCACACACCACGCCCCTCAGCCAGAGCCCCAAAAGTATGTACATGCTTTCCAGGAGCATGCATGTGAAATGTACGCAGAGCTGGTGACATGCATGCACGCCGAATTTGAGGCTCAAATGAACATTGAGCCAGCTGGTAGGACCCAGCACCGCAGGGGAGGACTTGTGCACCCCTTCTGGCAATTTGAAGGGATATTATTCCATGAACAAAGCCTGCCTGTGCATACCTGCGTTTCCTATCAGGTGCCTTCAAGTGAAGCAAGTCAAGCTGGCACCTTAGAGACCAGTGGGACTTGGTGACATAGACCAGGTTAAACACCTTGCGGAACTCGGCGCGGCAGGGGTTGTCAAAGTAGTCACCACAGCCGCACACAAAGCCGGCCGCGCGCAATTCATCTGTCGGGTAATCCGCCGGCGTGTAGCTGACCGCCGCACGCGCAGACAGCGAAGAGTTGATTGTCGGATGGTACAGGCCAGCGTCCGCTATCTCCTGCAGCACAGTCATGTTTCATCTAAGGGCATCGTGTGGATCTTTGGAAAATTGATGGATTATGTAATATTCTTTTGCAAAATTTTTGTTTGATGTGGTATTGTTTCTTGATGAAGTTCATGGACTTATATATCTGATTTGTGTTAACCGGTCCACAGCCTAGCCGGCAGTGCGATGCCAAGGCCATGGGCGGGCAGAGGTCGTGCAAGCACAACACTCTGCCCCCGGGCAAAAGATTAGATTAATATCATGAGGGACAATGTCCCTCGTATCAGATATTAAACTGATAAGAACAGATACTACACTTGATCTTAGCCAAAAGGCCGAGAAAGGTATGCCTATTTGTTTAATCAAGGTCGAGGGTATTCATCAGCCAGACCATGCCTCCCAGACATGATTATGGGACCTGGGCTACCATTTTTTACCGTAATTCTAGGATCTTGTCAATGGCCCTCGTAGAAGGGCCCATCAATGTGATGGATTGCAGAATGTTGTATTTCCTCAGCCAGTGTTGAGAAGAAGCAGCAGGTCTACTGTTGGACAGAAGGGCGCCCTTGCATTATGCAGCTTTGTGTCACAGCGTCCGAAGCCGCGAAACCACCTAATGGTCGTTGCACCTGACACCCACCTGCTTAATTGTCCCCAGTAGCTTCTGAACCACCTTCCCCGTTTCTAGTGCCCGCCAAATTCCGCCCATTTGCTGCAGCACATTGTGGCAACTGGCTGAGCTCCTAGTATCGCAACCAATCAAACTCAAATCCAAAATGCACAAAGGAGATTTTGCGGCGTCTGCCTGGTAGGAGCGGGAGCGCGTGTCGGCGGAGCGCGGGCACCTTCTTTGAAAATTGTTCAATTTCAAATTTGGACATTCAAAATCTTTGCAAATCACACCTGGATCGAGCGGAAGCGCGTGCCGGCGGTGCGAAGGTACCAGTTGAGGTCGGATTTGAAGTGTGCGCCGCAGTTTATGTCCTCCCAGTGGCCGGAGGCAGTGCTGCCCGTCCACCACTGCCCGCTGCGGCCGTCCCAGTCGTAGCCCCCAAGGGAATTTCCGGCTATCTTGAAATCCTCCACAATCGTCGCGCCTGCGCCGCATGCAGGGCCAAAGTAAGTCAAATTTCGGAATCTATCACAAATCGGAGAAATGCGCTGAGCGCGCTGGGCGCCGGGTGCACTATCTGCACCCCTTGCGCAGCGTACATAGCGCCAATTTGCTTGTACGAATATTATAGCAAAATCCATGGTCAGACACCGTAGGACATGTTTAGCTTCCGCCAAAAGGGCATGCCAAGATTAGCCTCTGAAGCCTTGCACTATCTGAGCGCGTGGGCTGTGCAAGGCCCAGAGACAGCATGCTAGATGGCGCAGATGTCTGAGCATTTTACAAGAAGAATATCACGTTTAAGGCCTGCTTTATCGAAGATCAGTGCGCACATCCTGAACATTCGTGTAGTCGTCCTAAAGTTGGGAGGGTTTGGCCGTTTTGATGTTGATGCTTGTCAGCAACAAAGTGCCTGAGACTATGATTTGATGACCAATCCGATGACTCACCGTGGTCTGACATGAGGGTGAGCGCGTCCTGGAACAGCTGCATGACCTCTGTGTCGTTGATGTCCGTGTTTATCACCTGCCGCAGTACCCCCACGCGCGCCCCCTGCAGCCACATCGATGCAACCCCAGGTTAGCGTACAGGTGGGTCATCATGCTGAGTCAGCCCTGACTGGCAGGAGCCCATACGAGCTCCTGAAAAATTGACACGTCGTACTCAATAGAGAATGTACGCACAATGAACTGAGAACATCCCCAATCTAGCTCTTGCAATATTGGCCCGCTGGTGTGCATGATCATCAAATTCTCTCATTAAGTTCAACATGTAGCAGAATGATGTCCTTGGCTTTCTCATCGCCAAACAACCTTACTCATGACTACAGAGCAAGGGCTGCGCTTGCCTGGAGGCCGTCGCGCGCGAGGAAGCGGGTGTAGTTGGCGGTGCGGTTGGCGGTGACTAAGCGGTTAGTCAACGTGAGGGGGTCCTGGGGGTCCGGCCCTGCGAGCGCCTCGAGCATGCGCGCCACATCCTCCACGCTGCGCGCCAGGGGGCCGCTTATGTCACTCGAGTTGTCCAGCGGCACTATGCCCGCCCTGCAAAATCAAAATCAAATCCAGAATGACATATGCTGTTGAAATTGCTGTGATTCAGTTGCATCAGAGTGTGGCAGTCTCCGAGCCTTGCCGGAGTGCGCATTGCAATGGCTCAGTCTGACAATGCCTCGAGTGTGATGCTTTGCATACTCTCTGCAAGCCGTGCATTTCCTCTGTCTGACACTGCCCAAGCGGGCAGGCTTTCCCATATTCTGCAAAAGATTGTAGTTTTTCCGCTTACTCTGCGTCAACCGTGATCCTACCCACAGGAGTGTCAACATCTCTTCATTGAAAAGCATGATTTCTCAAGATACTAATGGTAATCGCAGATGTAGCCAGCATGTCCCAGCAGCAGGATTGCCATAGAGAGAACAACAAACCATCTCAGGCCTCGGAACCTGAGGAATTACACCAGCCTGGCGGGCTTCTCAGGACCCTTCCTTTAGCACCTTGCGGTTTCAACAGCGTGTAATTTCCAGGGTTGCCTGTGCGCACCTGCTGGTGAGGCCCAGAGTGGGGCGCATGCCCACCAGGGCAGTGTGCGAGGCAGGGCCCCTCACAGAATTGCCCGTGTCTGTCCCCAGTCCCACCAGAGCAAAGCTCGCCGCCACCCCTGCACGCATGGCACGCTTAGGAAACACGTGAGCTCATGACCTCCAGGTTGTTAATTCATGGGACATATGTGGATGATCAGGGGGTGATCAGTGCCGCCTGCTTACTCCTAAGGGGTAATATCCAGGACGGCACCAGAGGGTTGGTGTACTATGCAGTGCTGCACAGCGGCCACCAAAGCGGCGCTGAGAGACTCAGGTGTCAAGTCCAAGGAGATACCATGTGGAAATCATTGTTATTATCACCACCTGTGAATCAGTTCCTAGGGATCGAGAATCGAGGGATGTCCAGCAACATGTGGAAATTAGGTGCCTGCAAGAGAGAATGCTGGTCTGCGTCGAATGAGACCAGCACGGCCGCACAGCATTCTCGGCATTGTTTTTAAGGAGGCATGACAACGTAAAAAGAGGGGGGACCAAGGATTTCCACCTGCAGCAGGCCCCCCGCTAGAGCCGGCGGGGGTCCTATCGAGGTCGTAGGGGTTACGCACGACGCCCGCCACCGAGCTGATGGAAAAGATTGGCGAGAATGCCCACTCCCCCATATTCCCCTTGCCCAGCACTATTGCCCCCGCCGCCTTCAGCCGCGCCACCTGGCAGAATGCAATCAGAAACTCTCCAATCGGCTTGTCCCCTGATAGTTCTGCTCTGAACCCTTCAACCCCTGTCAAGGGAAGCGTCTGCTATACAACGCTGCAAGGCATAAGGCATCATTTTACACCAGAGCAGGATGCATCCTATGATCCACCCTGAACGCCTGCACCTCAGAACAGGGGTGAGCAGGCGAGCTCGCACCCTCCACCTCCTGCACGTTTCCTGCTGCTGCCAGCTTGCAGGGGTTACTACTATCAGCTAATTTACCACCCCCTCCAGATTGTAAAAAATGGGGAAAATAAAGTGGGGTTCCCTGCTTGCGACCCTGCTGAGCATCCTCGAACTTGAAAATGTGGGATCAACCCCTAAACCCCACACCCCGTAACAAGGGATGAGTAATATTTTCCGGATCCTTGCCTGCTGCACATCTTCTGTTGCCCCATCCTATTTGCTAATCAGGAGACAGGTTGCTCACAAGGGTGAGCAGGACAACAGAAAGACCCACCTGCTGCGCGTCTTTGGAAGCAAAGTTGTCAAGGAGTGCGGCGGAGCCGGCAGTGGCGGCCATACTGACAGTGTCGAAATTGTCCTTGACCAGGACGGGCACGCAGAAGAGGCCCCCGGGCAGCCCGTTGCTGCCAGCCTGGCGCGCCTGAACAGGCAACAGCTGAGTCATCTCACAGCTTTGAGGATGACAGGGTAAGACTTTCCGTGCCTTTCCAATTTTGGTCCCTGAAGCAATCACTGCATTCTTCTGATTTCTTTCTTTCTTGCTTGCTTGCTCGCCCATATCACACAGAGATCCAGTTCTGACCCTACCCACAGTACGCGCAGCCATGCATGCCTCATAATCACCGTATTGGGCTGCAAAGCTGACTGGGCTGGAATAGATACCAACTGCCATGAGCAATTCAAGAAGGCATGGGCCATGATTGCTGGTTTTCCAGCTCCCCAACGAGCAATGCCCCCATCGCAGCACACCAGCGTTGACAAGTAGTGTTCCGGTGCGTACCTGATGCAGCTGCTGATCCTTTGCTGCAGCCTCCTTTTCCAGATCTGGGTTGAGAACCCTCACGGCTGATAGCCCTGTGGCTTTGTCGTAAGCCTGTATTCTCTGCAGACCACCCCACCAGAAATAGCTTAAATGGCAATTACACTGGAAATCCAGTAATCCCCAGTAGTTCTTGTCCAGTATTATAGTTGCAATTCGTGCATGCTTGATGCAGGTTCATTGTAAGATAGGCAGCAAAGAATATGGGAGGTGCACAGTATGCTGCGTACCTGCACATACGCCTGGACAAGCTGTGAGCATGTCACCTTCCCATCCACAAACGCCTGCACAACAGCAACACAGCTTGGGTGAGACCTTTACTAGGCAGACACATGTGACGAGCTGAAAATGTATGGTATACAGACTGCGGACCAAGTAAATGTGATGGGGGGGCACTTTTTCAACTGCTGAGATGGCAATCTGTCATGCTGGGCCTGCCAAAGACTAGCAAAGAGTACTGAGGGTAGCTACACGCATTCCCGTGGACTCTGAGGCCCCGGACGACCTCTGTGTGTGGCGCGCTGATAAGTGAAATTAAAATCTGTGTTTGCACCTTGTGGACTGTGGAGATTGTGGCTTCTACTGCTGGAAACACTGGCGTGCCGCTCTGACAGAGGCTGCCAACTCCAGCTACCGTCACAGCGTTGGTTGTGTAATTGGATGCGAGCGTGAAGCTGTCCCCATTTGTGTACCCTGCATGGCTCCCTGCGTCCAAAAGCCTGTCAGTACGTTGAGGACAGGAGAGGACTGATGATCGGGAGCACAGCTGAGGAGGAATACATATGATATAAGGTTTCAAAACTATCTACTTGCGTTTGACAAGCTCAGGGCAGGCGGTCACACAAAGCCACAAAGCCCTTCTTCACACCATGGGAAGGTTTGACCTTGGAGTCCCTGCCCAGATCATAAGGTGCTCAATGAAGGATATCCAGAACATCTCCGTCTAAAGAACGAATCTTACAGGTTTTCAGGATCTTACAAGAAACTGGACATGCAAGACTGAATGGTATCAAAGACTGGGAACAGCCGAACATGAGATTTTCCTTTGTCCACATCTTATCCTCTTCGATGCGCTAATCGAAAAGAAGCAAGCTGTGCAAGTAATTGTACACACTCTCCATTTGCATCACCCAACCGCCTGAAGAACCTTCTTGCTCTAGGAAAGCTCCTGTGGCTCTGTTGGCAACTGTGACACATAGTGTTGGATTTACCTGCTAGATTGCAGACGAATGCGATTATGAGTGGAACAGTTATCGCTCGTCGACGCAAAAGCCTCATTGCTAGCGCGCTCGTCTCGGCAGCCCCTCCTGCCCAGCCGAGGGCTCGACGGGATCAGCATCCCCGAACCAGCATCAAGCCGCAGTCTTGTCTACGTAGCCAATACCGATCCCAACTGCAATAACACAAGGATATTTCGTGTGGCAGTGCTCGATGGTGCTTTGCTACGATTGGGTCTGGACAGCTTCGTCAATGTGCTGCGCATTGATCAACAGAAGCCCTCCATTCTAATCATTTCGTAACCGATGCAGCTCGGCTTCGTTGCAGATGGAAGCTGAATGCCAGGAAGTCCCACACAGGTGTATGGAGGAGGTGTGATCACTTACAGTGTGCAAGGCATGATTACTGTCACTGTTTTCATGTGAACAGCTAGAAGCAAAGCCAGGCGTTTTATCTGCCCTTGGAAGAATTCTCAAACACTTACACAGCTAGCAACCCGCAGCCTGTACTGAGTACTACTAGTACCATGTGTCGGAACAGAGTATCAATCCGTTCCAATCAGACCGAAGAGCGCCAGTCACCATCCACTTAATGTCTGATCTATCTCTGATGTCCCCAACATGGACGTCCAATGGGTGACTCGCCCATGGAGCCGTTTAAGAAAAGCTGTGACCTGACTAGGGATACACACTCCATACTAGGATAAGGGGAACCTTGCCGCGGCAGGCCTTGAAGACCTCAGACTGAGAACGGTTCTGAGTCACTCAGCCTGTACGCTACAGGCTGACCGTCATGCAGCATATGCATTCTAAGCTGGAAAACTTATCATCTACAGCAGGCCTTTCCTCAAGTGTTGCTCTAACCACTCCCCGCCACTAATCCCAGACCTGATCACTGTGGCTTATCACTATTAGAAATCACCAACTTCTTCTCCGGAAGGAAGTAGTTTCTGGACCAGTCTCAGGATCAGCTGCTCTTCTTGCCGCTTCCAAAGATGAACTCAAACACACCTGCGCATCCACCATGCCTCTCAGTGACACCTCAGCAAACACCTTCCGCTTGATGCGTCACAACAAGAGACAAAACTTGTCAGAACAGTAGCAGATTGCTGCAAGCTGTTGGATGTTCAGACTGGCAGGCAATTTGACACTTGTGGTTCCTGGCGCTGCCGGGTAAAGACAATTTCACCCTCATAGGAGTTTGTTTATATTCCTATCCTATTGAAGTGCATGGGAGAGCCTGCTCACCTGAGATGAGGCTGCGGACTGCATTTGTGGCCAGCCTGACAAAGAAGAGGGGGGATCCTGGAGATGGCACGGGGGCCCCAATGGCTGACAGGATGCCGAACATTGCCCCAAGCTTGTTTGTGTTGCCCACCCTCCTGCGCAGTGCATACTGTGGCTTGATACAAAATCGTAACCTATCGTACACCATGTCGGACGCCGAAAACCCGTGCCAGGACTGGGTTCTTTGGGCAGGAGAAAGGGGCGTGGAGAAGCGTGACTATAGCACACAAACACCGCCAGACTCTACAAAGACCGTAAATTTCTTGTGCAACAGAAAAAACCTCAAGCATAGCAAAAGGGCGGCAGCAAGGCCCCTGAAGGGCTGCCAAACCAGAGTGACAGTGCAAGGTGCTGATCAACCAATGATGGCAGCAATGATTACCTGTCCATGATGTAGCCACCAGTGAACGATGTCACCTTGCCCTCCTCGTTGAATGTGTATGACAGGCACTCTGGCGCCCCCAACACAACCTGCAATTCACACTGCCCTCAATGCAATTGCCCATTACCAAGCCTTTGAGACCCTGAGGTTTAAAGGATATCTACTATGGATCGATCCATTCCTTGCCAAACCCCCTGACAGCTGACAGCAACACTCATGTCCTCTCCAGAGGAAGGCTGGTCATTGGGAGAGTGCCACTGCATGTCCCGTGCGGCATGGGCCTGTCCACGGGCCTGTTCTTTGCTGCATCCAGTGAAGGCTTACATCGTGGTGCAATCATCATTACATGCTCTGCCTGGCAAGAGGTGCCTGTAGGCGAGCTGCAGGTAACGGCTGTCACATATCCCACCCCTTGCCCGATTTTTCGGGTCCAAGCAAAACCACATTATGGTGTTGTAGGGGTCCCGAGTAAGCGGCTGACCTTGCCGGTGGGTTTGTAGGTGGCACCGAAGAATCTCAGCGGCCCTGTGTGGGTGGCAGTGTTGCGCACAGTCCACCAGACGCGGTTGGGTTCATATTTGTCTACTCGCCAGTCGTAGGGGTGTGACTCCATGTTGGGGAAGGCATCTTTTAGATTGAAGCCGCTCACCGCCTTCACAAAGTCCTGTGTCTCAATAAATGTCAGTGTCCGAATCACACAATCTGCCAACATCCTCAGAAAGGTATAGGAGTAAATTAAGCCATTCTGACCTTCTTCTGGAGTCCAGAAGACAGTGGTGAGAATGATGCAAGATTTAGGAGCAGAATGCCCAGATGCGACGACAATTGTGTCTGCTCAGATCGATCCAGTGGGCCACCACCTCAGGCTGGCATCCAGCATTGGAACAAGTGCCAGACGCTCAGGTAAGGGCATTGTGGCACAGCCTTACCTTCTTGGCCAGGGACACCACAGGAAATTCGAATCTGAAATTGTCAGCCAGCAGGTCGGGGTCTTCCACGCCGCTGTTGGTCGCAAACACTTTCTGTGCTAGCGCTATGAGCTTCTCTGCCGGTATGGGGAAGCTGGAGGGCGTGCCAGGAAGAACTGCAACTGGAACTTCAGCTGGTGCCATTACAACTGATCCGGGTTCGGCTGATCCTGCACCACAGCAGTGTGATCAAGACTTTTGATTCGTTTCTTTGAGATTAGAAATATGGTATACTCGAAATCAAGAGCTCCAATGCAGCATGACTGGGGAGTCGGGCACCATTGTACCTTTTAACTCCTACGATGGCTTATGGAAGCTACTGCGAGGTGCACAAACAGCTATTGACGAGTATCACTCTTTCAGAGATCAATAATTAAATGTGTAGCACGACTGCTTTGGCGACAAGAGAAGAACATCTGAGATCAACGACGTGGTCTCAGGAGGTTCGCTCACATCTCCCGGAAACCCCGCTTTTCCGAGATCACGAGAGCAGCTTCCACTCTCTGGGAAGATTAGCCATGATACGTAAGGATGCATCGGGGTCTTTTTGCAAACTCCACCGCCAAAACAAAGTCCAAAGCTTAAATTGCAGATCTTAAGGAAGCTGCGGAGCACAATGGCCGCTCAACGCACTTTGTACTGGGGAAGTGGGTCAAATTCGCATGGAGGGTGTTGATCGCCCTGAAGGAGAAGGGTCTGGAACTCGAGAGCATGGTCGTTGAGTTTTCAAAGAGTGACTTCACGATCAATGCACCCTTTTGTACCCGCAGTATCGGGCACTATTAGGTATGTGCCGTGTAATCTCCCACTGTGAAGAGCTGACTTTCTTAGAGGCAGGCCATTTCTACAAAGTAGGGCAGTCATGGTTCTCCTTTTGAAATAATGATTTAATATCCCCTGTGCAAACATTCCTCTATGGATTGGTGTTGCATGCTGGTGTCATGTGCCTCTCTCAGGGCATCTTGATGTGTGGCAGAGGAACACAAGTCGGAGGAGATCCTCAGACTGAACCCCAGGGGCCAGGTTCCCACCTTTGTGGATGCTGGCACTGTCGTGAACGAGTCGCTAGCGATCCTTCTGTCATTTCCAAGACAAGTACCCGACACCATCCCTGCTGCCTGCCACCATCGAGGCAAATACCCAATCTAGCATTTCGCAACGTTTTCCATTTCTGCATCTTTGGGGGTTGTGATGCATGCCGAAAAGGCATTCGCATTCCGGGTGTGGTTGCTCAAGGACGATGAACAGTTGCCTCATAAAGGCAGGCCTTCCTGACAAGCCAGCGGGTCATTCAATAGGGCTCAAAAATTTCATTCTGCAGTCGTACTGCACTTGAGTTCCTACGCAAGGGTGAAGGTAGCACAGCTTAAGGCTAGGGCTTGCGCCAATATGCGACTGCTGTACTGCACAGATCGCATGCATGAACAGAACAGGCTTTGAAATAAAGAAGAAGTGTACTAGAGACGCCCATAATGGGCCAGAGTGTTGCCCAGTGACAACTGACATGTGCACCTCCTCGAGGAAATGTGAGCTCAATTGGAAAGCTGGCAGCTTATTACGAAGCCATTAAGTTCTCAAATGCCATGATCATGAGCGTTCAACAAAGTTCTGCAACATTTACATGGAGCACTGCTGTCACAGCTGTGGCATGTGCTGGTATCATCATGTGAGGATCATGATGATGCCCATTGCATTGATCAACTTTGTAATGAAGTTGGGCGCAAACGACGCAAATGGATGGCTTGCTGTGAGGAGAAGGCAATCTTCAACCAATACACATGATGTCTGCTGTCATGGAATCCTTCCAAACTCGACATTGGGGAACAAAGAAGCAATTGACCGAGTCAACCATTACGAGGAGGCAGCTTCCGCTGATCTGGAAGCTTTATGCAATCACCTTTGACCCCGGAGAATTCATCTGAAGATTCTGGAATTGTCTCATCATATGCAGTCTCTTCCATTCACCAACAAAGCAACAGCTATACGGTGCAGTGTGGGTAAGAGTCAAGGACAGATGGCTGCTCAGCGGACAATCTGGTGGGGCAGTGGCTCTGCTCCAGCATGGAGGGTGCTCATCGGCCTCAAAGAGAAGGGGCTGGAGTACGACAGCAAGCTCATCGAATTTTCCAAAAGTACGACAGACCTTCAGACCCCTTCGAGCCATGTGCAGTGCAATGCTTGTCTTTAGAGCGCTCTGAGATTCACGTCATGATCAAGCTGGCTAGCCGTCAGGTTTTAGCAATTTAGCACGCTTTTCGATGATCGAAGAACTCCATTGTATCACTTAGGGCTCAAAGCAGCCAAAGCATGTGAGTATGCGGGGCGCTTGGCGGGTGCCGTCGTTCTCGAGGGAGGCCATGCTCTCGTAATATTTGCCGATCTTGAAATCTTGGCGGACCAATGCTGCTCTTCGAATCTGATTAGAGATCCTCATGTGCATGACATCAAAGCAACACCGTCACATGGCTTGTAACTCAAGCCAGCCTGTTGCTCACCATGTGCATGTGCTTGTTGTGTGGCAGAGGAACACAAGTCGGAGGATATCCTGAGGCTGAACCCCAGGGGCCAAGTGCCAACTTTCCTGGACGATGGCGTCGTTGTGAACGAGTCCCTGGCCGCCCTGCTGTATCTCCAGGACAAGTACCCCGAGCCATCCCTGCTGCCTGCCACCATCGAGGGCCGTGCCCTGGTGCGCAGAAGCCAAACTTTTGTTTCGTTTCAGAGAACTATCAAAAATAACTTGCTTGGAACATTTGTGACGTTTTTGTCAGCCAAGTGCAATGCATGCACCAGACCTGGTGGCCAGACTGGTGGATGTCCCCACACGAGTGGTGGGATTTTCAAGTTCTTCGGATTTTTAGGCTCAATGTGCACATTGTGACATTTGCAGGTGTACCAGCGTTTCCAGGAGGCTGCAAACTTCCACGACAAGGTCAGCCAGGTCATCCGCTTCAAGGTGTGTATGTTCTTTGCTGCCATTCAGCCGCTCCTGCAGTGAGCGCAAAACAATCACGACACCATACGTATACTTTGAAGTGACGCATGTAGATTCCCCACTTGTACCATGGGACAAGTCATGCAGGCCAAATTAAAGATGGACGATTTCATACCTCATGCAAGGTGATGCAGTCGGTGGATAAAGGGCTGATTAAGGAGTTTTCATGTATTGCGGAAATGCGTTCAAGGAGATTGCTGGTAGCTGATGTTGTATGCTTTTTCATGCAGTGGACGAATGCTGATGAAGCGTTGCCTCAGGACAAGCTGGACGCGCTACAGGTGAGCTGCCCAAACTCATGAGTGTCTTTTCTGTTGGTCATTAACAGTAATTATTTCCATGGTTGGGCACCTTTCCCAAAGGGCACGCTTGACACCTGCCATCTTGCAATCTGTTTGCAATTCAACGCCTGTCCCACGGAATGCTCTTGTGAATCTCCCAGCCACTTGTGACCACCGTCTGCAAGACATGCATGAATTGAAAACACATGATGCGAGATACATGTTTTCCACCCTTGATGTTTGGCTATTGCAGGCAGAGCTGGAGCTTTGGGAGAGCTACCTGAGCGAAGACAGCTTCATTGCAGGCCCTGACTTCACACTGGCAGGTGGGACTGGTGATAGCAGCCATGCTTTATTTGCAAGACAACTAATTGATGCATGACTGGCACAACACACTTTTCTGCAAATGTTACTTTACACTGTCGAGTGCCAGGAACAAGCTCTGGGCCCTTCAAATTCGGCCCCAAGATCTGCTCTGGGCAATGGTCTCTTGCCGAGTCATTTTTCTGGCTTGCCCTTGATGCCCCCACTTGTGCAGAGCATCCTATTTTGCTGAAGTGCAAGATTCTCCCCATCCATGTAGCAATGGCATCCTCGCAGGAGTGGTGCATGCAGAGCACGCTGTAAGATGCATGCATGCATGCATGCATGAGCACGTTCCTGAAAAGCTTGTGTGATGGGTTGCACCTGCAGATATCTCATTCGGACCGTTCTTGCTGGTGTTCAAGCGCTTTGGAGGCACCCTGAAGGACTTCCCAAAGCTCAACAAGTACGCTGAGAAGATCGAGGTAGTCACACTGTCACATCCCCTGACATGTCAGCACAGAAACTTTTCGAGTAACTGAGCAATGCCTTGTGATGCACTGATGCCATACTTTTTGAGTGTTGCCTGAGTTTGTGTATGTAAGAGATGATTTGTCTGGGCGTCTTGGTTTCTGGCTCTGAGCCCAGCCCCCAAAGCCAGTCTACATCTGGGTCTCTCCCTTGAACGTGCTGATTCTGTTGTGTGGCTTGATGCAGGCTCGCCCCTCCTTTGAAGACAGCTACCCGCCGCACTGGAAGGAGACTCCTGGCAAGGACTGGCTCGACAGCCTGTGAGCACCACCACAGCTAATTCTGCGTAGCAAGCATACAACATGCCAGTAGATGAGTCAGCACGGCTGCGCAATCCCTGCGCGTGCCTAGCCTACCAACTCACCGGCTGGTTGGCTTCTGCCTATCTAGAGCCGTTTTGGACATGCAGTGCCCAGAGTTTTGCCGCAGCACAAAACGCGCTAGATTCACAGTGCACGTGCTGGGCGCCCTTGAGCACGTGGTAGCATTTTTGGTGTTTCAATGCAATGTGGACATGGCTGATGTGCGCTTCAGTCATTTCATTGCGATTCCAGGTTTCTGCAGAGACTGTAGGGAGAGTAGCTGAGTGTGCCGTTCTGCATCCGTTTGCGCTTTGCTTTGATCATTCAATCGCAAAGACTGATACTAAGTAGTATGCAGCTGATCATGGAAGATCATGTGCAGCCATCTTTGAACATATATTCTGCACTTTGCAGTGGCTTTGCTTGTGTGTATATGGATGTGCACCGTGTTAACAACCTGCAGCTTGTCTTAGTCTGTTGGAAATGTGGCCACCATGGCTGTAGATAGGAAAGCTTGCATACACTGGCGTGCAAGCACGATGTAACCTCAATTATGTAACGAAGTCTTGCGCAGGCATGCTAATTAGCTGGTCGGAACCCCAAATGAATTGAGCAAGGTTTTCACACTTTCATGGTTCGTGGCCTTGAAGCCTTAGGCTTTATGATGGGAACATCCGCGTGCCAATAAATAATGCTCCTTGAGGATGGGCTGCCTGTCAAGCAGCACTTCACAGGGGATTTGTGGGCTTGCTCCAAGCCCAAGTTCGGCTCCCAAACTGGCCTTGGCTGTTGCTGCTGGGAACGTATTTTCGAGACTTCCTCCACCCTCGCCCTGTCTAGTCAGCATGTTAAAGAGAGAGGAATGTATTCAAGACTGGATTTTGACAGCGTGAAGCAGCAGGACTTTGTACAGATTGAGATTAAGTGTCCTGTGAGCGCCCAACGTGCCGGTCATGGCGTCTGTGAGCACAAGCACCGCTTCGCATGCGTCTTGCTCTAGAAGCTTTTCCAACCGTGCGACTGGATGTTCTAGACCTTCCCCTCGATATGAAGTAATTTCGTCCGTCACAAGAACACACAGGAAAGCAGCTCTTGAAGGACTGCCTCATTACAGTCGAACAGGTGCGTCGAAACCATCGGTTCCTTGGGATGCATGCTTGTTGGTGTGTCCTCTAGGCACACCAACAGCAGAGCGTTTGTTGAAGTAATCCTCGAGATTCACGCAATCAATACATCCGGAAGGAGGAGGAATACGGACGCAGTGTGAACATTCTAGTCCATCCACTGGGTGCAGGCGTGCAACCGTCATCGAGACGTGTGAGTTGCTCAGCAGCCACGCCAGTTGCCGGAGGCCTCAAATACGACCATCTCCTGCTAGCCATCATGGACAGCAACCCCTATTTCTCAGATGGGTCCAAGCAGGTGACTCAGCTTCCGTCAGCTTCCTGCAAAGTTTGGCCAGGACCTCCACCTGATTTCTTGTGGTCAGTGTTGCAGACTTGTCCAATAACGATCGTCTCTATCGACCTCCAAATAGGCATGGTAACCAGACAAGATGGGTTGGGGTCCCATGCTCTTGCCCCTATCGGCACCCCGGTGTAGCTTACAACGAAAGATGGCCTTCAAATCCTGTGTGGTCTGTGAGCCTCGGGGCGTGTGAGTCCTGTAGAAAGGAGGTCCACAGGGTCTGGAGCAGTAGGCGGATGCTGTCAGACCAAAGCACTTGCAAAGCAGCATCATGTTCAATTTTCTAGTTTTGCACTTGTGCAGGCGTTTGCGACAGCGGCTGGGCTGGGGACAGCTCACAACAGCAAGATGACAGTGCTACTTGTGGACAAGGCGCAGCCAGGCGGCGATGCCTCCACTCGCATTGAGACGGCGCTCTGGTGAGAGCCCTCCTGTACTGTGCTGTGTCACCATCTCATCCCCTGATTGATAACATCTCACCAAAGCCAGCCGGACGCCTGCCTTGGTGTCCGCAAGCGACATAAACACCCCTGAGAGAATGAACAAGAGGTCATTGTCACTGCATTACCATTACATGCTGTTCCTGCTGAGACAGGCAAGGTGCCTTTGCAGACAAGCTGCAGACAAAGGCTCCCACAGTTCCCACCTCTTGTTAAACATACCAGACCCAAGCATGGCCCAGTCAACTGGGAGCATGCTGCTCAGGATTCATATTCTTCCTTCTTGACAGGGGCCCACCAGGGCCATGCCACATGAAGCTATTGAAGCAGAGCCCCTGTGATAGTTTGGAGCATGAAAAGCAATCCTGCACATGTGCTGCGCAGGCACCTAAAGGAGAATGGCTTTGACACGGGCAACGCAGCCTTCCAGGAGGTGTCACTCGCGGCAGAGGAGACACACAACTCCTCTGTAGTTGTAGGTGAGGAGATTTGGCATCCTCACCCTGGAGCAATATTCTCTTGTGGGGTCTTCCAGATCTGCAGCGTTAGAACACAGCATTCATAATGCTGCATACCATGTTGCGCGACCGGCAAGGCTGCACCTGCATCTGATATGTGTCTTGACGTACCAGGCTAGAGCAGCATTGCATAAAAAATCTAGGCTTTTTGAAGTGCTGGTGCTGTTTCTTGTTCCGCATGCTTGAGGCGACCACCTACTGTGTTCTTTGTCTAAGCAGCGGAGAGGCCAGAGGTGGAGTGGCCATATGGCGTTAAAAATGTCAAATATATGTCAAACAACGTGTCGTTTGTTTCTCTAGTAGAGAAATTAGTAATGTTATGGTGCACAGGGAACGCCGTGGACCAGGTGGAGGCCGACCTGGTTCTGCTGAGCACAGAGGCAGTCCACTCCAAAGCTGTTGATGCCAACCTGCTTGCCGAGTTTGTTGACTGCCCAGGTGCATGCTCGCAGAAACCAGACCATGTTTGGTGTGTACACCCCATGCAAGCAAGTGTATTTTTGTGTGCTTTTTATTTTCAAATGGCATTGAGCAGCCTCGCAGTGATGGGCAACCAGGATATCTGATACTAGCGCGGGTTTGCCCCTCATGCGGGTTTCTGCATGGGGTCCTCTGCTACAGTCCGTGCTCCAAGCGTCAAAGTGACTTGTGCACCATTCTAAAGTCCAGGTTGCTGTGATTTGCAGTGCTTCTGCTCCCATAGGGCGCCCCAGCGCGAGCCCAATTGGAGATTGATAAATGCATACACCAGCTAGCCAGCTAGACAGAGCAATAGCATCACAAATGAGCACACCTGCTGTGCCGTGCACAAGGGAGGGATGAGTTTGAGTGCAGCGATGAGCGAGCGCCGATGCAATGTGCTTCCAGCATGAAAGGATCAGATCCTGCAGAGCTGCGATATAGGATGGTCCTCATCCTCGGAAGAGACTTGGGTTTGTAAGAGTTTGATGAACAGTCAAGACTCCTTGACCTCGAGGGTTCACAGTGAGGAGCAGTGATCTGTCAACCTTGCAGATTTCCACTTGTTGCAGTAGATGAAAGGCATGTAAACGTGTGACGGGGAATGTTGATTCACAGTTGTCTGTTTGATCGCCTCTGTCAAGCAGTCAAAGCAAGCCCTGCAGCTGGAATTTCCAACTCGTGTGCCTGTTCACCATGCAGTGGCACAGCTTATTTTGTTCTGCATTATTGTGCAGATTAAAAGCACATCGTGTTAATCACTTGTCATTGCAGAGCACCACCTTGAGAGATCAGGTGGCGATCTAGGAAGCAAGATATAGCATGCCATGCCATGGAAGGGATCAAGAGGAAGCTCAACTATCCTCCAGATCGTAGAATGTATGCCCAAAATATTATTTCAAGCTGATCTTAGTCCAGAATCGCAAATACGAAATCCAGTGCTCCTTCTGGCCAAGCCATCAACCGATCAGATCAAGATCACACTCAGATCACCCAGTCACAGAACAGCACCGTGTGCGAATCGAGATAATAGGTTTCATGTTTAATGAGGCCACCGTAGTCGAGGCAATGTGATCTAAATTTGCTGAGATGATCGGTCCAATCAGCCCCAGATGTCGGTCCCATACTCGCTCGGCTTTGGGCGAATGGCATCCCTCATCAGGACCCATTGACATGGTCCAATCAGGTATACTTACCTGTCCGGCTCGGTACCGTGATCAACAAGACGGTCCGGGTATCCCCGCTGCTTGCCTTGCACTCAGCTTGCGGCGGCGTGGTAGGAGTGCTCCAAGAGGGTATCTCCACGGAATAATCTTTGGCAGGCCTGGGATTAGCGTCAGCTGCCCGGGCACAATTAAAAAACTATAACACAAAACTTCACCATTTAACAAATACATTCTATACATTAAATTTGCAATCAATTAAAAACCAACACACAACCGGATATGTTCCACAAGTGGCACCCACAAAACACTGCAACACCAATGATACATAGAATGTGCATATTATGAGATGGCGAGGGATTTGTGGCATCTGAACAGGGCGGCGTCGGTTTGGTTGCTGTAGCCGCTACATTGGCCCCAGTGGCAATGCCTTGATACTGTTGTCCTAGATAGCTCTCTGCACTGCTCGTGGTCCCCATATCTGGTGCCACATGGCGGGATAAATTTTTTTGTTGACATCATTAAAAATTGGCGGCAACGAGTTGTTGCCTTGAAGTATGTCGATCTTCTTCTTGTTACACAGCTTGCTAGTCTTGAGATGTTTGGCAAGGTTGAGAGTCAACTCTGCTGCAAATTCCTGAGCAAACCGCATGTGCATGCCAAGAAAGTGCAGGTCTTGCGTTCAGATCCTGGGAGTTCCAAACACCTACAGTAGAACATGTCTATCTAGGATGCTTCACTACATACTATGCATGCATTGGGACAGAACACCAAAACATCACTGGGGGCTCTGTTGTGACAAGGGTTTGCAGCCTGGTCCCTGGAATCAAGCAGTCTGGACCACAGTCTCTATGCGCTCATCTACCTTTGTATAAGTGTAATACTCTTGGAGATGCAGATGCCTAGCGCATACAAAATAATAATTTGGGTCCCAATGAAGTAGTCCTTCCGTTTGGATTTGAATATCACGGGGACCCTCACAGGAGGGGGAGAAAAGATTATGTGCACCACGGGTCACTAACAAATTCACGGCAGTATTCAGTGTTGCTGGCTTGCTATGCTAACAGTACACACTGGTCTAACAGAAGCTATGTGTTCATTCTTCTCAGTGACGCACACAATTCTCCTCTTCCCAAATGTAAAAAATCGCACAAAGGCATGGATTGTCCTTGAACAGTCTGCGCTTGCCACCACATGGACAAATGCTGGATGTAGAATCTTGCTGAGGCTGAGCAGCTCTGGACACAGCTCTGCCTTAGAAGTTGCGACCGTAGCCGCCAGGGCTGTTAGTGATTGCAGATCTCTGCGGACCCACTGCTGCAAACGCCTGCAAAGGACAACTGAAGACAATCAGCGCTTGTGCAATCCAGCATGCATGACACCCTCCTGCAACTCAACTCTGATACCAAGTAAAGACAAAAGGCCAACGCATGCATGCAGCTCTTCGATGTCTGACAGGAGTCTCATCATCGTCCCAGATGCTGAGTTTGCATCCTCTCAGCAGCTATGCCGATATCTGGCGCGCCGTGCACCCATAAAATTGGGGCAGGTAAGGACTGGAAGAAGTTTGGCGTACGGCGCAGCCACTAGCAGCACACATTCCATAAAAGGACCAAAGGGACGCACGCACCGGAATACCAAAGTCTCGTGCAGCACCGGCGAAACCACCACCGATCGCCGGGGCTGGCCGGGTGGCCAGCGCCGCATGGTCGCGCCGGTATTGCACGGGGCCGCCATTGCTGATTTCGCCTGTGCCGTGGTAGTGATTGACCGCGCCGAATTTGTGATTGACAGGGTAGGATCCAAAGAGGGATGGCTGGGGTGGGTGGGGTGCATCGGGGTTGGCGAGGAGCGGGTGCGGCCGCGTGTGCGGCGGAGGGCACAGCCCCGGAGACGCGCCCCAGGACACTTGCCCTGCCGCATACAGAAATGTTGAGATGTTTGCCACCCAGTTATTTCCTTGGCCCACATTCGCCTTGCAGCCTTGAAAATACTCTTTATCTGTTCTTTACAACAGCTGGAAGCATTCTTTTCACAACATCTCTTTCTTGGCTTACATCTCACTTCCTCTTTAAAAACTATAGCTAGCAGGAACTGTACAAAGGAACAGTCAGGCCAGGCAAACCTGTGAAGCTGCCCTCTGCTGGCCTCAGGTGCCACTCCCTGTCAGGGCTGGCGTGCTTTTGCTGCTGCATGGCCGGGCGCCTGGACAGGAACGCCCCCTGACCGCCGTGGCCACGCTGAAGCTGCTGCTGGTTGGAGGGCATAACCCCGGAGCCGCGGCTGCCGCCGAGCATGCTGTTGATGCCCCGGGACAGGCCGGACAGCAGTCGTAGCCTGCCCGGGCTGAGCTGCTTGCTGGGCGCTAAACTGTGGTCGCCTGGTTTGGTGCCGGCCGCAAGGTTGTTTGAGTTGGCGCTGGTCCCCCCGCTGGACCCCTCGGCGACGGGACTGCCAAAGACCCCCCGGGGGCCCCATGCCGTGACGATGCTCTTAGGGCTGCTGTACAGGGAGTGAACCCCGCCGTCGCCACCCTTGCTGCCGGGAGGTTTTCCTGGGGAGGGAGTTGCGCTGGGGAAGAGCCCCGAGCCGAGGATACCCGAGGGCAGGCGCGGCCGAGCAGGCGGCTGGTGCCCTGGATTGTGCCCTGCCGTGGACCCCCCTGCATTGCCTCCCTTGCGCCCCAGAGACCTCCCCCTGTGCTGCTGCTGCTGCTGAGAAGACTGCTGCTCATCAGTGAGCCGGCCACCCGAGCCAGCAGCGGTCTGGTCAAGAGCCGGCTGCATTGCGTGTGCAATGCTGGCATTACCGGCTGCTGCATTGTGGCTCTGCTGTTGCGGGGTGTGTGCAGGCTGAAGAGGCTGAGTGGACTTCTGCCGGCGCAGCATCTGTGACCGGCGTGGCGGCTGGAGTGTTGTCGTCGCGGTCACCCCTGGCTGCTGCTGGGGTTGGTGTGCAATCAGCGCCCGGGGGTCGGCACTCTGGACCGGCGCGTGAGAGGTGATGCCTGCGCAGCACACCACGAACTGTGAATACACTGCGATCCTTGCTCGTATTTCTGCCCTAATCAACCGTCTTCATGCACGAAATTGGCGCACTCAAGAAGCTCTTCTTCCTCTGCTCATGGACCACATATCAGCGATGATCAGGGCAGCTGTACATCAAAGTAAATAAAGAAAAGTAACATATGGTGGTTATGATATAATGAGCAGGCATGCGAGATGGATTGTAGTTGGGACATACCGGACGTGCTGCAGAGCTGTGTCTGAGGGGCTTGGGGCATCGCAGGGTAGTGCGCTGCAATCATGTCATTTCCCCTGGCAGCCGCAGAGCAGGTGGCGTCCGCAGAGATGGCATAAGCCTTGGAGGGGTGCGCCACACTGGGCTTGTGCTGCTGCGCCAAACTTGGCTGCTGCTGCTGCTGCTGAGCCAAGCTAGGCTTCTCCTGCTGCAGCGCCGGTGTGAGCGGCTGCGGCACATGGTCCTGCGCAATGACATATGAAACGTGAACTTGACAAGCTGTTCAGTCCTCCCAGAGAAATCTGCGCTCTTCTATGCCCAGTTTCATCTATCATGAACACTTGCAAACTAGGAAGGCATTGCGCACCAGGCATCTGGGCCTGGCAGGGCAGATGATTCATCACTAGAGACAGCAATGATCTGGGCTCTGTTGGAGGACAATAAGTTGCGCAAGTTTCGGGGGGGATCAGAAGAAGGTTCTTTAAGGTGGCTGTGAGGTTTGCAGGGCTCCAGATTGGGTTCTATGGCAAGTTCAGGGGTCGCGCATCTGTCATGTGGATGTGTGTCAGGGATGGGAGTGCACCTGGAAGAAGGGGTGCTGGAGAGCCTGGGCAGCAGTGGGCCGCTTGGCTGGATCCCAGTGGCACAGCACTGCTATCAGGTCCAGCGCTGCCGGCGATGCCTGAGGAACCTGCAGCCACCAGCACACACCTTTGAATCTTCACCTCTGGAAAGTTTTGCCAGATGCAAGATTCTTTGGTCAGGAAGAGAAAGGAAGGCAGACACAGGCAATAAACGGTGCAACACAGATATGAGGACGTCAGCTGCAATCAATCTACACAGATGTGGCAGACAGCAAATGACTGCCATTTGACTGCCGCTAGCACAGTGGCCGCTATTTCTGCTTCCCCCAAGCCATTTCGACACAATACAGGAATGCCTCTCGGTGGAAAGCTCTGTCAGCACAGGCTAGCATGTTCACTCATGCCTGCGCAGGGGTGTCTTTGCATCGAGCCTTTCCTACCCGATGCTTTCATGTTTAGCAGGTCAAGCTGGCACCTTGGCAAGGGGTCCAGTCAACTACATTTTGGGGCCCATGGGAACCGCTAATAAGGGTTCCAGGGGGCGCGCACCATTGCTGCGAGGGGCACGGGCTGGCATTGGGGGAAGCGGAAGCCCATGGAAGCTGCCAGGCCCAGGCCCTCCGGCCAGGTGGCGGCTGTGGGGGACCCCATGATGCTGCAGATCTTGTACAGCTCATCCGCCTGCATGCATGCACAGCGCTGCTGGTCATGTAACCGTTTGACTTTGCGCCTCCGCACAAGACATCAGCAACTGCTAGATATACCACAACCAACTCTATATTCTTGCTCCTGTTCCTCTAGTCCCCAGAGGGCTGCCGCTGCCCTCTGTGTCGATCATCTCAGCCTGCTGCACCAGAATCTGCAGGCGCAGAACACACCTAGACGTAGGTTGTAGCAATGTGAGCTACCCACGACACAGTATCAGCAGGCCTGCCGTCATGTGCATGGATGCTCCCTACAGCCTGCCCAGCGCCTTACAGTGCAGTGACTTCATGCAATTAAGACATGCTTTTGCCTAGACTGGCAGGCACTTTCGGTTGGACAAATGCATGCATGCAGCTTAGACAGCCGATTGCACGGTTCATCCCAGACTCATTTGGGGCGTGCCTGGCTTGCTTGCGTGTCTGGACCGGTAATTTACGATACCCTTACATAATTCTTGCTTGAAAGCAGCTGGCCTCACTGTGTCTTAATTACAAAATTTGGGTCTTCATGCAGGACAACAAATGAGTCTGCACAAGCAAGGCTAGGATTCAAGCAGCTGCAGGCAGGTCAGGCGGCTGTGCGCACCTCGGAGGCCCCGGGGAACAGCGGCCGCAGCGTGAAGAGCTCTGCAATGATAGCGCCCATCGCAAAGAGGTCCACGGGTGGCCCGTAGCTCTTGGATCGTAGCAGCACCTCCGGCGCGCGGTACCTGCACCAATTAGCGGGCCAACATGGCTTCAATTTTCGCTGAAGATGGCGCATACTCTGACACTTTATCTAAGATGTATTTGATCAATCACTTGGGGGGAACATAAGACTGCAAAGCAGTCGCATGCGCCCCATTTGCTTTGAAGAGATTGGCGTACTTGCAAGACCGCATGTGCCTGTATACTTCTGACTGACCCTCGATATTGCAGCGGCGCACTCTTTGCAACGACAGCGGTGTAATCTTGAAATACCAAGAAAGATTCCATGCTGCATGCATATTTACGCTGTGCTATTTATACCAAATAGCCACGGTGGTAAGTTCAGGCATGTGGGTGTGGCGCACCATCTGGTGGAGACATAGTCTGTGAAGGGCGGGCGGGATCGGATCTCACGCGCCAGCCCAAAATCGGCGATCTTCACCGTGTCCTTGTGCACCAGCAGGTTCTCTGCGCAGGCCAAAAATCATCCATCAGTCTTGGATGATTTTGTCCAGGATTTATCGGTTGCATGCCAGCCTCACCAGCAGCAGGATAGTGAAGGAACTCATGAGGAGACTCAGCATCTCCTGTCAAGCTCAACAAACATCTCTTTTGCTCAATTCCAGCGCTGCAGAATTCTCCACATGCCAGAGGCCAGGCACATGCTCTGGTTCAGTGCCTTTCATAGACGCAATTTGGAGGCAACCTACAGAATTGCCATGCATGCGGTGACAAGCAGCAGACCGGGGTGGTGTACTGTCTGGCAAATGGCAATTGGGCAAGGTCCATTCCCTAACACCGCTCATCCCGAAAAAAAGCTGCTCCATTGAATGAGCGGTTATGCATCAGATTGAAGCCATCGCTCGAGTCAGCAACCAGCAGCGCATGGTTTAGGTTGCTTCAATCTGTATTCAGTCCGGTAATTTACGCCACCTGTGTCATGGACATGCCGACGGGCTGACCTGGGCGTATGCCACCTGTCCAGGAAAAGGGGTTCTGCAGTGACTCAGCATGGCTGACCTGGCTTGAGATCGCGGTGAAAGTAGCCGTGCTTGTGGATGTGCGTCAGGCCGCGCAGGATCTGGAAGCACCACTCGCGCACCCGCTGCTCTGGCATCAGCTCGCCCTGCTCCTTCATCAGCTGGTACAGGTTGCAGTCCTGCATGCGGGAATGGTGTTAGGCGTCAGGTTGCCCAGACCCACATTAGATGTCTTGGTGACGTCTCATGCAATTGAAGTATTGTGGCCAGATGCCATCTGGTGCCTAGAGTCCAGAGGAACCTGCCACAAAGGATGCCACCTCTGCCGTACTTCCCTTGACTGTATCCCCTGTCATGCCCCTGTTCCATGACATACACGGGGCGCAGCTGTTTGAAGTCGCGTCATACATTTGCACGCTTGATACACGTATGGGGAGAGGTGCACCCAGTCCCATCTGGTGACCAAGTCCTCGAATTACTGCAGTATTTGCCCTAAGGCATGTCAGCATGTTAGCACAGGTGAAGCCCCTGGATTGGCAGCAGTGCTGCAGGTACGCGCCATGCAGTCACGACCCCAGCCGCTCCTGCAGCTGCATAATGGCAAGCTGCATGGCAGGTGCGCACCATGTACTCGAAGACGAAGAAGAGCTCGTCCCTCTCGCGGATGACCTCCTTGAGCTTCACTATGGACGGGTGGGACAGCTTGCGCAGGCTCTTCACCTCCCTCAGGGCCATGCACTCCTCCCAGGAGTAGAACTTGCGCTTCATCTTCTTTATGGCCACCTGCGCGCACATGCCCACACACGTTTCACATGTGGCCAAAGAATTGAAGGCGCCTCTGGCTTGCTCTTCCGAGGGAAATTTCATACACAGCCCGGGTCTGCAGTAATGGAGGCGGTCACATGTCTAACAGGATTGCCGCTTGCTGCATGATATGCACGTTGTGTGCTCCAAGCCAGCAAGTTCAGAGGCAACCAGGAAGTGTCCATACGTTCTGAAAATTCCTGCAGAATTGAGCATGTCTTTTCTGCGCAATTAAAAAGCCGCTGTCTTCCTTAATGCTCTCAAATACTTCGCACCTCTCCCAGAAAACCAGAAATCTCAAATATGCTGAATGGTGGCAGGTTGCCTGTCCTGATGCAACAATGCCATGATAAGAAATTTGTGGGTGCTCCCGGGAACAAAATCTGTACCACGGCATTGGTCTCCCGGTTGATGGCCTTCCACACGCTGCCATAGGTGCCATCCCCAAGCTGCCTTATCACCTTGTACCTGCAGGGGTGAAAAACATGGATATGTCAATAAGATTGGCTGCTGAATGCCAACATGACGAGCATGAGCATGTTCAGATTGCATGCAGCTGGCCAAACGCCCTGCATTGATGGACAACCAGATTTACTCTTGGGCACACTAAGCGTCCCCAAAGCGCCTGCCATTGATATTTAACTCCTTCAAAAGTTACCAGTATTTCTGCAGTACAGCTATTAGATGGATCACAGCTGTCGATTGATACTTTGGCTTGTGACATGTGGAGCAACAGCAGGAGACTGCCCTCGCGCTTTACAGGGGATCATTGATCATCAGAATGCATTTTTGGCATTCAAGGCTCTTAATATGTTGTCAAGTTGATATGGACTGATCAAGGGGGTCCTCTTTCAGTCTTCCTGTCCTCACAGGAGGCCAATCTAGATACATAGCCTTGGAATTGGCCTCCTGATCCAGCCTCTTTTAATGCAGGAACGCAACGAATTTGGATCGTACCTATTCATTGGTCCCCCTTCACTTGTACGGCAGCGTGCTGGATGCACAGGCGTGCCTGCTCCACGCTCCCGCCCTCAGCAATCTTGACAGGCCCCGCTGCTGCTCACCAGGACCAACGCCGGCACCTTGGTCAACGAGAGGACATTGAATTGGAAGCGGGCTCGGGATTCAGGATTGAAAACTACTGCCCAATGTTGAGCTTCTGAGAAATATTCTCTAGAGGGGACAAGCAGGACCCTCGCTGAAACCCGCGACACTGGAGCGGGACAGCCCACAAAGAGGCCGCTATACGCCCTGCACAGCCCTGGCTAAGCTGAATGCCTCTTGACAGAACGGTCTATACGCAATCATAAATGCGCACTGGTCTTGCTTGAGCGGGCACAATTTGCTCTTGGTGAGTGCACTTTGCGAGTTGACAGCTGGAGAGCCAAATTTAGCACCATTTCATCCTGGATATTACATAACTAGAGCTGCAGACACCTTCCTGCGCACCAACATCTCTGTCCTTGAACTTTCTTTTGCCGCGTAGGAGCCTTGCAAAGAGCTTTCGTCGACATTGCGTGGACGGAGCATTGCATTAAACAGCTGAAGTGAAAGGGGCGAACAGTGGTTTTAAAGACTATCACGAGTTCATAATAATATGCTTCTGGACTTGCTGCAGGCCTAAGAAAGCAATTTTGTGGTAGTGTCGTAGAATCACGTCGAAATGGTGGATCACCAGCCTTCCATCGTAAATTTCGATGAGCCCAGCCAGATGTTGTCCGACTTGCCATTCCAAAATGAGGATGCAGACCTATACAGCTGGATCGAGGGCCTGGCAAGCACCGCGGCTCCCCAAGAAGGCAATGGGAAGCTGGATGCAATGGACAGGGCAGTAAAGGGGGCAATGCTGCATGAAACCCCATCTTGGCTACCCCCAGGCGGTCTGGGCGATCCTGCGCCCCAGCCTCTCTTCAAGCACACCAGCAATGTCAGCACATTGCACAGCGGATCGAGCGATGCCTCTCAGACGAGGATGGTGCCTGCCCCGCACTTTCCCATAGAGGCAGACGACCTGTCCCTACCCCTCCCAGATGCCTTTGTGCCAGCGCCTCAGACGCCTTCAATGGAGGCACCATACCTAGTGCCCGACCTCCCCAGGGTGATGGTGCAAGCTGCCACGCCGGCGATTTGGAACCAGCAATTCCCACAGCCTCCATCGACGCTCTGGCCACCCATGCAACCTGTGGATGCTGGCAACAACGGCTATGCGTCCTCGCCAGTGGGTGAGGCCACGTGCTTCATACCTTTCTTATCCTCATGAATTTTTCACCGTACAATCTAGCCCATCAATGGCCCATCAGTGCTGTGCTCGCGGAGACAAGAACTGTCGGCGAGCTTTTGATAGGAGTTTCTTGGAGATTGCATAAATGTCAATCGCGTTTAGAATTTTTGCTCCTGGATGAGGAGATCATCTTTTATCCGCAGCAATGCTTGGAAGGCCAATATTCACTCCCCCTGCTGTGTTTTGCAAAGGCCTCATAGCACACTCCCTGCCATACGATCCCCGCGTCTCGTGGCTCCCTTGGGGGATTCCAGAATGGACAACCCATTCAGCAGGACCCCAGGTGCACCCGCCGAGCCACCGCCACGCATGCGCAGCCTGCTGAGTCACCGTCACATGCGCGCGCAGGTGCCATGTCGGCGGCCGGGCAGGGGCTGACGCCGGCGGAGAGCGGCGGGAGCAGCGAGGGCGGCCGCGAGTCAAGACCGGAGGACAAGAACGAGCTCAGGAGCTCCACCAGCGTGCCCAAGGCCGACGCCTGGAAGGAGAAGAACCGCCTCGCGCAGAGAGCCTTCCGACAGCGCCAAAAGGTCAGCCGAATCTCTACATGCGTGTGTGAATTTGCATGGTGATTGCACAAATAGTGCCAGTCTTGTTGCAATAACGATGATGTGCTGGGGCCTTTCACAAGCGTGATCCCTTACTGTATCTGCGGCAATTGTGGGTGGCTTTGGGTTTCATGTGATGACCAGCCTTTGAGCTCTCAAAGGCTGGTCATCTCATCAAAGGCTGGTCATCAGCTTGCAAAACAATGCTGGAAGGCACTTTCTGCATGCCTTTGGTTCTTCAACGGAGAAATATCGCTTCTGTACAGAAGGGGTGTACGGCCCGCTAGCCTTTGGAAAAAGGGCCGCACCTTCTGGTGCAGCGGTGCAAGTCAAGCACCTCTGAAGGCACGCACTGTCGAAGTGTGCGGACATCACCACGGTTTCATTCTACCGCCCGCGCTGAAATGCGGTGCCCGGATGTCTGCGCAGGAGAAGCAGAAGGCATCGGAACGGCACATCGAGGAGCTGTCTGAGCGGGTGCAGTCCCTGGAACTGGAAAAGCGGCAGCTGCAGATGGCACTTGAGCGAGCTTCAACCGCCACCAAGGTGCGCATTGATATGTAGACATCATCGGACTTCCCGTTTTGGCACGTTTCCTTGGACAGTTGGAACACGGGCCCAGAAGCTCTTGAATAGCAATACACGCATGCCGCATGTATTACCGTGGGGGGAGTCCGGATGCAATACGAGATCTCTTTATGGCAATGGAAGCATCATGCAGGACGCGCATGTACTTACAATCTCTGTCGGATGGACATCATTCCTTGAGGCCTGATGTACCAAAGTTTGTAATCCACAGGACTCGGCAGATTGGCATATCTGCTGACAAAGTTGTGAGCCTTGATTGGTTGCTCAGGCCGCGGCAGCGCAGAATGGGGAGCAGAAGTCGCCGGACGATGCGGTGGCGATTGCACTGAAGCTTGGAGAGCCGACGGTGCAGCTGCAGCTCAGTGTGGGGGATGTGAAGGTCATGACTCTGGAGCGCATGGTGCACATCTGGAAGGTGCGCTTCTAGCTGTAAATGTCAGGCTCTTCTGGGCTTGGAATGGAACACCTGCACAGAACTGGAGAATGGCATTACATGTTCAATTGCACTGAACAAATCAGCCAGCCCCATGTCAGCCTGCTTGTTGTGCAATGAGTTGTCAAAGGTGTGATGGTTACATTTATATATAATTGTGCCACATAAGTTACTATGTGATGATTCTTGTGCGCATGCACAGCCCAGACCATCTCCACAGATCTGTAAGAATATGTGCTGAGCCCATGCATACTCTGTTTTTGTGCGCAGACGATGGTGCACAAGATTGGGCAGTATCTGCCTGAGGCAGAGCAGTCGCCTGGGGGCCTCAAATTCCACTGCCTAGAGGTGTGCACCCTCACCCTCAGCCACTGCATATTTCATTGACACGCGCCCTCATGTAGCGCAATCCTTCAATTCTGTTATGTTGCTGCAGACTTGATCTGTTGGTGCTCATGTGAGAGGTAAAGCTGCGTGCACAGCTGTTTGTACGCATCTTAGTGTCTCACTGCATCTTCTGTAATGTGAGCATTGAAGGAGTTGGCGTGCTTGACTGGACCTTGCACAATACATCTCAGTGCAGTCTCGGCTTGACCTGAGCCCGTTCGGCTAAATGTCTGTCTATTTATCTTCCACTGTTCGCCCCCACCCCAAACGTGGTGCATGCATGCGGTCTCAGGACATGGCATTTGAGGCGCGTCTGCTGCTGTGGGCGATGGTTGAGCACAACATGCGCATGCTCAGCGACTTCATCAAGTGCAACATGGAGAACCTGTCCTCGCCGCGCGTCGCCGACCAGGCCTTCTGGATCAACATGCTGGTGCGCGACCCCTTCCCTCCCCTTTTTTGGACCTTTTCCTTGGTGCCTTCTGTTGAGCATCTGTAGCCTTGGACAGATGTCTCATCGGTGTCAATTCTGGGCATCTGTTGCCTCACAACATCCCAAAGGTAGCCTTGAACGCGAGCAAAGTAATCTGCTTGGCTTTTTTTCGAAAGGCGCTGTTGGTTCTGCTTCTTTACGCCCAGAAGGACACTCACCTGTCCTCTGCCGCACTGAGTCCTTCCTGCATGCAATGGCCACATTATAAAGTGTTCAACTCATCCGGGCGGCATTAATGCTGCAGAGAAGTTTCATTTTCGATGGAAAAGTGACTGACGCGGTCTTTGTGTACTGTGTAAACAGCGGCGGCTGCAGCTGACGTCAGCCCAGCAGGCGGCGCTGGTGGCGGCTCGGAGGGCCATGCTCGCCAACATCGGCGTGCTCCTTGCCGAGCGCGAGGAGCTGGGTGCCAAGATCAGGGTGAGCACCTGTTACCCTCTCAAGTGTTCCTGATTGGATGCTGCAGCGCAACTTTTCAGAATCCGCGGCCCTGGGTCGTCACTGTTGGGCATCTTCTGGCGTGCTGCCGTACTGGGTCAGGATAGACACTGGCATGCACCAGCTGATCTCTTTTCCTGATATGATGCATTCGCCCCTTGTTCAGCTCTGTCTGGTAATGGCAGTGCAGATGAAAGTAATGTGTGCTTGTGTGACAAATGCCTGCGTCCTCGCCGATGCATCACGCAGCTATGTGCACAAGAGCTGCGCAGGTTGTATCACCATGCCACAACCTGCAAATTGTTGCTAATTGTGACTAAGTGGATCTGTCTGTGCATAATTGCAGAGCATAGAGGATGTGGAGGACACGAAGGACGGCGTGAAGATGCACTTCCAGGAGCTGTCGGACTTGTGCGAGAAGGTCCGCGCCAACGTGGACGCCATCCACGTGTGCAAGTGCTACTACATGTCCCACGCCTACCGCGAGGTGCGCCCCCGCCCCTGATCTTAGCCTTCTAAGGAACATGCGCATGCATGCAAATCTGGTTGGGGTCTGTCTGTAGATTGCCGGTTTGACAGAAAACGGCATGTGCGCACTTGATTTGGTGCTCGCTCTTGCCTTGTATGTCTTGCGCCATGCAGCTTCGGAACATGACAAATGACAGCGGCATTTCGAGAAATCATGCGGCGAAGAGTCCCTAGAAAACAGCAGTGCATTGTGCATTGCATGCATTCACGATACGCTGACCACCTATGTGTGGCTATTTGCTATATGACTGGCATGGCGTTCAGGATCTCTGGTCACCGCTGCAAGGCTCCCACAGGTGATTGTCAGCATCATCTCAAAGCAGCACCCTCTGGTACAAGAATCTTTGCTGGTCCGCGCAGATTCTGGCGCCGGTGCAGTGCGCGCGCTTCATGTACTATTCCTACCCCTACGGGATGGACATGCTGTCGCTGATGACCTGCGCGGCCAAGGAGGCCGGCGAGCCGTCGACGCATGCGCTGCTGCGCGCCGTGCAGCCGAGCGCGGCCGGCGGCCCCAGCCACAAGCTCGCCTCCATAGACTGGTCTCAGGCCAAGAAGCTCGCCTTCCAATGACACACATCTGGGCGAGGGCGGGATCTGGGATGCCACTATCATGGGGCAGGGTTGCAAGGCGCAAACCCGACACATGTGGGCAGTGTGGGACCTGGATGCAAGCTCAGTAGACTGGTCTAAGGCTACGAAGCTCGCCTTCTAGTGACAGCAGAGAGGAGAGGTTGGGACTCTGTACGTGACACAGTTGGCGGCTTAAATTGGCACACCTGCGACGCTTGCGTCATGGAGGACGGCTGCAAAAATGCCTTCGTGGACTGCTACAAGGCCGAGGAAGCTCTCAAATGATAAACCCCTGGGTTTGGGCGGCATCTTGTCGGGTCGTGGGGCGTGACAGGAAGGTCCTTCATTCATGGGGACTGGAAGCTGCCTGCGTAGAGTGGTCCTAGGCAAGAAGCTCGCCTTCTAATGACCGGACACAAGAGGAATGCGACTGTGAGGCCAATGGACTCAACTTCCAATGATCTGACACAAGAGGGATGCCATGGTGGGACATGGCTGCATGGCTCGCCTCCAGACTGGCCCAAATCCCTTCAAATGACACCCATTCGGTGACAGTGGGACATGGGGTGCCTTTGTCCCGGTGCACAGTGCAATTTCTACAGTTTTACTTGTCATGCGTTGGGCGAGGGCGGAACCTTAGGACCTTCTGCACCTGGCATGCTTGTGTCATGGAGCAGGGCTGCAAGCCTGCTTCCATCGACTGACGCCAGGCCAATAAGCTTTCCTGCCAGGGATTCAGCTGGCGAGGACGGGTGGGCGTTTGGCATATTTTGACCGCCGAGAGTGCCAGCCACAAACAAGACAACAAAGTTGGGGCTCGTTTTAATCGTGTCAGCCCGAAGCAGTGGCCATGCCCATGATGATGAGAGAGTGAGTACCAGTTGCAAGACATGGGGCGAAAGTTTCAAATGAGAAGGTCCTATCAAGGCTTTGAAAGAGAGCCGGGCCTTTATTGCCCATCAAGCTGTATTCAAGTACAACAGCCGAGGGTGGTTCTGCAGCTCTTTTATTTCAACAGCAGATCCGAGCCAAGCCGAGGCAAGTCCATGGCTCTATTTCCATCGCAAGCAGAGCAGCAGGGTTTGTTTTGCCGCATAATGAGTAATGTGTTGAGTGCTTTTGATAGATGTTTTGAATGCCTTGCGCAAGCTTGGAACATGCATAGAGGTGCTCGTTTAGTGCTGCGCTTAAAAGGTGACTGTGAAGCAAGGGATGATGGTGTTCCCATTAGCACCGCGCCATCCCTGGGTCTCCTTTATGCAAACCTATGGTGAAAATGTGTCCCACAGTATCTCACAAGTGATGGGTGTTTTCAGTGCCGGCCCCTCACCGAGCTGACTGGATGCCCTGATGGTTTATTTACCCTTGGTTAATGTCACCTTGGAGAAACCGGTGCGCTTTTCTAACATCAGGGGACTGCACCATTATTGAGTTCTGTGAATGCAAGGCTATTCTTTCCCTGGGTTCACCGTTTTGTGTGGGATTCAAAGCAAGCGCATGCGAGCTTGATACTATTTCAGGAAGCTCATGTCGATCTGTGTGAAGGCTAGAGATTTCTCACCGATGTTATCTAGTCTGTGGTTGTGATTGCAATCCTGTGTGGGGTGTGTGCCTCAGGTTGGTGACAGGTTCAAGAGTTCTCAGGAGCAGTACTAGTACTCGTCAGTATTTTTATATGATCATCCTTATAGTTTGATCGACATCTGTATGTCAAGAACAGTTTAAAGAATTGGGGACAATCATCAAGGGTTTTTCTTGAGGTGTTTTTGCTCGATCAAAATGAAGGGCATGTGCTTCAATATTCAGCATACATGATAGAGTGCGGCGCACGTGCGTTGGCGTCGCAATGGGCATTTACTGTGCACGTCAGTAAATATGCAGTGCTGAATTACAGATTGCAGCTTGATATTATTTTGTAAGTGGAGGGCTTCTGGATCTGTTGTGATGTAAAATTTCTCAATTGGATGTGGATTTGTATCTGCACGGCCATTTTCATTCGTCTCTTCGCACGGTGGCGCCAACTGGAGCACTAGGGGTAATTAATATATTTGTTGTATATTAATTACCCCCATGGAGCACGCCGAGTCACGTGTGCCGTCGAGTTATCTTTAGTGTCAGCTTAGGGGCATCATGCTGGAGCAACCACTTCTCCTGGCAGCTTTTTAACGACAGTGATGGCCTCCAAGATCGCTGTTGCGAGCGCCTTGGCTTTATTAATGAGTTGTCTTCAATTTCTGGGTTAAGCTCAAGTCTTCCGCCGTTCGACATTAGTTGATCTGCAGCGTCCCCTTGATTGCGAGGAGGTAAATTGTATTAAAAACCCTTCGAAAGAAGTCAATATCAGCTGTGACCTGATGGAGAGCCAATGTCCTGAAGGCGACAGGTTCAGCCCATCAAGAGATGATGATGCTGACCTGTGGCAATTCCTCGAGGGTTTGAGCGAGCATGGTACAGATCCAGGCAGTTATGAGGGCAGCAACTCCAGAGACACAGCAAGCAACGCAGGAGCAAGGGGGCGTACCAGGTCTCTGCCGCACCGTCCCAAGACACGTCCTTCCAATGGACTCAGCAGAGCAGGGACCCAGGCTATCGACATGGCAGCAGTCAAGTTCCACAGGAATCAGTCAGCTTTTGGCCAGGGAAGCTCCCCCATTCAAGCGCAGCTGAGCAATCTTCTACCAGCTACAGACACAAGCAGCAGTATCTCGGCAGGTGCAATGCACGCTGCAACATACCCGCCGCATGCCACTGCGCCCTATCTACAATATGGAGGCCTCGCATGGGGCTATGGCAGCCCGGCTGCTCCTGTGAATATCCCTGCAAGACAGACAAGCTCGCAGGACAGGGCACTTTCCTCTGTCCGGTCAGCTTCTGCCCCAATCTTCAGGGGCGTTCCCATCTCACTCCAAGGTGCTCCATGCCTCCTTGATTGGAGATCAGTTCCCTTTCATCCTCAACCCTTGCCAGTGAGCCTCTATGTTTGCTTTCTGGTGCTTTCCAGCATGCATGGCAGTGTCAAGATGGCCTCTCACTTGAAGGTTACTCAGGCAACTCAGAAATGCTGCCAAAAACAAAGCTGCAACTATTCTATTGTCTTGCCCTCTGTGCAGAAGGGGGAAACCTCTATGGCAGCCCCGGGAGGACTGCACAGCAGGACCCCATTTATGCTGGGGAGGCAGACAGCAGCAGCAGCAGCGATGAGGAGCAGACAAAAGCTGTGCAGTCAGGCGAGCCTCCCTTTCTTTTCCATATTGCTACACATCAGGACTCGCACACGATGCCATCCTGGTGCCCTGCTGCTATGGGGAATCCAGAGATCTGCAAGTTCATTTTGAAGCAAATCAGGGCATGCACTGGACCACTCCCTGATTGCTCTGCAATGAACGGTCTGCAATTTGCAAAAGAAGCATTTGTGGACCGGCCTCGCAGTGATTCTAAGCTGGGGTTGCCACCATCTCGCAGTGCATGTTATGAGGAGTTCACAGATTTGCAAAGGGTATTGTATTTGGTTTGGTGGAGAGACTTTTGCTACGCCCTTGTTATACAGGCGGTCCCAGAAGGAGGAAGACAGAGGGGTGGAGGGCCCAAAACAGGCGCGCCCAACAAGCCTTCAGGCAGCGACAGAAGGTGAGACACTTACTTGAAAGCACTATGGACCTCTAATTACCATGCCGGACAGCAATTTCCAAGGCACAGAATGCAGAGCAAAGCATCTCTGATAAATTTAACCGCCACTTCCAAGTCGCAGGATGCAGAGCAAAACATCTCTGCTGAAGAATGCACATGGATTTTGTGCAACAGGGACTCTCTGCATGCTTACTCCCACCTGCTTATGGTGTAAATTACCTACTGCCCGCAAGCTATCAGTGAGCTGATTTCCACTCCAGCTTATTCCCACTTCAGATTGTCTCCACTGCAACTATCATGCTTTTGAGTAATGACAGACAACGGAGACACTGGATGATCCCACCGTCATGCAGAAAATTGGCTGCAATTTTGCTGCATTGCTGGACTATGCAAATTACTCATGTATGGCCGCACGCTGGTCAGTAGGAGCCGAATGCATGCGCCTCATTCTGGCTCAGCGCTACTGTGCACCTTTTCCGCCCAGTCTCTGCTGCGCAGCTAGACTCAGATTGAAGGCTTCCCGCTCAACAAATAGCTGGTCAAGCGGAGCTGTGTGCATGCGCAGGAGAAGCACAAAGCGGCTGAGCTGGAAGTTGAGGAGCTGAAAAAGCAAGTCAGCGCCCTGGAGGCTGACAAGGAACGCCTGCAGAGAGCCCTCGAGGAAGCAACTCGCTCAGTCAAGGTGGGGACATTGTTTATATCGCCAGATTCTAGTCTAGACTTACCAGACTCTGTGTCCTCGGCCTCGACCAATCTTATTTCCTTGTCAAATATGATGGCATGCACCTTTTGAGCCCAAAGTTTTGACGCTGAATCCAGATGTGACTTTTGGATTGCTCCATTGGGGATCCTGCACAATGTTAGAGGCAGCAAATGCACTGCTGCATTCGCGCTTGAAAGCTACTACAACTTGCGAAACTGGCCGCTCTCTAAATGGTGCTATCAGCGGAGCTTACATTCCTTGAATTGATCCTTACTATGACTGTCTCTGACTGTCTGTGAGCTCCCAACAGAGCTTGGAGTAGTTGTACTGATGGATTACGGACCTGAATGCCCATGTGTGTGTGCTTGCAGCGGAGCAAGCGCTTTGCACTGGAGTCCAAAGCGATCGCAGTGGCTGTGACTTCTGACGACTGGGACGCCCCTGTACAGCTGACGAGCGCGGATCTGCAGGCGTTGCCTCTCCAGCGCATGGCAGACCTCTGGAGGGTGACCTTCCTGATCTTCATTTTTCCGCCGTGCTTCTTTGCCTCTGCTGAGCAACTGCATTGCTTCACAGCATGCATGGTTTTTTAAGGTCTTCTCAAAATTGAAGGTCGGTGTAAAGAGCCTGGCGGGGGTGGTATAAATTCTGAGCACCAAGCCCACGGTCGATTGGGTCTTGCTTGGATCTGGCGAGTCCAACAAGGGGTACGATTGGGGCCGCCTTTACCTGCAGCTTGTGTGCACGACGCACCTTGCCTCTTGGCAGGAGAGCGTGTTCTTATAATAGTATATCAATAAAGAGCCCAGCTGCCAGACCCCTACAGTGAGCTTGTAGGAATCATTACAGAAGGTACCCTCAACCCTTAACTATTATATAAAACCTCTGGAGATTGAGGGGATTAATGGGTGTGCAGGGGTTGGTGCGCAATATGGCATTATGCATTCCCGATGCTGAGCGACGGCCTGAGGGACGCCAGGCAGACAGGCTCAAGGTAATCTGCTCCGGCTGAACAAGATTGTAAATCATTTTCCTTCACCCCCTCGGGCCTTCTTGCTCTGCACCCTTTACGAAGCGCAGAGGAGCCACAGACCTCACGGACCTTTGAGCGCAGTGTTAATCTGCTATAGCCAACAAGGACCTTCACCTCATATGATGCAATTTCAAAGGATCGTAGAGGAGATGTTTCAATAGGCAACTCTTGAATTATCATCTGAGCAGTCCCTGGCGAATGGCTACGGCATTTGCAGACTTACAGGCAGTACTGACTTGCACCGCGAATTTGGTGATTGTTGCATTCTTGGCAAGCATCGAGCAGTACATAATGGATTTGCACGATTAACGCATGCGTCATGTTGTGCAGGCCCTGTCTGGTGAGGCGTGCGCGCTGATGTGGGCGCTTTGGGACCTCAACCCGACAGTCGTAGCAGCCTTCAATGCCTGTGACCTGGAGAGCCCTTCCCAGCTGCGCCGCCACAGCCCTGGCATGTGGCCCAAAATCCTGGTGAAGACCCTCTCTTTCTGTGACAGTCTTCATCAGCGCCAATGATACAAGAAGTCCTTTGATTTTGATTTTGATTGGATGATATTTGGAAAAACGGAATTTAGGAAAGCCGCCACAGCCCAAGCATATGGCCCTCCGTCCTGGTGAGCACCCCTCCCACCCTGACACTGGAGCCTCTTCCCTCCCTCTCCCGGCGCACCAATTCAGCAATTCAGCCCTCAGTGGCCGCATGCCATGCAACTAGATATTTTCAATTCTGTCCATCGGCGCCCCATTGATATCTATTATGTTGGGGAGGATATTTGGGGGGAAAAAGGGAGGTTTAGGAAAGCCGCCACAGCCCAGGCATGTGGCCGTCCGTCCTGTTGGGGGACCCTCTCTTTCGGTGACAGTCTTCATCAGCGCCACTGATACAAGGATTCCTTTGAAGTTGATTGGAGGATATTTGGAAAAAAGGAATTTAGGAAAGCCGCCACAGCCCAGGCATGTGGCCTGCAATCCTGGTGAGCACCCCAATCCTCCTTGGACTCTCTCTATCAGCACCACTATCAGTGCCAGGGCAAAGCCTTCCTGGCATATTCAGAGCTGGTTGTAGCAAATCAGGCCACATATCTCAATGTAAGCCGTTTTCTTCTTCCCATGTCTACAGCTTGCTTGGGTGAGGTGGGGAGGGCAGGACTGATAATCTGAAACAGAAACTTTCAACGCGATATTCGTCCTGCGCCTACCTCCTTCTGCTAGGCATGCTGGCTAGCTCTTGTGCATGGCTGCGTCTATCCCTCTCTTCCCATCCCTCAATGGGAAAAGGCACTCTGGGCGCAAGTCTTTGCATATTGTAGGGTGCACTGCTTGTTGACTAAGGCTGAAAAACGTTTACTAAGGCTGACTCATCTGTGCAGGAGCGGCTCCAGCTCAGCGCACAGCAGCGCCATGCGCTGGCCATGACGCGGCGGACGCTGCTGGCAAACGTGGGCGTTCTGTTGGCCGAACGAGAGCAGCTGCTGGCTCAAGCACAGGTCCGCCTCTGCTGCAGCCCCTTGTCCTTGGACTTCATCTTTCTCACTGCACCATATGCATGACTTCACAAGTTGCCAGACATCACCCTGCGTCTGTTCAGTAGCGACCACGGTGCCTTGTGGGGAAGTTCATTTCACCTTGTCTACATGCCAAAGCGAGGGAACGGCTCAGGCAGCATTGGCGAGGGTACCTCGCTCTTACTTACCAATGTCCTTTGTGAATTACAAAGGTGTTTGCGCCCATATGGCAGTTACCCTGTTCTAAAGGGAAGAAATACACCTCAATAATAATTACCCCCGCCTAATTTGGGCAGGGCATGTCGTGGGCGGGAGGGAACGCGTGCGCGCTGGCCGCTGACCTGGCGGCGCTGGTGGAGCAGGTGCAGGCCAACGTGGAAGCTGTCCAGCTGTGCACCGCTTACTACACCTCCCACGCCTACACGCAGGTGCGGCCCCCTGCGCACAATAAAACTTGCATTCTGGCTGAGGATGCTGACTGATGAATGTCCTCACACCCATATGGAGGCTCATCAGGGAAGAAAGCTTGCCGGAAATGTGGTGCTGCGTGGCGAGCGCTGAGAGGCATTTTTGGCCTCGGTCCATATTGAGCCACTGCGCATTGCAGCCGCCGCCGCCAGTCTAAAGCCCTATGCTTGGTGTGGTGACACCGTTGTAACTTCTCCAATGAATTTATGCTCTAGATATCCCCTGATATTGAAAATATTTAGGGTACATGTATCTATAAGATCCACAATGCCTTTTGCATGTCAGAATGTGGCTTTGTGGTGAGAAACTGCTGGCATGCGCATGCTAAGGCAATGGCTGCATGCGCACAGGTTCTGACGCCGGTGCAGTGTGCGGCGTTCTTCCACCAGTGCTACCCCTTCGGCCCAGACCTCCTCTCCCTCATGGCCGCAGCTGCGGCCGACGCGTCGCCGTCCGACACACGATTAATGACCGGCGGTTTTGGGACCACCGCTGAATGGCGAAAAGCGCTCGTTCACCCGCTGTCTCAGCTCCGCTGCACCGCCTAGATCGGAATAAATTCCCTATCTAAATGGGTGCAAGGATAAGAGAAAGGTCCTATTGGCCGCCGCAGCAGCCGCCGCCGATGCGCTGGCGGCCGATGCGTGGCTGAGGATCGGCGGCTGTGAGACCATTGCCGGAGTTGCGCCAAGCGCTTGAGAGCAAAATGAAGGCCTGTTACAAGAGGAGCCGGGGAAGCAGGTTCATGATACTAATCGCCGCGGCAGCCGGCGGCAAGCTGGTGGCGGCCGACGCGCGGCTGACGCCCGGCGGTTGCGAGACGACCTAGCCCTTGTTCAGCCGGCTCTCCCGGCTCCTCTGCAGCGCCTGAGAAATCGACCCCGGGGAACAGATGCGGGATCACTCGGGTCCTTTTAGATTACAACAAGCAAGATATCTGGACTTGCTGATTTTCGCCGCGGCCGCCGCGGCCGCTGGCTAATGCGCAAAAGATCGGCGGCTGTGAGGCAATTGCTGAGTGGCGCTAGGAGCTCATCAGAAGCTCACCCTAGGGGAAGGGGATGCGGGATCAGTTTTTTTAATACGTGCAGCAACCAGGAGTTCTGGTCTTGTTTGTGCAAGCTTGGATCGGGCACAACTGTGTGACATCTGATCACGAAATGCAGCGCCTGAACCATGATCAGCCCCTCTTTAAAATACTAAGTAGGAAGCACAAATATGTTGCTATGAGCAGGCGATGGGCCGTCAAGTTGATGGCCAAATCCCTGTAAGACTTCAACAAGTTCTTTTTAGTTAATGTGGTGGACGCTGTGGTGTGTGGTACCAATGAATCGGCCATGGGGAAAGGGATGTGTCAGGAATATATATTCTTTGATGCAGCGGGCAGGAGATATGGGCTTGCTGATTTTTTTCGGTGCAGTACTAGGCGTGATGTGATGAGAGATTGCTGCATGCTGTTGTCTGTGCAAAGCACCCCCGTCAAACTTGGGATGCATGCAAGCAATCGTGCTGATTGGTCCAAGAATAGCAGTGTGCACTTTGTGCCACAGCGCTTGTGCCTGATTTGAGCACACTTTGTGCTGCACTCTTCAGCTTGTGCCTGATTCTGCTGCTTACAGCTCAGATGTTGCTGCTGCTGTAGCTGATCAGCTCATGACATAAGGTTAGGATTTGTTTATTTCAGTGAGCGCACTATTGCGTGTGGGTGGTACAGCGTTGCAGGAGAGGTACATATATATGTTGGCCATGTTATGTTGGCGCAGGTTGCCTATTCTTATTTATTAATATTATCGAGCCAGTATTTGCTGATGCAGTTTCTTGCTAGGTGTACATGCACGTGCACTTTATTCTGAGCAGCTTATCCCACAGAATAGCGTGAATTACGCCCGCCGGGTTGGAAAGCTGCAATTTTTCAGGAATTTGAGGTCCCTTGCAAATTTGGACGGTCTAAATGATTATGTATCCAGTGTTTCGTGAATGAGTAGCGTGATTAAAGACAAGTGCCACAGCAAAAGCATGCATCCTTGTGGATCTTTCAATAAAAATTTAAATCTGGGAAGGAGGATGCTGTGTGTCATCAAGCAGTTTACAGATGTGGTGCAGAGTGTGAAGATTAGCATTCGAGCACCTTTAGAACAGATGGAAAATTCTCAGGGTTGTCTGACCGCATTATTTACCCTTCTGGCCCCAGGCCCTTTTGAGTTAGGCCATAATTTTGCTGATGTAAGTTCAACTGGAATCAGACATCCAGCTCCTTCGTTGATATCGTGATCATTACCAAATGCATCATAATCAGTCCAATCTGGACACATGTATGACTTCTGGCCCAGTGGGAGAATATCCCCTATCTTGCCTGCACCCGTTCTCACAGTCGCCGTTTTGGCACTGTAGCCCCTGCAAGTGGCACTGGTACCACTGACTGCCTGTTACAAATCAGTGACTATATATATCAGACTAGTACAGTTCGGTCAGATGATCCTTTTGGATCATTAATCAGTCATCTCGACCGATCTGTAACACTGCCCAACGGCTGAGACAGACTGCGACAATCTCCTGTGGCCAGAAGGTCTCCTGAAGGCCACCTGAAATGGGGACTTCAGGTCGGTTCAGGGTCCTTCAGGGACGCTTCAGGCACTTCAAGTCAGATTCAGCATGTGTCTGTGCAAAGCATCCCCGTGAAACTTGAGATGCTTGCAAGCAATCGCGCTGAACGGTCCATGAATGTTAGTCCTGAACTTAACCTTAAAGTCAGATGATATGATCTGGTCTGATCTTATCCAGATCAGAGCCTGATCATGAAGCCAGACATGACAAATTTCTCTCCCTTTCCTATCTGCATTCTCCCTGGCAACATTGATCAAAGATAAGATGCAGGCTTTCCATGAACATCCCTCAGCAGCCGCACAAGAGTTTGGCACCAGTCTCCAGCTGGGCAAAGAAGTCCATTCTAAATTCAAACTCGCTGCACTCCCCGGCCGTGCAGGCTTTGGTATCAGATCTGTGATTCCAAGCCAAAGTATTGCAGCCTGTATTTTTTCTTCTTTATTATTACACGTTTTCTAGTCCTCAAGGACTAGGTACGTCAAGCAACACAGAATTATTGCTTTTCAGGCTTCGCGGTTCTTGCACTTCCTCCACCAGTCATATGGATGCCCAATAGCATCAAGGTCATCTGTCACATAGTCATTCAAGCTCTTCAATGGTCTGCCTCTAAGCCCACTGCCTAACATTGTACTGAACATCATCTGCAATGGTATCCTAGTGGGATCCATTCTAGCCACATGTCCCAACCATCAAAGGCGTCTATATCTGAGCAAGTCTGATATCTGAGGCATCTTGCACCTTGCACGAATCTCCGTATTTGGTATCTTATCCAACATACGATACCGCAGAGGCTTCTCAAGCATCTACTCTGGAAAATCTCAAGTTTTTTGACATCACTATCTAGAATGGCCCATGTCTCACAAGCATATAACAGAGTGGACTGGACTATGATTTCACACAAAATCAATTTGACTCCCTGTGAGATATCCTTGTCCCCCCAAACTTTCAATCTTATCAGTTCATGATATGCCCCAGCTGCTCTGCTCAGCCTGCTAGCTATTTCTGGTTGCATTGACATATTTGCAGAGCAGATACTGCCGAGATATTTGAATTCATCCACTTCCTCAAGAGCATGGCCTCTAAGGGAAATCATTGGATCAATAATGGAGTCCTCTGGGAGTGTACTAGTAATGCCAGACAACCTCATGACCTGCGTCTTACGAACGTTGATCTCAATTTTCCACTGGCCAAACGTGTCATCAACTATCTGAGAGCCTGCTGTAAGTCTTGCTCACTCTCAGCTACAAGGGCAATATCATCAGCATACATGAATACCAGCTCAAACTTGCTGCATCAGGCTTGTGGCAATCTCTGAGATTGCCATCAATTTTGTATGACCACTGCACACCTAAGTGGCTGATCAAAGGCTGAAAGGCTTTCACTATAGTATCGATGTAAACGTTGAACAGCACTGGGGCATTCACATCTCCTTGCTTGAAGCCTGTGGCTACACTAATCCAATTCTCTGCTCTGCCTGAGTCTGACTGCAAAGCACAACAGTCTGTATATTGTCCAAATATAGATCATGCAGGCTTTCCATGCACCTCCCTCAGCGGCCGCACAAGGGCCTGCCTCCAGTCTCCCGCTTCGCAGAGGGGTGCATTCAAATTCAAATTCAAATTCGAACCGGATGCCATCCCGGGGCGTGCGGCGTTGAGCAGTTCTTCTGTGGTCGGCTCGTTGCCTTGTTTGGCCAGGCAGGTCATGAGCGACAGCATGTCTGGTCCCATGGGGTAGGAAGCCACCAGGAAGCGCGCTAGCTGAACCGGTGACAGTACCTGCAACACATTTCAGACACTTAGATTTACAGGTGCATACCTGCAACCTAGTGGGCTGGAGTAAGCGTGCAATAATTGTATCAACAAGAAAACCCGAAACTGGAGCAGGAATGCAAAATGACACATTGAGCATGGCAATCAAGGACTCTGTGGGCGTAACTGTAATATTTGTTTGCAGCATCAGATGTGGTAACTTATTGTCTCTAGACAACAAGAATTTCTCCAGCAAGACACATGCAGAGTGCTATGTGTCATTGCAGCCAAGCAACAACAAGAATCACTCTGGCAACCTACGCAAGGGTGCCATGCATTTCATTCTGGAGTCGATAATATGATGCTCAGCCAATTGGCCCCGGCTGGCGGGGGGCAATATACATACTGAGCACCGTGCCCACGGTTGACTGGGTCTCGCTTGGATCTGGCGAGTCCAACAAGGGATTGGTTTATGGTAGCCTTCAACTGCAGCTTATCTGCAGGACGCACCTTGCCTCTTGTCAGGAAATGCGTGTAATAATACTACTAGTAATAATATTTATTTGCACAAGATCAAGAGAAATTGGCTGGTGAGCTCACCCTTGCGTAGGCATAGGAGACGTAGAAGGAGGTGCATGCATGCAGCGAGCGCACATTCGCGCGCAGCCGCTCCATCAGGTCATTGATTAGTACAAAATTAGTCACCGCCCCCTCCTCCCGCTCCTCAATGTCTTTGACACTCTGCAGGTGACACAGCAGACCACTAATTATATCCCTTAATAATGCACTTTTGTTCCAGCTCAGAGGGACAGGTGGATCGCAGCAACCTCTCAAGAGTTTCCGTCAAGCCTTCCATGTGTTGGCATAAATACACCTGCCAGTAAGATATACTTTATCCTTTTGACACTGAAAACTCCTTCAAAACAAAACACATGGCTGCAGAAAGAATTTTGAAAGTTACAGCTGGATTGGTAATGTCAACAGCACCTTGATCAAGACACAAAGCACGACATATATGTAGGCAAAGACGGTTCGAGCGCCATGTCAGGAGAAAGGTTTGCTTTGGATTTGTTTGCAACGCATGCAACCTACATGACACCTCCGGCCCAGGAGCACGATTGACCACGTTGCATGCAAGCAGTCAAGTATTATTCTATCTTCATAATTACATGCTTCTCCTGCCAAAAGGCAAGGGGAGTCTGCAGACAAGCTGCACTAAGGTGTGGCAATTTGAATTTGGATTTGGCTGCTTGTGTTACTGGGAAAAAGAGGGCCGTGCCTGCAGCTGAGATGACAGTTGGGTCCTTTCCACAAGCAGCATGCCGGCTTCATGGAACAGAGTCCTTCGGCACTGCATCAGCTGCTCGACCTGCCTCTCAGTGAGTTGTATCTGCACCTGTGCATGCATTCACACTGTTAGAATCTTCTGATGAAGCTCTATCGTTTTTCCTTTGTTTCTGTGAAGAGAGGCCAAGTGCGGCCACAAACAAAATCCCAACCTTTTGCCTGATGGCAAAAAAGGCCTTCACCTTCAGAAATCCAACAATCCTTCTTGTGATCATTTGACACAAGAGGTACTTTGATAAACTGCTGAAGCCCGGCACTCAATTGTCAGATTAAAGTGTGGTGGAATTTGAACAAAGTTTTATTATTAGGGCTCAGTGGATAACATGAATAAGGGGTAGAAAATTCTGCTTTAGTTCTTGGGCAGTCTTCGGTAAGCCCTGAATTGTTGAGGGCAGGCGTGGTTACCAAAATGGCAGGCCAGTCTCGGGGGTCGCTAGAGGAACTTGGAGCTCCAGAGGGAATGTCCAGACTGGCCGTGGTCAGCCAGCTCAGCATGCGCGCGTTGTGATCAGTCAGCGCCCACAGGAATGACAACGCCTCACGCGCCATGCCCTGCAGCCAGGGTGAATAAACTATCAACACCCCACCTGTACTTCTCTGGCCTGTTGTAATCAGATGACCTCTTGGTGAAGCTACTTACCAGATGACAATCAAGGCAGAAATGAATGAGTGAAGACAGTCCTGGCTCAGTCTAAAGACACTTGTCACTACTGCAGCCTGGATGCATAAAATGATGACTGCAGCAGATGCAGATTTACAGCCCAATGGTGCGCTCAATTACTGCTGGACAGAAAAAAAAAGTGGGTCTTGCCCAAGTTTGAAGTGCATATGTCTTTGTGGCTATTGTGTAAGGCAAACTCAACCAATCACACGAAAGCATGGCGAATCACAGTCCTACAGATCACGATACAGTCGCAGCACTCTGTCTTGGGTTTTATGAAACAGCGGAAGGCTGTCACCTCAACGGGAGGCATCAGAGAGTCATCGGCCGGGGCTGCGTCCAAATCATCCAAAGAAGAGGCCGTCCTACGCACCAGCCTCTGCAGCAGGCAATCTCAGGTCTCAGTCGCTCTGAACCTGTCAAGCCATAGTAATCCTCGACCAGAGTCTGATCCTGGCTTGGTCAATAATACCACAGAACCAGCTGCGCACTTTGGCAGCACAACAGCTGATAAGCATCATGTTACGGGAGTCATTGCAACTGATTGCCAGCGGAATACATAGCACCGTGCCCACGGTTGAATGGATCTCGCTTGGATCTGGGGAAATCCACCAAGGGGTAGGATATAGGATATGTGGCAGCTTTTACATGCAGACAAGCTATATCCTACCCCTTGATGGATAGTCTGCAGACACACCTTGTCTCTGGCAGGAAAAATGTGTAAGAATACTGGCTACTAGCGTGTAAGCACCATCATAATAATCACTAGAGGTGTTGCTGGCTGGCTCTAAGATGACAAGGCAGAGTGATACCCATGGCACCTCATGGGCAATCTGGGGAAGCAGGGGTTGTGCCCTTGGATTAACATACCTTCCAGATATCTTTCAGGGCATCTGGCTGAAGGGCACTGAGTTCCCCTAGCGTCAGCTGCAGCTGCGTGGCGGCTTCTCCAAATCGAAAGGAAATTGCGATGCTGTCACTCCCTTGCAGAGGCCGGCTGCTGCTCTCCGGCTGACTCCCCTGTGCAGTGCATTTGCAATCTCATTGTCAAAGGAGGTAAAGCTGCCAGCAACAGGGACACTGCACTCTCTTGTTTTATTATTTATATCTTTATTACACGCTTCTCCTGGCATGAGGCAAGGTGCGTCTGCAGACAAGGTGCAATACAGGGCTGCCACAATCCCACCCCTTGTTGGACTTGCCAGATCTAAGCAAGTCCCAATCAATCAATCATACCGCCCCCCGCCAGCTGGGGCCCATCTATGAGATTGCACATTTGATTTTTCATCGGCCGTGAAGGGAAAGATACCAGGAAAAGAAAATGGTCCCTGAACAATATTGGCAAGTGGTTGTTGCAGCCAATTTATGAGTATTTTTAACAAGTTCCCAGTTTTTCAGATGATGCAGAGATTCCACAGGGCTTCAAAAACAAACCGACTTTTGTAGCATGACAAATTAAACGGAGGCAATAAGCCAAAAGGAGGTTACAAATGATTAATCGTTTTCCTGGCTTGATGTGACTGCTGAAAACTGGGCACAAAACCAGCCGTGCTGCTCAGACTTCAAAGAGAACACTCTCAAATCAAAGTTGGTGATTTTTATTGTCTGATTCATTGACACGGTGGCTTAGGACGGCGAACATCAATTATGCTCTTATTGACGCAGCAGGAGCGTACCTGTGAGGCGCCGGTGGCCGTCTCTAGAGCTCTCTGGAGCTGACCTCTCTCCATCTCCAGTGCAGCCACCCTCTCAGACAGCTCCTCTACGTGCCGTGCCGTGGCATGGTGTCTTTCCTGCAAGGCGCCACTGTTATTCTCAGGAACCGGCTTTACAGCCGCCGCAACCCAAACGAGCTGCGCCTTTAAAGGCTTTGTACGATGTCCCACCTTTTGTCGTCGGCGGTATGCCTTCTGAGCGATTCTATTCTTCTCCCGGGGGTCTGCCATTTCTAAGAATATGTTCAAATGATATCGTCTTTGAGTTCAATGTATGCGACGGGCAACGAGGTGCGAAAAGCCTGCCGCCTCCGAAGCCCTCTGGATGCAGCTGCGGGCTCAGAGCAGTGAGGTCTTACGCGAAGAGCGTCTTGCTGCTCGTTCAATCGGAATATATTGCTTCTATTTGATTCTCGTCTAGAATATTTCTGTTCAATTTCTTCGCTTTTACAGAACGGAGTTTCTGAAACGCTTCTGCGCAAGGATGCGCCGGGATATTTATTCACGGAAACACTCTCTATGCCTTCTTCTATTTCTTGCAACTTCATACCGGTGCTCGCAAACATATCAGCCGTCTAGGAGGTCGTCGCAGGATAGATTTCGGTCAAATGCAGCGGAGGCTTGTCCGTCATTCTGGCCTAATGCTCTTCCCGATGAGATGAAAAGGGCCATGCCCTGCTTACGTCAAGGCACTCGCCAGGCATTTGCGTGCTGCGTGGCCGTCTGCGGTTGCAACTTTGACCGTTACGTAACGTACATTTCGATTGAGACGAATGACATTTCTCCCAACGATTGGAGCAAAGGACTTGCACAAGCTTTTGCAATCACACAAGTGCTGTCATTTATGTGCCTATGTTGCCTTTTTACAGAGTTGCAATGCTCTCAATGCAAAATTGCCACCACATCTGCGCCACCATACAGTCTCATGCATCCGCTCACTACACTCTGGCAGACTACTGAAAGGTGCTCCATCGCGCAAAACCCAGACAATTACGTTGGAATGACGCGCATGCATTGCCCAAAAAGGATCGTGCATGCATGCATGGGACACATATAGCTTATGCCTCGCAGCACCTCATGTATCTTTGGTACAAACACTATTAATACCAATATTGGTACTAGTAGTACCGTACTACTAGGCAGTACCGCCCTGGTGGGCGAAAATCGAGATCTACAAGAGCAACAGCCCGCTTCTTGCATTTGCAGAAGGCGTCCAGCATGCATGCCAGTCCCTCGACAGCCAATCAAAAATCGTTGTTGTGGGCCCATCGGCATTTTATTGGATTTTTCACTGCACAAGTTCCAGCCTTCCAAGACTAGGTGGCGTTCCACTAAAACAATCAGAGATCTCTTTCCAAACTTCCCTGTCCTTGCATGTTTTCCACCAATCGAACTTGACACAGTCAGGAGTGGCAGAAATAAAAGCTGCTGCTGGGTGTCCATATATATTATAATTATCATTCAATGTAAGTAACACGCTTTTCCCGGATATTTGAGGGCTAGGTGCATTGCAGCAACCTCTTCTTCCCCTCCAGCCTTCCTTTGGTCCAAAACTTTCTGCAGGAAGGACTATTGCTGGGACATCTGGAGTCTCTCAGAAGCCGCTGAGAAGGTCTTTGCCCATGGGGCTGCTCGGGGCTGCTCTGGGCTGCCTGGCAGACTTTCTGGGAAGAGCCTGCAACATACACAGACAGCCACCTGGGGTCAGCTGATCAACAATTTCAATATCCAAAGAAGCCCTGCATTGCTTTTGATCAGAATGGTCTGCAAGATCACAATCATAGCGGCCGGTTCTGCTTTCCAGATCTTGAAAAGCATACGATGCCTCTGCGAACTGCAGCTGCTGTTGCACAGGCTTCTGCACCGCATTGCAAAGTGCAGAATCATGTGCAGCAGCAGCGGCAGTGCCCCTCAGGATGCTGTGTGGAAGTGATGAGGAAGCTTCCCATGCAGCTCACCTCCAGCTTCTCCACGTACTTGGCCAGCTTGGGGAAGCCGCTCAGGCTGACGCCATACAGCTTCACTCCCAGCAGAGGCGGCCCCACCGCAACATCTGCAGCATGCACACATACAATCATTCATTTCTCTGGCAGGATGTTTGTTTTGGTGTTCAATCGTAGGAGAAAGGGAGAGCTTCTCGACTCGAGGAAGGTGCTGATGAATCGGTTACGTAGCTGCATGGCCTTCTTGCAGGATCTGACCGTCCTCAAGGCTAATGAGTAAATAGATGCCGTGTAACCTTTCAAGAGAGTCAACGCAGCACTAGATTGGAATTAACAGTCGATCTTCCTGTTTGAGAAGGCATAGGAGGGCACAATCTCTTTCACATGTCTCTTCCACCTCCTCAACAGTCACCCTTTCGGACAGACATCCTCGCTGGTCAGGTCAGTCTACTCCATAGTGTTATGTGATTCAATTCTTGCTATTCATGAGCTCGAGTGCACAATGCTAAAATTCTCCGCTCCAAGGACTTTCTTTTTGCCCTCAGGTGGCTCTCATCACTGGCGGAGGCTCTGGCATTGGTCGCGAGATCACACGGCAGCTAGGTAGTATCCTCAGACCGCTGTACATCATTAGTGCGATGCAGGATGGTCAATATATGGCTGTTCAGCGCCAAAGCATTGCTGAGAAAGGGATTGATGTTGTAGAGACAAACCACGCACCAGACGGCGAACAAACATCCTGTGTTTCTCCTGGTGCAGGTCTGCATGGAGCAGCAGTGGCAATCAGTGGCAGGCGGCAGCAAGTGCTGAATGATGCTGTTGCTGCCCTTCAGGATGAGGGCATCGACGCCATGGGCCTGCAGGTGCGTCCACATGGCCATGCATGACTTGACCAATCTGCACGACACAGGAATTGCAAGTGTTTTTGCTGCATGCTGATTGGGCTTGAACAAGGAGCTTTGGTGTGTTCTGGCGTGTCTCAGGCTTTGTTGGGGCCACCTCACGTCAAACATCCCCACTGAAAACCTAAGAATCCTCAACCATTCTGGTTTTCTTACTCATCTAATAAGTTAATGAAACACTGTGCCTGAGCCAATGAAGATTGTGTGCAAAGTTGTTCACTCAGATACATCCGTGAATGATTGCTTGGTCAGACTACGAAGAGACATTGATAAGGGATCGATGCCACAGGGGGATGTGAGGAAGGCTGCGGACTGCGAGCGGTGGGTGCAGGAGACCACTGCGCGCTTCGGCCGCCTCGATGTGCTCATCAACTGCGCAGCCGGCAATTTCCTGGTGCACACCTCCCTCTTCCAGCCATGGAAAATTGTGACTCCCACTCTCAGGCTGTGGCCAAAAACAATTATTTCGCGGGTTTTAGAATGACTACTACAGTATAAGGAAGTTCCTGATTACCAGCATTGTGTTGCAAGACACACTTGAAGGTGTTATTGAAGGCCCTCATTTTAATCAGAAAGCGCCTGGCCTTGGGAGGAGAGCTGATCACTGGAGAGCCTGGGACTGCTGAATGACTGTACAGCCCGGTTGGAGTTTCATGCAAGGGGTCAAGGCATCTGTACGGGCCATAGAATCCTTGAGCTTTCTTGGGATTCCAAGAATAAGAAATGGTGTCCTGTTCAGGCGTCTGCAGAGGAGCTGACCGTGAACGGATTCAGGACAGTGATGGAGATCGACGCTATTGGGACGTTTGCCGTGTCTCGCGCTGCGTTCCCTGCTCTTCGCGCGCGTGGCGGCTCCATCGTCAACATCAGCGCCACGCTGCACTACGGCGCCACCTGGTGGCAGGTGACTCATCTGGCCTGATTCATGCTGTGAAGTGGCGCGCGGCTCTATTTCACCTTTGCCAGAGCCTGGTTTGGCGCCTGATCTGGCCGTGTGCCTGAACAATAATAGGTCTGCCTGGTCTATCTTAGCTTCGCTCATGTGCATGCTCAGACTTGCTTCCTTCCTGTGCATTCCTTGGTGGGAAACCCCACATGAGTTCTGTGCAGCTGACCACCTGGAAAGAGCGCATTTTAGCATGAATGACAATTAATGCCTACCAGCAATTGCATGCCACAGCAGTTGCGCAGCGGATAAGAGAGCGGAGTTTTTATCTTTGCAGTTTTGTGCAGCTCACTTGCGTAAATTATGAGAGGAGGGGTCATTGTTTGTTCATGCGCGCGCACCACATGTGCGCAGAAGCTGATGAAGCGAGTCTTCTACTGCGCAGGCGCACGCATCGGCTGCCAAAGCGGCGGTGGACAGTCTCACGCGAAGCCTGGCGGTTGAGTGGGGAGCCTTTGGAGTGCGCGTGAATGGCATCGCCCCAGGGCCGACCGGCGGCACTGCAGGTATGACCCTTTCCTCGATACTGTAGTGCTCAAACTACAACCCGCACCCCCGGCGGTATGGGAAATCAAAGCAACTTTCAGGGGTCTTCCTGACTCGAAAAATACCAGGGTCATTCATGCTTCATTGATCTGGGCTTGTCGAGAGCTTTCCGAATATGGTCTCAAAATTGGGTGTATATTTTGGGAGAGAGGGTCTTCTTTATTTACCATTTTTGTCCAAAAATAATTAGTTATGGCTGGTTCTGTTTGAGCACTGCAGTATCTTGATTCCCATACGGCTCTGCCATCCATTGAGATCAGATGCCATGCCCAAGCATTGGGGAGGTGCTGTCATGATGCAGTCAAGTGGGTTGTGTCTTACCCGAATGGATATGGGTCACAAGCAGAAGGGAAGGCTGGAGAGTCCAGAATAAATGCAAATGTGCAGGGTGATGAAGATAAGACATCTGTATGCATATTGGTAGTAAAAAGTGACCCTCCGGAACTGGAGTTTCTCTATGGTTTCAGGAGGAGCAAGCCATATGCAACAAACGATGTTGTAAGAAATTTTAAAGAGGCTGGTCTTTTTCCTCAGTCAGAGGTCCAAGCACAGGAAGCACCTGGAACCCTGTTGATGATCAGCAACTTCGGGCCATGGAAGTAGCAGTGTTTGGTGGTGACAGGGGGAATGGGTTGTTGTGCCAGGGGTGTCGAAGCTGGCAGGGGTGGATGCATCGGAGGAGGAGGTGAACGAATTGGTGGCAGCCACAATCCCCATCGGTCGAGTAGGCTCCAAATGGGACATTGCCATAGCTGCAGTGTTCCTCTGCTCTTCCGCCGCACGCCACATCACAGGTGCATGCAATACTTGCTCTCCTGCCTCCTTGCCTGCAAGATTGCATTCTCGTTTCTGCATGCATGCGGAACACTTTCTGGATTTGAGAGGCGTCGGTGCAAAGCCAACTTGCGTAGCCATATTCCTCTGTGGACTGCCATCGAGTATCCTGCTGAAAGGCTCCCTTCTAGCTTTCAATTAACACTGAGCTCGCTCCAAAGCTCAGAGTCACACCCTGATCAGATGTAAATTTTTGTGATTGAGGGATAATCAGCATATCAGCAAGGCTAGCTGCCCGCTCTGATGTATATATACTGGTGTGCTCACTGCAACATTTTGACAATGTTTTGGTCGTGCAGGTGACACACTTGTGGTGGATGGAGCTGCATGGATGTGGAGGCAGCCGGCGGTGCCTAGGGAATTTGTCAGCAAAGCCTCAAGGGGCGTCGAGGCGAAGAGCCGCGCCGTGGGTCTCTCGGGGCCGGGGCAGCAACGGAGCAAGCTGTGATCCGTAGTTATATCTGTGTTTGTGTCACACGTGGGTGGAGAAGACAAGCTATTTGATAGGTGTCAAGTTTAAGGCCAGCACTGGCTGTTTTGCAATTGGAACGGTTTTCGTGTGTGGGTGGAGGTAAGCGGACTCGAACCGCTGACATCTGCCGTGCAGAAGCAGATTTTTCAATTGTGTTGGGACAAGCAAGCCTCAGGCAATCAAGCCACCTGAGAATGTCTGTGTAGTAGAACTAGGCTTGCAGGGGTGTCTGTGTCGTGTATTATAGGGGACCTGTGGGGGGGGGGGTCTCAGAGCAGAGGCTGTGGCACTTTAGGATATTTGCTTGCAGGACCATTTCAAGGGACATGCGGATGTGTTAAGCATTTAGGAATTTGATATAGACAAACTTTGAAGTCGCTGTCAGCTAGGTAGCACCATAAGTCTCAATACAGTGGGCAACTGCTAGAATCTGGATTGCAGAAGCACTGGCTCGATGAGGCTAGGACCCTCTACAGTGCAGCGGAAGAAGCTTCTAGCAGAGTGTGCAGGTAATCCAAGTGACTTGTCACAGATATGAAACTGGGTTTATGAATGGATGCTTGGGTTATGCTGCTCCCCCGCTCAATATGTACACCATGGGATAAATGCATGCCATTGCCATAGTCGAAGCCTTTAAAAAAGCTTGCACGGAATGCAGATAATAGCAGTGCCCCTGGCAACAAAGCAAGCCATCTGAGGCACATTAGCCAGGCTATACCTCACAGACCGGACTAGTATCATAAAGACAAAGGAAATTTCCGGTATTGCAGGAAGGCATGTAGCGCACCCTTGCAGCCACAAGTCAGTAACGGCCAACCAGGCAAGATCTGAACACTCCTTTCCGAGCTTGTAACTTCAAATTCCTTTTGCAGTTTCAAGAGATCAGGGAGTGCTTTTTAGCAACTCTCAGGAGCACTCTCTGGTTGCACCTGCTGAAGGCATTGATCTGACTGTACCTGCTGATCAGACTTCAGCAAACTTGAGCTTCAAACTTTGAATTCGCTGAAGACAGTGCGCAGCTTTGCGTCTTCCTTGGTGGCCGAGAATCCCAGCAGATTGATGAAGAGAGAGAAGAAGAGAACGCCTCCGAACACGTACCAGCCAGCCTTGCCCTGTGTCAGCACTGCACGCAGCACAAACCCCTTGTGACTTACATTATTTGGCAGTTCATCAATCCCCTGGCAATGTCAGCCCGAGGGATATCTTGCTAAAATGCACATACCAGCCTGTCTTGCCCTGCGTCAGAACTGCACAAACCACAAACCCCTTGTGAGCCCACAAATATCATCAATCCCCTTTCAATCCCCTTGCCCAAGCACCTGTAGGGGACTGAAAGTGTGCCCAGCCCCCTTGCCTCTTGCCTTGCATCAGAACCGCATCCCCTTGAAACCTCAACCATAAAATCAAACCCCTTGCTATCTCCACTCCAGGGTCTTTGATTTAAATATTCTAGAGATCCCCGTCGGTTTTCCAGACGTGTAGACAGGAATGCATGAATGCGTGTAACACAGGCACAGGTTCACTGCGCAGCTGATCGATGACATTGAGCACATTGCATGTTCAAATACAAAAATACCTCTGCCTTATGATCAAAACAAGGTTCCGCAATCAGAGATCTCAAGTATGTCCCTGGAGTGTTTCTGTAAGTCCTGGAGGGGCGCGCACCGTTGTTGTGGAGGGGGTCTGCGAGGTGATCGCTGAGGTTCTGTAGGGGCCCCTTGCCGGTGACTGCCGCCTGGCTCCAGAATCCCAGATTAGCCAACATTGCCAGCCGAGCATTGCGCACCTGGTACCAGCATGCTTAATGTCAAGGCAGTGATCTCGACAGAGACCTACTCATCAGCTGCAGTTGGGTCTCTGAAAACACCCAGCATGCATGCAGCCTGCAAACACCGCACTGGACTGCTGCAGCAAAAATGGCAGTATAATGGATCAGGTGCAAAATTGCCGGCACGTAAAATTTCGCTCCCTTCAGAGCTATTACCATCTTGTACAGACCAAGTTTACATATGTTCTCGGCTTTCTCATGCATCGGATTGCGCATCTTCAGCCGGAGCTGGCAGTAAAGAGTCGGCCTGGCATTAAAATGACAACCACCAGCCTCTTTGGAGATGTGTACTCGGATGGATGAGGCCAATAGCAAGGGATCCACACCGTTCTTGCATCAGGCAGTCATAATTGCCCGGTTCATCTGTAAAGCATTCATTCTCATAAATCTTGGTGCAAAGAAAACTCACCTCGCTCTGGCGGCGGTAGTCATTGCGCAACCCCATGGGGTCAAAGGGGGCAGCAAACAGTCCGGTCTGCAATCAGCACAACAGGAAATCAGTAATAATCTCAGACGGCAAACATGCTGGACATGCATGGCAGCCTGCTGGTCAGAAAGGTGGTCCTGTGACACAGATCCAGCCCTTGCTGGGCATTTACTTATTGTTATCACATGCCGTTCCTGCCTGGAGGTAAGGTGCGCCTGCAGACAAGCTGCGGGACAGTATTATTATTATTATTATTATTATTATTATTATTATTATTATTATTATTACACGTTTTTCCTGCCGAAGGCAAGGTGCGTCTGCAGACAAGCTGCATGTAAAGGCTGCCAAATTCCTACCCCTTGTTGGACTCGCCAGATCCAAGCAAGACCCAATCAACCGTGGGCACGGTGCTCAGTATTTGTACCGCCCCCTGCCAGTCGAGGCCAGGACAGTATGCTCTAGACAATGTGGCTTTGTAGGGCACGCATTATTTAGGGGGCAAACCATCCAAGCAATGGGCTTGAGATTTCTAAAATATAGGCTGATCTAATGATGCCAAGGGAGGAGGAAAAGCTATACGGAGATGATTGGGTGCAGGCACAGACCTGGCCGTTCGCATTGAAGTTCTGCACGCGCTTGTACTCCAGGTACCCCCACGCCAGGTGGCCCACCGCCACCACCGCAAAAAACTTGAGGGGTCCCTCCGGCAGAAGAGGCGCATAGTCCACCTGCAAACCAAGACACCTCATGACTGGTACCTAGACTGCATTGCTACCTGCAGTAACGAATCTCCCAGCTCTGGATGTGGCTTTTAAGCCCAGCATAGTACCCTCAAATGGCCCCGGCTGGCGGGGGGCGGTACAAATACTGAGCACCGTGCCCACGGTTGATTGGGTCTGGCGAGTCCAACAAGGGGTAGGAACTTGGCAGCCGTTACATGCAGCTCGTCTGCAGACGCACCTTGCCTTCGGCAGGAAAAGCGTGTAATAATAACAATAATAATAGTACCCTCATGGGGGTGAGGCGCCACCGTGTTGTAGGGTGAACATGATTCATGCATTGAAGTCACTGCATGTTAAAAGACCCAAATGCCTTTGTTCAACTAATGGGTGCAAGGCAAAGCTATGCTCAACTTCAGGCAGGGCTATGAACACTGCTTGGCAGGCTTCCACTGATCTGCAAATCTGAGTGACACAGTGCGCGGCACTTCTGGCAGCAACGAGCAGTGTGGCAAGGAAATTGAGATTTCAGAGTCTCAGAAAGCCTCTTTGGCAGTCTCACCGTGAAGGGAGCCTTCCACCATGGGCCCTTGCCCAGTGCCTCCACGCTCAAAATCCCAGGCACAGCCAGCATGGCCTGTACAGTACAGGCAGGTACTTCAGACCGCTTAAAAAGGGGACAGGTGTCTTGAGTGCTAGGGTTGTTTCGGTGTGTCTGTTCTCTGGGAATTGACTGCATTCGGGCACATGAAGTCGGAAAGATGAAGGTGGATGTGAAGTTACGGCAGGGAGATCACCAGTCGCCCGTTGTACAACTCGCCCTCGAGAAGCCTGCGCGCCAGTCCCATTCACCGGTCACGACGCCCTTCAAGGTTCACTGCAGCTTGCGGCTCGAAGCAGAAGCAGTGTCACGTGAAATATTGCCAATTGAGAGAGTCTTTGATGCATCGAAACTCACCACTCCAGACCTCGCTCCTCCTCGGCGATAAATCCCGGCTTGACAGTGCCCAGCTTCAGTGGATCAAAACCCCGATCTCCAGCTGCAGCAACCAAAATGTAGGTTACATGCGATTAAACGTCACATTGTGCCGTAGCAACAAGACAAATCTTTGGGAGCAGCTGAAGGGATCTCACGCAATGATCCGTCCAGATAAGCTGGAGGCTCTGCTCCGTGGAACCATGTCAGGCTTCCGGTTTCCCAGAGCCTTTCTGGAGTCTCCAGCTTCAATGGAGAAGCTCTTGATATGAGCTGGGTAGCCCTGGAGCTGCGCTGTGGCAACCTCGACTTTGCGATACTGGGCGCCCCGAAGAGCAAGCCAGGAGTAGCCAGTGCCATTGCCATTGCGATTAAATTGTACAAAACCACAGACTGGAATAGACTCGCCTCAGTGCAAACAAGCAGGATCAATTATCATGATCGTACCATGAGTCATTTACCTCGGACTCCAAGATACTCGAGGATAAAATTTCAATCTGCGATGAGAAACGTTGATTCGGCAGAGACAACGTCGTACAACCAGGCCTTTGAAGAATCATAATAGAATAAGCTTTCATAATTCAGTCTTTTGACGCAATGCAGTCTTTTGCAACCGGAATCGCTTTGCAATGCGGTCTGGGAATTGGCGCTCGTCGCCTACCTGCACGCACGAGACGTGGCCCACTGTGTGTTTCGGTGGGCCCCAAGACACCAAGTTGGGAGCTTGAGAAGCCCGAAAGGCTTTGGGAGGCATGTGGCGAGCTGTGGTGGGCTCTTCGAGCCCTCACTCCTGTTCTGTTGCCGCATAAAGCAAGGCCTCACCTCCCCACAAAGGTCAAACAAAGAGAAAAGCGTCCCTTTATCACTTGACCATCTTTAATGGCTGGCATTCGCCACTACCACATTGCATTCTTTAGCCCTATGTTCCATCTGCAGCTGCGTCGAGATGCCCGTGCAAAAGCCCTAGCCCAAGTGTGACAGGCTTTGTTCTCGAGTGCGATACATCGATAAGTTGTTGCATCGAACAAGGACAAATACTCCATGCGATGTGCAGGCTCCCTGGCTTCGACCCACCTCCGTACCTCAAGGGCAACCTGCGTAAGTGCACCTCACTCGACTTTCACGGCTGCCTTAACACAGCACAAGTGACATGTTCCCTGTTCAACAATATGGAGGGCAGATTGGCGGGACGCTTTCTTGGGATGGACCTTTCCTGGGACAATTATGTGCAGAGATGGTAGAAAAGGGGCTGCAGAATCTCAGCTATGTTGTGGTGCTCTGTGCAGCTGGCGACAGGGGCTTTGACCCTCTGAGGCTGGCAACCATCAAGCCGTCTGCTGTTGCTAACCCAGAAGACGGCCTGCCCTGGTAAGCCACGCTCTTTCTTCCCAGAAAATCCAATCCCAACTCCTTGAAATGGCCGTGCCACTAGAGGCATGATGATCTCATGTGTGCACAGCTCAAATTGCATGAACCTCTGCGAAACAAAGGCCGAGAACAACGCTTTGTGTGCTCATTCATGCCACGCATGCGAGCTGCCTTTGTTCCATTAGTAATGGCAAAAATGTGCATTTGCCACGACACTGCATTGGCATCCATTGCATGATGTGATTATCTGCTGCCTGGCAGGCTTCTTGAAGGAGAGCTGTACAACGGTCGCGTGGTGCGCTGCTTAACCACGCATTCCCAGAAACACCTCTGCATCAATTTGTACAGATTCCAGCGCACGCAAGATCTTTGTAAAGAGAGGCTCACAATGCATTGCAGATGTTCAGTGCGGTCCTGGCCCACTCACATCACTTGTCAGATTGAGGGGAGCGGCAAAATAGACAGCATTTCATCCACTTGGTGCCGTGAGTGCAGAATGCGAGTGGGCTGAGTTTGAAGAGTTGACTTGTGCAGGCGATGCTGGCAGTTGTGGGCATTTTGGCGGTGGAGTTCCTGGGAAAAGGGCCCTGGTGGAAGGCTCCCTTTGCGGTGAGTTCCCATTGGAAAAGCAAAACCAGATCAGCGCCCAAAAGCCGTCTGAATTTCTGCTGCAGCTGTCTGAGAGCTGTTGCATGCAATTGAAGCCATCATGCTGAACAGTCCGACTGGGGCAAAAGGGCCGGGCCCCTCATAGCAGCACACGCCGAGCCCAACACGGGGGAAGATTCAATTGGGTTGCATGACATGCAAATTGAGCGTGGGATCAGGTCATGAATATTATTATTATTAAACGCTTCTCCTGCCAAAAGGCAAGGTACGTCCTGCAGACAAGCTGCAGTTAAAGGCTGCCACAATTCTACCACTTGTTGGACTCGCCAGATCCAAGCAGGACCCAATCAACGGTGGGCACGGTGCTCAGTATTTATACCGCCCCCCGCCAGCCGGGGCCACATGAATATTGCACAGAGCAAATATATTGTGCGGTGGCGCCAGGTGGACTATGCTCCGGGCATTCCGGCCACGCGCGATGTGATTCCCCACGTGTGGCAGTGCAACTTTGGCTTCTGCCCCGACCAGGCTTACAGTGGCGCGCAGAACTACATCAATTCAGGTAGGTCCGCCTGCATCTCAACCCTCAGACTGGAACCCTCAGCCATTCCCTCATATAATCCCCTCGCAAAGGGAAGTTCTATCCCTGATGCAGATTGAAGAGGAGGCCCAACTCCCTTGGGACAACACATGGGAAACTTTGCTCTGCTCGAAGTTCAGTGCACGGTTGGTTGGGCCTTGCTTGGATTTTGCGAGTCCATCAAGGGCTAGTGTCTTGTCAGCCTTCACCTGCATCCTGTCTGCAAACATGCCTTGCCTCTGGCAGGAACCGCCTGTCATAAGATTAAAAAGTGAGCGCCCGCGCCGAAGCAAATATAAACACAATGGTGATCTTGTCAGACGAGGTTGATTTCTTGGGGAAAACAATTGTGTCAATGCGCAGGGTTCTCTCTGGCGCCGGGGGTGGACAAGTACTGGGCGGTGGTGTTTGTGGCGCACGCAATCTACGGGGCATTTGAGTGGACGCGGTACCGTAACTTCCTGCGCCAGGGCGAGGTATGCGCGCACCTGCCGGCACATGCCGACACATGCTGGCTTGCTCCTCCGGTTAAATCTTGCAGCAATTTATCTGCTGTCTCTGTTCTGTGGCTTGTCCTTCCAGCGAGCCTCTGTCATGTTTGCCAGATTTTAAACGAATCTTCTAGGCCTTTTGAAGCACTGGAGAGCCGCAAAACAAAAGTTCAAGGGTGCTCTGTGACAAGCAGCCTCACAGTTCAATCTTCAGGTCTCCGCGCTTGGTCTCCATCAGAAAACGCTGACTGGTCATTTGCTGTGCAGACTGGACTGGTGGTTGCGCCGTTTGACCCTCTCAATCTACGCAACGACTACCGTCGCCAGAGCGAGGTGGGCAGTCTGCTGTCACGCTGCGTTCCCTATCACACTCCTTATTCAAAATTCAAAACAACAGTATTCAAAAAACATCATGCATGAATTGACAGCAGAACCCGACTACCTCAGATTAGGCCCAGGATATGCCGAGTGAGAATAAGACATACTGATGCACATTACCGCAGAGAATGCCAAGCGCTCGAAAGTTTGCAGAATGGCAAAATTCCAGATGGATTCCTTAATAAAACAGAACACGCAGCAGCAAGAGCTTCGCATTCGCTCGGCCATGGCCGTCTGTGATCCAGTGAGTGTGCTGGGCTCTTGTTAGAATACTTTTATACAGCTCACCTCTCTGCTTCTCCAGGTGCAGGTCTATGCCATGACATAAAGTTTGGTAAGTGCAGGTGCGCAATGCTCGGCTGGCGATGTTGGCCAACCTGGGGTTCTGGAGCCAGGCGGCAGTCACCGGCAAGGGACCCCTACAGAACCTCAGCGATCACCTTGCAGACCCCGTCAATAACAACAGTGCGTACCCCTCTCAAGTACTGCTTTTGTTTGATCATGGGGCTGACTCAGCAGTGGCTTGTGATCTGGCGCAAACAGCTCTGAGCTGTCCGAGAGTCCTTGGCAACATTCTCCTGACTTCCTCCTGATGTCCGCATGCATGCGCAAGAAATATTAGAGTCTTTCTTCGGGCGGTGCTTCAGGTTCAGTCTTGCAGTTGTCAGTCTGGAACAGCGGTACAGTACAATCGTACATCGTGACCAGGGCTGCAGTTTCAGTCTAAGTTTATATATAGTGAGCCTAATTTTTGAATAAATGGGCGGAATTTTGACACGGCCATACTTTACCTCTGCAGTAAAAGTGCCATAAAACACGATAATGGCACTTGAGGTTCCTAGAGGAAACAACGGCAAATTCTTTGCCTCATGCAGTTCTGGCGACGGGCGCGGGTCAGAAGGTGGCGGCATGGCTGGTGGGAATTGTGGTTCTGCTGGGTGCGGTGGAGGTTGCGCGCAGCCGCTCCGACAAGGACACAGGAACGCCCCAGGAGGCCGTGCCCGGCGAGTGATCCCTGAGTCATCATGCACGCTGACATCATGCCGAGTCACATTGGTTACTAACGATGCCAGCGCGTATCTCTTGGGTGCGATGGAAGTTGCGCAAAGCAGCTTTAACAAGGACACGGGAACGCCCGAAAGGCCGTGCCGAGCGAGTAATTGCTGAGTCATCGTGCTGAGTGATCATGCATGTCATCTTGCAACGATATTCGCAGAAAAACACTGTACTTTCAATGGCACACACAGTCCTGATTGCTGCTGTAACAAAGAAGTGCTCTTGGTGTTGCGGCCAGCAATGCTATCGAGAGGTATTGCAATTGTATGAAGAATGTGAGGGCCCCAATTACCAGTAGAACTCTGACTTCTTCCGGCACAGTATGGTACCTACCAATGGCAGGCTGTCATTCTTGCGCTGCCAGTTGCCTTGATAGCATGTGTGTGCCATGGTGATCTCTGGCAGATCGCAGCTGAGGACAACAAGTTTTGGCTTTGTGCACTTTGTATTCAAGAAGCTCTACAGCACTGCAGATGTGGGGATTCTGTCTGGCACGAGAGCGTTTTCAAGCTTTTGCAAAGTCCTGTGCATGGCCTGTAAGTCACTTTTGAACTGGACTGAATTGTAAGGGCCAAACCCCCCAGAACAGAACAATCAAGGGGGAATGTTACGTGCTCCAAAGGGCGAGCAGGGTTACGGCATCGCTTATGCAGTGTTTCGTGTGCTTCCATAAACAGCCCAGCTCTCTAACTCCATAAATTTGGCTTTGTAGTTCACTTAGTTACAATCTGAAAATAGTCCGAAAGCAACCTGTCTCACAACGAGTGGAATTCTATACAGCCACAACCTTTTTGTCCCAACGATTAAAGCAGATCACCAGAATTTATTTTTGTATCTTTCTGCGTACGGGTTGACGTATCACATACAATGAGCCAGTTGTCTCATCACACCTCTTTGATAGGTTTAGATGCAAAGTTGATCTCACACAGGTTTAGAATTCCCGCCTTCCGCAAGTGCAATCCAAAGGTAAGCTAGACGCACAGGTTGTCGAGCTTGGTTCCAGTGTCAACAATATTACTGAGCAAGATCTTAAGGAAGATATTCTTGCAGTGCCACGCACCTGGGGAAGCCGTTGGAAGCTCACGGCGGGCCAGCCTGCCAAAACTGCATGCCGCAGTCTTGGACCAAGTGGCTTCCGGGCAAGACACGCAACAATCCCCCAGCACCGCTCCTTCCGATCAGGCAAGCGCCTGCGTCCCCATGTGCTTTAATGTTTCTCCCATATGGCTCTCAAAACAGGCCCAGACCACGACCTTTAAGAGTGAAATCTGCTTCATTGCTTGGACATCTAAGGCCACACACCCTCCCGCAACGCAGGCTCCCTTCTGCTGGTCGAAGCAGTGGTACGCGGTTTCACTCTTGGAGGCGTTGGAACTCAAGAAGCCGCACCCAATCAAGCTTCTTGGCAAAGAGTTGGTGCTCTGGAGGGACACCAGCGGCACATGGCAGTGCTTTGAGGACCGCTGCTCACACCGCCAGGCTCCTCTGTCAGGTCCGATGCAAGTCTTAGTGCTGCCTGCTAGCCAAAAGGTCGGAACCTTGCATTATCATGTGAACTCCTGCCATGGTAGCCCACCTGAAGCACTGCCTCTTGAATGAATGGGAAAACAATGTTTCCCTTCAAAACAGCAATCACAGACTTCCACTGCCACCTGTTGGCTTCGAGAAAGTCTCCCATGTGCTTGGTCCTGCCCGAGCCTGTGATTGTGGGCAGCGGCTGTCAGTAACAATGGCTGCATGAGAGGAGGTCCATTAGATGCTCGACTGCCACCTCTAAACTTGGACATGGTCTGTGCTCCCATGCGGCGACACCAAGGCTTTTTATCATAGGCAACCACCATGAATAGCTGCACGAGAGCACCCTCCTTGCGCCGAACTGTCCTATCTGGACTGTAAGATAGTCTGTGGTCCCATGCACTCGGCATCGCCAGAATTTTTTTGCATGGCCCACTGCTTCTGTATGGTAACAGCCCTTTGATGCTCGACTGAAACTAGGTTCGATCTGCTTTCGCAGAGGGGCGCGTGCTGGGGGACACTCTGATGTGCAGCTACCACGGCTGGCAGTTTGCACAGGGCGGCAGGTGCGCGCATTCTCACTAGAATTCCTCAGATCTGAGGAGCAGATGTCTTATTCAAGAAAACTCAAGATAAGTGTGAGCGAATGCGAGGGGATATTCCTGCTTTCTCTCTCAGTCTAGGGTGTCTTTCGGACGGAAAGAACAATCTTTCGCATTGAGACGTCTCATTGAGTGTCACTTGATGTTTATTCGAGCAGGTGCGTAAATGTTCCTCAGGCGGAGGGAACGCGCGGCAACGAGCGCGCCTGTGCCAGCCCGCGCAGCTGCGTTGCCTCCTTCCCCACCACGGTGCGCCTATTAATAGCAGCAAATGCACTTCCTCTGTGGTTGCGACAAATGTGCAGGTGACCTGAAGCTCTGCTGTCGTCAGGAACTACTTGAGGTGTATTCAGCTTGTGCTAAGCATGCTGTCAACTTGTGGTCACAGGTGAAGCAGGGCATCGTGTGGGTGTGGGCGGAGCCAGGGCCTCTGGCAGCCATCGAGGCAGCAGCGAAGGGGCCCACGCTCATTCCCTGGATATCAGAAGATGTGCGCACCCCAGACACCTTAGCATCTCCTTTCTGCGCATGTTGTCATTTGCAAGCCATGACCACGTCTGATAAGGCCACTGCATCCTTATCCTCGTATCCCCAATCTATTTTGCATAGAAATTACACATAGGACAAACCTCGGAGTGTGACAGGATGGGAAGGTGCTGCATGCATGCATGTCTTCTGAAGAGAAGTTCCAGAGAAGTTGCATGACAATATTTGCATGCTGCATGTCACAGGATGTCACGCGCACACCAGAGGGCGTTCCTGTGATCACAGTGGTGCCAGGGATGCAGCGGGACCTTCCCATCAGCTACGAGCACCAGATGGAAAATCTGGCTGATCCCGCGCACTTCAACTTTGCCCATCATGGAGTAGGTAATTATTTTCATTTTATTACATCCCTGCCAATCCATGAGTATCACAGCAGCCTTCCGACCTGGTCCACCTTTGGCTTTCCTTACAAGTCAAAGATAAATGAAAAGGCTTCAAGTCTTGTCTGACAGGGCTTGACAGGTCTATTGCTTTTGCCAGCAATCTCCAGAGTTCTGAGCAGTAATATTTCAGGCACCCCGTCATCTTCCTAATCACTCACCCTTTGCAAGCATGCACTGCATATTTGCCTCTGCCATCAGTGATGCCTCTCATGCTTGCACATTGCTGTCTACTCCTGATGGCACAGAAGAGAGGTTAGCACTACTGGAGGTCGTCCATACACATCAAAGTCAAGCATTTCTGTGACAGATTCAGGGCAGCTGCATAGCACACAACACACAACATGCAACAAACACCAGTGAAATGACAGATGAATGATTATGCCTGGCTCGGTCTTGAAGGGACAGAAAAAGTGAGTCAGTGTTAGGTAAGACTGAGTAATGCTGATGATGCTGATGTATGCGCAGCTGGCGACATGCTGCATGAGTCAGCGGGCACCGCGCATGTTGAGGCGGTCACAAGTGACGAGGAAACTGCTCCAGCTGTGTTTGATGGCGCGGAGGGGTTAGCCTACTGGGTGGACATGCTCATGGTGAGTCACGACGTTATTAATGATCCAATCACCTGCGCTTGTCTTCATGTGAAACCCTCCTAAAGTGACAGAGACTTGTGATATCTCTCGACTGCGTAACATTTTCATAAGACCGATGACCTGAGGTGGATCCCAATATGTTGCTAAAATGTACAATGCATGTACCCTGTGACACTGTCGGTTACTGGTAGGACCTGAGGTGCGGCTCGTTGCTTCTATACAATGAGGAGAGCCTGAAAGGATGGCCCAAAATGAATATGGTGAATTCGTTGACAGGGGGTTGGGAGGAGTGTGGAGCACAATCTGCACCACATTGTGTTTCCAGGCCTTTTCACGCTGAAGACTTTCACACCAAAGGTACATCTCTCTTGCTCGGATTCCTTACAAAAATGCCCTGAACAGTTTCTCGGCATCATTACAGCTGTAGATTATTTGGGAGAACGACTGCTATGAGGAGCTCTGATCCAATCTGTTTCTAACGCGAATATCCCTGACGCTTTGCTGCACAATTGGTTCAAATAATATTGACACATTGTTCGCTGAGATTGTGCAACACATGCGGGTTGCTTGCTGTAGTGTACCTGCTATGTATGCTGTAATTTGTAGCGTACCTAAAACTAATCCGATCTCTGGACAGCTCCACATGTGATTCTCTGGCGCGCAGGACTTCCCGGGTGTAGATTGGGAACTTTTGGAGATCCACGCTGTTCCAACAGAGCCGGGCCATGTTCGACTGCTGGTGCGGGTCTTCCTGGCAGGCCACAATCTGCCACTGATGCCTCGGCTGGTCTCTAAGTATATACCCACGTGGCTGTCCCACATAAGGGGCCTGGAGATCACCGATGGCGACACTGTAATTCTCAGCGAACAGGCGCGCTGCTCTTGCCTCCCAAAGGCATTTTTGACAAAGCATGTTGCTGTCCATGCTGTCCAACCATTGTAAAGCTTATTGAGTGATGCAGTTTGTCATGACCAGAGGAAACTTTTAAGTTGTTGATGCTGAGCCGAGCCGCCACAGTGCAACCACGCCTACGTTTGCAATCATGTCCCTCCATTACTTGTTCACTCGAGCAAAAATCCAAGGGCCACGGAGTTTCATCAGTGTGTGATGGGCTCCTGCAAAGTGCTGTTGGCCGCTGAACAGTCTCATGGATGGGTTGATGGAGAATGGTTGCAGGCAAGTTGAATGGTTATATCTATTTGAAACAGGACCGGATTACTCGCAGCGAGACAGAGAGGAGCGGGCAGGAGTGGAGCAAGCAGTACTACATGCCCACATCTTCTGACAGGTTTAGTCTTCTTTTCACGCATGCGTACAGCCTGCTTGAAGATCCTGCACATTTGCAGGCAGATCATGCTGTCCCTATTGTGTGCTCGTTGCCTCCCCCTGACAAGAGATTCCAGCATTAGATTTGCATGCATTTCTGGCTTTGCAAGCATGTCTGCATCCTCTCTTGGCGCAAAGATTGAGTTGCAATCATTATCATTGCATGATTCAGCAGCGCTTTCTTTGGAATTTTGGAAAAGAACACAAAAGCGCTGCTAAATTGCACCTAGCCCTTGACTGGCCAAATGCGCATGGTAATCATCAATAATCATGATGTCATTCTTACTGATAATGAGAGGATGTGCAGGCTTGTGGTGGCGACGCGCAAGTGGCTGGACAGCCGCGGAGGCGGCGGCCCCTTCCCAAGCGCGCGGCCGCTGCCGGCGATGACTAATGAGCAGATGACTGACCGGTACAGTCAGCACACAAGCGATTGCCCCTCCTGCTCCGCGGTGCGCCACCTCACTACTCTCTTTAAACCCCTGTCCACTGCACGGGGCATGTTTTAGCCTGTAGCAAATAGAGGATTGTGACATTGGCTGTAGCCTGAAGCAAGGGGATTACCAAGTCACCACCGCTCTATGTTTTGGGGCGTGTGCGCTTGCATGAGGCCGCCACAAAGAACTTTTCCAGAATTGCCGTAACGATGATGGGTTGATAGGAACTGTAGCTTTGCTTGCTGTGTGACTACCTGGTCATTTTACGGGAGGCCATCTTGTCCTGTCAGCACTGCACTGATGTCCTCAATGACGCATCCGCTGATGTGGCAGGCTCTGCGCAACTTCCGGGCGCTGCGCGTAATGGCGGGGGGTCTCAGCGTTGCCTTCTTAGGCGCGGCGATTACTAACGCTAGCATAACGGCCGGCCGCAGCCTCGCCCCTGTGTGGCTCGCAGCTGCGGCTGCTGTGCTGGGTGCAGTGGCCGCTGCAGCACACAACTATGCCCAGAGGCTTGTGTTAGCGCGCTATCACCACTACGAGCATAATTGAGATCTTGGCATATTACTAATGATCATTATCATTAAGGTGCCAAGTTAGGCCGAGCTGGAAGGCTGTAATAGAAACGCTGCTGCGACGCACCTAAGCCAACTGTGGCTTGGATAGGCGTGTAATAATATTATTAATCATCATCATAATTACATTTTAGAGACCTTTTGGGACATAGACAGAGTGGTCTAGCTGACAGGTGTCCTAACACAAGTGGCCCATGTGACGTTGTGCTTTTAGCTGGCAAATGCTTATGTGGGCTAGCCTAAGCAAAGTTCGCTGGCATATGGAGATCTTAGATTTAGGGTTGGTGTCTTTAGAATCGGCCATGCATTCTGGTTAATATTGACTATAGCCTATCGATATCATTGAGACTTTACTGTTACATTTTTTATTTAAGGTCGGCACCCCGTATGGCGCAGACCATTCAAACTCATTGGTATGCCCTTGGCAAAGACAAGCATATAGTAGAATGTACGAAGTAGATACGCTCAGACTGCTCGAAGGACTGGAAACGTTTGTCGCTTGCGATATTTCATAGTTTAATTTACATTTTAAATCCTCCAGTGGGATTTATTTTTCTGAGAAGCTGCTGTATGCATGATGATCCTCTGCAAAGGCAGAAACAGGGTAAAGCGCATGTTTTCCTAAATTTAGTTTTATAATACTACAAATTTCGCTTTCCTTCCTGCCTTTACACAGTGTATTTTCGTGATGCATGCACCACAACAGGTCTCTTTAAGTTTAATGTTCATTTCAGCAGGTGCAATGCGTTTGCATTGAGAACGGGATTTGCTCAACAGTCAACCAGACGCAACCATTCAAGGCTGGCCATGGCTTTGCATCTCCTTGCTCGGATCTATCCAGCTGCGGGGCTTTGAAAAGTTCATGGCCGTGTTCCAACCTGTCCTTTCTGCATCCTCGACATGACAAGGGGAATTAGTCCTACCAAGCTCATGCCCAAGGGAAACGAGGCTCACCCCTTCAAGAGTCATGTACTGGAAACAGGAGCTGACTGGACTGCCCACAAGGCAGGCAAATCCAAAAAAGGAAAGTCAAGTCCTGCACCCTACTGCTCTGGATGAGAACTCTTTCCCAGCCCAGATCTGCGGCTGGGAGCACAATGTGGATGTCCTTTTGTGCAGACATGACAACGTGCTTTGACCGCAGGAAAACGCCCTGTAACACCATTGGCGCTGCACGTGTACCAATCGAGGTCACGTGAAGATCCAGGCAGTGCAAAGCAAGAGGCTCCAACAAGATGCCTGGAATGCTTGATGTATCAGGCAGCTGGCAGGATGACATGCTTGGTGTTGCTAAATTTCTATCTGAATGTTTAGATGTCATGTTGGGCGCTGACTCTGATAATCAGAGTCAGGCATGAGATCAGCGTAGGTGGCTGGAATGTAGATTGACTGACTGACTGCAGCTCACCCTGGCCCAATAAAGCCAGTCTAAAGAGCTCATCATGGGAGCCACATCCTTCCACACCCCACTGTTAACCTCAGCAGAGGATCAAAGAGAGATCTGCAGTCCCCGGAAGCCATCTCTTAATGCCAGTTGACTTGGCACAAGTTTTCTCATGATCAACTTTTCCAAGTGTGGCATGCCTGCCAGCATGAGGTCAGGATCCTTTCCCCAAGACCATATCATTGGACTCGACTCGAGCATCGTTCAGCATCAAGAAATTGATGCGATGGACCATTTCAGCACTGAAAGGGTTTCACACGGGGTCACAAGTGGCACTAGAGATCCTTGGCATTGGTGTGGATGAGTCACTGAGAGGGAAGCTTCCTTTGTTTCGGATGTAGCTTCCTTCTGGATGGCCACCGGTTCATCTAGTCCATTTCAACAACCTCACAGATCAGCTCTGGAAAACTGTTCGTATCCTGGCGTCAAATGACACTCTCTGGTAGTGTCATCTGCATAGCCTTTGCAAATTGGTAGTCAGGTACAACCTGATTGTTTAGGAAACAGTCAACAGGCCACTTGTGACCGCTTGATTGGAATACAGGAATGCACGCTATACGCCATGTATTTATGTGCTATGGTCCTACGTAGCAGGTAGCTTTCCACCCACCTGTGGGAGTGGACTACATATTAGCTCTCATGAATCACAACATTTGAAATGTATATGTTTACACTTACAGCTAAATTTAGTCCTCAGAAAGACCCAGAAATTCCAGGCTTACTTTGCATGAGCGGCAGTGGCAGTCAAAAAACAACTCTGTCTTTGGGTCTGTCCACTTTCTGGGTTTCTGAAAGTTCATGACTGTGCAAGCTTTCCACTTTGATGTCTCCGCATGCCACAGGAATCCACCTTTACCAATCAGATGTCCAAGCGACAAGAGGCTTAACCCATGCAGATTCTTGTACTGGAAACAGAACTTGATCGGGCTCCCCACGAATGCAGGTAGATCCACGAAAGTCAGATCTAGCAGATTCTGGCTCCGTATGAACACTCTTTCCCAGGCCAAACCTGAGGAAGGGATAATAACATGCATTTCGTTATAAGCACTCATGATGACATGCTTTGCCTGCAGGACAGCGCCTGGCAACCTCACTGGTGCTGTTTCTGTACCAAGAGATACCACAAAGATGCCTAGGCTATGCAGACTGAGAGGCTCCAACAGAATGCCTGGAAGACTTGACATCTCAGGCAGCTCACAGCGCAAAACCATCAAGTCGAGAGACCTGATTGTTGGAGCCACCTCCCTCCACACCGCATACTCAGCCTCAGCAAATGATCTGATATTAATCTCCAGCCCTCGGAAGCCATTCCTGAGTTCCAGCTGGCCTGGCACAATATCTGCAAGGTGAAGCTTTCCGAGGTCTGGGAGACCAGCCAGCAGTAAGTCAGGACGTGCCCTGCCTTCCTGCTTAAAGTCCGTAGCCGTCAGGCTGACACATTTGAGGGTGATCAACAACGGGAGGCAATGCGCAACATCACACAGGCTCTGTGAATTCAATTGTATGGTGAGATTAGTCAGACTTGGCATGTGGGGCAGCGTCGGCAGGGTGAATGTCTCAATCTTGAGAGTCTCCAGCAATGGTGCCTGGGACAACAGATAATTGACAAGCAACGCGTGCATCTCCCTGATGCGAGGAGAAAGGCTTGACTTCTGCTGGGAGATAAGCAGATCAAGCATCTTCAGCTGGGAGGGTCTGGTGGTCGAGTGCAGTACACTGTTCACAAGCTCTACAAACTCCGCGTTCTCGATGAATATTGCGAATTTCAAGATCTTGCAGTCCGTCCACTTCTGACGTATGTATCTGATACCTGAGGAGCATCACCATCTTGAACACTGATCGCCTCGAAAGAACTCTACCTAGGTAAAACAGACATGTTGTTGATATCGGCACGTGTGAAATTATGTGACTAAAATAATGACAGAAATTGAAGCTGTAAGATTCTTACCAGGGACTCCTTGCTGCTGCGCACCACCAGTCAACCACTGATTACTGATCACTGCCAAGGGTAGCTCCCACAGCCTTTTGCAGGCCATCGATACCATGATCCAGCATTCCATATCCATCTCCTGGGCGATCATCTGCAGAATCTCGGTGGATAGGCTGAGAAGGCCTGGTTGGCTCTGCTTCCTGTGCACCCCGTTGCAAACCATTGGGCACTGATGCTGAAGTAAAATGTAAGAGCAGCCAGGTTTTGTTTTTGAATAATGGAAAAGGAAAAGAAGTGATGACTTACATCATTGCCAGCTGAGACAGGGCAGGAGGCAGCCACTCTTAGATGGCTCGAACTACGAATCAGCAATCGAAATTGTTGTCCCGCTTACTCTACAATAAAATACGTCCTTGTCAATGACCTTAAAATAGAATTACTTGTGTCGAAAGACCTGTGGATTTTAGCGATTGGTTTTGTAAAGCATGAATTCCGTACATGAACAACAGTGCTGCCCTGAATGGGCAGCAGGTCACCAGAGGATGACCAGCAGCTGCATGAAGCTGCCTTACAAGTTGTCTGGGGCTGATATTGCACTGAATCCCTGATCATCCAAAAGAACAAGGTGTCGCACGCGGCGCTCGCCGACAGGTATATGCAGCGCTGCTAGCGTGCTGCATGCACTGTGCAACTGCAGAGTAACGTACCTAGGATCTTTCAAAGACCTGCTTTGCCTTCAGCTCCAATTATCGAGCACGTCAGCTTTGGGCTGGAACAAAGTTGCCTTCAGAGATGCTCACAACGATTGGCCCCTTCCGACCTTGCAAGGACGGCCATGACATTCCGCTCCGCTAATGGATAAAATACTACAACGTCGCACAGATATGATCACCAGGGGCCCAATGGCACAATTTAAAGACAGATCTATGGCACAATCTTGAAATTCCGGTAGGAGATGACAGCATAGAAAGGGTCCCCCTGCACCCTGCGGAACAGCTTCTGAGCATTTTGCAGAAGGGCTGCAATGCCTTGAGGCTGCGGCGCATCAGACAAGTCCACATCGTTCACCGCCTCTGGTTCTGTGAAGCCTGCAGCCAAGCATCCCGCATAAACATTGCAGTGCTGGCCGCCGATAAGCAATTCACGAGATGCATGCAGCGATGTATTACTGTATTTGCTGGCGCTGAGATATCCTGGCTTCATTTAGCAGCAAAGCTTACACAGAGCTGCTTAGTGCCATACACTGCTGCGAGAAATTGCAGAAGATTATGTGTCTAGGAAGGGCCTTAATGTCTGCTCACCTTCTATGCAGAGAAAGTACTGCTTGACAAGCTGCACCCGCCCAAACCCAGAGTTGTCCCTCCACCCCTGTATTGCCTGGATTCCCACACAACACATTCATACACATTCTAATACATGCAGTGCTGCGCAGGGCCGATGACGATAAATTTCGCTCCAATATCCCTTTGGATCTTTGCTCTCAGGACCGGGGCTCTGAATGCACCTTGTTGTAGAACAGGCGGTTGCTGAAAGTGACGATGCAGACGCCTCCAGGCTTGAGCACCCGGTAGATTTCTGCAAAGGCCCGCTCCGGCTGCATCCATCATGCATGCTACTCAGCAGCATGCAGGGCCGGCCAGACTTTCTATTGCAGACACACCGACTGCTATACAGGGGTTGCCACTGGTGCATTCACCCAAATCTTCTTGTGCCTTCAAATGTGGCACATGATGGTCTGAACTGTTATAGTTGGGGCCTGCAGATGCAGATGCGGGGTAGTGAGATATATGTGGTTGGGACTTGTCATCGCCTCGAACCCAAAATTTGGGAAGCATTGTCGGATTCACTCACCCCTGATTGTAGATCCCTGTCTCCTAGCCGGTTTGTGAGCATGGTGTTCAGATCGTCACACGCGGATGTATCCCCCATGGATTGCTGACTCGTCTGTTGTTTAAGAAGATTGCCAACAGGCAGAGCATCTCTGGACCTAGTCGATGCAATGATCCCAAGGGATGAGGGTCAGTCTGTAGTGTACCTGCTGCAGGTACTGCACGCTGACGCAGCAAAGCACAGCGTCAAAGGACCGATCCAGCAGCGCCCACCCATCCGGCTCGGCATTCAGGTCGCGCACAAAGAAGGAATCCAGCCGCTTGTTGCGCGCCAGCTGCATGCACACTCACATCTCATATGTGATCATGCAATGGCACCTACGATGCGCATCATCTGTCATGCTCTGTAGAATGCTTGGGCATGTGGGGAGCTGATCTGAAATGACTTTGAGTCCCCCGGTCAATCTAGCGGCAATGCGGCGGCAATAAGACGAGGCCGCAGCTTTATCAGCGAGTCGCACTCCTTATTGACAGCTCTGTGTGCTGATTTTGTGGATTCACGCACAGTGACATAAAATTCCGTGCACCCTCATCTGCCCATTACCGGCATCCAGCAAGGGAGCCGTCACCCTCTCATTTATGTTGTGTTCTGGGTGTAGGATTCAGCACTCAAATTCAAATGTTTTTAGAATCCGGGATGTGAATGGGCCACCTACCTCGGCAGCGTTCATGCCGTGGCCGACAACTTTTGAGTAGCGCCGCTCGGGTGGCAGGTGACTAATCCAGCTGCTCATCAGGTCCAGAACGGCCGCGTCTTTGGGTATGCGCTGACGGTACAGCTGAGTCACCTTCTCAATGAATGTGTCATCCACATGCGTTACCAGCCGAGGGCTGTCTGCACCCCAGCAGCCCCAAATCAGCTCCATCAAACACTTAATTGTGTTAAATATGTGCCCTCAGAAAGCAGCTGCAGAGGCACGCAGCCTCCTGGAAGCCACCAAACCCTGAGAAGCTGCTGCCATGTCATTGAGTGTGCAGCTTGACACCTTTGAATTTCCTCTGAGGGCTGCAGAATGAAGCAATCACAGCAAGCGAGGCGTGGGATCAGAGTCAATACATGCAGCAGCGATCTTTGTGCAGGAGCATCTGCACGGATTTCGGACATGTGAGGCACTCTCCAGCTGTCTCACCATAAAACTGCCGGTCGTCGCCTCTGTCAAGCTTGCTCCTGCACGCCAGCGCATGCCAGCTGAGGAATTTATGAACCAAAGCAGCAGTGCAGCAACGATATGCTTGGATGTTTCGTTGCACTTGAGTACTCCAGACGGGATTGGTGCCAAACCTCTCTGACCGGGCCAGTACTTCTCTGGTGATAGCGCCACCCTGGCATAATATACCATGTCTTTTTGTTGAGGTCCTGCTCGGTCTCTCCTGTGCGTTGCAGAACAAGACAAGCTAAATATCCATCCAACAGTCGAGTTTGGATTATGCTTGACAAGAACCAAAGAACCAATTGCCACTGAACTTGCAGTGCATCTTGGGCAACTGGATATCGTCCTTACATTGTAAATTGCGAAGTCTTTCTGCTGATGATTGAGACGATTCCTTCTACATAGTCTTGTGTTCTTTCTGCTGACAGAAGGACTGCATCCTTTCCTCAGATCGTGAGACAAGTCATGGTCATAAGGCTCAAAGCGAAAGTCGGTGGCTCCGCAAAGTGGCATTGTAGGCTCCAGAAATTATCTAGGATTGAATGAGTGATGTTGGGTCCACCAATAAGTGCCAGATTACTTGCTTATGCTGTGACAGATGTTCCAAGATCTGAAGATGCAGCTTCAACGGATCAGCAGTATTAAGTGCACTTGCATCGAAAAGATAGAACACGGCAATATTGCTCAATTAAAATTGATATAGCACACGTTTCAGGAAAGGATCGTCCAAAATGTCATTTTGGTGCACTGCGAGATTGTTTCTGCCTGACCTATTTATAGGCCTGCACTTGCAAGTGCTAGTCAGACGTCTGCTGGCAAGAGACAATCAATGCCATTGTGATATCAATTGCAGTTCTATTTACCAATATGACCTAAGGTGAAGTAAGGGCTTGCCAACTTGCAATGCCCAAATTGCACGCAGCATCTAGCACTTCAGAGTCTCCAAGCTTTTACTTGCTAGGGAGGTTTGCCTGTTGCTGAACTCCAGGCAGACAGGGAAGTGTCCAGTCACGCTGCTTCAATATCCAGCAGCGGTGCAGACAAGCCAGTCTCCTGATCTGCCTCCAATCCGCCTCCCCCGTTCTCACCAGTCATCTGAACATACAGTCACCCCACCCCTTCAGTACAACGCTCGCTTGGTGCAGTTCGGAGCAGACATCTGAACGGACAGAAAGCCTTGCATGCACCTGTCCTGCTGACTGGACTTCTGCACTGATCTGAAACCTCCACCATTCCAAAGAGTGCAACACTGCTCAGACTTAATATTGCACTTGTGGTGGCGCCTTGCATTGCATGCATGAAGTCTTGCTGCCAGGACGGCTACCGCTAGCCAATTTGCAGCTAAAAGGTGCTTAAAGCAACGCACAAGGACTTTGACCGCGCACATACCCAGATTAAATTTCTGCAAGAGGTGAATGCAAAAGAGCAATCTTATGAGCGCGCCCTGTCACCCATGGAAGCAAACATGACATATCTCACATGGGACACCCGATTGCCTGATCCACCCCTCAACAGGGATGCACCCTCTGGGTCCAAATCAGGCACTACCTTGTCTGCGCGCAGCGCTCTCTGCTGCCCCACAGGCCGGTAGTCTTTGCCCGGTAGGCAGGCTCCGATCGCATAAAGCACCACCGCTACACTCAGGAGTAGCGTCAGCAACCCCATCGTCAGCCGCCAGTCATTGAACACCCCTGCATGCATGCCATTGGCATTCAAAATCACATGCTAACTCAGCACAACAGAAGGGTGCCCCTTGGCTTGGCCTCCCCAGTGTGTGGGCAACAAACAAGAGAGCAGGGAAATGCCCTGCATGCTTTGTGTCTCGCAGCTGGAGCCTGCAAGACAGTTGAGGACCTTCAACATGCCGGCCGCTGCAGCTGCCAGCGTCTTGAAGACTTGTTCTGTCCTGTTCAGCCAGGTGAGAGATAGAAATCATGCTCATCACCCTTAAAAATGCTCAAGGAGCACCAAATTAACCTTTATTGTACCGTTCAAGCTATGGTGCAGCCAACCCTGGATGCTTCACCAGCAGCCCTGCCAGTATTGATTTAAACGTGGCGTTTCCTGACACTTGAAGGGGAGGGAGAATTCTAAACTTTGGAACCAAGGGTTTTTGGGGGGCGATATCGATATCTTGGGGAGGAGTATGGTATTAGCTTAGAAAGCCAAGGTTGGGGCCAGTGCTGTGTAAATTTTGCAGTGAAACGGAGCCAAGGGGGACGGTGATAACCAGATATGATTTTGAAAGAGCACAAGAACATCTACTGCAGTGAGGCGCAAGTACTTGGTTGGACACAAAACTTTGCAGTACCTTGCATCCAGCCAACAAATGGTGGCGTGGGAACGTCCCCGAACAGGTGCTGAGTCACCGTGCCCATTCCCGAAGCCAGCGGCCGTAGCCGCACAGGCACCGTCCATATCTGCACCGCGCCTGCATTGAATGCCAAAAATTGAATGGACACGGAGTATCAGTGACAATCTGCTGCCTCCGGTCTCAGGGTGTTGGCAAGTGTCACCTTAGGACGTGCAGAATGCTTAGAGTAGTCCGGGATGAAAAAATCAGAATTGACCCGTCATGTTTGGGAGCTGGCACACATCGGGAGACCAAAATTATTAGGCTGTCATGCAACGCAAGGGCTGCATGATTCATATTGCACAGCGGATACACAGCCGACTGAAATCAAAGCAGCACTTGCAGGCTTGTAAGGCGGATCTCAACTGAATCCTACCAGGCAATTCCAATGACGACAGGCAGTTTCAGCACTTTCATAATGGTCCCTAGAAAGAAAGGCAGGAAGGCTCACTGCATGGTGCCTGGCCGGCAAAGAGCGCCAGCTCGCCCAGGGCGAACATGCCAATGAGCACCGGGAAGGACGGCGCAAACATGAAGCCCGCCTCTATCACAATCAGCCCCACCTGCGCACACAAGCCTTGTCAGACACCCAGCCTGAATCAGAGAGGATTGGTCAACAGCTTTGTCGGATTCCCTGCTTTGTTCGGCATACAGATGGTGTCTGCCCCTCCTGCCAGCTAGGCAAGCCTCTCGTGGGACACAGCAACATCAGAGGCCATGCAGTGTACCACCTTGAGACACAACAACAGAAATTTCACATTGTGAACTTAGATTAGCAGCCCGTGTGAATGCACATGCCTGTCTGACATTCAAACGCTGGCCTGCAACCTAAATGCAGCCCCATATTTTTCATTTTTTCATTTTTATTTTAAGGGTCTAGAATAAACCCTATTTTTAAAAAACAAAATTAAGAATATGCAGAACAATTAGTTGAGGACAGTCACCAGGGCGCCGGCTGAACAGAAGATCATTGCGTTGCGGATGGAGGAGCCGACCATGTCTATGAAGAGGCCACCTAGCAACACCGCCACGATGGAGGTCGCTATTGTGACCACGCCAAACGTCAGGTCTATTGTCTCCTGCGGGAGATCGAACAGCTCGTACCCCGCCTGAATGCATGCACCATCCAGCCCCTTGTCACGCAAAAAGTACTTTCCAACACAATTTTTGAATTATAACATATTTGACCCTTCATCGACCCTTTACCCTGAATCCACCATTGCATTCCCCCTGAATATTTAGTCCTGTTCAGGCCCCTTCCCTAATTCCTGAACCCCAAGCAAAAGTTTTGGAGATTATTTCCTTAGATCTTGTCACCAGCGTGTCACGGCACACACTCAACATCTTGTGACCAGCGGCTCACGTGTTGCTTCAAAGCCAGCCCTGCCTATAATGATAACCTCCTACTGTGCCTTGTGAATGCCAGCATACTGGGTCAAGAACTTGATGAAGACTGACTCTCACGAGACAAAGAGCCTCAAGAAGTGCAAGTCATCAAAGCAAACAGACCCAGACTCCGGAGCAATGCACCGAACTTCTCTAGTACACCTGTTCATCAGCACAGCTCTCCAAAAGAGACGGACTTCAAAATGTACCACAGTATCACACAATAATCCCTCCAAGTCTGATGTGGACAAGAGCCTCGGAAAGTACCTTGGGGCCCCAGAAGATGTAGGAGCCGAAGGCACCCTGGACAGGGCAGTAGGCAAGCATGTTGAGCACAAAGACCGGGTGCCTGCCCAGGATCAACAAATCCCGCCCCAGTGATGTCAGCCAGCCTGTTTTAGCCAGTGGCGCCGTGCCACTCCCTGCAGACATGAGTGCGCAGAAGCAATTGAGAGTGTTCTGAAAGAAGAAGGACACCGCCTTTTATGTGGCTTCACATCCTATGGGAGTGTGGTGGGGCCAATGCATGCCAGGTGGAAAGCACAGCGCCTACCACAAACCCATAAAATCTTACATCCACAGACTGAAAAGTTGTACTCGGCAAATAAGTTCGGTCTTTTTATATTGATAAATTGCCAACTATATTTTGTAGGCAGGTACTACACACCTGCCAGTGTATTGCTAGGCACATCCTCGTCGTCATGCATGGTCTGGAGATTGATGGGTGATGCCAGCAGCGCCCAGATGACAACGGGCAGGCCTATCAGAGCCTGCAAGTCCAGCAAAAGTGATGACACCAGAGAGATACCATATCTTTCTCCATTGACGAATTTTACAAGCGCCATGCAATTGCGGGGGAAACTTTTGAATATGCTGCAAGCCAGAACAAAATACTGACAGGAGGATTGTCCTGGGGAATGGATGGTTGGAAGGTAGAAGCCCCAAATGAGATCAGCTGGAGTACCTCTGCTCAAAATTCACTACCGAAGTCAGCACCTCACCTGAATGAAGAATGCGTAACGCCACCCAAGCAGAGGGCCAATGAGACCGCCAAATATGTAGCCGGCAGCAATGCCAAGTGTTGGGAACTGCACAAGAACGCCGCAAAACATTGAATCAATGCATAAAGTGTGAGGAAGGTATCCGACTCCATACTGTTGACAGACAGGCAAAGGTCACAGATCTTCCAAGACTATCATGACCGATGAGCATTCACCTCACATGCAACTTCTCATACGGACATGCATCACTTCCCTGGTGAAGTCTCAAAAGATGTGCAGCATGAGAAATTGTCAAGTCATAAGATGCCAAGAATGACTCACCAGATTGAGCACGCCAAACCAGAGGGTCTTCTGGGCTGGCGGCGCCACGTCATCGATGAAGGGTCCAGTCAGCGTGATAATGGATGCTTCACCAGCGCCCATGACAACTCGGCATATTAGCAGGACCCAAAAGTTTGGCGCAAGGCCACAACCCACAGATGCAATTGCCCACACGCCAAACCCAAACCCTGCACAACAAATTTGATTCTGCTGCATTTAACGTTCATATAGCACATTAAGATTGACAAATGTGAAATTCTTATTTCAATGCAGGTATCTAAAATTAAGTTCTGGAATTCACAAAGTTGATTCGGCGGTTGGCAGGTTCATGCAGTGTTATGCATGCCCTCGCGCAAGATGACCTGCATTCCTGCTGATCAGAGCATCCTGCATGTGTCGAATGTTGGCAAAAAGTGCAAAAAGTGGTTTATTAACAGAGCATGCTGAAGTGGTCTTGGTAAGGGGCAAGGATGAGCACCTATCATGCGGAAGGCGTTGAATCTGGTGGTCAGCTCAGAGTAGACAATGGAGGCGATGAGGAGGCCTGCCAGAAAAGCAGAGGGCAGCGTGCCATCGCCCACGTTTCCCACGTTGAATTGTGCCTGCGCAGGAGGAAAAGCCTTCAAGAGAACGTATTGATCATTGTTTTACTATGTTGAAGCACAGGGATGACCACAGCACAGATACAAGTGTTAAAGCAGCATAGCTCACAACCTGGATCTGACGGTTGACACCGTTGCTGGATATGACTCCCTGGTCGAGGTAGACCAGGAATGTGACCCAGCAGAAGAGCGCCAGAAGCCTCTGAGGGGTGTACCATGGGGGATGAGCATCTGCATTTTGGGGCTGAACCGGTGCCATCGCAGGCAAGAAACGCCCTTCAATGTGATAAATGGTTTAAGGAATCATACTGCCGTGCTCCAGTGAGGCTTAGGCAAGCCCCTGTGCCCCAAAAATCTGTGGCATGTGGGTCCTGTGTGGCCTCGGATTGTACTTTATGGGGCCTACTCACGAGCAGAATAAGTATTGATTTCAATGAAAGCAGAATTATCCTTGAAATAGCTATGGGAGCTGGTGCATCGTCCAAGGCTAGCTCATAGTAACTGACCACATCACGAGTTCATCCTCGACGGTAAGTTCCACTAGAATAACCAAGAAGCCAGTGCTGAGCGAACAATAAAAGTGAACAAGAGCATTAAGAAGTATCTGCTATTGGATCCAAGGGAGATTTCCATGATCCAGGCCCGCGACGCAACTCCCTTGGCAGCAGCTGCCTCAGGCGAGGAAGCTGTGCGCTGGGGAATTGTCCCAATCAATTGTGGCCGCACTGATGTGCTTCAATCAATTGAATATACCAGATAACATTTGATCAAAGGTGCATACTGGATTATTGCACAGTTCTGTACAGCGCAGTCTCTTTTCGAGAAGAGCAATCTTCTGCATCACCTAAGTCTGCCAGATGGAGAAGCCAGAGGAATCAGCTGAGGCGCGGATGTCACGCGGTCTGGCTCCTATCAAGAGAGAATACATCCGAAAAGCTGCTCCCCGAGGCACAATTGATGACAAGATCTACAAGGCCGAGCAGCAAAGGAACAACGGCGCTAGTAAAGTGGCTTCAGAGAAGAAGTCTAGGCGGAAGATGAAGAAGGCAATGCACCCCAAAGCTTCACAATTCGTGTATTCATCTTCTACACCATTGCACGCATAGTTTTGGTGGCAAGACTGCAATCTTCGGTCCTCACAATGAGGCCCATGGCTGCTGAACCTGTGCCAAGCGAACACGTCCTTCCCTTGGTGTGCAGGTGTTGAAAGAACAGCGTGCAGGCGATCTGTGCTTCAATCACGCCCGAGACCAGTGCCCTTATGGGGACAAATGCAAGTTCAATCATGACATTGTGGCATATGCTGCAGCCAAGCAGCCAGACCTGCCTGGTCGCTGCCCTTCTTCGGCCATGCCAGAGTGCCCATATGGTAGGTGCCTGCACACTTGCTGCCTTACATTCTGTTCAGAACACTTGCAAAATATGCATGCACGCAGTGCTTCTGTGTCTCCTCTCTCTGCATGGCTCTTAATGCCACACGTAAATGCATGCAGCGCTGATCAATTGAGAGTCACTTGCATTGGTGCTCATAGCACATAACGCCACACTAGATGCGAAAAAAGTGATTGCCTGCGCATCTGCGCACCGTTGCTAAGACTCCCAGAGCTTTGTCTGGCCATACGTAAGTCACATGATGGCTTGCAGGCATCACATGCCGCTGGGCCAGCACGCATGGGCCGTCAGACGCCCTGTCACAGCAGTACCTGAAGTCAGGCAGCGAGAAGAACGCCCCTGAACCAGAACCTGCAGCAGCCAGCAATGAGAATGGTGCCTGCCAGCCGGATGACTCAGCGCTTAGGGGAGCCAGCCTCGAGGTGGTGCCGCCTGACCAAGCACCACAGCCGGCGCCCACAGGTCAGCTACATTGAATAGCCCCTCTATGCATGACCATCATCGTGTAACCGGCAGCAGGCTGCCGATCAGATTGGGCCAATGCAGTTTTGACAGCGGAAATTGACCTGAACACTGAATATACCTGCATCCCTCAATATGTTTACACTGTTACAAAGAGCACATCACATCGCTACTGTAAGTGCGAGGCATGGGGCAGGCCGCACCATATTTTCATTCAGAATTTTTCTGCTTGTTTCAGGCGCTCAAGCGATTTTTGTTTTGGGTGCAGGTGAGCAGGGGGAGCAGGACGGGACAGTGCCCCAGGAGACCGTGGCTCTGCCAGTGCCTGATTTGCCAGAGCCGCCTACCACCAACACCCTGGACAAGGACCTCCAGGGCTCTCTGCGCAGGAGCACCTACGACTTTGGCAGGTGCATGTTTCAATAGACTCCACAGCAACACCAGTGCTCAACATATAAATAAGGACGAAAGAATGAGAAAGACATCAAATTATGGCCTGTGGCCTCTTTCCTGCCATCATTCTTGCCCGAGCTCTCGTGACCGAAGACATGGTTGTGCTGGAAAGCAGCAATTTGATACCTCCTTCCTTTCATGACATATTATGTGTGACGCGACCGTTGGTTTTATGACACAATACAACAGCACAGCATGCTATGTTTCTGGATCTTGATGTCAACATGAACTGCCGTGTCCTGCAGGGCTCAGGAGGTGCTCAGCAACCTGGGAATAAAGAGCAGCTGGCGCTTCGGGAAGGACACAGGCAGCAAGCAGAAGGCACAGCATCCTGCTCCAGAAAACAATGCCCCAGAAGATCAGAACGGACACGAACATGAGGACGCACAGCCAGAAATTGGTCTCCAGGAGCCCGACCCCAAGCGGCAAAAGACAGACAGCTCAGCGCCCGCTGATGTCAGCGCTGCCGCGGCTGATGCCAGCGGTGCCGCTGATGTCAGCATTCCTGCTGATGTCAGCACTGCTGCAGCTGATGCGAGCGGGGCCTGCATAGGGGCAGAGGCAGCGGCAGAGGCAGGCTCTGCGCATGCGGAGACGGAGGCAACGCCGCCTGTGAGGGTCTTTGACGTGGCCTGGCAGCGGCAAAACGAGGTGCGTGCCAGTCACCGGTCTCACTGGTGCCTCCTTGCTATCAATGCTAGCATTCGGCGTCTTCTGATAAGTTTTTGGCCATTGGAAGATCTTTGAAATTCATATCTGTGATTCATTGCCAGCTTGTGGCTTCCGCAGATAAATGTCTGGACATTGTATGATCAATGGAATGCATGCGATGGGCATGAGTTGCGCATGTCAGGGCTGAAGGCCGCTTGCCAATGCTGGAAAGTACATGTCAACGCATGCCAGCTCAACGCAGTCTTTTGTTGGCATACCTTTCTACATTCAAGTTCAAACAATTCAGCATTGCGCTGCTTGCTGCCAGGCGCGCGCTGCAGACGTGGATGTGCCGCTGAGGCCCGAGGAGAAGCGGCGCATAGACTTCAAAGGGAAGCTCTACCTTGCACCCCTGACCACCGTCGGCAACCTGCCCTTCAGGTGGGCGCCAGATTCAATCTAATCCAACCCAAATGCCATAGTCTTCCACAAAATTCTGGAGCCATACAGAGAGAAGTATACCACATGACAGTCTCCAAACGTGTTCAATACAAGCCACAATATGGCTGAGAGGCTGACGAGGCGCAGGAGGCCAGGGGGCAGACACTGCAAGAGGATCCACGAAATGGTATTCTGAAGCTCAAACTTTGTGCTGGTTGATGGTCTCATGGGTGCTCCCTCTAGATCATGCCAAGCATTGCAGTGCAAGGTCAAGGCAAGAAATAAGTCCGTGTAGGCAGGTGTGAAAATCACCGTTTTGGTGGTGCAGGCGCGTATGCAAGCAGCTGGGCGCTGACATCACCTGCGGTGAGATGGCGCTGGCGACTAACCTGCTGCAGGGGCAGGCCTCTGAGTGGGCGCTCCTGAAGAGGCACCCCAGCGAGGACCTGTTCGGCGTGCAGGTGCGCGCACCTGCCCGTCACATGCTCACATGCTTACATAAGCATGAGCTCAGAATCAATAGTACCCAGGCTTTCATTGTGTTGCTGATGCTGCAACTGCTGGCACACCATGAAGCTGAATTGTAGCTTCCCCCTACACTCCCCAAGACAGAATCGCATGCATTGATCTGCGTCAAATGCATTGCATATCTGCTCCTGCAGTCTGGTCTGCTTCTGGGATCGTTATGATCATTGTCATTATTGCAAGGTGCTGAGGAATCATAACGATGAGAGTAATGGAACCTGGGTCTTTTGAAGGGGGCTTTGCTCTTGTGCAGGTGTGTGGGGGCTATGCGGATTCGCTGGCGAGGTGTGCGCAGCTGCTGGAAGAGCACGTGGATGCAGACTTTGTGGATGTCAACATGGGCTGCCCCATCGACCTCGTCTGCAACAGGTGCGATGCAGGATGCTTATCTCTCGCAGTGACCACATGCACGGGGCGATAATCTACATGTCTGCACGGTGTATCGGCCTGCAAGTTGCCGCCATTTTGGAATCCATGTGCTTTTTCACTAATGAACGGGTGAATCTGGCAAGGTAGGTGTCTGAGCTGAGCAGATTTTGACATTGCTTGCGAGCAGGGGAGCTGGGTCATCGCTGCTGAATAAGCCACAGAGGATCGAGCAGATTTCGCGCTCCATGTCCTCCATCCTCTCCTGTCCCCTCACCATCAAGGTGCGTGATGCCATGAACGCTGGTTTCTATTTTGTATTTGCATCGAACAGAAGCCTGTGAAGCGCCATCTGTATATGCTTGGCTTGAAGGAATTAGGGAAACGTTCAACAGCACATCCTTCCTCCTTCTCCAAAGTGTGCCCCAAGCTTGCAGCGTCGTTTCTGACGGGAGATGTTCCTTTGCTGGCAGGTTCGCAAGGGGTATTATGACGGCGATGACAACGTGCACGCGTGGCTGCCCAAGGCTCCGTCCTGGGGCGTATCTGCCGCCACCCTGCACGGCCGCACCCGCCAGCAGCGGTGAGCTTTTCACTCGATTTCTGAACTCACCTGTGCACTGAAGACTGTTCAGTAAATGGAGGTGGCAGGCAATGATGCGCATTCCTTGGGATGGAGGTGCTTGTGTGGGACTTTCAATAGTATTTCCCATGAGAATAGCTCTTGATGGCGCCACAGAAGCACTACCACTTGCGATTTGCGGGTTCTTTTTCGATGGGCACCAGGCAAATGATGCAGTTTTTCAGTACATGCAGCACCTGTGAGATCATGCTATTTCATTAGCGATCAAAGGTTGGCTGGGTGGGAGATACTCTCTGTGGCACTGCGCTCGAAAGAGATTGTTTCAAAAGTTCATCAACTCCTGACCACGCTGCATCGGACAGACGTGCCGGCCAAACATGCAAAGCTCCTGTCACATGTCTTTGGATGTCTAGTCAGATCTCTTACTACTTGCGCAGGTACACGAAGCTGGCGGACTGGGAGTACATCCAGTCTGCAACCGCTGCGGCGCCTGGCCTGCAGCTGATCGGCAACGGCGACATAATGTCGTTCACCGAGTACAACGAGCGCACCGTGGCCTGCCCGGACCTCGCCACTGTCATGTTTGCGCGTGGCGCCCTCATCAAGCCCTGGCTCTTCACCGAGGTGCGTTGACGTTCTGACGATTCTGGACAGTCTCTGCTGAGTGCCATGCCTTGCAGCGTATTTAGGTGGAGGTTGCCGACATGCGCGACCGGACATTTACTTTGAGTATGTGGTGCACATCTGGATTTTCCTTCTAGGCGCTTGGAAGGTTGTTGGTGAGCAGAGCAGCAGCGGGTGTGCTGCTCCGGCGCTGCCAGTGCACAGGGCATATTTCAGAAGCACTCGCACATGCAAAGCTGTAGAGGGCATGGCTGAGCCCTCTGAGTGGAGAGCCTTGACTTCTAGGACGGCAGGAAATGCCTACGCAGTGCACCTCTAAAAATGGTGTCATTGCATGTGGCGCAGATAAAGGAGCAGCGACACTGGGACATAAGCGCTGGCGAGCGGCTGGACATCTTCAAGCGCTTCTGCTCCCACGGTCTCCTGCACTGGGGCTCCGACGCGCGCGGCGTAGAAAGCACGCGGTGCGCAGCGTTCCCTTCCTGCATGCTTTATTCCCCTTCTTTTCTTGTTTTGTTCCCTTTTAGTCATGTGACAAATGATAGATGCCGTGCTCGATGGGCATGAGTCAAACTGCCGGATACTGCATATCCCTTGCTCCCCAGAAAGCCCGTTTCTCAGCTCTTCTTCTAGCTGCGAAAGAGGAATGTACACTCTTAAAGTGTACACCCTTACAGTAATTAGCTCCAGTCATAGCAAAAATCAGAAGATGTAGTGCTAAAGACATGTTACATGGCTATTTGCTCAGGCGCTTCCTGCTGGAGTGGATGAGTTTCACGCATCGCTATATCCCCCTCGAGCTCATGGAGGTTGTCCCCCAGGTGAGCACAGGCCATTAATGACGCATGCATATACCCCCCAGCACAAGAATCATGCTGCAATGCCCAGCCCACAGCCCAGCAGATATCTAGTGCCAGCTTTTGATCTACAATGGTGACTCCAGCAACGGAAGAATCCATTCCGGAGTGCTGCACTTTGAATATCAGTTGTAGCACGCCAAGCAGTGATTGTGTTCTGATGTGAAACATGATCTCAATAGGCAGCCCTTCCTCCTTACTTTGGCGCTCGCTCTGCCTTGATGTCGGCATCTCTCCTCCTCAAATTTTGAATTTGGATGTGAATCAGTGCAAGTCCTTTCTGCAGCGGCTGCACTGGCGTACCCCGGCAGTGTTATCTGCTAAGCCTGAATGCAAACGCGCCAGAAGTTGCCGGTCTTCTGGTGTGATACTTGAACAGATATTTGAATTTGAATGAGCGCATGTCCTTTCTGCAGAGGCTGCACTGGCGCGCCCGAACATTGTTATCTCAGAACCTGAGAGCAAACATGCCCAACAATGGTTGTGTTCTGGTGTGCAACAAAGAGTTGAATTCGAATTCGAAATGGTGTATGTCTGTTCTGCAGCGGTTGCACTGGCGGGCGCCGGCGTACGTGGGCAGGTCACAACTGGAGACGCTACTCGCGAGTGAGTCAGCGGCTGACTGGGTGCGCATCAGCGAGATGCTGCTGGGCCCAGTGCCGGCGAATTTCAGCTTTGCGCCCAAGCACAAGGCGAATGCGTACGCCAACAGCGAGGGCGGCATGGCCTTTGAGGCACAGGCCGAGGGCTGATCAAGATCCCAGGCGTCAGGGAAACTTTTGGGGACTATCCCAGGGGCTATCCCAGGCCCTGGCATAGCGGCGTTTTGAAGGGACAGCAATGGATATATCTGCTATGGTGGTTCTCCGCAATACTCGGGTATTTGAAGTTCTGTGTTTGTGAGACAGGTATGGTTGGGAAATGTTGCTCTTGCAGTTGGCACTTGAGAGGCTCAGATGTTAGAGCTTGCTGGGAATATGGGGCATGCGGCCTTGGGTCAAGGCCTGCTTAGATTGGGTGCATAGCAGTACAGAGACAGTTTTTGCATCAAACCTGTAGAAAATGCAAGAAAGGGGTTGACTCTGCAATCGCCGTCGTCAAATTCGTTTGGTGGACCTAATGGGCAAAGGGTTTGATCAGTGACTCTGGGGGGGACCGATATTGTACATTCCAAGATTCATCCCCAGGATTTGGATGCAACCTGCCATCGGAATACCGTTGGTCAGTATCAAGGACGCAATGCCACTGCCCTTTCAATTACTTTCTTCAAAGGCTTCTGTCCACAGCACAGGTATTTGACTGCTTTCTTGGTACGGCAAGCTTCCGGAGGTGATAAACCTGCTTTACAGACGACCGATGTCAAAGGTCTGCGTATGCACGGGCTCAGCCAGGTCTTGATGATATTGGCATAGAAAGCGAAGACCACAGACGGCATTTGATGAATAGCGTCTGTTGAGCATCCACTGCGACTATGCTTCTATCTTGCGACTACTTCCTGAACATCTGTCTGAGAGCATGATTTTGACATCAACACGGTCGACAAGTCCAGACAAGGTTTTGATACGAGTCGCTTGTCAATGCGATAGCTGATGTGCTCGACAGGGGCGAGGTGAATGGCTGACTCCCAGCAACTTCGATGGTACGCATCTCTGCCACTGCGGCCAAGAATGCCGCCAAGACTTTACTGGAGGCTCACATACCACTCATCCGGACAGGTGTGTCATCAATCATCGCCTTGATTGATGCTGGCTCCATTCAGTGAGTGCAAGACATTTTTGCTGGCCAGCGTGGGGGTCAGAATCTCAAACATATTCGAACGTCAAGTTGTGCTCAGGCGGTTCATAGTGTGTCCCAAGACGATTGGGAACCAGTGCGAGTACCTTATTTGGATGGGTGAGGAGCTGGTTCCCCGGGACGCAAGTAAGGCCATGCCAAACGGACCTCTGATGGACACTGTCAAGATTCCTGGCGTTGGCAAGTGCTACACTTGCAACAAGGTGGGCAATCGAGGCTTGGGAAAGATATGGGCATCATGTACGATTGCAACATGCTGTCTGCATTCAAATTTGCTTGCGGTTCATGTATGTAATATTGCGACAGCGGCAGATGCGTGGCACGCAGGAAGGTCATTGGTACTTGGAATGCCCATTCAATGAGTGGTTGAGGATCGTGTGTGAGGAATGGGAGGACCCGCAGAAGTACTCCAGCAAAGACTGGATGGCAGCGTTTGACAGATGCATTCGTAAGTACACGGAGTTAATGATGGTTACTGACGCCCAAGGTTCAGGTTCTTGCGGGCATCGCGCCCGGTGTGTGACCTGCAGCCATCTTACCAGTCTAGCCTTGACTGTGCTGCGGTGAGCTTATTGCATGGCAATGCGGGACTGGAAGAGGGTTTCTAAATGTTGATTTGACCTTGCAGCGACGACCAGCGACAGAGAGAATCGAGCTGAGCTGTGTTTATTGCAGACAACAGAAAAAGCCATGATGAGGTGAGATCAGCCGAAAAGAGAGATCAGCTGACCTGAGCCAAGGAGTGACGAGGAGAGACAGAACATATGTTTGTACATGCTTGTCATTGGCATTGGCCCCTTCATTTGAAGTTACACAATGTGCAGGTTGCGCAGCCTGCTCATATCAGCAGCAAGATAGGAACTCTTCTACAGGGAATTCAGACGTGGATAATATACAGCGGGTTCCAGCCAACTGCAACGGGTGTCAGAGCTTGTGAGGACCGTGCAGATCAGTTGCACGTTTTCACAATGGTTGCCAAGGTGATAAGTCATGCATTTGTCAGCAGTAAATTGAGATAGCAGGATAATCACGCAAAAGCGCAGTAGCCATAAGGGACCGTGCAGCCGAGTACGTCCTGTTGAGGTCAAAAGATCCAACACAATAGTTCTGCACAAGTGCACACTTGCTTGTCATCGACAACATTGGACTTACAGTTCAGCATTAACCAAAGCAAACACGGTATGTTCCTCAGATTGAGTTTCCATGCCACCCCCAACTGTCAACCAGATTGCGTCTATGTAGAAATCCTGCAAGAACAGTATTTAGCTGCTCCCTTGGGTCATGCCGTTATTGACTCTCAGCCCTTACTACTCCTGGATAATGCCAATTTATCAGACTGCATGCTCTAACACCTGATCTTTCCATTCCTGGCAGGATATGCCTGCTAGCTCTCTGGCAAGCTGTAAATCTATAGCTTCCCAACGCACTCCAACTGCCACAGAGGCAGCTGCCAGCCACCCTTCAAAACCGGGGGATGGACCTGTCCTGCAGCCAAAGAGCAGCCTCCTCAGCTGTGCTTTCACTGCCCAGCACAGCATTCCTGTTGATGAAGCGGCCGGATTTCGAGAGAGAGAAAAAAAAGAAAAAAACAGAATTCTGATCACCGCCTCGGGCGCGAGAGCATTGCGCTCAGTACAAATTACGCACCCTTTAGAATCTTGGAATGGACCCATCTTGCAGCCCGGCAGCCTCCTCGGCCGTGCTTTGTCGGCCCAGCACAGCGTTCCTGTGGGGAAAACGGCCCCACTTACTGATCACTGACTCGTGTGCAATTGCAAAGCGCGCATTGTCGGCTGCTCGGGACGCCATCGGTTCGCCGCCCCCCGGCAGCCGCCGGCACTCGGCCTCCAGCTCCTGGAACAGCCGTACGCAGTCCTGCGGGGCGCATGATTAAGGTGATAAGTAACGACCAGTAATCATGGCACGCTGCTGAGTCAGCGACACCGAGTCTGTCTGTCTGACAGGGGTCGGATGTTGTCACGGTCAATGATCGCCGCCATGGCATGCAAATGTGGTTGCGTCCTGGAACATAAGATACTGAACCTACAGGCAGCTGCTGCACACACACATTTTGAAGAGATGGATTGCTTGGAGATCCTTCGTGCTAGTGTGTATGGCCTCAAGCCTTATGGGTGCTGCTCTTTCAGCCTTTTTTCAGTCCAGCCAGAAGAGAAAGAGCAACTTAAAAGCATGCGCTGGAAGTGAAGTTGCATCAAGAAATTCAGTGACCTCACCTGCTGGTCTTGCAGAACCTCGCTGTGCATGTAGGCCATGTAGAGCCATACTCGGTGCGGCGGTATGATCTGCCCTGCCTCCCCAGACTCCTGCCAAAACCCCAGGGAGCCAGCCGTCAGCACAGCACTCAACAGAGCTGCCGCGTGCGCATGCATGCCTGGAGTGCAGGGCAGTCATTATTATCATAACACGCTTTTCCTGCCAAGAGGCAAGGTGCGTCTGGAGGCAATCTACAGTTGAAGGCTGCCAAAATCCCGCCTTGATGGACTCGCCTGATCCAAGGAAGACCCAATCAACCGTGGGCACGGTGCTCAGACTTTGCACCGCCAACGGGGGCCATGCTGGTCAGGAAAGCCATTGTACATGCATGCAGCCATAACTTAATGAAAATGTTGTTGCAGTGCAAAGGGTCACACTGATTAGGAGAGGCATTGTGCATGCATGCATGCAGGCGTGATCCAACAGGTGTGAGGAATTACAGCACAAGCAGATATTGGCATGGAGGCTGCCTTTGGTGAGCACGAGGACGTCCAATATATCATTGTCTGAATGCAAAAGTATGGAATATGACCAAGGCAGGGTTGAACTCACCACTAGGCTCTTGGCCAGGGAGAGAGCTTCCTGGTCGAGGCTAAACATCCTTGGTGTGCCCCGGAACACATTCCTGTAGCAGCACACTCTTACACGCCACACTCTAAAGACATTTGGCATACCTTCAGTTCTGTCCATTGACCATGCACAAGCAGGACACAGGCCATGGTGACCCCATTTGAGCTGGAAAGATGATCAGATGCTTCTTGTAGCACTGCGCATCATAGGTGTGCCTGACCATGCAAGAGTTTGGACAGGTCATCAAAAAAGTCTCAGGTTCTTGGGGCAGAGCTAAGCACCTGGTGAACTGGTCCCTGAGAATGACTCCAGCCAGGGCCTCATAGCCACGCTTCCAGTGCCGCAATCCCCCTGAAGTTGCCTCTTCCACGATTGCTCCAAAACGCTCCTTGACCTCCTGCACACATGAGCATGTGCTCTGCTATAATAAGGCAAACTTGCCATGCTGAACTTGCTTGCTGCATCAAGGTCAGGAAGGAGGTGACATTGAGGGACGATCAGCCCTTGAGGTGTGCTCATGGGCTTGCCTTGTCAACAGCCTCTCCACCACCAAACCACAACTTGACCCTTTCCTTGTCTTGGAAATGAGGAGAGTGACTTCTGTAGTCCTCCCCGAGCCTGTTCCGTCACAATGCAAACGTCATCACAATAAGGTGATGGCGTAATATAGAGACAAGTACTTGTAAAAAGCCTATATTTGTGCCGCATTACCAGTACTCCAGGACCGCCTGCGCTTTTGGGTCCATGCTGTCATCACTTTGCGAGCTGCATAAAGCTGCAATACTACTGATGCTGTATCTTGATGAGGATATTTTTTGTGGTGTTGTGCGTCCCTGCTGCTCCCCACAGCCACTGGGCCGCGGAAGATGCGCCGTTTGCAAAGATTTCAGCAATGATCTGCAAATAGATGAGCATTTCAAGGTCGCCCTCAGGCCAGGGCCCGCGGTTGACGAGAAGGCTTTTATCATCTGCAGCACATTTGTGCCGAGATATGCCGCTTGCTTTGCTCTGGCGCTGTGCTACACCGTGAAACGATTTGGGTGCATGCCTCAACTGTTCGATGGCGTGCCTGTGCAAGTGCGCAAACTCATCAGAAACAGGTGATCATGGCAATCACAACCCCTGAAACAAACACACAGTAGTACTTGATCATATTTACGAAGAATTTTGAATGAGCGTGACAGATCTACACAACCAAATGGCTGGTAGACCTGGGATCAGTGATGGAAGAGTAAAAAGCAACACTGCCGATTGTGATACAGTATCGTATGGAGCAGTTGCCAACAGTGAATCCAGCAAGTTGAAGATGAGGCACATGAACCCTGTACCATTTGCCTCTTTGTCTTCAGCTCTTGACGCCTACCAGCTAGCATTCTTGCCGACCGGGAATGGCTCAGGCGCAACTCCCAGCCACGGCGTTTCCGGCCCACATTGGGGGTCTGCGTCCTTTCCAACATCATTGCGTGCGCGGTGTGCTTCAGGACAAGGCTAACCATTGTCACTAGGTCGGCCTTGGACTGGCACAACTCCCACTTACAATATCGCAGGGCCGTCTCTGGGGAAGAGGGACTGAAGAGGAAAAGGGACGATCTCGAAACAACCCAGCACGAACATTTCCAGAAGATGCGGCGCCCAGATTTCGGCCACAAAGCAGCGCCCAGGAACAGCGCAGATGTAGGTCAGAGGTAGACCCAGCAATATTGATGCTTCAAGTACCAACAGAAAAACACGAGCCAGGTTTTGTCCGACTGATGATGTCAACATCAAGACAGCAGAACCTTGCATTTAAAACAGAATCTCCTGATCTTTGGAGATGCACTGCTGAAATCCACACTATGAAAGCACTAAGGGAATTAACTTGCCACCTCAACACTTACAACAGTACATAGAGCCAACGGCGCTGTTAGCAGCACTGGGCACAGCTTTTATACTGAGTGGTGATCCACATCTCTAAAGGCTGACATGGTGATCTGTACATTGCACACGCAGATGATGGGTACCTCAAGGGCTGTCTGTCAAGAAATGCTGTGACAGCATTTCGCTGGCCCATGATAGCTTGATAATATTGCACAAACACTGCTGTTTTGTACCTGCTGTTGCTGTGTTCATTGTGAAGTACCACATCGGACACATTCGTGGCTTTGAGATGTGTGTCCTGGTCGTTTGCAGCTTGTAGGCAGGGTTATCCTCTTGCTGTTTGACAACATACAACGAGACAGGGTTCAAGCGCTTGCCATGTGTCAGTGCCAGAATCACATTGAATGACGTTGATGGCTGTGTGCAAAATCCTCGACTTCATTGAAATATTGACCAGGCATAATGCTTTACATAAGATGGCACCCTAGGGCCTCATTTTAATGCTGCAAAAAATATCAACAAAAGTGCTGTATCCTTTCATGCTGCCACTAGCTAGTTAGTAACAAGCACTACAGCTTAACCAGAAATGTAGCTGCAATGCCTGGTCACTGCAGAAGCTGCTGTAAAGGGTGAGCATCAATCTGAATTAACCAATAAGTAACTGTCGCCGTGCTGAGCAGCTCTGTATACCGGCGGATGCATGTGCTCATCCAATTATCCAGGGGAGGCGTGTGCATAACAACAGCTTTCAAAGCAATGCAGCCAAACAAACAATCATCACATCCTGCAAAAGTCACCCTAACTGAAAGACCTGCCAATGGGCAGCGTCTCTCACAAGCTAGCATGGCATCTGAACTGCCGCTCAGCCGCTTGTCATTTGACTCTCATGAACCTACATCCAACCACTATGCCCTTGATAAACTGTCAATGCATCTAGGGCATGGCTACAAATTCCCTAATGAAGCCTTAGCAGTGCTCCATCTCACAAGAATGTGTCTGGTAATGTGATGTCTCCCATGTGGCTCGCTAATATGCAGACACCCCATGTGCACCTACTGGAAACAGTGATCAGTCCTGAACACCCGCAGCTTCCTGAGCAATATAAACTGTGGAAACACCTCACCATGAAGGCTTTGCTCCTGCTGAAAACTGCCAAGGAATCTGCAAAACTGCGCTTGGCACCTGCACTGAGCTTTCTGGGGGTCAAATTGCATTTAGCAGCTGTCCAGTCAGCGTTGCCCATGTGCCAAAAACCCCGGGCGTGAGACAGTGCTTCCCTGTGCAAGTTTCACACCAATGGTTGACCCATGATGACAGATATGTAATAAATTGAAAATATGCCTTGGTTTCACCTGCCCCGGACTCAAAATCATGGCCTCTGCTGCAAATTCAGCGAGATTGTGCTGATCTCTTGCGCCTTCACTCGAGATACGCCTTCATTGGCCACTTGCCCCCAACTCACCATGTGAATAACAAGATTCATGCGCCCGGATTGGAGCCTGGCATGAGCTGCATGGCATGCATGCAGCTCTAGCAGACGCCTCCGTGCATGGGCACGGCTGCCTGGTTGACCTCTGGCTCGCCGGGTTTAATGGTGGTCTTGACTGCGCGCTTGCCTGTGCCCTTCCAGCCCAGAGTCTTCTTCAGGTCCGTCAGCTGCAGGGACATAATAATTGTAGTGTCAGCGACCAGGCTCCGACAATGTGCATCTGTGCAATAAATTGGATCCTTCAAATAGGAAAGAGTATGAGCATCTTGCTGGCTTAAGAAAGGGCAATTGCCTGACATGAGGGCTGCATGTCTCAGCAATAGAGACCAATACCAGGAGGCGATGCAAGCCTCAAAGCAGATGCAGGGCAGATGCAAGGCAACGCATCGCTCAATGGTGCTCTGGGCGGGGCGGTTCCAAGTTGCAACTTGAAGGGGCTCTGTGTTTGTGGTTTACCATAACATCACACAGACAGATGAGCACCCTGGGCGTACAAAATGAAGAAAGAGCTGCCGCGCAAATGAGAGCAGTGCCCTTTGTGGCTGATAGGGGACTCAAAGAGAAACTTCATAGGCTGTTATTTTGAGTCTTCTGTGGCCGAGGGTTTTGGGGTAGATGAGCAAACAGCGCAGGCCTGCTGAGGATTTAGAGGTCGGCAGCGACAGTACACAGATGAGGACAAGAGCAGCTTCACAAGGAACCACGGTGCAACAGCAAAACACTGAAAGTTGTGGCCGAGGGTTTGAGGGAAAGTAAGAATGAATGCTGACCTGCTGGGGGGTGTAGATGTAGTGGCCTGTGAGCCAGTCCATGGCGTTCTTGATGTCCTCCACAAAAGTGCGCGCAGAAGAGATGGAGAACTCCTCGCGGCACAGCACGCGCAGCACGCGGATTGCCTGCGCGCACAGAGCATCTATTACATTTGGCATTGCCCTCACTTTATGCCTCTTCCAACCTGAATTTCAGGATCTAGTTGCTGGCAGCTCCCTGCTGCTTTGGCCTCTCCTTGCAGAGCACTTCAGAAGCCAGCACATGATGACATTATTGTGAAAGTTCCCTAGTTGGCCCGTCTGAAGTAAACAGGTGCTCCAATCAACCAGGGCCAGGTCAGCTTGAAGGGCTAACAATGTAGCTCATCCGGGCGCCCACAGACCTGCTGCAGAAGTATGCTAGAGAAGGGTGCTCTGATCATGATGCAAAATTTGATTTGGCGCAGGAGTGCCCGAACATTAGGCACCAAAGGCATGCCGAGAACAACCTGCTTTGCTTCAGCAGGTAGGAGCCTACTTACGACCAGAGGAGGGTGACTATTACCAGGCATGAGGGTGACTCAGCACCTTTGCGGAAAACCCCCAGGTTGACTCATTGTGTGACTAATCAAGTGACTCACCTGCGCGTCGGGCGCCATGGTGTACGCCGGGACGACCCAGCCGCGCTGGCGCAGGCGGTCGGCCACGTCGAACTCGTCGTAGCCGTTCATCCGGTACTCGGGCTTGAGGGTGAACGTTGCGAGAGGCAGCATGGGCACGGGGTCGCGCGCCGATATCACCTTGAAATAGCCCGTATCCTCCAGCGCCTGTGGGAGTGGAACAAGGCTGCTTACAAGTGATCAACAATGAGAGAGAATTCAGGAGCACAACTTAGTTTATAGGGTACTTCAAGACCTTCAATACCATGAAGTTCTGCTTTTAAGCGCGTGCATTCATCAGGTCCAGCAGGCCAAAATTGCTGCGTTGCCAGCAGAGGGAAGCCTGAATGTGGATCAAATGCAAAATAGATGACAGTCTGAAGCTGTGCATATCAGGAGTTTGACAAATGTGCATGCATGCATGACAAGGATTGTGCAACAATGATTTGTAGCAATTGCAATTGCAGGAGTGGGAAACACGCCTTGCCGAGGTACATTGCGACAGCGTGGCAGTTGCGCATGATCTTGGTGTAGCCAATCCGGCCCAGCCGCAGGAACTGCGCAAATCAACACCCCAGATCACAACAATGGGTTTGAGCGATTTGCACGTCAGCAGGGACTGAACAGATCCAAAGGGTAGCAAAAGGGGCGGCTTATTGCGCAGAACCACGCAGAACTGTTTCCTGTCCTAACAGTCCCTGAAATGCGGCACATGACGAGATACCAGAGAGTTCAATGGTCAGCATGTCCTGTAATACCAGGCCCGAGGACACTTCCATGCAGGATGATCATCGCTGTAAGGCATTGTAAAAGGACAAGCAAATGCTTAAGCTGTGTTTGATAAAGATAGTGAGTAGTTGTTGCATTCAGAAGCGGCGGACCTGGTAGTACTGTGCGACAATCTGGGAGGCTCCCTTGGAGAAGTTGAGCGTGAAGTTGATCTGGTCAGTGCCCAGGTAGTTGTCTGCAGGCCAGGCCAGGCACACAACTCAGGCACCCAGCCTTGAACGTCACTGCAAGCTTGCATGCATCCCTCAAACGAAAGTTTGAATGTCCTGCGGACTCTTCACTGGAAGGTTCCTCAGGGGCAAGAATATCCTCATGCCAGGCTTCAATGCAGGAGAATGTAGCCAAGGAAGTGTACTCGGCAGTGGAGAGAGTGTCACCGTGGAAGATGAGGCTGTCTGGCAGGTACTCCTTGCTGCGGAACAGAACCCAGCCAACGCCCGGGTACACCAGGCCATACCTGCGCACCCAAAACCAAATCTGAACCCCCTCTTCACTCACAGAGCACCTGCACATGACTGAATAGGAACACATGACAGCAAAATATAGTCCTGGACACTAGCATGACTGCTGGAGAGCTTGAACAAAGACATGTGGCAGGCAGCAGCTGGTGCTTTGGTCAGAGTATCGCACCCTGAAACAAATGGAATTCACCCAAGTGCATAACAGTGAAAAGCATTGAAAGTCAAAGTTGAAACAAGGTGTGCGCACTTGTGGCCAGAGGCGTTGATGGAGACCACGTTCTTGCAGCGGAAGTCCCACTTGAGGTCCGGGTACAGGAACGGCACAACAAAGGCCCCGGATGCCCCATCCACGTGGATCTTGATGTCCCAGCCGTTCTTGCTGTTCAGCTCCTCTGCAGCAGCAACCATGCTCACACATTACCACCGCCATCGCAACCCCTTTCAGATTACAAACTCAAGTCTCCTCAAAGAGCCCCCAGCTGTCCCAATAATGTCCACCTGCTTTCAGTTCGAGACATTGGGAGGCTCCTCACTGCCCACTGATTCTCTGGGTCCAATTGTGGGTGTGACAGGCAAAAAGACTGCATGCAGGGCGTAACAGCCCGTCTCATCAGCTCTGACACCAGCATTGCTTGCAACGTGTTCTCATCCACTGGCTTGAATTTGAATTCAAATGGTTTTCAAGCTTGTAACTGCACCACACCAAGAGCAGCGTCGATGCCGGCGACGTCCTCAAAGTGGCCAGAGTAAGTGGTGCCCATGATAGCAACCACGCCGATTGTGTTTTCATCGCAGGCTGCCGCAATCTTCTCTGGGGTTGCCACAAAGCAGTCCTCTGTCAGGTTGACGTAGCGAGGCTCAATCTCAAAGTAGTTGAACAGCTTCTCCCAGCACACCTGTGCGTGCAGCGCTCAGCCTCTTAGACCGCATCAACTTTTCCAGGGACCTATTTCAGCTCGCTCCCTGTACTGCTCCTGTGCTTACAATTATTAGGGAGAATTACTGTCCTTGCAGAGTGCACTGGGACACAAGCGGTAATTTGACTGTAGAAGTGAGTGCATGTGAATTAAGCCAATTCTTTCAAATGCATATTCAGGCTGCGCGCGTTGCAAATTTCACGAGCGCGCCCGGCCTAAATTTGCAATTGGATGGCCGCTCTCTTCTGGAATGACGGGAGTACAGCCAATGGCCTCCCCATTGATGAAGGGCCCAGTACAGTCCCTTGCAGACTAGAGGCTGGGAAGAAGAGGTCACACATGCACTGCTGAGCTGCAGACGATGTTGGGGGTGACTGCCTCCTTGATGCCGGCCGCCTTGCGCTTCTCCTGCCAGCGCCGCTTGAAGGCCAGGCCGCCCAGCAGGATTGCCTGCAGACAGGCATTTCTGGTGCTTGTGAATCGCTGATACACATATGCCATCATTCGTAGAGCACAAGGCACGGCAGGCCTGCATTGGTTTCCATAGGCAATCTGCAAGACAAGAATGGCACAGAAGCTAAAAATCTGCTTGGACTGTGCAATCAAGAGGGCTGCATTCAGCATCGACGTTTGCATACTTCTCTGCTGAAATGCAAAGTGCGCACGGTGGATGACTTGGAGATTGGATATTATTGAGATGCGTCTGCTGAGATTTGGAAGCAGCTGGCAAGCTCACCTCGCTTGACCCGACCGTGGCGGTTCCGCACGGGTTCTCAGCGTGGTACAGGTCAGCCAGCATGCTCACGCAGCTGCAGCGCCACAAGTCAGAACCATCTCATCATCAGCCCTTGCTGCAAATACAGTCTGCATGCCTCACCAAAGACATGCACTGCAGCCAAAAAGCACTGCGCCATCCCACATGCATGGTCACAGTGTGAGCACTTGTCGTGAGGGGCGTATCAAGTACCGAGCGGCACCTGTTTTGGATGTTGGTGGTTGAGGGGTACTCTGATTCATCAATGTAGTTGATGTTCAGGGACTCCAGGATGAGCTGGTCGGCTTCTGGCTCCATCCTGTACAGAAAATCAGCAAATCCGCCCATCAAGACACTGTAAAACCTAAAACGCAAAGGGATGGACAGCAATTCGATTCACATCGAATCTGTGCGTTCAGAAGAGCACTGAGCGCAGCAAGCATCTGCATGCAGCAAGGGATCGGCTCACCATGTGGTCACAAAGGAAGCCAGGTTGAGCCTGCACAGCCACATCAACGTTTAGTCAGCAGGATCCCTCATGCACATCACTCTAGTTCTAGCTTTCCAGTGCTCCCGTTACAATTGGACTCCCGGGACAGGGGGGGGGGGGAGGGGGGATGTGGTGTTGAGACACGCTACCAAGAGATCAACATTCCATCCACCTCCAAAGAAGTTGATTGATGGCAGTGTCAACTTTGATGGCGCCAATAGTGTGCTGAGCACATTACATAGACTTGATGATGTCATGGGCCATCAAGTCTGCAAGCTGGGTGCTGTCCTGAGTAGCATGCACCTTGGGGTGGCATCAAGCTCCCTGGCGTCCCTGATCAGGCGGTACACCACCTTTGCTGGCATGGTCTTCTCAGGGAACCTGCACGTACACATGCCTTGTTTATAATCACCTCCTCACGACTGCGTACAAAGCTGCAAAGTAAAACTGAAAAACGCCATTTGATAGAGCAATCTCATCTATCCCAAAATTGTATGGTGCTAATCCTTGCAGTGCAGACCTAATATGCCACACAGTGGCATGCTCAGCTGAGTCACTAGTTTGCAAAGTGATTGGTGCGACGTAATAGCTTTTGGAACATGCAAGATTCCTCTTCATGTCAAATTTCAAAATACCTGGGTAGTATAGCATGATCACAGCTTCTAGGAAAGTCGAGATCGTGACCAGATCAGAGTCCTTTTATTCGTAGGCAAATCCATGGGAAAATGCAATAACGCATCGTCATAAAACAGCAGTATGCTATTCAACTCAATGCTCGATGCTACGCAACCGGATCCTGAAAGGACTTTCTTAGGTCAAGGATGGAATATTTAAAAGGGGCATGCGTGCCGCACTTGTTTGTCACGATGGGCTCCGTCATGTACCGAGACGCAAAGGCCTGCAGCAACGACAATGATCAGGCAATTTGCCGAGGTTGGGATGAGGGCAACTTTCACAGACAGCACAATTACACATACCGGGCAGAGAAATTCTCTCTCATCGTTCTCGTCTTTGTTTAGGTCCTGCACGTGAATTGGCTCGGCGTCGGGTGCAAGAAGCTCGTGTTCCGTCATCCTGGCGATCTTTGAAATTTCTACGAAGCACTTGTGTTTTGGAAACTCTTGCTCTGCTTTCGGGCTCGTGCTCTGCCCAGTCGGCACAGTCGGGCCCTGCGCTGGTGCCAGCATGTGACCTCACCATGCCTAGCTGGCACATGTGTACACTTCTGGATGCCGTCATGGTATCCATCTGGAGCACAGAAAAAGAACAGATTCAAGCTTTCATGTGGCGCTTAAAATTACAGGCAATGAACGAATGTATGGTGCAGGCATGTCCTACACTGCTGGTGCCAGCAGCTATAGCTACAGTGGACGCGTCACGTGCACGCGACCGAGGCAGAAATTGAACTTAAAGTGACCTGGCAGAAATTTTTTTAAGGCGACAACACGGAGAATTCTGAGCAGCTTGGCTCAATTTGTTGTTGCAGGAGAAATGCCATTATATGAGGGATGCCACAAGCATGTTGGCTTGATGCTGGCATTTTCTTGGGATGCCTGAATAGGACTGTCCAGGGCGTCTCATGTGTCAAGACAGGAGCATGCACCTCAATAAAATGAAAAGCCTCCCATGATAGCTTGAGGAAAAGAAAAGGGGCAGCATGGCTCCATGGAATCTGTTCTCAGGTTCTGGGAACGACGCAGAGCAGGATCTCCCCAGCACAATTGAGCCCAATGTACGAGGCGTGGACACAGCATTCGAACTGTTCATCGACGGTGCAATCACAAAGGTCTACAATGAGTCTTCTGGGCGTTCCAAGGATCAGAAGGCGTTGCGAGCTGCATGCAAAAAGATACTTGGTGCGCCTTGCTCGATGGCATGGTTTTTGTGCCTCTTGTCACACACAATTAATGGTGAACTTAGGAAAGAAAAGGTGCTCTCAGAAGAAAATTCTTGTAAAACCTTGCGTTCGATTTGTTTGCTGCCACGTCCATCGGTTCCGATATTTGAGATCCTGATGGCTCTTTCAGCTTCAAAGTTGAGAGCTCGAGCAATTGTGTCAACACAAATCGGCTTCACTGATTGGATGTCGAATTGAATACGAAATTCATATCGTGATCTGTCTGACACGTGAGTTTATTTTCAATTGGAACTTGACAGTAAACTTCTGATGCAGACGAGCTTAGAGGGACCAACGGAGAACAGCAAAAGATACATGCGCCCTTGGATCCCGCCGTTACGGCTATGGTACGACCCCGTTGTTAAAATTTTGCTTTGATTTGGTAAATATATTTCTGAATTCTCTCTGAACGAGATGACGAGCTTGCGCTGGCTGGATCTAATTGTGGCAAATGCCTCATCCCAGTGCAGCTTGAGTAAGCGGAAGTGATCGTGCTACAGGTGTTGGAGCCCCTGCAGATGGCCTGCAGCATGGATGTGCCTCGCATCGCAGAGCCAGCCCTGAGCTGCTTGCACAAACTGGTACAACACTCTTATTTATCATCAACCTCAGTGCATATGTCAGTACACTGCGCCCAAATGGAATCCTATATTGGAGCCATCTGCAGCAGAGAATGTGTTGCTGTTGTGTCGCTCAAGGGATGCCGCAGAAGTTGGCTTGAGCGAGTTTTTGTGCCTGCACAGGTAGCGCATGCTTACCTGCATGCCGAGAGCACCCCGGCTGGACGCCTGGATGATGGCAGCATTGTTGCGCAGGTAGCAACAGACTTGCTGCCCGTGCCCACAACACACTACCCCATGCCGTTCACTGAGTGGCGCTGTATTTTAAAGTGATACTAGCATGATTGAAAATGAGCCAAAGATAGAGCTTGCTCACATGTCAACATTGGATCAGAATCAGGATTGCCTCTGACTGCGCGAGCCATGGGCAGCATTGGGAAAGTGCACGGGTGCATGCAAATTTCTCATTGCCTTGTGTGCAATGTGCACAGGTGGTGTTGCTGATATCGAAATGCAGCGAGAGCAACGGGGAGTCTGTGCAGCTGGGCGTGGTGCGCGCGTTGCTCACCGTGACCACTGCGGAGCACTTTGTGCTGCACGGCGACTGCCTCATGCAGGTATTGGACCGCGCTACAAGCTTAACCCTCCTGCCTCGACGACCTGGTTTGACTGGATCGATATACCATGCACACCGCAATCTGCGTACACATGTCTCAGCCCTGATTTTTTGTAGCGTTTCTGGACTTCGGTGAGCATTGCAGTGGCTCACTTATGAGCACCGCAGCGTTTTACAGGACATGCAGGATCTGCAAGCACCATCTCTGTCAATCCCCAGCCGGCAACAAAGCATGACAAGTCAGGCTTGTGTGCATAGGCGGTGCGCTCGGTGTTCAACATTGCCATTGGCGCAGACTCTGCGGACCTGCAGCGCACGGCTCGCAGCGCCCTGCTGCAGATGCTCAACACCATCGTCAAGCGCGTCACTCAGGCCGCCGCGGTGGGCCCCTGGCTTTCTGCCACCATCTCCTCTGCACTTAATCCGCCGACAATTATTAATGAATATAATTATTGCTGATGTTTCGTGGATCACGGCTCTTTCATGTGATGTGCCAATGCCTTGGAGCAAGCAGCGTGTTGACAAAGCTGGATTATCTGCCGCCCGTTTTCAAGGCGCCCTGCTCCGTCGACACACCCATGGCTCCAAGGCCTTGAGTCTGATTCGGTGCAAAACTGCATGTTATCTACTGGCCAATCGTTAATGGGAGTGTGTGGCTGGTCGTGCCTGAACATGCCTGCGTATTCTCTCTGCGCTTGCAGATCAGCCGGGAGGCATCCCTGGCAGAGGAGCGGCGGCAGTCCCTGCCGCAGGAGGCGAGGGCAAATGTGGCGAGCGGAGAGGAGGAGCAGCCTTCTGCCAGTGCAGCAAAAGAGGGCTCGCCTGATGCTGACGGACCTGCAGGTTAGATATAGTCACAACTGGCAAATAGAGGCATGCATTTCATCAGGCAGGTTTGCAGAGCTGCTGCATTGAGACATACTTTCAATTTGGAACATAATCTTTGACCAAGGGCATCATGTGGATCAATATTTACTTAAACAGAAGCGAGATAAATGGCCTTTGTATTTGGAGGAAGGCCGAGATCATGATTGCTGACCGCATCACTGAACTGCGCAGGTGTCAGCAGGCGGGCTAGCACAGAAGGGGCCGCAGAAGCGCTACAGGGGGGCGTGTTCAATGGCGATCTCGGAGCAGACGAGGCCTCCAGCAGGGAAGTACATGATGATACAAGGCATGGCAACGGCATGGCTGCTGCCGCTGCAGAAGCGAATGGATCTGCGACGCCAGATGAGGCTGCTGCTGGCGCGGGGCTGAGCGTTTCTACCGGCAGAGAGGGTGCTGCTCTATTTTCCTTACTATCAACCAAGCCAAGAAAGTGCCACTGCTGTATGAAGCCGTGAGGACTGCTGATAATGCTGGTGGCAGGCTTCACAAAATCGTCCAGCAGTGGCATTTTGGTTATTGGCATGGTTGCCGTGCAAATTTGTCGGAAGCTGGGCATACTGGCCCCATGAAATGGATTCTTCTCTGTCGCTCCGCTGCAAGTGGGCACATTGCCGTTTTGCAGGGAGCAACAAGGAAGCTGAGGCTTTGGAAACGGAGATAAGCGTGATTCCAGAGGAAGAGGCGCCAAGGCCCAGGCTGCCAGACCCGATGAGCAGCACGCGCACCGCCCAGTTGGCATCCCTGGCAGAGCAGGCCGATCTCAGGTACCTCCCTCTGCTAGATCATTATAATTATGACACGCTTTTCCTGCCAAGAGGCAAGGCGCGTCTGCAGACAAGCTGCTTTTGAAGGAAAGGCTGCCAAAACCTACCCCTTGATGGACTCGCCAGATCCAAGCAAAACCCATTCAACCGTACGCACGGTGCTCGATTTCCGTTGCGCCCCCCCAAGCCAGCTCTGCTAAATACTGCCTGTAATCCAATGTCTATGCATGGAGCGGACCAGGTTCGACAATTCTGTGCTTTGCAATTATGGTACACAGGGCTGCATGCGGGAGACATATCCTCCCATGCCCTCTGAGAAAGCAAACGCGTGTCTGACGAACCAGTAAGAATATCCTCTGTGCTGCAGGGGACTTGAAAAGGCGCTGGATCAGATAGAGGCAGAGCGCAATGCAAAGGCGGGCGAGGAGGCCGCCGCCATCGCCAAAGCTGCCGGCACAGAGGTGACACCCTCTTGACTTCCCCAGCCGCCAACTGCATCACACTGCTTGCTCACGACATGTCTGCCTATCTTGCAGAGTGAAAGTTCCGGTGCCACTGTTTTCACTAAGGCTGGTCGAAGTCGAGGAATTCCAAGTTCGGTGCATGCTTCACATCATATGTGTGGAAAAATTGGGCAAAGTAGAGATTAAATAAAAAAAGATACCAGGTTTGGTGCTACTCACCTATCTTGACACGGTGGGGATTAAAACATGCGCAGGTGGAGGCATCGCCGCGTGACGTGCGCCGCATCATGATGCGCGGTCGCAAGGTGGCGGCCTGGCGGCGGCTGTCACTGCCAGAGAGAGACGTCCTGACAGTCCTGTCTGCCATCTGCAAGGTGTGGGCTCTTCTGAGGGTCACCCGCAGTTATCTTTGTTTCCAATCTTGTTATTGTGGCACGTTTTGCAGTCCTAGGACTAGGTGCGTAAAGCAACACCTGGAGTTTTGCTTTCCAGTCTTCTTGCTTCTTGCACGCCGTCCACCCGTAATGCTGCAGAGAATCATCCTCGTGGCTGTGATCTGAGCACTCCTCAGATGCTCCGTCCACACACCCCTGTTGCTTCCATTTTTGTGGCTGCCATGCACGAGACGGCCCCTGTGATTGCGGCCATGGAAACATTACTTGTGCAGGCTCGCTCTTGCGGATGTCATTGGGACGCCGGTGCTGATGCCTGCGGCAGATGCAGCGCTGGGACTGCAATCGGCAATGCCCTTTTCAGGGTTGTGGTTACCAGGATCAGGACTCAGGTTGAGCCCCTATGACAGGCGCTTAATATTCAGAAATGCTCAGTGTGCTGAGAGGGTGTGTTTTGCAGATGGCCGCGAGGGAGACTGGGTTTGGTGCGGTGGAGCAGTACATGCATGCTGGTAAACTGCTGGCGTTAGAGCTGCTGGTCAGAGTCTTTGAGAACCCGCACCACCACTGGTCAGCGCTGCGTGCTGAGGTCAGCACACCCTTCCCTCAATCTACCCATCTGAGCTTCCTGGAGCCCGTGCCCTGCGAAGCTTACTAATGCTGGTGTTTTCAAACCCGGCTCACGTAATTTGAGGCGGGCTCGTCTTGTTTATGCCTGTCTTGATGACTTGCTGCAGGATATGCGGCTCTTTGGAGTCCAGGGTTCAGCCATATCTGCCAAAGCCCCTGTGTGGGCTTCTCATATCTGAGGATACCATGGCACCCAGATAACAATACAGGTGTCAGAAAGCTCACAGCCAGACTGACTGTGGCAATCATTGGGGAATGTGATTAAAATTGATGTGTTCTGTGCGTGCAGTTCTGCGATCAGCTGCGGTCGCCCCTTTGTCTGACGCTGCTGCGAAATTGCACTTCCCCTTACGATGAGGCGTACTCGGCCGCCGCACGCCTCTTCACAGCCGTACTGCTTCAGCCAAAGCTCCGGTGAGGCCAGGATCCTCCATCCTCTCAAGTATTATATATACCTGCATGTGAGTGTTCCAAGCCATGATACTGTCGAATCGGATGGCAAGATCTTTTTGGAAGGGTGGAACAAGAGGGGTCGCAGTTCGTGCTGAAAACTGGACGTATGAAACTCGCCTTGCTCCCTCTTCTTCTAAGGTTTTGCCATCCAATTGACACCGTCATGCCTCAGTACAGTCTATGCGTGCTGATCTCATCAAATAAAAATTACCAAGACAGTGCATGGCTGCATCCTCTGGAGACCCAAACTTGACTGTTGTGTGGATAGAGGACTGCTATCGGGAAAGGATTTCTGCGAGGGTGAATTGGTGTTGGCAGTGCAAGGGACTCAAAATTTCAAATTGTGGGCTGTTCTGAACTACCGTCCTGTGACGCCTGTTGTTTTGCGCAGGTCTGGGCTGAAGGCTGAGATGGGCGCGTTCTACCCGCTGCTGCTGCTGCGGCCGCTGGAGGCCGAGCGCCCCGAGCCTGGCCAGCTGCTTGCCGCGCTGTCCGCCCTGGAGAAGCTCAGCGGGCAGGCCCAGTTCCTGGTGAGCTCTCTTGCCCCCTATCTCTGCAGTGGATGTGTACATGTGTCCTTGATCTTTTGTAACAGATGCAGGAGTATGGGCTAGGTCAGGCAGAAAATTGATAGAGGGCAAGGTCTCCACAGACTGGAGACAGCCACAAACCCACAAAATCCCTTGTCTGGAGGCATCGTACTTTTTCCAAGGCACCTCCCATTTCAATACCCCAGCAAATGCAGACCCTCAAATTGCCCTGGTTTCCGCTCCATATCTGCATGGTGCCGTGGTGTATCTCTGCATGGTTTCCATGCGACTGATTTAAATTTATGCCGCACAGGTGGACCTGTTTGTCAACTACGACTGTGACCTGCAAGCGGCAAACCTTTTTGAGCGCACGGTGCGCGGCCTGGCGCGGATTGTGCGCATGGGCGACCCCGGCCCCGGCATGCTGCATATGGCGGGCCCGGTGGTGAATGTCAACGCCGCCTCACGGCCGCGCCCGCACTCGCTGGCCGCTGACGTGGCGCTCGCCGTCATTCGCTCCCTCGACGCATGGGCGGAGCCCCTCAAGGCAAGCAAATAATACTGGGGACTGCCTGCACGGATCACAATCACACAATCCTCTTACAGATCAGGGTAGCTGCGCAACAATACAACACACAGTAAACAAGCAGTGAAATGACTGATGAACAGTCATGCCTGGCTCAGTCTTCAGAGCTAGTGCTCTAGCTGTGGTATTATAATACCTCCCCTGACAGGATCCTGTTCACTCGCCGTCATTTCCTCCTTCGATGCATGGGCGGGGTCCCTCAAGGCAAGTACTAAGAAACAGGCACCTGATAGGACTATGTTCCCTTCTGTCTTAAGAAACCTCCGATGGCAAATATTCCCACCTCAAAATGGCCCAGAAGCGTGCAAAATGGTCCTACATTGCAGACATGATCACTCATGCCTCAGCACCCCAGCAATGCAATCAGCCCCAGTGACATAATATAGCTTCCCAGTCAGCCTTCGGGCTTGGAGCGCGCATTGCCGGGCAAAGATCATTGAGTGCGGCCTGGACTCATTGAAGTGGGAGGTTTTGGTTGCCTGGAACATTGTTGACACCTTAATCCCCTCACGGACACTTTTTAAGGAAGGATAGTTCTGCAATGGCGTTGACTGGGGATCCATGCCGCCGCAGGAGTCGGCGGAAGCGACAACTGCAGCAGTGGCAGATGAGAGCGCAGAGGAAGGGGGGACAAGAACTAGCACAACAGATCTGCCCTCTCTTGGGGCCGCTCCCTCGCTGCCAGCAGGCGCCAACGGGGCGGCTGATTCAGCGGGTGAGCTGGCACGCTTCGGCGCGGCCAAAGAGCGCAAACACAGCCTTGAGGCCGGCATTGCTCTCTTCAACAGGTGAGAATTCTATTTATCTGTATTCGTTTGCCAAGTCTTTAGGGGTAAAGGTAAATAATCAAAATCCTAAATGAAACCCTCGTTTTCGGCTTGTTTTAGTTCTTGCTCCTTCTCATGCACCTCGCAGCTTAGCCATGGATCGCTATACGTCAATTTGTTCTCTCACCGATGAGATGCATGAATTGACACGTTCTTGAGAGAGCAGGGAGGGTGTTGTGCAAGCATTGGGTGACAGCCAGGTGCATGAGAATGAGCATGTATATTATTGAGGCTTGAGGTTTGAGCATTCTGCATTGTCTTGGATCCTGTGATCAATTCTCTATGTGATGTCACGCCAAGTGACAGACCTTCTCACATTACTGTTCAGAACGTATGCAAGAGAGTGCTGCATCCTACGCGGGCACAGGATCGAGAAGAGTCTTGAGCCTTGTCAGCAGAGGAACTTAATCAGGGAAACTCAATTAAGGATTGTACGCTGCAGGAGTGCTGTTAAGGGAGTGGCGTCCCTGGTTGCATCTGCGTGTTCCAGTGCCTAGTGACAGGAATCTTCACATCAATGCCCAGAGAGGAACAAAAACAACCCTAGGCTAAGAATAAAATGTTTCTGAGGCGAGTTTGTGTGCTGCAGGAATCCTGTGAAGGGTGTGGCGTCCCTCATGGGCTCTGGCACGGTGGAGGGAACGCCTGCGGCCGTGGCTGCCTTCCTGAGGGAACACCTGGCAGACCTGGACAAGGGCCAGCTGGGCGAGTACCTGGGCCACCACGAAGACTTCGCGGTGAGTGATTCTTGGTTGCTCACTGTATTGTAAGTATTGAACAGCCCACCAGATGGGTGCTTCAGGGCATTACAGTGGGCATCTGATGTGGCAAAACACTCCTGTGATAAGCCGGTGAGCCTTTGTACGACCGGCTGTTGTCGTTTGCAGTGAATAGCCTCTCAGGTAGCTCCGGAAACGCATCATCTTGGAATCTTGATTGCTGGAAAAGGGCGAGTCCGATAAGATGTAGGATATCCGGCAGCCATTCCAGGCCCTCTGTCTGCACATGCACCGTGCCTCTCCTGGCAGTGACAGCAAGTAACAATGACAATACCAGAGCAGGATTTGTGGAGGTTGAGATAAAATTGCCCGCATGCATGCACCGCTTTAAGATATTGTGTGGTGGCACAGTGTGCTGTGATGTACGCCTACATTGATGGCGAGCAGTTTCAGGGCTACAGCATCGATGCTGCGCTGAGGCTTCTCCTAGGCAACTTTCGGCTTCCAGGTCAGAACTGCCTTTGCGCTCTGCTTTTCACTGCCAGCCTCTTGTCATACTCAGCCATCTTTTTAGCAGACACAACAAAGGGAAAAGATGCATGGCCTGTTGCAGTACATACTTCTTGTAGCAGGAGCTCTACTACTTCTGGGAGAGTAAAAGAAGCGCTCTTCTGAGAGCAGAATTCTCAAGTTTCCATAGCAGACTGCATGGCAGAGCCAAGTGCCGTACTTTATAGCAATCTTGCTGTATTCCAGGCGAGGCGCAGAAGATCGACCGCATAATGGAGAAGTTTGCCGAGCGCTACTGCCGGGACAACCCCGGCGCCTTCAAAACAGCCGACGGCGCATACCTGCTCGCATTCGCGCTGATAATGCTCAACACGGATGCGCACAATCCCCAGGCCGACAAGAAGCTCGCGCTGGACGACTTCGTCAACATGTGCCAGGTCCAGGTGGGCTTGCTTCCCTCTTTGCCAGTGCACAGAAGCGTCTCGACTACTGGAGATGTATGGGGAAAGACATGGATCTACAGGTTGCTTGCCATGACCCCACAGCAGGGTCTTGAATCATCTTGAGGGGAATGCCTGTGTGTTATCCTTGCTATGAAGCGCCATGCCAGTTTACCAGGCAGAAGGAAGGTCAGCAACAGTCCTGTAACATGTCATCGTGTCCAGCAAGTTCACCCTACGGCCTGCTCAGGGCTTGTCCTGTCCATGTATGTAGTGTACCATGTTGCTCAAGTGCACATCGAAGTTTGCTTATTTGGTGCAGAATGATGAGGGAGCGTACGAGGCCATCTTGCCGCCGGCAGAGCTGGAGGACATCTACAGGCGCATCCTGGCCAACGAGCTGGTGATGGAGGAATCCCCCGGCCTGGGAGGGGGGTCCGGCGGTGGCGCAGGACCTTCCGGCAGTGGGCGCCCCCGGCGACAGTCCCGGCTGCAGGGCAAGCGCCTCGCTGCCGCCATGGGCATGACTCAGCTCACACTACCCTTCAGGTGGGCTGGTCTCTGTGAAGTTGCGCTGTGTGGACAAGTATACATTCTCCTCCCTGGCAACCACCATAGTGTGTGCCACTTCATCATGCATGCAGGCTTGATTTTGGCAGCCTGATGTGTTTATTCCCTTGACTTCTTGTGACTTGATTTTGTGGAGACAGTAGGACAGTAAGAAGTTTGGGAAGCGAGGCATGTGGATTATGGGGAAGGCGCGCATCAGAAGTCTCCAAACACTGTCTGCATGAATGATGCACCACTGAAAAGCAGACCAACAATGCTTCTCAGGCAGCTCTTTGGTTCAAAGGAGCCTTACAGTGATTGTTACAGGCCCTTCCACTAGCACTGCAGGGTGGGCGCTGTCCCCAGTCATGCCAGCATGCTTGGTGGAACAGTAGAAACTGGTCAAAGTTCTGCCTTTAGAGCCCCGAGAATAGAAGTCTGGGTGGATGATGCCTCTCGCTGAAAACCCTGTCACAGCCAAGAGAATCCTTCCAAGTCACATCTAATGGCCTTTAAAGACCAAAATGTTTTCCGACGCAGGTCGGGCGCGCAGTGGGACAAGCAGCATGGGGTGGATGTGGAGAGGGAACGGCTGCTGGCTCGAACGCGCGACGCCGTGGCCCGGGGCCTGATGGCCGGCAACCTCTGGCACACCGCCTCCAACGCAGAGCATGCGCGTCCCATGCTGCAGGTTCGGCCTTGTGTATCTGGGCTTGATTGTGATTAGAGCATTGCACCTGCTTGTCTGCATGGCAGACTTCGCGTTCCTCACTGCTCGTTCGGGTACAAACGGTCACAAACGCAGTAGAGGCATTGTATTTGCTTGTCTGCATGACGTGCTTACTCACATCCCGCACTGCTCGCCCAGATACACATGCATTCCAGCCCATCAATACCGCAAGAAAACTGTTGACCATATTTCCTTGTGAGCATCACCCAATCATCGATGATCACTCGCAAAATATCAATGTCCAGCTCGCGATGTTGTGGAAAGTGTGATTTGTTCAACTGTGGTGTAGTTGCCTAATGAGTGGGCCTATTGTTTTCATTTACTCAACCAATGAGCATGCGTGTGGCCACAAAGCAGTGCACGCCGAGATGCTTTGTGCCATGCCAGGTTGGTGGAGATGGCATTCTGAGGGCGCTGTCTGCGGCAGAGCACAATGCGCCAGACGCCGCTGCCTCGCAGCCCATCCTGGAGGGCTTCATTACTGCAATCAGGTTTGTGACACCACCAGGGCATCCCTGAATTGCTGGATGCTCTCATTTCACACAGGATCCTCGAGTCCCCTTGTGTGGATGAATAGCCTCTGAGCAATTCAGGGGAGACACCCTCTTCCCCCCTTCCACCCTTCAGCGTCTCCCGGAACCTTCTTGTGCAGACATATGGAACTTGCTTCTCTTTGACAGTTTTGTCTGGAGCAACACTGTTCTAGAAATAGAGATTCTCATTGCATGAAAGCCTGTTCCTGCCTTTCTGTTGTCCATGAACTTAGGATTGTGTCTGATTTGCGCAGGCTGTGTGGTGTGGTGGGCCTAGACCGGATGTGCGAGGATCTCATAGCGGCACTGGCAGCCGCGGCGGGCGCGCACACTCCAGCGGCCCCCGGCAGCGCAGCAGAGGGCAAACAGGTGCATCCCTTGCCACAAGTGACATGTCTAGTGGCGCATGCTCGTGCTGGCGCCGAGCTATGTACCTAGTTTCCAGCACTACTCTGCATGCATGCACCCCATTCACGTCTACTGCCCTCCTGGGCCAATTGCGGGGCATATTTGTAAGGTGGCAGCATAGTTTCAGGTGCACGTGATGCCCTTATTGGATGCCCTGATGCTTGCTACGCCTTTGGGTGTCTGCATTCTTTCTTAGAGAAGTATTTGCTTTGTTGACCAATCGACCATTGCGATCACTTGCCATCCCGGTATTTCTCTATATATTCCCCTGGAAATCCGGGGTCGATACTGATGATAGAGCGACATTCAGCCAACTTCACCGCAAGCAAGCAGAAAGCGAGTCCTTGTCATGAAGAATGCAACATAGAAGACTGAGTTTGCACTGACTTGATTGGCCACGCGGCCGCTACGGGCGCCATTTCTTTAATAATTTTTTCAAACACAGGTCGCTGCGTTGGCAGCGCTGGTGTCACTGGGTGCCGGCCCATCGGCGGCGCTGATCGGCTCAGGCTGGGTCACCATCCTGCGCACACTGTCTGCCGTGGACGCGTTACAGGTGCGTCCATGCAAATTCTTTCGATGGTATTTCCCAGAACGCGAGCGTTATTGGAATTATACCCTGCAGAAACAGATGAATCTCTGTCGTTCTTCCTGGCTATGTGAAGATGGCATCGGTCTGAGTTACATCCGAAGGAGCATCTTGCGCATGTTTTTTTCATTCACTATGTTGTGCTCTTAATTTGCTCACGAAGCAGAAGTGTGGGCTTCATGCGGCATGCTCGAGATGGCATGAATGGCAACTTGATGACAAATATTGTGCATGCATGCGCAGGCCAATCTGCCCATAATTCTCTTGGAGAGAACGCCGCAGCCTAGCCCCAGCAGGACGACATCAGCGCTGCCGGCGCAGGCAACGCCCCCGGATGCAGGCGGCGGCGGCGCGTCCGGGGACAGGCGTACCTCCGCCGCGCAGAGCCAGAACAGGCCGCCCAGGGCGTCCGGCCTTGGGCGCTTCTTCTCCAAAATGGGCGGGGATTCTGTCGCACCAGAGGTGTGCGCGGCATGCTCCCAATCACCTGCATACAGCGCCATCGATCTCACGCACTGGAGAGGAAGGATTTTCATGTGGAACATTGCTGAGCCCTGCTGCGGCGCGTATCTGCTGTGATCTCTCGCAAAGAAGCAGTGCCTCGTCATTTTATTCTTCATTCAGAATCCTCACATTTAAGAAACCTGTTAAGAGTTACCTGAGGCTCATTGGTGTTGTAGGCAGTCTTTCCTTATCCATGTTTTATATGAGACATTTGCAAAACGCACACTGCTTTTTAGTGTAAACCCAAATTTAAGATCCCAATGTCTTCGAAGGGGTGATTGAAGCTCAGCCTGTGCAGGCGCCTGGCGAGGAAGAAGAGGAGGCAGCTTCGGGGCCATCTGCAACCGCTGCAAACTCGCGTCCGCCCACAGGGGAAGTGCCGATCAGGGTGCCCAAGCTGGCGCAGAGATCCGGGCCTGGCGGTGCTCTGGTGAGACCCGGCTGCTCAAACCTTGTATCGATAATGTATTCTTGTATTTTTCGCATGCATTGGGGCAGTGTGCTGCTTTTAGGCGCTATGCGCTATCCACTGGCATGCTCACCCCCAACAGCATACCACATTCTACGCGCCCCAAGCTTTCTTAGCCTAGCCCTCTCCAAGTCGCTGCCATAGAGTAACATTGCAGAGACTCCCTTGCGGTGCCCTGGTGAGGCCTCGCTGCTTGCTACCTGCAAATTAATCTCTTTTCTTGTGGAACGTTGTGTGAGTTGAGGGCTGTGTGCTGCTGTTTGGGCGATATATGTATATGGACATGTGCGCTTCCACCAGGGTACCACATGCCATGTGCTCCCGCGTCCCCATTCTTAGTTGTGGAGCTGCTGTTAGAGCATTCTTTTTCGCAGCAACCATATTCATGGGGCAGGAACGTGGCAGGAGACGTGAAATGTGGTTCCTGGGGAAATGGCAGCCTCATATGGCACTACTCCAACCTATTGTAGATTACGTGCAGAGAGCCCCGACAATTGGAGCATGGATGCTGTTGTTTCTTCCTCCACTGTCCTTCGATGTTGCTAGTCGGAACTGTCTGCTCGTGGATGTGAAGACAGTTCCTTTCGCTCACAATGAAGCTGACGTCTATCTGTGCTGTGCGCAGGCGGATTGGGCGGACGGGCCAGGCCGGGGGGACATAGAGCGGCTGTACATGTGCAGCGGCGTGCTCAATGGCGACGCGGTGGTCGTCTTCATGCGCGCGCTGTGCGCGGTCAGCCAGGAGGAGCTCGTGCCCGCCTCCCCAGAGGAGCCCGCCAGGTGCACCTCCTCTTACCTTCACAGCTCATCCCTTGTTGGAATGTTCAAGAACCGACGAGGCATCATTGGTCCCAGCCATCGCAAAACAGCATTTGGCATGATCTGCCCAAGCATAATATGGAGTTTTGGGGTCTTGCTGTGTCTTGCAGCCCAACAAGGCATTCAGCAAGCCATCAGACGCTGTGGCACTGATGCTCTCCTTGCCGGTCTTCGCCATGCTCAACGTTGAGAATGGGCATCATGGATTGCTGATCTTCATAACCAATTCTCTCAATATGACCCTTCTGTAGCGTCATGTTAGTGATTAATTACTGTCTCAAGCACAGCGTGCCACGATGTCCATTTTGAGATCTTGTGCACAACTGGACCAGGGAAGCAGATCATCAGGATGGCTTACAAACCCTCGATATTGGCAGAGATGAAGGCATCGACGCATGGCCGCCTGGCATGCATTTGTAGCGCTCTCTTTGAGCCTGCTGTGACACTGCCAGCAGCCTCCTTCCCTCCTCAGCTTGCATCACCAACAGACGCGCATGTGTTCTGACCCATGAACTTGGTCAGCAGCGCGTGACAAAATCGTCTCAAAATCAATCACAGCTAGACACCTGAGAAGTACAGGGCAATGTGCATGCAAACTCTGCAATTCAACAAGAGCAAGCGGACGCAGGACGTACACGCTGGCGCGCATAATGGACGCGGCGACGGACAACCTGGGGCGAATCCGGCTGATCTGGGGCCGTCTGTGGGCTGCGCTGTCGGCGCACCTCGTCTCCGCGGCGTGCCACCCCGACCCGGGCGTCGCCGTGCTTGCCATCGGCCACATGCGCGGATTAGTCACCCGGCTGCTCTCACGCGCCGAACTGCACTGCTTTACCCACCAGGCACGCGCGCCGTCTCACGTCTCGAGGCAAAGATGCATGGGAATCTGTGACGGCGTTAAGATTGAGGGCTGTAGGCAACACCTGCAGCTCTGCAGCCTGGTTATGAGTGACGGAGGAAACATCCAGAGCATGTCTTGCATGGGTGGCAGTTTGAAGTAGTACCATGCCAGGTGCAGATCACAGCTGCCAAGGTACTAGCTTCAGTCGCCGCCCATGCCAGAAAGCTTTGCAGTCCTTTCCTTCTTTTTGTTGTAGATGCATCACCACCTACCTAACAGTGATGAGCAGTAGACTGAAATATGTGTGTGCCTCTGTGTTGTCTTATGCCGCTGATGCCGTGCTGTGTTTGGCGCTCACAGGACGAGGCGCTGCGGCCGTTTGTGGCTGTCATGCGGCATGCGGACAGCGCTGTTGTGCGCGAGATGACCGTGCAGGTCATCGCGCAAGCCATCTCCGCCCACCCAGAAGGCCTCGGCTCAGGTGCTTCAAACTCACCGTTTGCTCATCCCCTGATGCATGGAAAATTGTATTATGTGGCAAGGAGGGCAAAATGGCTCGCAACAAGTTGCGCAACTTGGAGGTCATCAGAGGCCTTCGGGTCCAGAGAAAATACATGCTGAAGATGTTCAATTGCCCCCCGCAGCGTGGCGCAGCGTGCTGCAGGCGCTCTCTGTGGCCGCAGCCGATGGCGCGCCACCGGTGGTGCATCAGGCGCTCGACGCGCTGCGCGCCGCGTCTAACGCGCTGTTCCGTGGCTGCGGCCTCGGCCACGAGCTCTTCCCAGACGCCGTTGCGGCGATGGCTGCTGCCGCGCGCAACCCGACACACGAGCCGCTGTCAATCGCGGCCGTGCTCGCGCTGCAGGATGTCGGCAAACGCCTTGCGGACGCGCCCGCCTCGGTGCGAGCCTCGGCCTTTTGTTTGTCTGCACATGCTTCTGTGTGGCTGGTTGACTTGTTGTCACCCAAAGCAGATGCTCTTGGCAGTTGCATGAGGACATATCGGAGTGCCTGTATAGGGTCGTGACACCAGCCCCTTTTACTTAAATGGGTATTTACCAGATCACTGCACACGTCTCGCGGATGCGCTCGCCTTGGTGCGAGTATGGCCCTGTCAGTCCATGGCCCCAATTGGAGAAAGATGAAGGCAGATATGAAGGCAGAGCAAGGGCAAGAGTTATGATCATGTCTACAACTGACCTGTTGATTTATTTGTTCTACCAAAGTAGGTGCCCTCTTGTCTGCATAAGACAATACTGCACCGGCCGCACAAGCGAAATAATGAGTTCTTTATGGTGGTGCTTGGTCTTGCTTGTGCATGCCATGCCTAAAAGGTGGTAAAGTCGCGAGGGTCTTTTGTTGAAGACGGCATAATAATGTGCTGTGTGGGTCTTTCAGGAGCTGGAGGCGTCTCAGCAGCAGCAAGGCGTGCGGCTGCACCGGTCCCTCTCAGCAGACAGGGATGCAGCTGTCGACAGGGCAGACCAAGCACAGACACCACCACACAGCAAACCAGAGGTGCGCTTGCCTCTCAAGCTGTCAATCATCCCCTGTCATCTGCCAGGATGATCTTCAATTTTTTCAACACCCTGGCACACGAATAATGTGAGATCTCTACCATATGCCGCTTTCTTGCAATGTTGGCTTTGTTCGGAAGCCAGCCATTTATGAGCAAAGAAAACATCGCAAGCCAGTAGCAGCAGGTTGATGCCTTGTATCTTATTGTGCCCAACATCACGCCAAATCACTCTGCCGCATTTCCAAAGCGCCGTTTTGCACCTTTGTGCAGATGCTCCGCCAATCACGCGGTTTGGAATTGCCTTGTCATTGTTAAAAGTTGCAGCATCAGGCATCGCACCTCTCATGAGATATCGCCTGCCGTTTGAACAAAGCTTCCTGCCGGCTGAGGGGACACCTTATCAGAGAGAGGCAGAGGAGCTTTGGAACCTATATGTCAGATATACTGATCCTAGCTGCCATCAGACACTGACTTGCTCCTATATACAGCGCCTTGCCCCTGAAGAGAAGCGTATTTTTTCTCACATGTAGAAGCGCCGTGGGGCCTTCGCTGGGGAATATCCTGCCAGGGGCTGTCTTGTGACTACTCTGCCTTGCAGTTGAGATGAGTCATTGTCTCTAACAGGCAGAGGAGCCGTGGGGCCTGTTATTAGCCTCCCTGGCACTCGTGGCGCGGCACGATCCCCGGCCGCGCGTGGCCGACGCGGCGGCTGCGGCTGCGCTCGGCTGCGCGGAAGCGCACTGCGACCGCTGGCCGGCAGCCGTCTGGGACTCTGTCTGGCAGCGTTCCCTCTCCTACGTCCTCGACCTGCCCTTCCCGCCCTCTGCTGACGACGACGGCCCCTCTGCTGTCCCCCCAAGGGTGGTGCGTCGCAAAACTCATGGCCTGCTTTTATGGGAACGGACTGGCATTTTCAGCGCTGTGTCTGGCATTTTAAGTATCAGTTGGCAAATCAAGTGGCTATTTGCTGCCTAGATTGTGCGGTGCTGTCCTGCCACAAATCGCTTGCATGCAGGGTCAGCATGTTCCTGCATGGAAGCGCCCTGTGCCAGGAGACCTTTGAACATGCAGTTTGTCCAGCATCTTGTTACATATTAGTAGACTGGAAATCGCACAGTTCAGTTTGTTTCTCACAGACCGAGCCAGACACACCTGTCCGCTCTTGCCAGTGATTCACTTTGTTGTGCAAGCGACCTGACCTGTAACAGTTTGGCCTGATCGTGGTCAGGATAGGCTCTCCCCAGTATATATTGCAATTTAGTGAGATTATATGGTGTGCCAACGCAGCTGGGGTGGAGTGTGGAGGGCATGCGGCGCATCCAGAGGCACGCCGCCGAACTGCTGCCGCGCCTCTTCATGATCATGGCCGCCCGATTTGACGTGGCCGGCCCCGCCATCCTGCACCAGGTATGTTTTGGTTTGTCTCGACATGAATTCTGTTCTCAACTGTACGGAGGGCTTGTACCCTCTGTGATTATGGTCCTCAGCCAAATCAGCAGAGCCCATCAACAGACTGAAAGAGAAAGAAGATTCTGTTCACGTGACAACTGCACAACTGCCAACAGCGTGCAGCAAGCTTGCTGCATACAATATCAATCAGGATTATTTTGCCATCAGCTGTTGGTTCATCTGCTGACTCTCGGCTGATCAATTTTTTCTTTCCTGATTTTTCTGGCTACTAATGCAAGGGCTAATAAAGCACAGGGCTGATGAAGCAGATTTGCTAAGTGGCCATCAAGATCAGCTGCCAGCATAAAGTACTGTAATCCTCGATTGAATTGGGCCGCTGCGTCACAGGTGGTGAGCCTGCTGGTGTCCTACGTGGTCCAAATGGACGAGGCGATGGCGGCGGAGGGAACGCAGCTGCTGGTAGAACTGGCCAGTTCATTAGCGCCTGCCCTGGACGCGCCAGCCTGGCAGACCCTGCTCAAGGGCCTCTCCATCGCCTCCAGCACCGATCACTTCTCTGCCGTCCTCAACCCACACGCCAGGTCAGTTATGCAATGTGCACATAAAGAAATCTGCCTAGGATCATGCGGAGAACTGAGCCTGTACACGGAGCCTGGCACTCGTTTGCCAGACTTCGTGCAGCGACTCGGTGTCCCTCAATGTCCTGATGCAGCAGCTAGGGACTGACATACGCGGCTGCCCTTTTATAATATTTAAGCAGGACTGTTCAATTTTTTATGCATCATGACCGCTAACAAAGTTGAAGCATGCATGTAAATGTATCAGCTATGCAGAGGACATATCTGGGGCTGCTTTCAACTTGCTGGTATTTCCTGAGTGGAGCGGGGCCTCTGACGAGTGCCCTCTGCATAGAATCGCCAGCTATACCTTCCCATTTTCCTCAATAAAGCCAACCCGCTGTACAGAATTCTGCGCTGCAGGGAGTCAAACAGGTTTGCTGTTGTTCCTGGAAAGGTTTAGGTGTTCTGACAAACCCCCGAGCGACACAGGGTTGTTAAGGGAAATTGTGCGTGCGCCGCAGGGAGCCGATCGGGTACGCGTACACGCGCTCGGGCCGGCAGAGCGACGCGGACGCGCTGCGGGTGCGATGCCGGGTGACTGTGCTCATGCAGCGCGCATGTGACGCCGTGCACCGCGCATGCTCCCCCCACATGCCCCTCGCCATCCAGCTGCAGCTGCTCTCCGTGCTGCAGGTGAGGTGTCCTCGTTTGGTGCTTTGTTCACCCTGGACAAGTGAGGTATTACTGGATCTGGTGATGGCTCTGCCTTCTTTCATTCTGGGGAAAGCTAGATCAGGACCTATGCGCAGGGGAATGGGGACCTTAATCATGCGGTTCTATTCCATCGTAAATTGGTCCTCGTCTGTAGCTTCCATCACTTTAGCAGATAAATGGCTGCTCTTCTTGCTGCAGATGAGAACCTTTAGCTTAGGGTGCACCAAACACTTTGGCTAGTATTGTTGTCCAAGCGGAAGTCTTGGTAGTGTTGATGGCACCGCATCGGGGTGTGAAAGTTCTTCAGGGCAAGTGATTGGTAGTATCTAAGCTGTTCTCGTTAGGACACTGCTTTCAACGCCGCTTGAAGCATTGCCCATCAGATGGAAGAACATCCTTGAGCCCTGATTTTTCTGTCTGGTAGATGTCTGACAGATAAATGAGGTGCTGCAGGATGTCCTCTTGTCCTAGCATGGGCAAATACCACCGCCAGAGCGGCTCTGTTGCGGAAATGTCTTCACTGGAAGGTCTCACAAAGTGCCAGAGTGTCAATAAATGCTGCGCCATTTGCTGACGGGCATGGATGTCCGTACAGGACACGGTGCAGCGGGCGGCTGCCTTCAACCGCAGCCTTAGGCGCCGGGCACAGGCTGCGGAAGTCATCGCCCCGGCCTCCGCATCACAGCACCCTTCCAGCTCCGCCTCTGTCCCCAAACCACCCCAGGTGCCCGACAAGCACCTCTAAAAACGCTATTTTCCAGCAAACGGGTATCCAATATTTCTGTGGATCTTGCTCATCTGCTGTTTGCAGACTCGTGCTCAAATCACAGCTTCAGATGAGGAGTGGAAAACGCAGTGGCGGCATGTTTGCCACAAGATCATGTCAACCTGCATCAGAAAGGTTTGTTAGTTTATGCATGTTGGCGGTCTGTTTGTGCAGGGACAGTCAAAATGGCCAGCACAGCGCAGCCTGGAAGCAGCCACCTCTGTGGCCGCCGCTGCAGCGCAGTCTTCTGAGCATACACCGGCAGCATCCGACCAGCCAGAGCCAGCCGCCACAGCGGATGGCACTGCAGAAGCTGACAAGACTGCTCCAGAAACAGGCACCAGCAGTGATCAGCCACAGCCAGAGGCAGCAGCTGAAGCTGCTTCTGCGCCTGGTGGGTCTTTGGAGCCTCATCCCGGATCGGAGCAGACCCCAGCAGATGCAGAGAGCGCAGTCAATGAAGGCTCGGCAGAACCTCCCTCTGCTGCAGAAGAGACAGAAGTCGCAGTAAACAGCGGTGATTATGCGTCCAGCTCAACGGCAGAGGCCCCGTCAGCAGTGCAGGAGGCAACGCCTCAAGCTGCGACGTCCGGGGTGCGTGAATTGTTGGCAGGGGCGGCGGGCAAGGATTTGGGGGTGAGCGATGCGAATGGAGAGCGTGATGAAGGGAATGTGGACCCTGCCGGCATGGCGGGCATCGCTGACGAGGAAGCCATGCTGCCGGCGCTCATGCGACAGGTAAGGATACCCAAGTATAGCCGTTCAGCTTTTTGGCCATGCGACCTCAGGTCCATGTGCCTTTGTGATCACTTGGTAATTGAATTATTTCTATCACAAATCTCTGGGTGTCCGGGATCATTAAAGGTAGTTACGGAATGTTCAGCCAAAAGTAAGCCATTCCCGGTCAAAGGTCCTATGATATGAATTTGGGATTGCAACGTAATTGACAGAGATTGGATTGAGTCAATTGACCACGCGGCCGCTGCAGGTGCCACTTATCTCCTAGGCATGCCATGTTACTCCTTTCCGTTGTACGAGGGAGGGTTACTGTGTAATAGTCCCCCTCATGCTCTCGCGTGCCACGGCAAGTGTCCTGCTCCTGCTGGCATTGGAATGAGCAGCCATGAGCCCACTCTTAACTTTCTTATGACTAAGTATGCATGCTGTGGAGGAAGTGCAAGAACCGAGAAGACTGGAGAGCAATAATTCAGGTGTTGCTTGACGTACCTAGTCCTTAAGGACTGGAAAACGTGTAATAATAATAATAATAATGCATGCTGTGCGCAGGAGACAGAGGGAGGCGCGTTGCTGATTGAGGCGTTCCGGCGCACCATCACAGCCCAAGGTAGGGCCCCTGTTAATTCTCATTTCCTTGTCAAAGTCCAGCGCTCTCCAGAAGTCAGACATTCTCCGATGTCTTGCGCTTCCGAGTGGGTTGATTCAAGACATGTCTTCGGTCATCCCGGAGCATTTGAGCTCATGGAGGGCTTTAAGTGCACATGGTGATGGAAGACATGCCCTGTGTCAACTTCCCATGTCGGCAAAGGGAGCACTGTCTGAAAATGGTTGCAAGCAAGGCCTGAAACTTCTGATGATCAGGCCCACATGAGTCCCAGAGAAGCCTCTTTGACAACACATTGCTCGGCCGGCTTCTGCTGCGTTCTCTTACGGGCATCTTATGAAGCTTCTGCAGGTGCTTGCTCAGCTAAGGATCACCTGGGGAAGCAGCAGCTGATTGGCCATCAAGGCAGCAGCCATGCTGCTCTCCTATGGGCAATCTCCAGCTTATCGGACAGCCCCGGCAGAAAAAAACTTTTAGAAAAAATAAGTCATTGGCATCATTCCAGTTTCAAGCTCGCTGAATGTGTGGAAATTCATACCCGTTGCAGGCGAGGGCAGCGGTGAGGCGGAGGCGCGACTGCTCGCGTTCTGTCGGCGATTCGTGGCCGACGCGGCGGCCGATGCGTGGGCGCAGCACGCAGCCGCAGCCGGCTGCGCCGGCGACGGCGGCCACGCACTCACACCCGAGGGCTACTCCTGGGACCAGGTGCGGCGCGTGGTTGATGCTTCGCTCTAACCAAAGCGTGTTGTTGAGTCAGGCAGGGAAGTGCAAGCCGCGGACTCTAGGGATACTGACTTCCACAAAAGGCAAGATATTGTACAAGAGCTGCGGCAGCGGTTATTCTGGGGATGTCTTCCGCCCACACACGGAAAGTATTGGCAGACCTGCTGCTCTAGCTGCACAAGCAGACACTTCCGCAGACATTTCGGCTCTTGTGCCTGGCATCTGTGGCCACATATTCCCATTGTTTTCAAAAAAATCATGTTGGCTCAAGACGCCGTTGCGATTGAGCAAGACCAGAAGCAGGCTTGCGCCCCTTTGCACCAGTCATTTTAAACAAGTAACCGATTATGATGCTGACATGGCTGCAGGCGATCCCAGCTAGTTGCGAGGTTGTCTACAGCCAAAGAGCCTGGGTCTCACCAGGTCACACTCGTCGCTGTGAAATCCTGTATGACCCAGAGGGACACAGCACCTTCTAACGGTCACTGTCTTGACCTGTCGCTGTCGCACTATTTTGTCACGCGTCCTTCGCTGATCTTGAACCTGTTTCCCGGCAGGCGATCCGCGCGCCGCTGACGGTGGCGGTGTTGGGCGGCTACCGAGCGGTGTGCGGCGAGGCCTGGCGCGGCGAGCTGCAAAAGGTGTTCCCGCATCTGGCGCGCCTCATCTGCTCCGGCCAGCCGTCCGTCCGCGCCGCGCTCGCCGGGCTGCTTCAGGCGCAGCTTCCGCCGCTCATCGCCGAGCTGTGAAGAAAATCTTACCTGGTCCAGTTGGGGGAATTCCGGGCAGACCCAGTGCTGCTCGAGAGTGCGCTGCAAGAGCAGCTGAGGTTTGATCTCCAATGCAAGCTCCCATTCATCCGAAACGGAGCTGCCGCCGCTTGAGCTGTAGGCCACTGATCATAATATTGCGTCTCATCAATGTGAGAGGCAGTTCAGGCGGTACACTTGCTGCTGAGATATGTGTGAATGCTGGTGCTGTCAGCAAAGGAGGAGGAAAATTTGAACTGCTAAAAGGTCCTCAATAGCTGTGGGTAAAGGAACATGGGAACAAGGCTTGCAGACTTGGTTCATGATTTGGCGCACCTGCTGCCCGTTAGAATCTTTAACCTCCTTAGATATGTCAAGAGGTATTTAGCTGCGAGTAATCAATTCGTTGGGGTCTGCGCTGGCTGGCCCACAAGCAGTGTGCTTTGCAAAGCAAAAATAAAATGGTCTTGATTCATTCTATTCCATGCTGGCCACTTGAAGCAGGACTCAGGTCCTGGTCCTGTTCCAGATATTGTTGTAGGCTGCAGGCTATACTAGATACTGGTTGAGTGGGTGGTAAATTACCATTAGAATGAGCAGTCATGTGAGAGGACAGAGCGCATGCAGGAAAGTGTATGGGGTGAGTGTTGCATTATGCATTAGGTAGGACCTTCCCAGAATAGAAGGAGCATGTAAATGGCCGGAATGCAAATACCTTGGAAGTCAACAGTGGTTAACCCTGTTGGTGAGCCACTCTTCTAAGCGCTAAACTAACCTTGACATGCTTTGGCATGCACCAGCCCATTCCACCCCCGTAAAAAGCCACTGAGCTCTGTCAAGACAGCTTTTAACGCTGCGACATCAAGCTGAAGAGCACACTGTTCAAACCTGCAACACCACCACATCAATATACTATTGCATCCGTTCACTTGGCAACGCACTTTGCAATAAGAAGCTACAAGCGCAGGTCAGAAACACACTACATGCTGCGGCATAACATCTTGGTCTTAATGCACGGCACACTGCTGATACTGTGACACTGCTGATCAGTCCCAGTCTCCACAAAGACAACACATTCATGCAAAATTTAAAGGGTGCCGCCAATGCCTAATGGCCTTCGCTGACTTTGCATGCTGATCACACGCGCATATAACCCCCGGCTGTTGAGTACATAAGCACTCAAGACATCCATTTACTATTGTGTCCCTGCCTGGCACTGAAACAGCAGCGCTACTGGATACTTCCTGCAGCATTTTGACGACACATTGGAAGAACTCATTGCTGTTGCTGATTGACGACCCAACTAAACCCCTTGAAAACCTGATCGACTGATCCTTTAGCTCAAGACCCCACCAATCCAGCATGTCACTGCCTAAATCACATGCTCACGTTGATACTTGAGCAACATTTACCCCGACCCCCCTGGGAAACCCTGCACTTGCCTTAAAGGCCACTCCCTTCTCTACATGCGCAGGCACCCTATGCGTTTGCGGGCGCGTTTTTGACCCTATGAATCAAGCCTGTCACTATCTCAAAGCACTCTAGGGATTACTCTTGGATGCCATATAGTTCCAGCACACCACACACAGCCCACACGCTGCTCTAGGGGACGCTGCATATTCTTCTTACTGCCCAGTCAAACTCCTGTGCGTGCACCGTATGCATCTGTGACAACTATTAATCCCTGCTGTGTGTTTAGCACGCGCGTCTTCAACAGTGCTTACTCCTGCACTGCAGCGCACGTCTACGGGCGCGTTCACTCCTCCTGCTTGACCACAGCGGAGCGCTCGGAGATGTGGATCTGCATCTGCTGCAGCTTGGACTCTATCTCGGCATCGCCCGCGCGGCCAGCCGCCTTGGCCTTTGCCCACAGCTCCTCTTCCTTCTTCTTGAGAGCTTCCGCCTCCTCCTTCGCGCGCATCGCCTCTGACGCCAGCTGTGCGGTGACGGAACCCGCTCAGTCATGGTCAGTCACGCATGTGTATAGGTCAGTCAATGGAGCCGACGCCACCGCAGCCGGCGTCGGCAACTTACATGCTTTCACTGAACAGGCTTTCAGCTGCATGCATGCAAGTGAATATTCTTGTGGGCACCCTCACAGCCCTTCTCCCTCCAGCACAACAGAAGTGCGAAGGATCACAGACAAGAGCCTCATCCGCACAGCCGTCCGCCCCTTCTCACTCAGGCAGGGATAAACAAGGATGACAACTTCTGTGCCTCACCCGCGCGGCCGTCTGCTCCTCGGTCTCGGCAACCTTCTGGTGCGACTTGGCAGCAGCTGCCAGGCGGCTCTCCTGCGCCTTGGCTTCCTTCGCATCGGCAATCGCGCGCGCGGCTTCGCGCGAAGCTTCGTTCAGGTGCTCGCGTTTCTCCTCGAACTCCTCTCGCTTGGCCTTTGTCTCCTTGATCTTCTCCTCGGCCTGCTTGGCTTGCTCTGCGCACCAGAATTGCACTTGCATGCCAGGAACTGTAGAACATTTCACAGCAGCTGGTCTGCCTGCCTGGCAGGACTGATCAAAACTGCTGTTGCACTGCGCAACGCATGCATCTGCATGACAGAAGGGAACGCGATGCAGTCACTGCACAGGATATGCACATCTTGCAGCACCAGTGCCCGCCCAGCAGGACAGGCTCCTATCGCTTCTTTTGCACATTGCCACCCATGGAGCGACATGAGACGCTGCCAACCCGACAGCAAAGGCCCCCTGTGTATCCATGAATGGCAACGGTGCACATCCAGGGGAATCATTTCTGTGCCCACTAAAGTACTCTGTCGGGCATCTTCACGGGTTCACAGGGCGTCGTGATATCGTCCCGCATGGCATTCAATTCGCGCTCAAGCATGCAGACTACACAATGTATAGTGTGTGAGCGCTGTCATGCAAAGAGGCCATGTGGAGTAATACGAACCCCTGACCGTTACATAATCAAAAATCACATAGCTGTCATTATGTGTGCAATCCGTCCCTACGGCCCTCAGAGCAACATGCTTGTATACACGGCACCCATTGGTGTATCTAAGGGGCACAAAGGGCTGATAGAACATCTGGAAGAGGTCTGAGGCTCAGACAGTTGAGACTGGGATGTTGAGCGCGCACCCTTGATTTGGTCCTCGACTTGCTGGAGCTCCTTCTCTGCGCGCTGCTCCTCGGCCTTCTTGCGCTCCAGCGCCTGCCTCGCATCCTCCAGCTCAGCCTGCTTGCGCTCAGCCTCCTTTGCCTGTGCACAAATCGATTGTATGACATTAGCTCGGTGCATTTGCCCTTCCTGAGGGAATCATAGGCAACGCCTATTGACTAAGGCCCTAGCACGCAGCAGGAAAAACGCTGCAGGAGAATGGCTGCTTACGATCTGCAGGACAAATGCTCTGTTTCTTCTTCTGCCCTCTCATGGACATTTCCCATGCACTTGAGGCAGCCCCAAAGGCCTCCATGAGCCCACACAAGCCCACAAGGGGAGCCACACTCACGGCAATGTCAGAGAAGAGCATATGGCCATCAACTCACCTTGTGCTGCTTCTCCTGCTCCAGCTTCTGTGCCTCGGCCTCTGCATCCTGGATCTCCTTCTCCACTGCCTTCAGCCTCTCCAGCTTCTCATTCGCCACGCGCCTGTCCCACCACACAGAATACTGAGCACTAGGCGGTATATCTCATTTTTAACACTGTTATAATTATTGATAATTACCAGCTGTTCCTGCCAAGTGGCTAGGTGCTGTCCTGCAGACATGCCGCAGTCAAAGGTTGCCACAATCCTGCCCCTTGATGGACTCGCCAGATCTGGATCCAAGCAAGACCCAATCAGCATTGGAAACAATGTTCAGCTTATACCGCCCCCGCCAGCCAGCCAGATTTCTTTACTACATATCTCTCTTCATGACAGCGGAGAAACGACAACCTGGCCAGAGCATGCAGGTGAGCTGCTGCTCACAGACAGCTTCGCCTCGATGTCTCAACCATCAGCGCATGCACATCTACCTGCTTTGATGGGCTGAGACCTGGGAACAAGCTACATGTACAGCATAGACGCAGACATTGGCTTTGAGTATGAGTAATGTGATGAGTCAAATGATGATTCATGGGTAAGTCAGCATGCTGACCTGGCCTCGCGCGCAGCTTCCTCCAGCTCCTTGGCCTTTGCGTCCGCCTCCTCCCACTCGCGCCGCGGCAGCTGCGCCTGCAATTTTTGACACATCGCCATGTCAGCGCTTGCTATTGATGACTCATCCACATATAGGCGACAGCAGACAAAATCTGGTCTGCTCAGCTGCAGTTTTATGGTGGGGTGCTGCCAACACATTGCCATGTCAGCGCTTACAAGTGATGACTCCCAGACACCTTCATCAGGCTTAAATTTAGTGGTGCCCTGCTCAAACCAAGGGTAGACACATGCATGATGGATACGTCTCCTTTGACTCCATCTTCTGTGCCACAGGAATCTGTCAGGGGATTATGCAACCAGAATCTTTGCACTCAACACTCACGTGACTCAACTTGGTGTATGACAAAAGAAAATTATGTGCACATGCTGGCATGCTGTGAATTTGATCATGCTGTCATAGACTAAGATCCCAGGTGAGGTCGGACGCGGTGCTTTCTCATCTCTACCTCTTGTCAGACCAAGCCTAATTTTCAGCAGAGTACAAGTGCAATGCCGCACCTGGGCCTTCTTCTGGTCTGCGTTCGCGCCATCCAATCTTTTCTATTGATACAACATATAAGTAAAGACCAATTTTTTCTCGCACCTGATCCTTCTTCTGGTCGACGCGTCCCCAGGCTCCGGCGATGGCATCGTCGTAGGTGGTCTGGGGTTGGCCGGAGGGGTGCAGCAGGGCCGACAGCGTCTGCTTGATCGAGCTCATCCCCTTCTCCAGCAGCCCAACCTCCTTCTGGGCGCCAAGGCGGGCAGCGCTCATTGGTCGTGGGAAACTTGAATTCAAACTTGCCAATACTTATAAAATGTCTTCCAAAATTCGCAGCGCAAAAAAAGACACCGACCCCCTAAGCACACGCTCTCCAGTAGATTCAGACTTGTGAAACAGCCACGAGTCACCTTCCACTGGTCAAATAATCTGGCACAACGCAAGAGGCCCTTGCCAGTGCTTGCTTGGAAAGAGTGGAAGAAGAGATAGACACCCTCTTTCACTGGGTGCAGGGATGTGGCTTTATAAGAACACATTGAGGATGCAATGCAGTACAGGGAGATATGCAAGATGAAACACAGCACATGTGGCGGCATGCAACAGCAGGTGCCAGCAGGTGTCAAAATGAAGTTACCTTCTTCTCCTCAACCTCGTGCTTCTTCTCCTCAATGAACCGGCTATTGTCGCGCACTTCAGCCTCTTCCTTCTCGGCTTCTTTGCGCAGAGCCTCGTATTCTACCACCTTCTGGTGTGCCGCCTTCTTGGCGCGATCAAACTCCGCCCGCTTCTGCGCAGCCTGCTCCTCCTGCACATGTCATTTTCACAGGCGCTCACCAAAGTGTAGATTCCTTGTATCAGTATCATTACTATAATTACCACAACACGCCTTCCCTGCGAAGAGGCGAGGTGCATCCAACAGACAAGGCTGCCATAACCATACCCCTTGATGTACTCGCCAGATTCCAAAACCCCAACCCTATAAGACATCGAGCATGCCAGCACATTCGATGACGGCTGGGAATGTATGCCCTTTCTGTGCCGTTGCAAAGACATCCCAGAGAGGGTGCATATCCAGTCTTCTCGACAGGCTGGCAAGATCAAATGACCACCTTACAAACCCTCGTTGAAGGCTGGATAATTATGCAGGTTCGGCCATCATCCTATCAATTCCATGCTATCCCATTCAGCAAGGCTCAAGATTCAGAGTCAGGCATCAGGCCCGCCCTGAGTTGGCTGGAAGCGATGCCATGTGGCCATCTTTATTTGTAAGGAAGGGTTTGTTTCAAGCCCAGATGTGGGATTCAGGGCTTTATAGAATGTGTTGGCTGACAGATGTTAAATTCGGCTTTGACTGAGTGCATTGAAGATGGTGCGCACCATTTTCTTGATCTCCTGCAGGCGCTCGGCCTCGGAGCGGCTCTTGCCACGGTCCTTGGCAGCCCGCTCGTTGAATGCCTGCAATCAGAACTTTAATAAATACGACATCTGGAGCCAATACGGCCGTAATTTTTGTGCTGAAGTACATTGAGCGAAGCCATATAAAATAGCTGGATTTATGGTGTCCCAACGAATTCTGCAGGTGTTGCTGCAGAAGACCAGAAAAATGTGGCTTCTGTGCACTTATGACTTGACATCTGGGAAGCCTTTTGGTCGCTTCCAAGCCTTTGCCCAACCTCCGGAGTTGATGAGACGTTAACAGCCCTATTGGCAGAAAAGCAGGCATCAATAAACGATGATGCTGAAATAACCGCCCTCTTCATCCACCTGATGCCACAATAGATCGAGGAAGCAAGTGAGAGAATGCTTGCCTGTGCCTCAGCCTGCTTGTGCAGAGCTTCTTCGGCCTTGAGGTGTGCCTCGCGAGCTGCCCGCTTGGCCTCCTCCGTGAAATCCTCCGCCTTCTGGAACTTGTCCGCCTGCGCCAGTTGCTCCATTTGTGAGCATTGCTAATCTTACCACAGTATCGTCATTGTTACTTGTACAAGCTCTTCCTGCATTGGTGCTTCATACTCACAGGACCTCTGCTCCTCTAGCGGCTATGCATCAAGGCACATGCCGCCTGGTGTGGTTGGCGCAGAGCATGATGTCAGCCTGTGCTTGCATCCGCCAGGACTTGTATCTGTACAAGCCGTTTATCAGCGGACACCTTCTGATGTATCTTGCATGCACTGCACGAAGCCAAAACTTGCTGCATGACATCATGAAAAGATTATGCATGGATGGTCTGTGCCATCAAGAAGATACAAGATGCTGCAGTGATCTGCCCATAGCTAAGTGTCTACAGCAGCCAGGCAAATAAAGCATGGCGATTCAAGTGAAGCACATGCAGAAGCGCATGTGTGAGTATCCATTATCATGACAGGCTGCAGACTACTGCAGGCCCCGCAGATGTGGCTCCAGACGCCCTGCGTGTATGCCCTATGGCCTCTGGCTTTGGGTTCGCCGACCATGTAATAATAATAATAATAAAAATGTTATTAATAATAATGCAAATGTGGGCAGAGGGAACTACCTCAGGCACGTGCTCCGCGCCCTTCAGGCCGATGGCCTCCTTGACGCGCTCAGTGAAGGAGGGACCATGCCCCTGTCAAAGCAGCCCATAGATCTATTCAGCACTGCCGTCAACCTACGCACGGTGGCCGCACCACTCCCCACAAATGCATGCAGGAGAAAATGGTAGTGGTCCAGGCCAACCATGGAAATTGCATCTGCCGCAGTGCTCTTGTACGTCCAACGGGCTTGCCTGGCACGCTACTACAGGCTCAAATGTGTCCAACAGAAGATTGCAATGCAGCCTGACATGATCACTGAGGTGCAAGATCCTGTCAGATGGACACGCAGCAGACATCTCTTGGTGCAGGAAAACCATACCATCACACAAGCAGGGTCTTAAGCATGTTGCTGCAGAGTAGCAACGTGCCTTTCCTAATTGACCTCAGCACTGAAAGTATAAGCATGCGGCCAAGATCATGCATGTAACCTTCACCTGGGTGGTTGATGAGGTGGTCTCCTTGGTCTTCTGGGCAGCCTGAGATGTCTTCTCCTTGGCAGCCTCAGCTGTCTCCTTTGTCTTCTCCTTGGCTGACTCAGCAGTCTCCTTTACACGCTGTGCTGCGCTCCTCGTCGCCTCCTGCGCAGCAGGTTGCAGCAGAGACAGGGTCAAACGGAAGGGCTTCGTTTGGTTGTGTTTCAGCCACAGTCAAAGTTTTGCAACAGCAGTTTGGAAGACGAGATCGGCCTAAATGGCCACAGGCTCGACGAGAATGGTTTTGATTAAGACGAGGCGCGAAAAGTTGGCGGCATCTCAGCAGCGGATCCCACACTTCGAGCAAGAAAGGGAGAAGTCACCTTGGCCTTCTCGCCCGTCTGCTGCAACTTCTCCTTGCCTTCCTCCAGCTTCTCCTTTGCACGCTCCGTGGTCTCTCCCTTTTATTGAAGCACATTTTTGTTTTTGATTACGCGTTATGATGCGACACAGAAGGAGCTGCTGCAACAGACAGGATGGATTGCCTACGTCCGTTTTGGAAGGGCTTCTGAACGGTGAACAATCGATGCCTATGGAGTGTCGGTTGTCCAAAGTAAACGAACGGATGCACTTTTGATTCTTTTGGCTCGTTTTGGCTCGATTTGGATCCGCCAGCCGGTTGATCACCAGAGGGAAGCGATGTACAAAGGTGCAAAGTCAGAGTTGATCTCGACGCGCTTGTCACCTTGTTGCCGTTGCCATTCTTGGGCTGAGCAAAGTCGGGGACTGCTGGATGTGGGTACTTTGGGACTCCGTCGTCGGCCTTCGGTGTCGTCATCTTGTATGGAAACGTGATGGCTGGTGCTCAAAGTTGACGCCTGATGGCCTCTGTCCTTAGCGCGTCGATTGCAGAAAGCAATTATCAGGATTAATTATAGCTAAATCGAATTGTACTCTGAGGAATCTAGAGCTGGCATCAAGAGAACGTGAGCTCCATCCGAAAATAGCTTGACTGAGTCATCGCGCGTGCTGTGAGGTAGCGAGGTTGGGAGTGTGTTTGAATGCATGATTGCAATTCTCCCCATCTAGCCATGCCCCCACGTGAACTAATGAGACACCTCCAGTGTGCTTCCTCCTACTTTACAAGCGACCAGATACTGCAATCATGTGATAAATTCCTCAAGCTTCACGAATCTACAGGTGATGACAAGCTGAAAGCTAGCACTGGTATTTGCTGATCAAGCTTCTTGCAAGATATAAACCTAGGATCATGTAATAATCATGATGGGGCTGATTCAAACTTTTCCACAATGTCCACAATGTTGTAGATATATTTCCGTGGGTTTGAGGAAGGTATAGTCACGGGTGACTCAAGGTAAGCCAATATTGGAAAGCTGACTTAAGACGTAACAAAACCAACTTGGAGCAATTGCAGCAGCCTTCAAGGGTCCAAATGTGCATGGCTAGATATCGTGCGTCTTGCTGGCTCCAAAGCTCCTGCAGCGGTGCGTGAATGGCACCAAAATTATTTTTGTAAAGAGGAAACGCTGATCACTGAGAAATTGTCAGATGTTGTGCCAGTATTGCTGCAATTTCGTGATGACAGTTCAGTGTTGTGACTCTCGCAGGCTTTTGCATCGTGCAGCATTGTGCAACAGATTGCCACATAATTTGCAGAACAGGCAAAACAAATTTTAGTCGAATGCATGGTGCACATTTGTAATCCCAAGGTCATCCTCAGCCGGCTGGTGCGCTTTTATCTACAGCGGAGCTCAAAAGCTTTCTCGACACTGTGTTACAGGCCTGCACACACTCTGAGCTGCAGCTTGCATTGAACATAAACAAAGGCAATGCAAGCTTGGCATCACTGTGAGTGGACAACGCAAATGGAACACTCAATTGCAGACTTGGCAGCAGATGCCAGAAAGAAAAGGCTGACTGGCAACGGAAGGGCATCCAATCACTGGTCGACACCGTTAGGCTATTGCAGGCTTGCCTATTCAGGATCTGATTCGGAAAATGGCCCTATTTATCCGTTCACACATGGCTGCAAAATCATGGGGCTGAAGTCCCTGCTCTTCTCCTTGGCTCACGACACCTCTAAGCAGCTTCCTCCTTGGATACGTCCTCCCATGCTGAACCTGGAAGAAGGCCACATGAGCTCTGTTCAAGCCTTTGGAGTCATGTTTTTCTGGCATTCTGATGTCCCATTTGACGGTACCTTCGATGTCTCATTAGCAGAAACGCCATTAGGCTACATATTCATGGCATAAACTGCCATTTGTCATCTATTAGTCATCTATCGGAAACATGCACTGAGGGTATGAATGTGCAAATCCCACCTCCTGATGAGACGCTCTTCAGACCTTTCTTTCCGCCGCTGGTTAGCTCTCCTGGCGTTTCATCCTCTGGCGCATTTGTTGCTGCAAAGAAAACGTTCCCTTAAAAATCGCTGGATCTCTAGGAACTCCATGTACTTCATAAGTTATGCAAAGTCACAACAGAGCAGCAGTTGGAGTTGCGAATCAAACAGGGCGAGCAGAGACAGGATGCGAGGTACCTGTGTCAATTTTTTCTGCCGCTGTGGCAGCAGCAACCAGGTAATTGCATTTGGCATCAGGTGCGTCCTCAATTGAAAACTGATTGTCTGGTAATGTGTACATAGCAGCCAAAGCTGCTACAACCAGGCGCTGCCTCGTCAATGTCCAGTCAGCTGCCAAAGAAGCTACGCAGCAGCTTTGTTCTGGATATCCTCTGTGGTGGTAAAGGAGAGCCACTACACTGCTGCCAGCATGCCTGGTGAGAAGGGTAGGAATCCTCCGTGACTTGTGATAGACATTTGTCCGCAGCTTGACATAATTTTCAAATTGTGTTGAATCATTCACCGCCTGCAGCATGAGCGCTACAAGTGAGGGGGCTGAAGGCTGATGTGTCCCAATAATGCACTGTAAGCGGTGGGTGCATCTAAGGTTCCTACTGATGCTGCTGCCAACTCCAAGAAAGGCTGTCTTGGACGGCTCGTTATGGAGCAGAAAGAGTGTGTGCAAATTGCGCGGCCGGATCAAGGGCAAGGTACCTGACTCAGTGCAACATCCAAGCTGTCTGCACAATATGTGCTCTTTGCATTCCAGTAAAACCTGCCAAGATATTTGTCGGAAAGCATTGAGCTGTTCTCTTGGATGAGCATTCGAATGTCGTCAACTTCCATTTTCTCTGTGTCCATTCCTTTTGGCACAACTGCCAAGTCGCCCTCCTCTGCACAGTAAATCCAGACTTCACCCAGGGCATCTCATAAGGCTCCAAGAAGTTGCTGATATGCCATTCTTACCAGAACGTGTGCTTCTGCGTGATTCGTAAAAGGAGATCAGCTCGTGACAAAGCGTTGGAACATACCAGCACTGCCGCCAAGATGGGCAGTTTTCAGATGGGTAGGGAACTTGATGATTTTCATCGATGATTTTCATCGGCAGGCTTTCAGGATCTCCCAAGGCCGCCATAACGTCTTGATCCAGCAAGGGTCTCACGCCTTTCGTCTGCTGTATCCTGGCTTTCCACTCCATGTCCTGTCAACCCCGTTGCACTTCGTTTGGACAGTCACGATAAAGTTGCAGCAGATACGGGATCATCCAGGGTTTGTTAGGTGTGCATGTCGTTCGTTCAGGAAGCAGCAAACCCAAAGTGACTTCTGCCAAATGCGCCTGTCAAAACCTTTTCACGCGACACTAAGATGAAACAGCACCTGTCACAAAAGCTAAGCTCTGCTGCCTCTTACTGAGACACGTTGGGAGCTGGCTCGGTCAGCCCCTGGTTGGCGTGCAAATATCTTGGCTTGTTAATATTCCGCAATCGGGGTGCACAGCCGTTCAGTTCGTGCAGAAAGTACCTTTGGGTTGATTTGATACCAGCTCTGCTTCCCCTTCAAGGTTTGGATCCCAGATATAGTCAGCTGAGTGAATGGCGCCATCAACGGCACTCCTCAGGAAGGACCCCTCTGCTGGGCCCCCTACATTCAATCAATTGGAGACCCCTGGATCTGACCCACCAGGGGTTACTAAAACCTAACCCCTATAGTTTTAGTACCCTCTGGACCCACGGCAGGATGTTGACCCGGAGTCTATCATCAGTGATTCATCACCTGTTGGTGTTAACATCGTGTTGCTTTCGAGCCGCCAGGAATGACCTTAGTGCCGTTGCGCGCAGATGGCAAGTCATCGTGCAATTTATCATAAATCAAATTTGTTGTAAAGTTCCCAGCGCTCATGATAGACGTTTCAGGAGGCAGGATTCACCTTGGCAGCCATTTCACTTGGCAGCTGCCAGCCAGTGGGCGTAGGCTTGCCAAACTCTATCTTTGCGGGACATTGTGCATGCAACTCAATGATGCAGATGAGCATGAGCGTTTGCAGATGTTTGCTTGCGCTCAGCAGCTGTCTAGAGACTCTCGAGCACGCCCCTTACTCCAAGTCTTTGCTTTGGGCATCTGATATTGTTTACCTCTTACAACTCAGCAATATCCGTTAGGATACACGGACAGCTCTTGCTGGCCCGCTGCCATCAGCACTTCAAAGTCATATAATTCAATCCCTGATTCCTAAAGGACCCCTTTCCTTGCACCTCTATGCAATCATAACAATTTCTGAAACCTGCATGGGGGTTGCTCAGAGCCAAATGTACAGAAGACATCCACAGCAATAGCCATGCTGAAGCTAACAGTTGCTTTTGATCACTCAGCATCTGAAAGCACTATCAGGTTTTTCATTACGTGCTTTTCCTGCCTGCGGCAAGGTGCTCATGCAGACAAATCTGCAGCTGAAGGCTGCCACATATCCCAATCAACCGGGGGCATAGTGCTCAGTATTTTATACCGCCCCCTGCCAGCCGGGGCTATCAGATATCATTTCAAGGATTTTTAGGGCTGGCTTGCTTTTTCTTGAACATCCTTGGCCTATTTGCAAGCAGCTCCCTTGCCGACTTGCAATCCATCAGCGCAGTCTCATCTTGGCGCAGAATTTGCCATGAAGAGGCTGCACGCAAACACGCCCAAAGCCACTTCAACAAACAGAAGCTCGAGGGTGGCCCTTCATTTCAAAACATAACCAAGAGACTTTAAACGTGCAGCTTCAAGTCCTAGGAGCTTTATTCCGCTCCGGTCTTTTGTCACAGTACAGGCATATGTCCTGGAGGTTCAGGGACAACCTTGGGCTGTAAGGCAACAACAGACCCTACATGGACTAACAACAATCCCTGTCAAAGATATGATCATGAGAACTGACCCTTCTGACAAGGTGCTTCCAGGCTCACTCTCTACGTCACTTGAGGATTTGGCAGGGCTGCTCTCCTCAAGCATTTTCAGGTGCACACAAGCAAGTACGCATGTCAGAAACTGCCCGATCTTTCTGCACTTCGAGACCGGACTGCTGCACAAGAGCTTGTCTGTTTCTGCGGAAGTTGAAGGCAACTGCGCATAGGGCAAGGGTTATTGCTATCCTCCGAGCGCTCACATGTACACAAGCAGAGGAACATCTTATAACCTACTCAAATGTGGTAAGCCTTCCCGTTAAGACCCATCTGCAAGGGCAACACAAGCGTTGAGATCAGGCAGCAACTTGCTTTCGAGCAGAGGGTGCAACTGTGATACCTTAACACACCCCATTGCTCCGTGGCTGACTGTCTGTAGAAGCAGCAGGGACGTCCGCCGTGCAGATGCTAGCATCTGCGTTCCCATTTTGAAACTGTGCCTCAAGCATGCCAAGCCTGGAGGCTAGAGCTGCAGCGATTAGATGCTGCCGAGCCTGCTTCCAGTCAGCTGCCGGACACACAGAGCAGCGATTTTCAAAGTAATTATTTGCGTGGTGGTAGGAAAAGGCTCAGATGTTGCTGCCAACTCGCTTTGTTAGAAGCACAGGCTTCTTGCACTCGACGTCATTATTTCATGTGCACTTCCGGAAAAAGCACCTATACTCTAGGGCTGTTCAAACTCTTTGCACCTTCTTTGAGGTGTTCTTCACCGTAGGACTTGTCCTCGCGCAGACGGGCAGGGAACTTGACGATGTCCACGTGCAGGGTATCAGGGTCCCCTAAGAGTTGCATACCGGCCCTGAGCTCCAGGCGTCTCAGGCCCTTCGTTCGTAAGCTGACGCTCCAGCTCTTTCTTGGTGCACCTACGATGAAAAGAAACCAATGGTGGTCCCGTGCTAAAGATGGCCCCATGCTGTAAGTTGTCAATCAGCCGGACATTACAGGTGTGCAACACTCAGGACCCCACCATTAGCTTTCAGAGAAGATCTCAAAGGAGAAGAAACATGCAGGACCCTGCGCATGTGTCTGTATAATGCACCACCGAATCTTTAAAATTCATTGGATGCATTTTTCTCCGGCAAACTTACCTGTTGATGTCAACATCACAACCGCTCCTGCCTTCTGCCGCAAGAAGTTGCGGTTTTGTCGGCACAAACTGACCCTTGATCTGGATAGTCGGTCTCGTTGCAAACTGTATGTTTCCTGTCGACTGATGCTTTGCGACTTTAATCGCTTTCGAACATGTTGTAGCTGCTGTGGCAAAATTTTGCAGGTGTTGCGCTTCGCCGGCCGGCGTTCCTTCCCAATGACTCAGCACAGTGTCATGTGGGGCTTACGAGACGGATCCATCACTGATCTCTGGACGCCTTTGACACAATTTCCCACAAAGGACACTGTGCAAGAGCTGTAGAACGTCCAGGGAGGCTTTAGAAGGGACTACGCAAAGATCCAGCCCACGATCGAAGGTGCAGGCCCTCTCCCGCATCTCGTAACCTTCACGACACCCTTTTTATGCGGCTCTGACTGGCTGCGCATAAGGATTGCCCCCTTTAGACTAGCAGCACGATTATCACTCTTCCCTAGCATCCCTTTTGTGCGTTATATCGTGCAATCTGCCTTTGTATCTAGTGATCGTCATCACAGCCGTGCCGTGGACATCTGCACCAAGTGTCACACACTTGCGTCCAGCTTGCATCCAATCACGTTTGATGCTGTATTTTCCTCACTGACGTACAAACTTCTGCGCGCTTTGTCACTTGCGCGGGTGAACTCGCAAGTAGAGCTCTGCCTTGCCATCGAAGAATGGTGCAGAGCAGGAGACCAGTCCTGCTTGTCTTTCGACTGTGCATCACAGACTCGTTACTCTTCTTGCAGGCAGTGATGGCGACGAGAGTCAGCAACGTTGCTCTGGTCACACTGGCGCTGCTGGCAGCATGCCTCATCCAGGCAGATGCCCAAGCATACCGCTATTATTACAACAATGCTGACCTCGTCTTGTCAGGCCGCTGCACCTGCAAGGACACTGCTGGCAACGGCATCACATGTGCGCGCTCTGCTCCACACCAAGATCTCTGGCTTAATAGACACTCTGTAGCTGCTTTATGGCTGATTGGTGCAAGCCCTTGGCTATGCGTTCTATCTCATCTTACAGACAATCCGCAGTCAGATGAGGCTGTGTGCTCAGAAAAGAACTTGCGCTGGCCAGTCCAATACCTCGAAGCCTAGCCACACCGCTTGTTTATTGGGCGCTCACGGGAGCTGACTTGGCGGGTTTCTTAATCAAGCATCTTGCCAACCCTTGGCCTCAGCTCATAGCCCCTCTAAAGTGGCAATAATTGTGTTTGTCCTATGCGCAGTCAACATCTGCACGCCCACGCGCGGCACGAGTGGCTATAACCAGTGCACCGGCTGCGGCATGGGCAACATTCTGCCCAAGTGCCAGGCGACCGCCCGCGCGCGTGGCCTCACAGGTATGTAGCAGACAAGAGTCTGTAGCCTTTCTAAGAATTTGACTCTTCTGCACCAAGTGGGCAGCACTTGCCTAGCTTGCCACCATTCAAAGAATGTAGACGGGCCCGTTGTGTGTTGGTAAAGAGCGCATGCTGGTGGCGGATGTAGGAGAGGCTTGCAGGTATTTTGCCAGGTCAATGATACACAGACTCTCCAGCTCCACAGCATCCAGGGTGTCTGCATACTACACGGTCTGTGCTTGTCACCAGGGATAGGCCATGCTGCCTGTGAGCCACTCGCTCATCATGTGAGCAGTCTCGGCCGCAAACATCAAATCTACTTTGAGCATGAAATGGTGATGTTTTTGTTCTGCACGCAGACTCATGCACAGACTATACCTCCTTCGGCTGCTCAGTGGACTGCGATGACGGCGGCTGCCGCCCCAACGCCTGCTACCGCGGCAGCTGCTAGGCAGCTGCACCCGCCCCGACTCTTGCAGCTTCCGCGCAGCTGCACCTGCTCGAACTACGGCAGCTGCCAGGCAGCTGCCACCGCCACCCGATCGCCAGCGCCGCACACCACCTTTGTCACTTGTGAAATAACAGCCGCACCCATCACTTCTTGGAGCCTGCAGACGGCCTCAAAATGGCAGACAGAACATGAACCAGCCGTCCCTGGCAGCAGGGAGACTGTCAGCTGGGGATCGACTCTGCAAGTCTGCAGGGCGGGAAAAGTCTGAAGTTGAGATGGCAATAAGGGAGAGTGCAGCCTTTGCTGCAAGGGGGTCCAGATCACATAAATTCATTCCTCAACTCACGCGGGGCGTTTTTGAATTTGAAGACTTGCTGCACCCATTTCAGAGTCCGTGACCATTCTTGGGCGGCTGCTGTTATCGGCCTTTCTAGAGCTTCGGGTGCTCTGATTCAGCACTGTCTGTGCGTGTGCAGACATTACTTTTGAAGTCACATTCCTTCCATTCCGACAAGTCCACGAAGTGTCGCCCTTTCGCCTTTTTCTGGCCCGTGGTGCAGCATAGCTATCTGCGCCAGATCATGTCCTGAGTCCTTCTGAATTGCCAAGTATGGCTGTCGTACACAAGCTGTCAAAGGACCATGTAGGGTCAACGTCTCATTATTCATGAAGTTACCGGCTATTGTACTTTGCAACACGGGTGCAGGAAGTTGGGTCTGTCGGACTATTTACTCAAGTGTGTTTCACTTTTATAATTATGTCAGTTTAGAAGTAGATTGTCGCCGGTGAGACCACTGCGCTGATTTTTTTAAGCTGCCATTCCCAAGTGCATTGGTGACCCAATGCCTTGGTACTTGCAGAGACCAACTTCTCTGTCCTAGGGAATACATAACGCGCTGCAGACTTGCTTGGGTATTACAAGCTGGTCTGCTTGTCCTAGATTGCTGTCGGTTTCACAACAGGCAGCTCAGCAGTCTTCAATCAGATCAAGGCCTCCATTCGAAGGCTTTTCAACGTCACTGCTGCCGTGCTTTGCTACAGCTGAGAGGAGTTGATTGGTGATTGGAATCATCAAAGGGTGCAATGCCAAATTTTTGCAGCGCTGCTTGCCAAAATTTGGGGATTGCTAGATTATATTTTAAGGCTTTGTTGTGGGCATCTCTTTAGAATCTGTACCGAGAAGACCTGATCAGGCCTCCGCCTCCAGGGAATGCATCACTGCGGCAAGGGTTGTCGACGCATATACGTGTAAAGAGCTCTCTCAGACTTAATAACACACGCCAACAAGTTTACACAGCGAGCAGATTTTGCACACATGCCTCAGCCATGCCAAATGCACTCATGCCAGCATCTTTGATCATTCAAATCACCTAGCATCATGAGTCGACAAGAGAATATCATGGCTTTGCTCCTAAATGCATACGCCACCACTGTAAATAATCACATGTGCAAGCCTGCATGCAGCTACCTATCACACTGCTTCCTAGCACAGCACACTCGTCAACACAACATCTCTCGCATTGCTTCCTGGCCTGCATACTTGCCAACATAGGCAGGGATGTTGCTTCTCAAAAAGCTTTGCACAAAAACAACGACCATGTATCTGCACTTTCCCTTAATTCACAGCAAAGTACTTTTCGGGCAACCTGCATGATGCTCTTGCAAGCAGCAAATCTTGCACTCCGAAGCAGTGTATCACTCACACATGCTCTGCATTGGGCCATCATAGCACTTCGAAATCTGCTCCGGGCGGCATGCAATCCAGCATGCATGATGTCCTAGCACCTCAAATCGAGCTGCCACTTGCACAAACAACCATGGAACCTTGTACCAGTGGGTAAGCAGAATGCACTCTCACAAACACAGTTCGCCTCACAAACCGCCCTCCCATTTCTTTGCATCACTTCAGCCACATCTCAGGAAGCTTCCAGGCAGCTTCCCTCATGCAGCTTCACATGAATCACATTGTGATCCACAATTTCAAATAAGGTTCCCCCCATCTTTCAGGGGGCACTGGTGGGCGGCTGCCGGGGGGTCCCCTCCTGGGATCCCCCCCTGTCCTTGCCGCTGAACAGCTTCTGGAATTTCTTGAAGGGAGATCCTTTTTTGTCTGCGGTCTCCCTCTTGGGCGGTGTGATCAGCACCTTGCCCACTCCAGTCCCTGCTGCTGCAAACAAACTCCACATGTCAAATATATGCGACGCCAAAGATGCTCGATATCAGGTGAAGGATTCCAGAGATGCAACTTTGCAGCCGCTGTGCACTTCATGTGATACCACTTGTCAACATATGACGCAGAACGCCCTCAACCCCTTATATCATGAGCTGACAAACGGGAGCCACACGCAATGTACAATGGCTCTCGCGCTCTTGCATCTATGGCTTGAAGCTTCTTTGGCTACCACAGAATCTATTGCACGAAACCGGGGTTTGAAAGTGTACACGGGCTTCACGTCTCAGGAAGAATTGAATTCTGCATTGGCATAAGGCCCGGATGAGGATCCAGGCAAGTCTTTGCATTCAGCAGCCGCTGAGCATTAGTAAGGCTAGTCAGCCGCCAGCACATGCCGAGCATAGCAGCTGTTGAATTATTGCTGCCCACCCATCAAGGTTTACAACAGCCCTTGCAGACAGTCTAACGGCTGCAAGGGCTTCAGTAACCCTTGATGGGTGGGCAGGGGTCCTGGAAAACATATCACCATGGCCCCAAGAAATTGAAATGCATCTCCTTCAGAGCCGCGTATGACGGGGGTCCTGGAATATCTCAGGCCAGCCCCTAAGTAGGGCAGGAGCGGGCAGGGGTATTGCCCCCGCCTGCCGCCGTAATAGTAGCTGAAACATCGGGGCATCCCTGAGCTTCTTCTTCAACAGGTCGAAACAGGTTTTTTCCTTGAATCTGGCCTTTTAGTGTTTCATATTGCCTGGCAAGTCAGGGGAGCCCCTGAGTCACAGCCACGCGGTTTTGAGGCGTTGCCCTGATGCCATTTGGCCATATCTGACTTTGTCCCGGGGTTGCCCTGGAACCTTGCCCCTAGCTCTGGTGCAGGTTGGCCAATCCTTTGGTGGGCCCTGGGGGGCTGTTGAACCCTGCTTCAGGAGACACACAGATGCAGCTGCAGCTATCAAACGCCAGCAAATGGCATGGCTGATGGCTCCGGAAGTGCAAGGCACAATCAGTGGGACCTTGTTCTGAAATCTGCACCCACCTGAGTGTGCCGTGGATGAGGTCGGCAGATCGAGAGCCTCGGTGGTGCGAGCGCTGTGCTGAGAAGTCTCAGACTCGGGCGCTGTGGTGCTGAATGGGCTCGGCAGAGCGCTCGGGCCGCTGCTTGGCGTGTCCGGCTGTGCAGGGCCCTGCAAGCAGCCACAACGCTCTTTGAGCTCCATTTTTTGTGGGAAACAGGAATGCAGAATGCCCTTGCTGAGTGATGCACGAGGTACTTCTGCTGACCCAGTGAAGTGCGGAATTGAAAATCCGAAATCGAAGACCAGAACCGGTAGAAAATGTGTGAATATCTGCACAGGGACATGAGAGACACATGAGACACAATATTTCAGCCAGACTGCTCGGAGAAATTGTCCGAGCAGTCTGGCTGAAGCATCGGGGTGGCATCATGTGAACTCCTAATAGTCATCACAGGAAGGTAGCTCTAGGAAAGAGAATGATGTGAACTCACACCTTGTCCTTGGCTTCAGTGCTCTCAGGGGTGGCGGCTGGGGTGCTTGTCAGTGAAGCGCGGGTGGAGGACAGCTCAGGCAGTGACACACTGCGGCGGCGCTCCGGCTCCTGTAGAGACAGCCAAAAATGACTGGTATTCTGTATTGAGCAGGCAAGTCTGCCACTCTCGGTGTATCCAAGTAGCGAGTGAGTGTTAAAACCAACACCAACTCGCTGCTTGGATACGCCGAGGAAGACAAACGCAGACGGTTTCACGCGCCATAGTGCACCTCTCGACAGGGAAAGTGTGCAGAATTTATGCATCTAGCACTTCGATCCTCAGCAAACTCTAATAAAGTCTGTCTGCTGCGAGGACAGCAGTTGCTTGGACACACCAATAGTCACAAGGGCAGCGATTGCATGCACCGTGGCGCATCTTCAGCGCCCCCTTTCTCAATAGACTGAGTTTGTTAAGTCTGTCGAGAGAAGTGAGTGCTGGAGATACACCACGGCAAATTTGTGCCCCAGAGACAGATAGATGCTGAGAAAAATGTCAAAATCTGGACGAAATGCTGCAACAGCCAAGATGGGCGCATCCACCCATGAGAGCAGGCTGTAGCTGTTTTTGGGCAGCTCAAAACCGGTCGCATCTGTGCTTTTAGCTACCCAACGGCTGCTGCCCGCCAAAGTCCCTCAAATCCAATTCATAGACTCGATAGGAGATTAGTGATCAGGGTGTGTGGGCCAGGGTGAATTACCTGGGTGGTCACCGCGGTTGCAGCAGACTTGTCGCTTGCCGGCGAGATGGGGCCACGCACGGCCGGAGCCGCCAGCCCGGGGCCAGACGCTGCCGCCTTGCCCTGCATCAGAAAAAAGTCACGACTGTTTTAGAAACTTCCGAATACTGGTGTCACCATCTGCAGCGCAGAGCAGGTTGGCAGGGGCACAGACACAGATGATAGCAAAATGGCCGCGGTAAATTTGCACAATACATTCTATAGGTGCTGTGTGTCATCATTTGCAGCCAGGTTGCCATCATCAAATGTCTTCAGCAGATTAAAGTATGCATGCCGAATGAAGAGACCGTCACTGCCGCAGGAAAAAATTCAGACAATTGCAGGACCCAATAATAAGAAATGCACCGTTCCCTCACTAAAAAGGAACCAAAATTCGAATTTGGAACTAAACTTGTGCAAAGATGACTCACCAGGCCGGGGTCTCTTGGCAAGGGAACTCCACCGGACGTGACAGGCCGCTGCTGCGAATCCAGATTCACAAAGCGCTGCCGAGCCTCTGTCTTGCTGTAGGAGCCGCCCTCGCCGCCCGCCTGGCGCACATTACTCATCTTAGTCAGTTGTGTCGACTCATCAACTGGATGCAATGCATGGGGCTCTCTTGAGATGGCCTGCACAGCTGCATGTGCATCAAAATGAGAAGCAGGGCTTTCAGCTCAGATGGTCTTGGAAATGCTTCATCTTGCATGACCGTGTGACCTGGAAGCCGCTAGCACTCGTGTTGAGCACTTGCTCTCCATCCGACAAACCAGCTGGTTCCTCGTGCGATCGACGTTCCAATGCAAACACAAGCACCGCAGTCAGCTGATGTCCACACACAAGTCCCTATTTCTCTCTTCAGCCCAAGCACGAGTACAGAGTAGATGAAACCGAGATGGGACAAGTTCCTATTTCTTTCTTCAGCTCAAGCACGAGTACAGAGTAGATGAAGCAGAGATGGGACCTGCACCGGCGGTGGCTGCTGCTGCTGCTGCTGCTGGTGTGCCAAGGCGGCGAGTCGGGAGAGGCCGCGCGATTTGGTGTCTTCGATGGAGGTGAGCCCCTCTGCGGCCAGAGCCACCACCTTCTCGTGCGTCTCATCCACCCTGCTCTTGCTTCTCTCCCCCATCTCTGCCAGCCGCTCGCGCGACCGCATCTCCTCATCGGCCATGCCCTGCGAGCATGCAAATGACTAATGCATGCATGCAACACATAGTATCCCCTTGTGCAAAATCTAGTAGCCAAGTCTTTGTCAAGCCTTGTCGGGGATTCAAGCACACATGTACCATTGCTTGGTTGATTAGATCCCTCAGGCCACAGGCAGGTTGACACGTGCCGGCAGGTGCCAGCCGGCACTCCTCGAATTTTTGCCACTGCTCCCTGCTGCGGAGGTGGCAGACAGCTGCGGTCTCTGCAACCTTACACATGCGACGTGTGACATCATGAGGGCAAAGTTGTGTTTTCTGCGTCTACCATAGCACTGCCCACCTGAGTGAATCCCTCGGGCCACTGGACGGCGCCGGAGGCCGCACCGCGCTGCGGCGGCTGCTGCGGCGATGGACCGGTGAAGTGCTTGCTGCTGCCTTACTGACATGCATCTGACATTCCCATGGTAACGGGAAGTTCATCAAGAGTGCTGCCCACCTGGGTGAATCCCTCGGGCCACTGGACGCCCCCGCTGGCCGCGCCGCGCGGAAGCTGCGGCGGAAGCTGCGGCGGCGGCTGCTGCGGCGGCTGCTCGGCTTGGCGGTCGCGCATCTCTGTCAGCTCCTGGGAGCGCATCAGCCCGCGCTCCTCCGGGGACAGGTCCTCATCGTGGATGGTCGGCCTGCATTAGCACATATTATATTTTTACCAAACACTGACTCATCCCATGTGACGTTATGACGGCCAGTGTCAGTTTGTGTGGGGCAGAGTTACCACGATGGCTGCTCAATAAACCCAAGAGCAAAGTTTCTGGTTCAAGCCGAATAAAAGCAACTGTGTAGCTTATTAGCAAATGGCAAGAAGAGGTGCCAGAAAGAGTTGAATTCACCTTCGCCCATCATATCTCATGCAAGCCATCTGACTTGAAACGAGATGCACAGGGTTACTTCCACCATTTCTGGCAATTGTGCTGTGAATACCCGAGCAAAGGATACGCACTCTGAACCACCAATGACACGTTTGAAGTGAAAAGGGGCGCGCACTTGGAGGTCTGCCGCGGCTCTGGCGCTTGCTCGGGGATGCTGCTTGGGCCGGGCGCGTCGGACGTGGGGCCCTCGATCTGCTCGCTGGCGTCAAAAAATGCCACGTCGCTGCTGAAGCTCTCAAAGACCCCTCCACCCGTGAAGCTGGACACTGCGCGCCACGCAAACACCGATGTGTCGTGTTTGTCTTCCCTTGTCACAGGATCAGCATACCCAGAATGCAGAGCAACAACAAACTCACACCTCAAAACAGAAGCCAGAGGCCATAGGGCAGTCATGCATTACGCCTGCAAGAACTCCCACGGGGTCCAAAACATTGTGCCCCCTAGCCTTTTGCAGCAATGCATTGCCTCAAGCCTGTTGAACTTCTGGAAAAGGTACCGTTGCTCTTATATGGCACCTGAGGTACTCGGTGATGCACATGAAAATTTTGGCATGACAGCCTTTGGCGTGCCACATTCCTCCTTGCCGAAACCCGGCTGATGTTGACAGACCAGTTCAGCAAGGGGAAATATGACACGTCAAATCCAGCACACCTCTCCATCCGCAGTACATTTCTCCTCTTCAGAACTCTCTGCAAATCCATCAAGCATGCAAGCAGGCACAGTGGCACAAGTTCTGGGGCGCGCCTGGGCTGCGGTAGTGCTGGTAATCGGCCTCGGAGGTCGCCGCGGAGCCGCCAGCGCCAGTCGCCTCAAAGTCCCGGCCCGAGTCCAGGATACCCCTCTCAACTCCTGCCACAGACAGATGCCCACAATCACTCAATGACCCCTTCAGCAAAGCTTTCATACAGAAGATCACGGACACCATGTGTGAAACAGAGGGTGCTTACAAGCTTGACACACTAGGGTGTTAAGTTTGTTTCATGCAGACAAGAGGTATAATTATGCTCAGCTGGATAAACCAAAAGTAGGAACCACTTGCAAAGTACGTGCCACAAACGTAAGCCTATCTTCCTAATGACGAAAAAACCCCTACGTCCCCTTGCGATTTTTGTACTGACAGGCAGTGAAAGTGCCCTGGAAGCTTTTCTAATAAGCTTTAAGCCCAGGACTGCAACCTTCACATTCACCCCAAAAGACCATGGACCTGTCTTGAAGTCTGCTGTTTTCTTTGCACTGACCGACTTTTGAGGCCCCGCAACGCACATTGCTGGTACAACGCACACTTGAAGGCGTCATAATGCCAAGCGCAAAGAGAAGAAAACAGCAGACAGCCGGGCATGCTTGAAATATTATAGCAACAGCCTGGCATGAAGACTCACTTGTGTAGCGCTCGGGTCCGCTGGTGACCATAGGCTCAATGCTGGGCCAGTCAGTCTCCCGCTGCTCCTGCCGCGAGGCAGCCGCCTCTGAAAACATGGGCCACTGATCGGGAACCTCTCCTTGGCGCTGTGGCTTGAAATCTGCATCTGGCTGGGCTTGGGGGCCTGTCTCGGCTGGCGTTCCCTGCTGCTGCTCCTGCTGCCTCTTCTCCTCTCCTGCAAATAATTTTCACAGGCAAGTGGCCCTTGATGATTGTTGGGATGCCATAACCCGTAATGTTAAGAATTGGGCTTGGGCCTTCATGCGGGGCTTGCGCCGAATTGGGTATGAGTTTGTTATTCGGTTTGACACCCTTGTTCCTGTGGAAGTTGATGCTGTGATGCAGCTGCTAGATGCGCAAGCACTGCAGGTTTGGGATGACATTGACATTTGCCCTAGGACCTGCCCGTCCAGCAATGCCACCTTGTGTACATATCACAGATGGTTTGCTAGGCCAGCTTGTGTGCGCCACCCTTGCCAGCTCTTACAGCAGCCTTTGAGTGCCCGTTGCTTGCGTATACTGTTGAAGTTCAGGATGGGTTGTCATAGTCTGCCCAATGTCTCGGGCCGCTGGGCAAGGATTCCCCGGCCCCAGCGTTTGTGCATGCGTTGTGCCCAGCAGGTTATTGGGGATGAGCGCCACCTTGTGTTTGAGTGCCCTGCCTTGCAATCTGTTCGGGACAGATATCCTGGGCTGTTTGGTGCAGCCATTGTGACGATGCAGCAATTCATGTGGCAGTTGGACATTGTTGGTGTTGCACATTTTGTGATGGATTGTTTTGATTATTTGGATGCTGCCAGTTCATCCAATCAGCCCTAGGCGGCTGGAGTGATGTAATCTTCCTTCCTTCTCCTGCCTCTTGGGCAGGCTGGTCTTCTCCGCGGTCTCTTCCTGCAGGTGACGAGCAACTGTTGACATTCTCTTGTTTTGCGTACAGTATTTTCTGAGCGTTTTCTGCGAGAGCTCTAACATCGAGATGTCCTGCAAGCATTGAGGGTGCACCCACGCAATGGAGCAAGCAGGGTCGTGTATCTGTTGTTGGTGCAGATCTGCTGGAGGATGCCATTTCAGTCACAACGGGCAACGACCTCTATCGCAAAGGAAGACCAGTCTGAAGTCAATCAAACAGTTTTCGAGCTTTATTTGCTGGAAGAAAGATCAGCGGTATCCGACATCTGGCTGGTCTCGCCTTTTCTGTTCATTGGTTTCTGCTCTGCATTCTCATCGGTCAAATACCGTCACGGCTGCTTTGTAGTCTCTGTAACCACGTCCTCAGGTAAAGCCCATGAGAGCACAGCAGCAGCTCCGAGTACCTCCTTGTCAAATTTGAAACAATCACGAACAAGCAACAAGCGCAGGGACAAAGACCAGTCCGCAGAGGCATGCCTTGTTTGGTGGTGGGTACAGGCGAACAGGCTCGCCGTGCAACAGGTGCCCCACGGCGTTTTCAGATTAGGAACTTAAATTCTGACTAGGGCTGAATGGTAACACAGGCCAGTGTGCTGACGCCCGTGGCCGGCTCTGGGGGACTGAGCATGACGGCACCTAAAGGAATGTCCCTTCATTGAGAACATCCTGACACTGCAAGAAGCAACACCAGTTCAGAGAGAACGTGCCTTGCGGGGAGGTGGGTGCAGGCGAATAGGCTCGCCATGCATCAGGTGCTCCTCAGCCTCATGTGCAGCAGGGATGACATCGCCAGCGCCAATTGCTTGGGGGGTGGACACCACGAGTGCCTGTGGGGGACAAGGCAAGCTTTGTTCAGGGCCCACGCTGGTGCTTCCGGGCACTACCACTGCCTGCAGGATGCAATTTCTCATCTCTTGGCTCAAGAATGCGGCTCTTAAAAGCCTGGGATATCAATGCCGAGTGGATGTCGATCCCAGGAGTGATAGCTCCTCAGACCAAGCGCAAATCCCTGGGCACTTGGTCCCAAACTTGAGGCACAATCCTGCCTTCAGCTGAGCCATCTTGAAAGACCGAGGCAGGAGGAGCTAAACGGCAGCCAAGGCGGCAGCAATTGGGTTAGTCTGACAGAGGCCTTCAAGGCTCTGCAGCGCCTCCAAAGAGCCTTGAAGAACTGCAATCGATAGCCATGATGCTGTGCACATGTCTGGTCGGAAACGCAAGGCGGCACAAGCAGGGGTGAACGGGTATTCAAGACTATTCCTGGTAGCAGAGAGGGCTGCCCCAGCGTACTTCATCCACTGGCTGGCGGTCATCAATTTTGCCTGAAGCTTCCTTGGCCGCCGCATGCTTGGCCTCGCCTGTCTCCGCTGGCGTACCTCCTGCATGCACATCATTTGGCTGTCACTCATCATGCTTCATCAGGCCCCGGCGGGCGGGGGGCGGTATAAATACTGAGCACCGTGCACTCGGTTGAATGGGTTTTGCTTGGATCTGGCGAGTCCAACAAGGGGTAGGATTGTGGCAGCCTTTATCTTAAGCTTGTCTGCAGGACACACCTTGCCGCTTTGCAGAAAAAGCATGTAATAATAATAATAACCAACCACGCTTCACCATCACTGTATGACAGTATTCACAGATATTCTCAGGATGCCATCCCATGCTACATGTGCTCCTAAATGGGACACATTGCCCGGCTAACGGATCACGCTTTAGTGCAGCAGATAAAGAGGACTGTGATCAGCTGATATGGAGATACGCCCTATGTTCATTTTGGACATTCTTATTTTATAAATTGCAAACCCATAATTTAGGGTTTATGGTCTAGGGGTTCTGCCACACGTTTTAAAACGCATCATTCGCTGCAACATCTTACACGAGCCTCGCAGAAAAAGTCCCTTTCACACACAAGTTGTCAATGAAAGGGAGTATGTGTGCGAGGCATGATGAGCACGACGCCGCAGTGCTCCTCTCAGAAAAATTCCTAGCCCTCACATTTCCTTCTCGCGTCAAATTTTGACTTCGTCCGCTGTTCGCCTGTAGCTAAGAGGTCACAATTATTCTTTCGAGAGCCACCAGATAACAAGTTAATTACCTGTTGCTGCAGCGCGCCTCAGCGCCTCTTCTTCGGTAGCCTTCTGGTGCTTGGTCACAGGCTCCTCCCGCACTGGAGGCACCTCATACTCATCCGCTTGCTGCTCCTCCTCTTCTTCTTTTGTGCGCGCACCTGCATACAGAGCAGCATACTTTTTGTCGCTGGATGTACATTTCTATTACTTCCACTGCATTGCTGAGGAAAAGATTGTCTTTCCACGCCCACATTTCACAGTGCAGCAATCTTTGTTCATTTATGCATGCGACTGTATTGATGAAGAAACCATCACCTATCCACACCCAAAAGGTTCCGTGTCTTTTGCTCAGTGGCTCTTGCTGGACTGCTAAACATTAACGGAGAGGACTGCATTGCTGGAGAAATCATCGCCTTATCACACCCAGATTGCCCAGGTCCCTCCCTTCAAATGTATGGCTTTTGTGGATCTTGCCAAAGTCAACAACAGCTTGCAAGGCTCCCTTTGCCATTCAAAGCGGAGTGATGATTGTCCAAATAAGTGCAGAAGTGACATTATGCCATACCTTCAGCTGCTTTCTCTGGAGCTGCCTGAGACTTCTCCTCGGCAGCAGGCTTTTCTGAGGGCTGCACTGGGGGCTGAGGTGGCGGCTTGGGGGAAGCAGGGACTGTCTCTTGTGCAGCAATGGCAGGCGGGGGCTCTGTTGGCTTGAAGGAGGCTTGCTCCTCTTGGGGGGCAGCAGGTGGCTTGCCTGGGTCGACCTGCTGTACAATTATTGTCATTGTGATTATTGTTATTATCATATTTCAGTCCTCAGGACCAGGTACATCAAGCACCACCTGTGTTATTGCTTTATTCTTCTCGGTTCTGCATAATAGCACCGATTACGCGCATCATCAATTGATTGTAGGCGCGTGCAAAGTAATAGCGTCTGGCAGGAAGGATGATATGTTGAGGCGGCTGGATATTTATGTTGGCAACGGTCCTCTTAGCCCTGGCTGCTAGCTGAGCTCGTTAAAGGACCGTTGGCAACATATATATCTAGCCGCCTCAACATATAATCCTCGGTGGCACCAGCATAGTCGCTGCCGCTGTTGCGCTTTGACAGGGCTAGCGGGGAGGCTGATCACCCCAGAGAAAGCTCATGCAGAAAAGTTCCCTGTGATCTCGTGTGCTTACACTATCCAGATCAAGGGCACCCTCAGAATCAAGCAATTCAATGCCTCATCAATGATTAGTACTCATTGATGCTTTGCCTTGCAGTGTGCAACAAGAAGATATCTGTATACCTGGACATGATTGGCCTCTTCGCGTGATGGGTGAGCGGGGCTGGCTGGCTCGGACTGCAGCCCATCCTTGGCAGCAAAGTACTCCTCAGCTTCCGCAGCTCCAACAGGAGGCGCTCCTGTGATGTTAAAGACATGGCTTTACTACCACTCTTTTGGCACCTTCAGCTGACAAGCAGATAAGGTACAACATCAGTGCAGAACTTCTGAGAAATTCACAGCCTATGCAGGCAGACTCTGTATATGCTTGCAGAAAGGCAATGATCGCCTGCATCCCTCATGAAATTGACAGAGGTTCCACACACATGTTCTTGATGTGAGTTTTGCTCTGCAGGCCACACGTTCTGCTCCGTAAGAGATGTTTGCTCTACGCAGCTCTATTCAGAGACAGCGCTGGTGAGATCCTAGAGTCAGGACTTCCCAACCTGCAGGCGGGGCTTCAGAGCCGGCGGCAGTGCCCGTCTTGGGCAGCTGGGCAGCTTTTTGGGCAGGCTTAATCTCCGGCAGGATCATGACGGGAGGGGTCGCCGCCGCATAGACCGCCGGCTGCGAGACGGCCGCGGCGGCGCGCTGCGCACGCTGCGCTGCTGACTCATCCTGCATTGCGTGTCTTCTTGAAGTGATCAATTTCTTCCACTCTTTAAATTACACTGTAGCAAAGTTTGTCCTCATCGAGTCTGAACCCTGAGCCTACGATCTGTCATTGTAGTCCCCGTAAAGAACTACCACCACAGAGACCAGCCTTTTTTATCTTAATTTTTGTTGGTGACCTTTAGACACAGGGTGTTTTGCATTGGTAACCCTGTGTCCTGTTCGTGGTTGCACCATTGTTTTCTCTAGGCAGCCTTCCTCTCGAAACTTTCCGATCCCTCTCATCATTCATCATGATCCCAAATGGGGGAAGGAAATTTCAAGAGCGTTTCCTGTTTTGGTGCCGCCGGAGCCTGCGCAGCCGGCGCAGCAGAGTAGCGGCGGGATCAGCTCTAGCAAAACCTTGTCAGAACCCCAGAATTGTAAACCATATATAAAGGGGAATTAGATTAAAAAGAGTGTTGCCTACTCTGGTTCCGCTGGAGACTGAGCAGCTCGCGCGGCAGAGGCGGGCGCAATCAGCTCGTGGAAACCCTCATCCCAAAACCCCCAAACCCTAAGAAGAAGGGATGTAAAACAACGAAAAGGGCATTGCCTGTTCTGGCGCTGCCAGAGTCTGCGCGGCAGATGCGGGCGCGATGAGCTCTGGCGTGGATGGTACCAGGACATACTCCTCCGAGCTGAGCAGCTCCTCTGGAACTTCTGGGACGCCAAATTCCTCTGCCGGGGCCGCAGCCGGGACCTCAAGCACTGCCGGGACCTCAAGCGCCACCTTCTCCTGCAGCGGAAACACCCAACAAAGTGCAAGAGATGTCATACTTTCTGGTCAACGTGTGTCCATCAAATTGGCCCTTCAAGAGACTATCTGAAAGCGCAGCACCTTCCTGCCTCTCCTAGAGCATTAGGTGGTTCCATCTGTGATTTTGATGCCGAATTGTTTGCGCAAATTATTATGCATGTCTCTTCAGCCTACCATGGCTAGGTGCATTCCAGCAGAATTCCTATAGATCTCTTCCAAAACTCCCTGTTCTTTAATTCCCTGCATAAGATCGGCAAGATGATGATTGACGCAGCTCATTACATCTGAGAGTAGCAAGGCTTTATTACTTATAATCCAGTACCAAGGACGTATACGTCAAGGGTTTGCTCTTGCAACATGCAAACCTGGTCAAACAGCATACCTCTTCAAACTCCACACCTTCAATATCGGCAGCGGGTGCAGGCACCGTCGGCCCGGCCGCGCGCCGCGGCGCCAGTGGCGGTCCCGGCGAGACGGCCGGCCGCGGCGTGCGTGGCATTTCCGCCCGGGCGCCCCCCGCTCCGGCAGCGGGGAGGAGTTCCTCCCTGGCGGCGGTTGCGGGCGGGGGGACCTCGGTGGCCGGGGGTACTTGGGTCGGGGGAACCAGCACGGGGGCAGGCAGCACGTTGACATCCGGCTGCGCTCGCGGCTGCGGCTTCTTTTTGCGTGAGAACATGCGCGCCAGCCGGGCCCTCGCGCTCGGCCGCTCATTAACACCTGGTGAGTGTAATGGTAATTGAGATTTTGATTCAGGGGGGGAAAAAATCAGGAAACTCGAGTCAGAAAATGTCACATCGGCCAAGTGTAGCTGGAGCTGGAGCACCAGTTACAGTGCACCAGTTACAGTGTACTGGTGCTCCAGTTTACAGCTACACTTGGCTTCTTCCAAGAAGAACATATTATTATTATTATTATACACGCTTTTCCTGCCAAAGGCAAGGTGCGTCTGCAGACAAGCTGCATGTGAAGGCTGCCAGATGCCTACCCCTTGTTGGACTCGCCAGATCCAAGCAAGACCCAATCAACCGTGGGCACGGTGCTCAGTATTTGTACCGCCCCCCGCCAGCCGGGGCCCGCCAGCCCCGCCAGCCGGGAAGAACATATAATACAGATTAAATAAGAAGAAAAAGGTGCGATACTGGCGCCACCTGGGGCTTCGGCGGGCGCAGGCAGCGCCTGGGGAGCCGGCTGAGGCGCGGAGGGGATGAAGGGCAATAGGATGGGCATGCGGCGCCGGCTGGGCGCGGCCGGTGGCGGCTCAAAGACGGCTGCCCGGTCGGGCTCCTGCCGGGCAGCCGGCCTGGGCACCCACACAACGCCAATGAACATCTCGGGGTTATTCTTTGATGGATTTTATCAATGTCAAGGTCAGCAGTGGTTCTGTACTTTAGACTATAGAATGGCATCCGTTAAATCACTGAGCTGAAAGAGCATGTGTCAGCTCCACTCCCGCAGCAGAGCGCAATAGATGCCCAAGTAGGGATCAGGGACTTCACAGGTGCACCATCACTCCAGGGAGAGATGCATGGAGAAGCAGCAACAGCAGCTGTAGTCCATCGACCAGGCAAGCAACTGCCATCCTGGACATATCCTTGCCGTTCTACAGGATGCTCCAATCAAGCACAGCACAGAGAGCGTCCACGACCACTATCTCGCATATCTGCTTGCTACCAGAAATTCCAACTCTAACAGCAAACAGATGCCTTGTTGACACTGCTGGGGTCGATCAGTGGTAGATTATCGATCAGTGGGCAGCGTACCTCTCGGGCTGGCGAGGCCTGGGCAGGAAAGGCAGCGGCGGCAGTGTGAACTTCCTCAGGTTGGCACTGGAGGAGGCCGCGCCTGAACTAGCACCTGCTCAAGCCATTCGCATCTTTTTCAGGTGTTGTACAACAGTGGCCGATTGTTCTGAAGGCAATTAGTCACCGGGAAGGCTTGCATGCAAGACCGCCAAAGCGTAGGACTTCAATGTCACTCTTCACTACGATGTGTGGCACCAGAGACCCCGGGCATCTGCGGTCTTGCATGCAATCCACACGAGCCCGAGCTTTCTCTGTCACGATTATGACATGCGTTCGGCAAGGCCAGCGATGGAGAAATTTTGATATCTTCTGTCTGATATTGCCACCCGTACAAAATGTGTACAGCTTGCAGAGGCATCCAAAGCGCCTCCATATGCAACCCTGGTAGTGAAGAAGCAAAGGAGTTTTGGAAAAATGATGAGGAGCACCTTCTGGAGAGCTTGGCTTGGGGACAAGAGGATGAGGGCTGGGCCTGGGCCCAGGGAAACGGACCTGGCTGGGGGGTCTTGGGCACATTCGGCAGGGGGGACCTCCCCGGCGGTGGCAGCTGCTGGGGGGTCCTTGGCACAAACGGCAGCGGGGGGATCATCAGCCTTGGCGCCCTTGGGGCCTCTTCCTCATACACAACATCCTCCTGTTCTGCCTCCTCTGACAGCTTCCCACCTGCCACATGCATTATTGGTACTGTAGTCATTAGTCATTCTAAAACCCGCAATAAATAATTATTTCGGTAAAAAAAGGTGGATATATAAGACCCCATCTCCCAAAATATAAACCTGTGAAAATTTTGCGACCAGGTTGGGAAAGCTCTCGACAAGCCCAATCCAATGGAGCATGACCCTGGTACATTTGATAACACGAAGACCCCTGAAAGATGCTTTGAACTTTTTCCCGCACCAACGAGGGTGCGGGTTTTAGAATGACTACTGCAGTATTATAACATGTTTTATTATGCAATTTCCAGTCCTAAGGGCCAGGCACGTCAAATAGCACATATAGTATTGCTCTCCACTCTCCTCGGTTGTTGCATTTCCTCCACCAGTCACATTCATTACCGATGGCATCCAGGTCTTCTCGATCAAATTCATCCCAACTTTTTCAATGCCACTTGCATATACAGCACATCAGTCACAACTTTCTAAAACTCATGCGGGCTAGCAATTTAGAAATAAAGGGGGGGGATTGCTCAGGTGCCTAGTTAGTCCGGTGACATTGCTTCTATCCATCCAGGAAACCTAGGGCTGGTCTGATGACTGACTCTGATCCTCACAGTGGGTATGCATCATAACGAAATATTACTGAAGTGGTGCATCGAGCAACACCGACAAAAGCTTGCACATGCTTGGCAGCAACCCAGCATTGCTCACTGTTCCTGGAAAGACATATCTCAATGCATTCCACAGACTGTTAGTGTTGAATGGAATGGGTATTTCTCTCCAAAGTGTGAGAGCAAAGGGCATGCATGCTGTGCCTTGCAAACGGAACAGGTCATGGGTTCGGCTCTTACCTTTTGGCCGCTGAGGAGCAAGGGCTGCAGCAGCTGGGTCTATTTCTGCATCCCCCTGAATTTCCACGGCTGTCACTGTTGTTGTCTCCCTCGTCAATGCAGCACCTGCATGCCCAAGTCCAGATTATCCAGAAACAATAATTTCAGAGAATGCTGAAAGATCCTGCAGTGAACACATCACAGCTTTCAATCGCTTGGCTTGGCCAACAATACTGCAAGTTTGAGCCCCTCTTTGTCTTGATCATGATGAGATTGCTGTGCAGCCTTGCATTAGTGGCACTGCTGCAAATGCACGCTTGACCCGGCGCTCGGACTGCCTTGCACTTCATTCAATCCCTCTGCCTTTGATGCACCGATTGAGGAATGACACAAGTGTTGCTTGATGCTTGCCCAGTCCATCGGCCTGGAAGGTTTAAACAGTAACAATTGGGTAGTTTTACTAGTCGCCCACCTGCCAGCGGGCCGACTTCAGAATCGGGCTTGACCACTCCGGTGGTCACTGCTTCCTCTACAGCCAGCTCAACCGTGGTCTTGCCTGCTGAAGGAGCGCGAGCTGCGCCTGCACCAACAGAGTCACACCCACACTTGAACACACACACACACAAAATCATGTGAAAGTGACAGAAGATCTGTTCAGAACCTTCAGTACAAGGGCAAATTCATGGCGCCGGGCGAGACATACAGCCAGAGCATATTGAAAAGACTCCTGACATGTTGGGCCCTTAGCGCGCTCCTGCAACCTCAGCAATATGTAGAGCTGGCAGGTCAGGAGTAAATTTTTTTGCTCCATTAGCCATTAGCCATTAGCCACTGCAATGTGTAGGCCCCGGCTGGCGGGGGGCGGTACAAATACTGAGCAGCGTGCCCACGGTTGATTGGGTCTTGCTTGGATCTGGCGAGTCCAACAAGGGTCAGGATTGTGGCAGCCTTTCACTGCAGCTTGTCTGCAGGACGCGCCTTGCCTCTTGGCAGGAAAGGCGTATAATAACAATAATAATAATAATAACAATGTGCTTCATGCTGCATTCTGGGCATTGGACACATGAACCAACTACAACCATGTGCTCCAGCAAAGCAGCCCACAAACGCTGAAAGGCCAAACACGCATGCCGGCAGGCCACATGTCGGCTGCTGACTCACAACGATGCAATAGCTTACATGCATGACCCTGGACATGCTTAATTGGCCCAACAGCTACAGCGTATCACTCCCCATACATCACAACAAAGGAGCTGAGAAACTTATGCATGGCCTTGCATAGGATGCATGCACAGGGCACTTTATGGGCCAGGCATCCTCACCATATCCAACATCAACAAACAGGAAGTCTATAGAGACTTGGCATGGAGATTGCACCTGGCCTGAGAGCGGAGACAGGAGTGCGACTGCGATCTGTTGGCAGGCGGGCTGCAGGCGGCTGCTCAAAGGGCTCCTCTTCTTCGATGTACCTGGACATTGGAACAGTAGCTCAGGAATTAAAACTTCAGGACGCAGACAGGCAGAGGGTCGATGGCATGGCAAAGTAAGGCCTTGCTCTGCAACATATATTTTTGTTGACAAGCTCTCGCAGATTGTTTTCCTTGAAGATATATATAGCTGATGCAGAGATCAAAGTGCCGGACTGCCTGGGCATGTAGCTTTTCCTGGCCATCCCCGACACTTGAAGACCACAAGTCAGCTAACTCTGTGTCCCATGCACCGGAGCTTGCCTGACCGAGGCCTGATCCCTTCTGCAGTACCACCAATCTTGACAAGCACAGCCCTTCAGCCCCTGATACCTACATGTTTATCATCATTTTTAAACACACATGTCCTGCCAAGAGGCAAGGTGCGTCCTGCAGTCAAAGCAGCAGCAGCAGCAGCAGCAGTCAAGGCTGCCACAATTCTTCACCTTGTCGGACTCGCGGGATCCGAGTAGGACCCGAAGAGCCGTGGGCACGGTGCTCAGAATTCATACTGCCCTCGCCAGCCGGGGCCTGATACCTAAATTATTATTATCACATTTTAGAGACCTTTTGGGAGCTACTTGACTCTCCCTGGTATCTACAAACCTCGTGACAAACCTCGTTGGAGTGACTCACCGTCTTGGCGGCGGCGGCCGGGCGGCCGCGCGCACAGTGGGCTGCTGATGCCGGGCCATTTTGTCGACCTTCACCTCGTCTGCCTTCGTGTCAATCCAGCTGAAGCCTCCACCCGCCTCCTCCCGCCTGCGCAGCCCCATAAGCAATAGTGTCTAGTCAGTCAATCAGTCAGGGAAGTCAAGCCACCTAGGTTCTGGCCAGCTCAGGGCTGATCCTACTCGTGTGTTATATTTGTTAGAGCCAGCGCCCAGTATGACCTAGAAGGCTAGGCGGCAGCTTTGGCAACATAAAGTAGATCAGTCCTCCAGTCAGGAAGCATCAGAGAAGACCTCTGCCTGGCCTGCGGCGAATATTGGAGTGCTGCAATGCAGCCTGCATGTGTGTTTGAGGAATGAGTATTTCAGCTCAAGCCACGCTGGTCCAAGAGGTAGTGGCTCCTCTTGCACCAGAGTGGCTTGATATACCAACATTTGATCAGACCAATCAAATGCATATGAAAATGAACCCAATTCTCAATCATTGAGGAACGGGGATGAGCAAGGCCCACCAAGCGGCCCGAGGCAGCACTGTAGCAAGTCTTGACATGCAGCAAAGCATTGGAGGTTCCCTCAGAGCGGCTTTCTGTGCATCTTTGAGAGGCTTGCCGTTCTTACCAATCTTGTGTTTGCGTACCAAGCCAAGCTGATCTACGGGTGGTTGGCACCTCATGCACAATATTGGCCGGATACACCTGACAAACAGGAATTGAGTTTTAGGGAGTATGCCCCACCGTCCTGCGCGCGGAGGCACTGCAGCGGAGCTGGTGTACTGCTGGGCAGCGGGCTTGACTCTGTCCACAGTGGCTTCGTCAGACCTGGGGTCAATCCACTGGAACCCAGCACGCCGGGGGGCCCTGCATGCATGCACACCAGAATACTGAATACAGATACATGCTGAGCAATAATTTCATCTGTAATGTCTTGATGGGGCCCTCTCATGGTGGGGAATGATCCGCCCTCTCAACTACTCTTGTGCACTCCTGCATAGAGCACACGTTCCTGCACAGAGTGAAGTCAAAACGGCTGATCATCCCCATCAGCTGGCCACAAGCCAGAGTGGCGTCATTGACATGCACGGAATGTCACTACAAACTTGGGCTGTTTTCACGAAACGGCACATCCACACCAGTAATTACCTATATCCAAGTGGAAAATTGACGTTTGAATAATGGAACACTCGTGTGTTTTGGCAACATGCACTTTACTCCTGCCTGCATTCTGCATGGATCAACATCTGCAAGAAGCACGCATGGGAAGACACACGGCAAGGCATTTACGCCCTTTTTTGCCAGCATGCTCTTGATACAATGATACATTCCTAGATCTATATTAATATGGGTAGCAAAGGACGAGATCAGCAGAATGTCTAAATGTCGAATGGATGTTAGTATAATCACACGCTCTTCCAGCCTCCCAAGGCTGGTGCGCTCCAGCAGCTCTTCTATACATCTCTTCAATGGTATCAAACCTTCAAATCTTGCAATGATCAAGTCACCTGGCAGCGGCCGGGCGCGCAGCGGGCGCTGGCACAGGGGCGTTGTCATCGAAGATGGTGACTTCCTCGTAGCTCTCGAAGGTCCCCTCGAACCGGTCACCCTCCTGTGACACCCGTTGCCTCTTCAAACGCCCGCTCGCCTGCCAGCACAGAAAGAGAGCCGCGGTGACAGTTGGGATTTCCCAACGCCCCAGGATCAGGGGTTTTGTCCAGCAAACGGAAGCTTATGCGCCGGAGTTGTGCAAGCCATTAGCAGTGCGCAGTGGAGCCTGGCATGAACATGACATGCTTCGTTCTTTTGCGTGCCTGCAGATGTGAGCAAGCACCAGCCGGAAGCGCAGCATATCCCGTGCCATCTTCAGCAAAACAGATCAAGGAACACACTTAAGCCTCCGGGGTCACGAAAATTAGTGCACTGGCCAATTCCCTTTCTCTGCTATTTGTCCTTATAGAGATACGTGCCAGGTGTGGTCCACGAAACTGTCAGTCTGACATATCACAAACTTGTGACAGGCGTGGGTGAGTAGAAGTAGTGTAGGAAAGCATCAGCACCTCGTCTTTGAGGATGAAGGGCTCTGGCAGGTCCATGCTGACTGTTGTGGGTCCCCCGTAGGGAGGCCGCTCCAGAACAGGCTCCGGCTCCGGCTCCAGCTCATCATCAAACAGCCTGTTGTGACATCACATTACATTCAAGTTACTAATATGTGTAACTCATTTTGCACGCATGCATGCACGCACATGCACGCTGTTCCGGCCAGCAATTAGGTGCGTCTGCAGACAGGCTGCAGCTGAAGGCTCGCTAGATGCATCCAAGAATCAGCCCTGGGCATGGGTCGCAGTGTTTGAGCAGCATGTGCACGTGACACAGATTATGTGTCACACCTGTGCGCGACAGGGGCCCTGCCCCTGGCAGGAACGCCACCCGGCTGCTGCAGGGGGCTGGGCTCCGACGGCGATGGCGCCGGCGTCGGGGGCGGAACCCTTCCGGCCGCCCTGATCCGCTCCTGATCGAGACATGTTGGCTTAGACTTTGAACGTACAAACAAATTGATGATGATTTAAAGTTTCTGTGCCAATTTGAGTGGCAGCAATCCGCTTGGACACAAGTGCCCACGGCATGTATTTCCGGTGTGGATTATGCCCGGGATCTGTGCCGTCAATGAAGCAGGGAGTCTTGAGCAACCCCGCCTGCAATATGAACAGCATTGTCCAAACCCTGCGATAACAGCAGTGGCATGATGCACCGAGCAAGGAAAGTCCTACCTCAACATCAGGGTCATCCAGGCCGACCCCGTTCTCTCCAAAAACTGCGCCCCGGGCCGGCCGTCCCGGGACGGGCGGCGGCGCTGGCGGCCGCGGCGGCGGCCGCTCGGGAGTCGACTCTTCCGCAGCCGGGTTCCATTGTGGGGTACCTAAGCAGTACTTGATTTCAGTAATTAAATGCTCTGGCGAACAAACTTGCATTGAGGCTGAATATGCATGAATCACTGCATAAAACGATTGATTGGTTGCTTCACCAGCCCCGCAGGGAAGCCAACAGCCACATTGCAACTTGTATTCTTTGACTGATGCAGCTGTCGCCATTTCAGCGAATCAATAACCTCCCCTTACAAATGTGGCTTTCTGGCGCTCCCCTTGGAAGATATGACAGCCAACCAGTGGCTGCTGCGACTGCCCAGTGACATGCAAAAGGCCACCCGACAGCCCGCAACCTAAGCACAACCAGCCACAATGTGGGCATAAAGCCAGGCTATATAATGCCAGGCCAATGATCGATCAGCTTTACCTGCTGAGGGGAGGACCCATTCGGGCTGCGAGGGGCCCGGCGGCTCTGTCATTGCGGCGGGCGGCGATTCTGCGGCGGTGTAATCGGCCAGCGCGGCAGCCTTTGCTGCACGGTGGCGAGCATCTTGAGGGCCTTCCTCCACCTGTGGGACAGAGGGGTCCAAGTCATGTGCAGCAGTTCTTTCTGGATTTGCTGGGGGAGTTTCAGTCGTGCTGCAGCGGGACTGAAGACAGGCAAGGCAGGATTGGCAAGATGAGAAGCGGCCATCGCCCAACTTGAGGGCTCGACCAGTGCTACAGGCAGCCAGAAGCAACAGAGTCAATCACCTCTTTTGCAAACTCATCTGCAAATGCTCTTTGCATGGTTCGTACTTCTTGACCAGGCATTAGTCAAACGACAAGATGGAGGCTGTGCGCGTCTACGTCATACAGATTGGAATTGCCCCACGCCTATGACAAATCGCGAAGGACGCCCCTCTCACCTGTGGCAGCAGGTACCGGGCATTGTACAGCCCAGATTGGCCCAGCCTGACGGGCCGCGCGCTGTAGAGAAGCTGCTCCTCAGAATCGGCAGGGGAGTAGAAGCTGCCGCGCAGCTCCTCCGCAGCCACGTCCAGGAACTTGTAGTGCTGCCTGGGCGCTCTTGCTGCACAGGTCGGACACATGAACGCATGTCAACCTTGCTGCAGCTTCTGTTGTTCTGAACAGTGCTGATGTGAAGAATAACTGTCGCACAAATTTAAAATTCAAAGGGAGAGCCTTCAATGAAGTGCATGTGGTAGGTAAGCTGGGGATCCCAAGGCCCTGGTGACCTTGTATATGCGAGAGGGAGCCCCCAAGGTCCACAGGGGTGATGAGATTCATAGCAACACCCTCACATACTTTCTAGAATAGCACTGATCTGACAGGTCTTGCAAAGGGAGTTCTTGGGCTAATTGAGCTAGCTCGGTTCTAATTTCTGATGTGAACCAACCTTTGGGAATAGATGCTGCACGATGGCGTAGGTGTAAGAAGCGACCAAATGTGCAACAGAAAGAAGCTGTCCACACCTTGCTCGATGTACTGGTACTGCACCACCACTTCGTTTTGACCACGACCCGTTGCGACGCCGTTGTCTCTGACTATGCGTCTGCGTCCCACGACCTCGTCCGACCCGAGGTCGATGTACTGATACTGCCTTGTCGGCACCATCCTCGACTGCTCCTGTCGGTGATGTCAGAGACGACAGTCGAGTTGGGCGGTTTAACTAATCCCCAACTGCACACAGCCCCCGGCACGCCCTCATCAACACTTTTTCACCACAACCAGAAGAGGGCCCATGATTGCATCACGGACAATCCTTTGTCTTGTTGATCTCTGCAAAGGCCACAATCTACACAATTAAATCGACTTTATCATACGCACGAGTCTTCAGCACACATGCGTGGGCAGCGCAGGCAGTGTGGCTCCTACTTGATGGGGCTAGGGTTGTCGCGACGCCTCCCTGCTCCGCCTAAGCCACCAAGTCCGAATTTTGCTGCATACAGGTGCGTCTAAAGTTCTACATAGCGTGCTCTGTTGAGGTCCAGAGCCCTGGGCACAACAAGATTTGGTGATCCTTGTCAGAGCTGGCAAACACAGCTAAACCTCGACAGGAGGAGGGCGTTGCCTTCGAACGGCATGCACGGCCAGATTTGGATGCGCAGGTGACAGCGACGAAGGATGACTAGAACGGGCGTGCAGGGAATCTTGTCGATGATTGCTCCACATGCAGGTTGATTAAGTGTTGAATTTTGCGTTCTGAAACGTCTGTGGGCTCTCGGTGCGCGGGTGCTGGCGTGATCATTCTTCAAGACTTGTTTTCCATTAAAAAGTAAACGCGTGACTGCCGGTAGGTTCCTTTGATGCTGGATTGCGTGCATTCGTCACGATTATATTGTTGCCACATTGCTTTGGTCTCTTCAAACCATGTTAGACGTATGATCGCGGCGCTTTGATTCTTCCGAGTGGTTTCGCGACCTACGGTCAAGAAGACATCCCTGCCTTTGCAAGAGAGAGTTTGGAAGCGTTTCTTGCCAAACGATAAATCAACTTGTAAAATGTGCCAGCTATGGCATACTTTGATCCGTATGCAGTACACACTTCGGCCTAGGGCTGATCGGTCTTTTGACATCGAAATTGCTGACAATGAACCTATTGGTCATTTAGGCAGAAATTTTAGTGGCAAATCACACCTTTAAATAATATATGCATATGTGAGAGTAGTCTGACACCTCTCACGCTTCAATATTGACTGTGCGTGTGCAGGAGCCATGGCAGGGAGATTACTGATCTGTGCAGTCGTCCTGCTCTGTTTTTGCTCCTTCAACCACTGCAACGCTTTAGAAGCAGGTGAACTAAAATATCCCGAACTTGCAAGTTGGCAGAAAGCCCAAAGCCTCATGGGTCAAAGTCTTGCACCTTACTGCTTGAAATTGCACTGTATCTGCTCACCATGCATTCCTTATCTCTTGTAGGGATACTTATGTGCATTTTTGCCTGTAGGCACAGAGGAGCTTAGTGAACGCATGACTTCTTTGAGGCGGCTGCTGGAGACCGAGCTGACGGTTGCAAACGACAACAACACCTACCCCAATGCAACTGTCAATGTGAGGCTTCATGCCCCCACTCCAACATCAAGCTCTGTGCAACCACTCTTCAATGTGCTCCTGTGCTCTTGAGTGCCCTAGGCGCGCTTAAGTGCCAGCCATGACTGCCAACGTCTTTCAAAACCCTCCTGGACTCTATGTAGCTTCCTCTCACAAAGCTTCCCTGTGGAAACTCCTCATGAGCTCTGCAGCTGCTGTTGCTACTGCCTTGCCGTCACAGCTAATCTGAATGCACGTTTAATTCAGGACAGGCTTGTTCATCATGCCAAGACAGTGGTTGCTGACTGGCTTGTGATGACTGATCAGGTGGGCCTGTCTAGGCCGCAGGGCTGTGTTCCCTGGTGGACCAAGACCCGCTCCACAGACGTGGTCTGCCCCAAGGACTGCCAGCTGTCAGGCTTCAAGGAGGGCTACAACCTGGGACGTGCGTTCCCTCCCACGCCGCATTTCTCACTGTGTTAATTGATATGCACCCTTTTATCAGGCCTAGCAGGGGGTACTAAAGACTACCTTAAGTACCCCCTGGGCCTAGGCGGCAACAAAATTGATTGTGCACCGAACCTGCATGACCCATGCAGTGACTGTCCCTTTCATGTCTCATGGAATGCTATCTGCCATACAAGGCTTGAGATTGCCCTGCAGAGCTTATTATTCTAAGGTGTTGTTTCAGAAGCAGTACTGTGATTGAGAACACATTTCGCAAGGCATTATCTGGGAGGTGCACACCTCTCGCATGAGAAGTGCCTTGATGCTAGTATGTCTTCGCTGCATGCGTGTGGCTGGCATTATCACCGTGGAAGTCATTGTCAGCACGGGTGAGCAATATTTTGCATTCCTTCATGGGAATCCACAGAGAAAGAGTGCCTTAATTTCAGTACATTGTTCTTTGCCTTGCACTGATTCACTGTGTGTTCCTCTTCAGACCGAGCCAGGCATACTTATCCATTTGTCACAGTGATGTTGTTTGCCGTTTGTGTCCTGCTTGTCTGCATGTGTCTGATCTGTAACAGGATTGCGTTAGTATAGGCTCTCCTCTAATTCATTTACATTGACTGACAAAAACCCTTAATGTGCAGAGCTCGCGCCCCTTTACATCAAGGTGGAAAAAGGGTCGGTGTCCCGAGTGGCGCCGCGGCCGCTGAAGGGCGCGTACATGAACATCACCGGGATCTCCAAAATAGACAACAAGGTCGACTACAAGTTCCAGGTCAGCGATTACGGCGTCAACTTCGTGCAGTTTGCCGCCAATTACAATGTGGGCGCCAAATTCACCGTCTCCATGGGTGCGCTTCAAGCTCCAACCTGTCCAGAGCTTGCAGCCCAGATTTGCACCTTGCAATGAGACTTGTGGAGCAGACTTACCCAATGCGATGGGATCTGCAGCGCTGACCTGCTTTGTTGTAAATCATCATTGTGTTTCTGGACTGCTAGCCCACTACCTCTCATACAAGTCTATCCCTCTCAGGGATCAGGTCAAAGCTTTTGTTTGCAGTGGACATTTCTTCACCTTAGTGCAAACACAAGCCACATTCTGTGCTGACCGCTGCACTGCTTGATAGCTGCTGCTGATGTCTGCTGGCATCCATTGGATCCCCTGTCTGGAGTCACAGATGGGTATTGCAGTCATTGGGTATACACGCTTGTAGAACTACCTGTGAGGAAGAACGGCAGGCATGCTTTGTTTTTCGGGTATCAACAAGCCCTGTGCTTTTCAGCAAAAGCTCGCATGTTTACCTAACCTGATGATCAGCCTACTTCTCTGCGCAGGTCTGGTGAAGAAGAATCCCAACGCCGGCGGCTCGGCAGTGCCGGACCCCAACGCAAAGCACAACCCCTTCTGCTACTTTAACGTGACCTGGACGGTTGTAGCGCCCGGCACCATCCCAACTGCAGCAGATGCTGCCAAGCCTGCCGCCACATCAGCCGCCACGTCATCCGCCACCTCAGCAGCTGACAACGGCGACCTGCCTTCGACAGACACCACCCCTGAAGGTGAGCTCAGGCAGCAGACATTTGAGAGATATTTGCAACACTGGATGTTTTGAGAAACAAATTTCAATATGTAGGGATGTCTGCTGGTATGAACATGCAGCGGAAACTTGGTTCTGTAGGCAGCATCAGCTAGTGAGTAGCCAGCATCAGCTAGTGAGCAAAGGTTGGAGAGACTTATGCTATTTATTCTCGCGTGATGGTCTGCACTAGCAGCAGAAAGTCCCCCTCGCCAGCCACGCATGCTGTGGAGACTCGAGCTACCTCTAGTAAACACTTGCACCAGAATTCTCTGTGAGGATGAGATGCCCCTTGAGGCTACGTACCTGTACTGTTCCTCATTGAAGTCAAACAGGCCCGCATAACTGACGTGCTACTTGACTGCGCAGTAGCAGCAGCCGCTACCGTGCCAAAGAAGGCGGCTGCCCCGGCTCCCGCCGCGGCGCAGCCGACCGTTGCCGGCAAGAAGGCGGCTGCACCGGCGCCGTCTGCTGGTTCTGCCTTTGAGGACCTGGGCGGCGGCCTCTGACAGGGCTATCACTGCACCCTGCAATGGTAATGTCACAAAGAGCTCGTTGGCATTGTTGTGACGGGAAATTGCAGGTGCACATTGCAGACGCCTGCAGGAAACATATTCCTTGCTGTGATGGGTGGTTTTAGATATACCTTATTTATTGCCTGTTCTGGGATTGAAGTTGTCCAGTTGAGCAGTATGGCGTGCATTTTTCAGACCACAACAGCTGTGCACAGAGACGCAAATCTGCGTACTCGGCTGATCGCGGCAAGAGATAGTAAGTTGAACGAATGTTGTGAAAAGCACAACGCGTGGTTTGCAAGGTGTGTGCCCAATGGTACTACACCAATCTGAACTTTTGAGGTCTCTTCCAGCAACAGCAGCAGCAGCTGTGTTGCGTTGTTCTTTAATTGTTTGTAGATAGTGCCGGCATGTCTTTGATCACTCACTTGGTGCAATTGAGGCTGATTGGCTGTCAAGTGCTTCACTAGCAAAAACGATTAGACGCTAAAAAGCTTATTAAAGATTGCTTACATACAATGCTGACAAGGTATTGTACTTTTCCATTGTTATAACACGTACATTACTGTACCTTCAGACCGGATTAGTGCTACTTCTCAGCATCCCGCCACTCAGCTTCGCTGCTTACTGCACAGAATAGAGGCTCTGAGCTCTGCAATTCTCACCTTGTACACTCCATGTCCTCTTGATCCTTTTCTCATACTCTCCCTGTGCATCAAGAGCCGAGGCATGAATGCAAAATTTGGTACATTACTACTAAATACATGCATGATTGGCATCTCCTTTGAGAAGCCTGCTGGAAGCACACAATCAGCCAAACCAAGGCTTTCATAAAAGAAAAATAAAATCACTGCTCCTGTTCCATAAGGATTCAAGACATGCAGGGGGTTCAATGCTGTGCATTCTAGAGCACTGCATTAAAGCTCAAGAATGCAATGGAATCAATTCGATACGCATGTTTGACAATATTCAGGCTTTGCAGATTCGCAGCATGCAAGAAGCAGTTTGCTCTGTTCTCAAAATTGTGCAACAAATGCTGTTGCATGTGTCCAAAATTGCACAGCAGGTTGCTTCATTGTGCCTATTCCTGTTCGCCAGATCCACAACGAAGCTTCCCCAGTCTCACAGTGCTTCCACAGCACCATCGTTCAGGCTGTGGGCCAGATCCATCAGGGACTTGTGGGCAGCCAGCAGCGCATATGGCTCCACTTTCACCACCTGTATAGCCACATCAAATAATTGGTGCCTCTATAAGTCACCCACGGTCGAGTGGGTCTTGCGTGGATCTGGCAAGTCCATCAAGGGTGCGACGTTTGGCTTCCTTCACTTGCAGCTTGACAGCAGATGCACCTTGCCTCTTGGCAGGAAAAGCATGTGCTAAAACTTCACAATAAGGTCACCCAAGCTGCTGTAAAATACATGCGCCATTGCCTGTCCACAACAACAGCAAGGTGCTGCAAGACATGCTGCACAAGACTATTACATATCACCACTGTCAGATAGTACCTCTGTAGGTGTTGCATGATGCAAATGGGATTATTTGATGGTGCAGGTAGCAGACCTTGCGGTCGTAGGTTGTGAGACCATTGATTTCAGCTTCCACATCCGCAAGCTCGGTGTAGACCGCGGCACTCAGCGCGAGTGCTGGATCCACCACCAGCTCCTTCAGTTGCTCAATGAGGCCCAGGTAGCGCACCTGCATGCATGCCAGCTCAGCATACACTTTTCCAATACAAATTGAATTTTAAGGTCCTAAAGTATGCAAATTTGAAGCCGTTCCCTGCTGCAGCAGCTGAGAACGGCTGCATGCAAGTCTACCCAGCACTAAGAAAACGGCGTCAAAAGTTGAACCACTAGAACCCTTGAAAGAAGTCTTTCAGGGTGTAAAGCAAATCAAAGCAATCTCCAGTGCAGAGTGGGCTTTGTCGGCTAGTGGGACGCTGACATTGAGCACATTTGTCAGATGCTGTCACACAAAGAAAGTGGAATGCACACATCGAGGCAGAGCAAGCGCCAGATGATAGGATAAAAGGCTGCCTCTCTAGTTCACAACAACACAATGATCTCCTGGCCCAGGAGCACGGAGCCTAGATGCTGTGCATGTCTAGGACTAGCGCCTGTAAACTTTTGAGTGGGATCAGCACCTCGAGGGCTGCAGGGCTGGCTTCCATCTCGTAGCAGAAGGCATCCTCTGGAATCCACAGGTGCCCATCAACGCGCAGGCCCAAGCCGCCAAACTCCCCCAGCACAGCAGAGCGCGTCAGCGTCGGCACGGGAGAATTGGGCCCCACATAGGCGTGCATGTCGATGAGGTCGCCCACCTGCGCGCACATGCCGGCACATGCTCACAAGCTGAGCAATCCTGTGCAGAAACAGCCGCTCTGCACACCATCTGTGACCGACCAGATGCTTTCAAAGCAGTGAAGCAGTAAACAAAATGACTGGAACATGCATTGCTCTGTGCTCTTATTCGTACTCACTGGCCACGACTGAGACAGAGCAAAGAGTGCTCCAATTGAAGTGCTTAATTGCTGCACAGACTGCACAAGGGCAGATGTGAAAATGAGCGGCCATGTTCCCCATGAGCTTTGAGTGAACATTGCACCATGGGTGTGCATTAATCAAAGTACTCCTTAAACGAAGCTCCAAACAAGCGTTACTGCAAAGGGGCCCTTGTCAGCAGAAGAGTGCAAGTGCGCACAGGGGCGTCGACCCAGCCAGAGGCGCCGTCGAACAGCCGGGAGGCATCCAGGGATTTGGCCAGCTGCACAACGCGCGTCGTTTCGTACTGGCCCCAGCCCTCGTTGAAGACAATGTAGCTGATGATGCTGGGGAAGCTCCTGTGCTCCTGCAGCAATCAGCATCCGGCACCATTCTGTGCACTTGAGCATATTCCTTACAACAATGGAGCGCCCAAGTTGTGCTGTGTTGGCAGAGCAGCAGATCTAGTGTTTCTGTAGGGATGCCACAGTGCTTGACAGGCATGTTCTTGGTGCATGCACATTGTGCAGCTTGTCACCCTGCTGAACCATGCATGCATCACATGGTGCTGAGCAGGCGAATACGAGGTTAGTTCAGGCATGCATGTAAGAGGCCTGATTAACATGTGAAGGATTGCATAAGTAGGAACAGGGTGGCTCACCTCGATCATGCGAGTAAGTTCGTGCTCAAACTGCGCCTTTTCAACCCCGGCCCTGTAGGACTCTCCCTGGCTGAAAGGGTCCTCCCAGTACATGGAAGGCATGTCCTGCTCAGCGAAGCATCCCTCTCAGAATTTGAATATGAACTTTAATTGTCTAGCACGTCATCACAGATGGAGGGAGCTCCGTAAAAATTAGGCATGGTCCAATTTTTGTAGCTCACCTGCCACACCAGCATTCCAAGCCTGCATGCATGCACAATTTACATCAGCAACCATGGCACTGAACAGCGTTGAATCCTGCTAAGGCAAAAGAGCATGCATTACAGGTCAGCAGACATATCTGACTCAGCCTCACCTGTCGCAGTGGTAGTACCAGCGATCTGGCTCCACCTGCAATGGAGAGGCCACCAGAAAGTTTTCAATACCATGCTGAGAATGCCGGTCATTGGAGCACGCTCCTTTCATGAATATGCATGTTGTAGTGGAAGGGAGGCTTGCCTTGATGTGCTTGCGTAGCAGGTTGTAGCCCAGGAATTTTGCAAACTTGATGTCGTGCTGCAGGGCCTCATCCGTGGGCGCTGTGTGGATGCCATCTGGCCAGAAGCCCTGCCACAACATCATTGTCTCGTTTATATTCTATTTTGACGTGCCGAGCGAATCAGAATATTGCTGCAAAATACAGAGATGAGTTCACGGGCGTGGGTGTGCCTATTGAGCAGGCCACTATTCATGCTGACAGTCTTATTGCTGCGAGTGGAAGTGCGTTCCTCAAATTTGGTTTAATGACATTGTCTTCACGAACGCACCTTTTCCATGGCAGCAACAAGACTGTCAGCATGAATAGTGGCCTGCTCAATAGGCATTGAAAAGAGATCAAATTTTTGACAGCCGTGCAAGATTTCAATATACCTGATCGAGGAAGCCCAGCTGGAAGGTGAACTTATTGTTGAGCAGGGGCCGCAGGTGCTTGCCAGGGCCGACACGGCCAAGAGAGACTTTGCGCATGCCCACATAGCTCTCCACTGCATCTCCTCCCTTGCATCACATGACACATCTCATGAATCACGCCTCAAAGGCTCATGACTCATGCCTCGGAGGTAGGCATATTCTGTGGATAAAAATGCAAGACTCACTGCTAGACCATGCATGATTGACAATGACCCAAAAAAGGAGGAAGCACTCACCGTTGAAGAGCTGACAGACGTGTTGCTGGATGCAGCTTGAAGAGACGCCTGCAGGCTATAGAGGTAAGGTGTGTCAAATGACCAGAGGTGTAGCTTGCTGCTCTTGTGGCCACTGACACTCACGTTGAAAGGGACCCCGACACGGCCTTGCCCATCAGCCACCTGCGCATGACACGGTACCTCATTGTCAGAAGTTTCAATTCAATTCAATTCAGGATTTTGCATTATTTGCAGATATGCAGGGTCAAGCATTTTCTTCTATATTCAGCAGCTTCTGGCATCCTTCCTCAACTTCTGGCATCCTTCCTAGGATCTGGTGCAAGAGGTGGATGCTCTCGGTTCAGCATTGAGATGTATACGGCAGTATCAAATCATAATAGCATGCGCAGAACAGGGGGACAATAGAGAACCTTGTGGCCCTCCTTGTCGGTGAAGACCACACGTGCAGTGTGGCTCTGCGCTGCAGCATTGCCCAGAACAGTGACCTCCACTGTGGATGTGTCAATGTCAGGGATGATGTCCAGTCGCTCGATGTGAGCCACAGGAACCTGCCAGCATCACACATCCATCAATGCATGCAAACAGCCAAGTACTGACAGCATTGTGTCTCATCAGCATGCATGACATGCACAGCAGAATAGATCATAGCCATCATGAGCGCAGAGGATACGATGAGTCACTCCACAGAACTCTTTTGGATTGTGAAAATGAAGGCTACCTCATGACATGCACAGCGGGAGACATCACTTATCATCATGAGTAAAGAAGACATGGCAAGTCATTCTACAATGCCATGGAAGCCAGGAAATACGTAGGCAATCTCAAGACTCACCGGTTCCAGCCAGACAGTCTGCCAGATGCCGGTAGAGGACGTGTACCAGATGCCAGAGGGGTGGCGCGGAGGGTGGCGCCTCTGCTTGCCAATTGGCACATGGGCAAACTCGGTCGGGTCGAAGACCCTGACTGCCAGCTCGTGCACGCCATCAGCGTTCTGGTTCAGGGCGTCAGTAATGTCAAAATGGAACTTGTCATACCTGCAGACACACAGCACAAGAGCCGATCACTGCCACTGCATGAGAGTCCATGGGTAAACATGACAGATCACCTCCCTTCCAAGAGCTACACTGCTTGTCATGCACCATGCATTTCTCCTTTCACAGTTGCAAAATGGACCACATGAGGCAGAATGCATGGGCTCATGCCAGAAGAGTCATGCATGTCAGGGATGCTGGCAGAGCGAAGGCACACACCCGCCCTGGTGCAAGCCCATGCGCTGGCCGTTGACAAACACTTCGGCCTCCCAGTCCACAGCGCCGAAATTCAGCAAGATGCGTCTAGCTGAAGCACCCTGCATGCCAGCTGCCACGTTCCAGTCCTGGGGGACTGTGAAGTTGCGTCGGTACCACATGCGCGAAGTGCCCACATCTGAGCGGCCTACTCCTGCGCATATTGTTTAGGATTCAATGCATGACAGCCAACCACATGCGGCAGCTCGAGAACAACCAACACCTTACCAAAGTTGCTGCATGCTCTCTGATATGGTGATGTCAACACATGAGTCACACACTTCAAAGAAGCATTCAATGCTTTGCGCAGTGAACATGCAGGGCATGAATTTCAGGCATTGATATTCTGCCTGCAAGTGCCCACTTGCAGCTGTAAACATGAGCACACCGGACAGCGGGGCTTCGGTGGGGAAAGGGACGACTATGCGCTTGGACAGCTGGCGGCCAGAAGGGGGCAGGGCCATATCTTGCCACACCCTGCATGATAATCACATATTTTAGCCTACTCCTGTATTGCATTTAGCCTGGATCATCGTAGCCGAGAGGACATAACAGTGTCATGCTTCAGCTTATTGGAATGTCTGGGCAGGGCCACAGGCACATGCTTGTTTTCCAACATGCAAGCAGTGCTCAGAGGACATGCCAAGCATGGTGCATGGGAGGCGCAAGGTGGAAGCACTCACCCATAAGGCTCAAACTCCCAGATGCCATTGAGGTTGTGCCAGTGCTTCCTGGACATCTGGGGTCTTGGGTACTCTGGCAGGGGGCTGGTGGGGTCCACATCAGCTGACCAGGGAGTTGGCAGATGGTTGTTGACGCAGATGCTGCCTTGAGGCACGTTGAAGGGATCACAGGGCAGCCCCTCTTGTGTGACTCCCATGTGCTGGCTCTGCATGCAGGCACATCAACCGTTAAGACATTCCCAGCAGTTCAGGCAACACAAAAGGCAGGAAGGGAGCAGGCATTTGAAAGCATGCGCTCAGAGTCGCAGGAAGTCCATGTGCTGTCCTGATCCTGACATGTATCAGATGTCAGATGTCATGTGACTGCAAGAATGAGCAGCAGGGTGCCAAGTATACCTTGTTGAACCTGCCAGGGCCAGTGACTGGGATCCCATTTGGGAACAGCAGATCGAGTCTCTCCGTCTGTGGCTGCGGCTGCAAGGCCTGCTCATCAAGCAGCACTCAGCCAATAAAGCTTGCTTGAATTGACAAAGATCATCATTAAAAATTGCAACATGACAAGACGCATCGGTAAGATCAAGTTTTTGGTGAATGGGCAGACCTTCAGGACTTCTGCAGAATCTGCGGCCCTGTGAACACCTGGGTTCAGGTGCCTCGGAAAGCGGAACGAAGCTCTCTTGCGGTGTGGGTTATGAACAACTGCCAATCGGAAGAGGGCGCCAATCAAAAGGACAGCTGCGCAGGCCTTAAGTATGTTCTTGAGCTGCAGGCTTGTCATGTTGCTGGTTTCCTGGGACCTGACCAGGCTCTCAGCTAGAATGCGCGATGATCCTGAACACGTTTTCACTCCCTGCATATAAAAGCAGAAACGTCGCCAATACAACGACTCCACGTAAGAGGTTCCCCCAGACCACGACTCCCTCGTAATGGCTCTAGTAACAGGTACCATTCTCAATTGCATTGTACCGATCAAGTCGCTTCAAGTCCCACCAAAATCCTTCAGAACCTTATATTCTCAAACAACACGTGGCTTTGGAGCGCTGTCACCAAGAAACACCGCTGATCCATTGCCATCAACTCATGGACATCAACAATTGAAGGATCGAAGTCGACTTGCTTGAGCACACCTTGTCAGATGTATTTATGAGATGGATTGATGCCACCTTACGACCATGTGGCAGCTAGTGTCGGCTCGCCTGCCAGAAGCGGTAGAGCTGATCTATTTGATCAAGCTTAAAATAGCACTTGACTTGACAGTGTGTGTCTAAGCTGCATGAATCAAGTTCAACCAAGTGCTTCCAAGGGGAACAGCTTGAATTAAAGGTTCTGAGGAGCTCTTACGAACATCACGGTGAGCTGAGTGTGCACCTGCGTATCCTCACATGCATGCTGCAGCCACACCTCGAACGAGGACTTTTAGCGGAAGTGCCAAACCGTGACGCTGTGACAAATTCAGCTTAATTTAAATTCACCTTTATCCATCTGTAACACTGAATGTGGGTCGAGAGGGAGCATCTTCACCAACAAGGGTTCAAAGAATCTATCTTACATTGCCCGGCTACAGTCTAGGTACCCATTAATTTAATCCATGACGCGCAGTGCGCGTGTGCAAACTTCTCAAGGATTTAAGGTGGCCAATTGTGTATGATGTCAGCTTTCCAACACCATACAGCTATATACATCTCCTGCAGCTCATCTTCCACGCTTTGGTGCTCAATTCAATTCACTGAACAGGGGGCTACACACAGAGCTGCCAATTTGACGTTTGGCAGTCAATAGGACACTCTAATTCTGTTTCGCAAACAATGATGCTTCAAAATTGGTGTGCATTTGCACAAAATCATGGCAGCCACGCAAAAATGCTCGCTGAGGCCATGTTTGCACAGCCACAAGCCGAAACAACAATGCTGCACAAGCTATCCTAGAAGCTGCAAGCACACCGGGCAATCCCAAGTCTACATCCTAGTCAACAGTGTTCAATGCTCTGTACAAAATCAAAAATTGGTCCAAGGGAGGATCCCCGCCGCCTAGCAGCAGGCGCCAAGCTTCTGCTGCAGGCGTGCTTTTGCAGATGAAGCCACAAGGCTCGCCTCTGCAGGGAGCTCTGCCAGTCGCTTGATCCCCTGAGAAGCCACAAGAACCAAAACTTCAGGCAGCTGCCATCAGATATGTCACATGCACCTCCAGTTTGCCAGCCCACGCATGCCGTGGTGTGCAGAAAACAAAGTTCAAACAGACGGCATGGATCATTCATCATCTCCGTAATATCAACTTGCACCGCATCACCACTGCACACGGAAGTGCTCTTAACAGTGCAGTGACCAATTGAACTTTCTTTCGTAAAGTTCCCCTTCAGCTTTTCAGCTCTATCTTTATGTGCAGATGACCACTCGATGCAAACCTTTTTTTACATCAGGACACGCTTTTCTTGTCTATCAAGCATGCACAATCACAAATGTCCTGTCGTCTCACCTGCACAAGCCTCCGCTGCCAGGGTAGGTCGATCAGGAATCCCCCATGGCCGGCCGTGGGGTGGTACATGACACTGGCAGTGGCATGCGCATCCAGGATGTGCTTTGCCACCAGCGGCGCAGGCACAAGGTCGTCCTTCTCTGACAGGGCCACCAGCGCGTGAGCTGGCATGTCCTGGGGCCAGAGCATCAGCTCGTGCCAGCGGAACTTTCGGCAGAAGGTCTGCGCGCATGCATGCAGCCAAGTCAGAAGTCGTGCTTTTAGCGCTGCTGTGGGCAATCTTTGCACATGCATAGAGGCACTGCCTACAAATGAACCTCTTCAAGAAGATAAAATGGCAAGCAACGGTGCCCGGAAAGCGCATATCGCATATCAACGAGCGCATGTTCCATCATTAAAGTTCAGCATGCGTGATGACGCAATGGCACGCCGCACTGGAATTTCTGCAGAGCTCAATAAGATGGGAATGCATGCGGTGCGCAAGCACTTTGCCGATCTTGCATGCTTGAACCACATGCTTGCACCTGTTGAAAACCTGAGAGACTTGGTGGGTTCCTGATCAGGTGCAGGGTGACTAGACGCTGACCTCAGCAATGATGAGGTCGCGCGAGAAGAGGAAGCGCGCAGCCGCCACCAGGCCGGCCAGGGAGCCGAGCGCGTCCGATAGTTTTGGCACCCTGTAGACGAAGTTGTAGAGCAGCTGCGGGTAGCAGGTCAGGAAGCAGACCGGGTCCACCAGCGCCTGATCAGAACACACAGCTTTAGTCAGCGCTCCTGCAATTCCCTATTGCCGGGTTCCCTATTGCCGGGGAATCCCGGGGATTACCCCTCCCTCTTTCGAAAATTTATGTAGGGTTCTCTCACTTTCAGCAAATCCCAAAGTCCAAGACAGCCTCCAGTGTCTTTACTCTGGCATCATATCTGGTTCCGTTGCCAGCGAGACAGCCATTAGAAGAGGATGAGGAGCAAGGAGCAAGAAAATGAGGTCCAGAGCACAAGCACAACGCTGCAGCACAGCACCCGGAGCACAGCCGATGGCGGGGAAAACGATGCAAGCATGCTCATGCGACTGCAGGGAGATGTATAATAGCAGGGGGAAAGATCCGCGCGCTCACCAGAGAGTGCACGACGCTGCGGTGCAGCTGAGTCACGCGCGAAGCGCAGAAGGTGCCATAGCTGTGCGCAACGAAGCAGGCCTCGGGGAATCCGTGGCGCCACAGAATGGCCGCGGCAGCATTGGCCACTTCGTCAACGTCCCTCGCGCGCAGCTGCAGGCGCAGGCCCACGTGGGGAGCCTCCAGTAATATCATGGGGGACCCCGGGCAGGCCACAAGCGTCTGCTGGATAAGGCCCAGGTAGGGCACCTGCTCAGGGCGAAAGAGATGAGTCAACAACGCAGTCGTGGGCTTATCAATTGCCCAGATCCAGAGAAATTTGCAGGATAGCTTCCACCCACTGGACTCCAGAGCTGATTCTGGAGCCAGGAAGAGTCTTACTCCTGGGCAAAAATGACACATGCATGGTCCTCTATGGCTTGAGACTACCCTGATTGCACTGAATGCACTTGCGAATCGAGAGACACAGTATGCTGCACTCGGAAGAACTTGAATTTTCATGTTCAGGTACGTGCAGTATTAGAGCTGCACTAGAGACCACTGCAATGGGCAGTTGCTTGCACGCAGACACCTGGGGTAGCCCCAGTATGACGCAGCTAGGCAGTGGGCGAAGTGCAACACCAGAGATCAGAGCCTCACCATGCCCAGGCCGACGCCGTGCAGGAAGAAAATAGGCCGAGGCCCGGGGTCGCTCGCATCGCCGCCGTCTTCTGACCGCAGCGAGGAGCAGGAGTCCCCCCGGCGGTGCACCACGGATCTCCCCACGCCCATCAGCATCCCCCTGGCGCAGCTGCTTGCACATGACGCACAGTCAGCACGGCACAGTGTTTGAAAGCCTCCGCAGCCTTCGCATGAAAACTAACAGACATTTGTGGGGGAAACAAGAAGCGCACAGATGCACATCATGCACACTCAGCAGAGCAGAGTGATTTGAAAGCTTCAAGAAATCTGAAACCTCCACAGAAACTTTTGTTGTATCGAGTTCAACAGAGACAGTTGCCGTGGACAGAAGCAGGAAGTCCACAGGATATTTCTCTGCAGAAATTGATACAGTGAAGGTTTCGCGTTGTGCAAAGGGTCTTGGCGCTACACTACCCGGCAACTTCCCAAAGAAGTGCTGTGCAACTTTGTGAGAATTTTGAGGCGGATGTCAGCTCATTTGGAGTTTGAGTCGAACACTGACACACCTGCCAAGTGAGCTGGCGTCCACATCAATGTCCACGCTGCTGCGGCCGGACACCGACGGCGTCTCTGCCGGTGACTCATCGCATGACTCGCACACCGCTGACTCAACACCCTGCACCACTGCTGCTGCCGCCGCCGCCACCTGCTGCTGTGCCCCCACCATCGCCTGATCAGGTCGCCTGATCCAGTAGGTGAAGCCCTGTGTCAACACACAGCAAGCTTCCCTTCAGCATCCTCCGCTCTGCCACACTTGTTGCCTGGTTCACACCAAGTCCACCTGAGGCTGTCAGCACCAAAGTCTCTTATGCCATGATGCAATTTAAATCTAAACATTCAATCCTTGCACTGCAGAGTCGGCTCATCCACAGGCCTGAAAGGCTGCTTGTTCCACACAAAACACCGCCTTTGTCCCAGGACCTTTGTCAGCAACAATTATAATGACTTTCAAGAAGAAAAAATTCAGCGCACACCTGGCAGGTATCCAAACGGAAGCCCATCTGGCGCAGCAGGGCCGCAGCAAGCGCTGAGACAAATTCGCAGCCTAAATGCAGCGCCAGGGGCTTGGGCAGAACTCGCAGATCCTCCCACACATGCGCCATGAAGCTGATGTCAGCGTTGCGCCCCTCTGGAAACCTCACACCCCACTCCGCCTCTATTTGGTCCACGAAGTCCGACACCGCCCGTCGCAGCTGCACGCACATTTGAACACATCACAACTACGGCTTTGATTTTGTGATGCATGTGAGATGTGGTGCCGGCGATGGGGAGACTGAGGTGGTGGCAGGATCCCTGAACCAGACATGTGGGTCTGCGAACAAAGCAGGAGCATAAGTTTTCCGGAGTATGTAAAGCTTGCACCATTGATGTCAGCAATAAAAATCTTCTTGTTGCATGGATTGCAGAGGAGGCCAGGCCCCTGAAGGTGTACGGATGTACCTCTGATGGCAGTCCCTCCAGCGTTCTGAAGTAGAAGCCATAGGCGACAAAGTCCTCCACATTGCCTCTCTTTATGGTCTCGGCGGGGGCTCCATGGAACCAGCCGCTGAAGAAGTCCTCAATGCTCATGCAGCCCTTGAGCTGAAGGAACCTCCTCTTGACCTCTGCCACCCTCTCCACATCATACTCTGTCTCCACCAGCTGATTGATGACGCCATACCTGCGCAGCCCAGCTCCGTCAAAATACATTTGAATTTAATGGTAAGGGCCCCTCGATCATGGGACAGCCAGGCCCTGTCACCAGGATGGTCAGTGACTCAGCAACATTGCAAGCCTCAGCTGGACAGCAGCAGTGCACTTGCTGCGCGTCATGCACTCCAGCAGGGCACCAGGGCATTGGTCAATAATTATTCCAGCGAATGGAGCAACCACCTCTCCTCGTTATGCAGCACAAGGTTTTCTTCTGGGCGATACGGTTGAAAAGTCCAATGTTTTGAAAATTCACGCTGATCCGAGTATGCTGTCGCTGTGGAGAGTGCGCTAGCCCCTTTCAGACTCAGGCATGCTCTATGAAAGGTGGAGATGCTCAAAGTGCTCCAATCAGACGCAAAACCTTTCTCAAGGAGAATGTTGAGGGGTCCGTCAGGAAGTAAAGACGGCGCACCTTCCACGGTGCCATGCATAATACGCCAGCTCGATGCAGATCCAAACCGCTAGGAGTTGGTATACACCACCGTGCATGCTCCCCCAAGAGTACACACAGTGCCCTATGAGGGAGGCCGTGAATAGGGTGGTGAGCGTCAGTCCGTTGGCCGCCGCATTCTGCTGCCCCTGCTTGCAGAGTTCTGGCACAGAAGACTGCACACATGCCCCCAACAGACGAGCGTCTGCGGCAGACGCGAGCATTTTTTCGCCTGCAGCGCCTCTCGGATGTTTGGTGACGGATAGCCTCAGGGGAGGATTGCCTCAGCTCCGAGCTAGAACATCCGGCCTTTCTACATCCATCGGCCCCGTTCTAGAACATTGGACGCCCCTAACATATACGAGCTGCTTTATCTTTGAACGGCTTCCGTCACGGTTCTCGAGCGATAACGCCCCAAACGGTCACTCCTTGCTTTCTGCCCCCCTATCCAAAGTGTGCTACACACAGCCCACAACTGTCAGCCTCTACCCAAATGCAGAACGAGGGAGTGTGTAACTTCCCCAAGAAGAGACTGCGCGTTTAGCAAGTGGTGGATCACGCAATTTACAGGTGGCGTGAGGGGGGAGCTGCCTCGGGCCCCCCGCCCGACACATCATGACCTACACAGATATTGCAGCAACCTTCCTAAAACCCCTGACCCTTACAGCGTTGACACCCATGCTGGAATAAATCCATCATGCATGATGTGTTGAAAAGATTCCTGCCGACGGCTGTAAGAGCCGCGCAGGATGATCATTCAATTTCTGCAAACACCGAGCGGTGCGTGCTGACGCTGACATTTGAATTTGGGTCATATGATGCCGCACCGGCGGCCGCATCAAACGCGTGCACATCATGTCGACATGTCTGGCCGCCAGCTGCAGACGCCGTCAGCATGGCCAGCCCGCCTGGTTGAGCCCGGGGCTGAGCGGCCAAACGCGATGGACGAACTGTGGCAATGCAGCTTGATCTGTAGAGCTTGAAAGTATAGCTTGTTAGCTATCCTGCAGGTTTGGGCACACAAACCGGAACAGCAGTGTTAGAGCGAGAAAAGATCTTCAAAGTATTGCCACTTTGTCTACACTTGCATTCTCTTACATTGCTCTGTACACTAGCACACAAGATCAGACCTCTGATGCAGCATAGATGGTGCGGGCAGCAGGATCATCCTGCTGCCCATGATGGTTGTTCAGAGGTTCCTACTGGGTTGCAGCAATGCATGCTGCGGCAATTCCTGTGTTGCAGTTCCTTCAAGAGTGTTCTTGAGCACGGATTGCCGCTCAGCACCCCCAAATCCCCTTTCTACGGCCAGATTGTTTCAAATTCCTGTACTTCAGACCTGCAGGTTTCCATCGATCAAGTAGCTCTGACTTTGCCAAGAGACCCGTGTTGGTCACGGCAATTCCCTCATCTTAGCTGCACCACGCCTCCTCGCATGACATGAGACAGAGAAATTTCCCCGGCCAGCCACCCACCTCACCAAGAGAGCTCCACAGTACATCTGGCCCAGTAGTCATGACAAATGTGCATGGTCCTCACTAGACTCACACACAGCGCAGCAGCTCCCTTGCCTCTTTCACAGCTGGCAGAAGCAGAAATTGAAAGACTTGCGGTTGGCGGCGGCGGCCTATCGGCGGCGCTTGGGGCGGCCGGTGCCAAAGCCGATGCGGTCTTCTTCCATGGTGTGGTCCATCGAGGGGCCAACTGGCTCGTCCAGCAGCATCCCCTCCTGCAGCAGACATCCATAGCAGTGCCCTTCAGATCAAGACCTTTTCTCATACTTGGAAATGTAAAGTTCACGCAGTGGATAACTCAGGGACCTGCTCAGTCAGGGCTCCAGGAAAGACTTGGTGAGTACTTCGCATTGAGGATGTCGGTGCCTTGCAAGAAAACAGGCAAGGGCTAAACAGGCCGTTTGCATGCCCTCTTTCCAGGCTCCAAACCTGCCAGAGGGCTGGACACACGAGTAATTCGATAAAGGCGAAGCACCCAGCTTAGCCCTGCCAAAATATCAACCCATCTGGCAATGTTTAGCCAAGCGCTGAACAGCTGTGGTAGTTTGATCTGCCGCAGGACGTCATAAAAGCAAACATTTACCTGAGTGCCGCCGCGCGGGTCGGGCTCCGATTTGAGAGCGGTCTTGGCTGCCTCAACGCTCGCATCCGATGCCGCCTTGGCCTTGTCGGCCGCCTCTGTGGCGCCTGCCATCCACCGCATGCGCTCCTCAAGCGCCCCCGCCATCTCCTCACACGTCCCCATCCTGCGCCCAGCAGATATACTCGCTCTACAGATGAAGAGTCTTGCTGGACGAGCGACGGTGTCATAGCACCACCTTTCGTGTCCCAGGTGGGCAAATAGCTGCCAGCTAAAGAGCAGAAATGAGGCTATAATAGACGAAGTCCTCAGCACGCGTCTCCCAATCACAGAATATGTCATGTTGAGGGTGTTGGAGCCTGGCAAAGAGATCAGGATAGCACATCGTGCAGAGCCATTTCTGACAGAACTGACAAAATCCCCAGGTCTTGTCTGCCAGCCCATTCCAAGCCGGTCGAGCAGTAGGATTGGTGTTGGCAGAAGTGAGAGCATCTGACCGGATGACTGAACTGTCTGCCAAAAAACTCAAGTGAGAAATCCATATGTGAAACCTCACAGCTCAGCACTGACAAGCGCACCAGGAGGCAACTGCGTCGAGGATGGGCTGCAGCTGTTCGCGGCGCACGTCGCGCGCAATGCTCTCATGCACGTGCAGCCGCTGCGCGCGCTGGTCCAGCTTGCCTTTTACAATGCCGCTGTGGAAGCAGTCAGTGATGAGCAGGTCCTCCAGCTGGCGGATGTTGCCCAGCTGCAGCTGTCCTAGCAGCTCCCCGTACGCTATCGACTGCGCACACATCAGATTTTGAATTTGAATTCCAAGTTGGCCAGCCATAATCGCTCTTTCTACTTACGCACATGCGAACTACGAGAGTGATTCGCCCAGCTGCTCTAGCACTTCCATCATTGAATCACAAATGACAAGCCTCTGCTGTGTCGGCAGCATCTTGCATGCTATCTATGGCGCGAATGCATCAGGGTGAAACTTGAGAGTTGAACATTGATGAAAGAGTGTCAGCTGTCTACCGTGATCCCTCTAGTAACCCCGCAGCAGGTATCACATGCGCATTAAGTATGCATTGACTCCACATGTGGCGTGGGGTCCTTCCAAAGTTCTTGTCTCGAAGGCTGCTCCCTGCAGTTTGTCACGAGTTTGGACACATGGCAGGGATCACCTTTTTGCTCTCTGCTATGGATATGACCGTCAGCTGCCGCAGCTTGAGCAGCTGCTGTTCGTTCAGGCTGGGCAGATTTCCAGCATTTCCTGCATTGGCACAGATCCTGTGAGGCTATGGGTTAATTTCTTTCAGCCGATGACCCACACGAGGGCTTTCTCCAGAGCAGTGAAGCAAGCATTGGGAATGCAATTGTGTGAGTGCACCTTTATAATCCGACCAGGTCCCATATGCGAACAATTGGAGCAGCTGGTGAGCTTTTAAGCACTCAGAGTTCTCCAGCTGCAGAGCACCATCGACGAGTCAAGTTTTTTAATGCAGCAAACAGTACGGTGCTGTGTCAATGGTAAGTACTCAAAACATTCATTTGCTCTCTTCAACGCTCCATGGACAAGTGTGCTCGGCCATTCTGGCAGAATATTGGCTTGATGCATCGGGTTCTTGATGGCAAGATCAGACCCCGGCTGAAAACACGGGAAGTATAGTGGGACATATAGCAAAGTTCAGGTTGGATGTGATCACCTCCTTCACGTTCGGGAGATCTAATAGCTCGCCAAATGTGAAAATGCCGGGCTCTGCTGTGACTTTCTGGATCAGATCTGCGAGGGCTAAGCCCCGTGCGCCCTTGGCCAACAGCAGGTAGCCTTCTAGTTTTGACCCAGCATCCATTCTGATTGCTTGAAGGGCCCCAGAAGCCCTGCAAAGGTAGGAGCGCTTGTTTGTACCACTGACTTGATGCAACCAAAGTGGATATGAGCGACTTGGAGTAGCGTCCAGTCGGCAGGTTCCTTGTTTTCTAGAGCCTCTAAGAACACAGCAATAGGAACACAGAAAGTTTTCTCATCGTTCAAATTGAGCAAGTTTCACGTCTGTACAGTATTCCATGACCGTCAGACGGCGTTCCTAAGTTCAAATGGCCAAACCAGGCAACCGCGGGACACGGGACAAAAAGATCTCGGGCAAATCTGACACAGCAAAAGTCACTTTCCTTTTTGAGCCGTAGGGATTCGTGGGAGCTTCCAGTCGTTTCTGGAGAGGTGTTCAGCTGTCAGCTCTACGCCTGTTGTTTGTTGCGCCACCCTTTTACGCACAGTACCTCCCAGCCCCCTAATCATGTCTTTGGGACGTTTCCTGGTCGAGAAGCACACTAGGATCGCTGCAGTGGTCTTCCCAGTGTCTTTGCTTGGAGGCCTTGCTTACACATTGAAGACAGGAGAGTCCCCGCTTGCAGACGCCAGAGACTGGGTTCAAGGTGTGTGCATGGATAAGGTCGCCCTGTTCCTGTACAGTATTGTCTGCCCTGGCTTCATGCATGCCGAAAGAGTCTCTTGATGGCGTTATTAACCCAAGAGTGCACCTTCGTGGCTCCCCGTGCCCACTGTACCCTTCCTGTCACTGCATTTCAGTAAAGCTGTGCAGACCCTCAAAGAGAGGTCAGGCCTATGGATGGGCTATCTATGGGCTATCCAACAGATTTGTCTTGATGCATGACAAGGTTCTCTTGTGACGTGCAGGCAAGGACCCTCAGCACAACATGTACACCTTGAATTTTAAATTGGGTGGCATCGGCAGCAAGTGAGCATGCGTGCTCCATTGTCAACGAATGACCAATGGCCGGGAGTGTCGCACGGGTTTCTGATGATATGTACTTGAAAAGCAGCATTTGCTGAAATTTTGGTCGCGAGGGCTGCCCCTTCTAGCAGTCTCTGTTTCATACAGCTGTAGACTTGTACACACTGTAGAATTATGCCTGTCTTTAGCGGAAGATCATGGCAAGATTTTGAAGAGGGAACAGCCATGCAAGAAGGCTGTCAGAGTTTGAGAGATATACACGCGCAACCAAGGCGCAAGAGGATGTCTGGATCCTGAAGTTTTTGTGAAGACCAGCCAGAGGTTGGTCAGTCTACTATGAGTGTGCTGGGGTTTAAACTTTTTGATCGAGAGAGTTTCCTGGGCAGCAGAAGAGAGATGCAGAGCTTGAACTGATGCAGCAAGGAACTTGCCTGTATATGTGTGGCCCCGTCTTGAGGACACATTTTGGAGAATTTGACACAGGAGTGTGAGTGTGGAGCATCAGGAACAAAGTGAATCCTGCAGTATATGAGACGTGATGATGTTGGCAGCTGTACATACATCTGGCATTGAGTTTGACAGTGCCATTTGGATCTGTCTATGCTTCTGCTGTGATCTGAAGAAACATGTTGCTGGCAATTGGAGGTTCATACATCTGAATGCTGGAATGACATTGAAAAGGTATGCAGTGGCAGACTTGTTGTGGCCCTCGCATCACACGTTTGTGCGAGGAATTTTACAAAAGCGTGCATACAAATGCAAATGATTGATCCAGCCAGTGTTCTACCATATGTGTGTGGAACGAGTTGTGCGCGTCCCGTCAAAGGAATGAAACAGCAAGGCTTTGGGTGTAACCAATACTTATTTCATGAAATTCTCGCGAAGTTCTTGATCCAGCGCTAGCGCTGTTGACGAGATCATTGGGCACAAATACCATGCGTGATGGCCACATAATTTACAACAATATCACCAAGTTGAGGGAATCCAATGAAGGCCTACTCGCATCGCATGTTGCAACAGATGTGTTCACATAGGAAGAGCTGACCGTGCCAATTCTTGCGTGAATGAAAGAACCTTGGCCACACCACAAGCTCATGGAATGCTCATGGTGTTTCCCCTGACTATATACAGACCCCAAAGAGGGCCCTCTACGGCAACACATTTGCAAGAGCCTTGCCTAAAGCTGACAGGCTCTTGACCATCTCATCTGATCTGGTGACATCAAAATTTTAAACTGATCACCCCAGAAACAATGACTGAGCTGCTGTCACGTCGGTCTCCCTTCCTCTGGCTTAATCTAAGCCTTCATGGTGCTAGCGCTCAGCGATCCTCAAAATGCCTCTGGTCATGACACACTGCATCTGTCAAACAAAGACACACAGCCACTGACCAGTATCGTCCAAAGGTCATATCAGTGTGGCCCTTGACAGAGGGCTGTCAAAAGATATCACCCACACCAATTAATAGCCAAGAGCCGTGCAACACAGAAGTTATCAAGTCTTGCAGATCAAGTGTCGCGCACAGCAAAAAGCCTTGCCTTGCATTTCCAAGGGACTTGCGGGTTTCTGCTGGACATTACTAAGTCAACCAACTGCTCTTATGAGCACCCAAACGGCCCCAAAAGATCACCAGAGAAAGGCGGTTTTAGGAGTATCTTAAAGAGCAAATGCTCCTCACTGCTTGCGCAGTGCTTGCAAAAGATCAAGTCCAGCCAACAAAGAATTGTGAAGCTTGATTTCCTAGGACATCAACACCGCGACAAGCCCAGTGATTTTCCCAGTGCACATCCCTACAATCTGGGCATGCACTGAGATAGCTCACATCTCACGTGGCCAACACCAAGGCTTCGTCCTGCCGCGTTTCACACCGAATAAAAAGATAAGTAAATGGTCTGGATGAGATGTCTATACATTCCAAACCCATGGCATGATGGGCGCTAGGAGGGTATACAATAAATGCTACCTAAGGAGAAATCCACCGGTTCAAGTGCCTGACAAACTGAGAGCCAAATGAAAGGAAACAGGAGTACTCAATTACTAGATTTGACCCAATGATTAGACTATGACCACTTCACATGCGTACAGCCACCAAGCGGACCCCAGAATTGCCTCTGGATGTTTAACAAGGACGAGACGACTCAACCTTGACTAGAGATCACTCCAGACTGATGGCCGTTGCTCCTTACTGTTTTGGCCCTTTTAGTGAATAGATCGTCACAGGCAACCCCACGTCCTTGGGATTCCTGATCATTCAGAATCTAGTGAGCGCTTGTGGCAATCCAGGGAATAAATATCTGCTAATATGCAGAAAGGAGAGTCTTGGCTTGCCTCACCAGTCGCCTTCCCTGGACTCTGCACAACTGGCACGGCCAGAAGAGAAAGAATAAACCAGGTAGTGCACGACAGCTATAAAGTACCTGTCTAGTCCCCCCAAAAGCATCCATTTAGGTGGGCATTACTCCCCTATTCGTTGCCCAAGCTTGGCTGGTGGCTTTTCCCAATACAAGCGCTGCAGAAAAATTTGGGATCCTTCTCATGCCCAGAGAAGCACAAATATGGCGGCCCGGCGTACAACTGCCCAGGCTCCTGCCAATGAAGTATCCTAGTCCCCCAACGCTCTGCAGCCCCTCTGCAACCCTGCTGACACAGCTGCAAACATGCCCTTGTGTAAGAAGCACCTGCACACTGCTCTAAGAGGGACTGAGAGGCCGCAGCACCTTCAATCCTCCAACTCTAAGACCCCCCAGTTTGTCTAAGACCCCCCCAATAGGTTCTATAACTCCATAGGGCACAGGCCTGTGCCTCACGCTGAATCCCCCCACTCCCCTGACCTTCCCTACCGTAGGAAGGTCAGGGGAGACCTTGTCGACCCCTGGCCATTTCACCCCAACTTCTCTAGAGCGCCGAGAGTCTCAGCAAGCGCGTCGCCCGTGAGGGTGGGAGCTTCTTCTACCTGTTGAGAATGGCCCACTTTGCGGCCAAGGTAGGGGCTTTGCCGCTGCCTTGGCCCTAGTAAAGTGCCACGTTTGCGGCGTGGCCAATGGCTAGAGATTATTGAATGAAATTATGAAACATTTCTACTCCTCCTTGCGGGCGGCTTCGCGGGGCACTGCATGCATGAGCATGCCCTTTGCCAGACCCACCACTAGAGTGTAATGCTCTGTCTCCCTTACTCCCTTCGGGCCTCCCATCTGCAGCAGCAACACTCCTCAGACACTATACCCAACAATCTTCAGGATGACAACATGCCTGTCGGGAAAGCCTACAGCCAGAAAGAGAATCTTGCAGTATGGTATTGGCTTGCCATTGGCGCTCGAGACAGACTGCTGACTGATAGAGGGCAAAACACGTAGCTGGCAGAAAATGCGAGGCAGCTTCTACTCAAAGAGCACAATGGCATATTACATCCCTCTACAAAGGAAACTTCTACCTGAAACATGCATAACCCTCCTTGAAGGACAGGACAAGTCCTTCCAGCCTGGCTTTGATTCCTGCCTCTGTCCCCTGGCAATGCCTTTCTTATCTCATGGCAGAGCCTTTCCTATTGAGAACAGGCGTTGCCAAACTACAGCCTATATATATATATATAACCTCCTTTTAAGAACAGGTAGATCTACATTTAATAGCCAGTAGCTAGACATGTATCCCCCTGTTTAGAATAGAGTCTGAGTGCTGACCTCGTCGGCGAGGCGGAAGGTGAAGTGCTGCATGAGCGTCGCCATCGTGCCCAGCAGGCTCACCTTGGCCAGGTTCTGGCCCACGCAGTTTCGCGGCCCCTCCGCAAAGGGGAAATAGCGCTTGGGCCGCATGCTGTCACCTGCGCGCAGCCCACAGCACACAACGTCATTTGTTTGCTGCCTAGTCTGCATGTTGTTTGCTTGCCAGCCTGTACAGGCCCTCACGGGAAGTTTCACTGCTGATCCCCTTTCTGCATGTATGCTAGACAGGCTATCACTCGTTTGTACACCTTACAGCACCCAACTCCAACAAATGCTAGCCCCTTGTTCACGTGTTGCACACATCATGCATGCCAACAAGATGCACAACAAGCAGCTGTCATGCTTAAACTTCAAAAGTAATTCCACCTTTGCTGCCGTTTGCATAGCAAGGATTTCTCTCTCTGAGGACCAAAGAGCAGACCAAAGAGCAGACCAGAGACAGTGCATGCAAGCATCAGAGCTAGTGCACAGAGCATCACTGAGCTTGGCAGCGTACAATCAGAGAACGTCAACCACTTGCATGTGCGAGCATTAGTCGCGGTGAGGGATGCTGACGGGGACGCTGACTCACCCTCGTTGATGTCGGCGTCGGTGAGGCCGCGCGTGGCGCCAGTGTGCGTTCCCTCCTCCCACTCCTTGTACCACTCGCGCGGCAGAGGCAGCTTCTCCGGCACCGCGTACTCCGTCCCGGGAGTCAGCCACCGCTCTGCGCAAGCAAATTCAAATTCAAACGTAAAATCGAAATCAGATTGGCATGATCGATGACAGTTGATGCGAAAAATGACTGTTCCAATCACGGGCCAGACCGCTGAGCAACCTGTCACCAGTACATATAGTATATGCTTATCTGCTTGCCGTTACAGACCAGTATATGCAATTCCAAGAGCCCCAGCATGCAGATCAACGTGCTCTTCCATACGATGTCATGTCAGGCTCGAGATGATGCGGAAGACACAGCAAGAGCCAGCCTTCAAAGCACACATCAAGGGGCAATGCTGTTTACAGGGTAGGAGGGCGCACCTGGCTTGAATTTCTCGGGCTCGTCCCAGTTGTAGGACACATTCTGCATGGCGTGGTGGGGAACCCAGATGGCCGTGCCGGCTGGAATGTGCAGCCGGCCTCCCAGGGTGATGTCATGGGTGTTGCTGACGCGCACCTGCCCTATCGACACCGGCGGGTACATGCGCAGCGCCTCCTGCAGCGCCAAATTCAAATTCAAAACTTAAAACTTCAAAATCCCAAGTTTTTCAATTTTTGCGAGAATGCGAGATCCATGTTGAGCTCATCGCTGAAGCCCGCTCATACAGGGCAGGCAAAGCATTATGTTTACACACACGATCCATGATGGCCGCTTTACGGGGAGGATCGATAATGTAAGCCTGTCTCATCAAGTCGCATGACAAGATCGCATGCATGCATGTCTCCAGAGCAATGCTTCATCTCAATTCCCAGGAGCCCAGGAACTTCCCCCCAAATTTGCCAGTGCCTCAAGGGAATTCAGCAGCGCGGCAGCAAGCCATACCTTGATGACGGCGTTGAGGTACACCATCTTAGACAGGTCGCCGTAGACCATCGGCCGCGGGTTGGGCCGCTCGGGAGTGATGGTCAGCTCCAGAGAATCCAGCTCTTCCATTATCCCGGCCTCCACCTCTGGGTGCTGGGAAATGAGATACCTGCCCAGGATGACAAACACAAGGTCAAATTCGAATTCCCTCCCTTTTCGTCACTCCAGCCACTGGTATAATTGAATTGGAAGGATCCACGCTCATCTGCAGTGGCATTGATATTTATTTTCATTGGGGCAACGGGGTCCTTCAAAAGAAAAATACTAGACACGAAGGGCTGCAAGGCAGGATAACGTGATCATTGCAGTTTTAAGGTTGCTTCCATGAATGCGCTGATAAGAATGGCAGCAGCCCTTTTTAAGAGTTCTGAGCGCTCGACAGTACTATAATATCCTTAAATGTGCGAAATGTCAATTTGGCACAGCATGCAGAAGAAGGAAAAAAGGCACTCACAGGACGAAGGTGCCGGTGTGGCCGGTTGTGTCGATGCCTGCAAAGAACAGCGCGGCCATCTCCGGGAACATCTTTTCATCGGACAGCCGCTTGCCGGTCTTGGGGTCCTTGGCCTTGAGGAGAAGGTCTGCGAAGCTGCCCGGCTTGGGCTGCCCGGCCTTGATGTGGTCCAGCAACTGCCAGATGATGGTCTGCCCAACACAGAACATGTGTCAGGTTCCATCTCCAATCGTAAAATCGGCAAGAAAACGCCGTGCACTAAAACAGGAAGCTGGCTGACGCTGAGGCTAGTGAAGGTGACATGCAGGCCCAAGAGCCTATGTCTCCCAAACCAGTCCCATTAGCAGTCCTTGCGCTTCTAATGGAATCTGAACCAAGGCATGCCAAGTCGCACTTACAAATATCTAACAAATTGAAATCTGGACTTGATATCTAGCGGCATGGGGTGACTATGCATCACTGCCGCCTGTCACAAGTGTCTTCCCCTGAGGGCAAAGGGTCATTCGAGTCACCTCTACAAATTGAATACAGTATACAGAACCTCCTGATCCAAAACAGGGCACATGACCAGAGACTCACCTTGAATCGGCCCAGCACGGCCCAGCCTTCGCGCACGTCCTTCTTCCACAGTTTCAGCCAGCGGTTGACCTCCGGCAGGCGCTTCTCAATCTCATGCGTGCTGCCCAGCAGTGCATTCACGTTGTCGCTGTCCTCGCTACGGCCGCTGTGAAGGCTGCTGAGCGCGTTCATCTCCCTCTGGAACCCAAACCGCCCTGCGCAGCCAGAAAATGCTCTGGTCAGCTTCTTCTTGAAATACACTCACCCAGTACACCGACAGCCACAGGATTATTCATTTCTTTTCTATCACTGCGGCGAGGAGGTGTGGACCTCCATCAGGCCTGCCGGATAACCTCCTCTCTTGCACTGCTGGCGGCTGCCTCAAAGAGGGAATACGAGGCTGTCCTCATCTGACACGCAGGGTAAAGGGGCGTGTCCTCGTCCGATGCAAAAGTAAAAGCAGGATTGCCGGCATGCATGCGCGGAGAGACTCCAACAGCACGAGGCCTTCGTTAAGATGGCTTTCTGCCAAGAGACTTGCTCGGAAAAGGATTTCTTCCCGCCTCGTGATGGCTGACAGGGTCACACAAGTGCTTGGATATGCTGGGCCGCGTCGCACATTGGTTCCTTCACATGAGGCGACAGCAAGGTCATATTGTTTCTCCTGAACAGACTGATGCGCAGGGACAAGTGCAAAGAGGGCAAGTTGGTTTTTGAGTCGCACCAATGACGTCCATGGATTCGCGCAGGAGCAGGTTGTCAACGTTGTGCACCTTTTGGTAGCCGGACTCCTTCAAGTACTTCACAAGGCTCATGCTGGCCTCTATCACATGCGCCAGCGCGAACCTGGCAACACATCGGGAACCTGTCAGTTTCCGAGGCAAAAGTACTACATAAAGTGATTGAAAAACTCTTTCCTGCCTACAATATATTCGCCATGAATTCCATTCTTGCATCCCCTCTCAACTCGAAGGTACCTTTCAAATAGAATAGCATGCCCAACCACTTTGAGCAAAATCAGGAATTGATCTTCCTGTATCAGGTATTCATATTCCTGTCGCCCCGTTTGCGGGCTGCAGTGCTGCAGTGCAGGATACCAAGCACGAGGAAATCAGATGGTCAATACAAATTGCAGCTGCAAGGACTCTGCCCCAGCAAGATACAAGGATTGATGCATGACTCACTGCACCTGCAAGTTCTTGGGGGTAAAAGTGCAGACATTGGTGCATGACTCACCTCATGTTGCCAGCGCTGAATGCTGGGGCCACTGCCTTGCGCACGGCCTTCCAGTGGTCGTCAGTGTGTCCAGTCAGCATGTTGGTGCCCCCCAGAAACTGCACAAGCAAACAGCACCGCAGTCAGCTGCTGCCACAATTTGGATGCATGGCTTCAGCTGCTTAGTCTGCCCAATAATGAGGACATCATTGCTTATTCAAGCGCCAAGTTTACCGAGTGCTGAACACCCCGTGCTAGTTGCACTGGACTTAGTTATCTGATAATTATCTGCATTGCACTGGATTCAAAATAGCGCTAAGCAAAGGTACGATACTAGTCAGTAAGCATGTGCCACTCGCATGGATGAAGCGGCAATCAGGCCCCTGTCTTCTTAGGCTTTTTGTGTCGACCACCGGCATATTCTGCGCGGTAGCATGCCGCGTAAAGGAGCAGGGGTGAAGGCAGGTGCTCACCGGGTCCAGGAAAGAGTATTGGAAGCGCAATTTGTCCACCACTTTGCTGCGCAGGACTTGCGTTGCTAGAACAGGGTCGGTAATGCAGACGACCTGCGCACGCATGCATGCATTCGAATTCAAATCCAAAATCTGGGCTTTGATAATCTCCATTGAATCTTCAGAGCCACCGTAGAGCCACCACACCCCTGCTCTGCAATTCTGATGGGCTGGCATAACACAGGAGAATGTACTCAGCTGATCGCTGCACCATTCCAGCCCAGAAGGTTCTTCTCACTGTTAATCGTGAAAGTGTCGAAAATGACATATCGATGAGGCCGCTTGACGTGCAAGGTAGGTGAACCAGCCAGGCAGCGCTGTCTTTGGGCATGGCAAGGCTCAGGTTGCTATACAGCAAAGTGTCTTGCAGGAATAGGAGGAAGGACAGGTGTCTCAACACATGCAACACCAGACAAGGTGAAAGAAGCCCGGTTGGGTGCAGGGATTGTAGGTACGCACATGGAAGCACATGATGCGGAACTTGAAGATGGGGCCAAACTGCTCTGCTAGCTCCGTTGCATATCTGTGGACGTCCTTGCGCTCAACGAGCTCCATGAAGCCCAGCAGGAAGGGGTATTTCGGCCCTGGTAGGTGCCTCAGCGCGACAGAACGCTTGTGCATTGCGGTCGCCAGCCTGTAAAAGGGGGCAGAAGACGCTCAGCACAAGGTGTGCCCCCATTGGACATCCGAACATGTGGGTCCGCAAGGTGTCCATACATACTGATCGGAGATTCGGACGTCGTACGGCTAACTTTCGATGAGAAACAAACCAGAAAGAGATTGTGTAAATGGTAGCACGATTGAGTGAGCACCTGAGCACGGTCCAGCCTGCGAGAGCGATGTACGCACTGCAAATGGCCACCAAGAAGCTACCACCCTGCAGAGTCCCCGAGGCGGCCCTTGCGAGGACCGTGATGGCCCATATGAAGGCTGTCAATGAGACGATTGTGAAGAAAATGAAGTCGTATTGGTGCCAAGCCAGCTGCTGCGCCTGACGCAATGCGAGGTACGTTAGCCTCCAAAGGAGCACCGTTCAGATCAAAGCAGACAAGACGCCAAGGAACAATACTGTCACACAAGAGTGCTTTCAAAACATCTGTCCGTGCAGAAAGTTCAGTTTGCATCTCGGCTGTGCAGCTTTCAATTCAAGACTAGAGCGCACCACATCGCCCAGCCTGACGTGACGGCCAAACAGAGGGATCGACCTCAGGTTGGGCATCGCGATGTGCCTCAAATAGCCTTAGGATGATTTGTATGCGGCGCTGTGCCAGGCTACAGGTGGGATCTATGTGCTCAGTGCTAACAATCCTCCGATCCTTAAATCCGGCGCTGCGCGGGGATCAGTCCCGAAATCCCTCAGCTGCCAGCAGGTAGAGGTTGCAGACTCTTTGTCGTGCAGCAGACTGCTGGAGCTGGATCCAGCTTTCGAATTTAATTGGAATTCATGCTTTCGATAGCTGTACATCTCGTGTGACTTCAGCAAGGAACCCTAGAAGTTCCCTAGCAGGCCAGCTGTCGCCTTCTGCATCGCTCAGCGCAATGTCGTGGCTCCATCCACGTGGGAAGCTGCCGCCCGCCCAATGCGAGCTCCTTGCAACCAATTGAATTTCAGAACGCAGAGCAAAACTGTTGAAGCAACGTTGTCAATAGGCTGCGCACCTGACATCCAGGAATTCCGAAGGTCAAATTTTTGCGCCTACATACACCATGCACCATGCGGCCATCATGGGACGTGACCGCCAGGTGACCTCAGGTGACGTAAGGCTTAGGATGCCCGGCATATGAAATCTTCCACCGGCAATTCGGAGTCACAACTGCAGCTGCATTGATGTGCAGCTGTGGCTGGCAGCCTTAGCAGCCTCAGCATGGCAGGCGCCGCAGTGACTCTACCCGAGTTTCCACCGCCACGCTCATGTGATCACACGGTCACACAGTCACATAATCACACGGTCACACGGTGTGACACCGACTAAGAGTCGGGTCCATGAGCATGCCATCATCATGATGATGGGAGTGCCCAGCCCGGAACAAATTTTTCCGAACAATGCCGCATGCATGTCTTTAATCCCCCGGCCGTCAGTGCCGCGCGTCACTACGATGGTCTCCGGAGACCACAGATCCGTGACACTGTCACATGGCATGCGATCTTCCTTGCAGTTGAGCAGCTGTGCTCCCAGAGGCTAGCCTTTTTCGACTTGCCGCAACTCTGCGGCAGAGTGTCCTTGCACCCGCATCTGTGCAGTGCGAGTCTGTGCCACACCCCGAGTCAGTGATGGCTCCTAGAGCCCAGCATCCTCATCATGATGCCATCTTTAGCCATCGCATAGACAGTAGGTCAGTGGGTAGGTGGACTTAGGCCAGGCTGGCCCACGCTCAGCGAAGTGTTCTGTGGCAGCAGCCTCCGAGCCTGAGTCAGGCTGCTGAGTTGCGCAAACTTTGAAGGCTTTACTGTGACACAGTCCTTGGTGGGCCACTGGCAGTGTTTCCAGCATAATAACGTTAATGATCAAGACCGGCTCAGCTGTAGCGTCTGGCAGAAACAGTGGCAGCATTACACCAAATACTTAAGCTTGGGCTGCTATAAGCCCTATGGCCCTCTGGACTCTGGGTTCGCCACTCATCAAGATTATTATGAGGACAACCACTTCATAATTGAGGTTGCATGCAATTCTGTTCAAATACTTCCCTTGATCGGAAGGTTAATGATCGGGAGGGTTCTGGGTGACTACTCTGAGCATGTGCTAAGCAATTGAGATCATCGTCTGAAACCCAAGATCAAGCCTTTAAGGGGTATCCTGGAAGTTACATGCTACTAAAACCGTGTATCTTCTGGATCGCGCCATCGATCGCATCTGCTATTGCTTTGTCGAGGTGCGGAGAAAAAGCGCATGAGTACCAGGGTTCCTTTGGCTTTGTCATAGACGATATTTCGCATTCCATGAGAACCCATTAGCGTTTAAAAGCAGCAAACTATTTGCTTGATATAACAACGCAATCGCAAAGGATAGACGGTCTCTATCTAGGCATCCATCCATACGCACAATTGCCACATGGTCTCCGCAGGCCATTGACGTGTGCAGTCTCAAGGATGGCAACCTTTGGACGATTGAGTTACAAGCAATTATATTTCATATGCGCGTGAGGCGCGGAGGGTAATAACAGCAGTGTAGCTGCACTGGTGCGCAGAGGCAGCATAGTATCTACTTGATCTGTCTCCAAATCGAAGCAGCAGCAAGCGTGGCAGAGCCACCTTGCCCTTATGGTAGCATACGTAGAGGTGCCTGGCTGAAGAGGCGGTCGCAGGGGCCCGTGAACCTGGCAGGGCAGATGCCAGGTGGCTCTCTGCTGCTGTTGACAGCTGCAGCGGCAGTTCTGCTGCTCAGCTGCCCGCCAGGCCCTGTGGAAGCCTGGGGACATGTGGAGATGGGCCAGCCAGGACCCCTGCAGGGTTGCTGTGGTGGGAGGGGCATTGCACGAAAGGTGTTGCTGCAAGTGGAACCTCAAACAGCAGAGTCCCCAGGGCAGCAGGAAGGCAGCCTGACAGGTACTATTTTGGCCTGCTGCTTATCTATCTTCAACTCCATTGCCTTTCTTGCGCAGGATGGGCTGCAAGTTGCCTTCTATCTGCTCAACATATTCCCATGCATGATCATCTTGAGCATACGCACATGCAGATCCTGGTGTGCATGCAGCATGCTTGTGGCAGTATCACCTAACAAGATCAAGCCAGAGATTTTGACTTTTGTTTGTAATTCAAGTTGCAGCGGGGCCACCGCCACCTGTCACATCCGGTGTAGCGCAGTCGCCTCCTGCCGAGCCGCCCCCAGAGCCTCAGCCGCCCGAAGTAGCTGCCTCTCCTTCACAGAACCCAGACTCGCCAGCCGCCGCTCCAGAAGCCCCTGTGGTGATTCTTCCTCCCTTCAAATTCTACTCCACCTTGTGTAAAACCTTGCTTCTTCCTACCATCTTCCCACCATCCGTAGCAGCCTGACACTTCAGCATGAAGCATCGCCGGGAGTGCTAGAGCATTGGTGCACAATCGCCTGTGCAGGACGTCCAGTCTGTAGCCTCCTTGAAGGCTGCTGCACAGCCTCATGTCTCTCCTTGCATGGCTCTGACACTGCACTTTAGCCTTTGTGAATTCTTTTCACTCATATGGCACTTGCAGCTTGTCTGCAGACGCACCTTGCTATTGGCAGGAAAAGCGTGTAATGATAATACTAAAGGAAAGGTGGCACTTTTGCAGGCATCCCCTGAGCAGCAGCAGCAGCCAGAGGCTTCCCCACCCGTCACTCCATCTGCCGAGACCTCTCCATCGCCGAACATCCCCCAGCAGCAGCCAGACAGCAGCCCCAGGAGCCCATCGCCGGTGAGCAGAGCTCCTTAAGACATGCCAGGGATTATGCAGCTTCTTCTGAACGCTGCAGACATTTTCACAGTATGCTGGGCGCTCTTGAAAAGCGGTGACTTGTACTGGGCCGGGGGATCGCTGCATTGTTGCTGCACCATGGTCACTTGCGAGGCAGCCCTTCCTTTCATGTCTGACGCTGTCACTGCCTCGGTGGCTGCATTCCATCTTAGCTTGGTTCACAGAGAGAAAGATGCAGGCAATAAAGACAGAGCGAGTGCCCAAAAATCCTGTGACTTGTGAAAAGGCTGTCTAAATTGTGCGGTGACTGAATTGTCCACGCTGGCGGCAGGTGCCGGCCGCGGACAGTAACCCTTACTACACCCTGGCCAAGAAGCGGATGTTCCCTCTGCGGCCCTCCACCCCGGTGCTCGAAAATGGCACCGCCTATACAAGGGAGCCTGTTGACACGAGCTCAGCAGGTGCGACACTCTTAACTCGCTCTTTTATTTCCCAGCGTTGCATGCTTTCCTTACGCATGAATGATCATGGCCTTCCAGTGAGCATCCTTGGAGTGCTCAGACTGCATTCACCAGATTTGCTATATGCTCATTTGAGCTCTGAAAGCTGCTTGAAATGGTGCAGGGCGTTCGGGAGAGGCATCTCCGGCAGCACAAGGATTGCCGTCACCTCCTGCAGGGGGCGAAGGAGATGTGAGCAGCTCTTCACTATATCATCCTTATGCTCTAAGATTACCCAGACGGTCACGGCCATGTCACTGAGAAATGAAGATCAGATATGCTTCAGGGCTCAGTGACACACATTTTAAAACGTAATGTCCAAACCAGAACACTTTCAAAAACTTTTAAATTAATTTGCAATTCGAAGAAAGGGAAACAAGAAAAGAAATATTTCTTTGTTGCTGCAGCAGATGTCGCTGCTGGCGTTCCGCATGCAGTTCATAGTGGCGGGGCCGGGGTTAATCCCCTGGGCCTATGATACTCCCTTCCTGGCCGGCATGAATGATTACCTCGGCCCGAACTCCGGAGTTGGCAACCTCACGATCCGTAACTGGGCCGAGGTCAATCTTGCCAACTTCCCGGTGGGTGCTGTGTCCCATCTGTCATGTGCACCACTGACTGTCAAGAAGTAAACGCCCCCTGTGCTCTGTCAATCCTATAGCTCACTGCACTGGAGCACTGCTTGTCTTGCATGCGCCGGGAGGTGTTTGCAGTGTTGATGCACTATGTTACACCTGGAAGGTAGCCCTTCCTCCCCACTGTGGCGCTCGCCCTGTCTTGCATGACTGCATTCCGCTCACATCAAGACTCAGAACCAAGACAGGAAAAATCTTGGAGCTTGAGTTGATTTCCATCCCCATCTCCATAAGTCCATCATTGTATCACGGCTTTGCAGGAGGTGCCAGCGCTGCTGAGTCTGCCAAAAGACGGGCTGGGGTCGCCGGTGTGGATAATTATGACTGGCACAACCACGGCGCTGCGCGGATACAACCGGCTCATCTCGCGCATCGTGCCTCTGACTGCCGCCTCGCGCTCGGCCGACCTCATCCCTTACATGGTGGTGCGTGGCTTGTGCCCCTACGTGCTTCCAATGGTGTATCTTCAGCCTCTTGTTGCATCTTCGGTGCATTTGGGCTAGCCTATTGAGATTTTAAAGAGTGACTTCTTCTAGGTCCGCCGCCTACGTGCAGTGTCAGTGTTGCATGCGTTCAGAGCCAAAAGCCACAAGTAGTATGTACATTCAGGGTTATATTGTCAGAGCCACGAGTTGATATTGAGTCCCAGAGCTGGCTAGCTAGTTTGTGTCGAGCTTCGTATGCAGCAGGAAAGATTAAAAAAAGAAGATAGTGCAATATGTAAGCAGGAAGTGCAAGTATACACGCTCTTTTAGCAAGCAGTTGGGGCCAAGCGGGGCATCAAGCTTTTGAGTTGAAAAGAAGGCTTTTTTTACGCATGCGTTGATCTGTGCCGATGGGTATCAAGAGGATATCATGTGCTTGGTCTTGTCTGTAAAGTCCTCAATTGGGTGAGACGGTGGTGTACCCACAGGCGGACGGGCTGAATGTGACGAGGGTCTTTCTGTACAACTTGGACTACGGCCCATTCACGCAGCTGCCTCCGGCCGTGCCGAGCGCGCCGCCAGCCGTGCAGTCGCGGCAGGTGCCGCCACCTGATCGCCGACCGCCATCCGGAGGCGTCCCCTCCGCCGCCGCGCCGGCTGGCGCCGCCGCGGCGGCCGGCGCGTCGGCCGCGGCTCAGAGCGACGCCAAGGCCAACGTGGGGATGATCGGCGGTGAGCCCCGACATTCTGTCTTGTAATTTATGAGCAGCCCAGAGAGCCGGTAGTTGCAAAGTGGCTCACAAATAAAGCTATACAATGGTCAGTGATTGGGGTCGTGAGACATGAGAGTAGCTGGCACTGACCTTTCTAGTGAGAGGCTCAAGTTGCCATCCTCCAGTAAGTGTCTGCATGTTCATCGTATTGCAAAGCATTCTGACAATACTTGGAGCATTGAAAGTTGCGCCTCTTACTGCGCATTGACCGCTGTTGACCTTGCTTGCTGGGAGCAAAGATGCTTGAGGCTTTGTGCTGGTGCCTTCTTGCAGGCGTGGTGGCGGCCGGGGTTGTGGGCATAGTGGCGGCTGCTGCGTTTCTGTTCCTGTACGCGCGCACACGCAGGCGCAAGGCCGAGCACTTGCTGGCCCTGCACTCCTCTGGTCTCTCCCCTGCCAAATCAGGCACGTGTCTATGCATGCCTCAGTATCCGTCCTCTCTTGCCATGCCCGCTGAACAAGACTTATCTCTAACTTCTTTGATCACCATGCAAATGCCCGCACGCACTAATTTAGCTGTTCATCTCGAGCTACTGTAGCTCCATTCCCTCCGGCATGTTATGAATACCTCCGAGCAGGAGCCTGCTGCACCTGTTTGAAGATTCTTCAGCCGGGCCTTTTGCAAGCCATAGTTTGTAACCCAAGGTTTTCTAAAAGTGGATTTGTCGTGCAAGACTCAGGGGAGTGCTTCTTTTTACGCAGGGCCGTCGGAGGGGCACAGGCGCAACCGCAGCTTTGATTGGGCGGGGCGGCTGTGGGGTCCCCCCTCTCCCGGACCCCCCGGGACCCCCAACCTGAGGGGCAAGGCCTCCCTGGCGCAGGTGCGTTTCAGCCTGATATTATATCTGCCCTTAAATTCCCCCTTAAATCCTGAAACCAACCTTGCCAACCCCAATTCTGGGAGCTGATGTACGCCCACCCTTTCCCAGACTGTGGGCTTCCCGTCCTGGGGTGAACGTACTGGCTGATCTCCATTTGCGGAGATCTTGAAACCGAAGCAGGAATGTGAAGACATCTCCGGCCCGGTCTGCATTACAGACGCCCGGAATCCATTTGTGTGATACCACGTGAGGAGCTGTCTCCAGGGCTTGCCGGCCACTGTGGGGAGTCATTGTGATCCTCCTCGTGGTCAAAGAACCTTAGAACTTTTGGGGAGACACGATAGCTTCTGAATCAAATTTGATTGGCGCAGGCGCGCTCCAGCGCCCTGAGCGCTCGGCGCAGCGACCCTTGGGCCATAGACCCCGCAGAGATCCACGTCATGCAGCAAGCCGACGGCCAGCCCTGGGTGCTCGGCGAAGGCGCCTCCGGATCGGTGCGTCTCTCCTCATTGTATGCTATATATATAGGGGTGCCCTTTATTCACCCCTCTTAATACACCCTCACACCGCAAGGGAAGCAGTGGATCCGAGCCGATGCTGAGACTCCGCATAGTGCATGGGAATTGGTGTGCCTATCCCTCTCCCATCACACTGCATGTTACCATACAAGAGCAAGCCAGCGGCGTTCATATCAAGCGTCGCTCTTACTTCTGGCTGGATTATAGATGATGTTGTGTGAATGTGGTGTGCTGGAGACCCGGTTGGTGTGCACGTCCGAGGGAGGCTTCCGTTTGCCAGTGAGTTGAGCGGAAGCCAATCTTTTCTTGTGCACCTACTTGGCCTCTAGATCCTCACACCCACTCCAGCCAGTCTAGGTTCTTTCTTTCCGGCATGCCTTGCTTCGTCATGCGCGCCTCTGTGCATGAATTGCTGCAGCTGTTTATCGATGGGCGGTGCTATTTCCTTAGGTGTACAAGGCGACCTGGCGGGTCCAGACTGTGGCGGTGAAGATGCTCACGCACACCACGGAGAAGCAAATGGAGGCGTTTCGCAGGTCAGCTCCCATTTCTCTACTTATGTACTGCATTATTGAAATGCTTTATTAAAATTTGGCATTTGAACTAAGGAAGAAAGTCAAGTGTGGCTCTTCCTGCAAAGCATGCTGTCTGCTGGCCTTCTGCACACCTTGACAATATGCCCAAGTCCATTCTCCTTACTTTCAGCGCTCGCTCTGCTCTGATGTCTGCATTCCTCGTTCTCTGATTTGCACAAGTGTGGCCGCATCAGAGACGTGTTAGCTTGGACCAGGGATGATGCAATCGTGGTGGATCTATGTGCTCAGCCAGACAGCAAGGTCTGCAATGCAGCTGCTGAGACGCGCGCATCCAAAAGGGATAAAACCCCTTTTGGTTGTCAGAACCCGCCAGAAAGGCACCTTTTACACCCACACAACCTGGGTAATTGTGGTATTACCCTCCGCCTGAGTGTGGCATAAGCAACCTGCCCTGATGTTTAAGTTGTGCTTTCCTTGCGCAGGGAGGCCTTCATACTGGAGGACTTGAAGGACGCCAACATAGTGCAGTTCATGGGCGCCTGCTTTGATGAGGGCAGCACCATGCTGGTCACAGAGTTCATGGCGGGGGGAAATCTGTTTGACGCCATCGGCAACGACCGCTCTGGCAAGCTCGGCTGGTACCAGAGGTATCTTGCTTACCCTCAAAACACCCCTTGTACAACTTTACCACCCTTTGCACAATACCCTTTGCCCGTACTTTTGAGACGCTGGTGATCGTGAGCTAAGGCCGGTGTGGACAGAAGATATGGCATCCTCCATTGCATGGCTGTGGCTTATTCATTTAGCATGCCACAGCCATGCGATGAATTGAAAAAGGTGCTGAGCTCGTCCTCTAGGCCTAGGATTCCGGCCTTGTTATTTCTTGGGTATGGATAGCGTGCCACCTTCGCCTGGGTTGACAGGCGCCAAGAGACTGTTGCCTCAGCCTTTGGATTGCAGTGGTGGGTTGATTGGAGTTTCCAGCCGGTGATTATGGGTGATGCTCGCCAGTGCATGGCTGTTGCCCGTGAAAACCGCCGGGCCTAACTGGCCGGCCCGGCACTGTGGGGGTGTGACTACTTTTTGTTGCCTATACTCCCAAAGAAAGGTGATGGGCCAAGTTTATGTCCATGCTGGTGGATATGGTTGGTGCCCGCTGTTTCACAGCTGTCGCGTGTATGCACCTGCCGGGCCATTCCACTCGGCCAAGCACTGAGGCTCTTGCATACTGGGGCAAGGATGAGCTTGCTCCATGTCCTGCCGAGGGACATGGTGTGCAGGCTGGGCTGCGTGTTCTATTTGAGCAAAGAGAGGGAATTTATCCCAGAAGCATGATATGTATATTTTTATCGATAAGAGCCCAACAGTTTTGCCTGGTCAAATGCACGGTCCCAAAACGAGGGAATCTCTGCTCAGGAAGATATTAAATCTCCTTCGGAGAGTTCAGGATGTAGCCAAGGATCTCTGCTGCTGGAATGCATCCCAATGGCCCGGCTTGGGTTTGCAGTGGTGTAATTTGTACTTTTGCAGAAGTAAAAGAAACAATGCCGAGCGTGTAATGCGCTGCGGATGCAGGGGCAGCGAGAGGGGTGATTAATTTTGCAATGGTAAAGGAACTGACGCTCAACGCTCTGATGTGCTGTGTTTCCAAAGGCCGCAAGAGGTTTGCAGTGGGTTGGTGTGTACTTTTGCAGTAGGAAAGGAGTTGGTGCAGAGCGTGTGATGGGATGCGTCCAAAGGGGCCCGAAGATGACTTTGCAGCGATGTCCCACCATGGGAGAATGGCATGGGGAGTTGCATGCACAATGGAGCACGTAGCTCACATTTGGTGCGAACGACTGTGAGCCTGTGATGGGGTGAATTTGCAGGGGCCGCAAGATAGCGATGGATGTGGCGCGAGGCCTGGACAAGATGCACAGCCGCCACATCATCCACCTCGATCTCAAGTCACCCAACGTCCTCCTCACCGCCGGCGGCACCGCTAAAATCGCGGTGCGCTAGCCCTTCTTCGCCTTCTCTCACATGGGCTCCAGATGCAATGTAATTCACACCTATTATTCAGGTATGGTTGTCTGTCGTGTCCTGCAACGTTGGTTGTTAATACAACAACGTCTAGCTGTCAGATGGCATTTCATCCCGCCAAATTCGCGGTGCGTCGCCGCCGGTTTTTCTCTGTCACAGGGGTTCAAAAATCAAGTGTTACTATCAGTATCAGCAGTGCTGTCGTTGCATGCCTATTCTGCCGGAGGCGTCTGCAGACAAGCTGCAGGTAAAGGCTACCGAAACACTGTCCCTTGTCGGACTCGCCAGATCCAAGCAAGACGCAATCAACCATGGGCACGGCGCTCAGCATTTGTACACTTTTTCAGCGGGGGCCAACTTTTACATACAACAAATCACCAGTGTGTGGCTGTCAATCTTGCTCTGCAGCACGATGCGTCGTCATGAGCAGGATATGTGGCATTTCTGACGAGTGCATGTGCATGTGTGCGCAGGACGTGGGCCTGTCAAAGATCCTGGTGAACGAGAGCACGATGATGACCAACTTCCAGGGCACCTTTGAGTGGGCGCCCCCCGAGCTGATAAACGGCGGCGAGTGCAGCGAGAAAGCCGACATCTACAGCTTTGGCGTCATCCTGTGGGAGATCGTCACCGCCGAACGGCCCTTCCGCAAGCAGTTCCGCACCCCCAGGCATGGCCCCAGATTTTGTCCCTCCTTTATCAATTGGACCTGAATCTTGGGAATGAATGAATGCTCTCCCAGGGACAGTGTGAGCCTGTCTGACTGGACGACTGCAACTTGGCCTGTACGCCACTTTCCATTGCAGAACAAGTAAAATGCCATGCATGGGATGCTGGCTGCTCCTTTCATCCAACATAAGGGAGAGTGTCTGTGAGAGGTGCCACGTGTCTGCAATGGAATGGAGCGTGGCCTGCATGTAATGTTTTTTAATGGGGTGACTCACTGGATGACTAATGGGTGCAGGTCTCCGGAGGAGTGCCCTGCGGAAATAGCAAACTTGATCAGGGACTGCCTGTCACCAGAGCCCGAGTCGCGGCCGTCATCCACCGTCATTTTTCACATCCTGCAGCAGCAGGCCGCCCTCGCTCCTCACCTGTCCACTCCGGAGGCAACGCCCCGCGACAGTGCTGATGTGTCTGCACACACCAGGTGAGCTGCTGGGGTGTGCCAGATTTTGAATTTAGATTTGTGCTTGGAGCTGTGCGTGGCCCTGCTGCATGTTTAAAAAGATCAATCATAGCCCCATTGCTATGTAGCTTGGACAAGATGTGGAATCGCGCCGGTGCTATTTTCCTTTATGTGACTCAGCCACTCTTTCCACTGCGGCTGATAACGCCGCAGCTGCAGGTCCATTTCAGACCGGAAGTTTCATCCATGTCGTTCCCACCCTGCTTTGTGACATGCCAACGAAGTTCCAAAAAAGATTCTTCTCCTCTTGCCCTCTTCTTAACACATGCGCATGCATCATTGAAGTTTCTGACCTGTGCAATCTTGTGTGCAGGGAGGACGCGTCCACATCAGCGCGAGCGGCTGACGCGGCCGCCCCGGTGCTGCCAGCTGTGCCGCCGGCCGTTTTGGCGCGCGGCCCAGGCGCGGTCATGGAAAAGGTGGCGTTGCCTCCCAGGGTGCGCACTTTTGGCATCTCTTGAACTACTATAGGGATTTTGACGTTCAGGAGATAATGGGCCTCCCAGGGTGCGTTCTATTGGCATCTCTCGAACTTCAACATGGGTTTGATTGTTGCACAGATCATGGGCTTCCCAGGGTGAGCTCTTGTGGCACCTCCTGAGTTGCTCCAGGTTCTGCTGGCAATTCTTACCTGTTCCAGTGCTGTGGATTGTTGAAGAGACAATGGAATGCCTGAAGAAGAGGTCAAGCACTCCAGAACTGTTTGGGACATTGCTTCACTGGTGCATTCATTGTTGGAGGTGAGGGTGATACCTGACTTTGGCAGCCTGGACGCGATGGAGTGAAGCCTGGTAGGCCGATGCCTAGAACCCAGGCTTCACTCGAATAAGTTAAGGCTGCTCAAGTGAAGGGAATTGCGCCCACCTCAGCAGCGAGTGCATTGAAGCCCGCATGTACAAACGAGCCCCGATTAGCTTTCAGCATTTCACATCTGGGCTTCCTTACTTGTAGGCTGTCTGCGTATCCTTAGGTGTTGCTGGACTGGTTTTTAATCTTCTATCCATTCAACAGACAAGCAAGCGTCTTGCTGCTGCCACAGATACACACCGTACCCGACAATGGCCTTGCTGACATTTGGGTGGCTTCTTATTGCAGCCGAGCACGCCGATAGGGGAGAGGATGCCGCCCGGGCTGCCCAAGTCACCCAGCCGGCCGCCGCCCACAAGCGACACGACATCAGTTGGCACACCCAGCGGCAATGGGCTGCCTCGCAGACCCTCTGCCACCACCACAGCCACCAGCAGCTCCCAGGTGGGTCTCCCAGTTGATGCATGCTGCCTTTCTGTCGCATTCATAGCGGCTTTAGAATCCACTCACAAGGACTATGCGCTCTGGTACTCGTGATCCTGTGTGCCTGCTGCTTGCTATCCGGGAAGGTCTGAGCATGCAAAAACAGTATGGGGTTGCTTTTTTGTTGATGCCTTGTCTGGGCCTGTAGCTGTACGGTGTGTGAGTCTCACATACCGAGAGCCTCTCTAGATGCATGCCTTGCTTTGTCCTGAGCTTCGCATGCTTTTCCAAGAGGTGGTATTCTTCCCTTATATGTGCGTCGCTGTGCTCTCGGAAGTCTTACTTGCTTGATGCCATACAACGGCAAGCGGAGAAAAGCATACTGGGGTTGCAATTTACTAACTGTGGCTGCATGGAGTGCTAATGCTGATCCTGTGGATTGGATTGGGCGCACGTGTATTAATTTCATAATAGTAATAATAGCAATTATGGTAAAAACGGGGTGTTAATGCAGGAGACTGAGGGTCTGGTAGGGAGGCAGAGCGGCCTTTCCGAGCCGACTTCATCCTGGCTTCCCTCGGGGGGCACGTCCACGTCAGCGCCAGGTCAAGAGCTTCCCAGCAGCAGCGGCCGGGAGAAGCGACTGCGACTATCGGGGCAGCCAAACGCCAATGGCTTTGCTGGCGCTGCGTCGTCGCTGATGTCAGCGGCTTCAGGCGGCTTCACGCAGGGGGTTAGCGAGCGGCCGGGGGGACCCATTGGTAGTACATCTAGGGGCCTGGGCTTCGCGCCTGATGAGGACGTGCGATGGGCAGGCTCTGATCACGACATGGATTCCGGGCCACCGGTGCCGCGAAGCAGCTTTGCCTGAAAAGAGCAAAGCTGAGAACTGCAGCGGCGGGATGTAAAGCGGCACTTTGCAAAGCAACTTTTTGTTTTGTGGAAAACAAATGACATTAATTGGAAACTGCGACGAGTCTCTGCCGCCAGGGTGCATGCTGAGAAGCTTTATCAGGGAATAGAGGGCTGAGGAATCTCTTTCGTGCAGCTGTAAATTGCTGGCTCCCTTCCCTTGAGTTGCTGGTGTTGCGAGGGGGCTTTCAGAGCAGATCAAATGGATGCCATGTGAGATACTCTACCTTCGAATGCTGGCCTAACCAGCAGACGCTGCCACTGGTGTCTGAATCAATGACTTTAGCTTTGAAATTCAAGAGGAACTTTCTGCGCATAATCTTCCCGTTGTATTCTTACGATAGCGAGCTTGATGGGTTCCAGTTTTCCCAGTGGGAGTATTGCCATTTGTAGCAAGTTGATTTTGGGACTGATCAGTCCCGCCTGATACACTGCAGCTGTGTGATTGGGTGCCAGTCATTACTCGCGCTCGCGCTTAGTAGCCTGAAGCGGTGTGCCCCGCTTATTTTGATTTTGTTGCATGGAGGTTTGGAGAGACACCTGATGAAATAACCATGCGCGTACTGAGAGCCACTGCAAGATGCCTTGCCTTGCAGCTGCTCCGCATGATTGTGATTGGGACTTCAGCCTGTCTTGTCAGCCCATTATATTTTAGATCAGCCCTGCTTGCCTTGTTGCTTTGCCTGTGCCGATAGGTTGGCTGGGATTTGTAGTGCTCGGATCATGCAGCTTGCACATAGAAAGTTGCTGAAAGAGTCAGCCTGTGACGTGTAAGGAAGTAGCATTGCACATGCACAGTCCAGCTTGATGCGGGTGAGAACAAGGTCTCAACATCCCTTCACGGATGTGAAACCCTTGACCTTGCATGGATGTCTCCAGAAGGAGAGCAATGTCCGTGCTGTTGCCAGCACCACACAGAAATAATTGCGTTGTTTGTGTGCACCATTTTAGATTAAGCAATAGTCACTGCAAAACAGACAAGGCGCAGAAACATAAATAGGAATTGTGAAGATTGCGTGGCATGGTGTTGAAGAAGTCCAATGGGTGAGCAATCCTAAGACCTGGGCAGCATGCTTGGGAGGGAACGATAATGAGGGCGTGGCCCGATTTATGCACCTTGGAAATTTTATTGGAAACGCCCCTCCGAAATGCATGCTGCCTCCAGACCAACTGCACAATCAGCGACGGCGTGTAGCATCCGATGGCGAAGCACTCTTGGACGACCTTTTGTACTGTGACGATTGTCGGATACGGCAGGAAGGCAAAAGCTGAAGCTGATAGCGAGACCCCGTGAGACCAGACGGTGCTTTTAACTCAAGGGATCGCTTATTAATCGCGGGGTGGAGCTATAGTGAGTTATGGGGGTCTTTGGACGTCACGTCAGTCTTAGAGGCGTGGTGTGTTTCTTGCTCCCCGTGATGACGCGTCGTGCATTGGCGTAGACATCTTCCGTACCTGATCAGTTTGTCACACCTAGCGTGCTGCCCTTCGGCTCTACCCTAGATCAGCCAATTCCTACAGGATGGCGCATATTTGTGTGCCACATCTTGACTCTGGACCTATATCAAAGCCGCGGTGTGGGTGCAGGTCCGGCACATCGCGTGGCACAAGTATGACTTCATCATCCAGACCAGCTGTCTTCTGACAGCCTTTGTATTGTCGCTTCGGTATATCATTCGATCCGCTTCCGGCAGTGTCGAGGCGCAGTCTCTGATTCTGGCCGTCCTTTGCTCCGTCTTCGTCGCCCTGACAGGCTACGTGGTCGCCAAGTACGTTGCTTTGACCCGCTCATGCCTAGTTTTTGCGACAATGTGGACTACTGTTCTTCTCTGACAAGGGATCACCTTGCAGAACTTAGGCAACGTGCAAGCTTTCCACGACCTAGGGCTTGCTGAAGTGTGTCCCCAACAAGGTTTTCTTTCTTCCGTGACATTTGTACCAGGAGCTGTTGAAGCAGCATGCAGAAGCCACAGTTGAAATTTTCAAGGCCATGCTGTAGCTCAAGGCTTGAAGGAGCCTAGCAAGAGCAATCAGCATAGCCCAGCCGTGGAGGCAGTCCGGCAAGCATTGCAGGACACCAGATGTCGAAATTTTCTCGCTGTCCAAATCACAAATTAAGCGGTCTGGAGCACCCAAGTTAAGGGCCATCTTGGGAGTGGCCTCTCCCTCGGGGGCCCTGCTCACAGCGCAGAGGGAGATGCGCGCGTTACAAGGGGCATCGTTGTTTTGTGCAAACGAATGATAGCCTGCCTTGAACACTTGCAGAAGAAAGGGGACTAGTAGGAAATCCTACCGTCAGTGCCTGCACTAGCTGGAAGCAAGCATGCAAACAAGGCTGCAAACGACAAACAAATGACCTGCCTTTGTGCGAGGCTGCCTACAGCATGTAGCGCAGGCTGCTGTCATGCGCGGTTTCAACCCGTCCTGGGAAAGAAGAGATGCACCGCAGGGGGTACTGTGTGTAAGCCCCTGCGCCCTGCGTGACAAGGGGCGTCGATGTATCTTGCAGGGCCGCGTACACCATTCACCGCAGGTCACCTTTCCTGTGAAAAGGGAGATGCACCGTATGACAAGGGGTGTCGGTGTGTTGTGCAGGATGGCGTACAGCATCCACCGACGGTCGCGCGCGCTGGCGCACCTGCCGGGACCCAAGTACCCGTGGCTGCTGGGGGACATGGCCTTTCTGGCGCGCAAGGATCCGCATCGGGCCGCCACCGAGCTGGCCGAGCGCTACGGGCCGATCGTCAAGATCCGCGTCATGTGCTTCCATGTGCGCGCACCTGCCTCCCTCTACTTAAAAGAACAAGCTTATCTTTCTGTACACAATGTGACAGACTTAGTGAACACATGAGAGAGTAGAGCCATATGAGCTCAATTTTGCGCGCGCATGCCTCGCACTCTTGTCCTAAACACTGTCCTTATTGAGCCGTATCGTAGAGGTGAGCTGAGCACCCCATCAACAGGATCCCGTAGAGTGAATATTTGGTCGGAGCTCTTGGTCAGCGAGCTCTTGGCCAGCAGTACAAGCTTAGATCATGTTTAATTGAACAATGATGCAATGACCAGGAGAAATTTGTCATCTGCCGGTTGTGGACTGTTATCCTTGCTTGCTGTTGCTGGATTCTTGCCTGCATGTGATCAGTAAATCCAATGGAAGGACATGAAAGCAGCTGATGTGTGCGTGCCGTGCAGTGCGTGATCATCACGGATCCTGTTCTGGCGACGCAGATCCTACGCAGCAAGGTGGTCGACAAGATGCGCTTTGCATACTCCTTCCTGGACCCGGTGAGACTCTTTCTCTTGCATGCATGCATATGCAGACACATCTTCACGGCCAATCCTTGCATCATCTTGCACCAACATCCTGCCAACCCATGACATGCTTGCCAGACATGGCTGGCAGATGATTCTATGGCATAATGCAGGAATCCTGCTGTGTGTTACTCCAACGAACACTTGATATTGGATGCTCTCCACACTCTTTATGGGTTCCTACGGAAGCAAGCTTTTATGGGGGTGCTGCAGTTCCTGGGCGGCGAGAATCTACTGACTGGACACACTGACGAGCACTGGAAGGCCGTGCGCAAGGCAGTGGCCCCGGCATTCAGCGCCGGCAACATGAGGTGCGTTTGTTTGAAGCCTAATTTGATAAAACAAAGGGGAATCTACCAATTTCTGCAGGAATGACTAGCACAGCACCTGACGAGTATTAAGGCCCAACACCGGCTCAGCTGCTGCCAAGTCCTGGGCAGTTGCGATGTCTGTGGGGTCTTGATGAGTCAGCGGGGGTGGACTGGATGTCCGCAGGGACGCCCTCGAGCACGTGGTTGACCGGACCATGGCGCTGGTGGACTACCTGAAAGAGGGGGGACCCACGAAGGTGCACAACGTGGACAACCTGCTCCTGCGCGAATCCATGGACGTCATCGGTGCGCGCCCCTGCCTTGCCTTGCTTAGAAAGGGCTCACATGGCAGCGGTCCCAGTAGGGTTTGGGCATGTTGCACTCAAACCAGGGCACAGGAGGCCGTTGCGTTCAGCACTGCAAAGCTGAACATGTGGACATGCGGAGCTCACTCAGCAAAGGATTTTCAATCTATGTTGCCTGTGGTGGAAGCAGCCCAAGTTTGGCGGCACCTGATGAAACCCACGAGTCACTGTGGTCCCAGACACTTCAAGTTACCGATGCATGCATTTATTTGATGCCTCTCTTGCAGCTAGGAGACACTTGCAAAACCACTCAGGAGCACGCGCAAGTCTGCCACTCACTTCTCTCCCCATTGATCACTGTGCTGGCTGCGGCTGCGCAGGGCGGTTTGGGTTCCAGAAGGAGATGAACGCGCTGCACAGCCTGAGGACCGGGAACGCTGAGGAGACGGAGGCGGTGGCGTCCCTGCTGGGCAGCACGCATGAGATCGAGCGCCGCATCCAGGAGGTGTACCGCTGGTGGCGCCTGTGGCTGCCCGACGTGCGCGCCGGGTGGGGCATGCTCGGCCGCTTCCAGGTGCGTGACTAACCTGTGCTGAGTCAGTGCTGAGTTGTTGCATTTCTTCCATCCTGGGTCACAAAACGTTGCTGCCCTGTGGTTTAGCATTGCTGAATTGCAGGGGACGCCTACAGGTGCGCGGTGAGCCACCTGCATTTTCAGCGCTTAGTCAGAGCTTAGTCCTTCCATGGCTCACCCGCTGTTAGCTTGCTGGGGTCATTGGGTCCCGGCATTTGAGCCTCGCTGCAGCAGCTGGGGCACGCTCAGCCGCTTCCAGGTGGACAGATATCCAGTGCCTCTTTAGCACCTGCTTACTCCTTTCCTCACCTGCTACTAGCTCCCTCTGCTACCGGCGCAATCAAATCTCTCTGTGCTCTCCCAGATTATCTGTCTGCTGTGAGATCAGCTTGGAGCCCGGGCTGTCATCACAGGCTGAGGAGGGATTATGGTCGAGTTCCTGAGGGCCTAAATGGAAGATGTCGAAGAAAAATTCAATGGGCCGATGTGTTGAGGTGTGCTGTGCTGGCGGGCAGGCAATAATCCAGGGCCTCCTGGAGCACATCAAAGCCGGGCAGCCTAAGCCGGGCAGCTTCGCGCAGCTACTCCTCAAGGCCAAGGACCCCAAAACCGGCCAACGGCTGTCTGATGAGCAGATGTTCCCCGAAATCGTTGCGCTGTTCTTCGCAGGCATCGATACCACCGGCCACACTGGCACCTTTGTCCTGTGAGTGCTTACTGTCCCGCTATGGTAAATGCTTTCTTTGCATGTGCTGCCCATCTCTGGCCGCCCCTGCTCTGCTGTCTCACTTTGCTTCCCATTGAGTGCTCTGTCCTTCTGACATGTGCACATACAGCCACTTGTTTACTCTGGGATGAGAGCATACTCCTTGCTGGGCTATTCCTTATATTAGCACATGCACATCCTTCAATATTGCTGGTGAACATCTTTGCAAGACAGCAGATTGAGAAGGCGCTGCTTATCTGGTCATGTCTGCAGGTACACCATTTCGCAGCACCCAGAGGTGGAGGCAAAGATCATGGAAGAGCTGGAGTCTCTGGAGCTGACCATCACTCCCGACCGCCCCACACCGCGGCCGATGGTCTACGCCGACCTGTCCAAGATGGTGTACCTCAATGCCGTCATCAAGGTACGGCACTGTTCTTGTGTGCCTTCAAAAGCAAATGAAAGCCTTCAGTACCATTTGCATTTGAAGGCGAGGGTCGAGCGCAGATTCTGTAGCTTTGCGGCGCTGATTGGCTGAACTGGGCTGGGCTCACAACATGATAACCTCGGCAGTTGGGCATCTGTTCAACCGATTGAAGTGTCAGCAGCAAGCTACGTATCTACACCCGCGCGAATGCAGAGAAGTTTTAGGACATGCATCTGACCATTGTTTCTTCAGGCAGTCTGCTTTTCCAGCCCTTATGTGCAGCAATCCTCAGTCAACAGTCAGTACCTCCGACCACATTGTGTGACCGGCTGTCGGCTGGCAATTTGAAATTATGTTGTGGCCTGCCCGGCAGGAGGTGCTGCGGATGTACCCTCCGGTGGGCATCGGCCAGATCCGGGTGAGTCACTCGCATGATATCACCCTGGCGGGCCGGCTGCACATCCCGGCTGGCACGCAGATCTGGGTTCCCCACCACGCCATCCAGAACGTGTCCTTCAACTGGGACGACGCTGACAAGTTCAAGCCAGGTAAGATGACCCGCAATATCATCTCATTGCAATCATGCTTCATTGGGCAGATGATGGAATTCTATGCTTTGTGTGCTATTGACGGATGGGAAGCTGTGGGACGTCTAATTAGCCCTGTGTGGCTGAAACGATCTTGTCTCTTTCGTCGCGCAAAAACTCCCTAAGTATATTCACCTGAGCGCTGCTCCTGCAGCAAATGTACGTGACCATTCCGGCAGCCCCGCTGGACAGGGATCATCTGCCAAGATCCACCCAGTTGGCATTCCTGGCCTGGAAAGCGCAAGATCATACAGAGCAGAGCAAGGCCCATCTCCTGTCTTAGCATGAGCATCAACCCCTACGACCCGCAGGCAAAGTCATGTCCTGCTCGCCAGACATCCCTTTTGTGTGTCCAGCAGTATAGCAATAGAAATGACGTCTGCGCAGAGCGGTGGCTGACCCGCCGGGACTGGCCTGCCTGGTCAAGCACCCTTTTGTGTCACCAGCAGCTGTTGCAATGGAAACGACTCGTTGTGTTGTGGTGCAGAGCGGTGGTTAACTCCCGGGACGGAGTACGCGGTGCCGGAGAAGCTGCCGCTGCCGCGCGAGTGGTACAGCGACTGGGACCGGGACGGCGCGGCCGACACAAACGGCGGGGCATTGAAAAGCGCGAACTCCGGCCCAGCCGGCGGCACAGACGTCGATGAGTCAAGTGAGTTATGCGGTGTCTTTTGCAGCGGCCCCCTTTACATAATCTCGATTGGTACACAATCACAGCCCCTCCTATTCTGCATGCTGCGACAGCGCTGCATCTGAAGCAAATTCCCTCTCTTGATGATTTTCCTGATTTTCAGCTCTGTGTGAACCCTGTATTGAGATGAGATGGGTTTGAGTTGCTGCTGCGACCTGGAGGCACTTCTGCGAGTTGATGGAGGTTGTGCGGATATGATGGCGCACAATCCCGAGGCTGTGATTGCTTCGCGCGTGTGAGAGCTGAAGGTTGGTCATGCGGAGGTGCAGGCAACAGCAAGCGGCCCAAGCGCTACTTTCCCTTTGCTGAGGGCCCGCGCAACTGTGTGGGCCAGAACCTGGCAAAGGTGAGCCTGCTGGCCACAGCCGCCACGCTCCTGCAGCACTTCTCCTTCAAGCTGGCAAAAGAGGTGAGCCTCCCATGAGCCTTCCATGCACTCCTCTCGGCCAGGGTTTCTTTTAGTGGCTTCCTGAAACCTATGTGGCTCTTACCAACTAGGCATGGCACTTTTGTGGTGCTCGAAGTTGTCTGCGGGTGTCCCATGTTGAAGCCACCGATTGGCTTCTAGAAATCAACTCCACCAGTGCAGAAAGCCACGTATTACCCCTTTCCAGCAGAAACGCGCCCAAATCCACCGATTTCCAGGATTTCCTCTTAAATTCCTGGACTTTAGCCATTTTTGTGGCTTTGCAACTTCTGATCTAGCGTAAATTTGTAGCCACATTAGCTTCCAGCCAGAATCGTTGTGAGAGACACCGACTTGCCATCTCTGCTCCCCATGGATGCCGTGCCCGATCCCTCAGATCATAGCATCATACACCCCATGCATCCCTCACTCTGGCTTGTGACCTCTGCCAGAGATCCAGGCAATCAAGCATGCGATGTGCACCGGCATCGGTCCAGTGTCTCCTTGTTCTAGGCTTGGTTGAAATTGTGATGAAACTTGAGGGGGCTGACTCGGCTGAATGTGCGCAGATGGGAGGTCCTGAGGGTGTGCGTGCGAGCGAGCATTACACATTGGTGATTGGACTGAGCAACGGCATGTCCATGCATGCGACCCCGCGCCCCGGCGTCATGTGAGCATGCCGCCGGCACATGCCGGAACGTGCGCTGTATTTGTTTGACATGGCCGTCATACCAGCAATAAAGCAAGCCACCAACTTGCAAGCCAGTCAAAAGGCCTGATTGTGGGATAACTACTCTCAGCTAGAGAAAGTCAACAGATGTGGTTAGCCCGCCACAGCCGAATTCGGAAGCCACTGTGGACAGATCAAATGAAGTATTGATCAAGTGAAGTGCAGCTCTGTTGGAGCAATGGGTTTGAGAGAGGAGGGTCATGGCAGAACTTGGTCCTGGTGTGAAGGAGAATCTGCAGTGCCAGGTTGGCTGTCGGTGTAAAAAATCTAGCGGGACACATGTACGAGGTTGGAATGCAGTCCTTACTTATGTGCGTGTAGGTTGCAAGGCACGTGGTTGTCTCAAGCTGCAAGCAACGAGCTCTGTTCAAGATCAGACTGCTGCTCAGCATTCTGCAACATTGAAAGACCAGCATTCTCTGCGGAACTGAACATTATCACCACGGATATTTGCTTTTGAGAGTGTGAGGAACAAAAGGAATAATTTCCATTTCATGGCCGGGTGTGTGGGGACCGTTTAAGATGCACGCCTGAGAGCAGCCAGACAATGTCCAGGTTGTACTTGTTTTGGTTTTGAACTGTGTATTGCATGTGTTCTGGACATTCACTTGTGGCTGAAGCTGCTTGTTTATCCACGGAAGTTTGTCGTGCCGCCTGCAGACTTGCACAGATGTGGGCTTCTGTTTGTGCCATTTGCAGGGGCAAAAAGGCTAGCTGTGCTAATCCTGCATGCGGCATCCATCACGCATTTTTAGTTGTCAACGTATTCTGCCATTTTAGGCAAATGTAACGTGTGACCTGCAATGTGCTTTCTAGGCTCCCGTTATTGCATAGTGCTTAGTAAGCAGGCCCACCCGGGGTGGCATGTGTGCATTGACTCAGAAGATGCACAGTTGTTCTTAGAAAGCTGGTAGACATTTGCCAGACTGACAGTCTGTCGCACACCTGTGAGGCTATAGATGAAAATGGCAAGCAACGCCTTCACAGGATCGCAGACCAGGAACTTTGCCAAAGGAGATGGTCCCATAATCTCAGGTGCTCAGGCTAATGCTTGGGGGGCATGTGGACATCTGCTGCTGCACAAATCAAGTATCCGCGATAAGGTCACCTCTTCTGGCGGGCTATTCTTTCGCCTTTTACTAAAGAATACCGAGCGGTGTCCTTACTAAATCGCATACACCAATTTTTTCTGGCCTCAGGGCCTTGACACAACCTCTTTTCACACATGCACACAACACAAATCCGTTGATATCAGCAAACATAATAACAGTGGTCTATCATTCATTACTATGTATCACTATCACTTCACCAATGCACTGTATGGGCATTCTCCCTGTTGCCGATCAGCAGGTATTGATGGAGAACAGTTGAGAGATGGATGTCAAGATCGGTGTCTACCAGAGACCTTTTCAGCTTTTGCTTTTATGCATTCGAATTACTTAAAGAAAGCGGAAAGTCTCAAAATTCGACGCACTTGGTCGCACAGAATTCTGCATTCCGCCCTACAGAAGCTCTGCTTGAGTCCCGCCAGAAGCCGCCATCCCAGCAGATCTGTTACCGAAATTTACGTTCTGATGCGAATTGCACTTGATTGTCTGCATATAATCTTTTCTGTGATCACCAAAAGACGAGTGCCCTCGAAGTGCCAGTTGGGATTGCTCGCGTGTGTCAAGATATAGTTGACGCAATGTGTTTTAGTTGCGTGATTGGATTGTGTTCATGGAGTTTGTTCAGAAATGCATTGTGTTTATTATGAGTTGTATTATATGTTGTGGAGTTTAGGTTTGTGTGAACCGGTCCACAGCCTAGGCGGCAGTGCAATGCCAAGGCCATGGGCGGGCAGAGGTCGTGCAAGCACAACACTCTGCCCCCGGGCAAAAGATTAGATTAATATCATGAGGGACAATGTCCCTCGTATCAGATATTAAACTGATAAGAACAGATACTACACTTGATCTTAGCCAAAAGGCCGAGAAAGGTATGAGGAATTTGACGAAGATTGGATCACTAGATACGATCGAGTATACATGGGCCCCTGATGAAGTTATGGGACCATCCTCAACAGATTCCCTGGATGCAGTCTGCAAAAGACCTTTGCACTGTAACTTGATTTTGTTCTGATGGCGAAGAGAAGACCTTTTTTAGTCAAAGTAACGGCAACAGGCACATCCCTGACAACACAGGCCGAGTACAGATCAGGTCTAGACCGCTCAAAGAACATTCAAGCAGCAGTGACTTTGCATCCAGCCCCTGCATGTCACAGGGCAGCCGTGTGCCTGTGTGCAGCACACAAGCAACCACCAAGATGGGCAGTCATGGTGCTCCCAATCAGTCAGCCACGTAAAACTTGTATGCCGGACACTGATGCAACAGCGGAGACCTAGACAGTAACAGCGGGGGAGTGCAGCATTGGCTGATGGTGGTGTGCCATTATCTTGGCAAAGCACCAGCCACTGATGCTCTTAGTACATCCACTCTGGGCCTTGGTAGGTATTGGTCTTGGCCCCAGCCTGGCTCCCAACCTCTTGTCCATTCCCTCATCGGTACTCATCCTCAAGCGAATGGAACTTCTCCACAATCTCCTCATGGAGCGCCTCAAGCTTGCCCCTGCACGCATATCACACAATAGCCATCAGCGCTTTATTGCCTTCTGGAAGCTTCTCTCCGCCAGTCATGCAGTATCCTAAGCAACGATCCTGCTGGACTGTGGCCTGTAATTTACACCGGCAGAACACACAGCATTCAAGGCAGGACCTCCTGCACGATTCCTTTGCACAAGGCATCACCAGCAATGCATGCTCCACAAATCGCCACTGCCGTCAGGATGTCCTCTGGGCTTAAGGCTGCTGCAAAAACTGTTGTAGAGATATGAGAGGCAAGGTTAGCTGAAGCCCAGACAATTTGACGACAGCAGAGGCAAGAGAGGGGCCGTCTGGGCAAGCCGCCAAACTGAACGCTGCGGCAAGCTCAAGAGGAGCTAAATACAAAGGGAAGAAATGGATGTGGAGATAATCAAAGCAGGGTAAGAACGGAGCGCACTTGATGACCTCCTCGCCCTCGGCGGGGTCCTCGAACTTCTGGCTGGTGATCTTGTAGAGCAGGTCGGCCAGGCGGGACTTGATGACGTTGTAGGTGATCTTCTGCCCCTCGCCGCTGGCCGCCGCGCCTGCCGTGCGCTCCACGGCCGCCGTCGCCAGCGTGTGGAACGTCGTTATGTTGCGCAGCATGCCCACTGACTGCGCGCACGCGTACACCAGAAATTCATATTTCTGTTCCAAAATGAAGGGAACACGAGGCATTGTCAGCATGGATCAGGTGATTTGTTCAATTGGAAGACAAAATAAGGGAAGTCCTCTAAGGAGATGGCTTCCAAAGAGGCAGTGTCCTGACTGCAATTGCTGTGCCTCACCAACTGCAGACAGGTGCTCAACAGCAAAAAATTCAGAGCTCTGCTCACACGTGAAAAAACCATGCATGTGCTTGGGCGTTGCCAATAGTTGCCCTGAGGCACTGCCCTGATAGCCGTTGCAACGCCCACCGACTGCAGACAGAAGTCCGGCAGCAACACAGAGCTCTGGGCGGAGAACAAGACATGCATGCTATTGGGCGAGCCAATGAGGCATGGGCCTGGCTACCATTGCAGGGCAAATTAACTGCTTCAGGCAGCCAGGAACAAGTCAGAGCTCTCGAGTCATATAGGATGCATCCATGCTTTTCAAGGTGCAGCAATTGCACAGAGGCACTGCCCTAGCTGCCAAATGCCATGCTCATGCACAGCTGGCGCCAGCAAATATCAGGCAGGTAGTTCCTGCAAGGGGCCTCGGGAACACTGACAGGCACAGCTGGGCAGTGCTCTGAGGCAACAGATTAGGGTGGGCTGAGATCAGGGGTGGCAAGCAGGATGGTTGTGGAGGGCGCACCTTGTAGAAGGGGCAGTACTTGTCATACTTGGTGAAGGAGTTCTGCTGCAGGAAGTCGTCCTTGAGGAACCGAGCCGTTTCCAGCACGATCTTGTCATTCTCAGCCAGCGAGTCCTGTCATATGCACACCAAAGGCCGCTGAAACAGCATCAAAACTCCTGCTGCTCGTTGCATTTAAGCAAAAATTCCTGGCACAGCACCGTCAACACGCACCAACCAACATATGCTCAGAGACCATTAGGCATTATTCACACTCAGCACCTTCTTTTATTGACGCATCCAAGAGACGCGCACACTGTACGGCTACCACCACTACTGGCACGCACACACTGCACTCTTCTGCTGGCAAGAGCATCTCAGGCCAGAGCACATGCCATCAATTCGTTGACGGCGGTCGCCAGCGAAAGAGCGCAGTGTGCACCGCCACTCACAGTGCAATAAGCGCCACCTGTCAGATTCAAATTTGGACATTACACTCCTGAAGAGACGCACCTTGCCGACGAGCTGCACGATCTCGTTGAGGTCGTCCTCCTTCTGCAGCACCTCGCGCACAATCTTGCGGATGTTGACAAAGTCCGGGTCGAACTTGTCGTAGAAGGGCTCCAGCGACTTGGTGTACTTGGAGTAGGAGATGAGCCAGTTGACCGAGGGGAAATGCTTGCGCTGCGCCAGCTTCTTATCCAGGCCCCAGAACACCTGCCGTGCACAGTCGCCGGTCAGCTTTGATTGCTTTAGGAATTTATGAGCAGTGTGTTGCTCCTGCAGGTCTGCTGTGCCAGACCAGGAAAACCATTTCAATCTAAACTTGGTCATCAGTAGGACATTTGGGTGCTCAGTGCCTTGCATGGCCACGCTGGCAAGATGCCAGTGGTGACATCACCGCTGCCAATCTACCGACCACGACAACGCATGACAAGGAAGGCCCGAAGTCCTACTGTTGAATTTTCCCGCATGCACGTACTTTCTTGATATTACCAGCCGACAGCCCAAAGCATCTCTTTGCACATCCTCCCAGAATTCATCGTCAAGCCATGCATGCCAGGCGAACGGAATGGCTGGCTTTGGCAGTGGCAGGCACTGCGCTGGTAGAATCTCAGCTGACAAAACACAGATGTTTAAGGCCTTCTGTTGGTCTGCAGTAGCCCACTACACCAGGCTGGTACTGAGCGTTGGCAGGCATGCTTGCGGCTCTATCTTGCACCCCTGAGGCCTGTCTGCTCCTGAAGTAGGGCTGTGCCTAGGAAAGAGCCCACTGCCTAAATGAAATACTTCCTATTCCCATTCCAAGCAGATGCAAGTCCTGAACTCTGTTTTGCTAGCCCAGCTTCAAACTGCACGTAGTGCATACGTACAACAGTGCTGTCCTTAATCAATTCCATTCCGTCCCTTTAAAGGAAGGAGCAGTCCTTGAGGCTTTCGGCGCACTGGTATGCCAGATACCCTCGCAAGCCATCCCATAGCACGCCCATTGCCTTTTGCAAAGCCTCTTAATCCTCAAAGAAGCCATGCATTCCAGGAATGAAGCATGCAACACAGTCCGCTGTCGGGGAAGGCGCGCCTGCACGATGCCGAGCGTGGCGGAGGTGACCGGGTCAGAGAAGTCGCCACCGGGGGGCGACACTGCGCCGACGATGGTGACGGAGCCCTCGCGCTTGGGGCCGCCCAGGCACACGACGCGGCCGGCGCGCTCGTAGAAAGATGCCAGCCGCGCGCCCAAGTACGCCGGGTAGCCGCTGTCCGCAGGCATCTCCGCCAGCCGCCCAGAAATCTCGCGCAGCGCCTGTGCACACGCACGCACAAGGCGGATTTCAGGCCTTTTGCACGTGCACGGTGTTTACAGGCCTTTTCAAAGCCGCCCTGAGATCGCGCACAGCGCCCGTCTGAGCATATACCACGTGTCAGGCCATTTACAGCCACAATTAGAGTCCTTTCCAGGGCCTTTGCTTAGGACATGCCGCATGTCAGGCCTATCTAAAAACCCGTCCCAAGATCTCAAGCAGGGCCTAATTTTGCGCATATGCCGCACTTTGGGCTGCGTTGAAACAGAATGGCTATAGGCATCGCGGCGCACCCTCCCAAGCGCATAGTTACCAGAAAGGGGAACGCGGAGTCAGACTGCACATGTTCAATAAACAGGATAAAACAAACATTGGACACACCTCGGCCCACCGCGAGGTGGAGTCGGCCATCATGGAGAAGTTGTAGCCCTGGTCGCGCCAGTACTCGGCCAGGGTGATGCCCGTGTAGATGGACGCCTCACGCGCAGCCACCGGCATGTTCGACGTGTTGGCCACCTGCCGCCAATAAAACAAAATATCAGTCCTGACTAAGCCAGCAGTGCCCATAGCAAACACCAGGCTGCAGCATCAGAGAGCAATCAACACACAGAATGCTTGACATGCATACCTTGAAGCATTTTCCTACCAGGTAAGCGATTGTCAGGGCAAAAGTTAACTTGCATGCATGCCCCACCCATGTCATCCTTGGCTAGAAACGCGGAGATCTCAAGTCCAAGCCCATCAGACTGTAGAGCAGATGGGAAGACCACCAGCAATGAAGGGGTGCATTCAGAGAGAGTAATACAGAAACACACCAGGGTGGTGCGTTTCATGATGGACTCCTCGCGGCCGTCGGGCGTGGTCATGGTGAGCTGAGGGAAGTCCATGAGGACCTCCGCCATCTCGTTGCCGCGCTCGCCGCAGCCGACGTAGATGATGCCATCTGAGTTGCTGTACTTGCTCAGCGCCTGGCTGATCACCGTCTTGCCGCAGCCGAACGCCCCTGGGATCGCGCATGTGCCTGGAGAACAGCACGCGACCCGAGTCGTGAACACTGCAGTGTGTAGAGGGCAAGCAATGTCTGCAGACCGCCAAAGAAACAGCCAGGTACTGATCATGGCGGCAGTAGCCCAGAGTGGACGGCACTGTGGAGTGCAGTCGGCCGCATCCCAAGCCATCAGCCGACCAACAAGCAGTGACTTGGGAAAGGGCGGCCCGGCACCTAACAATGCCAGCCAAGGCTCTCTGAAAGAATCAGACACACTTCAGGCTGCGCAGTCACTGGTTGTTCTGAAGGGGAAGACAAAGCACTGCATGTGCGCGGTTGTGCATCGCAGCGCACCTCCGAGCACGGAGGGGAAGAGGGCGTCGAGCACACGCTGCCCTGTGAGCAGGGGCGTATTGGCCAGCAGCTTCTGGGCGACCGGCCGCGGCGACCGCACCGGCCACGTCTGAAGCATGGTGTACTCCTGCGCCATCCAATATGAACACTCACTCAGTTTTTCTGAGGTGCAGACGTTTGAAAATTTTGGCTTCCTTGCAGAGGCGCACCAGCTGGCCATAATGCACTCACACCGCCCTAATGACACATTGTAGCCCTCGGTGCAGGAATGGTGCGCCAGCGACCATCCTCGCATGCCCTTTCTAGGCATTCAGCAAGCGGCTTCATTTTTGTCAAAGCCATGAGCCTCTCCTGGCAGACATGTCATGGATCCAGACTCCTGGTCAGACTCCAGGCAGATGCCATGAAAAATCCCTCGCGAGAGCTGTGCTGCACGGCCCAGAGCATCGCACCTTCTTGACGCCGCCAAACTCCAGCTCCAGCACCTTGTCAGTGATGGTGTACTCGCCGGCTGGCGCGATGTATGTGACGTTCCCTCTGGCACCAGGAGGCACCATGATCCTGTGGTCCAGTAGCGAGTTCTCGTGCACGTTCGCATAGATGTCCCCGCTCGTCAGCCGATCGCCCACCTGCGTGCCGCCACCCCATCATGCATGTTCATGAAAGACTCAGAAGTTACTCATGACTGACAGAGGGTGCGCACAGGAGCCCACATTGCACAGTGGCACATTGCTTCTCTACTTTTGAAAATGAGGTCGTTGTATGCACGTTCAGCTGCACAATGTGTCGCTTCGCACGTCCTCTGTCACACACGAGGCGTGCAATGCGGCTCAATGCGCGCAAGCACTCAAGGTCAACAAATGTAAAGCCTTCCCCTTTGGCAGACGTATCCGGTGCAACACAGACGTAGCAGATTGTAGAGCTGCGGCAGGCACACCACCCACCTTGATCTTGCCGGGGGCAAACTCATAGCCCTTCTTCCGGTCCAGCGCAGGCACATCCACTCCCCTGTCATGCCCAAATCAGCCCTTGAGAGAATGTTCCCTCCATGATCATCAACCGGATCTTGAGAATCTCATATTCCTGTCCTTTGATGTCTGCATCATGGGACTTGGTTTCGTTATACGGCCTTCCAACATGTCCCTTGGTAAAACAAAAGGCTTTAGTATGTTGAAGATAGTGAAAAGGATCTTGGGAGGTCAACTGTGTGAGAGACTGTCTTGGGGTGGGCACCTGGGGATGAACACATCTCCGGAGTTGATGGCAATGGCCTTGAGGGGCCGCTGGATGCCATCAAAAATGGTGGTCAGAAGGCCAGGTCCCAGCTCCACAGACAGAGGCTTGCCTGTGCGCTCCACGCCATCTCCCACTGTCAGGCCTGCTGTGTCCTCGTACACCTGCATGCGCATGCAAGCTGAGGCAACCACCAAGCGATATGCATGTCACAGCATTTCATGCCCCTAAGCAGGGTCTTATGCTACCGAATGCCAGGCACACCATTCAGACGTCATGGTGATAAAATATGCAAGGCGAATTCTGCAGAGACTGTACTTTGGTACGAGGCTTGGTTGAAGAAGGGCAGAAAGGAGAGGTTCAGCTCAAGGTGCCAATGTTACTTTTCTGGCAATCGAAACAGCATTTGTTGATGTTTGCATGGTGATTACCTGGATAGTGGCACTGTCGTTCTCGAGCCGAATGATCTCTCCGATCAGGCGTTCCTTTCCCACACGGATGAGCTCATACATAGCTGCTCCTCCCATGTTGTCGGCAATGACGACAGGGCCGGACACTTTCCGGATGTATCTGTTCAAGCAGAAAACTCGTGCTTTCAGCTTCAGACTAGCATGCAACAGAGGACGAGGGAACTCCAAAACACTGCTTCTGCAAGTTAGGTCTGCACAGATCTGTGCGCTAGACGTGGGCACACATACAATATGGCAATTGCGAATCTTTTACATAATGTTGCGTGTGAGCTTTTGAGTGTCAGCCCCAGTATATATGCAACATTCGGCCTTCGCAGGACAGGATCCCAACGTTACAACATTTTGCTAGGAACACGCTTGTGAGATAGATGGCCTGAGTGGCATACCCTTGCGAGAGCTCGGACATTTCATAGTCGTTCCCCATCTTGTATCCGCGTCTATCAACGCTGGGGCTTATCAACTGACCAACCAGCAAGGAAGCCCTATTCTTTGTTGATGGCTTTCGTCCTTCTGCTGTCCTCAGAAGCCGCAGGATTGCACGATCAGAACGTCAATCATTTGAAGGATTTTTAATAACCTCCCTGTATTGGCAAATGCTGTAGCTTCAAGTCAATTGAAGAGTGTCCCAGACATTCAAGGCTTGGACCTAGACCATGGGCGCATCTGCCATGAAGCGTTCCCTCCTTGCCCCGTGGAGTCCAAATTCCTGATGGACGTCCTGACCTCAATTCCATCTGCGGCAGATGATCTGCCACATTAATGCATTCTTCCAAACATTACAATAGATACTATGGGATGCCATGCAGGCATGTCAATTGAGACAGATAGTTCATCTGACGTATTGTACACTGCAGGTGCTGGCATGTTCAATCTTTTAACACCTCCGCTGGCGTCACACGTTAGACCTGACTGTATGCTATCTGGTCAGCGCAACAGAGAATATTGCCATTAGAATGAAGAGTCCTGAAGGTGAACTCTTGTTTGGTGATCTGACAGAAAGGAGCAAAAAAAAAAGGAGCTGAGACTTGCATTAGGAATTTCACCGGACAACCACAGCAAAGAAAAGCTCGTGAAGGCCTTCAAGAAGTACTTGACTCCGCTAATGGTGCCCGCCAGAGAAATTCAGCTCTATGACTCTACAAATGTGCCTCTACAAATGTGCCTGCTCATCTCGCGTGCAGGAGATAGCCTGTCTGAGAGAGGGATATGTTGCAATTGCGGCCTGCCAACACAGAAAGCATGATCATGCCTCGCTTGAGCACGCCATCCTCAACATGCCTTTTTGGTCTGATGAACGCCATGGCTGCAGTAATTGCAGTTGAGAGATCATCCTGAGCCACAGATCATGGATTGCAGGCGACAGTGATACTTCCTCTGCTGACTGCCAAGCCAGTCTTGGCCCGGACAGCGTCGAGGACCGCAGTGCTGATGGGACGTCGGCGCCTGCGTGGACATCTGCCCCACAGCAGGCAGACACACCGCCCGACAGCTGGCCTCAAGTGCACTTCTAGGCAACTGTCCTGAATCCAAGTGTGATGTGCTGCCATGCTCAGCCCGCTATTGCCCTTGCACAGGACCACCTGAATAAGTAAGGTGAAAGTTTGTTAAATCTTAGTTCTGGCAGTTTTTTGCTCTGCAGGGTCTGAGCCCACAGATCCTTCTGTGCCACCCATGAGCATGGCGGGAACCGTGTCCGGCCGGGGGCTAGCATCAGCGCCGGCTCCCAATGCAGCGGCGGCACCCAGGATCATGGCAGAAGATCGGACGGCGTGTCCGCCTGCCTCGGGTGTGCTTCAAGTGCAGGTCCAAACAAATTGCCTTGGGGGCATTTTAAAAGCTTGATCAGGTCAATATAGAGACACTGCTGCTAGAAAAATTTCCCATGCCCTCATCACAAGACAAGCCCAAACATTTATTTGAGTGGAGTCTGGCTATGCTTGTTGTAGGACTCAATAAGCAGGCAATGCGTGGTGACGCAAAATGGCGCAACCACGAGACTGCTGTTGCTTGCTTTCCCATGCGGGACAGTCCGCTGGCAAGTCAGACAAGAATGTGACTCCCCTCCATGTCTTTCGTCGGCTTTCCCCGGACGATGAGCAACGCCTCTGTTTGCTAGGTTTTGCGAGGTATCTCGTTCTGGATTCTCTTGGACAAAGACAACATAAAGTTGAGCTCTCTTTGATGTGGGAGCACTTCTCTGTCAGCAATTTATTTCGAGCCGTGCAGGACTTGTCTTAGTTTATCGCGGAGAAGGACTTTCCATAGCTCCGAGCCTCATCCCCAATTTTGACAGCAACGACATCATTGATGTAGGCCGCCCACAAACTGCTCCAAAGACCTGTTGATGGAAGCAGGGCGTGCCACAAGCCTTTCAAGAGGATTCCTTGATTGCCGGTCAGCTGATCATGATCTGAGACATCCTGGTGCACCGCTCCATGCAGGCCACGCGGCTGTGGATCGGAATGTACACAACTCCCCGACGTACGCTTCTTGCCTCTTGATCGTTGCAAAAACTTTGCAGTGAGATGTGAAGCAGCAAGAATTGCCAGCGCAAGCAAGCATATGTGGTTAGGGGCCTGCAGCTGGCCGATCCCACTTTGATGCCCAGCCGCGTTTGTAAACATATGGGAATTCCGTCTCTGGGCATTGCGGCGATAGAGCGCTTTTGGCATCTCCGCACTGTTACCTCGCGTTTGAAGCATAGCATGAAATCAAGATGTTGGCATCTGTGCAGTGCGGAGGCGGATAATGTTCTGGACGATCACGGTCCTCAGCTTCATCCTGCTTGCCGGCGAATGGGGTGCGTTTGTACACTACCGCAAGGATAATACGACGCACGGAGGGGGTGCGTCGGCGCTGCTGGAGGCCCTGGGCAGCCTGCCCTTCTCCTTCGAGGCGGCCAGCGTCACCGTCGGCATCAACATCGCCACGCGGTGTACAGCACCTTGGCCGTGGCAATGTTGATGCCGACGGTGCCGCCGGCCGTCTCGAAGGAGAAGGGCAGACTGCCCAGCTCCTCCAGCAGCGCTGACCCTCCGTGCCTTCTGACATGTCCTCGCTGCGGCAGATGGCGAACACGCCCCATTCGCCCGCGAGTAGAGCGAAGTCCAGGACCGTGATGGTCCAGAAAATCACTCGCCTCCGCACTGCACGAATGCCAACATCCAGAGCTCATGCTACGCTTAGACGCAATAAAATAATGCGGAGACGCCAAATGCGCTCTATCGGTGCAGTGCTTAGAGACGGATGTCCCAATTGTCTATAACGCGGCTGGGCATCAAAGTGGGATCGGCCAGCTGCATTCCCCTGACCATTTATGCTTGATTGCGCTGGCAATTTACACTGATATGCATCTCTCTACATACTTTTACAGCGATCAGGAGGCAGGGAGCGTACGTCGGGGAAGAGTGCACAGCTCGATCCACCGCCGCGTGGCCTGCATGGAGCGGTGCACCAGGATGTCTCAAATCATGACCAGTTGACCGATAATGAGGAAATTCTTTGAAAGGCCAGTGTTACGCACTGCTTCCATCAACTGGTCATTGGAGCAGGTTGTGAGCGGCCTACCCAAGTGATGACTTGACCAGGAAAGTCGGGAGGAATCTCGTTCTGGATTCTCTTGGACAAAAGACAATATAAAGTCGAGCTCTCTTTGATGTGGGAGCACTTCGTTGTCGAGATTTACTCGAATCGCGCAGGACAGTATTACGTAATTGCGGAGAAGGAGCCGCCATGCCTTCGAGATCCCACCGGTGATCCCCGCGCGGCCGCCGTGACATGTGACATCCTGTGTGATTTGACGTTGTTGCTAACCGCGAATAGGAGCAGGGCCTTGTCAGCTGAACAGCGCTCCTTTTTCTAAACCTGAGATTTGCTGCCCTTTTCATTTGTGGTCCGGTCCACTCGCTGCCAAGGATGCTAGACAGAGCGGCAAAAGAGGGTGACCATCAGAGGAGGACGATGTTTTGGTACCATGGCAGTGACATTTATTGTATCACACCGAGTGACTTGAGTAAGGGTGAAATTTTGGCAGTCTGGAATTCATCTTGTACAACACTTGTGTGCCAACGTTGCTTGCCTCTCGGCAAGTAAAGCTCGTAATTGTAACATTAGAATATCTGCTTTGTAAATGAATAATACATAAATAAGTAGTTACATCCACCGCATGCACGGGTGGCAATGGCAGTTGAACATGCTTTACAAGTGCGCCCCACACAAAAAACTCTGGACACAACTGCAAGTTGTAATATATTCTGACCACGGCCGCCTCCATTCTGGTGTTCTTGAATAGTGTTCTTCACGTCTTGTGAGGTCCACTCCATGTTGAGCTCCGACACCGCTCTTGTGTAGGTAGCGCCAGTATGGAACCAATTTGCTGCCGGGGCTCAGCAGCCCACCATTCCAATCCCAACATTACCCTGTCCTGCTAGCCAGGATACAGGAGGTGAAGCAACCCTAACCACAGCATGCAGAGCACACAGCAGATACCCCATATCGACACCAGCCACTCATGCGAAGCCCAGCATGCCCAGCTGCTGACGAGAAAATAAGACTTCATGAGGAAGGATGTGAATTATATAAGCAATTACGGGAACGGGGTCCCCTCACACCACGATCAGTGCGCATGTGGAGAGGGCATGCAACGACGGCACATCTGTGCAGACGGTATCCTGCCTATGATGGACTCTGATCACAAGCCTTGATCTGAGATTACGCATTGCGCAGTAGCTTGTCAAACGTCGGCTAGATAGGGCAGTGTGGGAGCGATTTTGGATATCATGATCAAGAATCCAAGCAGCTGGCAGCGTGCAGGCATGGTGGCAGTGATTAAATTGCAGGATATGCCAGCCTGTCAAGCACTAGCAGAGGCCATATATGCCTGCACTCCATGGCAGGCCTGGAGGGATAATCCAGTAAATCAAGCTTCAGCTCACATGCATGTGAGGTCTGCTCATGATTCGATCTCTGCGCTATTCAGTCTTAATACAGCCACATTCTTCCACACATTACAACGGATACTGAGATCATCTCAGTGAGATGCCATGCAGGCATGTCAACTTTGACAGATGCTTGCAAGCGAGTGAATCCTTTGTCAGTGACAAAGCAACCAAAAAGGCCCTTCAGGGCTGCTGTCCATATGGCGAGTCAGACGCCACATCTGCATGACCAAGCAGTCTTGCCCACTTCAAGCTGGAAATGCAACCAAAGACTTTGGGGCAGCAGCTGTAGTCAGCTACTGGTGCGCTCATCTCCTTGACGGCTAGCTGATGTCAAACTGTCTTTTGTGAAGTCATCCTGGGCATTACTGCACCCAACAGAGGCGATGACTTACATCAGCAAAATGATCTGCATGCTGAAGCTCATGATTCTTTCTAACTTGCAGTGGGGTTGCTGCTCCCTCCACGGCCGCCTCCATTCTGGTATCCCTGAATCGGGCACATCAATTTCCTTGACGCCCACTCACAACCACTTCAAGGGGAACACTAAATTAAATCCCGGCAACAACATGTCTGAAGAGCGCATGCAGAGGTGGTTTACAATCTTTAGGACAATGGAGTGCCTGTATTGAGAGGCCCATCTTGACCCCAGCAAGGCCCCACACATGCTTGCCAAAGGTGGCTGCACCAAAGTACAGACTCTATGCGAATTGTCTTTGAGTGTGGGACGCTTTGCTTCAGACACAAGGCAGCCCTTTGCCTTGCACTGCGCCGCACTGCTTTGTATGTCTTGCATTGACTTTTGGCTTAATATTGAACTGTAAAAAGACAGATATGTCACGCACCCCTTGGCGGCCGCCGCCACGACGGCCTCCGCGGCCGCGCCCGCGGCGGAAATCATTCCGCCGCGCGATGCCGGTGCCACCAAACGTCTCAATGTCCACCTTGCGCTGCTCGGCAAAGCGCGTCCGCGCCTGGATGACACACACTCTTAGCTCATCAATCTTCAATCTGGTACCATCATTGTGCTGCTTTACGCACTTGTTACAGAGGGGCACTGCGTCGTCTACAAGCGGTCACGGATTGCCAGCTCGAACTCTCGTATTCTGTTGACCAGGCTAGCAGGCAAACAGGAGCAGCCTCCAAGGACACCACTCTCCATGGGACATCATCAAGGAGCACCAAAAACACTTCTTATACTGTGCATATCATGAACATTTTTCTTACTTTGCATAAGATTTACTGCAGCTTGTCTGCAGGACGCACCTTGCCTCTTGGCAGGAGCGTGTAATACGATGATAATAACATTGTATATGCGAAGACGTATGCAGTGAAAGATTTTACGCACCTGCGGCTTTTCTGGCGCGGCACCCTCAGACACGGCCAGGCGCTCGAGGGCCTCACAGGAGAGGGAGTCGAAGAAGTCATCGGCCTTGTAGGTCTCCTTGGGCGCCTCCTCTTCCTTCACCACCTCCGGCTTCACCTCCTGCAGGGACACGCTCTAATCTGATTCTCATCTAGGTGCAGCAAAACTCAGGATGCCAGCCCGATCGGCACGTCTGCAGGTGGCTCCTCAACTTCCAAAAGATGCAGCACCCTCGGCGGTGTGGCAAGCTACGCATGACACAGAGGAAGCAACGCGAGACCCCCTTCCTCATCACTCCTTTGGGCAGCCTTGTTAGACGCTTTGAATGTCCCTCCAGAAAATCATATGCCAGAAGAAAGGAATGCTGCAGGGGAAGTGAATGACTGATATGATTGAGGGGGAGCGCGCCTCCTTCTTGAATTTCTGGAAGGCCTCCTCAAAGTTGAAATCCTCGCGGGGGACCGGCACGGGGGGTGCGCGGGGGGCCGGCGGGGGGCCCTGCCCTCGGCCGCCGACGCGGCCGCCGCCCCTCGCGGCGGCAGGTGCCAGCCCTGGGGGGCCGCCAACGCCCCTGCCACGAGCTGGGCCTCGTCCTGAGCAGCAAATGCAAGAACTTCTTTAAAGTTCTTTTTCGCAAATCAGCTGTATGGTGTGCAGTCCTCGGCAGCTGTTCGAAAAGGCGCAGATACATTTCAGCCAGATCCTTGCACTACTAGAATTACTGAAGTGCACGACATTTACTGATACAGTGTCTTCCAGAGTGGCTGCAGCGCCTGCCAAGTGCTGTGCAGGTTTGGAAGAGCGGCAATTGGACCACGTCACACTCAGCACATCGACCAGCATCTCCTAGCTAACCAGCCTCTCTCGAATGTCTCATAGTGTAAGTCTGAAGAGAGGGCGGACCTCCGGCAGCGCCTGCATAGGAGGTGGGCCGCGGCCTAGGAGCGGGGGGACCGCTGGGGGGTCCCTGCCTGGGGGGCGCTCCGTTGGGCATGTGCCCTGCTGGCGGGCCGTTTGCACGCGGGTAATTCTGCAGCATACCAATGGAATAATGCTCAGGCACATCTTCCGGCAGCTACTTAAGCAAGCATCGGCCAATCAAGAAGCAACTCTCAGTGACAAATCGAGGTGAACATCCATCCTTCTGCCCATTCTGCCAGCCTTTAGTGTACGACGAGAATGACATACCGACGTGCCAAAATAGACTAATAGGCGGAGAGTCCATTTTGATAGGTTGGCATGTCAATCTTGCCGCACGAGTGACCAGAGAAACATGGTTCCGAGCTGACAATGCAATGTGGAATGGGGCCTGCTTGTAGTGATTAGTACCACACCTGCATGCCTGGGGGAGGGTGCAGCGGGTGCTGCTGGTGGTGCTGTGGGCCAGCAGGAGACGCCCTCTGCGGCTGGGGCCGGGGGCCGCGCGCCGGTGCTGACGGGGTGATTACTACCGTTGGCGCTGGGGCCGGGCCCGGGCGCGCGGTGCCTGACCATGCATCACCACTATTTCACAGCATGAAATCCAAATGCCTAATTCTGTACGTTTGCAAACATCTGCTGATGCTGGGAGCAGATGTGCCTCTGTCGCAAGCCAAGCCTGACACATTTGCCAAGAAAGACTCCCGACAAGCGACCTCAGCTTCCGGCATCACTCTGGACGGTCCCCTAGCAGTCCACTTGGATGTCTGCCATCTGCAGGATGCAACGTCTTTTGCTGCTCCTCAATCAACGGGCACCCCTTTTCAAGCATGCCCCCAGAACATCCCAGAGCATCCATCAACACAGCTACTGGTTTGAGGGTGAAGACATTGGCTGGGTGCTCACTTGCTGCGGAAGGCTGAGCTGGCGGGGCTGCATTGGCTGGCTTGGTCTCAGGGGCCGCTGACTGGGCCGGGTTCACCGGGGTCTGTGCATAGTACGGCGGAGGCGCTCCAGGGCCCGGCTGCTGTGAGGGCGCACTCCACTGCACGTTGCCTGTGCAGCAGCAGTGCTAGCCTTAAAATGCTATTCAGTGGTGCATTAAAACAACTAGCAACCATATACGCTGTGGGCGGCCAGCACGGACTTGCAACAAAAAGGTGCGACACAGGAATTGCATGATGGTGATGACAATTTTGCCCATGCAGGAGGCATGCAAGGGAAGGGGCAGCAGCACAAGAGCAGGGTGGGTCACAGGCAAGCAGCAATGGAGATGTGGGGCATGAAACGTACTGTAAGGCTGCTGGGGAGGTGGAGCGCCCCAGGGGGAAGGTGCAGGCGGCTGGGGAGGTGCCTGTGGAGGTGCAGGAGCGCCCTGTGGTGCAGCCTGCCCACGCGCACTCAGCTAAGTTACATATCACAGCCAGATCTGCCAGTGCATGAACATCTTGATCTCCTGGTGGGAGCCATGGTGCTGGCCCCTCTTGGAGACCCTGATGAGAAGGAATGGCGAGACCCCTGATTCTGTTTTCCAAGAATAAGGGTTGCTCGCGGGCACCGCACCTCTGGTGCTTTGCTCGCATCGGCATCTGCAGGTGGCTCGTTCTGGAGGACTGCTAGATCCTTGATATCCGCGCCTGCTCAGGAAGATGTGACGATTGCGATTTCGGTAATAAAAGGCGTCTTCCACTATTTGCGAAAATAACTTTTCGTGGTAGTCAAGGACAGGAGATAAACGCACCCTTGAAAATGATGTACTCATAAATTTCGCCGCTTGGAGGGAGGAACGTTCCATCTTGGCGCCTGTCTTCCGTCCCAAACGATTTGACTGCGCAAAACCCGCACACTAAAGCGTCAAAATACCTGGAGCAAAGCGCGTGGAAAACGAAAGATCGGGTCCCCGCTGGAACAGCCCACAAATTGCAGGAATTCAGGATGTGGGAATGTGAAGCACACCATTATGTAGGGCAATTGTGCTCTCATTCATATCTATGGAGTACAGCGTGCCCTCATATCTGATATCGCCCTTGCTAATGAGGCTGATCTTCGCCCCTATGTATGGCATTTCCCCCATGATGGCGGACTCGGACCTCGGCCAATCTCCTTCTCAGCTCTCCAGAGTAAGCTGCGGCTCAGGCATGTCTTGAGCTCGCTGAAATGCACATCCTGCTTGAGCAGTGTGAGCAGCCCTTGGTGTACCCCAATGCAGACTTAGTCACCCCTGCCACCTCAGCTTCAGTCAGAATCGGCCCATGCAAACGCCTTGAATCCCAGGTGTCGCCATTCCCCACATCTTACCACTTCTGCCGTGATGCTGTATGTCCAGGAAGCTTAATCGAGCATCTGGTGAATACCGATCTGCTCCTGGCGCACGCGGAAGCGTGTGAAGGCCTTCGTGCACCTGGAAGACTCAGCTCTCACTTGAGCGCCAAGTGGACGGTGTCGCCATGGCCGCCCGGTCCCTTTGACATGCCCACAATATCACCTTTACAGTTTAGAAGTCCCTGAGGTTGTCCTGCTTGAGGCATGGCGGCTGCAGAAGCGCAGACTGGGATCTACGAGATACCTGGCAAGTTTCCTAAAAGCCTTCAATCCTCCCAACCCGTCGATGTGGCGCAAGCTGTCGATCGCTTTCAAAGTTCCTTTTGTCGCTATTATGCCTGATACGAGATGCCGTAGCACGAGCATTCCTGTTTCATGAACGCCAGTTTTTCCAGAGAACACGCTTCAACCAGGTTTCATCGATAAAGGTGCTGATCCCCAGTCCCTCTTTTATCTATGTCCACGATATTCGCAGATGATGGCAATGAGGAGTACTGCGGAGCCTGCCGCAGGGAGGGAGTACTGTTGTGCTGTGAGAACTGTCCCGCGGCATATCACTTTGGCTGTGCCGGTTATGGTGCGGCACGATGGCCATCCATCTGTCTAGTGAGAGAACATATTAAGCAATGTCAAGTGGTCCGCACCCTTCCCACTCAATGTTGGATGCGGACTGGGTACAATTGAAGGGACCCCAGTCTGACAAACACACAGGAAGGCGCACGGTAAGCATGCATCAGGACAAAGGCATCCAGATGTCATGAGACAAGGCGCCAATGGGTGCAGCATGTAACCAGGGAGTTTCTGGCACTCTGGCGCAGCAGCAGCAGCCTCTGTGATTGCTAGAGCTGCTGTCCAGGAGAATTGGCTTGGTGGATGATTTTTGGGATTACTGCAGGCGGGGAGGAGGATGTGCCTGGAGGAGAGGAGGATGCATGGCTGTGCTGGGGCTGCTCCCAGAAGACCAAGACGCCATTCCTGCACAGCACGCGGCCGGTAGGCCCTCTCCCTTGGTGCTGACTGGCATGTCTTGGGCCAGAAGAATCGTGGAGTGCATCTTGTTGGAATGCCTTGAATTAATTTCCTTCGATGCTGCTGTCAAAGGGGCAAGCACTCAGCTGCTCTGTCTTCTTCTGGCTCCCCTGCTCAGCCATGAAAGATGTGCTTCTCTGTCACACCTTGATAGAACAGTACCCAAGTACAGCAACAAGACCGTGCGCAAAATGCATGACCTGGAAAATTCTGGATCGCAGCTGGAGAAGGCGGTAGGGAAGGATGTGCGCGTTGCCTCAAAGGAGGGGTCCATCGAGTACTACAGGGCTTCTGTAGTTGGAGGGAACGCGGCCGCCGTGGACGTGGTGTACGAGGATCTGCCCGGGGTGCGCGAGTCGATAGACCGCAGCAGCCGCCGCCTGTGGCATGGCACGCTGAACAATGATGGCTGGGAGGTACCCCTCCGTCCTGCTGCACCTGTCTGTGTGCAATCAACTTAGCCTTGCCTAGATGGAGGTGACTGCCACTGACGGCAGTGCCTCATCCTTCATGGGGTTGAGACAGCATTTGCAATGGTAGCTTGGAGCCCTGCTGTATGGGCAAGGAAAACCACTACTTTGATGTGGCCTGTGCTGAGTGCATGCACCATAGACGTCCCCTTAACATCATGATACTTGAAAGCCTGCATGGCTTCACGCTGTTGCTGAATTGCGGCTTTTTGTGCAGAGGCGCGGCAGCAAGTATGTGCCGATAAGCCGGGCATATGCAATCGACATCAACCGCACGTCAGGCTCCCCTCCAGGCAAGCTACCGGGCAAGGCCGAAGCGCGGAGCACCGCCGCAGCCGCAGCAGCATGGCAGCAGCGGGAGCCAGCAGCCTCAGGTGCGCTTGCTGGAGCCTGGATCCTGGATCCTGTAAGCCTGGGGCTATATCGGCCTTGCGAGCTTCATAGACCCACCTCAACAGCGTCTGCCCACCGTCCAGTGCAAATAATCGTGTCCACCTATCTTGAAATGGTGCTGTGTTTGAAACGGTCCTGGCATGGGCCTCTTTGAATACTTCTTATTGTCTGTCAGCACCATGGCTTTGCTTGCAGGCCGCTCGCACGCAGCGTCAAAGGGAGCACAAGCGCAGGACAGGAAGAAGGCAGCACCGAAGCCTGTGGCCAAGAAGACTGGTGCGCAGAAAGCAGCACAGGAAACTGCGGAAAGTGGCTCTGCAAGGCCAAGCAGCGCAGGCGGCAGCGGCGGACAAGCTCCATCTGGGGCTGCAAGCAGCATTTCTAAGGCAAGCCATCTGCATTGCTCAGTGATGTGCAATCCAAGCCCTGCCTCCCAAGGGGTTTCTTTCAGAAGGACAGACTCCGGATCACTCTCTCAGCTTTGTTGCCCTCTTGGTTTAGAAGCATAGTCAGCTGGCTGAATAGGATCATATGGACCTTTTTTATTTGAATGGGTTTTTCTTGTAGGTTCGTTCTTGACAATTCGCAATGCTCAGGCAAGTTTCAAGCATGAAATCACCGTCTTTTACCTCATGCAGGGCCTGGGAGGGCCAAGGCTGTCAGCAGGCCAGCAGAAATACCCGGCCGCGCCCGGCATCACCGGCCGGGCCGAGCCGTTGCCGCTGCCAAGCAAGCGGCCGGCTCCGGCTGCGGAGTCGGCCGTGTCTAAGCGGCCGCGCAGCTCAGCGCCCCCCACGCAGGGGATCCCACCAGTGGCCGCCCCGCCACCCGCCACCACAGCGGCGCCCCCCGCTCGGCCGCCGCTGTCACAGACGCCGCTGCCGGCGCTGCTCGCATCCTCACAGCCGCGCACTGCCCCGGCTGCTGGGGCCGGCCCCCCGCAACCGCCCACCACTGCAGCGCTTCCCGCTCGGCCGCCGCTGTCAAAGGCGCCACCGCCCCCCACCGCAGCGCCGTCCGCTCGGCCGCCACCGTTAAGTGCGCCGCCGCCACCGCTGGCCGTTTTGCAGCTGAGCAGAGCGCCAGGTGCAGCACGCGCGTCGCCGGCGGTCTCCGTGCAGTCGCAGAGTGTCCCGGGGACATCCCTGCCCAGCAGCGCAAGCGCGCCGGACGTGCAGCAGCCGCTAACAGCTGTGGGTGCTGGAGGGAACGCGCCGCACCAGTGGCCCACCTCACAAGCCATCGCACAACCACTTGCACCGCCGCCGCCGCTGCCGCCGGCTCTCTTGACGCCGGATGCAGCGGCGGCTCTGTGCTCCAGGCTCGGCACAGACCAGTCGGCTGAGCCGCCGGGCACTGCCGTCGATATGGATGTTAATGACATGCGGCGGCCATTCCCGGACCCACTGTCGTTGGCAGCACTGGCGGATGCGTCAGAATGGGAGAGCGGCATTGCTTTCGGCGGCAGTCCTGAGTCACAAGGTATGGACTTGCCCAGAAGCACTGGAGCACCTGACCTCACGGATTGGAAAGGCATGTAATAATGGAAACAATTAATAAAGGAATGATAATAGTAATGACCCGACTGGCGTATTGCTGCTGTGAGAATCGAGCCTGGGTCACATTGCTCGACTACTGTTGGACAGACAGATTAAATGAGCAGCGATGTGGATGGTGCGTTTGCTCAGGAGACATTGTAGAAGAGATGAGGACAGAAGAGGGCAGCGCTGCAGAGGATGCGCCCACCCCTAACCCAGCTGCCACCCCGGAAATCAGCGGTGCAGGTGTGATTGCTTTGTTTAAGTCTACCTTCTCTGCATCCTGTACATTGGCGATATAAAATGCTAAAGCATCTGTGTTGTTCCCAAGCCCTGTCGGATGACCTGCTTGCAAAGTTTGCAATTCCTTGTGATGGTCGTGGTTTTTGCACTCCATCAAGTTATGACCTTGTACAGACGTGCACAGGACCTTTCTGAGCGTGCAAATGCCATTCAATCTCAAAATTGTGCATGGCCTTGCATGAGGGCATGTCTGCAGCAGGTGCATTCCTGGACGATGACGTAGGGGAAACAGCGTTCACAGCGGCGCTGGAGTCTTGGCTGGAGTCGCAGAAGAGGACCATGTACGAGCCGCGAATCCAGCAGAAGCCCCTCTCCGCCTACACCCTCTGGAAGCTCGTCGCAAAGGGCGGCGGCTCCAAAATGGTGCGCCCATCTCATAGCGGCCAGCATCATGACATCATGTTTTCTAGACTTCAAGTAGAGCTAAATATTGTGCCAGGTTGAAATTGCCTTTGCGGCATATTGTGCTGCCAGTGCTAGATATCAATCAGCAGCAGCTGAACGCGATCACAGGAGGCGGGGAAGGGAATCTCCAGAGAAGCGTTAGGGTCCACATTATTATCGTGGATTCCACCAAGTTAATGCCATTTGCAAGAGTCGCGTACGAAAGTAAAGAGTAAGTTTGCATGTGGGGGTGCAGGTGACAAACAACAAGGGATGGGCGCGCATTGCTCGCGCAGTGGGGGCGCCGGAGTCGATGACCGACAAGTCCACTGTGACCAAGCGCGTCTTCCAGCTCTCCCTGGGCGACTTTGAGGAGGTGAGACACTGCCAGCTCTCTGCACATGTCGAGTGTTTTTTGCCTGACCTGTGCCCTTGGGGGTTGCCTCTATAACATCACCAGCGTTATCTGCTTTGGCATGCATTGCCCGTCGGACATGCCCTCAGGCAAAATGGCCGCAAGCCAAGATCCCCAAGATCACAGTGATTTGTTGTTTCACTGAATATCCAAGGTTTGTCTGGCATGGCAAATCTTGCAAATATCACAATTCTATGAAAACCAGAGCCAAGGATACCGCGTTTTTTGGTCAACATATTTTGTAGAGGCTTGCATGGTTCCCATTCTGGTGGTTGGAAAGACCAATTCGGTATGATGCTTTCTGCAGCTCACATGACCTTGTGACCTTGTTTGGCTGTATCAACGACTAAAATCTACTAATTGCGCATCTGCACGACGCAGGCGACAGAGTGCGGCGAGACCGACCTCGGGCGGCCGCGGGCGCGGGCTGCGACGCGGACGCCTCCGCCGCGGGGCCGGCAGCGCAACCGCGCCGGCCGCTCCTCCCCAACCCGCAAGCGCCAGCGCGCCTCCGGCCGCGCGGCCGAGCGCCGTGTCGTCGGCTGGGTGCAAGTGCGCGCCTGATCTGGGCGCTGCATCTCGAATTTGAATAACAATTAAATGTGCTGCGCCTGATCTGCACGTCTGGTTGGGTCCACCATCAAGGTGGCTAACTGACTTCCACTTCACAGAGCCAAGTGACCCTTCCAGATTTTTAAAATGACGTAGAAGCAGCATCAAAAGCATTTGTGAGGTAGGCTGTGGTCGTTGCACTGCGAGACTAGTTTGCAGCGCAATCATGCTTACGAAAGAACTGATGGCAGGTCCTATGTGTGCTTGGTTGGGCCTTGCACTCGCAGGATTCTTCCGTCCATACTATCGTATGTGTGCTAATGCAAAGGTTCAGTGCTTTGGCAAGTGATGGCCGCATCTTCCAGTCTGCATTATGAAGCTGAGGCCTTGCTCTTTGTTTCCTTCGCCAGGTAAACAAGGAGCTTGCGCTGGACGTGGGTGCAGCAGTGGAGGTCAGGAGCCACGACAAGCAGCACACAGGCGGCTGGCTTCAAGCCCGGATCTTGCAGGTGCCTCACCCTTGTGAATGTGCTTGATCTGTCATTTCTGCAGTCATTGTTCTCCTCTCAATCATTCACTTCCTCCGGAGCTTCTGTTTTTGCAGTGCCATCGTTTCATTACGATTATCTGTTTAATCTGCGTCCTCTTTCTCTCGAAGAGGTCTTCTTCTGGGATTAGGAGCCCAGATTCTTCAGCGTTCATATCCTCCTATTTTTCAAGTCGTTTGCATTGTATGGGTCACACGTCTGAGAATAGAGTTGCTTGACAGCATTTACGTCGTGTTGCAGGTGTGTCCTGGGAGCATATATGAAGGGGGCCTGCGCTTCGAGGTGGAGCTGGAAAACATATCTGGTTCCCCCGGCCAGAAATCACAGCAAGCAGAGCCGCCGGTGTTCGGCAGCGGAGCACAAGACGCCAGCGAGAAGGGCTCGGAAGGTGGCGGGAAGGGAGAAGAAGCTGCCGGGAGGGAGCTCGCATGGGTGCCTCTAGTGCATGCACCGGCAAACACAGATTATCCTGCCGTCCTGATCAGGCAACCGCTGCAGCCGGCCGCCCCCCCCACGCCGGCCGTCGATTGGCGCGTCGGCGAGCGAGTTGAGGTTAGTCAGCATTTACTCAACAAGCATGTGTTTGTCTCGGGTGATACTGCAACCACCCATTGCAATGCAAGCAGAGCGGATAAGTCAAGGGGATATACTGGTGCATCTTCTGCGCCTTCACATGGCCGGGTGATATAGCTGTGCGGCTCTTCTAAATGGCGGTCCAATTGAAAGCCCATAAACATGTCCTTTGAGGGCTCTTTTACTGCTTTGTCAAAGGACCCTTCGTGAAAAGCATGCAAGCAGCCTCTGTGCACAGAGCAGCAGGGCAGTATTGACAGGATGCAGTTGTGCCAAGGTCACTGGTGACCAAGAAAGCTGCTCATGATCATGTCTCTGTCAAAAGGTGGGCATATTTGCTGTGATTTCGCCTAAACACAGCCTGGCGGATGCAGGGCTACTGGGCGGAGGGCGGCTCGTGGTGGCCCGCAACGCTGGAACAGATCCTGCCAACTGGCGATGAGCTGGAGCTGCGCGTGGACCCTACTGCGACAAATCGTGACGTAATTCCCCTTCCCCTCACCCTTGCAGGAATTCCTTTTAATTGACCTCGTTTTACTGGGTCCCTGGTCTGCAGCACGTAGAAGGGACTGTTGGTGTACTTTCCATGCATGGTAGGTCGGTATTTGGTAATTTGCATGGCTCGGTGCAACAATGCAAGGCGGCTATGCACTGTATATTCCGAATGGTGATGACTCTCCACATCCCCTCTGCAGCTGTTGCTCCAAGCCCGTGAAGATGCCCCATGCTATCTGGTGTTGTTCTCGGGTATCTTATGAGACGTAAGGACTTTATGGCTAACAGAATGAGGGTTGGTCATGGTGACACAGGGCGAGCTATGGGTGCTGCCAGCAGACCACGTGCGCAGGGGTCACTCCACCGAGCGCGAGGGCTTTGGACTGCTGGAGCCGCTGCAGGTGGGCGTTCCCTTTCTGGTGCACATATAGACATGTGACTGCAGTGGGCCTGATTGGTGCCTATGATAGACAGCCTATCACTTGATCACAAGAATAGTGCCTACTGGAAGTGTGCAGGCTTGCCCTTGCAAGCAAAACTGGCTGGTTGTGAGTGGCTACATGAGTTTGATGAGAGCATTGATGAGAGCAGACATAAGTACCACCCCAACTCCTGCTGCTGGATCCTGTACGAAGGAGTTGTACTACTCATGCAGCTGGGCCTTATTGGTGTGGGAGCTGCAAGCTTCAACCCTGCTGTCTGACCTAGCACTAGTGGGGCATCTTTTGGTGGACACGCTGTTGAGTGACATTCAAATCAGCTTCACCACTTGCTGGCATCGTCTCCAGATGGGAGCTCTGGGCGAATGGAGTGCATCCTTGGGACTTTGCAGGGTCTTACACAGGAGCTGAGATGACTCGCATGTGGCTGCAGGAAGAGCAGTGGACCACAGTGGGCGATCTACGCAGGAAGCTGGCCTGGCAGCAGCACACGGTGGACGGCTGGTCCATCGAGGCATATGCCACTCAGGCAGGCATGCCCCAGACCTCCAGCGAGGCTGCAGGGGCGCCTCCCTCCCGTCTGCACACCACAAACAGGTGTGCATCCCTGCCTGAATGCCCAGTTGGGCAGTGCCTGCCTGCGCAGGGCTTTGCTTAGCATGTCCATTGTTCCAGGCTAACGAAAATTTTCATTGCTCTTTAATTGACATTTATGGAAGCTAACTGATACATCAGTCAGTGGTTGTCAGTTTAGCTCCCATGTCTTACCAGGGATCTACTGTCTGCAAACAAGGAATCTTGGGTAGATCCGATCCGCTGCAAAGCTGAAGACCTGGCCCCATGATTTAGCATGTCTTTTCATGGTCAGAGTGGAGAGCTTTGCAGTTGATCTGATCTACCCCACGTGTATGCTTTTGCTGCCGTCTACAGTCTAGGATATCTTGCATCAAATGGCGCAGGAAGAGGCCCGCGCCAGACCCGCTGGCGAGTCTGGAGGAGGCAGCGGCGCGCGTCCTGGGGCGAACCCTCTCGGCCGCCACCCCGCGCGCTGAGTCAGCGGCGGCCGGGCTGCTCGATCTGGCTCCCTTTGGCCAAAGGGGCGGACCCTTTTCCTCCAGCCGCCCCGGCTCGCCGTCAGTCGGCAGCGTCTCGCAGATTGGTGGCGGCTCCGGCGGCGATGAGGCCTTCCCTGACACCGCCTCCGGCGATGACAACGAGGTATGGCCTGATGACATCAGTAAATATTTGTCTGTCTTCTTGCATCTGTGCTGTCAGTGGACAGAGCTTTGCAGCTGATGCATTCCCCCTGACGAAAATCATTTGTCTTTCATGGCACGAGGAATTTGGGCAATTCAAGTGTACTTGTCTACATTTGGGTTGGCAAGGTGTGGTCGAGGTGCAGGATGCCTTGAGGAAGGTGCCATGGCCGGTGTGGCAAATTTTGGGCATGATCCGAAAAGGCAAACAAAGAAATGTGTGCCGATAGCAGACGGGGCGCGCCGCCCGGAGAGCCAGGGCGGACCAGAGGACGATGTCTCGGATGGCGTTGCCTCCGGTGGTGGCCGCCGAGGAGCTGTCCTGCGACGAGGCTCTGGATGAGGGAGCCGGCCCCGGGGACGGAGCGCATGCAAAGCCGGGCGCAGCCGCCGAGCAGTTCCCTGGCAGGTGCTGATTGGAATCGTTCACCTTTGCTATTCCTTGGATGGACCCGTATGTCCTGTTGTCTGCACAGTATGCCGTGGAGGTGTTGTGCTTTGAGAGCAGCAGAGCTGGCTTACCGGCTTGTGAGAGCAGCAGGGATGTTGATGCCTACCCTGATATCCCCTGGGCGGCATCTGCGCCACAATGTTCCATTGTCTGCCCAACAAGATGCGTAGGGACACTCTGGTGTGGATCATGCAGAGCTGCCTGGCTCCTAGTTGCAGCAGGAAAATTAGGAGCTTCACCAGCAGTGGGTCTTGCTGAGATGGGTGGCGGCAAGATGCAATTTGTAGTATGGGCGGTGCATGCTGAAGGAGTGACTGCATGTTGGTGCAGGTGGGGCAAGCCGAGGAAATTAGGAGGGAGGGGAAAGCCTTCAGGCCCACCGCTGCCCTGGGAGTGTCCGGTGGTGTGCGTGCCCGGCAGCTTGGACAACTTCCTTACACAGGTGGGACATTGTCTATCTTGGAAGTGTTGGCTGTGATATGACAAAGAAAAGGGAGACGCCGAGTTGTATTAATGAGGCGCTCTGGCTGCCAGCCTGCCTTGGTTGTCATGTGCCAGATCAACGGCCCTGCGTTGTCGTGGTATCACAACCGAGCAAGCTGTGAATGCTCTGTTGACATACAGCCTGTCTTAACCAGCCTCAGGAAAAGTCTCAAAAGCCATGGCGCGGCAATCAGATCTTTGCAATCTGCTTTTTGCGGTGGTGGTGGTGCTGTGCTGAGCGCTAAGGCAAGCGGACAGTGTTTGCAGGTGAGGCCTGCCGCTGTCAGGGACCCAGACTACCTCGCCAAGCGGGAGGCATCAGCGCCACCCGGCGGCTTCCACACCCACAATGCCAAACGCCCTGGGAAGATGTTACCCGCTGCAGCCACGGCCAAACCCCCTGCCGCGGGCAAACCCCCCGCAGCCGCCAAACCCCTTGCAGTGCTGAATCCCCCTGCAAAGGGTAAACCCCCCGCAGCGGGGGTCAATGCCCCTGCAAAAGGAACCCCCCCGGCCAAGGGCGCGCAGCGCGGATCGGCTCCGGCAAAGCATGACGAGGCGCCTGCGGCTGCCCCGGCACCTGCGGCAGCGGCTGCACCGGAGTCAGGGAAGGTTTACCACTGGCCACTGAAGATGCCCAGAGGACAGGCGGCCTCCTCTAAGGCCGCCCAGGAGCCCAAACCACGTGCAGCAGCAGGTGGGTGCAAATTCGTCTTGCAGTCCACCAGCAACTGTACAGAGCCTTTCCCTTTCTGCTCTATTGCTGTTCTCAAGCGTCCTTTCCCTATGATGTGCAAAAATTGTGAGTTTATGTTTCTTGATTGCTGCAGAGTCAGGCAGAGCCCACTTAAAAGAAGCACCGGCACTCAAAAGCGCCCACCGCCCAGCCCCTGATAGCCTGCTCCCCAAATGGGTGAGCACACACAGCTTCTGTTCTGACTCTCATCTTCCAATGCGACTGGCTTACAGACTTCTGGCCTTGTTCTGCCCTTGATGCTCACAAGTACAGAATACTCAGCAAGCTTACTGCCTTGTCTGGGGGCACGACCACCACTTGACTAACTTTGGCCATTCTTGTACTAACCACCCTTAGTGCACGCATGGCGATACTGTGCCACAACATTGCATGATTATATTGAACGCTACCGCAGGGCCAGGGAAGCAGCAGGACTCCGCCGTCTAAGCAGGCAGCGGGTACGGGCCAGGACTCACGGCCAGCAAGCGCGGGGCCCACCGGAAAAGAAGTGGCAATCCGCGCCCCGTTGCAGGTCGCAGCCGGCCTCGCCGTGATGGGCCGCCCGATCGGGCTCGCCAAGAGCCTACCCGGCACAGCGCTCTCCGGGCTGCTCCCCGCCGAGCAGGATAACGTCATCCTGGCGCACCTCAAGCGATGCGGCGCCGGCCAGCCCGCGGCCGCACCGGTCACGACCCATGCGCTCCCATACGTGCTCCTCCCGCTGCCAGCAGACACGCGCGCCACCAGGCGGCAACCCCCACCGCGGCCGCTGCCTCCGCAGCCGCAGGCGGCAGCGGCCAGGTCGCAGCAGGCGCAGCGCGCCGGCCGCTACAGCGGTGCGCCGGCCGCCTCAGGCGCGCTCAGCCGGCCGCCGGCACGCGTCCTCGGCCAGTTTGTCAGCGAGCCGCCGTCCTCCACACCCGGGATGTACTCGCAGCCGGCGCTCGCGATGAGGTCGCTGCTGACGTCGGCGAGCGAGATGCTCGCGCGCGGGAGCGCGCCGGACCGACCGCCGCCCGGCCTCGTCAGCATGCCGCTCGGCCTGCTGCCGCCGGCGACGGCCCCTCTGCCCAACACCTTCAGCAGCGGCGACATCCAGCGCGCTGCAGAGGCCCTCGCGGCCTACATCACGCCCGCCGGGGTCACCCCGCTTCCCTCGCAGCCTCTGCGCATGCACCAGCCGCGCGCCCCCTACGCAGCAGGTCTTCCCGGCCTCCGCCCCTCCGCGAGCGGCCAGCAGCAGCAGACGACAAGGCCGGCAGCGGAGGCGCCAAGTATGGAGTCGCGCTACCCCCGGATAATGCCGCTGGGCCCCCCGCCGGAGAATGCACGCTACCCCAAGATCCAGTTCAGCTTCGCGCTGCCGCCACCAGCGTTCCCTGCTCCGTCACATGTCCAGCCACCGCATGCGAATGGCGCGGCGGTAGCCAGGGGCGGCGAGAACGATTTACAGGCGACACCGCAGGAGACGGCGGGGAAGCCGGGGCTGGCCGGCCGGCTGCGGCAGCCGCCGCCGGGGTCGTCCCGGCTGGTGGCGGCGCTGTCGCAGTCGCTGGGCCTGAGCTCGGAGCTGCTGCCGGCAGCCGCCGCGCAGCTGCCGCCGCCGCAGCTGATGCGTGCGACAATCGAGCAGTCCCGACTGGATGCCAATGGAAGCAGTGGCGGCCGCTGATGCCATGTGCGACCGGGTTTCTGCTGCTGCAGCTGCACTGCACTAGAAGCGGAGAGTAGAAGACATGAGGAGCGCCTGTGGTGGTGCCAAGATATTTGCATTGCACATTGTGTAGCCGTTTAAGGTCCCTAGTAAAATGCCTAGCTTGTAGCCCTGAAGACATAGCAACTGGTGTGCCTGACTTAGTGAGTAGTGCTGGTACCAGTGCGCCATCCTGTTTGCTGCATCCTTAGTCTAGAACCAAGTATTCCTGGAGAATGGATACAAATTCTTGTGTATATGTATGTGCCACCATGGCCAGCAACTCCTGTAGATCTTACGTAGGCCAGGCCTGTGACGCCTGGACGCTCTTAGAGGGTTTGAACCAAGACCTACACCAAGATTGTGAATTCACATCAAGTTCTCAGCACATAGCAGTGCCAATTATGTAAACAAGCAAGGCTTCAAAATTCTGGACCGTGAAGGCCTGTACTATGACTGAGTCAAGCTTAAAGCTCCGAGCAGAGTCTGCAAATCCGAGCCACCAGACCTAGGTACATGCATGCACGGGAATCCCAGGATCAAAGGGCGCCCTTTTAAGCAGCTTGTGCGCCGTTGCTCAATTGACCCAGTAAACCACACTGAACATCATGATGCATATGGTATGTCGCAAGCGGCTTGTCACAAGCTTACAATCAATTGACCCAGTAAACCACACTGAACATCATGATGCATATGGTATGTCGCAAGCGGCTTGTCACAAGCTTACAATTATGTTCATCATGACACGGGAATCATACGCGTGACACCACTCTTGTTTTGACACGCTTTTGCCGCCAAAAGGCAAGGTGCGTCCTGCAGAGACGCTTGAAGCTTGAAGCTTGAAGCTGCAGTTGAAGGCTGCGCAGCCTGATCCTTCCCCTTGTTGGACTCGCCAGATCCAAGCTAGACCCAGTAGCTACTATAGACCGCGGGCACGGTGCTCAGTATTTATATCGCCCCCCGCCAGCCGGGGCCGTGACACTATGGATGCATTCAACTTCTGGCCTGCGCGAGCAAGCATGCTCACGCATACTAGTACTATGCGTGAGGTCTGTTCAGCAGAGCTTTCAGCTCATCTATGGAGGACCAACCATATGTCTACTTAAGAATGGACCAGCCATGCAGGATAACCCAGCCGAGCAAATATTTCCAACCAGCATGCAGGTCACACCTGCAGGGCACTTGCCTCTGACGGGCCCCCCTTGACGTCACACTGAAATGCGAGGGGTCCCTCATGATCCGTATAGCTTCTCGCAATCCGGAATTTAGATGAAGGAAGGTGACACGACAGCGGCAGGCTGAACAGGAAGTCACCCCGCGCACTTGACCGCTATCGGGTCGCGGCGAGATTCCCCAAAATTTCCAGGCCCGGGAACCCACACGGTCTACTTCCAGGGGAGCTTCGTATAGCAACGGGCGGCGACTGGCGGTGTGCCCGCGATGAGTGGCGTGCAGTTATTAGGACGCGGCGTAACGTGAAAAAGTGCATGAATATCCGAAGTGGGTGAGTGACACCCATCTCGGGCAGGCACCAGGGTGCCGTACAGCTTGTGCATCTGTGACGGAATTACGTGGCTAGGCTGCCTCATTATATCTTCAAGAGGTGGCGAACAGGGGACCCCGCCCGCTAGATGCACTGCGGATAGACCTCGAGGAAAACACCACCCCTGGGCGCCCTCGGTGGGCAGCCTCACGGGGAAGCTATGATGCGATAGAGCAGTGAATGCGGTTCGATGTTCCTAAATTTAGAGAGCTTGAGGGCCCGCGCCCCAGTCAGTTTCAACCTTAGTAAGTTTCCGGTCAAGCTGCAACCGGATGTTCTGCACCAAAAATTACTGAGCGCCCATATGTGGATGAACGATATGCATAACTGTTGTTTCCTGGCTCTTTTAGGGGGCGTCCGTACTATTTCGGCCGGTGCCAAGAAATGACGTACGCACGATTCTGGATGAACCCTCGTGGTTTTTATCGCCTTGCTTCGACGAGCAGAGCTGGCCAGGACGCAGGGCGTGCCATGAAAAGCCGTCAATTTTGTACGACGGGTCGTTTGGCTGGCGCCCACATGGAATCTTTATTGTCGACGTTTACGTTGTAGGACGCACATGGAGGCCCCAGATACAGGCAATGCTGGCGTGACAATGTTGGCCGGCGTCCGCAGCGCTGTATCCAGCTTGAAGGCTTACCCAGGTTTGCCCCCACAGGCCATTGTAGGGGGTCAACCCATGCTCTGCCGCTTTACGTATACCTGTACGGCACAGTCCGTCCTGGGTAAAATATCCGTTTGCTGCTGCGACCTGCGGACCTGTTGTGCTTGCTGTTCGCGGTGGGAATTGTTAAATCGATTGGAGCCCCACCCATCGTATGGCGACCGACCTGTCGGCTCTCAAGGCACCTGATGGGCACAGGTTTGAAAAGGAAGGAGACCGAAATCTACCCGGTCTGGAGGGACGACAGCAAGGAAAAGAGAGCGAGGACGGTCTCGCCCATCGTGGCCGCCCCACTGCCGTCGCCCTCGGGCGGCAGCACCCAGACGCCAGTGCAGCTCAAGGCCATGAGCCACGACATCGGCCGCAGCAGCCCCCTGCCCCACCTGGCCTTTGGAGACCCTGAGCTCCTCAAGAGGCAGCTGCAGCAGATGGCCCTTATGCAGCACCACAACGAGGTGCGCCCTCACTTGAACTTATTTTGCACCTGTCTGGAAGTTGCCCAAACACCGCCAGGCCTTAGACCAACTGCAAGTGCCAGGCCCCCTTGTATGCACATTTGCCAGGGGAGTAACCCCTTTCTCGCAGCATTTGGCTTGTGCATGTGTCATGGGATGGAGAGCTGCAGCAATTTGAGCCTTCATGCTTGTGCATGATGCAGATATCCGTGCATGCACCGGTGCGGCAGCAGTCAATGTCGGCTGTGCCGCCCGAAGGCATTCGGCTGCCCAAGGGATCTGCCCTCTCCCTGGACCCCTCCGTCTCCGGCCGCTGCTCCTCTCCCCAGCAGCAGGTGAGTCCTCCTTCAACTTCCAGGGAGAATGCGCGAAGTACGTGATTTAACGCAAGGATGAAAAGCACTAGGCGAAGCATCCCGGGTGCTTGGAATCGCTGATGCAGGTGGTCATTGCTTGTGCTAGCTGCGGTGACACTGACGTCAACTGCTTGCTCCATGAGTGCGGCACTGACTGTCAATAGGCGGCTCAGCTGGATTAGAGTTTATGCCGGCCAGCATCGGCGCTATCTAAGGAAGCCTGGCAGTCTACGCTGGATCTGGATCGGTGTTTAGGGGCTTACCAGCGTTGTCTTGGAAGGGGGGACTCTACAGTAGTATGATGCCAGTGGCTGAGGCGACATTGGGTGCACCATGCAGGATTCAATGGCGGGCAGAGCAGGAGGCATGGAGGGGCCCAGCTACAGCCAGAGCAGCTCAGGCTTCCTTGTGCAGCAGCCCAGCTCCAAACTGTGGATGGAGGCTGTCCCCATGAGGTGCTCAGCGCTCTCCCACTCTGTGACAATGCTGCTCTAGCCCTTCGGCACATCATCAAGCCCCCGGCGCATGCAGAGTGCTAGAGGACTCTGTGCTTTTTGATGCTTGCCTATCCAGTGCTGTTTGCAAGTCCGCCTCATGTGTCAGGTGACCACTTTACTGGAGTCGGTGCCTTTTGACTCTTGTTTGACTCTACTCGACGCGTGGCCTGATTTGGCTCCGTGACCCAATTTGGCCCTCTCAGTCATCTGGCCATATTTGGACCTGATCTGGCGCACGGCCTGATCTGGCTGAGGTGGATCTTACAGGACGGGCACCAAGGCGAGCACATCATACCGGGTGTACAGCAATGCGTTCATGGAGGGGCGGCGGGCAAATGGTGCCCCAGGTGCGGCCTACGCACGGCCGGGGATTCCTTCCATCAGCTCCTTGCCTGCCCAGCGCGGGCGGCCGCTGCTTCCCATGCGCGAACGCTCGGTCAGTTTTTACACCCGCTGACCCTGGCAGCATCAAAGTGAATCCGCACTGGGACTGCATTTGCTGGAACGTTGTAAGGCACCCTTTATTGTGAGGCGTGCCCTGGTTAGTCTTTGTGAATTCCTGCTGTGGACAATGACATTGCCGGTCATGTTCCTGCGCTTGTTATTTCTGCTTTTGGCAACGCACGGGGACATGATCAGCAGCGAGTTTCCATAACTTGGAAGACCTTGGAGGTGTGCAGAGTACAGGTGGGGCAAGAACACAGATGAGGTGCATGCTGCTTGCAGGATCAAATGCACCAAAGCTCAAAGTGATAAGGATTAGCGTTCCGGAAGCCTGATCTCATTGTGTGAAGCGTGCGCAGAGCTCAGTGTCAGAGGTGCCGCAGCTGCTGGCGTCGCGGCAGCGATCTCTCGACGCGCCGCCTGCCGGGCCGGCCGGGGCACACCGCATGCAGCCGCCGCCGCAGGGAACCCCTCTGGACGTTGTACGGCTCGCGCACGCCGCCGCAGACCGCGTCCTGCAGCGGGTGAGTCAACTTACTTTCCGCACACGCTTGGCTACCATTGTTGTGTTCTATCATCCAGTCTCCTGTTGCACATGAGTCCAGATGTCAAAACTTTATTGCCAAGGTAGTACATGCTTATATTGCATGCATGTTGGGGCCACTGCCTATGGCAGTCAAGTTCCTTGACTCTAGTGCACCTAGCTTCATTGGGATGTTCCTTCAGAGCGGTCTGAAGGACAGACACAAGATGTACACATTCTGCGTGCCCCAGTGACCAGTGACTTGGCACTGAACGGCAATAACTCTAAATTGGCGTCTGTGCAGAGGATAGCGGAGCAGTCAAAGCCGGCGGAGGGACCGGCTGAGGTGGAGGGGCGGCTGGGCAGCGCGGGCAGCTGTGACACGCTGCCCGCCGGGCACCTTGGGCAGCAGCTGGGCAGCCTGCGCCAGCGCTCGGGCAGCTTTGGGCAGGGCCCCACCGCCACCGGCGGCCGCAGCAGCGCCGTCCGCGACCTCGATGCCGCCACAGTCGCCTCACAGCTGGTACAGTGCCTGATTTGCACATTTGCCATTAGTGTCCGATTTGCACATTTGTTCAGGTGTACATGCATTGCTACGGTCAGCGGCAAGCCACACTGCTTGGAAGGTATAGGTGCAGATACAAGCAGCAGATTCCCACTAAGTCTTTTTTGCGTCGAGACACAACTTTCCAAACCGTTCAGTGCTCCCATTGCTAGGATACAAGTTCCTGAAGCATGTCACCCCGTCCGTGGGATACCTTTCCCTGACAAGAGCTGTAGTATTTTGGCTGTCTCAAGCGATGCTTACTTGCACGGCTGCCTAGCAGCATTCGTAGTCAGCATCACCATGGTGATGGGCATGTGCAAAAGTTCTGTTCAGGCGAGAGGGTACATGGAACATTGCATTTACCGATACTTGCTTCTGGTTGTCCTTCATGCAAAATAACGGACTGGGCAGTGTCACTCAATTTAGTCTCCAATGCTGTCGTGTGCTCTCTGACTTATATTCAGACGTCACTTCAACCGCAGACTATGGCCACAGACAAGAGACACGTGACCTGATTGGAAGACTGCACTGATTGGCTCTCGCTCCCACAGTTGACGCGCCCACTGTGTTGCGGCAGCGGCGATGATCAGCTTGCGCACGTCTTGTGCCACCCTGCTGCATGCCATTTCAGCCTATTCCCGTCAAGGCTGGAGCTTAGTCTCTAAATTTGATACTACTGCCAAATGTGCAGGACCAGGAGCGGCAGCTTGCAGCGCTGATGATGATCCAGGACTGTGCTGCGGCCGGCGCGGCTTCGCTGCTCAGCTCGGCCGGCGCGCAGGGGTCCTCCAACCTCATCTACATCCTCAAGAGCCTCCAGGTGCGGCCGCCACATCAGTATCTCACGTGCACTGCCTAAGATACTCCATGCTTTGATTGTGAAATTCTCAATCTCAATGTGACACGCACCGGAGGCCTTAAAGTTTCTATTTTTTGGTTCCACCTGATGAGTTTTCCATGGGCCTGATAGCAGCTGGATTTCTCAAGGTTGGAGCATTACGACGTTCAGAGCAGTGCTGAGTAAAGGCATGCCTTTTCAGCTCCCCACCTTGTCATTAGTGCGCTGCTCTCATGATCAGCGTTGCTTTTCCTGATGCCATGACCATCACTTGTTGTGTGATGGTGCAGGAGCAGAGCCGCAGCAATCCTGGGGCGTTGCTGGCCCAGCTTAAGGCGGCGCAGGAGTCCCCCCGGCAGCAGATGGCGCTCATGCGAATGCTGCGCGAGTCCCTGCACCTGCCCGCTGAGGCCGCCCCCCGCCAACCCTCGCCCGATCAGCCGCCCGCGCGGGTGCGAGCTTTGCCCTGCTAGTATACAGTGCTCCTTTCGCCGTTGTGATGCTCACTGTAGTGGGCGGCTCTGAGCGAGGGAGTGAGTGGGGCGTTGTGGCCAGGCACTATGACTGGCATGACGAGTCACTTTGAAGATTGTCCACTTTCAACAGCTGTGCCGTGGGTGGCTTTATCCCGTGTTTCGCCACGGGCTTCAAGCTTGCATGTACTTTGCAATGCACCCCTGTGGGCCGTTTTGTAACCCTTTTTGATTTTTCTCGCGCAGCAGTGCTGCAGAGGATGTTTTGTGTTGGTACTGGCGCATCCAAAACATCCTCTGCTGTGCTGCGGAGCGTAGCACATCACAACCGCACAACAGCTGGCAGCGGGTGTTGATGTGAGCATCTGCATCGATGCTGAGCTGCATGATGCACCGCACAGGAAAGCCCACATGATGACGGCCCCGGTGAAGCGGCGCGGAAGCGGGGGCGCCCGGCAAAACCGGTGGCCGACGACCAGTGGCAGCCGGCCGGCAGCCGCAGGGAATTCCGGCGCCCCGTCATCGCGGCCACTCTGCCAGCTGAGGGCTCTGTACCACTGCGCATGAGCCACGAGGTAAATCTGAGGCTCTTGCCGGATTCATCAACTGAAGGAGGCTATCGTTGGGGCATCCAAGGCACTCCTGCTGTGCGTGAGAACATGCATGCTGCAAGCCCTTGAAAACGCAAGAAATCTGGCATTTTCTTAGGAACGGCGGCGTGCGCCGTTCCACGCGCAGCAGAACATGGTGCCTTGATCACACTGCTGCCCTCATGAAGGCTTGAAGACCTTGTTCTTGTTGAAGGACCGGCTTCTTACCAGCCTTGTGCAATGTGTCAGCCCTCTGTATTTGGGGATGAAAGTGGTGAAAAGCTTGCCTGGCAATTGGCAGGGACCTGATCAGGACGGGTATCTTGGTATGCAGGAGGCGCTGCAGCGGCTGGAGGCTCAGGCGGACCTGAGGGCCAAGGCGGGCAGGGCCATTACTACATGCAACACAGAACGCATGTCCAGAATAGGCAGCGATCCGGGCGCGGCCGAGTGCCAGCTCAGCGGCAGCCGGATGAAGGCGTTCTCGTCGGAGGGCAGCCCACGATCTCGCGCTCCAAACGCCCCCCGCACCGATTCCCCCTCCGAGGCTCTCTCTGGCCCCAGCCTCATCTTCAATGACTCCGCCACGTCAGATGACAGGTGCTACCGCTGCACCATGAATCCTGTCGCCTGCAATCGCACGCCAGCGTCGACTGCAGTGTGCAGGCGTCATGTACAGTGTCGGAGCGGTGTCGTGGGCTGGTGTCGCAATGTGGGACAATATGCACCGTCTGTGTCCTGCAAGTATAGCTGTTGGGTACGGACAATATTTGGACGCACGCTTTCATTACCGGTGTCAGTGGGCTTAAAATGGGGTGCATGTGGTTTGAGAAGCTTGCTTTGTCTGCAGGTTAAAGCGGCTGAACCCCTTTATTGGCCGCTCGGCTGAGCAGCACGCCCCAGACAGCGGCAGGCGGCCGGGCTGGCGTGCGAAGGGCAGCGGCGTTCCCTCCAGCGCGGCAGAAACGGCGCGGCCGGCCCCGCACCGCGGCCCGGGCCGGCCGGCCAAGCGGCCGGCGTCGCCGCCGCAGCCGGCGCCAAAATTGGAGTCCCCTGTGCAGCCGCTGGCACTCGCGGGCCCTGCCAAGGAAGGCCTGGAAAGGTGTGCAGCGCGCTCTGAGCACAGCATTCCTGTCTGAGCATCCCTGTCTTTCATGTCATGTAGCAATTGTCAGGTCATTCTAGGGTCCATAAGTGTTGACAGCAATGTTGCAGATGCCTCTTGTACAGGCCTCAAATTTGATACACGTTGCCTTAGCTGTTGAGGTTGGCCCTTCAAGTTGAAACACAGCAAGAGGTGTGATTGCTCATACCTAGCTGCATGGCTCTCTGTGGCAATGTCTTGCCATCAAGAGGCTAAAATCATGTGTGGCAGCAATATGGAATGAAGAAACCCAACAACTGACGGTGTTTGGTTTTGTTGCTGCAGGGAGGCGGCTGAGACGCTGCTCTTCCTGAACGGCACAGACCCTGAGGACCCCCCGGGGGCCACAGCTGCGGCGTCCGAGTCCCCCAAGAGCCGCCCAAAGGCCAAGGACGGCGCTGCGACGGATGTGAGCCCGCTGCAGGCGCTCGTGCAGGACATCATGCAGCAGCAAAAGCAGCGAGCGCAGGTGCCAAACTTCTGCATTCCGCTCTGTCCTTTGTTTCTTCCGTCCCTCTTTCGTGTCTTCATTTTATATTTGAAAGTCATGTCACAGAGGTGAAGAGCCTCGTGCGGCCCTGATGCATGCACTGCATATTGCGGCAGTATTGGCGCTTCGCTGCCTTGTGTCGGGCATCACTTGTCAACATCTGCTGTCGAGACCAAGGCGACATGCGGCTATTTTGCCTGTTGTACATAAATTCCTGTGAATCTGTGTCGGTGTGTACTCCCATCGCATGAACTCAGTGGATCCACCCTGTTTGTAGGTGAATGCGCTGGCGAGCCTGCCCAAGAGCGTAGTGCGGGCCGAGGTGCGCGGCGGCTACGGCACAGCCACCGTTCCTCAGAGACAGCCCGAAGTTGCCCCTCCGCCCGTCCAGCCCGTCAAAAGGAAGCCCGGCCGACCGCCCAAAAAGTGAGGGGATCTCCCTCATTGGATTTCGCGCAGTCTGCTCTGTCAACCTGGTGGCCTGCCTTCTCTTAAGAGTTCTTCTCAGTGCCTTGTGTGTTTCCTCTGTGTGCAAGGGCTCAGGGAAAGCAAAGATGGTGCGAAGTGCTGCTGAAGTGGGCGCGCTGGCTGGTGGTCAGAGTGTAGTAAGGTTTGCAGATGGTAGCATGCACGTGATGTCATCAGCCTTTGGCCTCTGATCAGGAAGTTCATGTGTGATTCAGGAAGCCGGAAGAGCTGGCGGCCATGGTGCAAGTGGCTCCGCCGCAGCCGATGCTGCATCAGCAATCCAGCGCCAGCCGCTTCTCTGTTCTCGGCTTTGCCGTGCCTTCGGGGCGCCGCACCGGGGGCAAGTCGGGCAGACCCAACACCCAGCAGACGCACTCCGGGTGAGCCTACATTCTCCTCCCGCTGTGCCTCTTGCGTCAGTATTTGTTCAAAGATGAACGCATTGCTCGTTCATGTCTTGCAGCAGCAACGCCCTATTAGCTGTGTATTCAAGCTTGTAAGGTGCACTGACAGTAGTTGGGAGGATGTGATGTCCTTGTGGCGCCCTTGCACTCAGATTGACTGGGATCTTGCAGCAGCAAAAAGCATCTGAATGCGCAGTCTGTGCAATGTGAGGCACAGCGTATGTCTGTTGGGCACTCCGAGCCAGAAGCTGATATGTTGGAAGGTCTATTGCTGCAGGTATAGTGGAGGCAGGAGTGGCAGGCACCGCTCGAGTGGAAGCAGCGGGAACCTGTCAGAAAGGGAGGCCCCTGGCGCCAGATCAGGCGCCTACCTGGGGGTTCCCCTCACCCGGCCACGCCGCATGCACCGACCCGCCGACTACGACTCTGGTGAGTGTTTTCAAAACCTTTAAGGTTAGATGTCCTCTTTTCCTTGGATGTCTTAAACCACTGATCGCACAGGAAGGAGCTCAGCCAAGACAGTCGTGCTCTGCGCTGCAGATCCATCTTCAGCGGCTGTGGAGTACAGCGGCGATGGTGCTTTTTCTGCATGTTCTTTGCGCTGTGCTGCAAAGTGTTGTATTGCTGGCATGTATTCCATTTTGTTCACCAAGATGAGGACATCGCACCGAGAGAGCACGAGCTTAACATGCATGGCTGATTGTGTGTTGTGGTCTTGTGCCAGGCGCCGAGTTCTCTGGAGGCAGCTCCGATGGGCGCTCAACAGACAGCGAGTCGTGGAACACAAAGGAGTACAGGAGGGTGCGAAGAAAGTGAATGGCACTCTTCAAATGTGAGAGGGGCTGCTGCCTGGGCGATCATGATAAGCTGCTCACCATACGTGACAAATGGCTCCGCGAGAACGGGCCACTGACACATTTGTAGTCATGGCTTCTGCTCTTCAGCGAAGCCTCAGATAGAGCCGCCCCTTCTTCCTCAAGCAGCAGGCCAAGCCCTCTCCACGCTGCAGACTTGGAGCAGCACCAGCCTTGGCCAAAAGTGCATGCATTTGGGATGCTTGCGGCATCCATACACTTCGACCAAATGCAACAGGGCCTCACCTCAAGAGCTTCATACCATCCTGATGTGAGCCTGCAGCAGCCCAGGACCCAAACACAGTAAATCATCTATGTGGGCGATTCAAAGTGAGCGTGCCACGAAAGCGTGCACCGCTGCACCCAGGCTACAAGCAAAGCACATGTCAGACAGAGGGCGATCTCTCGCCTTGGAGGGATTCCTCGTCCGGAGCTTTCACCGCTGCAGTGCGCGCAAATTTGCTCATGCGCTGCTCAGGCGCCCGATGCAGCCCCAGACTGGGGGCTGCTGCTTGTGAAGGCGCCTGCCTAGGAATTTTATCGCCTGCCCGCGTTCTGGGCCGCGCGCGCGCGTCTTGATGCCCCGGCATAATACTAATATTCTCCAGGGGGCCAGACTCCTGATAAAGGGTTTGAGGACACCTTCAAAACAGGGGTGGTGCAATCAGTCCTCTGCGGCAGGAAATATTCAGCCAGTGTGGGCATGCCGGGTGAACGCACAACAGCCACCTTCTTATAACCCTGCGCAAGATTTTTTTGACGCCCCTAGGCCTGACTTAAATGCCCCCGAGGCTCTTTTAGATGCACATGGCGTCTAGCAAGAGGGGGGTGAATCACAGGTGGATTGAGTGGGTCAACCCTTGTGGTCACCTGATGGACCACTGGTGAGTTTGGCTTCAATTACATGCACAGGTGCAGTTGGCTTGTCTTCCAGCGTCTAATTTTTGCTGCACATACTGTGTGCTTCCGGGTCTCTTCGGGATAACTTAAGACTGCCTAGAACAGCTCTCCACTCGCGGATGAGTATGCCTTTGGTGGAATTGATGAAGCGGAGATGCTTTGTGAATTTTGCTCGAGCCTCAGCTTGTTCTTTGGCTCTCGTGTTTTTCTTTTGTCTGCAACAAACACTGATTTGCCCGGGCGTGCATTTGGGACTTATCACGTGGGGATGCCTCCTTTTAGAGATTAAACGGTTCCACAGCTGATGCAAGAGTGGCATGCTTATATGGTGGGAGCAATTCCTGCAGCAGCTAGAGCTATTGGGTGAGCAGTCATGACGTGTTGCCTTTGGCGAAATCCGAGTCTGCTTCCTCGTACTCCTTATTGTATTGCTTCTGCCTCTTGTGCTGCAATTAGGTGCTTGCCCTGCTGCATCAGCTTGTGGAGCTAGGGGGACACTTATTACACGGACCTTTTGCCAGTGTGTGGGCGCAAGAGTACTGTGTGGTCTGGATTATTCCTTCACGCAACGCTCTCTAGAGGGACAGAAAAATTGATTTGTTTTCTGCGTTTCAGAATCTGTTTGCTAGTACTCCGCCCCTGTGCTGATGGGGTGCGTATGAGCAAAGTTGGTGAAAACAAGGGGAGACATCCGTGACTAAGGATGGGCTCCAAAAGAATTTTAGCTGTTTGTGGCTGCCACACGTGCACGCCTTGAAAATGCCCCAATTTTGCAGAGGCACTATTGACATATGTGTCAAATTGTACTCTCGTCATTGGGGTTTTCACAAACTGCCTGCGCCACAATGTGCACTGTTGATATTTGCCGTGTTTTGAGTGCGAAGCGTGTCTTTGGTGTGCATGCTGGACATGCTTCTTCTCCTGAAGAAAAAGTATTGGAGTTTGCTGGAGTTTGGGAGAAGCCTGGGGTCACTGTACATCATGTTTATTCATACAAGCCCGGGTGTGTCTGGACTCTTGTTACATTACAAAGCTTGTGATTTCCATTTTTGTAATTATTGCTCAAAATTTTCCCTGACACAAGTTGCCTCTCAGCAGCTCCTGATTGCACTCGGCACTTAGTAATTGCAAGACTGAGTCTTGCAATTACGGCTGTCCGCACGTGCAAGCCAAAGCGTGCAAGCATGTAGCAACATGTGCTTCATTCGTACTTGGAGCCTGACAGGACATCTCCAGAGCTAGATAATTCTTGTGGCAGGACTGCTCATCCATAGCTTGTCATATCAACACCAAGGTACTGGGCGAGACACACAACTTGTAGGCAGTGCGGGCGCCAAGAAGGGAGGAAGGGGTGAACTGTCCCAGTTGCTGGCACGCTGTCCCTTCAAACAAGCTCCACCCAGTTGTCCTTGAGCAGATACCGTATTGGCTGGTAGCGGATGATGTACAGGTCGTCTTTGTTCAGCTCAACCACATCATCCCTGCACCCAGGCAATGCACCCATCACCACTCTCGTTGATCCACCCTTCTTCGTGTGCCGTGTGAGTGGGCGGGCCCGCCCACCCACACAAATATCCAGCATCCAGGCATCTGGAAAAAACTGGCGAGCCTTCCTTGCAGGAGACATCTTGCTGTGCGCCATGCACTTGCGGGCATTGCTCTATCAAATCAAAACAAACGAAGCCAAGCAAGCTTGCTCAGAAAAATTCTTGCTGCCGGTCAGTTGAATGTCATCTGCACTTTTGCCTCGCATAATGTATGCGTCTCAAACGTTCCAATCGGATTGCGCTCTGCAAATTGTACTGTAGCGCACGTAATCAGGCAGGCTTTCACTCGTTTGGCAGCCTTCAACCACAGCTTGATTGCCTCGTGACAGAGAAATCGTGTATAATAAAAACAAAGGATTACTTGTATAAACATAATTACCTCCGCCAACCCCTGCAACCCTATAGAAAATGGCACGCGCACCCTTCAGGGTCAAGGTTGACGGCGCCGCGGTCTTCCAGCACGCGCACAAAGGCATGCGCGTCCAGATTTGGCGCGCTCAGCATGTCATGCCCCTCGCTCACGTTGCTCTGGCGCACGAGAGAGTTGAACTCCTCCGGCAGATGCGACAGCACCGCGTCCTTCAGGTGCAGGCCCGTCTTGACAAAATAGTCCTGCGCGCAGAATGCCCAGAGCAGACCACATCAGCTAGAGGTCCCAGAGAGACCCAGCCGATAAACATTGAGAAAAGAATTAGACGCCCTGATTGAGTCTAGGACGTGCTTTGGAACAGAGGCTCGATCTTGAAACAGCCATGCGTCAGTGAAAGCCCTTCAGAAGCAAATCGTCTCAATCGTCGTGGCTCTCATGCGCTCATCACTGAAAGCTTAAAAAGAAAGGAAACACAATAACACACATCCACTGCATCCTATCCACTGACATTGCTGTCCCGGCTCTCCATGCATACGGTGTAGGATGAGCGAACTCCTTTACGCACAGACTTGACAAAATAGTCCTAAATGGACAGAAAGAGGCCACCCTCCAGCCTTTCTGGGGCTATTGCTTCCCTGCAAAGAGCAGTCAAGAGCTGCGCTGTGAATAAAGGGCGGCCCACCTTGGCGTACTGGAGTTCCAGGGGTGAGAGGCGGGCCTGCATGGCGGGGTCGTCCAGCACGGCGGTGACATGGCGCTCCAGCTTGTGCAGGCGCGTGCGGAGGTACGCGCGCAACAGATGCCTCGCGCGCGCCAGCTCCAGCCGCCAGATCGCGCGCACCAGCGACCCCTCCGCATGCGTGCTGTCCGTGTTCGCCACCCTGTCCTCCTGCACAGTGAGTCAGCATGCCACATCAGCGGTGATGACACCATGCCGCAGAAGGGCGCGCCATGTCAGCCGTAGTGGCAGCATGGGATCTCAGCGAGCTACATCACGACTGACTGCCCCAGGCTTGCAGCTAACATGCAGGTCCTGCCCCTTTGCTACATGGCTCAAAGCACATTCCAAAGCCCTGAGGAGTGAACATGCGCAGCGCTGGGTGTTGCATGCCGACTTCCTTGCGGCTTCAGAACGTGCTCTGCATTCACACCTGAGGTGTATGTTCGGCACTCTGCAGCGGGCAGGGGTGGACTGCCAGAAAAATTTGTGCGTCTACCAACACGGAATGTCCTGCTCTTTTGCGTTGTACTGAATGATGCAGCATTAGAAGTGTGCCGATGCATGCGAGGCATACAGAGGCCTGCTGGAGAAATGCCTTGGCAATCAGCCTGAGCTGGTGGCAGGACAGGAGTGTGCCAAGCATAGAAAATGTGGAACGCTCACAGCCATTTGAAGCCAAATCTCAACTGCCATCTTCCCACCAGTTACAGGGAGGCTGAGAGCCCCACCTGATTCTGAACCTGGTCCTGTAGGCGTGCAAGCAGGTCGGTCTGATAATCCAAGAGCTCAGGCGCTGCCTTTTCGTTGATATAGGCCTGCATAGAGGATCGATCTTATTGCAAGCTCTCCAAACCTCCCCCACTGTATATTCAATATATTGTGATGGCCAGGAATTCAAGCACTTGACAATGGCCAATCCGTGAAAATGAAACAAGTTGCTCTACCTTCTTCATGAGTATAAGATCGCTTTCGCCGTACACATTCTCAGCGGGTGTTTGGAGCTGGCTGATGAAGTCATCCATTCTTTAGGGAAGGGCTTGCTATTTGCGCAGCGGCTGCGCAAAACGCGAAAAGCGTATGTTCTGATCAATAAACAAGGCCTCAACTTGTATACAACGTGTGACAGAAGTGGGCATAGCACCACGCCATGCCTCCTGCAAGTTTATGGAAGCATCGAGTCTTTCTCAAATGACAACAGGGCAACAATTCGCTTCGATCAACAATGATTATTTTCACTTTCCAGCCTCACTCCTGACTCTGCAGTTTATTTCGACAAGTCAGCAATTTACAGCAGAGAATCAATCACTATTCTAAATCACCGTTGAAAGATCCTAACCAGTCACGTTGTATCAAAATGTGCGGGATGCTGAAAACACTTAATTCAATCAAGATCGTGAAAGATCCCACAAATTTGTCATCAATTGTTCACATCTTGGCACAAGCCTGGAAGCAACGTTCAATGGTCCCCCCTGCCACGTCAGATAACCTTCCCCAACATGCAGCCCGATCAATTGAATTTGTTCTGGCAGATGATCTTATTGGTGCTGCCAAATTTGTTTCCGAGTTCAGATGTCATGCAGGCGCTGACTCTGAAAATCAGAGGCGGGCATCGGATCCAGCCCTAAGTTGGCTGGAAGCGATGTAATCTCACTGACTGACTCACTGTTCACCCCGACAGATCGCCATCAGAAGGGGCTGGCCCAGCTGGCGAGGCTGGGGCTGTTCTCATCCGTGCTGCTGCCGTCAGATCGGCCGCGCAGCCGCTTGGCGACTTCCTCCGCCGCGGCCGCCGGCAGATGGCCGGCCCCGCCGCGCGTCGGCCGCTCCAGCGCGTCAAACACCGCCACCAGGCTGCGCTGAGTAAGCGGCTCAGTGCCGATCAGCGGGTATCCGCGTGCGTCCACGCATGGCTCGAATGCCAGCTGGTTTTGGCTACCTGCACGATCAGTCACGCTCATTTTAGCTGCAGGCCAACTTTCAAGTAGCTTGTGAGCTTGCTCTCAGCAGCCGCTAAAGATCTTCTAGAGATCTTCTACAGCCTTGCACATGCCAGCCTTGATACCTCAACCCAATAAGGTGCACAGCAGTGCCGAGATTCCCTGATAAATATATGCCTGACGAGACCCATTATGGGAAACTGGCTAATCCTACATTTGAAGACCATATGCACGTGCCTGCGAGCTGCTGATAGTAGTGCAGCTTGAGGCTGTCCTGCCCGCGGTGCTCTACTCTGCCCAGCCACAGCCGCTCCCCTGCCAGGCTGAATGCAAGTGCTCCACTTGCAGCACATGCCGCCATCACCACATACTTGCCCTTCTGCACCTGCAAGCCACCAAGCGCAATCACGTGTCTGCTGTTTCAAATTGCCAATTTGATCTAGAAAAGTGCAAGCTCAGTAGAATTGCCAGCCCCTCTCTTTTTCTCTCACATGCACCCAACGGGCACCTGGAGCCCTTCGCCTGGAAGCCCACCAATTGCACTTTTAGAACGGCCTGATACTTCCCTTCAGCACCATTCCTCCAGGTCACGTGATCACTTGTCTACGCTTCTCACTGCCCATTTGTTTGCCGTTGCAAGCTCATAAAACATGATATTCCCTTCTCTCTGTTACTAACATGCACCCCAACAGGAGCCATCAGCCCATTTACTGTATTCTCAGGAGATCGCCAAAACAGAGTGCCTGCAAGAAGAACATTCTGAGTACCCTGTAGCAAGCATGTCTGAGATGCACTTAGGATGGCCGGACTGGTGCAGTCAGAGCACATGCCGGAGGGGCCGCATGCTTGCCTTTGCTGGGTTGACTGGCGGGAAGGACCAGGGGGAGAAGTAGAATGGGCTCTTGGAATCTCCCTGGCTGGACAGCGGGGTGTGCGGCTGGGGTGTCTCGGGGGTCTCCGGCGACACTGGCTTCAGATTTAGTGCTCTGAGCGCGCGCAACGCAAGCTTGCCGGCCTGCAATATATCACACAGTCAAAATCCTGCAGTCTGCACTAAGCCAGTATTGGACTCCAGGGAACTCCAGAACTTACAAAAGGCAGGCACAGAGCAACGATTCTTGTTGCCAGAGAACGAGCACATTGGCGTCAGGGGAGTAGCACACAGGCAGAGGCCCAAAGCTTGGACGTTCATGCTAATTGAGATGCTGTGGATCACTGAATTTATTAATGCTGAGAGGAAGAGGTCTCCTGCAGGTCAACTCAATGCAGGACAGTGCAGAAGGTGTTGCCGTCAGGTGACCAGTGGTGAGTGTTACCTCTTCTGTGGCTCGCTTCTCGCACACGGCCAGGCCGTTGGCTAGGATGGGCAGAATGGGGCGCCGCTTGGTGCGCCTGCCTTTCAATATGTCAATCTGCCGCTGCTTCTCCTCCATTTGCGCCTGCAGAAACAGAGTGGCACCCTCTTGATGATTCATGTAATGATTACGGCAGCGTGCGCATGCCTTCAATGAATGTTTGTGTATGCATGTGTCTTTCTGGCCACGTGCTGCACAGAGGACCATGTATTTTTTAGCGTGTGTACTTTCAGCCCGCTGCCACACACAGCAAGAAAGGATCTGCGAGAGATGGGCCCTGAGGCTAGATTAGCTCAGATTAATGACTGACATTGATTAATTGAATATAAACCTTGAGCTCTAGAGTCCTGGCATCCAGGGCCCTCAGCTGCTGCTTTGCTCCGCGGCGGCTCTCCAAACGTTCCACTCTCTCCCGCAGCTCTGCATTGGGAATAATTCACTGCACTCAGGATTGCTCTTTTGGCAGCCGGGCCTCTTGTATGTCTTGCCAACACACTTTTTCCCTTACTGCTTCAACGCAACGACGCTCATGCGCTGGGTTGCTGTGTCAGAACTTATCATTGAGCACTAGGTGGTATCCTTTGGAAATTCATGGGGCAGTGAGAATGCTCTGAGGATCACGTGCCAAAAAATGACTCACCCGACAGCTCTCCATCTTTCTCTGCCAAGAGCTCCTGCACCTCTTCCAGCTCTTCTGCGTCGACGGATGAGTCTCCATCTGAGACATCAAAGGGCTCTGGGGTCTGGAAGCTGTCGTGTTGCAAGTCTTGGTGAGGTGTGAAATGTGTGGTTGGGGTGGAGGCCGCGTCGTAAAGGGGCTTTCTGGCTGTCCAGTGCTGCTTCCCTGTCAATGGTGTGGTCCCTGCCCAAGACAAAGCAGGTGCAATAGTGTTGAGTGAGCAGCACCTCCACGATATTGTACAAGCCAGCGTGTGTGTACCATTTTGGCAGTCGAGACAGCTCGCCTCAAAACTTGAATACGTGAGGAGAAGGGAGAACCCACCGTGCACAGGTATGTTGTTGTAATCTGAGACAGCCAGTCTGGGTCTCGTTTGAGGGGTGGCGGCGCCAGCAACGCTCAACACGTCCGATTGATAGATATCAAAGTCGACACTTCGTGGTGTGCCCAGATTTTCGTCTCCTGCGTACAACAGGACCCACATCTTGGCATATAAAAGAGATGTGCTAGGGTTTTCCTGGGGCACTTTTGGAGGACGACACGGCGTCAAGGCATTCGGTAGTAGATGCAATTTCACCTGTGATGTTCTGAAAGCGTCTCCATCGCTGCTCTGATGTCCTGTCCATTCCAGGAGCAAAGCTGGGATGCTAGCACGAAAACGTTTGCGACAGCTCGTTCAAGTCAGAAGTATAGCTGTGGTGAGTTATTCTTCTTTCAACTTCCAAAAACAACATGTGGTTTTATTGCACAGTGTGGACTACAAGGCATGCTCAGAGCATATTGTGAGACCCACGTCCTTCAGCTGGCGTCAGAACAGGTGAGAAAAGACACAGCGCAGTGAATGGGCCCTCACACAAAGTTACGCCAAGAAGTTTATTTATTCTACGCTGAAATATTGCGTCCTTGCGGTGACATCTGTGGAAATTTCACAACGAAAGCAGTTCTTCCGTTGCCCGCAGCATCGTGCGCCTCGGCGTCGCGTATCCTGAAACAAAATCTGTTTTTAGAACAAAAAAGACCTTTCTTGTGATCCGTTGTTGAGAACGAGTTTCATGCCATGCAGTAGTATCCGTTTCTATCTGCAGACCAACTTGAATTGTCAGACTGCTGTTGGCGCCAGAAGTCTGTGCTCTTCCCTCTGGTCGTTCTGATCGTTTTCTGGGAAAACAGTAAAAAATCATGATACATGTACATAGTTGCAATTTTCGATCAAAATAATTTAAATAATATCATTAGTACCGAGACGCCCCGCAATCCTGACTCTTGGCGGACCATCGCGGAACCTTGATAACCTTGGACATCCGTCTGCCCACAGCCAAACCCAGCAGCAGCCCACACCAGAGACCAGAAGGAAGGCACGTCCTCATTCCACTTGTAACAGCTATATTCTTCCACGACACAAGAACTTGCAGGATGCTGCACATGATGTCTTCATGGAATTCATAAGCAAGATGGGGCTTCCCCTCACCTGTACAGACCCTACTGAAGTTCCATGTAATGCTGCAGATGTTTGTGGAGCAGTCAGCGTTGTCTGCGCCAGCCGCCACCATGACAGGGTACATGGGTTCCAAGAGAGTCGGTGATGCAATTAAAAAGGGAGGCACCTCGAGCACTCGCAGCAGCCTGACCTCAAACGATGGCCAAAGCCGTCCCACTACCTCAGCCAGCAAAGACTTGGTGCTGTCCTTTGCTGCTCCCGTGCATAGATCTACCATTTTGTAGAGCATGAGAGTCAGGCAAGGGACTGCCACTAGGCTCCTGCTGGCTGTGAATTGTACCCCGTGGTATAACATCTCAGACAATAATTTCAAGCGTCCAGTACACTGATGGCAGCAGAAAAGTGACTCCCTCCAGGCTTCATGCGTTTGCTGGAGCCCTTTGCCCGGAGTGGCCAAACTGAAACGATAGCATGGCAGATCCAGGCGTGCGTCAAGCAACTGCACTGTCCACAGACAAGCCATATCCCTGAGGCCTTGTAGTACTACAATATTATGCTGCGGATTTTACTCATCCATGCCAAGTTTGCCAATCCAGCCAAACAATGCCAAATGGTGCAGAATCGCCAGAGCACGCTGCCCTCTGCCAGGAGCGCTACAGGAATCAGCAGCCGGCCCACCTCGCGCGGAGGTGCAGGCTCCTCCACTTCTGCCCAAGGCGTTGACAAAAATGATAACATCAAGGTGAGCAACATGCATGCCCTCACAGAATTGCATGCACTTGAAAATTCTAATTGTTATTATGCGCTGTTCCTGCCAGAGGCAAAGTGCGTCTGCAGACAAGCTGCAGGTGAAGGCTGCCACATATCTTACCCCTTGATGGGCTTGCCAGATCCAAGCAACGCCCAATCAACGGTGGACACAGCGCTCAGCATTTGTACCGCCCCCCGCCAGCCAGGGCAATAATCAATTAAATGTTGAAATACTGTACACTTCCAAAGACCATGGTTAAATTGGACTGGCCGAGCGTGAAAGAGGCAGTCAGTGCTTCAACCTCACATGGAATGACTGCAGGTGGTGGTGCGCGTCAGGCCTCTGAATGCACGGGAGCAAGGCAGACAGGAGACAGAGGCCGTCAAAGTTGCCAGTGATGACCCACACACCCTACAGGCAGGTGCTTCCAATTTTGCACACCCTATGCATTCATGCACTACCGAAGCTCCCACCGTCGATTGAAGGAATGAAGCACCTTATGTGCATTTATCCAAAGAACTTTTTGCTGATCTCTGTGTTCCACAGGTGGTGCTGCCTGCCGCCAAGGGCACCCCACCCCTGACAAGGACCTTCGCCTTCCACTCCTGTCTTGCGCCCGCCACAAAGCAGGTGAAATCCCTCTTCGAGACCAGACAATGCGCCTGCTTTGGTCCGTACAGCACACTACAGTCAGTCAGTCACATTGGCAAGACAGGATTATCGTTTCCTCGGCGCATCTTACGGAGAACATGAAGTGTATGTAACCTGCAAACCGAACAGCAACCCGTACATGCAGAAGGGCCATTTGCCAGAGCAGCTTAAAAAATGGGGCTGCGCACAGTGCATATTGGAAATCACGCATTAAACGAGAAAGTAAGTTTTCTTTTTTTGCAGGCGGACGTGTTGCGCGCGTGTGGCATCACTCAGCTGCTGGACGCAGCGCTGGCAGGCTTTAATGTCACAATCCTCACATATGGCCAGACGGGCTCCGGCAAAACCTTCACCATGTCCGGGCGCGAGGACATCCTGGAAATGGATGACTACAACGGTGAGTCATCCCTCTGCCCAAAGGCCCCCTGTACTGATGGCAAAGCAAGCAAGTTGAGCAGGAACTCAACTTTTGTTGCTGAGTGACATCAGAAGGAAGAAAGAGAAGAAATAGAATGCTCCTAAACATGCCTGGAAGCTCTGTGGGTGGATTTCCAGTTGATGATGTCAACACAGGGTTTTTGAGAAATCTTTTGAAAATGCAGGTGATACAGATGACGGCGTTGTCACACGTTCAGTGGCGTACCTCTATGAGACTCTGCAGAAAAGAGGCAGCAGCAGCAAGCTCAGGTGCTCGTTTTCATCCAACCTGCACGCACTTAGTTTTGAAACTTGTTGCATGCTGTTGGAGCATTCTTTCTCTCCACTGAAGCATGCATGCGCATGCAACAAATATCCTCGCATGTTGTGATGCACCATTGCGCAAAAAATCCCCTGCACTAAATATTCAGGGTACTTTCACTAATGTGCATGCATTGCAGGGCGTCCTACTGTGAGATATACAACGAGGCGCTGTATGATCTGCTGCGATGGACGAAGCAGCAGCTGCCGGTGCGATGGGATGCTGGTAAAGGATTCCACGTCCCCGACCTCATGATCAGGGACTGCCCTGCCATGGGCGACATGCTGAACGTGCGCAGCCCCACCGACATGTTTCAGTGCATTCATTACGTGAAGTGTTAGATTTCTGTGGTGAGAGTTACACTAGGAAATGATGTGCTGGACAGCCTGCCTGCATGCTTGTCTTGCTGATGCCAGCTCGAGGAGTTGGTCCAGTGTCTGTTCTCTGCAGTCTGCCCGCATGAAGAAATTGCAAGCAATTGATGTAAAAAGTAATGCTTTGAAACTGCAGTGATCATGGATAAGAATGCACTCGTATCTGTTTGAGCAATACTTTCTTGCGTGCACACTGGCACATGTTTTCCTATTGCCTGCAGGCGCCCCAAGATTACAACCCTTTTCTTACTTCCAAGTTCTATGTCTAAGATAGCATGCGCATGCAGGTGATAAGTCGGGGCATGCAGCACCGGCGCATGGGCAGCCATGAGCTGAACATGGAGTCCAGCAGGTCCCACTCCATCATGACCGTCTACTGCGACACCGCTGTCGGCCCGCCAGCAGAGCGCGGCTCGCTCAGCTCCTCGCTCACCGCCGTGGGCAAGATCAGCTTTGTAGACCTGGTGAGCGGGCTGCCTGAGAGATTTCTGAAGCACACTCAACTTGGCTGCCTATGTTTGGGGTTCGCGGCCAATCGCGATAATTGACTGGATTATGTTGGATGTGGCGGGGTCCGATAAGGGGAATAATAATGAAAAACATGTATGTGCAACTTGACTTCAGACGCAGCCTGCCAATCTGGGCAAGAAGGCAAGGATTCCAATAAGAATTGGCTATATCAACGCCCGGGAATCTGCCGCTAGTTGAAAAGTCCACAAAATAATTATTGACGCATGCTGCGCGCAGGCTGGCAGCGAGCGGGTGAAGGACACAAAGACCAGCAATGGCATGCTCAAGGAGGCCGGCTCCATCAACAAATCTCTCTTCACCCTCGGCAAGGTGCACATTTCACACACCCCCTTCTGCGGATCAGGTCTGGACAGAGACCATGCAAACAACTGAGGCTGCCCATTGTAGGTGCAGTCCAGTAGTGGCCCATGCTGACGCTTTCCGCTTTGGTCGAGAGTCTTGACTCAAGACAATTGCATTTGCAACAAAATCACAGAAATATGACCATCAAGGTTGCCTCAGGCTCTGGTTCATTGCTATCAATGCTCATGACAGCACCTTTCTCAGCCCATGAGGGCACGGTGCATTGCAGCAACACCACAATAGTCCAATGCTTACAAGCAGTTTTGTATATGTGATAGAGCGAACATCTGTTCATGTGCCTGTGCAAGCGCCAGGTGATAAGTGCGCTGGCCGAGAACGGCGGCGGCCCGGGCGGGGGGTTGCATGTGCCATACCGGGACAGCAAGCTGACGCGGCTGCTGCAAGACAGCCTCGGAGGCTCCGCGCTCGCGCTCATGATCGCCTGCTGCTCCCCAGCCGCCTCCGCCGCCGAGGAAACTCTGTCGACTCTCTCCTACGCAACGCGCGCCAAAAACATCCGCAACCGGCCCGTCCTGCAGGCGAGTGACAGTCTTCTGTTGCAGTAGCAAGACTGAAAAAATAAAACCTCAAGAATCTCATGCTGGAATATCTACTGAAGTACATGGGAGCACTCCAGAGGAGGCAGCCGTGGCTCTCTGCCAGTTCCTGACATTCTATGTGTCTTGCCGGGATTCTGGCGCCCGCATGCGGCTCATGCGCTCGACCTGATATAGCATGCAGTCGGCAAGTTGCTGGCGGCAAAATTATCTCAGGCATCGCTTGGGGCGTGCGTGTCTGTGGGGCAAAGTGGGACGATGTGAATCCTGATCTTGTTTGGTCAGCCAATATGACGTTGGTGGAATTGCGAATCAAGGGGCAGCTTGGTAAACAGATCAAGGTGTTAATTATTGTAATGCACTGTTCGGGTGAAGTCAACTGTGCCAAAGGCTCCCTAAACAACGGGACCCACTTGTTCTGTATGCAGCAGCACAGCCTGTTGGGTGAGGCTTGTGGCATAGCGCTCGCACATACATAAATTGGCTGAAGGAGGTCCTTGTGTGCAGATGGACCCGCATGAGGCGCTGGTGGCTGCGCTGAAGCGTGAGATTCACCTGCTGCGCGCCGAGAACGCCTACTTCCGCAGCCAGGTGCCTCCTTCCTCCCCTGCAGCAAGCTTGATGCGTTTCGTATCCCCTTAACCCTGTCTTCCTGCACACTCCACTGAGAGCCTTCGGTGGCTTCTCTCAGCCACTTCGGACGGCACCAATGCCTAAGTAAATTTTTGGGCCCACTTCAGCAGAAGCAAGGCCGCCCATGCATGCCTGTGCTGCAGCAACGCGGGCACACATCCATTGAACCTTCAGCTTTTGCATGAGAGCCAAGAGTGAAGCCACCTTTGTGCTATCCAGATGGCGCTGAGCACCAAGCGGAGCAGGGGAGAGACAGAGGCTAGCACACCCGCTTCTAGCTCCCTGCAGCACTCCCGCCAGGGCTCATTCGCGGAGGGGGAACCCGCCACAGCTGGGACAACGCAGGGCCCCCCTCCCTCCGGGGATGCTGCCTCTCCGGGCAGCGCACCAATACACCACGCCAGGTCTGCTGCATGTTCTGTTTGCTTGATCAGATATGGCTTATATTGTCCGCCACCACCTTCCTGATTTGCGCCACCAGTTGGTAGCAATCCACCAAGCATGCTCAGTGTAACAACTGGGGAAATTCTCCATAATTTCGACCTTTGCCTGGAAAGTTACATATGGCGCATCACATAGCAATGCGTGGGTGGCAGTTTCTCTAAAAAATTTGCAGCGCTAATTCTGCTTTTAAGCTATGACCAAGAAGCAAGATATTAGCTTTCTTCTGCTGTGTTGGCAGGGCGGCGGAGGGCGCGGCGGAGACTGAGCGGAGGCTGGCGGAGGCGCATGCGATGGTAGGTCAGTTCAGCCGCGAGAATGCGCGCCTGGCAGCCGCCAGCGAAGCAGCCGCCAGCCGACGGGCGCTCGTCGACAGCGACTACAAGAGTGAGCCTGCCTGCTCACACCAAGCCCTTCCGATTACCTGAGTGATAAAATATATATTCTGTCGAATGCTCTAGTATCCCATGCATGCTTGCACAGCAGTAAGTGCGTTGCTCACCGCATGCTCGTGTCTAGCAGAAGGCAGAGGGTCTTCGCACACCTTCTTGGCTTCATGGCTCTTCAGTTTGCAAAATTTGCAGATGAGATATTTAGCCCACGCCAGAATGCAGGCTAGACCTGGTAGCTCCATGGCAGAGAACTGAGGCAAAAGGCATGCACTGCAGGTGCTCTAGACGAGGTAGACTGGCTGAAGACGCGGCTAGAAGACCTTGAGACGGCCATCCTATCTCACAGCAGCGGCTCCGACAGAGCAAGCCCATCTCAGATCCCCGCTGTACCAACCATCTCAGAAGAGACCTCTCCTGGTAACAGCGAGCTCCTTGCAGCTGCAGCTGCGAAAGCAACAGTCACCCAGGAGCAGGTCTCCCCGGAGGGTCGATCATCTGCGCTTGAGAATGGCGAAGAAGATGATGGGGGTATGAACAATTCAGCTGGAAGGGATTCCAGCCAAGAGGAAAATGCACCGGCGGTTCTTTCGGAAGGAGTGGAACAGCAGGGAGGCTCCCAGGAGATTATAATTGGCAGCACAGTCAGCGACGAAGGGGAATGGGCTGCTGACGCAGAAGCAGAGCAGGAAGCTAGTGGCAGCGATGATGGGAGCTACAGTGGCTCGGATGGCGAGTCTGAGGAAGACAGTGATGCATGACTTGGGAGTGGATTAAAGCCAGGGACTGAGGCTCAAAGATGTCAATGTCGAGGCAATTGTTAGGGCACGACAAGGCGGCCTTGTGTGCAGTGGTACGATTAGCTGGCTGCTGCCTGATTTCACCCACCAAGATGCCAGCTTTGCAAGTTGTAGACCTTGATAGGTAAAGATATCACAATTTAAGTCAAGTCTCAAGGCTGTGCTTGAGATGCATGTGTCCATCATTCTTTATCCAGATGCCACAAGCTCTCGAGGATGCAATGTTGAAAGGTACACGTGTGTGACTTTTGCAGTTGAGATTGTTTTGGTGATATAAAGAATGAAAGAAACAGTGCTCGATGCATGCAAAACACAGCTGTTGCCTCTAATCGTCACAGAATATTACATCTGCGGCATCAACCGAATGGAATAGAAGAAAATCAAATTCAGACTTTAGCACTCACGAACAGATATGGTCACGAGCCCCAGCACAAGAAGGACATGTATGGCGCCATCGCACGTCCTCCTGATGCAGCCAGGTTAGCAACCTTAGTAATGCCATGTGGCAGAGTGTGCCGGCAATGACGAGCGTCTGAGTGCAGAGCCAATAATGTCCAGTCAGTGGAAGTGCGGGAAAGAACTCAATGAAATCACTCAGCTGCAACAGTGTGGTACCTAACCTATCCACAAGGCAGCAAATGTGCCAAACAGTTCGGTTCCTAACAACCAGGGCCTCGAGGGAAAACAGCGCTGCCCCCATTGAAGAGGCAGGACAACTTCCCAACAGAGCCCCATGTTCAATAGTGCAAATTCCCTTACTTGTCCCTCTTGTTCATCTGCAATCTTGCCACTCTTGTGTCTGTTCAAATCAAGTGCAATTCTTGTCCCCTGCATGTCCTCGGCTCTCCCCTGAGGCACACCGCACTCTCTTCCCACTTGCTGCGCTCCCTGGGTCAATCAGAAAAGGACGTCCCAGCCGCGGGTTCCTTATCAAGACAGCTGTGCTAAGGGACTCGTCAGGGGTCGGACTGGGCAGCCACAGTAGTGCTGTCAGTGTGCCCCAGTGGATTCAACTTGGCATCAGAGCAGTACGCCCCTTTGCTGCCCATTTCTCAACAGGGTCCTGACCTCCAAAGCCAAGAGCCTTATCGTCCATGAAGACAGTGCTGCAGAACCAGTGCTGCTGAAAGCGAGGTCCCTGGCAAGTCTGTTGCCTGCATCAGGGAGGCAGCGCGCTGTCTTTGCCGAGTCCAGTCACTCACGGTGTCTGACATCATCACGCGCGCTCTGTGTCGCTAGAAGCCCCCTGGGGTCCAGGGAGTTATGGTCGTGAGCCCTAGACCAGGTCAAACCCTGTCGGCATGACCGCCTTGAACCCGAGTTCGAGCACAGGCAGCTGTGAGTCCGGCTCCGAGTTATATCCCATCACAGTCGCCGCCCGCGCGCCAACAACGGAGTTGGCGCCAAACGTGCTGCGCGCCTGTCAAGAAAAGAAAACAAAGACACCTTCAGAAACCTCCTGTTTTCTGAGTACTGGATCAAAGTGCAGACAATTGCCGGGTCATGGGGGGTAAGGGGATCATCAACTGCTATGAGGCTCCAAGCCGGGATTGCATAGGTTGAGCAAGCATTAAGAAGTGCTCCTGTTGTACTTGATAGACTGACAAGAGTGATGCATGTATAGGTGCTTCGTACTATTCTGTGCTTCCCCAGCCTAAGTTGCACATCAAGCATGACAGGACACTCGTCTGTAGCCAGCGCATTGTCAGTGCTCGCCGGTCTTTTTTCTTTTTCTTTATTTATTTAGATTTATCAAGGGTGACAGCGCAAGCAACAGGGACTAGGTAGTCTGGGTGCACAAAATACCTGGTCAATGACAAAGGCGCCGTGCTTGTAGATGCCCACGTGGCAGAAGACGCATGCGTTGCGGTCCACTGCCACACCGTGCTCCACCGTCAACAGGTCAAAGTCCTGCACATTCAAGACCGCGCAACACTCAGCCCCAAACACTATCTCCATCCCTCCACAGCATGCGTCTGCCGTCCTCCTGCCATCTCTATGGATTTGAAATCTCCACTTCTACTCATGACTCTGCTGGCCTGACACACAATGTGGCAAGTCATGGCCCCAAGTGTTGTTGTTATTATTCGATGCACAACTTGATAGTCATGTATACCCATGTTCCAGGAAAGATCTCCCTCTGCTCGGAGAAGTGCAGGGCACCCCTTAAACCTTATAAAAAAGTATTATCATAAAGGAGCCAGGCCTGTCTCTTATGCATCCCTGCTATGCATGATGTAATAGGGTGCCCCATCTGGACGTCATCTGGTTACTCATGACCAGAGGGCAGAAATAAAAAGGAGAAATGGGTGGAAGGATGTCAGGGGTGTGCGCACCGAGAAGCTGAGGGTGTCGAAGTAGACGCCGCGGCCAATTTTGACGCCGGCGCCCTTGAGGAAGCTGGAGTGCCACCATGACGCGCGCGCTGCCTCCAGCAGGCCCACATTCAACAGCCGGTCCTGCAGTCACACGTTTTGCCTTCAGATCGAGTTCAGCAATTACATTAGATAAGACATAGTTTGGTGCCTTCTGTCACCCTGACAAAGGGCGTCTAATCTCAGCTCAACACAACGTCCAGAGGCACGCAGCCGTACAAAGAGCATGCAGAGATTGGCAGGAGAATCATCGGCTGCATATGGCTGGGTGCTGTCTCGTCCTCTGCCACAAACTTATGGTCTGGTTTCAGTTGGCGCCAAGAGCAGTGTTGCTGTCTGCCGGGCACCAAAAATCCGCAAGGATGCCACTTCTGTTGGGCAGGTGATTCTTTCACCAATTCACTTTACAGTCCCCCAGCAGGGGTGCTAAAGAGGGGAAAGGGGCGCGCACCGTGATGGAGGCGTTGATGACCTTGCTCTGGAAGGCCCAGGTGTACTTGGAGTAGGCCACCGGCTGCGCGCGGCCCAGCAGCACCCACTTGAGCAGCGCCGAAATCAGCAGCGACAGGGCAAGCAGCCCCAGCCACAACGCTGGAAGAAGCAGCAGAGGAGCCACGTACGGCAGGAAACGCAGAGCGGCCACGCCGGTGAGTGCGATCGTGAAGAGCGCGAGGGCCGAGACGAGGAGGGTCACCAGCGGCTGCAGGGCCGGGAGCACCCAGTAGAGCGCGTGCTGGAACGCCCCCTTTGGCGTGGTGATCGGCCCTGCGCGCGCATGCATCAGTTAGTTGGCTGATCAGCGTCTGGAGTTCAACGCACCTACTGTGAGAGACAAAGCCCTGATCTGCTGTGTTTCTTCAGCCTTGCCACATGTAATGAACACTGAGCTCGAGCTGCCTTTGAAGGTGCTCACCATTCCACACACAGCATTCAGACGTCAATGTGTGATACACAGACATGCAGAATGCTCTGGGGCTAGGTTCCATCAAAGCAGACCTCTATTCGTGCAGGAGACATGCAGGAAAGATATGGTTTGTCCCAAATCTTCTTCACGTACCGGTCTGGTGCTGCGAGGTGGAGATGGCAGGCACGCCCATGAAGAGCGCGTTGCTGCCCAGCTCCTGCCCGATGTCGGCAGCGGCGATGGCCCCGAGCACCGCGCCGTCGCCCAGGATCGTGCCCGGCATGATGACCGCCGTGACCCCAAACACCACCTGCACACAATCTCCCCGCTCAAATCCAAGCACAGCGAGGCAGCCACCGGTTCATTGCGCTTGGCACTGTGACATAAAAACAAGATCGAGCCAAATAGTGATTGCAGCAGCCGCCAAGCTATACAAGACCTAACAAGCTTTACCCGGTACTTCCAGTTCTGCAGCTCCCATTTGTCTTGTGCAGCTGTAGAATGACGGCTAGGCAGTTGGACCACAGCCCGGTGGGTCATTCCACTCCCCCCAACAGCAAAATAAAGAAGGTATTTGGCACACCAGTAAGGCAAAAGAGTGCAGCATTCGCGCACCTGCTTGCCGATGTCGATGGGAGCCACGAGCATCGAAGTAGAGTCGATGGCGAGCGAGGAGACCATGTTGGCCATGTCGCCCACGTGCGTGCCGTCGCCAATGTTGAGCATGTCGGGTGCGGTCTGAACGTTGCAGAAACGGAAGGTAACCCAGTTCCCAATGCGCGCTCCGAGGCAGCGCAGCCAGACGGAGATCAGCCATGTGCCCTGCGCGTACGCGACGAATCGGCGGAACGCGTTCTCCACCATCCGCTGGCTCGCCCAGAAGCGCACGCCGATCCACGAGTGCCGCCTGCGACGGCCGCATTGCTTGCGTCAGCATGACATGGTACACATGGGGAATATTATGGCCTTTGTTTTCGAGTGTGCGTGCTGCCGAGCGACCAGCAAAGGCACCTTGCTGGACTTGCAGCAGCAGTGGCAACCATCTGAAGTGTCTGAAGCCTCTAGCGAGTCGGGGTTTGGTGGTGTCTTGTTCAACATAGGTTCAGCCTGACTTACCCCCATTATTGAGGGATGACAAAGCATGCTGATTTACCAGGTAGCATCCGGACCTCCTAGCCCGTGTGAGTCATCATCAGAGTTGCGCAGCAGTCAAATTGGTCCAATGGGTAACCATGCGAAAGCACAGGGCCTCTGCTTAGACAAGGCAAAGAGTGAGAGGCAGCGCACTTGTGCACGCCGGCATGCATCTGCTGCACGAGGAGCCACTTGAGCAGGATGGTGGCGGCCGCGAGCGCCAGGCCGTACGCAAGGAACCCGGCAATGAATGCCGCCAGGAATCCGAAGATGCCTGTTTTGGTGCATGCGCGCAGGAACGCCTCGTAAACCGCGCCAGCGCCGCCCATCAGCTCCTGTGCATGCGCAGCAGCCAGATCTCACGACTCATCCCTGCACTAGCCTGTATAATCCTGATGGTTGTTTTCAGCAGCTATGAGATCAAAAATAACAAGGAACCTCATTAACACGACGTAATGGGACTCAGAGAAGCTCATTCTCAAGATGCGCCCCCAAAAATGTCCATATCACTGTCTGTCGGTCTGTGGGAAGTTTACAGTGCAGGAGGAAGGGTGACTCACCGGGGAGATGACAGGGAGGATTGCCAGGTAGAGGGGTGACATCAGCGCGATGATGCCCGCAGCTGCAAAGCCTGGTGTGTACGTCGTTAGACCCGTGCCCACACCCAGACCCTGCAATTTCAGCCAAGCGATGGCTTAGTAACGGACCCATCTAAACATGGTCTCTTGCACCTGCTAATCAGCCCACCTTGGGCTTGCTCAAACGTGCAAGAGGTCTGCATTATGAATGCTGCTCTGTCGAAAATAATCTCTGGCCTGAGGTTTCTGACGCAAGGCAGGGCAGGCATATGCCCTCATTGAGCTGGAGTAATAAGGGAGTAAAGAAATAACCATAGCTCATAGTCCCCGATCCCCTTTGCATTCTTTGAGAAGCTACACCCTGGATCTAGACAAAAGAGGATCGGATGGAGAGACAATCGTACCTGGAGGATGGTGGCGGTGACTGTGTAGCCGAGGTAGGAGCAGAGGACCATGACGATGCCCATGAGGTACAGGGCAGCCAGCTGCAGGAGGGACGCCACGCACGGGTGCAGCGCGGTGCATGCCAGCGGCCTGCGCACATGTGCCAATGACTCATCGCATGTCATTATAATTTTTAGAATGAGCACGCGAGCTTAGGTCATAAGTAGCCTGACAAAGTGCCCCTACGTACCCGCCGCAAGTCTTGCAGTAGCAAGCCTCTGTCCTAAGACCATGAAAAGCCCACAAGGGAAGGTGCGGAAAGAGTTTTGTTGCTAGAAGGGAGCTCCCTTCTGGTCTTATTTAGATATATTGCATTGTTGGGATGGAGTGGGATGCCACCAATCAACGCAGCATGAGCTGCTGCCTTCGGAAAACGCAGGACATTCCAATATCACAAACACGCATGCAGGGATAGTATGATATCTCCCGGGTGGCCAACAAGAGGGAAAGGGGTGCGCACGCGTAGAGGTCGCGGGTGGCGAGCATGGCGTTGCCGGCTGCGCGCGCTTTGGCGGCGGCGGCCTGCTGGCCGAGGGCCTTCATCAGGGCCAGGGGGTCCTTCTTCTCGGCCACCAGCTTGGAGCGGCTCTTGCGCAGCGCCTTGAGCTGCGCGCCCGCCTCCAGACGGCTGCCCGGCTGCACCGCCGCGTACGGCTCTATGCGGACCCGGTCCTCCACGATCACCTGTTTCAAATTCAAACTTGAAATCATGCTAATGTCGTGCGACAGAGTGGATTCACCATGTCCTGACAACCAGTGATGCAGATAGAACCCCTTGAGCTTCACCCTTGTGCAATTCTTTTAAATTGCCAGGGCATGCGCACATTCCAAACACCGAACATACTGCATGCTGGAAGACATAGAAATAATTCGCCAGGGGCTGTGCTTTTGGCCCCACTAAATGACACATTCCCCTTGCGGCACACTGTCAGAATTCACTGGAAATGTACGAAAGCGTAGAGGAGCTGTGCAGAGCCGTGAAGGGGCGAGGGGTGCAGCGATTATACCTCGCCAAAGTGCAGCAGGCCGTCCTTGAAGTAGTGGCCCAGCAGAGTGGCGCCCTCGTTGATGGCCACGTCATCGCCGATGTTGATCAGGTCAAAGTCGGAGAAGTCCAGGCTGTCGATGTACACGTTGCGCCCGATGCGCGCCCCCTGGGGCAGGCCACAAGCACATGCCATCAGCTGGCTTTGTTCATGGCTGCAAAGTGCGCCAATGGGTGGCCAAATGCACCTCATATCAATGTTGACTTCCAACAGTGCTTCCCCATTCAAAAACACAAGGATCAGCATTGAAAACTGGAGCGAAAGATCTGGCAGAGGGTCAGGAATTCGGTGCATGCATCAAGCCAAGGTCCAGGCTTGTAGTAGGCTTTACATGAGTACTGCCAAGCTGTGGAAGCAGAGGTATGGACTTACCAGGGCCCGGAACCACCAGACGAGGAAGGGTGTGCCACGCAGCTGGTCGGCGAAGAGCACGGTGGTGAGGCCAGTCATGCGCTGCACGAGCCACCAGCGGAAGAACTCGCAGCCGAACATGGGAATGGGCCGGTGCGCGTACAGCGGCGGCTGGAATGCGTGCTTGGTCACCACCGTCGCTGACATCAGCAGCGCGCCGAAGCACAGCCACGCCGCTGGGATCGCCGGTAGCAGCGCCCACTGTTCGCACACGGGTAAGCAACATTGAAAGCAGGCGCTAAGAGGGTAGTTCACATCCTTTCTACCACTTACTTCTTGCAGGTTTGTATTCAGCTCCCATTAGGATTCCTCTATGTCTCTACCAAACTCCACGGCGCTCAATTCGGCAGCGAATTGAGGGTGACTTCTTTTATCCACGAGCACAGTAAACATGCTGTCCTCCCTGAGGCATGCATATTTCCCAAGCGAGTGCATATGAGCAAGCATGCATTCGCACAGAGCTCTGAAGGATTGAAAGAAGGATGCAGCTGCCCAGATGTGGGAGTGTCGCACCAGGCTGGCGTGGAAGCCGAGTTTGACGATGAAGTGCACAATGGGCCACGCGCAGAGGCAGAGCACAGTTGCGAGGTACACCATTCCTGCGCCGGTCGCCAGAGACCACCAGATCGCCCCCCAGATGCTCTGCGTCGGCCCCACCTTGGCCTCCTGCTTCTGCTTCGGCGGCTGCGGCGCCGCCGGCATTTGTATCACTGTCTCCTTTGGCTGCTTCTGCAACAGAACCCCAGAAACAAGCTCTTCAGCCAGCTGAGAATATCCATCCAAAGACCATACCTTACAGGCCTGGAACACAGAAAGGTTAAAGCCCAACAGGAGACGAATAAGACTACAGACTACTAAACTCTGGAAAGCCGTTAATACATATAAACTCTGGAAAGCCGTTAATACATATAATTAGTGAATATAATCACCTGCTGCAGCTGCACGTTTTGTGCGCTGCCAGATGACGGCGCAGGCGCGGCTGGTGCCGGCCCCTGCGTGGCAGCCGCCTGTCCGGATGCGGCAGCCGCCGCCCCGACCGCGGCCGCGCCGGCGGCCGGCAGCAAAGGCTGCTTCTCTGTCGGCCCGGTTGAGGCCGCAGCCATCGACTCCTCTGGATCGGGCACCTGCTCGTGTGTGTGCATGCGTGCATTTTCAGTATTGTCTCTTGCTTAACGGAAGGTTCTTTTGCCCAATGCTGCTCCTGACTTGAGCACCCCTGAAAAATTGTGTCAGGTTTTGGAGCTTGCCGGGAGCTAAGCAGGAACCCGATGCCCTGCTGAGCATGACTTCAAGCAGTTCGGCAAACAAGCCCGCATGCATGCATCAGGAGTAAGGCTGCGCACCTCCTCTGCAGGGGCCTTCTTCTTGGCGCCGTCCTTGGCGCCTCCGGTCATGCCTGACTCCTTTTCCAGATCCCTCAGCTTCCGCAGCGTCAGCGACCCAATCTGCAGCAGCACATGTGTCAAAGTATCAATAGGACTACCCACCTTCAACAGAGGATGCTCAATATTGCACTTAAACTCGTGAGGAACAGCAAGCAGCAACTGTGTTGCGTAGGAGCTTGTGATGTGCCAAGACGTTATGAGAAAGTGTGTCTCAAAAATGAAGTTTGCTGACTCATTTAGCTACTCTATGAGCTCCTAATAAGGATGAGCTACCAGCTACAAGCATAAGTCCCTATCAAAGGTTGCATATCCCAAGTGCATCCCAACCAATACAAGGAGGCCTCATTGCTGGTGCCCCCATACCGCAGTCAGGCTTGTCTTCCACACCTCTATGCCAGGTGCTTGCATGTGCTTGCATGTGCAACAGCTCGAGCTGGCACTTCCAGTGCACAAAGAGGAGACAACGCACCTCCTCGAGGGGGATGGGGCGGCCGAGGGCGCGCTGGATGCGCGCGCGGACTTCCACAACCTGCATGGAGTCGATGCCCATGCCTGCCAGGTTGTCATCCTCGCCGATGGAGTTGGGGTCGATGCCCAGCAGCTCCATCACCATCTCCACCAACCCCTTGCCATCGTCATCATCACCCTGGGGAACCAGATGATTTTCAGTCATGGAGGTACCAAAGTAGCAGATTCAATCGAAGCATAGTCAGCTTTTGTTCGGGACCCTCAAAGCCGGGCACTCGATAAAGCCCAGAGTGGCTGGAAGCAATGTAATGTGACTGATTAATGGCACAATTGGAAACATGAATAACCCGGCAAAACAAGCATTTCAGCCGGGGATGCGGAGAACAATAACCAGTAGCATCTGTGATGGCTATTGAGGCTCTGCCCAGGTGGGCTTGGGAGAAGTCAGACATACAATTCTGGTCAAGGGACTGATCTTGATGCATCAATAGCAATGTACAATCTTCCAGATTTTAGTCCAGCAGTATCGAAAAGAGAGGGGAAAATCTCACGTCGCCGTCCTTGACGGCCTTGGCAAAGATGGACATGACGGGGCTGAGCGAGTTCTGGCGCACGATCGCGTCTCCCAGAATGGCCAGGCACTCGTCGATTGGCTGCGGCGTGGAGTGCTCCAGCAGCCGCCCCTGCAGCTTCCCCTGCACCCGCGCGGAAGCTTCCCTCAGCCGCCGATTTAGAAAACATTGCCCACCCCTGTCTGGTCTTATGCATACTTGCGCACAAAACTGCCGTGTGTATGTCTGTTTCATTGTCACCGTTGTGCCAGTGCATGCGCATTGCACTGCCTAAAGGCCATTGCACAATACATGCTGCATGTCAGAGTCTCGCAGATACGAAGACCAGTGGACTGGTAAATGTTTTTTAATCTTCCATATGGGAGCATCAACGGGCATCGTGGTCAAGGTAGCAGTACGGCAGAACATACCTTCATGATCTCTGCCACAAAGCCGACATCGGCGATGGGCCCCCACTGCAGGCTGAGTCCTGGCAGGCCGGCGATACGGCGCGCCTGGCACAGCGAGTCCACTGCAGCGTTTGCGTACCCGTAGTTGGCTTGGCCTGCACGCACATGCAGACAAATTCAGTGTACAGGCATTGGGCAACTATTCCCAATATGCAATCATTCGTTGATCATGCAGGCTGCAGAAACCCAGAGTTTTGTCCGTAGCTGAGCCAGCTGAAGCAGCCAATGTGAATTGTGCGGGCGGATAATGCAATGCGCAGATTGGGGACCTTCAGTAATGTGACTCTGTGTTTTTACTTATAGGAGTCTAGCATTTTCTCTCTAAGGAACCCCCCTTGACATTCTGTGATTCTCTAGGAAGGAAGGAGTGATTTGCAGGGCGCACCCTGGTGACCGATGGAGGACACGACGGATGAGAAGACGACAAACTGCTCCAGTGAGTCAGCTGACTGCGACAGCTCATGCAGGTTCCACGCGCCCAGCGCCTTGGGCTTGATTGCCCTGTTCCAGCTCTCGCCATCCTGTACAGCAAACAGTTGGAATTCTGGAATGTGAATTCTTGCCGGAGCACCGGCGGTGTGCCGACTGCAGTGTTCAATACTGCATGCACTATCCTTGCAGCACTGCAAGCCCGCCACTGGCTCTTCTTGTCACAACACACATGCCACAACTAGCCCAACACAAGCACGCAAACTTGAAGCACAGACGAGGGAGCCCTATATGAACTCAAACATGAACTCAAGAGAAGCCGAGGTGCCCTGCCATCCATCCAATCGTCCAAGATTTTCAAGGCAAAGAAGCTCTTTTCTTGCTGTGATGCACATGCAATCAAGCCAAACATGAATTGTGACATTAAACGTGCCCACAGAGCATAACTTAATCCGCATGACAAGGGATTTGTTGGAGGGTGGACCCACGTGGTTCATGATGAGGCGGTCCTCCAGCACCATGGCGAGGTGGAAGATGCCGGCGAGGGGCGCGATGCGCGCGCAGTCGGCCAGAAGCTGCGCGGCCTCGTCGCGGTCGCCGCAGTCCAGAAGGGAGACCTCCACCAGGACCCCCTCGCTCTGCAGCATCTGCACCGTCTTCATCTGCTCCCCCGTGCGCAGGCCCCTGCGGTCGCGCCAAAACCACAGGTCAGCCTTCGCATGCTCGGGTACAGGGATGGTATTTCTGCCCATGTCCTCTCTTGCAGTTCTGTGGTACCCTTTCGCCAGCCAGTCCACCCAACAGCAAATCAGCTCAGGAGCGTGTTAGGTAGGCTGAGACCGGTGCAGAAGCAGCGTTCTGCACTGAGGATAGGAATAGTTGGGAGCTGCTTCGGGAGGCTCCCTCTTGCATGAAGACATGACAAGTGGCAGGGGCCTGGCATGCCCGAATGAGTGCTTATGTACATGAATGAAGTGCACAGACATTGGTGTTTGCAGAGTTCCCCCCATGGTGGCATCTTGCGAATGCAACCACAGAGCTGCCCATTACCAACATGAAGGACAGCATTGTGAGCACCAGGAGTAGCCAAAAAATTGCAGCGCTCACCGCTTGGAAGACAGGACGAGCTTCTTGGCGCCGCGGCCGACCAGCCAAGCGGCGAGGGCCATACCGAAGCCGCCCAGGCCGCCGGTGATCAAGTACGTGCGATCCTCGCGCGCGATGAACTTCTCCAGTATCTTCATGCGCGGCGCCGGCTCCGTGCCCTCCTCAACCTGCACAGGTTGGGGGACTTTAAATTATCCTTGTCATTCAGGCCCCTTGGCTGTATGGAAGAGTACCGTCATTGTATCGTGTGCGCCTTCCATCAAGATGGGTGAAGAAGCAGACTGGCCTTTGCCGCTTTCAAACCCCCGTTATATCTTCTTTACGTGCCGGCTTTTTAGCAAAGGTGTCCCTTGCTCCTCAGAGTTCCTTGTGCAGTCTCCGGCACCCGCCTTGCCAGACAGGCATGGCTCCCAGCAGGCACCTGGGTGCCCTGCCAGGACCCAGTCTTGATGGCATTCGAATATTGCACGCACAGCAGGATGGCAAGTATGTAAGCAGGAGGCAAGCCCACCTCAGGAGCCGCCTTCGCATCAGCCGCCGCTCCCTCAGAGCTGCTGGCCTCTGCGGCTTCCTCCTTCTCCTCGACAGGCTGGATCTCCTCGGGCACGTTGCTGCGCGGCAGCACCAGCGCCGGTGCCGGCGCGCCGGTGGCGGCGGCCGTCTTTGCAGCCGCGCGTGCCTCCTCGCTCGCGCCGACCTGGATCAGCACCTTGCCCATGTGCGTGCCTGCGCGCACGCACAGCACTCTGAGGCTTGTCACACTTCAAGAACCTTCATTGAACACTGCGCCAGACAGCCTGTGATGCAGGCTGATGGGCTTGTTATCAGCGCAACACTATGCCCACATAACTTTCGTATAATATTTATCCTCCAATGCAGCGCCCTGCCATTAGGCCTCTAGCAAGCCTCTTGATGAGAAATTGGAAGCATGTGCAGAGGTGCGTCCTGCCTGGACGCCCAACCGAGTGGTCTAAAGGACATCGAGGGCATGGCATGCTTTGGTATGGGACAAAAAATGTGCGAGTGCGGACCTCCGGCCAGGAAGCGGAAGGCCTCTTGGGCGTGATCGCGCGAGTAGACAGTCCAAGGCAGCGGCTGCACCTCACCAGACTCCATGCCCCTCGACAGGTGCTTGTGCGCATCCCACACCTGAAGCCAAAGATCCCATGCACGAGCTCAGTCCAGGATTCAACACATGCGTGACATAAGCGGTGGGGGACACCAGCACTTGCCAAAAATTGGCATTGTTGTGAGGCTCTTCAGAGCGCTGCAGTCCACACCAATACAGTGATCCTCTGTAATCTTTCGAAGAGCTGACAGCCCTGTTCAACGCTAATTTTCAATCCCTAAATGGGAACGGGCAGAAGTGACGGCTCGGACTGGGCAGGAGGCCGCACTGGCGAGTCCAACCAGGGGTAGGCCTTTGGCAACCCGTGACTGCAGCTTGTCTGCAGGCGCAATTTGCCGACTGGCGGGACTGTGGGGCATGTGATAATAACATAAAAGGGGCCGAGCAAAAGGCGCGCACCGCGTCCTTCTGGGCGCCCTTGAAAAGGGAGTCGAGGTTGATGCCGTGGAAGGTGATGTTGTCGTGCATGGGGCGCATGGAGAGGGCAGTTCCCTTGAGGATGTCATACTTGCCGATCTCCAGCAGGTGCCCGTTGGCCGCCAAGCAGCGCACGCTGGCCGTCAGCTTGTCGTCCGCCAGGCTGTTCAGGCACATGTGCACGCCCTCTCCCTTCGTCTGTGCGCGCACATGGAAGCTTACGTGTCAGGAATGTAACATTTGGGGCAGATCACAGGCATACATCGTCTCAGCTTCAGACATACATGCCCTGGCTTGAGCTATGCATGCAGCAGGACCCTAAATCAGCGTCCACTGTTCAGCATGCGCCCCACCCTATTCTAGCAAGTCAAAGATCTCATAGGAGGATTGCAAGAATAATGCTTGCGCATGCAGGAAACTTGTCCTACCACCCCTGAAAGACAAGGGCGAACGAAAAGAATGGCAAGCAGAGCAGCAAATATTGCAATATTGGTGCAAGCAGGGGGCAGACAGACCTAGACCAGTTTGAAATTTACACCAAAAATAAGAAATTGAGTATAAAACCCACCTGGTGCATGATCATGTGCTCGAATGAGGTGGAGCGCGAGTTGCCGATGTGGTCCTCTCGCAGTCCCGGGAAGGTCTTCAGCAGGTACGCCTTCTTACGGTCAGACCCGCACGTCGTAAACACCTGTTCCCATACAGACATGCATGCTCAGTCCTGCTCCTCTCTCGTTTCATCCAAAAGATACTGCACAGAAACGTAAGTAAGCATATCCCAGGGTCCTTCTGGTTTGTGGCAATTGCTCGACAAAATCAGCTGGGCTCCGGAGACCTTCTGTCTTCCCGCTGACAAGCGGCATGTCACTGATGCTGCTTCAACAAGTCCAAGGCATATTGTGAATCAAATACGTCCCTTCGAAAATCAAGCAGCGAAGTTCACTCTAAGAAAATGCTGGGCCAGCCATGTGCCTTTCTTTTCTGCCTTCATGCATAGCAGGTCAAGCTGGCAACTGAGGATCCTGCCGCTCGCAAATGCGAAAGGGTAAAGAGATTAAAATACAGGCGTGTTCTGCAGAGGCGAACCTCGCAGCCGCGGTGCAGGCAGATGCGGATGGCGGCCAGGCCGACGGCGCCGGTGCCGGAGTGCACGAGCACCTTGTGGCCCTTCTCGAGGCCGCCGCGCATGACTAACGCGTAGTAAGCGGTCAGGTACGCCACCGGGACCGTGGCCGCGTCGCGCAGCGACCACGCCTTGGGGATGTCCCACACCTGCGCGCATGCATTTTCACACCCTCAACACCCTGTGCTACAAGCATACCTATACTCTGGCTCTTTCTCAAGCCACAAGCGGCCTCACCATGCCACTCAGAAATGCATCCGGATCATAAAACCAGGCCTCAATGAGCTAACAAGTGTCAGAGGCACATAGGACCATGTTGATTTTAAATATCTCCAGAGGTGCGACATGCCATTGACAGCAATAAGAGGTGACGGCATGGGTGCATGTGTGGTGAGTAAGAGGTGAGTCACCAGGTAGTCACGGGCGAAGACGTGGGTGGCGATGGCCTGCTTGGCCACGCCCATGATGCGGCGTCCCTCCAGCATGCCCGAGAACTCAAAGCCCAGCATGCAGCCGACGTAACCGTTACTCATCATGTCCCGGTTCAGCTTGCCGTACGCCAGCATGACATCCTTGAAGTTCAGCGCGCCTGCACAGCCACAAAGCCACAACATGCTCAGGACTTCAGTCTCCGAGGCATTTATCCTCTGTAAAAAATGCATGCGGAGCCCAGTATCTTATACCACTTTTGAAGGAGTCAAGCTGGCCATCAGGCTGTCTTGGCTCCTGTGAATGTGGTGCATTGCCGTGCCATTTGTGACTGTATACACTGAAACAATGGCACAGTCAACATCCTGAAGAGCCCTTTCTTTGGGGACTCCATGGCATCCAGGAGCAGGGAAGACCATGGGGGAAAAGAATTAAATGCAATGAGGGCTAAGCACCTGCAAGTGACCTGGAATGGCACAGGCAGGGAAGACTGTGGGGGGAAGATGAAAACAGCCAAAAGGAGCGCGCACCATAGGTGACCTCGCAGTGCTTCATGTTGGGCGCAGGGTCAAACTCGTTCTCCACCCAGCGCAGCGTGCTGAGGTCTCCGTACTGCCCGATGTCCATGTGCGCACCGTAACGGGTCTCGCTCGGCAGCTTCTCCTCCGGGTCCCAGCAGACCTTAATCATCCTATTCAGGCAAGGAACCCCTCAGTGCCTGATCAGACCGTGCAAACCCACCGGTCATGCATGCATGTGCCCAGGCCATGATGAAGATTTTTGAAGTTTTGATTGCCAGGGTGCATGTGACTGCCTGCTCTCAATGCTGTGAGGCCTTCTCAAGCGACTCTGACGTACAAATACAAATCCCCAGCGACTGTTCATAGCATAACGGCAAGAATAGTGCGGCAACAAGGGGATGTAGATAGGAAAAGAATCAAGCTGGGCCGCACTTGTAGGTGCCCCACTTGCCGTCCACAAAGACATTCTGGCACATGTCCAGCTTCATGGCCGTGGCCAGCATGGCGTCCGCCTCTGCACGCCACAAGACACACCATTAATCCCCCCCCTTCTTTCAGCCTCTTTCACACATCACACACCTCGACATGATGTCCTGAAAGCCTTTCTAAATCTCCAGTAACATGGCTGCACATATACATCGGCTAGACATATGAGGGACCCCGCAGCAGCTCCCACAAGATGCATCACTCGTCTGTAAGGAAGGGATAGAATGCAATTGTGCCTGCTTTTGCAAGCTGCCTTTGATACCAGGTGCTGTCAAGCACATCAAGCTGGCACCACAAGGTTCAGGTGCTCGTATGCAAACCTCCAGTGGGGGTGCAGGTAATCAAAACTCTTTCTTCTAGCTCTTTTTTCTGCAACACCTGCATTTCGCTGGTTTCCCAATACCGAGCCAGGCTTGTCTTTTGTACCCCTATCTTGGCATGCCATGCTACAGACTTTGTGTGCAGAAGTATTGACAAAGAAAAGACAGGGAATGATGGGCGGGAAATTGCACCGGCGGGGTCCTGCTTGTTGCCGCGGGCATGGGTGAGGACGGGATCGCCGTTGAACAGCAGCCGCAGCCGCTCGCCCATCGGCTCGGTGCGCGCGGTGCGGTAGAGGCCGCTCGTGCCGGGTGACGCCGCCACGCTGCCGTACAGCCACAGCCGCCGCTCCGGCACCTTTTCCTTTGGCTGCGCCTCACCGCCTGCACCAGCTTTATAAGTTCAATGCGGAGGGTATCCTTCATTTATTGAATGTTCCAGGAGCACCCAAGTTTTTGTGCTGTTTTATCGTACTGCCTCGGCGCGAATCGCCGCATGCATTAACATTTTAGGCTCATTATGACGGGACCCATTACTGCAATTTTTCAATGACAGCCAACTAAGTTGGCGCTGTGTCACCGGACTGTTTTTTGGCTGCGCATTGCCGCTTGTTGTAAATCCGTGAAAACGAGTGCATCCTATGCACAAGCTGACCTCTCAACTCTCCCTGTGTCAATTACAGGACGCTGGGCTTTCCCTGCAGTTCTTACAGCCCTTAAAACAAAGTTTGTCATGCAAATAAGGCGAGTGTCTTGACTGGACAAGCGACAGCTGAGCCCTGCTGCAGAGCTTAGAGAGGTGTTTACCTTCAAGTGCGGGTGCCTCTGCGCTGACAGCAGGTGCGGCTGCCTCCTCGGCAGAAGCCTCGCCCTCTTTCGGCTCGTCCTTCACTCCAGCCACCTGCTTCTCCTTGGCCAGGAAGTCCGTCAGCCACACCTGTTCACACAGGCATCCAAATTCAACCCTGTGTTGCCAGAGAAACCACACCAAACACCGCAATCTTTCCAAGGGACAATTCATTGCTGTCTTGCCACAAAGACAACATCGGAGACCACAATGGTGGACGATGAGCCTGCAAGGTGATGCTTGACAGCAGAGCACACACTGCCACAGACTGTACATGCAAACAAGCGCTAGAGAGAGGCGCAAAGCTAGCAGCTGGCTGTGTGGATAGGTGGTCCCAGGGTTCATGATAATGATAAAAAGTTTTTAGATAATTTTGTAATACTCATTATTGAGCTTTATGTTGCCGAGGCTGGTTTATAAGTCACATTTAATTCTGTATTTTCTGCATGTAAATGATTATACTGTATAATGTCTCCATTATCTTCATTTCATACCCGCTTTCTGCCTGCCCAGCCCTTAAAAATGACAATTTATTATGAACCACCGTGATACTCAAATTAGAAGTTACAAGGCGGTCACCTTCATCTCATCGGCTGTGGCGCCGACCTCGGGGCCGGACATGAGCAGATGCTCCTGCACGGGCTCCTTGGCGATCTTGCGGTACAGGAAGAGCGCTGCAAAGTCGGCCTCATCCGTGTGCACCGACACCTGCCCAGCAACCCAGTCATTACCATACATCGCACCGCCCGGCCAGACGCATAATGTAAACGCACCGCCTTTTTGTGAGCATTGATCGCCAGGGAGCCACAACGGGTGATCAACTAGCTGGAGATCTAGTGCAAAAAAAACAAATGTCAACCACCACAGCCTCCCTGATGCGTAAGCATGCAAGGGTCCACCATACAGAGGGGAAGCAGCATGCAACGGCGTTCCTGGGGACCTTCTGCCACATCACTTCGCTACTACAGCAGCCCTGTCCATCAACTGCTGTCCAGTGCCTTTAACACTACGAACCCTCAGCCTCGTCCTGCAACACCCTTGCATGCAAGGTTCAAAACAGTGCAAACTTGGCCGCACCCGCTGGAGGCCGACCTCCTCCTACTGTCTATTGTAAAACCCCTAATCTAGGTTAGCAGGCAGGGATTGAAACAGCGCAAAAATGGGCGCACCTTTGAAAAGCCGACCTCCTCCAGCAGGCGCTCCCAGCGCTCGCGGTTGACCCAGAGGCCGAACTCGCGCTCGTCCTCAAAGTTCCAGCACTGCGCGTCCAGGCCCCACAGCAGCGTCGGCAGCACCGTGGTCATCTCGAAGAAGAGCAGGAAGCCCCCGTCGTGCAGCGCATCGTATATATTTGTCAGCACCGCTGAGCGCGCACAGAGACACAGCCGTCAGCAGGGCGAAATCTCGTCAGTATGTGGCTCCCCACTAGGCAGGACATCACTCTGGAATCATGTGAGAGGGATTGTCCAGAAATGTATTGCTATGCAGCATGCCGCTCTACAGTACTGTCATAATCAACGCTCTGCAGCAAAGAATGTGGGCGCCTGATGCATTACCATACCATGTGCAGAGCAGCACCAGACATCAGCAGAGACCAAGGCAAGCATATATGAATATCTCCAAGACGTGCATGCACACGGTTGTGTTCGTATGGTGGAAGAGGGACAGGGCCTCACTCTTGAGGTTCTTGCCGGTGTGGAGCACGTTGGTGGCCACTGCCACGTGGAAGGGGCCCTCCACCTCAGCAGGCAGCTCCTCATTGATGTCCCAGTTCTGGCACAGCATTCCAACCCATCGTCAGAGGAATGATGAAACTCCGGACCGAGCAAGTCACAAGGCATAGCACAGCCTCATACCCATGACAGCAGCAATGACAGCACACTAAATTCTCCTCGTATGAGGAATAAACTAGACATCACACAAAACAATATCGCCTGGATTTGTCTACCCGGCGCTTTTGCACTGTGCTGTATCATGGTGACATTACAAATATCATCAGCTTTGCCTTCCTTCATAAATGGGCACTGCATTTTGAAGAACAGGGCCCCAACTGACCAACCCGCACACTTGCTTCTTGAGATGACAGCAAGGCCGTAATCCAGTGGAGCCTGAGCAACCTGTTCATCTGCTACCCCATAAGCATCTGTTATGACAAGCATGGATGCAAAGCGCACCTTGAACATGAGCTTGGGGCTCTTGACGGACTCGATCAGGCCGGCAGAGAAGGCCGAGGTGATATCTGTGGCTGTGTAGCGCAGCAGCTCGTGGTGCATGTCCGTCTCAAACAGCGGCAGTGCATCCTTAGTCAACCCTCCGGTTCCTGCTCCTGCCTCCAGCACGCGGAAGCCTGCATGCACATGCCATGTGATGACTCACCCCATTCTCCATGATCTAAGTGGCAGACACTTGTGCCTGCAGCCGCCACGGTGTTCGGACTCTTATGTTGCCAATTTCTCCATTGTGGCCCTGGCCAAATGCCTGAGGGTCAATTTTCTTGCATGCGCGCATGAATGGGAGTGAAGCCATCATGCGAGGCTCAGCATGCTTTCACACAACAATGTGCATATCCACAGAGAACCCAGAGACAATGGCTCGCAAATGGATTAGGGAAGGTCTGGAAGATCCCCTTTATGGTGATAAGTATCCTGTGCTGCAGTGTGTGCTGACAGGTATGCGGCAGGGGATGATCTCACCGGTGGGCATGTTCTCCAGGATGATCTCGATGAAGAGCTTGAGGGTGTCGTAGGAGAAGGAGCGGCAGGCCGGGTCCTTCACATACACCGTGTCGTGCTCTGGGTGCGCCACAATCGCCTGCATTCACATGACTCACCGTTAGTCACCATCAGTCAACAAGGAAACATGTTTAATTGAGCTGTCAAGTCACTGTTCTGATCTCTAATTCAAGTGATGCCAGCGCCCATCTTTAGTGTGTGAAATTCCTGGTTCTTGATTGTTTTGTATATGTTGTTGATCTTTGCCTCCCTCTCGCAGTCTACAAAGAGGGAAAGGGGCAGAGCTTGTGACGGGCTACACATGCAGCTTGTCTGCAGGCACACCTTGACTCCCGGCACGAAAATGGTGTGACAGTGATTGCAGAATAGAAGACAGTTATAAGAAATCATGGGAAAGTGAATGTTGCTGGGGCCCTGCAGCACCTGCATGGGGTGAGTCAGGCTCTTGACGGCGACGTCTGGCCGCGAGATGTCCCGCGAGATGCGCGACAGAACGTGGTCTGGATTGCTGAGCATCGCCTCCAGGGCCTCGCCCTCCGGGCAGACCTCCTTCAGGCTCAGGCACAGACGCCGGATCTGCACAGCAGTGCAATCACATTTCTCAGCATGCTCCGTTCACACCTAGGTAGCCCGCACCCCCGCCGTGGTCTTACATACCTTTAGCTCGCCAAGAGTATATCGCAATTCATTGCAACTGCAATGCCACTTGCACAAGCTACCCTTGATGTTGACTCTCCCGAACAAGTGTACGCCTGTGGTACATAGCAGCGGGCGAAAGAATACTGTAAGCAAGAAGAAGGCTGTAAACCCAGCGTTATGCCACATGCGCAAAACCTGTCAGAAGGCTTGCGAGCACGGCGTTGGGCTTTGTTTTGTGCTGCCATGCTGAGCATGCTGTAACAGGGGTGGCCATGCACAGATTGCCTGGTTACAAACAATCAGAGGGATAATTCCACAGGAGCAATTTTGTGTACACCCTTTTAGGGGTCAGAATACACTCGTTTCACACGTTTGTAGGGATAGCACTGGGCTGCCCGGGCTGCCCACCTCGGACAGGTGCTTGGGCAGGCTCCCGTGGACTTCCTCGTACAGGTCGAAGCAGGGCAGCAGGACGGCTTTGCAGTACCCCTTCATGTCTGACATGTACTGGATGCGCGCCTCGTCATCGTTCACGCTCAGCCCGTACGGCACAAACTTCACGTGGTCCGTAATCGTCCTGCGCCAGGTTTTGAACTCAAGCATTTAGCACATGTGTCAGACTGAGACTGAATGCCTGAACATGGTTCACGTCGGTGTTTTGTACGTTTGTGCGCGCCTCATTTACCGCATGCATACATGTGAGAGTCTCACCCTTCTTCCTCCCACCACACAAATACTGGTGCACACAGACCTCACAAAGAGTGGCAAAATGTACACATGCATTCACCCTCCTAAGCAGTCTTGGCGTCAGAGAGCACTTGAGCAGTGGGAGCGAGCAAGAGCCTCCAGAAGCTGCAAGGCAGACAGACACATGTTGTGAAATTGGTTTAAGAGGGAGTCAGGCGTACTTGTGGGTGAGGTGGGCTGCTCTGCGGGGTGCCACAGTGAGCTCGAGGCCACTGATGGTCGCCAGCTCGTTGGTCACAGTGCCCATGAAGCGGTCCATGGTCACCTGCAGGATTTCATTAAGAGATTCAAAGAAGGCGCTGTTGAATGAGGCCCTCGTGCCCACTATCGTTGAGCGTATGGTGCAATCCTGTCAGCAAGGCTGTGTTCAAGCCAGACAATGCCGCAAGGAGGTCTTACTCTGATGCTTGGGTGCACCAAATACAGTCTGTAAATCTGATGTTTTTTAACCCTTGCAGGTAGTTATGCAATTCACTGTGGCAGGGCTAGCCTCGAATGCATGCCTTCCATCCCCTTTCGCACAGCAGGTAATCACACCCCTTGGATCAGACGGTATAAAAAGAGGTCTTTAAGGTTGGTGCACACTAGAATATGGCTGTTGTGCATGCCGGGCGCCTTCATGTGCAGCCCCGGGCATTCTCATTAAGATTTAGAGGTAAAGAAGGGAAAGGAAAAGCAAGGGGAAAAAGGGTTGCGCACGTAGATCTGGCCGTCGGGTGTGCCGGCTGCGCAGTTGATGAGGATGGAGCGGATGCGCGTGGGGATGCGCAGCTCGTAGTCGGTTGTGCCCGCCACACTCAGCTGCAACATGCCATCCAGCAGCCGGATCCAGCACTGGTCCCACCTGAAACAGTTTTAAGTCAAATTAAGGGTGGGGTTGCCTGACTCTTGGGCTTGATTTGGTCTCCTCAGTGCACCTGGAAAACCCACGTCTGTGTGACCTTGTCCAGTGCTGCTCCAAAGGGCTGGACCACATGTGACAAGATGACATGCTGGATGCTGAAAGGGGTCAGTATTTGGACATAGGTCATGTAATGGTTGAGCTTTTCAAAAAGGGGATAAACTGGCAGCCTCTATGTGCAAGGGGCATAGAGGGACGGCGAGGCCGACTCACACAGCGCAACATTTTGAGCAACACTTTCAGGGCAAAGAAGTGCGGCGCGCACCGCATCATGGCGGCAGCGTCGGAGCTGGCGACGCGCTTGACCATGCGGAAGGTGTCACCGTAGGTGATCCCGGTGCGGCCGATCATGCGGTAGAAGGCCTCGCTCTGGATTGTCTCCATGGGGCCAAAGCCCCACTTGTGCATCCACAGCTCGTCCTTGTCACCGGGGTTCTCCTCTTTTGGCTCCTCCTTCTTCGCGCCCTCCTCGGCCCCGGGCACCGCCTCTGCCGACGGCGCTGCCGCCTCGGCCTGCGCGGAATAAAATTTGTAAGGTTGTATGTACGATGTAAGATGAATGTATTATGAAATGGATTTGTAAGATCACTCTCTTTTGTCACGAGTGCTTGCTGCGACCCCAATCAGTGACACGGTCTCTGATCAGTTGAACACAGACTCCCTTCGTGCCATCTGAGTCTGGTCGACAGTGCCCATGCTGTGACTTGTCAGCAGCATGTGCGGGCCTACAACATCCAATGAAGAGTAAAACGAGATATTTTGGCGCTCACCGCCTCGATGGCAGCCGGCGCATCCGCAGCTGGGGCAGCCTCCACTGGTGCTGCTGCCTCCTCCTTGACTGCCTGCGTTCCATAGCAGAAAGACTCAGATGCCGTTTCACGCCACCCTCAAATCCACGCGATATGAGAGTCTAGTCTTTGCTGGCTCTCCCATGCACTTTCCTTTCATCCCTGTTACACTAGGAGACTTTGCTGTGCCCATCACTGCTTCCTCTCACCCTCCATTGGCGCGAGTATGATCATAGGATGCCACCAGCTGCTGAAAACAAAGGTTGGAAAGGGCGCCCACCTCGGCAGCGGGAGCGGCGGGTGCAGCCTTCTCCTCCTTGGGCTCTTCAGTCTTGGCGGGCTCTGCCAGCATCTTGATCATGCCCTCGCAGATCAGGTCGCCCGAGTGCAGAACCTGTCCATCCACCACCAACATTTAGAATTATTTAGACTGCACAATACAACGTGCATCCAACCAAGGCACTGACGTGGGCACCCACATGCACATGACCAAGTGCAGCATGCCCGAATGCGTGCTTCACATTAGAGTAAAATATAATGTTCCCATGGGAAAGGATTGTCTCATATGTGTGCATGGAGAAGCAGTGCAGCCATGAAGGCCGCAAGAGCTGCTGAGCTTGTCAGCCCTCTCTGGCCAGGAGCTTGAGCAGCCTTCCAGCGGGCCAACATTGAGGCCACAGGGTTTTACTACACCAAATGTTGGTTTCAGTGAAGTAGCGGGGAGCACTCACGTTGAAGCGGTTGTCCGGTGCAATGAGCACAGCCAGAGCGATTTTCTGCCCCTCCTCGGCGGTGACTGCCTGCCGGATCTGGACGTCCTCAAAGGCCACGGGGGTCTCCTCCATCTTGCGCGACTTCATGCTGCACAGAGCCTCCCACGCCGTCACCACGTAGCTCGTGGCCGGCATCAGAATGCGGCCGTCCACCACGTGATCCGCCAGAAACTTGTGGTCGCCGCCTGCGATAAGGCAGTGCGCATGCATGCGTCAGCACCGCTGATTAAATTGAGTGGTTCTTGAGGGCAGCGCACGAGACAGGACAACGTGCATGCATGCGTCAGCCGACCTGCTTCATTATAAACAGCCTCGTATCATACATTCCCGCCTTGTTCTCAGACACAAACACACATATCCAAGTGAGCAACCTGCTTCCTGACAGCTGTCCCTGGCACAAACTTGCTCAGGTCTAGCTTTTAGGTACACCTCGCAAATCATGTTGAGGGCTTGGGCCATCGCTACGGTGCGCAACCAAGGCAACAGCACACTGTTGGTCCCTTGGCAGGCAGGAGGAATCCCTGTGCACTCCTCGTCAGCCAGAGGGGCATGGGAGCCTGCCAGGTAGCAGGCCACATGTGCGGATAATCTTGAGGTGGTTTTGTTCAGCCGCCTGGGAAAAGGAGGGAGGGAACGCACCGAGATCCCAGATCTTCTCGTACTGGCCTCCGCCCAGGCGGCTGGCGTAGTCCTGGTAGCCTGCCGAGTCGTACTCCTGGGTGTGGTTCCAGCTCACCAGCTTCTCACGGATGTCACGCGGCAGCTCTGCACATGCGCACACCTTTCTGTCAACAAATGTGACTTGCAGCATTTGCTCCAGAGTCCTGTCATTTCAGTGCCGCATGCATACGAGACTCATTATACTTTGTACATTGTGTGAGATAGCTAACCCTTAGTTGGGCAACACAGAACCAAGCTCTTCACAGTGAAAGTGCACAGGTGGCAGAACAGTTCGGGAGTGGCTGCGACGGCTTTCGGATAACCCCTCCAAGTCAGTGTCTACAGATACTAGCTAGTCCAATACATCTGTATGCTTGTCCTGGAGCACTGTATCTCAAACATCTTCTGCACGTGACCTCAGCAGAGCAACCGCTCAGCCGTTGCCCCTAAAAAGAGAGTACCAGTCTGGTCGTCCTCGGGGACGGCCCACTTGAGCGCAGCTCCCTTGCGCCACAGCCCGGCCACGGCCTCGCGCAGGGACAGAGTTGCGTCATCTCCCTTCTTCATCGACCCCACGTACGGCAGCGCCGCGCAGTTCTGCCGCAGCGGCGCGCGCATGATTGCGTGCGGGCCGACCTCCAGCAGAATGGCGTCCTCGGGGATCGCCGCGCAGGCCGCCTTGAACTGCACGCGCGACTTGTAGCTTTGCACCTGCGCATGGGCAATCCAATTAATGTGTTAGAACCTTTTTAATCACCTTGAACGGCAGGGATCGTGTCATATGGGCACTGCTGTGTCCTTGCTTAGGGTGCGGTGCAAATACTTGTGAGACCTCCCAGGGGGAAAGTGTTATGGTGGCCTTGCCGCATAAACAGGCAGCCTAATGATTGGGGGCTGTGTTGGTCGCCTGGCTGTGTGCCTTGAATGGTCACTTTTGATCCACCGGGGTCGCTAGAGCGCTGTGCATGGGGGGGCTACAGCAAACAGCGCCAGCCTTTTTCTAACAGCGTTTTGCACCTGCTCCCAATCGGTGCACATTCAATGTCTACACTTTGGCAGGAGGAGAGGACTCACGTGGTAGTCGGGGCCGCAGAGCTTGGAGCCGACCTCCTCGGAGTTGAGAGGGTAGGAAGTGGACAGCCACTTGGCAGAGCGCTCCTTGGGCTGAGGCACGACCGCCGTCAGCACGCGGCGCAGCTTGTCGCAGAAGGGGTTGAGCGCGGGGGAATGATATGCGATGCCCAGGGTGTCTAACTCGCGCACGAAGACGCCCTCGTCCTTCAGCTTTGCGCACAGCGGCGCCAGCTCCTCCGCGGGGCCTGCATCGCGATGACATCAGCCTTAGTAATAAAATATGACATTCTTGAGTATAGCATGGCACCTGAGTGAGAGGCTCTAATCTGGCAGCAGATGCACGATCACATGGACAGAAGACAGTAGAGCGGGGACCGAAGACTGTCTCCAATGAAGACTCTTCTGACAAGGACGTGATTGCAGGACGTGATTGCAGGACGTGATTGCAGGACGTAATTGCAGGAAGTGCACCCTCCTCCCATTAAGAGGAAATGACGGCTTCTAGAGAATCTAGGACTGTCTGGAAGGCTAAGATCAATGAGGCAGAGCCGGCCGGGAATGAAAGTATAATTCACCTGCGAGGGTGACATTGACGGGGGAGTTGTCGCAGCCGACCACAGTGTTCTGCAGGCCCTCCTTCTTAAGGCGCGCGTCGGCTGCTTCGGCGCTCAGGCCGACGGCCGCCATCAGGCCGCCCGTCACGTTGTGCTCCGGTGCCATGCGGCCTGCGCAGCCAAATCAGACTCGTTCTAGTCAGACTCATTCATGTCAGGCAGGGTACGAGGAAGGGAACCTCAGGTTTGGTGCTCCTCTGTGTGTGTGTGTGTGTGTGTCTGCAGCAAGGCCAATGCCCCTTGTGCGCACAAAATAGGAAAATGACTAATACTCTCGGGTGAATGGGTAGACTTCAATACATCAGGCTTGGCTGGGGCGGCCAGCAGATGACTAACTCTGCCTGCACACATGCGCATGCATGCAGCTGAGCCAACAGAGGATGCCCCGTGTGAAGGCAGAGTTACAGGGGTCTAAAATGACAGGCATCGCACCTCTGTGGTAGGCGATGAGGATGGTCTGCTCACGGGTGAGGCAGCCGTCGGCATAGCCGCAGGGAATCTCGCCCGCGGAGTGGCCCAGCATACCGGCCGGCACAATCCCATACTCCTTGCGCAGCATGTCCACCAGCCCAATCTGCATGCAAATCCCCATGATGTCAAATAACGAAACGCCAAAAATACCAACTTCAACCTGGCCCTAGAGTCCCAGTGACACCACGAAGACAGAACTTCTACATAGACCATGATCTGAATGGCAATTGCTTGTGATGGCGCCAACCTCCTGAAAGATGATCCTTGGGTGCATTTGCCATTAAGATCTCTGGCTTAGAACGCCCACAAAGGGATGCATGGAGCTCGTATGTTAGAACAATGGTGAAGAGAACAATATGCCTATCACGAGTATGCCTGCCGCAGTGTTGCACTCACCACCACCCAATAAATTAAAAACTTCAAAACCCACAGCACAGCACAGCAGAGCCATTCCTTCTCATAAATTTAGCCTCACACATATCCGGGACGGGCAGCACACCTGCACGGCCACAAGGCCGACCATGGCGAGGGCGGGGTGCTTCCAGCCGTCCTCCTTGCCAAACTCGGCCATCAGATCGACGCCGTGCGGCTTCAGCGCGTCCGCGCACTTGCGCACTGCGTGCAGGAACACCGCGCTAGACCGCAGCAGCGGCTCCGCCATCTTGGGCCACTGGCTGCCGTTGCCTGTTCAGGTACATCAGCGCCACATCAGCAAATCCCACCCCGCTGATGTCAGCGATATGCGCCCTTGGCTTTGCCGTCAGGAGGCACTATCTCTGAGCGGACTTCGACATTATCTTTGCAGTTGGTGAACAGCAGCAGAGTACACTAGGAAACTGAATTTCTGCATACCCTGTATGCAAATGGGCGTCCCTTCTTAAAGTAATTCTTGCCAGTCATGAGCACGTACTCAGACGCTTAAGGGATACTGCTATACTCCAGAAAGGACAGGGCACAGTGCTCACTGTGAGCCAGTGTGCTCACAGTGTTCACGTTGTCACAAGTAGAGAATTGTGAGTAAGCAGTGGGCGCACACACCTGAGAAGACAAACCAGATGGGCGGTGCGTGGCCAAGTTTGGCGTGCTCCCACTTGGCCTCCCCGTTGCAGATGGTCCCCCTGAAGCCCAGCTTGCCCACGTCGTCCGACAGGTGATTGGCCAGCCTGCGCGCATGTGCCGGCAGGTGCCACATCAGCTTGGTCACCTAACTAATTTTCTGCGCCACTATGCACTCCGGGGGAAGCACAGTTGTTACAGGACGAGGTGAATGGGCATTGTGTCCGACTGCCTTGGAGACACTGGCGGTGTGAAAATTTAAATGAGGAAGGCATGGGGTGCGCACCTCTTGAGAGGGAGTGCAATTTTGTCCGCCATGAATGCGCGAGCCTTGATGGCCTCCAGCAGGCTCTGGGAGCCCTCTTGTGTGCGCGCCACAATGGGGATGATCAGCTGCCGCACACAAAACATCACCGCTCAGTCAACACAATTTGTTCATCACTGACATGCTCCCCTGCCATATTTGACTGGTCTGTCTCTCATCGTTTGGATACGCAACGGGAATAGAGCACGACAACAAGACCCCTCATCAGCAAAAATAAGGAGATGAGCTCGATTGTAGCTTCCACTCTGGTGGGGAGTCATGTCCAGGTTCAGGGACCCCAGGCAACAGTTACGGCAGCTTCAAGGTTTCTGTGCCTCACCTCGGGAGGGAACAGCGGCTCCTCGTCCTTGACCTCCTTGATGACGGTCTCGCCGCCTTCGATGGCCTCCGCCGCGTCGGCCGGGACCGGGGCCAGCAGCGGCCGCGGCGGCTCGCCTCTGGGCCGCACGCAGCCAGCAATGATGGCGTGCACGTTGGAGCCTCCAAAGCCGAAGGAGGAGATCGCCACCAAGCCTCCCTGCCACGGGGTCGCTCCGGTGACCACCTGCGCCCAGAGTAAAGGTTAAGTAATGAGCGCTCACCAGAACATCCACCAGCCAATTGGTCACATGCGATGTCTAATGTGAGGTCACGAGCAGGGGATGCATCGCGCAATGCATGACCATGAGACTGACAGGCGGATGTGCACATTGCTGTGGTTGAGATGCTGATGTCAACAGAATGAGGTTGTGGGGTCATGGCAAAGGAAAGGAGAGTGGAAGTGCTGACCTTGAGGATTCCGGTCTTCAGGGACTCGTTGTTGGGGTTGGGCTCCTTGTAGTGCAGGTTGCCTGGGATGAGCCCGTTCTCGTATGACAGGCAGACCTTGATGAGGCCTGCGTGTCATGGCACCGCCGTGTCAGATGTTTTATATGGGGTGTCATTTATGCTCAGACATCATGCAAGAGCCAGAAGACATCTCAATGACAGGCTACCTTGTTTCTGTACCTGTGGCTGAGCGGTCTTACAATGCATCCTTCAGCAACACGCATGCATGAGAAACTCCCATCTTGATTGCATGAAGCAGCAATAGCATGGCAGAGGAATAAAGTGCTCAGCAGGCTGGTCAGTCTCCAGAGATACGCACCGGCCAGTCCGGAGCAGCCCTCACAGTGCCCCATATTGGACTTGACTGAACCGATGAGGAGTGGCTCCTCAGGCGTGTGCCCAGCCCCTGCTCCGTAAAGGCCATCGATGGCGCTGAGCTCCTGGCTGTCGCCCACAACTGTTCCAGTTCCGTGCGCCTCCACATACTGAATATCTGAAGGGTCTATGCCTGTTGCTCTGCAAACCTGCATGCGCAATTTAAAAAAGTAAACGTACAGCAGATGTTATTGAACTTGTAGGTGGAAAAAAGAAAAAATAAGAAGAAAAACACCAAAAAAATGAGCCGCCTGAGCGTGATGCCGCTTGCCAGGATCGAACTGGCGACCTCCGGATTATGAGACCGACGCTCTAACCAACTGAGCCAAAGCGGCGGCTCTGATTCGCATGGTAACCAATGATGACCTCCGTCAATTTCTAGTGCCTATAATCCGCTCCCAAATGTCGACTTTCCCTTTTAAAGTCAAACCTGGGACGCACTCTCCAAAACTCACACGTCCTCGACACATGTTTGAAACCGGGCATCCTACAAGAGAACGTCGAGAGCCAGAGACGCCGGAGACGATACCACGGCAGCGAAAATTCCTACTCGACGTAAGAGGGGCGCTACACGACAGACTCACTAAACTCGAAAGGATCATACCGATACAGACATCTCGGAAACGTCTTCCTGACTGTGAACGTCCATCTGGATCACCCCGTTGGATAATCAACAGTGCTTCACCACAGCGGGCCCACTCAAGATGGAAGACCTAGCCACTGTACAAATTAATCTTCCTCCCTGCATTCATGCATCAGCAGGATCATAATGGGCAAGCACAGCCAGGAGAGCAGGCGTGAGGCTGAGCAGCGCACCGCAGTGCCCAGTTCCTGCTGCGCAGGGCCAGAGGGGAAGGTGATGCCCTGCTCTGTGTGGCCATCGTTGTTGGTGCCAATGCCCATGACGCGCGCGTAGGGCTCGCGAGGGATGACGATGGGGGTGTCGAAGACGTCCGAGCGGCGGAGGATGATGGAGGCAACGCCCTCCGCGCGCGCGTAGCCGTTGCCGCTCGCGTCAAAGGACTTGCACGCGCCGTCGGGGGACAGCATCCTGCGCGGGGCAGATTAGTGAGTTTACACGGGGTGCACTGCAGCGCGGGGCAGTCCATGCAGGCAGTACAGTCAGCAAACACACTACAGCAGGCAATCTCCATGCATGCACATTAGTGCCATGCAGCACCAGAGACCGTTCACAACATAAATGTTCAGCGTCTGGTCCCTGGTCATTGTTGCACTGTAACATAATCCACAATATGCCCCCAGTGCTACACAACACATCCCAACGCAAGCTTGGACGACTTCGAATACAGTGCAATTCACGTGTGTAAGGAGGAGAAAGGGAAAAGGAACCCACTTCAGCCTAAGGAAGGCCAGGGAGGTGGCTGGGCGGAAGATGGCGCTGGAGCCTCCAACCACTGCGTAGTCCACCCGGCCCCTCTGCAGGTCAAGCACCGCGTCGTGCAGTGCCATGAACGCTGAAGAGCACGCTGCGCAACACAAGCCAACACATCTTGGTAAGCCACCCTGACTCGTCATGATCTGCTTCCAGTTGACCTATCTCAAGGCCTGTCTGTAGCAAGCTGCCGGTTGCAGCATCTGAAAAAGCCTGGAGTTGCCAGCTTTGCATGCCGTACACCTTGCGCTGGGCAATATGCAGCTTGGTCTCAACTTCTTGCCATGCACCTGACAACGTGACATTTCTTGCCCTCCTGATTACAACAACCCATTACTGTAAATCTGTATGCACAATTTAGAGACAGGCAGGCTGCCCACCTGTGTCCACCGCCTTGGAGGGCCCCTTGAAGTCAAAGAAGAAGGAGAGGCGGTTGGCAAACATGGACAGCGTGCACCCGGTCTGCTCGTAGCCGGTGATGTTGTTGTAATCGCTGAGCCACATGGCGTGCACTTCTGAGCCGCAGCAGCCCAGGTACACTCCCACTCGCGGGCTGCCGCGCAGCGCCTTGTAGTCGATGCCGGAGTCCACAAAGGCCTCGTGCGTCACTTCTAATAGCTTGCGCATCTGCGGGTCCATTTTCTGCGGGCAGGAAAAGATGTGTAAACATCCAGTGTGGCTGGCAGGAAAGTGTTTGGCAGATCACCAAAATCCCCTGTGCCAGCTGGCAATGCTGCTGTGATCAGAAGCTCCAAGAAGGCAATCTAGTGGTGCAACGATGAAGACTTTACTGCACAAAAGCCAATGAAATTTTGGGGACACATCAGCCGAGCAAGCAAGCATGCAGACTCTGCGCATGGGGTGTTAAAGCGGACATGAAGTTTGTACATGCATCAATGACACATTGCAGTCAATTAAAGTTGCAGCAGACGGAAGGGGACTTACAGATGCCTGCTTGCCGTGGACCGAGAAGAAGGGTGCATCGAAGAGGTGGTACTCTGGCAGTTTGCCGAAGCGGCCGGGGGTGCCGTGAAGTCCGACCGGCCAGCGGCGGTCATTTTCCGTGACCATGTCTGTGCCCGCCACCAGGTTCTCCCAGAACTGGGTGGGGGTCTCGGACTCTGGGAATCTGCGCATGACACAGCGGGCGCATGAAACACAGTCCACCTTGTGAGTGTGTATCAAGATCAGCTACTGTAAAGATGTTCTGAGCTGTGAAGCCAGCGATCGAACTGCAGCTAACATTGCACCCAGGTGATCATGCATCCTATGACTCTTCAGTGGAGGCCAGCACAAGTCAGGAGCAGCGGCCGCGCTGCCTTTATGTCAACATGTAACAGGCTACATTTGCATGCAAATTTAACAGTGATATGCTGCAGCAAGGCTTACCTGCATGAGAAACCCATGATGTCGACGGAGGCTGGCACGGCCGAGGTGTTGTAGTTGCCATATTCGCCTGCCATCTTGCCACCTGCACCACAGCTTGGTCCATCAGCACTGAGTTGTCCCTCCTGTCATTCTCCGGCCAACTTCGAACGGCAGAGCGCCGGAAGGATTGTGATAGTCTGCAGCTCTGTGCACTAAGCAATAGAGCAAAACAGGTGGGCATGCATCTTTGGGATGCAGTGAGTCAGGCAGGAGGCAGCAGGGGATTAAGTCAAAGGTGAGCGCACATACAAGCGCTGCTGCCTATCAGAAATGCATTCGGGCAAAGCAAGAGCCCCACCTGTCAAGGCAGGAGCCTGTCACAGGGCTGCGCCCTTAAGTCTTAAGTGGAGTCCAATACTCGATGCGCTTGACTGCTTTCTGCGTGCGAACCAAACGTGATGTTACCGTCAGCAAGAAATGATCCAACAGACTGTCAGCTGGTATTCACGAGGATACTAATTGTATCTCCTCCCTATGACGTGCTAACGTCAAAAGTGTTGCAGGCGGTACCCTGCGCGCCTACAGGAGACCCCGCCTGCCGTGAACACCGCTCACTCAATGGCAGCTCCCATAAAGGCAAATGGTGCCTAACGTCGACTTTAATCCGTTAACGCTGGGCTGTGCTGCCCCCAAGAAGGCCTGGGAGAGTTCCACGTTCAAACTGGGAGACGCAGTTTGGGATGGCCCTGGCCCTAAAGCCCGCCCTGCGCCCAATATGGAATTGCGCGTCCCGAGTGCTCCTCCAACTGTCTGATATGAGGACTCTACTGGTACGCAGCTTCAATGCGTACCTCCAATTTTGGGAGGATGACAGGACTGCACCAGTTGCTTCTGTAACTTCCTGGGCAAGGACCTTCACCCCTGCAATTGCCTCCCGTGGCAATTGCCCATTTATTTCTTCCTATTGGCAGGTCCTACTGAGATTGGGTAGGATCAATTTAAGCCTGGTCCACGCTCCAGACAGCCAAATGTGAAAGTCAAATGTCGAGCCAAGTTTGGCTGTCAGTCGCCGATGACTAATACATTCCAGCACACCACTCTTGGACCTTGCTGTTTTCCTCTACTTTCTCTGCTAGATCATCTGAGTAATGGATCTGTCTGGGTACCATTGCGCAAATTGTGGGTCATGAGCTCTCACAGGAATGGCTAGGCTATACCTATAATTCACGAGTGCAACTTGGTTGGACTAGGTGTTGCAACGGGCCAGATTATACCAGCCGGCACTGATCTCAATGTGCTTCGAATTATATGATCCACGTGGGCCTTGCATTCTTTGGCGATCGCCAGTATTCTGTTGTCATGGCATCATCTGTGCAAGGTAACTCATGGGCCAAACGGCTGCAGGGTCGCTGAGATGGTGATCAAGCATCCAGACTTGATCATCCCGAGCATTAGAGTGCGCAGCTGCAGATTCACCAGTTGCGAAGAGGGAAATCGCCAGGAGAGCCTCTCATCTATACATTACAGAGCGTGCGCATCGGACACCACCACCTTAATCTGCACAATGGCAATGCAATAGCTGATGACCAACAGACAGAAGTAATGCTAAGCACACACTGACAAGCCACAAACAAAGAAGACTGACTGAGACCAGACACCTTTGGGGAGCGCGCTGACACAAGCAACCTCCTTTCAGGTCTACAAACGCATGGTGCCAGTGTCTTTAGAGACGTTCACTAGGGCGCTGCGTGCACAGCATTAAGTGTATGCTACGCAGCGCCTCACTGAACAGAATACCTTGTTTTTGCGCTCTAAGAAACTCAGGGTTAATGGTACAATACAACCTCTAGCGCGTATGTGTCTGCAGCCATGTTGCACACGGATGCAACGGGGCGCGATACAGATCACCGCCTATGTCAGCACAGCCAACCTTTCCAGAAGGGTGGATATTCAAGAGATGTCGTCCCCAGTTGCTCACAGGTCATCCCCAAGCTGCTCTCTACGAGCGCCAGTAGCTCAAGCATGTTCATGTCACAGTCCTGAGGTGCAATCCGCAGTACCGATTGGAAGTAAAGTGCGCCACCACAGTGGCTTGCACAGCACCTAGGCAAGCTAGAAGCAGCGAGGAATGCGCGGACCAAAGGGGTCCCGGAGGTGTTCAAGGTAAGCAGACTGGTGAAACAGGACTGTTTTCTCAGCGACCGTCTGCCCTCAGATCACAGTGCCTTGCACCACCAGCCATCCTCTTAAACACTACCGATCGCAGCACGTCGTTTGTGCCATCTTTAAGGCAAAAGAGAAAAGGCTGATACAGAGATGCAGCAATGCGGCACGGCACAGTGCACGCCCGCGCATGAACAAGATCCGCCTTCATTGCCAAAGCAACCCCAAGTCCTAGCACCGGACTTCATCCCTTTCAAGCGCCCGAAGCAAGTGCTGCAGCCGCAGCGTCTGCACAGTGATGTTTCATTCCTTAGGCTGGGCAAACAGCCCAGCACGATCATGAAAACAATCCAAGGTAACAGAACCGCTCATACAAAGAACGACCCACTGAATCGTTTGTGCAAAGCACATGGTGCAACCGCCACCCTCTCAACGGATCTTTCCCAATAGCACAGCAGCTACCTTCCATTTTTATTCCCCCCGGAATGCCTGTTCGCTCAAAGGGGCTTTGAGTGCGCTTCCAGAAATGAGAAACAACCAAGAACCGGACAGAAATTATGTCTCAAATGAGAGCCCCTAAATCGGACTCTTGATCATGCGTATAACAAGTAAGGCAAATGAATAATCGCACATTGGCCCCCGCCCCTTTGTAAGACAGGGCATCCCCCAGAGCTGCTGTGGAAATGTCTTGACCCAGCCTGCAGGTGCGGCTGCCGCTTCCTTTGAGGCAGTGAGATCCAGATTCTCTCTCTTGCGCGTACAGGTTGGCTTCGGAGACCCCACTTGAAGGGGAGCCTCCGAGAATGACCGATGCAATCTGCGCAGATCATGCAGTGCTCCAAATCGCTCAGCCGCCGCCGCATGCCGGGCCCGTCGACTTTCTCACGCCACGAGCTCTCCTGCAGCGCGCCGGATATCTGCCGCGCCCCACGCTGCCGCTCTACGGCGCAACAGATAGCCGGCCCGCTGCGCCGCCATTGCCCGAGCCATCGGGGGCCAGGAGAGGGACGCCCGCTCCGGGAGATTATCGCCTGCCGGAGGGGGGTCATCGCCCTAGCCCGCACGCGCTCAGCGGCGCCCAAAGTTGTGAAAAAAATTTATAAAAGGGTCTGTCCCGCAGCCGCACGCCGCCGGAGCCCCACCGCGGGCCATCCGCCGCCGGGAACGCCGAGGATGGACGGCGCCGCCGGCGGGCACGGCCGACCCGCGTGCGCGGAAAGGAGTGTTGCCTACGGCCGGCTGCAAATGCTCGGCATGGTTTGGCGCGCAGCCCCGGGGTGGCTGATGCAAGCGGGAGGGGTCATCGCGATAGCTATAGCACGCCCGACGCGCCGCGCTCGGCCTGGGACTTGGGCGATTGCAGCTGCTGCGCCCGGCGCAGGACGCTGCCAAGCTCAGCCTCGGATTGCTCGCAGAAGCCATCAAGCATGCCCTCCTCCAGCATTATCAGCAGCTCCGTGTCCACATCCACCAGCCCCTGTGCATACTTTCAAATCTCAACCAGACACCTGTGAAATACCCCATCTGCCGCATGAGTGCAGCACAAATGCCCTGGCAACTAATGGCCAGCTGATCATGCATAGGGCCACAAGTCAAGCAGTAAATTTCAGGAGCTCTAAAAGAGGTTCTCATATAAAGGCACTGCAAAGTATGGCTGCACATGAATGCGGGCCAGGAACAGTTCTTGGTCAAGATTTGTAGGCAGGGTTGTCACCTCCGGGCAGTCCATTTGGAACCAGGGGTGGTTCATGATCCACCAGGCATCTGCGCGCTCGGCAGGGTCCACTTGCAGCATCCCCCCCAGCAGGTCGCGGCACTCGGCCGAAACACCCTTGAGGTGCAGAGGCAACGCCCCCCGCTGGGCGCCGGTCTTCAGGGCCTCCAAATCCGGCAGCTCTTCCGTCAGCATGTAGTGCAGCAGCACACCGCAGGACCAAATCCCAGCAGCCTGTCTTTCAGAAGGGCCGCCCTGCAGCACCTGCCAAATAGCACCCATACCTAAACACCCCGCGCATTGCTCAACCCGCTGATATTGCTCAGGACGGGAGCTGCCAAGCAATCTTGGTGGCTCACAACCAGACAAACAGCCAACCTTCACAGCTCTGCAATCGAGTTCCATGCTAGAATATATGCTACCGCATCCTGAGGAGACGGCAAGATAAATAATTGGGCCAGACTCATGGGCACTCAGCAGTTCAAATGGTTTGCCAAGGGATGCAAAGCGTACCTCTGGCGCTGTATACGCGTCAGCCCGGCCGGCCATGGCCGGCTGCGCGCCGCCGCCGAGCCGGAAGCTGAACAGCTTGAGCCGCGGGACCCCCCGCCGGCCCAAACCCCCCACAGGGGTCACGAAGCCCTCCCCGTGGTGGGACCCTATGCTACACAGGCTGGGGGCATCATTTGCCTCTACTAACATGATGCTCTCCGGCCGCACATCTGTCAGCGCTATGTCCATCGCGTGGCAGAAGTCCACCGCCACCAACAGCTGCTGGAAGAACGACCTGCGCACAGAATGCGTGCGACCGCTCAGCCGCAAGAATGAGTGCGAACACGGGTAAACTCACTGAAATGCTCTCCTGAATAAAGGTCTGTAACATGACTGGCTGTATCAATCTCCACCAGCATACAGTCATGGCTGAAGGGTCCGTGGTTAAACATCGCCCTTGTCAGCCTTCTTGAGCCCTTCTTATCGGACCTTGGAGGCAGTCTTACACAGAGGGCATCTCAGCCATGACCAGCAAGCCAAGGAGTGTGAGACCTCACTCTCCCTGTGAGGTTTCACCTGGCGATCTCCTCATGGAGTCCGACCCCTGGCACGTCCGGGGAGTTGTTGGTGATGTAGTCCAACAGGTTGCCACCTGGCGTGTGCTCCATGACTATCGCAAGGTACTGATTTGTCAGGAACACCTGCGCAGACATGGCACCGCAGTCTGACAAATTCCCAGCATCATGCATCCCTGGCATTCATTAAAATATAATTAAAGCGCAGGTTCCTTTCAAGTAAATTAAGGAACTCCAGAAAGCAGAAGCTATGGAGAAAAGGAGGTTCCAGGAGGTCTAGCCCATTTAAATGCCCCGGGGCCTATCAGACCAGAAGCTGCTTTCTAATCCATCACAGTCTCAGTATGCAACTCAAGCACACCTGTCGCAGGTGCACTATGTAGGGGTGCGCCGTGCACAGCCGCAAGTTCATGACCTCCTGCTCTGCGTTTTCCACCTCGGCCGTGCCTCTGCGCAAAAATTTGATGACAACCAGCCGGCCGGTGTCCTCATCCTTGCACAGCAGCACCCGCAAATCCTCCTCTGCTCGAGAAGCGGCCCCCCGCCCCCGAACCTCCTTTAGCTTCCTATACCTGCCGCATGCAAGCAAGGAAACTTCAGTCGTGAGCAAACTTCAGCTGCGAGGTTATTTCAGCTGTTATGAACAGATTGCAAATGCATTAGCTGAGCCCAGGGAAGTGCTCATTCGCTGCTTTTCTGCAATATAAGCCAGAGGTTGCCTGCAGCCTTGCAAAGTAAAGGATTGCATCTTCTTCATGCAAGCCTCAACTGCGAGCTCCTTGTGCTTTAAATGCACAAGAAGCGCCGATCGCGCCACATGCATGCAGGCCTCTGCCTGGCATGCATGTGGTGCCAGACAGGTTTCCCAGAAATTAGATCCCCCCTGGCCAAAAGGGAGGGGCAGGGAAACCTTCCATGCATCTCACTACCGGCTTTAAAGAGCTGTACCTGGGGTGCCCCCTGATGGGGTTCCCTTGCCATGCAGCCTCGCTGCCTGTTCGCTGCACGTCCACTTGAGCAGTTCCATCCTCTGCTTCCACGCACTGCTTGGGCGTCTTGGGGGAGGGTGGCTGCGAGTGGCTAAGCTGGTTCATCTGCGTGATCGCTCTCCGATCCAGGTCAAAGTGCCCCAGGTCTGACTCCAGCGGGGATACGGCTGTTGCTGTGCTGGGCGACTCGTCGCGACGCCCCTGCTTCCCAGGGAACGAGGCGGATGACAGGAACTCCGGGAAGGAGGTAGCGCTGTCAAATGGCGATACCAGGGTCCCGGGAGAGCAAGAGAGCGGCATGCCCGACTGGGACGGTCGTGGCTGCCGCGTGAGTGCTGTTTCAAAAGGTGAAACGAATTTGCTAGGCGACTCCTGGCCGAGATTTGCGAGCCTGACAGCCCTGCACATCACGCAGCAATCTGCAGACTCAGGAAACAGCCGGGCTGCGATCGGCATCCCCACTGATCGACATACAGTGGTCTCAGGACGAGGCGCATGTAATAGGCAAATTGAACACCAAGGCATGGCTGGGTCGGTACTTCTAAGCAGCGAGACCCACTACTAGAAATAGGGAACAGCCTAACAACCGTGGGCCCTGCTCGCAACGTTGGAGCACAGTTTCGATCAGGCTCCATGAAGAGTATTAGCTTGAGGCAACACCTTTCGACTGGGCTGCCATGAACCTCCTTTCCGGTCGGCTGTCGGTATTGTGTGACTACCTCGCGCTCGCTGTCGATCTCGCCGCCCCTGGGGAACGCGCAGAAGCACCCCATGGGGCCTGGGCGCCTCAAAACGACCCAGTCGACTCTACGGACCTATCAGAAGAATTAGGGTCGCGTTCAACGGCTGTCGAGATCACCCAGAACGACTCTCCGATGATCTACGAAGCCCCGCTAGAGCAGGCACCCCTGAACAACTCAGCTGCTGATTGTCTCTCGCATTGCCATTGAGGCTCCCCTGCGTCTTATTGATCCGGAAGTGTGTCAGCCCCACACTGGTAAAGAGCCCTGCACAGTCAAGGACCTGATATGTGAAGTGCGATCACGGGAGATTTCTTCGCTTACTGCCCTGCCCGATTCGATCGCACGTGGGTGCTCACATCAGGGTTTGCGAGGGTCTCTATCTACCATGATAGGGGGACTGAAGGGCTGATGAGACATCGAATTGCAAACAGCCGCGCGAAGCACTGAGGGTATTGGAACACAGTTCAAATGCGGGGTACAGGCGATCGCTGAACATGGGAAGACATGTGGCGGTGTCTGGAAGGCGACAAGTCTGTTGACTCCGTACCTAAGTGTTGACAGGAGCAACGTGCTGGCTGTGTTCGGGTGGGGGTGCACCCAATGGGGAGGCTGGAGTGGCCATTGAGCCACACCTTGCCTGTGCGATGGACACCTTTGAGGATCCGTGCTGTTATCACAATCGTATCCTGCGTATCTCTTGCAGGTGAGAGGCCTTCAGCTTCCAGCGTTTGCCACGCCTGCCTCCCATCTTGCTGCATAGGATATGACAAGGGACCAATTTTGCGATTCTAGTGTCATCACATTATTTGATCCGCCATCATACATTCTCAGAAAAAACCTGAATTTGCATTCCATGAATGCATGGTGAGCTTGGATCAATGCTTATGACAGGGCTCCTTTGTCTGAGGACCAGGACGCTTCAGCATTCCGGTCAATGCACCAGCATCATGGAGGCCTTGAATCGCGAGAGCCAGCTAACGAAATTCACAGAGTCTCTGGAACTCGCTGGCCTGGCTGGTGAGTGACCCTTTTTGGAGATGCTTGCGATGCTGTGCAGTCAGACAGGTGGCTCAAGCATCCACATCTGTGCCTGCAGGATATTTTGAGGACAGGCAGCTCGAGGCTACCTTATTTGCCCCGACGGACGATGCGATTTTAAACGCTGCTTGGGAGGACTGGACTGCAGAAGACCCGCGCCTGATGGCCGCCCTTCTGTACCACAGTGTCCCACTTAAGGTCCGATTTTTCTTCCACTTGATGTTTTCAGCTCATCCAGTCTCAGCACAACTGTGCGGACTTGCTGCACATGTACAAAGGCGTGCAGACACCTGAGCAGCAGCTGGGAAACAATGACACTGGCCTCGAGGTGGGCTGCGTCTAGTCTAGTGGCAAACCTGGGTGCAATGCCTCCACCAAGCTGCAATCCCAGTGCCTGCAATGTCCAGCAAATGCATGGCGGCATATCCTCATCACCACTGAATATAATAGGGGGATATCTTCCCAGGAAGATGGGACCGTGACCCCTAGAGGCGCAATTGTCAAGTAAGATCGGCATCCACCACGGACAAATGCCTCTCTTCATTGATGTGCATCAGTAGGGTAAAGTAATTCTGATAAGTGGAGCAAAAAAATCAAATCATTTTAATGCTGGACCCCTTGCCTGCGCCACCGCAGGCAGAGCTGACGGAGATGCCGCGGGAGTTGCGCACGAACCTCGGCCCAGACGAGATCGTGCTGCTGCGGCCGGCAGCGGACACCGGGCGGCTGGACCGGCAGCCGGCGCTGGCCATCGTGGTGCCGATCACCGACTTCCATTCGCCGCCCGCCAAAGTGCTCAAAACGCTCAGAACCTGTCGGGTGCGCGCACATGGGGTTCCTGCTGCTGCCATCAACCCAAAAGATGTACACCCCTGGACCCGGGAATCCAGATGAACCAGATATCTCTTACATGACCAGTTTGGGCCCTTGTCGAGCGCGAAGCAGGGAACTCTTGCACGAGGAAATGAATTTTATCTGATGGTAGCACTGCTGTGTCCAGGGCGTCGTGCACATCATTGACACAGCACTGGAGCCGGACAGCACCTTAGAGCCGGAGGCCCTGGCAGCTGCGCTCTCCAACGTAGCCGAGAATGTGCACAAAGACATTGCGAGCATGGACAGCAAGGCGTCCGTGTCAGCTTTAGAGAATAACAGGTCTGCCCCAGGCATCCAAAGCAACCGCCAGATAGGCCCGATCACTCCCGCATCGCATACTCACATTACTCTTCAAAAAATGGGATCAAGCTCATTCTAGGACAGTAGCTTGGGCTTCTGTTGGATTTTGCTCATGTATAGCTGTTCCCACAGAGACTGACAGAAGGGAAGTGAGAATAAAGCAGCAGGAAAGAGGGATAAATGGTGGAGCTGTGGCTGTGGCAGCGGGCTTTCTTCCTTGCCTCAGCGCAAGCACGTTGTGTTGGCTTAAGAGCGGCAACATGTCTGGTGCATTGCGCTGACGGCTGTCCCGGCTCCGCGCAGGAGAGGAGGGGATCTTTTGGGGGACCACAAGGAGGAGTGGGGGGCCGCGCAAGGGGCCCAGCAGCAGTGGGGCGACGGCCAGCCGAGTGCGCTCGAGCGGGCGCTCAACATCGCACGGGAAGCTGCCGCGAAGCACGAGCAGGAGGACGAGGAAGCCGAGCGGATGCAGGCGGCCGAGGCGGAGGTGAAGGCGCGCAAGGAGCGGGAGCAGGCTGAGCTGGCTGAGCTCTCCTCGCCCGGAGGGTGAGTTGACACCTCTGGGACCGTGAGATCCATACAGGCCATTATCCTGTAGCATTGAACCAAGAGAGGGATGCAAAGAACAGGCCTGGGTCAGAGTCATTGAGCGCATGCGCCTGTAGCGATCTGTGCCTGTTTGGCGGGTGGTCTCTGTCACAGAATGCTGCGCCACGAAGGGCCGTCATGTGAGCGCATGAAACCTGCATTGAAACCATGCTCTCTCGGGACATCTCATTTGTGCCTCTCAGCCACCACATCCCAGTAGTGGTGGACTACCACGACAACGGATGCGATAAGGTTCAATTTCAAATATATGTGCATGACTGGGAGGGAACGCTGGCGCACAGGGCGGCCAAGGCGGTGCTGGCGGCTGAGGTGGCGCAGCAGAAGGCGCTGGCGGCCGCGCGGCTGGCATTCCGCGAAGCCGAGGCCACCGGTCAAACGCTCGCTGCAGCCAAGGCGCAGGTCGGGGCACAATCATATCCTCTTTCTACAAGTTGCCTATGGGATCGCCCTATGATACAACAGCTGCACCTTATGTAAGGAGATCATGTTCATCTTCTGAGTCAGGTCATCTGGCGATTGTCTGGGAGCATGCATGCGGCTAAAACCCGAAAGGGTCCTCCAAGCCTGATCCAATCCATCCACAACCTGGCCTTCTGATAATTGCACTGCAAGCCTTTCCAGGATCTTACATTTAGGGCATACTGGCTCATTTGGTGTCCAGGGTCACAAGGGTATCTATCCAAAGTTTACTTAATGCTAACCAACAGCCAAATAATAGAAGCAGATATTAGTCACTCAGTGAAGTGTGGCGCTCAGTTGGGGCTTCTTGAAGGTCATGAACAGGACCTTGAAAATGGACTTGTATTGCGCGCAGGATTGGCTGGGCGCGGCTGAGTATGCGGCGGAGGGCATCGTGTCGGCCAAGGAGGCCGCCTCTTGGTCGGGCTCCGGCTCAGACCTGAATGACCAGGCCCGCTCCGCCGCGCGCGCCGCCATGCTGCTCGCTGAGGTCAGCACTAAAGCCCGTCAGCCTCGCCTCGCCGTGCCTCGCTCTGACACCCCTTGTCAACCTTATAATCTGAGCTTCAGTCTGGCTGCGCTTGTCATCCCAAGACTTTGTGTGCCCCGCCATCAGTACATGCCAGGGCACAAGACATCAGCGCGGAGTCAAAGAACGCCGTTTAATTGCACAACACAGGACGGCTGCCCTTGGGAGCATGTAATAAACCGCCAATCAGTGCTTCTGCCGCACTTGCTACTGCGGTAGAACCACAGGGGGACCTAAATAATGGTCAGCATTAAGATATTCTATAACCTGAAATTTAGACCAAAATGGTAGGCCGATGGTGAGTCACTGCCCTGGGAGAGGCTCAAAGGGCTTCAGCAGCAAGTGTGGCTGCTTTGGTGCAGGTATCACTGGCACAGCACACTGCGGTGGCCATGGCGCGCACGGGGGACTGGGCATCCTCGCTGTTGGGGGGATCGGGGGGCCTGGTTCTGAGCACCAATGCCGGCAAGGCCTGGGCCGAAGCTGCGCTGGACGCACATTCCTCAGCGCTCAAGGCCGCCTCCGCCGCCGGCAGCCTCGCCAGCACAATCGCGGCCAAGGCCTCCGCGCAGGTGCGCCTTCAGAGTTTCTCAGTACTGAGAGTTTACAGATGTATTCTTTGGATCCTAAGCCCGGCGCATCACCGATAATGAGGCAGCAAGGGGTTTGAACATTCAATTATTAAGGGCCCCTGGAACCAGAGCAGTTGTGTGTTCCTTTGGCGCCTAGGGCGCCATATGACCTCTGAGCGGCGCACCACATTGCATGAAATGCAAGACAAGCATGCACAAAGGCAGTCTTCACATCTCAAGTTCTCTGAACCCCTGGAATCTTGATGAGCACCAAGTCATTTAACAAGTAAGGATGGCTTCATTATTGGGTGACCAGCCCTGATCCGTTGCAGTCGAGGGGTTTAGAGGCCTGTATTGCTGGTGTTGCAGGACGTGCTTGGCAGCAAGGGGGCAAAGCAGCCAGCGGACGCAGGCACGCTGGACGCCATTCAGGCCCTCGTGCAGAAGCTTCCGCTTGCCGAGCGCAACAGCCTCAACTCCCTGCTCGCCGCCCAGCTCAAGAGCAGCGGCTCAGCCGGTGCGATATTCTGCCTGGTTTACCTTGTTGTTCACGCTTCTGATTTCAATCCTACCCTGAAAGGTGTCAGATCTTGATAGACCAGCAGTGTAGGTTGAGCAGGACAACTGAGTATAGTAATTTGCATCTTCTTATAAGATTGGGGCCCTTGCAGAGATGGCACGGTGGCAATGACAACCTCACCTCAGCGGTCATTTGTGGAATGCACCGTCCAATGATGTTGGATAAGCTGGAAACTTCAAGGCCGGGGTTCTTAGGGTGTAAGTAGGTCAGGAGATGCGCTGAGTTGTTTGTGGGTGTGCGGCAGGGGTTCACAAAGCTGACGTGGCCACCAGTAAGGTGAAGCGCGTACTCAAGCCGGCCGGCAGCTGGCCGGCCGCTGGGCAGAGCCGGCGCGAAGCGCAGCAGGTACGGCCATCCAGCCTTTTTGCTCCAACTCCCAAAAGAATCATGAACCTTACAGGGGGGGCGGCCTTGGCCGCTGTGCAGCTGAAGTCACCTGCAGCTGCTGCATCTGCATTGTCACCTGGCTGCTGCGCCACAAGCAGCCATCCATGCTGGCTGCGCCCCGATCAGCCTCAGTGCGAATCCACAAAAACACTGGATGTCACGCATGGCATGGAGGGAACGCTGCTGCAGGCTGACCAATCTGCGGGTGCAACAGGAGGACGACTCCCCGGAGGAGAAGGAGCAGCTGAAGCAGGACATCGCACACCTCAGCGGAGCCAGCAGCAGCTTCGACACTGAGCGCAGGAAAGCCCCAAAGAAGCCCTCTGGCAAGCTGCAGATGCAGTCCGCGTCTAAGCCCCGGCAGCAGGCCTCCAAAGCCTCAAAAGGGTGGGTCAAATGATCTGCTTAAGCCCAAGCAAGAGACCGTTTGATCTCACACACAGAGCATTTATGGCCACATGTGCTGGGGCCTGCGCAGGTTAGGCTTGCACTCATGAGCATGTTATGTATCTCACTTATGTCTCTCACAGAGGACTGGTGCATGCTCGGTTTATATTTAGCTTATTGCGCTTGTCTGATTGCTGCTTGGATAATGCAAGAAGGGCTGTAGTAAATTTCCAATGACGCCCGCCTGCTGTGAGCAACTGTTTGGTGAATGCTGACTATGCATGGGCAGGCTATCCAGTGGCGCAGCTGCCGCCGCCGGCGCGACAAAGCAGAAGCCTGCAGCTGCCGAGGACACTGAGGAGGGCGATGCGGACGACTTTGGCGACTTGGACGACTTCCAGTTGCAGGAGGAAGCTGATGAATCGCTCGACCCCGAAAGTGACGATATGGCAGCATTCTCCAGCCTGGGCGACCCCCAGAATGACTGGGAGGAGCTAGATGAGATGGACGAGGAGTCAGATGCGTTTGGCAGTGAGGCGGCGGCCGGTCAACTCAGGTGCGCACCATGACTGTGTTTTATGCTGAATTCTCCTCAGGGGCAGGAGGGTAACTGTGCACGCTTAAGTGCATTCCCAGTGACGTATGATCTGTTGCCTCTGAAGAAGCGTGAGCTTGGAATAGCACCCGGTGCATTTCATGAGGAGTGAATGGCAATGCTGGACAAGAACGATTCAACAGCAGAAGGATGTATGATGCGTGCAGGGCCAAGGGCACGGCTGCAAAGGGCGGCGTAGCAGATGCTGCATCAGGTGCCGCCACAGAGGAGATCGACAGCTTCTTCGCAGAGACGCAAGCCAATTCGCAGCAGCAGAGCGGCAAAGCCGCAGCAGCCATGGAGTCCCAGGGAGTCAAGTCGGCGGCATTGGACGACAACATTGAGTGGATAGGGGAGGACGACAGTGAAGACGTCGATACCGCCGACCGGCTGATCGCAGGCAGGAGCGCCGGCGAGCAGAGCGCGAAGCAGAGCGCGAAAACTGCGCCAAAGGGGACGGCAGCGGGCGGCGGCCGCATCAACGTAGAGAAGCTCGCGAGTGCCGAGATCGCAAAGCGGGGCCGCGGCGCGGCGCGCGTCAGTGGGAGGAAGAATCCGACGGCGGTGGCGACATCGGCGGAGCTTGCCGGGGACGAGCTTTGGGCCCGGGATAGCGGCGGCGACTCGAGCGCCGGCGGCGACGCGGCCGCAGCCGACGGCGAGGGCGGCGTGCTGTTGGACACCTGGAGTGAGAAGCACAAGGAGGCGATGCAGTAGAGCGAGGGCGCAATGAGGGCGGAGGGACCTCTGATAACGCAGGCATGCAGTCACCTGCAGGAGCATGCAAAATTGAGGGGCTAAGGGACGCCTGATGATAGAAATGCAGTCACCTGCAGGGGCATGCAAATGATGCTGTAACATCAGTGTCAAGTGCGACTGCAACGCTGTGGAACGATGCAAACTGATGTGTCGGGCAGAAGAAAACGCAGAACAACAATGAAGATCAGTCTACCTTTTTCCTACTTTTCCACCGAAGTACAGAGGGGTACGCTCATGCGGTCTCTCCAAACACTGCATTCTGGTTGCCTAGGAGAGCAAGTGCATTCTTCAGCAACAGCTTCTGCGGAAGCTCTAGACATGTCTCCCGGACAGGCTTGTGAGGTATAAGTCGGGCGCATTCCTTGAGCAACCAAGGGCTTATGTCACACGAGTTATGGCGAGCATGGCACCACTGGAAAAGGGGATGCAAGGGGCTCGGGCGGCTATGCTGTGCATGAGTAGCATGGTGTGTGTCTTGTAGGGGGGTGGTGAGACTAAGCAGTGGGTCGTAACTCACACTCTGTTTGAGGGTCTAAGAGCTAGAGACAGGCCATCAATTTTTATTTATCTCATGGTCACATGGTGCTGTTGACATTCCTGGAAGCGCAGTTCACTGCGCAGGCATGTTGCACATTCAAGGGCGTGGTCACCTTATTGCCATGGTGGCTTCTGTCCCTTTATCCTCCTTATGTCCTTATGTCATCATGCTATCTTGATCGCTAATAGATGAACAGAAAGCTTGTACATGTGGGAATGTAGCACAATGGCCTCAGCGCTGCAAGTTTACGTTGTCAAATTACGATTCTACGCACACACCACCGGCCACAAAAATCTGGAGCTTTAGACCCAAGGCAAGTGTGTGCTTTCAAGCTTGAGCCTTCAAGATAATACCCAAGTGGAAAAGCTGAATCCGTTGTGCCCCTCCAAGCTGGCGTCCAAAATGTGCTGAGGATCCAACACAGTTGCTAGGGCAGTCATTGTCAAGCTGTAGCTACTATAGTGGCAGCTGCATGACTGGAGTGTTGCGTTTGTGACCACAAGCTTGAGTGTGCTCCTTCATGTATGCTATATAGAGCTTTTGAGTGTGTCCGCCTCCATAGAGTAGCTGTAAAAGGAATTTTAAAAGTTTGAATGCCCAAGCGAAAGTCTCAGAAGGTGTGCCCAAAAACTTGCATGCACTTGATTGCACTTCACGCTTCGGAGCTCAAGCATTTTGCCAGACAACGACCCAAATGATCATGATGACCATCGCATGCATATGCACACGGTGTCTCATCTAATTGATGAGGACTTCATTTGCACAATCACTGCATGTTCCGATTCTCATTCCCAAGGAAGGCAAGCATACCAGTTGGTTGCAACACATCACTTTACGCATGAGCGCATAATTTCAGCTCCGCAGCAAAATCAACTTGTGCATGCAAAGTCCTGACAGACAAGATTGCCAGCCATTCTACTGTTCTACCATGCATCCCTGCCTATTTAGCAACTGACATCTCCATCTCCCTACAGTATCTACAAGCTAATTGGGGCACGCTGCTCTCATTTGGGGAAAGAAAGTTGCTGGCAGCCTAGAACTCCTGGGACACAGCTCCAGAGGCTCCCTCCTTCTTGCCCTTGGTCTTGGGCAGCAGCACACTGTGGATGTTGGGGAGGACACCACCTGTGCGAGCAAATCATGCAGTCAATACATGGTAGAATGGGTTTCCGCCCCCAATCTGCTATTCCTAGGAAGGGATTGGTAAGCAGTGAGATGAGACGCTACCCTTCTAGCTGCCGCCAAGATGCGCCCAAGAGGGGTTCAGCACTGGGAATGTACCAGAAAAGCGTCTTGAAGAACCCAGCACTGTGTATCAATCTGCATTGCTGATGAGGGACAATCTTGAATCCACCCACATGGGTAAAGTTGCAAGTCACAGGCACTGACAACCTGACAAACAGCACTTGAAACAGCTGGTCGGGTAGGCGCAGGGCATCTGAAAAGTGGCAGCGCACCGGAGGCGATGGTGACATTGCCCAGCAGCTTGCTCAGCTCCTCATCGTTGCGCACAGCCAGCTGGATGTGGCGGGGGATGATGCGGGTCTTCTTGTTGTCGCGGGCAGCGTTGCCTGCCAGCTCAAGGACCTGTGCACAGAATGTTCATCAACATTGGAACCTGCAGGGCGGATCTCACAGCAGATGACCCAGGGAACAAACATTGCTCGTAGATGAACTGCATACAGATGCTTTGCGCTGCAAATTTTGTCAGGCTGATGGTCAGCTCAGCTGATCACAAGGATAGCATGTGTGGTGACTCGCAAGGCAGAAAAACAACCACACGGATGGCTCTGGTCCAGCGCTAAAGTCTGCTGGTGACAAGACAAGCATATGGGAACTCACCTCAGCAGCCAGGTACTCCAACACAGCTGCTAGGTAGACGGGAGCTCCAGCGCCCACACGTGACGCGTACTGCAACGCAGCAAGAACTCATCACATTAGTCGCTGTGGATGGTGGCTGCTCTTGTCTGCCGTGCACAGCACGGTGCAGCATCGATTGTTTGATGATCCGCAAGCACACCAATTTATAGACTTAACATATGATATGATGGGGCAACAGCAGCAGATGTTCAGGAGGCAACACTCAAGGAGATATTAATTACCTTTCCCTTCTTCAGGTAGCGGGCAATACGGCCCACAGGGAACTGAAGGCCAGCCTTTGCGGAGCGGCTGACCTGCTTCTTGCCTGACTTGCCCTTCCCGCGACCGCTCATCCTTGTAAGAATCTGTGTTGGAATAAATAAGAATTGAGATGCTTCAGAAGGGTACAGCAGATTCATCAGTGCTGATGACTCGTCCTTGTCATCAAGACTACCAGCAAGTTCTGGAATTGGATTCGCATTTCGGTCAACTTTCGCAATTTACTGCAAGTTGAAGTCTTAAAGTGATATCTCGATCAAGTGAACACAGTGAGGGCCTTTATTGTCTTGATGGCGTGCACATTTCGACCACATGGCACAGAGCAACGCAGAAGAGGAGCGCATGAACAGTACTACAGTCACATTCGTGCGCTGGTATAGATTAACACAGACGTGATAATCTCATGCCTTGGTTTTAATGGAAGAGACGTTTAAGCATTAAGAACAGGAGACAGGCACACCACCGTCATCACCTGCTATCAGACAGTTTCCTCGTGGCAGGCGCAATCCCAAGCAGCACACCAAGAGACGATTCAACTATTTCAACGGCCGGCACAGTCAAAGATCTGGATTCGATTGGCGCATCGCCTCGTTGTTGGTTCAGAGACAGTCCAGTCAACCCTCACCGAGTCAGCGGGTGGTCTCGTGCCATTTGAATCTGATTGCTTTGCTTATTCGATGAGAGCAACATGCAACACAAGCGTGGTCACTGTGTCATTGTGGATATATATTGGATAGTGAGCCAATGATGTTGAAAGGGAGACGCCTGACAGTTGATTGATCTGCCTCAGATCACTCGAGAAGAAAGAATCAGGAGGTCGCGATCAGCGATGGCTGACGACTGGAATATTCATGGGAAGACGGTTGTAGTCACTGGGGCGACATCTGGCATCGGGAGGTGAACGACATGGTCTTCATGGTTTGGTCAACTTCGCATGCTTCCTTCAGCAAGAGCAACCTTGGAGTGCCCAGTCCACAGGTAATCCAATTGAGGTGTGTGTGTGCTCACGTGAGGCAGGGAGACTGCCCTCGCCCTCGCTGGTATGGGTGCCACCGTGGTCCTGGCTGTCCGCAACCAGGAAGCTGGGCAGGAGACAGCAGCCATGATCAGGCAAAATTCCCTTTCAATGACTTCTGATGACTGGATTTCATCTCTAGCGGTCTATGTGGGACACCAGGAACGCCAGGAACAACCAGGGACACCAGGAAAAGTACCTACATCTACATCATATGGTTAGCAAAGCCTGCAAAGCCTGTGGAATGCTCACAGGAGGGTGCATCCAGGGGCAAATGTCGAGGTGGGTCCCAAGCTGGAGCTGGCACAGCCCAGCAGCATCCGCAGCTTTGCCACGCAGTACCAGAAGCAGAACCGGCCCCTGCATGTCCTCGTGAACAACGCAGGCGCCAACTACCTGTCAGAAGGCCTCTCTGAGGATGGAGTCCCCCTTCTGACCCAGGTATTTTATTGTCAGAGGCAATTTTGCATCTTCATGCATTCGATGGCTCAACTTAAGTATCCATCCATATCCATAGGTAGCTCAATTGCGGTGACTGGGCGCCTGCTATGTCTGCTTGGCACGGCCATTTTAGCACTGCTGTGCTGCGAATGTGGCTAGCAAGTCTCTCTTGGACATCATCTCTCAGGTCATGATCCCTGGCTGAAGGAGAGGAGCAGACACTCACTTTGGTATGCATTTCAGGTCAACTATCTGGGCCCCTACATGCTGACAAGGCTGCTTGAGGGCAGCCTGGTGGCGTCAGCGCCCTCGCGAGTCATCAATGTGTCATCAGTGACCCACCGCTATGGCCTCATTGAGAACCCTGCCAACTTCCTCTCCAGAAGTGCTACTGCCGTCGGCGGACAGTACCCGGTGAGTCAAGGATTTTCCCAACAATGTGACATCAGAGAACACGATCTTGTTCCCATTCACTGTGTCAATTCATCATAATTAGCGTGACAGAGATGCTTGACTTGATAGGATGTTTTTCGCCAGGATGTCATGCTGCAACGGCTGTGCAGCTGCATGGTGGCTTCGCCTCTGTCACTCTGCGCAGATCTTGATGCACAGGCTGCCGGTGTATGAGTGAGAATTATAGGTGCTTTGCAGGCCACCAAGCTGGGCAATGTCCTCTTCACGTATGAGCTGCAGAGGCGCCTGGGTCACTTGGGAGTCCAGGTGGGGTTGGCTACATTGTGTCATTGTGCACTATTAAAAAGGCTGCAAAGAGGCACATACACTTCATAAGAAACATTGCCTGCAGTCCTCACAGTCTCCATCTTAACTATCAGTGGACCGTCTAACTAGTGCAGCAGAGGGGAAGGTGAAGGAGCACAATTAGTGTCATCCAGCTGATGTGCACCAGGGAGTACTCACTTACAACAAGTGTAAGTTAATGTAGTAACACCCTGCTCTGGCGATGAGATAATACATGGGAATCCACACCAGCAGGGAAGCAGGCAGCTGAGCGGGAGGCGTGCTGCAGGCATGTGCAGTGGATCCCGGCGCAGTGTCGACAAACATCTACAAGGACTCGAGCCTGTTCACCCGGCAGCCGCTGAAGTGGCTCATACAGAATCTGTACGCGCCGCCGAGCGACGGCGCAGCCGCCGTGGTGCATGCAGCCTCAGCTCCGTGGCAAAGACAGCCCAAAAAGCCAGGTGAGCTCTACTATTTGGCTGCGAGGGCTGCAGCTGCGTTGGTATTGGATCTTGTGATTACTTGGCGATCTGTCTAATGTCCCAGCATATCTTAAGGCTAATGAACGGAAATTTTCTTCATGTTTGCTTCCGAAATCATGATTGTGCAGGGCTTTTGGGGAGACGAAAGGGTGAAGCGCTGTTGAAGAAGGCACACACAAGCACATGGGTAAGACAGAGCTCCTGGGAGAATCCTGTGCTCACCAATGCGAGCCACACTCTGTGACATGAATTGTCTTGCAGGACCCAAACGATTTGGCAAAGTGGATGCTGCATCCTGAAGAGAATTTAGCTTGTTTGCAGTTCTTTGCAAGGGGAGTCTTTGCCTGGCCCGCAATCACAGCATTTAAGGGCCAGCAACAAGGGGTGATTGGGAACCTGAGAATGCAAGGGTGGGCACTTCGTGCGCTGAGCCTCAGTGCTCTTGATTGGCCGCTCAGGAGACTGACACAAGGTGATTCATAGCTTCCCTGAAGACCTTGCATGCAATGGAGGTTCACAAATGAGGCATCTGATTTGCAGTGAGTCACATTATTGCCTGAGCCCATTCCTCATTGAGTGGTCAGTCATGCCATGCGAGAGATGTGTTGTTCAGTGTGCTGTTCTTTGGCAGGAAGAGGCCTATCACAGACTAGAGCTGTGCCCTCTGCGCCAGCCAGTTATGATCAGCACTTGGCTGCAGCTCTCTGGGACTTGTCTGCCGACAAGGGCAAGCTGCCAAGAGATATTAGCGTGGGAGGAAGACAGATATGATGTTGAAGTGACACCAGAAGATTTCGAATTCTTACGCTGATTTCCTGCGATTGTTATTTATGTCTTGCATGCACTCTTGGCTTGATCGAACATTATTGGAATTGCACCTGTCCAATGGGTAGACGTGGTCCTTAACACTGAGTCAAGAAAGCATTATCTCTTCTGATGGAGATATGCCCAATATATATAATTGTGCCAGCAGTACACATAGCCAGGCCTTAAGGGTGCCCTTGGCTTGCACTTTCAAACAAGTATAAGGCTTGCACTTTCAAACAAAGTATAAACTGGTCTTTTGTAAGCGAGTGGTTGACTTAGCAGCTTGAGAAATGCCTGCTCAGTTCTTTACAGCTAATTTTAACGTATATTTATCTCACAGCTTGCATGGGGTCACCAGCAAAGAACTGTATGGCACTTGTAGTGATTGCACTCAAGCTTCAGGTTGTTATCACATCCTGCACTTTAGGCAGGCCACATGGTTTTGAGCACATCAACCTGGCACTTAGAGACCCCCTCTTGCAACGTGCGGGATATCACAGCCAGCCAACCAAGTGTACCCCCAGACCTGACCGAACTCTACACGGAACAGTCCGAAACTGACACAACCACCGCATCTGCCAGCCATGCAGGCCGCTCAGCTTGCAACAGCCTTGCAGACCAGCTCAGACCAGCCCTTTCCCAGCTCAGTCCTGCCAGCCTTGCCGACTAGATCAGACCACCCTTGCAGGCCTCTCGGCCTTATGTTCAAGATCACCCAGCCTTGCAGATCAGCCCTCTTGCATGCCGCTCAGCCTCACAGACCAGCTCAGACCATGCCTTGCAGGCCCCTCAGCCGCTGTCACCCATGCAGATCACGCGAGTTTGCAGAGCAGACGAGCGTTGCAGGCCCCTCAGCCGCTGTCGGCACCGCGGGCCGGCTTCAGGTCTCGTAGCCCTTGGGGTAGAGGGAGGCCCACTTCCACTGGTCACGGCACATGTCGTTGATGTCCAGCTTGGTCTTCCAGCCCAGCTCGCGCTCGGCTGTTTCCGTGGCCGCCCACACCGCCACGCTGTCCCCCGCGCGCCTGTCCACCAGCTTGTACGCTACCTTCTTGCCACTCGCTTCCTCAAACGCCTGCGCGCATAGGGTAACCGACTCCACTTTATTCCAGAGACCATCGGAAATCTACTCTAGTGAGCGTTCACATCAAATGAGTTCAGCGCAGAAACAACATGGAGCCCCAAGCTGCGTACCAGGCGTGCACGCTGACAAAACCAAAATTCTGCTGTATTGGTAATGCTCGGTAAATGTTTCCCAATCTGCACATTTTAGGAAGTGTGGATGCATGCCCATGCGCGCAAGAATGGCACTCAGTCCGAGTTTTATTGCAAGACTGCACGTTTGACTTATGAAGGCCAAAGTCTTCACAAGCTTGCCGCGCCAACAGAGGATGTCACAAGCTGCCAAGCATGGCTTGCATTGCCCAGACTCAAAAAAGAGTTGCATGCTTCCTGTATCTCTGCTGCCATAGCATAGCATCTGCAGCTCACAGCACCCCACTGCGCTGCACACTGAATAGCAGGGAGACTCTTTGCCCCGGCTCCTGATCCGGACCAAGGAAACTCTGGCATGCATGTAGCCAGAAACGCACATTCCTTCCACACACCAGCAAGCGGCATGCTCCATCAAATCACGGCCGCTTTCACAGACCTGCAAAAGAGATCGAAAGCTATGAATGGGATGCTTGTTGGTTGCGTGGGCGCACCTTGACCATCTCGAGGACGGTGGAGCCGGTGCCAGTGCCGAGGTTGATGGGGGTGCAGCCGATGTCGGGCGACGCAAAGAGCTTGTCCAGCGCAGCCACGTGGCCCTCCGCCAGGTCCATCACGTGAATGTAGTCGCGCACGCACGTCCCGTCGCGCGTCGGGTAGTCGCTGCCAAATCACCATTACTTGTCGGAACTCTGTCCACTTAATGCAGGGCTACATCAGGGGATCAAGGGATGAATTCAGGGTCTGCTACACATGCAACGTGGTTATCATTCCAGTCACATCAAGAACTCCAGGGGGAGATCAATAACTGGGTCAAGCAACCCAGATGGACCCTCTACATACATCAGTGCATGGAAATGGGGGACAAAAGGCAAGATTAGCATGGAATTAGTGTATAGGAGGTCCTTGTAACAGTAAGTTTTTGTCCAGTAAGCAGTGGAGGACTCAGAATTTAGGGTCGATGAAGGGAACATTTTCCTGAAAGCAGTGGAGGACTCAGAATTTAGAGTCGATGAAGGGAGCATTTTGATAGAGAATGGGAAAGAGTGGTACCTGCCGAAGACGCTGAGCGCGTCGCGCTGGCCGAGCGCGACCTGCTGCACGTAGGGCATGAGGTTGTTGGGGATGCCCACCGGGTGCTCCCCGATCTTGCCTGCGCACGCAGCATATGTGCAACTTTAGCAGGTGTCAGTGTCGTCTGTGAGCGCTCCATCATTGGCAGATCCCCAGAGCCCAGGCTGCTAATGATGTACACAGTCTGAGGTCTGCGGCAGGTCATGCATGCACATGCAAAGGATGCAGGTGCATGGCACGAAGCACATGCCTCTGCGCTGTGATTGAAACCAGAACATGCGCGCCGAAGGGCCAGACATCCCTGAATTTGCCATCTTCCAACATCCAAGTCGCCCCTAGCATATCTTTGCTGCTCACACCGCGAAAGAGATGCCCTGGGCAATGGCCCCACACTATCATAGATAATTCCAAACTTGTAGCAAGAGATCCCAACATGAGGCGTGCGTCATGGACAAGCAGATTGAATTTGGCTTCAAGCTTGCAGACGGGGAAACACACCTGAGGGGTGCGCGCCGACGGGGTTGAAGTAGCGCAGCAGGATGATGCGCCACTCGGGCTCGGCGGCGGCGACGTCGCGGAAGATGTCCTCGATGATGAGCTTGGTGCGGCCGTAGGGGCTGAGCGCCTTGAGTGGGTGCTCCTCGTTGATGGGCACCCTCTCCGGGTTGCCGTACACCGTGCACGAGCTCGAGAACACCATCTGCGCAGACCAGATTGAACTCTTACTAACCGCATGCATTTGTATTATCACTGCCTTGATACTGCCCCGATGTCTGCATACACCGTGCACGAGCTGGAGAGCACCATCTGCGCAGCCAGAAACAACTTCCTAGTAAGCGCACGCATTCTTATGATATTACTGGTTCGATACTGCCTCAATGTCTGCATTCCTCTTTCCCTCATCTAGACTAATGATGTTCCTGCCAGAGGCACGGTGCGTGACCGCATGCATGCACAGACCATGACAGCTTTGGAAATTTCTGGCCAGGCTTTCATGTAATGCGGGTGAAATTGGCTGCGAAGAAGATGCATGCCAAGGGCTTGCAAGCAGGATACCTGCACTGCGCAACCCCAGAAAGGTCCTGCCTGACCAAGCCACTCAAAGAGCTCTTCCAGATGACTCATGGTGAAGTACATACTTGAGTGGCACCAACGCAGCATCATGCCATGTCGCCCTCAAGGACAGATGGGAATTCGACAACAAGGGCAACGGACTCTTCTGTTGGTGAAACACATGAATGCAGGTGGCTGGTAGGTTGAGCGCGCACGTTCTTGACGTTGTGCTTGCGCATGACCTCGATCAGGTTGACTGCGCCGACCACGTTGTGGGTGTAGTACAGCATGGGGAACTGCACCGACTCGCCCACCGCCTTCCTCCCAGCAAAGTGGATCACCGCATCGAACCTGCCGGACACAGATCATCTCTGAACACTCTAAAAATTGAGGGTCACCATGCCCCAGTCAAGGGTGTCTTTGCCTCCCTGCAGTTCCTAGCAAATTCCTTATGTCTGGCAGGTCAAGCTGGCATCTCAGGGTCCAGAAACTTGGAGACTTGCTGAGTAAGATGCCTTTCCCCACCCTGTGAAGAATACCATGCATAACAAGCTACACACCACATAAATGGCTTCATTGATCTCAATCGCCGCCTCGTATGTGCCACTCGAGTGAAGGGCTCCTCGTTGAGTCACTCAAAAGATTTCCTCAGGCCAGAGATGAGATATTCAAGCGCCAGTGACTCACTTGGTGGCGCTGAAGATGTTGTCGAGGTCATCAAAATTCCGCAGATCGCCCTGGACGTTGCAAGATACTTGTCATTGTCCGGTGCATGACCTTGGACACCTTTCATATTTAGATGTTATTCTCTGATCTGCGCTGGGGGTGTGCACAATTCACATCATGTGACAACAGTTACCTTGATGAACTTCATCATATGTGCCTTGTCACCAGCCAGCTCCTTCATCCGCCTGCAGGGCATCTCATCCTCAGAAGTGACTGAGCTCGTCTCTACCTCTGCTATAGGTTACAGCGCCTTGGAGTCGCACCAAAATTTCTTGAACTTGTCATATCACTGCTGCTTGCGGTACGATACTCATAGTCGTTTTCCAGGATGACAATATGGCTGCTGCAGCCAAGAAAGTATGGCGTGACACACAGGTGCAACGGTACTACAGGGACCAACCTCCATGCCTCCGGGAAGGCATTGTCGAGGTTGTCGATGATGGTGACATCGTAGTCTTGAACCACGAGGTCCAACACCGTGTGGGAGCCTGCAGCATTTGCAGCCTGAAGAGGTGTGCCAGAAGGAGCACAATTTGGGAATCCTCTCAACCAGACTAAAATAGTCCAGACATTGTCGCAATTCTACAGTTCATATTGAGAAGAGAAGGCTGAGGTCTGCTGCGTGCATCTAGCTTGATGTGCTTGATATGATTACAGAGAAGGAGCGTACCAATGAAGCCCAAACCCCCTGTGACGAAGACGTTCTTGCCCATTGCAGATATCTATACTGATTCTGAAGGAAGAGGAACAGAGATTACTGCAGTTATGGTGCCACCCTCGTTGTGGCACCAAAATCGCCAAGGTTAGATGTTGTTGTATACTCTATAGCACAGCAATTTATACGCTTTGAAAAAGCACCTCGTTGAAATTCTGTACTTCAGTCTCCCGGAATTTCTGACAAAAGGGCTTTGGACTGCTCCACTTGGCTGTCGCAGAGTGGATCCAACCGAAGCTGACCGGACACCTCGCTGGGCAGCCCGCCAAATGTTGGGCACTCGTTTTCGTGCAGATCTCACAAAGTGAACCAAGTTTTGGAGTCCCTGAGACCGTGCAGCGCTCGATGACCCAATCTCCGACTAGAATCTGCTGAGGCAATTTACATGCTACTTGTGCCGGGCATCGCTACAACTGTCGCACGCGAGAGCACGCATGCATGCCACATGTGTCAGGGTGCTCTGTACAGGGTGCTCTGCAGATCTGCGGCGCAAATCTGCAGTAACGCTATGAAAGTACCATTGCAACATAAAAGGCCTTTACATGTGCTGTGTAAATTGCGGCGCACAATGATGCCGCAGTACTCTTACACCTGGCAGTCTGTAATCTCTGGTTTTTTCATCAAATTTGCCACTCCAAGCCTCTCTTTAAAGCAGCTTCAAGCCCTTTGCAAACTGGATCTTGCGATAGGAGCTATGTAGAAGCTATGACTACAGTGAGACTGACACCCAAATAATCTGAGTACTACCGGTGCATGCATCCTGACATATTTCTATGAAATTCTCTGGATGCGCAAGGTCTCCTACATTTGCCTTGCCTGTGCGCATGCGCTAAGAATTGAGCGCAAAAGTAATTGATATCATGGGCCCGATCATATTTCTCACCATTAGGCCCTGATGGCTGCACGAAGCCACAGGCTTGGCGTGCACAGGGACTGTGTGGGTGCTCAGTAAGCGCCGCTATTGCGCAGGTGCATCTTGGTGCTGATTGCTGCACCCAGCTGTAGGCTTCATGCATACAGTACCTCGACTTTGTCTAGTAGGCATCGCCCTTGCGCAGGTGCATCTTGGCGCTGATGGCGGCGCTGAGCTCCTCCTCGTCGCGCAGCTGCGCCTGGAAGTTCTCCAGCCGCCCCTGCAGCTGCGCGATATTGGACGCCTTGCGCTCCAGTACCTCGCGCAGGCCCCCGATGTACGCATCGATCGCGCTCCCCGGCTGGTCGATCTGCGCCCGCATGCACACAATAGCATAATGATTACAAAGTCCGATACTGAGGAAGTGCGCCAGTTCGGGGGCGCCGTCCTCACCAGAGGCAAAAGACCGCACAACTGTTTACATGCTGTCAGTCGGTGGCAAATGAACATGGACAAGGATGCAGATGGAGCGATCTATACGAAGGTTCTCGTCTGGCGCTGTCACCAGGAAGAGTGCCCCGCTTGTGCATTCTCTGCAACGTTCACGAGTAATGCTTGCATCTGAGGGCTTCCATAAAGGCGCTGGGCTCTTTGCACTCTAAACTTGGAGTCTTACAGGCGACATGAAGACTTGTTGGGGGAGAAGAGGGAGTTGCTGCACCTGTCCAAGGAGGTTCATCTCCTGCCTCACGATGGCCATGGTCTCCTCGATTTGCCAGCGGTGCGCTGCAATGAGATTGTCCTCCTCTTCAAGGATCCTGCGCAGCAATTGGGAGCCAAACACTCTCTCCATCATTCCTGCCACTCAATCACAAGCATGAACCCTGGTGTGCCACCTTACCAAGTGTCTTGGCAGTATCAGAGAGACAGGCATGCGAGTGGCAGGCAAACCTGTTCATGAGCTCGTCCCTGGTGAAGAGGAGGTCGTTCAGCTCTGCTGCATCATCAGGCGCCGCGGGCTCTGCTGCTGCCTCTCGCCTGGTGGCTTCCGCAGCAGGCCTCCAGTCAGCCTCTGGTGCCTTGGCCCTGGCTGTCACCTGTACACACAAAAGTACTGTAAAAAAGAACACACAGCGATCATTTTCTGGACAGCTATGTGTTTAAGACGCTCTCTATCAAGAAGACGGCTCCCCATCAAGATAATGGAGGATGCAAAGCAGAACAAGAATGGTGCCACAACTTCTCCGCTCAATATGCAGCACAGTACCAGCATTTGTAAGAGACATGGAGGGGAAGCTGTGGCGGCAGAGGCACACCTCGTCAGCAGTGGTGCGCCGGGAGCCCAATTTGGCGCCAGCCTGCGCAGGCTTGGCAGGGTAGTCATCGGTCGTGCTGCGGCGCACCGGCCTCGGCTGCGGCGCATCGTCGGCTGCGGTGGCGCGCCGCGACGGCTGCGGCTGCGGCCGCTGCTCCTCCGAGACGGCACGCCGGCCGGGCAGCCGCGCTGCGGCCAGCTCTTCTGCAGCTGCCGCGGCGGCTGCCGCGCGCTTGGCCGCCAGCACCTTGACTGCGTCGTCCGTACCGCGGCGTCCCCGCACCACCAGCGGGGACCTCCCCCTGTCCGTCTCCCTAGGAGATGCTGGCCTGCACACAGCGCATAGCATCTTGGTAGTCATACCAAATGCCAGGGCAGCCCTGCGATTGGGAGAATTGCGAACTTCATGGGCCGGCAAGCAGCAGAATTTCTGTGCACACCTGTGTGAGCCCCTTCCGCCTGCGGGTGACTGCAGCAGGTCTGCTCCGCCGCGTGGGGCCCGTGGCGGCGTCGTTTGCCTGCAGTCAGACGCGCTCAACTCATTTTATGCGGAGATCTTGACGGAGCGCTCAAAATCTGTAGCTCGGGTTCCTTACAATTCAGCGTGGTTTCCAAATGACAAAGGTATTTAGAGCCAACGGAGAAGCAGATGTCCAGCGGGAAACCTGTTTGGGAGGGTTGTCTGCAGAGCGGCCGCTTGGCGGGGCCGGACGGATGGCGACGGCGCGCGCGGCCCAGCCGGCCTGGGAGAGGGCATGCCCCCGGCCGGGGACGGCGCGCGGCCGTTCTGTGGCTGCTGCAGCACCGGCGCGCCGCTCGCTGCGCATGAGAAGCGCGCCCCCTTGTCCTTGCGCAGCTCTGCAGAGAGCACCTCCCCACATCACAAATGATCACTGCAAGTGAAACGTGGGATGGCATGATAATCTTCATCAGGACGGTGTGCCAGTAACGAAGCAGACCGTTGGAGACATTTGCAAAAGCCAACTGCAAAGACAGGGATGGGCTCAGCGGCTGCTGTAAGAGGATAAGAATGTAGGTGCAGACCTTTTACACGGTCAGCGTAGCGCAGTGTGTTGAGGGTGTGCTCGCAGGAGGTCGCTGCTGGGGAGACATTGGCAATCATGACTGTGCGGGCCTGGTCGCCTGTGAAGGAGTCTCGGAGCACCTAAGAGGGGCAAGCAAGCGTTGATGGCAGTGCCTGGCAGAGTTGCTCCCTGATATGTGAAGCTGTAGTATGCCTTGTCTTTGCCATTGCTGCACAGGATTTTCATGCGCATCCACATCTTCTGTCTTAAGCTGAAAGAAGGTCACCTCTGTGAGCTTGGAGCCCCGGAAGGGGACGTGCTGTGCAGAGGCGTCCAGCGCACGGATACACTCTTTGAGCGCCAGCAGGCTCTTGTTGATCTGTGCCCCTTCCATGCGCGTTTGCCTGCGCAGCCACGCACAATATCATGAAAATTTGACAGCCCGTCATTGAGGACACCATTACAGGGTGCTCGTCAGTGACACTGTTGAGATCCTTCCAGTTGCGTGGGCATGCCATCAATTTGAGGAGAGTGTATGCCTGTTGTTGTCGTATGTGTCTGCGCCTCGCTCGCTGCCGGCCAGGTCCACAAAGGATATCTTCCCCACCGGGTGGTCCGACTCGCCTCCCCGCTTCAGCGCAAACTGCAGCGAAACACCAAGTGCTTCAGGGGGCAGGCCATTTAACTTCCCATGATTGAAAGGAATTACTGCCACTGATGGTGTCTAGTTGGATGGTGTGAGAGGCACCTGCATGATGGAGTGGGAGCGGGAGGACTCCTCGTTGACACCGGTGCTGCCAGTGCTGCGTGCCTTGTTGGCATGGGCCACCAGTTCCCTGATGGTCTCCGAGCGTGACACCTCTACCTGCATCACCAGCAATCAATTATGTGTGATCCCTACATGCCTTCATCCTCTTAACAGAGGCATGCATTGATTGTAATCAGATGTGAGAGCAACAACATATCTGCTGGAGGCGCCTGTCTGAAAATGCAGTGACCTCATCTATATTCTAACAAGGAGCAGATTTCCTTGGACGTGCAGATACTTTTTGCTCAACTACCCTGCCATCTGTGGGTAATTAACTCCTTCAATGGCATTCTGTGTGCATGTGCTCGATGTGCTCGACCATGCAAGCAAGGGCAATTTGGGAAGGGGGCGTGCCTCCTTGAGGCCGACGATGCAGACGCGGCCCTTGCCGTCCTCGCGCATGACTAAACCCTGGCGGCCGTTGAGCAGGTCGAACAGCTTGCCGCCATAGATCTCGAAGCAGGACACCCACAGCGACAGCTCGGCGTGCTCTGCAAAGCCCAGGTACTCGAAGATGTCTGCCGCTGCGCGCAGCGGTAGCGGCTGCATCGTGTACGTCTTGCCGCTGCCTGTCTGCCCGTAGGCAAAGCACGTCGCCTGCGTCATTCACAGAATTATTGTCAGCCATATCCAGGCAGGCCTCCTGGCCGACCATGCCTGCTGCTCGGCATGTTGGTAGCAGCACCAGTGCACAGCACCATCATTTAAGTGCACAGAAGCTGAATATAATCCTCACCTTCGTCTGGTGTGGCCACGATGCTTGCAGGGCAAATCCCAGTTGCAACAGGTACCATGCAGCTAATCATTTAAAAACTTCAATGTGATGTCATGCGATGCTACATGGTGCCCAGCATCCGGGTGGTGTGTGATGTGTCGCCAGAAAGCTCACCTTGCCGGTTCGGAAGATGGTGGCGACCAGGGGCTGCACAGTGGACCGGTATACGGCGTCGTTGGACACATGCTCATCCAGAACATCATCAAATGCGAATGCATGGTGCTCCACGTACTTTGTCAGGTCCACTTTCACCCGCGGCTCGTGCACCACCAGCCGCGACTCCATCATGTCTGCCTCTATCACATCATCCTCCCCCCTCTCCGTCTCCTGCATGCCAAAAGTCCCTGACGTGAGCGTGCATGCATCAGCATGAATACTGGCTACTATTGAAAGGAACTGGCAGTGGCAGAGCACACTGCACTGAGACAGGGGAACGTCTCTGGCATGGAACTGTGCCGTGAGGCCAGTAGTGATCACCATCGTTACCTACTGTAGCCTTGAAAGTCAATCATCTGCCACCTGTGGGTGCACGCACTGCATGCAGCATGTTTGGAAGTGAAAAAAAGAAATTCGACATGAATGCTCCTCTTTTCTTCTTGCGAGTGAGAGAAGGGAGGTCACCTTCTGATTGAGCGGCCTTTTCCGCACCACCACGCGGATCTTGGGCAGCTCGACCTCATCTGGCAGGCGCCCCTGGCGCTGTGAGGTTCGCCGCTTTGTGTATGGATCATCATAGGGAGCATCCGCCTGTCCAGATTGCAAAGACTGTAGCCTCTTTTGCAGATCGGCAAGCTTACATTCCATGCGTGATTGCAGGCAACAGTGCAGGAAAATATCTTGGAAGGGGCAATTTGAGGAGCCCAGGCCACACCTGCAAGAGAAGACCCTCGTCTGGCTCACTTGCTAGATCCAGGAGAGCGGCATTGCCGTCCAGCATCTGTGCCTTCATCTGAGCTGTGATTGTGTCCATGTTGGTGTACTGCCTGCTGTTCCTGGAGGATGAAGCTCGTGAGGTGGGCTGTGACCTGTCTGTGACGCCTGACGCATGAGCTCTAGCACCATCTGCGTTTAGCCTCTTTGTGAGACGAAAGAGCTTTTGCTTGTCATCCATGTCAACGATGCCGAATTTGCCGTAGTCCTGCGACAAACAGGAAATGTATAGAAATAAGATGGCGCTGAAAACGAAGGCCGATCAAGTCACATAACAGTACCTTTAATGCCACCGGATATCTTTAAGATTTATGCTTCCTATCTTGATGATGAAACAGCCGGTCTCAAGCACGACAACGTCCAAGAAGGGCAGAAGGCTAACAACTTGTTGGTGAGCAGACACAAAGATGCATGACAGTGCAGCCCAGAGAAATTCTAGTACAACGTTCAGAAAATTGTTTCGAAGACTACCATACGCATAGTGCTTGAGCATTTCCCCAGCTATCCTCGTTCGAGACTTGGCGCACACCTGCATCATTAGGCCTTTGAAATCCCGCTCAGAGATACCTGCGAATGCTGCTGCATGGTGCCCGAGTCCTACTTCGTACAACCATTCCTGTATGATCGATCCCATTGTTGCGTAGTGATTCCTCGTGCGAGTATTTCCCCTCAAAAAGGCTCTCGAATAATTAAGGTGGGGATGAGCAAGATTCACACAGCTCGATGAGGAAGAAAGCTGCCAGTGAGACTCTTTCCATTCCAGATTTGGTTCTTGATGTGCTGGGAAGCATGCACTGGATCCAAGAAACGCGACCGTTTGCTCTGAAATAGAAGCAGGGGGTTACTAAGCAGTACCAACGAATCAAGCTCGTCTCCAGGACCTCTTCTGACCCTCAACCAATTTCAAGGCGTAAAAAATACAGCATCGCCCGCCGATTTACTACCCCTGTATATCAAGCAAGAGACTGCAACGGTCAAAGGGCCTGGGACCATATGGATGTGTGAGACAGTTGAGAAGGAAGTATGATTATAGCGATCTGACGTAGGGGATGAAGCTCTGAGAAAATAGGAGCGATGGGACTAGACTCTAGTTCTGGCGGTGGCATGACCAGCGTGCGCAAGTGCGTCTAAGCCGTATCAAATTAGTGCTTACCAACTCCCCTGCACTTCCTCGTTGTATTGACAGTGTGTCGCAGCATCAAAGTGAAACATTATTCTTTCCTTCATTAAGTGCTGCTATCAGCGCCGTTGACACCGTCACTAGGTGGTAGTTGCCTGGAAGGAGTAATGATGGAAGGGTGTCAGTGGGTGCCGCTCACAACCATCAACAAGGTTAGGGCAGGCTGTGCAAGACCCAGTAGCGTACCTCGTTAAGACTGCCGTAATGCTGACCACTGTCTTTTTAGGTTTCTTATCCGTGTTTGTCTTTTGCTGATGCAGCTTTCTGAGAGGACGGAAGTTCCCTGGCACTGTCCGGCTCACGCGCACCGGAGATGACAGTCAGCAAAAAGATGCAAAGGGCTCTGCTCCTGCACCTGCCGTTCAGACTTCACAAGGTGAAGCCGCAAATTCCACAGAAGACAGGCAGTTGCGCAGCCTACACGGGGAGCCCTCCACATCCAAACAGGTACCATTCCTTGCAAAATTGCCATCCCTGTTACGCCATATAATTGAGGAAAAGAGGCTGGTCAATTGGCAAAGCAGAAGGAAGAGACCCGAGGAGTACTGTGCTGTTTTGGCGCAGGACATGAGCACAGACATCGATGGGCACCTCAACGCCCGCCTGGTACAGCTGGATCTGGGCAACATAGTCCCCGGGTCGCCCCCTCACTCACCCCTGGACAAGAGCGCCCGGGGCACGAACGGCGTATCCCCCGGCCGCAGCGGGGGGGCGGGCCCCCCTGCTGGTGGTGCCACCTCCACCAACATCGGCGCCAGCAACCTGCGCAGCATGTCCGACATGCGCAAGGCCAAGTTCAAGAAGCTGCTGGATCAGCAGGTGGGTGCATATTCTTGCAGCCGCCTAGATGCAGGCCCAGAAAAGGGCTCATTCATGCTCAAAAAGGCGTGTTGTACAGCAGTACATTACCCACAGGGACAGGGAGAGCTTTCAGCAGGAGCATCGAGAGCGTCAAACACTGGAAGACATCCCCTGTCAAGATGCATCACTCAGGCTATCTGGGCATTGCTGGACGCATGTCTGCTGAGAACCTGGACTTGAGAAACAGTATCCATGGGAGAGAAGGGACAGCCCAGATACTTGACATACAGTAACAGAGTCCTTTTGCTGGGGCAGGTGGTGGACTTGGATGCTCTGCGGGAGCTGGCGTGGAGCGGCGTTCCTGCAGACCTGCGGCCGGTGTGCTGGCAGCTGCTGCTCGGCTACCTGCCTCCAAATCGGGAGCGCAGGTGATTATCTAATAGCACAGTCACCATGACACATGCCTGGTCATGGTGTAGCTGTATGTTGTGACAGTATGAATGGGGGGTTGTGGGGATTCGTGACTGGTCCTTACTTGCACCCTGCAGGGAACAGATACTGGAGAGGAAAAGGAGGGAGTACAGAGATATGGTACCGGAGTATTATGACATAGAGGCGGCGGAGCGCAGCGAGGATGACAACTGCGCGTTGAGACAGGTGATTCTGCCATTATAGCTCATCCTACTTGATTGGTCTGCCCCTTGAAATGTACTATGCATGCCTCTGGACCGTCAGCGCTCAGCTAACCTCGAGGTGGGGCACACTATTACATGATGTGCTCTGCGATCTCTGCATGGATTTAGGGGGGCATGTAGAAGCAGCCCTTGACGCAACTGAGGATCTGATGGTCAATCTTGTTTCATGAAGAAGAGGTGGATTGATGATACAGGTGATTGTTGATGTGCCGCGCACGGCGCCAGGCGTCCCCTTTTTCAGCCAACCAAGGCTGCAAAAGAGCCTGGAGCGGATCCTCTTTCTTTGGGGCATACGGTGCGCATTTGCCTCATGCACAAGAAAGGCAATGGATGCTCAACTGCCCACCTGATGCGAGGAGTTGCGGAGCTTGTGTTCTTGGTCAAGCCCGATTCACGTTCAAGGCCTACAACAAGATCTGAGCACGTCCTCACATCCAAGAGGAGCCAGCTGCCACGAGCATCTCGAGCGCCAGCATTACTGTTGCTCCCCAGTGGAGAGTCCCCACAACACTGGTTCCATCTCGAACGCTGCTTGTCTCTTCGCTATCCTTTTATGGGCCTCAGCCTACTGTGAGCATCATAAATGATGCTCACAGGACTTTGCAGCTGCAGCACGGGACCCAGCACAGATAAAGCAGCCTGCCAATCTTCCTAGGAATGATAACTAATTTAGAATTGTTGAAAGTATTGCACCTTGTGCGCGCATGCAGGCACCCGGCGAGCGGCTACGTGCAGGGCATAAACGACCTGGTGACGCCTTTTCTGGCGGTATTTCTGTCGCCGCACTTTGAGGGCCCCGTGGAGGGCTGGCCGGAGGGCTGTGCGGCCGATCTCCCCGAGGAGGCCATGACTGGCGCGGAGGCGGACTCCTACTGGTGCCTCTGCAAGCTGCTGGACAGCATCCAGGACCACTACACCCACGCGCAGCCGGGCATTCAGCGCACCGTCTTCCGCCTGCAGGAGCTCGTCAGGTGTGCAGCGCTGCTATTTTGTGATCTCCTTGCATGATTTTTGCTTTAGCAAAGTAGGTGGCTTATGAGCTGGCGCTGGGGAGCAGCAAGATTGCCCCAGCATTATGTTTCCTGGTCGCATGCTGTGCATGGGGAAATCTTCCAGTGCAGTCGAAGGTGGCTTTAATGTCCTGCAAAGACGTCCATTGAGCACTTGTGTGTCATTTCTTGCCAGCAAAATGTTTCCGAGCGCTGGGCATGCAAGCTGCAGTGCCTGTAACAGTCATCCCCTGCACTGGGAGCGGTTTGAGGGGAAACAAGAATGCTCCAAGGCAATATTCTCGTTTGCCAGGCCTGCATCAGAAGGTGGATGAGATACTCGAAGGCATGAATTCTGAGTGTGAGCGGTGCTGCATGCAGGCGGATAGACGAGCCCTTCGCGCAGCACCTGGAAGCAGAGGGGCTCGAGTTCCTGCAGTTCACCTTCAGGCAAAGCCACATCCCCTTGCATAACGGTTTCCGATGTCCACAGATATACCACAATTGCGGCCACCATTCCAGACACCCACATGCAGCACGTGCTCTGGGCTATCACTTGATTGTGCAGTCAGCCAACCCCAACACCAATTCAGTACTTGGCTGCGCACTCTCCATTCCCCGTCGAGCATGCATCGTGTCAATACAATTTTTATAATTAGAGCGGTCCGCATGTAGGCTTTTGCTTGGAAATCTGTTTGCCTATATCCCTCATCTCTGTGAATTTGCTGTTGTTTCAAGCTCCCCAGTCCCTGTTTTGCAATTCAAATTTGATTTGGGCAGGCCAGATCTCGTTGGCCCCATTTTCTCTGGCGCTCCTCTAGATTTAGCGGACTAAAGATGCCACAGCCTGAGTTTTCAGGTTTTGTGCAGGTGGGTGAACTGCCTGCTGATCAGGGAGATTCCGTTCTCGCTGGCGATGCGGCTGTGGGACACGTATTTGGCGGAGGGCGTGCGCATGAAGGAGTACCTCACTTATGTCCTGGCCGCCTTCCTGCTCACCTGGTCCGCCGATCTCAAACGCATGGACTTCCAGGTGCGGCATAGGCTCCTTACATTTCCCTCAAGTCCTCTATGCGGATGAAGAGTTACAACAGTCTTCTACACCAGTGCAAATGCACAACGGTGCGCAGCATTAGCAGCAGCAACCACGAGACTGTGTGACTTCTGTATTGGAAAGGTTGAGCCTCGCTGGGCCATAAGTGCTATAAAGCTATTTATAGCAGAGAGGACTGGCGCGATGAAGCACGCTTTTAGACAGGTAGCCTGGAATGTCCTGCCGAGTCTTGCATAGAGCTATGGAAGACTTTGGAATCTCAACTGGTGATTGCACACTGGTTAGAAAGCTGCATGAGGGCTGCCAGAAGGAATAAAATATTGAAAAGCCGTGTCATGTTGGAGTTTAGTCGACATTACAAGCCTGTCACAAAATTGGGATGTGCTGATGCTTGAATGCATGTGCAGGAAATGATCCTCTTCCTCCAGAAGCTGCCAACGGGAGACTGGGGTGAGAAGGAGGTTGAGAGCGTGCTCAGCAGGGCTTACATGTGGCGCACATCCTTCGACCAAGCCAAGTCACACCTCCAGCAGCAATAGCATCGGCTTTTAGCCCAGTTGTGTCCTAGCGAAACTTTGTTCAGCACCCAATAGCAGGGAAAATGATGACTCACAGCTACTTCCTTCTCAAGAGAACAATATCACGCAGTTGCTAGCCATTTGAAATGACAGTCAATTTCAGGTTGAGCAGGCATTGACTATTTGTTGGTTTGCTAGAGCGCATGTTTGGCTGTCATCTCATACGTAACAGCATAGAAATGCATATCTTTAGACAGGCAGCTGCCGATTGATCTTTGCATTGTCATGGCAACCAAGAATTCTTCGAAGCTCTCTCCTCGGCAGTAGCACATTGAAATGGCATATTTGCATGCATGATCAGACCATGCATCTCACTCATCTCCTGCGCATCCCAAATAGCTTTTGCTTCACTTCGGTAACAGGTGATGAGATCGCTGGACGCCCAGATCTGAGAGGAAACTTCCAGGGCCTACTTGAGAAAAAGGAAACATGCAAGACATGAAGGCATTGCGAGCTACTTGCAACTGGTTGGGTTCAGCAGTTGACATTATTCTGGCATTGCATGTGCACACTGCACATTTGGGAGGTGACACAGCCCCACGGTCCAGGGCTAATTAGTTGCCTCAATAGATCACAAGACTGTAAAGCTAAGTTTGCCACAACGTGTGTTTGCAATTGGCAGGTGCACGCACTCTTGGCTGGTGTGTAGGGGTGCAGCCGAGGAATCCACCGGGGCACATTCTTGCAGTACTCAGTGAACTCGTCGCCAAAGCTCTTGCGGAGCACCCACTCCTCATGCAGCGGCACATTGATGGCTTGCACAGCCATGAAGATCAGCAGCATCAGGAGCAGGTTCTTGTTGTTAAAGATAAACGCCTCACCCAGCAGCATGGCAAAGACTCCCAGGTACATGCTGTTCCTGACATACCTGTGATTAGAGAGCACTTAATTTAGCCATGCAGTACCTGATAGTCTTGTATACTCATCTCCTGTGATCAAATGAGATTCCATGCTGTAAGGTACTTGCAGCTGCTTGCGAGGAGAGGGTGGCGTGCCTGTACAATCCCGTCACGACCAGGTGCTTGGGGCGGGCCCAGGGCTCGAGTGTTCCTTTGCCCTGCTTGTGGAAGGAGGCGATGGAGGCAAAGAGCACGCTGACTCCAGCAGCCCACACAGCTGATCCGACGAACCTCACGATGGCCTGTCCGTACTTGTGACCTCGCAAGATGGCGGCATCTCTGGTAGAGTAGCGCAAGATGATAATCGTTGGGATGACTATTGTGGCTGTGAAGGGGACCATCACGGCCCTCAGCTGTTGCAACGCTGTCGGACCATCACCACCCATGTTGCTGAGTCACAAACCCCAGCACGTAGCTGTCCTGATAATCAGCAGAGTCTCGCGTCACTTGGACGAATAATAAATCCCGATCTTCTTGTCAAAGGCTCGTGAGGAGCTGCCAAGCGACAGGAGCGGGCAATTACGTGAGCAGCCAATTGCTGAGGTCAACCTTGGAAAAATCTATTTTGTGATTGAACCCATATTGCTCTTCATGTCCTTGCTGGCAGCAACCATTTTCTCACGTTGCAGAGATGCCTGCCTGAATGGCAACCTTGAGAGCCAGTAGTACAGGCCGTGGTGCATGCAGAGTGTGAGACCAGCAGGAAAGTCTTCAAATCCAAGGTACAGATGCTGCTGTTTACAAAATCTTGTAAAGCTGTCTTCTTTTTATCCTAGTCACCTATAGGTAGCTACCAAAATTAATCTGCAGACCTGGCAAAATGACAACTGCACCAGCTAAAAACAGAATCTGCAGTTGTAACCCTGTACCTATAGTATGCTCTTTTTCTGGCGCACTGCCGTCGCATCACCGTGCTCTACCATAATGATACTATCCCTACATTCTGTACATCCCAGTCGTCTTGGGGAAGCTACATGCTATTTACATCTGCGCTTCGACTGCTCAAACAGCCGTCACTGCCTTCTCCAGCCGGGGCAGCACTCCCTTGAACACCAGCTGGAACCCCTGAGTGGTCTGCCCCGTTTGGTTCACCCCTTCTTCCTCCTCCTCCTGCGGCTGCTGGCCCTCTGTGGAGGTGCCAGAATCCTGATATGCGCCAATCTTCGCGGTGCCCGCCAGGTAGGCCTTGCACGCTGCCAGCAGGTGCGGCCCCCTGTTCTTCAAAGCAGCCTGCAGCAGACAGCACACATTCAAGACATGAGCAAGAAGAATTATGTGCATACGGGCTGCAAGCGAGCGTGCTGCACGTCAGTCAGTGAGGTTTCACATAAGATATATATCCTGCTGCGCTTCACTCATCCTGCTGCGTAGTGCTTGCAGACCAGAAGCACTACCCGGCAGGATGAGTGAAGCGCAGCAGGAGAGTGAACTCGAAGGGGCGCTGCATCTGCATGGCCCTAGACAATGCAAGGAGACAGGATCGTAGTACATAGAACGACCCATTAGGCTGGGCGGCATGCCCTCACACCCTGCATTACAAGGTTATCTACTGGAGCGGCAGATTCAACATGCACTGAACAGAATCCTGGCACGTAATTGGAGGGAACGCCATAAGCATGAGGGGCAGGAATAGAGCAGGCGGCAAGCGGATATTTATGTCGAGAGCTGTACGTCAGCGCCCTAGAGAGGCCTGCCTCAACGTTGCCCCCAAAATCACAGCCGAGAGCACAGAATGCCAAAGCAGGACTGTCGTCAAGCATTTCCGCTTTGCATTGCTTGTAATAGATTGCCCCGCTTAAAGGCCATCTGCGACGTTGGGGTCCAGAGAATTACACAGAAACCCTGCAGGGGTGAGGGGGAGGCTTTACCAGCATGAGGGGCAGGAAGGGAGCGGGCGGCGAGCGCATGAGGGAGAGTGTGGTCCGAATGGTTGCCAGGAAGGCCGACTCATTGTAACCCACCGAATTGCGCGCACCCTCCGGCGTTCCCACCTGCTCACAACACCTCATCCCTCAGCTTTGCATCCCTCAGTGCACCACTTGATTGAGATAGCAAAGATGGGCACATGTGGCGCATGCATGTAGCTTGACCTCACAGGGGTGCATCCGCAGGGACCAAGTCTTCAGCAGGAATCAAGTCAACAGACATGAGATGGTCACAGCAGAGTGGACTCTGTGAAAGGTGCACCTGCTTTTCGTAGCCCGCCTCGTTGTAGTAGGGCTCCGCCACCAGGATCAGCCCCTGGATCGATACCAGCACCTGCCGCAGCATAGGAGTGCTGAAGCCTGACTTCATGAGCATGTCTGCACCATGTTTGGCGCGGCTTCAGAGGACACTGTACAGTTTGACAAGCCAGGCGCTACAGGTTTGGCAAGCGCAGCTCGTGAGCGTGGTGCTTGCGCTGCTCAATCAAAGCTTCTATTGCTTGATGACAGAGTGGTACACCCTTCCCTGGATTTTTCAGCGTGGCCTCTATGCTTCTAGGCAGCGTGGCTAGGTCTGGATTGTGGGCTCACGATTGCTCATGCCCAATCAGAAAATAATAACGTGGTTCCATTCTATGAGCGGTGCAGAAGTCCTCACCTGGAGAATGGTGGAGCTGGTGGGGTCCCACTGTTCTGTGCGGCGGCCATTCCAGGTGTTCAGCAGGCTCAGGCACACCTGAATCAGCGTGCATCAAGTATTTTGGTCAGGCAGATTTCACATGAAATGCATCTCAGCATCTGGCCTGGAAGGGGACAATGTCAGTGCAGCCCATGAGCTTCAGAAAATAAGATTGAGGAGCAAACACAGACACATGGCATAGCATACTGCAGTGGCATCATTTTGATTGCGAAGTGCTCGGCGGGGTACTTTGTAATATTCTGGGCCGTGAGTGACCAGATGTTCCTTGATGGCTTTGCCTATTACAACATGCAAAGCAGGTGCGTACAAGAGGCAATAAGAAATGCAGGCTGTGGGGCTGGGGACATGCCTTGCCATCCGCGTAGAGATTTGGATTGATCCGGTTGCCATGCGCATGGAAGAGCACTTTGGGGACGCTGGCTGGGTGGTCCGGGCTGAGCTGGATGTCGAAGAAGAAGAGCTGGTCGTGGTAGGGCGTTCCTGCAGCTCCCAGAATCGCCGCCCGCATCACATCCATCCTGCTCATGGAGAAGAAACCCGCATCAGCCTCAGCTTGCAACAGGCAATGCATAGCAAAGCAGGACGCATGTCTGCCATAGACTGTAATCAGCTCAAATGTCTTCAAGAGAACCTCATTGGAGACATGAAGCACAGCAGCACAATATGTCACAGATTGGGAACAGTGTACACTGCAGCGCTCGGAAGACTTTCTGTTTCAGCTGAAACAGGATGTCTTTCAAGGCTTCCTTCGCCGTCTGCATGCTTCCTGGAATGTGCACTGTGCATGCAAGAATCCGAGATCCCGACCTCCTACTCACGATCTTTCTTCCGTCATCTGGACAGTTGGGCACAGGAGTGAAGGAGTCAGCGCAACAGGAAGAGAGCAGCAGCAAGAGCACCTGGACTCGAAGGCTCGGACCCAGATGGTGGGCGGCAGGCCGTCGCGCAGCATCTTCCACTCTGCCAGGACGGCCCTCTGGAAGCCGCGGCTGGGCCGAGTGCTGGCCGGATCGATAGGCATGTCCTGAAAGCCTGTCGGGTCCTCTTCTGCGCATGCCGCACATTTTGGAAAACTTTCAGTCTGCCTGAATCACATGCAGCACGGTACACAATATGTGCAATTTGTAACACAGTCCACTGGATCCTATGGATACGAGTGTTCCAGCAGTAAAAAGTCTCCAACGAGTTCCTGTGAAGACCTCCTGGAGTTTGACACTCATTTCAACCTAGGGTGTTCCATGTATGTTGCACTAGCACAGCGTGTGGAGCCCTGTATCTCTGCATCTCTTGAAATTCCCGACAGGCTACGGGGACTCACAGATCTGACATGATCACAATCAGGGAAGCATGCATGCATCGGAGGGCGGGGAAATACCCGTGGCCTCGAAGTGGGGGAAGCCATAGTCTTCAGCGGAAGCCGAAGCGTTGTGCTGCACTGCGCTGCTTTGCAGGGGTTCGCTGGGCGCCTGTGCGAGAAGCGTGCTTTCTGGAGCAGTGCCGTCTGCACAAAGGCCTCCTTTGTTATGATCAAACCTTTCAAGAGACACAGCCCTTTGTAAAACAAATCTAAGATTCGCTGCAAAACAAGGAATTAGAACGCTGGCAACCTTCTGGATCGCAGCAGTCTCAGCAAGTCGGCTGCACAGTAGGTTGCACACTGATGCAGATTTTTAGAGGCACTAGAACTTCTGTGGCACTAAGAACATAGGCAGTCATTATGAAAAAAGGCAGTCGTAGGAGACCGTCAAAAGATGCATGCGACACCTGTAGGCAGGGGAGCATCACTGGCGCTGAGGGCGATCTCTTCCTCCTCATAGACTGCCCCCTCGCCAACAGTGCGCGGGCTGGACCCATCGATGTCCGACACCGAAGCCGCCCTCCAGGCGTCATTCATGTTCTCCGCTTCCTGCATGATGCACATTTTGGAAGTGACACTCCTGCAACCTGGCATGCTGCATGCATCGTGACGTAGTACGGCAAATTGATGTGGCAGAACGCGTGTTATTTCAACTTCTACTTCCTGTAAAATCAATCTCACATGCGCGCAAGCCCATGGAGAAATGCAGAGGCCGGCATGCATGACAAGTGCATTGAACAATAAGGGCTCAATGCATTGATCATGCGAGGCATTTGTTGCCGGCACGGTGCTTATGAACTTATTCTCCTGCTCAAGCAACTTGAATCGTTACTCACAGCTTGCATGCACATGTGCTGTGACGCACCCTCCTGATGCTGCCGTGGACATGCAGCACGGTGTCTCTGAAGGCTGCATTGCCCTCGCTGCCCATACTGGTCTCATCCCGCTCATCCTCGCCCCCCTCTTCTGTGGTGTACCCCTCATCGCTGGCCCCATGCAGCAGGTCAAACTCGCTGTCGCTGCCGCTGCCTTCATCGTTATCATCGTCCCCATACTCCAAGTCCTCCTCTGTCCCTATCACAAAGATCTGCACACGCACAGAGGAATGATGGTCAACGAACCGAGTCAAAGGCACAGGCATCCACTGCAGCGGAATGTGACGACTGCAGGGGTGAATACCAGCATATGGCATCCCGTCACCAAAGTAGGAGGTGTCATGTGTAATTCAAGAGGTTTAATGCAAGCTGCAGTAACCACCCTTCATCTCAGACGTCTCATATGGCAATTCTTCCAATGCTGGCCCACGCAGGAATGCCTGTCTGTCTAAAGATATTCTCGCCCAACTTCAAGGGGCCCCAGCCGGCTGGTTGCTGGGAACCCTATATCTATCTTTTCAGACAGCAAGCTACATATACATGTATATATATACATTCCTCAGTCGCTAAGCACATGAAGCGTGCAAGACATGGTACAGGAAATTTATGGTGTGCGTACCTCCTCCACGGGCACGGTGCTCTGGCTGCCATCCAGCCAAGCCACCAGCATAGAGAAGCCGTCCAGGCGCAGAATGGAGCCCACAGAGCCCGGCAGCCGCCCTTCCGCCGCTGCAGCGCGGAAGTCCATGCGCGCGACGACATTGCCCACCCCCATGTCATCAAATTCATACTGCGGCTGCACAGCGCAGAGAGGGTGCAACTCAGGCTACAGGCGTCCTGCAGAGGCCCTTGGCTGCATCTGTTAAGGATGGCAGGATAACCTCCCTCCTCAAGGCAGCATGCAAGGGAATGCTGTGCGCTGTCTTCTCTACAACAGGGAAACACTGGCAAGCAAAACACATCAAAATGACTGCTGACCATTGTTGGAAGTACAGCAGGCCATCGTCACACAATTTAATGTCAATGAGGGGTCCGGACCCACCTCAATAGAGTACACACTGACAACCTCCTCGTAGGTCGGCTCCTGCTTAGAAAACGGCTCTCCAAGCTCAACCAGCTTTGCCTGCACCATTTCCTGGGCAGCAAGCTGCCCAGGGTTCGTGCAGGTCATCCCTGGCACTTTCCACCGGTTGCTTGGGTACCACGTCACGGTCGCTGTGCGCTGGCTGTGATCCACACTCTTCACCAGCCCCACCCGCAGCTTCCTGCTCTGCGCCTTCTCCTCTTCGCTCAGCCCTGCGCCGAGCAGTGAGCAGAGCCACTGTCAGCATAACTGAGGATGTGAGCAGAGCGGCAAAGGCTGCTGTGACGGCATTTTGTGCACCACCGCTGGGAATGGGCGTCATGGCAAAGAAAAGGCAGAATCACTTCTTCCAAGCATGATTTAATCAACTGCTTGGTGGTTGCTCTTCCTGCAGTCTCAAGGCACGTGTGAAAGGAAAGTGTGGAGGGGCCACTTTGCTGAAATATGCAAGCAGGACTGTTGCGTCAGGCATCACCATCAAATTCTGGGAGGTCAGTCTTGTCGGCCACAAAGCTGTTGGGATAGAAGTCGTGCTCGTCTGTGTGCTTCACTGGCAGCAGCAGCGCTGACTCCACGTCCTTAGATACGGTGCCATCCTGTCAAAAGCACTTGCTCATTTCATTTTGGCATACATCGCTGATCAAATTGCGGTGCTTGAAGTGTGCAAGGCAGTTCCCATCAGCGACTTTCCTCCAAGGAGCTTGCAAGGCTCTGCACGACACACAAAGCATGACAGAAACTAAGCACCATCGCAGTCCGAGGCTGTCGATTATTCAGTTATATGGCGCGCACCTGCCACTGGACGGTCGCTCGCGTGTACGTTCGCAGCACCTGCGCCGTAACCGGAAGGTCCTTCAGCTGCAGCGGTGCTTGAGCCGCGCCCGCACGCCGGCCGCCGCGGCCGCGCTTCTTCCCGCCGGGCCGCGCGCGCCTGCGCCATGTGGCAGCTGCTTAGTCAGCCTTGCTTGCATGCATGCACGCTTACCCTATGTCTTGCTGCCCCACACCGTTCAGTCACGAAAGAAATCTCCCTGCTGAGCCACTGTACCAGAGTTAGCAAGATGTCAGGATACGACGCCCAAGTAGGACAAGATCAGAAGGCGTGCCTGGCGTTATGGGCGACGGGGACGTCCGGTGTTGGTGCGACCGCTCGGCTCACAGAACCGCCCACACCGATCATGCTCATGCAGTTCATGAGCACCGTGGCTGCGTCCATCCCGCGGCGTCCCATGGAGCTCCATCCTGTCTCTGCCACCTCCTCAGCCTCATCCTCCTGGTCCTGGGCAGATCCCTACAGCAATTCCCGTCATGCCAACATGGCTATCCTGGTCTACACCCTCATTATTTTGGCATGCCACTAGTTGTCTCTGCGAGGCAATACAGGCCCCTGCTGCATAAGAACACAAGGGGGAAATTGCATTGGTAGAAGGAGCCTCACCTGTGCTTCTGGGTCTTGGCCTGGCGTCTGAGCAGCCACCTCCTCCGGTGTGACCTCATCCAGGATGTTGTTGATGCACTCTGCCACAATGTCATCCGTCTTTGCCTGCAGATGGTCGCGCTCTGGCTCTGCAGAGACTGATCCCACAGTTGGGGGTTCCTGTGACACCATCCCAGCGGCCACTGGCACATTGCTCCCAAATCCGCCAGCAGGGCCGCTTGCTGCCGCCGCCTCTGTCGAACTGCAGTGAGCAACACGCGAGCACATAAGAGAACACTTTGTCTCTGTCTCCGTCTCTGCTGACTTGAATTTGAACTGAAAAGAGACAGGAACAGCTATGGAAAGCCAAAAATCTATGTGACTGGCTCTGCTGCAGGAGCTGCCCAATGATGCTCTGAATTGTCAATTACCTGTAAGGCGGTGGCACATCCTGCAAACAGAGCTGCTGCAGTTTGGGGGAAGCGAGCGGTCCAGCAGTCTCGGGGACAAGACCACGCGGCAGAGCTCTGTCGCTCGCTGAAGCTGCACTGCCATGCTTTGATGGCCCCTTGGTGCGGCCCTGCCTGCTCGACTGCACACGCTTTGCTCCTTCGGCTGATTTGACCTGCACATAACCCATACCCCTTCACACACCATTGACCATGATCATTGAGCTGTACACCATGCTGCATCATAGCGAGAAGGGCTGGCGCATTTACCACTCGTGCACAGTGACGGCGTGGGCAGAGTATCTCCAGTCTTTCTTTTGAAGGAAGGAGAAACTCGACCTAGCATGCACTGACCTGGGAGGGCTCAGGCTGTGCTGCAGGTTGCTGCGCATCGCTGCCGCCGGGTCGCCAGAGGCTGATGGTGCCGAGATGCCAGTAGGCCGGACAGAAGTACAGGTCGGTGATGGGCGTGCATGCGCTCGGCTGCGCAGGCTCCTTCGGTGCCTGATCCAGGTTGCCGCCTGCACCCGACCATCGAAGATATGAATCATTGTAGTTCATGGTGTCAAATTTACAAAGAGCCAGCACAAGTCTGTGTGATGTTGCTTGGGAGATCTTTCTATTGCAAAATGACAGCAGAACTTGTGCAGATTTCAGCATGAGGGTAAACAAGTCCAATTGAAGCAGTCTACAGCAAGACAATTGGCCCACCAGCAAGGCTGTTGAGCCAGGTGATTTTGAGGCGGTGCGCCTCGGTCTTGACCACAATGCCCCTGAGAGATGAGTGGGAGTGGCCCACGTAGTGCAGCGTGCCCTTCAGCACTTTGGTCCCTGGGAAGCCTCGCAAATGGGGGTCTCCGTAAACATGCTGGCCTGCAGAAACATGCCTGTACGTGTTGACATGACCACACGCTGCAGTCATGCGCATGCTGCAAGGGCAGTCATGTGCTTGTTGTCAATGGGCATATGATTTTTGCTGAGCACAATGAGTCGCTATGTTGTCAGATAGAGTGCTGCTGCTTTGAAGGCAGTTTCGCCGCATAATACCTGGGTAGAAGTCTGATGCTTCTGACACTGTGGGTGCAAGGCTTCCATCGGTTGTGATTGGCTTGAGCAGGCGCCTCTCGTAGTGGTCCATGTCAGTCAGCTCGACAAGGGCCCCACTCTCGAAAGCAATTGTGAACTTCAGGTACACCTGCACGCAGCAGCTGCACTCAGAATCACCAAGGACACGCATTTTGACAGGCAGAGGAACGTGTACCACGCATGGGAAGCACAATAATGCCTGTTTATGACTTGCTGAGGGTCGCTTACCAAATTGATCCGGCCAAACCAGCCATCTTTGTGGAGCACATACTGGCGCGGCTGGTAGACGATCTCAGGCTGCAGATTATCGGACGACTGCCGCTCTAGCACTTGACCAGTGCTGAGAATGACGTCGACATCCCTTGCCACATCCAGAATAACGCCCGTCTGCGGACAACAAACCGGATTGCATCTTGACTAGCTGTTGATGCCTCAAGTGTCCTGCCTGGCTTGAGATGTCAACACTGGGGATGCATCTGCACCTGGCCTAGGGGATCGCTGGAACATGCCACGATGTCCCCTTGCTGCAGGCACCTGTCTACCACTTTCAGATTGCTCATGTCCTTCTCTGTGCGCTTGATGTCCGTTCCCACCCTTCTGGATGCCTCATCAGCAATCCAGACCACCTACAGCACCAGCACCATGATTATTGCACATCAATTGCATTCTGGCAAGCCCCACTTGCCATTGCACTGTAGATGTACAGATCCTTCGCACTGAGTGGTGTCCTTCAGAAAGGGAGTTCACCGGGTCGTATCTCTTACCTCAGCGTGATTTTCTCCAAGTGGGCGTTGGAGGCCGCTCTCTTCATCATCATAGAAATACTCATCATCGCTCAGGTCTTCATCATCCATGCTGTTGTCGCTGTCATCAGCTGTTCGCCACACTAGGCCTACAAAGAGCACGAGGGTGTCGTGAAGGACAGCCCTTTAGGTTGCACAAGAATCCACCTCCAAACACGGAAGCTTGCACAGTTCACTACAGGAAGGAGCAGCTGGTCAATCATCAAAAGGAGGAGGTGCACCCTTAGCCATGACTTGTCAAGTACTGTCATGACAGAGAAGCAAGGGTCGGCATACCAAGGGAATGTGCTGCTTGCTCGCCTTCTGATATCTCTGGCTTGAGCTCTACGACATCGTAGGATGTGATAGCCTGAGCGTTTCGTTGTTTAGGTGCCATGACTTGATCTCAAGAAACTTTTATGGCAACTGCGCCAAGTTTTCTTGATTACAACGAGCGCGCAGACCGAGTGGAAAGGTTGTCTCAGTGGTCTTTGTTTGCTTCAATCTCTACAAGAACTCGCTTTGATCCAGCGCAAGGAGCCGTGCTCCTCAAATTGCAGAAGTGCAACGTATCTGACATACCAAGCGGTGGCAATGAAGAACGATCTTCGTGACAACCAGAAGAAATATTGCTGTATGAATACGACTGGGAACCCAGGATGTAATATGGCGGAGTTTCTGTTGAACGACTTGATACTGCATTTGCAGATACGCACGGGAACATGCATGTGCAGGCGGAGTTGTCCAATTTTATCACGCATTGACGAACTTTGTCTTGCAATTCTTGTTGACAGAAGAAGCAATGGCTAGAAATCGCACAAGCCAGTAGTCTACGAAGTCTGTGCCGAGCAGGACGGCTTTGGCTAATCGGATATGTAAAAAATGAGTCTTCCTTTGGAGGGCATGGGACATACGTCAGAGACTCATGAACTGCCATCTCTGCAGGATCTTGGTACACCTGACGAAGAAGTACTATACAACGGAGACGCATTTGCACAAGATGATATAATTACGTTGAACGTGGGGGGAAGCATATTCACAACTCGGCGACAGACATGTCTGAAGGTCCCTCCTTTTGCCTGCATCTTGTTCATTGCATGCGATATCTACATCCCCAACACTTCTAATGCTGAAGCAAGTCATTGTCATTGGAGGTCCCGGCTGTCTTCCGTTGTTCTTCTATTCTGTACTAGGATGCCTGTCCTAGACAGTGGGCAAGGTGCCTCAAGGCCTCAGAGCTGAGCCATACTCTTGTCAGACAGGACTGCAAGAGCCTTTTGTCGCGGCTTGTCAGTCACGAGGTCGAGACTCATAAAGATGCTCAGGTATGTGGCGTGGGCACCTGCTCCTTCAGTCTTGTGCAAGCTACAGTCAGATTGCCACCAGGGTTTTAGCTTGTGGAGCCTTTTGTGCAGGGCTGCATATTCATAGACAGGGACCCGAAGCACTTTGGACTCATCCTCAATTTTCTTCGAGATGGTTTCGCAGTGCTGCCCCGTGATGAGCAGGCTTTGCGGGAGATCATGGTGGAGGCAGCCCACTATAAGGTAGGAATCTTGCACACCCATCAAAACACCTTTATAAGTGTTGTGCCAAAGGCGGCCTGAGCACACTGGCGGCCTGCGCGGCAGCTAACTCAGCAAGATTGTCAAATTGCCTGGTGTGATTGTCACCGGCTCTGTGTACATTGCAGTTGGAGGGACTGCGGGCTCTGGTGCAGCCCAACGGGGGATGGAGGCCCAACTTTGCCACGCAGCTGAGGGCGGCAACAATGCAGCAGCTTCGGGGCGACAAGCTTGCCATGAAGGCCTCTCTGGACCTCATCCTCTTCTGTGCCTATGGCGATAAGGCCAAAGCCTTGCCTGGTCAGCTTTCTAGCACCTTGCTTGAAGGCACCTTGCCCCCCTGCGCTCGTTCAACATCCTATGGGCTGGTGGCTTGCTGTGAGCTAATCCAATTGGCCAGGCACACATGCATAAGAGAGCCTTCTGGTCATGCACGCACTGTGTTCTGCTGTCAGTGGCTATTTTCTTTTGCGTGCAGGTGCAAATTCACGAGTGGATGTTGCTGTCTATGATTATGCGGAGCTTGTGGGTGAGAGGCTTGCGTGGACGCCTCCCAAGCCTGACCCAGAGCGAGCCAGCAACAAGGGCCAGCTACTCTATACCCACCTAAAACAGTCTGTGCTCTTCCGTGGAGACTCAAATAATCGCTGGTGCTTTCTCGCCACCATATCAATGCTTCCCTTCAGGGCGACAAGCGAGGTTCATAGTGCTGTGCAGTCACAGTTGATGTCTGAGTGTAGGCCACAGATGCACAAAGCTCGCCCTTGCTCTCGTGCATTATCCCGTTTCTATGGCGAGGGAGATGTGCAAACAAGCAAAAAAAATCAACCTTGTGAGGGCCAGGGCAAGGAGACATCTGTGCAAGAGGGCATGAGATCTGTGATTGCTCTGTGCAGGTTTGACCGCACTCACCAGCTGTCGCGCAGAATGATTGGCGAGGCGCCCCACCTGTTGGATCCAGAGGAGCTGGACAGCATTTCCTCAGAGGACGGCAAGCAGCGAGGTTTGTACCATGTGTCCACCAGCCAAGCGCGCTCCGACCAGTCCACTGCGGACTTCATGGACAGTGTTTTTCAGGTCCTGCTGCCATCCTCTCTCCGCTTTTGTATGGGCTCTTTTGAGAGCGGCCACTTTACGGCAGCACTGTCTCCAATTGATCTGTTGGATATTGGCAGAGGGGGCTTGTGCATGAAGGCAAACAATCTCTTTGGGTGCGACTGCATCAGAGCTGCAGTAATTGAATAGATGTGTGAACAGTACAAAGCTCTTGAGAGGATGTCTGGTGTGAGCAGGTGCACCAGCATGTGACAGAGCATGCTCTGTCAGACAAAGAGAGGGAATTGCGCAAGTCTGCTCTGTACATCATTGACAACCTAAACCTCGTCAGTTTGGCTCTTCGCCTGTGTGACTTCCAGGATGTATCTGTGGCAGTCGAGGCAAAGCATGTACGTGTTCAAAATGGCATACATCACATTGAGTCTGAACTGTCCACGCATTTTGTCTCTTCAACTTGCTCACTACCGTATAAGGAAGGGAGCTAGCTGACATGCTTCCTGATTTGGGCACAGGTCCCTGATGTCGACCGGGATGAGCTGAAAGCAGAGACAGAGTACCCAATGCTTGTTCTCTATGATGTTCGGCTCGCCATCTCGCTTGTGCTTTAGCTGCTGGCCTGTCAGGGGCATAAATTCCAAGTCCTTAAGGACTAAATATTGTGTGCACGAGAAGCATGACATGGCGCCCAAAACTCTCGCAGAGAACCAAGCCTCACCATCCCAGAGTGAAGAGGCAGTGAGGGATCTGGTCCAACCGCCCAACGCTGCAGTTGCGCTGTACCCATAGATACATGGTGTTCGAGAGCAAATCGTTGGCACTGAATTCTCAATGAACTCACTAGAACCTTTGCTGGAAGTTTTGAACCTTTTTAGGAAATTCTGAACCTCTTAAGGCATCACTGCTGAGCAAAAATAGGGCATGCCAGTGCAGGGGGCAGTGCCACAGTCCCCGGTTGCGTGGTCATTCTGTACAACTAGCCATGATTTGTCTATTACAGTATTCTGCGTGGTGATGCACCATAACCGGCAAGTGCCAGTGATCACCAGTGGTCCATGACCGCTCAGCGGGCAGGCTGCACCTTGTACCTCTACGTAGCTCTAGAGATTTAAAGTAATCATTTGACTCAGGCCCCTGTTTTATTGAGTGCTGATTTCATAATGGTAAGTCCCAGCTGGACCAAAGTTAATGATTGCACTAGTGATTGCGACTCGCAATTTGCGAGCGGGGCATGCATGATGTCGCGAGGTCGCATGCCATGTGGCCATATATGTGGTCTATACGTACTACGTATAGTATATCACAGTGTGCACTGGCCATCACCATAATTCTAATTGCAAGACTGGCCAAGAAACTGGATCACTAGAGAAATGCGAGTGCGAGAGAGAGGCTTTCGGAATTCGCAGGCTTTCTTGCTTCCAGCCAAAATGTGAGTAATTGAACTGAATCCTTGTTCGTCTTGTAAGTTCTGCACGTGCGCAAAATTACCAACGTTTAGTATCTGCTGCGGCTGGCAACCTCCTGTGGTGCCTTGCACCACTCAGAGGGCTTGAAAAGTAACGATTGGCATCATGGTTGCGTTCACTTTTGTCGTCAAAAAGGAGGGCAAGAGCTGGAGCGCTCAGAGAGTCAAGGATGAGGAGGGCCCTGAGCTGACGGCTGAGGCCGATGACACATACAGGTGCGAAAATAAAGAGCAAGTGGCTGTTAAAAGCCATGTATACCGTCAACCTAGAGGTACTAGATCGTTAGGTCGATGGCAGATCAATCCAGAAATTGCTCAATGCAGTGAGGATCTAGTTTCTCAAGTTGCTGTCCTGCTGCAATGTTTTCGTCCATATTGGAGATCAGCAAGATGGTAAAGATCATGAGAGTATCGGTGTCTGCGGTATCGAGAACAGTCAGAGATTTCATCCCAGAGTTTGGAGTCAGTGCATCACCAAAACACGCCCATGTGGTGCTACACTGACAGTTTGCCTTGCATGCATTGAACAGTCTGCAGAAGGAGCTCCTGCAGCTGGCGCTCGCAGAGGCCAGCGGCCCTTACAGAGTATCGTTCAGCACAGTGTCCCCCACCTCCGCTGTTTACCAGGTGTGTGCACGGCTGATTTGTCCTCGTACTGTGGAGCAAATAACCCCCTGCTTGCCGGTCATCCAGAACTGGGAGCAGCATACCAATATGGTGAAGGCATTGTCTGGGACGCGCATCACATCTGTTTGAGTTGGAAAAATGAAGCTCGTCTGCTTTTCAGCACTGCCAGCAGGATTTCATCAATGCCTTGTATCCGTCCTTATGGGAAGCAAAGCAATTGCTTTTTGCTGGTCAAGTGGCATACTGCCTTGGCAAATGGATCCTTTGCAAGCAGTATGGGTCTACCTATTTCCCTTGCATTGCTGATATATGTGAAAGAGCCATGATGTTCAAAACGGGGTGCAGTGCAACAACTATGGTCCCTTGTGCTGCCGAATAGATAAGAGGTCTACCCTCACGAAAGTCTCTTTTAAAATTCCCTCCGCTGCCAGCATTGCACATGCCTGGACATTCAGTACTATTCCTGATGGGGTTTGTAGAAGATTTCAGCTTGCAGCGGTGCAGTTCTGGGTGCAGAAGGGCACATCGGATCTCGCCTCTGGAATTTTATGGCTGCAGGGCTCTCTGCCTTCTGCGGAAAGGATCATTTATTTGTCTGCAGCATTCATCAGCATTGCGTGTGACAGGTTGTGATCGGCGGCGCTGTGGCTGCCGGCGGCGGCGGCAGCGGCGGTGGCGGCGGCGGCGGTGCAGCGGCAGCTGAGGCGAAGGAGGAGGAGAAGCCGGCCGAGGAGGAGGAGGAGGAAGATGAGGACATGGGCTTCAGCCTCTTTGACTAGGCACCCAGCAAGAGTGCTTGTGTAGCAACTTACACACTGCTTGAAGCATGTGCTGAGATCGATCTGCAGATCCATGCCCGTGGGCGTCTTTGTGCTTCCGTGTGGCCTTCTTTCTTTGGTGCCCCACGGAGTCAAATGGCTGGGAGCATGTAGGAGGCCGCGAAGTGCTTGCAGTGCATGTACAGACATGGTCGTGGGTCTGCCCCAATTGAGTGTCATACGACTTTTGGGACATCATGAATGACAGGATCGTGCAAATTACTGTTCGATCAGCAGTACTTCTGTGGCTCTTCAGACATCCTGATGATTATCTGAGTGACTTTACGTTGATGACATCATCTGCCATCGGCAATGGGCCTCGGACACGGCATTAATGTTCCCTTGGCCATGGTCTGCGCCTGCGCATCACCCGGTGATCATGGGCCATGATGGCATTAACTTGACTCAAGTTCAGAGTGCCACGGTGGCTGCCGCAGCGCTGCCCTCGGTGCGCATAATAAGTTGTCACCTCCATAATGCTCAGACGGTACTCACAGACCTACTCTCAGGTACTCTCAGAGCATTCTGGAAACGTCCGATGGAGACATCTACACTTAAGCCAGGAAGCATTCTTGCGGTGATCTTATAGAAACGTCTTCCCTAATGCATGATGAGTCACGCCGGGGTCTCTGAGGATACGCGTGTGACTTCAAGCATGTTCCTTACATTAGTTGTTCCCACATTCCTCACTTCGCCTTCTTTAGAGAGAGGTTTTAAAGTTGTGAGGGTCAGTTGGTGCTGTGTTGGCTTCATCAGACGGGCCCTGTGAAAATGGGTTCCCAGGATTGACCGTTTTCCAAGGAATGCTCAGGGTATCCAAGTGATACGAGAGTAACGCTTTCTTCACTTCAAGAACATAGGTTGGGCAAATTATCTTCGATATTGTTCTGTTCATCAGGTCTGGCGAGTATAGTTCGGTTAGGAGCAAGAGCAGGATGCGACCAGCAAGCAAGTCACTTGTTTGGCACCACTGCACAAATTAAAGTAACGACAATTGGAGATAACTGAAATTACAGAATGAATGACCTCCTCTCGTCCGTGAAGGTGGCTCTTTTCAAGTACCTTTACACAGTGTTGCCAGGACCATCACCTCGTTTGGAAGCAGGCTTGATGACTCGAGCATTAATCGTGTCTGCATGCCATCATTAGAAATATATTGGGTGCATTGTTGAAATGCAAGCAACATATGCCCTGTGCCAGCACTCTGTCAGAACAACCTCCAACCTTAACAGTATACAGCAGTCAACAACCAGCTATCTGCTTTGTGGGCCAGGGCTTTGATGCGCCAAGGAGGCCATCTCAGGGAGGGGGGCCCTCTGACCTTGAGGCAGGCCCGCCGCCTCCCCCTGAAGCCACAGAAAAGGACAGATACATGGCGGACTTCTTCAACGAAGTGTCAGCCATTAAGGTGGGGCCTGCTCCATCCTCATGATCCATCCTTACCAAGCACCAGCCATGAAATTTGCCTGCTTGCCCCTCCCTCATGCTGGCCATGCTACGCACTTGCGCATGATGGCAGCATGCTCCATGGCGGGGATTTTCAATATACACCCAGATATCATTGAGGCCCTGGCGGCCAAGAGTGTTTCTTGCATCCACATCACTTGGTGACAGACTCCCCTTCTCATGCAGAGAGTCTCCAATTCAAGTTCTTGTTGGGCTCTGCTGCTGTACACTGCGGGAACCCATGCCACCGGAAATTTGATGTGGCTGCAAGAGCATGTCTAATGTAAAAAATGCGTGGCATCAGGGTCCAGAGCAATGTGAAAAGCAGCAGTCTGTCCAGAACCCCTTCTGTTTTGCCCCTGCTCAAGGGGCTATGGGCGCAACAAGCGCTTTTCTTTGGGAAAAAGCTGTCTCCCTTTCTCTGTTGCCCCTGCTCAAGGGGCTGTGGGCCGCGCACAGGGGCTGCTGGGGGGCATCCGGGACAAGCAGCGCAAGCTGCAGGAGGCGCACGAGCGCACCAAGACGGTGACGCGCACGGGGGAGATGAAGGAGATCCGCGAGCGCATGCAGGACGACATCGAGGAGGTGAACAAGGCCGCGCGCACTGTCAAGCTCCGCCTCGAGCGCCTCGACAAGACCAACGAGCAGGCGGTCTCCCGCAAGGCGCGCCCCTGCCACCCAATTCCCTGCTGCAGTCAATGGGATTACCCTAATGTACTGATGTGATATCTGTGCTGCCGGCCAGACAGCCATTGTGGTACTTCTTTTTACCGCTGTCTATCGTCTCTCTGTTGCACTCATTATTGAGACAGGAGACAGGAGCAAGCATTGATGCATGATGGCACAGTTCCATGCGAGGCAATGGCAATGCCAGCTGCCTCTACACCTCCTCATACATGACTTCCATTGGCAGTGCTCACTCTTGCAACGCCCTTTGGGCTATCTACAGGGCTGCAAACGGAATATCATTGATAATGCTGCAGCCTCTTGTTAGTCCAGCCGCCTTTATGCATGGTTCAAAAGTGAGGGAAAAGCGGCGGTGCAGGGGTGCGGGGTGGGGTCCAGCAGCGAGAGGACTCGGACGGCCATCACAGCAGCGCTGAAGAAGAAGCTGAAGGACGTCATGGGCGAGTTTGGCGTGCTGCGTCAGAAGCTGCAGCAGGAGTACAGGTTCCTGCCTCTCCCCATTTCCCTTTGCACCATTGACACTACAAGTGGCGCAGCTGCCAAGCTGTGCAGCATGCAGATTACCTACTGGCTGCACCTTCTGGCCATGCTGTTTCTTTTTTCCTCCAATGGGTTGGCAAAGCGGAAGCCCCTTGTGCAATGCATACTGGGAGACAAGGAGGTCATAACAGGAGTGCATCCACTATTTCCTTTTTTAGTGTGCTGATGTCTTTCTCTCTTTCAAAGGCTTTCTAGCTCCTCCCATCGGTCTGCAAGTTTGTTCATTGGCCCTTCAGGGAAGTTGTGGAGCGGCGGACGTACACTGTGACGGGGCAGAAGGCGAGCGCGGAGGAGATAGACCGGCTGATTGAGACGGGCGAGAGCGAGACCATCTTTGCCAAGGCCATCCTGGAGCAGGGCCGAGGCCATGTGCGCTCTCTAGCCCCCTTGCACCCCCATGTTGCTGCGTATGGAACTCATTTCCCACGCGGAAGGTCAGTATTCTGGACACCAGTGAAGGTGGCGCCTTGGATGTTGCCATTTTGATGGCCCTATTGGAGATGCTGCATGTGTGCCGGCATCCCAATATGGTGGCACCCAAGGTGCAAACATCACTGGCATCCAGACAAAGAGTTCCAGCTGCCGCCCTCGAATCCAGGCTTCTGTTGGGCCAGTCAGGCGAGGCCGCAGGGCAGAGTACAAGGTATACTAGAGGAAGTTCATTAGTGCTGCAGGAGATGAGCACACACTCCAGCGGGGATGAGCAACAGCCATTTATCACTCATGTGGTGGAGGTTGAGGGGTGCTGGCGGGTGTGAGGCAGGTGCTGGACACGCTGGCGGAGATAGAGGAGAGGGGGGAGGCGGTGCGCGAGCTGGAGAAGAGCCTGCTGGACCTGCACCAGATCTTCCTGGACATGGCCGTCCTCGTGGAGGCCCAGGGAGAGATGCTGGACAACATCGAGGCTCAGGTGTGTGTCATCGCGCCACTTGCTCCATGACAACCAAGAAGGTGACCTGGTATATTACATGTCCTAAGGGCGGAGGCAGTTGCAAAGGACTGCCCTTTGCAAGCAGTATGTACACACAGACAGACGCAGGTGGTAAGAATCAGCTGCAATGCCGGCAGCTGGGGAGCAGTGGAATAGTGTGGCGTATGTCCGGCTAGTGACATGCAGCTTTGCTGCAGGAGGCCTCTCGATGCTGTGAGGGGCTTCCTGCAGCAATGCTGGAGGGTTATATAGTGCTTGCTATCTGTGGGCAGCACAGTTCTGGAGTGTCCTATGTCTCGGTCCAGGGACTCTTTTGACTGTTCTGTTACTCTACAGAAGTTTTGTCTCGCTGTTCTGTCACAGTACAGAAGAGTCGTCTGAATGTTCTATTACTGTACAGTAAATTTATCTGCCTGGGATTACTGTACAGAAGAGTTGTTTTGGCTGCGGGGTTGTGCTGTCAGGTGGGCAAGGCGCGCAACCACGTGCAGCAGGGGGTGACACAGCTGGTCGAGGCGAAGAAGCTGCAAAAAAAGACGCGCAAACTCATGTGCTGCGTGCTCGTCACAGTTCTGCTCATCATCATCGCCATTGTGCTGGCCGTCGTCAAGCCCTGGACGCTTATCAACAGAAACAACAGCAACGCAGGCTGACGTGCCACTGTTCTGCCGTTCTGTTCCGTATCGGTGGGTCTTTTGTACTAGTTTTAAAAGAATACAAGGCAGCCGTTTTGCTGCACTATTTTGCGCTGCCGGCTCGGCGCACCTGTCTGCTGGGGCAGGGCAGATCTGGGGCTGCTCTGCTCTGCCGCAGCAACTGCAGCCAGCCAGGCCGCACGCAGAGCTGCCGGAAACTTTGCAAAGCGCCCCTTTGCCGCATGCATGCGACAGCAGGCACACTTTAGGAATGCACACAGTTTGGTCATATAATTGAAGTTTGCTCCTGCAGGCCGGGCTTGCTCCCGCACATGTGCAAGTTGTTGGCAGCGTATTGATGTGGCCGTGCGCGCAGGTGAGCGTGTCGAGGGAGGCGGTGCAGAGGGGCACCACGGAGCTGGTGTCGGCGAAGCGCTACTTCAAGCGCTCGCGCCGCTGCATGTGCTTCGCGTTCGTACTCCTGATTATCATTGCCATTATTATCGCTGTTGTCATCGTGGTCTCCATCCACCCCTGGAGCTAGGCTGATCCCAGGGTGGCTGATGCGCGTCACCGATCTAATGGCCGCTTGGCACCGCTGTGAGTCGGCTGTGCTCTGTGGGCGCGCCAGAAAAGGGGAGAGTGGGCCTTCGCAGTGCTTTTGGTGGTAGAGGGTGCGGACTTTGGTGCGTGATAACTTACTCTGTGTATAGCTAGAAATAAGCTGCTCGCACAGCGATGGTGTGTGAGCCGGTGTTGTGCTCATGAATTGCTTTGCCAACAGAATACTTTGATAGGACTGACCCTTAATCTGCTGCAGAACGCCAGAAAGCTCACCAATGCCTCGGTCCAAGGCATTGAGATGGGGTTGTCAGGGTCGCGTAGACTCTTCTTTGGACATACCACAGCCTTGATCCCAGATTTCAACATGTGCCTGAATGCGCACGCTAGGATACCTGATCAATTTGCTCTGTGCGTGCTATCACCACAAGTTAGTACTTGCGGACTTGACAATCAATCGCGAGCCACTCTGTGACATTGGCAATCTCAAAAATGCCTTCGTCGTCAGGTCCCATAACTCCTCACAAGATGCCAGGCAGGTCGGGGGTACCTGGTGAGGCTGCATTTCAATTTTATCTATCCGCGATAAGGTCACCTCTTCTGGCGGGCTATTCTTTCGCCTTTTACTAAAGAATACCGAGCGGTGTCCTTACTAAATCGCATACACCAAATTTTTCTGGCCCTAGGGCCTCGACACAACTGACCAAAAACAAACATAAAAACAACAGAACAATATAACACCAACAATGTCACACCAACAACCATCCATTCTTTCACAAGTGTACTGCTAGGACATTCTCCCTGTTGCCCGTTCCGCAGATTCTGGTGTGGGAGGCCAGACGAGATGGAAGTCCAACACAGAGACCCTCTCGACCTTCGCTTCTGTTATATAATCTTGACATATGACAAGCTCATCTAATTTATGGACATATCCCACAGGCAATCCGCTCGCTCTGCTTGATCTCAGTTTAGCACGAAGCCGCCATCTCACGATCTGAAGCCGAGTTCTTTCGAACTAGGCGAGACGCGTAGGATCGTCCGCACAACCAATTCTCGTTGACCTCAAAGGACAGTGATATCCATGAATGGACTGAAGAGCTTATCGCTTTTGCCCGTGTGTTGGAAAAGGTCGATGTCCTTTGTGTGGGATGCTTGTGTTCGTCTTAGACGCTTTGGTGATTGGGTTTAAGTGGATGTGTTCGTGAGTGTAGATTATTTGTTTGTTTATGTGAACCGGTCCACAGCCTAGGCGGCAGTGCAATGCCAAGGCCATGGGCGGGCAGAGGTCGTGCAAGCACAACACTCTACCCCCGGGCAAAAGATTAGATTAATATCATGAGGGACAATGTCCCTCGTATCAGATATTAAACTGATAAGAACAGATACTACACTTGATCTTAGCCAAAAGGCCGAGAAAGGTATGATGAACCACGTAGCTCGATCCTGACTGGTTCAGGCTGAACAATGGCAATTCCATTGACAGTTATGGGACCACCACTTAATGTGGCAAGAGTGGAAGGTTGCTTGGATCCTGTGCTTACTTTACAGCCTCCCTCTCAGGTAAACTCTCAATGAAAATGTGCAAGCTAGAGGGCGATGATTCGATCCTAAGCTTGCACAGTAATCAGAGCAACAACATTGCTGATGTGAGTTGCCCCTAGCTCCCAGACATGCTTCACTAAAATAGTTGTACAGTCTCTCAAATCTCATGAATCTCTTGCTGTGCGCATCAGCACATCACACTTGTTCAACATTTCATGTCTGCTCATGCTTTGACAAGACGGGCAAAGAGGCTTTGGCCAGCATATTGACCAGCCTCTTTGCAACAGCAACAGACATGGACCTTGCAGTGCTTCTCATGCCATGCACTGAGTCAAGAAACACCTTCTGCTGGTGTCCCTGACCTCCGGCTGCTTTAGTGCTTCTGGTGTGATATCCCAGTAGCAACACAGTGATCATCCATTGCCTCTGGTCGAGGCCTAAGAGAACAGCTGACGTGCAATCTACTGGAGCCTCTCATATCAACCCCGCCCTTGCGTACCAATACGTAAGAGAGCAGGTTTATTATGCAGACTGCGAATCCCTGACAAGGCCCCAGGGCCTTCACCCGTCCAGTTGAGACTCAGGCGCTCAGCTTTGCCAGTCCCCCATGCGCAAGAACAGGCGCCAGCTTTTGCAGAGGCCGGCTGTCAGCAACGCGCCGCTAGTACAGAGGAGTTGGAGTTATGGCGTGAGGCCACAGCGGCGGACAAAAGAGGCAACGCCCTATGAGACGACAGCGGTACCGGCTGAGAAGCCGGGCAGTTCGTAGCGGTAGCGGCCGTCGGGCGCGATGCCAAAGCCCTTGGGGTCGGCAAACACATTCTCCAGCAGCTGCCCCTTCTCCTGCGTGCACGGCCACCACCAAGTATGGAATTCAGGTCACTCACAGCAGGAAAGGATGCATACATGAAAGTCACTGCCAGCACCAAATTAGGGAGGAAGGCCTTGCTGGTGGAACAAGGGTGCATCAACAAGATAAATATCTCCCGACCGAGGAACACTCCTGATCATTTGCAATGATATACAGACAGGTCTGAAGACAGAAGAGAAACGCAGTCTCTGCCTACTTTTCAGCAGCAGAGACCTTGCATATGCCCAGGAGAAGAGGAGCAGGCAAGGCACATGAATTTGAAGGGCTTCATGAGGAAGTTTTGGCGGTCTGACTGCATTTGGCATTGATGAGACAGATGTCACATGGATTCTGCGGCTGGGAAGGAGATGCAAAGTGCGGCAAGGCAAATTTCTGCACGCGCACCGGCTTGGGACTCTCGTCGGCAAACTTGACGGCTTCGTCCACGATCTCAATGACGTCCTTCTCAATGTCCTTGATCTGCCCCTCCGACAGCAGGCCCGCCTCCATAATGTACTTCTTTAGCTGCGGGATGGGGTCGCGCGCCTGTAATCACCCCCCAGCTCCACGCTCAGTGATATCTCGACCCCAACTTACCCAAGCACCAAGATTGCTGAAGTCCCTGAAGGATGCTTGCCGCCACAACTTCCAATAATGGCTATACAACCCCACATTGCACCAAAGACTCTCGTTTTGAGCTGGGAGCAGAATGGCCGTCCCCACTGCAGCTAACACTTGCAGCTGGTCAATAAGCATACAGAAGGTATGCCCCAATTTAAATCTCACAATGGCTGGTAGGGTTGCCTGGATTGCACCTGGTAGTGCTCCTTCTCCTCCTTCTTTCTCAGCTCATCCGGGTCGGCCAGGGAGTGGCCGCGGAAGCGGTACGTCTCCGCCTCGATCAGCGTCGGGCCGTCGCCGCGCCGCGCGCGCGCAATCGCCTCGGCCGCCACCTCACGCACCTGAACAGGCAACATCACGGCGTCACATGTCTCGCTGCTGACTTATTTGTTATTAACTGTCGGGCCTGGCACTCTGCAGAATAACTATTGTTTCTCTTTCAGACAAAGCCTCTTCTGTACAAAAGCAGAGCAACGGCAAGTCCCATATAATTCTCGAGGACGCAATTACATGTCAGGAGCTTCAGTGCCAGGACTGTCCTGTAGAGAGGATGGAATGCAGAATATAGTTACAACTTCAGTGAAACTCTGCAAAATCAGACATTGTGTAGGTCAGACTCACCTTGCGCACGTCCATGCCGTCCACGAGGACGCCGGGCATGCCAAAGGCGGGGCCCTTCTTGTAGATGTACGGGTCGTCATCGCCGGCGGAGGGCCCTGTGGCGCGCGGGTGGTACATGCCGATGGCCCACTTGTTGTTCTCCACTACAAAAATGACCGGCAGCTTGTAGAGGCTGGCCATATTGAGGCACTCGTAGAACTGGCCTGTTAGGTGTGTAATGAAGAGCCATCAATATGCTAGAAGGCTGGATGACATTGTTGAATCAAAGGTCACTGGTCGTGCAATCCAGAAGACTTGCCGCAAGGTTCGATTTGTTGTTTAAAGAAGGAAAGAATTGCATTCCATTCCAAAACCAGCGATTATGTCACCAACTTTTGATTCATTCATGACACCAATCATTTCTTCAACACAGGGGGCTGAAGGACGCACCAACATTGCAGGTGCCATCACCGAAGAAGCTGCAGCAGACCTGGTCAGCAGTCTCATCTCCCAGAACTTCCTGTGCAGAGCAATGGGAGGGCACATGAGAACCAATGGCAACACATCGCTTGCGCAGGTCGACATCATTGTGTGTGGCGAGGGAGTGCGAGGAAATCTTTCATAGTCTTTGGATGGTAGGGCAGCAGAAACCTACCCTCCTGTAGCGGACCTGAAAAGCTGCTCCTAGCCCAATGGGAATTCCCTCGCCAATGAATGCATAACCTCCCAGCTGCATTCACAGAGGAGGGCTTCAGTCACACGTAGGCTGCTTAATTGGAGATTTTGTTGATACACAAAAGTGTTCAGTCTGGCTTTGATTTATCCAGATTAATGGCGCACCAGGTTGTGCTTGGCAGAGAACATGTGCATGGAGCCACCCTGGCCCCTGCAGATGCCTGTCTTCTTGCCAAACAGCTCGGCCATGATCTCCCGAGGGGGCACATTCTTGCTCAGGGCGTGCACGTGATCACGGTAGGTTGAACAGATGTAGTCGTCCGCGCGCAGGTTGCGAATGACGCCAGTTGACACTGCCTGCAAGGAACACGCCATCAACAGGCACAGGACTCAGCATGCTGACAATAAGCACAGTGTTTGAGAATTTGAGGAGAATCAGAAAATGATAGGAAAATGCATTCAATCACTGGACTTAATGAGGTGCATCGTGTGAGTCGGGTTGAACGTCTCTGCAATCAACATATTGAGATGGGGCACCCAACAACAGGGAGCATGGCCACGAAACTCACCTCCTGGCCTGAGTATAAATGGACAAAACCAAACATCTTGCCTCGGTAGTACATTTGAGCACACATCTCCTCGAATTCTCTCCCCAAGAACATGTCGCGATCTGGATTGGCAGAACACTTCAGCGAAGCAGCCACATGATCCGTCCGAAGAGCATTAAAGTCAGTGTCAAAAACAGTGAACAATGAAATGCAAAGAAAGGGTATGACGTACAAAGATCAGCAGCGACCTCTGGAGACAAGTCAGCCTTGCTGGTGGCAACTTTGGATGACTTCACAGGAGCTTCGACTGGAGCCGGCTTGGCTGCAATTGCCTGCGGCTTTTCAATGCTCCTTACTCTTCTAGGCAATTGCACATGCACTGGCAGCAAAGGGCGCCCGGTGAAGGCTGCTCCATGGGCAAGGTGCGTGGTCCTGCGTTGCTCAGCACTGCAGAAAGCCTGTGCCCCAGTGCCCTGGGCGAAAACAGACGACATGGCAGCTCCCCTTTCTAATTGAGGAAAGTCGCGATTGCAACGGCCCTGCCCAAGTGCTGAGTGCGCAGGATTACCTTGGCATTCAGTCTTGACCAAGGAGCTAACGGAAACCGTGTGGTCCACCCAATCATGTTTCACCCCTCTTCGCTAGATCATCATGTCGAAATGACTTCCCAATTTACTTGACGACAGACATGTAGTAGAAAAAAGATAAGGCTTGCTTGTGCACAAGATAGATTTATCTGGATCTGTCTTAGGTCTGTGACAAGAAAATTAATCATTACATCTTGGGCATGGTGTGGAGATCCTTTTGACGCTTTACACCTGAGAAATGTAGGATACATCTCAAAATGAAAATTACACGATCGTTCCTTTCAGAAAGACCTTAGAACGGCAGTGTATCTCGACTCCTGCATTGCGAGCCTTAAAGGGCTTCAGCCCTTTTCGATCCAGAAAGGGATTGCAGCAAGTTTCCGCAAGATCGCGCGCAACAAATGAGTTGCTAATTCATCTTTTAATCAGGAGCCTCTTCGACTGCAGTTGCTTCCTGTTCCACTCGCATTCTATCATACAGACCATTAGGGTTCCTTCAATGAACAGCCAGTGACTGGCAGCAAAGACTCATGTGCAGCACCGATTCCTCGTCAGCCAGCCATAGATGCGCAGCAGAGTGATCAGACACATGTGGGACCGAATCATGCATGCCGATTACAGTCTGCCGTGTGTCGGCATGGCAAATGCTCCCGCTTGGGGAACTCTATCGAGGCAGAGCATTCGCTGCCATGGAGCTCATCAGGTACCTGATGACATGCGCCAGCTTGGTTGCATCCACAGCCAGAGCCAATCCCTTGCAGGACCGAAGCTGAATGCGCGCAGACTGGTGTCCCCAGCCGCCCGGAGCTTTGCCACAGGGCCATCTCTCGCGGCACCTAGCAGACCATGCAGCTCGCTTTCTGCAAGAAGCCTGGTGATGCGTGCCAGTACAGGGCAGAGGTGGCTGCAGCATGGGCACTGGGGCAGGACAGGACTGCGCCATGCAGGCAGCCAGTCAGGCTCAGGCGAGAGCGCATCGGGGCATTGCGGACTCAGACGCTCCGTTCGTGTGGCAGCAAACGGCGAGGCTGGTTTTATTAAGGGAGCGGGCGTGGTGAGTTGTGCCTGCCTTGATCATCTACTTTGCCTAGCATGCATCGGCTGTGAAACTTGCCCTTTGTCCAAGACCTCCTAAGCACTTCCTCAGGGGCACCCCGCATCAAGGCATTTTGTACTGCAGACAAAGGTCTGATAGCCTGAACAACTCTTGCTAGAATGCCATAGTCTTATATCGGGGTTACACTATGGTAACACCAGTGGCCATGCTGGGATGTGGCAATCATGCAGGTGTTCTCAGAGAGCCCAGGGCTGAAGCTGCAGCGGAGGGCGTTCATTGTCTGGGACGACGGTGGCCCAAAGTCGGTGTTCATTGTCAAGAAACCCCACAGCCTGGAGGCCTCAGCAAAGATGAAGGAGATCGGCGACTGGTGAGCCAATCTACAAATTTGGGAGTGTCCTGGCATGCAGCAACCAGGCTCTGCAGAATATTTCTCTTATCTTTTCCTGGCTAGAGAAGAGTATACATTTACATCAAAGGTGAAATTCATGACAGCTGCATAGGCAACGCCCTTACGGTGGCCTCAGAACTTTGACATTGTGCAAGGTGATTGAGGCATGTCTGATTGGTGCAGGCTGACCAGCAAGGGGCTGAATGTGCTGGTGGAGAGGAGCGTACACATGAAGGAGTTCCCTGAGTTTGGCTGTTTTGAACCAAGGCATAACGGTGGGCGCTCACATGCATAATCCCTTGCCAGACCTTCACATGTCTCACCGCATCAACCCAATCACTCACTAATTTGATCTAATCGGCGAGCTCAACATTATGCAGTGATTGTGTCTCGAGCTTTGACCTGAAAAGCAGAAAGTGGTAAGCCCTGAGTGTGAGATTGGCCTGGAACTTTTGCATGCGGCTGAGCCAACACATTGTCCTCTAGATTCTCCTGTTAACTTCCCTGGTCAGGAATTTATCAGATGGGCATGAGTCAGCCGTGAGGTCAGCATGTTAGTCGGCGTCTGAGTCATCGGCCACCTGCGCTGCGCAGAGGTGGACTTCTGCGTCACCCTGGGCGGGGACGGCACAGTGCTCCATATAGCGTCGCTGTTCACAGAGGACGAGCCGCTGCCGCCAATTGCGTCTTTTGCGATGGGCACGCTCGGCTTCCTGACGCCATTTGATGCGGCCGACTTCCAGGAGTGCCTGCAGCGCGTGCTCACTGCCACCGAGCTACCCGTCTTCTGCACGCTCCGGACGCGCAAGCGTTGTGAACTCTTCCGGTGCGCTGAGAGCCAAATGGCCTGCTGGTGTGCCTGGACCGTGGGCCTGGCCCCCATGTCAATCCCAAGGAGTGGATGCAATAGGGGCATTCTTAGGCTACTGGCAGCACAGGTTGTGGAGAGGCATTGCCAGAAGCTTCCCCTGTATGTCAGGGATTTTCCTTGTGCGGATTGCCTGGCTCATACAGGACAGCACCATCCAAGTGCTGATCAGCCGTGCTGCCCGTGTGACCCAGAGCTGCATGATTTCCACCATGCAAGCACATGGTGGGCCCTTTTCATCATGCAGTGAGTGCAAGCCGGGCACTGCCTCAACTGCAGGCTGCCGCTGCTGCCGCAGGGACGGGGAGGTGCATGCGGTGCACCATGTGCTGAACGAGTGCCTGATCGACCGTGGGTCTTCCCCCAGCATGGTGCGCCTGGAGCTCTACGTGGACGGCCATCACATAACCACCGTGCGGGTGAGCACCCCTCTGCTCCACGCCATACAAGATGTCTACGACCTCCTACCTTGAGGCTCCTCGCGCCCTCGCTGGTTTAGATTTACTGCCTGGCAGCTCCTCTGGCATGGCGTCCGCTGGTGGAGTCTGCTAATTTTTCTCCAGAGTGTGAAGACACACACCTGCTAACAAAGCCATATTTGCTGTTGGCATCCTTCGGGGTCTGGCAGGCTGTTGCCGGCCCGCAAGCTGCGCAGCAGTCCCTCCCTTGATCATGCGGCTCGCGATAAAAAAAATGCGCCTGCGCAGGCGGACGGGCTGATCATAGCGACGCCCTCCGGCTCTACGGCATACTCTCTGTCATCAGGGGGCCCCATGGTGGCACCGTCGGTGCCGTGCGCGCTGCTGACGCCCATCGCGCCGCACTCGCTCTCCTTCCGGCCGCTTGTTGTCCCCGAGGCCTCCGACATCGAGATCCACCTGCCCGCCACCTCACGCAGCCACGCCAGGTGGCGTTCCCTCTCTTGAGCGTTCAGTGAACTCCACGTGCATTTGTCACTCCAGTGACTACACTTGTAAGAGGGTTCTGAGTGCACGCCGCTGTAACTGGCAGACCCTTCCCACCGCTGTAGAGATGCCCTGCCTACAACACGGGCAACAGGAAGGGGATCATTTGTAAGATCTGCAGTCAGCGTCTGCGAGATCTGGAGAGCAAACCTGCAAACCTGCTGTTCCAATTTGCTATTTGTTATCTTGCTCTGGCCCCATCGTGGGCATGTCCAGGACTTTTAGCAGGGCTGGCCCTGCTGGCATTATGGATATATTAGTGCTTCATGCTCCGTGACAGAGTGACCAGCATGTGGCATCTTTTCATTATGTGTAATTGCTGCTGCAGATCTCCTGCCATGTGCGGGGCTGTGGAATTCAGCTTCCGGCTGCTTGCTAAGCTCTGTCTCGTGTGGGTGTGGAGTGGTCTGTTGAGTATCTGTGCTCTTCTGGCTGGGCAATAGAAGCGCTGAAGACATCTACGTGAGACCTGCATGTGGCAAGCGAATTGTTGGAGACGCACATGCGCTCCGCTGTGAAGTGATTATGGCAATCGTGGTGCAGGGCGAGCTTTGACGGCAGGAATACGCAGCGCATGATGGCGGGCAGCAGCATGCGCTGCACTACCTCACTCTGCGCGCTGCCAGTCATAAACCTCGCCCCGCTTGACAATGACTGGCGCGTTGCTGTCCTGTCTTCCTTTTTTCATTTGTTGCACTCGCAGTCAGCTGCATCTCTTTGTATAGCTTGCCATCCTGATCATCGCCGAGATAGTACAAGGAAGCCCTCCTCACTAACTGGGCGTGCTCATGCGTTTGCTTGTGACGTGTAGAGTGCCATCCTGAGAACAATACATAGGCAGGAGCACATGAGCTGACACCCTGAATGTCCGCCATTCTCCTCTTGGTCCCATCCCTGTTTTGCTTTACATGCAGGTACGATGGGATTGTCCAGAAGCTGAAGTGGAATGTGTCCATCCGGGAGATTGGGAGGCTGCCTAGCCTGAAGAAGCACTCATTTGGGGACAACAATTCAGCAGCCCCTCTCAGCAGATCCTGACACATGTCGGGCCGTTTGTATCATCTGTGTGCAAATGTCAAGTCCTCAATGTTAGAGATGTCCTGTTTGATGTCAGAAAAAGTCCAGCTGCAGGCCAGACCAAAGTGGGCAGGTTAGACTTGTCTTGCTGTGCAGCTTGAATGCATGCTCTTGAAGTTTACAACACCAGGCGTGCAATTACAATTGTAGAGTAGTGAAACGTTCGCATCGATGAGTTTCTAGATTGGCAGTAACTGTACTTTTTTGCCAGGCAGTCTTCAATGTAAACCCGTGAGATGCACACATTGCATCCCAAGAAGAAAATCCTCTGAAATGGTCCGTCTCGTGTCACTATTACTGCTGGCTTCTCCATGGCGTCGCATGCACAGTGCCACATCATGATCTGGACATGCGTACCACAGCTCAGCGGCCTTGTCAGTGAACACAGGATCAACCCTCGTGTAGAATTTATCCTGCGCATCGATGCCAGCGGCAGCCATCTATGATATCATGGTATTGTACATGTCATTGTCAGACTTTACTCAAGCGTTGTATCCGTCGCATCAGTGTTTAGCATCTGTTGTAGTAAGACAGTCTGGATGGTGGTGATGTTTGCGAATGGAATATCACTTTTAATAGATATATTTTAGAGGTGTGTTTTGGTTGGGTAAGTTATTATTTTGTTTTGTGCCCGGGCAGCTGACGCTAATCCCAGGCCTACCAAAGATTATTCCGTGGAGATACCCTCTTGGAGCACTCCTACCACGCCGCCGCAAGCTGAGTGCAAGGCAAGCAGCGGGGATACCCGGACCGTCTTCGTGATCACGGTGCCGAGCCGGACAGGAAGGAAGGAAGGAAGATTACATCACTCCAGCCGCCTAGGGCTGATTGGATGAACTGGCAGCATCCAAATAATCAAAACAATCCATCACAAAATGTGCAACACCAACAATGTCCAACTGCCACAGGTAAGTATGGACAGGTAAGTATGCCGCTTCAGTTCAAGTGGATGGGTCCAGATCAAGGATCCTGTTCGATCTCTGAAAAGCGATTACGGGACCGACCCTACCACAGAGACCAGATGCTTGGAGGTCTTCATGGACTGTGAGACCAAGGTGATGATGCCTCAGATTGATGTGTGAGCACGCTTGGAGGCAGAGTTCCAAGGAGCACTTCCCGATGCCTTCGGTTCACCAGATCAAGAGGCGACCTGCGTCCCATAAGCGCTCTTTCCCTCGTCCTGAGGAGCGTACCTCTGGGCTCAGATGCTACAACGTTGGCGAACATTTCCAATATTTCTAATACGCGGGTGAAAGACCCCGCCCCAAACTCACTCACTGCCACACTCCCAGAACCATCACACAAAACAGAACAACATACCACCACTGCGAAATTTCGTCGTCGATGTTCTTCATTATTAATTTGATCTGTAATAAAAATTGCGATGGATGTTGGAGCTATGTGTCTTAGCTTTGTTCGTTCATTGAAAGTATGTAAAGGATGATATATTCGTTTTGATGGCCCGAAGGCTCCAGAAATTCTTCAGCACGGCTTTCGCCGGTGAAGGGGGATTGGATATAGTTTTCAAATAGCAATAGTCTCGGATCGGTTAACCCTCATTTCCGGAGACGCTACCCCAAGCGCAAGAATACAAACCTGATGTTTCGCAGAGGAGTAGGCCACATCGCCCACGTGGGATCAACCACAGGCAGTATGGGACGATGCAAATGCTGATCAACACCCTTAAATTCCACGGTTGCTGCACACAGTTCCTTCTCTGATTCGTATAATATACAGAAGATCTTTGCAGATCATGCTTCTTGTTGCTTCATGCGTCCAAGCATATGTTCAGGGTATTCAACTAATTTGCCTAAGGGCCTAGTAGGCCATCCTCTGGGAATCACATGGGCTGACGTAACACACACCGCCATGGACACACCAGTCATTAGATTAAAGTCAGGATCACTACTGCTACCGCACCTCAACACTTTACTGCCGCAGCCTAGCCTATGGAGCCTTGCAACAAGTCCTTCAGCCCGCAGATTTAATTTGTTTTTCAATGAATTTGAATGACCTCGTGTCATATCTAGAAGAGGCTGCGTTCCAGCAATATTATTTGCGGTTCCATGCCTGGGATGCCTCCTCATCGCAGAGCAGCCTGACAATGGTGTCCACAAGCTGCCCGCCAATCCCTGCCAAGTCCAGGTCGGGCCGGCCAGCCTGCATCACCGGGCAGCCAAACTTTTCTCAGGCCCTGCATGGTTTGTGTCACCAAATAAGGATGCATCCGTGCACAGTGAGTCGCTCTGCAGGTTCTCTGGCAATTCTTTAGGACTCTGCCCAGGCCATTCTATGGAGGCCAGCAGTGAACCACTGCGATGCTCATCTGGCAGACCTTTCAGTCATGTTAAGGCGCGCAGCAGTCGCTGCGCGCCAAAGTAGGGTCGGCATTCAAGTCCCCCCAAGAATGTGTCTCAAAGTGTTCAACCTCATTCACCCATTGGCCAAGGAACTGCATGGGCTGATGGACGACACCGCATCATGGACACGCCAGCCTCTAGATCAATGTCAGGGTCAATGGACTCACAAAGTCATGATGTTTCATTTTTTGATGCACCATGGTTACACCCCGAGGCAGCCTTTCCTCCCTTCTTTGCGCTTGCACTGACTTGTATCTCTTGTACCGTACTATACCTTAGATCAAAATTGACCAACACCCCCTTCCCCAGCAGCGCATCCGCGCAGCGCGCAGCTTTCCCAGGGAACTGCATGGGCTGATGAAGGACACCGCACCATACAGACACCAGATCAAAACCAGGATCAACATGCTACGGCACTTACAGATTTGACCGCACCTTCTTCTCGAGGAGCGCGTCCAGCGCAGCGCGCAGCTGCTTGACGAGAACGGCGGTGGGGGCAGAGGCGCGGATGCGGATCCAGTTGTCTATGAGGGCGTACCCTCCCTCGTGCACCACCGCCAGCTCGCCACCAAATAGCAGCAGCGCCATTGGCGACACCACCGTACAGTCGCGCAGGAACGTGCGGCTCGTGCGCACCTGCGCGCATGTGCACTCTGATTACTAACCCGCAATGGTCCGGCCAATCTCTAACTCGCTAACAGGCAGGAATTGTGATCCACCTTAGTCCCAAGCTCCCCTAGTTGCCTGGGAATCTCTGCCAACCCTTCATGTCTGACGAAGGCAATGCCCGTCACAGTAAGCAGGCTCAGAGCACGCTAGCATGCATGCCTCATGAAAGGGGTCTCTCAGTTTGACTGCAGAGAAAACTTTGTTCTCAGAAAGCACAATAGACACAGTCATCAAAAGCAGGTCCATCAAAAGGCCGCTGGAATGTGCAGCGCCAGCAAACCATCGGCTTGAGTGCATCAGAGAAACAACAAACGAGAAGGAGCTATAAAAATTGTGCTGGCCGACCATTTGACAACTTTCCTGCCAATGCCACCTCTGACTCTGCCGCAACCTCGTGCAGAATATACCTGAATCCAAAACACACAGAGACTGCCAAGGGTTGCACCTTTTCAAGGTAGACGAGGTAGGGGCGCAGGAACTGGTGAGCCTCCAGGGGGTGGTTGATGGAGGAGGGGTGGATGTGCACATCCGCCGTCCCATCATTCCAGGCCGGCCGCGCAGATCTGCCGGCCGCCTCATCCATCACTGCAGCGTTGGGGTACAACGCCGCGCAGAGCACCGCCTTCACCTGTTGCACCAGGGAAAGGTTATCAGATATATCAGCCGTCTCTGGAGCCTCAGATATGCAACTTCACTGCCGTTGAACTTGACAGATGTCAGAGATGCACTCAGCCGCTCTCCAGGGGATGCCTCAGACTGGATACCCCGTTCCCTAAGGACAGTGACAGACAAACAAAAAAAAGAGTGCAAGCAGCCCAATAGAAAGTTTCCTTCAACGCCTTCCTTCAGCTCTCCCTGTAGTGCCATTTATGCCAAGCACGCCACGGTGCACTCAAGAGATGCAGCAACATCAGGGATGCTGGAGTCTGATCGGCGTGTAAGCCAGGATGGGCCCCCGGCTGCGCACCACTGCGGGCTTGGAGGAGTGTGCATTCCAGGCGGCTTTTCTGTCGTCCACCCAGTGGGCGGCCCCGGCGCCGCCCTTGCCGCCCCGGCCGCGGCTGAGTGCGCCCTTGGGAGCTGCGACGAAGCCAATGTCGGCGAGCATGGCCGCAAACTGCTGCCGCATGTCTGCCAGCATCTCCAGCGTCTGCGCGCTCAACATGTGCTTGCGCGCAAACGCACCGGCCGTCTGCCGGCCGCCCTGCGCAGTGATCCCATCAAATGCTCTCATCAGCCTATCACTCAATTTCATACTGCAGACAAACCAACAGGAATCACCTTATTTCTGGGAGCTTTGCTTACAGTAGATTGAAGCAGGACTATCCAGGCAAATGTTCAGAGTCAAACCCACGTGTACATACAATTGCCTGGACAGCCATGCATCAGTTCGCTGTAAGCACGGCTCTCGATATTTGCCAGGAACAAACGAGGCAAGAGTCTGGCCAATGCAGTCTAGCACTCAACCGCTGGGAAAGATACCCAAGTCTTTCCCCTTACATTTTTAAGAATTACTTGCTGGCTGAGAGTCTGTGCAACTCAGAAGACCCTGCGGGCATTCGAACATTCAAAAAAAAGGCTCTATCGACTGCAGCAACATGGTAGCATCTGTGCAGACCTGTGCTGAGGCGGCCATCCAGCCATCAAACGCTGCCACCATGAGCAGGTGGTCCGACTGCTGCCCAGAAGCCACATTCCCGCTGCCTGCGGACAGTGGACAACTTTAGATTTAAGCACGGTAAGCACATCATAACCTCAGGCACAGGCGTGTGCACCCAACAGAAGGGTACACATTCCATACTTTGCAGCGCGGCGCTTTGAGTTGAGCACCTTTGAAACAAGCCCTTCTGGTTACTAACCGAAAGATGTGTCTGTCGAGTTCCATAGACACCCCGCCCTCATAAAGCACTTGAAAATAATTCAAAAAGTAACCGCCTTCAGGTACAAGGATTACTATAAGCAGCAGGCAGCACCTGAACTACCGAATGCCTGTTTGGCGCGCATGGCGGCATCCTGCTGCTCGAAGGGCGCCGAGAAGGGGCTCTTGTAGGAGAGGCAGGCCGCAATTGTGAGTGCCGGGGAGAGGCAGCCTAATGATGCGCCCAGCAGCAGCAGCTTGCCTACCTTGGCGTCCACTGGCAGCTGGGCCAGATTGCGGCCTGCCCAAACCAATGCAGCATGCTCAGTCCCACTGCTACTGACTGCCAGAAACATTGAGTTTTGGCTTGTTTTGCCACAGTTTTGACATCTCATCATGAAACTCGATCGATGTTTACGTTCAGTGTGACATGATATTCTGAAGATTTTCGGCAGATGCGCGACGGGTGCGCACCCAGGGGCGTGAGCTGTTCGGAGGGGGTGAGCGCGCCGATGGTCTGCAGCTGCGTGACAGCTCCCGTGACGCTGCGCGGCGGCGGCGGCTCCAGCACCTTCACACCGAACACACCGGCTCAACATCCAGTCATCCCTCAACGCATATATCAATCATTCATTGCAGTTGAAGTACAACTTACAATGCAGCTTGCCCTGCTTCACAGACGCGTCAAGGGTATAACAGTGGCTCACCTTGGAGAGGAACTGCGCGGCTGGCCCGAGGCCCAGCAGGTGGATCTGCAGCACGAGCTCCTCAAGCGGCACTCGCGCCATTTCTGGAGCCTGCACAGATACCATTAAACCGCCTGAGTTGCTGCACATTCACCAGCTCATATAGAAGTCAGACCCCTCAACTACAGAGAAACGTGTGTTTTCTATTCTATGTCCCTCTGCACTTTGCACCATGGTCTGCACCGCGAGTGTCAAATGCGAACAGGTAGATGAGACTGTCAAGCTCCTGGGAGTCTCCCGAGGAGTCTGCCCGCCAGTTCATGCCGGCTTCAGCGCATGATCTGGCGTTGTGTGCAGGATGAGTCAGAGAAGAGAGCGCGGAGCGCGCCTGGTACTTGCGCATGCGCTCCTCGAAGCGGTGCCGCGTGTAGAGGCCGAAGCAGCGGCCCGGCCGCACTCGCCCGGCACGGCCCCGGCGCTGCAGCGCGCTCGCTCGGCTGACCCAGTCTTCCACCAGCAGGCTCATGCCCCGGCTCGCATCATACCTCCGCTCCTGCGCACAACGACACAGATAATTCACAGCAGATATTTAGCGGGTGAAAGCTTGCAGGCCATACTCTGCCTAGTCCCCTAGCTCCCTTCGGAGATGATGTGTGGAAGCACGCCATCGCACCAGAAGGCAGGCTTGATCGAAAGGCGCATCATAATGGCATTCTTTCTGATCAAAATGCTCTCTGCTGTTGAAGCGTTCTAGACAGGGGTCAATCAAACCCCTTGGGAGCTTCAAACGACCCCAGTCACCCTAAACCCTAGGGTTTAACCCATTGCTAGGAAAGCTCTGTCACCATCTGCAGATCAAATAGGGCCGTTGATCACTGCACAGTTCCTCTTAGGAGGACCAGCTCATCATAGATTGCAAAGAAATGCGGAAGGCAGCGGGCTGCTCAGTGCATTTGATGGAGCATTTCTTCACCGCGCACCTTGAGCTTGCCGCTGTCGACAACGTAGACCACGTCCTCGATGGTCAGGCTGGTCTCTGCGATGTTGGTGGCCAGCACAACCTTGCGCACATGCGCAGGCGGCCGCTCGAAAACGCGGCGCTGCTCCCCGGGGGAAATGCTCGAATGGAGCGGCAGCACCAGCAGTGTCCCCTCCCGGTGCGCGCGCGACGCCGTCAGCCGATCGTACACCGCCATTATCTCCCCCAGACCTGCCGCCACAGGTGATCCTAAGTTGAGTTGAGAGTCCCCTCTTATGGTGCCCTGCAATAATTAATGTGAAGACTTTTTGTCTCCACCCACACGGTTAAAAAGCCTATACTTAAGTGCATGCTGTTTCGCCGTCAGCGGCTGAGAGCAACCCAGGCCCCAATTCTCAACCATCTTACTTGCCGGATACATCCTCAGGTGCCAGCAGAATCAGCGCAAAGAGCCACAAAATAGGGGCGCCAGGCACCGCTGCAACTGAGCGCGCAAGCTTCTGGCGGCCAGGGGACTCCTAATTAATTTCTATGAGCTCCCTCACGAACGCTGCTCAGATTATTTGGGCATGAGAGAGAGTCCTCTGCAGCGCTAAGGCATGGGCATGAGATGTGCGAGACAGCAGGACAGCTTCCCACCAGGGAGAAAGACGAGGATGGCGCCTTCCTCGTAGCTGCCGTCTATGTGCGCAACCAGCTCTTCCAGCAGGTCATAGTCGATGCGATTCTCGTCCAGCCGCGCCAAATTTCTCCGAGTCGAAACACTGAAATTCGCGTAGCGCTCTGCGTCAAAGTGCGGGTTGAGAGCGCCCGCGTCAGCCGCATCATCTCCCCAGCCCGCCTGCAGGTGGTGGCACGCCCGAGCCACATTAGGCTAAATCTCACAGGTGGGACAGGCTCACAGACTCTCTCCAGCATGTCAGGCAAACGCATGTGACCCTAGCACTTCCATGCATTGAAAGCCAAGGCTTGCTAGACAACAATATCGCAGATCACGGCGCTTGAACATGCTGCTTGTCCAGTGGCTTTGCCCAGACATCTCCCACAAGGCTCGGCTTCCCACCCTGTAGCCTCCGACTAGTATGCTGAATTTTCTCAACTATAAGACATCGAGGCTGCGCTGCTCACCACCCAATGCACCTTCCTGAGGGTCCATGGACAACACCCCAATTGCTAGCGCCTTCATGCTCAAACATATTACCTGACAGCTGACTCACGCTAGTGACAGCAGAAGCAAGGACAGGAGAAGAGCGCTCACCTTGACAAGGCTCTGCTGCCCCTGACTGACAGTCTTCTCCAGCTGCTTCCTCCGGTCCTTGTGGCCGTAGTCGCGCAGCGCAGACGGGGATTCAGCATCCAGCCGATACCTGCAACGACCCGGCCACCGCTCAAGCCAGCTGCAACCCTAGCGCACTTGCACTAATGCAAAATACGACAGTGGAGTTTTCCACCACAAAGGTTTGGTGACGTTGCCTCTGCCACTGTACCAAAGATTTCTAATGCCGGAATGCCCATAAACATTGAGGCCCTGGGAAGCAACCGGATCACAATACCAGTCATTAATAACGGCTTGGCACCCACAAGCACCACTGGAAGAAGGAAGTCCATGAAATGACCAAGGTGACGAGAGTGAGCAGCACCCTGTAAGCTCGTAGGTGTCTTCCAGGAAGTGGTGCTCGACTGGGAATGTGCGGCCGCCCGCCACAAGCACAGGGCAGTCGCCATAGTACCTGGCAAACAGGTTCGAGTCCAGCGTGGCAGACATCAGAACCACCTGCACAGAGCATACACACAAGACCTTTAACGTCTCACCAGTCCTCTCCTCCTCTCCTCTCCGCTGCACTGGAGATCTTTCTGGCTATACCAGTACTGCAACGATCACCAAGTATGCATTGCAAATTTACATGTTATCATCACACCGCTATTCTGCAAGGAACTAACGCAGCAGCACTTCAACAACAGCATCGCCAGGATCCCAGCCTGTCTGCATGGGGCTTCCAGCATGCTGAGCTCAAGGCGATTATGTCACTGACATGCTGCTCATTCTTCGCAGTACAGGTAAGCTCTGCAATAACTCACTTTGAGGGGATGGCCGCGGGACCGCCTCTTGGCGAGGATGTCCTTCAGGAGGGCCATCAGGAAATCACTCTGCAGCGTTCGCTCGTGCACCTGCACCACACCCTCCCATGTACTTCCCCTGCCCCACCCTTGCTGTCGGTGACAACACATGCATGTGGACAGCTTCTCAGAATGCCATACCGGAGGTTTTTATGATGTACTCTTATCGGGGTCTGAATTGAATTTGAGGGAATGTGCAGCACAAGCAAATACATTGCCAGACATGAGATTGTGTTGTATTGACATGGCGAACTCTGAGAGGCTGCGCACCTCGTCCACAATCACATGGGAGACGGAAGCCAGCTGCGGCTCGGAGGCGAGCCGTCGCAACAGGATGCCCGTGGTGCAGAACAGCAGCCGCGTGTCACGCGTGCTCGCAGCGTCTAGCCGTACATGGTACCTGCAAGCACCCAGTTCCTTGCACCCTACATTCAATGGTATTCTTTGGGTGGCATCCATATCAACACTCACAAGCATGCACCACACTACTCGTTCTCTCGGGGTGACGGCTGTCTGCAAGACTCTCGCTGGAACAGGTGCATCCTTGGCCATGTAAGTACAGTGCACATATATACACAGCCATTTCAATGTGGATCTGTGCCAGTGCAGTGATCATGCAATGCACACCCAGCCGGCTGTTCTGCCAAAGAACAACAGAATACTGTAAGTGGAGGCAAAGATCTCACCCGACTCGCGCGCCGGCGGCGCCCGGGGCAGGCTCGCCGCGCTCGCAGGCAACGCGGTCGGCCACGGAGATGGCTGCGATGCGCCGCGGCTGCGTGCACACAATGCTGCACGCACCACCCTGCCCCGCCTCGATCGCCGCGTCCAGCAGGAATTGAGGCACCTGTGCACTTGTAGCAGATACTCTTCTTAGCAGATACTCTTCTTATGGGTGCTCATATCGCTGGCAGTGCGACACCATGATCGCCTGTCACTATTGAAAATTTGCAAAAAAGGCACTTTTGAGCAAAGGCCATGAGCAGCTCAGGAGGCTTTTTGTGTTGATCAAACCTGACACAGTGGCATTAGCAAGGCATCGGGATATCTTTGTGCAGGGGCACGGCAGATAGTGATTTGCAGAGGACTGCAGTGCAATTGATTAGGGGGCATGCCTGTGTGGTCTTCCCACAGCCGGTGTCGCCACCCACAACCACGAGATCGTGGTCTGCCAGGGCAGCCAGCAGGCCTGCCCGGATCTGCACCACGGGCAGCTGCTGCCGCTTCGCGTCCCACTCCTGCCCCTCCCTGCTGCCCCGCCACCTCCTCTGAGCGTCCAGCATCTTCCTGCTCTCTGCAACCTGCACAATCCAAGTGCACCAGGGTTTCAGGCGGCATGCATGCTAACAAAGCAATGGCTTATCGATCTCCCCCTCCACCAGTGGATTCTCGAGATGCACATATTGTACTGCGGTAGAACCAGTTTGTCATGCAGAGAGGGCCTGACCGAGATTGAGAGTGTCAAGGGTGTAAGGAAGTTCCCTACCTGTGCAGGAGTGAGGGCAGCCGGCTTGTCTGCAATTGGGCCAGTCTCCACATCGCGCTGACTGCCATTGCTTACCTCCTCGTCTTTTGAATGAGCTTGCCGGCCAGCTCCACTCGTTGATGCATCCAACCCTTGTTCCTGGAAAGCAGCCAAGCCGTTTCAGGAGCATATATTATGGCCGCGTTTCCACATGCAGACATTGATGCCTTTTCTGGAACGGCTGAACAAAGCATGTTCAATTCAATGTGCAACACCTTGAGATTGATTCCATGACATGCGAGGCACGTTCTTACAGACTAGTGACACAAAAGGCTTCATTATGACACCTTTTCCAGCTGCTGGCAAATGACAGGAAGTAAGAGGGCCAACCTGGGATATGAGGGAGTTGATGAATGCTTGGCGCTCCTCTTCATGAGCCTGCTCTTGGGAATCCTGCCTCACTTCTCCTTCTTGGGACTCCCACTTCAGCCATAGGTCCTGGTACAGCCGGTCCAGCTGCCTCCAAGCAGCCACCCTCTCCTCATCACCTTGCAGTACCTGACAGCCAGCAGGCAGGTGCCTTCCGTCTCACCCACACTTGCACCAAATATGCCTTTCAGCAGGACAACATGTAAGCTGCACATAATTTTGAATCTGTGTGAATCAGCGCAATGAAACACACTCTGCATGCAAGCATGTCAAGAAGCCGACTGGAGATATGCAAGAGCGGAAAACCCACAGAACTCAAACCATGGCAGTTTTGGGGCTCACATTGTACAGGACAAAAGTTGCCGCTGCATTCTGGGCTTCCTGGATGGTCTCCCAGCCATCCTCCTCTTCATATATCGTGAAGGTTCTGGGAGGAGCAGCCTGCAACATGTCACAGTCTCTCACAAAGACTCGCAGTCAATTTCAACTGTTCAAAGGCAGACTTGGCACAGGAAATCTTGCACGTTGTAGAAGACACAAAGTCTTTCATAAGCACAAAGCAGATACCGGGCTCTGTTTTGCCTCGGATTGAACAACGGTGTCAATGGCAGCAAGTAAGGCAGACACCAGACCATGCACAAGCCGAGCACCAATGACGGACATGTGCATACCCATTAGATCCCAGACAAGTCAATGCAATTAGACCTTATAGTGCCCCAGGACCTCTGAGTGCCCCATAGACCGAGCCAGGACTGTCTTCGCGCATCCCTGCCTTGCATGCAATGTAATAGATTGCCCCACCCAGAGGTCAGCTGGTCACTAAAGGCCAGTGAAAAGCACCTTCTTCTTGCGTCCGTTGGCTGGGGGCATTTCCAGGGTGGCGGAGTAGCGGATGCCGGCAGCAGACATGCGCTGGCCGCCCATGGCCAGGCGCTCGAAGCGCGGCGGCGGCCACTGCCGCTTCTGGCAATGCTGCTGCAGCAGCGCCTTGGGCAGCTTCGTCTCCTCCACCACCTCCGGCCTCTCTGCACCAGCCAGGACCGGAATTGCTACTCACTGGTCATGGTTGCTTAGCTTTACTTCTGCCCCTCAGCAATGAATGGTACAATTACCACAAACCCCTTGTAAAAATACAGCACGTGACATGTGCCAAAGCTCCTTCCATTCTTGCTGCATCTTTAATTGCTGCATCTTTATCTGCTGCAATGCCACAGACCTCGTGTGCATGCTAAGCAGGCAACCCACATAGCCAGATATTATGAGATAAAAGCAGTACTCCAGGAGAGAGGTGGCCGGGAGCTCACTTTTGAGCTTGCTGCCCTTCTTCTTGGCCCCGCTGTAGCCGCCCCACGGCGTGACCAAGTCAGCGATGCTCTTGGCGGCGGCAGGCTGCCCAACATTCATCATGGCTGCCGCATCCTCATCAAACATGCCAGGCCCCAGGTCAATGTCCTCTTCCTCCTCTTCAGCTCCTCCCCCTCTGCTATCTCCCTTCTGTGACTCCTTTGCCCCAGCTGACAGTTCCGATGCTGACTGGCTTGCCTGCATTACCAGTGCATCACCTTACTGTCAGCCACCCCTTGACATTCTTCTGTCATTGCATTAGGGACTCCATCCGCATGGTGCACAAGACACATCACTCACCCGCAGCATTTTCCGCCTGTAACCATGCGTTTTTTATTCAAGAATTTATTTGGCTTCCCTTCAAAAGCCTACCTCGGACGCTTGGTCAAGGCCACGCGAAGGCAATGCTGCAGCTGCTGTATTGTTATCACTGCGATTTTGACCGTTGGGCACCTCCAAAAATCTCTCTCCCTTGCCATACCCAGAACTTTGGTCGCTTGATTGCGCATGCTGCCCTCCATTCCCTGCCACAGATGGGCCTGTAAGCGGTGGTGCGGCACATGTATCAAACTCATCTTGCCTAGTTCTGTGAGCCTGATCACTTCCTGACAATGCAACACCATAGCAGCAGCATGATCTGCATGCTTTTCGGTATAGACACCTTGGGACCACCAGAATAATCACCTGCGTTAGTACAAGTGCCAAGGGTGCTGGCTTCACCAAGATCCGGCCATTCTTCAGAGTCTTCAGCTGGTGCCGATGGAGGTTCCCTCACAGTGAATCTCTCTGCCAGCGCTTCAATGGCCGCCTCCGTGAGGCCTGCGGAGTGCAGATTCCATAATTACATCTCCCATCTGCCTTACTTGGGATACTGTAGTCATGAGCATGCTCCCCTGATTGCCGACCAGGAAAATCCAGCTGTCCTGCATGATAATCACAATTGGGACGACATCAATTGGTCCTGTCCTCAATGGCATGCAAAGGATAAGGAGCATGAGGCTCACCCAGCTGCGCGATCTCCTTCTTCAGGCCTGCGATGACCTGTCCGGCCGCCTTTTGGCGGGCCTTGTCCCCGGCCGCCTTTGCGCGCGCCGCCTCGCCCCGAGCCGTCGCCCAATCCTCCGCAATCTGCAAACTTGCTCACCGTGAGATGCGGCTGGACAATCCCATGGACCGTCAGATATGGTCGCACGCATCCATCATGGGCAGACAGTGAATGGGCCACCGAGCATTAAGGCCTTTGCATGCGGAAATGCTGCGGGTCAGATGCCAGTGGCTAAAGAACCCACTTCAGCCTTCCAAGACTGGAATTGCAGGGCACTGGCATTGGTGGCACTAAGAGAGCTGGGAAAGATGTGTGACCTGTTCCTTGCGCGCCTCCGGGTGCATGGCAGCCCTCTTCCTCTCAGCCTTGCGCCGCTCAATCTCCTTGGGGTCCCCCCACACCTCCCAGTCATCGATCGGCTCATCCGCCTGGGGACCAAAACAAAACATGAAAATCAGCGTCACACTGGCGTAGGAGCTCCTTTCTTTTGGCGACTCTTGGGCCCTGCTGGGGAGAATCCAGCCACTCCCTTACACTTATTGAGTGTTCACAGGGGAAGATCAACCATGCCCTTGGCATCCTTGACCTCCGTCTCCTTACTCATGCCCCAGGCTTCATCAGGGCGTCTGTATCTACTTAAAATCATTTCGATTTCATTTTGTGGTGCTCTGCAAATGGAAAGCCTCCTGCAGTACATGTGCTCCCTTCACATGAGGAATACATGACTTGAATGGCGCACTTGTCCTCCATCGCTGTCCGAGTCACTCTCCACCTCGGCGTACTGCAGGATCCAGTCACGGGCCTTCTGCTTCTCGCGTGCCAAAGCGGCAGCGTCCGCTTTTGGTCCTGCTTTTGCCGCTGGCTTCTGCGGCGGCTGCGACACTCTCTCCAGCTCACGTTGCCTTCTGGCCTCCTCTCTGTGTCCCACATGGACGTGTGACATTCACAGATCATGCCATTCTGAGTTCAGCGAACAGTACCAGGCAGCTTGCTGTTCATCAGTGCAGGCCACCCCTGCCATGGTCTAGAGCCTCAAGGGCGATGTAATTTTTTGAGCGCTGATTTTGTCGTGTGAATGGGATTGGGACAGCTCACCGCCGTGCAGCTGCACCGGCTTCGTCGGCCTTGGCGACAACTTTGATGCCGGCAGCGGCCGCCCGCGACTGCGCGGCGCCGGCAAATCTGCGGGGTAGATCTGCCGGGTCCACATGCAGGCAGAGCCAATCTAGCACCGCCTCTTCTGAGACGTCCCTTCCCGCCAGAGCCTGACCGAGGACAATTGCACAGAAACTTATTGTCCTGACAATTCTGCATTGTCATCTTCAGCAGAATATATTGCTGGCAGCACTGCAATCTTATTGAAGAGATGAGAGGTCAGTCAGCAAGTCAAACTAATCCTCACAAGGGAAACCGACCTGCAAGGCCTGCTGGACATGCTCCTTCTTGAAGCCATGCACCAGCATTGTGTCATACACTTGTGCCAGCTCATCAGCTGTCGCCCTGCCGCCAAGCTGTCTCGCCTTGCCCTTCCCCAGGTCCAGCCCCTGTGTCATGACCAGCAACTGTTGAGACCAGTCACTCTAAATTTGACATATAGATATATGGACCGCAAGCTAAGTAGCGAGGGTATCAGCAGCGGACAAGATGTATAATAACTACAGTAGAAGCCAACAGATGCATCACGTCTTAAGAGCTCCCAGACAAGCCAGACACAAGCGCCTCTTCCCCGTGAGCAGACAGAGAGAAGCACACCTTGAGGGCATCCCGCACTCTACTTTCATTGTCAGCAGAGATCTCGATTGCAGAGGTCTTCCGCTTAGAGGCGGCATGGGCTGCTGCAGAGGCAGCTGCCTTGCGATTCCCCTTCTTGCTGCTCATTTGTTGCAACTCAGCCTGTCAATGCATGCTGCTGACGCAAAGCAGGTCATGCGTGCACCACGCATACATATTGATCTTCACTCCACCTGAGCTTATTTTCCTTCCCAAGACGCCAGGTTCGCATGAGATTCATTGATATTGATCTGCGCCTTCCTTTTGATCTGGAATGTGTTGCCTGTGAAGAAAAGCTACTGCTGCCGCCCAAACTTCCCTCTGGAGCTTTGTTTATAACTCAAATAATAAGAACGGTTAAACGCTTGACATCTCTCTCCTGGGCTGGTACTTCACTCCACTTAGCCTGTCATGTGTGGCCTTAAAGAAACTGAGAGCCTCGGAATGCACTGGCAGAACTCAGAATGACAACGGACGATGCTTCCAATCTGTTGATCGGTATGTCTCACGCAAATTTGGCCATCTCCTGGAAATTTATTGCTGTACATCACGTGAAACCTCGTGCCGAGCATACCTCAATCCTTGGACGTTCAGATGACGGCAACCAGAGCCAAGTGCACCACCATTCAGTGACGATCGCAAATCATTTCCACACGATTCCCTGATTTGCGATTTTTAGTGTGTCGACTTGGGCGTGTGAAAGACACCAGGCACTTCGTGAAATCAATCTGTTTGACAGACGCCTTCTGTCTCCATCATTCATAAGGCAATAAATTGGATAATATCATCCCAGTACCGCAAGTTTGAAGAATGCAGCAACGTATGTTGCACCAATACGAGCAGGTGCGATCCAACCCAGAATCATCCTGCCCAAATGTGTATTGGACCAGGACTCCTTTGGTTCAGTCAAATACAGCTGAGTGTCGAATAGTCGAATTAAATATCATCGTGGAATGCTACCGAGGTGACTGATGATTTTGGGTCATCACAAATGTGCTACGGCATGTCAGTAGGCATTGCCATGGAATTTGAAACCTCAGAGGACGTATCTCTGACAGGAGCAGTGCTTAAAGAAGCTTTAACACACTCTTATTTCACGCACTTGTACATCTCCAACGGATATCGAGATCATTGATGCCAAGCCCACTTCAGATCTGGCTAAGAAGTGGCCAGTGTGGATGTCAAGGTGACCTCCAAGATCAGTGGTGGAACCCAAGTATAGTTCAAATGAATGAAGCAAGTGTTGCCGTAGCTGGATCTTATCAGGGTCTTGCAGTATTCTGGGTTCCATGCGTCGCCCTGCCCTCTCTATCAATGTGCAATTCCTCCACACGTGTTCACTGAAATTGCAGAGAAAAGCACTGAGCGACTACAGGAGCGACCCCTCACCAACCTTCCCATGAAAGGCGCCTCCGCATTGCAACACACAGAATTGCAGAGTTCTGGAGGCAAACACCGGTTGGTCCTGGTGCGGTCAATGCATGCGATCCATTTACTTCAATTGGGAAGCCCACATGCTCAAACCAGCTGCAGCACTTTGCGCTCACTTGGCAGATCAAGGTTCGAACCTGATGGATTGTGATTATCATAGGTGTTCAATCATGCGGGTGTGGATGCCCCGGGCCTGTTCCACATCTGCAACTGTGTCCCGTCACACTTGGGCCGCATTCTGGCCGATGTAGCCCTGCACTGCCCCCTCAGAAAGATTTACCCGATATTTTCCTGGCTGACTCGGAGCAGGAATCTGTCACAGTGGCGGACCTTCTCATGAGTGTTGATCAACACTGCTTGAGACCCCAGCAAGCAAACAATTACTGGGCAGGGCATGCCCGCAAGTGCGCACTTGCGACCCATTCAGTGTGCATCAGCTGAACAGGTAATTAAGTTTGATTCATCCTAGTGGAGATTTCTGTTGATTAGAATCCTGCAGCACTGCATATGCACACATGCATGCGCGGCCGCGGCCGAGGCTGCTGCAGCTGCAACTTCTACGTAAGTATATTTGATCATTCAAGAGCCACTGAGCGTGATTTCTGGTTGAGCTTAGTGAGCAGACATCATGCCGACAGATTGTTGTTGTACAGGCGGGAATATTGTGGCAAAACCAAAACAAGGGAACCTTTGGGAACCATGCTTGCACTGAAATGAGTGATGAGATGCCACGTGTTGGAAAGGGACGAAGCGGATTTGGTGGGAAGCTGCCGGTCCCTTCCTTCGTCTTGGAAACGTCCGCCGTGGCAGGAGATCACAAGCGCAGTGCTGCTCAAACTCGTTTGCAGTGTCCACAGAAGTAGCAGGCCGTGCTGGGTGCGATAGAAGCTCTGCTCTTGACAGAATTGGACCAGAGCTGAAGAGGTGCTGACCTTACCAAACAGCAGGTAGGCGGTGTGGCTGCACGATTCGAGGGAAAGGTCTGCATTGTGGGAGCAGTGCTGGTGCATTAAAGATAGGATGGAGTGCTTGTGACGCTCTGGAAGAAACGTTCGCCCAGAAAAACCACCAAGTTTGTCGAACGGTTACATGACTGTGGTATCTTCTAAGCGCTTCGCCGGGTCATTGTTATTAGCATACAGCCATTCAAGTGCTGTTTTATAATTTCTTGTATTTTATCTGAGTGGTCAAGGGGGAGGGTGGCCACGGGTTGCTGATTTCATGGCACATCCTGGAATATAGCATCGCACCTTATCTTGGTGCAAGAGGTCCAGGCCTCCCTTTTACGGTGGAAATGCTGTGGCAGTTGGTATCATGTAGAAAGTAGAGCGAGAAACCACGGTGCTTGCAGAGAGGGTGTGAAGCACCTCCCTGCTCTGGTTGCCTGTGCTGACCAAGAACCATGTTCTCACCCATCGCTGTGCGGCACAGAAGAAGAAACCATTGAAGCATGTCGTACGGAGATCGGCAAACAAGTGCAGCCCTTCGGGGATGGGTGGGACTGGTGTCCTTCCTTCAGGTGCCCGTCCCAAGTTGTCCTGCCGCAAGTCACCTTGCCTTTCAGCAAAATTTCAAGTAGTCCGTTGCTTGTAAACCAAATCTTCTTAGAAAAGACCATACCTCTTGCTGCATGAGACCAATTGTGATTGCGCAGCTGGGCGTGGCCCTGGCGGTGATCCTGATCACCTACTTCAAGCTGTCGCACATCTCCAACTTCTCAGTGGATGCCAGCGCGCGCACCTACAACGTCACAGGGACCTGCCTGCTCAACGCAGACACCTCAAAGGCAGACATGTGCATCTATGCCTACACCATCTCTGGTGTTAGTATCATTGCCACACTTATTGTGGCCCTCTTCCTGGTAAGCCCACCGTCTGAGGCCCACATCCCCTCATGACCCGCACAGCTGCTGCTGTTGAGTCCACCCAATATTGAGGAGGTGCTCGCCAATGTGAGGGTATAGGATATAGACCTGCGCAAATCTAAAGTGAGCTGCAGAATAGAGGCTGGGGAGCATGAATTAGCTAGTGCCTGGGCCATCTCTATTTGCTGCATGGCAATCTGCTCGGCACCCAGCATCAGCAAGCAGCGAGCACTGCAGAATCCGATTGGTTTATTGCCCACACCGGAGCAAGCGCTGCACACGGATGCTGACTGGGCTGTATGATTGCTGCAGTGCTGCACCTGTGACCTCTGCGGCTGCGGCGCGGTTCTGGAATTCCTCTTTGCGGGAGCCGGCACTGCCTGGTACGATGCAGTGAAATACCGCAGCACATTGCATTCGTTCATACTCTGTCAGAAAAGCCCTCCAAAGATGGCACAATCAAATAGTGTGAGACAAAATGTAGACAGAGCTGCTGTCCATTGCAGGTGGGCCATTGGCGCAGTCGTGATCATGAAGCGCTCGTTCGAGGCAGACAATGCTAATGTGGCCCAGGTGATTGCCGCATTTCTTACTTGGCGCACACTGGGCAATGCTCACCAGCAGAAGAATGTGATGGCATTGCATTGCACTTCTTGCCGTGAGCGGCCAACAACCACCACACCCAAGATGGTCTTTGACATAGAGGATTCAGGCTGAGCGTCTCATTGGCAAGTGCCTGGAATGGCCTTCTAATAAGGGAAGACACACTTTCTTTGATATATTGATGTTGGCTGCGCAGCACGACTGGCGCATGGCGGAGTGGATCATCTGCTGGGTCGGCTGCGGCCTCTTCCTTCTTCTGGCCCTCCTGTACGCTCCATCCCATTTCTGTCCCCCTCAAAAATATTGATGCAGCCCATTGGCATGCACTCCACAACTTGACATCCATGAGTCCAGCAATGTATCAAGCCTATGTCTCAAGCTGGATACTACCTTCCAGTTGCACCTGTCTTGTTTGCTGAGTTGCTGCACAGCACAAGCGTTGCCTCATATGATTTTTGCATGCCGCAGGTCATTCGCGCGGATGATTGCTGGTCTGTGCGCATGCTGCGGTGGCGGCAACAAGCGGTATCCTTGAAATGACGCGACAAATTGTTCTGCTATCACCCGACACTCCTAGGAAGTGATGAGGGAGTCGCAAGGAATTCCTTCGAAGGGATGACCCGCAGGCAGGAAGGAATGAACCCAGTTCTGCTGAGATTGAACTCTTTGTCTCAAAAGTCTCACCTGATAATTAAATGAATGAGCTAGCCCCTGCCAGTGGCCCTGGAGAACTAATATGCTCATCCCCTGCCCCTGCACTTTTCCGATTTTGGACTCGGCTACTGTAGGGCTGCAGCGGGCTTACGGAATTATTGCGAGAGTACGGTATATTCAGTACACCATAATTAGCAGGGGTCTACTTGCGGTGTGTCAGCAGGGTGCTGAAAGGACTGGATGTTGCGTGTACACAGTACGGGCTGCAATGTTGCCTTTTCTTTTTATTCCGATCAATTTTGTTTCGTACATTCTGCTTATTTCATGATATGGGACACTTTAGAAGCATCCTCACCCAGTGCTCTGTTCATGCTTGCGCAGACAGTTTTTTCTGAAGCGCAACCACTGTAAAGAATCTCAGACTGCAGTTGCCGCTAGTTACAAGCCAGTTTTACTTCAGAGAGTTCTACTCAGTACTTCACTAATCCAAACATGGCGCACAGCTCCAGAACATGAATGCGATCGCCTACAGAAGACCTCATCATGATGCACGCAATTCACAGATGTGCAGCTCTACTCATGCCGTCATTGCACCGGCGGCGCAACAGACACGTTGTGCCCATGGCCGGCTGCTGAACTGAGGCGCTCTCCCCACACACTGGTCGCTGTCAGCATGTTGCCGGCTCGCCACGCATGCGTGTAGATGGCAGCTTGGGGCACCAAACCTGCGCATACCCGCTCCCCGTCAGCCACTTCTGATGTTGAAAGGTCTCGCATGCTACTTCACTGGCCCAGCACCGCACTGCCCACAACACACACATCGGACGCTGTGGAATTTCCAAGGCCAAAAAAGCAGAGAAGAGTGACAAGAGACCCAGCAAAGAAAGTCCCTCGCTCGCTCAAGCCTCCAGGCAACATGCTCACTGCACACTCGGGCTCTTCCAAAGTCTTTATTCAACATGCCACACTCCCAGCCAGGACACACACTTCTGGACGTGTAATCTCAGCTGCTTGTTTGGCTCTATGTGATATAGAGCCAGAAGTCGCAACTTTGATTAGATGATTTGACCGGCAGAAAATTCACAGGTGGCCTCCAAGTCGGCGGGGATCCCACTGTCCCAAGCAGATTGGTCACAGTGTCACGTTCTTCCACAGCAATATTGACATGCCTCGCGGCCCTGCCGGAATACCACTGTGGATCGGTGATGTGACCAGCGCAGAAAACTCACCGGCAGCCTCCAGGGCGGCGGGGATGGCAGGGGACGGCCCCGAAAGGGCGGCAACGAGGGGGAGCAGCTGTTCGGGCGCATTCCCTGCGGCCGCCAGCGCCTCCTGCAGCAGCCCCGCGCGCATCAGCCGCGCCACCAGCGCCGGCAGCCGCTCCTCCGGCAGCCCGCCCACATGCTGCGCCGCTATGCGTAGCGCCGCCGCCGCGATGCCTGTGCAGGAACTTTGCCCTCAGAGGACAGCTCTTCAGAGTGGTACACAAGTCGATGCTCATGGTCCCTCAGGGTGGCGCTTAGAAACACCCCTACGGGAGTCCCAATCTGAATGAATTTCGTCCCCTGTCAAGCCGCCTGCTCGATTATGGGAAGCTGCACAAGTTCCAGGTCGACAAACAATGCTCGAGCTTGTCCGGGACATGTTCTGAGGGTGCAAGTGCGTGTGGTTGATTGCTGCGTGAGCAACAGCCTTTGAAGACCAGGCCATTCCTTGGATGACAGGTTTGAGAGGCCTGGCCATTCCTTGAACAGCACATTTCAGATGCCTGGCCAATCCTTGGAGGCTAAGGGAAGATGTGGTGTCAGAAAACAGTGTATGCCAATCACATCGGTATTCCCTGTGAAGCAGATTGTGACATGCCAGGGGAACATATCCATTTTTGTGAAGGCGTGCCAATGACTTGTTATTGCCATGCGTGGGTAGATGCCGAGCCAGACATCCCTTGCATTTTGCTGTGGAACATGCATTAGGGGCATAACACTGAGACACACCTCTGTGGCTCTGTTTGGAGCCCTCTGCAGCCTCTGCCAGCAGAAGCGCCTCCTCCGCCACACCTGGAATGCTTCCGCTGCTCACCGGCATATCAGATTCACTGCTTGCCTCACCGCCTGCATCACCAATTTCATGCATTTATCTCTTTTCTCTCATATGTTCCCTTACATATTATGTGCGATGCTACGAACTGAACCTGAAAACAGCATGCAATGCTGGGACTTTTGTACAGGTACCGGACATGGGGGCAAACAGGGCATGTTTTGGTGCGCACCTGCTGCCGAGCCCATTCCAGCATCCCAGTCCACAGCCTCCTCCCCTTCTGGTGACGCTCCTACAGGAGCACAGCTCAGGCTTTTGCAAATGCAAAATTGAGCAGCAGATTCGCCAGTCTCATACCACTCCATCTGGACGTTGCCGCTTTGAGTTTCACCGTTCAGGTTGGACAATCACATATTTCCCGCTCCAGTGTGCGCAAAGTCTGCAGCGAGCCGGGTATTCCTCCCATGCCTGCCTCGCCTTCAGATTTGCACATAGTGGGGCAGCCGGCGCACATGCAGCTTGGGATGCACATAGGCTGGGATGAGGGCGCACCTGATGTGGCTGGTATGGAGTCAAGGGAGAGGAAATCCGCGGCCTGGGCGCCCTCAGGAGACAGCGAGGGCCTCATCTGCGGAGACAGGCGCCCTGCTGCATGCAGCATCATACGACTGCATCAGACCACAGTCACTCCAAGCCTCTACATTTGATTTAATAAGAGGTGCCTTGCACTACTTGGTGCCCGCTACAGTGCGCAAATAGGGTATCCTGGTCTCCAGCAGCACGTGCATATATAGCGATGCCTTTCAAATCGTTGTTATTTTGGTAAAAAATAGCCCAATAACTTCCTCATCAATGTTGTGCACACAGCGGATGATGAAGCCACCCCCGCGTTCACAATGGGCCATTTCTTTAGCAGGTCAGAATTCCTATACGTGTTATTACAGAGTGTTTGCGGCACCTGCGGTGGAGGGCCGCATGAAGCTGTCGGAGCCGCGCCAGCAGGGCAGGCCGGTGAGGGCGGAGCGCTCGCTGGCGCCGGCGGCCATGGCGGTGAGGCATGCGAGCGCGCGGCGCAGCTGCCCGGCCCCTCGGCACAGCCGCAGTTCCGCGCGCAGCGACAGGCCCGACAGCGCCGCCGCGTCCGGGAGCGCGGCCGGCCCCGTTGCCGCCAGGAACGCCGCGAGACCGTCGTGGTTGCCCTGCCACAGCCCTGCGCACATGGTCCACTCAGTGTCTGAAAATGCCACATTTACGTTGTTGATCGGAAGGGGTTGCGCAAAGTACAGAATTTCTGAGTCGCAAGGCCGGGTCCCCTGCTTGTCGCCGCCGATGCAAGAGCTGGCATAAGTGCATCTCACACAGCTGTGCTCTGCAAAATCTTCATGGCAACAAAATAATAACCAGCCCGGTGTATATGCAAACTCCTAGCACTTAATCTCGTGTTGATACCTGCTGGTAGCAGGCAACTCTGCAGGAGAGCACATCCGTGCACTCCTATAAAGCGCATATTAGGAACGCACCCTGCTCGGCGATGCTGCGGGCGGCGGCAGGGGCGCCGGCGAGGGCGAGGGAACGCGCACGCAGACCGGCATGGGACACTGGGAGCACAAAGGGCTGCCCACGTGCATCCAGCAGCCACAGCACGCCCTCGCGCACTCCCACGGCCGCCGCCGGCCCCGCGCACCGCAGCGTCTCGGCCGGCAGCGCCGCCACCGCGTCGCCGGCCGCCGCCGCCTGCGCCACCGCGCCGCCCGCATGCGACGCTAGACGCACCACCTGTGGCGGAGGGCGCTGCTTGAAATTTGCAATGTTTGAGTTTCTGCCATATAAGGTGATGCAACCAAAGGATGCATGTGCTCTTTACCTGTAAAGCTCTATGGACTCATAAGGCCGTTGACGGTATTCATTTGTCATCACTGCTCTTGGACTAGAAGGAGGAGAGCCCAAGAGGTAATACGACTGTGGATGAGCTTGGAAAGGTGCAAAAGCAAAAGTTGGACTTATGCCAAGCACAGGAGAACGGTGAAGGACACGTTAGTTATGTGTCAATCGCGATGAATGACGTAATGCTCACCTCTAGATGTGGCGCTGTTGCACCGGCGCCGCCCGCTACCATCACGCAGTGGACAGAGGACGGCGTGGTCACGTACAGCTGGTGGCTGTGCCACGCGCCAGATGTCGCATCCTGTTCACAGTGCATTATATCACACAACATGCCGGTTTTTAAGACATGTGAGTAAGAGTGTCAACCCATGCAGAGAAATCTGCCTAAGTCAGATTAGGCCGAAATTTCGGCATGGGATGGCACTCTTATTCATGGCAGCCACACGGCAGGTTTGGTGTCAGCTCCGTACTTATTTTTTGACCCCTCAAGCAGTAATCGCGTTAGCCAGCCAAATACACAGCTTCTCTACATTTGAACTCTCCATCTCAAGGCGTCATTGGCTGACAGACAAGAGGGGCAGGTCAGGGCCCTCCTGGACAAGGTCTGTGATAGGATGCGTTGATCAAAGAACTCTCCTTTGAGAGACATTCCTCACGACCCAACAAAGGATTGCCCTGGTTCTGGCGCATGCAGGACATACCTTCAGGGGAAGCGAGGCAAACGCTGAGAAGCTGGGCTGGGTGCGGCAGAAGACAAGGGTATCTTCATAGGCCAGCACTGCCACGCTGGCGTCCGGGGCCCAGGAAACCCAGCGTGGCTCAACCATCACCCCTCCAATTCCCCCATAGGTCTTCCAGGAGTACCACCGCATGGTCTGCCCCCGCCTGTGCCCTGTGACCCAACTATTGCAATGAGTCATTGGCACCTAGCACAAACATTAAAAGCCCATTTGTTGCACCTGTCACTTCTCTCCCAGCACTAGAAAGCTTAGGGAATCTTACACGCAATACACCAGAAGCCATGGAAGCTTCTGCAATGGCCAGTGAGGCAAAGATCGGAATGGGTCATGTAAGACTAAGGGCGATGGAGTGCTGGACAAGGCAAGCATGAGATTGACATTCACAGACCAAAGTGTAGGAGAGAGTCAAATGCACTCCTCTTCCTCTAGACTATTCTCGTCCTGAGCTGCAGACTACAGCCACGAGCTTTGTTTTTAGCACGCTTGCGAATACACGCACGCTCTACTCTCGAATTTAATTGCCATCTTGGGAGGATGGGTATTGCACCTGGCCGGATCTTCTTGTCAAAGCCGACACCGAGCACTGCCCCGCCATGCAGCGAGGTGGGCCGGTCAGATCCCATGATGACATTGCTGCACACCTCCTTCACCGCACCGCCGTCCTCCCCCCTGTACACCTGCACCAGTATACATCTCAACTCGTCAGATCAACTGACTTCAGAACCTTCTGCGTGCGCATGCCAATTCCTGCTAGAGGAGAATACTGTATTCAACTTCAAGTACCTCTGCAGCTACTTGATGTGGTTAGGAGTTTCTTGTTCATTTTCTGCCGAGGGAAGAAGCCTGCCAGGCATTGCTCCCCTGCCTGTCATGCCTCCAATCCCTGCAGAAAACGAAGCAGAACCTGCCCTGCATCTTGAGATATTGAGGCTGGCAAGCAGAAGCACTCACCTTGACCTCGGTGTTGGCTGCGGCAGCAGCGCTTGCGGCCGCAGCAGCGGCCGCTGCGGCCGCCTCCTCCTCCTTTGCTTTCGACTTCTTCTTGCTGCGCCTCATCAGCTCTGGGGCGGCAGCCTGTCACCAAAAAGGTCCCCTAAGAAGTACTTCCTGTTATAGCAAGAATGGTTCTCTCAACTGCGAGCATGAGCAGGGCAGCAAACAGCCTGTGTAAAGCAACAGAGGCAGCCAAGCACTCCACAATTGCAGATTGCAGACCTGGCTGGCTTAGATGGACTAGTTGCTGCAGGATTACCTAGTGATATGCAGCACATTCTGATGAATTTACTGCACGCCATACTTGCTCGTGACATTCCCTGCTTGTCACCAGGCATGCAGTGTGGGGCCACACCCATGCCAGATGGAATAGTATGTCACTGGGAAGCGGTGCCCTGCGCGCAGCAGTCACCTTTGGAATGTGCAGCACAGCAAAAGTAGACGAGGCAGACGCCCAGGCCAGGGAGACTCCGCTGCCGCGCGCAATCTGCCTCCAGGGCGCCTTTGAGGCCAGCGACTCTGTGGCGTACACCGCGTACTCGGCTTCGCCCGGCCACACCACGCTGCAGTGCGCCCCGTCCCAGCTCATCGCCACCTCAGCCCTGCCTGCGCATTTTTCACCCCTGGACCCATTCATGTACTCCCCAAAGACCAACCTTGGACTCTCAATGCAGCGATTGGTACGCAGAGCATGTTGCCGCACGATGTTCGATTGCTCATCAGAAAGAGCCTTGGACCCTCACTGCACCATGCTCTTACGGCACTGGTACCTACAATGCCGGGTACTTCCACTCTGCTCCATGCAGGGCACCGGGGGTTCACGCAAGATTTCATTGAATAGCTGCAGTGCACATCAGTAGTCCTCTGGATGGTGTATGTACCGTGCGGGCCAAAGCTGGCAACGCTGCGTTTGGACTTGAGGTCCGCGGTGAGCTGCCTGCCGCTCGGGCCATCACTCCATCCCGGCCTGCAGGACATACTTCACTTTTCTTGCGCTGCCTCGCACACTTTCAATTTTGACAGCCCACATTATTGCAGACATCTCTCACGCCTATGCCACGCAAGGAGCACCTCCTCCACACCTCTTCAACCTGACTATGGAAGACCGTTTGCTGTGGCGGTGTTACATGGTCAGTGGAAGAGGTGAGGGGAGAGTTGCACGTCAGGTGGCAAAGGTGTGGACGTCACAATTTATTTCTTAAGATGCCACTGAAAAGCACACCCGTGCACGAAACAAAGGAGGCAAGGCCGGAGGCGCTGACAGTGACAACTGGGAGCCCGGGAGGCTAAGCGAGAGAGTACCTGTAAGCGACGTGCCAGAGCTGCGAGTCGGTGGCAAATGCGTATCCGCAGCCCCGGTAATCGGACGCGGACGCACTGGCGGCACTGGCCCTTGGGCTGTCCAGGTCAGCGGGTGACGGGGCGATTAGAGGGAACGCTGCGAATGGGAGCTGCACGTGGGGGTCGAATGACAGCAGGCCGACACCTGGCGCAGACAAGCAGCCAGACTTGGCAGTCTTGCATGGTTATTTCCCATGCCGTTGCTGGAGAGTAGGACTTGCGCACTTGGTCGGTGCAGCTAAGGAAGCTGCACCCTAATCACAGTACTCGCCGTGCAACCAAGAAATGCAGCTTGGAAGCAATTACGAAGCCAGCAGATCAGGTGTATGAGGAAGGCGCACCAGTGTTTGCCCCCACGGCGATCAAGTGAGGCAGAAGAGGGTGGCAGGCGACAGCATAGACCTTGGGCGCCTTCTTTTGGCCTGCCGGCACCAGACTCTCCAGAGAGGCCACCTCCTTCGCCTCCAGCTGCCTCGATGTTGGATACCTGCCAGCAGAAGGACCCCAAAGACCATCATGCACAGGATGATGCCATGCCAGCAGGTAGCTCTTTCATTGCAGGCGTTTGCCCGGAGAAAGGAGCACATCAAATAAGGTGGGGACATGAGCAGTGGCACATCACATAGCAAGAACCCAAACAACTCTGTCAATCTGCAATGGTCATGAGCAGCACAAGAAGAACATTGGAGCGACACGTCCCTGTTTTACGTCTACTGGACCAGCTTGACAAACACGCACACATAGTAGGATGTCTCGAGGAACTGAATCCCCTCACAACCCGACACATCTGAATGAGAGATGCAACTCAGAGACTTCCTCCTATGTGTGCGTTCAATCGCATCTGTGTCTGTCTGAAAAGTTATGTCTGATGCAGGGCAGGGAGGGAACACTCACAGTCCCCACAGGGCGGCACGTTCTCCAGAGGCGAGCACGATGCATGGCTCCGCGCCGGTGGCCGCTCCCGCTCGGGGGCTAAATGCTAATGAGTCGGCGGCCCCCTTGATAAACGGCCTCGTCCGCGCCTCCTCCTTCCAGGTCCAGGCTGCCCACACTGCCACACGCTTGTCATCACCTGGAAAAACCATTCACCCCTGCTTATATAAAATGATTTAGATGACTGATCCATCTTTCGCAGTCTGCTCATCAGGGCTATAAAGCATCCCTTGCCCACTTGCGGACACATGCCATGCAGTCTCTGAGCAGAAGAGCACTGCAAAACTTCTGCAGGGTGAGGCTCGTGCATGAAGGTCCTCACTTGGAGGCATTCAGAAGCGTGCAGGTGTTTGTAATTCAGGAGGGGCAGCAAGACAGCTCAATGTGTGGACTTGGCGGGGCGGACCTGAGGTGATAAGGCGGAGGGGGCCGGGGTCCGGGGAGCCCTGGTTCACCTGGAACAGCTGCATCGTCAGCACCGCTCCATCGTGCGCCTTAAATGTGACCTGCACGCACATAACCCATCAGCCTCTGCCATCATCACCCGCTGCATGCCTTATAACATGAAGGGCATGCAAGCTAAGCATTCTCTTTAGAGGCATACAAAGCGCTCTTCAGAGCGATACAGAATACTTGCCAAGATACAAGGGAGGTTCCAGCCAGGAATGAAATGTATGCCACCAGCTCTACTGCGCAGCACGTTGCAAAGGTGTGGTATTGGAATGCAAGGGCACTCGCGCAGAGGGCACCTTGGCGCTGATCTCTTTGTCAGGGCCCTGAGGGGCTGTGGCGGAGGGCTCCCACACAGCCACGGTGCCATCGGCAGAGCAGGACAGCAGCATGTCCGGGCCGCCCTGTTCGCGGCCGCCCAGCACCAGCAGCTTCGTCACCGCCGACTTGTGCGCGCCCGTCAGCTTTGCGTAGACCTGGCAGTGCAGGGAACGCCAGCTCAGCTCAATGCCTCGAGGATTGCTCGGCAGCAGAAGCACTTATATCTGCATTTCTCTGAAACGCTGAACTGCCAGATGACCTCAAGGTAATGGAGGGGCGAAATGACTGGCCTCACTTGTTCTAGAGCATGTTCTTATGACACGATATTCATGCGTATCTCCTGCATAGCAATTAGTGTCTGCCAGGGGAGATTCTCCACCTGCAGTGTGGAGACGGAGATCAGGTAGACGACGCCGGCAGAGGTGCCAACGGCTATGACAGGCGTGATTATGGCCTGACTGTTGTTGTCCCCAGCACCGTACCCTGCAGCAGGAGAAAGTTTTCCTAAGGTTTCTCTTCCTGCCCTCCCCTGAAAGAGACGTCCACAAAAATTGGCCATACAGGAGCACAGGTAGATGCATAAAGAATCCCAAAATGGAGCGGGGAGAGCGAGTGCTTGGTGGCCGCACCAAGCAGCAGGGGAGAGCACTTGTAGAGGAAGGCCAGGCTGGTGGGCGCTCTGCCATCCAGCACTGCGCGCGGCACCTCCCTCGTGGCCCGGGAGACCAGGTCTGTCATCAGGATCTTGGTCTCGCAGGCTGCAATGAGCCACCGATGCCCCTTCAGACCCCTCACTCGCCCTGCATCACAAGGGCACTGTCTTTCAGAGCCTTCATTCGTCTGCAACAGTGCACCGTGATAGCAAATTGCTCAAGGCCGCAAATGAAGGGAGCTGAGCTACAGGAGGCGAGTCATGGTGCTTGTCATCAGGGGAAGGGACAGACCCAAGTGTGGGATGCCAGCCTTGGAGTGCGCCCTGTACTGCATGGAATTCTGCAGGGCCAGCTGCCAGTAGCAGGCTTCTGTGTCCAGGAATTGCAGATCCTTCACCTGCAGCACAACAGTCCCAAACCTTCACCGTTTACATCCTGCAAACGCACTCACCCCCCACCAAGCACGGGCTCTCTAATGCGTGCACTGTACAGGTGGAACTCTTGCATGCTATCAGCGCTCACCGCTCCAGGAGCCGCTCCCTTTGAAGTGGCGCCCGGCCTGGGGATGCCGGCTTTGCCATAGTAACCAGTCTCCTTCTCTGCCAGGCGCTGCAGCATGGCATCCTGCAGCGCGCCCTCATCGGCTCCACTGAGTTGGACCTCCCACACCACCTGCCACCACGCTGAAGATAAGGTTCCCATCCCTTCGCATGCTCTTCAACAGGTCCAATAGTCTTGGAAACCAATGGACACCATGTTGGAGATCTGTGATCCATGGTGCAACAAGCAGGAGCAGCTACATGGAACAGGGATATTATGGCTTTGGCATTGGTAAAAAGAGGTCTTGTTAGCTGCACACCTGCTGACTCGACCAGTCCCACACAGTAATAGCCTGATTGACGTCTGCATAGGCCAACCAGGGCTGGACAGGATGGAACACAAGCGTTTTCACCTGCACAGTAAGGTGCCATAGAGGAACAGCTTATTTGGTTGCACACATATAGCAAAGTGTAAATATTGTAAAAGCATATTCCTACGTTACATTGTGAAGCTCAGAAGAAGTAACCAAATTGTTGGTGGGCATGGAGGATGAGCAAACCTTGGCTCCAGCTTGCTTGAAAGCTTTAAAGTCCAGCTGCGACATCTTGATAAGTATCGCGTTATATTTTCTTTGTGACGGACACTTCCCACCGCTGATCGACAATTACAGGATAATGGGTGTATTGATACACTTTGTGGAACACTTCGTCATGAAGACTCCTCCTTGTGCCACACCACACTTCAAATCTCTGCTAAGTCTGATACATTGTCTTCTCATTGAGAAGTTCTCAAGATCACTTGCAGCATCGTTCACCTCTCTGAATTGGTGATGATGTCAACACGCCAGCTCTGCTGACGTCCTAAGTCCAAGGTTCGCCTGGACAGCCTCACTGTCACGCCCTACAATTGATTCAATCTTCTTCCTCAATTACAATCTTTCTTTTTGTTCATTGTCAATTGCAGAAGTGTGCGGCGAAGGAGCATAGCTTTTGTTGCCCCTCGTTTTTTCGAGGCAATTTGCACTGAACGTAATTGGGGAGAACGAAAGGGTAAGACACCGAAGACCAAAATTGTCAACCCAATATCTTTAATTTCTATATTGATGAGGCTTGCTTGCTCTCATGCTGTTAGCCTGTCTTCTGTCCGTCTAAGAGCCTGCATGCATCAGTCCAAGAAAGCGTGCCTAGGATTTGCAATGAATATATCAAGTGGCCCGTGCATTTTATTTTCTGATAGCTCTAGATAGCGCTCTTGTAACTGGCGAATGGACGCTTACAGCTAATGCTCACAGAGATCTCTTCCCACCACGACGCTCAGTCTCTTACTACCTGCTTGCTGGTGCTATTGGTAAACAATATTTCCAAGTAGATGCTCTATTTTCGTCCAGGCGAATCATGGCGTACCCTCTGCGCAAGCCCCTGTACGACACAGAGAGGGCAGCAGAGCAGACCACAGTGTGCGTCACTGGAGGCACAGGATACATTGCTGGAGCCATCATAGCTCGCCTGCTGGCAGCTGGACACACTGTGCATGCCACAGTCAGGGAGCCAAACAGCCAAACCAAGTTGCAGTACCTGAAGTCTCTTCCCAACGCTGATACCCGCCTCAAATTTTTCAAGGTGCTCGGCCCCTTTGCCTGCACTGCGTCCTGATTTTTTGACCACCATTTGAATGCTTCCAATGAGCAAAGGATCAATCTTCTGCAATTTTTGCACCTATTGATGTTTTGGACCAGATCAATCAGCTGGATTGTGCATGTGGCAGGCAGACTTGGAGGATGCTGCCTCATTTTTGGCGCCCATCAAGGGCTGCAAGTATGTCATACACACTGCCAGCCCAGTGGTCATGAACCCGCCAAAGGGCAAGGTAAGCTATCCAAGCCAACACAAAACCCCTCTCTGCACTCAGGTTGCCCGGAATCTCACTACAAGATTGCTACATTTCCTCGTGCTGTAATTGGCGCGCTGACTGGCGGTGATGAGTGCAGGAGTACGAAACAGTCATCCGGCCGGCAGTGAGTGGAGTGGAGAATGTTCTCAGCGCAGTGGACAGGACACCTGGCGTGAAGCGGGTGGTGATGACATCATCAGTGGGGGCTGTGGTGGGGGACCACAGGGAGCGGGGGGCACACCATGTCTACACAGAGGACGACTGGAACCAGACCGCCACGGAAACATTCCTCCCCTACCACAGGCAAGAGCACACTGTTCTAATTCTTTCTCAATTGTTCGGACAGTTGAGGCTTTCAAAGTCGTCCACATTTGCCCTTTTTTGCCTCACATCAAGTGGAAGATCCTCAGTATTGTCACTTTAATGGGCCTGTGTGCAGGAGCAAGGTGCTGGCAGAGCAGAAGGCATACGAGCTCTGTGAGAAGCAGAAGAGGTGGAGCCTGGTCACCATTCTGCCCTCTGTGGTCCAGGGACCGCCCCCAGGTGTGCACTTCTTCTGCTCAGCTGCTCTGCTGCAACCTGTTGGGAGGCATCATTTCTTGTCAATCATGGGGCATAACACAACGCCAGAAGATCACGGGTGGTTGAGTGCACTGTTTTTGCAAGTACTTGGATAGACAGGCTGTTTGATCCTGCCATTGCTGTGCAGGGAATGTGAAGTGTGAGGTTGTGGGCTTCATGCGCAAGCTGATGAACGGGGGTTACTACCCCTGGGCGCCCAAATCAGGCGCGGGCTATGTGGACATCGATGATGTGGCAGCTGCCCACACCCTCGCCATGCTCACGCTTAAGGCCTCCGGCAGGTGCATCTGCTTGCATATTTTATCTCTACTACCCCTGTTAGCATCCCTCTGCAAGGCTCAAGTGCCACTCCTACATGTGGAAAGGCTGTGCAAAGGCGGGGAGGGTGCGTGTTGTTTCAGTGTGAGGCAATTGAATACCCCAGCTCTGGCGCTGTTCTGGGCTTCCATCGGAGTGCCAGGAGCAGCACTCACAAATCTGTCGTGGTTGCAAAGTGTGCAGTGGCTTGCCACGCTCGCATGCCATTTATGGGGTGTGTATTGCCACTCAGGGGATTCTGGTGCTTTTGGATGCCAACTTGCACATTGAGGGTGGGATGTGAGCTGTTTGTGTCTGCAACAGGTACATTGTGTCGGCGCAGTCGCTGACACTGCCGCAGTTCATTGACCGGCTCAAGCCAGAGTATGGCATGTACAAGCTGCCATTCATTCCCCTCCCTTTCTGGGTAAGTCACACTTGACATCCTCTTCCTGAAAGCTTCTTCCAGCATTGTCCTGCTTCTCTGTGATCCTGACGCATATGAATCCGTCAGAAATCTTTGATTGGAGTTGCATTCGTGGTGAATACTGCAGCCTGTAAGGTTGAGGATTCCTTGATGGGAAGCTGTCGGTTTGGAACAGGTGATATGGATCGCCATCACGCTGATGGGCTCAAAAGTGTTTGATGTTGAGCTGCTGAGGTGTACTGTGGGGAAGGTACGCATATCTAAGAGACACTGCTCAAGCTTGTGGTAGAACAGGCTGCTTGGGAAGCCCACAGATCCCATTCTTGTTCAGAAGCAGAAGCTGTCTGATGGAGCCACTCTCAATGTGCTGATGGTTTTGCAGGTGCCACATTTTGACACGAGCAAGGTGAAGACAGATCTGGGCCTGGACTTTATCGATGTCAGGAAGACTGCACAGGACATGGCCGCCAGTCTGCTGGAGTTGGGAGTCCTGAAAAGAGTCCCCGGCGCCCCTCAGCCTTCGCAATTTTATAGCAAGCTTTAGATCTCTGATGTCACATGGGCAACAGCAGCAAGGCAATGCAATGTTTCTCGATTGCGTTGTCCCAAGATTGACGAGAATATTTAGCTTTATATCCGCTTCAGCAGCGGCTTTTGCCCCTCTTCTGGGTCAATGCCGCTCTCTCTCTCTTCCCTCCTTGCAACGGGCCCTTGCGGGGCAAAGCCTTCGTGCATTCTTTCCTTTCTTCAATCCAGCGGCTCTCTCCTAGTTCGAGACCAGGCGTAGTCTGTTAATGTAAAGCAGTCAGCATGTCCACACACCACTTCAATATTCCAGGCGCTGTCCGATGCCCATCTGTGCGAGGCACTGACGGCAAGCACCGCATGCACAAGGCCACATGTCTTCATGTTTGATGAAGCTCTTGAGGAATATTCCAGCAGTACCTCCGTCCATCTGAGACTCATCAACAGGACTGAGATTCTTCCCAGCTTGACTCAGTGCCATTGAAAGTCTGAAAATCCCGTTGCCCCTCACTACCTTGTACGTGAAGCTCAGATCCTCTAAACTTTCTGCCAGCACACTAGGTTCCTCACAGCCAAACCCGAGCTCGTCTGCATTCACATGAAGACACCGCAGCAATAAGGTGCTAGGCAACTCAATGAAGATCTGATCACCATCCAGGAAGAGCTCTCTGAGGTTGGAAAATGATGGTCCATCAAATATTGTTGGGACAACAGACCTGCCAAGGACATCTACCTGCCATTGGAGTGTTCTGCATCTTGCTGACGACACAAAGTCTGGAATGCCCTCTCTTATCACACGTGAATCAAACACCTTGAATGTGCACAAGCGTGCATCTAAGGCAAGGTCGGACCACCAATCCCTCACCTCTCCTGCAGGATGAACCACCACATGCAAGTTGCATGATGACACCAGATCAAGTCTGGCCACCGTCAAATCTTCAATGAGCAGATTCGTGAGGGAAGGCAGGCCGCTCAAGACAAGATCGGGACAATCTTGGTCTGAACTATCGCCAGCCAAATCTAAGGTCACCAACTGAGGAAGGTGACTAAGGGAGGCGATTGTTCTCTCAGTGAAGTTGCTACTTATTAGGTGGAGATGGCGCAGGTCTGACAGTGGAGGAAGCACAAGCGATTCTAAACTGTTGATAACCAGCAATCTCAGTTCACTGGCACATGCTAGCATCCACGTCACAAACACGGCGCTGGAAGTGCTGAATTCCTCAGCCGGCTGCAGCTGCACACGGAGGTCCAAGAGATTGGACAGATTGCTGGCCTCATGGGTCATGACCCAGGGGAGATCCAGGGTGCCAAAGACCACATTCAAACATTTCGCATGACCCCAGCGTTTCTGTAACCAATAAAATGCCGATGGTGAAGCGACCATCAGAGCCACGAACTCTGGCTGCACAGAATGCATGGCCTTGCATGTTCCGCTCAAAAGAACCCATTCGTTCGTGGTCAAGTTGCTAGATATGTGCTGCCAGATTTCTCCTGGAAGTTGTGGGGCTTCTATTGCTGTGTGCGATGCCATTTTGTCCTGTGAACCACCTGCAGCACTTGATCTCTCAACGTACCATCGTCAATGCTTGAGCCACGACTCCATTGACGCTGTACAGGAGAAGAATCCTTAGTGCAACCCCTCCTCTACCACTTTCTGATATATTTTATAAAGGCAGCATCGCTTCGTGTACCCCGAGCGAGCGTTACATACGAGTTTTTTCAATTACAGTCCTGGCTCTGGGACATTTGTGTCATACCTGGTGGTGCACTGTGTCAAGCGGCCATGGGAGGCTCAATATGGCTCTGCACCTCACAATATGCTATCTCGATCGAGAATATCGGAAGCTGCCCAATTCGGGCAGCAACGGGCAGCTGCATTTCGTTCCGGAAGGCCAGTCAGCCATGCCCAAAAGCCAAGGACGTATATCCAAGGTCAACGTATAAGATTGGTCACCCTGATCTTTCTTCAATGCAATTAATTGGTCGAATTAGTAGTGAAGCAGTGCCTTGCGTTACCCATTCTAATTATCTGCACCTACCAGGAGCACGATCTGTGAGAGCGATAAACCGGGCTAAAACCTTGTGGTCTTCACAGCGTGTTTCGAGAACAAAGCCTTTTATTCCAGAGAGGTGGCCGTCGTCGTCCAGACGGGATTGTGCACTAAGCGAAGCAACCGTGTCTGAAGCTAGTATGGCACCTAGCGCAGCACAGCTTGACTGGCAGGTTGATTCCTTGGTCCCATGTCGAATTTCGAGATTCTGTAATATGACTTTCATCTCGCCCGCCTTACTGATTACTACTCGATACTCAAGATCAGGATGGACGCGCCTTTGTGCCATCAAAAATGCCTGACAGCATTGATAAACATGGAAGCAGGACTACTACTGTCCTATTATGTGCATGATGTAACATACAGGAAGTATCCAAGGATGCCTCTCAAAGGCCGTCACTGCCGCGTTCTGGTCACGTTGCAGCCGCTTTGCCTGAAGGGCATTCACATGATGTCATCCTGTTTGGAGGGTAAGGCTGCATCTTCTGGAGAACGGTCAGTAATGCATCCTGGTACTCATGTGGATATTATGGTATAGAGTTGCTGGACACAGTGTATTTTCGAATGATCTCTTGATGTTCCATGTCTAGGTATGTGGAGGATAAGGAATCCAAGAGAGAGGCCTCAAATGATGCCTGGCTATTCTCCATTAAGGAGGGCCGATGGAGCCCTGTGACCTACGCACCCGGTGACGTGCCCAGGGTAAGGCCTTTGTTATACAAAAAAAGCATTGCATGCTTGAAAAACCAACCGACAAACCTGCATGTCATTATGGGGCTGCTTGCAATTTTGGCATTACATGACAAGAGATATGCAGACGTTAAAGCAGTGCAAGTACCAGAGGTGAGAGGAAGGGCTGCCTCACATTTTGACATTATGCAGCAAGATAACAGTGGACCCTTGGCCCAGAAGCATTTGTAGGGGCCGTCTGAAGTTCATTTAAGGGTGCTTAAGAAAGCTCATGTTGTGGGCTGCTCCCAGGTGCGGCTAGCAGCCCAGGCAGTGGTTGTGGACAGGCATCTGTGGGTCATTGCTGGATGGGATCCCGGGCACAAGAGGGATGGCGGTGAAATCCTCAGCGACATATGGCGCCTGGACCTATCAACTTACCAATGGACCCAAATCAAGCCCCAGGTAAGTCACACAACTGGCTTCCTTGTTACGTTATAATGTATCAAAGAAAGATGGCCGCTTTTATGAAGATACAGGGTACGGATGGTCTTGCAAGCGATCGAATGTCCTCCTTGGCCGGGTGTGTCTTGCATGTTGCATGCATGCCTTTCCACCGCAAGGCAAGCCTTTTCACACACTCTGGCACTCGCCCTGTCTTTCATCTATGCATCACTACAGTCAAACATGCATTGGCTGATCAGGGTGAGGAGCTGCCGGCAATATCGAGATTCCAGGCAGTGGGGCTGGGCAGCAAGGTGTACATCCACACCCACCGTTCCCTCCAGGACATCCTTGTGCTGGATGTGTCTGATGTAGATGCGCCCTCTCTCAGCCTGCAGCCGCTCACCTCAGAGGACGATCCCCCAATGTCAAGGTACATCTGTTCCGCTCTCTGGTGTCAATCAAGAAATGCAGGAAGAGGAGTCTCCTCTATTTGTATCTCTTATCAATATTTATTTATATATTCATTTGCAGACAATCAAAGTGCAGAACATTGTGTATGTTATGGGCTGGCATGATCAGGCGAGGGCTCACAGGTTGATGATGCAAAGGAGATCAATGAGGAACAAATGCGCGCCCATATCGTGCGAGCAGTCTTGGCTTCAGAAGGATCCTTGGCTTACAGGGTCCTGTTGTGTAAGCACTGTCCAAAGTGCATAAACACATTGCTGCCACAGGGGCCTGCACTCGTTGACGGCGGCTGCGGACGGGCGTATGTTTCTGTTTGGGGGCGCTCCCAAGGAGGGGCCCATGCTGGGGGACCTGTGGAGTCTCACAGTTAAGGGGGGGACGGGCGGTGGGGCCTGGGCTGAGCTGGACCCAGATGGCAAGGCCCCCCACGTGCGCTGCTCCCAGGCAGTGGCGGCCGTGGGCACTGACATCTTCTTCGTGGGCGGGTCGTATTACAAGTGCGTGTCTCATATATACTTGTAGCTGGCTAGTATTGTGAGATACGAGGGCACCTCATTAATATTGTTCTCAACAGGAGTACTCAGCTTTTTACCATCATTGCTGTCTCAAGATTGTGCATCTGGTCTTTTTGGAATCCGTGATGGGTGCTGGTGAGATGAGCTCATATCATCCTTCCCCGTCATCCAGCAATTCTTGATGCACAGCCCGTAGACCATGGTGTACTCTTGTCCTGCATCATGCTAGCTGTAAAAGGTCCCCTTCAACGCGTCGCTTTCCTGGACAGATCTCTACCACCACTATTCATGTGCATGCATGTGATCAGGAATCTGATTCGCTGGGGTGTTGACAGAGTCTGTTGTGTGGCAGGGTGGAAGGAGGCCTGCAGCCACTGAATGACCTCTTTGTGCTGGATACAAAGCAGCTGCAGTGGCAGTATCCCAGAGTGGCTCCTGGAGCTGGCCCCTCTCCTCGGAATGCTGCCACGGTGACGGCGGTTGGGGGAAAGCTGGTACTCTATGGTGGATGGAACCCTTTTGTGGAGACCTACAATGACACCTTTGTCATGGATGTGTCCGGGTATGCAGCGCTTAGAGACAAGGTGCCTCTAGAGCCCGAGGAGGAGGACTGAGATTCTGTGGAACATCCTCAGTGTTGTCACTGCTGTCTGAGTTTCTCATCACTTTGTTACTGCTGCTCAGCTACACAGCTGTCCGCCCATGAGCGGGCCACTGACCACTGATCACCGGACCATTGGCAGTGCCAGAATGAACACAATATACAGTAATGCTCCCAATGAGATTTCTAGATAGCTGAGCGTGCTTGATATGATGCCAGATGATGTCAACATCATGCTGGTGTGGCGATGTCTCATACAGGACAAAGAGTTTTTGGAAGCAGTAATCTTACAAAGGACTTTGAACTCATATTCCGCTTTCAGACAGAGACCTCACATTAATGCATGCTGCAACCCCATGCCTTCTCCACCCCATGCCTTCTCCACCCAGTGGAAATCATTTGCCTCCATAAAGAAGAGCAAGCTCTTCAGAGTCCATTCAGCTCTTATCAAAGCATAGTACTGTGCCGGCCACGAGCAAGCCACCATCCTTGATGCAAAGCTGCACCACACAGCACTTGTACCACCCAGAACTAGCAGCGTCCCCCACGCAGCTGCATGGAAGCTTCCCACTCGCGCACAGGCGGCCAGATTTGGCATGGCGCCAATCTAGGCCTTGTATCCGCGGGATTTCCTGCGGCCACGGGCCTTCTCGAACTTGCGGCCCTTGCTACGCACGTATGGCTTGGCGTGGGAGTGGGGCACGCCCGGAGCGCCGCGGTGCTTGACGGCCTCGCGGGAGTTCTTGGGGCCGCGCAGCAGCACGCAGTTGGAGCCCGTGGGCGCCAGCAGCGCCAGCTGGTCGAACGTCAGGATCTTGCCGCCAGCCTGCGGAGTTGAACACGCCATTAGTTGATCAACAATGTCTCAGTGAGCAGGGCTGCATGCAAGCATCCAATTTCTTGTGACGCGGTCTGATGGCCCCATCAGAACCCCAGCAGCATCCAAACACATGCATGCGCTGCTGTGCAGAGCCTGGTAGCATGGAACTTGCTGGACGGAATATGAGTAGTACCGTATTTGCAAATGCGACACACTCAGATGCCCTGATGGCTAAATACACATGCCCTGCTGGGCAGCTGCACTCTGAGAAGTGCTGCAGAGGAGGAGGTACGAGAGCAGGCAACTGCTCTGGACCTTGGCCTCGGCTAAGCACTTCCACAGCAACAAGGAAAAATATCAAAAATGCTGCAGCTGAGGGGAGATTGCTCATGCCAGAGCATGTGGCGGGCAGCTCACCCCGAGGATGCGGGCGCGGGCAGTCTCTGTAACGCGCAGGGCGACCACAGTCAACTTGGGCACCTCGAACAGGCGCACATCGTCTGTGATCGTGCCTATGAGCACTGCGGTCTTGTCCTCCTGCAGCACCAGAGCAATTCCCCATCCTTCAGATCGGCTTTGCCTGCGAAGTCGTTGCTTGCAACATCCCCATGCCAAACAACTGACACAAGAGAACATTTGCTCCAGCTTAATGGCCTCTGGCTCCTTAAGACACATAGCAGAGAACGGTGGGATGGGGCTGATGGGACTCCAGTCCTCACCTTGCCCTTCATGAAGGTGGCAAGCTTGGACAGGGACAGGGGCGGCCTATTTGTCCTGGACATGAATAGCCGCTTGAGGACGACCTTGTTGAATTTGCTCTCCGTCCTCCTCACCAGGAACGTGTACAGCTGCACACAGCCAGCAGGAGAAGTTTCAGCCCCTTGACTTTCTCGCCAGCACTAGGCAATCGTCGCACTTCAGCAGCAATGACACTGCACGCTTCGTTGGTATTTGCTAGCTACATCAGCAACTGCCTGCTTTCTGCCTGAAGTGCCACAGCTGCCACTCACCTTTACCAACAGCTTCAGGTACACATTCTCGCTCTTAGGTGCTGTACGCCATGTCTTCTTGTTGCGACCACCGGCCTCCAAATCGATACCCTGCACGGAAACATTTCCACTGAGAGTCTGCATCCTTCAACAGTACGATCGCTCCTGAGCAAGCAACTCCTTCCCAGATTGATTCCAGAAGCTCTTTATTTGTGGAACAAAAACACTAAGATCGGATAACATCTCCTGCAACTCTTGCTGATACGCTGAAAATTTTATCAGCTCTGAAAAATCGTGGTTGAGCGATGACCAACGATAAGCAGGAGTCCTGCATCAAAACTAGAGGCTTGTATGAAGCGCACCATGGCGACAAACGCTCAAGCGATCGCCAGGGACTGCTCCTTTCGAATGTGATCGCTGCAAGGCCAGGGTGTTGGTCAGGCGGCTGGTGAGGCTGGACCCTGCTCATCTCCCTGAAGAAAAGGGATTTTAAGTGGAAATCATTTCTAGGGCTTTGGATGGCATGGACGATGCAATGCATTCGTTTTGGATGAAGGCAAGGATGCAGCCGAAAGAGTCTGACAGGCAATCGAGAATACTGCATCTCTTGATGCAACATTCAATGGTATAGTGCACCGGTGTGCGCCTCCGCGCGGGCAGCAGGTAGCATTGATACGATGGAGTTCCAAGGGGAAGCGGCCGACGGCCTTTGGCAGCACTGCAAGAATGTGATGCAGGCACTGCGCATCATCGCGCGTGAGAAGAGCTTCTTCGATCCTGGCGTGAGTGCAGCGCGTATTCAGTTGCGGGCAGCATATGAAGCGTTCCTTCTGCAGGAATACAGTGGTGCACAGGTGCGCGCCTGGCTAGCATTTAGATCCCCCTGATCGATGCAGTGGTAACCTCGGATGTGCAAGTGCGGGCAGAGGAATCAGTGCCAGTTCATCTTTGGGAGGAATTCTCTGGCAACGATGAGAAAGTTTTGTAGCACTCGTCTCGCCTTGGATCACCCTCGATCTAGTCAATATAATCATACAGTTGTCAGAATCGACGAGGTCGCAACAACTGCTCATTTTGGTCAATGAGCCCAAGAAGTAAGGGTGATGACAATGACTTCTCTGGTGTGTGGTGGACATGTTCAGGACAAGCAAGTCGAGCAGGCGTTGTGGAAGACGGCTATTTACGCAGTGATTGAAGAGTTTCGGAAGCGTCTCAAGGCAGCGTCGGCAGGCGGCGAGAATATGAAGGAGCACTATCTGAAGGTGATCTCAAGTGTCTTATCATGCATGCATGGAATTCCATCACCTTTGGCAAACCATCGTTGTCCTCACCAACTATTGACAAAGCCCCCATCACACACCACATTACCGTCTGTCCAAGCAATGTGAGAGAACTCACCCCAGGGCTGCATACTCATAGTGGCCAACCAGCCCCCAGGCCGTGCCAATTTGATCTGGAAAGGCCCGCAGAGCTCCTTTTCATTTTAACAAGCAAGAAGTCGCGCTGATACTGATGGATCTGTGTGACTTTGCAGGCCAAGGGAGCATGTTTGAGGTTCCTCAAGGAGGCATCTCTCTTCTACGCAGTTCTGATCCTGAAGCTGCAGGCTGCCTACGGCAGTGTTGGCTTCCAGCTGGAGTTCGCTGACCATGCGGCTTTGGATGCTGCCCTGGGCTCTGCCATGCTTCCGCCACGAGTTGCCACGCTGGACTGCCGCTTGTCCGTCTACCGCTGTCTCATCTGCCTAGGAGACCTGGCAAGGTGACTGTTCAACCTGCACATGTCAAGCTGCTATGAAGACTGGTTGCTTACCTATAGGAGTAGTGCATGACTTGGACGCACTTCCAGGTGCATGTGGAGGATGTATTTTCGGGTCAATTGAAGATGGGTGGTGCTGGATGCAGGTACTACACCATGATCGAGGGAGGGCAGCAGAAAAAGGATTGGAGCACGGCTGAAAAGTACTACTTCCAGGCAGTGACTGTCTTTCCTGAAGGTGCGGCCTTGGCCACTCTTTCAGGAGGACACTCGCAGCCAAGCATTGCATGCAGAGCGGCGCTCCTTGATAAAATGTGCATCACATGCGCTCAGCCTTGCCTAGCTGCATAGCAACAGCCAAGATATCTTTCTCAGGGTGCATCATAGGCAAGGCACTGACTTGTCAAGTTGCACGCAGGAGGGAACTCCTTCAACCAGCTCGCTGTGCTGTCGACTTACTCCGAGGCGGAGCTGCCAGCGGTGTACTTCTACTATCGGAGCCTGGGAGTGGCGCACCCCTTCCAGGTTGCGCGGGAGAACCTACTGCTGCTCTTCGAGCAGAACCGCGTGCACTATGAGCAGCTCGGGGGCTTTGCCACGCAAGCCGGCGGCGGCGGCCGCGCCAATGCCGGTCGCGGCCGTGGCAGGAACCGCGACCCGGCGCAGCAGCAGCAGAAGGCACGGGTCCCCATCGTCGCCCTCCTGCCAAAGCTCTCCACCCGCTTTGTGCGCGTCCATGGTGAGCTCTCACTCTTTACAGGATGGCCTTTTGTCAACTTTGCATGCTAATTCAAAGAGACAAAGGCATCACAAGGTCATGCATGCACAGTTGCTTTCTAAAGGAGGAACCTGCATGGCTTCTACTGTGCATGGCAGTCCATCCACATCTGAGGGGCGCTGGAGGGAAGAGAATGAAGTGACTGACCATGGATGCTCATGTTTGCAGGTGTGCTGTTCACAAAGATCAACATGGACACGTTCGGAGAAGTGCTGGCCGGCGCGTTTGCCGACCTGGAAGACCTCCTCAGCCGGGCCCCAGTTGCGCGCGGCGGCAATGGGGAGGCGCGCAAGAGCGATGCGCTGCTCATGCAGCTGGCTGCCATGACCATGTTTGTCGCCTGGAACATCAACTACGCGCCCCCAGACCACAGGCCGGGGTGCGTTGCCCCGCCTTTGAACTGCTTCCCTAGGGGCACTATGGTTGGAGCGTGTGGGCAACGGTGATGCACTAGAAGGGGATCACGGGATTCTCACGTGGCATCTCAGGACTGGTTGTGGTTTCTTGATGTGGAGCTCCACGTCCTACCGTACATACATTATGAATTGCCCCAATTCAGTTGCAGAAAGGTGCTTTCTGCCATCGTCGCGCCAATTCGAAGAAGCTTGCCTGTAATTCTCTGTAGTGGCCAACTATAGCAGTGCATACCAAAAATAAATTAGTAGCAATTCTCTGCACCTCTAGTGACACTGCTACTTGCTATGATTGGCCATGAATCCTGTATTGTCTGTGCTCCTGCAGAAGGCAAAGATGCAGGGCAAAAACTCCAAGTTGGAATCACTTCGCATAATTTGGCATGTTTGGGGCGCAGGTACTCTGAGATACTTCAACGGGCGGAGCTGAAACGGCACGTGCTGGCTCTGGCGTACGGCTATGCTGCAGCGCTGACCTTTGCGGCAGCGTCTGTGGGCGACATGCGCAACACCGGCTCTACCCCCCTCACCTCCCCTCTGCTGGCGCCTCTCAATGTCCTGCTGCAGTGGCTGTCCACCCAGCCTGACTATGTCAGGTGCGCAACTCCTGCTGGCCCTTGCACATCGAAACACAATCAGGACCGCATTTTACTATTGTGTGTTGATTGGCCTGGTGCATGCTTCTCTCAATTCCAAACAGGCCATCCGACTGAGGAATGCAGCCTGTCAGCTGCATTGTGACCCTATAACAAAGACATTGTGGCGGCCTTACTTTCTGCAATGGCTGCCCCGTCCAGTAAAGTCCAGTAGAAAGCAGCTTTATTGATGCAGCACATGATATTTGCGTGCAGGCCGGAGGACATGGACGAGGCAGAGGCAAAGGAGCGGTGCGCTCTGTGGAGGGCGCTCGCAAAGCTGCTGCTGCTGCTGCCGCCACCGCTGCCAAACGCTTCCCGCACAGCTCTCCCCGAAGACTGGCACCTGCGAGCATTCGCCCCCCTCACGGCCGCCCACAGCAGCCTCGAATTTCTGCAACCCCAGTCAGAGGAGGTGGGTGTTAAGAACTCGCACTCCCATTCAAAATCACTGCCTGTCTCATCGGTCTCTTGCTGATGCCCAATTTCTATTTGGCCTGAGCCTTTCTGTGCTGGGTGGGGGCCTGCACAACGCATGTCATCCTCATAGCTCACACTGTACAGGTTGCTGATCTTCTCTATCTCTTCTCTGGTTCAGGATTCGAACGCTCGGCTGCGGCTGCACCGCGTTCTGCTGGCTATCAGTGGGATATCCGCGCACCACCCGGCCTCCCAGGGAGCCGCGGCCGACGCCTCCCAGCCGGCCCTTGCGCAGGAGGAGCACGCGGCAGCCGCCGAGCTGCACCGGGCGGTGCAGAGGGTGCTCAGCGAAGCGCAGAGCGCTGCAGCGGCCGCTGAGGTCGTCGCAGCGGAGGCACGTGGCGACGGCACGCAGCAGGCTGCGAATGGCGCATCACATCAGCCGGATGTTGGCCTGGGCTTTGTGAGCGAGGATGAGGACGAAGAGGTGTGGCATACGGCTTCATCCTCCATTCTGCCAAATTCCCTCGTCTACTGGTTCCTTCTAGATATCTTTTCATTTGACAAGGTCCTGTCAGATTATATTGGAGATCCTGTTGACAAGGTGTTGAGCACCTATCTTGTAGGCATGAAAATTATGGTATGTACAAATAGTTGCAAGTGTCTGAAGAGCGTTGTGATGGGCCAGGTGATCCTGTACCAGCCTCATGGAGCAGCAGGGACTGCCTCACTGGCACCATCGGCTTCAGCGCCCCCTGCCGGCCCCACTGCAATGGACATAATGCCCAACCATGTGCTCAGCGCTGCCACGTCCCATGAGATTGTCGACTTGCCGGCAGCTCCAGCTACTATGACATGTGAGCATGGTCTGCCTGTTTTCGTTCATTGTCAATCATGCATGCATGAAACGCACACTGTGTGGAGGGTGCCGGGCCCCTCTAGCTTGCGTTTAAGATGCTCAAGATGCTCAAGAGCGAAGCAGCTCCATAAGTATTTGTGTTGTTGCACAGGCGATGATGGGAACAGAGGAACCTCCTTCGACCCCTTCAGCGTGTACGCCAGCGCCCACGGCCAAGCCACAACGCCACAGCCGCAGACAGTGTCCCTGTCTGAGCGGTTGGCCGCCTACACAGCCGACGTGCCGAGTCCAATGACTGCTGCTGATCTGACCATCGGCCATGCAGCAGCCGCTGCCGGCCGCACAGTCGCACATGCCGATGACGCCGTCCCTGCAGCAAGTGCCATGTTCAACAGTGGCGATCGTGCGTCAGAAAAACGTCCCCAAGGGGAGGAAGTACCCTGCAAGAAGCGGCTGGCGCCACCGCCCGTCCTGCTGTCCGACAACGACTGCGGCCCAAGCGCCATATATGTGCCGGCTTCCGGCGCAGCCGCCGCGGCCGCGGCGGCTGCGACCAGGGAGGTGCTTGGGACGGCGGAGAGCGGCACGTTCTCGCCGTCGCAACAGCAGCGGCTGATGCAGCCATACGCGGGGGTGGCCGCCGTCGCGCCGCCGCCGTCAAATTTGCCGCAGCCCTCCAGCAGCTTTGCCAGCGGCTCCTTCTCCCGCAGAGGCTCCCCGGCAGCCGCCGGTGGCGCCGCTGTTTCTGGCCTGCCCTCTGCCTCCGACCCCAACAGCCACCTCATGGGGCCGCCAGCGCCGATCCAGCAGCCTGACATCACGCACACAGGGGCGCAGCAGCAGCAGATGGGTATATCCGCGTCGGGCGATGCGCAGCCAGGAGCGCATTTTGGCGTCCCGTTGAGCACGGAGCAGCTGCTGAATAGGCTGCATGGCAGTACAGAGAGGCAGGCTGCACAGCTTCCGGGGCGGAGCTATGGTCAGGGTGGGGGTGTCTATGGGGCAGGGCTGCCAATGCCACCCCCTGCTTCTGGCCTGCCCAGTGAGTCGCGCCTCTTCAGCAACGCTGATGCAGGTGTGTGTCTCAATGAGTCGATGGTCAAATATTGCCAGGCCAAATGGCAAAAGCTACGGATGCTCTGGCATGACAATATCCCCTCAACAGACATGAAGGCATACGAGTTTACAGCGAAAGCAAGTCCTGCACAGTGACCTCTCACGGGCTCTTGAAAATAGGAATGTTGCCCCATCCTGCCATTGCTTCCTTCTGAGTTCCTCACTGCGCTGCAGGGGGTGCGGGCGCGCTGTTCAGCCGCGACCTGTTTGCGAGCCAGCGTGCGGGCATGAGCCGGCCCAACAGCATGATGAGCTTTACGGACGCCCCTGCCGCAGCGGGCACGCCTCTTGACAGCCGCCCCGTCAGCCGCAGCTCCGTCGGCGTGCGCAGCCAGGCCGATACCGATGGCGGCCGTGGCACGCCCCAGCCCGGTGCGCATCACCTGTCTGCAGTGCGGGCCAGTGAACGCAAGTTCCCAGGAGCGGGCTTGTGTGTGTGCCATCAAGCTGATCTAGATTGAGGTGCTGTGTTCGCGGATGGAGTGGTTTGAGCAGTGTTTGTGCTGATGGCTCGCCTTTGTGTGTTTCAGGGCTGTTGTTTGCAGCGGTGCAGCAACAGCAGCAGCCTTATCCGACGGGGGGCGCAGCTGGCCTGTCGTCTCTACTGGGCGGCTCAGCATATGACCAGCAACTTCAGCAGCAGCAGCAGCAGCAGCAGCAGGCTCAGGCGCAGGCTGCGATGCAGCAGAGCTGGGCAAACAGCGGTGGCTTCTACATGGGTGGGGACCGCCAGCCGCAGCCGCCGCCGCAGCCGAGCGGCCTCGGCTTCTACACGCACGACAGCCAGTCCATAGAGGCGCACCTGCTTGCGCAGGCCTACCAGGGACAACTGGGACGACCTGCCGACGACGGCCTGGCCGCATCCGGCGGGTTGCAGACTTACCTCAGCGGGCGGCTGTCGGAGCCAGCCCTTCCCGCGCCAGGTGGCGGCGGCTGGTTGGCCGCCGGGCTGGGCCTCGGGCAGCAGGCAGCGGGCGACTACGGTGCCCCTACACAGCCGGGCCTGCACAACCTCGGCTACAACGCGCAGATGCATTCGCAGCCCCCATGGGCCCCCCCAGGCCCAGCTTCCACCGCCTTCGGCGCTGCTGCGCTCGGCAGCATGCCGGGCCACAGCTTCCCACAGCAGCGGGCTGCGGACCAGACAGCGGGGGGACTGGTGTTCAGCGGGCAGCAGTCTCACCTGTCTGGGCCTCTGCACAGCACCCTGCCGGGCCAGCAGCAAACACAGCAGCAGCCACAGCAGCAGCAGCAATATCAGCCTGAGCACAGCCTGGCTTCGCTGTCAAATGCAGAGCTACAGCAGCGGCTGGCGCTGATGAGCTCAGGCAACGGCCTGGGGCAGGGGTGGGCGTCCGCTGTTCCCTCCCCCGCTGGCATGCTCGGCGTGGGAGTCATGTCCAGCACTGGCCTGGAGACTGCCACCTCCCTCAATCAGCAGGCGTTCCCTGGCGGTGCCTCCAAGCAGGCAAGACACACTCTCTGGCCCGATTGCATGTCTCGGTGTGCCATTGACCCCTGCCTGCAACATATCTTCATCAGCTCAGACAGAGCTCGGTGACTTCTGCTGTCCTGCATGCTGCTGAGGTCTAGGATGCGCGATTGCTGATGCACATTGTTTGTGTGCTGAAGCAGGCAGGTGAGCAATTGGCCGGTATAGAAGGTCAGGCTGCAGCCGGTCAGGGCGGTGGTGCAGCGAATGGCGATGCCGGCTGGAGTTGGCTGGACGCCTTTGAAGCGCGGCAGAAGGCTCTGGCTGCACAGGCTGCCGGTGAGTCATCCAATACATTTTTTACACTCTATCGGCATTTTGCAAGTACTGTCTTGCAGACAGGTCACGATTAGGCACACAGCCCATGCGATGTTCAATGTTCAATGTACAATGTTCATGCAAGTGTCAGGATTGCATGCTGCTCCATGCTTTTCTTCCCTTGTTTTCCAGTATATCTCTGCTTCAGAAGTGCTGCAGAGGCTGTGCCTTCTTGCACGCTTGCCAGGCCATTCCAGGGTGGACAGGGAAACCTCATAGCTTGCCACATCTTCCATGTATTGTGAAAAAACACCGCATATGTGTCGATCCTATTCACCGCTAGGATCAATGCTGATTTGTGAGGGATGTGACAGGTGCTGGTGCGAGCGCATTCCCTTTCCCAGGCGCTGGCGGCGGCAATAGTTACAACGTGAACAACATCTACGGTGTGTAGCTTGGAGGGCGCAAAATTGTCATGCCCAGGCGTGTTGGTCCCATTGGACAGGTGTGCTGCTGAGCACCGAAGTCTGAGCTCTGAAATTTCACATTTGCTGAAGGATCTCCTTGTCATCATGATGGACCTGAAGTGGTGTTCTGCAACTGGGAAGAAAAGGGTTGTGTCGGGCATTCATAAGCATTGTATTTGCCTGCAGGCGTGTATGGAAGGGTGGCTGCAGTTGCGAGTCTTGAGTGTGAAGTCTACTGCAAGGAACTTCAAGACAAAGAACTCGTTCCTGGCAATGGACAACATTCTACCCTGTGCTTGGAGACTCAAAAGTCTTGCGGATGTATGCTCACATAGATGAATTAGAGAAAATGGAATGCAGACATCAGAGTAGAGCAGCGCTAGAAAAGGTGCAAGTCGAGGTATCATCAGAATAGAAGTTAGCTTATACTATAGTATAGAATAGTAGAATGCGTCAGGTGCCATGTGAGAAAGTCAATGTGCACAACGTAAACTTTTGAGGGAAGCTTGTATCTGTTTGGTGTCATCTGAAACCATCAATGAAAGCACTGCCCTTGAATATTTGGATGTGATAGACACTTAGGGAGCAGGTATGCAACATTTGGCTAAAGTTCATAGAGCTTCAATACAGCAAAAGCATTCAATTTTATTACATCGGTCAATGCTGCTGCAGCTGCCCTTCTAGCTGCACGAGCATTCTCTCTAAAACACTGTCTCGCACTGTCAGAAAACCCTTTTCAGGCAATGTCGCCAGTGCTGATGGGGAACTCGAACACAACATCCTTGCCGGTCAGCTTCTTGTAGACTGAGCCGAAAGTGTCCAGCTTGTACTCTGTGGAGTTGCGGTCCTTGGGGTCCAAGTACACCTGTGGGCACATGCCATGTCAGCCTCCATATAACTCTGCATTGGCTCTAGTACACACAAAGCTTCCCTTTGAAGGTTTTGCTTCACGTCGACGAGTTGAGACCCAGCAAACAAGCGCTGCATCAGAAGTCCTAATACAACCCAATGTGCAGCTTGCGGACCATCATCCTACTCAAAGCCCAACTTGGCAGCCCACTTGCCTCAGCTGCCAGCCAGCAAGACACAGCACACCCAGTCTCAAATCACTAGAGACTGTGACTACCCACGGTGCTGCTGTGGGTGAAATCATGAATGGAACCATTATTCGCACCTTGAGCGTCTTGGAGCCGTCCAGCTTATACCGGATCCGCTTGCCCACAATCTCTGTGGGGTACACCAGGTCACCCAGCACGGCCTCGTGCACCTGTGCCGAAAGTACACACACTCAGCTGCTGCTGCTTTTTATACACCTCCCAGAGCAAGTCAACACTGCTAACGTGATAGCACCCAGCACACAGCAGTGCGCGCGCCACTCTCAAAGGCACACACCAAACAATCACTCCGTGATGTATACAGTAGACAGCAGCCTACTGGAGGGCTGACATGGACTGTTATCATCAGCTCTGCAGCGAAACAGGTACGAACACTGCAGCTCGGTCATATTACTCGTACGTTACATATATAGGGGTGGGGGGCGCACCGCAGTGAGGGTGCGGGAGCGGGGGCGGTCGTTGGAGCGGCCGGAGGTGCCGGCGCGCATGATGCGGCGGTTGGCGATGAGCACGACGTCCTTGCCGCTGAACTTCTTCTCCAGCTCGCGCACCAGCCGCTGCTGCACCTTGTGGAACGCCTTCAGCAACCTGTATGGCACCTGCACCCGCCAGCACACACCAGCATCACTCTCCTTGCTCCTCCTGACCCCAGCTCCCAGAGTGCCGGCTGCGCATCTTGTGGGAGAATGCTCAAGCAAGCGCGCTGTGCAAGGAGCAACATCCTCGTAATAAAGCCTTTCTGGTGATCCAGCTGAACTTTGATGACGTAGTAGTCTAGCCCCATTGTGCAGCACGCATGCGATCATGCCATGCCCGGCTGCCCGCAACCAGAAGTGGTGCCCGCTCAACCACATGTAAGCGAGAGACGCACGTGGATGATGATGGCCTTCCGTGACGAGCTGCCCACGTCAATCTCTGCTGCTCCAGTGATGTACAGGTCCCTCAGGTCGCTCTTCAGCTCCTGGTTTGTGGCCTCCAGGTCGAACAAGGCCTGCAGCAGCCAGGCAGAAAATGAGATCATACATTGTAAGATAAACAATGGGACACAGTCAGGTCCAATTGCTCTTGATGCATATAGACACGATTATTGACTATCGCACAGGCAGGATCCCTGCTGTAGCTGCACTGATGCCATCCTGCTCATCTTTGCTAGAGTCCCAGCTATCCCAGATAAGCGCCGACACCTTGGCCAAAGGTCTGCATCAGGGCCATACAATTCTGCTCCAAATCAGAAGCGCGTTCACCCACCTGAGCCACAGACTCCTCGAAGTCATCAGGCTCTGCACCCTTCTCCTTGGCGATCTTTTTCCGTGCCGTGAACATGGTGGCACTAAGATCTGAAGGGCCCCTGTGCAAAGCAACACTTGGAGATCAATACTCTCATCATTGATCTCGATCTTGACACTCAGCAACATTCTCAGGCAACATCTTCAAAGCAAGTGCTCTCTTTAATTGCAGTCCCCGCCGCAGCATACCCCTGTCTACACAACCAGAACAGTTGTACTGTGCGAGTGGATGAGGGGCACAAGTACCTGCTGTTTGGAAGAAGTGCACAAGACCAGCCGCCGACGCTTAATGCAGAAGGCTGGATTTTGGGATGGCACGCCGTTGACGGCGGGCGGTTACTCATTGTTTCGAGCTGATGACACCATTTCCTGGTCTTCCGTTGCCAGATGACTTTGCTTTGCACTGAACACTGACATTAATTTTTCTTGAGAAAGTGAAATTCAGAAGTGTTGTGTCGGGAGAGCACACCTTGCTGCAAATAGAGGAGACCTTACTAGATATTCTTTGCTTTTTGGTGAGGTGGATGTGACTTGGAGGACGTGCGCACCAGCGTGCGGCCACTGAAGAAAAAAGAAAGGGAAACTAGCTTTCAAACATCGAAGCTTGGCAAGTCGACAGGCGAGTGTCGCTTGTAACAAGCAGATGTGGCGCTAGGCATCCAGCGGAAGCAGCCTGCGCAGCTGAATGTCAGACTTGGATCGATGGATTCAGCAGCTCAAGCGATGCGAACCGCTTGCTGAGAAAGATGTGAAGGTGCTTTGCGAAAAGGCATTGGAAGTGCTTGTGGAGGAGAGCAATGTGCAACGTGTGGATGCACCAGTCACGATATGTAAGCAGCACATCTACTTCTTCTGTTCTAGTTATTCGGTTCTTCATCGACAGCCAAGTCTCATCATGCCTTGCGTTTGCATGAGGAGCAACCACAGATAGTGTCAGATTTCATTACTAAACTCGACCTGCGACCTGCGTAAAACTCTGTGGCTTTCGCAGGCGGTGACATCCATGGCCAGTTCTTCGATCTCATGGAGCTGTTCAAGGTGGGCGGGGACTGCCCCCAGACGAACTACCTCTTCATGGGCGACTTTGTTGACCGTGGCTTCTATAGTGTAGAGACCTTCCTTCTGCTGCTAGCGCTGAAGGTACAAAACCCCAGCTGTTGACACGATGTAAACAGATTCTGGATCCACCCTAAACCTCCTGGGGGAATGAGGAGTGACTGATTCAATTCTCGGTAGCATGACACCTGTCAGAATGTGTCTTTCCTAGTGCTGGCTGATATTTTGTCTGGTGCAGGTGCGCTATCCAGACAGGATTACCCTCATACGAGGGAACCATGAAAGCCGGCAGATCACTCAGGTGGGCACTGCACCTGCGTTGAAGCCGCAACATGTCTCACTGCACCGTGTCTCACCCAAGGAGCTCGCGAGAACGTTGCAGAAACATTTTTCTCCCCTTGTGCAGGTTTACGGGTTCTACGATGAGTGCCTCCGGAAGTACGGCTCTGTCAATGTGTGGCGTTGCTGCACAGACATTTTTGACTACCTCAGGTGTGACACTGCCCCCGCCCCCGTATCCAAAAGCAATACTTCATGTTTGCGTTACTGAATTTAGATACCTGCACATGCTGTGGTTTGGGAGCCCCATACACCGTGTTGATGTAGGTCACACTGAGGCTAGTGTGTGGCTGCAACAGTTTGTCGGCGCTCATTGACAACCGCATCTTCTGCGTGCATGGCGGCCTCTCTCCTGCGGTCAGCACGCTTGACCAGGTGGGTGCACCTGCATCTCTACTCTGCAAGAAATTAGGCCTCACACATGGCAGAATGGCCTGAGCAAGACCAGGCTTGGAACAGCACCGAGGATGTCTAGTGGCTTTGATTTCAAAGTGCAATGTTGGGAAGTGGCCACATGCATCTGGGATGCCTGCCAGGCGCATGATGTCATGATTGAGCCTTGCATATGGATGCACCTGACTGTTGGAGTGCAGGTGGCTGACATGACTCTAAAAAATGATGTTCTTGCTGATAACCAGGAGCTCCAATATAGTGTTCTAAATTATGGAAGTGACCGGAAGCGTGTGTGCCTCGGCAGATCCGCACAATAGACAGGAAGCAGGAGGTGCCTCACGACGGCGCCATGTGTGACTTGCTGTGGTCTGACCCCGAGGATATAGAGGGCTGGGGGCTGAGCCCCAGAGGGGCCGGCTACCTGTTTGGCGGGGACATCTGCTCCAACTTCAACCACACCAACAAAATAGAGCTTATCTGCCGCGCCCACCAGCTTGTCACAGAGGGCTACAAGTGGATGTTCAATGAGCAGCTTGTCACTGTCTGGTCCGCTCCAAACTACTGCTACAGGTGCGCAGTCCGGCCTGTCTTTGCCCTATTCGCCCATATTTTCCCCCTCAAGACACAAGGTGCCTGCCTCCCGGATGAAGGCTGACACAGGGGTTTCTGGTGACGTCCTGCCTGTGCTGATCCTGGCAAGAGGTGTCCATGATCTTTTGGGATTGGGAAATTGGCAGAGCAGATGATGTCGTGCAGGTGTGGCAATGTCGCGGCAATCTTGGAGCTTGACGAGCATCTGAACAAGAGCTTCAAGGTGAGCAGTTCTCCAGTTGTTCGCAAAGTGGGAAGACCTCGCGGCTGGATTGTGCTTGGCATCTCCTGGGTATCTTGCGTGATGCCTCTGAATATATGATTCCTGTGGGCTCGGCTGGTCAGGCTGGTACAAATGCTGAGCACAGCACCCACGGTTGATTGTGTCTTGGTCGGATCTGGTAATTTCATGTTGGGGTTGTCTATGTGGCAGCCTTTACCTGCAGCTCGTCCGCAGACGCTACCTTGCTTCTGGCAGCAGTAGCGTGTGTCACTGACAACGAAATTAGCAATCATGATATCTGCACTGTGCAGGTGTTTGAAGCAGCGCCGCAAGACGTGCGTGGGGTCCCAGCAAAGAAGGCAGCGCCTGACTATTTCTTGTGAGCTTAGATTCCGTGATTGCCAATGGAGTCAGTGCAGCAGCTGCAACACCGGGCCTGGTCCACCGATCTGTCTAGCTCTTCACATGCAGCAGCACCGGCAATGCTTGTTTTGCCAGTCTTTTGGTTGACACATGCAATAGAGGGGGAAATCGTGCACTTGACGCTGCATCTTTATGTTGGTGCACCAAGCTGAGATCGGGTGTCACATCTCTGCGGCCAATGATGTTTGTCATTGTAAGCCTGATTGCATCCCTTACATAAGAGCGAGGATCCGTGGACTTTGCAAGGCAGCTGCCCAAGCTTGAAGCACTCCATATACCACACACTCAATAGTGGTTATGACTTGTAATGTCAGTACATGCTCTCAATGTTTGAATGTCACAGCATGCCAGCTCGCTTGCCAAGAGCAATAGGCCCTATTGCTGTTGGCAGACAAGTGCAATCTGTACTACGAATAGTACGCTAGTGAAATATTAGCATGTGCATCCGAACACAGTACCTGACACGGGTCTCTCAGTCCTCTGAGACCTCAATTGCCCCCTGCTCAGCTCCCCACCATTCAAAGTAGTGCTCAATCAAAATGTCCAGCACTTTCTGGTACTCCCTCATCAGGTGCGCCCTGACATTATCGGGCTTTGCTTTCCTGCCGTTGGATTTCTTCGTCCCCTTTTCTGCCGAATCGTCTACTTCTGTGATCAATTCTGGGCCTCCAGCACTGTGGAAGGCGGCCAGCCAATCTGCCACACGAGCCTCCAAGTCATCCACTGTCACCTACAAATTCATCATGACACAAGGTTTAGTTTGGATCCACAATCGAGCAAAAGGACAAGAAAATGACAATCCAGATGGTGCTAACGTGAACAATTGACTTCCATCAGTCACTGACTGGTCTGGCAAATCAGAGCCCTCTTAGCAGCTGCTCGGTTGGAAGGTGCACGCAGCACAGCAAGTGCTCTTGCATAGACAACGGCAGAAAGCCACTCTCGTGGATGGAACAATTTTCACTAGAATATCCATTTCAAGGTACATGCTGCATGCGATAAAGTAAGTCGATACACAATGGAGGCACAAGGAAGGGGCGTCCCATCTATGTAAGGGAAACATGGAGAGGTTACTCCAACACACTTCGCCCTGTAAGAGCATACAAGCATGTAATTATAAGATTTTCAACAACATTTGAAGCCCTGCTTGGAGACAGGCTCACCTCCAAACTGCAGTCCACGCACTTCATGACGAGGGAGAACAGGTGAACCTGCACCAGCGCAGTGTCCTTCGCAGCTATGGCCCAGGCTTTCCTGCGCTCCTTGCTGCCGGGCACCGCTGCAAGAGGGTTTATTGAGACCTCTCTGTGCACTTGCTGGACTGCCACTAGCCAGTGGGTGAGGAAGGCCCGGAAGGCTGCTCTCACCTTCTCCACCCTGCATGCAGCAAGCAATTATAATTATTATTAGTCACTTGTGCTGATCAGCCGTTGAATAGTCAGCCGGCTGCCTTGCATGTGTGATCCTGATTCTCGACTGTTGGTCCTTGGGTGCTAAGAAATGGCCTCAGCAGCTTTATGTGGCCCCTGTTCCTTATACTTGATGTAAGCTCGAGCATCCTGTGCTCTGAGAGATAACGTATGAAAGAGCAGTGACTTGCGGCTGCTGAGCAATCTCATCATCTCTCTCTTCTAATAACGTTCAACCTCACCACTGGTCAGTGGCTGTAGCTGTCACAAGGACTGTGCTCAACAAGATATTGTATGTCTAGAACCTTTCAGGGTTCAGGAAGTTTGAGCCGTCCACCCCAGTCTTGGACTCGTGAGAAGTGAATCCAGATGAGGACACAATGCATCTGCTTATTGTCTTCTGTCACAAGCATCAGGCACTTCCAGCACTCTTACCTTTCCTTTGATTCTGGCATTGTGGCCATGAGTTCTTCAGCCTCTCCAGTCAACAGGAGCTCCAGTATCTGAGCTGCTCCGCCTGAGCAGTTTGTTTGATGGTGCAACGCCACGTACAGGGGACTTTTCACCTGCAAGATGAGTCATCAAACAAGCCTTTAGCTCACTGCAATGCATGGCCAGAATGCTCAGCCCCCCAGGAATTGACACCATTGACACCACATATTATGACTCAGAACAGAGAGACATGCAGCGTGTTGCCTGCAGTACTGTGAGGTGACATCCAGTATTCCAGACTCACAGTGTGGCCTGCCAAGGCATGCTGCAAAGCCTCTGACATTTTGTGACATCATCACTGATCCTTGTACTCAGTACACACCCGGAGGGAAATAACAGAATTCATTAAGTAAGACCCTGGCGCCCCAATCCCGCAGCGCTAGCATGCATTTGCGACAGGGATGAGTGATTGATGTGAGCGTGCCTTGACACGGTTGTAGGTGCCGTCCACAACCACAAAGCCTTCTTGTGAGCACTGAGAGAATGCTGCTGCTCGGCCGGACGCCGCAGATGGAGTGCCAAGTGCCTTAATTGCTGTCATCGTCTGCTCCAGAGTGTGCAAGGGGAACATTTGCACCTGCATGAAGTTCTTACTTTCAGGCATGAGAGGGTGGTTGTTGATAAGACCCTCTCTCAATGCGATCCTCTAACATACGGTACTATGCATCGCAGCCCGAGGGGGGAGAAAAGAAAGCTTAATCCTATGGCATGAGCTGAGCTATGCAATGGTGCTTGCTTTGTGAGACAAGGCATGCACTGCCAACAATATCACCCCAGACTTTATGAGGCTGCTGCAGGTTCCAGAAAGCTCCACATGGCAACAAATATTACCTGTCTAGAACACAAATTCAATAGAGTATTAGACACAAACTAGCCTCACCAGAAACATGTCACAGTAAGATAGTAGAGAAGAGAGTTTCATGCGCACCTTTGGGATGCCTTGCACAGGGGCCTCTTCAGGTCGGAGCTCTGGGAATATGAAGGCCTCGCTGTAGCTTTTTACAGAGCCAGACACTGCAGCAGCGTCGTCAATGAACACCCTTCGCGTGGCCAGATGCCACAGGCGCGGCTCTCTGTGCCTGACCACTGTGACTGAATCTGGGTGGCACAGCTCAAACATGTATGTGCAGGTCCGGTCCATCTGTGAGTAAGGAAGCTGTTGCCACGTCTCCCTTGGCTGCCTCAACACTGCTAGATCGCCCGCCAATGTGCAAGCCACTGCACAGTCAGTCAGTATCTCAATCAGTCATTCAGTCGATTGATCTCTCGGAGGTGAGTTGACAGTAGGTGCTTCCAGCCAACTTCAGGTCTGATCAGCTGCCTGACACTGGTTGCATGACATCCAAACACTCTACCATGGTTCTGGCAACGCCAACAACATCATTCTGCAAGAAATTGGCATCATAACAGGACGATGAACAGGGTTATGTATCGCGCTTGCACTGATTTCCAAACAGCGGCTACATTGCACACATGCATGCCCTTCATCAGGAAATGAGATGCTTTGTATCTGTACATTCTGTGTGATCTCGGGCTCGTCTGTGCATCACAAATTGCAGAGATGTTTATGCCGGGGGAGTATCACCGCTCTCATCGAAGAGATCTTTGAACGTCCTGGACTGTGAACTGGCGCGCGCCTCTCGTGCGTCGATTGTTCCTGTGAAGCATTCATGATGTCAACAGCTTTGCTCAGAGGGCAGCAGTCCATGTGTACATTTTACATCACCAATTATCTATGTGCCAAATTTCCAGGATACATATCGAACCTTGTTAAGGATGAAGAAGAGCTTCGTTTCAGCACACATTTTGCTGCTTGATACACGATACAGTCTGGCAAGCAGGCCCTTCTCAACATTTGGAAATGCTGCGAAATCAATCTTCAAGACATGCTGCACTTTTATATTACCTCTTGTAGCCACTACCCATTCCTCAGCCCACCCATCATAGTACACCTGTAAGCAAAGAAGCCATCGGGTTGAACCAGCTTCTACCAGCTGCAGGCACAGCCTCCACTGACTTGATATCACCACACTACTTTGCTCTTGCAGATGAAAAAATCAGTTGTCACAGGGAGAACTCTGCAATCCTTCTCTCACAGAAGGTAGAATCGCTCGACTGTCAACGACAGAGACTCGTACGTCCAGCAGCGAAGCAGTCGGGCAAACGCCACTCGTGGGCATATTACCTTGATGAGCGAGCCGTCAACCTTTTCGTACACTAACGCAGTGCTCCAGTCAATGGGATGCGCCTGCTCTTCTCCCAAATTGAAAAATTTATAGAAGGGCACGCAGACGGGCTGGTTGGTGTCCTTGCGAAGGATGAGGCCTCTGGATTGCAGCGCTGCCCCCATACTGTTCGTCCCGCCGTACTTCTTTGTGTAAAATATAGAATTGTCCCTGTAAGATAGGGCGTACAGGTGGGGCCGCAGCTGGCTCAAGGTCACCTTGATGCCAGTGTTCCGCAGCTTTTGCAGCACTGCCTCAAAGGGAAGGTCCCTCAGGAATTTTACCACATCCATCTTTCAATGAAATATAGGACAAAGTTTTGGCTTTGATGGCAGGACTTCCGAAATTGACTGAGCTGGATCAAGAAGTGAAGCCACAGTGGGAACTGGGGTTGTGAAAGGGTGGGAAGAAAACTGTGCCATAGACAGGACATGTCAGTATGCACTAATTTGCTTCATGAGCACAAAATTTCAATCTGTGCTTTCAGAGTTGCTGCAGCAGATGCAAGTTATTGGCAGAATGATGTCGACATCAACTTCTTACAACATTCCACTTAATCATCACAGCCAAACCGGGTACCCGCGCTCGCATGCACAAGAAAACCTTCACCTCCTATTGTGTTTATCGCTTTCCACCCACTCATGATCTACATAGGAGAGCACACAACATCACAAACGTGATGAATGAAAAACACCAACATACGGGCAAAATCAATATGATGTCAGTTGCAACACAGTAGAACCTCCCAGCTTATACAGTTGCCACTGAGCCAACAGTGATTAGAGTTCACAAAGGGCTCTTCTGCTTGGACTCTCTTCAATGAGTAGTTCCAACACATTGCTCCAGATGCATGCGCCTGTGAGAGCCATGAAATACAAAACACCAAAAGTAAGAATTCATATGAAAGGATGTGTGCATTGCAACGCACGATTGGCATTTCAAGCAGCCAAAGTATCCTCCACACAACTGCCTTGCGCAAATGTTCTTGCTGTTCCTAGGTTCCTTTGAAACCCATAAAATGCTGACGCATCATCATCTTGTCATGCAGTGCTTTGTCTGCCTTGTTCTGCTGCTGAAATTGGGTCAGCCCATCAGCAGTTCCCTTTGTAAGAGCGCTTTGCCCATAATAAGACCCAACTGTAGAGCCCCAAAAATAAAAAGTGCAGACCATACTAAATTCAGATGTACACCAAACTGAACAGCCGGATGAACCGTGAACGAAGCCAACAGAGAATTATGTTATGCCGATCAGACCCAAGTATACAGATGAGTAAGAGGTCTGAGCCCGGGTCAAAACTTTTCAGCAGTTCCAGTAGGGCACTGCAGGCCAGCTTCTCCTTGTTCTGTAGTGCTATGGAAATAGGTGTGTAGCTTCGCAGCGGCACCACAAATCCCATATCTGCGCCGAAAGCACAAACACCGATCTGATGTGGCAGCTGTGTGGCGAGTCTGCATCACAGGGGAGTTGTGCGAGTGCGCCTCAGAGGCTGGCCCTCGAGCGTGGGCACATGCGCGGCAGGTGGCGGCTGACAGTGCGCGATGACTCGCTCTAGCAGCTCCCTGTTCTGCTGCTTCAGCTCGTCCACCTGCAAAGCAGCACAGACAGCCTTTGAGTACCCACCAGCATTCAGCTTTGCAACACTGTGCTTGCACGCGCCTGCAGCCAGCACATTCAGGTTCTAATCTGACTTTTCCAGAGCATAAATCTCTGCAGCGCTCTGCTTGCACATGCCAAGAAAGACATACTTCAATTTCAACAATTGCCCCATCTCGAGGTACACGAGTGAAGAAGACCCAAGGGAATACAAGTTATCTGTGGTCCTTTGGACTTGAACCCAGAGTACCTTTAAGTGGGCCACCCAATCACTTGACATGCCATGCAGGGATGCCTCAGGGCAATCTTGTCTTGGCTCTGGCGTCACTTGGATACTTTTGAGTCTTGGTAAACACAAAGATGGGTGGAACTGTTGAACGGAAAGGTACTAATTGCACTGTCAGCTCGCACCTGCTGCTCCAGTGTGGCTGTGTACTCCTGCTTCCTTTGCCTGGATCGAGCTGCACTCTCCCTGTTCTTGACCTGCATGCAGCCCAGCACACAGGTGAGCAAGGGCATCCCCAGTCCAAGCAATACACACTCAGCATGGTCTGCATCCACTCATAAAGTGCAGGTAGGAGACAGCATGCCACGCTAGCGCATTTGCCAAGGTAACACAATCAAGATCTGTGCGCCTTCTCAAAGCGGTCAATGCCCACCACCTTCTGTGCATGGCAACAAAGGGTGAGGGAACAGGTGACACGGCCAAGAAGGAGCTGCCACACTTCCATGCCCAGCTTAGTGCTGCACAAAGCAGTTTGCTTAATAGAGAGGGCACACAGCTGACATATCACCGTCCACAAGACCTCTGCTCAACGAGCAACTGCCTCGCCCATCACCTGTGTCTGCCACCATGAGGGAGTTGCCAGCTTCTGAGACCTTGGAGGGTGTCCTTTGCCCCTATTACATACGTTAGCATTGCACAAACAGAGGTGGGACCTTTCAAAAAGGCTCATTTACGAGAATATGCGCACCATGCGCTTCTGCAGGCGCTGTGTGCGCTCGTCCATGACCTCCGGCTCGGCCTTCCGCTTGCGCTGCCGCGCCGCGCGCGCGGCCGCCCCCGGCGACTGCTTCGACGTCGGCTGCTGCAGCGGCAGCGGCGGCATCCCCAAACTCTGCTGCGCCATTGCCGTGCGCCCGCCCTGCAGCAGATTATCTTTGAGTTGTGGATTCCTGACGCTGCACCACCTTGCTTCCACTTCCGCGGCTCACCTCTCAGTGTGAGCAGAAACTGGTCCTTGAAGAGGTGATACACCCATCTAATCCGTCAAGAGAGCACTGGTTTGTTGCACCGTTGTGGGATGATCCAAAGGCAAGTGTGAGCCGGGCTTGTCTTGCATCGCGGACGGTGTGTCATGCACAGGGAAATCACAGGATAGTTGTCTTGGAGTATGTTGAACTGGGGATACAAGGGAGTTGAGAGTCATAATGCTAGAAGAAGGAAGCCTGCCTGTTGTGATGTGCCGGGCGCACTGGTGGAGGGCGGGAAATCGATGGGCATGCTGGAGGGGCCTGACATGGGACCGTTCTTTTCCTGCATGCCCGAAAATTCTCGGTCAACGGCCTCGCCCATGAATACTACTTACCAAACAGCAGGCTTGCGTTTTCACAGAAGGCTTGTATTTGGCAAATACAGATACAGGTTGCTCTGGCATCAGCCACATAACAAGGACCAATGCCACAACGGCAAGAGAAGGAGAACCTATCACCGGGATAGGTCGACGAAGGCAGCTAGACAGTATGGCTTGAAGAAGCCATACAGGAGCCTGTTGCAAAGCCAAAGAGGATAAACTAGACAAAGGGGATAGACAGCTCCTAGCACCATAGTAGAGGCTGCCATTGTAGGACAGTGATGCGCTGATCACGCACCGGCTGGCTGGAGGGGCTGTGTGAGGGGGTCTGCGGCATGGAGATGGGTGGACTTGGAGGCCTTGCCAGCGGCCAAGGCCTACCCTCCACTATACTTGGGCTCCTGCCAGCCTGCCACAAATGACACATACACAAAAATTAGTCCAAACGATGCAGACAAGCCCTGTTAAGTTGGGCCCAATGTGACAGGGCGGCCATTGTTCCACAAGGATACCTGCCGAAGGAAAACTTGGATCTTGGAGCCAGCTGAAAGGCATGAGCCTGCTTACATGAGACACCCAGGCAGTACTGTATGTCAGCAAAGCTTGTGAAGTGTAGGGACAGCAGAAAAGGGGATGTGAGCACCTCTTCCTGCTCCTGGAAGGGGGGCCGTCCGCCGCGCCTGCTTGCCCGCGGCTGGATGACAGGGTCGAACTGCTGGCTGATGTAGGGCAGGCCCAGGTCCTTCTTCACGCGCATCGGCGCGCTCTGAGTGATGTGAACAGCTGCATCTACCTGGGGATAGAAGGTGTGGACCTGCAACAAATGATGCAGTCATGACAATGACCCCACCTTCACCCCTAACAGTGAACAGCTGCACAGCTGCAGCAGCATCAACAGGCCATCACCAGATGAAGAAAGTGCGTTGCAACATTACCAAGCACTGCTGCATCCCTCTCCTAAGTCAGCTGCAGATTAATAAAGGCATGCCTGCCTCAGTCTGCAAGATGCAATGAAGCATGTGGCAGGGGCTTGTTTGCTCATTGCGACCACTATATATGCTTGATAGCTTGCGCCACCATGCCATGAAGGGACATGGCATGCATTTTCAACAAATTGTGGGTAAGCTCCCTGTTTACCTGCAGCTCTGGTGCAGGGGGAAGCAGGCCATCCTGCTGGAGGTCCATGGAGGGGAAGTCCACGCCCACCCTCTCCAGGAAGCTGCCCAGTGTCACAGTCTGAAACCCTGGCAAAACTCCCTGCTGCTGCCCCTCATTGTTGCCGTTGCTCTTGTGGATCGAGTTCCACACCTCCTCCACAGTCTTGCCGCTGCAGGCATGAACAATACACGTCGCTCATTGTTGCACAGCACAGCACGCTGGCAGTAAAGCAAATTCTGCAACCAGTGGCTTCCTGCATGCATGCATCTTGTCTTTCGTGGAACGAGGGCTTCTTGTCTGTGCATGTAGCCTTGTAAGTTGCGCTGTCGAGCTTGCCTGTAGTCTGGGTGCAGCGCTGCAGGGGCCTGGGGCTGGAATGCTGGCACTTCCTCAGGCAGGTTGTACCCTGCCTCTGATGGAGGTGGGACACCTCCAGCATCTCTGTCCCACACAGCCGCCAGAAAATCCTCCTGCAGACACGCAACCACGTGGTCTGACGTATCCAGGAGAGCATACATCACTCTCTTTTGCTGCTCATCTGCTAGGGTCTTTTTCTGTCCTTGATGTTGCTCGCATACATGCTTTGCAGAGTGAAACTAACACTGGAAATCTTCACTTATCACTGCCGTCATGGGCAAGCCCGACTATGCGTGGAAGACATCGCGCCAAGCTGCTCACACCAACGCGAAGCCGAGCCTTTCCGGAGTTCAATATGTTCATATTGTGCGTTGCATGCAAGCTACAAGGCTTAAGATGCACCCCGGCTTCATTCGAGAGTCCCAGGAAAGCTGGCCTGAGACATTCTGCACAATTTGGCAAACCTCCAACTTCCTTCAGGGGTGCATCGCACACCCAACATCATCGTACTGCCCATTGAGTGTCTTGTTCGGCTACAAACATCCGACGCATTATTAGTGGGGCTTTACAGCTCCTGGATCATGCTCCGGCCTGACTTGCTAGGGGAGCTTCTCACCATATTCATGCTGCCAAAGGGTTTCCCAGAGCCCACTGACTGCTGCAGCTGATCCAGAGTCATCTGGAAAACGGCAGATGTCTGCTTAGACAGAGTTGTCTGGCGCTGGAGGGTCCCCATCTTTGCAAATGCTGGTCTGAAGGAAAAATTTTGGTCTTAGCTGTTGAGTGAGCTTCACGGCGTGACAAGTGTGCATTTTCGACCCTAACCCCTTCCAAGCCCTACAAAATTTAGTGCGTAATCGTCCCTTGTGCGAAACTGGCATTCTGATCTCCTTGGGCCCTCTCCTAGAACTTGCACTGCACAGCCTGATTCTCTTGAAGCTTTCTCCCATATATTACTCATCGCTACCTAGCGCTCGGCTGCACACCCCATCAAGAGATGGATCAGCCTTTTGGAGAACGGTCACCTATAGGGGAGACAACACATTCGTGATGCTGTGAGACGAGCTGCGGACTGATGGAGACTATTTGCGTTTCACAAGACGTGGTACAAGCTCGGAGCATCGCAGTGTCCAGAACGTTGTTTGAGACACAGTCAGAAGAATACAGAACAAGATGGTCAATCAGAACAAAAGATTTTTGATGCATGTCCCATCCGCGACATTTGGCGCAATGATTGCGCAGGTGAAAGATACAAAATCAAAGAAGGGAGGATATGGGTTGAACTACGACGAGCAAGCTAAGCTTGCTGCAGAGGAGTTCGCCAAGAAGAGGACACAAAGGTTGTTGCAGGTGATGGTATCCGATCGTCCTTTAGAATGGTCAACAACACGCCATGTTCGCGTGCAAATATTCAATGACTCAAGCGACCCTCCGCTTGCTCTTCGCCACCAATTGCTACCTTGCAGTATCAGATAGTAATCTGAACTTTTCTTGCAGGTGAGGGAGCAGGAGAAGCAGTTTGCCAGATCGAATCGCCAGGCGTATGAGGAGAGGCTGGCGCAGCACCGCAAGAAGCTCTATCTGGAGCTGCTGCAGAAGTGGGACAAGCAGCACCAGCAGGAGCTGCAAAGCCTGCAAGACGCCCACCAGAGAGCCCTGCATGCAGCTTCTGCAGCACAGGTACCCCTGTTTGCACAGCATCTCACTCACTGTCCAGGAAGCTGTTACCTCTGTCACAGCACTGAGTGACAGCTGCTGTTGTTCTTTCCCTCGTCCAAATGTAGTTCCCGCCTACGAGAACAGGGCACAACTACACGGAGCGCAGTTGTCAACCCAAGCAGAGATGGACCCGGAATGCTCTGCTCGCACAGGAAGAAGCCGAGGAGGCAGCGGAGGCAGCACGGCGGGCCGAGGTGGCTGCCGACGCTCGCAGTGCCATTCAGGCTGACCAGGCAGCCAAGCGCTTTGCTGAGGCCGCGCACCACGTGAGCTCCTTCACCCCTCTTGTTTGTGCAACCCTGCCTTTTGCAGCCCAACTCAATCTGCACCAGATTTATTAAACACACCTGGATTTAACCCTTGTCCCCTATCTCACATGTGCTGCTGCCAGGTTCAGTTGAAGTCAATTGTCACGCACTGGCCAGGCCCGGATGGAGCGAGACATTCTGGCGCGGGAGCGTGACAGGCGCGTGGCATGGCTGCAGCAAGCCAGGAGCGCTGAGAAGGCCAGGGCCATGGAGCAGGTGCACACTCCACCAATCGTCTCATCAACCTTGGGCTACCATCATTTGTAGACACTGCAGCTGACAGTCGTGAAGGCTGCTTGTTGGTGAAGGATGCTGTATCAGGCAGCGATCTTGCACAGGCCTGAGACACAAAGAGGGACAGATACTGGGGCAGTGTGATGTCAAAAGGGGCAGAGTTGCCCAACAGGGACCCATGACTGTTAAGGGCAGTGCATTGGGTCATCGCCGGCACATGCGCGCAGGTGGTGAAGCAGCAGGAGGCGCAGAGGCGCGCAGCTGAGGAGGCCCGGGAGCGTCTGCGGCGCAGGGGGCGCGACGCCGAATACGATTTTCGCTTCACACGCTTCCACGAGACCGGCCTCGAGCAGCCACCGGCCCCCGACCTGCCTGACGGCGCGCCCTCCGCTGCCGACTCCGCTGAGCTGGCGGCCAGGTCAGCGGTCGCGACACAAACACCCAAGCACCTTGCTTTACTCTAACCTCTTGCCGCAGACTCTATTGAATAGAGAACATTGAGTCAGTCTGGTCATGAACGGTAGCACTGTAGTAAGTGTGAATTTATGGCAACACGGCAATGAGGCTCTGTAACAGAGCATTCAGCAGTGAAGAGGCAAGATCTTGTAGAACAGCAACAACGTGGAATGGGCAGGCCATGTCGCTTTGGTGCTATAGAGCTGGCATGAAGATCCCACTTTAGGAAATGTATTTGAAATCTAGCATTGCATGTGCGGATGCAGGAAGGCAGCCCGGGAAGAGGAGCGCCAACAAGCTGCCGAGGAGCGCGGCCGGGCAGCGCTGCACAGGCTGCGAATGGAGCGTGCGGCCAAACAGCTGACTGCGCAGCTGGACTCCGAGTTGCAATTCAGGCGCTCTGCCGCCGCCTCTGCCACCGCCGCCTCGTCGCCGCTGGCTGCACTCCAGCCTCACAGGTCTGGCTCCTGTATCTGCACTCTGCGCCAGCCTCCATTCTTGAAGGTGCTTGTGAATATGTCTCCGTATGGTGACTCTATCATTGCTTGTTTTTGCACAGAAGGCATGTGTGCTAACAGCGCAATGTGCACATGTATGACAGTGAAAGGCCGACAGCTGCGCCCGGCAAAGTTGGCTGAGACGAATTTGTATTGCAGGGATCCAGATGAACGGCGGTGCCAAGTGGCGGCGAACCGAGGCTATGAGCCTCAACAACTTGGCACCTACCTTGACATGTCTGTCCCGCAGCCACGGGTGGCGCCAGACTTTTCCGCGCTGCCCCGAGCCACGTGGCTCCAGCCAACACCTTGGCCAGCAGAGGCGCAGAGCCATCACCAACCCCGGGAACCGGTGGCGCAGACAGCGGTCAGCAGAGTGGGTGAAGGAATACAAGAGAGGGCGCGCCGTGCAGACAAGACGACGCAGTGCTGCGTGGACAGGCAGACGCAGACGGAGTCGCCCGAGCCACGCAGGCAGCCGGCCTGCAGGGTCCCCCGGCCCCACTCGCTGACTCAGCGCCAACTCAGCGCCCATTCAGCGCTGCCGGCCGCCGCACACAGTGCCCCTGCAGCCGCCACAGAGCGCTCCCTTGCACCTGCACAGCCAGCAGCGGCAGCGCACTACCAATTGCGGCAGGAGGCAACACCCCCGCTCAATGCAGATCTTGCGCAATGTGCCGCAGAAGCAGCGGCCGCGAGCGCTCAGCGGGCGAGCGAGGGCTCCAGGTCAGCGCGGCCAATGATTGCGCCGGCTGCGCATAAGACACGCTCGATACTGGCCTCGCCAAATTTGCCTGCAGCGACTGGGCAGCAAGGGCACGCTGGTGAGACCTTCAGCCTGTGGAACCTTGTTTGAGTTGATGCGTACACGGGCCAGTCAGAATGAATGCATTTCATGGATTTCCATTCAGCCATTGCTTCCATGGCCGACCAAAGAAGCCATGGCTTCACATGACCAGCACTTGCATTCTCACCCACTGCCGGCTTCAAACTCAGTAAGAGTGGTGTGCTCCATGCAGGCACGCAGAACTCGGCAGACCTCCGCGAGGCGCAGCAGCCGATGCTGCCGCCGGCAGGTGATATGGTGCGCACGCTGCCCGGCGAGCTGTCCGACTCCTGCTGCAGCAGCCGTGCCGGCAGCGAGGCCGGCTTCCCCCTTGACCCACCCCTCCACCACATTCCTGTCGACAAGGGACTCGCAGGCAACCCTCCCCTTCAGGCGCTGCCGCCCGAGCATCCACGCACGGCCGCAGTGAATGGGCCCGGACCTGATCTGCAATGGATGAGGGATAGCGGGGACAATGCTGAGTGGGTAGAGGCGCGAGTGGGTCAAGTGCCAGATCAGGCGCTGGAAAGGGACGGCGCTGCAGAGAGGGGAGCCAGTGCTTTGGCGGACGCGTCCTGTACCATATCTGTCGCCGGGATGGGCGGCGGGACGGGTGATTTTGGTCGTGTGCCAGCCGACAAGGGTGCAGCCGGCGCGGAAAAAGGCAGTGATGGACCGCGGCATGGTAAAGGGCGAGACGATGAGTCAGCAAGACTCGCGAGGCTAGAGGATCTGTTGGAGCAGCCACACGGTGCTGACATCTCTGGTGCGTGGCCGTCAGTCTCAAGCTGATCAAGCTGGTGTGTTCCAATTGTGCTCCCTGAATCTTGGGCACCAGGTGACCGGCTATGCATGAAGGCGCCTGACAGGAAATGCAAGGGATGGGAAGGCAGGCATGGCTTGGGCACTTGGTCTCGTTATGTGCACCCAGCATTGCATGATTTGTCACAGGTGTGACTCTCACAAAAGGCAGTCTGGCTTTGGAGGCACAAAATCAGGGTGGTGATGCGCGATTGCAGGGGCGTTCTTGGCGCAAGCCGCAGCAGAGCTGGAGGCGCTCTGCGTAGACTCCCTGGACAACGCCCCTGGAGACCTGCCACCCAGCAAACCGCCCATGCGCATGCACCCCCCGCACAATCATGCAGCGAGGACCGCAGCACCGAAGGTATCCAGAATGTTCCAGCCACCGGGCAGGCCTGCCAAGACAGCCCTGCAGAGGGCTGAGGAGCTGCTGGCCCGGCTGACACAGGACGCTGGCCTGTGGGAAACACCAGCATGCTCCACTCAGCCACAGAAACCCAGCTCTAATGAGACAGCCCCTGGTAAGCATGTCGCCAATGCTGCCACTGTCATATTGTCATGCCAGTGGATTCTGTCTACCCCACTGCCCCTCAAAGATGCCACCAAGAAACCAGGCTACCAAGGGGTTTAGAATGTCACTTGCTCCTGGCACCCATTCAGCATTAGGCGACCAGAGGCGCGGGAAATCTCTGAAAGTGTATGTTGCTGAATGTGTAGGTCATGCGGAGGGAAGCATGCACTTTGAGAAGGATGATGAGCAGAGGCTGATGCTGGAGTTGGAGGCCATCTCGAGGCAGTCCGGCTACATTCTGCCCTGCTGTGACAAAGCGCCATCCCCGGTGAGCTGCTGTCAACGTCCTTGTGTGTACTCCGAGAAGGCACACACCACACACCATGGACTCAAGGCAGGTGAAGCTTCTGTTTCACGTTTTGTTACAATCCCTGATGGTGGGTAGAGGTGCCTTGTTTGCGGATATAACAAGGGACTGGCCGGCGAAATCATAGAATTATTTGAAAGCAGCATGAAGGGCATGGCTCTATTGATTAGAGAGCGACAGAGTTGGTTTAAATTTCAAGCGGTGACAATGAAGGCTGATGTTGGCACAGTGGTCAGCAGGGGATTAATTTGTGCATGCTTTTGGTGTGCAGGTGAGCAAGAAGGGAGGAGCCACCAACAGCCTGGAGTTGCTGGCTGAGAGGCTGCAGGACGCCATCAGCGACACAGTATCGATGACAGGTCTGCACTTCATTTATAACTTTCATTGTGCAAAGAATTTCTAGTTCCAAGCACCGGACACTGTCACAGTGCATGAGGATGTTGCCTTTATACCCAGAAAATGGTGGGATGGCACAAGCCTCAATCTAGCCTCAGATAATCTTTTGAGAACATCCTGTTTTGGCAGGGAAGACGTTATTGCATTGGACCAAAATGACCTGGCACATTCTTGCTTCACTGCTGACATTATTTGTACTTTGTGCGCAGAGGGGATGCTAGGCCACCCAAACACCTATCCCAATGCCTCTGTCTGCGCGCCTACAATCAGCACTGCTACCACCCTTCTGGCCACAGACAACGCCTCAGGATGTGCGCCAGACAATGTACAGGTCAGCAAAGGCGGTGATTGGGACCTGCCGGCACCCAGCAGTCTTGCAGGGGCCAGTGGTGTGCCCAAGAAGGGGCACCTGGGCAGCAGAGGCTCTGTGGCATCCTCCTCTTGCAGCTCGCTGCTGGGTGCATTGCGCCTGGCATCCATCGCTGAAGAGAGGCTGCCCAACAAGAATCCAGCCTTGGTGAGAATCCATGCCTCCAATGAATTGTCTGCTCTCATTGCTGCTCGTAGCTTTCTTGTATAGCATGCCATTACATGCAGCTGGGTTGTCATGCAAATGCGCTAAATATGCAAATGCACTACTTATGCAAATGATCAGACAAATGTCCTATATGAGGAATGTGATGGACGCATGTACGTGTCTTAATGCGGATGTTAGAACAGCCGCGTGTGGCAAAGTGCGGCATGACAAGCATGCAGGGTCAAGTCAGAGGCTGACAAAGGGCTTATGGATTGCAGGATGCTGATGGGGGAGACATTTTCAGCTGCTCGGATGATGACGTGGCATCGGATGCATCGGGCTTGCCGTTTGATGTACTGTCACTGGTAACAACCGAGCCTGGCAGTCCTTCAGCAGGTATGCAGCTTCCTCTGTCCTCAGGGCTCAAAGAATTATTCCCCCCCAAGGTCTCTGCTTTGCTTTCCCGCTGTGCCTATCCATGCTGCTGCATTGGATCTTGAAAGCATGAAAGCATGTCAACCTAGATCCAAAAGCACAAATATGCAAGCCAATTGATTATGCAGGCATGCTGTGGGCATGTTGCAGGTGGCAAGGATAATGGGTGGCTGTCAGATATCGAATCGTTGGACCCAGATAATGATCAGGATGATATAAATGCATGACGTGCCAATTGCTGTCTTTTCATTTGTAGCATTAACGTAGCTCTGTGAATCACAGAATCATGATCAATATTTTTGTAAGGCATGTCTCCTTACAAAGATATAATTCATTGTTTGATTAAACTAACGCAACACGCTTCACCGGCGTGGAAGGCAAAGCAAAGCACCCTGTTGCTTAAACCCAGAGCATGCCCACAGAGACATCCAGTCCTGACATTAATTGTGACCATTCTTTCAAAGCAATACTCCGCACTGCATCCTAGCAGCATGCACGTAAGCATACCGAATGGCGCAAAAGTCATTTAAGTTTGTACGGATTGGCTGCTATAGATTTTGGTCAGCCCTTGCCACTCGTGGCCTCCCTTCTCAGCCGCGCAAGCAGCGGCCCAATGGCGGATGACCGCACCCCTGGCCGCGGCTTGGCCGCTCCCGGAGTGCCGATCCCACTGCCTATCACCTGCGATTTTGGAGTCTGAGCTGCTGCATCCACTGCCCTGCCACTCTCCGTCTGCTCTTCTGATGCCACTGCAAACCCTGGTTCCCTCCCCTGGCTAGCAGACTGCAGGGCTGTGGTACCATTGCCTTCAGCACTCGGCTGCTGGGTTGCTTCTGGAGCAGGGTCTCTGCTGGCACTGCTGACCCCTGCAGCGGCAAAGCATCACATGCTCATGAGATTGCTCTGTAACTAAAGGGTATCCTGGGTCATTGGCAGAGTTCACGATGCTGCAATGAACACTGCTCAACAGTGGGGCATGGGCGAAAGGCTTATAGCAGGTAGAACGCATGCACACCTGGAGTGAGGATCTTCGACACTGATGGTGAGGCAGCCTGTGCAGAGGAGCTCTTCTGCGCAGCAAGCTCCTCCCTTCGCCGCTTCAACTGCGCGGCGATTGCCGCCCAGTCGCCGACGGATTGCACCACAGTGCCACCTACGACACACGCACTCTTGTTAGTCTCAACACTGTAGGCAAAAGGGGCTATTGCTCTTACTTCTGTCCCTCAAGGTTGCAGGCAGGAATGGCAGGCACCGCGAATGAGTAGAACTTAACTCTGAATATACTCGTGTCGGTCAGATGGCTGTAACGGATAGAGAATACAGCTTGATCACTGAAACCTTTTGCTGGAGGCATTGCCCACCTGGCTTGGGTGGTCCCAGGTTGGGACCGCCATTGGCAAGCCCACTTGGGTGCTCATTTGCTGTGAGTGGGGTGCTGTGCGGATGTTGTGTGCCCTGATGGGAAGGGCCATCTGCAGAAGGCCCTTTGCTGATGACCATGCCATCAGCGCCCCCTGACTTCTCACCGTTAGCTGGCTGTGCTTGTTCCGGGTCATTTGGCTGGGCACCTGCACAGCACAATGTCCACCCTTGTCCCAGGCACTTGTGAGTTTTCCAGATAAATGCACGACACCCTGAACACACTCTTCCAAAAGATTATGCCGGACATGGGGACCTACTATCTCAGTAGTTCGTAAGCTGCTCAATACCAGAAAAATGTTCCATGCACAGCCCAACAGCGAAGAGATGGCTTGCACCAACACAGTATTTCTCCGTTTACAAGACTTTGACGATTTTCATATCTCAACGTGTATGTTGTAAGGGGATTTTTGTGTGTGTGCGCACCTTGTTCTTTGGCAGGGGAGTAGCCACGTATGAGACGCATGTCACAGAAGGATGTCAGGGCTGTGACGAGGACTCCGTCCTCATTGTAGTCTGACGGAGGCTGCTCTCCCTCCTCCTCTTCCTCCTCAGCCTCACCTCCGCTCTCGTGCTGCACTCCATGCACACATGCTGTCAGCCACGAACTTTATATGATATCAGCATGGAGAGTCAAGACTGCCCTTGCAACTGGGCACGTTGACAAGCTAAGGAAAACTATGCCATCATTGCTGTGCTAGCTGCCATGCTGCTAAGTATGGCAGTAACAGCAAGATTACCCCTCTATGAAAGTGCTCGCTGGAGTGATGCTGCAGGGGTAGTAAAGATATGTTCACCCCCACCGGCTGCATAATATTTTTGCACCACTGGTATGTATGGTGTGCAAAGGAAAGCACGGAATCACATAAATATCACCCTCTCTATAGTGGACCATGGAGTGACGCGGCAACAAAGTTTAAGGTGCGTATACCGCACCGGCTGCAGCGCGTCAAGCTCGGACCAGGTCTCATGGCCAGTGGGGGAAGGCTGCCTGGGACCGGTGAGTGGGTGCACGCTGCTGTCAGGCCAGGGCTCCACTGTGAGCACCTTGTTCTGCTCATCCAGGTCTATCACCCGCCCCTTGCGCCACTCAGACACCTGCCGGGACACACACTCAGCACAAGTATACTTCTTCCTGCTGCAAGGAAGCACATGAGGGTGAAGTGGAGTATCCTACATACAAGTGACTCCCGCATCTCAAAATTTCCGCATGGTATCACGTTGGTAAAGACAGGTTTGCAAGGGAGGTGGACAGCACACCTGGGGCGTCCAGTCAGCGCTGATGTGGAGCAGGCGGTAAGCGATGATGTCACCCTCGATGGGGTACAGCTCGACCCTCTGCAGCGCCTCGAACTCTGCATCTGTCTTGGGCCCTGCGTCCACTGGCTTTGATGGCGCCTGCTTTTGGGTCCGGACAGGCTTGGGTTCCTGCAACAACCGACAAGAGCATCAAGCTCTTTTCAGAAGAGGGTGACTTTGCGATCAGTCTAATGGTGCAAGCTTTGCACTGCAAGGCAGCGTGTATTTCTTCAAGCTTACAGCGGCTATGCCCATCTGCAATCCCTAATTACAGGGCTGAGATTCACGTCAAGAAGAGAAGAGCTTGCCTGATGCCCATTGGCGAGGTGCTGCTGCTGGTAATTGCCATTGGGGACATGTCCGTTGGCCAAGACAGTCACCTCCGGCGCGGCACTCGGATACAGCCGCGGCGGCGGTCCAGGAAGCTTCCTAGGAATTGGCCTCTCTGGCTGTCCATTCTGCGCTCTGTCCATTCTGCGATTCCCCCCGCCAATCCCCTCTTCGTCATCCTGTAATGGCAGAAAGCACCATCATTGCTGTACTATTCTCATGGACATGCACACTCACACAATCCGTGACATGCAGTGCATGCAACTCTATTGGATCATTTGATGATAGACACTCCCACCTAGCATGACAGATCGAAAGCAGCATAGCAACCCATGCAGTGAAGCTGTGGCTTTTCTGGGCGTGCCAGGGCGTACCGAGTCGGGGAAATACACGTGGCCTTCCTGCATGAACTGCACATCCGTCCTGCTTTTAGCCCAGGTGTCACCACGCTTGGGCAGCGCCTGAGGTGCTGGCGGAGCTTCCTCCTCCCTCCATTCTCTCACAGCTGCTGCTGCTGCACCCCTGGACAGCACTAATACTGCTGAGTTCGATGCACCCACGCACCACGATCAAGTCACATCCTCGCGCATTGCAGTTTGGATGAGCATGTAAGCGTGCTTTCTGTTGCGGACAAGTGGGTCACTTCGTTGTAACACTGCTTTGAAACAATAAGCTTACCCAGTAAAGTCACAGATTTTGACGTTAGAGCTGCAAGGCAGACTCAATTGGCACATACTCCTCCTTTCGGTGACACGTGAGTGGGTCAGTGTTGTGACTGTTTGTCATGTGACATTTGTTCCTGCAGAGCAGGGGCGTTGCCTGTCTTCTGCTGACGGCTGCTTGAGGCTGGCGTCCAAGACCCCCTGCCTGCGCAGCTGCCGCTTCAGCTTCTTGCGGCGAGCGCTGCGGCTGGGGCCCTTGCCAGCAGTGCCTGCCTCCTCCTCGCTGTCGCTGACATCAGCGCTGTCATCATCTCCACTAGAAGTGTCTGCAGTGGGGAAACAGTACATCTTATTTGCAGCAATGCCAGGCATTGAACACGGAGCAAGGGTACTGATGGCCTACTTGGATATACTTAAATGCAAGTAGGCGACATAATGGCTGGCATTCAGTGTTGCATGATTACTCTTAGGACGGGAACGCATGAGCTTGCCTGCAGCTGGGAGGATTGGCTTAGCAGGAGGCTCCTTGTCAGCTGCAGCAGGCTGGGTGTCTCCCTTTGTGCCTGCAGGCCGCTTCTTCTTCTTCTTTGCGGGGGCTGCCGGGGAGTTCAGCGCAGCTGCATCCTCTGCTGCCTCTGCTCTCTCACGCTTCTTCTTGGGCTTGGAGGGCTGCTCTGCGGCTTGAGGCTCCTTCTCTGCTTTGGCAGCCTTCTTCCCTGCAGACACTACCATTGCTCCGGCACTGGCATGCTGGCGGCTGTCCCCGCCCAAAGTCTGCGCTGCGGCAAGCAACTGGGACAGCGCCTCTTTCACCGGCCCACTGGCCACTGCACTCCTCACGGCTGCTTCCAGGTCGCTCCCCAGCTTCAGAAAGAATACAAAAACCTCGTGAGATGATGACACACCATATGGCTGCAAGACACATGCATGAGGCAGAAATTGAGATGCTCATTGGGTACCCGAGATTGTGATTTTCTTGCTACCTCAGTGAGAAGGGTGGGAACAGGGGCAACGTTGACTGTGTCATTGTCCCGCAGCAAGGAGCCTGGCCCCTGGGGAGGAGCTGCATATCCATTGACACACAGGCGCAGCTTCGTTGAGGCAGGGATGCCGAACTCGTTTGCAATCTGTAAACAGCATATTCAGATTATTCTGCAACGCCTTGTCTTAATTGTGAAGGTGAGCCGGAAGTCAACTTTGAAAGTGGCACAGAAATTCGCTTGATCGCGATGCTCACCAGAGATGCAAGCGAGGCAACGTCTTTTACGACCTTTCTTGGTTCAAACCTGGCCATCAGCAAAAATTTCTCAGTAGATGTAACATGCCATTGTGCGCGATGCAGAAGAGTCAACGCATTGTCATAGCACAGGAACACTTACAGAAATCTCGTGTTGGTTTGGTTGATTATTTCGCTTTGGAGCCTGCTGTCAAACTCGAGAAAAAGACGAGGAGCAGCCATGACCAGGCCACCTCAGCTTATCAGAATCTTCCTCGCATTGCGCATAGCGTATTGATGAGAAGGATTTTAAGCAATGAAATGCGCCCTTTTATGTTGAGGAGTGATAATCAACTTTATAAGATCGCAAATGCATCCAAAAATTTGCTAAATCACTTGCGGGATTATAGCAGACCCCAAACCATGCGGGCACCTAGTCGAAACCTCCGACACCCGTTGTGTCATCAAGCAGTGTAATCGAGCAGAAGAGATTTGCACAATTACTAGTCTAGATAAACACGGTGGCTTGGATACAATGTCACAAACTTGAACGTGCTGGCAGGTCAGATCGTTGGTGTCGGAGCTCCCAAGGAATGGTGATCCTTCAAAGCAGCAGAGGTGAATTCATCACGCTCTAATGCAAATTGGTTCAGATAAATCTGGGATCCGATACATCGTAAAGAATGCTCGTCGCGCTCTGAAGCTGGGATGTCAAATGTTGAGAGCCCTTAGAATGTAAAACGCTTCCTTGTCTCCTTGAGGTTGCGCTTCAAGAAGTCCTTCTGCGAATGCAGATGTTTTGATTATTTGCAAAAGAACAAATGCCTCCACAGCAAGTATGAACGTCCATCGTGGCCCCTGCAGGTTGATGGATGGCACCAGAGCTGCTGTACAGCCTGCTGAGCGGTGCGGCCCTCACTGGGTGCTGGCTGGGCCTACGCATTGGCATGCTGCTGGGAGCAGCCGGAGGGGCGGCCGGTAGCCGCTGGTGGGCCGTGCTCGTTGGCATGCTTATTGGAGTGGGTCTCGGGGCCGGGGCCACCGGCGCTATGGCCGCAAGCTAAGCCAACTTGGCTGCCATCATTCAATGATGGCAGCAAAGATTATCGGAGGGTTTACCAGAGCGGGATGCAGCGAGCCGGATGCATTGATAGTAGAGACAAAGAGACTCTGCTGAGCGGAGTTGCACGATACAGTGCACAGCTGGGGCGCAGGCAAAAGACTGGCGCAGTACTCTCATGATCAAAAGTGTATGCCATGCTCGTCCACCAGCTGCGGTACTTGTTGATATGAACAGTGTGTTTGTGTACAATGTCGGGGCAGTACCTCGGGACATGGGGTCCTCAGGAACAGTGCTGGCATCCTGATCAGACGAAGGGTAGCCAAGACAGGTGACGTTGCCTGCCCACGGCACTGCCGCCGGCGGCGCTTCAAGCAGTACTGACGGTCTCTGACGGTCAAGTTGACAATACGCATACCCGATGGCACTAGTCCTATTTATAGAGAAAAAGCTGCATTGTCAACAGCTCCAGTGCACCACGTGGATATCAACTTGAAGATTACTTGGAATTCCTAGACTCGACTTCGGAAGGCGTAATCACCACTGCATGCATGCCATATATGGTGCGGCGCAGCACAGGCTCTTGGGATCGCCGGGCCGGCGATGCCAATGCAGTTGCACTGGTGTCCGAGAATCCAATTTTAGAGAAATAGGAAAACATTAACTTGCAAAACACACATGACCTTGATGGTGCCAGCAGCCCATCACCGCCAACGGGCAGCCCACTGGTCAATATTGGGCAGGTCGACAGAATGTGAAACAGTTCCAGTGCTATTGTATCGTGAGGTCGAAGACCAATGCCAATAGATATCTGGGATGCTATTCCGCGTTGTTGCTCCAAAGACCTCATTGTGATCGAGTGCAACGATTGAAGCCACCCATTGCCTATCCATACACGTCCTCCTCGGATATCTGAAAAAAGAGTGAACGTGATTACAACGTTCCAGGATAATACCTCAGAAGGAATGTGAAGTGGAGGGACCGCATCGGTTTTAGCAGATCTTGCAGACAGATGAGTGACGAGGATCTCCCAAAGGGAGCAATTCTGGTGAAGGATGTATTGGAATCCATGGTGAGTGCATCTCAGCTCGGAGTTCATCACAAGTCATCTCGCAGAGTTTTGATGCTTCTCGACATTTGATCGAGAAGGGATCAACCAGGAATGCTCATACAGACTCTGGCCTAGGGGTGTGTCAATCTGCCTCTCCTTTATTTAATCAGGGAGCCTGGTTAATGAGACGATGCTGGGACGTTTGCGCAGGGTGTCAAGCGCTACGAACCAGCTGTGGTGACTCAATTGCTGGAGTTCCTGTATAGATACATGTCAGACATCCTAGAAGATGCACAGGTCCGTGTTTACCATATTAGCTCAGTGATGCTTTACAATTGAAATGGACGGCCCCAGCATGATTATCGCCTTGTGATGTCAGGCGTACAGCAAATCACCACGCGGCAGCATCAAGATGGAGGATGTCATGCTTGCGATCCAGTCCCAGGAGACCTTCCAATTCGCCAAGCCACCTCCTCAGGAGGTGGGCTTTGCTCATCACCCACTTGGAAATGCCTGAAGCAGTGCAAATTTCAACAGCCGCTTGCACCGGTATCCCAACACAGAAAGCAAGCCACAATACAGCAGGCATGCGGAAGGACGCATGTGTCGATATCTAGGCTGGCAGAAGGCAGAGGAACACACCCTCGCTGCGGCAGCTGGCCTGCCAATCTGGGTGCCATGAAAACTGCACAAGCCAAGACCAGCAGCACAGACCGGCACTACATGTGCCATCTAATAAATAGAGCTCTACTCTTTAAATTTTTTTAGGTGATGCAGCGCTTTGCTGCATGCTGCAGGTGCTGATGCAGCTGGCAGAGCGGCGCAATGCGCAGCCGCTGCCAGAGCTGAAAAATGTGTTTGGGCTGCGCCTGCCGCCAGAGGAGGACTGCCTGCTGGGCGCCAACTACCAGCTGGCTCGAGGGGCTGCGCCCAACGCACCTGCAGAGTCCATGGACGTTGACAGCAGGTGTGTGCTTCTGCAGTGCTGATGCTGCATCTCATGCTTGACGCCTGATGTTCACTGCTGTGCTGCAGTGCTACAATCTTGGGCAGGAAATGCACAGCTTAGATCAATCTTGATGGTGTGCAGACAGTAAGCAGGGTTGAGTTGATGGTGCTGTGACTGACTTGCTTTTTGTTGCACTGCTGCAGCAGCAAAGCAGACATACAGTGGATTTCAATTTTTCAACGTCAGGGAGCATGCAGACATGTGCCTTGAGCAGTGCTCAATGTGCTCAATGAGCACTGAGGAGCAATGTGTGGAGATTCAATAGCTTGTGTGGGTGCAACAGGGAGGGTGGAGGGCAGAGCAGCTTGAGGCCAAATGCTACAGCATCAAAGCAGCCGCGTCTTGAAGTAAAGCTGCTGGATCGCAACTCAGAACCAACTTGAACATTGATATTTTCATATCTTTGGAGATCTGATGAGATGGAGAAAGATGCGGAGATATGCCAGCTAGGCAGAATGTTGAGATGAGAGCATAGAAATAAGCTGGTGATCTTGTAGAAGTGCATTTGAACTAGATTGCTGTACAGACGTGTCCCTTCAAAGCAGAATTCTATACATACATTGTACGTGCCACACCAGCCACGGTGCTGATGTGGCTAGGTGATTCCCTCAGAACCTGGGCTACAGGATATGAGTGAACTCAACCATGCTGCTCTTGGTCTTCAGCTTATTCCTCAGTGTATAAATAGCGGCATCTGTAAACTACAACTGCAGGGAGGCTTGATTTGGGCGGTTTGTGACCTGCCGGATATGTTGGCAGACTGTACTTTTCTGCTTCTGTAAGAGTTCCCAGTAAAAACATCCTGAACTGATATCGTACAATGTGGCACATCATGATATGCCCGTAATATTTCTCATTGACCAGCCAATTGCTAAGTGGAAGCACAGAGATATATAGTTTTATGCTCACAAGCTTGCATGAGACTTCCCAACTGTTGGTGGTGTTAAAATAACACCGGTTTGTTTTTTGGGTGGCGCCTGGAGACAGTCTACTCCTTCTTGGCGGTCTTCTTGGGCAGCAGCACGGAGTGGATGTTGGGCAGGACACCGCCGGAGGCAATGGTGACACCGCTCAGCAGCTTGCTCAGCTCCTCATCGTTGCGCACAGCCAGCTGGATGTGGCGGGGGATGATGCGGGTCTTCTTGTTGTCACGGGCAGCGTTGCCTGCCAGCTCCAGGATCTCAGCTGCCAGGTACTCCAGCACAGCGGCGAGGTACACTGGGGCACCGGCGCCCACACGGCTGGCGTACTGCAGGATCACAGCACACAAGCAAGTCACTTACTGCTTTTCAGCTTGAGGATGGCACATCCCAGTGCAAGACCATAATAGGCCAAGTCACTTTGACTGACTCTATGCCAAGACAATCAGCGCGGCAACCACAAGTGTAACAAACACTGTGCACGCCAGATGCCTCTACGCCACCGAGAACAAATACAAAAGTGCTGCAGACCTTAATTTAACACTCATAGGGATCCTTCGAGGCGCACACTAACCAGGACAAAAGCGACTCTAGCTTTAACAAAGATCAAAGATAGAAGTCATGCTCACCTTGCCCTTCTTCAGGTAGCGGGCGATACGACCCACGGGGAACTGCAGGCCAGCCTTGGTGCTCTTGGACACCGACTTCTTGGCTGTCTTTCCCTTGCCGCGTCCAGACATGATAGCAGGCTTTTGGAGAGCTCGGAAGTTTTAAAGGAAGCTGGAAGCACAGATTGATCTCTGAAAGCGTTTTGACGGTAATGAAGTTGAGCAACAAGCTTTGAGGTTCGGGCTCCGAGGCCGGCCAATCAGCGAGCAGTATTCGAGGACCACAGAAGACAAGTTTGGCATTGGGAATACCGTGTTCTGATTGGCCCGCGCCTGCACCCGGAATATAACACTCTGCTGCTTTGCCAAAAAAGTTCAAACGTTTTCAGCTCTTCGTTACATTCATCCGCAAAGCCCCTCGTTTCTCTCACGCAACCCAGTTAAGCAGCCATGGCTCCCAAGGCAGAGAAGAAGCCCGCCAAGAAGGTCGCGAAGACCGCCAAGACCGGTGGCAAGAAGAAGAGCAAGGCCAAGGTCGAGTCCTTCAAGATCTACATCTACAAGGTCCTGAAGCAGGTGAGCCAGCGTTCTGTGCTGCGATGGAAGCAACGGGTTGCTCGCTGTCTTTGAGCTTGCACTGACACATCGTTGATTGTTAACCACAGCATCCCAATGGCCAAACAGTGCTTCCATATTGCTGCTGCGATATCACATTATGATTTTGCTTGTTACTTGAACGTTGTATTGTTGCCTGTGGCATAGGCCCTTTGCACAATGCAAACTGGCCAAGAAGAACAGCACTTTGACAGCATCACAGGTCTGACTGCATCAAGTACTTGATAGCTGACTGCGTGTATCTGTTGTCCTGTAGGTCCACCCGGACACTGGTATCTCCTCCAGGGCCATCTCAATCCTTAACTCTTTCATCACGGACATCTTCGAGAAGATTGCCACTGAGACCGCCCAGCTGGCCCGCTACAACAAGAAGCCCACAGTGACCTCTCGCGAGATCCAGACCGCTGTGCGCCTCATCCTGCCCGGCGAGCTGGCCAAGCACGCCGTGTCTGAGGGCACCAAGGCTGTGACCAAGTTCACCTCCGCCTAAGCTGCCTGCTCTCCACACAGCAGCGCAAAAACAAACCGGTGTTATTTTAACACCACCACTCGATGGAAATCTCTATCTTTCAATTGCAAGGCCTGCCACACATCATGTGGCAACCTTCGTATGTGATTAGCTTGATGAACTAGCATTGTCAATGTTGCATTTGTATTATCAGGATGATCTGTTTGCCTAATGAATGCACATCAGATGCCCTTGGACACTTAGCTTGCCAGTGGCATGCGCTTTGATAACACTGCAACGCAATTACAACAGCAACATTTGTGAATTCGGTGCATTTCACAGACGTACTGCTGTGCCAGCAGAGCTGAGCTGTCAGTGTGCCGGAGTTCTCACGCAGCACCGCCCTCTCTGACCACCTGCCAAGAGAATCCCACATCTCAGCGCTGGCTGGCTAAAACGCGATGCACTTCAGGTGGACTTGATATGTGAGATCATGTCTGTGGCTCTCTAATAATGGTCTTTACTTTGTGCACTCTGTTGTACATGCTCTCGGGTTCTGACATCCATCATGCATGTCAACAGCGGTGCATTTACCCTGCTACAATTAATTCACCGTAGCAGCACGAATTTACGCAAGTTCTGTGTGTTTCATGACATGCAATTGTCTGGCAGAGCTATGACAGCGCCCTAGGCAACTTTGCGCTGGAGTCCTCAGTTCAGGTGGACTCAGAATTCAAGTGCCACTTCAGTGACAGCTCAGAGCTTCTTAGCAAGTATGACCAATAAATTTGAATCTTTTCAGATGGCTGGATTATAATTTACTACATACTGTAATGCATGAAAGCTGTCTAGTTGGCTGCTGAGCGATAATGCATAACAGGCCACATGGCACAGACTGTTCACAGTCTGTGCCATGTGGCCTGGGAACAAGTCCCAACATTGCGACCAGCTGGTTCCAGCTCAGCTGATGTCAACAAAAATTGCAGTGCTTTGCTTGACAGTGGGGGGCAATGTTCAACATATGTTTTGCGCAAAGGCCTCGCCCAACTCATGAAATACTGTACCGTAGTGTGACACTGCACAGGCCTAAGATTTATTGGTATTGAATACGGACTGTGTTGTTCTGCCAACAATTTCTGATCCTGTCAAAATGCGCTACCGTATCCCCCTTTCAAGCAATTATTTTCACACCAGCCCACCATTCGAGATCTCACAACCCCCTAACCCATGCGCGCTGGCAATTCTGCACACCAGAAGTCGCCACTTGTTGAGTCAATCTGCACTGCCAACCAGAGCTGTGACACGTCGACAGTGCAAATTTCCTGAATCCCAGTGCCTCCTAATTGACTGAAGCTATTTGAAGATCAGTCGATGATGGCACTATCATTGACAGTCTCATACAGGCTTCTGCAGATCTTCAAGATGCAGCATCCTGTCTAAGATGATGGTCGCACAGCATTGCACCACAATTGAGTGGGCTGAGCAGGACAGTGCTGTGCTCAAGTACCTCCCAAGGAAACAGCCATGCCTGCACCCCACTCCATTCTCCACAGCACAGATTTCCTATTCTCGCTATCACAGTATTGGAACAAACAAAGGCAGCAGTGAAATATATAGGGAATCATCTGTGCTGCTTCACAACGTGAGGTTCACGTCCTGCAGTTTGAATGCTGATATTTGATTAAGAAGGAGATTCATGGGGCCATCAGGAATGTTGTGATGGAGCTGCAAAGATGCAGAGCCTTTCCAAAATATGGTGGTGTTAAAATAACACCGGTTTGGTTTGTTCGGAGACAGGTAGCTGCAGCAGCTGTCTAACCGCCGAAGCCGTACAGGGTGCGTCCCTGGCGCTTGAGGGCGTAGACCACGTCGAAGGCGGTCACGGTCTTACGGCGGGCGTGCTCGGTGTAGGTCACGGCGTCACGGATCACGTTCTCAAGGAACACCTTGAGCACGCCCCGGGTCTCCTCGTAGATGAGGCCACTGATGCGCTTGACACCACCACGGCGAGCCAGACGCCTGATGGCGGGCTTGGTGATACCTGAGAAGCAACGAGAAGAGGGATCAGATCATCATCCATATTGAAGAGGATTTTCCATAACTCTTGTAAAGCTACAGAAGCAGATATATAATCTGGTCAGATGTATCAAGCAACAAGAACAGAAATGGCACAGGCAAATGCTCGTGGCATCTATGCATCCACACAGAGCAAGCACTCAATTTCATAGGCAAAGAAGAAGGCAGTGCTCACCCTGGATGTTGTCACGGAGGACCTTGCGGTGCCGCTTGGCACCGCCCTTTCCGAGGCCCTTTCCTCCTTTGCCGCGTCCAGACATGGTTGCTTTGTTTGCTGAGAGCTTGGAAGATGCTGAAGAGCTTTGTGAAACTGGAATATTTTAATGAATTAGGCAGAGTTGCAAGCGTTTTATAGCGCACTGGGCTGGCACACTTGGTTTCAAAACTGGTGTTGTGCACCCAACATTCCTGGCTGCTGATTGGCTGCAAGCTGCTACAACCAATGAGAGTGCAGTATTGTGGTGACTAATGTCTCAAATGAGAAATGTTGATTTTACATTGAGACTTTGGCTTTGACCTGCACCCCAGGTGGCACCCGTTTCCTCATCACCTCCCCTTTGCTCAAAGTTGCAAAATTCTGCTTCTCCTGCAAAACTTTCCTGCTTCCACCCTTTCTTTCATTCAGGCACCCACAGACAGACGCAATGGCTCGCACCAAGCAGACAGCCCGCAAGTCCACCGGCGGCAAGGCGCCCCGCAAGCAGCTGGCCACCAAGGCCGCTCGCAAGTCCGCACCCGCCACCGGAGGCGTCAAGAAGCCCCACAGGTGTGTGAAGGGTGCAACAAAGTCAGCTTGTACATACCTGATCGGGGTTAGAGTCTGGTTGAAAGGCAGGCAATTGTTGTAGCTGTTCTATTGTTAAGAATGCGTTTCTTACCACTGCCTCAGATTGCCTTGCTCTGTGGCACCCGTGATAGTGGAATGTGAGACTAGGAGGATTCTTATTGCACTGCTACTGAATGTCAAGTTGTCCAGAAGCCTGACAATTCTTAAGGTTGTGAGGATGTGAACACCAATCTTGCTGGCTTGCAGATACCGCCCTGGAACCGTTGCTCTGCGTGAGATCCGCAAGTACCAGAAGAGCACGGAGCTGCTGATCCGCAAGCTGCCCTTCCAGCGCCTGGTGCGTGAGATCGCCCAGGACTTCAAGACCGACCTGCGCTTCCAGAGCAGCGCAGTGCTGGCCCTGCAGGAGGCTGCTGAGGCCTACCTGGTGGGCCTGTTCGAGGACACCAACCTGGCCGCCATCCACGCCAAGCGCGTGACCATCATGCCCAAGGACATCCAGCTGGCCCGCCGCATCCGTGGCGAGCGCGCTTAGATCTGTCCAGCGCACCCCAAAACCCAAACCGGTGTTATTTTAACACCACCATCCTCTGGAATCAAGCTTCCTTCTCTTCCCAACACACCTTTATTTTCCTGCTTCCCATAGCTCTGCGCTGCCAGCCCAGTGGCCCATGGGGTGACCCAAGTCCATTGGCATCTCACAATTCAATTTGTTGTTGTTGCATGATCTGATGTGCAGTTGTGAGGCAGCCCTTCCTCTTATCTCTGCCATGGCGTTCACTCTGCATTGTTGTCTGCATCTTCTGATAGAAACAAAAAAACTCTTTTGGAATTCTCAAGTCGAAAAGTCTGCGGCTGCCATCCTCTCAACGGAGCTTGAAAAATGTCCCCTTCCAGCATAGGGGACATTATAGATACCCATGCCATTTGTGCGGCCACTCAATATGATTGTGATGCCATGGATAGGCTCATAAAGAGTCAAAATGATCAGGATGAAAAGAAACCCTCCATTACATCTGCTAAGCGCTCAGTCAAGGTAGCATCATGAAGCAAAGCACAGACCATCACAACAGCTAAGCAATTGCACATACACTGCCGGCAACATTGTGCGTTCATAGGTCACTCTGCAAACGTGTCCTGCACCTGTCAGAAGCTGTATACGCTACACTGTCATCAAAATTTGTCAGAGGTTGGAAATCACAGCGCCTGGCACACTGGGCAAAAAGTGCCAAGGATGTCTCTGACAAGGAAAGCTACTCAAGCGGCGCTAGAACCGCTTGTCCCTGTACAAACTAAGTCAGGCACCCACAGGCAAACACTGTTGGTCTGGCAGATGGTCACTCAGGCCAGTGCTGCCCAGTGTCACACACACCCAACAAGACTCAGGTTCAAAATCTATTCGCCTTTCCTGAGCACAGAGGAGCAACAAGGATGCGGGTGAGCACACATACCATATCTGCAAGTCTGCTAGTGGGTGTCGGGGATTTCTCAGTGCTTTGCTCTTGAAAAACCCGGCTGAAAATTGGGTGGGACATTCTAGCTTGTGTCTTGAAGCCCGGCACCGCAATACTCTTGCTGTTCCTCCCAGGCACAGCGAGACAACCATCAGGCTGCAACAAGTATTGCACTGTGGTGTGGAAGGCTCCTGCTTGCTCCATGATGCAGTACCACTCTCTAAATCGACAGTCTTTGACCGCTCCAACACCCACACCCTAACCCCTGTCCTACCCTCCTATCAATTGTGATGCGCGCCCGTGGTGATCCTTTCGGCCTAAAGCCATCACGTCCGGAGTCATGGTAACGCTCTGTCCCTATCTCTACAAGTGCAGGCCATCCCTTGATCCCCCTCCCGCCAACGTTTCAAGTCGACATCTCAAGTTCGTGCACACCTCAAAACGCTCTTGCTTCATCAACACATCACACGCCACACAAAAGTCTGCAAGGCAGCCCACGAGTCTTGTGTGTGCTCCTTTCCCAGCACAAAAACAGGGAAAAAATGGGATGGGACCGGTAGCTGCCGTCAGACCCTGGCGTGCACACAGCAGCGGATTAATGCCCCAAAGCCTTGCAGGGGCTACAAACGGGCGGAGGACACCAGTGGAGCCCCTAAAGACAGAAACATGCATGGCCGCCGGCAGGAGCAGCGGCCAGCTGCTAGGATGTATTGACAACTAGCCGCGGAGGGCAGTCAGTGCTGGGGCTGCCTGTGCCCTCCACAACCCGCCCTGGTGTGCAGCAGATCACAAGCCGCACATGATCCCCAGCTTCTCCCGCACAGGCACATCCAGGGCCCCCCAGTACTGGTCCCACTGAGTCACCTGCACTCAGCACACCCTCCTCACATGTCATGACTCATCACCGGCACAGCTAGGGGTTATGACTCTGCCACCTGTCAACTGGGCGGTGGCCTCCATCCACACAACATTCTGGCATGCTGTGACAAAAGCTGCACATATTTCTAGAGGGCTGGTGCAGAGTCTCCAATAAGGTCATCTTTTTGCTCCTGGCCATTGCATCCATTGCAGTGTGGCGCCTCTTGTTACGGTGAAGGCAGCCCCTTTCTTGTTCCCAGCGCTCGCGTTGCCTGAAGCACCGTACTACAGTGACTACAGTCTGGCCAATAAACAGAGGGGATTGCGCACCAGGTTTGCCCGGAAGGCCTGCATGATGACATTGATCTCGTTGCGGAGACCCTCGTCCTGGATCATGCGCCACGACGCCACTGCCTCGCACAGCGGCACCCATGAACCCAGCGCCGCCTGCAGTGAGAAAATCACAGACTCTCAGTCAGCACATTTACACACCAAATAGCTGTGCATCGCAATGTCAATGATGCTGCAATTGTCCCCTTCTCCCCTGGCAGCAAGGGACACCAGTGGCAGTGGCGGACATCAAACACAACTTTCTGCCGGCTGCCGCCCAGACACTCGAAACGATGGCATGCAGTGCAGGGAGTACATCAGTTGTTAGATACAGGCCCCCTTATGCAGTGACACTGTGGGGTGCATGCAGAACGCTGTGGGGTGTCGTGGTAAGAACAGAGGTGGAGAAACAGTGCGAATGAGCAGGCGGGCACCTCGGGGTTGATGCGCAGGAGGGCGCAGAGGCCGAGGAAGGCGTGCTCCTTCTCCACGTCGTCGCGGATGCTGCGCAGGGCGCTGCACCAGGGGCCCATGAAGTGGCCCAGGTGCGGCGCCAGCTGCCCAGGGCACACCCACGCCACCCGCCCCAGCGTTATCGCACTGCGCACCCACACGATCACCATAAGCAGCAGTTCAAACCGTGTCTTCATCAATCCAAGCAACACATGAGCAATGTCAAAACATCGCAGTCATGCCACACACCCAGAAGCCTACATTGCACACAGACACATGCAGCTTCAGCAGCAGTTCTAGCCGAGTCTTCCTTGATGCAAGCAATGCGTTGTCAAGAGACCTGGGTCACGCCACATTACACAGGTTCTTAGCATTTTACGGCATGCACAGTCAATGCCGGTGGTGATCTTTGCAACCAGTCTCTCCAGCATAAGCAATGTATTACTGATTTTAATCAGCGCTCAACCCAACACTGATTTGGGGGGCAGAGTGGGTCTGCATGGCTGGCATGCGCAGGGGCATCGCTGTGCAGGGGAGGTCGAGCAGGAATGAAAACACTGGCAGGTATCCAAACACCAAGGATGTCACAAGATGGAGGCGCACCTGTTTTCGACGATGGAGCGCGGCATGGAGTTCATGTTCTGCAAGATGGGGACCAGGCGCTCCACGATCCCCGTCGCAAACGGCGCCAGCTCCTCCGGCTTCAGCTTCACCGCTATCTCGCCTGCGCACACAATGCCACATTACATCCAAGTTTTGGTCAGTGACTTGTGGACAGCTCTAAGTTGTCATGAGCACAGAGACAGCAAAGTGACAGTGGACCAGAGTATGCAACCCCAGAGCCACTGACAAAGAACCGCAGGTTCAGGATTTTAGTGTGGCAGGTCGCAGACGGCAGGTCGCAAGAGTGATAGTGCGTGGCCGCATCATTATTGCTACTGAGTATTCATTTCCTGCTATTTGGCACAATCTCAATCCGACCGGCATCATGCAATGCTGGGTCTGCCTGCGGTGACAAAGGCAGTCTGGACAACCCTCACCACAACGTTCCCAGCAGCCCATGTCGCAGGTGGATTGATTGCCAGATGCAGGCTTTCTCCTCTATCTGAATACTTGGCCAGATAGCACCACCGAGACAATGCAATGGACCTACAGCTCTTCAAAACATCCCAAGTCACACCGTGGGACTCACCAAGGGACCAGCAGGCGTTGTTGCAGGCGGACATGCTCTCCTGGCGCAGCATGGCCGGCTGCAGGTTGGCGATGCCCAGTGCCAGCAGGTCTCCTATGGAGGGCGCAAAGTGGGAGGGCGCCACCTTGGCCAGGTCGCCCACCAGAGCAAACGCACTCTGCCGCACATCCGCCGACACATCCTGGCAACCCCGGCGCACATTACATCAGCATAAATGAGCTTCTCTGCAGGACATGCCTTGCCTTTTGGCAGGTATAACGTGTGAATATAATACTAAAATGAAAAGAGTTTGCGGGGCCCGGCTGGCGGGGCGCGGTATATATACTGAGCATTGTGCCCGCAATTGATTGGGTCTTGCTTGGATCTGGCAAGTCCGACAAAGGGGTAGTTGTAGCAGCCTCTACCTGAAGCTTGTCTGCAGGATGTACCTTGCCTTTTCGCAGAAGGAGCGTGTGATCTCAATAATAGTATAAGCTTGCAAACAGCACAAGAAACACGCTCAAGACAGACAAGGTAGCTTGTCAGTCTGCATGCATGGACAAGGATTTCTGAACCCAACCATGCTACCTGTCTGGAAGCTCTGTGAGGATGCTTCAGAAAAGCATGCCAGATGATGCTTCAGAGGTCCTTTGGCCACAGGGATGTCCCCACTCCTATGAAACCCCTTCAGTCTGAACCAAGTTTGCCTTCATAAACAGAACGAGTGTGTGCAGAGAACACTGTTTCATCTCCCTCTAAAAGCTTTCAGAGGGCCCCCACCTGGCAGCACTGCACAAGCATGTTGCGCAGGGTGGAGTGGGCTACGAGCGCCTCCATGGCAGGGCCCATGCCCTCGGCGAGGCCGCTGATGAGGTCCAGGGAGCAGATGATGAACTCGCGCTCCGGCTCGATCGCCGGCGCCTGCCCGTTGGCCGCTGCGCTGCGCGCGTGCAGCTGCATCGTCAGGATCTTCATGCACCTGTCAAAGGTCGCCTGCGCGTAGGGCTCGTACGCGCTGCCTGCACAGCCACAGCACAAACATGTTCAGGCGCATCACATGAACGATTAGGAGGAGCCATAGGACGTATGTAAGATGAAATATCTCTCCGGCAAGCCTCACAAAAGGGGTCTTTAAAGTGCAAAAGTTCCTCGATGTCTTCTTTTCTCCTCACAGAGATGGAGAATGTGACACACCAGGTGAACCCTTCAGTTGCATTCCTGGGCTTCTTGTCACGAGTCACAACCGTGCAAAAAGACACAGGGGTGGGTTGAGGCGCACATAGGGCCTGCGCTAGGGAGGTGAAGCATTCGAAGAGGGGCAGCAGATCGCGGTCGTTGTCAGCAATCGCAGTCCACTTCTCCTGCAGGGGCGGCATCAGGATCTGCATCGCCGCCGGCTGCACACACACAACATGCCACACTCAGCCTCAGAGTCCCACAACATTCCCACAATCAAGGCTATTCTTACCGGCATTTGCCGCTTCTCAGTGCAGAGTGGAGGCCTTGCTAGCAATGTGCAAGTTATTGCAATAAGACAAAGAGGTAAATATCGTCAGCAAGATCACCTCTGCGATAGTCAGACAAAAATGTACAGATTTCCGGCAAGTTCACCTCTGCAATAATTAGACAAGTACAAACTCCTGCCAGATCACCTCTGCTAGAGCGTTGCCAACGGCGTCGGCGAGCGTGCTGATGGCGTCGTACAGGATACGCAGGTTCTTGCGCCCGTACATGGACAGCGCGGCGGCCACGGTTTTGAGGATGGCCGGCAGCCGTGGCAGCAGCTCGGGGCCGGCCACCTCCTCCAGCGTTGCCAGCGCGCTGCAGGCCGCCTCCTGCACATGCCTGTTGTTATCCCGCACCCGCGTCAGCAGCCCCTGCACATGCAGTGTGTGCCATCAGCAATCTACCACCGTCGTGAACTGTGAGACTGCACCTCGCCTTGGGCAACTGGGACGGCCGCAAACATTCCCGAGTTTGGAAGGACTGCAAGTGTCCCAGGGCTCAACCAGGACATGCATGTTCAAAGCCTTTAAGCCATGTGTGCAGTACCAGAATGATACACAGCAGCTGCCATGCACTGGCAGAACGCACAGAGACCGCCAGGTGGTGGCAGGCGTGAGAAGAAGAAAAGAGGACAGCGGCGCACCGCGATGACGGTGTCAAACTGCTGCTGGCCGGGGCCGTTGTGCTCGGCGCCGGCCTGGACGACCCAGTGGGAGTAGCGCGAGAGCGCCCAGCAGGTGATGCTGCGCACGAGGGGCCGCCCGTCCAGCAGCTTGGGCAGTAGCACGCCCACCATCTCCGCCAGGTGCCCCAGCAGGCCGCTCACACAGCCCTCCGAGATCGCCCCCAGCGCCAGAATCGCGCTCTCCCTCTCCCTCCAATCCTCCTCCTGCCGCACAGGAAGACAACCTCTTTGACAGCTTGCATGCATAATTGGCAAGAGCATACTTTTCTGGAGGTCTAGCATATATCTTGGTATTATCTGTGCTCATTTGCTTGAAGGCTAGGGGCATTGACAGGATCCTATGCTCCACATGAATTTCATGCATGCTGGTGCTTGAAGGCAACAGTGAGCCCATGCGGAAAAGTGGGACTTGTCCAAAGCTGCGCGTCAGGCAGTGCCTGATACACCTGCACAATGTGGGCACATGCATCCATATCTCTCACGCAGAGAGGATTGTAGAAAGACAGCTCACCCGGAGTCTCTGCTCGACGATGGGCAGCACGATGGGCAGCAGCTCGTCTCCAAAGACTGTGGAGAGAACGTCCAACCCAGCCGCGCTGCATTTGCGCAGGTTCCATCTGTTCACCTCCTCCCCATCATCGTCATCCTCACCCCCTTCCTCACCCCTTGTGGCTCCCCTGCACATTACTTGCCCTGTCAGTGCTTCTGAAGAAGATGTTTCTTTTTGACAAGCAGGACATGGCTGTGCAGCGAGTCAGCCTGAGCATGGCAACTTTATGGCTGGACAAGGCGCCGTGACTTACTTGGGAAGGAAGGGCTTGATCTCTGCATCCTTGTCCTCTACTACAATGCCACTGTTTGCAGCCTCTTCAGCTGCCTCCACATTAGCAACTTCCTCGTCATATTCGTCATACACCTGCGGCACATGACCGACCCATGAGGAGGAAGTCATGACAAAGCCGCAGCGGTGTAAAGAGAATGCCAGAATGTCGCCTCAGAGAATACTCCACTCGGTGAGAGTGCTCACCATGTTCTTCAGGAGCACTGGAACAAGTCTGCCCAGGAATGGCCGCAACACATCTGGGCTAAGTGTCTCTGGTTGAGACACAGCCGCCTCGCAAAATGCTGACCAGAATTCGCAAGACTCCAGAGCCACCCCCTCATCCCCGCTCTGCACCGCGGTCAAGAGCCTCAGTCCACAGACACAGCCAAGACTCACCCCTATCACATTTGCTTGTCTGAGCCTTGATGCAAGGGGCATGAAGTAAGTACAAAATCCAGACTCGCAATGCGCTCGCAATGCCTTCATGTGATGCGTTATCCCTTCCATAAAATCACCCACTGGGCAGAGGTGATAAGAGTGCCCTTCCAAAACAAGAGGAACAGGGATCAAGGTGGTACCTGGGTGGATTCGAGCATGTACTCAATGATCTCATGCATGTGCGGCACCAGGCGCTCCGGCTGCAGATGCAGCAGCTGCACCAGGCCCGTGCACACTGGCTTCCTAACCTCGCTGCTAGGATCATGCGCCAGCGCAAACAGCCCAGCAAGATACCTGCGCACATGCAGACTCCTCATTTTTTTCATGCATGCAAACAACCGCACATTAAAACACCACATCTGACCCAGCACATGCAGTGCAACAGGGCCGTCCGCCTTGACACGTTAACACCATCCAGACAATCCATTAGTGAGGACATATATTGTACAAAGCCTGCGCACCTGTCCATGTGTTCAGCGAGGACTGAAGGAGATCCTCCAGCCAGCAGGTTCATGATGGACACCGAGAGGCACTTGGCATCCTCGTAGGGGGATGCGAAGAGGGCCAGCAGGCGCGGCACAAGCACATTGGAGGGCCGCTGCGAGGTGCCAGCCGGCTCGCTGGGCACCTCGCTCTCCATTTGTACAGGGGCTTCCTCACAGATCTGCGCCACAGCTCAATCCAGTCAGACCAAGGCTAACCTCCTCGCGGCACATGCCATCGATGGAATCAGGATGACAGGCACAGGCGCGTGACCCAAGAGATACTTCCGATGAAAACTCGTGAGACACAAGATGCGGACCTTGTACAGTGCATCAAGCGCTCCCTCCAAGGCATTGGGGTCATTGCTCTCCAGGCACTGCACTATCGACATGAGCAGCTCCGGCCATGTGGGCATCCCGCCCACACCCACTATTACCGCCACATTTGTGCCGACAACATGCCGCAAGGGCTTGCTGGGGCTGCGAATGGCATGCAGCAGCGCAATCTGCACAACACAAGCAAGTGTTAGACATGTGCATCAGCGAAACGGGTGTGCAGCTTTGACGGACACTCCGAAGCATGGAAGGCAAGTATAAGTCTTGCCCACCTTGATGTATTTGCGAAACTCCTCTGTGGTTGCTGCATAGTGGTCCTTCAAGTTGTTCTTCAGCAACAGCCCCGCGCTCTGCCGCACCTGCAAATGCAAGAATATGTCGGGCCCCAGCTTGACAATGTGCTTAAATGCTTTGCACCGCAAACAAAACACGCTCCGTGAAAAAGAACTCGATGTCGATCATCAAAGTTTTGCATCAAGAGGAAGATTACTTCAGAAGGGAGAAAGACAGAACGGGTTCGTTCGGACCTCAATCGGCAAGCTATCCCCTTGCGCAAATATGAATGCCAGATAGTTGTTGAAGTCTGGATAACTTTTGCATTGGTCCAATTGTTGTAAGATCTGCGCAACATCGGCACATGAGAAATGAGCTCAGCACGCCCAGAGTGGGATAGATCACTGCATAAAGGGATTGCAGTGCCACAACACAGGCATGCGCATCAGAAGTTCCGCATGCATGTATACCAACTCATTGTCCTCAATTATGAGAACAGCAATAGGACCCTCAGGTTTTTTATGCACAATCAACTTACAAGAGCGTCAGGCCTAATGAAGGTACACTCCAACTAACGCACACCATGACGCTGAGGTGTTGAGACTGGTGTGTACCTGTCCCTGATCAGTTCCAGGCTTCTGAACCTGGGCCAAGAGGTAACAGATCTGATGGACGCCCGCCTCTTGCGGCCGCCAAGAACTCTCTTGTGGCATGCTCAACGGCCGTCCAAAGGCCACAGATCCCGCCCAAAGCTCCTCCTGTCTCTTTCCGATACCAAACCACGCTGCTCGCGCCCCTTGCGGCCTGCTTTGTGTCTCGACATGCCCTTCCTTGTCTTATTTCTGACCTGGACTCATGCTCCTTCCTTGGTTGACTTCACAGGGCACCACGCCATTCGATATGCTCCTCGTCGAATGTCCAAGATTCAGACTGCAACAACAGGCACCCCAAGCGCATCAGCTGATCTTCCAAACAAGGAGAAATATGTGCGAGGGACCAGCGAGGCTCGACTTGAGTGACTAAGCATCCAAGCTGGCAGTCCACGTGCCGATTTAGACTCATGTTGTCCATTCACACATGCCCTACCTGCAGATGATGCGTCAATCCCTTGCCTAAAGATGCATTCTATATCATGTGAGAACCCAGATCGCTTCCTGGACGACAATTCGGCGTTGCGAGCATCTGCAATCTTGGGCTGTCGTTCACGATGTCTGTAGCCCTCCGTTCAAGCACATATGATAGCACCGATGTTAGTGTATACATACTTGGAGGTCAAAGCAATATGTCTGGCCGTGGAGGCGTAGAACGCTTCCCTGATGGGACCAAAGTGTTTGATGAGGAGGGTCCTGACTCTGGTGGAGACTTTTCCTGCTCATGTCAAGCAGTGCATCAGCTCCTTTCTGCAAAAATCAGCAGAAATTTCCCTAAGCAACATGTGGCGAGGCATGAAGCAGCAGTGACAGCATCTAAATATCCTGTTGCTGTTGGTGCAGACCCTCGGGTGCTCTGCTTCAATGCAGCTGGCCATTGGGTGGAAGCCAGGGAGCCTATGCATGCGGATATTGACACCACGTACGTCCTCTTTGCAATCCGGTGGTCACTCACTGCTGCATGCTCCACCCCACAGCTGTCATTGCCGGGTTCAAATTCCCAAGTCCCATAATCGACCATGATGTGGCTCCCAGGAAGGTGACGGGGGTTGGACCAGGCCTCATCTTTGCAAAGGAGCTCTTGGCGCTGCTAAGATCTCCTGGACAGCAGATTGGCTTGGTTCCCTGCGCAGTTGGCGGCACATGCATGGATCAGTGGCTGCCTGGAACAGCTCTTTTTCAACAGATGGTGTGCACTTCAGCAGCCCTTGTCCTTTATGGCTGGGAGCACGAGGTTGTCCCTAACATAGATTTACTGCTGCATGCTTGAGGGAGGCCAGGACACAGAGTGATGTGTAGTGAGCATGATGACAGGTGGACAGGGCATTGAAGGCTGTGGGAAGCTTTCCCAGCACAGCAGGAGCTGCTGTAAGGTTGAGAGGGCTTCTGTGGTACCAGGTTGACTCCCTTACTGCCACGGCGGTCCCGCACTCGGTCATGGAGATCATGCACTATTAAGATGTTATTGACCACCTGTGACAGTGAGCAGCTGATCACCGTACTCCAGAGAAGGGCCTGCCTTGGCAAAGCTGAATGCTTTTGCTGTGTCTGAGCGCTGTTGTGCCCTTGACTGGCAGGGAGAATCAGACACTGACACAATAGAGGCTGTCAACGGATTTCCAGCAAAACTGAAAGAAGTACTCACGACATTCTGGTACGTGTGTGATAAGCATTGCAAACGCTGTCAAGCTCCTCTGACCCTGGGAATACTATCATGTGACATACCTGGTACCATGCAGGCACCAGATTGGTTCCCCACAAGACTTCATCATTCAACAGGCAAGATGCGGCCAATGTCTGCCTGCTTCATTGATGCGTTTTGCTTGCGTAGCTGTGGGATGTGTAGTGGTGCCATCCTTTCAAACATCCACTCAGAGCACAAGCAATGACAGGTGCTAGTGACATGCCAGGAGATGGAAAGCACACAATACCTGCCACAACTGCGCCAAGCGCAACTGGAAGTTGGGACCTCAATGCACACTCCTCAATTGTGGACAGTGGATGCCAAAGGCCTCGAGCTTAAGGTCAGCATCCTTTCTCAGTCATTCAACTGACAGTGAGAGGTCCTGTGATTGTTGCATGATGATGATTTTGTGTAGAAGCAGTCATCATGGGGCAGATTCGCATATCACTAGCTGGCATGATGAATGTCATGGGATGTCGTTCTATCAAAAATTGTATAATTGCAGCTATGTTCATCTGCAGATCAGGTAACCTGCATGAGGAGAAAGCAGTGAGGGTGTAAGACTTGCTATTGGGTGCTCTCACAGGCGGACGGCATGCATTTGACCAGAGAGGCTCAGAACAGGCTCGGAATAGGGCTGGCACAGCAACACATTGCAATCAAGTCAAAGCAGACATCTCCAGCTGTTGTATGGAGCTGCATGCATGGTGCACAGCCTGGAGAGCACCAGAGGGAATAATTTGCAGTACAATTGCTCAGGCGATGACACTCAATACACAATAAGTATTCTTTGGCTTCCGTTCCTCCAAAGTACAATCGGGGCTTTCCTTTTCTACAGAGTGCTGTCCAAGAGTGCCGGTGGTTAAATGAGGTAATTGTGGAAATCACGGTACAGAGGCTGTCTGAAACACATGAGATTGATCGCAGCTTGTGTACCTGTCAGCTGTACAGATCTAACACTAGAACTTGATACGGTTATAAAGTTCCTATGAAATACGATAGCCTTGAAGGCTTCTTGCAAAGGACACCTGCTGTTCAGATTGAGAAATCGGCCATGTTGGCTTGGCCCAAGCTCTGGCACAGGTCCTCATCGGCAGCAAACCAGTCATGCGCGCTGTCCAGAGACTGCTTCAGGCGGCCCAGATGGCGGGAGAACAGCACTTCTCTTGCAGTGCATGCAATCCTCTGCTGCTGGAATTTGTCAAGCGCTGTGTGAAGATCCTTGGGGTGCTCTGCCAGGCAGCGTCCCAAGGCACCTGCATGGACGCCCAATGAGTTGTCACAGTGCCCTTCTCACTCTTCTGCTCAAGCAGTACATGAGAGACTTCTCCTGCACACGTTCAAGCTAGAGAGTGATCCTCATCCTACATGTGTACAAGCCACAGCATGGCACAGATAAGAGCTGTTGTAACCCTGTGCAAAAGATAGGCTTCAACTTCAACAATGGCAGAGCTCTCGAGCTCAAACCTCCAAGACTACCGCCAAACATGGCGCCTCTTGGCTGCCAAGCTAGTATGCTTATTTTTTTGTATGTGCACAAGTGTTGCGCTTCCGACAGGGCACATTAAAGAGGCACCTGCATCACAGATTGCCATGTTGGTGCTCCTGAGGGCGTGAGGGGTGGTTGGGTGCGCAGCCTCCCCAACAAGCACAATGGATCCAAACACCCATTGCTTGAGTGGCTCCCGATCATAGATGGCATTTATGAATGGCGCCTCAGTCGCCTGCATGCATCCATCACCCGATCCCGCCCAGTTTCTTTGTGATGGCATGTTGAATCTGAAAAAAACCCTACCATGCCACTGTCAATACAATGTCATCATTTGCTAAACTTCTCGCTACGGGAAGGATGCGATGAGAGACCTGCATCAGTGCAGCAAGTTCTGGCGTGAAGGTTGCCGCCGCTCGCTCATGCATGTCCTCAATCTTCTGATCATCCGCTTTCACGGTCACAGAGTGGCCGGTGAGGTTCGGCTCCGGCTGATTGATGTACCTGGCGCATCAACACCCTCACCCTTAATCAACACCTGTCAAAGTTCTCTTAGGTGCAACGGAGTACGAGGCGCTGTCCATGACCAGGCAGTGTGCATGATACACAACAGATAGCCTGCAAGGTGCAAAGAATTGTATGGTGGAGGGGGTCCAAAAAAAGGTCGGGAAAGGCAACAGCCGCAACTAGTACTTTCAGTGGACTGCCAGTGCTAAGCCTCTCTATGCATGCACCCCATGTAGAGGTCATCTGGTTACCAATTACCACAGGAATACAAAGAAGCCCCTTGGTAATGGCGCATGGGAGGCTGACCAGAGCCAGTTGAGGCGCTGTCCTGGCAGCTCATAGAGCACTGCGTGGGAGTCCTGAGCAAGGTCAAAGTAGAGTGCCCTGCCCAGCTCCGGGTAAGCCTCGCGCACTGCACGGGCAGCGCTGGGCGCCTCCTTGTCTGTCACGACTCCCCGCCATGCGCAATAGCCTGAGTACCTGCAAAGCAATCTCATATCACCCTAGGGCCACCATGGCTCATACTTAAAACCAAGCAGCCTTCCACAGCACAGGCCACATAGTGCCACGGGCAATGCTGCTGACAACTGCACAAGAAAGAATTTAAAGTCATGCCTAGTGCGCATGGCGTCAGGTACCCAACATTGGCAATGACACTCTATTTTTGCCGGCTACAGTTTTGAGTGTGACCCTGCTTCATCAGGACATTGCAATGTTGCTTTAAGGAAGTTGAAAAAAATCAGTCCAGCACTCACCTCCTGGATTCGTCCGGCCTGAAGCGCCGTCTTGTGTCGGACATCGACCCGTCGGCAGCGATCACCAGGTCGCACTCCACGTTGATGCGCTGGACGCCATCTGAATTTGAGTCCGAACCTGAACCTGTCTGCTTCGCCTCAGCCTGTACCACATACTTGGACCCGCTCTCTTGCTCCACGTTTGTCACTGCGGTGCCCCAAAGGATGATGTCCTGTGGCAAGGCTGACAGCAGCGCCCTGTGCAATTCGCTCCAGTGCAGGCTGCACCACATGCACACGTGTCATGCAAGGTTGCTATGTCCAAGAGGCTGAGCTGCATGCAAATTTGTCCGATCCAAACATAGCATGCAAGGCGGGAATATATGCTTGCCTGCAATGGTTGTAGGCCCTGTCGTGGTAGAGCTGCCGGACATGGCCATCTGGCGCCACTGCCCTGTTGGTCTCTATGGGCATCGGCTGGGTGACTGCCTCAAGCTCTTTGCTCAGGCCAAAGCTTCGTAGGACTTCCAGAGCTTCGTCCCCAAGGCCCAGTCCCTGAGCGGTAGCGTGTCCTTCCTTATGTCCACTTCATTGAGCTTGCACAAGACTTGTGCAATGCGCTTGAGGCAATGCATGTAGCAGCAGTGCAGCCTCTCATTCCATGATCGACCGACTCACCGCGCCTGCTGCGCTGATAGCCTTGGCTCTCTCGAAGACGGTGACCTTGCACGACTTGGTCTTGAGGAGTGCATGAGCGCAAGCCAGACCTCCTACACTGCCGCCAATAATGACGACGTCCAACTTATCCGACGATGTCATCGTTTGTTGCTCAGTCCCTTAATATGAAACGCCCTATAGTCTCTCCACAAGCTCGATGAAGGTGCACGGCATGTCCAATATTACAAAGGTATTTCGTTGCTGCCTTACTGGGACCAATACACCCAGACTAATTGTATCAAAAACGATTTGCTAGACTTTAATGATCGCTCGCACTCTACGTTGTTGTGGAGGACTTGCTTCTTCTCCTTGATCAGCAGGATCCGTTGGGATCGAATGCAGTTCAGGTCTGCGGGTTCAGAGCCTTCCGATTCCTCAGCTGTAAGTTCAGGATCAATCAATTAGCTTTGAAAAGCCGTTTGTTGGGAAAATGTGGCCTCCTGCATAGCATGCTCGGCTGACTGTCTCCAGGTGGACCTCATGCATGCACGTGATCAAGTTCCACAAATTCTTTTCTTGATTCCCACATATATCTGAGCGACATCTTTAGATTCAATTGTTGCAACGGGTTTGAAGACAATTTGGACGTGGAACACTGTCCGATCATGGCAAGAGTCGTTGTCACAATTGCAGGCGTTGGTGCAGCGTCTGTTGGAGTCTATTCAGCAATCGTATGCCTCAAATTACATATACTATACTTTCAACAGCTTTGAAATTGATCCTGAAGACTAAGTTTATCCTAACATTACATTGCATGCATTGAATTGTCCCGTGGCAAGTGACCCTAGACGATGGCAAGTACTAAGGTGCAAAACGGGAAAAACAAATGACGTGTGCTTGCTTCCAGGCCTATTCATCTGTCTACTCAGTCGATCAGGAGCTGAAGGGATACCTCCAAACAGCAAAGGAAAAACAGAAGTCAAAGGAATCCCTGGAAGGCATTCTTGGAGACACCGAGCGCAGAATCGATGGGCTACTGCAGAGAACGCAAGAAAGTCAACAGGCAAGAGGCCAGCTATCTTTTCCATCAGCCATGCTTCCTACCAGGATCTGCAAAAAGAACTCTTGTCATTGCGTGCCATCTTGCTTACCTTGTGTATGGCTGCGCCCACAGACAGCGGCAGAGCTGGATGGCAGGATAACAGCGGCGGAGAAGACATTGACAAACCTGAGAACATTGAGGTGGCTCCCCAGATTCCAGCAGTCTCTTGATTGTGGAGACGCTGCCAGACTACACAGTAATTCTGCGCTAAGAATCCAATGCTGACAACAATGATGATGCCTTCTGTCGCAGGCAAACAGCACAACAGCGATTAGAAGAAGACCAGCAATCCATTGAGGGAGCCAGGACCAGCTTGCGAGGTTTGCAGCAGGATATAGAGCGAGAATTGTCAGCCATGAGGCTTGCAGAGCAGAATGCCCAAGCAGCAAGGCAAAGAGCAGATGCTGCCAGGAAGGAAGCAAATCCCCTGAATCATCCAATCGTGCAGCGCTACCTTCACCAGAAGTAATGGAGGAGGGTGTGGTGTGGTGTGGTGTAGAGCTGAATTTTATGGCAGTGATCCTATAGTTTCTCCCCACAGTACTATCCCGTACACCAATTGTTGGAGGCAGGCAGCTCTCCTTAGGACTTGTTCTTCATGAATTTGATCTTCGAGGGACTGTCATAAGCAGCATCCTTTATGTAGAGGCTAGCAAACCGCTCGAATGGAAACCTTTATGATGCCAGCACTATGATCAGCCGCATCCATTCGCATGCGCAGCTGTCTTGGAGCACTAGAGTACTCTGTGTCTGACGATAAGATCTTTTAGAATTTGTCAGTGCCGAGGTGATCTCTCAGCAGGATTGGCAGGGTGCATTTGCATTTACTTGCCCGAGTCCCCACTGGATTCATGACATGAGGCTCACGATGCTATTAGCTACCATATTTACACGCTACCGTAGCTGTGACAGCACATCCAATTTTGCAAGAAGACAAGAATTTGATCGTTTCGTTTGCGATACATCCCTCTAAACACATCGAATGTCAGAGCATGTCAGAATTGTGCATCCTGGGCATCAAATAGCCGTGCACATACGCTCGCAGCTGACAGTCGATAAAAAATGCCTGAACCAGTGACAACGGAGAACCACCTGATCAGGACTCAGTCATGACTAAAGAGGACTTCGCCATGTCCTGTTCATTCATTTCTGCACCAACCTGAAAATGTTCAGTCTATAATGTCTGTTGATCAGCATCTGAATGCACACATTGAGAGAAAGAGGCAGAACTCAAAGGCTGTACTCTGCAAGAGGTTTCCTTAACTTAAGGGGACAGGGAGGTCCATCTGTCCGTCCAGACTGAGAACACAAAGTGTGTTCACCTGGCACGCTTCGGTACATAGTGCTCCACATACATGGCCTACAGGACAAGCACAGATTGGGTTAGCACTGCTGGCACCCCAAAAATGTCAGAACGGTGGCTTGCCGGACTTGCCGCATGCTGGTGAACCTGGCAGGCACTGTAGGCCTTCAGTCGCATCATCCAGGACAGGAACATGGATACAAGAAAAACGTGGATGCATCAATAACACTGTACAAGTCTTCCCTTCTAAGAGGCATGACAAGAAATGATGTCCCACCATGGCATCCTTGATGGCCTTCTCAGCCTCCTCCCTACCAAGAATCTCATCCACCTTCACCTCTTTGTGCTCATTCTGCCGGCAAAGACTGTCATGTCAGCATTTCACTGTCTACATATTAGGCATAATATCACTTGGAAGTTGTCAAGCGTGCAAGGCTGCATAAAATCAAAGCTTCTTTCAAGGAGCTTGATATCACAGGTTTGTCTCACCTTTTTGTAGTCCTCAAAGAACCTGCAAAAAGCAGTCAGGAGCAAATGTAAATTCTTCAGTTCAGACAAAATGGACGTCATGCAGCGTTCTCGCATGTGCAGACAATGGGACCATGCAATACAATACCCGATGTCCCTCTGAATTAGCCTAAAATTTTATGCACAGATCAGTACAGGATTGACGAGTAGAGACGCATTTATACCTGCGGATCTCGGCCAATCTGTGCTTTGGCAGCTGCGCAATGTCTTCAAAGCCCTTGAATTCTGGGTCATCAGCATGGACAGCAATGATCTGCACCCCAAAAACATCTTTAGCCGGGAGAGCAAAGACTCATGCCTGCATGGGAATTTAATGTCTGCATGCTTGCACCTGCTAAGTTTATTGCAGGAAAGAACAAAACTCTGTGAGTGGAATCTTGCCATGAGATTCAGAGCCAGTAGGAAAGTATCATGAATCACCTTATCGTCCTGCTCTCCCTGGTCAATCATCTGCATCACGCCAATGGGTTTGGCACGCAGGAAAGCCATGGGCACAACTGACTCCTGTTCCAGAACCAGTCAAACTTGTGGATCCGGTAAGTTTTACTTTTGAAGTTGTTTGTATAGTGGATCACAACATCTGTGCTTGATGTTCTGCAGGTGGCAAACAATTGAATTTGACACCACGCAAGGCTCAAGACCAAATATTCCACACAGATCGAATCACAAAAGATACAAAGTCTAGAAGTACAACCACTTCGTAATCGGTGTGGTGTGATGTGCATGGGCTCAGGCATGCAGTTTCCCAAAGTGGGCAACGACCAAGATCCACAGGGCAATCTCCAAAGATATTCCTTTTGCCACAAGATGCCTTGCAACAATTGTTCGATTGTCAGGTAGTACCTGCATGAGTACTAACACGTCCAGAGGGTCGTTGTCTTCACAGAGAGTCTGTGGGATGAAGCCGTAGTTGTGGGGGTACACAACGCTGGAGTACAAGATGCGGTCCACGTAAAGGAGACCGGTCGCCTTGTCAAGCTCATACTTGACCTTGGATCCGCGAGGAATCTCGATCACAGCATTGAACAAGCTAGGCGCTGCGTCTCCTATGGAGAGGTCGTGCCAAGGATGGGAAGCTGCATGACGCCCAGCTGCCATGTTCTTTGCAGGCACACGCTTGGGATCGGCAATTTCTGAACTCTTCACGCTGTATGAAACTGTATCAGAATTGAACAGCCAGGAATGTTGCAAGCCCATGCTTCACTGCACGCCAGGGCCCGAAGCCTAAAGGCCACCCCTTGCAAGGGCATGCTGACATCACGTGCCCAGCAGGCACTTGGTCCACAACACGGGAATCTGCTTAGCTGGGGAATTTGGCACTGTGGCCCTGCAACGACCTTCCTGCGCAAGTGAGTCCTCTGCAACTGATTTTCAGGTCTGAAGGCCGAGACGGCGTACGGCTGCAGCTGCGCATGCGCTATAGCGCCGCTGGTTGCATGCATGCCAGTGTGCGCCGCGGCTGAAGCACTGGCGCTGCCCATGCATGCACTGCACTGCATGCTCTTCCTAATTGGGTTTGTAAGATGTCGTTGGACGCTGCTGGACAGAAAGGCTATACATTGCAATTGATGCATACTGTGGCGCGCGGCGCCCTGCCGGCAGGGCGCCCACGCCGGCGCCGCCAGCTGGGCCGAAGTCACGGCTGGCCGCGGCCGCCGACTAGCATGATCGACCTGCAAGCGATCTGTCTAGGAAAGCTCTTTGCAAGCCACCTGCAAGCCACTTCAACCCACAGTCACTGCCCGAACACGTGGATGTCCTACATGGCCTTAGTAAGTTTAGACTTTCACTGAGTCCTGCATCTGCACTCTTGGCGCCATGCATTCAACATTCACTTACCGACCTTAAATTGCTCAAAGATTATCATTATTATCTAGAGCTTGCTAACTGTCAATCGTCAGCCAATATTTGCTATTTTGGATTGCTGCGTTGTGATCATCTACTGTAGGGAGGAAAGGCAGAACGGTCAGTGTGCAGCACCTTCATCATCTTACCTTGAAACCAGCTTATTTGGCCTGTCTGCACCAGGCGACTGAAATATGGTGAGTGACAAGAGGTGGATGGCATTCTGATCAAAGACGCGGCAGGCACCATCAACGACCTCCTTTTGGTGCAGATGCGCATTGGTCATGGAATACTGTGCCATTTATTTTCCTATATCTACCGATTTTTGGATTCTGGGTTGTGAATTTGAGAAAGGATTGGATTGGTCTTTATGGATCAGGCAAAACAGGCAGGGTTACACAGTCCTGTACCGCTGGCATCCTATCCGACATTGGCGATCCTGCTATTGCTTACTGGGCTCGCATCAACTGCAGCGTTCTTTGTGTAAGTTCCTGTCCAACACAATATCCACTACAGCACTTGGGCATCTCCTGCTTCCTTCTGCCAGATTGCTTGGCATGTCTATGCGCATGGGAACCCATCTGTTGACCTCTTTGATGTTGATCTCTTGTCTTGTGCGGGTGCTGTGCCAGGTATGAGTCAACAAGCACCAGGCATAGCCGCAGCCTGAGCCGAGAGCTCTTGCTGGGCTTGCTCTCGTCTGTCTTTCTGGTGAGGCGCTTTGCTTGATGCACACCATGTTCACCAAAGTCTTGGGCCTCTTGGGCTCAGCGTGTGCACCTGTCATGGAAGAACTTCTGATTCTGTACTTAATCCTGCAATCTGCCATGCTGGCCCAGGGGGTTCACCTTCCTACACTTGATGGTGCAGGGTTTGGGCACATTCTTTCTGCTGCTGTGGACGGGTGTGTATGTTTGACAAAGTACGGCGTCGCCAAAGCCCATCAGGTGCAAGACTTGGAAGAATATACTGTACACCAAAAGCAATCAGCATGATTATTTGTTGTAATGCAGCGGTGCACATGCTTCAGATATGGTAGCTCAAAGGGGAATGATGTCCTCAGCAAAATGTATGGCAAGCTAGACTTATCCGGTTGCCTTTCTCAGCTTCTGTGAAGTAGTGCTGCCATTCTCGCTTATAGATGAAAGGGTCTGCCATCAGAAATATGTGGCGCCTGCATGCCACTCTAGTGGAGTTTGAACATGTCTGCTCAGACATGCAACGACAACAAGGCTCCTGATGTTGTCATCCCGCATCTGTCAGGCCTAGTCTGACTTGTAAACTTGCTCCAAGCCATGTACTATCATTTAACATATCTTAAAAGGGTAAGGTTGGCATAGCTCGCAGCTTGCATAAATCTGCTCACATGCATGCTCATATGATGCTTTGCATGCAGACCCAGATTTGGTCTGCTCTTACAGTGAGCACACACAGGTGCTTCACACAGGCACTTCTATCTGATTGTGCTGGTGTACCAGTACATCACATTACAACACTCCATCAGGTATCACAAGCGCAGGAAAGAAAGAATGAATACCCACTTCTCTAACTTCAACCTAGCTAGCTCTGGCAGGTTGCACAATGCAGACAATTAGGCATCATGCTGTCACATATGTACACATGATGTCATATACACTCCTTTTAGTTCAATCAATTTCAGCAAGAGTGTTCCAACGCCTGAAAGTTCTGACAATAATAACGACATCCACTTTCCTGAGCTACAGTGCAGTCAATACCTCATTGGATCCAGTTCAGTTTGAATGTTCCTCCCTGTTCAGGTAAGCACCAGGTCCACATCTGGAAGTCAGCATTGCTTGCCGGTTCAATTAAACCAGCAACTCAATCCAGACGGCAATGCAATGCAGCCTGTTCACATGCGCTAGAACAGCGCCACATGCTGGCAGCCTAGTCTTTCGGGTACCAAATCTCCTCAACTGCCCATGTCACACGCTGGGTGTCCCTTGACTACTCAAAGAAGCCATCCACCCAGCTTGGCTGCCAAGCTGGCCACTTATCAAATACATGCCTCTGAATGTGCACAAACATAGCAGTGTACACTCAATGTTCTACACAGCAAATTTCCCCAGTGCTCAATATTACATTGCCAGCTGTTCCCTAACAGCATTCTGCAAGTTTTCCGCGTTGACACCCGTCACAGTCTGCACCACTTCTGTCCCTCGGAACAAGCAGAATGTGGGGGTGACCCTGATCTGCATGCTGATCATGAGCTTCTGCATCACACACCAAACTCCAGCAAGTCAGAACTGCAAGTGTATACAACACTTTGTGTGTCAAGGTGTACATGGGTGGCGCAGGACAGCTCTTTCAGGCAGGAAAGAGAGAATGCCGCATACCCTTGTGTCTGCGCTCTCATCTCCAAGAATCTCTAGGAAGACTGCGCCTTGTGTGCTGAACTCTGCAGCCATGCGCTGGTACTTCCGCGCGAACATCTGCGCACCACACCCCAACAATGTTGTGCTCTGCAATTGCTGCTGGACGCCCGGACCCCTTTCTTCTTGAGGGGCAAATAGGAGCATTATGATGTGAGACCTCTGAAACCACCGTGCCAGCTCCAAGGGCAGACTCACCTTGCAAGGACGACAGGACGCAGCTTTGCACATGAGCACTACCAGCTTGCCATCGTGCCTTTGCAGCTTGTCCTCCAGCTCCAGGGCTGAGTGAACCTGCAAGAAGCAACAATTTCTGTAATTCAGGTGTAAGCAGAAGAGATAGCATTTTTTTATGCGGCAGGTAAATAGTAGTAGCGTAACGATGTCCCAAGACAAGATGAAAACAATCAAGACCTTGAGATACAAAAAAGTCAAGGATGGAAGGTCTGAGGTTCCAGCACAGACACAACATATGCCAGTGAAAAGCACGAAATATTCTAGAATCTAAACAATGAACTCCAGAACAAATAACAATATTGACTACAAACCATGTGTCCATCTTCGTGAAATATTGCACAAGACACAAACAAGACGCGTCGTCCAAATACCTGCACGACTGCTTCGGTGTCGTTGAGAACTTTGCCAGATAGAGTCCTATTCAACCTCTCAGCAGACTCGCTCATGCTCGTGCTCGTCGTCCTGAGCAACGAGCGGCCAATCTGCGCCGGTGACAGCCCCGAGTACCCTGGGTGAGGGATGGCGACGCCAGCGACTGCAGCAGCAGCGCCGGCAATCCTTGCGCGCCGACATTGTGTCAGCGGTAATGGACTGCTTAAAGATTTCAGCTGCTGAGGCAGGACTTTGCAGCTCCCGCTTGTCTGCGGTATTCTAGTCTGCGGTGGCTGAGCAAAACAGTTTGCAGTGAAAGCCATTTAGACCAAAAGAGAAGCTTGCCCAGTTTGAAGTTGAAGTGAATGACTTCTTGTTTGCCGTCAAAAATGCTTCTAGCTCCGAACTTAAAGACTGCTCGTTGGATATTAAATGATGACTTCTGATGGCAGCTGACTGGCAGGTGCCTAAAGCAGCGCCCACATGGGTTGATCCGCGTGGAGCAACTCTTGATCAACATGCACTCACCCCAGGGAGCAAAATTTCACGATGGGTGGTCCTCAATAACTTGCTGCTCTCTGCTTTGGCTTTCTACCCACTGATCAAGCTCAGGCGTGCACATCTCAAACCTGACCAATTGGTTGCAACGGCGCAGCATTTGCATGCATGCATGCACCGGCTATAAAGCTATAGCCGGCGGCGGGCATGCTTGAGCGCACATGAGCCGGCCTGGCCCGGCCTAGACCGTGCGCATGCATGCTGCAGCTGCGCAGCCTGATGTTTGCACTATAATTACAATAGAGGCATGCCGCGCATGCGCATGGCAAGTTGCCACAAGAAATTTGAGCCAAGGTGCACATATGTGCATCATGGCATGATGCCATGCGTGTAAGCTGGTTTCAGGTATCGAAACGTGTGCACTGCTGGCAGCTACAGATGTGACTCCAGCGCTGGCTGATAATCCTGACGTCTAAAGCTCTAGCAGAAAGCTCTTACGGACGCAGAACGCGCGCGAGTATTGGCACAGGCAGCGCTCATATATTTGTATCCATTTATATTCAAAGTTTGAAACCTTCCATCACTGATAGGACCTGGCAGGAGGTCTGAATGGATGGATCCAAGCAGCAGACCTGTGAATCCCTCCGCAGAAATTATCCAAGAAACCATTGCCAGAATCTTACACGCGCAAAAGGGCGCTGACATGAGTCCTGACCAATCAGATCCCACCCTCACCTATACGTAGGGCAGGCCGGCCTCAAGATGGCCCAAAGCTGAACACAACACACAATTTCTCCACACAAAATCACAATCAAGGAAATGCTAAAGTCATCATTCCAAATCTCGCACCACACCGAAAACCCAACTGTATGCATTTAATTCCAAACATGCGCCTCCTCAACATTCTTCACTCTTGTACACGCAGGCCAGGCAGGACACATGGGCCGATCCAAAGGGCATCCCACATCTGTCCATAACGCATTCAAGACACGAATCTTCTCTGGGGCACGGCACCCAAATTGGCGCCGAGAGGATGGTGGTACACTTGTGACAGCTTGAAGCATGAATGTAAAGAATACACAGGGAGTGCCCAGCCCATGCAATCAGATTGCACAGACCTGGCTCTCCAGCCTAGTAGGTGTCACAGTACAGCAGCACATGTCTTACCAAAGCAGCTGACATCTGACACAAGCTCCAGTCACAAACCCTCCTAAAATTATCTCTGCTTGTGTTCATAACAATGGATACTCCATGCTCATTTAATCCTTTCACCCCAAACATGAAACATTGCCATGCATCTTGCTTGCTTGGATTCTCAGAAGGTCAGCAATCTCAGATCTCTGCTGGCTTTTGCAGCCCGCACCCTTCTGTGTATTGCTGGCCTCATCATGACTCACCCTACTGCGTCCTAAATCTCACAGGCGGGTGTCACAATCCACACCCCATCTGCAAGACCTGCACTTGCCTTATTAGCTCGTCTTCTCACACTGCAGCAAAATTGTCGGCGCCATCAAAAACTGTCCGTAGAAGGCAGTGCACCGTGTGATCCACCATTTCCTGGCGACCACTGCTTCGAATACTGGCGTCCCCATTGCAGAGGAGCCTAAATGAGTCTTCAGAAAACAAAAATTAATCAGGCCACGACCCCTCACAAAGAATGTCGCTGCATGAGGTGCACATTGGCACCAGACTCAGCAGGACTTGGCTGTACAGCTCAATATCGATCGGAAAGAATTTTGCTCGAAATCAAGCTTGTGGGTCTTGCGCCTCTGTCATAGTGCGTGTCACCTCCGTCAATGCCAATACAGGCAGCTAAGCCATTACTTAGCAGCTTGCAGGAATATGCGCTCTGCCGCATAACGCAGATTTGGGCAGCAGATGGCGGTCGACCTGCAGAGACAGTCAACCCTCCAGTCAGCCAGCGCTTGAACATCCAACATATGTACTAAGGATCTCAAGTGCGCTGCCATGCTGGTATCCCGTGCTGCAGCACCGAGGGGATTGCAAATATGGGCACAAGAAACCAATTCGAGGGGAAGATGTTTGAAGAAATGTTGCCCACCTGTCTCATGTGTGTGTCATGGTGGCTCTCGTCCCAAGCACCCAGCTCCATGAGGCTCCTCTGCAGCACGTGCTCCTGGCAAGCCATGTCGACAGCCTCAGAGGGCCCCTGGAAAGGGGCGCCCCCCCAGCAAAGGCCTCCAGCATCATCCAGAGCCGTCGCATGCACGTGCATGGCAGCGTAGATCTCAGCATGCAGGTACGCGAAGGAGCCATGCGCGGGCACATCCTGGACGAGTGGCGAGCAGAAATGCTGCTCCGGCAGGTGCGAGGTGGGCGACAGCTGCACATCCTTTGAGCCGCGCACTGCCGCCCGGCGGCTGCTGACGTCATCAGCGCCATCGTCGCTGACATCATCGCTGCGGCAGCTTGAGCTGTGGCTGCCGGAGAGCACGGCCGGCAGCGCGAAGCTCTGCTCGCAGCGCGCCGCGAACAGCGAGTCGTCCTCCGCGAACAGCACGCTGTCCAGGCTGCCGGAGAGCAGCCTCTCAACCTCTGCCTGTACCTCGGGGACAACGCCGTCCTCGCTCGCACAGCCCGCGCTCGGCCAGCCAAGCGGCACGGCCGCGTCCGCGCCGGCGGCTTCGTCGATGGCCATGCCGCAGTCCGTGTGGCAGTCCATGTGATCCGGGCCATCTGCATCGGAGGAGCTGCGGGCGCGGCCGAACAGTGCGTCAACGGCATCGTGGCCGCCAAAAACGCCCTTCTGGGGGAGAGCGGGGAGGCTGGCCGCGGCGTCTGGCACGCCAGCTGTGAAGCTGGAGGGCAGTGCACCTGCGAACCAATCCATCCCTTCAGCCTATTGCTCACTGGCTGTGCAATGAGTGGCACCCTTACGCGTTAGGAGTCACAGAGTGCCTTAATATTGCTCACTGCCTATGCGTGGCGTCCTCACCACGCTCTAGCATTGAGCAGACAATCCCACCAATCCTGCATCCACCCAACCAACCATGATGTGCAAGCACAGGTTATTCGCCTCTTCCCTCTACAACTCACGCCATGAAAGCATCAAACTGGCCAGAGTGAGGCCCAGGCAGAAATGAGGAGCTCAAGAGGACCGCACCCGCAAAGATGGTGCGGTAGTTGGTGATGAGGATGTCTGTGAGGGCCTCGCGGGCGGCTGTGGTGTCCCACAGGGACGCCTGCGAATGCACTTCAGGCAGGAGCAGCGGCGCAAATGTGGGAGGCAGCAAGTCTGGCTGGCTGATGTTCAGCCTGTGGTGGTGCAGCAACTCCACCAGTGGATACAGCACCTGCAGGGATGTCTTGTCGATCTGCACACCCACCAAGAGGCCCTCAACACTATGACACACTGTAACAACAGGACAGCCACCCATTATGATGGGATAATATCTTGTTGTTCAACGCATGCAGCACAAAGGGGCGGCACAGTAGAAGCACAAGCCGGTATGGCTGGGCAAGAATTGGATGGAATGGCAAAGCGCCGTTAAATGCTTGCCGATGTATGCTCCAAGTGCAGGTAGTAACTCACATGACTGAAGACTTGCTGCAGGACATGCAGGCGCTCGCCGCCTTGGCAGATGCTGGTGGCTTGCAGCAGGAGGTTGCTCAGCTCAGGAGCCAGCAACGGCTCAGGCAGGCAGTTCAGCCACAGCATAAGAGCGCTCGCCAACTGCACACGGAAGATACATGGTCAGCAACTGAAGAGAGAGCCTCAGTGAAGACTGCAGGAAAGGTATGATCCAGTCCTGATGTCAGAATAGGGGACTAAATCAAATCTACCGGCAACGGTCAGTCGCTGATAACAGCTGACAGGAGGGACTGATGACGGAGAAAGCAGGTTCCTCAGATCGCCTTTGCAGCACAACCTGTGAGTTAGCGTTCAGTCGGACTCACCGCATGAGAGCTGGATCGCATCACCATCAAAGGGTCCTTGCCCATGTCCCATGCCTTCCTCATGAGATTCAGTTTCTCTGGGCTCTCTGGCTTCGTGAAGAGCGTCTCGATGGCCAGAAACCGCTTCAGCTCGCCGAGCAAGTCTCGGAACAGCTGTGGAGGACCTCCATGAAACTCCTGCGAGATCACAAGACTTCACCGGTGGCGGATATGCCATATTTTGACCATGCGACAGACGTGGCTGAAGACAACTAGGGTTGTTCACCGTCATCAAGGACCCAGCCCACACCACCCGTCTTCGGGTGTCCACGGAAACTGGTCTATGCAAGCATACAGAGGCACCAACAACCACTCGTATGCGATTGCTCGGCCAAAACTCCTCTGCTGCAGCACGGTCGCGGAGCAGCAGTAGCTAGAGGATGAGCGAGAGCAAGACACTCGAGCAGCACCTTGAGGCTGCGTCCAAATACGGGCCTAGAGTGCCCAATCGTCCTCTGCTTGCGCGTGACGGGCATGTCAGCTTGTCGTGGTACGCCAGACGCAGGATTTCCCTAGGAGAATGCGGTGTCAAAATATCTGAACAATAGGCTCGCGGTGCGGCGCTAACGTCGCGGTGCGGCGCTCACGTCGCCGTTACCGTGCTTGTCGCTGGCCAAAGAGCAGCAATAGAGCGCGAACCGCGGTTTGGGATGTTGTTGATCACAGCTAGAGCTCTTTGCCACTGGGATAGGGCAGCGTATTTTGTGCGGCGGATGAATCTCCCCGTCAGCTGCTCACGTCAGATCAGTCGGCCACCTCGGACGAGGCTTTACGATTGGAGCGCGCGACAGGTTGGCAGACTTGGAGCACAATAAATGCAATCATTGGTAACCAGGTATCATATCCTTTAGAGACAGATTCATTAAATAAGGTGTTTCTTGTTTAACCAGAAAGCAGGATCCTGCACACGGCACCTCTGCAAGCCTGTGACAGCGTATCAAGCGATTCTTGCCTTTTTCCCAAGTCAATCATGTGGGATTATGGTAGGGCAGGAGCCAAGGAACTGCGTATATGTAGACAGCTGCTGCGCAGCATGCATGTGCACCGCATGAACACAGCAAATCAACTCGGCAACTTCTGACAGTGCCATCATGGGAGTCTCCACAAGTATCACAAGTAACTACTAGTACCCAAGGTAGTACCCAATGAACCCCCGTGACGGCTTTCAAGAATGCTCTCCAGCACTGTGGGTGACCTGGCCACAGTCGCCACATCATGCCTAGCTTATCTGATCAGCTAGCTGCCAGCTGAGGTCATGACAGTCATGACTCATGAGTCGGACTCATGAGGTCATGCGGATGACACCAGCAGTAGGGTACAGAGCACGCGACTGCTTTTCAACCATTACACGAAAAACTCATTCCCTACAGCTGTAAAAGATCCTCTGATCCTCTCTGCCAGATCAGATATCTTGTCACTTCAACATGGGCCCCAGCCGGGGCTCCCAGCCTATTCGAATATCAATTCAGGGCTTCATGGATGAACCAATGGCAATCAAGCGCTCGTAGGCAGAATTTTATGTGGTGGTACTGGACAGTTGGTGTGAAATGCCGTGACTCCCATGGCAGCCAAGTAGCTGCTGTAGTCCAGATTCCGAGTTAATGGATATTAAAGGCCCCCCATTTAGAGACCCAGCGCCTTTTACCAGCCGTGTGTGGCTGTTGATATTGGGCAAGGCAAGTTGCAGTGATTTGTGAGATTGTATTGATATTTCTAGCATGGCAGCGCTCGAGCTGCGGGTTAAGTTGCCCATGCATGATCAGGCCCAAGCTGAAAGCCACATTTGCGGCATGCGTATGCGCATGCACCTATTTGCATGCATGGCCATGGCCGTGTCTGTCCAACGGCTGTTGGCAAGCACAGTCCATGAAAGTTGGCATCGCTGTACCCACTGATCAAAGTCATCCATTACATGCTGTTGTCAAAAGCAAAATGTTAATTTGGGACTAGCATCGTCTGGAGGGTCCCCCAAGGGCCGGTCCAGTTGGGGGGCCTGGTCCATGGGACGATGTGGATTTTTCCCCATTGATTGATTTTCTCAGCATCCAAGACACAATCCAAGCGCATTGAAACGACCGCATCATCATCTGGGCACGGAACTCCTAATTCAAAGCTTGTTGCAAGAAGGTGGCCATCGGGGACATGAGCTGGGGTCAGGCAAAGCAGCCATCAGACATGGATGCAAGTGGTTGCGCAATGCTGAGCAGTGAGTCCTTTCCCTCTCATAGTATGAGTAAATAGACATAAAGCACGTTGTGAGTTGTCCTTCAATATTGTGGCCCTGTGCAGGCCCAGCACCCCGTCGGCAGGGCCATATTTACGGCCCTGATGGTGGCCTTCCAAGCCCACACACGTTGTGCCGTTCTTTCGGAACGCCGCCGCCTGCATCCTCCCTTTTCGGGCCTTCAGGTGCCGTCCGAATCATTGGTGTTGTTGAAGTGGATTGCTGCGGCGATGGAAGATGCGACCTAGTGCCGCTATCCTCTGATGTGACCGTGCCCACAGGCTGTCTGGACCAGCTTCCCAGCCTAGCGACGTGTGGGCCACAGCCTTCGGGTTTCACACCACGCGAGGGGGAGCCAGCAGATCCGCTGAGTCTTGCAGACGATGACTTCACCAGCTTCGCGTTCAACCTTGCGTGGTATGTTGCAACCGAAAACCCTGGTGGCCTGGTCACAAGGTGACCGTTTTTGGAAGGGCGTGATGGATGCAGCAGGCTATGCCCCTGGCACTGCATCACACGTGTTCTTTGCGATTGGGGCGAGCACATAGTCGGTTGGCCAGCTCTCTTCCAGATGGCGAGCCTGTCAGACTGCGGAACCTGATCACCATGCTCAGGGCAAGGGCAATGCTGTGCGCCGCTCCACATACAAGAGCCGATGGGCCATTATATCTCTGTCATCACTGAAGGGGTGGTTTGCTGTCACGACAGGGGGCACGAAGACCTTGAGCAACTCCAACCGAGCCCTGGCTGCCGGGCGTGGCACCGACTCGGGGAGGGGTCTTCCTCAGAGCAAGGTGCGTCTATACGACCAGGCTGCCCACAGATGCTCTTGACGTACCATTCTGTCCCCTTTCCAGGGACATCCACCACTATCTTTGTGCCTCGTTCTCAGTCATACTTCAAGATGCTGTACGGTGCTGGGGTCTATCGTGCGTACATTCTCTCCGCCAAATTGTATTATGGCTGTGTGGATGAGCCCCGTAGGATAGACTTTACATACTGCTGGGTGTTGACTGCTTCCACATCTGGTGCATACGGTTTGCACGTGCTTCGTCCTGGCCATCTCTTGAATAAAAAGAACGATCAAGCTCAGCTTTTGATGTCCGTCACCTGACTGCAGGCACACCAATGTCACCCTTCACTTCCTCGTCTGCGCCCCTTCCTCCAAATGGGAGCCTCGCCCAGGCAGCGCTGAACAGCAGCAGTAGGATGCTCATAGACAGCGTGCCCTACCCACCCTTTGGCAGCGCAGCCGCCAGCATTGTGTCTACACAAGAGGGTGCTTAGCCTTCCGCTCTTTCACATCAAGCACGACACCCCCATGTGCAGGACACGCAAGGTAGATCAGTGTCAAAGGGGCCTAGTGATGCATGGGGCACCTCATAGGCTCGCCTTATTCTCATGCGCACTCCCTGAGGTTTTGGTTCATGACGGCTCAAAATCTTGTCCTTGTTGGCCCTGTCCCTTCTCCTGCTGTGGCACTAACAGTAATTCCAGTCTTTCTTCGGCATACTTGGCCACGGGTAGCACTTGCAAACATCAAAATGCTCAGCACCTGAGCGCCTGTCCAGTGGCAAAGATGTCATACCTAGAGTGGTCCGCACGTAGGCTTTTCCTTGAACAGATGCTAGGTTCTGCTGTTCATCAGTCTGTGAGTTTGCAGTTGTTTCGAGCTTTCCAGCCCCTCGCTTCTGCAGCTGGATTCGGGCAGGCTGTAACAATGATGGCCCAACATTTTCCTGGCGCTCCTCTGGATTGGGCGGACTAAACACCTTTGGCGCAGGGGAGATGCGGAGGGCATCAATGCTGACCAGCGCGGGCAGCGGGCACTTGCACAAGCGGCCGAGCGGGGTGGACCTGTTGGAGGAGGCCTGCAAACGCGCGCGGTCCACGCCAGACCTGAGCCACAACTCCTCCACCTCAGACTCGCTTACCAGCGAGGAGTTCTCCGCAGCTTCCGGCGCAGGTCACCACAAGGGTGCGCATCCTCCAGCCTCCCAAACACAAGGCAGCAGTCCTGCATCTCCAATAGCTCATGTGATGAGAGGACTGCCCAGTGCCCAGTGTTCTTTGTACACACCCCTTACTGAATGCTTGCTCTGCGGATCTTACGGCTGTGATAGCTTTCCCTGCTGCCCATATGCGATCTGCCCAAGCGGTGTCGAGGTTCACCGGGTCTTTTCTCAGGTTCGGTTCCGGCCCCATCTCTTTTCTCTCTTGGAGTTGACGCGATTTTGGTGCTTGTGCAGGCCGCAGGAGTTCTGGAAGCTCGCTGAGGCATTCTCCAGTGGACCTGGTGGCATCCCCCACCCTCAGCCAGGCCCCTGGTGAGCCCAACTCTGCCGGCTATGTGCTGACTGCCCGTCCCTCCCCTTACTGCTCAAAGAAGCCGCGAAACGATGCTCCCCTGCTGCATCCCAGCAACTGATGCATCACCTGATGTTGGACGAAAGAAATGCACTTCGTTGACCAGCAAATCAATTTTGAGACTCTGGATTTCAATGGGGCTCGAGCTAGGCATCTGCGGTCTACACATGCGGGAGAGCATACAACAGACTTCTTGTGGCATGCACTACATGAGTCCGCCCAATCTAGAGGAGTGCCTGTGAATTTGGGGCCATCATTGTTGTGGCCTGCCAAAATGCAAATCGAGCTGCAAATACAGGGCTGGGGAGCTCAAAACAAGAGCACTTTCAGAGATAGATGAAGCGTAGAGACCAAGAATCTCTCGTGCAGGAGCCTACGCTCACTGAGTTGACGGAGGCGCTCTACGTTACACTATACTTATGCATCATAAGAACCCTCTGTCTTGTATTCCCGCTCTTCTGTTACCAAGCCTGGTGCCACTTACGTGCAAACCACTAAAATTGAGAATATGCGGCCACAGGTTTGGATGCGGGGTCGGCTGCTACAACTCCGGTGCTGGAGGCGCTGCCGCCCAAGGAGTTGCGCAGACAGAGGGCCGCCGCCATTCATGCGCGACCCTCGCCATCATCCACCCTCAGGCCCTTCAGCATCGTCAAGGCACGTCCCCTGCCACACATATGGGCCCCCAGTCTTGCCTCCCCTTTTGCACTGCAACCGTGCAGGAATTGGAGCAGCATTGGTGCCGTGCTATCTGGCTCGCCCATGAGCGGTACAGCTTTGTGTGCTGGGCACCGAGCTGCAGATGACCATTGCCTTTACTCCAGCCTAAAGCCTCAATGCAGCCATACTTATGCCCAGTAACACCGCCCAGCAGCACACAAGGGCTCCATTCTGTCAAGGCGGTTTGTGCGCGGCTGACGGGAGTGTTGGTGTGACACATAGGGCACGGATGGAGCGATGACTCTGGCGCAGCTTAATTCGCGCATCCAGGCCATATCCACGTCAGACTCCCCTGTCATGTCTCCGACGGCTTCTTTTGGGCCGGGCTCCTCTGCGCAGAGCGAGGGCAGCCCCATGCTGCTGTCCCCCTCGCAGGTGCGCCATTGCTCCTCACACAATGACTGGTAGAAGGCCAATGCCTGTCGCGGGGTGCGACGCTGCAGTGTCTTCAGTTTGCCCAACCTAGGGGAGCACCTGAGAAAATGGGGCCAAAGAGATAAGGCCTGCGTACATCCACATCGAGCTGCAAAACAAGGGCTGGGGTGCTCGAAATAAAACAAATTTACCGATAGAAGAAGGGTAGTGACTAGGGATTCTTCAAGCAAGTGCCTCTGTGCGGACCCACTGTTGTTGTGTTTTGTGGTGCACCTCTAAGTCCCTCCTTGGCAGCTCATGATGCCGGCTTGCGGCCACTTCGACACTGCAGCGGCGGAGATTCCCATGTGGAAGCAAGCCACGAAGTCAATTTTGGTTCATCGCCACCGCCGCCTCCCATTGCAGAGAGCTCCACCAACTGTGGGCAGCCGCTGAGAAGTGCTGCTTTGTGTGCAGGGCACAGCCTCGGACAGTCCCTGTGCGCGCAACGTCACACCCGCCATCCGGCTGAAGGCCAACAGCTCTGTGGCGGGCAGTGGCATCACCATCAAGCAGATGCTCCACAAGGCCTGGCACCGCTGAAGGCAGCATGCACTGCCAACTCGGCACAGCATGCATGCGGAGACCAAGATTAGCAGCAGCAATGCGCGAGTAATCTTTTGCGCCGAGCCAGGTCAGTTATCATGGCATGCCGCTTAGATGGTAAGTGTATCAGCACTCCTCCGCCAGGCGATTATCACAATGGCGTCTGGCACAAGAAGCTCCCAAGGTGGTGCATGAGTCCCAGCTGGTAGTGAGGATGTGTGGCATGGCTTGCCGTGTCGGCTGCACAATTGGGGTGCAGAAAGACGGCTGAGTCACCCATGGGTGTGGAATGGGTTGTTTGAAGGAGTCCAGGGGAAGTGGCAGATGTGCATAATGAAGGATGTAGGTGGTGAGAAGTGGACCATTACTCATGGCCAGCTTTGGCAAGTGAGGGCAATAGATCAGCTGTAGAGCCCGCGGCGGGGAAGATGCGCATGCATGCAAGCAGTTTCTCGACAGGAGCAGACACTGCAGCACTTTGCCCATGCGCATCTGTGAGCCAGTCGAAAGGAGATTGTGGCGTGCTCCCTGATTAATAAAAAGTGCAGGCGCTTGCCTTGCCGATTGAGGCTGCTGTCCCATTGCCTGCAGGCTGTATTTCTGTATGAATGTTCTGGTGATCGGCATGGAGTACTCCAGCAAACTTATTGGGCCATGTTTGAGTGCGCCCACAAAAGACTGTATAGACCAACCAGAGCGATGACTACTGTATCAAACATGTGACAGAACTTGGTGACGATTCTAGAATGTATGATTGTGTCTGTAGTGGACAAATCCTGACTGCAAAATTGTGAGCGATTTTGCTTGTGGCTGAGGTGGCTGATGCAAGCACCGGTGTTTGGGTGTCTGGTGCTTGCATATTGGGAACAGCAAGTGCCCGCATAGGCTCCTGCCTTTTTTTATATACTGTCACTTTCACAGTGTCAAAGGTCGACTGACGGCATTAGTCTTGGTGTATCCGGTGTCTCTGCTCGATAGTATAATGGATGCTCAACAACATCCTCAGGTACCTGATGCCTATCAAACAAGATGGGCGAGATGACACGCCAGAAAGGATGAAGGACATATTTAATTGCACCAACCCGATTTATTTGCAATGCCATAGAGGAAATGGAACTGTGGTAGAAAGCTGAGAAGATAAAAATGGTGTTTAGAAATAGCGTGTTTGTGCAGCTCTGTAGGCCTAGGATTAGACTAGGCTTGAAGATATGTGACGGAATGGTATCATGATGTTAATCAGCATGCTCATGATCATGAAGTGGAACTTAATGTACAGCGCAGTCGATGGCGCAAGTGATAGCAAAGTGTAGGAGATCCTGAGTGATCAGCATCCACTTCAAGCAAGTTGCTGGCACTCTATGCCAATTTAAGCAAGAGGAATGCAGACATCAAGGCAGAACGAGCGCCAGGAGATAGTAGAAAGGGCTGCCTCGCAAGTGCCGATTAAAGATATCTATCGACTGACAATGGACCTTTTCCTTCTCCTGCGCCCAGCTTCCCAAATGTTATTGCATTGCCTCCTCGGGGATGCGGTGTGCAATTGGGTTCATGCCAATAGCGCCAAGTTGATGAGCACGACTGGAACCTGCCCAGTCTCAGTGAGAAGTAATGTAATCCTTTAATCAGATATTGGACAACAGAACTTGGATTATGGTGACTTCAACACCATCATGGATGTTGCTGATTTGATGGGTTCTGCAAGTGATGCACAAGCAATCCTGATCCAAGCGATATCCTGAACAGGTTCCCAACAAAGTGATCTCCTATGTTGCTGCATTCTATAGTCAATTGTGTACCACGACATGCAGCAGGGAGGGTCCAAAGAGAGCAACAGGCACAGCAGGGCTGCAGTCTTGGAATGTTTCCAGCAACAAGGGCCTCTGGACTGTTGCTACTCTCCAGCCCCACAGCATTTAAGTTGTCAACTCAGCCGGTCTCCAGTTGCCAAAGTTTGCACATGTGGCCTTGGGCCAACGAAAGAAGCTTCCTCAGGGCCTTCAGCTGATCTAGCTGGCCATTGCAGATGCATCGCCCCCAAAGATGCGCAGATTGTGGTCCGTGGAACCCACAAACAGATGGCGCGAGTCATGGCTCCACTTCACAGCCGACACCCCCTGGACACACACACTCAATTCAGCGCTCAGACAGTATAGACTGCAGTGCCAGGTGGCAAGCATGCAGCTTCCCTTTCCTAGCCAGACATTGCTCCCGCTCAGAGACCCAGTTGCCTCCCCGCTTTCCAGGGCCCCTACTATCTGCCTCAGACATTGGGCCATGCAGGAAGTTCTGGCAACTTGCCTGTCATGCACATCTGCAGGAACCCTGCTTGTTTCAAACACTCTCAAGTAAACGCACATTGGGGTACTCGGTATCGCTTTCGGCATAGATTTTTTCATTCCACTTGAGAGGGCCGTGCACAGAAATGCTGCAGCGCAGCGCACCTTGTTGCCGAGGGCGGCCGACAGTGAGAAGAGAGCGGCCCAGTCCTGCTTGACGCCGACGACGCGCGCGTCGCTGCCGCCAATCGCCAGGTTCTGCCCGCTGAAGTCGAAGCCGACGGCGAGCGGCGCGCCGGCGGCCGTGCCGGCCGGAGCCTCGAGCGTCTTGAAATTCTTGAGCTTGCGCAGGTCCCACACCTTGACGCCATCGTCGGCCGCGGTGGCCAGGTAGTAGCCGTTCTCGCTGAAGGACAGGCCCCGCACCGCTCCCTTGTGCCCGTCAAACCGCGCCACGGCCTGCACGCATCGCACTCACCATATATATTGCTTGAAATTTGCTGATGTCGCCTGGTCGTTCGTTCGGCCGTCTAGCGTTTTGTGTTGCAATGTTCTGTGACGTTCTTGCAAGTGACACGTTTTGCAGCCGCTTGCTGCCCTGGCTCTGCCTTGCGGACAGTGGTAAAGTCAGGGAAATGGCCCACGGAAACGTCTACCACTATGCTCTGTATGGGCGGGAAGCAGTGGCATGCTAATCTCTCAGTGTGCGTGCAGTCAAAGACAATATGGCAGTGTTTGTATGGTGTGCCCAGACCACGCTGGAATGGAGCTGCGCATGAAAGCAGTCAGAACTTCGACCAAGATGTGCGCTAGGGACAAAGACAGGCCCACAGCCATGCGCACCTTTGACTGGCGCGCCTCCCACATGCGGACCAGGGAGTTTGCTGTGCCTGTGCCAAGGATGAGGCCATCAGGATGGAACTCTGCGCTGGTGTAGCCCTCTCCGGCGCCCGCGGAAGGCACCTGCGCCCAGCCACAGGCAATCTCACACCCCTCCCTTCCTATCAGCAGATCTCTTTTGACATGCGGCAGCACAGCATTTCGAGTGGTGCCATGAGAGAGACAGTGCAAGAGCTGTGCTTTCACGACCAAAGGAAAGACAGCACTTGCTTTGTCTTCCCTTGATCATGGTACCACCCACTGCAAGAGAAAAGGAACCACAGGTGCCCAGATGGTAGCATATCAGTGAGGTGGGTACCTGAGTGAAGCAGGTGCCTGTCTCGATATCATAGAACGCCCATGTCGCGTCCAGGGAGGCGGTCACAAAGTAGGAGCCCGTGGCGTGCAGCGTGGCGGCTGTGACCTCATCACTGTGATCCTGCACACCAGCAACAAAACCTTCACATTGTGAAGTGTGCCCAACTCTCTCTCGCTTATTTTTCAGGCACCAGAAGCCAGCATGCCACGTAATTTGCATTCCTCTCGCTCTGCCCTACAGCTGGCAAAGCGAGCAACATGCACACCATGATGTTCCAAGAATCTATGGTCGCAATGCGGGCGCGTGTGAGAGGCGGACCGTGAGGACGTGGGCCGCTGAGTAGGAGCCGTCCTCGTTGGCGCGCCACATGCGCGCAGTGTGGTCGGCGGAGGCCGACACCAGGAGCGAGGAGTCCTTGAAGAACTTCACACCTGTCGCAAACATTGCTTCACCCTCAGCAACTGTCAGCATTTGCGGGCATGCAACAGGTACCCCAGCATGATAAAAGGAGCAAAGCAATGCTTGCATGAAGCGAGGCGCCTCACTGTCACTGCAGACCCAACATTGATATTTAAAACACTGATGCGGGTGAAGGATACGGGTGCATGCACCTCAATATACCATGTGTTTGGTAGAGAAAACAAACGAGGGCGCACTGTTGATCTTCTTGGTGTGGCCCGTGAGCGAGGCGCGGATGCGCGACGCCTCCCGGTCAAACAGCACCACCACTGAGTCAGCGCCTCCCGTCGCCAGAAGGTTCTCGTTGTCCTGAGCGACGTCAATGGACAGGATGCCTCCCTGCATGCACACTGGCTGCCTCAGCGCATGTCGCTTACCAAGTGCTATGATCTTTTCAGCGAGGACACAACCACACAAAAAGAAGAGGCCCAGTGCCATGCATCTGCACGGGACCTGAGGTTGACTCGAGCTCCCTGAGGGAATTTTCTATTCTAAATCACTCCCACGGGCATTTGAATGAACATTGGCCAGATGGATGCAGCGCACCTTGGTGCTCTTGTGCAGGGGGTGGCTGCTGATGAGGGAGAAGGCCTCGATGTCCTGGGGTGTGGCGAGGCTGGCAGGCATGATCCGCTTCTTACGCCCCTTGGACAGCGCTTTGCTGTGCTCCAGCATTTCGCTGGACACTTCTGCAGGGATGCCCGCCTTAGCCTGCCACCCAGTCACACAGCTCTCAGGACAGAGCATCGCTGATGAAAACTCCGATGATGCCCAAAAGGCCCATTTGCTGGCAGTAGCCTTCCCTAGTTGACAAGGGGTGACACTGTCACTACACTCCTGTCACCCTTTGCCATCCTTGCAAGTCTCTGGAAGAGCATTGGGGCACAGGATAAGGCACAGATGTCGACTCTGCAATGCAGGTCCATGCAAGACATATTTGGTGAGTGCGTGTGGTGTGTGGCGCACCCGCTTAGCAGGCTGCTCCTCTTCGCCCTCCACCTCGGCTGTGCGCTTGCCGTTCGCCAGATCCGAGCGCGCAACGGCGACCGCATTTTCCAGCTGCGATCGGGCCTCATCGCGCTCTCGCGTCAACCTGCGGCAGCACACCGCCCAGCACCCCTTCAGCCCTATTCCTCATATCCCCCAGCATTGGCATCTGTAGGTGTCGTCTTGAAACAGCTCGCAGGATTCTTCTAGGGCAGACAGGCCACCCCTGCAGCTGATGAGTACCCTGCTACATGCAGCGCAGATTGACAGACAAAGGTCTTCCAGGGAGGAGCGCTCTCTGCTCGACAAGGGTCCGACAGACAGATGAGAGGTGATTGTGTGCAGGGCAAAAGCGTCACTTGCAATGCACCGGGAAGCACACAGACCTTGCGATGACGCGGCAGGCAGCATCCTGTTGGTACAATGCATGCGACAGCTCCTGCCTGGACTGGATCAGGGCGATGCGTTGCTGGTGAGACTCCAGCATGAGCGCATCCCACTCCTGTTTTCCACATGAAATACTTAGTTGGAAAGTGAGCGCTTGAAAAAGTCATTTTTTGAAAATACATGCTGTTGTCAGAAAACACTGTGGATGTCTGCGCGGAGAAGGAAGCACATACATTGTGGAACAGGCCGAGCAAGCCTGGAATGCTGGTGGCTGCAGACGGCCTTGGCTTCACAGCCTTGTTTGTCTTCACGGGTAGCAAGTCTTCCAAAGAAGCAGGTTCGCCAGTGATGGGATCCTTGCCAGTTTCCTGCATGGTAGCATTTCTTCAACCACAATCCTGATTATCAGGGCAGACACAGGTTGACACAAATGAACTCCGGGTACAAGTGTGTGGTGAAGGCTCACCTGAACATGCTTCTCGATGAGACGCTTCTCAAAAAGTTGCCCATTACTTCTGTTGATCACAGGCTCCTCAGGCACTGTTCCAGAGACTGCAGAGCACAAGCACTGATCTGACAAGGTCGCAGCTTTGACGAAGGCGCGCACTTCATTAAGGTTGCAGCAAAAATGAGATTAGATCAGAACCATTGACAGTATGGCTTTCAACAGGAGAGGATGCGCCACAGAAATTCGATCATGGAAGGCAAAGTGCACTCACTAGAGCAAAACATAGCCCTGTCTCAGCTGGTACGGCCACCCCTTCGTGTTCAAGCGCTTATATTGAACAGCGATCCTTCCGCCCTGAATGTATGGGCTCTAAAAAAACCCTTCTGTCAATGAGTTCAGAGTGTACACTTTCCAAAGCAGATAGCGATATTTTAAGGTGGTGAGAACAGGCAACAGACTTCAACCAGCATTCCAAAGGGATGCTATGACGCTCGACGGGACGCAGGATATGGTGAATGCTGAACAAATGGGACGAAATGTTTGCAAGATGGATTCCAGTGTTTATGCCCTGCCCACTCTTCTAACCCACCTCTGAAGGCGGCTGCTACACATCAATGCAGGCAGTCTTGTAGCAAGATCAATTCATCGACTGGGCACGATGGTGAAGAAGCCAGCGACTGCAAAGCCGGCTGGCACCGTGCCAGAGTCCGTCCTCAAAAAGCGCAAGCGCGATGAGGACTGGGCTGCTAAGAAGGCTGCCACTGCTGGGGACGCCAAGAAGAAATCCAGGGATCAGCGCAAGGAGATCTTCAAGAGAGCAGAGAGCTACGTGAAGGAGTACAGGGATCAGGTGCATAGCGTGCAAACTCGAGCATTCGCAGAAGTTTATGCTGTGTTAAGAACGTTCTCGTTCTGCAAGCATTTATTGCTTTTGCTGTTGCAAGGGAAGCCTCCGTTGTTCTTTGTTGTGACTATTAAAGGCAGTGTTGTTCCAAGCTAAGTACTGTTGTCCTCTTTTTTTGTGTTCAGCAGATGAGGAAGCTTGTCCAGTGTCTGACTATGGGTTTCAATTTTGGAGATTGCATCGTCATATGCTCACCAGTGCACCGCTAACGCTTTGCTTTGTGCATCAGGAGAAGGACCTGATCAGGCTGAAGAGGGAGGCCAAGTCAAACGGTGGCTTCTACGTTGAGCCAGAGGCCAAGGTGGCTTTTGTTGTGCGCATCCGCGGTATCAACGACATGCACCCAAAGACCAGGAAGATCTTGCAGCTCCTGCGTCTCCGTCAGATCCACAACGGCATTTTTATCAGGGTGAGTCTTGAGGCTGATTTGCATTGCGCTTTCTCTGGTCGCTGCACATAAAAATACTAGTCAGCAATGGTGCAGTGATGTGCATCAGGAGGCTTTATGAAGCTGAAGCAAATGCGTTGCGGTGTGCAGATGAACAAGGCCACCATCAACATGCTGAGGAGGGTGGAGCCCTACATCACATGGGGTTACCCCAACCTGAAGACTGTGAAGGAGCTGATTTACAAGCGCGGATACGGAAAGGTGTGGCGCGCCTTCTTGTGCTTGAGAGCGCTTGCGGCAGAGATCATGTCATGCTGACTGCTTTTCAGCAGTACTATTGTCCTGGAGGCTCTTGCCTTGGGAAAATAGGTTATGTAGCAGTTTGGGCTTGTAGCAGTTTGGGCTCCTCAATTGAATCCTGATTTCTGATCCCTCTTGCTGTGCTGCTGCAGGTCAACAAGTCCCGCATCCCCTTGACAGACAACTCCATCATTGAGCAGGTGGGCCTCCTGAATGTCTGCAACGATGTTTCTGCAGCAGCCTTATTGCTGTATGAGCCTGACACTGTTTGTGTACTACTTCCTGTGTCTTCTCTTCTGCTCCTTCTTTGCAAAACCAATTCCCACAGGAGTGCACCTGCAGCATGCACATGAGGCTCGCCTGTTGATGGCATCACTTGAGGGCATATCTGCAGCCATATGCTGTCCGCTGCAAGCGCTGACGTGGTGGTTCTGTGTCATTCGCAGGTGCTGGGCAAGCACAACATCATCTGCATCGAGGACCTGATCCACGAGATCTACACATCTGGCCCCGCCTTCAAGCAGGCCTCCAACTTCCTGTGGCCCTTCAAGCTGTCCTCCGCGCGCGGCGGCCTCGCCAAGAAGCGCCTGCACTACATCGAGGGCGGCCAGCACGGCAACCGTGAGGACTACATCAACAACCTCGTCCGCGTCATGAACTGAGCAGCTGCACTGCTCCGCGGGCGCTGCCTTACCGGGCAATCTGTCTTGTAGGCGTGGGTTGTTATTAACTGAGCCAGCGAGTCAGTGTTTGTCACACTGGCACCGTGCCGAAGGTTCTGGAGTGCACGGCATCGGCTAGACACATGCAAATGGAAGTGCACATGCTCTGAGCAGAGTCTAGAAGCATAACCACTGGTAGCAGCTGCCCTGCGTGATTGGGCGCTGTTCATGTAACATAGTTTTTCGTATGGGGCATCATTGCCGGATTCTGTTAAATCATTCATATTGGCTCTAATTCAGGTCAGGTGCCACTAAGTGATCATCATGCACGCATGCGGCCATGCGCATGCCGTGTCAACGAAGACAAACTGCACAATGAGAGTTTTTTCCTCCTCTGACGTGCAATCCTTTATCCTCCTCCTTTAAGTCTTCATGAAGAGATGAGGGGGAAATGGTGCTGCTGGTACCAGCAAAGAAACCAGCCCCCGAAGCCCCACGTAAATGGGTCAGAATTACAACAGATGACAAAGGCCCTCCAGCTTCCTCAGACGTGAGCACTGGGCGAACCAGATTCACCTGGCAGTCGGATCGTAATTACTTCCTTATCAAGAAACCTCGATACTTATGTCTTGAATTGTCTCGTCCTTGCTGGCAGAATGGACGCAACTAGTGGTCCGGCAACCCTGGGCAATTTCATCGCCACAAGGCTGGTGGAAGTAGGATGCACAGACTTCTTCTGTGTTCCAGGAGACTACAACATGAGCTTACTTGATCAGCTCAACGCGGAACCAGGACTGAACATGATCCATTGTTGCAACGAGCTGAACGCAGGTGAGAGGATGAAGCCTATTACTACCCTGTGAATGCGCAATCTCTCTCCTCATTCTGGCAGATGCATGCATGAAATTATTCGAAGTTAGGTTTCGGATTATAGCACTCTTCACGACCGCGTTCGGCCTACTAAATCTCTCGGCGCCAGCCGATGCCGGTACACGGCATGTCCAATATTAGGCCTAAGAGATTCTTGATGGTGCCTCTTCCGTGACGCATAGATCCATTAATGAGACACCTTTCTTGCATTTTTATGCCAGATGTTTATATCATGTCAGCAAATTTTATCGATCAGCACTTTGCATTGATTCCTAGGTGGTTTCACACAACCTGTGAGAGAACAGTATTTGCGTGCAGGGTATGCGGCAGATGGATATGCACGTGCAAAAGGCGTGGGGTGTGTCGTGGTGACCTTCACAGTGGGAGGCCTCAGCGTTATCAATGCAGTGGCGGGTGCAATGAGCGAGCACCTGCCGCTCATCTGCATCACCGGCTGCCCCAACAGCAACGACTTTGGGGGCGACAAGATCCTGCACCACACCATTGGCGAGGTGGACTTCAGCCAGGAGCTGAGGTAGGCAGTGCCTCAGAAGACCACATGGCACCACTGAAGCCGCATGCGACACCGCATCATGTGTCATTTACTTACGCGGAATAACATATGAAGCCGCGTTGACAAGCCAAACAGTGTTGCAGTGCCACCATACAGCCCTTCAGGCACACTGTGTCATGGCCCGGAAGCGAGGGCACGCATGCATGCGCACTGTGCCACATCTGTGATGCTGCCCTGGGGTTCTGTTCTGCAGGTGTTTCAAGGAGGTGACCTGTGCGCAAGTGACAATCCGGCATGCCAAGACGGCCAATGAGCAGGTGGACTTTGCCATCTCAGAGGCTCTGCTGCGGAAGAAGCCAGTGCTTATCCAGGTAAGGCCTGACTGCTAGATTCAGGTTGGCAATCCGATCAATGGGCTGTTCATGCGTTGCATTGCCATGCAAGATCCTTCGGCCAAAGGGCTGTGGGTTTAATGGCTTTAAGCTGCAATACTCAAGACTCATGTGGCTTTCTCCCCAAGCATACTGAAAAGCTCTTCATGTTGAAGCTTGACCCTGCATCAGGACATCATGTCACAGATCAAGACACAGTGTCTAACAGAACATGCTGTGTATGTACTCGCTGCCATGTGGCGTGCAGGTGTGCAGCAACATGGCGACAGAGAAGTCCCCCCTGTTTTCTGCGCAGCCGGTCCCGTACTCCCTCAGTCCCCACGTCACCAACTCCAGCAGCCTGGAGGCCGCCGTAGAGGCCGCAGCTGACTTCCTGAACAAGGTAAGCTGCCTTCCTATGCACCGGTACACCCTTGCACATTGGGTATGATGGGGATGCGGCGTTGTTGAGGGAGATTGCGTTTGGTGCGTGTGCCTCTCTGGGGACCAAGTACAGTGGGCGTACAGCGTGGCAACGTGTGATGAGATCCAGTTTGCTCGGAAGAGAGGACAATGCAGGACAGCTTGGCGTGGTGAGAACAATTGTGCTGTGTTTCCAGGCATCCAAGGCAGTCATTGTGGTGGGGCCGCAAGCAAAGCCATACAGGGCCATCGAGGCAACCGTGAAGCTTGCAAAGGCGTCGCAGTATGCCACAGCTGTTCTCCCCAATGCCAAGGCATGCGCTCTACACCCCTTCCCTACAGTCCCTGAAAGAGCTCTGCAGTATCCATGCCTGCAATAGTGGTCAGAATGATGGAGAGACAAAGAGATGCAGCATCGCATGTCATGTTGAAATCCTTGGCTGTGCATCCTGATATGTGTGGTGGTATCCTCTCGTGTGTGCCCATCATTTTGACCTCTGCACTTAGCAGCAGATCAAGGAAATCAAGGAAAGCATGCACGTGCTTAGGTATGTCATGCATGAACAATTTGACCTTCTGAAGGTCCCAAGCTGTACTGCAGGGGCTGTTCCCAGAGACTGATCCCCTCTTTGTGGGCACCTACTGGGGGCAAGTCAGCAGCCCCTACACTGCAGAGGTGATAGATTCTGCCGCTGCAAACCTGATGGTCGGCCCGCTCTTCAATGACTACAACACAGTCGCCTTCTCTGCCCTCATCAGCGAAGGTGCAACCCCCTCGCATCATCGCACCCACTTGTGCCGCTGCAATTCTCACCACACAATGTGGTCGCCTGCATCTCGCCTGCATGCATGCTCACAACTGTGAACCGCTCCTCAAAGTTGTGCGCCGGCGTTTGGATGTCAATTAGGCTGCCACTTGCATGCAGCAGTTAATTCATGCTGTCACTGCACATTTTCCGTTTCTTTATGACATGATACTGTCATAACAAGCAACGCCGGATCCGTTGCAGCAATGAACCACAAAGTTTCACATGAGCGATTGGTGGGTGAATGTGTGTGATTTACCCCATCTGCATAAAGATTGACATGAGCGATGGGTGGGTGAGTGTGTGTGATTAATCCCATGCAGAGAAGATGGTCAAGGTGGACCCCTTCCGGGTGACTGTGGCGGGAAAGAAAGAGTTTGGCTGCGTCAACATGGGGGACTTCCTGGACGCACTGCGCGAAAAGCTGCAGCCCAACCCCACGGTCATCGACAACTACCGCCGCATGTTCATACCCGAGGCTGAGCCCCTCACTAAGGGACCAGAGGAGCCCATCAAGGCAGCCGTGCTCTACCACAATGTGCAGGTGAGGCTCGAAACAGGAGCATCTGCACTCCTGGGTGCACTGTGGTGTCCAGTCAATCAACAGCTCTCTTGCTGATTGGGCAAGCTTTGAGGCGATGCCTTCCGAGCATGCAGCAAAGAAGCTGAACCACTTGTGTGCAGAGAGAGTTATAGAATGGCTATGCAAAAGGCAGGGAACCGTGATGTCGAATTCTGCTCCGCCGCGGTAATGCGGATGCGGATTTATCCCCTGCAGATCAAGCCAAAGAGCTGCATGCACTCCTTGGGCGCAGGCTGTAACTGCACTGCAGATGTCGGAGGCATGTCATGTGGCGCCTGTTCTGCTACGCCTTTGCTTCACTGGACGTCTGGTGTGCAGGAATTCCTGTCATCGGAGCACGTGGTGATGGCAGACACGGGAGACTGCATCTTCTGGACGCAGCGGCTGAGACTCCCATATGGCGCTGGGTGTGCCTCACTGTCCCATGTCTCCATGAACCCATTGCAAACAGCTATTTTGTTACGCATGACCAGAGTCTGCACATGACCGTCGGTCACTCCGAATGGAGATGCAAACATGAAGGCCAAGCGAGCGCCAGAGATGAGAGAAGCCTCTCAGGAAAGCGGTGCTCAGTGAATTTTATGCAGCAATCACAAAATGAATCCCCAGGAATACTTGAAAGCACATTGCGAACATGCATGCAGTGTTTCCCTAGATGTATGCTGCGCCTGCTCCTGTTCTATGTCTTAGCGCTGCATGTTGTCTGGGCGTAGGTATGAGTCACAGATGCAGTACGGTTCCATCGGGTGGTCTGTGGGCGCTTCGCTGGGCTTCTCAGTTGGCGCACGCTCCAAGGAGAAGCGCCTGATCACCTTTGTGGGAGACGGCTGCTTCCAGATCGGTGCACAGGTGCGGGGTCCTGCTCAAGGTCCGATAAAAGCTCTTCTACATGCGATGGAAGCTGCTGATTCCTTGCAATATCAGGAGGCTCGTGCATCCACTTTACATGCAAGCACCTTGTGGCCTGATCAGGATTGCAGCATTGGTAGCTGCACACAGTGCTTCATGCAATTGAAAGACGAGTAGTACTGGTGTGATTTGCGGCAATGGTAGTCATGCGCCTCTCTGCCATGATTTGCTGCAGGATGTGTCCACGATGATCAGGGTGGGGGTGAATCCGGTCATCTTCCTGCTGAACAACAGCAGCTATGCGATTGAGGAGATGATCCACCCGGGCCCCTATAACAAGCTGTCTGACTGGGACTACACTGCCCTTGTTACTGCCATGAAGGCAGGCTCCGACAACCTCTTCACAGCCAAGGCAAGCACACAGTTGCCTTCCTGGCGGCATCATGCATGTCAGCATCCTTTCACAAACTCTGTTTAATGTGGACTGCTCAATCTAGTGTGGCACACAAAACGTCCTGCAGAATTTGACCTGCCTGCCACTGATGCAATTTGTGTCAGCCCTGGTACTGCTCGCCCTGGTCTGCCAAACAGGAAAAGACATCTAGATGGGGGACTAGGTGTCAAGAGACCCTGCATTGAGAATGGCCCATGGATTTGTGATTGTTGCCGCTCGCGGTATCGGTTACTTTGGTTGTTTATCTGTGCTAGTGCCTTCCATTATACTAGCGCGGTGTCAGGGCTTGGCTATTGAGGATGCAGTGATTCAGAGAGAGGAATGCAGACATACAGGCAGAGCGAGCGCCAGCGATGCGAGAGAGGGCATATGGTGTACCATGCCGGTTGCATGTGGGGTGTTTGATTGAAGAGTACCTTCCCACAATAGCAGCGTTCGGGCAGGCTTGGACACTGAGATCTGGAGTGTTTTGTGCAGGTGAGGACAGAGGAGGAGCTGAAGGCGACACTGGCGGCAGTGGAGGGCGAGCACAAGGAGAAGCTGTGCTTCATAGAGGTGAAGCTGCACCCGCAGGACTGCAGCCCCCAGCTGCTGGAATGGGGCGCTCGCATCGCCATGTACAACAGCCGCCCGCCCCAGATCCACTAGCTTGGTGGCCAATCGGCTTCAAGTCAATTTGCCTTTGTGATCACTTGGCGTGATGGAACATGTTAATAACGCCCCTGAGAGATGGGATGATTTGCAACAAACCCATCAGGGCCGATTGGCCTCGCGGCCTCACTTGCGGCCCAAGATTACCGCATCTCTACCACGATTCCCCTGGGATTATGGGAAATAGGATGATGATTGCAAAATGTTTACTGAAGGCAACGCAGAAATCGAGTTTGAGTCAGAGAAGAGATTTTGTTGGCACAATTACACAAAGGATGAAGATTCAAGTGAGTCAATTGGCCATGCGGCCACTGGGGCTGCCCCTTGTCTCTGTTCATTTGGCACATGCATGGATTGTTTCAACCTGCAGGTCTTTGAGCGTTGTTAGTTGGTCAGGCAGCCAGACTTTGTCTTGGTCAACTGGAGAGGTAGCTGGACCGGATTATTGCTATTGGCTATTGCAATAGGCTATTGCTATGCATCCGTGTAGCAAGGTCGTCCTTTCAATTTGAACGTTTCAACGGTGCGCATAGTCAGGGTGAAGGCATTGCTTCCTCTTTATGACACTTGTGGCAGTCATGAGATTGTCTTCATATACATGATGCTCTGCTAGCGAACAGCAGATTGTTCTTGAAGGCCCAAAGATTGCTAGAATTTAGCAGAGCTGATGGGCATTGCCATTGAGAGAGTGTTGAGGACTGCCAGTATACGATAGTTCGCTATGCGCGTGCTGTGGAGTCCACCTGTGTGGACGTCTAAAAGATCTTTTTTAGACATCATGTATGGCCACGTTTGCGTGCACGTGTTGAACAAAACTTCGAGCGACACTACTAGTGACTGTCTCCAGCTCCTCTTTTCATCATACATGTGATTGAAGCCTGATAATGGCATGGAACGTTTCTTTCCATGCTGACTTTGATGGCGATGCCAGCACCATGCATGAGCACATCATGTATGATACATGCAAGTTATAATGGCCACAGGCAGTAGACCTCTGCATTTCATCCCCAATGCTGCAATGAGCAAGCTGTCTTTAGAGGAATTAAGCTGCAGACTGCAATATTGAGGTTGAAACTATTTTTTCTGCAGTATGTGAACAGAAGTGCGAAGCGTGGGAGATCCAGCACTGAGCTCGGCAGAATGAGTGTTTTTTGGATAATGGGAAGTGAATGAAGAGAAGGAAGCTTGTTTCCAGAGGATGGTGGTGTTAAAATAACACCGGTTTGTTTTTTGGGGTGCGCTGGACAGATCTAAGCACGCTCGCCACGGATGCGGCGGGCCAGCTGGATGTCCTTGGGCATGATGGTCACGCGCTTGGCGTGGATGGCGGCCAGGTTGGTGTCCTCGAACAGGCCCACCAGGTAGGCCTCAGCAGCCTCCTGCAGGGCCAGCACTGCGCTGCTCTGGAAGCGCAGGTCGGTCTTGAAATCCTGGGCGATCTCACGCACCAGGCGCTGGAAGGGCAGCTTGCGGATCAGCAGCTCCGTGCTCTTCTGGTACTTGCGGATCTCACGCAGAGCCACGGTTCCAGGGCGGTATCTGCAGGCCAGCAACAGAGATGATCAGACTCACAGCCATTTGTGATTGAACCGTAGAAAACGGCATGATTGTAGCCAATTTGACATTGAACATCAATAATTAACGCTGCTGTTATGTCCCAGACAACACTAAAATATGTGGCATAAATGGCGAATAGTGGCAGTAATACGAAACGCATCCCTAACAACAGAACTGCTACATACATTGCCTGCCAGTCAAACAGGCTGCAGCACCCATCAAGTATTAAAGGGAAAGTTCGTTGCACCCTTCACACACCTGTGGGGCTTCTTGACACCTCCGGTGGCGGGTGCGGACTTGCGAGCGGCCTTGGTGGCCAGCTGCTTGCGGGGCGCCTTGCCGCCGGTGGACTTGCGGGCTGTCTGCTTGGTGCGAGCCATTGCGTCTGTCTGTGGATGTCTAGAAATGCAAAGAAGTGGTGGACGCAGGAATGTTTTGCAGGAGAAGCAGAATTGTGCAGGCTTGAGCAAAGGGGAGGTGATGAGGAAACGGGTGCCTCCTGGGGTGCAGGTCAAAGCCAAAGTCTCAATGTAAAATCAACATCTCCCCATTCTGAGACATTAGTCACCACAATACTGCACTCTCATTGGTTGCAGCAGCTTGCAGCCAATCAGCAGCCAGGAGTGTTGGGTGCAGAACACCAGTTTTGAAACAAAGTGTGCCAGCCCAGTGCGCTTTAAAACGATTCCAACTCTGCCAATTTCATCAAAATCTTCCATCTCCACAAATCTCTTCAGCAACTTCCAAGCACTCAACAAAGCAAGCAATAATGTCTGGACGCGGCAAGGGAGGAAAGGGCCTCGGAAAGGGCGGTGCCAAGCGCCACCGCAAGGTCCTCCGTGACAACATCCAGGGTGAGCACTGCCTTCTGCCTGCCTCTACGACTGTGTGCTTGCTTACTATGGATGCTCAAATGCCATGAGCAATTGCCTGTGCCATTTCTGTTTTGGTTGCTTGATACATCTGACCAGAATTGATAACTGCTTCTGTTGCTTTATAAGAATTGTGGAAAATCCCCTTCTATATGCGTGATTATCTGAATCCTATTATAACTGCTTCCCAGGTATTACCAAGCCCGCCATCAGGCGTCTGGCTCGCCGTGGTGGTGTCAAGCGCATCAGTGGGCTCATCTACGAGGAGACCCGGGGCGTGCTCAAGGTGTTCCTTGAGAACGTGATCCGTGACGCCGTGACCTACACCGAGCACGCCCGCCGCAAGACCGTGACCGCCTTCGACGTGGTCTACGCCCTCAAGCGCCAGGGACGCACCCTGTACGGCTTCGGCGGTTAGACAGCTGCTGCAGCTGCCTGCCTCCAAACAAAAACCAAACCGGTGTTATTTTAACACCACCATATGTTGGAAAAGCTCTGCTGATTGCACTTCTTTTATCTTCCTGATGCCCTGCTTTTGATCCTGTATCAGGAAATTGCTTTTTTCAATGTGTGAGGAATGAATTTGCAGGGTGTGAAGCAGCTCATGTGGTTCTCCTTATCTATAATTGCTGCTTTTGTATTTTGTTAAAACGAAAGCACCAGATCAGAGTGTGCAGGCCTGCACTATGGAGATTGGAGTGGTGTCCAGGTATGGCTGGCCACCATGGGGATCAGCGCTGTCCTGGTCAGGTGAGATTTAGTCAGCCCAATCAAATATTGTACAGTTTGTGGGGTTAAGCAAAAAGTGTAGCATCATCTTAGGCAGAATGCTGCATCTGGTCTACATCTGAATGAGCAGTGACAGCCTGTCCAAGTCTTCAAATGGCACTGCCGTTGTCTGAGGACTTCTCTGCAGCTCCCACTGACGGATCGGGGGGTACCCGATTCTGCATTGGACATGTCTCATGTACAGCTGTAATATGTCAATGCAGTCGCGTGGCAGCTGATTGGTTGTCTCCTGTGAAGCTGCCAGCTCCCGACGCACAGCACACAAGATTTCATTGCAAGGTGCTAAGATCTGCAATGGGATCTCTGTAACAATTTACACATTGCAGTAAAGGCAGGAAGAGTCTCTGGTTGGCCAGTCGCACTCGCTGAAGGACACTCCTGCTGTGTATAGCCAGATAGGTCTAAGCCTGTAGCTGCAATGTGGGGCATAGCTCCCCATGAGAAATATCTGTTGAACGACTGCCAGGCGCCTGGCAGACAGCCGGCTGGCACAGTAGTGCCTGATATTTCAGATCGCCGTCTTCCAGCAGTGAGCTAAAATCCAGCACCCTGATGTTTCAATCAACACTCAGCTTGAACGGAGGATCTGTTCATCATTACACGCGTGGAATCATTGCACAGCTGACAATGCAGGTAAAGTGGTTTTTAAAGACGTTTGGATGGGCAGTAACTTACTTGGAATCACATGAATTAGAATTATCATTTTGACTCTGAATTGCAGTCACCAAACATTGCACTCAGCTGAGCTTGGGTAATATTAAGTGCAGATCCTATGAACCGTTCTGATCAGTATTTACCCCTCGCGGGGCATTCGCACTGCGGAGCAGAGAAGGCTCTCAGAGGCTGCTGTCCTTTGAGGGCATCTATGAGCACTGCTGTGACAGATCCATCTTGACAAACCATGTCAGGAAAATGCCAGGTGTTGGACGACAGGCTAGGTGCGTTCCAGCAGCACTTTTCAAGATTTCTCCCAGAATCCACTGTCTCTGCATTTTCTCCACCAGTCATACTCGAGACCAGTTTCATATGCATCAAGATCAGCTTTCACACAATCATTCCAAGATTTCGCTGGTCTCCCAGCAAATCCCCCACCACTGAAATGCCTCTCTAATATACACCACCAGCAGCATCAATTTATGCGCTGCACTGGTTTCAATGCGTTCTGATCAGAATAAAGGCCTGTGTTACCAGAGCTGTGACTGTCTGGAACCTTCACAGCTGAAATTTGGCACCCAATCCACAGTAAAGCATTATCTCAGATGCGCTGCGATGGCAACATGCCAGGCTGTGCATGGACAGGACGATTGTTGCTGCAGCAGCCTCAAGGGGTTTGCACTGCACTAGTACTTGAACAAACGTTAGAATGTGAAATGCATGTCAGATCTGCACGATGTCTGAAGCTTATTATGATAGAATTGCAATATTGGTAGCGCTAGTGGATGAAGCTTTCCACATGCTGAGTGCCCTTGCAAGATGTGTGGCAGGCGCTGCAAGAGAAAAATTTCCATTGAGTGGTGGTGTTAAAATAACACCGGTTTGTTTTTGCGCTGCTATGTGGAGAGCAGGCAGCTTAGGCGGAGGTGAATTTGGTCACAGCCTTGGTGCCCTCAGACACGGCGTGCTTGGCCAGCTCGCCGGGCAGGATGAGGCGCACAGCGGTCTGGATCTCGCGAGAGGTCACTGTGGGCTTCTTGTTGTAGCGGGCCAGCTGGGCGGTCTCAGTGGCAATCTTCTCGAAGATGTCCGTGATGAAAGAGTTAAGGATTGAGATGGCCCTGGAGGAGATACCAGTGTCCGGGTGGACCTACAGGACAACAGATACACGCAGTCAGCTATCAAGTACTTGATGCAGTCAGACCTGTGATGCTGTCAAAGTGCCATACTTCTTGACCACTTTGCATTGTGCGCAGGCAACAATACAAAATTCTAATAATAAGCAATGACACGTTGTGATTCTCGCAGCAGCGATATGGGAGCACTGGGTGGCCTTTGGGATGCTGTGGTTAACAATCAACGATGTGTCAGGTGCATGCTCAAAGACAGCGAGCAACCAGATAGATTTTTCGCAGCACAAGACGCTGGCTCACCTGCTTCAGGACCTTGTAGATGTAGATCTTGAAGGACTCGACCTTGGCCTTGCTCTTCTTCTTGCCACCGGTCTTGGCGGTCTTGGCGACCTTCTTGGCGGGCTTCTTCTCTGCCTTGGGAGCCATGGCTACTTAGCTGGGTTGCTGTAAGAGGAACGAGGAGCTTTGCGGATGATTTTACGAGGAGCTGAAATCGTTTTGGAAATTCTTGGGCAAAACAGGAGGATGAAGTATTCCGGGTGGATGCGCGGGCCAATCAAAACGCAGCATTCCTCGTGCCAAACTTGTCTTCTGTGGTCCTCGAATACTGCTCGCTGATTGGCCGGTCACGTAGCAGAAACCTCAAAGCTTGTTGCTCACATAATTTTCAGTGAACGCTTCAGCTTTCAGAGATCAATCCGCACCTTCCCAACTCTTTCAAGTCCTCCAAACTCCCCAACAAGCTTGCAATCATGTCTGGACGCGGCAAGGGAAAGACAGCCAAGAAGTCGGTGTCCAAGAGCACCAAGGCCGGCCTGCAGTTCCCCGTGGGTCGTATCGCCCGCTACCTCAAAAAGGGCAAGGTGAGAACCGCTTCTATCGTTGTTGTCAGGCTAAGCTAGAGGTGTTTCTTTCTGCCTCTCGAAGGTTCCCATCTGGTGTTAAATCGAGGTGTGCAGCACTTGTACTTGTTCTCGGTGTCGTAGAGGCTTCTGGCGTGCATATTCTTTGTTAAATTTGTGGTTGCCGTGCTGATTGTGTTGGCATAGAGTCAGTCAAAGAGCCTTGGCCTATTATGGTGTTGAACTGAACTGTGCCACAATCAAACTGAATAAAAGCAGTAACTGATACTGTTCCTGTGCTGTTATCCTGCAGTACGCTAGCCGTGTGGGTGCTGGTGCCCCCGTATACCTGGCCGCTGTGCTGGAGTACCTGGCAGCTGAGATCCTGGAGCTGGCAGGCAACGCTGCCCGCGACAACAAGAAGACCCGCATCATCCCCCGCCACATCCAGCTGGCTGTGCGCAACGATGAGGAGCTGAGCAAGCTGCTGAGCGGTGTCACCATCGCCTCCGGCGGTGTCCTGCCCAACATCCACTCTGTGCTGCTGCCCAAGAAGACCGCCAAGAAGGAGTAGACTGGCCCCAGGCGCCACCCAAAAAACAAACCGGTGTTATTTTAACACCACCAACCCTTGGAATCTAGCAGTGCTTGAAGCATACTGATCAGCAGCAGAGATTGCATGCAGCCTCAAGTACTCTAAATTGCTACGATTTGTGCAAACCGTGACACATGCATCCAGCATGATGACTCATCGAATCGGATCATGCTGGCCTGCCGGAGCCTGCAAGGTTTCAACAAATGTACTACTGCGTGGGGTGTATTACAGAAGTAGTAATGCATTGCAGAGAGTTCAACAGTTGTGGTGACTGCGTGCGAGACGCACAAGGTTTCTAGCTTCATCAGAATGCAATTTGTCGCACAGTGACTGCCAGCCTGAACGTTGCAAGGAAATACAAAGAAGTGCCTGTGCACGCCTGCGCCGTCCTTTTGCGCATGCGTACAGTCACTATGGGAGTAGTACTGCCAGTGCGCACTCACATCTTTGGCTGGCTAGTGACTGTGACGGCTCTGAGTCAGCCTAGGACAAGTATGGATCCACTATGAAAACCTTAGCACATTCGCAGCCCATACATCCCACATGCACTGTATCACGCAGCTGCAGCGGTGCTACCTGCTGTGGTCAAACTGTTGCAACTTGCAGTCGGCCACTTGGGTTTCAAGTTTGCGGCTTGAGCTTGCCTGCCGTGCGCGCTGCTGTGGCTGCGGGTTGGGTTGGTGAAGGCTCACCATGTTGCACAGGTTTCCTATAAGGGACACTATTTAGTGATCTGTGGGGGACCCCTAAGGTGCATGGAACCAGCTTTCTAATCTCACACAGCTCTGAAAAATGTCAACTGGGCCCTCCAGCTGCACTGCTGTCCCCCATTGGCCTTGCCGGTCCCCTCGGTTATTTCGTAATTAGATCATCGAGAAGTCTTCTCGAGAAACGTAGCCACGACAGAAGAGCACAAACTCTCCATATTTTACGGCAATGTTTCCAGTGCGTCCACTCACTGCATCAACCAATCTTTGTAGTTCAGTGCAGCCGCGTGTTTCCCAGGCTTTGCCCAAATCGGCCGATCGCATTGTCAGATCACTTGGCCCTGCAGGAGTCGCAGCGTCCAGACGATTATCAGGCAGCATTGGCTCCCGTGGAGGATTGAAGGCAGGATCATTTGTGACTCTGATTTGTGCAGCTGGTATCGTCCCTGCAAGAGCGTTTGCCGCAAGTATGTCTGAGGCAAAAACAGCCACGTTCGCAGCGGTATGGGCTACTTTCCTTCCTTTGTGCGACAATTGATCAATTGATTACTCTTTGATGTTCAAAAAGGCTTGCTTCTATTGTCACGAAGTTCATCCTTGTCCCTTGCTTGTTGTACAAAGGCTGATCTGCTCCTGAGAAGGTGCACTTATTTTCTAGCAGACTATCGATTTAGCGGTGACACTCTGAAAACTACGCATACAAGGCGATCTGACAGTGTGCGGCTGATTGCCGTTGCACAGGGCTGCTTCTGGGGTGTGGAGCACTATTTCAACAAACACTTCAAGGGGGCAATCCTCAAGAGTGAGGTGGGCTACACAGGCGGGGAGACCAAGGATCCAAATTACAGACAGGTATGTCCCAAATGCAGAACACGAAAAGCCACTATGCTGTTCCCAACTGTGCCTATGCCCGACTGGCAATTGGACACAAATGCTTGCTGTGAGGCAAAGGAAGGTCCTTTGCTGTGAATGTATCTTTACCAAGCTTACAGGCATGTCTGACATCTTGGTGATTCTGATGCAGGTCTGCTCAGGAGCCACTGGGCATGCAGAAGCTGTACAGTTTGAGTATGACCCTTCCAAGGCAAAATATGAAGACCTGGTGAGCTCTCCCCCAATTCCTTATCTCCTCATGTATTCCTCCATGCAACCATCGTGTCTCAGGAACTGGCAAGGCTTGCTTCTGGCAAAGCAATTCCCCCAGTATGTGTTTGCATCCTTTCGTCCAGGACTGTCATCAGGCATCCCTGCCTGTGTCCATCTTGCAATGTAGAGATCATCTATGGCTCAGGATCCAGAGGGACATGTAATATGGGTGTTCCCTTCAAGATTCTCAGGGATCTCCTCTAGAAGAGGCCACAGGCAGGACATAAGTGGACTCCACACCAGTTGCAACACATACAAGGCGCGTTTCAGATGGATGACTTTCAAATCAAAATTGTGTTTGTACAGGTGGAATACTTTTACCGCATCCACGACCCGACCACCAAGAACCGGCAGGGCAACGATGCAGGCACGCAGTACCGGAGCGCCATCTACTACGAAGACGACGAGCAGAAGAGGATTGCCGAGGTATGCCCTGCAGCAGCTAGATGTGTCTCCATTGATCCCAAGGCAACACGTGTCTTTGGGGTGGGGTCATTTCTCGCATGAGTGACTCTGGCAGGGATACAGAGACTTGATTGCTTTGGTCTTAGGGGCAATCAGTCACTGTGACACAAAAAGACAGAAGTTGGGCAGGCATCCAATGTGCACCAGAGGGGGAATGATAAATCTCCCACTGAGAATTTTCTTTCTGGATGACGTGGTCACGGCGACACAGTGAGAGGGCTGTCAGCTGACAGCAGATCCTCTTGCTATCTTGGAGAGCAGCTCTATCTGCATGTGATCTATTAATTGCTGTCTTTAGGGCTTCTTTTGGAGGATCTGGTGACAGGACCCAAGATCAAATTTTTCTTGTAAGTAATTGCTGCCATTGCTGGGGAAGCAGCAACGCGCAGCCTCTGAGAGAGAGTTAATCAAGGTATTCTGAGTTTGATTATAGTGTCCTGCTCCCATCAGCATGGGCATGAGGTGCTGTTGTTTATATGCCTGCCTGTGTGCAGGAGGTGACGGCGCAGCTGCAGAAGACGAAGATTTCTGCCCCAATCACGACAGAGATTGTGCCTGCACAGCAGTGGTACAGCGCAGAGGAATATCACCAGCGATACCTGGTCAACAACCCTGGCGGCTACTGCAACCACTTTGAGCGCTGGTGAAAACAGGAATCCAGTATGATATGATATCAGTCCTGAAAGTAACTGAATGGCCTCAGACAAGCAACTGGGAACCTGCTTGCCTGGGGAATGCAATTCGAGGCTCTTGAACAGAACCCCTGGGATGGCAAGTCTCCTGTGTGCAACCAGGGGCTTCTATGGCTGCTCTGATGCAGAACATCACAGTATTTGTCCAGAATGCAGCATCTGTAGCATCTGCAGCATCTTGTAGCTTAAGCTTGCTGGTTGACAGTGGATGATCAATCCGTTTGATGCTTTTTGAGTAGCTTTCCTGGTGTGGGAGGATGACTGCATCATGCAGTCTGCATGGTAGAATAAGACGCATGAGTAAGCCACGCTGTGGCCAATACCACGCCAAACTGACGAGGTCTAGCTTGCGCTGTTCTCTGAACCATCGTGGCATGCTGGCTATGTAGCAGTAAGGCTGCTTTGTGTCTGGTACCGTGTCATAGCATGACAGATCAGACAGCGGAAGGATCTCATGAGGAGAAAACGTGGATGCTGCGCCATGCAAGTTTTATACGGAGATTGGACAGTGAGATACTTCTAAACCGATTTTTACACATGCAGAATAACCATGATAAACAAATGTGCCAGCCACATTACTGAAGCGCAAATTCTAACCAAATTTTTCCCATAGAGGGCTTGCTGATGTGTCAAAAATGCTCGCATATCGATATATCTGTGCAATGCAGCTGTAGAAAGCAAGATTACTCCCCATCTTGCAAAGCCAGACAATGGGTGCATCGCATGCCCAAACAAGCTCAAAAACCATCAGATGACTAGCTCACCATTCGGAACATGATGAGCAGACTGCATGCACACGACCACAAATCCTGATGACCATACTGTACATGTCCACTCACCTAATGCAGCCACCTTGTAGTAAAGATAATAAAAGCAATCCTGTGATGAGCCTATCCAATCACTTACTATGTTTCCACTTGCGATATTAAGTTTTTTGGCAATCAAACACATGTCGTCATGCGTCATCATTTGTCAAGCCAGTCAGAAGAAGAATTCATGCACAGGTTTTAGTACAGAAGCCGCTACCTCCAAAAAAGAATTGCACGCAACCACAGTCACACTGCAACGCCTCGCCCTCGCTTGCTTGCCCTCATTCATTTGCCACGGTGTACTCAGCAGATTTCTTCCAGCCTAGTCTCATAAAGGCCTCCGCCAGGATTACTGCAGGCCCGCTAAAAGATGCTCCAAGCCCCTAGGCCTTATGGACTTGGTGCAGCGGCAACAACCACCCCTTGATCACCCACCCATATCATATGTGGCCCATGTCCCTAAGTTCCAGGGCATTTTATGCTCTAGCGCCTCCCCAAGCCGAGAATTTTGTCCCTTCTGGAATTTGGATGTCACATCTGCTCCCCACCTCAGGCAAGAAGACAGTGCTCACATGATGCAGCACTTCTTCTTCTTGCTGTCCGGGGGCATTGCATCAAAGAGCACCTGCAGCAGATAAAAAACTTTGCATGCAGCTGTCAGACATACGGCTGGTCGTCCAGTCTACAAGGAGAGCCTTCCACCTTTGCCACTAAAGCATCCGGCACATTGTCTATGAGAGCACAATACAAGCGCTGCAAGCTCTAGCGAAGCAGCCTAAGAGCATTGACAATAACATCATGCCTCCCAACCAACCAAGTCAGCGCGCTCGGGGGACAGCCGCATGCATGCTGTTGGAGTTGCTTTACCCAAGTCATTGAAGTGCACATCTAGATTATTCAGGGGCATTGTTGTATTAAATCCCACTAGATTGTGCAATTGGTTTACATGTCTGCAGCGCACACCTGCAGGCGCTGTGCCGCTTTGGCAAAGCTGGGCCGCTTGTCAGGCTGCGGGTCCCAGCACTCCTCGATCAGCGTCTTGATCTCCTGCGGAACCACCTTCCCAAACCTGCACGCCCAACAGGTGACCCTTTGTGAATACATGCTTCCAGAAACGTGAACTGGTAAGCAGAAGGACGACCACATCATTTCGACACCCGCTCTGGTGCCCCCACTGACCGATCCCATGCCAGATCGAGAGATGGGCCATAATCGCACAGTTGCTGCTGCACCATTCCCTGTTTGCAGACAAAGGTATAGACGGGCCACTGTGGTGCTGTGTGCAAACGCACTTTGCTCGACGGTTGGGGGGTGCCCAGTCTGCATTGGCACTTCAGAATGCAGGCAGCACTGCAGGGCTGTGCAAGCAATCAAAGCGATGACCCCATAGATGCAGGCAATGCTTGAAGTGTTCCAGCTTTGCCATTGAGACAGGGGACCATCTCTCCAATTACGGAGACCCCTTGGACTCCTGCTGTACGGGCAAGGTCGGGCATGAAGTGCAGTCTCCTTTGACATGCCGCTCCGGGGCGTTCACCTGTTGAATTTGCCAAAGGTGGGCCGCGCGTGGTTCATGGCGGCTCTGCGCGCGGCCTCCACCGGGTGCAGGTGGCCAAATGGGATGGCGCCCTCAAACAACTCGTACGCGATCATGGCAAAGGCATACACGTCCACCTGTGCGCAGCAGCCGCAAAGGCTCTTACTATACGAACTTTACTACCTGTGCTGAGTACAGGACACACCCCTAGCAACAGCACTCTTGATCTGTCCTTGCGCCTCGATAAGGCAAGCCACTCGACTTGGCTCGCTTCCCTCGTGGAGACATCCCACTGCCAATACAGTGCTGTGCTGCAGGTGAATAGAGGAGGATTCTGTCACCAGATGTGTAAGCATGAAAAAGGATGAAAGCCCAAATGCGTCAATGATCATGTCCCCATGTGTTCACTTGCAAGGGTTTTTAGCAAAGTGTGCAGGGAAACTGACAAATGAACAAATGCTGAATCCAGCAACCCCAAGTGCGTACACAGGGGTGGATGGCTAGGTGGCCCACCTTGGTGTTGTAGGGCTCGTGTCGGAACACTTCAGGGGCCATGTACCTGTAGCTGCCCGTCTCCCCAGTCAGCTTGTACCTGTGCACCAGAAAGAATCTCAGCACCAAGGGTGATGCAGGCCCGACAGCCTCATGGTGCAACATCTACAATCCTAACAACATCTGAGCATCACAATTACAAAGAATATATATAGAGAATGATCATTCTTGAACCACGACGCACTAGCCCTGATGGGGGTGAACAAGCATGCGATCAGATGATCCTTACTTCTGAGCTAGGATACCTGGCCTGTCAACAGGCATGCAGCGACGCTATCACTGGAATAGTCTTTTAGCGCTCTACAGAAGAGCTTCTTGAAGACACCTACGCTTGAAAGGCTGGAAAAGCGGGTAAAAGAAATGGTATTAGCAGAATTTGGAGTGCGCACCGATCGAGCTGGTGGCCCTCCATGCCGTCTTCCAAGTCACGTTCGAGGTCGAGTGCCGAGCGGCTGCGCGCGGCCGAGACGTTCTGCGCGAGACTCTTGGACAGTCCAAAGTCAGCGATCTTCACGACGCCCAGCTCGGCGGCGATGTCTCGGTCCGTGCTGTCATGGGGAATGCCGCCCAGCATCAGATTGGCCGGCTTCAAATCGCGGTGCATGCACGACATCTTGTTATTGCTGCGCACACAAAGCACCGGTTCAATTCCCACGCACGGCAGCGCCCTTTTCTTCCTTTTTCTTTTCTTGTCACAAAACGTGACCAGACTGTTCTGCCGGGCCACATCCTGCTGCAAGCCACCCTAGCCTACCTGACCTGACCTGGGCTCTGCCTGAAAATGCACCCACTGATCTTGCCTGATAATGCAGACATCATCATACTAGCTACTCAAACGCCTCCTAAGCTGCACCATTGTACTTTTAAGATCTCCAAACGTAGGTATATGGTCGCCACATGGTCGCCAGCGTGGAATAAAGGATTAAATATTGTTGGGGGGCACTCTTTACACATGTTGTAAAACACCTCCCGATATCCAGTCACGAAGAAGTGGCGCACTTGCGGGCGTGTAGGTACTGCATGCCGCGTGCGCAGTCTAGGGCCATCTCGGTCGCGCGCCGCAGGCTGGGCGAGCCGGCGGCGCCGTTGTGCACGCGCTTGAACAGGTCAGTCAAAGAGCCGCCCGGCAGGAACTCGGTGACGATCATGTAGGGCTGCGACTGCGTCACGGCGCCCAGAAACTGCACCGCGTGCGGGTGGTGCACCTTCTGCAGCGTGTTGAGCTCCGTCCTGGGCGTCAGGGTTGCCAAATTAGGTACCACATTTGCCAGTTTAGGCACAGCCGACAAGGCTGCCGAATCAGGCGCATCAAAGAGCTTGTCGCCAGGTCTGGCACAGGACTTGACATGCCTCAAGCCACCAGGCTGCTACTGGCATGCGACGCTTTGCAGCCTGCACATATCAGGGCATTGCACACACAATGGCCTGACACCATTGGTCTCATGTAGTGAGATCTAATGAGCGCACAGATGCATGACTAATGGTTTAGCAAATGGGCAGTGCACCTGAAGTCCCCCAGAGCGACAGCGTCAGATCTCCGCAGGATCTTGACTGCCACAATGGTGCCGTACCATTTGGCCTTGTGCACCGTTCCAAACTCGCCCTCGCCCACCTGCATTGGAAATGAAGCCCCTTAGCTACCAGAGCCACAACAGCACATCCACCCCTTCAAACAGATCAGAGTCCAGAATGAATAACTGTCAAGGCGCGGCGATTCAAGCTACCTGGAGCAATAGCATGGCGTTTAAACAGCAGTCAAATGCGACATGAATGAAATACAATAGCTGTGGTATGAGTCATCCCTCAATATTAACGATTAGCTGCCAGAACAGGCCCCACCTTCTCCAATATCTGCAGAGCCTTGGGGTCAATCTCCCACTCCGGCTTCAGCGCCTCGTCGTCTCCATCCCACATCCTCACAAACCTGGCAACGCCAGCAATTCAGGTCTCAGCATCAGCAAACAGACTTTGCACGCCACTCTCGGAAAACCTTTTCAAGATTGTGTTTGGGGGCATCATTGCGCCGCCACACATGCACACACAGTGCCAGTCAGCGGCCTTCTGCTGGACGGCCAACTCAAAGCCCCACAACCATTGCAATATGTCCTATCGGGCGCTCTCTTCAAGAACATTTGATATGTGTCTTCATGGTGAAAAGGGATGGGAGGGCCACCTCTTGAGCTCTACACTGGCCTACCGCAGCCTTTCCTTCGCAATTCATCACACACAAGCAATGCATGATGCAGGCCATGGAGGTGGTGGAGAGGAATGGGAGGTGTACCCTGACAGGCGGGACTTCTGCAGCTCTACTAGGCGGCCCTCCTTGGCCTTGAACACCTTGGCGCCTTTGCTGACCAGCAGCTGCACCACCTCCCCATTGTCCCCCCGCACAGCATCCTTGTCACACCAACACAACCCCCTCAGCCAGGGATCTTCTGTACAAATCCCTTGCCCACAACCAGGCTTGTCTTCTACACATGGGACGCTGGAGGCCCCAAGGCCCAAGGCTTCAGAGACTAGAGGCCCTGAGCAACAGAGGCCTCAGGCTACAGAGGCATCCAGATGAGACACTAGACTGGCCATGCATGATGAGGCACCCAAGTAAAATGCCTTGCCCACGAGTTGGCAGCACCAGCTGCTGTCCGAAAAGCAGCAGAGCATATCAGTACACTCCTCCTGTTCAGAGCGAAGACAGCTTCATAGCAAGTGATCTTCGCATCTGGGGATCTGTGGTTGCATGACAAAGGGCACCACAATAGCACCAGCGGTGCCTCAAGTTGTGATTTTTGCTTTGGAGTACTGAGAGCAAGAGGGAACGGGGCAGGCACCTCCAAGGGCGTCCTGTTAAAGCGGTCTATGGGGTTGGCTTCGCACTTCCCCTCTGTCAGCAGCCATTGCACTACCGAATAGCAGCCCTCCGCTGCCGCTAGGTGCCTGTGTAATATATCATAAATAATTAAATTATCAGGATTCAGAACCTCATAACCTCATAATTCCACAGATATTGTGCCACTAAAGGCGCCAGTGATCCGCCTTCCACTGAGGGTGTCAGAATACAGGCCTTCAGCTGCGAAGAATAGGTGGTGGTGCACAATTATGTGCCAGAAGGTGAGGGGTGCAGGAGACTTACAAGGGTGTCCTCTTGTCGTAATCCCTGCAAGATTCGTCCGCCACCTGCAGGATATGAACCCTTTGAGCCCATTGACTGACATTTAGCCTCATTGTGACCCTCTGTAGCCTGCCTGAAGATACTCACAAGAGCTTGGGACAAAAAGCACCATAAAAGTAAGCGTTCACCTTGCAAGCAAGACTTTGGCACTGTTATGCTTATTGAAAGATGCAGATCTTGCAACTTGAATTACCACTGTAAGGCTACAAGCATTAATGCCCTTTTTAAAAGGGGGATCTCACATTGATACCCCATGTCTCGCAGATCCTCTTTATGCGGCTGATGTCCCCAACTGAGGCGAAGAAGAGTAGTTCTGTCGTCGCTTGTCTCTTAGCTGCCACAGCTCCATGCAGTGAATGGTGCTTCTTTATTTGATCGGCGAGCTTGTCTTGTAAAGAAGCCCTTTCTGAAGGGCTCAGATTTTCGCTGCCGCCGTTTTGGAAGGGCACGTTTATATGGGCGCCTGAAAACAAGGAACCCGGGATTTTGACGCGGTCAGTCAGCTCAGAAGTACCAGCAGAGCTGTCGCCGTTGGGCTGTTGATCACCCATTCGCCCTTTCCTACATGGTTCTCTGTCCCCTGTCGAATACGCCCAAATCGACCAATTTCGCGTCGACGACTGTACAGGTTGTATCAATTGGCCACCGACAGCCTCTGCGCCACTCACAGGCTCGCTTCCGAAAGCAGATTTATGCTGAACTTACCCCACGTGACCCGATTACTTGTTAGGGGTGATTAATATACAACAGTTGCATATAATTATACCCCTATACTTGTACACCAGGCAGGCCATGATCTTGCATGGTCCATCATGCATGCCAAGATTACCCAACTACTGAAAGCAGGAGTTCTCAATGTATTCGCAGACTTTGCCACACTTTGCCCTGGGATCAATCGATTGCAATTAAACAAGAGGTTTTTATTGAATGTCAGGCTCCATGTGGAGTCACAAGTCCGAGCTCAAATATTCCAAATTGAGTTGATATGAAATTCATGTCTCCAGGAGGGATAAAGGCCAGCTCGGCTTGGAAGGATCAACACTCAGCAGGCTGCATGTGCTGGTCAGAGCTATTATAGCTCAGCTATAGCTGGCGCTGGCTAGCGCAGCTGCAATTCGCGCAAGCAGCATTCAAGCTGTCATACTTGTCAAGCACTGTCAGCTCGCTCTGCTGGTTCTTCAAGTACTCCAGCTCGGTGGCTAGGATGCTGGTTGGAGCTACCTCCAACAGCTTCCTCACCTCCACCTGCATTCCATGCAATCGCAAGCACATACCAGTCGAACCAGACAATATGCCAGTAACATCCAAATAAAATGCTCATGCAGTGAGAGCAATGTTGCACCATCCTCGCCAACACAGCACAAGTGCACCTGTGCTCATGCGAAGCTATCTAGGATCCTATCAAAGGCGTTCAGCTCCAGCAATCACTTCAGATGCTGAACGCTGCTGTCATAGACGAAAGCGATCGTCGTCAAAGATTAGCATGACATGAACGCTGCACGCCGGACTGTCCCAGCACATGCATCCAGCTCACATTATCAAGCGTAAAGGATCTCTACCGTTGTGTTGGCGTCTTGGATGCTGTTCCAGACGTCCTTGGGCGCCAGGAGAAGGAAGATGGTCAGGCGTTCAGCCAGCAGGCCTGCCTGGTCGGCCAGCGCATGGCAGGCATCGCATGTGGGGTTGTCCTTCAGGGCATCCTCCACAATGCCATGGAGGTCCATCCCTCGAACTTCACTGAGCAGCTGCAGACAAAGCTACCACTACCTTTGCATATAAATGCACATACATGCAATCAGTAAGACACAAGGTAAACGGACTAGAACTGTCTAAAGAAATAAGAAGCTGTGCTCAAGGGCAATATTCTAAGAATCTTAAGACAGCTGACTTCCAGCAAGATCAAGCCTTCAAGCCTATGAAAGGACAGGAGAGCCCCATGCCTAAGCTTTCAGAGACACTGACCAATACACTCTGTGCTCGCCAGACATGCAGGACTGCAGCAGGAAGTCAGGAAGAACCCACCGTGGTGACAACAGCAGGCTGGGAGCAGGTGATGTCGCTGCTGTCCCTGCAAGAGGAGCTCTGGCGCACGGCAACAAAGTGCACCAGGCTCTGCAGCGGAGCCGCGCGGACAGCAGCAGAGATGGCAGAAACGGCAGAGTGCACCGCAGGCGAGGCCAGCAGCTGCGGCAGAGCCACCTGCCAGAAACTCGGCGCCTGCTGCCATCCCCTGCGCATTTCCACCCTCTCATGCTAGTCAGCCCCCTTCTTGTACTGTGCAGACTTCGCCAAAACTCTGAGCAATCACCACATCCTGACAGGGAGATGCATGGTTCCTTTACACAGAAATAGCAGAAATGGCCCAACCTATATCAGGTTTCTGCAACAGATCTTCCTTCGGCATGCATGAAACTAGATGACTAATTCATGCCATGCAGCCGCTTGGCCAGAAGCTTAATTATGGATGTGACCCGGCACTCACTCGCCACGTCGTTTGAGGGTGAACAGCACGGAGTCGAGCCTGGGGAATGCACCCATCTTCATGTAGCCCCTGGGTTGATTAGTCGTCGGGTCAACCCGCTTCATTGCCTCAAAGAGCTCCGTCAGCGGAACCCAGTGCTGCAAACAGATTCCCAAGAAATTCGACTGCCAGTTGTGCAGAAGATTAACAAGCACATTCTCAAGCAAAATAACGGAACATCAGGAGTCAGCATACTGAAGGGTTGTCCTTGCATGAAGTGTATCGAAAATTTGCGCAACATACCGGTGGGTATTTGAACCTTGCCGTGTCCAAAATGAGAACGAGGTCTCTGCGTGCATGGTACCCTCCCACAGGGCTGAAGTGCCCATCACCTGCAGTCACAATAATTAGCGCTCAGGTATGGTACACCATCTTACAGAATCTGAAACTCTGCGGGGTTGCAGAAAATACTCACCGGTCTGCAGGAATTGCTTCCGGGAGTAGGAGACTATGAGGTGCTCCGTCTCTGATTGCGAAGCCTGCTGCACGTCTTCCCTAAAATCCTCCACGCTGAAACTGCCGGACTGCCTCACCTCCACTCTCGCTCCGTTGCACCGCGCCAAGCAGGCGGCCTGATGACATACCATCAATTTTTTACAATGAAAGTGTCAAATTTAAAGGAAGCAAGCCTGACGCTGTAAAACTGGCTGCAGAAATTAAGGTGCCCACTGCTCAGATTGAGGAGGGTGCATGCCTGGTGGAGCACAATCCCCTCCTCTGCAACCCGTAGTATGGGCAAGCAGCAGTCCAGCATTTGTTCATGGAACCTGCGTCAGAAGCTCTCAGACACCGGACTCCTTGTTGAGCATGGTCAACTTAGTGGAGCAGTGGGTGCTGTATGGGCAGGTGGTAAGGGGCGACATACTTAAAAACCTCATAAGAACTTATACACTTGCAGGCTTGTGTGACAACATGTGTCTTTAGGAAGGCATGAGAGGGGAACACACCAGCGCCAAGGGCCCTTCCAAGCTCGCCGAGGGTCTATCGCTAGGGTGTTCAAGACCATTGCCAAACTGGGCACACACATCATAAAATGTAAACATTGAGACCTTTCGTAGCCAGTTGCATGCTCACAGTTGCAGATGCACAGGAAGAGACGAGAACTTTTGAGGGGGTGGATTAATACCTGGCCAGCCCGCAGTATGCCGGCTCATCCTGCGTTCGGAATTGCTCTATGAGCTTGAAGAAACCTTCCATAGTGCCATCCATTAGCGCCTCTGCGAACAGCTGCTTCCCTGAATGCAGTCCATTATGTCAGGGGGAGCGCACCAATGGCCATCTCACATTGCCTGCAGCACGTGAGCGCAAGTTTGCAGCTGGTGCAAAAGATGAGGTACCCGCCTTCATTGGAGGAGAAGGCTGTTGCAGGCGGGGACGGCAGGTGCCTCTTGTAAAAGGTCTTTATGGTGCCCGACTGAGGAGTTGCTGCTCCTGGCATTGCTGCTTGCGGCGCCAGGGAGGATGCATCATCTGCAGATGTTTTGGTCGTTGCCATGTGCGTTGACGTAGATTCAGGGATTGCGCTGTTTACTGCTGCCCGTGCTGACGGACCTGCTGATTGATACTTCTGCTTTGGAAGGGAGGTGTTGTGCATTAGCGATTGAGACAGCAACGGCTCCTTCGTCTTTGCCAGGAGAACATTTGATGCTCTGCGGTCAGAGCGGCCATGTTTCATATCCCAGGTCGTGCAACGGCATCACACATTACAAGAATGCATTCACGTAAGCAAATACCACCTCTTCAAGCTACCCCAACTCGTACCTTCCCTCCTTCTGGTCTGTCAACGGATCATCTTCCAAGATACAAAGCACCGGATGCGGTATGCGATTAAGTGATGGAAGCAGTTGTACAGATCTGCCCAAGCAGAAGGCTGTCTCACGCAGGAGGGGGGCCTTTCGCAACATCGTGTTCTGTGGACATGATCAATATCTAGATGCGGCCACAGCCTTCCAAGGTACCGAATACGCTCGTTTAAATAATATTTGATTAAGTTTTGTAAATATTTGATCGGAGGCGTCTGGTGTCGCAATTAGAAGTCCTCGCAACTTGACTTCCAAGCACCGAACACTACCAGACCCTCGATCTACCAGACAGCAGCAGATTCTTCCCATTGATTAAGTATCCTTTGAGCACCCGATGCCTCGTTCCAACGACCAGCAAGTTTGGCAGATCTGAGTCAGCAGCATGTGCTCACGTGCAGGCAGCTGCCTGCTAGGGTTACTGAATTAGGGTAATCAGTATAAATTTAGCTTTAGTGTAGCGATTCTTTAGAATGTGAGCAGGACTTGGCATATGAGATCTTTCTCCGTGTTACGGAAGGAGACTCAGTAGCACGATGCAAGTAGCAAGTATGAAGCTGGCAAGCACGGTTTCAATTGGTCTCCGGGTGCAGCAGACTGCTGCGAGGTTTCAGTACAAGACAAACTGTGTCAAACTAGAGAGCGCATTGAAAACCAACTTTCCCACGGTACGTGGAGCACCTTTCTAATCGGTTACCTGCCTATGCATATAGTGACTGGTCTTATTGGGGACTCCTGAGTGATGCAGGTGAGGCAACACCCGCCCCAGGACCTGTCGTCACGAGGAAGCAGAGCTTATTCAACGGTAGGCCCCGTTGGTTCTGCAAAGTCCTAGAGCAGATCTTTTACGAAAGGAACTCCAGTCTGCAGCTGTGTTATGCACAGCATGGACTGAAAAAGAGGGTTTGAACCTGAGTGTTAGAAGGGTTCAGACGACGCTCACTGCCTACTCACTTCTCGTGGCTTGCAGGATGGGATCATCGAGCCTGATCTTCCTATTTCTGGCGTGAGCGCAGGAGAGAGTTCGATTTCAAAGTGTGATCCTGCTGATGCGGTACTTCCTGTTTCAGATGTCTTGAGCTTGCCAAAATAGTGGTTGTTTGTGGCAGTTGTGACAAACATTCGTTCTCCCTTCAGGCTTTGACACTTGTGTACGGACTCATTGCGCGGGGCCTTCTGGACGCAATATGGGATAAGAAAGAACCTATCATACAGGTGAAAGCCCACATCCTTGAAAGTTGATCTGCCCTCAGTCTGAGAACGCAGGACCCTGGAGCTGAATTCTGCTGTTATTCCTTAAAACAGGTGTCCTACAACGACAAGAACTCTACCTACATACCGAAGAAGGTCATCACCAAGTACAAAACCAAGGCAGAGCTCGAGAGCTTCATGAAGAAAGCCTTTGACGTGCCAGCCAACAAGTCAGTGAAGCTGGCCTTCAAGCCTACTGGTGAACAGCGGAAGCAGCGCTTCCTGGAAGACTATGTTGCAGAACAGCTGAGCATAGCTGTCGCTGTCTACTTTGATGATGTGTAGTGTGGCTCAGTGAGCATGTGCTTGCATGTGCACTGCAAACAAGGATTGTTGTGTATCAACAGGAGGACTTCCTGCTTGACACACTTGTCCCTCAAGCATCTGGTCCAGAGACCTCCAATCCTGTAGACCCCTACAGCCTGCATTTGCATGTAAACGTCCTAAATAGGTGCTGCCTTTGGGCAAAACGGCCAGATCGAGAGACTGGAAACAACTAATTTTGATCTCATGGCTCGCATATACGTGTAGGTTATTTGATGCAGATGTCGAATATGCGATCAAGTCTTCAGTGTGATTGACTTTCGCAGAACAGTATCGACACCTCTTCCTGACTTTTGATTGATAAACGGCAGTGAGGTAGCACTCGTTTAAGCTGGGACAGGCATAGAAGCAGGTCATTAGATGGCCAACTCTACGGTTGCCCGCAAGGGAGAGACGTATAAGTGAGCAGCTTCTTCTGTTTCGGCTTGATCATATTGTGATGGCGTCATGAATAGTTTTTCCATGCGATATGGCTGTAAACGGTAGCATTGCTGAAGGACCTACTTCTTCTATTGTATTCTGCACAAGTTGCCATGTGCAGCTGCGTCGCGATCCTGTGTTTCCCTGTCTGTACACTGTAGATCACGCTGAAGGATCTTGGCGCACCCACAGGGACAATGCTAGGAAAAAGGACGTCCGCCACTCAAACATCTTGGCAGCAAAGGCTATTGCAGATGCTGTCCGCACTAGTCTGGGACCTCGTGGCATGGACAAGATGGTATGCCAGACCATTCTTGAAGGCTACCTGCATGGAGTTTCATCTGCATCCCTTGCAGCTATGCACACAAGCTGCACTGGTCCAACAGTCTTCCTTTGTGTCTGACTGCAGGTGACCCAGCCAAACGGCGAGGTGATCATCACCAACGATGGCGCCACTATCTTGAACAAGATGACAGTCACGCAGCCTGCAGCCAAAATGCTTGTGGAGCTTGCCAAAGCACAGGTACAGAATCTCAACCTCCAGACTGACAGTTGATGCATCATACAAGCCGTATAGAAGCTGGCATTCTACAGATCACCATTTGAGCATTTGGTGTTCCTTCGTCACCGTGGCAATGCAGAGGAAGATTGTTATTTAACAACATCTGACCCTGTGAAGCTGGCACGCACAGCATGCCGAGATGCAGATCTGCTGATGCATGCATATCTTCTCCGAGCACTTTGGAGCGCCGCAACACGTAAAAAGGAATGTCAATAAGCTTCAAGAGGTTGATGAAATGGTGCCTTACAGGATGTGGCGGCGGGAGATGGCACCACATCAGTCACAGTGATCTGTGGAGCGCTGTTGCGCAAGTGCCTTGAGCTGCTGGAGAAGGGTGTACACCCCACAGTCATCTCTGACTCCTTCGCCAAGGCCGCTGCCAAGGCAGTGGAAATCTTGGAGAGCGTGGCCATCCCTGTGGACCTGGGTGACCGCGAGTCCCTCATCAAAGCAGCCAACACGTGCGCAGCCGCTCATCCTTTGTGACTTTGCACAGTGTTTAAGCAACAATATCTTGATTTAAACGATGAATAACATGTTGAGAGCCACCTGAGGCTCATTTGTCTCATATGGGCAGTCACTCCATGCCACAAAGTGCTGATGTATCTGCACTCTGTCAAAAATTTGGCAATTTTGACACCCTTCGTTGAAGTAGTGTTATTATGGTAGTTCCTGGCAGAGATGCAGGCAATGTTGCAGCAATGGCCTGACTTGGAGGTGTCATGCATGCGAATCTTCTGCTGTTTGTCCATGATTCTGGTTCGTCAATTTGTAATTCAAAAGTGGCGGTGTGGGTGCAGGTCGCTCAGCAGCAAGGTGGTGTCACAGTACTCCACTCTCCTCTCGCCCATGGCAGTGGACGCTGTTCTCAAAGTCCTGGACCCGGCGCGCCCAGACTTGTGAGTGGCACTTTCCCCCAAATTACTGCCATATTAATGACCATGGACAGTTCTGTGTACTTACATGGCAATCGTGTCCCTATGGCATGTGTTTGGACTCCTCTTCATCTAGTGAGCAAGCTCTCTCTAATGCTGTGTTTTCTGCCGACTCAGCAAATTTTGCACATAATTGCGAATGGTGTGCAGTTCAACTGAAAGACATCTGGTGCCATGCTGCAGCCTGGACCTGAAGGACATCAAGGTGGTGACAAAGCTGGGGGGCACGGTGGATGACTCAGAGCTAGTGGACGGAGTGGTCTTTGACCAGAAGGCCTCAAAGACGGCGGGGGGCCCCTCAAGGGTGGAGAATGCGAAGGTCGCGCTCATCCAGTTCTGCATATCCCCGCCCAAGACCGACCTGGAGAATAATGTCATCATCTCTGACTACACCCAGATGGACAGGTGAGCTGAACTGGGTGTACACCCGTCTTGCTTGCTCCTTAACACAAACATGCTGCTGTCCGTAAGACAACCCTGGTCTGGGGACGTGCTGCTGTTTGAACTTTTTCATAGGACCACCCAGATTGACTTTGGCAGTGAAACTCTGCGGGAGTGGTGTAAAAGCACGACTTTTGCAGCAGGCAGGGCTATGAATGAAGGGGAGAATCTCCTCACTTTTCAGCTGAGCAAGCTCTTGAATGCTGCAGAAATGGGCTTTACTGAGGGGCTCATGCACTTTGCAGGATACTGAAGGAGGAGCGCAACTACATCCTGCAGATGATCAAGAAGATCAGGGCCAGCGGCGCGAATGTGCTGCTCATACAGAAGTCCATCCTGCGCGATGCAGTCACCGACCTCTCCCTCCATTACCTGGTGAGGCTGCTTCCACTCCCTGGCTCATTCCAAGAGCTCCCTGCCATGAGCATGCATGTGCATTCACAAGCATTCAGAAGTGCACCCAGGAGCATTTAGATGTGAATTGACTCACTCTCCACTCTGTGGTATAATGGGATTACTCTGCGTGATCGTTGAAGGTCGCTCATCTTTCTCATCTCCACAGTAAGATCTGCAACGTCTAGAAAAGGGGCTGAAGATTCGCATGCCAGTCCTGAAGAGTCCTGTGCATGTGAGCAGGCCAAGGCGAAGATCCTGGTGGTGCGCGACATAGAGCGGGACGACATCGAGTTCATCAGCAAGACGCTGGGCTGCCTGCCCATCGCGCACGTGGACCACATGCGCCCAGAGAAGCTCGGCCACGCCGGCCTCGTCGAGGAGAAGACGGTGCGCGCGCATGCCCGCATGCCTGCTTACTTTTTTACCGCTGCCTCTGTACCCCTGCAGTCCTGTAAGGGCTTGCTCGTAGACGGCGCGCGTATGACTGCATGCACGTCCAATCATGCCTGAGCTAGGGATGATTCTTTTCCCCTTTCCTTGACCTTTTGGTCGAGGTCCCTTGAGGACTTTTCTAGCAGCAAGGCCTCAGACGACTCCTAGGTTGGGGCACCCTAGTACATCACATGACATGCAAAGAGAGGAGGCAAAGACAGGAGGACGACAGAGAGGCTGTCTATAGGAGCACTTAATAGTTGACTATTTGGTTTAAGATGTCACGCCATATGGCCAAGCAATGGTGCTGGGTGTGGTGCATGCTGCCCATGATTATCTGTGCTCTGCTCACGGCTCTTTTCTGAGCAGACTGTGGGTTCACAAGACAAACTCGCTTTGCTTAGAAGGTCTTGTGGACCCATGTCATACTCATTAGAGGCTGCTGCAGTCCAGTGGTTTGTGGGTGTTGATGATTTGTCTCCTCAGAAAGATGGTGCACTGACATAATCTTGCACAAGCACTAGCGGCCCAGTGGCCTGGAAGGAGGCTTCTTTGCATTTACTTCAAAATGGAAAAGGAGAAAATTTGCTAATCAGTCGTTCGTCAGTACAAACATGCAGCCGAAGCTCACTCGTGTGATCACCACACACCGCAACTGCAAGCCCTCCACCGCATAACAAGTCCACGTTTAAATCCAGTAAGATGATGAGTCACAATGCGCGCAGGTGGGCAAGGGCAAGGTGGTGAAGGTGAGCGGCATTGAGCGCGCCAGCCGCACGGCGACGGTGCTGCTGCGCGGCAGCAACAAGATGGTGCTGGAGGAGGCCGAGCGCAGCCTGCACGACGCCCTCTGCGTCATCCGCTGCCTCGTCCACAAACGCTTCCTTATCGCGGGGGGCGCCGCGCCGGAGGTCCAGGTTGCCTTCCAGCTGCAGCGCTGGGCCAAGACCCTTGTGGTGCGCTTGCACTCCTGTTCTGACTTGCAGCCTCTAGGGATGGACTTTCAAGTTATTCGATGTCTGCTGGCCGAGACCTTTGCGGTGCGCCGGTGCGCCACCATGCCATGGATCTTTCAAATATGTTACAATTATTCACCACACAAGCAAGCAAAGAGTGTGTGCCCTTTTGGCGAACGCTGCGCACGTGCCTGCTGTAGTTTGGGAAGAGCTGCAGTGATCTCGAAAGGGCCTGGCCGTGCTGGCGGGTAGAGGCACAGCCGCTTGTGAAGCAGGGCTCAGCATCTGTTCCGTTTTGGCATCCCCAGACTCTTTTCAAATTTCTATGGAGGCCATGTGGTGGTCGCATGCCAGCATGTTATGCTGGCTTCTTCAAGCCAAGCTGAGGCTTGGGCCGGGCATCCACAGCGGTGGTGCCAGCCCTATCAAGTGCTCAAGGCTGCCAGAACATTGGACATGCTCAGCTTCTCAAAGAGAGTGCCTCAGCATGTCATGTTATCTGGTAGGCTTTAGGACGCTGATACTTATTCATGTCCGGGGCTCTGCAAGGTGCCCTGGTTGATGCTCTCAGTGAGCCCTTGCCAACAGACATTCTGTGCTGTGATGAGCGCAAGTATGCTCTTTCCCACGAGAACTCAGGCTGTGATGAATGCAAGTGCGCTGTTGCCAACAGAGGAGGTTGTGCGCAGGGCATGGAGGCATACGGCGTGCGCGCGTTTGCAGAGGCGCTGGAGGTGATCCCTTTCACGCTGGCCGAGAACGCGGGGCTGAACCCTATCGAGATCGTGACCGAGCTGCGCAAGCGCCACGCGCAAGGGGACCACGCCGCCGGCATCAACGTGCGCAAGGTGAGAGCGCCCGGCCACAGACCACAGACCAATATCGGCAGACAATGATGCACATGGTTGCTGTGTGACATGGCAGGGGTGATTGTGTCCAGACAGTGGCAAAGTGCAGGCTGACAGGCAGAGGTTGCATGTGAGCTTGACAAGCTTCTGGACACCCTGATGGCTGCTGTGCAGGGCACGGTGAGCAACATGCTGGAAGAGAATGTGGTGCAGCCGCTGCTGGTCAGCACTTCAGCGCTCAACCTGGCCACAGAGACCGTGCGCATGATCCTCAAGGTGAGAAATTCTCTTGCATAACCTTGTGCTCAGACCATCAATACCTTCCATTCTCATGCTGCCACGGATCAACAAGGAGTACATGCCAGATCAGCAAGGAGTACATGCCAGATCAGCACAGATTAGTCACCTATGATCCTCCTGGGGTCTGAAATCGTAGCTTTGCTTCGACCTCTGATACATGTCATGGTGCATGCTGGCGCCCAAATCTTGACTGCAACATTTGCTTCCATTTTGTAACACACGTCACTTTGCGTATTGGCGCCCAAATCTTGAGTGCATCAGTGGAGATGAGTGTCTGTTGTTGGTGTGCGGTGCAGATTGATGACATTGTTCCCACAAGATAAAGGCATTGGCTGCTGCAGCGCGCTGCTGGCACGCTCTAGAATGGAACCAGTGCATGCACGTGGGCGGGCAACGGGATTTGACAGCAGCAAGCAGGCCTAGGTGAGAACTGCGGTGTGCAGCTATGCTTGTACGCAAGGAATGTGCTCTGCTCCTGTACATGTAGAATGCAGATAGAGCTGAAGCAGCTGTTTTAGTGAATGCTTGTAACTTAAAGTTGCTGATTGCTAACCTTCTTCGGTGATAATGAAAAGAAATCGGATATCCCCAACCATATATTTTGACACACGTCAGTGATCTCATGAGGATATTGTCAATGCAAAAAGTTTATCTTGCTAGCATCCACGTCCTTGATCACCTTTGGGAAGCGTCCCTGGCAAATCCAGACCCCATGAAGAGCCTCAACTTGAGGAAAGTTATTTCAACAAAAGTCAGCCCAAGCAAGCAAATATATATCATGATGGCACCGGGCCATATTGTGACGGTACAGGGCACGAGGCAACTTAATGAATGAATGCATTGCATCTTCCCCGAAGAGATTTTTATTACTTCCGTCATCGCTGCACATGGTGTCCCTCACAGACAATTTGCCTCTCCGGGGGGAAGAGAGATGGTTTGGCGCACGCTGATTGGCCCCCACCTGGCCGAGACCTGGGGCCCCCCGCGTTGTTGCCCCCCTGTCTCTTCCCCGAACCTAAACGAGGCGTTTTGACACAAATTTTCAAAACCCAACTGCATTTTGCTGCCTGCACCTCTCTGCCTAGCACTTTTGCCCACGCTGCCGAAGCCCGCAACTGCAACTATGGCCGAGAAGAAGAAGAGCACCAAGCCCACCCACTCTCCGTATGCTGTGCGCTCCTCCCTGCCGATCGCGGAAGCTGCCTCCGAAGCCCTTGTACTCAGCCCTGACTGCATGTCTTTGTGTTCCTGTGCCTTGTGTCTTGTAGGAGGCTGCTATACGTACCTAGGCAGACTTACAAGAGCATGCCTCCGTCGCCGGTGTCATCCGTCAACAACAGAGAGATGTGGACGCATATCTTGCGACGGTCAGCAACTAAAGTCACCTACGTGCTGCAGGACCTCATAAAGGAGGCCATCCTCACGCTGAAGGAGCGTGGCGGGTCCTCTCCGGCGGCCATTAAGAAGGTCATCGGCCAGAAGCACCCCAGCCTGCCTGCTGGGTGGGAGAAGGTCACAGCCCTGCAGCTGAAGAGGTTGACTGCCGCGGGCAAGCTCGTCAAGGTGCCGCCCTACTTTACGGCGCTCATGTCTTAGAGGACCCAGCAAGTAGACTTGTTGATAAATTCCATGTCCTCACACGGAACTTCGTAACAACAGATACCCTGAAGATGTCGGATGTTGGCGTGAAGTCGGTGGATACACGCGTCCATCGCGTTCGCAAATAGGGCAATTGTCCAGTGAGGAGCATGCAAGGCATATGCAGGAGCATGCACCGCAATGTCTCGCCATAGAAACTACAACATCTCGAAGGTGCCTCGTCAGACAGCTGGCAGCAGTGTCAGTGAAGACAGATGAAGACGCGTTAGCAGGCTGCATGCGTCCTTCATTGCAGTCTTCACGCTGCGTGGTGTCAGGAAGTGAAGGCTATTCCATGCATTCAGCTACCCTGGGCTGGTACTTCAGACCTTGGCTCCAGCCAGGATGTTCTAGAAGCCAGACGTGCAGGCAACACGGTGCAGGTGATAGGCCATGCAGAACTTCTTCTGGCCATATATAAACCAGGTGTTTAATCATATGTCTGTGCGTGTGCAGGTCAAGGCCAGCTACAAGCTGAGCGAGGATTTCAAGAAGGGCCCACCCAAGAAGAAGGTGGTCAAGAAGCCCGCTGCCAAGAAGGTCTGCCTCCATCACACACTTACTGTGACTCACAGCCTGTCAGACCTCTCTTTCACTTAAGGGATAGCAGCCCAAGTGGCTACTTTTTGTACAAACTCCCCAGAATTAAACTAATAAACCACCTCGAGCTCTGGAGAGGGGACGCAACACCTGCTCTGGGTGTTCTTAGTAGTGCTGCCTGATCACTTGCGAATACTGCTGGGTTTTGGAACTCCAGCACAGTACCTTAGGCTCTGCACATGGATCAGTGCTGCCACCAACACACGCCAGCGCATTCCAGCGAAGTGCATGCAAAGCTGCAAGGAGTTATGCTGATGTGCACTGCCGTCTTTTGTGCAGGTGACCAAGCCCAAGGTTGCCAAGGCAAAGAAGCCCGCGGCTGACAAGCCCAAGAAGACCCCCGCCAAGGCAAAGAAGCCCGCTGCTCCCAAGCCGGCTGCCGCCGCCGCGGCCCCCGCCGCCCCCAAGGCAAAGGCCCCGGCCAAGGCTAAGAAGCCGGCCGCCGCCAAGCCCAAGAAGGCGCCTGCCAAGGCCAAGAAGCCCGCTGCTCCCAAGGTCAAGAAGGCCGGTGCCCCCAAGCCCAAAAAGGCTGCCGCTACCCCCAAGGCTAAGAAGCCCGCAACCAAGAAGGTGCGCTTCAGATCCACCAATCTACTTATATTTACAAGAGATGTGATTGCTATGGTAACATTCATACACACCCTGTCAGTTCATTGTGTTCTGTAGCAGCTCAAGAGAGCAAGAAGACAGACGTCTGGACATGAGACCCATTGTTAGGAACGTTCTTTGGTGCGTCTTGGGCTCCCGGATAATGGTATTTTGCTGATCAGGTCATTGATGTGCTGCTGCAGGCTGCGCCCAAAAAGAAGGCCGCTCCCAAGAAGGCTGTGAAGGCATAAGTGCAGCGACCGTGCAACTGGAGCTGCGCGCATCTCGTCACAATCCCCAAAAAAACTGGTGTTTTTCAGCACCACCCAGTGGTGTGGAAAATAATAGTACTGGCCTGCAGCATCCTGCTGCATGTATCAACATGCTGATCTCACATGGTTTTGTGAGGAAGAGATATTGTCTCCAAGCTGCGTTCATGCATCCTTAATAGTATACTTGCGGCTGAGCCACACACTCTGCGGCAGCGGCTGTGACAAGACTCAAACCTCCAGACATGACCTGCACTGTCAGGATGAGGACAAAGGTAGCTGCAGCTTTGGAGGACATTTCTGGCAGTTATACCAAATGTTTTTGGTGAGGAGTAGCTGCAGGCTGCACAAAGGAGGACAGCTAGGCCTGGTCAGGAAGCTGACCTGGAACGCCCCGTGCCTAACGTTCGGACTGAGCCATTTGCAGAACTGAGGTCCTGTACATTAGCATGTCTTGGATGTTGGTGATTGTCAGATCAGCATTTACACGTGCTGGTTGCCTCATTGAATGTCCTGTTGAAGTTGCTGAACAATCCCATTTTGAGCTGCCGACCATGTGAACTGTTTGTTGGTTTCGCCGTGAGATCCATCACTTGGCATTCCCAGAGGATATTATTGTCTTCAAGAACAAGCTTGTAATCATCCAGACGCAAGAACTTGACTCATCGTCCTACTGTATTCCAAAAGCCCACGACTGTACAAGGTCGATCTGCTATCACAAATGACGTCGATCTGATAAGCATGATCGGATCGTGTCAGTGTCATACAATATCGTACAGGGCAGGATGCACGGGGACGTGCTCAGAGGACATCCAAGTAGATATCAGGCACAGAAGGGCTCTGCTCCATGTGCCTCCCATGAAGAGGTACACCTTCACAATCTAGCTCGAAGACCACTTGAATGTACGTCACGTGGATCTCCAAGCATAGTGACAGCGTCCATAGTGGACAATGTGTCAGCCTCAACTGAAGTCTCGGGACATCCCAAACAGCACACCAACTGTGCTGGTTTGGTGTGCGCTCCAGGTCCATCCGATGGCGTAGAGGGAGCAGAGTATTGACAGCTTTCGCATCAGATGGCGAGGCAGCTGCCATAGCACGCCCCAGATCAGCTGCTGATGACACCATGGCCACTCTGGAATGGCCTCGACTGTGCTCCCACGTGGCTCAGTTTGCATCCACAACTCTGGGCAGACAAGAAGCTCTGCAGCTGCAGGTTACTTTCTTGCCAACTAAGTGACTAAAGCCCTTGCAGCAGCATCTCTCTATGCAACACACGTACGTAGCCTCCTGTCTTTCAGAGTGTCTACTGTTGGGATGTTGAGCAATGTGCATGCAAGCACTGGATTGTCCAAAGTTGCTTTTCTGTGCTGTCAGGTTCCAGATACGCATGCAGAGAGCGTGCAGCTCCTAGCGGAGACCAGGGCAGTCAATGTGCTGGAGGCAGAGTATGCAGCTGACCTGGATTTTGGAGGCATCTCCACATCGGTGGTGCGCTTCCACCCTCTGCACAAGGCCTTGTGGTTTGAAAGGCCTTGAGGTCCACCTGTGTGCGATGGTCAGCACAAAGACTGTGGCAGGAAGTTCACGCTGAGGGTGGATTGCATCTATGCTTGCATGGGTGCTTTTCAGGCTCCAGTGGATAAATTATAGCAGGTTCCTGCTCTCTTGCTGCACAAAAGTTCGCCAGCCCACCAGTCAATTTATGAGGCTTAGTGGTGATGAGGCAAGATGGCTGGCTCGTGCAGGCACAGGAGGGGATAAAAAGGGCGTCACGGGGAGGCATGCTGACAGCGGCGCAGCTGGCGGCTGTGGCCGGGCTGCTGGCAGGTGCCGTCAGGCTGCAGCGCGCGATATTGTCCGCTGCCGGGCAGGAGGGCCGGCTGACCGAGGAGAGCGCCCTGTGGCCCGTCGTCTCCACCGTCAAGGTCAGCTCTCAACGATGGGGCTGCACAATGCACATGCGGAGCTGTGATGTTTCGTTTTGGGTCTTCTATGGGCAAGGCAGACGAAGGGCTCCAACCTGCAGGCTAGCAGGCATGAAATAGGGTGCACATTCCCGTGACAGAGATGTACAGGCAGGCACCCAGCGCACAGGTAGAGGATTACCAAGCAAACAGCGGCAGGGTGTGGAAATCCTTGCCTTGAAATCCTTGCACCTGCTGTGTTTTTCCAGAAAGTGACAAGGGGTTGCTGAGTGCACTCAGGTTGACCAGCCCTAGAGCTAAATTGCACCTGAGTGCGGACGATGTGGGAGTGCTCTCTATGTGGCAGGGGCTGCCAGGGCATGCGGAGATCGTGGCGGGGGTGAACTCCGCTCTAGACGAGGGCGCCAAGGTGCGCGAGGGCGCGAGCGAGGACGTGCGGCGGACGCGCGGGCGGTGCCGGACGCTGGAGGGACGCCTGCGCTCGCTGCTCAAGGGCTTCCAGGGGGAGGTCTCCGAGCAGGTGCCGGCACCTACAGGCATCTGCACCAGCGCAGCAGCGCGATGTGACTCTGGTGTTTGTGCTGAGGGGTAGATCATGTGCCACAGCACACCATTATCGTTGCAAGACAGTCGCAGTTGTTCCTCCCATGGGAGAGCACTTGGGTCATGGCCGGGTCTTGTCAAATGAGATGCTTCGCTTGGAATTGGCGGTGCATGGGCTGAGGGTGTGATACAATGGTACTGCAGAAGATAAATATAGCTGCAGGATGCTGCACCGGGAGTGTAGGGCGGCCCTTGCATGATTAATGCGGCCCACACGTCGGAAGCAGTGGCATGCGCAGGTTCTTGATTGTAGCAGCCTGTCCTAGTTATAGAGGGCTTTTTGCTCGAGCACTGTTGTGTTGCGCTGTGCAGTCGGGGCGGCTGTGCTGTGGTTTATTTAGTCACCAGAAGTAGTCATAATCGTGGCATGGGCAATAAGTGAATCGGAGTTTTTTTTTTCTGAGGCGGTGCTTCGATGGTGCGCTGTACAGTCAGGGCGGCTGTGCGTGGCGGTGGCGGCTGCCGAGAAGCCGCCCAGGGGCGTGCTGCTGGGCAGCGCCGCGGGCATCATCTACCTGGAGCCCCCCGCCGCTGTACCTTTGAATAACGAGCTGGCAGCCGCGCGTGGAGAGGCCTACGCGGCCGAGGAGGCCGTGCTGTGGCGGCTGACCGGACTGGTCGTGGACGCTGAAGAGGACGTCCGCCGCGCGTTGGAAATTGTGCGTGAAATCTGCTGCTGCAACTAGTGACGTCCACCTGCAGAGTACTCGAGAGGTTTCGTTTCGGGATGCTGAAGAATAGGGCAGCCTCAAAAGTCCTTCAAAATGGGGTGTCGGGAGGTATCTAACATGAGGTGCCAGACACCTTGTTCTGGGGATGTGCATGGTTGAAGTGATCACATGTATGGCTCCTTCTGCCAAAGCATGAAGAAGGATGGACGCGCTTACGAAGATGCATGCGAGCCGAAGAGTGCATGCGAGGCGGGAAGAGTGCCAAAAATCCAGTGTAGGCGCACACTCCTGGACGCATGCATCCCAAGCAGTCCCCTGGGTGATGTGGGTGGTCTGTTGCGGCTGCGCAGGTTCTGTGGCTGGACCTGACAGCGGCCAAGGCGCGGTATGGCCGCTGGATCAACGGAGAGTTGCCAACCTTTGCAGAATTTGCGCGCACCACAAAGGTTTGTGGACGGTTGCTCAGCTTGCTCGTTGCGCCTTGGAGGAGTGCAGAAATCATATCTCATTCTCCCTACTGCCCGCTATGAAGAAGATGGATCCTTGAAGACAGAAAGCTATTGCCATTGCAGGAGCAAACAATGGCAGGATGGGATATTATAGTAGCAATTGGCCAAAGGCAGTACAACGTTGTGTGATGGCGACAACCTTACTCTGATAATCAGAGTCAGGCAGCCGATCAGCTCTAGTCTGGCTAGAAGCCAATAAATCGTGACTCACTGACTGAGAGTGATTGTGTGATGCAGGCTCGGACGAGCAGGCAGAAGGAGGCACAGGCGCTGCAGCGGGCCACAGCATCGCCAAAAGAGGCTGATGATGAGTTCTTGATCAGGTTGCGCAGGCTTAGGTGCGCGCACATGTCAACACATGGCCTGATCAGGCTTGTCTACACCTCTTTTTGCACAGGGAAGGGCAGGGGTCTTGTCTTGAACATCAGTCTGATGAGCTTCACTGTTATGCGCAAACCTGCAATTGAGCAGAGGACATCTCAGGAGAGATGGGACCTCACCCGCTGTTTCCTTGCAACAGCTTTGATAATTTTGTGAGCTGAAGGCTGTCTTGAGATTGCTTGCATGCTGGGCCCGGTGCTCTGCACCCTGTTTGCTGTATGCATTCCAGATCCTGTGGCAGCTAACTCCTTGCAGAGCATCAAGCTTATGGCTCCTATTGTGGTACCAAAAGGATTAGGCTTGCAGGTAGAAAGAAACAGGAATGCCTGTGTAGGCACCCGCTACTGCATGCAGACTACCTGATCTGGAAGGAGGCAGCCGCCAGGAATCAGCCTCAGAGCAGCAGAGCAGCCAGCGCAGGGCCCCTCAGGCGCCTGTCCAACCGGAAAGATGTCATGGCGCGCAACTCAGGCATGCTCGTAGAGGTGCGCACTGCCAAACACCCTCAATATAGGATGATTTGTTCTTGTGTGTGTTGAGTGATTCTCCAGAGATTGCAAAAGTGCGTCTGCAGGCGAGCTGCAGCTTCTCAAGACACCCTTTGCATGATGGCTTTCTTTTACTGAGACAACTGTTTAAACAACAGCAGCTTAGATGCAGAATTTGGTCAGATGAGCATGAAAGGGTGTGCAATCGATCGCAGGATGAGCCATCTGAGGAGGAAGCTGCCTCAGAGGAGGGACACGAGGGAACACCGAAACCGCCAGTGCCCATCGACATCTGCATGAAGCCCGACACGCGCTGCGTCATCATCACCGGACCCAACACAGGCGGCAAGACCGCCACCCTCAAAGTACCGCCCCTGACTTTGTTTAAATTCACTGCGCACGGACAAAACCCGCGCTCTTGATGCCACTGCTGCTGATATTCTGACAAGTTGGGGTGATGAAGCTATGAATAGCAGCGGCGAGAGAGACGTATGTGGGGAAGGGGCTGCGGAGCCGGGAGAGAATCCTCATGGCAATGCATCATTGCTGAGGATCGCCTTTATGCTTGAGGGAGAGACGCTACCAGGCACTATACAACCATTCTGCGAATCCTCATTGAGCACAAGAACCGCTGTTGTTTTATGCAGGTTGCACCGTCTAATGTATTTGTTGCGCCCCTGCAGGCATTTGGGCTGGCGGTGTTGATGGCCAAGGCGGGACTGCCGGTGCCGGCGGCTGCGCCGGTGCGGCTGGCGCCGTTTTCCGGCGTGCTGGCCGACATCGGCGACGAGCAGAGCCTGGCCGCCAACCTGTCCACATTCTCCGGCCACCTCCGCCGCATCCAGGTGTGCCGCGTCGGTTCTGTACTAGGGACAAGAAAAATGCGCCGATCGCAAAGGAGTGGTGCTACAGTGGCAAAGTTGGAAAGATCAACTCCCTGTTAACTGTGTGCCAAAAGTCACTACATATGCCCTTCCCACTCCTGTGCCCTGCCTGGGTGTCTGCACTGCGCACACAGGCGCCGTGGCACTCAAGAAGCACAATACTTCTTTGCACCCATTGCTATGTGGCTGGTGCTGTCACATGTGACATGAAATATGGCCGAAGATCCCAATGCAACTTCCAGAATTCAGATAACCCGCCTATCCTTTTGCTCATGCTGGTGGCAAGGGTGCAATATCGGCCTCCGGCTTGTGTTGAGCGGGGGTCATGCATGCCTGTTGGCGCATGGGCTACCTTTCGCGCACGCTGTAGAGTCTGGCGGTCCAACTCTCTGCGGCAGTCGCTGTCTTAACTACTTTAAGCGCATGTCGCAGAATCTGTGCGGCAGGCTCCAATCTAGAGTCTGATGAATCTCCGATACAGGCGCTGCGGCGGGAGGCGGATGGGCGGTCGCTAGTGCTGCTGGATGAGGTGGGCACGGGCACCGACCCGGCGGAGGGCGCCGCGCTCGGCATCGCGCTTCTGCGCGCCCTGGCCGCCGGCGGCGCGCGCGGCGCGGCCATCACCGTGGCCACAACCCACCACAGGCGCGCGCCTCCAACCGATTGCTACATGCGCGGTGGACTGTATTGAGCGTGATATTTAAATACCCAGAAAGGCGTTGACAGCTTGATGGTGCCTGATGATGCTGCGCTTCACTCAGAGCTGCGGTGCACCTGAGCTGTGCCGCAGGCTTTGCGTTCTTTGCGTGATCTTGGCACCTGTCATGTTGTTGGCGGAGAAAAGTCGCGCTGACGGCAAAGCAGCATGGGTGAATAGCACCGCACGAACTGGTTGTCCTTGCTTGAGAGTCCTTGAGGCAGAAGCCTTCCCCTTCTACTGGCATGCTGGCACAGTTTGCCAGTCTGTTCTGATTGACAATCAGTGTGGTTCCCTTGCCGCAGCTCGCTGACGTCGCTCAAGTACCAGGACGGCCGCTTTGAGAACGCGAGCGTGGAATTCGATGAGGCCGCGCTGGCGCCGACGTACCGGCTGATGTGGGGCATCCCCGGCCGCTCCAACGCGCTCAACATCGCCTCCCGCCTCGGCCTCAACGCTGACATCATTGCTGACGCACGCGACCGCATGGGCACCGCACAGGTACCTTGCAGGCAGCTTCACCCTGCTGCAAAACCTGCCTTCGATTGCTGCCAAGATGTATTGTTCGTCTTCAATCTGCTGCGCACCTTGCTTTTTTGTTTGGCTTTGCATACGGGACATCGGCATGCATGAAAGTGCAGCGTTTCTGGAGTGATGCATACCGTGTTCTATGTGCAAAGTATGTCGTTGCGAAGCAGACGCAGAGACGCACAGACATGCGCACGGCACATGCATGATCAAGAGCAGGTGTTGTGAGTGAATAAAAGTCTCACTTGACACTGTCTGTTGCGTTTTTTATCAGGCGGAGGTGGACGATGCCATTGCTGAGCTGGAGGGTCTGCGAAAAGCAGCAGAAGGGGACGAGGTGGCCGGCATCAAACTCAAAAAGCAGGCCACCACCATTCAGGTCAAGCTGAGCCAGATGCGGTAAGCCTGCCTTGGCCCCCCTCTCCATGCATGCTCTGCTATTATCCAACCTCAATTTCTTGCAGAGTCCCAGCATACCTGCGGTGCTCTGGTAAGTAAGTATTCAAAATCTATGCCTACTCTGACCAAGAGGATGCAATCCTGTTGCAAGTCAGGACAAAGTTGTATCACTGAAACTGTGGACACGTATGCAAGAAGGCCCCAAATAGAAAACACCCAGGATTGATTCAGTCTTGCTTGAACCTGGCAAGTCCAACAAGGGGTAGGATATGCGGCAGCCTTTCCCTGTAGACGCATCTTACTTTTGGCAGGAATAGCGTTAATAATGATATGATTGTGTAACTTGGTGCCATGTGTTTGCAGGAAGAAGAGGGCAGAGGCGGAGGCAAAGCGACGGCTGCAGTACGCGCAGAACATTGCCAAGATTGTGGATGCGGCCGAGGAGCAGATAAATGCGCATGCTCGCAAGCTCAAGGCAGCCGACAAGAAGAAGGCAGAGAAGCAGGTCCAAGCCCAGCAGGAGCAGAGCCGGCAGCAGAAGGTAGCCACACAGGTTTCTCTTGCTGAAAGTATGGATCTAGAGGTTGTGTCTTTGTGACGGCTGCAAGGTCCAGTACCAGGGACATAGCTGCAAACACAATAGCGATCGCTGTCAGGACAGAGCCTGCATACTCAGAATACATTTTCTTAAGTTTAGCTCTTGAGCATATGGCTGCAGGGTAGTGATGCAATGTATGCCTCTTGGAGGGTGCATGCTGGGGTTGACTGTGTGCATGTCGGAAGTAAGAAAAGGAAGAGGTGCTGTGCAAACAGGAGAGGGAGTCATTTGAGCAGCAGAAGAAGGACGAATGGGTCCCGAAGCTGGGCAGCATGGTGTTTGTGCCACGCATGAAGGGCAAATTCAAGGTGATTTACATTGCATTTTTAAATTTCAATTCGAATGCATGCTCTCTATGCTACCGCCCCTCCCTTCTGCAGGTGAGAAAACTTCAGATGAGCTGCTTGGGAGAAAAAGCTTGCATGAGTGCTTCCTTTAAAACTCTGGGTGGCATTGATGATGGCCCTAGTGTTTCTGAAATAGGAATGGTGTGCTGCAGGTCGTGGCAGTAAGCAGCAACCAGGTGACAGTGCAGCTGGGCGGTCTTAAAGTAAAGATTGCAATGGATGAGGTCAGACGGTAGCATGCGCACAGATGTGCCTACAACCACACACCATGTGGCTGTAGCTGGCCGGCGGCGGCAGGGGGTGATGAAAGCTAGAAGGCTAATATTAGTGTCTTCTGGAGGTTGATAAACCATTCAGACGCCTCATTAACGGCCCCGACTGTGCAATTTATGACTCTGATATACAGCACTGGGAACTTATATAACTATATACAGCGTTATCAGAATTTGTGTTGAACCATTTGACATTTTTGGAGAGCAATTGAACCTCTCCTTCAGCAAGCACTTGCTGACAAGTAGTGCTTAGCAGTAAACGTTCATGTTGAGAACGCATGAGGAAACGCAACGTGGACTTCAGTGCCTAAGCACAATGGTGCTCCTATCACTCTTGCTAGGTAGGATAGCACTCTGCCTTGACCAGCTATTTTTGGTCAACCGGGCGATTGACAGACCACCAACATGTACACATTCTTTTGTAGATAGGCAAATCAGACAAGTCAAGATTGATGCCATGACAGCTGTAAGAAAAGAACAGCTTTCTATTGTCCATAAGTCTAAGGGTATCTTACCAAAACTCGCAGTTTCTTTGGACCTCCAGAGTGGGTGCTCGACAGCTGTGTCTTTGGCAGCACATTGTACACACGTGCCATGCCTTGCATGTCTTGCGTTCTACCTTGAATTACATCATCAAATGATGTGCAGCTTCTTCCCCAGTGCTGAGGCAGCCTTGCGAATCAAATTCCCGAAGGTCCCAAAAACTGGCCCCAGAATGCCATCGCCCTCTGCTTCTTCTGACACAGTGCTCACAATGCTGCCATCCTCCTGCACAATCTCCCAGGGCAGCACCTTATCTACCGGGGCAGGCACCTGCACCATAGCACTAGGCAATTGTGGTCAATTAGTACTTAAATTGGTACGACAGTCCCGAGCGGCATTGAAGGTTTTCCTGGAACAACCTTGACATGCACTAGAGTGAGTCCAGCATGTACCTCAACCTTGTGCAACCAGTCAGCAGTTATAATTCGCCACAAGGAAGTGCTTGCATGCGTATGTATGTCACGGGCTGGCCGACCACCGGCAGACACCAAACAACTGCAGCTGTTCAGCCACTTATACACTTTAAAGCACCGAGGCTATTTCGAACATGTCGAGTAGATCTTCCGCACCTCCACATCCTCGGCAGATGCCCCTTCAGATGCGGCCATGCTGCGCAGCGCTTCTTGGAACACGCTCCTGCGCAGAGACGGCGCCGCTGCCGGCTGCGACTCAGCGCTGCCCTCCCTAGCCGCGGCCTCTGGCTTGTACGCTGTCGCCAGGGCAGCCACCTTCCGATATCCGCTGCAGCACCATCACAGACAATCACATGAAGTGCATGTTTCACTATAAACAGAGCATTGAAGTCCTCTAAGGGCCTGCGCATCAACACGGGGCAAGATGCACCTACCATGCAGGAGAAGCTCTTGTTGATCACAACAATGTGAGTGTGCTGCTCCCCACAGGATCCGTAGCAGGAAAGGAAGTGTTTCACTTGCTGCTGCATTGTGCGGTTGCAGTTGGATCAAGCCTTTGGGTCTGCAAAATGGAGGGTTTGGCTGCACAGCTACCTTGGCAAGAGGGGCTCAATTGAATCATTTAACATGAGGCTTGAGACTGGCTGCAGAGCTGTGACTGGGACAGGCGCTCACTCGAGCCACTTGACGCGAGGCTTGTGCAGGGAGCCTTCCACCGCGATGGGCAGCATGGCTTCGCGGGGGAGGCCCTTCAGCCCCAGCCGTGAGAGGGAGGCTGCTGGGAATCCCAGCCACATGCTAATCTGGTCGCTCTTCACGTCCACCTCCCCCCAGGTGGCCAGGTGCAGCCCTGCATCAATTTCATTATTTGGTTTTAATTAATTGATTATTTGGTTAATTGATTGATTAGTTGACATTCTTGAAGACACTCAAGCAAGCTGCTCTGAGATCTCTCCTCCCACCTCCATCAATCATCTCATTCACCAACCCTGCATGTGAGGGGCATTCTGAACATGTTCCTCCCGAAGGCTGCCAAGTAAGCACAAAGATATTCACCGAGCGCAACGTATGCACTTCACCAGGATAGCAGGCGCAGAGCTTGTTCTGGTACAGTATCCTAGGGTTCTGAGGTATTTGGAGGGGAAGGAGGCAACACGCACCACGGCTGGCCCCGCCCACAAGCACATCCAGTCGCTGGGTCTGCAGAGCGCCACTGCCGAGCAGGTCCACACAGATGGCCGACGTCTGCGCCTGCAGCAGTGAGCCACGTGCGCGCACGCCCCCGCTGCCCTGGCTTGCCAGGAACTCTATCGCCTTGCCCAGCAGCGGCCCCCGGCCCACCTTCAGCCTGCCAGGCACCTCAACTCATCATTTCTTGAATGCAATATTCACGACTATGATGTCATCATATCCTGCAGTGTCAGTTCTTTGGATAAACTCGTCGGACGCTATCGCGCAGGACAGCCCTTGATACTGCCAGCACATATTCCTCCTTTGACAGGGGCTTTGCCTGAGCTGGATGAGGTGCCACAACAGCATGATGGATGAGGCCTGACCTCAAAAGCCGGCACAAGCTATGTGTTTGTGTGGCAGCAGGACAGAGAGACATCACTTTTAGGGCTCTCAGCGCCTTTGCCAAGGCAGCAAAAGGCTCTGATGGATTGCTCGGTATGCAATGGGTGGCGGCTGTTGGGAGAGCATGGAAGACTATTGACCTGAGGGGCTCCACGCGCACTGCCACGCGCTCAGCGGGCAGCTCCATCTTATCAGGTGTGGCGCTGACGGAGACGAGTCCACCCTCTTCCACAGCCGCCACGTCAGCCAGCAGCGGTGCCACCTTGGCAAAACCGTACCTGCAAACAAGATTTGAATTCCTTACTTTCTTGTACCTTGAGGAGAGTCTGCTCCTTTTTTTTGCGAAGATACAGTACCGTAGTATTGGTAGCTCTGGCACCCTCAACACATTTTAGGCCGTAGATCACTGCATGGGATGCAGCGAAATTGTGTTGGCCGTATGTTCATTTCTGAGACAGGTCATCGCTGACCTGGACTTCTGAGATCAAGCGAATACTGCGCTGCATGGATTCCACATTGCTGTGAACGGGCAGCCAGGGCTGATCGGAGCTGTCACTTCACTGACACTCTACATTGTGGACTGGGGCTCCAGGCTTTTGCTGATGCTGATGTGCACACAGTGCCCAGATTTCAAGTATCTCAGGAACAGCCATGCCGGCGAAAAACATACACGAGTAAAGTAGCTAATGGCAAATTGCTGGTAAAAGAGAGTGGGAGGTGCACACTTGGCCAGTGCAGGCGTGTAGGCGAAGGATGCAGTGATGGGTTCTCGAAGGATGATGCCATCGGCTGTGCGCCAGCCGCTGAGCTGTGCATTGATGTGCTGGCTGGCCACCTTGATAACAGTCGGCTCCAACGGCTTGCCTGCATGCAGCCAATGTCAACAATTTCTGCCCAGCACTCTTCAAGGATGTCCCCTAAGGGGTTTGAACCCTCGCAGTTGCCTTGCAAAGGCAACGCATCCAGCAGGAGGTGCCGGAATGAGGTGAAGGGAGCGCTCTTTGCATGCCAATCATGGAAAGAACCCAGTCTTCTTCTGTTGCTGTGCAATACCGAGAGCTATGGTGTATGCGCATGCTGTGATGGTGCTGTTGTATGATCTTTTTGGAACAACTCATGCCTGCCTTTCTGCAGGTTACTAGAGGGCTTTGGGCGACAAGACCAGGGACGACATGCCCCCTTTGTGGTGACAGAGACTGTTGCAGCATGCGCACCAATGTTGCGGGACCTGGGAGGCTTGGGTGTGTTGTCCACCCAGCCGGCTTCAATGTCATAGTCGGGGCCATCGGCCTTCAGCTGCTTTGCTCCCACAATGGCAGTCAGGTGGAGATCATTGCCCACCACCTGTGCCGAGTAGACACTGTCTTGCAACTCAAAATCACAACAAAGTACCAAACTGTTTGGTTCTTACGCATGGGTTGCAAAGCTGTTTGCAGTGATGACGGCCTCCATTTCTCGGATGATACTTCGTACTATCAAACAGAAAAGAAAGCATTCAGCCATGCAAACTGCGATTGTCAGTGCAGAAGCTTTGGTAGCAGACCTCCTTAGCGGCACAGGGAAGGCCATGGATGATGCCGCCGGAGACGTAGAGGTGCCCGGACAGAAACTTGCCCTCAGCCGCAAACCTCACATCCTCACTCCCAACTTTGGCCTTGACCCCTCCTGGGGTGTCCGCCCGTGCAAGGGGCGCAGCTTTGCCCTGCAACAGCACATCACTCTCATCACCTATGATCCCAGGCTTCTCCCCTATGCACATGCAATGCAACGCAATATCTTCAACAGCCGCTCCTATGTAATAGTGTGTCATGTAGGTCAGAGATAATTTTTACATGCAAAGCGTCGGTTTCTGTGGAAGTTTCTTTTATCGGCAGTTCACCTGGGCGACTTGCTGCAGTCTGAGCTCCCCTTCCTCGGTCAAGGAGCCATCCACACGCGGACTGCTGACCACAACCTCGTACTCGCGGCCCCTGGCAATTTCCCACAGCGACGCAGAGGACCTGATGCTGGGCACCTCTACCACTGCGCTGCCGCCAGCTTCTGACAAGTCACCCCACTCCACATGCTCGATATTGACAGGCTTCCTCCATCCAAGGCTGGCCTGCAAGCAATAGCAATCTTGTTAGTCAAGCGATGGCAGTATCATGTGTGCTCTGTCCTTTGGTGACTGCAGGGACTGAAACCTCTGGTGCCTTGTCTTGCATGTTTAAAGTTTTCAAGGAGTGCATGCGCAGGTGGGCAGCAGACCTGCTTGACTGCAACTGTGCCTGGTACAAAACGGTTTGCGACCGCCAGTGCAGAGCGCAGGCCTGCCTTGGTTGACAGAATGGACGGCAGAGCCACAACAAATGCCGCGAGCACCAGAGCGAGGCCTCCTGCAACCTTTGCCATGTCCCAGGCGAAGCGTTGCAGCCTTGACTTGGGTCTGCCACGTGATGAGTCATTGGGAAATGCTGAAGCAGAGCAGATCCATGTTCTGCTTCCATAGTGCTTTCCTTGAAAACCCTTCAAATTGGCTGCCCCTCGTTTTTGCTGTGGTAGCCCACAAGGCACGCGGCCGGGGAAGGGGGTCACAAAGATGCCAACAGAAGGCTTTGCAATAATTTGACGCAAATTTCTGACAGATCCGTTTGGCATGCCCAAGTAGATGCTTGGGGCATGCCGGCAGTTGATACTTCGCGATGAAGCCAGGTGTCCTTGGCAAACAAGATCAAGAACTTGACTTGTACGCATTATTTTTAAACACTGTTTACGATACATTATCAGGTGTGCCCAAGCTTCTCAATAGTGTTTGAAGTTAATGCAATTCGTGATCACTGAGGTCCACCCGTAAAACTCTGATGCTGTCATCCTCGATGTGTCGTTGTTGGAGAAGACGCCTCGATGTGACCAGACAACCTTCCTATTCAAAGTTTTGCGACAATTGAAGCAAACGCAGAGAGGAAATCGACCGCTGCATGGCAGCTTCTTCTGGCTCCCTTGCATGCTGCATGCGGCGTTCCTGCCCATTTCTATCTGGGACATTCCAATGATTCATATCTCGTGATTGCTACATAACACCTGTAACACAACGGAATTCTTATGATTGGCCAAAATTCTGTGAAAGTGGCAACTCTACACAAATACATCCTTGTCTGATCACGGCTACAGGCGAATGGCAGTAGCCTGGGAGAATTGGCTACCTGGCCCTGTGGCCACGGCAACAACGGATGAGGAGCAGGGCCGAACCAGATTGATTTTTGAGGCCATTAGGGACGAATGGAACCGCAACAAAAATGCAGCTCCACCAGTTCGGAGTCAAAGTACTCTGAAGTGGATTTCCATCGTGCACAGGTGAGTCTTGTTGATCCCATTCTGTTGTCGTCTATAACAAAGTATAAATAGTGCGGCTGTAGGAGTCACCTACAATCCGTAAACGATGCTGACATGCAATTCTGCAACTTTTCGTAGCTACCATCAAGCGTGCTTCCTTGTAGAGGAGATAGTACCCACAAAACCTGTAAAATGCCCGCATGATACTTTAGTCAATATGGCCTCTGCATTTCTATTATCAATGAATCGACAATGCATGTGTCAAAAATACGCATTGCACTGTGACTCGCAGCTCTGGCATCCTGCACAAGGGACAGCAACCCACCACTGAGGTGGCAGATCTGATCTTGTCGACACTGCTGGAAATTATTTGGAACTCGCCACATGACTCTGCAGCACAGGTAATTCACTAGTATCTGTAGTTATTTTCAGGTGTTAATCAACAACACCTGCGCACCTTTTCTGCAGATGGTCCACAAGTACATCTGACATCCTGGTGTTTGCGTGGATCAGATCCGGTGGATCAATGTGTTGAACAAGCTGCTGACCAAGATCTGGACCAAGATCAGCATCACTGTGCCCTGGCGGCCCTTCTACGAGAAGATCAATGCTGTCTACGTGGAACCAATGACTACCTTCTCAGGTGAGCCCTGACTTGATGACTTCCAGACACAGCTATGCAAAGGTTGCGCTGGTGTTCCATCTGAGCTCATCATTTCAGTATTCGATTTGCATAGCAAAAAGTCCCATGATTTAATAATGTCGGCATCAGCATTTTTCTCGATACTTACTTGCTGGAAGGGATGCTTTGGGCATGGGCAAACATAAGAATTGCATCTGCTGCTCAGGTGCGTCGGTCGTGGAGGGTCAGAAGGAGTACACTCTGAAGCTGGTGCGCCATGTGCGTCGCTTCTTCTCCAAGGAGGCACCTCTGGAAATTTGGTCGGAGTTCAGGCCCAAGATGGAGAATCTGCACTCATCTGATGCCATGGAGGTAAGCTGTGCTTCATAACGAGGACAATAACGCAGTTGATTCAGAGCTGTGTGCTGCATAATGAACTAGCCAAATATTCATATATGGGCTCAAGAGAATGTGTGTCTGTAGGCGCTGGGCTGGCTGTCTCTCCTCTTGCCTGTGACCCAAGTGAAGCAAGGCGGCGCGCATTGGAATCAGTGGCTGGGGGAGTGGATGGCGCTGTGGGGCTCGCTGTCTCACAATGCATACTGGGACACGCTGTGGATGGGCCTGATCAGCCGACTGGCAAAGCTGGACAAGAATGGCAAGAATCCTCATAAGTAACTCAAATTCTGTATAGATGACAATGTTGTGTGCATTCGCATCGTCCCTGGACCATGCATGTGTAGAAATAGGCTGACAGACCAGACATATCTTTGCAGGTGTGATTGACTGGTCTCCACACATCCAGGAGCTCTTCACACACATCCAGTGGTCCTTCCAGGTGCCTGTGGGCTCTGCTGTGGCTCATTCCCCCATACGTGAGTCCTCCTTTCTACGTCATGATACCCAGTACCCTTGCGACCCAGTCACATCTTACCTGTAAACATGCATTGTCAAGGATGCTGTCACCTTTCTTCACCATCATATCAACGCCTTCAAACCCTGCTCATTATTTATCTTCAGGCATGCGTGGTCGAGGATGCTGTGATGTGATGTGCATGCCAGCACTCTGAAGATAGCGTCTTGAGTGGAAAATTGTCGGATGCACAGGGATGAACCTCCCGGGCATCTGCAGAGCGTTGTTTGACAGCGAGCTGAGGCACAGCGCCCAGGAAGGGGCAGGGCCTCGGCTCATTGTCATGCTCCTTGGACGGGTGCCAGCAAAGGATGGCAGCGGCGACTTAGTCATGCCCTACCTGCAGCGTCTGGCCAACCTCCTGGAGAGCTATTTCCACCCCTCCAATACTGGCCAGTGAGTGTTCCTCCCTCCTCTCCTGCATCATATAGGCTGCTGTGCCGTCATGACTGTGCGTTAGACACTCTCCGTGCTAGGCCAGGGCTGTTGAGAGCCTGCGATTGTGTTTGGCGTGCGCTGTCTGTTAGCACGAAATTGGGTTCTTTCCCACAGCTGAAAGTCGTAGTCAAAGTATGATTTCTCTTCTGTATGTGAATGTGCATGCATGCTTCTTGAAAGCGGCGTCCTGAGAGGGTTGCTCTGAGTAATGGTGTGACAAATGCTGTGTCACCCATGCCAGGTGGACAGGCTCGCTGGCATCCTTCCTGAGCGCCCTGAAGAAGAACTTTGTGCTGCGCATCAACGCCGAGAACTCTCCACGGGGTGTGAACGAGGATGTGTACCTGGATGAGGATGGAGCAGAGGAAGCAGCAGATGGGGCTGAAGATGAGACAAAGGAAGACGAGGATGCTGACGTGGACATTGAGAGCACCGTGGAAGGTGCACCCTTCTGCATTTGGATTGATAGAAAGCAGTTTGCTGCCCACATTCTCAAATGACAAAGGACTCAGGAGTGCTTGAAAGTATGGCTGAGACGTTTGAGCTGCACCTGTGCAGCAGTGGCTGGAGCTGAGGCACCAGAGCACAGGGAGCCGCTAAGCAAGGAACTGCAGCGCAGCTTTGCAAGCGTCATCTTGCAACTGGCCAGCAAGGCCCAGTACTCCAAGGCAAGTCACAGCTGATCTTTGTCGCACTGCTGCGGCGAATTCCTGCCAATGTCACTGGACTGACAGCGCCTTGAGACCCCCATCAGATTGACTATCTTTTGGTGTCCCATGCCTGCATGTGATTGTACTCAAGCTTTGGTGACTAGCTAAGTAGCTCCTTGAATGAAGGTGAGTGTGAGCAATCCATGCCGCATGGCAACCAGCTAGCAACCATCTCATTGGTTTAACGATTACCCATAGAATATTTGTCTGTCAAAGTTTTCTGCCAGTTCCTACAAGACCATCATGGTGTTTGCGTGATATTTTATACATATTTTAAATATTTTTAGGATTTTCGTGATTTTGTGTGAGTGTGTGTGTCCAGGATCGCCACATGGTCAGGGCAGCCTGCGATGCAATCGCTGTGATGGCTTACATCATCCCTGATGTCATCCTGCCTCTGGTGTATGAGCGATTCCAGGTGTGCCAGATGATCTCCTTCTGAATCTAGATTCATGCTGGCGAAGAGGATTGCCATGCTCGTGCATGAGTGATGTCACCAGGTGCAATGGCTGTGAAGAGGTTAAATGTCAATTTAGTCTTGACCAAAGTTTTGGTGTGTGCAGCTTGCCATAGAGTCGGTGACTGCCACACACCAGCTGGAGGCAGCAGTCATCACTCTCAGCAAATGCGTGCGGCCCCTGCTGCTGACTGGTTCCCTGAAGCCTCTCAACAAGGACATTGGCATTGAGGAGGTGTGATCCTCATCAGTATCTGGTGCTCTTTGTTGGCTCGCCTTCTCAAATCTTGACTCTGTGCGGTGGAATTCTTGTACATCTTGCAATATGCCAGAAAGGGATGTTGATGCACGCAGCGCAAGAGCAATGCAAACTAACAAAACATCCATGGCATAGATTTTCTGCTGTGATGGTAATGTTTTCTGTTATATGTTTGCCATTCTTGATGTGAAGCTCTCTCAAGGGTTGGCTTTTTGACAGAAGGCACCAATGCAGGTGTCCTCTGGGGAGGTCCTTGCAGATGCCATGATGGCTCTGCTGCCAGGTCTGGATGCCAACGACGAGCGCAAGACATGCGCAGTCTTCCGCTTCTACACCATTGTGCTCTCCTCCATACCGGGCCTTGCGGTGAGTGTCTCCCCATCCCCTGCGAAACAACTGCACAGATCCTCGAACTACCACAGAATGACATGTCCAGCATTTTCTGAATTTGCAGAAGGCAGCCAATGCTACTCCGGCAAGGTAGTAGGTGTGAAGTATTGGTACATCGTCGGAGAAGCACACCACAACAACTTCTTGGTGTGGGAACGGACATGTAGGTTGCCTCCTGTGGGTGTGGTGTTGAGGTGTCTGTTTAAAACATCAGAAAAGCACACAACTATGTGTTGATGTGGGAAAATGCATGCGGGCTGCCTGCTGTACGTGTGTTGTTGAAGTACGTTACTTGTGAATCATCACAGAAGCACCACACAAGTACATGCTGACGTGGGAATATGCATGCACCCTTACTGCATGTATTTTAGGCAGGCTATCACTCAATTGTACCTGCATGCATGCAGACGGATCAGCCAGGGTTCCCGCTGCCCACAGAGGCCTGGCTGGAGGAGCTCCTGGCGCTCCTCTTCCGCATGCTGTGCAACCTGGAGTCGCCCGAGGCGCGCTCGGACCACAGCGGCGGCAATGCATCCTTCCTCCTTGACGCCTCCTCCATGTACAGGTGCATCTCACAGCTGTCTCTTGACAAGCTCTGCGATTGTAGGCCTAAGTTTTGCTCACTGTTGCCATTACAGTGGAACGTGCCATGTGATCTCAAGAGCGCTGTGCACACGCATGCATACTTCAAGGTTCAGCAGTGTGACTTTGGATAATTTGATACCTCTGCACTCTGACATTCTGATGTCAGAATCATTAAAACGACCTTTATGTCTGTAGCAAGTGAATCGAGACAGGGATGGAAAGTGACAAGCCTGGCTCGGTGTTGGGGATACCTGCAAACTGTACGTGTTTGCAGCAAGGGACATGACAGCTATTTACATACGAGTGATACAGTAGCCTGCCTAAAACAGGTGCAGCAAGGGTGGAACAGCAGGGAACCTTCCATCAGCAGTGCTGAAATCTGTCAAGCAATACATACAAGGAATTGAAGCAGATGGCATACAAATGAGCTTGTGCGCCCTTGCCAGGCCCATGATGGACCTGCTCTTCGCTCGGCTGTCCCCAGAGCTGCGCACCTTTGCCATACGGAAGGTCGGCCGCTTCCTAGCCACTACCTCTCTGCCATCCATGACCGCGGAGGCGTCAGTGCTCGCGCAGGCAGCCGCCACGTCAGATGCTGAGGCCGCGGCGCAGCACATTCTGGAGCCTGTGCTGGCGCAGACTGAAGCTGAGCTCCCCGGCCTGCAGAATCTGCACTCTGCGCAGCTATCCAAGGTACAGGAGCTTCATCCTCTGCCTTTGAATGTTCATTTCCTGATTATGTCAGGGAAATGAGGCACATGTCATTGCTATTGTTACACATTATCCAGGTCTTGGATCTAGGTACGTCCAGCATCAGGTGTATCGAATTTTTCTATTGTGTGCGGTCATGGCACTTTTTTCACCAATGCAATGACAATCCAGGGGACTCCAAATCGTCTCTTACACCCTTGAGCTGCACAGAATGAGAGCCTCATATGTATTTAATGTGCGATGCACCTCCTGCTGAGCCTGTAGCTGGCAGCTGCTTGTGTCTTGCCCTTGCTCTCAAAATTTATTGTCCATCAACATGATTCATTAAGACTGGAAAACAAGCTTGTGACAGGAGGCCCCTGTGAATTGTGCAGGTTCAAGAGGCCAGCCTGAAGTGGAAGGTGACAATACTGCAGTACACCATGGTCCAAATGCGAGCTGCTCTGGCGCCTTACAAGGCCCGCATCATGAAGGTCTTGTCAGCATTGTATGCCGCTCCTTCAAAGGTGCATTCTCCGTCCTCTCACCATATCAATTCATGGATGCATAGAGCGAGACTCTTTTGCGCATGCAACGGAGCGGACCTGAAGTATCATATTACATCACATTGTCGGCTCTTCAACATGTCTTTGCCCTAATCCCAAGCAATGCAGAAGGGCTGCAGCCATGTTCTGCTCTAGTGCTCTGTTGTGTGAGCTATGTTGTGTGAGCTAAAGGGAACTCTGTGTGAGCAGGATGTTCACGTGGAGGCCAGGAATCTGCTGAGCATAACGCTGAATGGCCTCACAAACTTCAAGTGCGTTGACCAGTATCAGCCGTCCGCCTCTGAGCCACAGCCAGGCTCGACAGAGGCTCCCATGCAACTGGAGGCTTGGTTGACACCCAGATACGGTGATCTGGATGCTGGAGTCAGACCACCGCAGTGGTACATACCCAGCCATGCGGAGGTGAGCACTGCCAAGGTTGCTGGGAAATTTCAAAAACGGCAATGGTAAACTACAATTGCCTAAACGCTGCTCAAAGCATGCAATGCATGATCTGACGTTCTGACCAACGGTGTCTTCAAACTTGAGCCTTGAGAGTTGCACAGCACGTGTCTGACTTTTTGGCATGCATTGCCAGATCGCCTTTGCCGAGGAGCTTGTACAACAGCATCTGGTGAGCGCTGCAGAGGAGCTCATTGCCCTGAGCTCTGGCAACGGCACTGCCGGCCAGAACGGCATGAACCAGAAGAACCAGTACTTCTCTCTGCTGTACCGCATTGCGGCCTGCCTGGAGGGCCTGCAGACCTGCCTGCCAGACTTTGAGGCCCCTACTGCGACCACTCGCTCTGGCACAAGCCTCGTCGCTGCTGGACAGGTGACCAGCACATCAGACACCTAAGGCCATTCACTAACAGAAAACTATACTCTCTGAGCCATATTCAAATGCTTGATTTGAAGGGGTCTGTCAGCTGTGCAAATCCTTGGCAAGCCAAAGCACAGGCATGCAATTATGGAATAACCCCGTCCACATGCATGGCAACCAAAGAGCAACTGAGGAGGAGCACAATATCAATGGAAAAGTGTATATGAGGCGTGAAGTAGATTTCTGTTGCAATGGTGCAGGCGGGTGCGGTAGTGGGCAAGCCAGAGCACAGGGAGCTTGTGGCAAGAGCGGTGCTGGCAGCTTGCAAGTCAGCCGGGGCTCAGGACCCCGAGGTTCTGCAGCTCGTGCTTTCGGTGAGGCTCCTGGAGGATAAGACAAAAACACTGTTACACATCTTCTGAGCAATGTTTTCTGTTTTGCAGGCTCCTCATAGCCAACTCTTCTCACCAAAATTTTACCTCTATTTCCACTGAAGTAAATGGTGTTGTTCATCAGGCCGGATGCCAAGAATGGGGGGTGTGAAGGCCATATTTGTTGTGTCTCCATCTGCAGGTTGGATCGCACCTGCTGCTTTCAGGCGTGACGGAGTACACAGCGTCCAAGCAGACTGCAAAGACCCAGGCAGATGACGAGGCTGCCATCGTCGAACCAGCCCTCGCCAACCTGCTGCGCGGCAAGCAGGTGATTTTGTTGCTGGGGGCATCATGTCTCAACGGTTTTGTTATGTCTGATTACAGGCACTTATGTTTGGGGGCACCAGCTTTCTGTGATTTCATATCACATGCAGGCACTTGTGTTGTATTCTCAGGCCAACTACAACATGTGCTGGCCTCGTGTCACAGGCAGGTGCTTGTGTTTTAGTAATTGCGGCCATCTTATGTCACAGGAGGGGGCTGTGTGGCGGCGGAGGCGTCCCAGGTGGCTGGCCATAGAGAAGGTGACTGCGCACAGCCTCTGGCGCGCATCCCAGAAGTCTTTCCGCTGGTGGGCCTCCACTGAGCGCACTGAGGCCACCCTCGACATGATCAGCCCCACCTTCAAGGTAGCTATTGCGGCCTTCCCTGCAAAAAAAGTTGTTTGCACACCCAATTAACTGCCAGTACAGTCAGTGCACATGCCTGGACTGCGTTCTGTGAGGAAAGCTCTTGATATGATGAGCCCGACCTGCAAGGTCAGTCCTGCCCCCTCTTGAGAGAGCTTGTTGAGACGGCTGCCCCAAGAAGGGCTGCTGCACGCGCTTGCATCTCATCTTGTAGACAGGCAGTGTTGTGCAGAGCGAGGTAGGTGGTTATGATGCGCTTGACCTGCATTTCTAAGTGATCCACGACTCCAGCAGTTCCTCAAATTCCCATTACCTTGTCATGACAACCTGGTCATTACCTATAGGACATGTGTCTCTTCAAAGATGTAGTCATGTCTCGAGTGAGAAGCTGTCACTATGGTGGCAACAGGAAACCCAATTCTGAGATTCTTTCCTTCAATTGATGTGAGCTTCTCCTTCTGAATGTTTTTTTTTGCCTGATGGTGTCTTTTCTATTTGTCGGTGTCAATTTGGGCAGCTAAATCCTGGCGCCTGAGATTGCCAATCACCTTCTCAGTATATGGCGGACAAACGAGGTGAAGTGAAAGAGTATGTGACCCCTGCACAGGCTGTCTTTGTGGAGCAGCTGCAGCACAGCGTGCACACGTACAGGGGCGTGCGCGACGCAGCCTTCCAGGCTGTCACGCTGGCGCTGAAGCGCTACCCCTGCCTCACAGTCTCCTGCCTGCCCTTCCTGCTCAGCGGGCTCGCCAATCTGCCCAGGCCCTCCTCTGATGCAGTCCTGGAGGTCATGAATGGATCCATCGCTGACGGTGAGATCCTTAAACGAGTTTATATTCTGTGGTGAGCTCTGAAAGGTCATTTCAAATGCGCACATATATGCAGAATCGGGCCAGTGCACTGAGTGTGAGGCCCACTTCAGGTGAGAAAGCGCTGGAAGGAACCCTTGCCACGCTGCTGAGCAGGCAGGAGGACAGCAGCACTGCCAGCGACTTCAATGCATCAGCTGCAGGTGCGTCCTGGCCTCCTTTCTTCTCTCATGGGTCGTAGATGCAAAGGTCCCTTACTCTATACCGGTTTGGCCTGCTAAGCGAGAATTTCACTCAAGCAATGAGGAGTTTCCCAACGGTGCACACCAGAACGACCCGCATCGTGCAATCAAAGTTGATTGCATGAGAGATGCGTTGGTTAGAAGAGCCTCCTGGGGCCTGTCAGAAGTAGCACGGTTAAGAGTGTAGGCATCCGCACTGATCCGCACGGATCGGGGTTTTGCTGATTTTGGTGCAACCCCAATCCAAGGAGCATGAAAAGAGTATTTCATCAGCGCTGTCTTCACATAATCCTTTTTCCTATCAATAACAAGGGAAAATTGCTGATGTCAGCGCTGACCTCACGCATGCTTGCGCGCGCAGAGGTGGCGGAGCAGGAGGCGCTGGTGGCGGGGGTGTGCGCCCTGCTGTCGGGGCAGCCCTTCTACCGCGCGTCCGCGCGCTCGGCCACGGCGCTGGCCGCTCTCGCGACGGCACTCCTGGGCAGCGCGGGGCACCAGAGCCCCAAGGCCGCGCAGGTCATCGCCTCCATGTTCATCACCTTCTCCGTCGGCTTCATCCGGCCTCCCGCCCTCTCCTATGCTCAGGTATCGCCCTGGGGTTTTCTGCTCCTATCTCCCGTCACTGGATGTGGGAGAGGGTGCCTGATGGACAGATTTGCACGGCAATGCGAAAGGAGGGGGAAGAGGTTGCAGACAAAGGCAATTCGCATGCCGATCAAGACATGTCATATTGTGATCGGCTTTGATGAGTGCTTAGGCAGAACCTGGACACCAATAGAGCATAGACCATCGTCCTTTCTTGTTACCCTGCTTCTAGAGACACCAGCACCTCAGTTGCTACCCCGTCATGCCAGACCAGCTGTCAAGATTTCTTTGTCTGACGACGAAGTTATCTTGTGACAAGTTGGGACAGGGTACTGCATGGTTGAGGGTGGAGAACGCTGTAGGATGGAAGTTGAATGCAAGCAACCAACAGTGTGTGGTCCCTCTGTTGCAGCTTGAGCTGGGCACTGTGCCGGAGCCGATCAGCGCGGTGGTGTCGCGGCTGCTGGAGCTGCTGTCCTCGCAGCAGCCGCAGCGTCGCCTGCACTGGCGCTACGAGCTCATGGCCTCCGCCATCCTCATGTTCCTGCTGCCCGCCGTGGACGCTCCCACTTCCAAGGTACCTGCTATTGCCCATGCTAATGGATGGCCATCGATTGTTTATTGGCCTTAGGCCTCACTGAATTTTCAGCAAAGTTGCATAACACAGACACACGATCAGCAAGATTGGTAACAGCGTGATATGAGTGGAATTACATAATAAGGCATGCTGTGACAGGGGTCAGTAAGGTCATATTTTGGGTCTATGCGCAAATCTTGCACTGCCCTATTTTGACCCCTGGTCCGGGTGGCCATACGGCCGCTGCGAGCGCCTTCTGTGGTCTTGTCATCTCCTTCCAGGCTGGCTCTCTGGTTATGGGACGTGGTCTTAATGGAATATTTCAGGGGGGTGTGATGTTTCTCTGCTGTGCTGTTTTGTGCAGGCCGTGGCGACCGTCTTCCTGGACATGTTGGTGAGCCAGCTGCAGAGCCTGCGCTCCATGGCCACCACTGCAGTGCTGTTCCTGCTGGGCTGGAAGGAGGCAACGCCCCTGGAGAAGGTGAGCAACGGGGACCTCCTGTAGGCCACGTCTATACAGCAACTCCAGTGAAAGAAAGACGCATGCATAGCGAGCGCCAGAGACCAAGAGGACCCTGAAGTGCCAGTTCACTGCAGTGAATCTAGAGAGGAGAGAGATCTATGCATAGCACGCGCTAGAGATAGGAGGGACGGGTCAGAAAGCCAAATTGATAAGAAGTGCGCACGATAGTCCCATTTGAGGTTGATACAGTGAAATCGTAGAGAAAGGGAGATGCAGACATCAAAGCGTAGCGAGGGCCAGAGATGAGAGGAAGGGGTTGAAGCCAGTTCGATGAAAGTGTGCAGTATACTCCAAGCAGGAGTTCATCTCTTACATATTGATTTGATCGCAGGGTGGCAATGCTGCTGCAACAGTGGAGGCGGTGCGAGCTGTGCTCAGCGCTCGGCCGGACTATGGTGGAGCGCTTTTGGCGCAATTGACGCACTCGCACCCTGGAGGAGGCCAGGCCGAGGAGAACAAGGGCGCAGCAGGGTGACTCACTCTGGCGCTCTTTCACTATTGGTCAACGCTACACCACTCCTTAGCTTCTTTGTCCATGTTGAGTGCACGGTACGCAAGGTTGTTTGTGATGCGACAGAGCCCAGTTGGCAAGTTTGTGGTCATGCCATTGTGCAGCTGCATTCATGCCAGTCGGGCGGCTCTATGTGTGGTTACTGTGGTTACCATTTTCAACGTGCAGTATTGTATGTAATGAACACAGTGTGGGCGTGCGCAGGTTTGTGGCAAAGTTCATGGCGATGTCGATGGATGAGAAGGCGGCCCAGCTGATTAGCCGGGCCGTTGAGGGGCGACTGCTGCTGTGGCCCGACCGCAAGTCCACCGCCGCACAGGACTCCTCCTTCAGCCCCATCCATGCACACCTCATTAGGGTGAGCATCTCTGGTGCTTTGATGACGCGAGGAGCTGCTGGGCCATGTTGTGCTGTCATGCTGAGCACCGTTGTTCTGCAGTGCCTACACCCAAATTCCGAAATGAAAAAATGTGGCAGATGAAGAGCCCTGTCACTTCTGCGTGAGATGCGCGGTGAAGCTGATGGCCACATTGCCGACAGCCAATGTGGCTACCAGCTGCCTCCGTCCTTCCATACAACGTGACAGGGACCAATTGGGGAAGTGGCTAGTCTACAAACGAGCTGCTTTTATTACTGGACACGCCTCCCTTGAACTGTAGGGGTGATGGCAGGGCATGTCTGTGCATGGACCAAACTCCACACTTGAGGGACAGCGCCCCATGTATCTGTCTCATCATCAGCCCAGACGAAGCCCTCTACTCCTTCCTGTCATCAAGTGTGATGAATGCATGTGATGGATGCATTGTGGTGCAGAGGCTGGCGGATGCTGCACCGGCGGAGATGCTGGCGAGCCTGAGGGGCCCGCTGCAGGAGGCGCTGCAGGGAGTGCAGCAGGACGTGGACCGCCCGCGCACGTGCGCCTCAGCCGAAGCACTCAGTGGCCTGCTCGCCTGCAGCGCCACCTACCACACCCCAGGTCCGCACTTGATCGGAGCGATTGAAGTGAGAGATTTCAACACCACTTTCTGTGGAGACGCTGCTGCGTACTTGGTTGCATACAGCATGGACTGTATACGACTTGTGTTGCTCACAGGCACAGCGTCTCTGTCGGCTATGAAAGCCTCGTATGCAGCAACGATCTTCACTTGATGTCTTGGCAACTTGGACTCCATCACTCACAAAGCTACCTTGGCTCAGCAGCAGCTCTTACAGCTGAGTCACCATTCCATGGTGCATGGTGCAGATGGGGGCCAGAGCGCATGGAGCGAATGGGTGCGGCCGCTGGCGATGGGCGCCCTGACGGCCGCCCCACTGGAGTTTGGTGACCTGTGGGCGTGGGCCGTCCGCTACGCAGTGTACAGCCTGGCAGAGGCATGCGATCCCAGCCTGGGCCTGCTCCTGGAAGTCATCTCGCAGCCGCTGCCAGAAGGTACGCCCACATGAATGTCTAGCTTATTCTCTGCGGGCAGACACACATTCAAGCGGCAGTGCTATCACGCTTTTGATGGCAGTGACCTGCCGTGCCCGGCCATGGACATCACCGGCGGATTCAACAAGTACTTTGGCGCAGCCTACAATCTTTGACGAACTCGGACCATGGCACAAAGGCGGCACTTGAAATAGGCCGTCTTTTCGGAGGTTGTAGAATTGTGGCTGTTGAGCTGTGATGGACCTGCTGTGACTTGTTTCAAACAGTGATCAGAGCAAACTGGAGATGAAGTTGGACGGCAGAACTCATCAGAATTGCCTGCATTTACCATGAGGTTCCTGGACCTTGGAATCCAGATAATATGGTGCCGTGTATTCTGGTGGGTGTCATGTATCATACAGTTGGCACTACTGTATGCTACATGACACCCCCCAGAATACACGGCACCAGAGACGCAAAATACATGCCTGGCTCAATTTTAAGGACACCAGCAAAATGTGCTTACCACGTTGTTTCATGATTGGCAGGTGCGAGCTCGTCGGCGGTGATGAAGCGGGTGAAGTACATGGGCGAGTGCCTGACCGAGCTGACTCAGCGCGGCCTGGTCGGCGCCGCCTGCCGCACGGCCGGCGGCTCTCTCGGCGGCGTCCTCGGCGCGCCAGGAAACCAGGTGTGACACCATGAATACAATACCTAGCAGAATCATACCACCATGAATACGCTTCTTGCCCCAGGTACAGAACCCAGTGTTCTTGCTGAACAAGTAGCTGATGCTTATTGGCTCCGCTGAGCTGTCACCTACTTCCAATCTTTGAGGAGTGTTAGGTGAAGACGAAGTTCTACTGGGTCTTGCTTGGGTTCGGCAAGTCCAGCAAGGTGTCAGAATTTGGCGGCTTGACAATTGGCGCAGCTTGACTGCAGACGCACCTCGCATCTTTGCAGACGAAGCATGCAATAAACATGACAATCAAAGACCGATTTGAAGATCGTCTCAAAATGTAGCCGGTCTCAGGGGAGTGAGTAATCAGCAGTAGCCGATGACATGGTCATGCATGACACCAACAGGTGGAGCCTTCTGCCGGCGGTGGAGCTTCGAGTGGGGTGGTCAGAGGCGTCACAGGGGTGCCGGGCAGCGCAGTGACGAGCGCGCAGGGACTGGTGGAAGGCTCTGATGACCAGAGCGTGCTGGAGGCAGTGAGGAAGTTCCAGTGGAGGCTGCTGCACGAGCTGCCAGCGCTGGTCCTGCAGCCGGGCGAGGCTGTGCGCTCACAAGTGGCCGGGTGAGCATCTACAGTATTCCTACACCAAGGATCTGTCCGTGACTTCCTCCGGAAATGCGCTGTTTATGCTGGTTTAGAAAAGTACCAGGGTTTCACCAGTACTCCATTTTTCAGGAAGGTAGTACTCCAGCACTCGTACTGGGAGGACGTACTGACGTACTGGCGCTAGCAAATTGGGGTGCTTAGGGCGTTTTAGAACTCAAGTAGTCCGCGCATTGGGGCGTACAGGTGCAACCATGAAAGTGCAAAGGAAGATAGTTGTGCATGCGTGGGACATGCAGGAGCTGTGGGTGCTGTCATTGGATAAAAAGCCAAATGACGGCTTGATTTCTGATGGGGGTTTTGATAATTGCAGGGTGATGGCAATGTTTGCGAGCGGGGTGCTGTGCGACAGTGCGGAAGCCGGCGCGGAAGCTTCCTCCAGCCCTATGGACACCGATGCCGACGACCACAATTTGCGCGCCGCTTTTTCCGACTTCCTGCACAGCTTTGCAGCCGGCATGGAGGTGCCTCTTTCAGTATGCCTTACAAATTTCGGAGCCGTTCCTTTCTGCTACCTGCCTCGCTGGCATGTCAGAAGTCTGAAGCATGCACAGCAGTAGTACAAATTGAGTTCAGGGATTTCTGGGGCAACATTCAGCGAGGTGGTTGTACGAATTGATGTCAGGATTTGCCATCCGTAAATGTTTTTGGCCAGAGTACGATGGCAACGCACAGGTGATCCAGAATTATGACCAGGCTTCAACCTGCAGTCTTCCTTCTGTGCAAGTGACACTTCACTTGACGTTGTCAGTTTGACGATGTCTCCTTTTTTTCCACAGGAGGGCACGGCAACGATTCTGGCCGCAGCAGACTCCAAGGAGGCGGGCGCGGATGAGCTGGAGGCGGCGGTGGCGCTGATGCACGATGCGCGCGTGACGCGCGCCTGGTGCGGCCTGCAGTTTGTCACGCAGTCGCTTCGCTCGGCCGACGGCGCAATCGGCCCCTTCCTGGCACCCCACCTGCTCGCCTTCCTTCCCTCCCTGCTCAAGCTGCAGGTGCGCTGCCGCTGTGCCCTGCTTCTCTGAGCTGCAGTTCCTGCCCGCACGATGCTTGGCACATACCATCCAGCCATTCAAATGCGCCAACACTGCTGGTTTTGCCGCACGGTGCAGGCTGTGTGTGTCTGCTTGGTGCAGATAACTGTCCAGGTTGTGTCACCAGTTGCCCGCAAACTTTAGGATCAACCAGAACAGATGGGAGGCATTCACTGTAAGCACAGGCGTGCTGCGCCAGTGTCATGCCAGTGCCCCAATATGCACATGGCTCAGAAGCGATTTGTTCGAGCCGCATCTAACTGCGGATGGTGCTGCGTCAAATGGGACTAGCGTGGGGTTTAGCGAGCTGACACACTGACCGCTTGCGTTGTGTCGTGCAGGAGGTGCCACAGACGGAGCTGCAGCCGCTGTCGGCGGAGGCCAAGGCAGCGGTGGCGCTGCTCAAGTACCTGCCGCTGCCGGCCGCCCTGCTGCCTCGCGCCACCGCCACGCTGTCCGATGGCGTGCGCGCCAGCCTCTGGCCCACGCGCGCCGCCGCGCTCGTCTTCGCGCAGGTGCGGCATCCATTGTCCATCTGGGCCGCACATTCTGTGTTGATGAAAAGGATGACCTTCACCTAAATTGCCGGCTGATTCCTGCCCAGCTCCCCATATCAGGCTCTCGTCAGTCCGCTGAAGAAAGTTGGGTCACCTTCGCATTGGCACCTGTGCATCGGCGCTTGCGTTTCCACATCTTCCGCACCTCCTTGCAACTGATATCGTAATCAGAGGTGGCATTACAATGATCAGCCGCAGTCCAGGGGGTGCACATGGAAGAGCTGGCAGGATACTCTTGGCAGTAGCATGCTCTGAGGTGGTGAGTGGCTGTTGTGTGCAGTACTTCTGGTTCCGCCACATCTTCCTGCTGTCCGAGGCCGACCGCCGCGCCATCCTGGCCATGACTGTGGAGCTACTGGCTGACAAGAAGCTGGAGGTCCAGGACCTGGCCAAGTCCACCCTGGCCGGCCTCATCAAGGTCTTTGTCCCCTCCCTCACACACCTCTTTACATCTACCCTCATCAATGTCTTACACCGCTATATACACCCTCATGGAAATTACTGCACCCTCAGCCCACGGGTAGTCGAGAAAAGTACTCTTCCCGTGGGCATGCAATGGCATGCAGAAATTGCCGGACTTTTTTGTTGTCTGCATGAAATGGTACCATGCGTGACTCGTCATGTGCCTTGTAGTGCTGAAAGAATAACTTCTCTGGCTGTGTGCAGGGTCTGCCTGAGGATGCGGCGCAGGCTCTGAGGCAGGAGTTTTTGGACAAGGCGGAGGTCATGTTCCCTGTGCGCAAGCGCAACCGCAAGGCAGCCGCCGTTGCTGGACTGGGTGCGCTCACATTCACTGGGAAAAGACCCCCTCAATCCCCTGTTGAACTCTTGCTGCTACAGAAAAGCTACAGGTCAGAAGGATAGATGTGGTGAGGCCAACTCTGGCGCTCTGTGTGCCTTGATGTCTGCATTTTGATCAGTAGGATAGAGGAAAGATGGCGTGTCTGTGTCATTATGCTGTACTGCTGTGCCTGGTCCATGATGCAGCACCTCCTGGGGCATTGCAGTTCTCGTGATATGGTGCAATTCTGTTGTGCTTGAAGACGCCTTGTGGGTCGGTGGCTCTGAAACCTCTCCAGCACTGCCCTCTTTTGATTTCGTTTTATATTGCAGCCTTTGATGCTTTGAGGCGCCTAAACAGTTGCGGGCCGTCCAAGCATCACACTCCAACGCTGCCTTCTCGCAATGCTATCATGGGCAAACATTAACCTGGCATTACACTGCAAGCGACAACGCTTTCGCACACCTCGCGGTGTCTTTGCAGGTTAACAAAGAACGAAACATTATTTTTGCAGGCGGCGGTTTGGAGGCGCCGGCGGTGCAGAAGCATGCGACGGTGCTGGGTCTGTCGGCGTTTGTGCTGGCCAGCCCCTACGACGTGCCGGAGTGGCTGCCCGCTCTCCTACTGGCTCTCGTGCGCGCTGCCTCCCAGCCAGCCCCCATCAAAACGTCCGTCAGGTGCGCATAGAAGTGCCCGGCAACTGACACTCCTGCGCGGCCGGCCTCTTGTTAAAAATGCTTGGGCTTTCAATAGCAGAGGGATGCGATTATTCCAAGGTGCTATCGACAAGGCTGCAGGCTGCTGCTCCATGCTTGTCAGGAGCTTGCCAGAACACCCTGAATGCGTGGGCGGTGTGCGGACGCATGCCTACAATCCACCGGTATGGCGCCAACTCTGTAGAATGAAAGGCATGGGTCTGCTTTCCCCAAGCATTCAGGGTCATTGAGGGGTCAGCCTGGCGGTTGCGGACAAAGTGGCAGGGAGGATGCTCTCCTGAGGTACAGCACTACAGTCCTAGTGCAGCATGTTAGGCTAGAATCGAGGTAGACGCTTCATACAGTCGCTGCAAGACTTGGAGAAATTGTCCAGAGCCATCATGATGAATCCTCTCCTGCAGACAAATTGCGCTGCGTTCCACTCCCTTCCAGTGCGAACAGCACGTTTTTGCAGCTGGCAGCCCCATAGCCACACCTCTCAACTTCTGCCGAAGTATTCATGTGTCGCATCTGATGTGGCTGCTCTCGCCTGGTTTGTGCAGGAAGGCGCTGGCGGAGTTCCGGCGCACGCATGAGGAGGCGGCCCTGGCGGAGGCTAAGCGCGCGCTGCAGCCGGACCAGTGGGACGCACTCCAGAGCGTTGCCTCCCCAGCCTCCTACTTTGCCTGACCTCGCCTGCTGCGTTTCAAATCAGGCGTAGCCCCGAAGCTTTTTGGCCAGGCGCCGGGGCGTACCCGGGCTCTTGCCGAACCCCTGTCACACGCTGGTGTGACTGCTATTGGGGCTGGAGGCAGGTTCCTGCCAAGGATGCTCCCAGGTTCCGGTCTCACCTGAGGGCTTACTCTCTTGCCCGAGTAGAGAAAGAGCAATGCAGCCATCACGGCTCTTCTGCTGCACCTGATTTATAGGAACACTGAGGCGGACATCAAGGCGCCGCTGCTGTGCATGAATTAGAGGATGAGAATACCAAGGCAGGGCATGTGCCGGAGATGACTGAAAGGACTGCCTTGCAAGTGAGCATTGAGCAGCAATGATCCACTGACCCAGGAGCAATGATTTGCTTGCAATGGTTGGGCAGTCAGTCAGGACTATGTGAAGCATGCTCAAAGGGATCCAGTGTCCAGAGCGTGCTTGCATCTGACATGGAAGTTTCGGTGTATATTCCTGCATGCATGATGCATTATAGTCTGGTATATGTGTTCAAAATAAGTGTGCACAGAATTTCCGCTATTCCTGGCACGTGCAGCAAAACAGAGAATTAGGAACAGAATCATGGGCAGTGGCAGGTAATGCGTGTGTGAACACGATCAAGAATGAACTCAGGCCCCAAGTTAATTAAGAAGGTAGATTACTTTGCATGAAGCATCCTGCTGCCATGGCTGGCGCAGCTCTGTCAAAACCTCGAGTATCTGTGAGTAACTGTAAAGTATCACACTGGTAAATCCAAGCCTATATATATATGATGTTCATGATGCTCTCTGAGGTGTGCTCTTATAGAAAATATCATGCACTGGTGCATGATTGGCCTGTGGGCTCGCCATGACTCTCGAGCATATGCACATGTTTAAGAAGAGGCAGGAGCGGTGATTCCAGAGGATGGTGGTGTTTCCTGCGGCACTGGTTTCTGGATGGTCAAACAGAATTTGCATTTTTTACAGCAGGATAATCACCCTGGGACCCCCAAGATATTGAGCATGAAGTTTTAAGTGCTGTCCACATGCACCACATTCAGCCTTTGCTGCCCGTTCCCTCTACCCTCCCCTGTCTTGCCCAAACCAGCTCCTGACATCATGGACTCATCCCTCCTCATGGCCTCCACTGGGCCACCACTTTCATGCTCAGGTAGCCGAGCAGACCCTGCAGTGAGCTCCTCAAGACCAAGTCCTAAAAGAGCTGCCTTCTGCGCTGCAGGCATGGTCACCACAGACATGAGGGTGCCTGACTCGCTCGCAAACAGAGACCCGTGCCTCTGTACTGGCCCCTCTCCTGCCAGCGCTGCACTCCCAGCTTCCACACAGGCTGCTCCTTTGCCGCCATAACCCGATCTTGACACTGCAGGCTCCCACATGCTCTTTGACAGCCCCTGCCTGGTCGTGCCTCCAATGCTTCTCCCACTCTCCTGGCCAGCAGCCGCATGAGAGGAGGTGGGCGCGTGTCGCGCAGGCATGCCGGCATGTGCCGGCTGCGCGCTGTGCTGCGCTGTGCTGGCACGCGGCTCCGGGCTTGGAGAGCGGGTGGCGGCTGGCGAGGAGGCTTCGCTGGGGCATGGCGAGAGCGCGTGGCTAGCTATGGTCGCTAGATCAGTCAGAGCTGCTATGGGGCGCAACGTACTCTGTCCATTTTCCTTCCTGCACAAACACCAAAGCCTGTTACTGTGTGCGCTCATGCGTGACGCCACTTCATGAGCCATCCTGCAACTGGCTGGAAGGCTTTGAGGTCTAAAAGGGACACACAGCTAAGTTGGCAGGCTGAAGCACCAGGGATTGGCAGGGGCCGGGATGGGGAGGTGCAAACGCCAAGGAGAGCCTAATTCAAAATTGCCCTCAATGACACGGGGAAATAGGGGTCATGGGACGGGGATCACCGCTAAGGGGTAAGGGGCTCTACAAGGCTTTGATGGCTACGGCAACCTCCAGACTGGGTGGGGCCTGCAGCAGAGTGCTCACATCCAGCTGCATCATGCCCTCTGCCCCCATCAGTGGCGCTGCGCAGGCACCTGACACTGCGCGCAGGGACACAGCCCCTGACAGCTGACATGACTGCGCTGGAGCGGCCGCCCACACTGCTGTGCTGACCGCTGCTGTCTCTCTCCTGCGCTGCTGTGCATTTGCTGCCAGAGCCTCCCAGTCTGGCATCGACTGAGGCAATGCATGCCGCGTGCTCCCTCCAAGCAGCTGCCAGTCTGAAATGCTCTGCAGCCGGCCGCTTCTGCCAGGGCTGCTGCATGGGCTGGCAGAGCTGCTGCAGCTTGCTGACTCGTTCCCATGTGAGAAACCCCAAGGCAAGGAGACAGGCGGGATGTGATCGCACACGCCTGCAGCACTGCCGCTGCTGGCCAATGCGCTCTCAGCCTCACAGCATCATGCCTCTGCTGATGCGCTGTGCACAGGCACTGCTGCAGCTGCCGCCTGCTCTCTGAGTTCCTGCTGACTCTGTCCCTCCCTGGCTGCGAACATTGCTGCGCTGTATGATCCGGAGCTGACCCGATCTGGCCTGTCCCACTGGCTCTGGGCATTGCTGTGTGATGTGCTTCTGGGAAGAGGGGAAAGCTGCCTGGCACTTTGGCCTCCTAGATTGGGAGTACTGGGGGAATGGGCTGACATTGTGGCTGCAGGGAAGGGGAGGCCTTCGGAAGGGGAGCTGAAGGGGCGTGCGAGGGTCCCAAAGTCACTGACACCACAAGCAAATCTTCGTCAAGCAACGAAAAGAAATGAGCTTGACACGGATGGGAATACAGGGATTGGGGAACACTGGAAACACCCGCATCACATGGCCGGCTGGTGACATGGCGGGCATGACCACAGGCTCCATGGGGCCTGCATGGATGAACCTAGTCAAGACAACAGGCGGGAAGCTGTCGACACAGCAGAATGCAGTCTGCACGCAGAAAACAATTATAAGGCAGTCCTGCTGGGGTGTTTGCCCACTTCACAGCGCACACAGTGCTCACATGCACATGGTGGGGAGCACACTTTTGCCTGACCTCATCGATGATTCGGGCCAACAGGGGAACAAGACACAGTAAAACTGACAAAGCGGCGGTCACCATGATGTGTCGCCGCCGCGGGGGGACTCGGTGCCGGCGGAGGGAACGCGTGGCGATCCCGGGGCAAGATTATAGCGCTCGGCGACCTCGGCCTTGTGAGCGCGCCACCATGCCTCGGCCTGAGCTTTGGAGAAGCGGCCGCGCGCGAAGCGGATGCGCGTGAGCGCGTTCTGGCCTAACGGCGTCGCCTGCAGCGTCAGAAAGACTCCCTGCCGCACAGCAGACAGCACCATTCAACATCCTTGCAGCCTCCATGCCAGAGGACCCTGGAAACACCTTCATACGTATACAACATGTTGAGTATCTCCCAGTGTATGCCGTACCAACCACCAGTTAAAAAGTCTTTGACTGCATGGTTCCTAAGCACCTTCTTGCCTTCCTTGTGACTCTGCATGCGGAGGAGTCCTACAAGTATGCAATGGGTAGAAATTTTGAATTTGCACCTCCGACGGCTCCACTGTGTGCTCAAGGCCTGTCTTTGGCGCATCATCGCCCTCTGCAGAGGGAACAGCACATGCAGCTGCTGGAGGCCCGAAGCCCCCCTCCATGCCTGACGAATTCTGCAGGACACCGCCACTTAAAGTGTCAGCTCGACTCATGCAGACACTTCACAAAACAGGCCCAATCTGCAGCCATGCATGCCTCGTTGTCGGATGCCTGCTAATGGTCATTATGAAGGTGCTCCCTTCCGTACAAAGACAGCGCAATTCCACACAAGTCTGATTCAGTGGTTGACGCGTGGCGATGCAGAGCGCACCTCAGATTTAAGCTGCTGCTCGCGGGCCCTGAGGCGCGCCTCACGCACTTCGAGCTGCGCGCGAATCTGCGCCAGTTCCTCCCTCTCTTGCTGCAGCGCCCAAGCACCATCCCCACCGCTCTCTGCCTCGTTTGCCGCGCTGGTTTGCGGCGAAGGAACCCCCGGCCGCAGCCAGCTATGCGGGCCAATTTCGCGGCTGCTGTCACGGTCTGGAGAGGCATGCGCGGTCGGGCTGTGCAGCCGGCCGCGCGGGCTGCCCATGTGCGAGCGTGGCCTGCCACCCATCAGCGCGCCCACGTCTATTGTGGCCGTCCGGATCACCGGCGAGCCTGGCCGCCCAAAGAAGCCCCCGTCGCCCCTCCCGCCCAACACCGCTGCAAGCCCCGCTGCATGCGCCGGCTGCTGATGCTGCTGCCGGGAATGGGCTTCTGCGCTGCTGGATGTGGAGGTTCGCTGATCCTGTGAGTAGCTGTCAGGTGCGGGCAGGGCGGCAGGGGAGGATGAACCGTCGTGGGGCTGCCACAGAGGCGCGGCCGAGGCGCTCCAGTCGGCGAGCGAGTGCGAGCGCCGGTGGCTCCGCGGCGACAGCGAATTTGAACGCTCCGGCGACAGTTGCAGTATGCGCCGCACCGGCGACGCGGCCGCTTCCTCGCCTGGCCCGCGGCTGCTGCCGTGCTGCGACCCTTCTGGCTCCTGAAGCTGCGCGCTCGGCAGGCCGTCAGCTTTGGCGGGCTCTGTGAACGGGCCCGCTGCTGAGTGCCTGCGCCCTGACAGAATGCCCCTGGGTCCGGGGGTGGAGGGCAAGGTGCGAAATGGGCTGAGCATGGGCAATTGTTGGGGCTGATTGCTGTGACTGGGTGGGACCGCTGTGTTCTGCCCAAGAAGAACTTCCAGCCGGGCCACCTGCGCATGCATTAACACAGGACAATCATTAAAACTGGCGCGTGATTTAAAATTTGTGGTCCCTTGCGCTGCTAAGTAGATTCAATATCACCTTCGCAGAAGTCCTTTCTGGATGTCTGTCCTCTGAGTGATCCTGGACAATCTGTGAATGCAGCAGCAATCTGGATTGTGGCAGTATGCCAGGCAATGCGCAGCTACGATGGTATGGCATGCGCCTTCAGGATGCTGATCACAAAACCAGGTCGCAAGGAGTGTAGCGGAAAGCCGGGGACACCCACCCGATTTTCAAGCACTGCAATGTAGCTCTTCTCATCCTGTGCCGAGTCTCCGGAGCCCTGTGAGGTGGCCGCATCTGTCGCTCCTCGCCTAATTAGCGCCTGCTGGGGATGTTGGAAATCCAGGCCAGGCGCTTCTGAGGTCAGGGGCTCGGGCAGCGAGGCGGAGGTCTCGGCCAGGGACGTGCTGCTTGCAGCCTCCATTTCGGGAGAGGTTGCGCGACGGGGGCCTGACACATCGGATGGGGATGCACTGGAGCTCTTAGCACCTGCAGAAGCATGCCGACAATTTTCAGGTAAGCATGCGAAAGGCATGGCCATCCCTGGGGAAATCCAGGGCTGATGAGCAAATATTTTTGACGTTCATCGGAATTTTTGGGGCTGGCCCGAAAGAAAATTCAGGTGGCCAAGGCCAGGTAGGGCATTTCTATGGCGAGGGACCGGGCTTTCTTCCAACACACATGTGCGTCGCCATGACAGAATGCAGGGCTACCGAGTTGCATCTGCAAGCAGGGCCGTTTACCCATTGTAAAATGGTCATAAGTAACATGACTAAGAATCATTTCACCTGCAAGCAGGCGCTGGGAGGCGGCGTATGCATCGCCGGAGTGGCGTCGCAGCTGCTGCGCGAGGCTGGTGGAGAATGCGCGCGCGCCGGCCGCCAGGGACGCGCGCCGATGCGCGCTCTTGCGGACGCCCGCTCTCACGCTGCGTGGAGTCGACGCCTCTGTACCGCCAATCATCACCAATCTTAAAAGATGCTTACTGCGAAGAGCGCCAAGGTGCACCAGCAGACAGGCTCCAGGTAACGGCTGCCACACTTCCTACCCCTTGTTTGAGTAACCCCTATTGGACTGCCCAGATCCAAAGCAAGATCCAATCAGCCTTGGCCCGGTCCTCAGGATTGAGGCGAGCCCCCGCCAGCTGAGGCCAACCCATGACACAGATAATGCTCTTCTCTTGAATTGCATGAGGGCGTCAGTTTCAGCAGATACAGTGCTCAGATAATAGGAAGGCGCCACGCAGCAGGCCATTGACTGTCTGATCCTCGCAGCAGGCAGCATGAATGCTGGTTGGGTTGACAAAAGAGTATCACCTGAGTTGGCTGTGAAAGATGCCAGCGATCCGCTTGTGGATGCACCGTGGTCCTCAGAGAGCGGTATGCCGCCTGAGTCCCTGGGAAGCTTCAGGGCATGCATCTCCACCCTGCATGGCACAGCGGTTGCATCGGCTGTGGGCCTGGGTTGGTCAGTGATCTGCTCACGGTCACCACTAGCATTTTGTGCTGCTTATGAGGAAACCGAATCTGTGAAATAACAACAAAGGGGGCTCAAAATAATAGGGAAAGGGCTTGGGCCAGGACTGAAGTTAGGAACAGGACTGAGATAAGCCTGCTACCATGCCCATGTTGACTGCTTTGACGCTCAGATATTATAATTTCATGATGACTACAGTACCTGCCAGGCAGAGTCTGGGACCGCCTCATGTGACCCATGGCCCGTTGCGCTTCCTTTGATCTGGTCAAGGGGGACGGCCAGGAAGGCAGGGTGCGCCTGTCAAGCTCTGGGCGATTCGCCGTTGGGGAGAAGGTGGGGGTGTCAAAGAAACTGGGAAATCTGCCATAAGGAATGGAAATGGATGAGTAGGAGAGGACCAAGCCTCTCGCAACATCAACACAAAAGCAAGTCAAAGAAAACATGCAGAAGAATATGTTGGTTTTTGGTTCAATGCTTACCCACAAGATCCACATGGCAACACACTCAATAACACAGAGAAGCCAGAAAGAGTCAAAACACAAAATGTCATCAAAAGAGCAGAAAGAGCCGACAAAGACAGAAAGAATTGCAACCTTTGTAATGAGAAAGAACACTGTAAAGCACAGACAAATTGGGCCACAGACAGGTTGCAAGAGGGGGCTGGCTTACTTTTCTGGGACTGCGACGAGGGGCCGGCTGTTGTTGGAGAACCAGGCGCGCATCTTGCCCTTGTAGCCGCGGCGCCGCTCTTCTGTGTCTTCCTTGTCAGCATCGTGGCGGCACACTGCCAGCGTGTGACATCCGCCGCATGCCACCTGCGCAGCCACCAGCACCGCAACTGAGGCCTTGATCAGGTTCGCAATGTAACGCATGGGCTACTTATACGCTCTAAACACCCTGTGGGGCAGCTCAAGTTGTCATTTGTCTGGATCGTGATGACCCAGAATATGCTCTGTATGCGCTACTGGCATTGCCGAAGGCGTGAGCAAGCCATCCTTAGTGTGTCTTGATGAGTCGATGCAGGTTTGCAGCGCCACCGGCGCCTCCGTTCTCAGGAATTATGTCTGTGCGCGCACGTCACAACAGGTGCAGCAGAGGATGCATTACTGGTACAGTGCAAATTGCAGTATTTAAGGGACTTGAGCCAGCCTCCAATGAGGCCCTCAAATAAGCATCCCTCTCTCCATTTAACGATACACCAGCAGAGCTTGAGTGAATGCAGATTGGGATCTGAATTGCAACTAACCTGGAGTACATGGCGGCCTCGCAGCTCGTCCACTGGGGCGGGGATGGCGCTGTCAGCATGCATGCCCACACCCAGCTGGCCCTCTCGCCCCCTGCCCCATGTGAAAATCACACTGCACTCCGCGCCCTCCTGCACCGCAACCCTCAACATCACACTCAGCAAACAAAGCTCTAAGGCGCGCAGGATGTACAAATGACTGCCATATCAATGAAGGTGGATGAACCCGTAGCAGCCATGCTCATGCTGTTTGCGGCTACGGTAGTTTGGTCTGCACAGCTGCATGCAGGCAGAACAGTATCAGGTTCATCTTGTCAGATGAATGTTTGATCATCAGCATGCCTACCTCTGCGCGTCCAGTCTGCCCGTCCAAGGGACCGGCAAGCGCCGCCGCATGCTGCATGCCGACCGCAATCCGCTCCACATAATGATCAGGAATTGGCACCTGGCCAATTAAAAGCCACACCAAAACTTCAGCAGCGTCCGAAAGCACAGTGCTGCAGCTCGAGCACCGCGAGAACTGTAGGCCAAATGCGCCAAAGGAACGTCTTTTGAAGCCCATGCAGAAAGGAACTGCATAGAGAATTAAGCATCCAAATCGTTACTGATATTTCTAGCAGATCAGTGATTACCTGGACAGCTTCCCTGGCACCTTCCCAAGGGGCCAGCTTGTGGCCAGGGGCGCCGGTCTCGCCCATCTGCCAGATCCGGCCGTCTGCTGTCAGAGCGACTGTCAGGTTGAGCCCGCACTCCACCTGCCTTACTGCCAGCCCCTGCAAGGCTCCTCCCACCCTGGAAACAACATCTGCGTGTTAGTCATATCTCGTGCCCCTCGAGTGTCACTAGTGCACTGCCCTCAAGAAAAGAAAAATCAGGCCAGAATTTTTTTATACTACTTTGAATGGCATGCAATTTGACACTTAAGAAATGCTCGAGCTGCTCATTAGATCCAAATCACCCTCACGGAACTCCCTTTCTGATACCCGTCCTCTGACAAAGCCAACATGTCAGTCAGGTTCATCCTCTGATGAAGGAGGAAGCGCAATGGCTGTCGAAGAAGCAGTGTCCCTCCAGAAGATCAAGCCAGGGATAGCTTGAACAAGCGGTTGCGCTGTGTGCCACATGTTGAAGATAGAGCAAGTTGTTTGGGTAAATCTGAAGAAACGGCATGACACTTGAGCAGAGGGAACCTCGGGCTCTAGGAGATAGTGGGAGGCTGACCTGGTGGGCGCAAGGCATCCTGCAGTGTCGCCATGGCCCAGGCAGCCGCGGTGGTGGTCCCGCTTGTCCACAGGGTGGCCGGCCGAGTTCTTCCTGTGGTCCACCCAGGTGAAGTGGCCACCCCATGTGAATAGCGCGCCACCCTCCTGCATGAGAACAGTGGATTACATGTAAGGCATTAAATTAGAAGAAGCAGCTAGCTGGCATGGGACTGAGATTGCCCAATAGAGCACGTGTACACACAGCAGAATACGTGGTGATTTTGCACAACATGTTTAGAACTAGTGAGCACGAAAGTTCCTTAAACCCTTATAAAAGCTTGATGTCGCTGGATTTGAAACACAAGAGCACGTGGGAATATTTTTCCAGAGCAGAGTCAAAGATAGTGCAGGGGCAGTGCACCTCATCCAGCATGCTGTAGGCAGCAGACAGCTTATGGCGCAGGGCTTCGGCCTCCTGGAAGCTCAGCTCTGACAGGGAGGACGGCAGGCTGGAGCCCCCGATGGGCCCAGCAGCTATCGCCGCTGTGTGCCATACTCCACAGGCCACATGGAGCACCCGCTTGTCCTTCAGAGCATCCACCTGAACATTTTCACGTAAGTGGGGTCTTTTCAGGGCACTCTCAATTACCAGGATAGAGTGGGGCCTAGGCTGGCAGCACCCAACACAACGCAAATTCAACAGCAGGCCTTGTTCATGTCGTCTTGCTGTGCAAAAGTCGGCGTGCTCAGAGGTCAGACCAATGTGGCATTGCAGGAGTCAATCCTTGATAGTAGGTCCAGAGACTCAGGTTCAGAGAATACATTGTACCTGGCGAGGCTCCAGGCAGCTGTCCAGACAGCCATGGCCCAGCTTGCCGCAGAGGCCGTCTCCCCAAGTGAAGAGCGCTCCCGTACTTGACAGCGCTGCACTGTGGTACGGGCCACAGGACACCTAGCACAAAACAGCAGCTTCGTCAGCCTGTGGAACCGCAGTGTTGCACATTCGCAGACAGTGCATGCACAGGACAAGTCAGAAGGACATGATATATGTGATTTGAGTGCAGTAGCTAGAGAACAGAGAGAAGAGACCTGGGTGATGGTGTGGTCCAGCAGAGTGCCCTCCACGCGCCGGGGGATGAACTGGCGCAGGGCATTGCTGTAGCCCAGATTGCCGGCGGCGCCATCCCCCCAGGTGTACAGGAAGCCCTCCTCGCTGACGACTGCTGTGCAAGCATCTGCATGACGCTCCAGTGTCAAAACAAAGTTGCCGTGCGTCAGATGTTTGCAAGATTCTGAGAAGCCAGAGAGCACATGCAAGCTATTGCAGGTAAGTAGAAAAAAACAAATTGGTGCTCTATTTGGTAAAGGACAGTGCCTCACCGCCGGCAACAATGCTTCTGATGCGCTGGCCCCAGAGCGTGTCCACTCGCTGCGGCGCGCATGCATCAGTTGCATGCCCCAGGCCCAGTTTCCCGCCGGCGCCATTGCCCCACGTGTACACCTCTCCGCTGCGCGTCACCAGCGCAGCATGCCGCAGCCCCACGGCCACCTGGCGGCACATGTCACTTGTTACTTTCATTTCTTCCGTGTAAGAGCTTCCCCATCTTCAGGTCATCTGGACTACAAGGTCCAAAGAAATGCAAACGACCGCCATCGCTTAGAAAGGGAGCCAGATCTTCTGTTTGTCATTGGCATCCTTGCTTGCATGTCCGCCTGACAGCTTCATCTGGTGCTTGGGGCAGGTTTCCTGCTGATTCGGGCTTTGCTGCATGCCTTCTAGAGAGGCTAGTCAGTCTATTGCACACCTGTGCTGCGTGCTGCTTCACCTGTTCTGCTCAAAGCAGTTTGTCAAGCAGCCAGCCCGGGGCTTCAGGTGACAACAGATGCACTGGCAACAGTGCGATCCGCCGCTACACAAAGAGACCAGACTCAATTGCATCTGTGACACCGCACATTCCAGCACTCTGGAGGAGTTGACCTTGTTTCTGTCCAGGGCGGGCATGTGCACACCTGGCAGACGTCCAGATGGGTGGAATCCTCGACAATGGCAGGAGTGGCGCTCTGCTGCCGGTCGCAGATGGAGCCCTGGGCAGGAGGTATGCCGGCATCCGATGAACCCCAGACATAGCAATCCCCTGGCCGCTGCTCTGGGACTGGCAACCCCATCGCTCCTGTCACCCTCCCCTGCACCCGTCCAAATTAAATATTGAGTATGGAAATGGCCACAGCGATACTCATTTGAAATTCACTCACAAAAAACAGATGCCCATATCCAGCGCGCAAAACCAGTTAGTTGCCTTTGCTACAAGCAGGTGAGGCGCTTTCTCTTTTGTACAGTATCTGCCACATGTAAGCCAAGTGCCAACACTAGCAGTTGTTCTTTCCCGATGATTCTCAAGAGCATAGTGGCCTGCTGCTGGCTCACCTGCACTGTGCCTCCGCCAACAACTTTGGCTGTGCTGGATGGGGGCTGCGATCCCACAGGCTGTCCCTGCAGCGACTTGGCAGGCTGCACAAGCGCCCCGCCAGTGGGTGCCCCCATGACCACCCTGTGGGCTGTTCCTGCAGCCCTCAACCTGTCTTTGATGGCCTGCGTTGCAGGAATAATACATCAGCAAAGCGCCCATCAGAGCTGCAATTACCCATTCTGGTTGCATTGCATCTTCAGAGTTTTTTGTGCGTGAGCGAGGCCTGGGACAAACCTGGATGCCCCAGTACCAGAGATCGAATTCCTGCTGGTTCCTGCAGGTGAGGTCCAGGGTGCGCGATGATAGATCCAGGTCGATGTACATCAGCGAGAAGGAAGCATGGGCCATGTGCGGAAGTGGGTGGCGCTTGAATATCTCTGTCAACTGCCCCTTGATCACCTGCAATTTGCGGCAATAGGCTCAGCCCGCTTCGCATGCACAGCATGCTGCCTCGATGCTTGGAGAAGGCGTTATGTCATTTACATATGGATTTAGCAAGTCTTTCCAGGGTTCTGTACCTGTCGTCACTTGGTTCGTGCACGTGTGGCTCTGTGAGGACAAAGCTAAGTCGGCTGAGTCACCTGCTTCACAGAAGCCAGCGGAATGCTGCGTGGCTTCCCGTTGGCAGATCGCCACGTCAGGACTGAGTCGCCCTCTGCCAGCCTGAAGAAGTGCATCTTCGGCTTGCCCAGGCGACCATGCTTCAACAGATCCGTGCCCTGCACGCACTCAAGCAGATTTGTGATCCCACAACCATGCCATGCCATGTTGCTTGAGAATGATCAGTCAGCGCAGCCTGACTGATGCATAGTTGCACGTAAGAGAGCCATGGTCACTGAAGGCAATAAAAGCCAAGCTATGGTATGCGGGCACCTTGCGAAGTGCAGTCAGCATTTCATCTGCGGTGCGCCGGGTAGCAGCACTTGTGTGGCTGCTGGGCGGCTGCGAAGCGGAAGGGGGGCTGCTGCTGGTCACATCAGCCTTGATTCCGCTGAAACTCGCATCAGGTCTGAGCCCTTTGCTCGGAGCAGCTTCTGGCAGGTAGAGAGCGGTTGCAGGTTGCAAATTGCCCTGCACACCGCAACGTGAGGCTTCAGAAGGAAGTTTAGGACCTACTTCGCAGGCTTTCATGATTGGTACGATTGTTGCCATTCACGCAGACACTGTGATGGTGGCGATTATGGTTGCAAGATGATAAAATAATCAGACGATCAACATGCTGCTGCAAGGTCGCAAGATGCTGTAATAGTAAATAGGAACTTTATCCAAGCGCCCTTGATAAGTACAACCATCGGAAATGATATGATGCACACAATCAAAGGATTCTTGGACTAGCAATCTCCAATCCTCCAGTTTGATATTGGACGCACATCTCGGGTAACAGGGCTACGTAAAGCATACCAGTGGCTTCGAGTGCGGAGGAGCCTCCATGAACACAACAGATCTGTGCTTAGGAACAAAAGGCTCTTACTAGGCGAGGTACTGGATGGTGAACCATCACATGGAGCCCCTCGCTATTTAGTCAAGGGAAACCATGATCAATCATCCGTTGCAGTATTAAAGGATTCTTTGAAGGTCAGACATCGCAAGACACAGTTGTGCTTCCATCATGAGGTTGCGTTTGACTTCTCTGACTAAATCCAGGAGGCAGGGCACAATCGCTTGTGAGTGAGCTGGCAGCCGTTGCCATGGAAGCCCATGCGAGATCAGGCAACATCATTTCTCTAATGAGAATTTCTCACGGTGCTACTCATGGGCTTGACCTCTTAAAAGCCTTGTGGTGCTGACAATCCACTACATATGCACGGCATGTTTGCTATGAAATTTGATCAGATTGCAGTTGCTCGTCCCGAATCAAGGCGCCTCAAGGCCGGCCCACAGTGCTGATCATGAGTCATGTCCATTTGCATGCGCGCGCGTGGTTTATTGATGAATCTCAATGTCAGGACAATGTGTCTTAGACCTTAGTAAGGTCACCTTACACATCTTCTGCAGCAGGCTTGGGGCTACAAGATGCCGGTTTCTTCAAACAGATCGTCTGTTTGGCGCTGGTTCATTCTATGATGTGGGCATCCTCATCGTCGCTTGCAAGGTGCAGACGCATCTGTCATGTGTCAGACCATCATGCTCACCTGCCACGCTATGCAACCAGCACGCATGTGCGCGATGACACGCTTGCCAAGCTGTGCAGGCTGTGAGACAATATTTATAGCAGTGCAGGTTCAGGTGCGCACCATGCCAAGCTATTCCGAGATATCCCTTCATTATCCCTTCATTACCCAGCAAGGAGGGACTTCCATCATCATCTGTAAATGCTGCATGCCCATCTGAATGTCTGTAATGGCTGCTAGTAGAAAAAGCCAAGACTCGGGAGGATTGCCAACAGATTCGAAAGGCATGAGGATGTTCAGTCACAGTTGACAAAACACGACAGATAAATCCTATGCCCCACCTACATGATGTCAAAAGGACACAAAGCAGTCATTGCCCTCCAATGAGGCACCTCTTAGAGGTGCAGGCACCTCTACGAGGTTCTTGCACCATGAGGCAAGAACCCATCCCTCGTAGCCAACTAGATCTCAAAGCCCTCCTCCTTGCAGAGCCGCTCGCAGCGGCTGCTTGAGCTTGATCTGATCCTGCACATTTGGCGCCATCATGCTGCCACAAAGAACACCCCGCAAGCACTTCCCAGCAAACTGTCCAGCGCAGGGCTTGCCCTCCTCAGCCCATATCCTGCAAGTAATAACAGATTGTGGAAAATGTCGGTCAGAAAAAGTCATTTAGAGAAGTCAGGTCAGAAAACGTCACTTTGCATCATCTAGAGATCTCCTGCACCAGCACTGCTTGAAGCCCTTTGTAAACAGCAATGAATTTATGACAAGAAAGGGTTGATGGTCATTGCAGTGCAAGCCAGACTTTGCTAAACTGATGTCAGATGCAGTGGCCCTTTTTTTCCCCAAGGGTTCAGTATCCCATGCAGGTACAGGTCGCACGTCAAGTACCACTCACCTGATCAAGTTGCACATCAACCGAATGCACGCCCTGCCCCTCTTTTTATGATATATTTCTGGTTCCTTTGACGTGCAGTTTTTGACTTTTCAATTTCCACTGCGAACTTGAGCAGGACACATGGATCGTGGGGCAGTACACACAAATCTGCACTTTATGCCTCAATTGTGCAGAAGCATCTATACGAGCAGCATCCGCGCTGAGCTTGGAACAATCGAGCACTTGCTAGAAGAGTTGCCAGATGGCGAATGCCCACAGCAGATCTGATCTCTGATCTAGATCTCTGTTCAGAACTTAAAAAGCTCTTACTCATTGAGAAACTGGATGGTGAAGCATCGAAAGAACATCTCGCCAAAAGAGTTAAAAAGATCTATCATAATTAAGCAACATCAAAGAAAGGCTTCTTCGACGGTCTTATAACACCAGATACAGTCGTTCGTCATTGACAGTGTTGTGTTCAATTTCTCTTTGTACATTTAATAGGCAGGGCACAATCCCTTGGGAGCCAGCTGGGCAGCGGGCAGCCTGCCAGCAATAGCAGAAGTCAGTCTCCCATGTGTTTGATGATCCTCTCCTCATGCTTATGCTGATATGTTGAATCTCCTGAGTGCTTGTCAAGCTTGTGAGCCGTAGGGGGGTTCCAGCTGCCAATGGCATGTAAGCAAAATCACTTGTGAAAGGCACACGGGCGTCTGCGCATGCACCGAGGGCCTCATATCTGGGCCAGAGAGGCTCTGGCGCACTATGTGCCCCAAAAGAGCTCTTTTCCCTAGCTACTATGATGGCTCATGGGCTGACAACGTTTACATGTTTGATCAGTCCTTCCCCAGAGCGCATCAGGACAAATATCCAATATATGGCACATATCAGCACAAAGTCTTCAAAGAAAGTAATGAAAGAATTAAAAATACTGATAAGCTGAATTTGCTTCCCAGTCACTGACAGCCTTTGCTTGGAATAAATTGTTCCCTGCAGAAGATACTCGCTTCCACCCCTCAAAGCAACTTCAGAATGAGAGACTGAGACAAAACGAACACTCTGTATTTCATTCATGTGATCACTGCAACGCTGTCATGTGAACATCTAGGCCAGAAGTTTCCAGGCAATCCGTAAAGAGGCAGCCTGCTGTAACTTGAAATCAACGAAACGCGTACGCGTGATCATGATACAGACCTCAATGATGCCTGCTCAGATATGCTCGGAGACAAAAATCGCTGAGCAGCCATGACAGCAGCACATCTGAATGCATCAACAATAGCAATTCTCAACCAAACCCCAACCAGCTGTCAAACACTGATTGATTGAATCCCACTTCTCTTGTGCCCGCGCTGATATCCCCAGACCCCCGAATGTCCAAAAGACTGTGGGCAGAGCACCCACTTCTAAATATAGCCCCTGCCTGCTTGGAAGAGCCCTCAAGCCGGCCGTCCTCTGCAGCAGGGGCATCACAAAAATATCTGGCCAACAAAGTGCTGCGTCCATGCATGCAGCTGCAAGCTTCCGCAGCTGGTGGTAGAATAATCAAAAAGGCACGTGATGTGACAATTGATCCCAATAGATGCAATATTTACCCTCACAGAAGTACCCTGTAAAGACCCGTCAGCTGGGTGAGATTACTCCTCGCTGGGCTCTATGACCACGAGCACATCCCCCTGCTGCGTCAGATCCGAGGCCTCCACTCGCACAGCCTTCACCTATATATAATAAACCAGCACAGGCACTTTCAGTATGAAAGTTGGAGTACCCAGCAGACACAATTACTGGAGCAAATTTTGTGTTGCCAGCATGAAAATCGCCATCCGGGCTTTTGCCTGCTGTGCACCTGATTAGCTTTGGCTTTGCAGAGACTGTCTGCAGCTTGCAAAGGTATTTCTGCGGTTCTGAATGTCACTCTCAACCACGTCGCGCTGAGGGCACGTGATCTATCTCATTTCAGCTAGAAGAGTGATGATTTGATCAAGTACAAGACAACTCAGAGGCGAGGTGTGATCACCTGGCCAGATGATGGAGCGGTAATGGGGTACTCCATCTTCATGGCCTCCAGGACCACAAGAGTCTGCCCCTTTGCCACCACATCTCCCACCTTGCACTTGACCTGCACGCATGCACACACCTTTAATAAGGCTGAGATGGCACGATCTGTGAGCAGATGGCATGCATGATCACCATTACAGCAGCCATGACTAATGCTGTTCAAAGTGAGCAACAAGTGAGCAGTATACATTCTGCTTGGCATGCATTAAACATTCAGAGATCATGCCTTGGGTGGGCTGCAAAGAGTTGAGGGGAGGAGGTGAGCTGCATGCCAAGAGGGTCATGGATAGATGCAGCAGTTATGGAAACCATGATCTGGTCAGACAAGCTTGAAAGCTGTTCACCTCCCAGACATTTGCTGTGAAGGCGGACGTGACCTCCAGGCCGCTGGTGTCCATCTGCTCTGGAGCCTCTCCCTCAACCTGCAACACATCTTTATTTTCACATGGACTGATGATGATTTGAACAAATCATACGCGCATCTCACAACACTGCAACACATTTCAGCACACCAATGCTGTCGAGGCCTTTGACATCCACACCGGCCTCGTGCTAACGAAATTATAATCAGTCACAGATCCCACACATGCCCAGGTGTATGCATGTAGGCTGTTCCTTAGAGGAGAGTTGGTAGCACAGGGCTGACTCATGCAGGCTCAGCAAGGCCTGACACATTAGGGCAAGCAACACGTCCTGCCAATGCAGACAACAATTTCCACGGAGCTTTGAAAATGCCGAGCTTCATATATGCATACCCGGTTGTTTTTTAGACTGAGAGATGCAGCACCCTCCAGCCAACGCAGGATACAAGCACCGCAGAACATGCACATTCCCAGCGTCAGGCGCAAGGTTGTTGTTGAGACTGAAAGATGTAGCAGAGTGCTAAACGATACCTTGTTCTTGGCCTTCTCGGCCTCCAGTCGCTGCAGGCTGGCCTCGTCCAGGGCCATCTGCTCTGCTATGGCCACAGCCTGAACCTTGCGCAGGGCCTCCACTTCTCCAGCCACAGATGCCACAAAGGCGTTGTACTCCCTGAAGCAGCCACACGATGATTATCAGACGCCCGTGTGCTGTTAGATGTAAGAATACCATACTGTTGTTTACGCTAGCTTGCATGTGAATAAGTACTCTGTGCTGAGTCAGATAGGCTCTGTCAAAATCTCTTCTCCTAAGCAACCTATTCCTCACAAAACCAAAGGGCTGTTAGATAGGTTTTTGCTAGAAACTTGTGTTGCATGTGAGTCCAAACTCGTTGCAGAGGCTCCATCTGCTGATGCCAGAATTGTTGCGTCCAATGGGCTCAATTGCGAATGCACATGGTGGTCTCAACAAGCAGCAAGTAACTTGAATGCTGTCTTCGGCGTGTGCGGGTAGTGATGGGGCCATACACAAGCACATGCTGGTCTTGGAATTCAATAGAAACTCACTTCATGCTGAAGGTCTGCTCCTCGATCTTGAGTTCCAGTTGCCCGTTGGCAAACTGCTTGCGCTGCGTCTGAAGCTCCTCCTCCGACACAATCTCATACTTGATCTGCAGCAGCAAAAACTCATTCAGTCAGACTTCCGGCCTTTCTACAAATACCTCATTTAAACTCCGAAATTCTGAATGTTGCGTATTCAACGGCACTGCTGTCTTGAAACATGCACGGCTTTTTTTAGAAGAGATTTCTTGGTGAGAATAGGCTAGCACCACCCTCAAGAGGACATTACGTTGAGCTTGGCATCGCGCAGGTTCAACCCGGACATACCCTCAGCCAGGGGCAGCAGCCTGGGATCAAACATGCAACAGCATCATGAAGTGCAGCTTCCAGGAAGCTGCCGGGCACCTGGTCAAAGTTGCGCAGGAGCCAGGGTACCGCGGGCGTGAAGGGCCCGACGCGGCCGAATGTGTTCCAGATGGGCAGAGTGCGGCCGATCAGCTGGTAGCCGCCGGGGGACTCCATGGGGTAAATGCACATATACGCGCCCCCCAGTCCCACGGCGCCCTCGGGGGAGAATGTGCGCGCCGGATTGTACTTGGGCACCACCAGCCGATGCCTGTAACACAATATTTAAATTTAGAACCCCCATCTGTACGCCTAAGCAGGCAGGAGCTTCCTGAAAATGCCGGAACACACAATCTACAACCATCTGATATGCCTGCCTGTCAGAGCAACATATTTTGCACTGGCAAATGCATCATATATGCGCAACAAATGTAGACACCGCTACCTGGCGACCAAAGTGGCAAGTCAGATATCAGTTTACTCTTCTCTCTCTCTCTCTCTCTTGCCAAGCGCCAAAACAGGCACAGGCATTCAGGTCCTGGTCACCGATCATCGTCAGGCAGAGCAATCAGATGGGGGGATATCTAGGGGACATATAGGACTTGAGCTTCCCAGGAGAAGACAGCGGCTGACCTGGGATCGACTGGCACTGCGCAGGGGGCTCCCAGGTAAACATCTCCCAGTCCCAGCACCATATACGCCGCCTTCTCAACCACCGCCCTTACCGCATCCGCGCCGCCCTCCAGCCCTGCACACCACCATGCAAGCTGATGAGCCCCTCCCAGATGTCATAAATTTACTGACTTATTTGTATCTAGATTACATTTTGAGGTGAAGCTGACGGCCCGGCTCACTTGTTGAGGAGGAATTGTACAAGGTCATTGAACCGTTAAGACTGTGCAGGAGCCAAGCTAGGCCACGAAGCCTGCTGTGTCACAAATCATCACGCGCAGACATGCAATCTTTTCCTGGCAGTGTCCAGGGCGGCGGCAGATGTGATGAAAATGCAATTCACTCCAGGATTCTGCGCTGTTCTGTAGCACGGCAGCTCCAAAGTCCAGTTTGCAAGTGAAGACCTTTTTTAACAATTTGGGGTGTGCATGACAAAATTCTTTTTACCCCTAAATTGTTCCTGCAGGGGCAGCGCACCGTTGTTGGCGGCGACAAAGTCCACGTTGGAGGGCACATAGGGCGCGTCCTTGCGGACAGATTTCATGTACTTGGCAATTGCGTCGTGCGTCCACTTGTCGTTGAAGGCCAGCGGCAGATGAATTATCCTCGTTGGCAGCACCTGATCCTGGGCCTGATCAGGCCGCACACACTCTGCACGTCAGCTGCGCGCCCCTTGCCAAACCTGCTTTCTGCCCCTCACAATTCCAACGGTGAAAGCTTCCAAATCCCGGCAGCAGATTAGTGCATGCGCCTGATTTTACATTGTAAGCCCAAGAAAGGATGCAAGCAAGACATGAGGACACTCTGAGCGCAATGCAGGGACCATCTACTACGTCCTGCGCTGCCTTTCATTCTCTGCACGCAGGGGCTCAAGGGATAATCAGGCAGGATCAGAGGCCCTAGAGGGGCTGGGTGAAAGGGGCGCGCACCGAGGGCAGCGCTCTTTCGGTGGCTTCGAGCAGGGACAGCAGCTCGCCCAGGGGCAGCACTCGCTGATCATACTCTATCATGCAGGATCGCACGCCCGGACTTGTTTCCACAATCCCTGGTACAGCCTGCATGCATGCAGGCAGAGCCCTTTTCAGTCCCTTTCTTATCTTTAGCTGACCTTTCAGATCTCAAAGTTGTCGGACTACGGCGCAGTCATCAGTACATCAGCGTCTTGAAAGTGGTCCAGGCATGCCTCTGCTGAGCCCCGGCAAGCAGCAAGAACAGAAGGTCTCTCAAGAAAGTATTGTTATGCAGAAGTACATCCAGACGGAGTTCAGGTGAAAAGAAGGAATCCCACACCTTGTCCGCCAGGTATCTTTCTAGCTCGTGCACCCTGACTCGCAGGTTGAGGTCGAGTTCCATTGGCCCATACTCCACAAACACGTATCTGCAGGCATCACTGGTGTCATGAACGCACTTTGAAACATTGACAAGATTGACCTGCAAACATTCCTCCAGGCAAACTGCGCAGGTCTTGCTTAGGCTAAGGTTCCATATTCATCTCATTAGATTGGATGTGAAGCCCTGGGAACCGCACACTTTCGGCGGTCACTTTTGCAAGAGATCAACAGTATTCTGCAGGCCCCCCTTACTATGGATCATCTGGAGGTGTGAGACCTCATAAATTCCCACCTGTCGCCCGCGAGCCGGAACTGCGCCCCAGGGAAGTCGCCATGTGCGGGCAGCGTGCGAAGCACGGCCTCAGTCGGCGGCATGGCCGGCACTGCCGGGCTGTAGGCCGCCAGCTCAGCGGCCACGTCAGCGCCGCTGCTGCTGGCTGCAGCCCTCAGCAGATCCTCCTTCTTGTCCAGCACCAGGCACTCCGTGTACGCCGTCTCTGCAGCAAATACCACCGAATATTGCCATCGTCCTCTCTAAAAGGAGAGTAGTAGCCTTGATCAAGCACCTTAACAATGGGAGGTTTTGTGCCGTCAGTGCCACTGGGAGCTGTCAAGCAAACATGCAAGCAAGAACGCACATGAAATGCAGTTTGTAGATCTTGTGCGTGCCCTAACAAGTCCCCCAGTGCGACCTCATAACAGTGCCAAGCTTGGAACCGCATGGAGGTTACACAAGCAATTTTGCCACAGCCGATGCAATGCCCAATGGTGCATGCCAAAGGGACACTTGCCAACTTGTGCATGGCGCGCATGCCACGATCACAGCAAGCAGGAATCGCAGCAGCGGTGGTGTGCCAGATGCGGACACATGGTGGCAAGAGCAAGAAGTCGAGTACTGCTGTTTTGTGTCAAGAGAGGCAATTACAGCGCGCACCCAGAGTGAGGGGCTTGAAGAAGACAACATCCTTGGCTGACACCTGGCCCATCTTCCACAGCTCTGTGCTGGTGATGGTGGCCGGGCACACAAAGCCGCCCAGGCTGGGGCCGTCAAACATCAGCGCCACCGGCATGTCCCCTGCATGCGCACACACAATCCAAGTTTCAGAACAGCATTAAATCCCAAAAAACTCAGAGAGGCATGTCAAGGCGGGCAGCTGGATGCACTGGTAAGTGTGCCTTCACCCCCCTCCATGCTTGCCAATTGGCTTCTAGGGAATTTGCACAGTGGGAACACAGGACAGGACAGCAAAGGCTCCGTCACATACATCTGGGCGTCATCCAAATCGTTCTGCAGTTTGCAGAACACCAACCATTCATTAACATTGATGATCATGTCATAACTGCACGCCTTTCCAGATGTTCACAGCTACATGCATTGATAACAGCGATCATCCGGGCAGCCGGGCACAAGTGCTGGGCACATGCAGCACACCACGGAGAGTCCTTACAGTAAATATATAGTCCTTGCAGTCAATTGAATGAAGAAGTGCAAAGACAGATGAAGCGCACCGGTAAAGTTGATGGTGCCGAGCGCGTAGACGTGGTCGTGCACGTTGGAGGGGTGAGAGCCGCCCTCGCCGCCGTCTGTGCGCGCAAACTGCGGCCGCGGTCCAGTCAGCCGAATGCCCAGCCGGTTCCTGCAGCGCAGCCGCTCACCATTTCCAAAGTATGAATGCAAACAATGATCTATTATCACGTACTGAGTGAGACATCCGACTCTGAAAGTGTGTTGCTGCAGCACAGTCAGCCAACTGCCCGGACAGTTACTGTAAGAACCCATTCTTATCTTGATACATCTTCCACACCAAAAGGACACCGCAAGGACATCAACGGGTACTGCCCGAGACAATTCAAGGCTTAAGCTTCTTTCTTTCTTGGTGCCAAAAGCCAGAAGCAGCATTGCAGGGACTCTAGCATGGCTGGCTGGAGCCCGCTCAGCATTTCATGATCTGTCTCAGTGAGGAGCTGACAGTGGAGCTGGCACAACTCGGAAGTGCATGCAATGCCAGAAGGTCAGAGAAACATATGCATGCCAATATAAGGAAGTAGGTGGAGGGCGCTCACGAGTTGTAGTGCACAGTGTACGGTGCGGAGTACAGAGTCTTGATGTCCTCTTCTGTGAAGTAGTCGGGGGCTGCATTGGGCCCCGGCAGCACGCCAATCTCCCAGGCGGCGCCCTCTACCGGGTATGCGGGCACCCAGGCTTTGGGGCAGGCGTTGCCGGCCTTCACTCCTTCGCTGGCTGGCCCCAATGGGAGAAGGTCCCCTGCCTTGAGTGGGCGGCCCTACAATACAGCAGGGACATGCACTTGAGCAGTCTCTTCCCATGCATGTGAAGATGCCATGACTGTCTTCGAGCATTTAGACATCTCTTGTAAGAGGTTGCCCCACATTCAGGTCATCTGAGGTCTTAGGGCCCGGAGGAACCCGTGTGATGGGTGCTCTGTGCAGGTTCCAAGGCAGCAATGACCATATCAAGGTGGATGCCACAAAGATATCTGTCGGGACAGCAGCAGTCTCCCACAGCACATCCAGGCAGCCAGACACCCAGAACACGCCAATGAGTAGGCACTGGTTGACAGCTGTGCGCCCTTGCCTTGGCTGGCTCATCAGCAAAGTTGAAATAAATCCAAATTGAAGGTTGAGTAATAAGAAGCTTGCAGTCTGTGCTACGGCGTATGTGCATGAGAGACTGACCTGCACTCCGCCCAGTTTGCCGCCAGGGAAAGTTGCGCGAGAGCCCAGGTATACCGGCGTGTTGATGCCCCCTGCCACCGCTATATAGCACCTGGCACCGCGCTTGGCCGCCAACTGCGCACACAAGAAACTTTCAGACCTCATGCCGCATCATGCATGATCTTTGACATGCAGGTCTTGTACATGCAAGGGGAGCACAAAGAGTGACTTTGCCCCCTTGCTGCATGTGACCAGCAACACACACATGCCAGGCAAGGCTTATAGGCCCCAATAAAGGATAGCTGCTGCATGACATTGAGAAAGCAATGCCCCCGACTTTTTTGATACACACCAAACAAAGAACCCAAAAGATAAATCAAAAGAGAAGAAGCACAGGTGCACTGCCTGATAAGCAGACAGTGCTTACTGTGCCGATGGTGAGCACTGAGCCGGCCTTGACCAGGACAGAAGTCCAGAAAGGCACTGCCACGCCATCAATTTCTGCGTGGAACTCCGCTCCTGTCAGAGCGATGATCACATCCATGTGGAATCGCAGGGAAGGCCCTGCACGCACCACTCAAACAATCACACGATGATTACAAGCAGCTTTTTGTCTCATCTCTGGCGCTTGCTTTACCTTGATATCTGCATTCCTCCCTCTACAAAAGGTTTCTACGCTAGCCTCTGCTCCTCACCAGTGAACTTTTCAGATAGCACTTAACCCGCTCACACTGCTCACCGTGTGTCCCTAGCAAAATTGCACTGGCTGGTGCTACTGAAGATTGAGGTGTAATCCAAAAAAAAACAGTACCACATCTGACAAGATGGGTATCACAGCCCCATGGATTTGGCCATCCCTCATTCTGATTACTGCTTGACACTCATGGAACTCCAAACAAATTGTTTCATCAAACGGTTTCACCTTAGTCTGAGGTGAAACTGTTACTGGGCTGCCAGGGAGGACTGCAGCTTGCCTGAAAGGGTGATCTCCAGGCCTGCAGCGTCCGATGCATTGCCCACGAGAGCATTGGCCAGGCGGAAAGCCAGTGCATCCATAGGGCCAGAAGGGGGCACGCCCACATGCCACAGCTTGGTGCGCCCTGGGTAGTCCTGATCATGCAAACATGTCAAATTCAGCAACTTACATGCAGTTCTTGCATGCACTGCATTCACACGACAAGGCCCAGCCTCGTTGCTCTGGCGCTCGCCCTGTCTTGATGCCTGCAAATCCAGTTTTTCTCTAAGTTGCTCTTCCCACTGCCGAACATAGATGCATCAACCAAAGTTGGCCGTCCTTCTAGGAGTCAGAAGATGAAGGCTTGCTGTGGAGCGTGGGATTACACATTGCCAGGTGTCAGGTGGAATTTGCAGGGATAACATGAATGGCAGCTGAGAAGGGACAACTCTTGGGAACCTGCATGGCAAGTTGCCAAATTGGATGACGAGCGTGGGAGGATGACATGAAGCACACCTGCACAGTGGTGTTCATGCCTGGAGAAACCACCTCAATGGCCTTTGGCTTGAAGGGCAACGACTCCAGGAATCGAGTCGTTGTCGCACCTGCATGCACACCAATCAAGCATCACTTCACCGTCACTGTCTCTGGCACACTGTTCATTGCATCTTTAATTTCTACCTTCCCTTGCGGCACGACTCTGCAAGGTGCCCCACGCTGCCCATTGCATGGTCGCTTTCATTGCCTCTGAATGTTTGAGCACAACTCAGCAATGTGCCATACGGACACCCAGACACTACATGCCATTTTTTTATACAGCTTGGACATTGTGACACCACTCTGTGCTCTCCGAGTAGGTACATATATACATCCCATTTGACTGCAATTCTCAGCCGGCAGACCCCCCAGGGCCTAGCTGTGGCTGTACAAACTCCAAGTGCAGATTCAAATCCAAATCTAAGTAAGTCTGGCTGCACCCGGTGCGCACCAGCGTGGCTCCCTTCAGGGGCCCGCCGCGCCCGCAGAAACCCCACATCCAAAAATCAAATTCGAAATTACAAGTTCAATTTCGAATTGAAATTCGAACACACTCAGGAGCGCACCGGCGTGGAAGCCCTCAGAGGCGATGATGGTGGAGAGGTATTCCAGGTTGGAGGGAATGCCGCCGAGCACCGTGCCGGACAGCGCCTCGGCCATTTTCGCGACGGCGTCCGGCCGGTCTTTGCCGTGCACCATGAGCTTTCCCAGCAGCGAGTCGTAGAAGGGCGTCACCTCCGTCCCTGTCTCCACCCACGTGTCTATGCGCACACCTGCAGCAGCATGAAGCAGCTATGTGGCTCACCAAAAATTCAAGTTACAGGGTCCAGCCTGACTGGTAGAACTACTTGAATGGTGGGTGCAGAAACATGTGCAGCAAGCTAGCGCTACAGAAGCAAATTCCTTATACTTTTCTCATCCGTGCTCTCTACCGAGGGTCCCACGGTGCGGTGGCATCAGAGGCAGTAATGTTGCAACAGCAGGAGACGCCAAAATGCAGGCATCACATCTGAGAACGCGGTGGTGTCACTGCGACATCGTCTTACATGGGATTATTGCGGCTCATGCTGCTCCAAAACACATTCAGATCTAACGCCCCAACTGTAAGGAGAAGTTATCACGGCTCACTTTGTTTGCCTTCACAAACAACATCAAAACCCCCGGAAATGCCTTTGGGGTTTTGCATAGAAGGGCTGACCTGGCGGCCAGACGACCTGGCCAAGGATGCCAGAGGAGGGGGTGAAGTTGCGAAAAGGGTCTTCGGCGTTGATGCGCACTTCAAAGGCCCATCCCTTGGGCTCTATGGCGGCCGCCGATGCCATGTCTGGCGGGGGAAGGCCGGGCACCTGCAGCTGCATCTGCCAGTCCACCAGATCCAGACCAGACACCATCTCTGTGATGCCGTGCTCCACCTGTCGCATGCAAATTTGAATTTGACTTTCTTGGATATGAATCTCACATTATTGTTGCCATTCCTGTGAAACTCTGCTCCACCTGTCGAGGGCACATTTGAAATTCGATTTGGTTTTGTTGTTGCTTGCTGTAAGGCAAGGATCACGTGCATTCTACACGGTGGGGCTATGATGCCATGTACCAGCTCCCAAATGCAAGTTTGGATTCATGCCTTAGGTAAAGACAGAAACCAGGGAAGACCCTAAGATGTTGTGCACTATGTGGGCATGCCCACAGCATGTAGAGGACAGGAGGCTTCCTGCATCTCTTTGCCCGACAGATCCCAAGATCCATGGCAGGATCCCTTGTTGGAGGCTCGTGCACATAGTTGCACCATACGGAATCGGCCATTTGGCATACGGTGAATATTCGGTCGTATATTCGGTGTTTTGGGCCAAAATAGGCCGTTTTTGACCGTATTCCGTATACCAATTACCGTATGACCGTATATTCGGCCGTATATACAGTCCCCAAAAAGTGTTCTGACCGAATGGTGCAACTGTGCTCGTGCACCCACCTGCAGGCGCGTGTTGACTTCCAGGAAGTAGAACTTAGAGGTGTCCTGGTCCACAAGGTATTCAATTGTCCCGGCGCTGCGGTACTTGGCCGCCTCTCCCAGCCGCCGGGCAGCTGCCTTCAGCTCCGCCCGCAGCTCCTCCTCTGCACCGAATTTCCCAATAACTGAACAATATTATTATTATTATTACATTTCAGAGACCTTGTGGGAGCCACCTGAGGCTCATTGGTGTTGTAGGCAGTCTGTCACTGCCCATGTACATATCACAACCTTCTTAAGTATCTGCATAGCTCATGCACATTAAATTAATTGAAGTGAGTACACGCTGTTCCTGCCAGGAGGCAATATGCGTCTGCAGAGAATCTGCAGGATAAAGGCTGAGACGTTAGCTACCCTTGTTGGATTCGCCAGGGGAATCCAAGCAAGAACCAATCCACCGTGGGCACGGTGCTCAGTGTGAACAACGCCCCGCGCCAGCAGTAGATTAAGGGGGTGTAAAGTTATCGGCCCTTGGGGGCACGCACCAAGATAAGGGGAGTGCGACTACCGTATTTTGTCTCTAGGGTCGATGGCTGCACCGTAGCTTTCTCTAAACCCCAAAAGATGAATGTTTGCACCGTCTAACCTACAAAACCCCTAAATAAATAAGGTATCAGGGTACGCGCACCGACGTAGGGGGAGGGCGACTCCTCGACGACCTTCTGGTGGCGGCGCTGGATGGAGCACTCGCGCTCGGGCAGCGTCACGATGTTCCCTTTTCCGTCGCCGAAGATCTGCACCTCGATGTGCCGCGCGCGCTGCACGTGCTTTTCCACAAACACCCCCGCGTCCCCAAAGCTCGCCTTGCCCTGCCTGCGCATGATGCATAATCCACCCTTACAACCCCGCCACCAGGGGGATCTATATCTTACCCCCTGCCACCTCGCGCATGGGATGCGATGTCTTGTATAGGATGTGCACCGGGTGCATCCCGCAATTGAGGGGACGCCAAGAGACTGTGACTTCAGAGGCCCATTATCTGAAGGGGCCTCCCTTTCACTTGCTCAGATCCTGCTATCAGCTACCCGCCCAGAGGCCATGCGCCTTGTTCAGGACCGTTGCTCTGTCAGGATTGAAAAATCAATCAAATATGGGTGGGTCATGCTGGGCTGAAGATGCCAAACATGACAGGATGTCAGGAGCAAGGGCCCAGGTGCGCGCACCTGCCAGCCGCCTCGAAGTTTGCGCGCACGGCGGCCTCGTCGGGGCAGCTGTAAATGCCGATGCCGCCACCGCCGCCCGTGGCTTTGAGCAGCACCGGATAGCCTGTGGCAGCCGCCTCTGCCACTGCCTCCTCCTCACTGGTCACAATTGTGCTGCCTGCAACCCGGGTCAGCACCGTCACTGGCATTCGCTCAGGACATTGCGCCTATGCTACAAACAAGGCTGCGGCGCGGCGTCGGCGGCAGCAGCGCGAGCGCTTGCTCCAATACATCTTCATGCCTTGAACCCCATGTCCCCGTCAGTATTCATTTGTCAAAGGATACCTTGTTCCCAATCTCACTCTGCTTGCCTCTGAGTCCTGCTTTAGGCTGATTCCCAGATCACCGCGTGTCTGCTCAGATATCCACCTGAGAGCATTCTGAACACCCGATTGAGTGTTAGCATGCGGGTACAGCCAATCTGTCCCTGTCATATGCACGCCATCAGCAACAGACGTAGCATACGCACCTGGCAGGACGGGGACGTTGGCACTCTGGGCGAATTCGCGCGCGGTGTGCTTGCGGCTGAACATGCGCATGGTGGCGGCTGTGGGGCCCAGGAAGGCCACTCCGGCGCTCTCACAAGACTCCACAAACTCTGCATTCTCGCTCAGGAAGCCGTACCCCGGGTGCACCGCCTTGCACCTGCAATACGCCCCACTGTGTGCATGAGATACATAGCCCCAAATAATCACTCTTTTTGCAATTATCTTTTCAAAGGCGCCAAAATAATGCCATGGGGTTATGGTCACTGTCTGTTTTCTGGCATGACTTGTACTCTGCACTGAAGAGCTCATTGCCTGTGGAAGTAATCTGAGAAATGAGCACGCCGCAGTAGGTGCAAAACAAGAGCAGTTTCTGCGGTCTGGCATCAGGACGGTGACTTGACAGAGCACCGTGCAAGACTCAGCTGAGCACCTCTCTATCATTGGTCGGGCAAGCCACTCATCCGCCCATCGACAATCTGCAGACATTCTTCATCGCTATGCTTACTCTATATAAGGGCCCCAAGCAAATAGGGCACCCAGGTCTCCATCTTACACCCAACATTGTGCTATGTTCCCCCTCGGCTGTGCAGTCTGCCCAGATATGGATGAGACTGACATACCCGGTGGAGAGGGCGGCCTCCAGCAGCTTGGCGGCATTGGTGTACTCGCGCGTGGATTTGCCCAGGCACACCTTCTCTTCCGCCTCCAACACATGCAGAGAGAGGGCATCCGGCTCTGTGTACACTGCCACTGGAATGAGGCCCAGCTGGCGGCAGGAGCGCTGCACTCGCCGTGCAATCTCCCCCCGGTTTGCGATCAGCACCTTGCCCTTCGGCGCGGCCCCTGCGCATGGGGCAACGAGCAAGTGAGGGGCTCTCCTATTGTGCTGTATGAGGGAGTGATAGCCTGCCAAGGTCACATGCAAAGTAGGGTCTGCAGAAAAGAAGCCCACTGGAGCGTGTGAGATAGACATGCAAAGCAAGGGTGCAGATGATGTACAATGACGTGGTTGAGTCTCTGGGTGTGTATCGACGTTGATTGTGTTGTGGTTCAGGCAAGGGATTTGCAGGGTGGGTGTGGGTGCTGGGGCACTGGACATGGGGCACCTGGCGACGCAAGAATGACCAGGACTAGTGCACAGTTCGGAGGGTGGGAGGTGGTGGAGATATATGGGTCGTACCATTTAGATCATTTGGGACTGTCATGTCAGGGTACACCACTTGAAGGCACCTGACATCAGCACCAGCCCAGCCTCAGATCCCACTTCCCAAAGATGCCCGGAGACTGCTGGCCAGCAGCTTATGAAGAATATCATTATGTTTAAAGCTAATTACTTTTATCACTTCTTCAGTCTAGCATCTCAATCGAGCCAGATAACCTAAAACCTGTCGTTGTTCCAGCACTCCAAGACTTCCAGAAGTACTGCGGGAATTATGCAAACCCACACACAATCAATCCTTACGTTACCCCAATATCCCGATAATTTTGTCCTGGTGGATCGCAAAGAGGACGGCCGCACCTTCGGCCGGCCACTGATGCGGAGGGATCGTCGCTGTGTGGAGGGTTCTTTCTTCTGTCTTTTCCGTCAGCTCGGAATTGTGATCCGACAAATAACGGTGTTTAAAGTGATTGAATGGAATTTGCTGTCCCTTCCGACAACAGAATATGTCCGTAGCAGCATTCGAGTGAGATTAGGGCGGGGGCCCATGTGACTCCGAATCTGCCATGTGACAAAGTCTGCGTCATATTATCCGCTGCCATCACCTTAGGCCATGGGCGACTTGCATGCATTTCTGGATATGGATCCTCCTTCGTCTTGTCCTTCGTCATTTTGCTTAAAAAAATCAGTTGAGACACCATACTGCCTTATCTACCACTTCTCGAAAGGAGCTCCTAGTGCATTGCCAATATTGCTGCTGGACTTGTCCAGGGCAGCAACCTGCAAAACATAACACACAAATTCACCGTGAGTGGGCCGGAACATCTGAATACAAATGAAGTGCCAGCAACCCCATGATAGAAACTGCAATGGGCATCTTGGGCACCTCCATTCCTGCAGGTAATGCGATAACGATGGGTGAAAATGCAAGCTGTTTTGAGCCTAGACTAGGTCTGGTACAGGTCACCAGGTAACGGCTTAGAGGTGATGAACTGGGCCATAGAATGTGCTCTACAAGGACATGTGTACTGTGTACGAAGTCTTCTCCAATTGAAGTGGCACCGCACCTCGTCTGCAGTGAGCCGCCACCCTAGAGCACCTGCAGCCTCCCTCACTTGTCTCGCGTTCTTGGCTCCTGGAATCGGCAAAGCGCCCTTACACAGCGTCCAATTGATGGCCACCTGGATGCATCAGAGGCATCACAATGTTATCCTGTCGGTTTCCAGCTTGTCATCTGAAGCCATTGATTTATGACCACGGCTGAGCTGTGTCAGCCCACCTAGCTCTCAGCCCAACGGGTGCAGCATCACAGGCAGGGTCCTGAAGGAGTCTCCTGGAGGGTGGTCTGATATCAAATCTTAGGGGCATGCCTGCCCAGGGGTCTTCCCGCCGTGCGCCGAGCCAATGTCCCTCATGAGTGACAGCAGCGGCTGAACTTCGGCCACTCTGTCCGCAGTGATGGTGATCCCTCGAGGACCTGTGGGCAGGTTGTCCTTTGTGTACTTCCCTGAAAGACGCCACCAACATGTCATTCCCTTACCTACCCAGCAGATCTCCACCAGACTCACTAGCATGCAGCTATACATCAGCTTGTGTTCTAGGCTGGTGTTTAAATATTGGCGCTCATGGGTCTGTAGTCAGTGCACTGGCCCGAAAACAGAACACCTTATCTCCTTTTTCACAATTTAGCGCAGTTTTGATTGCACTGGGAGGTCTGCCCCATGTTAAAGGCACGACAAGTGTGAGTGTGTTGCATGAGAAGGTGCAAACACCTGTGAGGAGGCCCTGCGCTAAGGGGCTGTAGGCAACAAGTGTCGCTCCAGCCTTCCGAACAGCATCCGCCACTCCATTCACCTCTGGCACGCGGTACAGCAGAGAGTACTGGACCTGGTTGGATGCGAGCGGCACTCCCTTTGCCTGCGCGATAAGAAAGTTATAAAAAGCCACGCTCCGCGAACTGCATTAGCATTATTGCATCCAGGTGAACTTGGTGAGTTCAAACTGATGACCAGAGGGGCACCATGTCAGCCCAAACAGAAGCTCGATGTTGCGTCATGTGCGTCAACGTGGAAACGCAATTATTTGAAATTGGTGGACATGTGCCTGCAGGATGCTGCTGGCGCGCCGTACGCGCTCGGCAGAGAAGTTGGAAACGCCGACCGCCTGTGTGAGGCCAAGATTGGCGCAATCCCCGAGCCCCTCTACAAATGCATCATTAAAGGGGCCGTTGGTCAATATGCCCGGCCAGTGCTGCATGTAGAGGCCCGCCTTCTCTATCCCCAACCGCTCCAAGCTTGCCCTGCGGCACACGACACCCCATGCCACGAATGCACAAATATACACACCAGACTAGGCATAATTTACCCCTGATGGTCTTTATGGGGGGTCTGAAACTGCAGCATTGGTGCCGATCTGTGATTCCTCACAACCGTCAGGGAAGTGGTTTGCCTGGCTGTTCAAAAGTCACCATTAATTGGTGGCTTTCTCCCTGGCATGAGGGGGGTGCAGCCGGAATTCTGCAGGTATCAGCGCGGCAGTGTGCATGGATGGGCTCAGTAAGAGCATAGCTGCAGGCTGTACGCACTGTGCATGGGACAAGGAAAGCGCACTGAGAGCAGCAGGGGCAAAGGGCCCGTCCTCACCGGCATGCAGACACCACAGACTTGGATGTGAACCGCCATGGCAGGGGAGCAAACTTGGTGGCAATGACTGGCTTGGTGTTGGTGCTTTTCATGAACTCGCCCAAAAACTCCTCCGAATTGCCAAAGCCATACACCTGCCATGGTGCAACAAGTTCATTGGCGCATAGCTGTCGAAGGCATGTGCAGACTTAAGCAGTACGTTTAAGAAGGGTCGGGAGATGGGACGGCAAGCCTACCTCTGCAGTGTCGACAAAAGTAATGCCCTCTTCAACGAGTGCTTTGTATGCGCCAAAGTTGTCTTCCTTCTGATAATCGCTGCCGTACCCCTGAACACGAATCCGGCTCTTCAATTATGCTGGGAAGACATGGTCATGAAGATGTGTCTGTACACGGCAGAAAGCTCCGCTAGTTCTCAAGGAAGATCAGGTCGAGGTACTTGCCCAGTAGCCTGTTCTGTCCCCAAAGCTCCAAGCACCAATGCCCATCGAAGAAACCTTCAGGCCTGCACATGCAGGTGGCTTTCTTTCAGATAGAAGTGTGAAGTAGCATTCAAGTTCGGACATCCTTCCTCAGTTGAAGAAGTCCCTTGCCGCACCTGACTGCCCGAGCTCCGTGGTCTCTTTTGCTGTGATATTGACTGGGGTGACGGGGTCTGTATTTGCAGTCTGTGCAGCTGGCGCATGCGCAGGTGACAGTGTCTGAATAGCTGCGACACTGGACACCCCTGCCAGCAGTGCATCTCTGCGGGACAGCTGGTTCCCTGCATGGTCTGCATCTGTGTCTTTTGCTGCTGCAGAGACGCGAGACACCTGAGGTCAATGTCTGTTCAGTCAGAAAGAGATCCAGTCATGTGCTGCAGTACACGCTAAGCTGGGGTTAATCGTTCATTTGAAGCTGTTGTTGTATATGCCATCTTCCAGTGTTTAGCTACAGTGACAAGCATGCCCATGACAAGGAGCATGACAACAATGTGGGACAAAATGGCGCTGCTGACGAGAGGAGTAAATTAATTTGCTCTATCACGATTCATTGGACACTCACATGCCTAGGAACCCTCGCTGGTGCTAAACATCTGTGGGTTCGGCATCTGTGTTTTTGGAACTGGCGTTGACCTCTCGGCAATGGAGAGGGATGCAGTGCCGTATTCATTCCTGAGAAAATTTACAACCGTGAATGGGCAAATATTTGCAGAAGAAGAGATCAATGAAAAGGACAGTGTTGACATCAATCGCACGTGGTCGCGTTCTGTCGGCAGCACGGAGGGGTCCTCTGCAAGCATGCAAGCAGGGCTACAGCAGAAAGCATCGTGATTGATTTACCAAGGCTTAATACGAACTTTATTTACATGGTCAATTTCACCCTAGCGCTGGTAGGGCTGCAGCTTGCCGCACCGTGGGTGGAAGAGAATACACTAGCAGAATATCGCTAGATTCAAACCCACTGCCAGTTGAAGATAGGAAGGAAGCTTCCTTTAGGAAATCATTTCCTAATGATTACACATCAACTCCAGCCGCCCAGGGCTAGTTGGATGTACTGACAGCATCCAAAACAATCCATGACAAAATGTGCAACACTGACAATATCCGACTGCCACATGACCTGTTGCATGGTCTGAATGGCGGCACCCAACAAAGCAGGATACTTGTCCCGAATGGACTGCACAGCAGGGCACTCAAAAACCAGATGGCGCTCATCCCCAAGCACGTGCTGGTCACGATCTAAGCAATATCGCTGGGCCCGAGCAACCCTTGCCCAGCGGCCCGAGACATTGGGCAGGCTGTGACACCCCATCCTAAATATGAGAAACACACGCATGCAACGAGCACTGATGCGCTGTTGGAAGAGCAAGCCTGGGCGACTCAATGAGTCTGGCCTGGAAAACCAGCAACAATAAGTTCACAGAGTAGCATTCCTTGTAAGGCAGGTCCGAGGCAAACATCAATATCATCCCAAACACGCGAGGCCTTGCCATCCAAGAGCTGCAGCACAGCAGCAAGGTGCACAGGAACCAATGTGTCAAACCGAATGGTGAACTCATTGAATACTGAATACATACCTCTGCACTGGTGCACCGGTACCGGCTGGTGAATGCAAGAACTGAAGTGGCCTTCATGTTTATGCTATCTTGTCTCTCAAGCTAATCACATCTTTCAAATTCACTCTCACTTTTGCATTCTGTGACTTTTCTGACCGGTTCTTCAGTCCTAGATTTGTGTTGGTGCAAACATACTCGTGCTGCCCATTTTTGCTGTTGCGCTTCAAGTGGCAGTCCTTGTGCGTCTCATTTGCTGAGCAGGTCCGAAGTCCATCACATGCTGCACACAGAGATGAAATTGATCGAGTCCCACGTGGGTTGCACTTCAGTTGCACTTGGGGGGAGCAGTTTGAAGTCACGGTAATGTGGCAGGATCACACCAATTACATGCAGACTAGCCCTTTCTTCAAGACCTCACTGAAGTCACCTCAGTGAATGTGCACATTGAACGTTTCAGGCCCTATGAGGAACGAATACCATCAAGGGAGTGCATATTGGTGGTCACCTGTGGGATGGATGACAACATGACCTTGCTTCTCAGCCTCTCTGAACACTCTTTCTTCGTCCCTGATGCTGTGCGTGCCTCCATGCCCATTGTTCCAATTGAACCCGAACAGATGCAGCTTGAGCCCTAAAGGCTGCGCACACTGCAGCGCGTACAAAGCACCTGCATCCAGAGCAGTGCATCTCCAGTTACCACTAATGACTTGGACCGGGTGAGTGTTTAGTTCCTCATCATTTCTCTGATGGCCATCACAATTCTCCAACACCTCCAAAGGTTCAACCTTGCAATTGCAGTGGCACAGACATGCTATTAGGCCTGATGGGCTTATGAAAAGCAAAGGGGACAAAGCCAGAGGGTCCCACCTAGCCACCCTGAAGAGGGGCTGATGGTTGTATTCTTTGGCATCCTTGCCTCAAACCCCTTGGGGGACTCAAGGTTGTTGAAGTCCAGCAGCACATGGTGCTTGGCCTTGACCTCTGGGAAATGCCTATACACCGGCTGCATCATGTACCTGCGATGCAAAACTTGCCACTGCCATTGTCCAGTTTTTATTATCATTACACCCTTTTCCTGCCAGAGGCAAGGTGCGTATTCAGGCAAACTGCATGTATGGGCTGCTCAAAACCCTTCCCCTTCTTGAACTCGCCAGATCCAAGCAAGATCCAATCAATCGCGGGCTCAGTGCTCAGTAGTTATAGCGCCCCCCGCCAGCCGGGGCCAGTCAATGAAATCTGGTGTTTCACCAGTCTGTGTGCAAGGCTGTCTGAGCAGTGGAGAGACCAGTCGATGCATGGGAATAGGGAAGCAGGTAGTCAATAGGGGGGCGCACCAGTAGCTGTCACGTTCTGAGTTGACGTCCCCCAGAAACCAGATCGACTTGGTGGCGGCTATGGCCTCCAGAGCGCTCTCCCTCTCCATCTGTGAAATCCCCCAGAAGTGCAGCCGTGCATCGTCCGCTTTCCTCATCACCCAAACATCCATTCGCTCCCCTGCCGGCCTGCATAACCGCCATAGCATAATTCTTACTACAGGCCAGTAATCCCAAAAGGTAAAGGCCACAGACCGCCATGACAGCTCTGGCAGTAGTCATAATGTATTTTTCTCTTGACAGACATCCTGGCAGCGACTAGTCACTCACTAAGCTAGCACGTAGATCATATCATGTTCATAGCAAAACATCAGGCGGCTGAGTTTCAATATTTTCATTTACCCTCATTCATGAATGGGAATTTGGTCAACATGGTTCCAAGCCTGAGGGCAGGTGGGTGATTGCAATAATCGCTCACCTGTTGTTCAGGAAGTTGAGGCGGATGACAACCTGGAACACTCCAGAATTTAGATCCTGCCGCTGCTCCGCTGTAAGGGGCCCATTGCCCACCAGGGCCACATCCGTGTCATTGCATGCGCTGAAAGCATGGCACCATTCCGGCAGCACCGGCCTGCGCACAAGAACGGCCACTCTGTCACACGTCACCAATGTATGGCCACCAGATGTAATGTCTGCAAGGCATAACTTTCTATGTTTTCAGCCTGAAATCAGACCACCAGTCTGCCTCGCTCTCTCCAGGCATCAGAGACTACAGGAAATCCTGGTGTGCATGACTTTTCCGAGAGCATGCGGCATTGCACCTGTTGCAATCAGACATGGTGTTGGAGGCTGAGTCCGCTGCGAGGCTGCTGTTCTGATTGCGTAGGTTGTCTGCATGCTGCAAGATGAGGTCCTCAAGGCGAGCTGCATGCTGCGCTAGTTCCTGTCGGCTCATTTCCTCCAGAAGCACATTCCCCTGCGCGCATCTGGTGCCTTTCAGCCCTTGCCGCACTTTGCTGGAGCGACGTATATGTACAGCTACCATGCAAATCGAGGTCTAGGCTGCAGACTTTTGTGGGCCCTGCAGATGTGGCTGCAGACGCCTGCGTTTATGTCCTGTGGCCTCTCTTTGCCATGGGACATACATGCTTGGATATGCCGACCTGTAGTAGTTGTAATAATACAGCAATCAGGTAACTTTGTACCTGCAATATGCTGAGTGTGCTGGCCTGCTCCCCTGCCACATTTGCAAGCAGCTTCTCTAAGCGGGTTGCATGCCTCGCCAGATCCGTTTGTGACTTAGACTGCGCACGTACAAGCCCACTTTATGCATGGGTGCACGTCTGGTCGCGTTTAAAGCGTGACATGTTCCAGTCAGACAGGAAGCCGTTCTGGGCAAGGCTACTTACGATATGGGCCAGCTCCCTCTGTGTAAGCGCATTGTGTCGCCCATGATGCCTGCATCAGGCGGATTATTGCTTATCAAGAAGCTGTAGAGGGTTACTGTGACGGGTCATGCTCGACAGGCCTGTGCACATCAGTTGGGCCCATCCGATGAGGTGGAGAGGTACCTGGTGAGTACTGCAAGAATGAAGCAAATGATCGCCAATAAGGCAATGTAAAGTGACTTGCGTAATGTTATGAATCTGCGTATCTTATCCTGCATGATGTGCCTTACATCATGTCGGGAAATTCGCACTTGTCTTTCCGAGGCTCTCGTACGTGCGATCAAGGACGCACGCTCTTCACTTATAGACAACAGATGAACATCGTACTATATCAATGTGTATGTTTGCTGGGTACCGCACCAGATAGACAACTCAGCCTTTTACACGCTTCCTGAAGACAACACATGCCGAACATGTCTAGGAATCGAGACAAGTGTTTTCTGTTAGGGACACAGTGGAATGCCACTGAAAATTGGTAGTCATCAGATTATCTTTTCCCTAGATGCTGATCATACGAGATATTGACCCAGGCACAGAAGGTCAACAAGGTTCCTAGGTTGGTCGTTTCCTCTTGAGGCGAAGCCGGTTGCCAAATTTGTCCCTTCACGGGCACGTGCGATGAATGCGCCGATGGGCTAATGGAAGCGTCGCTGTTGCTGTTTTGTTCAGCTTTCGACCATTTATTTAATGCTTATGTCAGTTTATTTTTGAATACTATTGTGTAATCGAGTCGATCGTTGAGATTTTAGCTTTCGTGGGGTGTTTCGGATGGCGCGCCAACAAGTATGAAGAATACTCTACAAATAATATGCAGAGATGATCCAGTAGTGCGTCGATTTTGTATTTGAGCTTTATTTCAGCAACCCCTTGGATGCAGATCGCGGCAGGTATGATGATCTTCGTCCTCATCGCTAGCACAAATTTTGAAGCAATCACGTGACACACTCTCCACTTCTCATTGAGCTTCTTTCGCACATCCAATGCTGCTACTGAGCCTGAAATTAGTCAAAGGACAGCAACAGGCAAGCAGAAGACGTGACGGTTGCCGTGAGCAGCAGCTGGCTGCCTATAGATCCTGCTTGTGCTCAGGCTAGCTAGGCAGGAATGTGAAGCGGAAAAAATCATTTTGCAGGAGGAGTTTGACCTGGAGGGGCGAAGGGAGGCAGCCAGCATGTATGCAAGCAGGTGGCTGACGCTCAGCGCATCAACACTGCTGCAATGCTCGGCCGGGGTCTCCTACTGCTTCAGCATTTACAGCAGCCAGCTGAAGGATGCCCTGGGCTACAATCAGACCCAGATCGAAGGACTGGCATCCCCTCTTGTGGCCTTACTCGTGGTCGGCTGGCTTCCGGGCTTTGCCTATGACCGCCTGAAACACAGGAGGCATCTGGGCCCCAGGTGCTGCTCTGAGTGTGCTGGCTCCAAAGATTTAAACACCCATGCACGCTTATTGCTATGCCTCGATTCTGAGCGCCCACCACGAAATCCCATGCTCCTGTTGGAGCCTTGATGCACCTACACACACCTACGGCTGACCAATGTTGCAGCTAGATCGAAAGAAATATTGTTCATATGTGTGTGATTATGTGGCAGGAAAGATTCGTGTGTGTTGTCAATAAGTTGTAGCCTGCCAAGATCACAGGCCCCGCTCACAAGCCCTGGCTAGTGGGGCACTACTTGCAAATTCCTAGTGGGGCACTAGGAACTGAGTTACTTCATTGCAATGTTTTGCTATGACCGGCAGGCTGGTGCTGCTGTGGGGGCTGACGGAGCACTTCTGTGGCTATTTCGGGCTGTGGCTGGCGGCTTCAGGGCGGCTGCAGCTGCCCTACTGGGCCATGGTGGGCCTCACAGTCATGGCCTTCAATGGCAGCAACTGGATCGACACTGCCTGCATCGCCACCAACGTGCACAACTTCCCACACGATCGCGGCACCGTCGTGGGTGCGAGTCATCCCCTTCAATACCCCTTGCCAGCATTGTCTCTGGGGTTCTGAACTGGAGGGGATTTGTACTACCTGTTCATTGTCAAAGAGTTGCTTGCAGAATATTTGTTGCATGTACTTGCCCTGGCTGCCTGCGCCCCGCTGATCTGCTCCGGATGGCACTCACTGCAGCATCAGTTAATAGATGGTAATTTCTGTTCAATTTCCGAGATTGCATGTTCAAGTAACCATTCATTCTAAGGCTGGACGTGCGCGGCACCTGCGAGTTTAGAGGCGTGGCACCTGCAGACTGAAAATGGGTACTGTGATCGCATGCTAGGTGTGCTTAGTCGCTAACGGGCCTGAGCGCACTCACTCACTGCAGTATAACTAAGGGCAATCTCAACTCATTTTAAAGTCCACATGAGATCGCATGCGTGAGGAGCCGGCTGGTGTGTGTGGCAGGTGTGCTGAAGTCTCTGGTTGGCCTGAGCGCGAGCGTGTACACGAGCATGTACGTGGCAGCCTTTCGCCCGGACGCGCTCTCATTCCTGCTGCTCATAGCCGTGGCGCCCACCGCGCTGGGCCTCTGCGCGATGCCGCTCTTCAACGCTCTCCCGGAGGCGACCGCCGGCACTGAAGACGAGAATGCCAAGGCCACAGGTGCTGCACCAAGGGAATGTCCCCAGCATGTGCTCTATTGATTGGATAGATCATTAAACTTATAAGATAAATGCCACACTGGCACAATCGTGTCCAAAGTTGGTTTGCACCTTACATTTCGATGGAATGGCCCCTCAAACATCCCCCAGATTACGTGACATTTACCCTTGAAGTGCTGCACCCCTCTCTGCTTTACTATGCGTAAGCATGGCAGCCTGCCTAGGTCACGTGCAGGTTAGAATCTGCAAAAGACAAACCCACTGTGACCTGTGAGGCAGACATAGCAGCAAGGGTGCAGATGGCTTACACTTGACCTGGCTGGAAGCACAGAAAGCACCTATATTTTGGTCAGCATGACCAATGTCCAGTATTGATGGCCTTGCGCCAGAGCTACTCTGCGGTGTAATCTAGTGGCAGTGTTGGGGCTTTAGCATGCTACTGTGGAGGTCTAGCAGGTATGTATCGTGGAGGTGAATGTTCCCTCTGACAAGAGAGGCTCATGCGAGCGCAGGAGTGCGCTTTGGGGTGGCATACAATGTGGTAATCACCCTGGGGCTGTACCAGCTGTGCACTTGCGGCCTCCTAGGCGCGCACAACAGCCCCGGGCCAGTAGTCAGGCGCGCATCACTTCTGTCTGTCTGTACCCTCATTGCCACTCTAGCCCTCTTGCATCTTGACAAGCAAATCAGAGAAGGATATTCCCATTCGCATATACTCATATCCAAGTCTGTTGTGTCCGGCGTCACCATATGTCAGCACACCCAGGTGCTCTAATCAAATGATGATCTCCCATGTCCAGCAGAGGGCTGATGGAGATCTGACATAATTTTCTTGGGGGTGCATCAGGGGTGCCATGCTGGCGGGGCTGACGCTGTTGCTGGCACCACTGCTGTTCCTGTGGGTGTCCTCCGGCCGCCTGCTGCTCCCTGGTGGTGCACCTGGCCAGTGTGGGGACGAGGAAAAGACTGCAGGTGAGGCCTGCCTTCCCCTGAGGATACCCAAGCTCTAGGGAATATGCGAATGCCGGCCCGACCAGTTGCATGAGCCTACGATCTTGCTGCGTGCTGTGTCTATTTGCTTGCAGCCGTGAGATTGCAGGTGGCACAGCATGCAGTGATGGTTTACAGATCGTGCTGATGTGTCGTGCAGAGGTGTGCGGTACCGGGGTGGTACAGCAGGGGGCATGGGCGCGTGTTGAGATTGGCAGGCGAGAGCATAAAGGGGGCGCAGATCTGCAGGCACCTCTGCTAGGGCCTCAGCTGGCGCCTGATCAAAGTGGGGGCAGGGATGGAGAGGTGCGCATGCAATTCATATGCACTCTGGTCGCCACTATTATGTGCTTGGTGGAGGACAGTGTAAGAGAGAAGGTTGGAAGGCTGTCATAAAATTGCTGCTGTGACCCACCTGATCCTCATGGATTGAGAAGGCGTGTAATTATAATCGTAATATTCATAATCCATCCTCTGTTTTGGTCTGCTTGGAGCACAACACTGAAGCCTTGCATGCCTGACAATGCAAGGCAGTTATACTGCGTTCCATCTCCATCTTGGAGTTTCTGTTCTCGATGGGCTTACTCATTGCTTGTCTTTTGCAATGGCCCTGCTCCCAAAACTGTAACCAAATGCGTCAGGACTGGCTGATACATGTTCAGGCTCGTCTTGCATGCATTCAACCGGAAAACACTTGATTATATCTGGTACAGGTGGGGGATGGTGGGGCCATGGAGGCCAGCAAGGCAGGGGCGGTTGGGGCGAGTGTCGGGCTTGCACAGCCGAAGCCCAACCTGAAGCTGTGGGAGTGTGCAGCCTCGCTCAACTTCTGGCTGCTCTTCCTGGTGTTCGGCGTGGGCACAGGCATCGGCCTGATGTTTGTGAACAACCTAGGTGAGCAATTTATTACCGCCAAATTCACCTCACAGCAGCGCCTCACGGGTGCACCTGGTCATGGTATTTTCTGGACAAGGTCCATGCCACAGAATACTCTGAAACTCACGATACAAAGGCAGCAGAGGATGTGCTATCTGCCCACTGCCCTTGACTTTGCCCAGAGTCTTGGCTGGCCGTCACACAACAGCTCTAGTGTGCATGCCGCGATGAGCACCCTGGTCAATCAGGGCTCTTGATAACCCCTCAAACGTTGCTTTTCGGAGAAGGCTATGTTGCAGGGCGCAAGAGAAGCGAATAGAAGCGATACCGCGGCTTGCTGTTCTGCAGGGCAATTGGTGGAGTCCCTGGGCGGCGGCAGAGATGGGCAGGATGTGCTGGTCTCGCTCTTCTCTGTCTTCAGCGCAGCCGGCCGCCTGGCGTGCGGCTCCATACCCGAGCGGCTGCTGCACAGCTATGGGCTGCCCAGGTAGATACAGGGCTGATCAGCACAATCATCTGCTGCTCCCCTCAAGCTTCAACAATGCGTGCCCATACTCCACATATCCGGCGAATTTGGAAGTCTCTTGTAGCAAATTATTTACTTCCACTGTACAATGCGCATGTGGTAATAATATAGTCTGGTGAGAGCCTGAAAGTATTCTTCAAGTCGTCCATCCATTTGCAAGCCCGCACCCAACTTGGCTGATCATACACACCTCAATAGGCTGCCCTTGAGGCCATCTACACCTGGTCTTCTGTAGGGACTTCCACCCTGTGGGAGTGTTTGTGCAAGCAAATCAGCTGGTTGTGCACCTACGACAGGCTATCTTTGGGGCCCTGCCTTTTGATCTTTCTGGTCTGTCATGGTGCGCCTCACAAGCAGGAGTGGCTGCGTGCAGGACGCTGTTTCTGGTCGTCGTCTCGGCCCTGACGGCGGCAGTGTGTGCGCTGAGCGCGCTGTCGCGGCTGGCGCTGCTGTGGGCGGCCGCGCCGGCTGCGGGCTTTGCCTTCGGCTGCCACTGGAGTCTCATGCCGCCGCTGGCTGGGGAGCTATTTGGCATGCGCAACTTTGCCACGCTCTATTGCCTGCTGCAGTTCGGGACCACCTTTGGGACCTACGCGCTCGCCACCCGGCTGGTGCGCGCCCGCTCCTAACGTGTTTCTCGTTCACATGGATTTGTTTGTCAAAGTTTAACCAGAATGCTTGATATTCTGTCAACAATATTGAAGTGCTGTGGCTGGCTGAGGCAGACACAGATACAGGAATCGATGAAGACTATTTCGCGGCAAGAAATGTGAAATCTGGTAACTCTACAGACATGTCTGGTGTAATGTTTGGCCTCCTGGCTATTGAGCGAGGATTGAGGATCAGCCGAAGTGGTGCGCGTTTCTTGTCTGTGCGTGTGCAAGTTGTCCAGGTGTGTTGGTGCTTGTGCAGGCGGGCGGTATGTATCAGTTGCACGCCGAAAGGCATGGGGACGATGGGGATGTGTGTATTGGCGCAGATTGTTTCAGGTGAGGGGACAGCCTCTCTTCTGCATGCAAATTTCTGTGGCGTCTTGTTCACAATTTGTGTTAAAGTGTTAGGTCAGGCATTCTGCCATGATGTGCACGTCGCAGTCCCTGCTCGGCTGGTGCTAAGGAGGCCACAGCGCCCAGTTACTGTATTGGGAGGAGCAGTTTTCTCAGGAGTGTGCCTCTTTTGCAGGTCAACATTCCTGATCGCTGCAGCGTTAGAGGTTGGTGCTGCGCTGCTGGCCTTCATTTTGTACTGCAGAACCTGCCAGCTGTATCGAGGAAAGCCGGCCACAACGCATGTACCTGAAACCTTCAGCCAAGCTCAGGAAGCTAGAGATGCTGAGGATGTCCCTGACTCAGAGTCCTATGCTGACTGTAGTTGCCGCGTGGTCTTAAATGCAGGCATGAGCAGAACACAAGTTTAGCCAATGGCATCGTAGCTAGTATTTTCTTTTTCCAGGTGATAATGTGGTTGACAGTCAGTTCTGTGATGTCACAGTGTATCTACAGAATGACTGCAGAGATTGTAGCACAGTGAAGTTATCTTCTGGAGTCACAAATAATTCTCAGAGAATGAGATCAGAGTATCAATTCTCTTATTGCAGCAAATGATGATCATGAGAACTTCTGACTTCCATGTTGCTATGCTGCCAAGCTGGTCATCACTGTAAGCAATCTTTTTATGTGGTTTGATGAGTCTGATGCCACTCATTGAGGAGACTTCAGGATTCCAATTGTTGGTGGTGTTAAAATAACACCGGTTTGTTTTTTGGGTGGCGCCCGAAGACAGTCTACTCCTTCTTGGCGGTCTTCTTGGGCAGCAGCACAGAGTGGATGTTGGGCAGGACACCGCCGGAGGCGATGGTGACACCACTCAACAGCTTGCTCAGCTCCTCATCGTTGCGGACAGCCAGCTGGATGTGGCGGGGGATGATGCGGGTCTTCTTGTTGTCACGGGCAGCGTTGCCTGCCAGCTCCAGGATCTCAGCTGCCAGGTACTCCAGCACAGCGGCGAGGTACACTGGGGCGCCAGCACCCACACGGCTGGCGTACTGCAGGATCACAGCACAGGAACAGTATCAGTCACTGCTTTTTATTCAGCTCGATTGTGGCAAAATCCAGTTCAGGGACAACGTAGGCCAAGTCCCTTTTACTGACTCTATGCCAACACAATCAGCACGGCAACCGCAAATTTGACAAACAGTATGTACGCCAGAAAGCCTCTAAGCCACCGAGAACAAGTACAAAAGTGCTGCAGACCTCGATTCAACACCAGATGGGAACCTTCGAGAGGTAGACTTTCCAAGGAAGCAGCACCTCTAGCGTAGCCTGAGATCAACGATAGAAGCGGTTCTCACCTTGCCCTTTTTGAGGTAGCGGGCGATACGACCCACGGGGAACTGCAGGCCGGCCTTGGTGCTCTTGGACACCGACTTCTTGGCTGTCTTTCCCTTGCCGCGTCCAGACATGATTGCAAGCCTGTTGCGAGATTGAAGGTTTTCGAAGGAAATTGGAGGCACGAATTGATCTCTGAAAGCGTTTCAACGAAAATGAAGTGGAGAAACCGCTTTGAGGTTCCTGCTCAGTGGTCGGCCAATCAGGGGGCAGCTTTCGAGGACCAAAAAAGACAAGTTTGGCACGGGGAATGCTGCGTTCTGATTGGCCCGCACCTGCAACCGGAATATAACACCCTCCTGCTTGCTCCAGAATTTTCAAACGCTGTCAGCTCTTCGTGCATTCACCCGCAAAGCTCCTCAATCCTCTCACAGCAACCCAGCTAAGCAGCCATGGCTCCCAAGGCAGAGAAGAAGCCCGCCAAGAAGGTCGCCAAGACCGCAAAGACCGGTGGCAAGAAGAAGAGCAAGGCCAAGGTCGAGTCCTTCAAGATCTACATCTACAAGGTCCTCAAGCAGGTGAGGCCCAGCGTTCTGTGCTGCGACGGATCCACCGGGTTGCTCGCTGTCTTTGACCTTACAACTGGCACATCTTTGATTGTTGACTATAAAAACATCCCAACGGCCACCCAGTGGTTCCATTATTGCTGCTGCGAGAATCACTCTTTGTCCATGCTTACGAATTCAACGGTTTGTTGGTGCCTGTGCACCTTGCAAGCCGGCCGAGAAGTATGGCAGATTGACAGCAGTACAAGTCTTAACAGCATCCAGAACTTGACAGCTGACTCTTTGTATCTGCTGTCCTGCAGGTGCACCCCGACACCGGTATCTCCTCCAGGGCCATCTCCATCCTGAACTCCTTCATCACGGACATCTTTGAGAAGATTGCCACTGAGACCGCCCAGCTCGCCCGCTACAACAAGAAGCCCACAGTGACCTCTCGCGAGATCCAGACCGCTGTGCGCCTCATCCTGCCCGGCGAGCTGGCCAAGCATGCCGTGTCTGAGGGCACCAAGGCCGTGACCAAGTTCACCTCCGCCTAAGCTGCCTGCTTTCCGCACAGCAGCGCAAAAAGAAACCGGTGTTATTTTAACACCACCACTCTAAGGAAATAGCTCTTGCAACCTGCCATTTAATACCAAAGACAGCAAGTTGCAACTGCTGTGCAATTGCTGTGTGCAATGAAATAGCCCTGGCGCTCCACACCATTACCATCATCTCCTGTGCACATGTTCTTCAACTTCAATTTATCCATGACCTGCAATCCTCCGAGGAGTCTTGCATGCTCAGTTGTGGTTACACGTTGATGTGGGTTGCATGGTGCTTTTTGATCTCCCAACTACTGTGCATTGGCAATTATCTTCTTGCGAAGCAAACGAGCGCTTGCTTTTCGTGTGCAGAGAATTGACAAAGAATGCTCAGCAGGCTCTGGCCCTGGCTTGCCCAGTCCAGAGCTGGCACTGGTGCAGCTCCCGTGTTGGCTGGCCCTGTTTGCTGTCTGTCAGCATGATTGAAATGTCCCCAGCCACTGGAATCTGCAGCACTAATTGCTGCCAATTTTGCACACGATTTGCAGCTTCATGCATGCTTCGAAGAATGCTGGCGCCGGCGGTCAAGAGTCGCACCGGTTGCAGCTTGCTGTTTCGCAGATACAGAAGTTGAGTCCAGGCCTGCTCGGGGATGAACTTCTACTGAGTCCAGTCAGAATCTGGATATCCTGGTTGCTTCCTGGCACCTAGCAACCAGGATGTCCAAGCCTGCTCGAATCTGAATAATTTCGTAATGCATGCAACCTGCTGATATCTGGTTGGCACTTCATGTTGCGGTGTTCCAAAGTGCACGTGGGAGGAAGCTGCCGTTCCCTGCCACCGCGGACAAGCGTTCTCCACCATTTCATCACACCACTGGTGTGACACCAGACGTTGCACAGCATCAAAAATTCCTTGCGTATAACACGGACTTCTCTCAAGCTTTATGATCAATTCATCAAGCAGAGAGTGTCCCAAAAATTGTTCGCATCTTGCCTCAGACACGAGAGACTTCTGATCCAAAACACAATTTTGTAAGCTTTTCGTCGCTTCGTTAGTTGAGGGAATGATCAGATTGTTGTTGTACTCGGTGTAATGCAGGTTGAGTTGTTCGCTGGTGTTGAGGTGTTTTTCTAAGTTCTCTTCTTGACAAGGTTTGCTGACTGCTGCTACGGCCTACAATTCCGGAGTCAAGTGAGTAGCGATATTTATTAACAGTCCAAATACCACGATCGTACTATTACTGCTGATCAGGAACCTGCACGCTAGGCAATCCCAGTGACCTTCACTCCTGCTGTCTCATAAGTGTAGGTTGGTGGAGGAGTTCCTGATGACACGAGACGTGTGTGCAGATTTCCACTTTCAACAGACCATGTCAGGCGCTCATAAAGAAGTGCTTCTTCTGGACCTGCCTGAGGGCATCTTGTCCTGTGTTCTAAGCGCCCTTCCACTGGAGCAATTGATGAACGCTTCAATGGTAAGTCTGCATTCTGAATGACAGCTGCATGCTCCAACTATAGTACCAGAGCCCTGTTTTCCGCGCCTTGCTACTGGGCTTGCAGGTGCAAGGAAGACACTACAGCAGTATGCTCTGATACTGTACAGGTCTGTAAAGCATTTGCCACATCGGCGGACAAGCTGCTGGAGGAGCTGTGCAAGTCAAGGCGCTGGGCGCAGCCACGCTTTCCCAGAGGCCAGCTGGCCACCACGATATTTACTTGGAGATCTCTGTACAGGTAAGGCACGTTACCTAGCATGCATGTTGCACGACTATTGGACTGTTCTAGTCTTTGCCATTACGTCGTCACACGCCTGGCAGCCCTTTCTCCTATCTTCTGGCGCTCGCTTTGCCATGATGTCTGCATACCTGTTTCTCTAATCTCATTGCTCACGCCCTTGACTGGCGAGACAGCCTGTGATGATGTAGCAGTATCTTGATCACTGCTGCAGCGCTTGATAGGATGGCAGCATCAGCTCGCTAAGTCTCTAGAGAAGTGTGTAGCTGCTTGAGCTTTCCCTTCCCATGCTGTCTCAATGCAAAGCTAGTAGCTACAGTGATGGTGCGCCAATGCGCGGCAATGAGTTGTTGCCACGATTGTGCGTTTGGGATCATGTCTGAGAACATTGAGAGGCTTGAATACCAGCTGAGTGCGTGTCATTGCAATTGGTTCTCACAGGCAGCATGCATGCATCGCCTGCGGAGGCTATGGCGAGTTCTCACTGAGGCGGCTTGTCAGCGGTCACACAGTGCACCTGATCTGCAAAAGGTCTGCACATGCATGCACTCCAGAACGCGGCACATACTTTGTGGTGGCATGAGAATTTATTTCTGTAGCTGGCAAGTCTTGGCTCTACCTGGTGCCCGCAGTGTATTGATGTCAGCATTAACACTGAGCATACTCATCATCTCCAGGAGGCCTGCAGCATTTGAGGCTTTTGCAAGTGCTGGTCTATGGGCTGCTAATGATCTGGCAGTATGTCTGCAGGTGCACAACTGTTCCTTGGGTGCATCAACGGCTGGTCAAGGAGAGTCTTTTTGTTGATTTGGTTGGTGTTTCGGGCAAGAGGTTGCTTCCCACAGCGCATAAGAGCAAAAAGCGCCGCCTGCCTGCAGCAGGCTGAGCGCGGTCGATGAAAGTGCAGATGAGTTGCAATGAGTCTAAGTGAACATGAGCTTCATGTTGAGCCGGCTTGTCAAGTACTTGCATCTCGAGAGTCAGGAGTTGATTACCCTCCATGACTGTGACCGCCAGGAGGATGGAGGGATTTTATGTGTTGTGGGAGAACATGTACAATTAGCTTTCCGGACTTTAGTGAAAGAGGTTGCTTCAAACCTGAGCAAGTTGCGAGGATCTCCTGACCAGTTTGAGAGCATGTGAGATAAAATGCGAGAGACTGCATGTCGTGGAAGAGCTGTAACCAACAGCTTGTGTGTAAATATGATAACATTCTTTCCAGCATATGGTGGTGTTAAAATAACACCGGTTTGGTTTCTTTGGTGGCAGGCAGCTGCAGCAGCTGTCTAACCGCCGAAGCCGTACAGGGTGCGTCCCTGGCGCTTGAGGGCGTAGACCACGTCGAAGGCGGTCACGGTCTTGCGGCGGGCGTGCTCGGTGTAGGTCACGGCGTCACGGATCACGTTCTCAAGGAACACCTTGAGCACGCCCCGGGTCTCCTCGTAGATGAGGCCACTGATGCGCTTGACACCACCACGGCGAGCCAGACGCCTGATGGCGGGCTTGGTAATACCTGGGAAGCAATTAAAAAAAGGATTCAGATAATCATGCATGTAGAAGGGGATTTTCCACAACGCTTATAAAGCAACAGAAGCAGATATCAAATCTGGTCAGATGAATCAAGCAACCAAAACATAATGGCACAGGCAAATGCTCGTGGCATCTGTGCATCCACACAGAGCAAGCACTCAATCTCATAGGCAAAGGAGGAGGCAGCGCTCACCCTGGATGTTGTCACGGAGGACCTTGCGGTGGCGCTTGGCACCGCCCTTTCCGAGGCCCTTTCCTCCCTTGCCGCGTCCAGACATGGTTGCTTGCTTTGTTGAGTGCTTGGAAGTTTGCTGAAGAGCTTTGTGGATGGAAGATTTTGATGAATTTGGCAGAGCTGGGAGCTTTTATAGCAATTAGCAGGGGAACTTGGTGCTTCGGTTTTTTGCAATGAGAGTGCAAGATTCTTGGCTTCTGATTGGCTTAGAATTTATCAGCGAATCAGAGTGCTGGAAATGGATGACTCATTTCTCATTTGAGGAGATACTAATTTTACATTGAGACTTTGACTCTGACTTCCATTCAGTGTTCCCATTTCCCCATCACCTCACTGCTTGCCACACAAAACTGCAGATTTTCTGCTTTTGAGCCAAAACTTCGAGCATATATCCTCGTTTCCCCGTAATTGAAGCAGACAGACGCAATGGCTCGCACCAAGCAGACAGCCCGCAAGTCCACCGGCGGCAAGGCGCCCCGCAAGCAGCTGGCCACCAAGGCCGCTCGCAAGTCCGCACCCGCCACCGGAGGTGTCAAGAAGCCCCACAGGTTTGTTTTCAGCGCAATGAATGTTCTACGTAAACAATTGTCGGGTGCTCGACCTTGGTTGACTGGCAGGCAATAGTTGCAGCACTGTTGTTAAGGATGCGTTTCTTACTCACTAACTGCCAACCTTAGACTTTGTGGCACATTTCTTAGTGAAGTGTGGGGTTTGGCAGCACCGTTATTTAATGATGTTCAATGTCAAGTTACGTACAATCATGCCGTTTCTTATGGTTCAACCACATTGGTTGTGTTTCTTACCAACTCAATTGCTTTTCTGCAGATACCGCCCTGGAACCGTGGCTCTGCGTGAGATCCGCAAGTACCAGAAGAGCACGGAGCTGCTGATCCGCAAGCTGCCCTTCCAGCGCCTGGTGCGTGAGATCGCCCAGGACTTCAAGACCGACCTGCGCTTCCAGAGCAGCGCAGTGCTGGCCCTGCAGGAGGCTGCTGAGGCCTACCTGGTGGGCCTGTTCGAGGACACCAACCTGGCCGCCATCCACGCCAAGCGCGTGACCATCATGCCCAAGGACATCCAGCTGGCCCGCCGCATCCGTGGCGAGCGCGCTTAGATCTGTCCAGCGCACCCCAAAAAAACAAACCGGTGTTATTTTAACACCACCATTCTATGGAGACAAAGCTCCTGCCTCTCCTTAAACATATGCATATGCTCGAGATTCATGGCCAGCCCACATACCCCAATCATGTACTATTTTCTGAAAGAGCACACCTCAGTGAGCATCATAATATGGGCTTGATAGTTACCACAGGTACTTTACAATTACACACAGACACTCAAGGTCTTGACAGAGCTGTGCCAGCCATGGCAGCAGGATGTTTCATGCAGATTATCAATGCTTGTGTGTACCCTGTCCACACTTATGATGTGTTGGCACAAACATTAAATTCATATCTGCTCCCTGAAATTCAGAGGACATTTATTTTATCTCGATATGAGCAGCCAGCACATGCTCTCACGTTCGTTGCAGCATACACCTAGGAAGGATGCATTGCAGGTCTGATCTTGAAGAGGCCTAGGCCTCACATGACTGTTGATGTTGACATCAACATCAAGAAGCTCCTTCAACCCCAATCATCTTACACAGAATGAGCATGTACAGTAATTTTGATGAGTCCACTACTGCATACTACTGCTTGGCCAGAGACTTTTTCAAAGCATGTTGCTTTTAACGGGTCTTCCACAACATCTACATGCATTCATGGCGAACGCAAAGCATCGATGGAATGATATTATTCCAATGTTAATCCACTGCAGCATGAGACACGCTTTGTAACGCAATTCATCTGAACCATTCCTAGCCTGATATCTTTGACTGCAATCTATGTCTCGACACACCATGAGCATATAGAACAAGACTCATCAAGCACGTTTGCTTCACATTGTGCTTTCCACGTGGAAGCAAGAACGCCTATTACCGGTAATTCCTAGCAGACTGCTGCACATGGCACTTTGCCCTCAGCACAAAAATTCAGCAATTTGCAAATTCATAGACATGTACATATACTCAGCCGTCCCTTCAGCTTTTTGTACAATGCAAAATGCACACCATGTGCTTGCATGCTGCATGACTATTTACTGCTCCAACGTGACCATCATTGACACCGTCAAGCTGCACAATCCCCTGCCACCGCTGCTTTGCCCCAAACCTTCCCTGTTGCAACCAAGGACAGCATACCCAAGCATGCATCACACCCATCACACAGCTCCCCAGCGCACACCTCACGCCCTGTACAGCTCATCACTCAAGCCGCGGCAGCTCTTCCCGCTGCAGTGTACCAGTGACAGCGCACCCAAGCATGCCGGCATAAAGCACCACACAGCGCCCCCAAGCGCACATCTGAGGCAGCTCATTGCAGCAGCTCCTCTGCTGCATTGTGCACTGGGGTGGGCAGCGCAGAATCCAGGTCTGAGGGGTCCACCGGGGGGCCCGGCCCCGGCACCTTGCCGCCGTTGACGCAGTCTATCATGAAGTAGGTGTCGATAGGCGACAGGTCCACCTTCTGGAAAAAGTCCCTCACCTGGGGGCCAGCCAGGCGTACAAATGTTATTTTGATACCTGTTCTGCAGCAGTAATGCCAATTGGACAAGTCCTGAAACTGTCAACCGAAAAGGCAGGAAGCAGAGCCAAGAAACAGCTCAGGCAAACACAGCAACAGACCAGGATCTGCCCTCCATGAAGAAGCTGTCAAATGCAATTGACTCATCATGTTGCAGTGAAGCACGCTCAGAGAAAAATTTGGTGCCAGATGCAATTGGAGGATTGATTGTTGAGCATGCAGAGTGGGTGACTTACCGAGAGGGAGCCTTTCAAGAAGAAGACCAGGCGTCGAGGGAACGCCGCGCACTCACTCAGGATTGTCAGCGCATATTCCCCCGGCACATTGCTAGCATCCACCGTCACCTCCAGCACCTGGACGCATCACACCCCATTCTCACATACATCAGCATCACCATCGCTCCACAAGATTACTCCACAGCATTAGTTCAATGCTGCAAAATCCCTTGCATGTCTGCAGCAATCGTGCCACTTCTTGTGAGCACTCGACATCATCAGTGCAGGGCTGCAAGGATCCGTGCAGGGCTGCAGCAGTCCTAGTACTCCATACGAACACTCCACATCAAAGGGTCAGGGCTGCAAGTCTGCAGCAGTCCCGCCATCCACGGCCACGCAACAAACAGAGGAGAACATGGCAAGAGTCTTTGGTTGCGCGAGTGCACAAGGTAGATCGTCCATGTTCAGGGAATGGGCATTGTTTTAAGAGGGAGCACCTGTGGAAAGGTGCGCGCCGGAATGACGGTGGCCTTGACATCGCGCGAGCCTGCCTCTGTGTCATAGAAGTACACCTTCAGGTTGCCCTCCACCTTTGCCTGCACCAGGATAGTTTTCCTTATTTCCAGCATCAACGCGACTTGTAGTGCACTGGTCCAAAGGTGCTTGACCTGCTAGGCATGAACGCTGACTGATAACATCAAGGCAAGGATGCAAAGACAGTAGGTGAGCTTGCTGATCTTCTGCGTGGAAAAGAGTTGGCACGGGTGCACTAGATTGAGAGTGCCAACATGGGCCTTGGAAAATCAGCATGCATGCAACAGGGCAAAATATTGAAGGTCGAGCTTGGAAGAGAGAGAGGTGCGGTGAGAAAGGTGCGCACATTCAGGAAGTTGGGGTTGTTGATGGGTATGCTGGCGAGCAGGTTGAGCTGGTAGGTGCCCTTGGTGGTGTTCCAGGACATGTGGTCTGACTGGATGTCAATCTCGCCTGCGCTGAAACCCCGTGGCACCAGCAGGAATGTGGCCGCCATTGCAGCCACCACAAACAGCATCTGCGGCACCAATCACCGTCAGAAATCCCCGAGATGGCAGCATGCCATGCTGTGAGTTGCTTGTGCATCTGCGCGTCTGCAGGAGAGCTGTTATGGAGTGCTGGCTGCTCACCATGCAGCTGAAGAAGAGCAGCTTCCTCTGAGGCTTCAGCCTGGCATCTGCAGCATGCACCCTCAACATTCAGTGAAGGACAAAAGCTAATGCCTTCTGAGTTCAGCATGAAATAGCGTGGCGTTGGATCCTGTTAAGGAAAAGCAGAGGGTGAGGGTGGTACCATTGAGAGGTATCAGTGTCATATATCCGCTTGGAGGCACCGGTTCTGCTGGCTCCCCCATTATCCTCACCCGCCACCACTGCTTGAACTGAACCACCAAGTTACAGCCACATGAGCAGTGCATGGAGGCCCAATCAACCACAGCATACCATATGACAGGATGTGGATCTCCATCAGAGCAAATAATAGGCACCTGCCATCATGCTAGACCGCAAAATCCACATGCACGCAGGAGAAGTGACCCACAACAACATTGCTGCCCAGATCACACTTCTGAAGGGTGACATCTCCGGACCTGAAATACTATCCAGGTGACATGAGATCCAGAAGGTTTTTTAAGTCGATCGAAGCTTGTCGAGGTCCTCACCTTTCCCCATCTCGTCGTTGGATTGAGCTCGTACTCTGTGGCAAATGGTGGAGAAAATTCTGGCAGAGAGCCATCGGGGAGGCTGATCTCATGGGACAGTCTCACATACTTTGACATTTCCTTAAAATCTTTGTTCTGACTCCAGTCTCAGAAGAAGGGCTGACGTCTGGCACACTTGTTGTGGTGGAATCCCCTGTATAGTAGTGGAACGTGGCCTAGCTCTACGACATGTTGCTTTCTGGGATTGTATCAGCTTGCTGTTATCGTCTCTACCATTTCAGATCTGAGCTTTATGTGCAGGTCCTGTCGCTTATGGCACTGCAAAAGAAATTATACCACTGGTTCGTCACTGATCACCGTTCGTGCCTTTAATGCTCTGTGCGCAGACTTTGGCACGCAATTTCTGGTAGCGCAGAAAGGCAACGAATTTTTACAGCAAGAATGACAAGACGCTTCGTTTCTTGGTGGCAACGAGTTGTCACACCTCAGCTTCTATCTGGGCACGTTGCCAGATCTGGCACCGATGGTCAACGGTCCACAGGTCGTGCATTGAAGAGCTGCAAATAACTGATTGACCAATGCCCACTAAGTGCATGCACGGCAACTACACCAACCGGATCCTCCCATACTGAGGATTACAAGACTGGCTTGCAACTGCAAGTTGCGTCCAGAGGTGATCAGCAGGTGCTCGAAAGCATGTCCTATGCCACACACGAGTGACACGTGTATTTCACCTTGCAACTTCTAACCATCAGCATTGGCACTCAAGCGGAGCCTTGCAATTGCATTGACATGGGTTCCCATGATATCCCACAGACCACACACATGCATGCTCGTCCTGACTCGCACGCTGATCAGGCAAACAGCGCGCGCACTTGGGCATACAGCTCGCGGCAGGCCTCATAACAGAGGAAGCCAATGGTGGCTGCGCTGAGCAGCGCAAGTGGAGATGTCGACCCTCTGTCATGCAGCTCCCCCAATTGGTTGACCTCCTGTAAAAGAGCCGCCCCTCCAGCCTCCTCAATGCGCATCCTAGAGGCCATTTTCATAGTCAGTAGCAACCAAAGAATCCAGTACACTGACTGGCAGGGACTGGTACATTCACGATGAGAGGCCTTTTGCATTCAAATTCTGAGCGCATGAGCGTCGGTCTACCTGTTGTGAGGGTGCAATCTGCTGACGCTCCAAAGAGCAGACAGGAAGCGCTGCTGCAGACCCCTGCAGCCGCTGGAAGCTTCTGCAGCTCTGACTAAGAGCTCCACAGCCCCGTCCTCACCAATAGCCACCTTAGGAAGACCCCCCAAGTCTTCAGTACACAACTGTACTATCACAGTTGCATCTGTGTTTGGCAGCGAGAGTCCATGCTGTTTGGATTCCTACACTGCTTGCATGTCAAATGTGCTGCGCGCACCTGATTTTCCAGATTTTCTGTGGCCACTGCCCCGAGGCATGCGGCAGCTTCCCCGGCAGCTTCCAGCCTGCTGCTGCAGGCTGCCAGTGTCCCAGTGATGACAGAAACGCCGCCGGCCAGACGCACAGCATCCCTGCAGTGCCTGCTGTGCTGTGCTAGCCTGGTCAGCGTGGAGAGTGCAGCTACAATGACCGCATCCTCCTCTTCACCTGTGAGCGCAACATATGAGGCCTGCAGCCAGTGCCATGCAGTCACCCAGGACCGCAAACCAGTGCTTCACTACTCTGGCCAGCATAGTGGGCAGGGGACTAATACCCAGACAGTTTGAGGGCCAACCGCGCGTACACCCTTGCAGGAAATTCTTTTGGCTCTTTACCGATCTTACCGTATTCACAGAGATCATCCTTCAAATAAATTTGCATCAGCAGAATCCGGAATCTGAAATCCACAATGTCTGCAATCTTTTGTAGGCCATGCTGGCGCACATCATACAACAAGTGCTACCTCGCTGTCTGGCCAGCTAATGGCATCATTGGAGAGCAATGGCATTATCTACCTTGTAGCCCACGCCTGAGGGTGTCCACAAGGGCTTGGACGCCGCTGCAGCGCTCAATGCCCACCACATTGCGGCTGTTGTCCTGTGCCAGTGCAGCCAGGAGGTGGGTTGCTGCGTCTGTAGGGACTGGGCATGGGTCTGCCAGCAGCAGATCCACAGCCGCCTCTATGCCATGCATACTCCTGACCTCGTCCTGCCGGGGCAAAGAGAATTAAGTGACACTTACTCGCTTATAGTCAACCTGCATGGACCTCAACTTCAAGGGCAGACAAGAGGATTGCAGCAAAGATCGGGTCCCAACTTGTGTCAGGAGTGCTTTGCTTGAGGGCCAGTGCCAGAACAGTCAGAACACAGGGAGCTTGGCAGACACAGTTGGTACCAACCTGCGCTGTAACCAGAAGAGAGCCTGGGCCACACCGTACAGTGGTCCAGACATCGGTAAGCAGAACAGTACATCGATTGCCCAACCAGCGCACGTGAGACCGGTTCTCAGAGCCAGTGAAGAAGTTTCTCGTAGTCATACGCCAGAACGAGCAGAGCACGCGCGGCAGCGGCGGCCGCGGCGCTCCCCGGCCCGTAGCCGACGAGCTTAGTCAGCGCAGGCACTGCGCCCACCTTTTTGAAGCTGGCCTGCGGGGCACCAGCGCCAAGCCTGTCTGGCACAATTGCTGCTGAACAGAAGCAGTGCAGTACGGTGTCTGTACAGAAGGTTCCTGTGGCGCTCATGCCAGCCTCAAGCTCTGCGTCCCTTGTCGCGGTTTTCGGAATAGGTAACAGAATTACCGGTACAAGCATCGCAGCATTCCTTGCGGAGCGTGTCAAGCAATCTGCATCGTGATGGCGCTGTGGGCAGCTGTGAATCCCACATGACATCGTGAGCTCTTTGCTTAACATTTGAACTGCAGCAGCACTGTTTCACTATAGGGCAATCAAGGTTCTTTCAGTGCTCGCTGTACAACCGATGTGTTTTGTGACCCTCTCCCCTTCCTCTTCTCAGGATACAATTGAGAGTGTATGCAGAGTAATTTTTGGGTAAGAGAGTCCCCACGCACCTGGGAGGGCCGGTGGTGCTGAGCAGTGTATTGGATAGTGAGCGCGGCCCACTCGGGCGTCTTGCGCTCGGCTGGGGCGCCCAGCAGCGCCACTAACGGCGGCACGCCACCGGCCGCGGCGATGGCCGCCGCGTTGCCGGGCGAGTCATGTGCGAGATTGGCGAGCGCGCCGGCCGCCGGCTCCGCCGCTCGGTCATCGGCCGGCCGCCGCGCGATCAGCGCCACTAGCGCAGCTATGCCACCGCTCGCCGCGACTGCCGCCTTCACGCCTGCCATTAACACACCACAACAATTTCTCCCCAGGTCACCAAATGCCTTTGCTGCCTGCACAGACCAAAGGCAGCGCTGCTACCTCGACACAAAGAGGTGCCGTTGCCGTGAGGTGCAGCAACCTTTCATTTGGGCACTGCTCGTCAAGAGGAGGACGGTGTCTGAGTATATCCAAAACGGATATTAGAGAAGACATCAGAAGCCACTGCAGCATTTTGTGTGTGCTGTGAATTGTCTACATCAGGGGGTACTGCATCAGTAATTCCTGTTCAAGTTATGGGGTGATAAGCCGCCCGTAAGGCCGCACCTGGGTGATTGTGCGACAGCACGAGCAGAGCAGATGCAGCATACTCCGCCACGGGCTTGTCGCCTGATCGGACCAGGCAGGCCACCAGCTCTTGCACTGCACCCTCCGCCAGCAGCTCATCCTGCCACATGCATATACTGAGGCTCTCCAAACCTTGTCTTTAAGATGTCAAAGTGACAAAGTGCCCCTCACACAAAGCCAGGCATGTCTTGGCATCGCGAATTAAATTTCTTGTAAAGGTCGCCTAACTTGGAGGTCAAGCCAGTGCCTTTGGGTCCAGCTAAAAATTTCACAAACAAATTCCCCAAGTCCCACCTCACACCCCACACCACATATGGAAATATGCCCTTCCTTCTCTCAAGACATGCACCACACCGCCCCATCCCTCCATTTCTTTAGTATTTACGCACAAACTTATAGCGGGGACTATGACCGCAGCAGCTCGCACATCAGGAGCGCAAGCACAGGATCCTACAGGGAGTGAGGGCAAGTGGTCGACCCAAATTCAACAGCCTCCTGTGGAAATGCACCTGGTTGGCGACGTTGGAGCGGGCTAATGCATGAACAGCGCGCACGGCGGCCAGGATGGCGTTCTCGCGGCGGGCCTGCCGCTCCTTGCCGCGCTGCGCCGTGGTGCCGACCGAGCGCAGCTGCGCCGTTAATAAGTGCAGGGCCCCGGCCGCGCGCGCCGCATCCTGGTTCGCCACGTCATCGAATGCCAGCGTGCGCAGCGCGTGCGCCGCCAGCTCCGTCATGCGCAGCGTTCCCTTGCCTGCAGCCATGCAAACATATGTCGCTTCCTCGCCTTTTTCAAGCTCCACAATGTATACGGTGCAATAAAATGCATCCAACACAAGGGGTACATCATCACAATTTTCAAGACTGTACACGTTTGAATCGTGGCAGGGGTGGTCCCTTGCCTGCAGGGTCTAGCTTATTTGCATCATTTGACAACTTTCTTTCATAATTCTGCCTTTTAAAAAGGGCATCCTCGTCATGCTGCGCTGATTGATATGATGATTGATGAGGTCCTCATATTTCCCCTTGACCTCTTGGCAGTGTTATTTTGCCTCTGCTGCTTGAGCTCGGCATTCATGACGTGCTGAAGGTAGGAGGCACTTTCGGCACTCAAACTCTTCCTTTGGGGAGTGCTGCTGAATCATGGTGGGCTCACCATTCTGTGCGCTCTGGAGGCAGGTAACGAGCAGCTCTATGGCCCCAGCCTCCCCTGCCGAGCGGCGTACCTCCGGGCAGCCGTCCGCCAAATTGGCCAGGCTGCTCAATGCGCCCTCCACCGCAGCCTGCTCCCATGCACAACACATCCCTCAACCTTGAATTCTAAATTTCTGAACTCTAATGCAAATAACGCCGGAGGATTCTGAAAACAGGTCATCGGGTATCCAGGGGCTCATGATGCCTCAAGAGAAACTCTTTCACAGAGTGCCAACTGAGAGAACAGTTGGCATGAAAGAAAGCCTGCCCAGAGCGATTGCACCGATGGGGACTCTGCACTATACCTAAGGGCAGGGCCTACTGAAAGCTGCCACGTAGACATGCAAGTGCCAATGCAGATGACAAACAAATCATCTAGCTCGGTCTCTGAGAGCAAATGCACAATTGACCTTTGCACTGAGGTGAGGGAATAGTCAGCGCACCTGTGCGCCGCTCCCCTCGACAAGAAGCAGCAATGGCTCAAGTGCTCCGGCGGCAAAGGCTGCATCGCGAGTTTCTGTGTTGGACTGCGTTGCTGCGAACAGCGCCCAGGCCGCCGCCGCTGTGATGGGCATGTGCGGCCCAGACCCCAGCAGCCCGATCACCTAGCAGCAGAACCTCATGTTCTTACACTATCAAGCACATCAAAGGCGCCTGCAACAATAGATGTTGTCTATTCTCAGAAGTTCTGCTGTGAAGTCTGAGAGAACCGAAGGTGCCTAAAGTCGTGCGATGGCTGACAGGGATGCCGGCAGCCTGCGTGAGGTTGTTTAACATGGGTGCTGAGCCAACAGTAACTAAAACATAGGCGTCAGCAAGCCTGACAGCCTTCGTACGACTACGGGCTCCCTTGAAGGATTACAGGTGTGCATCTTCACCATGAGGTCCCCTTAAATACAAGGTGGGATAGAGCACCTTGATTTTTCTGCGGCAACATGCGAAAACAAATGCCTCACAGGGGGCCGGCGTCTTGCTGGATAGGATCGTTTGCCGTGCGTTGTAATTGTGCTTGCTGCGCTTGCGCAGCACGAGCAGCACATGCATGATGTCAAGGAACACACTGGGTCATTTGGCCAAATTTTCAGGCCCTGTGTCTGGCTAAAAAATAAATAGGAAGGGCACACCTTTTCCAGGCCTCCGTGGTGCATGAGCGCGTGCTGGCCGCCTGGGTTGCGCACGCACAGCTCCATCAGCGCCCACACCGCTGCAGCCGTCCCCGCGCTGACTGGACCCCCCTCCAGCAGCCTCACCAGCGCCTCCACACCCCCCTCCGATATAATCGCCCCCTGCGCAGCCCCCACGCAAAGCTTTCAAAGATATTGTTAGTGATTTCAAAGTATTCATGTTGCGCACCTTTTTGGATGCATTGGTGAGGGCAGGATTCCTATTGCATGCATGGTACCCCGGTGTCATAACAGAGTGTCGCAAGCTGCCTGCCCAATTTACCGCTTCACTCTTTGCCGTGACGAGTGCGACAAGTGAAGCGGTATAAACGTCGCGGAAAAGAGAGAAACATTGCATTGGGAAGGCAGCTGAGTCACAGGCAGCTGCCAGGAATTGCGCTGGGCCTGAGCTGGGGAACATGGCGGCTCTGCAGCACCAGCGTCCACCTTCGCTGCATGAAATCGGGATTCCGCCTTTTACTGACAGTGTGTGCATGCAGATGCTTCCATGCACTGCTTCAGAGGAGGGCTTGGAAAGGGGATATCCCACCTGGGCCTCTGGATGGCGGCAGGCCAAAGCCTGGAGCGCCCTGGCTGCATGCGGCGTGAGCGGGTGATTGGGGCCTGCCTTCAGCAACGCTATCAGTGCCGCCGCACCGCCCTCTCTGATCACCTGCCAAGAGGATCCCACATCTCAGCGCTGGCTGGCTAAAAGGCGACAGACTCAGGAGCTGCTATGTAAATTACATCCTCCTGGCCCTGCTGTGGCTTCAGATGATATAGCTCGTGCTCTCCTGCCATGGCACCATGCATGCCACGCGCTGCCGGTATGTGCCACTGTGTGGATGTGACAGGGAGTGGTGCAACTAATGCTTGTTGTTCTCAAGCGTGCTAATCATTGTGCAGGTGTCATATTCTTTGTCCAAGATGCACCATTGCTGTCTTTCACCGGATTTATACACTGACACATTTCCACACGCTTTCATTTCACTGAGAGGAAGTAGGGCCCTCAAATCTGTACAGAAGAATCTTGAGGCGGGCAAAGCGCACCTGGGTCTGATTTTGTGGGCAGGTGTGCACAAGTTCGGCGATGGCGCTGGTGGCGCGCTCGGTGATGTCCTTCCAGGGGCCGGCCCCCAGCAGGCGCACCAGGACAGGAACGCCCCCGGCCGCGCGCACCGCCTCCCGATTCGCCGTGCAGCTGGCCATCAGGTTTGCCAGCGCCTCCACCGCCACGTCAGCCGCCTGCGGAGGGTCCAGTCAGCGTCCGGTCAGCATACCTGACTGGACTGCTGCACCACTGATGTGTATCTATGCATGCGAGAACAAAACAGGGGAGATGGGCTCGGCAAGCAGTAATAAAGGTGCCATCATGCATTTATCAAACTGCGCTCATTCCCTTCGATCCCTGCTTCATTTCAACTCCTCACAGTGAGCTGAAGCATCGAGAGACCTTGGAAGCCCACTTAGAATTGTGAATGAGGTGTTTAGGACTTAGGGACACATGGATTATAGTGCATGGGACCAAAACAGGCAGCTTACCTGCGTTTCGGGCGCCGCTTCGACGAGGTTGATAAGAACAGGAATGCCTCCGGCTTCGCGGATGGCGTCCTTGTTGGCGGCGCTCTCCGCTGCCAGGTTCTGCAGCGTCCCTAGCGCCGTCACCGCTGATGCCTTGTCCGGGCTGCCCTCAACCTGCACGCGCAGCCGCACCACTGCTTTGGCAGCTTAGATTGACCTGTGCTCCTTTCATCGGCTATATACATGTGCAGTCATGCTGGTGGATGGGTTCCGGACAAAAGCTGCAGATGGACAGGTCAAAATCGCTTCAATAAGGGCTTCAAGCTGCCAGATGCCACACTCGGCCAAGTCTTGCTACCCCATGACACGATACCTGGCTGCCAACTTCAAGTCGTATTTGCTCAATGCCCACGAACGGGATGGTTGTAGTTACTGCGAGGGACTTAAGGCTCAAAAGGCATGTACAAGGGTGCACACCAGGTTGAGCAGGGTGGGAATGGCGCCGGCTGCCCTGAGGGCAGCGTGGCCGGCCGCCTGGGCAGGGGCCCCCTCCTGCTGCTGCGAGGGGGTCACGATGTGCAGCATTGCCTCCGAGGCGCCCTCAGCCACCAGCTCATTCTTGGACTGTAGCAGACGCACAAAGGTGGGCACCGCTCCCGCAGCTGCAATGGCCTGCGCAGCAAAGGAGGGAAATATGTGCATCAGATGGCAGAAAAATCAGCGGTGCTAATTACTTTAATGCCGATGCATCCAAAGTGGCCTCTTCACCCAGAATGCCTGGGATGTTGCCCGGCCAACAGCGAGCAAGAGCTAGCTCAATAAAAGCAATCTCTTAAAAAAGAAAATTAATGCAGGGTGATGAGATGCAATTTCAGGGTGCATCTGCAGCGGAAAAGGGCAGTTCGCACCTTTTTGTTTTCGGGGCAGTCCCCAGCAAGCTGCAGGAGCGCCCACACGGCTGCGGCGGTGAGGCCGCTCTCATCGCCCGAGGACAGCATGCGCACCAGCCGCGGCAGCGCGCCAGCATCCCTGCACATGATTACACAGGATGCTTGATCAATTGACAACGAGCAATGCACTGTGGCCTTTATTCTGGGCAGCGCTGGAGGCCACCCAGTTGTCTTACAGCAAGTACAAGTGCGCTGCCATCAACCCAAGACCCTCCATCCTCATAGTTTGGCAACGGAAAAGGCCAGAAACCCGCCAATCTTGACACCCGTTTGGAGCATAACAGCTGCTTCCATGAAAATCCCTTCACCACTAATATAATCTCTTCTTTGTTTTCTCTCTGGTAAATATAGTGCCGCACCGGAAGGCGGCGCGGTTGGCGGGGCAGTCGGCGGCGAGCGCTGAGACGGCCCAGGCGGCGCGCGCGCTTTGGGGATCCGCGCTGTCCAGCACGCTTACTAAGACTGGCAGCGCTCCGGCCTCGCGCATCGCGTCGCGCGCCTCCGGGGAGCCCTGCGCCAGGTGCTGCATGCACCACGCCACCACCTGCCGGCACATGCGCGCTCATGTCAGCACACTTGCTGTCACAAGGGAGGGAACGACCTGGAGTGACAGATGAATAAAATCCATCCTTATCTGCTTATGTTGTTCAGGCGTGTTTGAGTAGATGCCATCAGGTCTCATCAACAAGGGAAGGCCCTGCTTGTTGTTTATCAAGCGCATGGGTCACTTAGTGGCGTCATGGCAGAGATGACTGAACAAGTTGCTTGCATGGGGGCTCGCCGACATTCATAGCCATGCAGGCGCACGGTGTGAAAGGGAGCGGACCTCAACGATGAAGCTGTGGGATGCGAGCCCCTCCCGCAGCAGCCGGGGAAAAGCGTCCAGTGCGGCAGTGCATGTGATCGCCGACTGGTTCTCTGGGTTGCTCTCCGCAAGGTTGCACAGCGCCCCAGCCGCACCTGCGCCGCTCATTGCTTCCTGAAGTGAGAGTCTATGCATTGCTCACGTGACCAGCACACACATCATTTCACTTGAAACATAGAGAATCCTCAAGAACATGCATCCTGTCCCGAGAGCATGGCACAGAGCCGAAGACTCGTGCATGTCTCGCGACATGCTGCCGAGGCCCCTCAAAGCCAAAATTCCAGCAAAGTCTTGCCGCCTTCATGGCTTCCTTGCACTTTAGGCCCCATACTGTCAAGGAAATCAAGTGGTGCTCCACAACCTCATTGTAAAACTCTCCCCAGTGAGAAGCATTGCAAGCTGCTCACCAATTGTGATCATGGAATCTGCAGGGCCGTCCAGCAGCCAGACAAGGGGCGCGATGCCGTGCAACTCGCGTACTGCGTCCTGATTGGCCGGGCAGCCCGCTGCCAGCTCAGCGACTGCCCAGACTGCCCGCTCCGCTGCCACGGGCAACACCGCTCCCTCCGTCAGTGACCCTGTCTCCGGCATGGCCAGTTCTAACAGCCTGCATATGGAACTTGTCAAGCCAACATGTGTTGTTCGCAGCATATGACGCACAACTGGCTATGGAAATACTGTCCCTCAGATTAATTGGGAGGTCATTTGTGATCACAATGTCGAGATGCAGCATAGATATGTTGAAACCGTAAGAATGTGTTTGATAGGCAGGTGCTTTTTACCCATGCCAGTATGTGTCAAGATCACCAATGGGGAAAAGGGGGTTGGCAGAACGATTAATGGCAAGTGTTCCATATAGATGGAAGAGTGGTCTCGTTCTCTGTGGCAGCACGAGCGATGGGACCTGCCCACCTGATGAGCTCGGGCAGGGCGCCCACATTGTGGGCAGCCGCCTGTGCCTGCGCGTTCCCTGCCACCAGGCTGGTCAGTGCAGCCGCAGCCGCAGCCGTCACCGTGCTGCTGGCACCTGCCCACATGCAAACAACCGAGGACACTTAAATGGACGTAAAGTTTCCCGCCCTGGCGCAGCTTCATATTCTTGCTATAACCTGTCTTCCGCAAGTCAACTTGCTGAAGCCCTCACAGCTCATAGATGCAGTGTTGACTTCTGGAGAATGAGCAGCGATTTTTCCTGAAGGAGGGAAAGGTCGGACCTCTTTGACAGCATATCTGGTATCCTACTGAAATCATAGCAAGTTTGGGCCACCAAAAGACAGGACAACAGATGTGGTGAAAGGGTAAGTCTGCAGACATGCACCTTTGTCCAGCAGGCGAACCAGGTCGGGCAGGGCACTCAGGCCCTGCTTCTGGGCGCTGCTGTCCCCCTGGACAGCCGTGCTGAACAGCCACAGCGCAGCCTCCATCACACCCTCATCCACCCCTGATGATGGCCACAGATCTTTCAGGCTTTGCATTCACACCAGCACCCAACAATTTTCGTCATTTAGAGCACAAGAGCCCCATACATAGAGAGACATCCCTGGCTTTCCTATCAGGTTGTGCAGGTCAAGCTGGCACCTCAGGGTCGAGTCGAACCCTACTGTGTTGCATTGTTTCCTGGCATCACAAAGAGTGCAGGTGTACTTGTAAGTTCAAATGCACGATAATGCTTCTTTGGCTTCTGAGATTGCCACCATGCATTGAGGTAAGGGCGCAGGGCGGTACCTGGCCCCAGGCGCTGGGTGAGGTTTGGCAGGAGGGAAGAATCGCGCAGGACCGCCAGACGGGCGCTGGCGTGGCCAGCCAGGGTGGTCAAGGCCTGCATGGCGGCACACGCCAGCACAGGCTCACTCTCCGCGCCCATCACAGCCGTCAGCGCCTCCACACCCCCTGCAGCAAAGGCATTGTACAAGTCACATCAGCGCAAAGCAATCCGCAGTCCACACCGTCAAAGTGAACAGCTCGGTGCGGTCGACTCTGCAAGGCAGCTGTTGGAGCTTGTGCCAGCACCAGCAAAGACATGCAGTTTACAAAAGAAGTGATCACAGAAGGGAAGGTTCCCGCCTTGGGATCTCAGCAGCAGTTCGAGCCGCCTGTAGAGCCTTCGAAAAAAGACCACACACTAAGAGATCCACGCCCCTGGCACAACAATGGGTGCTGTCACATGTTAAGATGTACTCCTGCAGGCACACCTAATTTCAGGATGGCCTGGGCGTTGGCCTCGTTGTCGGTGGCGAGGTGCGCGAGTGCTGTGGCTGCCTTGCTGCGCAGGCGCTCGCCCCTGTCGGAGTACATGGGGTCCAGGAAACGCACCAGGCGCATCAGCCCCTCCCCAGCCACCTCCCTCACCTTGTCCTTGCAGTCCCTGCCGCACGCATTCACAGGCACTGTTGACTAATTTTGCATGATTGAGTCTTGCATGCAAGACTCTATGTGGTACTGACACCATATTTTGTGTTGTGCGTCTACCTGCTGAAGTGCTACAGGGATGTGAGTCATCTAAATCCAGAGTCCAGAGATGTTGCTAATTGTCAGTGCTCTGTTGAGAACCCTGTGGACCAAATTTTGCTGCTAGCAACATGGGCAGAAGGGCGTCGCAAGTGCACGTACACAGACTGCAGAAATTATACAGGAAGTATATCATGCTTGATCAGTCATCCTTCACTTATTGTGCTTGGATAATGAACCTTGTGCAACGCTTGAAATCACTGTCCCATCCATTTTCTTTGGGAGGGCAGAGGGAACGCGCACCGCCGGAGCGCGAGGCGGCAGAGCATGTTGAGGCCGGACTCGCGAATCTCGGGGTCGATTCCGCGCAAATTCAAAACTAAAGCAGCGATCGTGCGCGTCAGCGCCGCGTCCTCGTCATCGCTGAGCTGGCCGTCGGCTTTCAGCACCTCGCCGTTCTCGGCAGCCGCCGGCACAGCGCGCAGCTCCACCTCAAACTGGGGGCCCTTTGGGTTTAAGCCGCTCTGATCCGCGCCGCGGTGCCCCCTGCGACCATTTGCAACCCTCAGCCCTAAAAAATATTTTTTTACCATGTCTGATACGCGCCGCAGAGACCCAGCCCGCCGGTTGCGCAAACTCCAGACGACTGCAGGATAGATTGAAGGACATGTGACACCTGCTGAGCGCAGCTCAGAGAGCGGTGTTTCAGGGGTTGGAAGCAAGCATGGGACCACCATAAAACGCCTGATTAGAATGTGACATCTCTCTTTGAGCGGAAATTATGGTGGTCTCATGCCCGCTACAACCCCTCACGCACCGCGCTCTAAGGCGTTAATTGCCTCGTCCTGCATGAGCATGTGTCAGGGAGTGCTGTGGAAGGTAAGTACCCATTGCTGCTGTGGCCGTTGGCAGAGGCCTCTGCAAGGTAGTGCCCCACTCCCCCACTCTTGTTCCTGTGCAGGGTGCTCGTTGCTCCAGCCCTGCACAGCCCAACCCAAGGCCCCTTCAAATCTGGTAGCCATGCTTTCAACAACAAATACGTGTGCCATGCCAGCCTGTGGGTCCCTGGACCAGGGATGATGCCACTGTTATAGGACTGCAAAACGACAGATTAGAGCAAATCTCGTGCCCGTACAAGGCTTGAAAAGTTCTTGCGCAGGGCGCTCTAGATCCCTGAGAATGACCATGTGAAGTGTCACATCGCGTAGAGGAGAGGAGGAGGACAAAATGACGCACCTGTGGGGCTGCTGCTCTGCAGAGGAGCCAGCCAGAGAGCGCGGCGACTTCGGCACACACCTCGGAGTGGCTGGGGCCCTGGGGGACAGCAGCGGCGGCGTTGGGATCAGAGCATCCTCGCCCTCATCCCAATCCCCAGCGCGGCTCCTGCCCTCGTTTTGTGGCCCTGGGGGGCCCACCATGCTGTGCCCCTGCAATAGGCAATCAACATTCACTCGCCCACCTGCTCAGAGCGCACCAAGGCGGTAGATGTGCAAAGGAAAGCCGCTTTCGGGTAAGGTTGTCATGGCGCGCAGTGTAGACAAGATTTGATGAGAATGGCATGAGTCCTGATTTACAGCCTGGCACCCAGCTTGCCTGAGCTGCTGGAGATGGGATGGCGGCATCTGTGTCCTGAGGAGGATGACTGATGTCCAGGTGGCTGACCATATTTTTCAGTACGTAGAATAGCTCCTGACGGTTGTTGCCGCTACTTTGTGCGGATTCCCTACCCAGGGGCGTGTTCAGTTGCGTTGTCTTCTTTTATACACTTGTCGTTGAGATCCCACAAGTGTAATAAGAAATGGCACCTTTCCTGCGTGAAAAGATCCACTTTTGGAGCACATGCAAGTTTCTTTCGCATTCTACATACACGATGTAAACGTGCCCTGTAGGTGTCAGTGGCCCCCTTCACATGGCTTGCTAGTACCAAACCTCTTCCCTGCATGATATCTCTCGAAATTCAATGCTGAAAGTATCCATGGAAATCATGAATACTTTTAAGCCCATTTGCAACCTTTTAATGCACATGCTTGAATGACAATACAACAGGTCTCTTACCAGGCCAACCAACGAGGAAAATCCAACGTACCGTACGAAGGTGCTCTTGCACGTCCAAATTATATAGCGAGGCTTGTAACGCAGCCACTGTCGTGAACGTCTTCTCGAAGCGCTACATGGCTCGTGCACAAGGAATTTGCAAAGACGGATGATTCTCCTAAGGACGGACTGTCACTTACGCGAAGGCCCCCCTCTAGTGAGATTATAATTCAGCAATGTAGGCAATGGAAAGCTTCTATGATTTGGTATAGATAGTAATATTCTGTGGCTTCGCTGCCGTCCATTTGATCGGGGCGTCGTGCAGAGTCTGGTCAATCCAAATAGCGCCCCATGCATGTTCCTCATCACCTCCTCCAGCCCGAACCTTGGACTGAAGTGCTTCCTTGGGTGCACTTCATGTATGCACTTCAATATAGGAATGCGTATGCTGCTGTTTTGCGCAATGTTGCCAGTGCAAGTCTTGACGCCTGCACAGGCCATGCTGTGGCTGGGGAACTTGATGCAGCCTTTCAGACCCTGGAGGCGGGGATCCGGGAGGCCGCAGCCGCGAACAGCATGCCGGCCCGCACCGGGCGCCATCAGCGCAAGGCGCGTGCCGACGCGCCCTTCTTCGATTCGGAGTGCCGCCAGCTTAAACGGGACGTCCGCGCCCGCGCGCGGTGCGGGGGCGATCCAGCCGAAGTGCGCGCGCTGGAGCGTGCCTACCACAACACCGTCCGCCACAAACGGCGCGCTCACCGGCTCGCGCAACTGCGCCGCCTGCTTGATGATTTGCACAGTGACCCCCGAGCCTTCTGGAAGCGGCTCAAGTCTCAGCAGTCTGATATACCTGAGCAGCTCAAGCCAGTGCAATTGTGGGCTGGCTATCTCAAGCGGGTTGCAAACTTGCAGTTGCCACTCATTGCTGAGCTGCCCCACTTGTCTTTCCCTGTCCAGCCCAGTGCTCCTGTTGCCCATGTTGATGCTCTCAATGCACCCATCTCTCTTGGGGAGGTGCTTGCTGGGCTCAAAAGTTTACACAATGGTCGTGCCACCGGAGTGCAAGGTTTACCAGCTGAGCTGTTTCGGTATGCAAAAGATGAGCGGGCGCCAGGCATGCCTCCTCCGGAAAATGTCCTGGCGCATGCTTTGGTGGCTGTGCTGAACTCTGCATTTGTGGCTGGGCAAGTGCCACCCTCTGTGAATGGTAGCCTGATCACCCCTGTGCACAAGAAAGGCAGCAAGCTTGACATGCTCAATTATAGACCCATTGCCGTTACTGAGCCCATCATGCGCTTGTATGCTGGCATATTGAATTCTCGTATTCTGAAGTACACAGAGGGGGCTGGATTGCGTGCAGCCACACAGGCTGGCTTTAGGCCAAAACTGTCTACGGCCCACCAGCTATTCACCTTGCAGCATTTTATCGACCGGCAAAACCATGCTAAGCAGCCCTTGTATTGTTGCTTTCTTGATCTGAAGGGTGCTTATGACAGAGTGAATCGGGTGTTGCTCTGGGAGAGTCTGCGTCGCCTGGGCATTGATGGCCACCTGCTCTCTGCCATTCAGTCTTTGTATGCCAATTCTACGGTTGCCATTAAGATTGGGAGCAGGAAGGGTCCTAGTTTGCCCTCTGAGACAGGATTGAAGCAGGGTTGCCCCCTTAGCCCAACGCTGTTTGGCTTGTTTGCAGATGGCCTGCACAGGCACTTGCTGCAGAGGTGCCCTGGGGTTGGCCCGCAGTTGCGTCCTGGCAGTTGTGTACCAGATCTAGGCTATGCCGATGACTTTGCTTTGCTCGCCACCACACCTGCTCATTTGCAACGCTTGATTGATGCAGCTGCTGAGTTTTGTGAACAAACGGGAATGGTCATCAGTGTTGACAAAACAAAGATTGTGGTGTTCTCTTCAAGTTTGCCAGGACCTTTTCAATGGCTTTGTGGTGGTGCGCCTTTACATTGGGTTCAGCAGTTTGAGTACCTGGGTGCCCTTTTTGACGGTGCCCAAGGCATTAATCTCACCTTTGGCAAGCTTCACAGGAACATGTGGGGTGTGTGGGCACAGCTCAAGCAGCAATATGGGAAGTTGCATTGCAGCATGTCAGCTGGCCTGTTGTTGCGCCTATATGATGCATGTGTGCCGCCGACTGCCTCCTACGGTTGTGAGGTGTGGGGCCTGCGCAGCCTTCCTGGTGGCGACAGCCGGCGGGGCCGGGCTGCCTTGGCCTCCTCTCACCTGAAAATTCTGAGAGACATTGCTGGCGTCCCCACCTCTGTGCATGGTGCCATCTTGCTTAAGGAGTTGAATCAGCAGACCCTTGATTGTGTGTGGTGGCGGCGCATTATCAAGTTCTGGAACAATTTGGCTGCCTTGCCTGCAAATAATTTTCACAGGCAAGTGGCCCTTGATGATTGTTGGGATGCCATAACCCGTAATGTTAAGAATTGGGCTTGGGCCTTCATGCGGGGCTTGCGCCGAATTGGGTATGAGTTTGTTATTCGGTTTGACACCCTTGTTCCTGTGGAAGTTGATGCTGTGATGCAGCTGCTAGATGCGCAAGCACTGCAGGTTTGGGATGACATTGACATTTGCCCTAGGACCTGCCCGTCCAGCAATGCCACCTTGTGTACATATCACAGATGGTTTGCTAGGCCAGCTTGTGTGCGCCACCCTTGCCAGCTCTTACAGCAGCCTTTGAGTGCCCGTTGCTTGCGTATACTGTTGAAGTTCAGGATGGGTTGTCATAGTCTGCCCAATGTCTCGGGCCGCTGGGCAAGGATTCCCCGGCCCCAGCGTTTGTGCATGCGTTGTGCCCAGCAGGTTATTGGGGATGAGCGCCACCTTGTGTTTGAGTGCCCTGCCTTGCAATCTGTTCGGGACAGATATCCTGGGCTGTTTGGTGCAGCCATTGTGACGATGCAGCAATTCATGTGGCAGTTGGACATTGTTGGTGTTGCACATTTTGTGATGGATTGTTTTGATTATTTGGATGCTGCCAGTTCATCCAATCAGCCCTAGGCGGCTGGAGTGATGTAATCTTCCTTCCTTCCTTCCTTCATGTGTAATTGGCGGTAATTCATGTGTAATCTCCAATTCATGGAATATTTTCACAACCTGCTTAATCATTGAATACAAGAAAATATATGAAGAAGGTCATATCAACTTGTAGGCTTAATATGGCCTCTGGCTTTGGGTTTGCCGACCTCGCAAAAAGTGTCACCGGTCAAGCTCAAAGACAATACCTTCAGATTCGGCATTGCAGGTAATGCTGGCAGGGTAGCGGTGTTCATTTGAAGTTTTCTCCAGAAATCTCGGCTGATACAGCAGCCAGGTCAGAAGCATCATGTGCGACTCTCTCACACGAGAATCCATGCTTCCAAATGATGGAGCAATCGTTGTGTGCAGGTGCAGGATTCTCAGCTGGGAAGGTGGGATGGAGTGAAGGACGGCAATCGCAAAATCCTCAGCATCCCTGTTAATGGGAAGATCAATCTGCAAATCCTTGCAATCCTTCCGAATTGATTTTTGAGCATGCATTTTTCTCGTTTTCCATTTTCTCTTCCATTATTATTAATATGCATGGACTTCATCGGAATCATTCCTGCAATTCTGCAATGATTGCGCGCATTGGAAAAGCCTTGCGGCGATTACGTGATGAATATGATGATGATCTTCCTCACAGTATCAACGATACACGGGCGGTGCAACAAAGCGGCATTCATTGGAAACTTACACAAGCCCCGGAACTCCTATCATGATCAAGCCTTGGCAGCTAAAATGGACCCTGCAGAGCACCTGCCCTGTGCTACCAAGCATTGAAATTCCCATACGACGCCTGTTTTGCCTTCTTGGCGGGAGGCCCCGGAGCTTCCCCTTCGGCCCCTGGGCTCGCTGCAGGAGCTGCTTTTCTGGCGGCATGCACATTGAGGTACTTACCGACTCCAGTGCCATGGCCCTGTGCACTGGGCTGTGCTGCCGGCACTGGGTTGCTGAACCATGCACCCACTCGCTCTTCCTCTGTAGGCGGCCCTGCCTCCTTCTCAGCCTGCAATGCAATTTCTCCCTCTTTAGCAATTCACAATAATAGCTCGGTGATAAAAATTTTGGCAATACAATTGCCGAAGCAGCCCTTTCTCCTTACATGGCGCTCGCACTGCTTGTATGTTTTGTAGTCACTCTTGGCCTGACAGTACCGGATGTCAGTGATAGACCTGCAAGCTTTAGGACTTTTCAAGTAAAATGATGGCACGTTGATCAAGCGCAAGTAGCCCCCGTGAGCATGCTGCGTTCATGGGGTGTAGCCTAGATGAGACACCCGCATTTACCCATCCACATGCACTGCGCGCTCAAAACAAGTCACAGGAAGCGCACCTTGAGCCGGGCTTCCTCGGCAGCCTTGCGCTCGGCTTCCTCCTCTTCTTTGTAGGGGTTAACAAAGACCGTGGCACCGGTGATCTTGATCTCCTGGCGCGGCTTGTCATCGTCGTCTGTAGGCACCTTCTCCATCGCCGTCAATACCTCAAAGCCTGCACAACCACAGAAGGAGATATGAAGTACTGAAGTTGCAGCATATTTGTCATCACTTCCAGCACACCTGAAAGCCTGGAGAATCACAAGATGAAATGCAATAAAAGTCCCACAGAGAGCAGCATAATTTGCCATTAGCAGCACCAACGACAATATTGGCTAAGGGACTCTGATGCTTTCCATGTAGCAGGAGGCATGCACTGCTGGGATGGAAAGTTTTTTGAGCAGACCCTTGCAGACAGAGGAGCAGTTCACGAAAGAGGTCATGGCATCTGTGTAACATCATGCAGGTTCCCACCTCCAACGACGCGGCCAAACACAGTGTGCTTGAAGTCCAGGTGGTGTGCGCTCTTGTACAGGATATAGAACTGCACAGCACAACTTTGTTATTGTCTTTCTAGATTACGGCAAGAGCCAATCCACTGTGGGCACGGTGCTCAGTGTTTGTAGCGACCTCTGCCAGCCGGGGCCAGGACAAAAGAAAACATAAACGGCTCAGCAAAACATCTGGAGGGCCTCGTGCACCAGGATCCTGCATCTCCACATTCCCACATCCCCTTGACCTAACAATGTACCCTCCACAAGGTGTCTCCATACATATCTCTGGAGCATGAGAAGAACTCCTGCCCAAGTCTTGCCCCTCAAAGGCCAAAGTGACTGTGTGCCCCAAGGTGCACCAAGCCAGAATAGTCTTTCCGCATATCGCTTTGCATGCAGTTGCCACACTTGCGAGTCATCTGAGGCCTATGATGAGAGAAAATGCACAACAAGGGAAAATGAACAGCTGGATTCGGCACAAGGAGCTTGCCTGGGAGCCATTGGTGTTGGGGCCTGAGTTGGCCATGGAGAGGACACCTCGGCCCGCATGCGTGAGCCGCGAGTCCAGCTCATCCTTGAAGGTGGGCCCGTAGATGGACTCGCCCCCCGTGCCTGTGCCTGTAGGATCGCCACCCTGCATAGCAAACCTCGGTACTCAGTCTTGACCATGCTGACCCAATAGGGCACTATTGAAGCCCGCCGGATCTGTTGCCACCATATCTGCAATGCAAAGTCGCCTGCAGAGCCTCACTTAGAAGAGATAAAATGAAATAGCTACGATACTTTTGACAGTAGAAGACTCCCAAGTGATGCTGTGCTGCAAAGCAAGTCTCAATCTGGGCAGCACTGCCCGCAAGTGATGCAGTGGAGACCGGGGCAATACTCGTTTTCACAGGAGCCAACAAAGCATCATTCTCACAAGAATACGAGGGGCTACTGCCGCACAGCTTGGCCTGCTGGCATATCACCAGGACAGGGCAATCACAGGCCAAGAAGGGTAAGGGCAGTCCACATGCATCATCTTTGCCTCGGCGCTGAGACATTCTGCGTGGAGGTGCCCACCAAGAACTTCATGAGAGACACCACTTATTGAGAGCTAGGCATAGCCCACCTGGATCATGAAGCTACGGATGGAGCGGTGGAAGATGGTGTCGGAGTAGTACCCGCCCTCCGCCAGCACGAAGAAATTCTCGCATGTGCGCGGCGCGAAATCGCAGTGCAGCTCCAGGTTGAGGTCGCCCAGATTCGTGTGCAGGCGCATGTAGCCCTTCTTCTTGGGGCAGCGCTCCACTCGCACCATCGTGCGCGCATTCTGCGTCGTCACGTTCACCGCCGTCGACGTGAAAGACCGCGAAGCCGCGCCTGCCGCAGCGCGGACAGCAGGATAAGCGCCTTTGAAATCAAACCTCAAGAGAATAGGAATAGAATTTGATATGTATGCTTGTTCCTGCAGGGTGGTAAATACACTTGTGATGTAATCAGAAGAATGCCATATACTGTATGCCTTGGAAATTGGTGTGACAGGGACAAGGGGCCGCTCGGAGGCAGAGCAGCAATTGATGCACCACAGGAACAGCGGCTTGCATGGAGGCAGCTAGTGCCTCACCGAACCCAGTTTGACCACATGCGGCCAGTCCCTACATTCGCACTTGAGGTGCCAAGTGCCTGCATAACAACTGCCTGCAACCTGATTCAATCTCAAACTTGGAACACCTGTGGTGCGCATGGAGTCTTCCCGGTACTGTGCGCTCATGTAAGGCTTGGGCACGGGCTTCTGCCCCTGGCCGCCGGCCTTGGCCGCCTCCAGCGCATCCTTGTCCTGACCCCGCCACGATCCCGTCTCCATCTCCTTGCGCATCTGCGCGCACGCGCCGGCACACGCCCGTCAGGTGCCGCATATTCACACTGCAACAGCTGGCTATATAATTGCGACAGGTGACTTGAGCATTGAAACAACAGCCCTCAAGTCACTGCCCTGAACCCGCAACAAGTCTCCATCTGACAGGATGCCCTTTAAACAACAGGTCCCCACTGAAACAGCACCAATAAAATAGCAGACTGGAATCTTCCCCAGGGAAACAGCAGGGCCCCGCTTGAAGCAGCTCCACGAAATTGAGCAGGCTTTGACCACTCCATGGCCCCTTGATCTCTAACTTTTCATCCTCCTTCAAGCATGATCTTTGAGCATGATCTTTGCAACGGTTGTCATTGGTGCATTTGTGCTGACCTTTTCTCTGACCCAGGGAGGCGCCTGGGAAGGGTCGTCTGTGTTCCAGGTGGAGGTCCCTGGCTTGAAGTTTGCCGCTGGCCTGTCCTCCGGCTTTGGGGGCTGCAGCCTGCACCAGCACAACCCAGTGCTCTTCAGCCCTAACAAGCGACTAGCTAACAAGCATGCAGCACAAGTTGCAGATGACTCTGCAGGCAGGCATGTAAAGCCAGAGAGAATTCTTTGAAAGGCAGTGAGACAGTCACCTTGGGTCGGGCCCGGCCTGAGCGCCGTCCTGCTTGCCCGCCTCTGCCTTGTCACCCCCTCGCTTGGCAGTTGAGTGCGCCTCTGCCAGTAGCCGTGCAGCCTGCGCCTTCTTGCCACCTCCGCCCTGCTCAAATGCCTGCCCACACACAAAGACACTTAAGCCACGAGTCTGCAGACTCCTACGCATCTTGCCGGCTGTAATTGAATCTAAAGACAGCCAGAAAGCCTTCACTCACTGTTTTCGTGAAAGTATTATAAAAGACAAATGGGAGTATCCATCAAGAAGTGACTGCAGAGGTGGGGGCCTCAGGCGCGCCTTGGCTGCGTCCGCTGTGTTGAGTTTGCTCATGACACGCTTCATGTCCTCTGAGAGGCCCTCTGCCTTGATGCTGAACATGGGGTCGGCCTCCTGGGCCGCCAGCTCATCTGCATCCTGCAGGCTGAGGTTCTTCTTCACATGGTCAAAATTCTCCAGGTTCTTCCCCTGCAATGCATCACATTCCCAGCTGCTCAGCAGGCAGTATACAGCAATCACTGCAGGTCATCATTGAAGTCTTATTGACCACCAGGAGCTGAGATAGCACTGTCCCTAGGCGACAAATGGGATGCAGCACCTGGAGATTCAGGGGATCCTGAAGGTGGATGATGTCTTTCCGAGTGATGGGCGTGTCATCTAGAAGGTCCTTCCAGTACTTTGGTTTTATGTTGAGCTCCTCTACAGCCTGCAGAGGTGATAAATCAGCAGGCAATGTCAATGCCAGCACATGAGCCTTGTCGATGCTCGTCTGTGCTCCCATCACAAGAAATTGCCTGCACAGGAGTCTGCAAGCAGAGGCGACGTACCTCCCAGCAGTAGACATTGCCAGTGGGCTTGACTGCCACGATGTGGGTGTGCTCGGTGAACACTTTGTTGAGCACAGGGCACATGTACTCCCCGTCACTGTTCTTGTGAAAATTCAGCTTGATGACGTCCTTGAGGGACAGCGGGTCGCCGGTGACTGGGTGCTTCTTGAATTTCATCACGTATGGCACGATGTTCGTGATGTCATACGTGGTCCCATCCGCTGTGCAGGCCTGCAACACAGCGAAAAAAGCCGTTCAAGGGATCCATTAGGCAAGCACGCTGTGCTGTCTTTACATCGTTTAGGGCCCCAGTCATAGAATGCAAGCAAGCTCCGCCTGAGGAAAGTTTGCTTACAAAACGTCATAGACACCCACCGGGTCTTCGAATGGAGTGAAGGATATTGCGCAGCAGTTGAAGGGCAGACACTTGAAGGTTGATCTGCTCTTGTCCTTGTGGCCGCCCCATTCAGTCTGCCACTCTGTCGCGGTGATGTAGCCGCGATCCTTCTTCAAGCTTTTCTTCCCCATGATAAAAGCAGTAGGGGATCCCTAAATCAGGACCACCTAGCCAGTACCTGATCCAGTGCTTACTATGCCAAATATACTGTGCGTTCTTCTGCACCGTACTTGCGCTATGTGGTGAGCTCTTACGTTTCTAAGAGACGCGATCGGTATCGACACAGCAGTCAGAATCTTCTACTTCGTATTCAACACGAATTCCAATATTTTCTTGAAAGCCCAACTCTTCAGGCATATCGCTATTATCTGCGTATAGATTGGACCAGATATTTACTTTGCATACTCCTGTACTTTGCAACGTATCCTAGAATTGATTTGCGCAACAGAGACATTCACAGGAAATTAAGCACGTGCCCGGCAAGAGACCCTCACGTGCTTGTTTTTGCGAGGATTTGTGCCCGGCGAGGCAGCCGAATTCTGAAATAAATCTGTGAATCTCCTAGTTGTGTCTGCTTGATGGCGTATGGCTTCCCTGTTGTGATCTGTGACCAGCTGAAAGCAAGTGCCCAGCTATTGCGCCTCCCTTGGCAGGCAGTAGCCACTTCACTGGTCTTCTTGCATCGATTTGGTGAATCTGCTTCGGAATTCGACTTTCCCGACGAGGTAATCGCCTTTCCTTCAGCGTGCTTGAATGGCTTTCCAATTGTGAAATCGAGGACGTGGATCAGTAGTAATACACACGCAAACTGCTAATGTTTGTGTGTCTTTGGGTGGCAATATGGATGTTCAGAGGCTAATATCCGCGTGTATCTTTGTAGCTTCCAAGGTCGAGGAGGTAAGTCATTATTTCGGACACTTCCTCCTCAATACAATGTGGTTGAGGACGTGTTGTTTTGGCAAGCCACTCTATGCCATGGCGCATGTTGTGATCACAATTCCTGATTGTCAACTTCCAACTTTTGCAGAGCCCCGTGCGCACCAATGACTTGCTGAATGCGGTGCGCTTCGTCACCAGCCCGCAAGACAGCACTGCTCTAGCAAGAGCCTTCCCTGGCCTCAGCGTCAGTGTCACATCAGCAAGCGGCACAGAATTACAGCCGCATCAGCCAGCCGGAGATGCAAACGGATCGGCAGCGAATGCGCCTAGAGCTGGGTTTTTAGCAGGCGACGAGTACTATGCAGCCAAAGACCAGCTGATCATGGACGAGCAGCTTCTCCTGAGAGTGCTTCGATTTGAAATCGCCGTGCAGCATGCGCACAAGTACCTGCTCAACATGTGCCATGTGCTGCGATGCAGCCAACCTCTGGCGCAGATGGCCACATGCCTGGTGCGTAGAAAAATGATCTCTTTCCTTTGCCACCCATGCACCTTGCTCACCGACTTGACAAAGGCAATTGTTTGATTCCTCGGCCTAAAAGTGCTCTTCATAATGTGTCTATTAATCTGCGGATTGGATGCAGGTGAATGACAGCTTATCCAGGACGAAGTTGTGCGTGCAGCACACACCTGCTGAGGTGGCAGCAGGTGCATTGCATGCAGCCTCCCTGCTGCTAGGAGTGGCCAGGGAGCTTCCATACAGAGGACAGCTCTGCTGGTGGGACGCCCTAGGTTTCAGCTTGACGACCCTGGAGAAAGTAGGGCATGCTCTGGTAGATGCACTATTGCAGCGGGACCAGTCAGTACAGTGAGCTCTCATTTGAAGCGGCACAGCCGTCACATCAAATCCTGGCAAGGCAGGTTGCTGGGAAGACCAATTCACGCCTCGTGTCCCAACTCATGGTGAGCCACAACAACCGCTGCGCAGCAAATGTATGCGCTTGTGCATGCAACACTTGCTGATTGTCTTCGACTGATCGTCTCAGAGACAATTCACTCAACGCACAAAATTAGGTGGAGGTTTTGTGCCCAGTGTGCTGGCAACCCTCAGGCTTTTTAGCAGCTTCTAGTAGGCTTGGACGCTGCAAGTCATGTGCTGTGATTATCTGATGTGCTTGCGCAGGGAGCATGCTATGGACAGCTGTACTACACTACCCTGTATTACACTGGGTGCAGTACTGCTGTACACTGGCAGTACACTAGTGAGTGCCGGCAGCTTGGGCGGAAATCGAGATCTACTAAGTACACGAGCTCTACTGGAGCTGCTCTGCTTGGGCAAACATCAGGCTGATTTTGTGACGCTCATTCTTGCTGACTCAAAGCTTGTACATGTAAAGAAGAAATAGGAAGAATTTTCCATGCTTATGAGCCAGCATGAACTTCATCATCTCGCCTCTCATTCGGCTCCTCGGCACGCCCTTGGAGACCATGGACATCACGCTTGCATCACGGTGCTGGATGCAGTTCGAACACTGGACGAAAGTATATGCATTCTACTAAGGTAATGTTTCACCAGTGGAGAGTGTTCTTGACACGTAGAAATAAAGGGTTGAGACACAAGTAATTCCTTACACATCCTTTTCCAGCCATCCGACTACGCTTCTATTACGTTGCAATATATAGTAAGCGCCTTTAAGTAAAGAAGACGTTCAAAGCAAGAATAGCGGGTCTTATTGTGAACTTCACTAGCCTGGCATGTTGGGAGATTGGGCAAAATAGGGATGCCCATGCTTTCCTGGCCATTGGGCCCTGTCTTTGTTCGTCCCTCTGTTGTGAATAAGGTATTCATTGAATAAATCGCTCACAAAGCTGCTAGATACATTTGAGCTTCACCCGGCCTGATGGGGGCCTGTGCCAGCAAACCAAAAGAACCTGACTCCCCAATCCGAATCCACCAAGGACAAGCAAAAGTAGACTCAAGGTCAAAGGAAACTGTATCACGGCCAACGTGAGATGCTCCTCCATCCATTATAATGTGCTTTGTGCGGCCAACCTGATTGTTGAGCCTGCTCTCTGGGCCCATCAAGTAAATACTTGTGTTGGTGCAGGTGCAAGTTGCGTACAGATGCAAAAGTGAGAGAAGTCTACAAGATTGGGAAAACACTGGGGACAGGCGGTGAGCTTCATCCCTCAGACGTGGATAAGATTAGGATTCCAATCAAGTTCTACGCGCTATACAGGGTTAGACTGGTGTGTCATACCTGCTGCAGGCTTTGCAGTGGTGAAGCTGGCGACAGAAAGAGCGACAGGTGGCGAGTATGCCGTCAAAATCATGTCGCTGCCAGAGAGGGGTAGATCAGTCGGCGACAATGAGAACTCCCGGGACGACATCTTCAAGGAGATAGATATCCTAGTCGGCCTCAATCACCCCAATGTGATCTACCTGAAAGAGTACTTTGAGGAAAACAACAGGGTGCGTGCCTGCACAAGCCCCCACTTGCACTGTTTCTGTGTTCCACTTCCCACACTTGCAGTCATACAGTGCTGGAAATGAACTCCCTCAACACCATCTTACACACATTAATGGCTGTCTCTGTATACAATTCATTCCATGCAATATTGTCCACTCAATGTCCATCCCGTTCAGTGTGTCTGCTCTGCCTATGAACTGTGGACAGATGCAGTGCCAGGCGGAAAATTTGGTGCCAACCAGTGACTGCACCAAGCCATGTCTGCTGCACAGGTGTACCTGATTACAGAGCTGCTGACAGGAGGGGAGCTGCTGGATGCAGTGCTGCAGCGAGGCAGCTACAATGAAGCCGACGCGCGCGACTGCTTTGTGCAGCTGCTCCGGGGCATCGAGTACCTTCATGCAAAGTGCGCTCACATGCAACTGAATTGCCCCGTCCATCCTGACCATTTCGTGCGGAAGGGTTCTGCTTGACCTCTTGCAGAAGACAAGGCACTCATAAGATGGAAATCTCCATCTTGAGTTTCTGACTAACATAAGTTCATGTCATGCCACATGGATGTTCCTGGCATGAGCATCATGACGGCTGGGGTTGAGACATTAATGCCCAATATCCTAGCCCTTGATCCCGGGTTCACAATGTTACAATGTTCCGTCTGAGGTTGCTGACGCGCTGCTTGTACTGTGCTGTGCTGCCTGCAGTAAGATCACACACAGGGACCTGAAGCTGGAGAACCTGCTGCTGCAGCGGCCGGCGAATGAGAACGACATTCCCAGTGTAAAGGTGGCGGATTTTGGGCTGGCAAAGAAAATGAAGGAGAGCCAGATGCAGACCATCTGTGGCACGCCCCAGTACGTCGCGCCAGAGGTCATCCTGGTGGGTCATCCTCACCCAGCACAAGACCAAGGCATTGATTTGGTCGCCACTCTACCTCTGCTCTCTGCCCTAGACTCATGCCCTCAATGCTGGCAAGATCCAGCACCAGGGCCTCTCAACAGCTTGACCATATATATAAATCTATCTGTCTGTTCCAGTGCTGCTTCCAAATCCACGCCATGCATCCATGGAACTCGTTTACTTTGTCTTCACTTCCTGAAAGTGTGGAAGATACCTGCCATTATTCAACAGAGCATTCAGAATTTTGACATGCATGCAAATTATTGAAGATCTAGAACGTTTTTTGAAAGATAAACCCGATGCTGTTGATCTTGCATATGACTGGTGGGAGGAACGCAGATCTTGGGAGATTGATATAATGACCAATGTTTTGCTCAATGTATTTGGTCCTGAAAACTGCAGACTCTAATAAAAATTATGGTGCGCAGGGGACGCCCGGGCTGATATATGGGCCGGCGGTGGACCTGTGGAGCGCGGGAGTGGTGCTGTTCATCCTGCTGGGCGGCTACCCGCCGTTCTATGACGAAAATGAGCCGGCGCTGTTCGCACAGATCCGCCGCGGTGCCTTCTCCTTCGACGACCCCGTATGGGACTCCGTCTCCGACAAGTGCGCGGCTCACACCTTTTTATTCTCAACCTCAACCCTAACAGGTTGCGCTCGCAGCCAATCGACCCTGAAGGGTTTGATGCTGACTGGTTTCATTCATCACCCCATCTCTCAAGGGAGTCAATTCATACATATTCCACCAGGCAAAGTGATCACAAAGGCAAATCGACTTGAAGTGTATTGGCCAAAAAGTGGCTGGCTGCAGCACGTGCAGTACAGCAGGATCAGTGGAGACCCCACAGTGTGTGCCAGAGGAGCCTGTCAAGCGGACATGCCAGCAACAGTGGAGATGACAAAGCGAAGTATCTGGCTTGGAGAAGGCCTCTGAGCGGTCAGGATTCAGTGTCTAGGGAAGTGACGTTGATGGGATCACATTCCTCCTGAGGGCAACAGCGGGTGTAAGGCTTTTGAGATGCATTACCTATTCAAGGGCCACGATGCACTGTGGTGGTTGAAAAGCAGCGAGAGGGCCGCAATGCACCCCTCTGCCCCAACCGTGCAGCAACACCAATATGCTGACCCTGCATGTCTGGGAATGTGCGCCAGGATCCACTGATCCAGCCTGTCCACATGGGACCGCAAGTCTCCAGTGTATAATGCAATCTCAAAGGACAGGCTGGAATCGGATTTTGGCGCGCACTGCTGGCGCACATGCAGGGCCATGAGACTAAAATGGGCTGTGGAGCAGAACCCCATCAGTTGCCAATAGAAGGAATCTGCTGCATCACCTCTGCTTGTGCTTTCCATCCCTGCAGCAGCCCCCTTGGCTCTGCAGGCTTGATGCTGCGGCAACTACTGAAGCGCTTCGGTGTTGAGCTCTCGCGCAAGAGGGTCAAGGTCGCTTGCGGGCAATCTGACTGACGCTTCAGCAAAAGGCTTCAATGACATTGCCGTCTTGCAGGGCAAAGGCCTGAACCAGACGCTGCAAGACCTGTCTATCTCTTTGCTTCTGCTGCAGCTTCGACGTGCCTGCGGCCGCGCCCTTGACAGCGAAGGGTCGGTGTGGGCGCAGGGGCAAGGAGCTGATCCGGAGGCTGCTGGAGGTGGATCCCAAGGGGCGGCTGACGGCTGCGCAGGCGCTGCAGCACGACTGGTTCACGGGCGGCATGGAGGAAGACAAGCTGCCCGACCTCTCCACCACACGCGCCAAGCTGCGCAGGAAGGAAAGCAGCCATCACTTCCGAGTGCGCGCCCCTTTGAGTCCCTTCCCTTTGAGTCCCTTCGGCAGCGCTCTGCACCTTGAACCTCTGCCATCGAATGGCTGCCATCGACTGCCTCACAAATGAGCTCAAGGGACCACAAGTCAGGGACCAGTGGTCCCCCATACAAACAAGCAATAGATCATCTTGTGCTGGGATGCCAAGATTAACAAGGGCAATTGAAGCTTACCATTATTAATTATTGTAACGCTTGCCATCAAAGTCTGTTGGTATCAGTGACATTTCTTGAGCGAGGGGATGAGATTCTATCTGTGTTGCAGGGGGCGGTGCATGCGGTGATGATGCAGAACCGGCTGCGGCACCTGGAGGAGATGGTGCACAATGGGGAGGTGGCCGCGCGGCAGACGCTGCTGTCAGACCCGGAGGAGCTCGCGCGCGCGACCGAGGCGGCCAGGTGTGTGCAGCCTGTTTTCTTACGCCCATTACTACAGAGCCTGAGGCTGTAAAGGTTCAGTGGGTTGTAGCCTGCCAGAATCCAGATAAGCGTGGGACCTTTGGCTTGGGCATTGAAAGCGAGGGCAAACTCATCAATGGGGAATAGAGATAAAAAATTGCCTCGGACCTAATACAAGGTCCATATGCTTACCACTCTAATTTGGCGGTGTTCCCTTGCTTGCCAAGCTCAGCATGGTCAATTTGAATTATGCAGTGTCTCAATTGTGGTGTGGGCGGCATTTCTTGGCTGGTTATATGCCTGTTGTGACCTGACATGGTGACTGTGAACATGCAATGTCAATTATGGTGAGACTGATGGAATATATGAGTGGAGGGAAGGCACTTTCGTGTGCATTGTGCGCAGCAATGTGTATCTGCAGTGGTCATTGACTCATGAAGAGGGTTCTGGGTGCAGGCGATTGGAGGCTAGGGAAGCTGAAGCTGCGATAAGATAACAGGAGGGAAGTGCATCGCTGGAGAATTTCATGTCCGAGACCAATTCGCTCAGAAGTTGGTGAAGCATTGTGTCCACATTGTGGACCAGTTTGTGCTCAGCAATGGGCAGCATGTTTGAGGGCTGCAGGATGGAGACAGCAACAGAAAGCAGCGGGTGCCATATATTTTCTATTGCCAGCAAAGGCCCTACTGGGCCTTCCGGGAACTTGGCAAAAAGACAATTGTAACAGTGCTACTCACAAGGAATGAGGACAACCAGGGAACATTACTGGACGCTGTTCGTTGGGAACATTCCCAGAGCGTAGAAGGCCAGACAATAAGTTGCTCGTGTGCAGTAGATCAAGTCAAGCTGGAGCAAGAAATATGCAGATGCTCGAGCAGTTGGCAATATTGTACAGTTGGATCCCTAGTGGGTGTTGACTGCAGCTCCACAAATGTGGACAAGCTGATGGCCGGCCACGGTTGGTAGCTGCCAGAAGACTCGTCATGGGCAACTTGCGGAGTCTTGAAGAGTCAAGTAGATCTTGCAGGGTCTCACATTACCGGTACCGTCATGCTGGGGAGGCAATGAGCTTAGTCATCATGGTGCACATGCACTCCTGAGTGCAGTCAACTTAAGGAAGTACACTTTTTGGGAAAGGCGTTGCACAATTACAATATTGCTCCTTTGTCAGATCTATCTCACCGGAATTTACCGATCCATGTGCTCAATTATTCCCTTTTTCAGAAAGGCAAGCTAGGCCAAACCTGGTTTGGAGGAAGCTGGAAAGAACCTGGTCAATGTGAGCTTCACTACCTACAGAACGCTTTGGAGTCAGCACTTCATATTTAGACAAATCAGAATTGTCTTAGTCTTAGTGATTTCACTACTTACTGTCAAGGTGTGTGTTTGTGCTGAAAGTCATGCCCATGGGGACATGGGCATGGGTCTTGCACATGTCGCTCCTTATCCTGTATATACCTTAGAGCGCCAGAGATACGTCCATTGGTAGCATCGCTTTCCTTCTAGATAATCGACAGGGGCCATGCTTCGCAACGTACTTCTCAGAGGCACTCAATGCCTGCTGCACTGTCCTGGGCAATCACCTTGGACTCAAGCGTTGCCTGGCTCGACACACATCATCAGAGATCATGCAACACCCAGAAAGAAATCCACATACATCCGAGCTGAGAAAGAGGGGGCTTTGGGCTGCATAAAGATTGACAGACCGAAAGCTCTCAACGCTATGGATGCTGGTGCGCATTCGAACCAATTTTGCGTATCACAAAGCGATCATCCAACTGATGGAGATTCTTCATGGCTTTGAACAATCAGATGATTTCAGGTGGATCGTTGTTCCTTTTTGGAAACCATGGAAACCTTGGCAGGACCAGTACTTTTCTGACGTGTTTGTGCACGACAGACATGGTTGAGGCTCATCATGCAGCTCTGAAGACATTTGCATCCCAACCTGACATTGCCGCCATACTTGTGGAAGGCGTTCCCAGGGCTTTCTGTGCAGGTTTGTGCCTCACTCTCTGCTGCCTGAGGCTTGGTGCCACTCTCTTGCATGTCTTGATCAGACAACAAATATGTCTTCCTGTGCAGGTGGTGATATAAAGAGCATCAGGAAGTATGCATTAGAGCAGCCCTACAAGGAAGATCCACCAGTAGATCATCCCGTGGCACGGGTGAGTCGAAACCTCACCCGGGTCACTAAGCAAAACACCTCTGGTAGGTCTGTTAGACGTTGCATGTAAAATCTCATCAACAGGCACATTGGACAATAGTGGGGCACTCATCAGTGAGGCCTGTAATCATCACGCGCACTGATGCTTAAGACAAGCATGCAGTCGAAGACACGTCAGTGTTGCAGTTGTGCAGAAGCCATGCGCATGACTAAGCAGCTTGCGATTTGATTGAGTGCGGAACACTGAAACGCTACAGTGCCCATGGTGTGCTTGTACCTGGTCTGAGCAGGCGTATCACGTAGAGGCTTCTCAGACATTCAGGATGCGTCAGATATTCTGGTTGCCTGATCAGGTGTTTCAGACGGAGTACAACCAGGTCTGCGACGTGGCGCGGTGTCCCGTCCCCTACGTGTCAATCTGCACTGGCATCTGGATGGGCTTTGGCGTGGGCAACTCTGCGCATGGGGACGTACGCGTGGTCACAGAGGACACGCTCTTTGCCATGCCCGAGAACTCCATCGGCCTCTTCCCTGATGTCGGCTTTGCGCACATTGCCGCCCAGCTGCCAGGTGCGCTCCCCAGCTTTTGGTAAATTCCTGACTGGTGTTTTCATTATGCACCCTGCAGGTTTGCAGCAGCCTGGTACACCTGCTTGCACGGGGTTCTGCTCCAATTTCAAACCAGCTCCTTGCCTCTGTGTTTATTTTTTTAATATGTACTGTGCAAGGGGAGGATAGTAATTCAAAGCATATAGGCCTGGGAGCAGCATGTCCTGTGATGCGCTGAGATTCTGCTGCTGGCAGGACTTCCTCTTGTCATTAGGGAATGTCCAACATACAAAGAAATACCTCGATTCCAGATTGGGAACTTGGGAATTGCAGGTGCGCTGGGGCTGTATCTAGGCCTGACAGGGCGGCGGCTGTCATCCCTCAGTGATCTACTATATTCGCGGCTGGGCACACACGCTGCGCGCGCTGAGGAGCTGCCCTCGCTCAGGAACGCCCTCGTAGAAGCTCCCCTCAGCCGTCACGCTGACAAGCGCGAGACGCTGCGCCAGCTGGACGCCGTGCTGCAGCAGTTTCAGGCGCGCTGCGATCCTCATGTCATCGCTTAGTCACACGAAAAATTATTATGGCACATACTGATAAATCTAAACATTATGATGAATATCACATACTGGCAACCTACCAGTTGTCAGCCTGCTGCTGTGTGCATGATTGTTAGACCAATAGTACTTGGCAAAGGACGGGTGTTCAGGAAAGGACTCCCTTGAGGGTCAGATTGTATTGAATCGGCGGCGCAAGCGATCGTAATTATCAGAGTGCGTGCCGACCGGAATAATCATCCTCTATTACCCTGTTGCTGTGTGCATGGTTACCAAACTAATGTAGCTGGACTTTGGGCACTAATTAAAATTTACGGGAGAGTGAGGCTGCTCTAGCTGATCCGCAGTGAGGGTGGGCACTGGTGGGCATGTGATATCAGGCATGCACAGTTGGAATAGTGCCTTGACCCCGTGCCAGATCTCAAACGCGTAGCCTGCAAAAAACTTGACCTAAGGAACATTTTTGTGGTGTGCAGGCGCCTGATCTGGCGGCGCCTGAGTTGGCAACGCTGCAGCCGCTGATAGACAGCTGCTTCGGGCCGGCACTGGCGCACAGGGCCAGGGGGAGGTCCGCCCCCCAGGCCCTGGATGACATCGCCCTTGACCTGTTGACCATTGCCCAGACCAATGAGCGGCCGGCAGCCAGGCAATTTGCGGTTGAAACCCTGGAGACGCTGCAAAAGCTGTGCCCCATGAGCATGGCCGTCACCCTGCGGCACTTTGCCGCCATCTACCAGGCAGTGCATGCAGGTTCAATTCCACTCAACTCCCCTTTTTCTTCCGGTTTTGACGGTCGGCTTGCATCGCTTGAGCCAGTGTTGCTGCAGCTATTTGTCAGTGAGGCAAGCATAAAATCGGCATTTCTTGTAATGCCAACATGCATGACTGATGATGAGCAGCAGTTTTTGTGTCACGTACTGCGCTGATCAAGAGAGGGAGAAATGGACCAGTTGATGTAGGAGGTGGGAGGTGCCCAACCGTAGCTGTTGCACCCCAAGAGTACACTTGTGGACGTGTGTTATTTAAGAGATCCCTTTCCTGCCCTCGGTCTTGGAGAGTCAATGGCTATGGTCTGTCATGTATCTCCCCAGCCTGCTAAACTAGTGTGCCTGGCCTGCACTGACTAAGTTTTATGTCCTCATTCGTGGTGCGGCAACAGAAAAATAAGCTAAGGATGTTACTAGTGAGGATGACACCAGGTGACAAAAGAAGATGACATCGTGGCTGCCGTGCAGGCGGCGGTCCCCTGGCGGAGGTAGAGGGGGTCATGAGGCAGGAGTATGCGCTGGCAGTGCGCATGTGCGGGCGGGGGGATTTCACCGAAGGGGTGCGCGCAGCGGTGGTGGACAAGGACAGGAATCCCAAGTGGAATCCTGCAAACCTGAGTGACATCCGTGAAGAGGAATTGGATGCCATCTTTGCCCCGATGCCTCCTGGGAAAGAGCTGCAGCTGGACTTCCTGGACCGACGAGATTAGTCATGATAGCTTTTGTCAGGTTTGCAGAGAAGGCACCATCAACACTAATTTGCCGATACCTTCACAGATAATTTCCAGCTCGATTGTCTTTCACCAATGAGAGTTGCTGAGAATTGCCGTCAGGCTTGTGGAGAGAAATATCCTACTGCCGTTCATTTGCACTCTTGCAAATGTTAGCAATATGGGCATCCTACTCTGTCGGGCAAAATCCACTACTTTGGTGGACATGCACTCCACTACATTAGTGGATTTGGCTCTCTTTCTGAGCACGCCCCTTCGGGGCGTGCAATAACAAAAGCAATGCTGCACATCCTTCAGATTTACCTACAACAATCTCAGCATTGCATAGTACCTCCGTCAAGCTAATTATTTCGGTCAAGCCTGTATCTATAGGATCGTGCGCTACTCGTTTCTGCGAAGACAGCAATGCCATTTGCCAGGTTACCGTTGCAAAGTAGGATTTGAAAGGGGGGTGGGACGGCCGCAAATGTTTATGGGAGTAATTTAAACGAATTCTTGAAGTCTTCTGTCGCTGGCCATGTGAGGTTCGCACTTTTGCCGGTTTTTTGGCATCCCCATCCTTGACTTGTTTGGACTCAGCTAATCGAATGTCACGACCATCGACGTGCATGTCTACTTCTTTCGTAGTGACTGCATGCCCTGCCAAGCCAATTCCTTGAAATGAAATGCGTGCAGGCAACACAGAGCGTTCACCTGAATTGAGCACTGATGCACCGGACAGACACTGAAGTCGTCTACAATCTAAACCAACATCAAGTTCAATTGTTCTGGTGAGCGTTACGATCCCTCTGCTGCTGTGAGTAGCCGTGGGTGTCTGCCCTGACCTGGCTTTGCTTGGAATGCCAATCTGATGAGGAGCATCTGGAGAGGACTGTGCACCCCAAAGAGTAGCAAGTAGCCCAGGTGCTTGTAAGGATAGTTGTATCACTTGTACTAGAAGGCATGCTGCTGATGTACTTCTCATTCCTTTAATGTCCTGGTGGATCACTTGCAGAAACCGTTGTGTGATGACTTCATGCAGGACGAATGGTCAGGAACAAGAGGTGGAGGGTCAGTGTCAAGGTGATACCATCAGCCGACACTCCTGCTCTGCTGCAGCCAGGCCGCAGATTTGGGAGGAACCTAGGCAGCACTGTGGCAACATCTGCACCGAGGGGACCCCGGAGGCCGGCCAGCGCCCTTCCATCCTGGCGGATCCCTGCAAGAAACACAGCTCAGCAGGAAGAACAGCAGGATGGCTTTGCAGATGGAGATGGAGAAGCCGCTGCTGCCTATTATCAGCCTCCGCCCTCACGCCGGCGTCTGCGGAAACAGGCAGCTCAAGAGGATAATAGACGGCTGCACCAAGCATGGGATGCGTGCTTTGATGACAATGTATTCAGGAACACATGTTTCCAAGCTGGTCAGCCTGCACGCCAAGCAGCACTGAAGCAGCAGCTGCAGGCAGAGTTTTTGACAGCTGCCAGAGCAGCCCTGCCCGCTTGCAGTCCATGCAGTCAGGCTGGGAGGGTGGGATCAGTGTGGGAGCAGGTGGAGACGATCAGCAGGCTTGTGTATGTCTCGATCAGCGGCAGGACAGAGGTCAGCCCCCCAGCATTCAGGTGTGGCGGGTGCAGTGCCGCCTTCACAGTCGATCCTGTGAGCATGGGATGCTTTCCTGCAACGCCACAGAGGCCGCTGGTTTACTACTCTGGAGCGCTCATGTTGCAGACGCATGAGCTCAGCCTCGCCAGCCCAACCTCAATGGTCGCCTGGACTAGCGCCCTGGAGGAGGTGCACGTCAGGAACGGCTGTGTGCCGTACGGGCAACTGAGTGGCCTGCCCAAAAATATCTGGAGGAACCTCCCAGTGGCGGTCAGACAGTGGCGCAGAATGGACATCGCCACACATGACCTCAACAGGCTTGGCGTGCAGCCCATCTGTTCGGAGGCAGGGCTCAGCGGTGACTCAGACTTGCAGCTCGGCCAGCCGCCGCCGCCCCAGGAGAACACTCAGAGGGAAGCAGCAGCGTCGTCATCGCCACCAGAAATGGAAGCAGGCAGCCTCGCGGCTCAAACTGGCAGAGATGCAGCTGAGGTGGGCCCGGCGACCCAGGAATCTCTGGACAGTCGTGCCTCCGGGGGCCCCACTGTGCAGTGTCCTTGCTGCTTTCGCACTTGCGTGGCAGCCATTGCTGACGCCTGCCTGGGACTCACGCAGCTCAGGGCGGCGGGCAAAGCCTCTGATTTCCTGCAGCCGAAGCTGCCCTATAGCCCCTTCATTGCTGATGAAGAGGTGAAGGCCTTGCTCGCTCAACGGAAGGCCTTGGACCCGGCGGCGCTGGAGCGGCCGGTCTGCTCTCAGTTCGTTGCTGCCACGCCAACCGCCTCAGACACGCAGCTGCGCCTATATGTGCAAGTGAGTCTCCTCGCATTTTTCTGGGATCTTGTTGCGCTTACTGATGTTGGCATGCATCTCATATATCCATGATTTTTTTCTCTTTTTTTCCTGGCCCCGGCTGGCAAGGGTAATACTTGGCAGCACCCTAGCGTGCCTTGCTTCAGGTGGTAAAAATACTGAATACCATGCCCACGGTTGATTGGGTCTTGCTTGGATCTGGCGAGTTCAACAAGGGGTAGGGTTATGGCAGCCTTAAATTGCAGCTCTGCAGGATGTACCTTGCTTGGCAGGAAAGCGTGTAACAAGAAGATGTGCTGGTGCTTTGGAGCCGGTCTGACACTCCCGCATGTGCTTGTGCGTAGGGCGTGGCAGCAGCAGTTTGCCGCCACGGGTATGTTCTCGTGGCGGCAAACCTGTTCACACCGGAGTGCTTTGTTTACTACGAGTTGCTCCTGCAGCGTCTGCTGAAGGAGTTCAAGCCTGAGGAGGGCAAGGATCTGAAGTACTTCTTCATTGACATTGCTTGCCAGTTTGACCCATATTGGCGAAGGTATAATCTTTCGTCCATCATGCCTGGCGTTTACGTCAAGATGTGCCCTGTACAATTATTGCATGGAACAATTTCACTCCTAGTGTCTAGTACTAGTCATGCTATGAGTGTGTGGATTCGTCGGAGTGCACAGCAGCGTCCCCTTTGAATGGTGATGTGTTGTGCTGGCAGGATGGTTCAAGGAAACGTGGAGGGTATGCCTGGCCTGGCAGTGGGGCCGTGGCATGTGAAGGCTCACATTCCGGCATGCCAAGAAAAGTATGGCGCCCGCCGCATGCTAGCGGCAGGAAACTCCTTTGGTGACAACATTGAACAGGCTTGGGCACATTACAGGAAATTTGCACACATCTTGAAGCGCATGGCGACTGCCACGCGGGAGGACTACATGACGGACCTGGTGAGTTCTCCTTTCATATGATGCAAGCTCTTGTAGCCTTGCTCGATGTTGCAGTTTGTAACCCTGTAGGTGCGAGAAGTGACAATGTTGGTCCATGTGCAGGCGATGGCTTGGCAGCGAAAAAAGGAGCGCAGGTTGCCCAAGCAGCTGCTTGAGTGGCATAGGAGGGCTGCTCGACTGCTGGCACAACTGCGGCAGTCCACGGGGGCCCTCAAGCAGGAGATTGCCCAAATCAAAGCCCCCGAGTTGCAGGTAAAATGCACCCCTCCTAGTTGCTGCACCTGTCTCTACTGATTCTCTGGGGAGATGCCATCTTGATATATCCTGCAGTCTGCAATGCTTTGCATGCTCGCTTATTGGCTGATGAATCAGGTGCAGGGTGGCGGTGGCTCAGGAGGCGTCCCATCACCGGCAGGCCAGGATCCTCTCCAAGGCGGCGCTGGTGCAGGCGCAAGTGACGAAGCAGAGGTGTGTTGGTCCTTTTTGAAGGCTCTTCTCTAGCATGGAATAAGTATCAATGGGTATGCTAGTGAGAAGGAGGTGCTCAGAGGACTCAGAGTAAAGAGCTGCCTCAGAAGAAAGTATGCAAGCAGATTGTTTGTTTTGCACGCAGGGGTCTGCCCGGGAGCAGCGGCAGACATCGTCTGAGGGGGCATCAACAAGCGCGCCCACCATCCCGGTGCTGCTCCACTCTGCACCTTCAGTTGGCTGTACTGGTGCTTGTTCATATGACATGATAGGACATTTGACATGTGACTTATGACATGACAGGACAAGACATGACAGGATGTGCATACTGGTGGAGTTTTTGTAAAGAGCAAATGGGATGCACACCTTTGGAAGATACATAAAGATGCATGAATCACTGATGTCAGGATTCTTACTCGCAGGCCCGTCTTACATGGGAGCACCACTACCAAGGCTGCTTGGAGGAGTTGTACGCGCTGGGTGGCAGTGTGACTCTCGCAGCTGAGGGGCAGCAATCGCTCTCCGAGCAAATGCGGCATGAGCACCGCCGAGTCCTTGAGGGCAAGCTGGCAGCGTGGGAGCGCAGGCACCGGGTACAGCTGCGGTGGGTGGAGGCAGACCGGTTGTACCAGGAGATAGGGGGTCAGCGGAAGAGGTTCATGATTCAGCAGCTACATGCTTCCATTGCAGCCAGGTTCGTGGATTACTACGCCCTACAGAGACAGCTGGAGACAGCGGCATATCGTGAGCGCACTAGCCTGAAGCGGTTGCGGCGCCAGATGGAAGCCATCGTGTCCAAAGTCAGCGATGACATCCTTCAGCTGCGGCGCTGGCATGCCGCCCCTGGGGACTATCAGGGAGCGCAGTATGACTGCCAGCGCTTGACCGCCCCTGGCTTGCTCGCGGTAGACACATTGCCGTGGCAGCGACAATCTGCTCAGGCAGGGTTGCTGGCTAGGAAACTGGCCGCGCTGGCGGAGCAGCAGGAGCGCTTGAAGCGGTGCTCCGAAGAGATGACCATCGTGCGGCGTGAGGCCAGGGATATGGTAGTGTTTTATGAGCACTACGCCCAGCAAGTGCAGCAAGCCGCTGGGAGGGGAGAGCGCCGCCTGCCCAGCGCCCGACAAGTTCCCCATGCGGCGGAGCTGGGGGAGGCGGGTGTGCATGCAGCCCTTGAAGCTTTCC